TAAGAAGGATTGGCAATGGACGCCCGAGATGCAGAAATCCTTTGACGATCTGAAGAAACGCTTCACTACAGCTCCGATACTGGCCCACTTCCAACCCAATGAACCAGTTATCGTTGAAACAGACGCATCGGATTTCGCCCTCGGTGCCGTCCTATCCCAGAAGGATGAAGAAGGAAGACTGCACCCTGTTGCCTACCATTCGAGGAAATTCTCTCCCGCGGAAATCAACTACGAAATCCACGACAAAGAGCTACTCGCCATTGTCGACGCTTTCAAACACTGGAGACGATACCTCGAAGGTGCACAGCACCAAGTGCAAGTCTTTAGCGACCATCAAAACCTTGAGTACTTCACAACCACAAAAGTACTCAATCGACGCCAGGCACGATGGGCACAGGAGCTCGCCGGCATCGATTTCAAGATCTACTACCGACCCGGAAACCAGAATGGAAAACCTGATGCTCTTTCCCGGCGCCCGGAATACCGCCCTGAAAAAGGGGGGGGTGAGGATCAACCAATCACGACGATCCTGCACGGAAAACACTTTGCAGGAAAGAACAATGTCTCTTCGATCAGCACGGCTGGACACGGTACCTCGTTTCTGATCTCGTCGGTACGGCTAACCTCTACCCCAACACGGAAATGGTCTTTGGAGTTTTTGGAGTTGCTGCGCGAGAAGGGAGGATCTGACGCTGAGTGGGAGAAAGCTCTCAAAAGCGTTGGTGAAGCGGCTTCTGAGGAACAGGAGCCGAATACCGGAAAGGGTAAGGAGGTAGCGGCACGTGGGAATTCCGTGTCGAATGACCGCAAGGTCAAGGAGGATGCCGTTCGGAGCAGAAACTCTGAACGGATGAGCCGAAAGGCCGGGATACTGAAGGTGGAAGATGGATGTGTGTACCGGAAGGAGAAGTTGTGGATACCAAACAACCAAGGCCTGATCCAGCAGATCCTGGAGTCAGAGCACGATACCAAAGTCGCCGGCCATATGGGCCAGGACAAGACGATCGAGTTGATTCGACGCAACTTTTGGTGGCCAAAAATGGACGAAGCCATCATCGACTTCGTGCGTGGCTGTCCTGAATGTAAAAAACAAGACAGCGCGACACCAACCCTATGGACTCCTAAACCCCCTCGAACTGCCCTACGCTCCATGGCAATCCATCGCTATGGACTTCATAACCGATCTACCCGAGTCTGAGGAATGCGACCAACTCTGGGTAGTCATCGACCGATTCACCAAGATGGCTCATTTCATTCCCCTACGAAAGGACGGCAAGACAGCCAGCGACCTCGCAAAAATCTTTGCCCGCGAAATCTGGCGCTTCCACGGCCTACCCTCGGATATTGTATCAGACAGAGATTCCCGCTTCACATCGGATACGTGGAAAGAATTTATGAAGCTTTTAGGCATCAAGGCAAGGATGTCTACGGCGTTTCACCCCCAAACAGACGGGCAAACAGAACGCCTCAACCAGACGATCGAAGCATACCTCCGCTCCTTCGTCAACAAAGACCAAGACGACTGGGTTAGCCTCCTCCCCATGGCTGAGTTTGCCTACAACAACTCGGTCACCACGGCTACTGGATTCTCGCCGTTCTACGCGAACTACGGATTCCACCCAACAGCTAGCGGACCTGCTGCGACGAACCCCCTCAACCCCGCCAGCACGGTCTATGCGCACTGGATGCAGACTGTGCACGAGGAAACCATCAAGTCGCTTGAGCAAGCACAGGAACGCATGCGCCACTACGCCGACCAACGTCGCCAAGAGGCCCCCGCTTATCAGGTAGGAGACCTGGTAATGCTCAGCGGACGGAATATACAAACCCGCCGCCCCTCGAGGAAACTGGACCACAAAAATCATGGCCCGTTCCAAATCGAGAAGATCGTTTCCCCCCTCGCCGTCAAGCTCACGCTACCGCGGAAATGGAAGATACACAATGTCTTCCATGTTTCGCTTGTCGAACCCTACCGAGCAGGCAACCGAGATCCCCCCGACCCGTCGAAAATACTCCGGGAAGCGGATGACGTCGAGAGCAATGAGGAATACGATGTCGAGGAGGTTATGGGTAGCACCAAGAAAGGACGGCGCGTACTCTACCTCGTGAAATGGCTCAACTATCCCAGCAAACGGGATTGGACTCATGAGCCTTTCGACAACTTTTCAGTAGGTGGCCGGGAGAAACTGCGGGAATTCCACCGCAAGAATCCGGACGCGCCGAGGGACTATCGGCTCACAGAAGACTGAGAGTTTTTTCCCACTGGGTTTTTCTCTTGAGTCGAGCGATAGTAGGATGCAGGGGTTGGAGGACTGCATTCACCGTATGTAGACTAGATAGAACTCCGCACGCTTCGGGACGAAAGCGTCGGAGAGGGAAGATGGTGTGACACCCTGGTCGCAGTCGGCCCGACTTCAGAGTCCGGCTGCTTACCAACGGGAGTTCAGGAAAGATAGTTAGATAGATCGGGGGACAGGAAGGGATTTTTTAGATTAGTCGTAGCTAGTCAGAGACGAGATAGGAAGGAAGGAAGCAAACGGAACCAGAGTCTAGGTGGGATCGGAGGCGCAGCGATACGCACGAAAAGTCCGATACTGTCATCCTTGACTTGAGGCAGGCGAATCGCGGAACAAGCGCAGAGGAAACTCTGATCGGAGAAAAACCACTATGACGAGTGTTGCCCCTCTTCTCGCGTCTTAAGCAAATAAGAGCCGTGCCGAAAGGCGCAGCCGTTGCCCAGCGGGGAGATAGCTGAAACCGGACTATGCTCGGGTAAGGATTGGTGCGCCATACCTGCCTAGTTTGTATAAACTATCCTGAAAGCTTACGACGACTCTGATGACATGGCGGAGAAAGTCTCCGCACCAAGTGCAGAGACTTCACGCCAGGGGTTCCATCCGGCAACAAACTACGGCAACGGCTGGCATGTGACTCGATCACATCACCCAACTATATAGACTTCCGACGACACGACGAAAGATTCATCATCAGAATCAGCGACCAGAAAACCATCGACACTACCCCTTAAGATTATTCCGCTTGTGAAAGAAAGAATACTATCTATCTTCATTCTTATCCTATTCTATCAATCGACTCCGACGACCGAAATCGTTCCAGTCTCACAGTCCTTGCCTCGGCTGCCGTCTGCGCCGTAGTCCTTGTCCCTGCCTCTGTTCTCAGTTGCCGTCTGCACTGAGCCCTGCCTCACCTTGTCCCCTGAACCAGTCTTGCCTCTACCGAACCCAGAACCCGATCCCCAGCCCGACTTCGCTACCTGGAGCCTTGCCCGACCGTGCCGTTACACTGGGAAAGTACTATACCACTTGACCAAAAGGTATTTTGATGGCTGAAGGCCATCATCCCAGTAGCTACTTAAGGCCAGGATTTCTGAACTGTGACAGTACATTACCGACAATACCCCTTAAGTTTATTCAGCTGTGAATAATCGAAATCCCTGACTTTTATTCTATACTCGATATCTATCAAGACTCCGACGCCCAGAAACTGTTCCAGTCTTACACTTAGATGTATGGGTAGTCTATATAGTCTCTTGACTATCGTCACGGAAATCTCAACACCAGCAGAATTTGAACACCAAACACTACCGGCGATATCTCTTAAGATCATTCCACTGTGACTCATTGAAATCTCTGAGTTTTATTCTATACTCAATATCTATCAAGACTCCGACGTCCAGAAACAGTTCCAGTGTCACAACTTCTTGTCCTGCCCCTTGCGTTGCCTCTTGCTCTGCTCTGGGCCTACTGCTCCTCTCATTGCTGGTCTCTGCCTGCTGCTCGTCTCCGCCTGCTGCTAGTCTCCTTTTACTGCTGGCCTCCACCTGTTACTGGTCTCTTTCTACTGCTTGTCTCCTCCTGCTCTCTCCTGCTTCCTCCCGCTGACCGGCTACAGCTACTCCTCTCGCCACTGGCTAGAGCTCGAAATAGCTAGGCCACACCAGTCTCCATAGGGCTAGCACAGGTGGCACGTGCTTTACATGTGACAGATACTTTTCCCGCTACTGCTTCGCTGTGCTCTCTGCTACTCGCTCCTTTTCTCTACTCCCCGCTCTGCTTGTAGCTCTGCTGGATTTGCTGCTGATCCCATCTTCCTCGCCTGCTCCTCGTCTCCTCCTGCTGTTCGTCTCCTCCTGCTACTCTTATGGGGTTCCTAAAGTTCTGGCCGTGTGAGTACTTATGCTGCTGGCGCCGCAGACATCACACTCGCTGCCGGCGCCGCAGACTCCACTCACTCCCCTTCTGATATCACCCCAGAGACCGCATTTATTGTCTTTCTAGCATTTGTTGTCTTTCAGGTTTTGCTGTAACCGCAGAAACCGTACCTGCAGCAGTCCTGCTGCCGGCGACATAGACACCCCATTATCTGCCCCTCTGCTGCTCGTCACAGATACTGTCTTCACCGACCGCTCCTCACGCTGCTGACCTAGCCGTTAATATTGCCTCGCCCTCGCTATGAATATATATAGAGTAGATTAGATAGAAAGAATAGAACGTCATACGCTGCGAGAAAACCAGTGAGTGTGTCCCGAATACACGTACTGTATACTGTATAATCCAGGGGGGTAAAAAAATATGTATCCCTGAGTGACAAGAGTATCGAGATGCATTCTGGAAATTCTCTGTAGGTTGTAGTACGGCTTGTTCGTGGAAATATGCGCTCAGCAGTATCGATATGCGTTCTGGGATTTCGCTGTACGTTTCAGTTTGATCGTCGTGGAGGTGTGGGGGATAAAGATCAAAATTTAGGCAACAGCAGCCTCGGATGTCAGCCCTGTCAGCTCGTCGGGACTCGGGTCGGCTATGTACGCTGAGGTTTTTGGGGGTTTTATTTATTCGTTGATCGCATGTGACCTGCTCAGCTAGAAGGCAATAGCTAGGCTGAGGATATTTTTGTGTAATCATAAATTTCATGTGACCTCCTCAGCTAGATCATGGCAATAGCTCCGCTGAGGATCAATATGGCTTCTCAGCACCTATTCACAATGAGGTCGAGTGATCGCTCCGTGATGGAACCACGACGAGGCAACGGCCGGCTCGCGACACGGTATCGTTTCACGAACCGAAGGTGCAGCGAGGCGATGGATACTCCAATCCTTGGCAGGTAGGGACCGAGGAAGATGGATACATAATGTACCTACCCCATCTCGGGCAGCAGCCGGAATATGGCAACAATTGCCTGGGCGGACTTCAAGAGTTACCACAGGCACAGTGTGCAACCAGGCTAGACGGGCGGAATGACCGCTGCGAGCGAGAGAGGTACAGATCTGTTGGGAAGAGAGCCTCCTCTTGCTACCCCTCTTTTCAGCTCACAGTTCCTATTCGGTATCTACTCTCCACCTCCTATTCTATTCAAGCACCACGACGACGATAACAACGGCAGTCACCCATCGCAACCGTACGGTACACACGACACTCAACTTCGCTCGCTCGGCTCTCGGTGCGCACCGGAAGACTCCCCTGCGCACCCCTGCCCCCCAGCTGCGCGTGCCGTACGACACCATCTGCGCATCCAAAAAAGCTCCCAGCTCCGAGCTCCAAGCTTGAAGCTCCAAGCTTCAGGCGCGTACACCTCCACTGCCTGCTTGGAATTCACCACCTTCCACTACGGTCTTTGTCCGAACCACCTACGAGTAGTTACTCTACACCGACACCGTAGGCTTACAACAATCGTTGCCGATCCTCTACCCGCCCTCCCCGTTCCCCGAGCCGCCTACGCCGACATCATGTCCGGTCTCGGATCCCACGAACCCACCTTCCCCAATTTTCTCGTACTAGACCGGTCTTCGTTCACAGCGGCACAGCGCACACTCGGCATATCGGAATTGCTATCACTCGTAGTCGGGCACCTGCGCAACCACCCTGGCAGTCTCGCCAGCTGCGCGCGTGTCAACAGCTACTGGTTCGCGCACACGGTCAAGCTGCTATGGCGGAAGCTACCACGTGACCCGGAGTCGTTAATGAACATAGAGCCGCGGCGAAAAGCGATGTATCTAGGCCACGTCGAGGAGGCCTGGTTCCTGTTCAAGCACCCGCGGCTGCCCAGCAAGCGCGGCTTCACCCCTGCCGCTTTCATCGAGTGCATGAAGCACCTCCCCGCGCTCCGCAAGCTCAAGATGAACCTCCGCGTGCAGGAGGTGCTGCGCGAGGCGGCGCACCGCTTCGACGAGCATGCCGGTGTGGACTACCTACGGCTCAAGCTTTACCCTCCGTATTCCCGCATAGTGGCCGACGTCCTAACGCTGGTCCGCCGCCTACCCAGCCTGCGAGTGCTGATACTCCCGCACATGCCGGCGATGTCGCAGGCGGCGCGGATGCTGACCGAGGCACTGCCCAATATGGAGTACTTCGAGTACCACGTCGGCGTCGACGACACGTTCGGCTACGTCGGCTTCACGGGGCTGACGACGGAAGCGCTGCTGGAGGGCTTTGCGGCTAATGCCCCCGCGCTGCGCTTCTTCATCTGCAACTACACCGGCCCGCAGACCGATGGCGTAGACCTGGTACACCTCGTCGCCGCCCGTGTCGTGTTCCCGGAGCTGTTGAGGCTCGACGTACATATCGCGCCCACTACGAGTCCGCTCGAGTTGCTGGAGTTGCTTAGATTGGTGGCGCCGAAGCTGGGCGCTGATTGCGTGGCAAGGAGGGAGATATTGGCGCGCATTCCTCCTGAGGTCGAGGTCGAGGGAGGGGCTGTCTGAGTGTGTGTGTCTGCGTGCGTGGAGCAGTGTGTGCGATAGTTGTGCTGGGCTGAAGGGCATACCCTCTTTCCTAAGTTTCCTTTCTTTCTCATTATCAGAGCTTGTGCTTTTCTTGTCGTTCTCTCTACAATGAGTTATGACCAGCGTTTGCACTCATCTGTTTTTTTTGATTCCCTCGATCAATAGCCTTATGTATTTCGGTTTTATACCAATTGAGCTTTTGGGGCCTAGTGGCCTTGCCAAGTTTTTTTTGGGTTTTATGTTACATCACCGTTGCGGCTGGTTCTGCTGGAGGATGAGAGAGAGAGAAGAGAGAGGGGAGGGAATATCAACTGAGTGTCGCATACGGCATTGGTTACTAGACTAGACTATGGCGACTACGAAGTTCAAAGCCAACCTTTCCTGCTGGTGAAGTGCGCACTTGGAAGTTTGAACGCTGGTGACGGGGGTCTGAATGAGGGCCGGAGGGTGCATTGATGAAGCGGAGGTTTTGGTGACCGCCACTGTCCACGATCTAGCATTCGGAGACGTGAGAGTGGAAATTAGCGTGGTAGATGTCAAATGGTGTCAAAAACATTTGTTTCCCCTGGCTGACTAGCCAATCAGCATATTTGTTTACAGTTTCAGGTGCGCATTTGCTCTGCACCTAACTACCGGTACTAACTTCAAACTAAGTGCAGCCTACCAGTTGCTATTCAACTCGCACTTCAGCTTTCAGACATCTAGAGGGCTTGGAAGTTGGCTGACTGAGTCTGCAACCGTTTTGGTGGTGATTATTATTTTCTAACTATTCCTGCCATTGCTGTTACCTGTAGAGAGTTCAAGACCCCGCTGCCGAAGTGCGCACTACCGTGAGTACTTCAAATATCATGGTATGTAGTTGACTATCTCACAGTCTTTCACTCGTTGTCGGCTAACTAGGGAGCCAAGGGTAGCGGACCACGTGACGTCGTAGCGTCACCATGCACACAAACTTTCCCGACTTTTTACATCCGCCGCGACAGCTGTGCTCTCGCCCCACCAGTTGAACAGCCCATTCGCCCACCACTCCACTCCACGCGCAACGTTCAAACCCCTCTCCCGCGCGCCCATCATGAGCGGAGACTTCCCCACCCTCCAGGACGGCGTGCAGAAAGCCGTGATGTCTACGGTGAAATGCGTGAACGCGCTCGCAGCCGGCGACATCGACTTCCAGCGGTCGTCGGACGGCGAGTTCGCGAGCGCGGCGGACGCGACCAGCGCGCGCATCCTGGCGCTCGTCAACTCGCTGCTCAAGAATGCCGCTGCCGGATCAGATATTGAGCCCCCGACCCTCAGGGACGCGGACGATGTGGACAACAAGTGGGGCGATGTCGTCGAGGTCGTCGATTATCTGCTTGAGAGAGCGGTAAGTTGCACCCCCACCCCCAACGTGTTGAGGTGGTGGAGTGAGAGGGAATGCTAAATAGCTTGGGAGGACGCAGGATACCTGCTTGGACGAATACACCGGCGCAATCAAGCAAAAGAATCCCGAGCCGCTCCCGGGCGCGAAAAATGCGGTACGTCCCCCGTTCCACCCCGTCCCTTCGCTGCGCTCCATGCGTGCGTACGTGCGTGCGCTGATTTCGTGCAGAACCCCCGCCTATCGCGCAGCCAGCAGAAAACGGTCGGCTTCCGAGCGACCGCAAACTCGCCGCAATCGAGAAACCTGGCGAAGCCCCAACTGCTGTTCAACGTCAAGCCCGACAATCTCAACGATGCGCCGTTCAAACCGCTGCTTACCGAGAAGCCCCATGCGAAGATTCCGCTGGAGAAGAGCTTGGAGATGTTTACGAACGAGCTGGGGAATAAGCAGTAAGTTTTGAAGTCTAACGTGGGGAAGGGAAAGTAGTTGCTGACTGGGTGAACCCGAACTAGGTACATGCACCCCTACGTCGAGGAGATAAAGACGATGAAATACCCAGACAGTATTTTCCAGATTAAGGAACCGCAGGAATACCTTCCCTTCGAGGAGACGACGGCCATACTCGTTGACACGCCGGAGGCGTTGGCGGAGATGCTGGAGGAGCTGAAGAAGGCCACGGAGATTGCTGTAGATCTGGAGCATCACGACCAGAGATCGTACATCGGAATCGTGTGCCTTATGCAGATAAGCACGAGGGAGAAGGATTGGATTCTAGACACTCTTCAGTTGAGGGAAGACCTGCAGGTCCTGAACCAGGTGTTTGCAGACCCCAATATCATCAAGGTGGGCTCCGCAGTTCTGGTACACACTTTCCGATAGCTAATCGGGGCGGTAGGTTTTCCATGGTGCCGCTATGGACATTATCTGGCTACAGAGAGATCTCGGACTGTATGTTGTGGGTCTCTTCGACACGTACTGGGCCTGTCGTTCGCTCGGATTCGCAGGCCACGGACTTGCATTTCTTTTGAAGAAGTACATTGATTTCGATGCCGACAAACAATACCAGCTTGCTGATTGGAGGCTTCGGTTTGTCCCTCCAACTTTGATACTCCGGAATTGTCCTCTAATCTCCCGATGCTGACATGGTGACAAGGCCTCTACCGGAAGAGATGTTCAACTATGCGAGATCGGACACCCACTTCCTTCTGTACATCTTTGACTGTGTACGGAACGAGCTGCTGGAGAGATCAGATCTGGAGGATCCCGACAACAAAATGGCCGACGTCCTAGAGAACTCCAAGATCGTCGCTCTTCGCCTGTACGAAAAGGAGCCCTACGATGCAGTTACGGGCCACGGACTACTCGGTTGGCGGAATATGCTCGGACGGTCTCAGGAAAACCTTAATCCGATGCAGGTCTCCGTCTTCAAAGCAGTACACGAATGGCGGGACACCACAGCCCGCATAGAAGATGAAAGCCCCCACTTCGTCATGCCCCGAAGCCAGCTATTGAACCTTGCCCGCAAGATGCCAGTGGATGTTGCAGGCGTCCTTGGGTGTTGCCCTCGCACCTCTCCACCAGTCAGGAGCAAGGCGGGAGAGCTTGTCGTTGTCATCAGGAAAGCAAAGGACACGCCAGAAGTCCGTGCGTGGCAGAATTCCAGGGACGAGGCTCGGGCCGCCGAAGCCGCCGCAAAAGCCGCAAAAGCCGACGCCGCCGCCCAAGCAGCCCCTGCCACCACGGAGAGCGAGTCCACCACTGCCGCCGACCAATCCCGTGTCAACATCTTCACAGCCTCTTCCGACGAAGCGAAAGCGCTGCGAGAAGAAACATCCAAGTTCTGGGGCGACTGCGACGACAGCAGTCGCTGGCAGCAAGAACAGACCTCGAGCACCAACGACTCCTCCACCCTCCGGCTCGCAGTGCCACTACCACAGCTAACGGCAGAAATCTTCGTCTCGGAGGACATGCCCCACCAGCCGCAGCAGACTCCCGCTGTCGATCCTGGTGCCCGCGCTGAACACGAGTACGTCAAGAATCGCCCGGCCAAGGAGGAGACATCCGACGTCATTGTCGTGCGCTCACTCGGTGGTGGCAGGAAGAGGAAATTGGATGATGCTGCTATTGGCGAGGTTGCGCATGCGGACGCAACGGAAGATGTGCAGGGCGAAAAGGGCGGAACCGAGTCTGTCAATGGCGACGACCCCGCATCCGCTGATGCCCTCGAGCAGGGAGCTCTCAGAAAACGTAAGGCAAATAAAGAGCGGAAAAAGAAAAAGAAGCTGGCACAGCAAGAGGAGGGGGAGGAGGAGGATGCTCCGGTGGAAGGCGAAGAAGACGCCGCCGTTGAGAAACCCACCACCAAGCCGTTTGACTATGCCAGCGCGCCGTCGGTCCTGAACCAGAAACGGGAAGAGGGCGGACGAGGCAAGAAGAAGGAAAAGAAGAAGAAGGCGTTCAATCCGTACGCCGGATCGGCGAATGCCCCCAAGGGCTTGAGTAGGACGAATCAGGAGAAAACGGGCAGGTCGGTTACGTTCAAGCGGTAGATCTCTCTAGGTATCTAGGTATCTATCTGAAAGGGTGACGGGGAAAGGAAATGTGGTTAGAATGGGATCGGGTATTCTTCTTGTATATGAATGGCGCGTTGCTTTGGTTGTCGTCCACACCCTTTCTGCTGCCTGCATCTACTGCATCTACTGTATGTCGTTGCGTGCTTAATGACGTTGAGTTGAGGATGGGAATTGAGAAGGGGGGGGCCTTTCCCCTGACATTCTGCTTCACCTGGTTGTTTCATCCCGTCGGAGCTCGCAGCTCTAAAATGACCGTGAAATGTCTTCTTCTCCTGCCCGGGACTGGGATATCAACCGACATGCAGTGTTCTCCATAGTCCGGTCCAGACTGCAGTCCGGACGGAACGGACCGCCAAGATCTAGTCCCGTCCGGCGTCCGTGCCTTTTGGAGGACGGGATAAAAGTATAGCAGTCAGTCCCGTCCCCTGATTTGCTGGACGGGGTTGGACGGGGTTGGACTGCAGTCCGGTAGTGAGGAAAAAAAAAGTGACACTCTTTTTAGCACTTGCTCCACCAAATATGACAGTATTTTTCACTATCGTGTGTTCAATTTCATCCCGTCCCGTCCATGGGTCCGGACGTACGGACTGGACTAGGTATGTAGAACACTGCGCCCATGCGGGCCCACCGGTGACAACTGGATCACTCGCTGGATCACTCACTGGATCACTCGGCACGATGGTGCTCGCGCTCGGTGATGAATCACGAGACGGGGATGAGACGGCGTCGGCGACGGGATTGGGCGTTTTGGGGATGGATCCGAGATCCGAGAGGTGTGGCCGCCGATTCCCAACGCACGTAACGGTGCCGACGGGCCACGGCAGAGATATGGCCACGCGGTCATGCCTACGCACTCTACTCGAGTAGGTACTCTACTGGTAACCCGTTTCGAAACGTTTGATGCTGATGGCTAACCAACCAACTGGCAGGGTCTGCTGCAGTCCCGCCCCCAAGCCCTTCGGCATGGCAACTCGTGTGTAGGTGACAATGCGCACCAAGGGAAATGGGAAGAACGAAGATTAGGAGCGGGCGAGTACAGAATGCCAACGAACTCGATACTCGACCAGAAGAATCTGCCAGCCATCTAATGATCTACGAAGGTTCTCTGTCTGAACGGCGCAGTGTTCGACATAGTCCAGTCCATCCGTCCGTCCTCAGCCTCGGACTGGACTGAACTGTATCTTTGCAGTCCGTCCGGGAGCAGTGTTCAGACCGACTAGACCAAAAATAATAATCGAGGGAAGGACGGACTACTTTTACGCAGTCCGTCCAAGGGGCCGGACTGGACCAGATCTTGGCAGTCCTAACCGGACTACCTATGTCGAACACGGGAACGGAGTGTCTAGAACACCTCCAATGAGGGCTCCACTTCCATAGCAATTCCGACAAAACTCAGCCGCGGCACCGGCGACTCCCAAGTGCGCATATCCATGCTGGAAATCAATATCTACTAGCTAGATTGCCGAATATGAGGTATGAGGATAGCTATTGCGGGATTCGGTTCACAGATATAGCTACTACCTATATTCCCCACGCCGCACTCACCGCGCTCACCACATTGGGCCATACGGAGGTGCCTCCCTTCATATCTGGTAATGGACCAAGCCGTCCGGATATGTCTCGCGCGCATCTAATCGGCGAGAGTGAGGGTGAGGGAATGTATGTAGGCAGTAATCGCTGGATAGATCTTCGTGGGCCGTTTCCAACAAGCAAACGGAGAGTTGTATCTATCTACATGTTGGGAAACATATATACTTAAACCATCCCCGACCCCATCCACGGCCTGGACAAAGCTTCTGATCTTCAGATCATTCCACTATTTGACCGTCCATCCAGACCTTCGTTCCTTTACCGAGCACACCATGAGGTTTCTCATCATACTTGCCGGCCTCGCAGCTTCTGCAGTTGCCGTCCCGCACGACGACCACAATTCCACCGAGGTGGTGGTGATTCCGACTTCCACCCACTCCCACGACCACGGTGCATCCGTGCCTCCTAGCAGCTCTCCAACCAGCCCAGCAACCTCCGCCCCCACCGGCTGCTGCCTCCTACACACCGACGCCGACTTCCCCACACCCGCCGAATGGGCCTCGGCCCTCCCCGGCGTGCAGCCACCGACTCCCTTCGGCACCCACGCGCGGCCAGACTACGTTCTGCGGGCCACGTGCGTCGCGCAGGTGCAGTCCGCGGTACGTTTCGCCGCCGCGCGGAACATCCGGCTATCGGTACTCAACAGCGGACACGACTTCCTGGGCCGCAATGATGCGCCGTCTGGATTGAGTCTGGATATTTCAAAGCTCGGGGGTGTTCGTGTTGCGACGGTGTATACTGCTACGAGGGAGGGCGTAAAGGATGTGGATCCCGCGAGGGGGGTTAATATTATCATTCCAGAGCAAGGGAGGCAGGCGGTCGTTACATTTGGTGCTGGATTGTCTACGCAGCAGATCAATGATGCGGTGGATAGGAGCGGGCTGACGACGGTTGGCGCTGCACATGGTTTGTACCCCACTATCTCCCGGTTTCGATGAGATGAATATTGACCGTGTGTGTGCGTGCAGGAAGCGTTAAAACCGCAGGCGGCTGGGGACAAGCCGGCGGCCACGGTCCACTGTCCAGCAAGTACGGCCTAGGCGTCGACCAAGTGCTGGAATACAAAGTAGTCATTGCCAACGGCTCGCTGCTGACTGCCAACTCCCTATCCGAACCGGACCTGTTCTGGGCGCTGCGCGGGGGCGGCGGCGGAACATTCGGCGTCGTCGTCGAGGCGACTATCAAAGCATACCCCACACCGAGGATGACAGTCACGAATTGGTGGATCAATGCCACCTCTTCCAGCACCACCACCAATTCCACCACCAATTCTACCAGCGAATACTGGGATGCTGTGGCGTACCTGCACTCGCAGTTTCCGGCGTTGAACAAGCGGGGCGTCCAGGGGTATTTCTATATATATCCTGCGGCGGTGCAGGGGGTTTTCATGACCGCCGGCTCGGACGCGGGGATCTCGGCGGCGAAGGAGCGCTGGGAGCCGGTGCTGAAGCGGATGGGGCGCTTCCCGGGCATGAAGCCGGCGACGGCGAAGTACTACGACTACGCTAGCTACAAGGCGTACTTCGACTTCCGCTTCGGGCCGATATGTCCCGACGAGCCTGCTGCTGAGGAGGAGCCCGACCACGGCGCCGAAGACCCAGCACACACGCACGCGCGCCTGCACCGACGGCACGAGGACATGACCGCGCCCACCGGTATCATCGCGATGGACAGCCGGCTTCTCTCCGCGGCTCACCTGCGGAGCCCACGCCTCGCCTCAGCGCTCGCGGCCGCCTACCCGCGCGCGCACGAGGGCCTCCTGCGCGGGCACCTCGTCGGCGGCGGCGCGGTGCTGTCCTCGGGCGAAAACACCTCCGTCCTCCCCGCCTGGCGGAGCGCCTACGTGCACCTCGTCGGCACTGGCGTCGGCCGCTTCAACGTGTCCAGCCTGCGCACGCTTGCGCCCGACTCCGGCGCATACGTCAACGAGGCTAGCGCGCTGAATCCGCACTGGAAGGGCGACTTCTGGGGAGGGAATTATAAGCGCCTCGCGGAGATCAAGACTACCTACGATCCGGAGGGCGTGTTCTGGATTACCCCGGGGATCGGTGCTGATCGCTATGAGGTCAGGGATGGCAGGCTGTGCAGGAGCAAGGAGGTGCGGGATACAGAGATCGCGCCTACAAGCGATAATGTGAATATAGGCGTTAGACATAAGGAGGGCTACGATACTCTCTCGGCCTTCCCGGGGGCGATGGAGCCGGATCTCGACCAGGGGACTTGCAGGGCCGCCGCCGAGGGACATGCGCGCAGATGAGGCACTATATACTATTAATTTATTGTACATACCGGTGCTGGCTGCTACACTGTGCGCGGACGCCACGTTTGTTTATGTATCAACCCCCGTGTGTCGGTGCCTGCCGAGTGATGCGAGCGTGATCCGGAGCTATCATGTAGGTAGTTACATAGTTGATCACTCGAACCAGCACCGTCACTGCTTAAAAGTAGACGGGCCATATACGCAATATTTCGGTATTCCCTCTATCTCGAAACCCATTTGGGTAGTATATTTGGCGTGTGAAGATGCACGTGTACTCGCATTCATGAACAACTCCGTACTCTAGTGTAATATGATAGGTACGGGATAGAGGAGAAGCTCTATTACTATGGTAGGTAGATCAATACGAAATACTTTTATGTACTTGCAATTCGAGCAATACCTATCTCATGATCGACATATAGTAAAGCAAAAGAAGTACGTATTCACATAGGTACCATGCCTACCTATTCTACCACGCAATCAAGCATTGCCGCTTTCCCGTCTTCCCAGCCTCACCAAAGACCTGCTCCCAATCGGCGATAGCCCCAGCGAACCACCATCTCCCCGCCTTTGTGACTTGTCACAGGCGAAACGCCAGATTCTAGATTCTAGAAATTAGATTCCACTCTTTAGCCTTCTTTCCGTACCGGTACTCCTTCCCGTAGTTACTCCTTCGCGATACCGGTACCCGCTACCTACTCTATGCCGCCCACCTAGGCCTCCGTCAACCAGTCCGCCCACCGTCCGATTCCCAGTATGTACTCTTCTAGTATAGGCTCGGTATGTAGGAAATCCATGATGCATAGATGATGCACTGTAGCTCCGCAACGCACGATTGGTTTATCAGCACTTTTTGATCCCGTACGTCACGGCCTCTGCCCCGCCCCCCCCCCCCCCCCCCGGAGCGGCTACCGGTAATCACACACGGCCCCGAGTGAACCTGTGCACCTTGCCATGCCGTTCCGCACAAGGGCTTCGATATCAATACTACTCCTGCGCAGATACCGGTATGTAACCACGACTCACATGACCGGAACGGGAACAGGACGATCCCCCCGCACGACCCACGTGCTGGTGCTCATAGAGTCCTGAAGGAATCTGCCTTCCTTCTTTGCTGTTCCCGCCCGTCGTTCCCACCCTCCTGCCCGCCCGCCCGTCTTTCTGTCTATCCGTCCGTCCGTCCGCTCACACACACAGGAATCGTAGCTAGCCGTGCACCGACCGGCCGTAGGTATCTGGATCTCCGTCATACTAGCGCAATCAGCGCAATCAATCATTAGAGGTACCTTATTCGCTCCTCTGCGGCTAGCCGTTATTCCGCCACCCAGTCAACCGCTATTCAGTCAACCAGCCGGCAAGACTCCCCGAGCGAACCGTGCCGCATGAGGGCTTCGCCGCCGATCCGTATGTAGGACCGTAGCCATGGCCAGATACCGACGGTGCGTCATGGACAGGACACCATCCCCCTCACGGCTCGCATGCTGTGCCCTCGCTCACGATTACTCCCGAGTCCTGACATCTATCCTTTACGTCCGTTCGAGGACTTCACCGACGGGATTCCTCCGTGTCTAATAGATAGGTAACTGCGTACCTACTAGTAGCTGTTCGCTTGACGGCAAGGCAAACGGTGCGGCGGGTCTGTGTGGAGTTGACGGGGTTTGGTCTGGTCTGGTCTGGTATGATCTGGTATTGAAAGACCCAAAAACGGGCGGAGGTTCAAAAACGTGATCAATTCCAGGTGATGATCTGACGAGGACCAGAGACCGACAACAGGAAGACATAAATAGTGACAACAGAGACAGATAAACGTTGAATGACCGCATCGGGTCTGGATCAGGCCCCACCGGGTCTCAATAAGGTTCCCTCTCTTCGGCGTTCACCGATGACTCCAAGCCGCCTCTGCCTCCGCGCCCCTCAGTATAGGCAGTGAGCAATGGCCACCCCGTGGCCCGTGCAGTTTGGTGATGCTTAAACCGTTAAACTTTAAACTTTAAACTTTAAACGTTATGAATCACGTTGTTGATCAGGATGCGATAACTTCTCTACTCATAGATACTCGTAAAGAGTAACCTGTCATATCAGCTGTCTACTAGTAGTGCCTATCGTCCTCGTAGTCGGGCCGTTGTTGCGGCCACCGACTCAACCCGACTCGGCTCAAGACATAATCCATCAATGCTGCTCACAAAACAATTGAATGAAGAGCACATCATTTTCAAAATATAGCCATTTATCTATTCCATCTTCCACGTAACCAGATAGGTACAAGGCGATATAAACCCCCCAGGGATGATCCCTCCAGTGTCGTCGGCCGCGACGTTGTCCGCCAGTCCATCACTTACGCTAGCAAGCCTCGACAGTCGATAACCTGGAACTTGTACATGTAAGCCAGCCCTGCGGAATACCGGTATGTACATAGCTACGGTTGCATGTCGGGACTCGGTTAAGAATAAGCTCGTTTAAGCTTCGCCATCCCCATCCCCATCGAAAAGTGAAATTCACGGTGCGATGACCTCTGTATGTAGGTGTAGGCAATGAACAATGGACAATGGACAATAAACAATTCACATGTACAATCAAAGTTCAAACCGGGAAGAGAAAAAGAAGAAAACAACGGCAACAGCAACAAAACGCCCCTATCTGTGAGGTTTCCGCAGCAGCCGGCCACCTTAGGAGTACAGTACGAGACAGAAGGACAGAAGGAAAGAGAACGAGAAGCCAGACATCACCATCACCACCACCATCAGTATCGAACAGACAAGCAGACAGAGAGAGTGAAAGTGAAAGACGAGCCACCCTCCATCCGCGAAAGAAAGAAGACGAAGCAGAAGCAACCCCCCTCCCCACTCCCCACGTCCATCTAACACCTCTCATCGACGACCGCCGGCGGGGTCTTATCCGTCGTATCAACCACGCCCTCATCATACGTCATACCATCGATGAGCCTAGCCTCCTTCCTATGCTCCCTGGCACTATCGGTACTGGCGGGGGAATCCGTCTGCATTGCCCTTCCGCCCATGCTCGCGGGAGTATCCGGTCTCTTATTGACATCGAAGTAACCACCAGCCGAGATCGCCGAGAGGCGCGAGATGCGTTCGGCAGCGCCGTCGAAGCCCGACATCCCCGGGCGGTGTCCCTCGTGCCCGTCCTTGATCGCGATCGTGGAAACGCATGACATCGGCGTCGAGGGACCGGACTCGCCCTCGCCGAAGTCGGACGGCGTAGAGGGGAGGTTGAGGATCGTGGGGTGTTGGCCCGTGCGCGGCGTCGACGGAGTGCTGGTGGCGCTGGTGGTGCTGTTGCTCATAACGCTTGGTGTAGTGTGGCTGCTGCCGGTTTCGAGCGCGGGTCCCATTTTGGACGTGTTCTTATTTTCGGTGGGGAGGTGGTGGTGGTGGTGGTGGAGGTGGTGGAGGTGGTGGAGGTGGTGGAGGGTGGGAGGACAGAAGGTAGTGGTGTGATAAGGGAAGGGAAAGAAGGGTCGATGGAAGGACGTTGTGGATGGGAGATGGAGTGGGAGTGGGAGTGTGGGGAAGGTCTAGAAGCAGGGAGAGGCAGGGAAGCAGTTAAGCTGAGCGCATTGCGGTGACATCACAGCACCTGTCCTGCCCTAGAGTAGCAACCACTCTAGTCGTCGCCGCAAATGGCTTAGGGCGAGAGTGGCATTGGCTCTCGAGTGAGATGAGGCGGACAGGACCCTTGGAACTATCTAAGGCGACGACCGGAATTTCTTGAGGCGCCGACCAACTGCGATTGCGCTGGTGTCTAACTACTGGTATTCGCATCCACTTTACTAGTCCGCCCTCCTCCTCCGGATCAAAGTATCACCGGGATCCCGACATGCAGCCCCACCAAGCCTACCATTCTCCACCCTCCCGCTGCCCCACATCCCCGCTAGCAGAATAAACCATCGCCTCGTACAGTGTGGGATTAGCATCCATACGTGACTCCAGACCCGACTGTCCAGCCATCAGCACGAACACAACACCTGTAGAACCAGAGATTGCCGCCTCGCCGCACGCCCACCCATCACATGTAGTATTTTGTAACCAGCCCCCTCTTGAACGTGCCCGTATTGACGGGCCCATCCTTCCCCCAGACAATCTTCCCCTGTGGCGGGGGCGCCTCGGCTCCAGGCAGCCCCTCGACCGGCAGGACGCCCTTCTCGACGCCCAGCCCCGTCTCCTTCGCGACCTCGACGTCTCCACTGGCGACCTCAAACCCCTCCGTGAGCATCCACAGCGGCACCCGCCGATCCTGCCCGCTCCTGATCCAACTGACCACATCACCGCCATAGCCCCTCGTAGTCGCCGCATCGAGAATGTCCTGGAAGGATTTAATCTTCTTGACGCCGTTTGTCTTCTCAAAGTCGATGCCGAGGGTCATGTCGATGTGCCCGTGGTACAGCCCCACGCTGCGGTCCCCCGTCGCCCGCACCTTTGCAACGTACGCTCGCAGTCGGTATGCCTCCTCGAATGGCGCCGAGATTATTATCTGTGCGGGTTTGCCGGTTCGTAACATCCCCCGCACGTTCAGCTTCAGTGATAGGTCCCTGAATCGTGTTATCGTCTTGGTCGACGAGCTGAGCTTGCCGAAGTGGATGAGTGCAAGTGGCATCGTTGTGGTTGTGGTTGTGGGAAGGTGGTGTTTTGCGTGGTGGGGAGGTGGTGGAGAGTGGTGGGGGAGTGGTGGGGTGGGATTGAAGGTGGAAAGTTCATGCACGCGTGGGATGCTAGTAAACTGCTAGTCGACGGATAATTTTTAACTTTTCCGCACGCGTCGGATGGTGGCGGTGGTGAAGGTGGCGCCAAGCCGCACCCCACAGTCCACCCACTGTCCGGACTCCTCCCACTGTCCGAACCACCTGGAAGACACAATGCCCACCGCCCTATTCCACTTCCACCACCTCCTGTCCAGCAAGAAAGTCTCCTCAATCCGGTCACTAACACGATCACTGGGTCTCGGCGCGGTCTACAAGCGGGGCTACCCGGGGCTGCTGCTGATCTCGGGCGCGAACGTGGACGACGTCAAGGCCCTCGTCAAGGTCGTCAAGGCCATGCGCTGGCAGAGCTGCAGCTTGTGTGGAGGCGGCATCCGCGAGGATATGCATGTCGCATTTGAGGCGAGAGGCGCGGAGGAGGTGGACGCTGTGAGGGATGTGGTTGCCGCTGCGAGGACGGGCGGGGGAGTGGAGGTCGAGGGGTGGGTTAAGAGGGGATTGGGGTTGGGAAAGGAGGAGTAGATAAACAGACAAAAAGATGAGCAGAGAAACAGAGAAACAGATGGCTAATGGATGAGTGATGAGTGATCGCAGATGAACGTCGTTGCGCGTGAAATACAACCCAAGTGACTGGAGACCGTATCGTAAAGACAGCAAAAAAAAAACAACCGAACGCCGACCAAAGAAACCCCCACACCCCGCCTACTCCTCCACCGGCATCTTCTCCCTCCTTTCCCTCGCCGCTTGCTCCTCCCTCTCCCTCTTCTCAATGACATAGTCGGCCGCCAAAACCGCCTTCTCAAGCCTCCCCCCTACCTCCGGCACCGTGCCCTTAAGCCTCTGCAGCGCCTCCGTCGCCCTCCTCCTCGTGCTCTCAACCTCCTCCCTCCTATCCACGTCCCTCACCAACCCCGCACCCTCCCCATCCCCACCCGCACCCTCCACCTCCGCCAGCTTCGCCTCCCACCCCCTCCTCAACCTGGCGGCACTACGTTCCTCGCCATCAATAGCGTGCTCATACGCGCCGACGACAGCCTTCGGTACCACGCGGCGGAAATTCGCGTTCTGCAGCGTGCGCTGCTCCACCTGCGCCGTCAGCTCGGCCACCCGCGTGTGCAGCCGCCCATCGAATGCCTCGTACTCGTCGACGGGCTCGGCGGCCGTGTAGGCCGACGGCGAGAGCGAGGGAAGGCCGTTCACGCTGATCGACGGCTGCGCCAGGGTGAAGGTGCGCGTTATGAACTAAGGAGGTTAGCTTGGGCGGGGGAAGGGGGGAGGGGAGGGAGGGAGGAAGGGGGGGAGGAGGGGGTACCTGAAGAACTTCCTCCTCGACACGCTGGCGCAGCGGGTCCGTGGCGGATACGGCGCCAGATGGTAGGTGCTGGTCGATGTTGCTGCGCGCTACTTCGGTGATCTGTGAGAGGAGGTACCGCAGGTCCTCCGGTGATTGGAGCTCGATTTTGCGGAATTCTTTGGAGTCCATTTTGTATGTGTGGTGATTGGTCGGGTGGAGAGAGTAAAGTAGAGTAGGTGGGTTGAGTGGGTAGCGACGAGGACGCGACGAGACAGGGGAGCACGTGCTACCTAAGGCTGAGCCAAGCAATGCTAACTTATCTACAGCTGAGAGCTCTTATCGTCCCTGACGCCCTACGGCTTGTCTTGGCCGGGACCTGTGCTCACTGCTCGACACTTGTACCTGTGTACTCTATGCAGCTACCCGGTGAGCGAAAAGCTTCGCTCACTGGTGAATGGGGTGTGCAATACTTTGTACGAGCGTGGTGCTTAACTTCAAAGTACATACTGCCAGTTCGAACGTAACGTAACGCAATGCCGTTCGATAAATCCTACGAATTGATGCATTGAATGTCAACAGCTCACTGGGTATCCGAAGAAGAGATTCCGAGAACACGAAGCTGGAGATTCGAGAGGTTATTCACGTCGTACCTACCGGTAGACTGTAGTGGGTTTGCAAATATATGGTTCTTTTTGGCGCCAGGCTCGCACCTGCCATCATGCTATGGATACTCTCATACTCCATCTCCGTTAGTTATCGTTGTCCCAGCAAAACCGAAACCCAAGGGCCAATTCTTGGCTCTTGGCCTCAAAACGGCCTTTCGTCCTATTATTCCAGCCGTTTTCCTCCGCCGACTGTCGACTGTTGAGATGCCCGTAGGCATTCGTACTAGGTACATACCGGTACATACAATCCTTCTGGATTATGGCGGATCATTTCCGAATCTCAGGACTCCGGGAATCCAGGAGCCTTTAAGCGGGGGGCCGCGTAGACTACATAGCGTACACCAGTGACCACCAGCCGTCGCTGCTGTAGAGTACGGTAGTTACTCAACTCAACTCAATTCTATGTAGGTCCAATAGCAGTCCACCCGTCAAATGCATAAAGTCAGAAACACCCCGCACCGACCCCAAACTTCAAAGTTCAAACAAAGTTGATCCCACATCATCCCAGCAAGCAGGTCCTAGCAGCTAGCCCGGTTTGAACTTTGAGCCCGCTGTGTTTGCGGCTGAGGTGCTGAGCCATAGCACTGCTTTCATACCGGTAGATATAGAAGCACACGGCTTTGACGGAGGAATGGGTAGGCGGTGGAGGAATAGGCGGTGGAGGAATAGGCGGTGGAGGAATAGGCGGTGGAGGAATAGGCGGTGGAGGAATAGGTGGTGGAGGAATAGGTGGTCGAGGAATAGGTGGTGGAGGAATAGGCAGTGGAAGGGGGCGCGGTCAATGGTCAGGGCTGGTAGACATCTACCATGTATGGTGGGAACTGCGAAGTGACTCCGAACTCCAAGTCTGCGAACCGGATCGATGACTCCAGGCTTCAAGCCTCTGAATCGGCATGCTGAGCGACCTGCGCACCCGACGGGCGCTGGCCAGTCCAGTCCCCACCAGCGATATGGCGCAGTACCCATCTGGGGCGCTCTTTTTCAGGTAGCACGTGACACTGCTCGACGGCCTTTGCAGATTGAGCTAGATCCTTAGCTACATTCTTAGGCAGAGTACCTTTCGGCAGATAAACTCTCAGTCCACGCATCGTGCAGAGTCAGAGTCAAAGAAACTTTTTTTTTCGTGCGTGCGATGCGCGCCAAGGGGGCGGGTGGGGTTTCGGATCTGCTGCTGCGGAATGCTTGTGTTGTGTTGTCGGGCCTCGTCGGGCTGAGGGAGATAATCGAGAGCTTGAGAACTCCGGCTTCGGGGCCCACGGGTCGGATGGATGAGCCACTAATTACGGCTGCGGAGAGCTGCGGAGAGCTGCGGACCAACTAGCGTAGATAGCTCCCCGTGCCGCAGGTGAGGGAGAGCCCAAGTTACTCTACTAGCTATCGTGAAACCTCGCTCTTCTCCACCGTTGGTCAAAAGCAAAAGCACAATGGCAACTAAGAACTTTGAGTCCCTATTCAAAGTAAGCATGCGCAAATGGTATTCCCAACAAACCGCAATCACAATTCACCAGGCTCCAACGCTACATTCAATCATAAGCTCTGATCACAGCTCGGTACATATGCTAGATACCGCCTATCCCAGCAAGCCAAGCTTAGCTGCCCAGGCTTATCGACACACCACCACCACCTCTCCATTCATCACCGTATGTATGCATGTAACTATTGCCCGCGTGAAGGATTCCCGTCGCGGCGCCGTAGAAGCAGCAGCGCACGTCTCGGAAAAAGGCCAGCACATCTACCCATCGCAAAGTTTCGCACCTGTAGGAAGTATGCATACCGGTACATAACCTCTATCTAGTAGAGTGGAGTAGAATAGAGTGCTCACTGACGTGGATCAACTCCCTCCCTCCCTCCGCCCCTCCCCACCCCCCAGCGCCCCATTCGTGACTCGTTGAAGTGTGAGTGTGTTGAGGGTGTTGAGTCACGACAACGGAACTTCCAGGCAGCTGCCGCCGCCGCATCCCACCCACAGCCCGGATCTTCCCACCTACCCACCTCCCCACCTCATACATAAAGCACAAGCACCACTGCATGCTGCACAACCCTTACACTTCACCAACTGCAACTACAACTGCAACTTACTTATCCATACCCGCTCTCCAAGTAGGTCGGTAGGCTACTACTACTACTACATCATCACCATCGTCACAACGCCTCCTCCTCCTCCACCTCCTCCTCATCCTACTCCACATCCCCCGTTCTCCGCCCACCACAACCACCACCGTAGACCCCACCTGCCCCGCCCCCCGCCCCGTCTCGTGTCCGACTCTCCCGCCACAACGATGGCGCGCACTCCCTCGATTCCCATTCCGTCGCCGGCCGGGCACACGACACACGGCTCATCGCCGTCGCCGTCCATGTCGCCGTCCATGTCCATGTCTCTGTCGCCGTCGCCATCGTCATCGCCCCGCTTCGATCCGTGGGCGCACCACCGGCGTCGGCCAAGTCTTCTCAGTACGCCCCTCCCCCCGCCCCCTTCCCCCACTTCTCCGCGGGTCTAGCTAACACCCCCACTCAATAGGCACCTCCTTCAACCGCGCTGAACACACGACCTTTGACCTTGGGATGCGGGACGGTTCGCCACGCGTGGTATATTTCCCCTCCATTCCTCCCCCTCGCCAGGAATCATGGAACCACGCAGCTGACGAGGCATGCACAGATCACGTACGTCAAGACGTCGCAGGGCTTCGACTGGAACCAGGACATCTTTCTGCCCAGCTCGTCCACTAGCGACATCACCATCCACAACGGGATAAACATGCCCGAAAAGGTCGTCGAGATCGTGCTCACGGACGAGGACCGGTTTTTGCCTTCATAACCTGGTCCGGGGGGAGGCTGTGTGTGTGTGTGTGTAGGACGGGCTGGTGCGGGCGTTTTTGTTTATCTGCTTCTGCGGTTTTGAATTGTCTTGACTTGTCTTGACTTGTGCTGTTGGTGTTTTTGATTGAGTTTTGGTTTTTGGTTTTTGGTTTTTGGTTTTTGGTTTTTGGTTTTTATATGAGCAGTTCGGATTGCTGGCTGTCCCTGCTTGCTTGCCTTCTTTCTGGTTCGTGCGGTCTTGCTTTACGGTCCTGCTTTACGGAGTTTGTTTATTTTCCCTGCTTCGGTTGTCCCCAGATCTCCTTCTCTTCTCACCTTATCTCTTAACTTCCCTCTTTCTACCTACTACCGGTATAGCCTTCACCTCTATTCTGCTTCACTGTTCTACACCCACAAGTTCGTGTACGGCTTTGCTTTCGGTTAGGTCCAGACTGTCTCCGTTGTCTCCGTTGAGTTGTTTCTACTAGAGCTCGTGGCCTAAGGCCTTGCGTTGTTGTTTTTTGAATTCTCTTCTTGGAAGTTCTTGGATCTTAGATTCTTGGAACTTGGATTCTTGGAAGACTGCAAAATAAAAACTACACTTATTTCAACTTTTGAATCATTCCTGCGGCGATTATTGCAGAGTAAAGCTAGCTTTTCCCATTCACTCTGCGGGTGTCATTCTCCTGGAGCTACAAACTCCATATAGTAGCACTCATTCACGAATCACACTTGGCCAGCGGCCAAACCCTCTTCCCTCTGTTCTACATATACCAACCCATATCATGTACTCATTCACCTAGCACCCATTCACACTCAGCACTCATTCACACTGGCAGGTTCCCGTTCACATCTAGCACCCATTCAAGAATCACACCTGGCACTCATTCACATCCAGCAGCCATTGGCATTCACACCTAGCAGGTTCTCATTCACACCTGGCACTCATTGACGCCTGGCAGGTTCCCGTTCCCACCTAACTAGAACTCATTCACACATAGCACTCATTCACACATAGCACTCATTCACACATAGCAGGCTCTCGTTCACACCTGGCAGACCTGGAATTCATTCACATCTAGCACTCACTCCGGAGCTGCGAGTGCTGAGAGTGCTCCGGCTCGGACTTCAGTCTCCGGCCGGGAGCACAGGTCGACACAGCTCAAACGATCATCACATCACATCACGACCCAGCACGCACATCACGACCCAGCACATCATCTCACAGCATAACAGCAAAAAAATGACGTCCCCCAAATCACCCCAAATCTCCCCTCATCTCATCACTGTTCGATTCTCTTTGTCTCTGTCTCTGTCTCTGTCTCTGTCTCTGTCTCTGTCTCTGTCTCTGTCTGTCTCTGTCTCTGTCTCTGTCTCTGTCTCTGTCTCCCACATACATATCCCCACACATCTCGCTCTCACATAGTATCTCCATCTCACTCGCCACCAACTCCCTACTCCCTACGCCCCATCCCCAAAACCACCCTGATAAACCATCCGTGAAACCACGCAAGAAGAGCAATCAAGAAGAGCAAACAGATTAAAACCATATACGAAAAACATACCCCCTCAGAGTACGACGACTGTTCAAAACCCCGGTGACAAAAACCAGCCAGCCAGTCAGCAGTCCGCCCCCTCACCACCGAAGTCCAGCCCAGCCCCAAACTCGAAATCGAAAAAAATACCGCCAAAACAAATTGTACATTAACCACAAAGCCGCCCCAGCCCCGCCCAGCACCCAGCAAACGGTACAAAAACCACAAATAAAAATCGAAAAGAAAAAAAAATGAATAAAAGATGAATAAAGTAAGAAAGAAAAAAGGTATCCCCATTGGTAAAATAGAAAAATGCATCGACAATTCGACATAAACGAGACGAGAATAGAACAGAAAGGACCCCACAACCCACAACCAATCACAAAACTTCCCAAACAGCTCTTACTTCTTCTTCTTCTTCTTCTTCTTCTTCTCGATTAACCTCCCCCACCGCCTATCACAAACTCGCCGCTATCCGCTCGCTTCTCGCTTCTCAAGGTATATCGTATCGCATCCGGCACCGGAAAAAAAGAAAGAGAAAAAAAAGAGAAAAAAAGCACGGCAAAACAGAACACAAGACTCCCCCAGGTAAGCAAGCAAGCAGGAAAAAAAAGGTTGAAAACAAAACGCAATCAATTGATGAAAAAAAACAAACCGCAAACCCCAACCCCGCCCACCGCCGCCGCCGCCCCGCCCTCCTTCGTACCGGTCATGGTTCGGTCAAGGTCGAGATATATTACCAGTTCTTCTTTCGTGCGAACCGCTTATTAAGGAGGGCCAGGACTTTTGGCACATTGAATTGGACGTATTCCAGATCCAGCTCGTCGTGGTTGTTCTGTTGCATCTCGAGCAGATCGTCTAGTTTGAGATCTAGCTCCAACAGTCCCCGGTTCCGGCCTGTCATATTGTCAGCCTATGCGTGTATCACACCGGAGGAGGAGTAGATAATTCCAAACCGTACCTTTGTAGTGCAGCGAAATCACAAAAGTCCCCGGCATCGGTGAAGTGATGTTGAAGAATATGTTTGCACGCCTAAGGCCATTAGCAACAGAGTAAGGCGGGTGGGGGCGTCCTCTCTGCGCGTACCGGTTGTCCGGGACATTGCTCTTCTGGATCACGCCCTCCTTCTCGAGCTGCTGGTGCGTAAACTTGTACGGACCCAGCACTTGCTGCTTCTGCTGCTTGCCCGCGTGCCGTTGTTTGCCCTCCGACTGGCTCCGCACGTTGTGCAGGTACGACTTGTACGTCTCCAGCTGCGAGACGAGGTACGCATTGTGATCCCTGATGGTCTTGTACACCTCATCGAGCTTCTTGGTCTCATCCGTGACCTTTTCCTTAAGAGACCCCAAATGGACGAGCTCCTGCTCGATCTCCTCCCGCAGGATCTGGAAATTGTCCTGGTCGGTGATCACCCCCATCTCCTGTAGCTGGTTCAGAAGCTCCAACCCCCGCATGCCCTTACGGAACATTCCCATGTCCTTCATCGTCGTGGCTGTGTCTCCGATCTTCCGCAAATTCAGTGGCCGTCTGGCCGCGGCTGATGTCGGTGGCAGCGTCCGTAGGAGTTGCACGAATATCGACTTGGCCTCCATGAAGTACACATCCTCCTGTGTGATGTCGAGCGCCGCGGACAGGTCGTCGATGTTTCCTTCCCATCGACTGAATAGTGGCAGATCAATTGCCCTGTTCTCTTTCCGAGGCACTTGCGGTGGCGCCGAACCCAACTCTTCCAACAGTATCCGCAGATGCGAGGTATCACGTCCTTGGAGCTACAGATGCGACCCACCGTCAGCCCTCCTCCTCATCACTAACCACACTAAAAATTACAGGGGGACTGACCAGCTCGGTAGAATTCTTTTCCAGCAACGCGTGCGTTGCGTACACCTCGTTAAGGGTGATGTTCAATTCGAGATCTTTCTTAGATAGCGCTACGTAATTGTCCATCTCCAGTGACTCGTAAAAGTCCCCAACCTCGCAAAGGTCGTTCAAAAACTGGTTGATCCTCGTCTTGTTGTTCGCGACGAAGGGTGCAAGCCGGGCCATGTAAGGTTCCTTCGCATAGGACGGCTTGTTCGCCAGATTCTGAAGCATTTTCGCTATCAGGGTCAATGTCCTCCTGGGATGTTCTGAAGGAACACTGTCGATCAACATGTACGATCTAGGCGTCACGATCGCCGGGTTCAGGAACCGCAAAAAGAAAAACCCGCCGATCAGGGTGCAGATGATGTGGTCCTTCGCGTCGGGGTACTTTCGTCGCGTCAAGCTCCGAATCTGCTTGCAGATCCACCGAATCCCATAGGGAGTCTCATCCAGATTCTCGATGATTGTAGCCAAAAATGTGTTTGCGATCTCCATCAGCATGGTTAATCGTGGCTCGATGATGGCCTGCACCTGGGGATTTTCGGCTGCTTGCTCCGCCGAGATGCTACGCGGCAAGTTCGCAGGCAATGCCCCCGTGTCCTCCTCCACGTTCTTGATCATCTGTTCGTACACCTTGAGCGGGTTGATCTCCAGATTAAGGTCCTTGTGCTCGATCAGATTATTGATCTGCTTCGCGAGCACCTGCTTCAAGTAACTCTGTCCGGGTCCACGACGGGTGTAGGTCGTCATCATTCGAGACACCGGCGTGTTTGCTCGCAGCAGGGAAGAATACTCGGGCGTCGTCTCGAATTGCGCCGACAGGACGGATTGGAACATCGTCAACAGGAGATGCTCCTCACGGCTCTCGTACTGGTTACCGTAGATGGTGAACATGACGGTCTGCAATAACGAATCGATCTCGGCCATGGATACGCATCGGCAAAGCGCGGCGATGTGGCGCGGCTCGGACTGCAAGAGGTAGAAGAGGTTACCGTAGGCCTGCGTCTTCTGGTCGTTCGGAAAGGTCCCTCCCTCGATCTCGCTCGACTCGTCGAAATGGCTGGCAACTTCGTTTTGCTGTTCCCATCGTCAGCATCCAAGGGCACGGTTGCACGCGGGCGTCGTTCTCGTTGCGGTCGCACAGTGAGGGGGGCAGCAGGAGACGGGTGGGCGAGCTTACCTCTTCCAATGCCATGCGATTCTGAATCAGCAATGCGATGCGAGAATCCAGGTACCTTACGTCCTTCTCCAGGACAAAGTTCTTCTTCGACTGCGATGAGATCTTCGACTTCAGGTCGCGCAATGTCTTCTGGACTGTGTTCGCACCGCCGTCAGCTCCCGCAGCCCCACCCCCGAAACGGAAACGTTTGCGCCAACCTCGTGCCAACTCGTCCTCAATTTCCAAATCTCTGTCCTGTGCCGACATGGACAGGTACAGGGCCGTAACACTGTACCGTTTCGACGCCCTGGTCGATCTCGTCGCGCCTTCGCTCGAGCCGATGGTGTTCTGTCTCGACACAGGCACGAAGCCGGACGACGTCGACGACGCGGCCGAGTTCCGAGTGGAGGGAGCGAGCATGGTGGTAACGGACATCGCGACGGGTGCGCTACAGCTGCGACCGACGTCCTTCAAGGTGTGTACTGAATGTTGCGGAATGGTGGGCAGTTGTGAGAGTGGTTGTCGTTGGGGTGTGTTTGTGGTAGGAATCGCTGCGTTGGGTGGGGAGGAGGGGGAGGGGGGGAATCGGCGCAAGGGCCCGCCGCCCGTGTTCAACGAATCCTTTTTACCGCGACGCGACGAGAAATCGAGGGATTAACAACGTTAAGATGGGAACAGCGGAATCCTCGGCCGTTGATGTAGCGGGGGGCGTGGGGAAGGGAGAAGGCTGAAGAAGATGATCGCGAGCTTGTTCTTGGGAGGGGGGGGGGGGGGGGGGGGATTTGTTTCGTCGGGGGGTCGTGGCCGTGTGGAATGATGTAGGGTGGATCCGAGGAAGGGGTTCGCTGGGCTAGGTGTGGAGGAGGTGGGTGTTTGTGAGGTGGTAGTGGCGTTGTTTAGCGGTAGCTGTGGTTGGTCGGGTTGGTCGGGTTGGATATTGTAGTGTCTGTAGCGGGTGTGGAGGTCGTTGGGGGGTAGGAGCTCGAGGACCAATGTGGCTCTGCCAACCGGAAAGCGCGATGTGGAGAAGAAGAAGAAGAAGGGAGAGTTTTGTCGTTCAAAAAAGGTACAGAGCAAGCAAGTTACTGGAGGAGGAGGAGGAGAGGAATAATAGAGTAGTGAGTTGCTTGGATAGGTAGAGCAGCAAGTAACGGGGAAGAGGGAGGGGGGGTGGGCAGCGTAGATTGGTTGATTGATGTGCGGTATCAATTCTCGGCTATTGTGTTGAGGAAGGTGTGTGTGAGTGGTTCCGCGTGGTGTGTGGGCTATCCCCCGAAAGAAGGGAAGTGCAAAGGCGCTCGGTGGAGAGCAGGTCCAGTGGAGCAGGTAGGTAGGTAAGAGCAGGTAGTTAGGTAGGAGCAGGCCGGAGCAGCAAGCTGAGGACAAGATTGGCGACAAGTCCCTGGAGAATATGTAATAGCAGCGCGCGGTATAGGGTACACGATGACGGACGATGATGATGGGGGAGAAAGTATGTAGGGAAAGCCGCCGACAAGTCGCGAAGGTCGAAAAGAGCAAGTGCGAAGGATGTCACCCGGAAGGCAAACCAGTGTCGCGGGTGTGCAGAAGTCCAAGAGCCGGCGCGGACGAGGAAAGACCCAGTTCCTTTGGGGATTCGACAGGGAATCCGAGGCAGAAGGAGAAGCAGAAGGCAGAATGGAAACGCGAGGAAGGGACGAAGAAGAAACGCGAGATGCGATGGTGCATGCAACGGAGCGCTAGCTGCTTGAGTAGCTGTGCCGGGGATGTATGTAGAGTGCTTGGTTATGCTGCCGTGTGTGCTGGGAACCAGGTAAGTAAGAAGTAGGCACTTGGGCACGTAGGACGTACCTATGTCACTATGCTCGGGATGCTCGGGATGCTATGATGTGGGTCGATGGGCTGATGGGTAATCTACTGCCCGCGGTACTCTAAGTGCAATAGGTAAGATGTATGATATGTATGACTTGGCTATACCATAGACCTGTCGAAGCTTGGATGGCGTCAGTTGGGGGAACTGAAGGAAGGAAGTAAGGAAGAAACGATGGAACGATGGAACGAACGATGGAAACCGAATGTTCTAGTGGAGGGGGATGATGGTGACGGAAGGGACGAATGAAGGTGGAGGAAGGAGGTGTTGCTGGGAGGATTCGAAACGGGAGTGGAGAGGGGAGGGGAGGGATGGCAATGACTCCGTGGAACGGCGACAATGATGATGATGGTGGTGGTAGTATCCACGGCAATGCCTGTGTAGAGTGCGTAGTCGGGCAAGGACTGGATATGGGAAGGGGAGGAGACGACAGACAACGACAACGAATGGATACCGAGGAGACGACAGACGTTGACAACGAATGGATACGGAAGAGGCAAAAGACGACGGCAATGGGACAACATCAACCCCCAGACCAAGAGACACTGACCTCGCAAGTATACACACACAATGCACACACTCACACTCACACAATGCGTCGCAACCAAGCCACCAAATCGAATGAAGGGAGGAGGAGAGAGAAAAGCACAAAACAAAAAACAAAAAGAGAGAGTGAGAAAGCGAGAGAAAATGCCACTGGTACCGCGAATATGGCGACACTGCCGAGTTCTTATGTATTTCCGAGCACTACATACAAAACCATTTACGGTACGTGCCCAAAATGCTAGTATAAAGGGATGGTAGCGATTCTACTGGATAGTTTACCAAGTACAACTGTAATTACTTGGTACCGGTAGATAAATCTTACCCAACTACTCAGGCCCTAGATGCGATACTCAACTAACGATGTCTTTGATCAGGTCTTTCTTCCGCATGGCATGGCCGTGAGGTGGACCGTTTCCCGGGGCCCGCGCTTGCAAGTACTTTGTATGTGCAAACAAACGAGTCCCTTTATTTCCCCCGGGGCGAGATCCAGAACTGTTCCTTGCATCAATCACGTATCGGGCTGCGTGGCGTTTGCGAGTGGTGGAGAGTGCATTCGACGCATTCGATTCGATTCCCCTGACCGGCCCTGCCAGCCAATTCGAGGTAGATGGGTAGTTTGATGGGTAGTTTGATGGGTGTGTTTTGTCTCTGATCCTCCGAGGGACAGACAGCCAGCCTGACTGATGGATAAGTAAGTGCTTGCAAGTGGTGACTACTAGCTTTGCAGAGGATTCCTCAGCCCAGAAACGAATGCCAGCATGCGGATGCCTGGCGGGCGGCGGTTATATACCGTGACAACATTTCCTTCCCAACAGATGCCCCCGGTACCGTATGTACATACCGTATCCCTTGGCTACCCAAGCATCTCCCATCGTCCACCAGCAGAGTGCACGCAGATGAAACTCTTCGGCTTCACTGCGATACCTACCTCCATACCTATGTCTCTAGGTACCGTACGGTACATATCAACTCAGTTCCCACCGGCGTTCTCCTCGCTCCCTCGCTCCCTCCCTTCACATGCCCAGCACCCCGGCCCCCGATCGGATCGACTTCAGGATTCACATCCTCCCCCGGAAACATTTCCGAAAATAACAGTGTCCATCCCCAGGCCCCTACCAGCAGTCACCAGCTCCAACCTACATACAGCACATACAGTTCTTACATACGTACCTGCCACATTTCCACTCCCGGGGGAAGGGGGAGGGGGAGGGGGAGGCCGGCAAGCTGTTCGAACAGGAAGGCCGTGGGGTATGTATTGTCCACAGTCCACACAGGTGCATGTGTAGAGTATGTAGAGTACACACATACACACATAGGCAGATGTGTGTGTGAATGTAAGGTACTCTACAATATCCAACCGCTTAGTTAGGCACCTGAGTACCTGGGTAGCTGGAAGCGTGAAGAACGTGCATATTCATCCACCCACTCATCCACACATCCACCCCATACATCCACCCCATTCATCGTATGATGCAGTTGGCTGGCGTTGGCGGCCGCTGCATCCAGGGAAAAAACGGGGAAGAAAAAAGAAAGGGACAGATGACATGTGTGTAGAGTGTGTAGTTGCATTCTGGGTAGCCATAACGCAGGTACTAATACGCACGGAAGGGAGCGAGGGAGCTCTGCGGTTCGTGGGCGTCTACAGGTTCTCTGCATGAGCGGTGTGCTGGGTGCGTAGAGTAGAGTGCAGCTGGTATTTCTCCGCAAAACAAAGGAGCCCACCACCACCACCACCACCACCACCACCTCCTTCTCTCCTCCACCTCCTCTCATAATCGTCAAACAGCACTCATTCAAGCCCCAGCTCCACCGTGGCTTGCGGCGGGGGCGGTGGCGGTGGACATTCTCTGACCGGGCTGACACCGTACTCTACTTTTCCACCCAGCTATGCAGAAGCGACAACACCATCCGCCGCAGGCCGCAGGTCGCAGGCTGCCGACCGACGGACTCACGAGATTGACCGAGCATGCATCGGTTAGGTAGCCTACCTGTCTAGCCCGTCTAGCCTACGTGCTGCAGTGCAGACGCAGACGGATGGCGCGAACCGACGACGACCCCTTTCCCTTTCCCTTTCCCTTTCGCTTTCGCTTTCTTTGCTTTTCCCTAGCTTTTTGCCACTGCAGGGAACTGCAGGGAAATGGGAGCTAGCAATCTGATAAGATGCAATTGATCGATGTCGATGTCGATGGCGATGGTGATCGGCGAGTGATTTTCGTCCGTCGGGAGGCCGGCTTCCACTCTTGGAGTTAGGTGTGTAGTATGTAGAGTACTCTACTGGCCGCGCAGGTTGCTTGGCATGGCATGGCGGGGCGGACGGGCGCTGGACAGCGGGAGGGAGCTATCGTACTTCCACGGGCGAGTAACAGTTCTCGCATTTGTACATAGGCTGGCGAGCGGGCAGCGTGGCAGCCGGCCAGACAGACGGGCAGACGGGCAGACGGGCAGACGGGCAGACGGGCAGACGGGCAGACGGGCAGACGGGCAGACAAACAGACGGAATCCAAGCTTCAAAGCCCACTCTACTCTATCTACATACCGGTATACGGTCATAGTAAAGCAAGTCGTTTCCCACCGCCCACCGCCCGGCAAACAAAAAAAGAAATAAAACCCTTACCGCCCAGCGCGCAGCGCGCCTGCCTGGGTCTCCCCCCCCCGTCCCCCCACGTTTCCAGGTCCCAACCTCCCTTCATCCCTCCACTATTTTCCACACACTTGGACAGCTCCACCTCCAGCGACAGACAGGCAGGCAGACAGGCAGGCAGCGAAACGTCGCGCGCGTGCCCGGTCACCGCGTGCCTGGTCTGGAGCCTGGAAGAGCTAAGCGAGACCGAGTGACGCGCACGGGCTCCGAATTGACGTATAGAGACGTTAGTAGATGTTAGCGGGCGGGGCTGTGCTGTGCAAGTCTGTGGCATGCTCAGTTGCTAGCTACGGTGGACCGTTAGCACTCTATGTAGATTCGTTAGACGAGGTGGCAGAGTAACAGAGTAGAGTACTCGGACAGTCAAACTCGCCGGCACCCAGCAATTGCTGCGGAAATAGGAATTAGGAAATGACCGTGAATCGGCCCACCACATACTTTGTATCTACCGGTAGCTACCGGTATATAGTAGGACCGGTATATAGCAGTACCGGTATATAGCAGTACCAGTATATAGTAGTACCGCCGCATCCTCCGACTCTCCGACCCTCCGAGTAGGCACTCTATGCTAGACGGCTCCCGTCCGGCCCGGATCGGCGGCGTCATGTTGTCCTGTGGTCCGAGGAGGCGGACACGAATCCGGGCTCTCCAGCTACAGCCGACGCAGGTGGCTCAGATAGCCAAAACAAAACACAAAACGCGATGCCCAGTGCCCAAGCATCACGCCGCGCAAGAAGTAGGTAGATAGTAGGTAGATCAACTATTACAAGCATTCCATCCAGCCCTCACTCGACCACAATGGGCACAGCACAGTTTTTGTTTGATTCATCATTGATTACATGCGACCTATCTCATCTCTGTGACTCGATTAACCAAACTACTGCCTTTGTACTGAGTTTGTCATTGACACGCCCAATTCAACTCCAGAAAGCTCACCAAATCAACACCATTAACATCCCGTACCCAGCAGCGGGCAAACAAAACCCCGAACTCCGTAGTGTAGTATTACTCGTTTCCCGCCAAACTTGCAGCTCTCCTACTCCCCCTCCAACTCATCCCCGACCACCCCCACCTCCTTAACAACAAATGCCTCTCCCATAACCTTCCAAGCGCGGGTCCCATGGTCCACCATTGACGAGGCCTACATCCCTAACCGTACATAGTCTTGCTCTTCTCCCAACCATCTAGGACATAGGTACCAATTCCTTGCCGCCGCCGCAGGCCCGTAGGCCCGCGGCATCAACGGTAGCGCGCAAGACGATCTCGTCAGGATCGTCGGGAGGGTTGGGCAGCTCACAAACCGGCGACGGAGAGCGAGTGCTTGTCGGCGTGTCCTCTTGCAGCGCACGGAACAACTCGGCTTTGGGCGCCGGGAGAGGCACGGTTGCTAATGCGTGCAACTTGCAGGAACGTCGTCGGCTTGCCGTTCTTCACGAGTAGCTGCCCACTGAGTAGATCATGGCAATACCCACTCATACACCCATACACGCATACGGCCACCGTTTTCACGCCACTGTCAAACACAGCTATGGACTGGGTGCACAATACAGTGCGCACAAGTGACAGGCCACGAGTGTCAGACCACGAGTGACAGTTCACGAGTGACATTCCCCGAGTGACAATCCACGAGTGACGTTCCCCGAGTGACAGTCCATGTCTCCGAATATGTGCTTATCCTCGTCCTTTCCGACCTCGTGTCAATGCCACAGCCTTTCTCGTTGGTTGACCTATCTAGATCGGTTGCGCCGCATCCGCCTCTACTCTCTCTCTTCTCCGCGGATCATTCTTTGCTGCAATGTCCAGATTCGTCGCAGTAGTAGCACTAGGGGATACCGGTAGTCTGGTCTGCAAACTCGGTGTCGTTGCGCGCGCGGGCGTGCTTACGACGGCGTCGTCCGCATTCTTCGTCGGCAGTGTGGTTGTAACTTGTCCATACTGCAGTAGATACAGAGATACACGTTTTGATCCTCCTCGCACAGAGCATTGAGCATAGTCTCCATCTCCTTGATATCGCCCTTTATAACAGCTACAAGACCATCTCTTTGCCAGCTTTTGAGACATTCCAGACATTCCAGTGCCTCCAGTGCGTCCTCACCCATGCTGCAGCGGCGATGAGAGTATGTGATTTTAGCCCCACTAAAAACTCGTTCCGGCTCTGCGTTCCGGCTCTACGCTCATGGCGGGAATGCTCAAATACCTACTCGAGGCCCATTCTGGCGAGATCTTTCTAGCTAGGTTCATGTGATTTATTCGCCGAGTACTGTACCACATTGTCGATGGAATCGCATGGAGTGACGAGTCGGTTCCTGCTGGAAAACCTCCATCATGTCTCAATGCTCAACACGTTGTACCGGTAGTGTACGGCGCTTGCAGTCCCATCTGCTATTTACCTTCGCGGCAGACAGTGCACCTGCTCCATCTGCATCAACTTCCCCTTGACGTTGCCAAGCGCTGAAGCCACTGTGGATTTATTTAGACGACGGTGGGGTAAGAGATAGAGAGCTGAAAAGGGAACACGTGATAGGTTGAAAGCGTTCTGCCCGCTAGCCACATAGTTCGACCCAAAAATTTCGGAGAGTGGCAGTCTGTCAGTCGACTGTAGTCGACTGTAGTCCGAGGCGGCAAATCTTTGGGACGGACTGAATTTAAACCGTCCTCCAATTTTATCGACTGGACTGCCGTCCGGACTGGTCTATCGCGAGCACTGAAGATTTACTCTCGACGATAGGGCGGTTCCCGAGTGTGGGTCTCCAATAGCATTAATTTCGTAGACTTTCCTGACGTGATAAAGACGCTTGGCGACGCCGTCTATGGTTATTTCAGAACGAGGTTTATCGTGGCTAAGGATGTCTATGACGTTGGAGAACTTTTGCTTGGACACGGTAGCATAGACATGACTCATGATCGCTTTGTCAGTCCGTGATCTCTTCGTCAGAGCCTTTCAGGAGACCGGGGTGCGCGGTAGACATTCAGTCGTTCGCAGTAGGTATGTACGGATGGGTTCCTTTGGTAGGGGCCTCAGCCTTCGGGAAGTGGAAACCTCTGTATAGCTGAAACGCCTTCTTCTTCGAGGGTAGATTCGAGTTCTTTACCGAAGACGATGTTGAGAACGTGGTGTGATTCGAGTAGAGCGGTTTCCAGTTGTTGTATTTCATACCGTTGCGCTTGGCGAAGGTACCAAACTCGTTGAAAACTTGGAGTACGTAGTAGGGGTGGTTGAGGTCATGTTTGTTGACATTTTGGAAGTTTGATCGGCTACGGACTCCGGAGAGGTTCGGGATACCTACTGGTACATAGAGGGTAGAAGAGGTTTGTGATAGTGGGATACATAGTAGTAGGATAGAATGGGATAGCCAGTGGAAGCGCAGAGCTGGGCTAATATGTAACCTGTTGAAGAATAGGTGATCAATGGAGATGCAGGATGATATTCGACGGAATATCTTTGAGATAGAGATCTACCTAGGTGGAAAGGATAGGGCCCTTATATAAGTTCCAAGACAAGAGATCCTCGTCCAGAAATGAGAGCAAACAGTATGACCAGAACATGAGAGAATGAGCAAACCACAAGCCGGCCAAGTAGAAGAGTAAACACCTGACAAAGGTGAACAAACGAGTGATAACTATGAAGGATGAATGAAACAAACACGTGACAATCGGACAATCCAAGAGTGACAATCCATGCTTCCCGTGTGATAGCGACTTATGTATGATCACTCGAGGCAACAGACGGAAACAGATTGGAGACAGGATGCAAACTTCACTTTCCGGCTACGAGTGCCTTGATAGCACTTCAAGCCTCGACTGAGTGATCCTATGAAAGCACCAAGCTTCTCAGACTTCCAAGAAATGCCGACACTGGCATGAACGCAATCGCGCCTAGCAACCCACACGCCGCACGCAGCACGCCGCACTACCCCCATTAGAACTAGATATCGACAGTAGGGCGGAGATCTCGGGGCTGCCGTCAAGACCTAAGAGCGCTGCGAAGGGGGCACTTAGAGCTACGTACGTGTGGGGTGGGGTGGGGTGGGATGATCGTGAAGACGAACTTCCAGGGCACATGACTGCGCAACGAGTGACCTATCCGGTCTCGTGAGGTTTCAGGAGGAGGACCGGCATAATTACAAGACAACTTGGAACAACATTTCACGACAGGATAGATACGAATTTGGCAAGTATCAGTTCATTCATATATCATGCATGTATCTATAATCCAACCATCCCCGCGCGGGAGTGGGTAGTCGTTATGTCAAGTAACAACAAGCAAACAAGCGAGGCAGCGCAGCACAAAACGGTGTTCTTTACACCAACGAGCACCCATCCAACCCATCCAACCCGAGCAAATAACAAATCCTACCCCAAAAGCCCGCCCTCATCCTCACTCTCGCTGATAACCTCATCGATGGCCTCGCTCCTCTCCGTAGTCCCCTTATTATCCGGCTCCTTCTCGCCGACGGTGATGACCGCGCGCCCCTTCGCCGCCGCGATCGCCGTCTTCCACTCCGTCCACTCCTCTTCGCTGCGGATGAGAAACGCAAACATCATGCTGGGGTCCACCTCGCGCAGGTGTAACCGCCGCAGCCGCACCGTGTGGCAGCTCTCGACGTCCGCGTCAGTGGTGCCCGTGAGGCGCGGACGCACCACGTGCGGATCTAGGTAGAAGAGGTACTCGCCCTGCACACCGACGAAGTAGTGGGAGCTTGAGGGGCGACCGCTAGGGGGTGTTAGCGAAGCTTGGGAAGGGACGAATGCCAGGCGGGTACACACCCAGCTATGCCGATGGACTGCTTCATTTGCAGAGTGGACTTGAGCGGTTCCCAATAGAGGGGGTTGATGGAGTCAACGCCGAGGCGAGTGACGATGAGTAGAAGTGTTGGCTGGAAAACGCCATCCACTATCGCCGTCCCACGGAATGTGTCTTCGTATACGTTGCCACCTTCAAAGGTCATATGCACCCGTAGTCCGGTGTTCGGGTACGCCTCTGTAAGAGCTCTGCGGAAACACCATCAGTACGCACAGGCCGGAGAGGTGGATGGGTACGCACTTTATGCACTGCGCGGTCGGCGTCGGACCGAACCACTGGCCACTGTGAATGTCGCGCAGCTCGCCTTGGTGCACGAATTTGTGGATCGAGAAGGGCGCGGATGGGTCGTCGGCAAAGAGCGCCAGGAGCTTCTTTTCTTCGTCGAGACACTGGCCCTTTCTCCATTCTGATCGCACCAAACAACGTCAACATTACTCTTGTTTCTCGACCGCAAGCTGTAGCTCGTAGAGGAAATACAGACCTCGACCGAAACGGAATACGAGCAGCGCGTTGGCCAGAACACACTGTCCCGACCGCACCATACACCCCCAACCCTGATCGCTAGTGAAGCCCTGCGAGTGCGCCGGCAGATGCGCCCGCATACTCGTCATAATCGACATTCCCTGTGTCCCTTGCGGCGAGCGCGGTATCGGTACGAAGTCGCTGCGATACGTCATCCATACGCGGCTCTCGAAGTCGTCCAGAAAGGCCCGCGGCCATGTCGACTGGATTTCGGCATCTGTGGTGGCGGCGTTGGAGGTGGTGGTGGCGGCGGCGGCGGCGGGAGGGGGTGGTGTGGGCGAGGCGTATTCCTGCCCCAGAAGCCAGATCGCGGACATGGGCTCGGTGTTTTTGGGCTCAGGATCCCACAGGTAGTTGATCTGCTGGACGACGCGCTGGAAACTGGTGTTGAGCGTGGAGAAGGACATGCTATTCATGTTCTTGGGGAACTTTCCCGCACCTGCTGCCTACTCGGGTTTGCAGAGTCGCGGGTGGGTGAGGGTGTGCCTTGTGCCTGTGGCGTGTGCGTGTCTGTGTACGTAGAGGAGAGATGGCACGGGGGTGGAGTCGAGGTGGTCGAGTTGGTGGGCGGGCGCGTGGGTTGATCTGGAGGTCTTGCGGTCTCAAGGCTTTGGCTTGGGATGTTGCTGACGTATCGGGATCGGTTTCCTTTCCTTGTGAGCTACATGCAGGATGTCCTGTGGAGTACTCAGTATACACCCTACCCCTCCGCTGTGTAGCGTACTCTACCTCCGCAGAGGGCGGGATATGTGGGGATATGGAGTAGTGGTAGGTGCTTTAAGATAGTGATAGCTGCGGGGGAGCTCACTTCGCCTCAACTCCTCGCTATGAACCACAGCAAGCAATAGCGAGGATGGTGATAGTAGGGAGCGGTTGGAAGAGCCGATAGTGGCTTGAATACGAGTAGGAAGAGGCTTTCTAGCGGAGACTGTTACTCTTGATCTCTCGTCGGCGAGTCGTGATGGTATCTGCTGCGGCGGCGAAGTGTTCGTTCGGTTGCTTGGAGACAGCTACGTGCCGCACAGCCACATACGTCAAGCTTGGAGCCACATGCACTCATCCTCACTCCAGATGAGCGCCACACTAGTAAGCTGTGTGCCACCGAAAGGCTGGTTCCCAACCAACTTCACGTCACACCCATCTCCGAGCGAGGCCTTCCTCCTTCTTTAATTCACCCCACCACGACACCCCACCACACCACAGCAACAACCAATCGTCGACGACACAACAAACCACAACTCCACTCAACTCGGCTCAGCTCAGCTCGAGAGCGTCAATAAAATGGGACGCTACAGGGGTAGAGGAAGAGGAGGTGGCAACGCTGGAGAAGGGAGTTCGCGTGGTGGCGGCGCACGAGGAGGCTACAGAGGTAGAGGCGGAGGCGGGCGTGGTCGTGGACGCGGAGGTACAGATTTCGGTGGCAGGGACAGTCAATTCCAATCTGAGGAATATCCGGGCTCGCCGGGTAGCCATGGTTTGTCTTGTCTTGCTCCCCGTAGATATAGCTGCTGATGTTTCGACAGCGTTTTCGATGCGGGAAGAGGCGCGGAATACGGAACGACACAGTTGGAGCTCGCAACTTCGAACATTGGGTCCAATCAGCTTCATCCCAGCCGGCGCACTCGACCCTGCCGACCTGTTGAAACCCCTCAATGCGGAGCCTGGTGAGGAAGTTCGCGACGAGACGATGGGTAGGGATGGACCCGCGGAGGGAATTGATTCGTCACCAACCACCACCCCGGCAGAGATTTCAACGCCTCTATCAGCCGAGAAGCAGTCAAGCGACGAGGACAAGATAGCCGGACTCGACGAGGACAAGATGGAAGGGCTCGACGTCGGTAAGCTCGATCTGGGTGGTAACGAGATGGCTGAACCGGTGGAGAAGGAATCGGAGGAGAACTTAGAATTCGTCATGGACCTTACTGGCGATACCAATGTCGTACCGAAGTTTGAGGCTCCCGTCGTGCGAGCCCCATCGCCAACTCCTTCCATCTCATCCAATACCAGTGAGAAGATTGTCTTTGTACCCAAGGGTCGACGTGGTGCCCCGCCGCCTAAGTCACAGAAGAAGACTACCAAGCCTGCTACCACCACCTTCGTCAGTCCCGAACCGTTCATCCGCACTGAACCAGTTGTTGTGACTACTACTGCCTCCACGATTGTTGTATCATCCACATCTATAGCCCTACCGCAGCTTATAGAAGCCAAGACACCAGAGCCGGAGGAAGACTTTGTCCGACTCGAATCCAAAGGCAAATTTAACAAGCGAGCCACGCAAGGGAACAAACGCCGCAAGCCGCCCAAGCGCGGTCGCGGCCTTGATGAAGCAGCCGAGGACTACATCGAGAATATCGCGGCTCAGATGCGGGAAGAAGCGTTGGCGAGTGGCGGCAATCAGCCTACCATGACAGTTAATCTTCGCGACCTCGATGTCGACGATTCCGCATGGGTCGACGACTCATCGACCGACGAGGATGAGGAAGCTTCGGACTCTGATGCTGTTCGCCGGTACAAGATTGGCTGGACGGAAGATCGGCTCGAGGACTTTGATGCCGTGAGCACCGACGACGAAGGCCCTAAGGGTGTGATCTCATCGGTTCTCCGGAAACGTTCTCGTCCCAGCGGTTTGCAGTACCTAATAAAGTGGGACGGCTACGAGACCGACGACGCCACTTGGACTCTTGCTGATATTCTTGATTCGTCGGCTGCGGCTCATATCAAGAAGTTCGAAACCTTCGTAGCTAAGCAGGCGGCACAGATGTCAGAAAGCAGCGGTTCAGACAGCTCCGATGAGGAAGATGACGAAGAAGACGAGGATGATGACGAGAACGATGAAGATCTGGATCTCAAACTTGCCCGTATGCTGCAGCGTCACGAGGAGCGGAAAATGCTGGGTATTGTTGACGATGGCTTCCCTGAGATTATGGATCTGGATGACGACTTCTTCCCTATTGGCCAGCGTCGCAAACAGAATAAGAAACGTAAATCACGTCAAGGACTGCCTGACATCACGCCCGATCCCAGGTCAGGTCATTACCCCTCCGCATCCAAGATGGCTGAAGAGTACGACGGCTTCGTCATGGATTGGGAAAGGCCATCGATCGTCAGCAAGAAGAAGGGTAAGGGAAAGATTATGCCAGATCTCAACCTATCAGACTCAGATATGGAGGCGCAGATGGCGACTTCCTGGCAGCGCGACAGAGAGAAGAAGAAGCTACGCAAGATCCAACGGGAGGAGCTGCGCGCCCAGGGAATGCTTAACTCGAAGGCCCGCAAGACTGGCCAGCCGCTGCTCGTCGAGAAGTACAAAGTGGGCATGACCATGACACAGGTGTACGAGGAGATCCGCACGTTCATGCTTCGCGGGAACGACAGGTATGTGGCCCAATCTTTCCCAATGGATCTCGACTTACCATTCGCAGTCTTGCTCTGCCTCCCATGTCGAAATTCGACCGTAAGGTTGTGCACAACCTCGCGAACAAGCTGAACCTCAAGAGCAAGAGCGTCGGCAAGGGTACCGGCCGCTTCACCACCCTTATCAAGACCAGTCGCTCTGGGGTCTTCGAGTTCGACGAGGAAGGCATCGACTCGGTCCTCCGCACCGGCCGGTTCGCAAAGCGCATGGACGTTGGATCCCGCGGCGGACGGAAAGCGCCTGGAGGCGGTGGCGGCGGTGGCGGCGGCGGTGCAAGAAGCGGCGGCTTGCGCGAGGGCATGAAGGTCGGAGCCGAGGCGCCCGCGCTCAGCGCGGACAACCGTGGCCGTCTCATGCTCGAGAAGATGGGCTACCGCTCGGGAATGACGCTGGGAGCGGTCGAGGGCCGCGGCATCAGCGAGCCCGTTATCGCTATCATGAAGATGTCGAAAGCGGGACTGTGTTAAGGCGGTACGAAGGCGATATGGCGATATGCGGGTCGAGCTGGGTAATTAAGTACGTACTTTGGTGCCATGGCGTTTACTTTGCTTGCTTAGGGAAGGTATTCTGTTCTTCTCCATTCTCTGTTGTGTGTTTTCATTCTTTGCAGGGTGTGTGGTGGTGGTGTGTTTCCTTGCGACATGGGCAGAGGAGCAAAGGAGCAGAGGATCCAGGACCATCTCAATTGTATGTCGAGGGTGTGTTTGTGATTGGACTGCGAAGAATGAAGAAAGCTGCGGAGGCGCCTGTTGGCCCTGGCCCCGCCCCCATCTGATTTTGAGTTTCCAACGCGTGCAAGTGCGGAGTTCTTTTGTCACTCGACGGTAGACTGCGGAGCTCATCGTGCAAAATCTTACATACCAGCTGTGAAATGCAATCAATGAGTAAACAAACAAACAAAAACCATAAAGCTACGAGCTGTGTTACGTGACCCCTGCGGCCCTACCGAGCTGGCGTTCAATTAGAGTACACGTAAGGGGTCTAATGTAGAATCTAGATATATGCTGTAGGTTCACCGCGTGGTATCTGCGTTTCATAGCACGTAGATTATTACTGGAAGTATGGTAGATGACGAAAGAATATGGAAGCGAAAGTATCACGGCAGAATGATGGCCGGTGATTCCGCAATTCTTTACATAGCATTCTCCGCCCTATATACTATGCATAGTACATGTACAAAACCTCTCCCCAGCACCCACCATTCATATGTACTCATCACCAGTCAGTCAGGCTCCTATGCATACCTCATACTCACCGCAGCACTAGGTACAATCTGGGGTGTATGTAGCGGCCGCGTAATCCACCGTCTCTCCAACCGAGCAGACTCTTCTTCTACATACCCACCCTAGGTCTGCCAGCTGCTGTGTAGCTGGCAACCCACTTCAATATCAACTCGTGGGCCGCTCCGATGAAGCGGGAGTCTATGAATGTGTGGCATCGGTCCGCGAGTGGATTTGCTTCGCCATGTGGATGAGGCTAGTATGTAGGAGAAGATGGCCCGTTGCTACTAGTAGTAGTTATGTAGTAGCTTGATCTATGTAGGTTGCAGACTTGCAGTGTCGACAATGAATACCAACGCCAGACTACCACATCTGCGGAGAGAGGCACGCAATCATCAATGAGTACTTAAACCTGAGGAAGCCATGCTCACCGTGTTTCTCCCCGGTGAGTCGGCTGTTTCGAAAACGGGGAATGCCTTGAGATCCACTAGGTAAGGCAATGGGTAGGCTAGGTACCGGTAGCTACCAATGTACTATATATAGTGAACCATACAGCTCTGGTGCTCTCCCCTCTTGTAAGTCTTCAAGTGGGTCCCCAATACACGCCCTCTTGCTGAAGAGTGGCATCAATTGCCCGGTTTCTGTTACTCACCACGCTGCCCTGTTCCGGTGGTGCTTTGGAGCACAAGCCGGAAGCTTTGAAGCTTTCGTATAACCCGCGGACTCTGTGGTCAACATGTGAGACACTCGAACCCACGGGAAATTACCGCCAGTTGGTTAGTCTGTACCGGACCGACCCCTATTAAACGTTAAACTGGACCCGTCCTTCGTCCAAGCTCCCGTCCCGCCGCACACCTAGAAATACCTACACACTATCTCCCCCGCCCATGCCTCCACCACCGAAACCATGGCCCGCATCCGCGATCGACACCACCGCCTCCTCGTCCTCTGCACCGTGACTCTCCTCCTCGTCTTCTACTTCCATTCACACACTACCCCAGCACCACCACCACCACCACCACCACCACCACCGCTGCCCCTCCCCCAGGGCCGCATCCTCATAGCTTCCAATCACTGGAACTCCGCAAAGATCCTACCCGTGTGGTCCGCCGCGGTCCTCTCGCTCATCGAGCACCTCGGCGCCGAGAATGTCTACTTCAGCCTGTACGAGTCAGGGTCATGGGACAACACCAAGTCGCAGCTGCGGGCGCTCGACCACTCGCTCGGCCAGCTCGGTGTGCCACGGTCCATCATCCTCGACGAGGTCACCCACGCGGAGGAGATATCGCGTCCGCGTGGCCTCAACGAGCCAGGCTGGCTCTTCAACCGCGCCTCAGCTCGCTGGGAGCTGCGACGGATCCCGTACCTCGCGCGCCTGCGCAACCTGGTGCTCTCGCCGCTGCAGGACCCGGCGATCACCAACGCCACCCACAGCTTCAGCCGGATCCTCTTCCTCAACGACGTGGTATTCACCGCCGCTGACGCCCTCACCCTCCTGAACACCCGCGACGGCAACTACGCCGCCGCTTGCGCGCTCGACTTCCGCTACGCTAGAGAGTTCTACGATACCTTTGCGCTGCGCGATAGCAAGGGCCGCCCCGCTGTCTCCCAGCGTTGGCCGTACTTCGGCGCGGGACTGTCGCGCCGTCTGCTCGCCGCGGGGGCACCAGAGGTGCCCGTCAGCTCGTGCTGGAACGGCATGGTCGCCTTCGATGCCCGGCCGTTCTTGGGGGCCGGGGGGCTCAGGTTTCGCGGGGTGGACGACGCGCTGGCGGAGTTGCACGTCGAGGGGAGTGAGTGCTGTCTTGTGCACTACGATAACCCGTTGACGAGGGAGAAGGGCAGGGGCGTGTGGGTCAATACGCAAGTGAGGGTCGGGTACACCGTAGAGGCGTATGAAGGCACCAGGAACTGGCCGACGTGGCGCGAGAGGGCGTGGGGGTGGGTGACGGCGCTGGTGACCGGCGTGCTGGGACTGCCGTGGAGGGACGGGAGGATCGCGAGGAGGCTGCAGAGCTGGGGCGGTACCGAGGTCGGTGCGGATTGTCTGATCGATGAGATGCAGGTGCTGAGGAGTAATGGGTGGAAACACTTGTAGGCTGGGGGTTGGTTGTCGTTACCAGTAGACGGCTCTGATGGCCCAGCGAGGGAATGGGAACGTTGCCCTTTATAGTAGGCGACGCTTTGCAATAGCACCTGCCACAAGAATCAAGATTCACTGTAACATACTGATGTTGTATCCTTAGCCTGAATGTCATTACCTACTCTACATGGCAACCGGCTTTGTAGATTGACTGCCGTGATCTACGGAAGGTGGAATGCAGCGGTGATTAGTTAACCAATAAAACAGGATATTACTCTGCATGGAGTTCGATGATCGAGTGATATATAAGGCATGCTACTTGCAATACCTACTGCACCACGGGTATATTGCACATCCAGTGACCAGACATCCGTCAACTGGCTTCACGGACGATGGACGAGGCATTCGACGGACCCACACACACAACACAAGGAAGAGTATGTAGAGTATAACAAACCCTATCCAAGCGCTAGTTACGCCCATAAAAAGCAAAGAGTAGGTAAAAGAATCCAGTAGGTAGTCAACACAATCCTTCGAGCCCTCTCAGTCATTCCTCCCACTTCCCATTCTCGAGTTTTCGATGAAACCCTCTTAGAATCTGAATCCGAATGCGGTAATTCACGATGCACGTGGTTCCAGTACTCGAGTAGTAAACGAGCACACAGCAGCGGGAAAGTGTTTGGGTAGGTAGGGCACGACAACGACCAACTGGTCCGTGCCCTTCGACGACCTTCTATGGGCTCCCTTCCAAGCGTTAGGGTTGCGATTTCTTGCCTGCACGATCTCTGGCTTCACGCCCCCACAATGCAACACAAAACCCCAACGACACATCGATACAACTTCTTCTCTTCTCATCTTGTCATCTTCTCATCTTCTCATCAGCTTCTTCTCATCTTCACAACACAACCATAATACAACCGCGATACAACCCAATACGACCACTACCACCTCGAAAACAACCTACCCGATCCTGCACTCGCTGGAACCTATTCCACCAAGGCGATGTTGCCGATGAACACCGGCGTTTCCCGCCGGTGCGAACGATACGCGGTGGGAGTGGGCTGTGGCCACAACCCACCATGGTGTTCTTCGTACCCCTCCGCCGAGGGAAGAAGGGAGAAGAAAAGACAAACAGCGAGGAACCTGGAAATCTCCAGCAGTCTCCTCGCGCGAGCTGGGCTGGCGCGCGGGAGCGGAAGATGAAGCGGGGCGACCAGATGGTCGCCCGATAGCTCCTCTTCGGAGGAGAAGTCGATCGTCAGGTACCTCCGCAGTATGCTTCCCTCCATTGTTTGTGTCTGCGAACTGTGCTGACTTCTATAGGATGTAGGGTGGGGGTCGCCGGCTTCCCAGCAGACGTGGACCGTCTGCTGGTTATCCCGGTGGTATCAAAACTGGTCCACCGGCGGCGGGGGTCTGCTGGGTAGATACCCCCGAAGACGTTGATCGTCTTCGGGGGGTCTGCCGGGTGCCCTGGTAGTCGACGAGTCCTCCTACCCAGGTAGAGGCGTCGATGATGGTGACACTGGTTCACCTGTGCTGGTGCGGGCGGCCGGGATTTGAAACGGAAGAACCTACGGACTGCCCGGCAGAGTAGGAACCAGGAAGCGTAAGTGGCAGGCAAAGATTTGAACCGACCGTGGTGATGTTGCTATGGATTACAGTGCAGGTGCTGATTTGGTGTGAGAAACGTCTAGGACGGCGATCTATGACCACTACCACTGGTGCGGGTCTCTGCGCTGGAGCTTGCGGAACGGTGATAGGACACCCATTGGGGCGGCTGGATTCTAAAGTCAAGGAGCCATAGAACTAGAACGGCGAGAATCCCAAGCCCACCGCGCGGATACCGTCACGAGCCGATCGATGCAGCTGGGCTGGTGTTCCGGTTGCCGCACAGCATTCTACTAAGAGCTTATGTACGAGTTGACCAACTACATAACCGGTGGAATTCACAGCTACGCCAACGAATCGGCCCAGCGCTGCGTGGCCGGCGGTGGTGGCGGAGCCAGTGAGACGCGGTGGGTCGGAGGAACCTGGAAATCTCCAGAAGTCTCGCCATTCCAGCTGGGCTGGAGTGCCGGTTGCTGCGCAACCGGAGGTCCTACGGGACCGGCACTTCCGCGCGGGCGCGGAAGACGAAGCGCGTGGGAAGAAGGGCTAGGGAGAAAAAATGGGAAGAAGGGCTAGGGAGAAAAAATGGGAAGGAGGATATGAGTCTCCTTCTGTGGAGGAAGACGAATCTAAAAACTGGGAGGAGGAGGTGGAGGAGTTGAGGAGGATGGTGGGGATGAGTGATAAGTTGATAACCATCGATCGGGCCAGTAGGGCAATAGGGAGAGCCGCATAGCTAGACTCGCGGACGGAGTAGGGTTGGTTGTGTAGTTGGTGTTCGCCGTAGTCTACAAAGGCTCATAGATGCGAAATAAAATTGATGACCGCCCCCAGATGGTCGCCCAGCGGCTCCTCTGAGGAGGAGAAACCGTTCATCGCATATCTCCCCAGTATGCTTCCCTCTAATATTTTCGTCCGTGAACTATACTGACTTCCATGGAATGTTTTCTACGGGGCGTTGACCGGCTACCCAGCAGACGTGGACCAAGTCAACGAGCTCTTAGACATACCTGGGTGGAGGCGTCGACAATGGTGACAAGTTCACCTGTGCTGGTGTAGGCGGCTTATACACCGATCTAATCTCCATGGCTTATCCTATGTCCAGCATGCTGCCGGAATCCTACCTACTCCACACGGCCTCGGGCCATGAGTTGTTTTTCCTCGACTCTCATGGCGCGTCACTGCTTATCACTCATGTATAAAAACATCCAAGGGCCAATACCAACTTGACCCTTGATGTTCGCCATAGTCCAGATAGGCTGCATGCGACAATAAATTGATGTTCTCTCTCTCTTAGTACACTCACTATCACTCTTCCCATTCGATCCTCACTATTACATAGAGGCACAAATACCATCACTTCTTCTTCCTCAAAACCCTCCCTCCATCCGGGGTAGGTATCTGCAATGCCGTAGCAGTCAACGTTTTCCTTACCGACACGTTTTTATGTCGTCTCCGCTCAGTTCCATCCTCCATGGCCGAGGATTCGCACGGACGTTCTTCACCAGACCATACAAAGAGAGCAAGGATTTGAGAGGTACATAACATGAAGGAGTGAAGAGATAATGGGCCATCGTTGCATTCTATCAAGGGAACTAGCTAGGACGGGAGATAAGCTCCACGCCCACTAACTAGTGTGCACAACAACCCATTTCTGCGCCAAACCGAACCACAACAAACAACAAACAACAAACTCACTCCTTGAGGGCAGGGGCGGGGGCGGGTACACCCTTCGCGGCCGGAGTCTTCCTCTTGTACGTACGCTTGGGCTTTGAACCCTCAGCGACAGAAGCACCTGCTGCATCAACAGCAGGTGTCTTCCGCTTGTAGACGCGCTTAGGCTTCGGCTCCTCCGCCCCCTCGAGACCCGCCTCGGCGGTCTTCCTCTTCGTATACTTGCGCTTGGGTTTGGGCTTTTGCTCCTCGGCGATAGGAGCAAGCCCGACCTCAGGAGCAGGTTCGGCTTCAGGAGCAGCAGTCTTCCTCTTGTAAACGCGCTTGGGCTTCGGCTCCTCCGCCCCCTCGAGACCCGCCTCGGCGGTCTTCCTCTTCGTATACTTGCGCTTAGGCTTTATAGCCTCTGCAGCAGTAGGAGGGCGAGAGGAACCAGCACCGGCATCCCCGGCAACGCCGGCTTCTGCGGATGCGCCCACCTCCACAACACGAGTGCTAGGAGGATCCGGGTTCACCACAATAGGCGAACCCTTCGCAACAGACTCGGACTGCACAATAGGTGCTTTGGGAGTATTCGGCTTTGTCGCAAGGGAATCGGCCTCCACAGTAGCATCGGCTCCCACCGCAGGAGTGCCGGCAAGGATCGGGGCAGAATCGGCGAGCGTAGGCATCTTCGCGACGGCGGAAGTCTTGTTGTATTTCGCCGGGGATTCCGCCCCGGGTGACTGACTCCGTTTCCGCTTCCGCAAGGCAGAAAGGACGTTGACGTTGGTACTGCCTATGATTAGATCGTCAGTTGAACCGCCTTCATTTGAATCGGCCCCGACGGTGGATACCTGTATTGATGCTGTCCTTGATGGACGACAGGCCTTCAATCATATCGTTCCCGACAGTGTCAAACACGTTGTCCACGATAGAGGCATAGCTCTCGATCGCTCTGCCTCCAGTGGTGGCCGTTTCCTTCATGGTGGTTGCCTCGGTTCTGACAGACTTGGTCTCGGAATTGGCCATCTCGGAATTGCTCATCTCGGAATTGGCAGTCTTGTTGATGTCCTTAATGGACAGCGGGCCTTCGATTATATCGTTCCTGACAGTGCCAGACACGTTGTCCATGATAGAGGCGTAGCTCTCGATCGCTCTGTCTCCAGTGGTAGCCGTTTCCTTCATGGTAGGTACCATCCTCCTCTTTAGGTTCGCCGCCTCCAACTTCTCCCGAGCAGCAGCCAGCTCCTTTTGCATCTTCTCTATTTCCGCAGCCATCTCCTTTTCTTCCTGATTAGTATACTGAAAACCATTCTCCTCCTCCTTTACAGCCCCCATCTGCTTCTCCTTCTCCTTCTCCTTGAAAGGAAAAACAACATTCATAACCTTCTCCTTTATAGCTCTCATCTGCTTATCTTCCTCTCCTTCTTTATAGGCATCATAAAATTCATGACCTCCTTCACCCTTTCAACAGTCCGAGAATTTTTTAATTTTCGCGCCTAGCGATCAACTTCCATTTCTACGGACCCTTGCAACACATCCTTCACCTCCGCCATCTCGGCAACCTCCTTGAGCATCTTGCGCTGCAAAGCTATGCGCTCTTCAAGCGCCTTCTCAGCTTCGTACTGTTCCTCGAGGGTCTTTTCGACCGACGGTAGGTTGGCGATCAGCTCGCGCGCCTTGTTCAGGTTGAGAAGGATGTGGTTCGACTCGCGGATGATGTCCTTCGGGTCCAGTTCGTCGCTGAAGACTCGGTTGATCAACGCGGCCATGTCGGGGATAAAGTCGAACGCGTTGGGTGGGATCTGGACACCCCCGAGGCTGTCAGAATTACCGGTAGGCTTGGGATTGGACATTGTGTGCGATGTGATCGTCGTGGGAATTGTGGTGTGGCCGGTAGATGAGGTCGTGTTGAGGGTCGTGGTTGTAGAGGATTGCCGAAGAGGATCGAGTGTAAAGAGGCGTAGTTGTAGATCGTGTTTTATTCGCGAAGGTTGTACGTTTCTCGAAAGTGGTTGTATCTCAAAAGGTTTGGTAAAGAAGAAGAAGAAGAGTGGGATGAAGCTCGGCGGGTCGTTGTGAGCTCCACTAGCGCTAGCGTGCTTTCTTGGCCGCCCTCACCCCCACCACCCCACCAAGTCGAATCGCCAGGGCAAGTGAGGCATCTCAGCCTTGGTGAGGAGAATCTAATCTATCGCTCTACAAAGTGGTACAGATGTCGGAAGATTCGGAACGCGCGGTGAATTCCCGGCACCGGTGCGCGCGATTGACGCACGCCCAACCGAGGAGAGATGTCATTGGTCTCGTCCCGAGATATTACCGCCCTTCCTTATTTTGGCTCCCCTCGGGTATCTCTGATCAGATCAGGACGGGAGCCAGAATTTCGTTCGTCGTAGATTTCCCGGCGAGTCCTCTTCAGAAGAAGCAGGAGAAGACGGCGAATCATAGTAAAAGCCCTCGCCGAGAAGAAATCGAACCGTCTATTACGTAGCGCGATAGCAATCTCCCTCACATCATCGATTTGGCCAGGGCCCCACCAAACGATGTCATGGATTATTGTTGAGTTGAAACAACCCCGCCATCCATCATCCCACATTGCAAACCTCCCACCACTGCCACCCGCCGCTTCCGCAGAACTACTGTCTGCATAGTGAGATAAAGGATAGACCGATAGATTGCCTCCTTTCTGCGCCTTTAAAACCTAGCCCGTGCCTCCCATTCTTCGACTCTTCTTCTTCAGCGATTAGATTTCGAATTCTTCTTTCCATTCCGCGCATAAAATGGTTGACCACAAGGCTGCTCTGAGTATGCCCCTCATTTTACTGACCCTCACAGACGACAGGAGTGCTAATCCATCGTAGTTGTCATCGACGGCTGGGGCGTTGCATCCACGCCCAACCAGCCCGGCGATGCTATCTCTGCCGCCGAGACCCCCGTGATGGATTCCTTCCGTACGACGTCCGGCTACTCCGAGCTCGAGGCATCCTCCCTCGCTGTCGGTCTCCCGGAGGGCCTCATGGGCAACAGCGAAGTCGGCCACTTGAACATCGGCGCCGGACGTGTCGTTTGGCAAGATGTTGTGCGCATCGATCAGACCATGAAGCAGGGAGACTTCATCAACACCGAGAACCTGCGCGCGTCGTTCCAGCACGCGAAGGACGGGAATGGACGCCTCCACCTCCTCGGACTGATCTCTGACGGCGGTGTCCACTCCCACAATGCTCATCTTTACGAGCTGCTTAGGACGGCGAAGAAGATGGAGATTCCGAGCGTGTACATTCACTTCTTTGGTGATGGTCGTGATACCGACCCCAAGAGCTCGGCGAGATATATGCAGGAGCTTTTGGATAAGATCAAGGAATTGGAGATGGAGGGTGTTGCGAAAATCGCGACTGTTGTTGGAAGGTGAGTGTCCCGTTTGTGGATGGGAGGCCCTTTGATACTGATTCGTTTTATATAGGTACTATGCTATGGACAGAGATAAGCGGTGGGACCGCGTTCAGATCGCTCTGAAGGGTCTCGTCTCCGGGGAGGGAGTAGCCTCTGAGGATCCCCTGGCAACGATCAAGGAGAAATACGAACAGGGCGAGAACGATGAGTTCTTCAAGCCCATCATCGTCAACGGTGATGATGGAAGACTCAAGGGTTTGTCTGAAGTACCCTTAACTGTTATCACCATACTGACGAAGCCATATAGACAACGACACCTGCTTCTTCTTCAACTACCGCGCTGACCGTGTCCGCGAGATCACCCTCCTTCTCGGCGTCGATAGTTCCTACCTCCCCGACAGCGAGTTCACCCTTCCCAAGAATCTGCACATCACGACCATGACGCAGTACAAAGCCGACTACCCATTCAGTGTTGCCTTCCCTCCCCAGCGTATGGATGATGTTCTCGCCGAATGTCTGGCCAAGCAGGGTGCAAGCCAGTGCCACATCGCCGAGACCGAGAAGTACGCGCATGTCACGTTCTTCTTCAACGGTGGTGTCGAGAAGCAGTTCGAGAACGAGATCAGAGATATGATCTCGTCTCCTCGTGTCGCTACCTACGATCTGCAGCCGGAGATGAGCGCCCAGAAGGTCGCTGACAAGATGGCTGAGCGTATTGGCGAGAATTCGTTCGACCTCGTCATGAACAACTTTGCTCCTCCTGTAAGCCCACCTTCCCCGTCACTTTATTCCTACCAACTAACAAACTCAGGACATGGTTGGTCACACTGGAGTCTACGACGCTGCTGTCATCGCCGTCGCTGCTACCGACAAGGCGATTGGAACCGTCCTCGAGGCTTGCAAGCAGCACGGCTACGTCCTCTTCATCACAGCTGACCACGGCAACGCCGAGGAGATGCTGAACGAGGAGGGCAAGCCGAAGACTGCACACACAGTCAACAAGGTTCCGTTCGTGATGGCGAATGCTCCCGAGGGCTGGAGTCTGGATAAGAAGGGCGGTGTCCTCGGTGATGTTGCGCCAACCCTGCTGGCAGTTATGGGATTGACCCAGCCGGAGGCTATGACTGGAAGGAGCTTGCTGGTTAAGGCTTAGACGGTTAGACATGTATTGTTTTGGTGGTTAGACATGTATTGTTTTGGTAGACGGGCGTGGGAAAATAAACAAGGAGCGTGTTTCGTCATCTGTCGATTGCACCAATCCGTCGTCACGAAATTGCTTCAATGAGATCAAGTGAATTTACATGAGATTCCAAAACTATACGCCAATCCCATAGCCTAAAACCCGCGGACACAGTATCGAAGCAGCGAGAAACCCAAAAACAAATACCAAATTTCTAAGTGTAAACGCAAGAAAATGAAGCATATCCTACACCATGGATCCCTCATCCCCCCATCTCACAACTTCTCACCGTTCTCCTCCTTCACCCCCGCATCCCCGAACTCAAAAAGATACGGATCACTCTCGAACTTCTTATACGTCTCCCTCTTGAGGCTCTCCAGCCCAACACGGATGTCCGTTTTGATGTCCTCAATAAGCGCATCCTTAGAGACGTAGTCCAGCTCGGGTCTAATCCACCCAAGCACCAGTAGCCGCATCTCAACGCCGTAGAAGTCCTCCGCAAAGTCGTGGATGATATGCACCTCGACGCTGCGGACGGCGTTCCTGTAGAATGGATTCCAACCGATCGACATGACCATTGGAAATACCTTCGGCCGCGTATCGGTGGCGGGAAGATTGAGCGATGCGAGGCCGAAGTACACGCCCGACTCGATTTCGGAGCACCCGCCGACCGACAGGCCGGAGATGGGAATGTTGGCGGTCGGGATCTGCAGCTCCTTGGAGCCTCGGCCGAAGCCTTTGATTACGGGCCCGGAGAGGCGCAGCGGGAAGGGAGACTCGGGGCCGAATTCGGGGCCGGCGACGGTGGGGCGGGGGGCGCGGACGGTCATGGTTTTCTGTGTGGTGGTAGGTGTTGACGCGGGGGAAACAGACTATCGTATATGAGCTCTTCTGTGGTCCTTATAAATGCGATCGTAAGTCGGGGCCTAGAGGGCCCCCCCATGCCGAGACGCGCATTGAATGATCACCTAATTCCTCCGAGGCCGAGCAGGGCGGGTGAGGCTCAAAATGCGGGGTGGGCCGGGCGGCAGAAAACGAACCTTTCCTTCTATGGTGGCAATCAACCCAACTAAGGGCTAAGCCCTCGCCGATAAATGAAGATTTGGTGTTAGTGAAACCGCACCTTCACCAACAACCGCGACAGTCTTCAACCACCAAACGAGCAGCCCCGCCAGTATCAAGAACCCGCCCACCTTGATCGCAAACACGCACGCTCAAAAGACGAGATGACGACCCAGCCCATACCCGCCGAATCGAGACCAGAGCACATCGATGGCATTCTTGCCGGTCTCGATAGATACAACCCCGAGACGGTCTCAACGTTCCAGGACTACGTGCAGTTCCAGTGCGAGAACCGGACGTACGATGCGTTGGCGAATCTGGCGCTGTTGAAGCTGTGAGTTTTGGACGCTCTCTTTTCCGTTGTGTAGATTTGAAGATATGGGAGACGGAGGGGTGGATCCGGGAGTGCGGGGTCAAATGATGAGCATCACGTCAACGTTTCCTATTACCTGAACGAGGGAGTAACGCCCCTTGCAACATGAAGCGAACTGTTTTCTCTGATTGGGAGCTTTGATATGTCAAAATTCATCTTCTATGAGCTGTTCGTTGGAAAGCGAAGGATCTCATGCTGACCATGGATTGCCGCGCAAAACCTACAGCTACCAGTTCAACCCCCACCTCACCAAAGAAGAGACCATCACCAACATCCTCGTAAAAGCGCTTACCATCTTCCCGTCACCGGACTTCAGCCTGTGCCTCCACCTTCTGCCGCCAAACATCCTCGACCCCAAGACGGCGACCGATGCGCTCTCCGAGGCCGTCCGTAAGCTCGCCCAGCTGAACGAGCTGATCGAGTCCGGCGCCTACCGCGAGTTCTGGACCGCCTTCGAAAACGAGGACCTGTTTGCCGATCTCATCGTCGACTGCGCCGGCTTCGAGGACATCATGCGTGATGGAATCGCCCTGCAGACAAGCATGATCGCCCGCGAAGTCAAGAAGGATATTGCCCAGGGTTGGCTTAACGTCAACGAGGACAATCTGGCGGAGGTTGTCGGCCAATACGGCTGGACCCTCGAGGACGACGTCGTCAAGGTCCCACTTAATAAGGAGAACGAGGCGAAGACGACTGTGTTCCGCGAGAACGTTGCTTTTAACCGTAGGTTGTCCCCTTCGTCTTGCGCGGATTGAGCTGATAGAACTGGTGTGCAGAGTTCCAGAATGTCATCAGGCGCGGCTTCGAACAGGCGGTTTAAAACTATCGTCACAGCGACACGCGAGCGATGTTTTGTGTTGGAATTGGGGTCGTCGATATCAGGCATTGTACATAGTACTTCTTAGTTTCCTTGGGCGGGAAAAGCAACAGCCATTGCGCACGTGCGAAGTAGGGGACGGGCTCGATATCCACAGACAAAAAAGGGCTTCTTTGTTGGAGTTGGGGAGTTCTTTACATACTTTTTACTGGGCTGGAAAAAAAGGAATGGAGGATTTACTCAATCTCGTATTCGTTCGTGAGGCTGTGCTTGCGCGGAGGGATAGGTTGTATTCGATGTCTCAGAATGGTGACGGTGATGCTACAAGACTCATCGTGATGATATCACCACCTCAGCCATCACAGCCCACGGGTGAGAGCTTTAAGTCCCCCACCACCCCGCAATGTAGATAGTCCAGCACCGCATGCGGCAAACCACGCATAATGTCCACCGATGCCACCACCGCCAATAGCAACTTCGCAATTCTACGCGAATGCATGTCCGCGCCGATAATCCTTCGTGCCGCGCCGCCCGACGCGTCCAGCGGCGGCGCCGGCAAGAAGCGGACCAAACACAAGCCCGTCTCCGACCCCATCAGCGTCGGCAACGGGGATGACGCGGAGGAGCTCGCGGAGTTTATCGACGTACGCTTCCCCCCCGCCTTCCTCCCCATCGACGACGTCTGAGAGACACTGACGAAGTCTTAGTACCTAAGCACGGAGCTATTCAGCTCGCTGCCTCCGCCGCTACAGACCATGAGCCACTCCTCGCCCGCGTCTTTGCCAACGCCCAACTTCCCGCCGACGCTGCTGGACACGCTGGAGTCATACTCGCTCGTCGGCAGCGCATCATCGGGCACCACGCTGCTGCAGAGCATACTCGACGAGTACGTGGCGGCGGCGCAAGCACCACCACCGGTATGGAGCCACACACGCGCCACGGAGTGCGAGATCTGTGAGCGCGACGTGCCGCTGACCTACCATCACCTCATCCCGAGGGAGGTGCATAAGAAGGTCATCAAGCGCGGCTGGCATAACGAGGATATGCTCGGCTCCGTCGCCTGGCTGTGTAGGCCTTGCCATAGTATGGTGCATAGGATCGCGACGAATGAGGAGCTCGCGAGGAGCTTTCATACTGTCGAGTTGTTGGTTGAGAGGGAGGATGTGAAGAAGTGGGCTACTTGGGTGGGGAGGCAGAAGTGGGGGGTTAGGAGGGGTTAGGAGGGGGTAGGGGGCGGTTTTGGGTTGGATTGCGGATGAGTGGGGATGGGAGAATTGGAGGGCATTCACAGTTAAGTGCTATCGAAACAGAAATTCACGAGAAAAGCTGAGGTTCCCAGTGAGTCATGCAGAACTCGGGATGGCCCGATATTGTCACCTTGATGCTAGAAGTAAAATCGATTCATATAATACACTACGTTTTACAAGCTATGATACACTTAACGGAAAGTTGCCTTTTCCTCTTTCTACAAGGCCTTCATAAACACTGCCGAGTTCCCACGTCCACAAACGACCGTCTGCGCCGTTTTCTTTCCATCCTTCGTCTTCCCATGGCTCGCGATCTGGAATCTGTGTACCTGTTCGCCGCCGGTAATCCTCGCACTCTCCGTATCTCCCGCACCGCCAATGATACCACTCTGTCTTGCGCTCTCACCACGACTGCTGCTACCCGTGAACGCCTTAGTATCCGCGAGTATCGTAGCGGGAACACCGTCCAGCGGCTGGATATACACGGGGACACTGGAGTTATTCCTCTTGCCTGTGCCGAGCTGGTAGAACTCGTTATTGCCCCACAGCAGGACGTCGGCACCGAAATCTGAAGTAGCGGAGGTCGACATGATTGCTGCGGCGTGGGTGGCGCCTGCAAGGAGCGCGCTGAGGCGGATCGGTTCGGTGGATTGCGTGGTCTCGTTGAACTCGTAAAGGTTGCTGAGCGCCTTGATCTTCGTGGGCGTGCCCTGCATGTGCGTCCAGCGGCCATTGCCGAGGTTTCCGTAGATACCGGTGCCGCAGGAGAGGACTTCGCTCGAGGTACGGTTGTTGGCGGCGGTGACGTCAACCTGCAGATAGGTGTTCAGGCCGCCGGCGGTGATGGAGGTGATCTTTGCGGTGGTGGATTTGGCGGGGTAGAGGGGCGTAAGGGTGAGCTGTGTGGGGACGTCGTAGATGTTGGTCTCGGGGTTGTATTCAAAGCCGAGCTGGCCGTGGACGTTGTCACCGAAGGTGAAGACCTCGCCGGTGGTGGAGAGAGCGGCGGAGTGGTAGTCGCCAGCGGCGATCTGGGAGATCTTATGCAAGCCCAGGGAGGTGATCTCCTGGAGGGTGTCGGCGGGCTTGCCGGCTGGCCGGGTTTCCCAACGGAGCCCGGGAATTCCCATTTGGCCGCGCGAAGGGTAGATGAATGCAGCGGCCGAGGAAAAGACGCGGCCGTTGGAGGTAAGGACTAGAAGGTGCTCGCGGCCAGCAGCAATGTCCTTGATAGTCTCGAAGTAGCCGAGCTCGGGCTTCAGAACGCGGTAGGCGATGTCGGAAGTGGAGCTCATTCCAGGTATCCAGGACGATTCGGTGACCTTCGTGCCGTCGTGCTGGAGCGCTTTGGCAATGGGGAAGGTGTAGATTGTCTTGTCTTTAGACAGGGCGATGACTTTGTCTTTGGTCAGAACAACCCGCTCGATGTTTTTGCCTTTGAGGGTGGGCTCTGGTGTTTGGATTCCAGTGGAGTAGCCATTGCCCCACTGCAGGACATCTCCCTTGTCGTTGACGGCCACTGCTCGGCTTAGTGTCTGCAATTAGGTCCTACAGCAGAACGAGGATACATACCACCAGCATCTTGACCCAACTGAAGATCTCTCAAGAGGATACCATCAAAGAACGGCAGTCGTCGAGGAGTCTTGATAACCTTCTCCTTCGAATCCGATGCAATCACCTTACCACTGGACACCGTCAGAGGTCGAACTCAAGAGCCACAATTGGCCTCTCACCTATTATCGCCCCAAGCATAGACTCCAGGATTCGCGAGCGCACTCTCAACTTGCAGATGCTGCAAACTGAGATTCATCGTCTGCTCCCCAGGAGCAGTACGTGCTTCTGCATGGACATCACCGCCGATCTCGAGTCCCTGGTATGCTACGAAGCCCGCGAGCGTTCCGGCAGCAGCTGCAACCAGAAATTTTGTGTTCGTCCGAGTCGTATTCTGTGCCTGAGCATGCAGCCATCGTCGAGCGCTAGAGGCCTGTGGACGGAGGAGGGATCGGGAGGACAGTGCCAGTGTCCGGATGGCGGACGGGTTGGGCTTAAACATTTTGATTGCTCCTAAAGGAGGAATTAGGCCTGAGTTTTTGACCAGTGCAATTGAAACGACTCACAGGGCTTCTTTCTTGTCTTCGAAGTCCGGAGAATTGGTGCTGTGGAAAGATTGGAGACGCTTAAAAAGGCGAGTAATGACCTCAACAATGAGGACATGGGTTGATATTAGCGTTATTACCCGGTGAATCCCGTGTTCGGTTCGTCTCCAACCCCACCACACGAGAGCGAGCGAGAAAGGTACCCTGGTGATTATCCTCAGAGCTCCAGAACTGCCACCAGCACCACCACGATGTTCGACGACCATTGGTACCACACACCGAGCTCCGCTCCCACTCCCGAACCGGCAGCAGCCTCCAAGCTCCGCAAAGATGAATTGAGGACACACTCGCCTCGGCCGTCGCTGGTGCGTCCGTCATTCGTTGCTTGGAGCCACACACACCTAATCGTGCTAGTGTAGGAAAGAACGTCGTCGAATGCTCATAAGAAACCGCAAGCTCGGAAACCTATGCCCGCTCTTCCCGTCGCCGATGTCCCCCGAAGACCGAAATCGCTCAGCAACCTCCGACACACTGAGTTTGTGGTACCGCGTGACGGGGGTGTCGCTGCTACTGAGGACGCGCCCCCGCCGAGACCCAAGTCGAGGAATGATGTGTATGAACTGAAAGCGTCGCGGTACGGGCGTAGGAAGGGTAATGGGAAAGCAACAGTGGATGTGTCCCACATTCAGGATGAGCTAGACTTTGCCGACTGGTATGGGGAGCTTGAGGAACAGCTTGAGGATGCGTCCAATGAGGAGTACCGGTATGGCGTTGCTGCTACTCGCGACGAGGGCGATGGGAATTGACACACGCGATACAGGCTATTCCATTCGGTGCTCGAATCGCATCTGACTACCTGCAATAACCTTGTTTCCTCGACCGACGACGCGCTCGCTATCCTGAACGACTTGAAGAGCTCCTTCATCACCGTTGATGCCCAGACATCCGCCTTCCAGGCGTCATGCTCATCACTCCTCGCCGACCAGAGCCGACTGCAAATGCTCGCCGATTCCGTGGCAACCAATCTTCAACCCTTTACAGAGCTGGAACCGATAACGCGGGTGCTTGCTCGCCCCGGCTCCGACTTTGTCAAGACGCAGTCGTTCCGCGAGATGCTGGTACGGCTAGACCATTGTCTCGACTGGATGAATGATCCCGCGCACCGATCATTCAAGGACGTAGAGTCGTATGCACCGAGATTCAGACAGTGCATGACCAGGGCGTTGACGTTGATCCGCAACTACTTTGTGTCGAGCATGAAAGAGGTGGCGAATGAGGTCATGGAGAAGATGAAGCAGCGCCAGATGAATGATTCAGCGCAAAATGCTAAGTTCCGAATCAATGCACCGCAGTTGAGGGACATCGTGTATGAGATTGAGAAGCGGTGTGGACATGAAGAGTACCGCCCTCATCTACTCGTAACGTTGGCTGGGTTGGCGTGCTTATTCGGAATAGATATGTGTCTTTGCTCAATGAGTGTTACTCATGCTACGCTTCAGTCCGGCAGAAACTGATACTGCCCGTAATCACGAAGCGGATGCAAGAGCTTTCCGCTGCCGGAACGTCCACCAGCAAAGATCTTCTCGCTTTCGCACGGAGCGCGATAAGTTTTACCCGGAGCATCTGTCTGGATGAGTTTGAGCTCTTTTACGCATACTTTGCAGGTGAGCGGGGAGATGAGGAGGTTTAGTAAGTGGAAGTCGTTCGTCTCAAGTGGCCGATGCTAACTCTCGCAGCAACTTTCTGGAGACAATTTGCGAGCCCCTTTACGATTACATACGACCAAAAATAATTCATGAGAATAATCTGGTGAAGCTTTGTGAGCTGTGCACCCTGCTACAGACGCGATACATGCGTGACCTCGAAGACCGTATGTCCCATTGCCCCGCTATCCTGGTAACCAGTTCACTGACGGACTCATGATAGCTGATATCGATCCATTCGACCGCTCCCAGCTGGACTTTGGCCAGCTAATCAAAGAGACCCTACAAGATACCCAAACCCGCATTGTGTTCCGCACTTCCAGCATTATACGTGACGAAATCGAATACTTCACCCCGAAACCGGAAGACTTGGACTACCCCGCCAAATGCAATCAGCTTCGACGGAGGTCGAGCGCAGCATCTGGCGGGAACTCGCCACTACCGAACGATCCTAGCATCGTCGAGGGTTCTTTCGACACGGAGACAATGTTCACGGGCTGGTACCCGACTCTCCGGAAATGCATATGGTTGCTCTCCAAGATCTACCGACTAGTGAACAGCGTAGTTTTCGACGACCTCGCACACCAAATCGTCCACTCGACGACCATTTCCCTCGTCCTCGCCTCACAATCCCTCGCCAAATCCAAAAGCGATCTCGCCGACAGCCAGCTCTTCCTTATCCGCCATCTGCTCCTGCTAAAAGAGCAGCTGGTCGCCTTCGATATCGAGTTCTCGCACCAGCCCGATGTCAACATCGATTTCTCGACCATCACGGGGACTTTCTCGTCGCTGCGCACCGCCGGCTCCCTGTTCTCGCCCGGCGGCCTATTCACTCTCGTCAAAACTGCCGCCATGCCGAAAGTCATTGCGTCCATGCTCGACGCGAAGACGGAGCTCGACCTGCGACTCCGCACAGCGATCGAGTCCTTCGTCTCGCACTGGCGCAGCCGCATGACCGAGGGGATCAAGGGCGCGTCCAATCGGCTCGCTGCCGCAGACTCTCCCGACCCGGCGGCACGTGTCAAGACTGCTGTCGAAAGGGAGGTGCCGGTCATGCGGCGCAAGGTGCTGGAGTACATTGACGACCGCCGCACGGGCGAGACGCTGGTGGGCGCCGTGATGGAGGGCGTCATCGAGAGCTATAATGAGTACTATGAGGAGGTGTTTATCAGTAAGGGCCGCCGACCGAGGAATCCGGAGGTCCCCTGGGACGGAGAGATGTTTTGTCGCTGGGCGGAGGGAGTGTTTGATGTGGGCGATGGACTGCTGGCGTTTGGTGATGATGATGACGGTGATGGCAAGAGGAGTAGTAGGGCTATGAGCAGGGAGGGCAGCATTTAGTCCGCATGTAGCTCATCTATGTAGATCTTGGTCTGCCGCAGATCACCCCGCTATAGTTAATCATACCCCACATTTCCCATTGCAGCTATGTAGCAGCTAGTTGTACCTACCTCATCTCGATGTGAACGCCATCCATTCCCCCGAGCGCTCTGCACATATATAAAAACCCACCTCCTAACCCACCCCCAATTCCCCAACACATGATCCACAACAATGTCGCTCCTAACCCCCAAGAAAATCCTCGCAATCGACCTCTACGGCACGCTCCTGTCCACCTCCTCGATAGCACCAAAACTCGCCTCGCACCTCCCCGACACCCCGCACCGCTCCACGCTCGCAGACACGATTACCACAGACTGGCGCAAACTCCAGCTGGAGTACACCTGGCGGCTGAACTCTATGGGTCCTTTCCCCCGCTCCCCCTCTCACCCCCCGCCCCCCCGGCTGACTAGTGTTCGTATTGAGGACAGAGAAATACATCCCCTTCTCAACCGTCACCCGCCTCTCGCTCCTCGACGCACTGCACAGCGCAAACGTGACCCTCTCCCCCGCAGCGGTGGAAGACGTGCTGGCCGCGTACGATCAACTGGCTCCGTTCGACGACGTAGCAGCACTGCTGGATGCGCTGGCTACGCTAGCCGCAGTGCGCAAGAGCGGGGGCGGGGAGGAAGCTGTGGTTGATGCGGTAGTGTTCACGAACGGGACTGAGGCGCAGTTTCGCGCTGCCACTGCTGCTGCCACTGCTGCTGCAAGTAAGAACGGTGAGGGGCTGGGTGGGCTGGGTGAGCTGTGGGAGTTGCGCTGTATCAGCGTTGACAGCGCTGGTGACGGTGTGGGTGGGGGGACAGGGAAGTGCTTCAAACCCCATCCCGCGGCGTATACGCATCTGCTTAGGGAGCTGGGAGTGCCCGCTGGTACTGGTGCTGGTGGGGCGAGCAGCGCGGTCCTCGTCAGTGCGAATCCGTTTGACATCGTGGGCGCAAGGAGTGTGGGCATGCTTGCGGTTTGGGTCGACCGCGAGGGGAGCGGGTGGAGTGATGGGCTGGGGACGCCGAGTGTGAGCGTGAGGGGCTTGGGGGAGGTGGTGGCGTGGGTTGTGGAGCAGATGAAGACTCAGACTCAGACTTAGACTTAGATGGTGTAGGCTGTGGAGTCTGGAGGGAGGGAGGGCGTGGTGGGCGTGGTAGATGTGGGGGGTGCAATTGTTGATAGGTATCACGAGCACCTGGCAAGGGTGAGTGATGTTGCTATATAGTGTGATGTTGCTATATAATACAGCCCGTAGATGAGAGTGCCATGAAATCGGTGGTGGCGGTGGTGGCAGTTCTACTTCGAAGTCACCGTTGCCAGAGTTATGTAGATCGAGATGTATTACGATCACTTGGTACATTCTAATCATTGAATAACAGCTTCTCAGGGGTATCAAGTCAACGAAACCAACACCGCCCATTCCATCCATTCCATCCATCTCCTCCCCATCTCCAGTCTAAAACCACTTCCCCGTAATCCCCCCAAGGATCGCCTTCTTCTTCTGCGAACTGACATACTTACTAACATCCTCCGCAAAGCTCGCGCTACTCTCTTCAAGCCGATCCATCGTGTCGGTAGTAAAACTCAGCTTCTCTGTGCGCTCGCGCATATTCCTAGCCATGCCCGCGAAGACGCCCTCGCCTGCCTGACCCGCGGGACCAGCCTGGGCGGCGGAGGCGGGGTCCTGCAGTCTTCTAGCGGCCTCGCGCTCGGCGGCCGCCGAATCGCGCAACTGCTGCTGCTGCGCGAAGGACATGGGACGGTCTGGGCCGCCGATTAGTAGGTCCAGGTCTGCGGTGGTTATGTACTGCGTCCCGGCGAGCCATTGGAGGTTGCTGATGGTGGGGCGGGACGGCGGGGGCGTGGCGGGGTTGTACAGCGTGTCGAGCGGGAGGGCGGCGGGGGTCTTATCCAGTCCCCACTGGTAGAGCAGTGTGAGCTCGTGCTCGCCGCTCCAGCCAAGGATGTGGCCGCTCTCCAGCACCGTTGTTAGGTGCAGCCGCTCGGCCTCCAGTACGCTCTTGACGGAGAGGGGCGCGCCGATCGGTTTTAGCCCCGGGACGGTGTAGTTTATGATCAGGCCTAGGGAGGTCACGGTCGTGAGGCAGATCCCGTACGCCTCGAGCTCGCACACGCTCGCGGCGTGCACGGTGAACTCATCGCCCCAGGTCTTGTGCGCGCCGCGCGCCTGCGATGGCTTGAAGATCCGTGCGTCGTTCTGCGAGGCACAGACGATCACACCGGGGGTTTTGATGCCCTCTCGAAGGTTTGCGGTGGCTTGCGGGGTGGCCCATGTCCTTTTGCCGGAGTCGGAGTTTATGGGGGTTATGGAAAGGATGGGTGCGTTATCGTCAAGGTGGTTCACGCCCTCATAGGTGCAGGTGAAGCCGCCGCCCTGCTGCGGTAGGAGCTTGAAGGTCAGGACTCTGCCCAGGTTTGTGCCCACGAAGAGAGCGATCGACGAGAATTCTGCGTCGAGGTCAGCCGTGATCCACCTTGTACTCTTCATAAATCATACCGTCGCCCTCGAGCGTCATCACGCCAAATTCGAGACACGTAGCCTTCTCCGTTGCCGCGGCTGGATTGTGAGATCTCCTGAAGCCCGTTCGCTTGTCCTTGCTGAGCGAGCCTAAGCTCTGATGGAAAATTACCGCCGGTCCCTGAATGCATCATGAGCCTTTGCAAAACCTCCAGCTTCAAGAGTGTCTGTCAGTACTCACCCTCATGTCCAGCACACACAGATGCCCAGTCTGATACCCCACGGCGCAGAAGCCAACATCACTCATCTTCAGCGCGATAACAGCCCCGCACTTCTGATCGAGAATGCAAGCGGGCATCAACCCCTCCTTCACATCCGGATCCGCTCTCATACGAACATCTGTAATCACTTGGTCACCCTCAGGCTTCTTCTCCTCCTGGTGGCGGCCCATAGCCGTATTCTTAGCCCAGCGAAACACCACGACCTCGCCCGTTTCCATTCCGACCGCGGTCTCACCGGAGATGCCCGCCAACGAGACGCACTCGACGTTGAGGTCTACGGCGCGCAGCAGCACGCGGGCCACATCGATCTCCAAGACATCGCCATTCTCAATTTCATCGCCGTGTCCCAAGTCCCAGATGCGCACTGTGCCGTTAGGATGCGAGCTCTGGATGACGGTGCGGTTCTCGTAGCGCCGCAGCGGCTTGGGGTGTTCAATCCCGCCCACGATCATTTCCGGTGGCGGCTGGGACAGTTGCGACGGTAGCCGCGCCATTCCTAGCCAGCGCTGCCGCTGCACCGCGGAAACGTCGACGCGCGTCGAGAACGGGTGCGTCAGGATAAGCGAGGGATGCAGTAATGCCGCCGGCGACAGCGGTTGCCCGTCCGGGAATCGCAACGTCACTAGTTCGCCCGACGCCAACAGCGCAATGACCGCCAGCGGATCGTAGCCCCCGCCATAATGCGGGCTCGTCCTGGGTATCACACAGAAGTCGACGACGTCATGTTCCGTAGGCATGGGCAGAATCCTCTGCCGTCTAGGTTTCGCAAAGTGATCGGCGAGCACCTGTACCGACGAGGTGAGCATATTCGGCGTCGGGCCAAGATCCATCAACGCCAGGCCCTTCGACCTGGTAGTCATCGGATTCCCGCCCGCAATCAGCAGCGACGTATCGTCGGGATTACTCGTCGCGCACCACGCAATCTTGTAGATCGGCTGTCGCACCGACATCCCGCTACCGTCGCTCGCCCCCGGTAGGCTTCCGGGCAGATGCACGCCTGCGTCCTCCAGCGTCCGACTCTGCACCAGCGCCCCGTCCTTCGGATTCCACACGGCCATCACCGAGTCCTCATGCGCCGTGCACACGAACGTTCCGGTAGGATGCCAGAGGGCCTGCGTGACCGCGGGCCTCCTTTGCGTGCGTATCGTCGCCAGCTCCGTATCCGCGCCGGGCGCGCCAGGCGGCAACACGAACTCCAGGAACCTCATCACGGCCGCCTGCTTGAACGAGTAGATGACCGCGCCCTCAGAGTATGCAATCAGCAGGGTGCCCACATCCTTAGGATGCAGGGCAAGCGACACGACGGGGGACAGCCTCGCTTTCGGCGCGCGCTCCCTCCACAGATTCGGAATCCTCAGCGGCGCGACCACGCGGCGGTCGATATCGTACGCCAGGACCTCTCCCGTCTGCATTCCGAGTAGGATCCAGTCCAATCCCGGCTCCGTGCGCATCGTCGTCACCGTTCCGGGCGGGGAGTACTCCACGCCCGCTGCCAATGGCGACGCAAGATCGAATATGCTGATGTCGTTGGATGAGTCCAGCACGACCGCGCGGGAATCGCATAGCTGCACCGCCTTGACGGACGCTTTCCGTGCGAGTCGGAATACGACGTGCACGCGCTTCTGCCCGAATATGTGCACGCAGCCGGAGGTGGAAGAGCTCTGGAATGTGCCCACCGCGAGGAGGGATTGCACTGGGTCGTAGGCCAAAGTGGAGATCGTCGAGGAGAGGCCGAGCTTCGCGACCTATGAGGAGCCAGGTGTCAATAGCTATCCATTCCCGCTGGTGACAATAGGTACCTGGTCGAGAGTAAACACATCAGGCGCGGCAGCCAGACTGCCCGAGAAATCGCGCTGGATGCCGGACTGTTTTGAGCGGAGGAAATCCATGACTGGCTATGGTATGTAGTAGGAGGATACCGTGGTAGGAGGAGATGGGGGGAGCTTGCATCTTTGTCTTCCCTTCCATCAGCTGTTCACTTGGCGGGACATGACGTCGCCTTGGTGCCGAGCGCCGGGGTCTGAGCTGATGTTTTACAAGACTGCCGCTAGAGCTATGCAGGGTCGTGGATAGCCCTAGTGCCCCACTCCACGCAATTCTACTCGAATACCGCCATGTACCTATCATGGGGACAGTGGTCGTTGCTCGTGCACGCATCACTCGCCTCGAAATCATCACATCTCAGTCCTCAACTGTAGCGGTTGCCGTAACTATAGCTTGACTGAGGACCACTAACACGTGTCTATTAGGTATAAATCGCAGTGTAAGAATACCAAGTACGAGACCTCCCCACACAAAGCAAGCCAAAAACACAAGACACCAGACCCAAAAAAAGATATCAAAAACCAAGACAAAAAAGGTGAAAAGAAAGCAACACAAAACGGGAACAATCAAAGCCTTTTTGGTATTTTGCGCCCCCTCCCCCCCATCGTAACTAAAGAAAAAGTCAAGTTATCAACTCTTCCGTTGTTGGTCTTCATCGCTCATTAAACCATGATCCCTTCGCTATCGTATACCGTATACCGCAACATGTCTCTAAAAAGGCAATAACTGGAGTCGAAAGAACAAGCAGGAATCAAAAATTCTCAACAATCCTTCCAAAACGGCAACTGCTTAGTGGAGCGCACGGCTTAAGCGTGAGCGGGGGGATGTTGGGGGGCACTGGCCGAACCAGATGCATCGCCCATCTCGGCGTCGCCATCGCCCATCTCAGCGTCGTCGTCACCTTCGGCCTCGTCCTCCTCGTCAGACTCGCCGCTGGACTCAGCCTCGAGATCCTCCGATTCGGCGCCCTCGTCGATCTTGTCAGCGGGGACAGCAGGAGCGCCGCCCATGTCTACATCCATCTCGACGTCCTCAGTGACCTCAACCTCGACATTGTCGCCCTGCTCGATGGCTTCCTCGTACGCGGCCTCATCGGCTCCGTACTGGTCCGCATCGTCGGGGGCCTCATCGGCCTCAGGCTGCTCCGGAGGGAACTCGGCGGGCGCAGAGTCTTCAGAATCCCTACAGCCGAAATCAGTTCCCTGCACGAGCAATCGACAAGCGGATAGAGGGAAACCCACCACTTGATGGCGAACCTAGTGACTCTAGGCTTCTCGGTCAACATGTTGCGGACAATCCTGTCGAAGATGGGCTTGCTGGGCGGCTCGTTCTGGAGTTCGGGGGTGTCGTATTCGTTGCTGACATAGTAGCCAACGCGGACAAACTCACGGCCATCGTATGAACCGGTGAGCAAGACGACGGTGACACCCAAGATCTCGGTGGTCGGGAGCTTGGAGACGGTCGGCGGCTCGGCCTCGAAGATGAACTTGTTCACTCCAACCGGGATGGGGCCAACAAGCAGTTCGCCCAATTCCTGGTCGTAGTCGGAGCTGTTTGTTCCGTGTGAATTCGGACTCGACGACGTGTTATCATCGCAGGATCTCAAACATACCTGTTGGCAGAACCGACGTAGGTGAGCTTCCACTCAAGATCTAGAAGCAAAGTGGTCAGCACGGAAATGTGGAGGCCGATGCACAGGATGTGTGTGTGTGTGGAGCGTGGGTGGTGAAGCGTGTATTGCGTTTGGGGTTTTCGCGTAAAGTGTTTGCATTAAGTTTACCTTTGCTCAGGCTCTCGAGACACTCAAAGGTGATCTCGAGCTGGTACTTGTCCAGGAACTTGGCGGGGTTGCTGATGACCTGAACACCGAGCAGAGAAACGACGGACATGCTTGCGACTTGATGAATGTATTTGTTGAGTGGCTTTTCGGAGGGGTATGAGGGGTGGAAGTGGGGTATGATTAAGGGCGTATAACGGCGTGCAGTGGAGAGGAGTGGTGGGGGAGGGAGCAGGAAGGTGGAGGTAATAAGGGCGAGATGAAGGTAGGATGAGAGGATGAACTGGGGATGGAAGGAGGAGGAGGAGGAAGACGGATGGCGGCAGAGCGAAAGGACTTTCGCGGGTTTGTGTTGTTTTGGGTCGACGCGAATGGGTAGCACCACCTCCTCATCCACCACCACCACCACCACCACCAAACCCACCACCACCACCAAAACCACGTCGCCAGGGACACGGCGACGCAGGACAGGGATCCGGCACTAGCTGACAACTCTTTTTCCAACAAGCAGAAGAAAAAAAACATTGGCCAGTCAAAATGGAGGCAGGAACGAGAGGCCAGATTTGGCGGAGACCCGCATCTCAACACAGGCATTCTAAGCATATCGGCTCTCTGCGCAGGCGGAGTACCGATATGTACTGCTGTGTGCAGAGAACATAGCATGGTGGCGATAACCATGGTCACTCGGCTTAGGGCGGGGCAGATGCGGGGTGGGCAGGTCCATGGTAGAGCACCTATACACGTCCAACTTCCCATGGCCGACGGTGTACCCTAGATACCATCTGCCTACTCTGCTTCGAATCGTCACAAAGTACATATCTTCAGCAGATTTCGTCCCAAAGCCCCATTCCCGTGATCTCTCCGTGGGGGTTACACGGGTGTACATCCCACCATTTCGTCATAATGAGTCTTTAGCGTACTCTACATAGCAGCGGTGATATCAATGTAAAAAGTTTCCCAAACCTCACCAACCCCACCAACCCCACCACCACCAGACACCACAGCACAGTACAGCAACAATGGTGCGCAAAAACGCCAACAACCACACCAAAGGCAAGGACCGGTACAAGTCCGCGGGGCGCAACACGGCCGTTCAATCCGACGACCCGGAGCATCCCGTTGTGCGGCCGCCGTTTAAAGGTTCGCCCCCTCCCCAGCCCTCGGCCGCTGTTCGCGCTGCAGTTCGTTCCTAACTAACCCCCCTCCCAGCGGCGGCCTGGGACCTCGGCCACTGCGACCCCAAGCGGTGCTCAGGGAAGAAGCTATTTCGTCTCGGCCTCTTGAAGCCTTTGGCAATCGGACGGAAGCACGGTGGGATCGTGATCACGCCGAACGGCAAATCGGTAGTTTCGCCTGCGGATACGGAGCTCCTCGTATTGCACGGCGCGGCGGTCGTGGAGTGCTCGTGGGCGCGGCTGGACGAGGTGCCGTTCGCCAAGATCGGCGGGAAGAATGAGCGGCTGCTGCCGTACCTGGTCGCGGCGAACTCGGTGAATTATGGCAAGCCCTGGAGGCTCAATTGTGTTGAGGCGCTGGCCGCGTGCTTTGCAATTTGTGGCATGTGGGAGTGGGCGGAGATTATTCTTGAGCCGTTTACCTACGGCGAGGCGTTCCTGGAGATTAATAGGGAGATCTTGGAGCGCTATGCGGCGTGTGAGGATGCGGTCGGCGTCAAGGAGGCGGAGGCCGCGTGGATGGTGAAGCTCGAGGAGGAGTATGCGGAGTCGCGCGCGGAGGGGCCGCGGGAGAGGGAAGAGGAGGAGGGCGTGGAGCATGAGGTCCGCAGTGGCGATTTGCCGCCGAGTGATGACGACGACGATGATGGCTACCAGGAGTATCTGAGACAGAAGGTGCTCAACTCGAAGGCGTTTGCGAATCCGGAGCCGGTGGAGAAGAAGAAGCCGGTTGCTGTGGAGGGCGCGGAGGAGCACGGAGATTCGGATCCGGATTATGGAAGTGACAATGATCACGATTCGGATGATGGGATTGTCGATGCTACGCCGGTGCACGAAGACGCCGGACCTTCCATCATCCAGCCGTTCATGAGGGACCCGACGGGAGAGACGATATCGTTCATGATCTCGAGGCGCGAGATTTCGGCTCCGAAGAGGGGAATTGGCTCTTGATTGAGGAAGTGCATTGCATCTATGTTCTTGTCCTTATGCTTACTGGCGTTCTGGGGGGGTTTTGTTTTCGAGGGAAAAATGTGCGAAATGTCATTAGTTCGGGCTTCAAGTCATCTCCTTGACAAGCATTCCATTGAACAGCCATCTACAGCGCGTCGCACTAAACAGTATATTACAAATCACAAACAGGAATCGTATCATCTCTCTTTCTCTTCGTGTGGTGGGGAATGGTTTAAAAAGTGATGAAAAACACTATTTTCCAATCGTTCCAGCACCACACGATGACACGACAAAACGCTTTCGACAACAAGCGTCCCCTGTCGCAAACTACGAATATGTTGCCCTACATCGAGACTCCCATGTAGGCGCCACCGCATTTTCCATCCTGAAATAACACACAGAAGCCATAGATATCATTCGTAACACCAGCAAGAGAGAAAGGAAAAGTCAGAAATGCAAAGGACATGGCACACTTCGCTCGTTTATGCATGGATGGGTTTCGAGTAGCAAGCCATAGCTGCCTCCTTGAACGCCTCCGAAAGTGTGGGATGGGCTATTATCTGCATTAGCGCCCATTTCTTGTTCAGTGGGGGATATTACGAGTGACATACCGTGACTCGTTCGTCCGATGTCCTCAGACGAGGCACCGTACTCGATGGCCAACACTCCCTCGGCGATCATCTCACCGGCGTTGGGGCCAACGATGTGGATACCCAAGATTCTGTCAGTCTCCTTGTCGGCGATGAACTTGACCATTCCCTCGGTGTCCAAGTTGGTCTTCGCCCTGGAGTTGGCGGAGAAGGGGAAAGTTCCAATGTTGTAAGCCTTGCCGGAAGCCTTGACCTCCTGCTCGGTCTGGCCGACCCAAGCGGCCTCAGGGTGAGTGTACATCACGCTGGGGATGGCACCGTAGTTGACATGCCCGTGTCCCTTGGAAATGTACTCGACAGCGGCGATACCCTCCTCCTCGGCCTTGTGCGCCAACATGGCGCCGAAGGTGGCGTCACCGATGGCACGGATGTGGGGGATCTTGGTGCGGTACTCCTGGTCAATGACGACACGGCCCCGCTCGTCGACCTCGATTCCGACGTTCTCGAGGCCGAGACCGGTGGTGTAGGGCCGGCGGCCGATGGCAACGAGGACAACATCGGCATCAAGCTGCGGAAAAATCAGGTCCCGTGGATAGAGTGGAAGCCAGTCTGCAACTCACAGTCTCCTCCTTTCCGCCCTTGGCAGCTTCAATGTTTACGCCAACGCTCTCGCCACCGACGTCTCCGCTGACGACCTTGGTGTTGAGCTTGAACTTCATGCCCTGCTTGGTGAGAATCTTCTGCATCGTCTTGGCCATGTCCGCATCCATACCGGGTCCACCAATGGCACCCAAATACTCGACGACGGTGACTTCAGCTCCCAGACGAGACCATACGGATCCCTACCAAACGTAAGCTCTGTGCGGGGTAGATGAGCGGCAAGAGGATACCAACCATCTCGAGACCGATGATGCCACCTCCGATGACGACCATCTTCTTAGGGACCTCCTGCAGGGCGATGGCGCCGGTGCTGGTGACGACACGCTGCTCATCGATGGTAAGGCCGGGGAAAGGAGTCGCTTCCGAACCGGTGGCGATGATGATGTTCTTCGCGCGGAAAGTCTTCTCCCCACCTTCCAACATGTTGACCTTGATCTCGTTCTCTCCGGTGATGGTACCAGTACCTTTGACGTAGTCGACTCCGTTCTTCTTGAACAGGTATTCGATACCCTTGGTCAATCCGGTGACGGAGGTCTCCTTCGCCTTCATCATCTGGGTAAGGTTAAGTTTCACATCGCCAACTGTTAACACCTATCAGTATTCCAAGCTGTGTAGAGTTGTTGTGGTGAACACTGGGCGACTGACCGTCAATTCCACGGTTCTTGACATCGTGAAGAATCTGGTGGTAGATGTGCGAGTTGTTAAGGAGCGATTTTGACGGAATACATCCAACGTTCAAACACGTTCCTCCGAGAGCTCCGCGCTTCTCAATGCAGGCAGTCTATATATGGGCAATCGTTAGCTCGGCGATCCCCCGCGCGAAAGCTGAGCCCTGGCTCAAATGTACCTTCAACCCCTCTTGCGCCGCCTTAATGGCAGCAACATAACCACCGGGTCCACCACCTTTCATTTGTCAGCACGTTTATTCTTCATTCCCTGTATCGGGCAACGCATACCGATCACGATAAGATCGTGCTCCTCTGCCTCAGAGGCAAAACCTCGTCGTGGCACAAGGTAGAATGCTGAAGGAGCGTAGGTGGAGGACGACACGGGCCGGAGGAGCGATCGCGAAGCGCGAGGGACGAACGATTTGAACATGGCGAATTATAGTTGGGAATGGAGAATTTCGTCGGAGGAGGCGGAGACGAAGGTGTATAACCTACGGAGTTGAAAGCTGGTGAGGTGAGGTATTTTATGCGGGTTGTTGTTGGGAAAGAAATTGGTGACGACAAGTGAAATCTACTGACCGGATTCTCGCCGTCTTGGCAGCCACTGGTTACAACACTTCGAACCCCTCCGCCGCCAGCTTCGTTATAATCACCAGGTCTCTCCGGCGCTTCAAAATCTCAACTCCGCCACTCTAATCATTGCCGTCTTGCGGCGAGGGCTTGTCATTCAGAAGGAAGATATTTGTCCGTTTGGAAGAATTGCCATTTTCTCTTTGCCTCGCTCCAAAAACTTTGTCAGATTTGCCTCCCGCCTCCCCGGCCCGCTTCACGGTTCTATCTCGGCTTCTCGAGCCAGAGCCAGGACCGGTTCGATCCGGTCTCACGGACCTGTTCTCTCTTGCCCATCCCGCGACAAAACAAATCTATGCCTGCACTCCGCCGGTGGCATACCGAATCCCCGAAACGGATCGAATTGCAAGGCATCGAAAAGCCGCATTAATGCTCTTCTTCGCCTCTCCATTGCTGATTATGATTCACTGTCTCGTGATGTTCTCGTGTAAAAACTATCTGCGCGTGTAGCCGCCATTCGGAGTCGCGGAGGATCCCCGGCCGTTCTGCCCTTTAGGCCCCAATTTGAAATCAGCCACCTTTCTTTGGCGTGCATTTAATCCACTCATGATCACTCGGGAAAGGTGTTGCAAAAGGCGTTAGAGAGCAACTTTCAACACTCTTGCCTGAGTAACTCGAGATGCAATAAGTCATGGCTGTTTCTAGCTACAGGATAGTGCACATGTGGAGCTGTCGCGTTTGCCGCACCTTTGAATCAGTTATCTGCTTGGCCGCTCGGTCGTAGTTTGGGACACTTGCTCGACAAATGTATGGCAGCTACACCAATAACAATGCTATTCATTGATTTATCGCTGTGCCCAGTGCCCACTGCGCTGTCGGTTGAAGGTTCACGGTGAAAACCTTTGCTACCAGAAAAAACCTGCCGAATCATTTTTTGTGACATATTTAGATGCCTGACTAATGGCGCTACTTTGACCGAGCCGCCTCACGAGAAGTGGGACCAAACCGTCCGTTCACCATCCCAGTCAAAGGCCCTCCAGCTCTCCACTCTTTCCTCAACGTCCATACACACCCCACGTCTCCGTACGCCCTCAGTGCCTCACGTCGCCAAAATGCAGAGGTGCTGTTCGTCTGTTCTGCCGCGATTGGCAGCACCCGCGAAAGCTGCTGCCACCGCCGCCGGCGCCGCCCCCGCCCCCGCGCGCAGGTTCATACACGATATCGCTATCACCCGGACAGGAAAACCTATCATCAGGGTTCCCGGAGGTGGAAGGTGAGGAATTGGATACTATCTCTAGCAAGCACGAGGTTGGCGAAGACGACTGACGGGTTCCGACGTGTAGGTCATCGCTTGGAGGTATGTGCCAATACAATGCGGAGACCCGGACCGACTGCGGCGGGCAGAGGGGAGGAATGAGTGCTGAGCGGAATCATAGGGCACACCGTCACCGTCTTTGGCGCCACCGGTTTCTTGGGCAGATACATTGTCAACAGACTTGGTATGTGCTGTCGGAGACTCGAGGAACATGCAGGGCAACAGAATGTTAACGTCATAGGGTCCTCCGTTAAGCTCGAGTCGGATGTACCGTTGTCATACCTTACCGCGAGGAAATCACCAAGCGGCATCTCAAGGTCGCTGGTGACTTGGGCAAAGTCATCATGATTGTGAGCGGCCCATACACACTGCAGGACTCCGAGCAGCACCTAATACCCAGTAGGAGTACGATCTGCGAAACACAAACTCTATCGAAGAGAGCGTGCGGCACTCGGATATCGTGTTCAACCTCGTTGGACGCGATTACACCACTAAGTAGGTTCTTCTGCGATCCTCGGGTTATCTATTTTTGACTGACTCCCTCCGGTAGGAACTTCTCCTACGAAGATGTCCACATTGAGGGAACCCAGAGAATCGCCGAGGCCGTTGCCAAATACGACGTTGACAGGTACATCCATGTCTCCTCCTACAACGCCGATGTCAACTCGCCCTCGAAGTACTTCGCTACCAAGGTAAGAATATAGCTTTCGTCTAGATTCCAACAGAGCTGATCCGCGACTGCTAGGGACAAGGAGAGATCGAGGCCCGCAATATCTTCCCCGAGACCACCATCGTCCGGCCCTCCCCGATGTTCGGTCACGAGGACAGACTCCTCCACCCCATTGCCCGGGGCACTGACTTCATCAGTGCCAACTCGTGGAAGCAAAAGTCCAGACCCGTGCATGTGATTGATGTTGGTCGTGCTCTCGAGATCATGGCTTACGATGACTCCACCGCTGGTCAAACGTTCGAGCTCTTCGGATCTCGTGAGTATGCCAAGCACCAGATTGCCCATCTCATCTACCGCATGATTTTGAAGGAGCGAAGGCGCATTAACCTTCCCAAGCCCGTCGCGAAGGCCGCAGCCACAGTATTGAACAAAATCTGGTGGCCTACATACGACCCCGATGAGATTGAGAGGGAGTTCATCGACCAGAAAATCGATAGGACTGCTAAGACTTTCGCTGATCTCGGAATCACGGCGAGCGAATTGGACGACATGGCGTACCAGTACGTCAGAGACTACCGGTGAGTTTTCCAACGATTCCACGTTCCAAATAACTGTCGACTGACGGTGTCCACAGCTCCAACGCGTACTATGACATGCCGGCCATGACGGCGAAAGAGAAGAGGGAAGAGAGGAAGTACATGCACATTACCGAGGACATGTAAATCTGCTTTACAAATACTCTTGCCAAACCCTCATAGATGTATATACCTCTTCACATTAGTTTTTCGCCATTGCTGTATGCGCATGGGCTGTTGTGGTCGCCGCTGTCACTTCTTCGTGTGCCTCGGCTGTAGTTAAAATAATCGCAGCTTTAGCTGGGGTAGTTGACCCGAACTCCGCGCCTCATAGTTACATGGAGGCATGTTATGTTGCTCGAACCCCAATGACCTCTACAAGAATCATGGCCACTGCACACAACGAGTTTCTGAAGGCCCAGTTCGCGAGTCTTCCCCCACTGCCGGCGATTGAAAAGCTCAGCGAATCTGTTTGGCGAATTTTGGGTGGAAATCCGGGCAAGGTATGAGTCTCGCGGCTACGACCCCCCACCCCGCTATCGTGCCCGCACGAGATGCGTCATCCATCACATCACATTAAGCTCATTCGCGTGTGTTTCTTTCTTTGCACCCGCACAGTTCCAACTTCAGGGGACTAACACGTATCTCCTCGGCACGGGGCGCGAGCGACTCCTCGTCGACACGGCGCAGGGCGTCCCCGTCTGGATCGAGTCGCTCAAGTCCGTCCTCGAGAAGGAAAACGCCGTCGTCAAGAGGGCGCTGATCACGCACTTCCACCACGACCACGTCGGCGGCATCGCCGATCTACGAAAACTCTCGCCGGACACGGTTATCCACAAGAACTCGCCGGACGACACGCAGGACGAGGGGATCAATGACGGCGAGGTGTTCTCGGTTGAGGGCGCGACGCTGAAGGCTGTCTACACCCCCGGCCATGCAAACGATCACATGTGCTTCCTCCTCGCGGAGGAGAACGCTATCTTCACGGGTGATAATGTCCTCGGACATGGAACCACCGTGTTTACGGACTTGAAAGAGTACATGGACTCGCTGCAGAAGATGTTGGATCTGAAGCCGGCGCGCGCGTACCCTGCACACGGACAGCTCATCGAGGAGGGGCAGAAGAAGCTGCAGGAGTATATTGTGCATCGCCAGAGGAGGGAGGCACAGATCGTGAGGCAGTTGCAGGCGGTGCGCGCGGAGATTGAGGCGGATCAGCCGCCAACGCCGGTTACGAGCATGGAGCTGGTCAAGCGCATCTATGTCGATGTCGATCCAGGGCTGCATCTTGCGGCGGAAGGAGGGGTTGTGCAGGTTCTAGACAAGCTGGAGAAGGAGGGAAGGGTCGCGATCGTGGTGAAGAATGGCATGACGAAGTACACGTTGGTCGAGAAGCCGAGTAGTCCCAGTAGTAGTAGTTTGTAGCATATTTGTTACCTAGATGTCTCAGCAGTTAGCTGTTGGCTGAGAATGTTGTTTATTGAGCGCTGATTATTATTGGCTATGATAGACTATTTGTTTGTATGGCTTGTGGTACACATTCCTATTTCCTGCTATGATGTGCTGCCATGAGGTGCCCCTTCCCGCATAGCCTGAGTGAGCATGCTCGCCTCCAGTCTGCATGGTTGCACTTTCAGCCTCCAAATCTGGCTGCATACCATAAGCCTCTAGCTCACATCAGTAGCCTTGCTTCATTACTTTAGTCTCCGGTAGTTCCCTGCAGATGCTACGTTAAACACACACAACACACGCCAGCTCTCCACACAACTCTCGGAACCCGTCCAACATTTGCCCCCGGCCGCAACCATGAGCGCAACGGCGACAACTATCGTTCTCAAACGGCCGTCGGTCTCCATGTCTTCGCAGGCTACAGCTTCGCCGAAGGTTTCGAAAAACAAGCTGCCCATCATCCAGCCGCCGGTGTTCTATGGTTGTGGTACGTTGTCGGGCCTCGGGAGAGCGCGCGAGAGTCGGAGAGTCGGGGAGATGGGCTGGCTGGCAGGCTCAGAATATGAAGAGAATCACTGACACCGCGGCTGGTCGTGCGCAGAACACATCGGGTCGGCGTTCCAAGGCGGCTCGACGACGAGCAAGACTTTGTACTCGGGCGCGACGCGTGTAGCCCTCGACTCGGACCGACTCACGGCGCAGAAATGCGTGTACTGCAGCTACATGCTCGTCCAGACATTCCTCTGCATGCAATGCGCCACGGTTCATTGTCCGCGAGATGCGGAACAACATTACAGGGAGGAGGGACACTCGTTTGGTGCGGAACCTGGAAAAGCTGCCTTCTGCTCTGCACAACGCGGGAGAAATTTGGTTGATTGGAGAGGGAACCTTGCCTCTAACTGCGCCCATTGCGTTTGACAGGAGTTGATTCGCGGAGTGGCCATGTGTTTTGCTTCCAGTGCCAGGACTACATCTATGATCCGGCGCTGGAAGATATACGGATAGAACAGGAGACGTCGATAGACGGCGGCGGTGAGTTGTTGCGCTCCGAGCGAGTGATGGCAGGATATTGACACCCCCGCGATAGCTCGCAAAAAGCGTCGACTCGAAGACTCGAAGCCCTCCGCCGACGATCTCAAGTACATCGAGTCGCATACCACCTTCGCCCCGTGTCGCGCTACCGGCCTACGAGGGTTTCTCAATATGGGATCAACCTGCTTCATGAGTGTGATCCTACAGAGTTTGATCCACAATCCACTGGTACGGAACTTTTATCTGTCAGACGGTCATAAACAGAAGGAATGCAGCCAGACAAACTGCATGAGCTGCGCCATGGATGAGGTGTTTTCAGAGTTCTTCACCTCCGACAAGCAGGACGGGTACGGACCCATCAACCTCCTTACGACTTCGTGGAAATGCGAGCAGGTATAGAAACATTCCGCTGCTTTCAGATGTTCCCCACTTTGAGAGAACTTTCGATTTACAATTTCTCGATGGGATGTTATAGGCGCTCGCAGGCTACCAGCAACAGGACGCCCATGAGTATTTGCAGTTTCTGCTCAACCAGCTGCATAATACCAACAAGGGGACAGACCAAAAGTCAGAGGACTGCTCGTGCATAATTCACCGTTCATTCTATGGGAAGCTGCAAAGCGATGTTACCTGTGAGAGCTGCAGGAACGTGACCACAGCTCACGATCCGGTGATGGACTTGAGCTTGGACCTGAGGATTAAAGATAAAAAGAACAAGCAACCCCAGGGCATCGTCCAGACAGTACAGCAATGCCTAGCCAGGTTTACCGCGACCGAGAAACTGGGGGTGAATGAGTACAACTGTAGTAAATGCGCAGGTCCGCGGGAAGCAACCAAGCAGCTGACCGTTAAGCGCCTGCCGCCCGTCCTATGCATCCAACTGAAGGTATTTACTGTTTGCACTCGTACGTACCAGGCACTCTGTTACTCACACCCGCACCTCCAGAGGTTCGAGCACAGTGCGAACGGAGTATCTTCCAAGATCGATGCGGATATTCGGTATCCCCTTGAGCTCGACATGACACCGTACACGACTCGGGCCAAGCGGAAATCCGGCCAGGAATCACGGAGCTTCAAACCATATGTCTACGATCTTCTCAGCGTTGTGGTGCACAAAGGGGAGATCAATTCCGGACATTACATCAGCTATTGTCGAGAAAATGGACAGGTTGGTACCATCATTGCCGCTTACATCCTTCCAATGCTGACGATATCACTCGGTCAAGTGGTTTCAATTCGATGATAGCATGGTCACCCTAGCAACGGAGAAACAGGTACTTGCAGCGCAGGCATATCTGCTGGTTTATATCATCCGCACGTTCAATTAATCACTAGAGGAAACCAACGACGGGTTCGAATTCTGGTAGGTAGGCTTTTTTTCAAGGTTTGGGGCATAAATTTGTGTGTGACGAGAACAGAACAGAACAAAGTGGTGCAGGTATATCACAGTGGTGGTGGTGGTGATGGAAGTTTGTGTTGCATTGCGCAAATGTTGCATCTTATATTTTGAAGCAGAAGGGGGCGGGGGCGTGAAAGGCGTTTTTTTTATGGCTGAGTTTTTCAATCTACCTACATTGTGCTTGTTACTGTTCTTTCTTTCTTGGGTTGTATTTAACTTGTTTGATGTCCGGCTCGCTCTGTACATTTCCGGCACCACGTGGCCATGGCCAGAATTAAAGGAAGATGTTGAGGCTGAAGTGATCTGCGAGCCCTACATGAGTTGCTCTAGCCACAGCGGCTGGTCCAATGCCAGTCATTCATACATGCATGCATTGGTGCCACTAAGCAAATTCTGTCCCTTCCCCCACAGTTCGTTTCTTCTCTCTTCTCTTTTCGATACACATCTTTTACAGCACAGCACCGCACACCCCGCCACCTCTCTGGCCAACCAACCAACCAAGCAAACACCACACCTCAACTACCACAAGTATCACATCACAAGTATCAACTCAAAATGCTCGTTACGGACGACGAAGAGCTGCAGTCAGTGCGCACGCCAAACACGCCACACACGCTACTAACAGAGACGAGCAGGTTAGCCCCGGACGCGATGCAGGCGCTGGCCGAGTTCATGCGCGAGAAGGATGAGCAGGACCGGCGGTTCGAGGAGCTGCGGCTGCAGGCCGAGCGCGACCACGAGGACCGCATAGTCACCATGGCGGATTTTCAGGAGGACTGGAATCAGAGTCAGGTATGTAGGGAGAAGGGGGGGGAGGGGCAGAGGGGGAGATGGGGGGTGTGGTAGGCGCGGGGGGATGGTTGGCGGCAGAGGGAGAGGGAGATACTGATGCTAGTGACTTGCGGAAAAGTTTTGGTACGACGATGAAACCGCTACGATCCTGGCGGAGTCGCTTCTCGAGGGCGCCACGGAGGATACGGCTATCGCCTTGGTCTCGGCCCCGACCGTCTATGTCAAGTTGAGGGAGTGGAAGGTCAGTCAGGCATCGTCTAAGCGGCGGAATCTCACTCCGAGATAGGGTCGAGCGATCGGTCGGTCGGATAAGCGCAGACGAGACGGATGTTGACACTATTGCAGACGACAGGCAGGATACCGAGGAACATGACTATCAAACTGCTCGAATATGATGTCAGGTTTGACGTCTTCAAGGAGGACTTCGTCTATTATGACTTCGAGTACCCGCTGCGAGGACTCCCGAAGGATCTCCGGGGAAAGTTCGACAGGGTCATGGTTGACCCGCCGTTCTTAAGCGACGATTGCCAAACGAAAAGTGAGTCGGGGTGAGGTCGACCGAGGAATGGGAGAGTGTGCTGTCGACGAGGGTTGTCCGAGACTATGACTGACAAATATTGTAGCGGCGTTAACGGTGCGGTGGTTAACCAAACCCTGGACACCACCTCCGTCTATCCCCGACAAAGACTCCCTCCGCATCATGATGTGCACCGGCGAGAGGATGTGCGATCTTCTGGCGAAGCTGTACCGTCAAGCGGGCGTCAAGCCGACGGATCTAGATGTCCGTCATCGTAAGGGCCTCAGCAACGTGTTCTGGTGCTACAGCAATCTACCTAGCGCGCACTTTAAGCTCCTCGAGGAGGAAGCTTGAGACGGCGCTGGTGATGTGGACCGGGACAACTTCTGCAGCGGTTTTCACTTTGCGTGCCCCGTTGGCTGCACGGGCTAGCTGCTGCTGTTGGAGGGTCCATGGGTGCCCGGTCGTTTGTCTGACTTCGCGTGATGTGTGCTTTAGAGAATTCAATAGATACGAGTCGAAGTACGTCAATATTAATAATACGACTAGGAAGATGATGATGGCTGTTGTCATCGGTGTGTTTGCTGCTATTGCTACTGCTATGATCCTTTTGTAAGCTTTTTTTAACTTGGAGATTACTATTCGGCTATGTGCGAGTGGGGTCGGAGGTATCGAAACTGACGAAGTGAGGGGAGTGGAAAGCTCCTGGTCCTTCACCAATTATGAATCACCATCTCGCCATACATACACAATCCACCGTGCGGCGTGCACCGTGTAGGGCCTTTCAGACCGGTGCGGAACTCGGAATCGGATTTGGCCGATCCCCTCCCCCACTTGCTTAGCGTCTATATCCAACGGTTTATGGAGAACAAAACTCTCTCGCTATTCCGAGACGGGCTCTCGGAAGTGGTGATAACCGACCGACCTACACTTGGCATATGCAGGTTGCGGGATGGCAGCTGGCACATCAGTTACCTAACCCTTGATGAGCATGTCTCGACGACATCTGGGGATCGCAATGCGGGCTCACTCGTCCGTCCGTCGAGTACTCTATTCGCCTCGAAAGATCGTGGGAACCATGGGCACGAAGACGATAGCTTCACAATCTGTATCCGCAGAGACTCACTCCGAAGTCAGTATACGCATGTATGTACTCCAGCTCCACATCGGACGTTGTCGAAGTCTGCCATCGGAGTGATCATGTGGTGGTGGGGCCTTGGCGGGGTATGTATGTATGTATGTAGCTGTGACTGCTCGGCATAACATATCCGAGTCCAGAGGGAGGCATGGCGATATCAAATCGGTGATTATGTGCCCACCTCGAGCGGAACCGCATCATGAGATAGGTGGTTAGCCTGGGCCCTGGCCTGGGCGGCGGCCGCTGCAAAGTTTCTTTCGCGTTGTTGCACCTCGCGATGCATGTGCAACTACGATACCGACACCGACATTCCAGGCCCCGTGGAATGTATAAGGAGCCCGGGTGCCTACATATAATTGAATGGGTGCCCGGAGAACAAAGACAGCCCCTCTGCGCACATCCTTTCCTGTTGTTCGATACTTCGTGCGGACGGTATTTTTTTTTTGCAATTCTGCACCCTCGATGAAGACTGGATCCACACTTTTGCCTGCGGCCCTGCTGCTGATCCTGGCGTCGCTGGCCCTCGCCCACGACCATGGAGACGAGCACGGCGACATGAACATGGACATGCACACAGACAAAGCCCACTCGCATCCGCTGCCATCGCACAACACCAGCATCAGCACAAACGCCGGAGCTGATGCAAGCAATGCATACTACTTCGCCCTCGCACCCCATCGCGGCTGGCTATACCTTCACATCCTGACCATGCTATTGAGCTGGGTGATAATCATGCCTGTCGGTTAGTACCTACTACACACCTAATCGCTGGCCCGCCTCCTTATTGGTGTCACCTCTGACACTCTGACAACCTCTCGCAGCAACAACGCTCTCACTCGCTAGTTCGCGCCACCACGTTCCCGCGCAGATCTCGTTCCTGACCACCAACGTTGCCGGAATCGTTTTCGCGGCGGTACATGCCGGGTTGACGGAGGACCTGTATCCGGCGGCTTCCCACCGGAAGCTGGGATGGGCGCTGCTGGTAATCTTGGGTGTGCAGGCGGCCGTCGGCATGCTTGCAAGAGTCGTCAGAAACTCGGGACACGAACACGGAGGCGGCGGCGGGTTCAGGGCGGTGCCTGCGTATGAAGACGAGGCGTATTCGCGGCTTTATAGTGATCGGCGCTCCGCCGATAGTGGGCATGGCGGGTCGGTGGATCAGGAGTCGTCGGGATACGGCGACGAGGACCACGGGCTGGAATGGGTAGGGGAGAAATCGGCGCGTGGACGATGGTGGGTGGATTTAGCCACCCTGGAAAATGCGCTGTCGGCGAGCGTGCCGGGGATTTTTAATGAACGGGTAGTGAAGATCTGTAATCTTGTTTACTCGGTCATTGCGAGGTTCCTTATTCCGCTGGGGTTTACGCAGATTTGTTTGGGCATTGTTACGGGGGCCGGGATCTTTGTGAGTTGCTCCGCTCGTATGTTCCGAGAGATGGATGCATGGATGGTGGCTGATGACGAGAGCAGATGGGCAGCAGTGTGCTCAATGGGCTCGCGCACTTCATCAAGGGCGGGGTCTTCTTCCTCTACGGAATCTTGACGCTCAGCCGGTGGCTCGGTGCCTTTTCTGAGCTCGGCTGGGTACCTTCCCCCTGGCCTTTCTCCTCCTACCCACCTGCTGATACCCGCAGTCATGGAACCTCAAGCCGACGACAAGCCGAGCCTTCACCTGCGAAACCGTCGAAAGCGGCGGAATCTTCCTCTACGGGTGCGCCAACGTCTTCCTCGAGCATCTAGCGAGCTGGGGCGGCGCCTGGTCGCACGGCGATCTCCAGCACGTGTCGATCGCATTCATGTTTCTCGGTGGGGGACTTCTGGGTCTGTTGCTAGAAAGCACTTGGATCTGGCTGGTCTTGGGGGGACAGGACCACTCGGATCACCCCGCGCACAACGCGGGGTTCACCCCCAACCCCCTGCCCGCGCTCGTCATCTTCCTGCTGGGAACATTGATGTCGCAGCACCACCAGCACTCGCACTTCTCCTCAACGATACACACACAGTGGGGCGCGCTCCTCGCCGCCGCGGCGGTGTGCAGGTCGCTCACGTACTTGCTATTCTTCAGAGTTCCGCCAAGGAGCACGCAGCCCACGCGTCCCCCGACAGAAGTGCTCACCGCGTTCTGTCTCATCGCTGGTGGAGTGGTGTTTATGTGCAGCAATAGGGACACAGTCAATTACCTGGAGCGAATAGGTGTCGACGCCATGTTCTCTCTTACGCTGACGGTGGGTGTCACTGCGCTGTGCATGTGTTGGGTTACGGTTGTGGTCGCTGTGGGGGCTTGGGCGGGTGGAAGGAAGGCGGAGGTGGAGCGGGTATGAGCGCTCGGTGGACTGGTTGCTTGGACTTTGTTTTTTGGCTGGAGGTAGATAGTGTGGCGGTGTGTGGCGCTGTGTGTCCATGCGGTGGATGATAGCATGTGACTGAAGCTGGTTTGCACGGTTGGCGCTGGGTGTGGGTTGGACCTGTGCTTAGCTGTTGAAGAAACACACATCGTTGCGTGCAGTGTCAGCCAGAATGAGTAGCATCACATGCTTCTGTGGAAATAACGGATCGGGGTGGACTATATACACTCACATGGCCGCCAGAGATCGTCTTGTGTCGAGACCCAATGCTATACATAATCTCACTCGGGCCTTTTGCTCGTTCTTTGTCTGATTAGATTATCACGTGGGTTGCTTGGGGTGTTTGTACAGCTCTTGCTTTGTTTACTACGATCCCCCTTTTCTTTAACAGTAGCACTTATCATCCTTTCATCCAATTTGAATGGAATGGAGAAATAGAATGGGTTGCGTGAGTCCATTTGTATAGACTCTCGAGTAGTTGAGGACCCAGATGGAATGGCGAGTGGGTTGCTAGGTGGATCGGGGGAGGAGGAGCAGAAGGGGGAGCAAGTCTTGCGGATTTACTCAGCCATTTCTGCTCATTGACTGAAGTCATTCCTTCAATGACTCTAACTGTGTGGGTTGATTGACTCTGGCGATGCCCCCCGGATGACACTTGTAAGTTGTAACAAAGATCATCGAGACTCAGAGGTGCCCTTTAGTTGGTGAGATTCACATCACGGGCTATCACTCACTTCACGAGTGACTGCACGTGAGTTGACTCAAGCAGAGTACAACCTCACAGTGGTCATTCAGCTACAGAAGACGATGACTCTGAGAGAGCAGAGGGTAATAGAGAGTAATAGAGAGTAGGGAGGGCAGAGAGTCGATTACTATGACCGGTGAAATGGGTGTGTGAGGGTTGATGCTGGTAGGGACGGGGAAGTAAGTATGGTTCCAGCAGTCTAGAAAGTCACAGTGGTATTCAGCTCTGCACCCGGGAAGTTCAATTGTTTACATGACAATAGTTGACCCCCATAAGCTAATTTCCCAAGCCCACCCTTCGCGCAATCCAGAGTTCCCCAACGTCCACACTAATTCTCAAGGAAAATACGTAGAGTGCGGTCGTGCACGCCCTCATGAAGTGCCACAGTTTTCTCCCCACGACCCGGGTTTCTTCCGGACAACCTCGTCCTCTTCACTGCTGTGTTCCACACACAACGCTGCCGGTCCGGCCCGTGATATATCCAGATAGACGTCGCTCTATACGCCCGGAGTGAAGCGATAAATGTTAGCTTGCCAGCAGACGCAGCCTAGCGGCCCGGTGCCTTTCGGGCCGCCACCTGCGCCCTTGAACGTGCCCACAACGCAAGCCATGTTCGTGGGCGGGAGGTCGGGCAGGTCTTTGGGGTCGGCGATGCGACAAAACACCGAAAGGTGATACTCGGGCTCGGTTATCGCGGAAGGTTCGTAGTGCACGATACCCACGTATTCGCACTGGAGTGCTTCGTCCTTGGCGTAGGTTCCGGCGGCGATTTCGGCGCGCGTGGTACGCACTCGCACGACGAGCGCGCGCTCCAGCTGCGCCAACCCTTCGAGCAGCAGAACGTGTCTCCGCGGCTCCGACATGGCTACGTATAGCTTGGAGCGGATCAGGGGATGCGTCCCTTCCGGGACGCGCACACATCGCGCGTGGCGTAGGAGGCACCGCATCTGCCACCTTCCGAGGAGGTCTCCGTTATCCTGGACATGAAGCTCGCTGTGCCCGTCTCCTACTGGCATGCGGAAAAGATCTGGTGGACACCAGCCGAATCCGCCCTTGATCATGGTTGTCGTGCCGTGGAAGAGATTGCTGACCGACACGGTTCCGTGCCGGGCCCGGCCTTGAATCGTACGCAGGACTTCTTGGTAGATTTCCTCCTGGGTCATGGATGCTGGGTTCTTGACGCCCACAAAGAGCCCCGAAATGATCGCCATGTCCCGCGTCTAGGATGTGTATCGCGGTCCAATAACCGTGAGGAGGTCGTTAAGGAACCGTACTGGTGCTCGCAGCTTGCGGATCAGAGCGCTCGCTATCTGGTGATGGCGATGGGACGGTTGTCCTAGCCGTAACAGGATGTCGCCCTCAAGATTCTTGAGCACCGGATTACCGTCATCGTCCTCGAATTGCACGTACACCCCATCCTTTGGAGACTGTTGCAATTCCAACGCGGTCCAGCCTCTTGTGAGCCACGTCGACATGGCAACGGCGAAACAAGCTGAGGCAGCGTCCGTCCACCGGAGGCAGCTTAAGTAGCGGTCATGGACAAGCGTGGCCGTGGCGTGCGTGTAATTATCCTGCATTCGATTGATAGCCTCGATGCGTGCACGCTTATCTTCAGGGAGGCAGACGGTATCCCACCAGATCCCTTCGCATCCCAGTTCCCGCGCCATCTCACAAAAGTGTCGCCACAGGCACTGGTTCACTTGGCCGGTTTTCAGGCCCCTTTCCCGGTTCCGTCGGACCAGACGTGCGAAATGGCCATGAAAGGCTGCTCCTTCTCGACGAGCGACTTTCCATCTAAAGTCTAGGCGGTCGGCACGAATGTTTCGGAGCCCAGACCCGAGCGGTTGAGGGCGCTGCTCAGTAACGCTTGAGAGAACATGCCTTCGGTAGGCAGGCAGTGCCCAGGGACAGAGCACAAATGGAGTTGCGCCACCGAGGTGAAGCTAATGGTGGATTGCTGACAGAAGTCGGAGGTGCACATATCGTGGCCGGTATGGCCCCGAACGGAATACCCCAGGTCTGTAGGAGGCACCAGTGACAAGAGACTCAGCTCGCGCCCAGGCGCCACCGAGCCGAGAGCCCACACACGCTGCGCGCAAATGTTTAGTCGTTCCGCTCGCTGCATGGCCTGGCTCACCAGCGCGGCATACTGGCTTGAGTAGTGTGCCGAGTCGGGGAGTGCCAGCGGGATTCCAAGCAGTGCGATGAGCCATGAGATGAGCTCAAGGACTTCAGGGAGGTTGACTGACTGCACTCAACGCTGATATTTTTCGTCAACGACAAATTTAGGATGGCCCCCCGTTGTGCCTGGGTGTAGGGTTTGCGTTTGCGTTTGGTGGATTTCGGCGGCCAGGTGGTATAGCACATGCGAAAAGTAGTCGATGTCCTCCGGAGTGTCTGGGTCGACCCGGTAGTGATGGGACCCACAGGCCGCCATTTGGACTACCCACGTCTCGAAGCCTTTCCACGTCGGACACTTTGGCATGAAGCGAAGAGACTCGGACGTCCTCTGCTTGCATGAATTGCACGCTTGAATCAGGGATGCCCGAGTGATGCAGAAGATCGTGTGCACCAAGCCTAAACAATCGCCGGCATCTCTGTCATAGCTGGAGATAGCCAGCTCTGCGTTTATCTCGTTCACAAGTTGCGGGTCCTTCAGTTGCGCGGTTGATTTCACTCTGCCCAACAGGTGGCTCATGATGTTCGCATTCGGACAGACCGAGGGGCCCGTTGCCCAGACTGGACGCAGTATCGTATGGTATGATTGTTCGTAAGGCATTATCCTTCCGTATCCATCCAGATATCTGCACGGCTCAATATGGCGTCCATCGAGAATTCTTTGCGGTGGTGCTCTGAGCCCGAATACCAGGTTTTTGGCTTTCGGATCTATTAATGTTAGCAGAGAGCTTCGAGAAGGCAGTATTGGGGAATTAGGTAGGCACCTTCCAGCCAGTCCACCACAGAGATCTGCCCCGGAATTACCCAGCCATAAGGCGGAAATTCGTTGCACACCCAGGGCACTTTCCCACCGCTCGACGGAGAATCCCTAGTCTTGCAGGTGTGCCTGAAGATTAGATAATGTCCTGTAAAGGTTTTTGTTACAAACGAGTGATCCCCGGTGTCATTGTACGCTTACCTTCCATCGGTGATGGGTCATTATGAATTCAACTCCGCTGGGTTAATGGGACAATATCAGATAGGTATTCGGTTTAGTTGGGAGAGGCCGGTGCGGAGGGGTGTTACGCATTCACTTAGGGCGGCGAAGAATGAGGAAAGGCTTAAGTAGACGTCTATACCTTTCAGCCCACCCGTTCGGTATGAGCGTTGCCTAGAAAGCACGATGAGTTTTCACGATTTCCGGTTGGCTGACGAGGATTCGGCACCCTTTGAGCTTCGATACGGTGCGAGTAACCCAACTTATCGCGATTGCAGTGGCCGGGGGAATCAACGAGCAGAAATTTACCCCAGAATGGTTTCCCCGCCCCGCCCCGCTCCTCAGCTCACAAATGTGCTTCTAGACGATATCATTAGCGATTGGGTGGTTGTAGGGGGGCATGGTTGGGTACACCTGAAGGTTGAAGGTTGAATGCTGAGTCCGGAGTGGAGCTGTCCCTCCAACTTTGATACGCTCACTCTCGACCAAAAACCCCATTTCCCCGAAAGAAAATTGTGTTAGTCGCCTCCATTCCACTCGCTGTGATGCCTGGCAGTCTTGAAATCTTGATATTCCTTCTGGTCGTAGAGAAATGTTTGGAAGGAATGTCGCTTGTGTGGTCAGGTCAAAGAAACCGTGCTGGTCACACGGTTTTACATAGTACAGGGGTGGTTCGTATGTGTTTCTGGGCAGTGGGCAGGAGCGAGTGCCGTGGCTTCCGAGTTGATGCATGCACCTAAGGATCTGAATTTAGATTACCTATTCTGTTGTATGACCCCCACGGGAACATGATTTGACATAGGTACGGTACTCTACATACCATAAGGATCATCAAAAGTACTAAGCCTTGAATTGGTATCTTTTCGTCCATTTTTCTTACATAATCCTTATATAGTCTCTGCGGATGTTGCAAAAGGATTATAAGACTTTTGTCGGCTTTCTGTGGGATATAGTTAAGGCCTAGCACTCTATTGACCTTGTTATACCCATTGTTCTTCGTTCACAAGTTTCCTACTTGCTCCCTCGCCCCTACCGGCATCAACCCTCACACACTCCCCCTGCCCTCTCTTACCCTCCCTTGCACTCTGCTCGCTCGGATTCATCGTCTTCTGCAGCTGAATGATCACTGTGAGGTTGTACTCTACTTGAGTCAACTCACGTGCGGCCACTCGCAATGTGAGTGATAACTTGTGACGTGAACCTCACAAACTAAAAGGCACCTCCCAGTCTCGAATCTCCTTTTCCTGTTGCTCTACGTACTCGACGCAACTTACTATTTGCTTGCCCTACTGACCTAGTGTGTACCGGTAATGGGGAGCGAGCTGAGCAGGATAATTGACACGTAATGAGGGATGAAGGAGCACGGGAGGAGGCTGCTTGTACGTACTCAGTCAGCGTAACGTGACGTTACGTTACATACGAAGAGCATATGGTGCCTGCGCTTTTGAAGGGCCATATGTTTGCGGTTCTATTTTCAAGCCAGCTACCTAGTAGCCAGCAGTAGATATGAATGATGGGGAGTAGAAAAGGCACAGGTTATGTACCCCCCGCCAACCTTAGATTCCTGGTCCAATGTTGGTGTGAAGATCTTTGGCAAGAGGAAACACTGGGTTTTGTATGGAAGTCAAGCTCCAGTGCACCAAACTCTCACGAGTAGTGACTAATTTTCACTCTGAAGTTAAATGTATATAGCGGTCACAGCCGCCATCCAGACTCCACCAGCAGATAGCTTGTCCCAGGATATGCATAATCAACCACAGGCAGTGACTGATCCTGGTAGTGGAAAGGAATGGGTGTATACCAGTCATCGCTGGGTGGTGAAGTTGCATTTTTGAGGGTTGTCGGGATGTGTTCTTTTTTTGGTTTTTTTGGTGGGCCGGATGGGTTTTCTTAGGTTCATCTTTCGACTTGCTGGACACCGTCATTGGTACTGATGTATTTATCTCCACTGTTACTGCTACAGAAAAGTTGAGCTTCCAACCAAATGCTTGAAAATGAGGTCACAAGCCCGTGGGATGTGATACTAAGGTGATGGTCTGCCACATGCATGGTTAAGTGGACTGTGACTGAGCCCCACACCTTATTGAATTTACCTGCTCTACTCTTCTTCTGGAGAGAGACAGGAAATCATTTTATCTTTGCATACAGCCTTTACAGACCACGGCGACCCTCTTCTGCTGGACAAAGTCGTCATTGTGCGGCATGACTTGCCTAGGCGGGTGATATCGTATGATCCATACATTATACCCAGCCAGGCAGTGCAATTCCCATTCTCCGTCTCGCAGGCCAAGTACCAATAACAGTGAAGCAGGTAAGTTAGCCCGAGAAATTACAGTCTCATCCATACCCGGGTCGTCCCTCGAGACCACGGAGCATCTGCCGAGGGAGGGAGTGAGCTTCCAGCTTTCTGCGATTCGAGGCACGAATATGCGCTCGTGATGAAGGCCTATCGTTCACAGCCTCAAGATCTACGGCTAAGTGCCCGGAATGTATGTTTTCATGTTCAGGCCGCCAGCTTGGTGTTGGATGCGGGGATGCCGCCAAGAGGATGCGCTAAGCGCTGGGTAGATACGAGTACTCTGCTGTGCGCCTGCGTATAAGACTCGAACTCGCTGCTTTCGCTGTGGGATGGTTCGAGTCAGTTGCAGCGTCACGAAGCATCATATATCAATCGGATTACTACAGTAACCTAACCCCTTCTTCAAATCACGAATCCGAACAACATACAGTACACATGGAAGTCGCAAAACATACCCTCGCACTCCTCCTCGCCTTCCTCGCCGCAGTTGATGCTCACCCAGCGCCGAAAGATGCAACCCCATCCTCCGACCCCGTCTCACGGGCCACCGCCACTGCCACCCCTTCGAAACGAAAATCCCAAGGCGGTGGTGGCGGCCTCTTCCAAACCGGCAGGATCGTCCTCGGCGTGGTTCTTGCGGTGGTCTTGAGCCTGGCTATGGTGGGATTGTGCTTGCCGCGCGGACACTTGAGAAGATGGATGCGCAGGGAGAAGAAGAAGAAGGCTTCTGTGGGGGCGAGGGCGGTGGAGGGAAGGGCGGAGGGGGACGGGAAAGAGCTGGAGGATGCAGAGGCGGTGCCGCCGAGTTATCCTGAGGCTGTTAAAGCGAAGGTGGCTGGTCATTAGGTGGGGAGGCGGATGTAATAGTTAGTGGAGGAAGGGAGGAGAGTTGGATGGTATGGTATTTTTCTATGGCATTGGGTACGCGGCAATGAATCGGCGTATAGATAGCTCGTGTTGGTATTTGTATAATGAATGAACGGCTATATAATTCTCATGATTCCTTCTTCCCTCCCCCGTTAGAACCGGCCGTCCGAATAGCCACCGTAGCTTTCCATACCGGACATCTTCTAGACGCCGATATCTACATGTCTCCAGCCAGAAAATGCCTGGTATCCCGTTGCTTCAAACTTGCACAGTTACGCACTCGCCTAGTATCCTTCCCCAAACATACACGTTACCGCGATACCCGCCTACTGGGAATGCCCTAGGACGCGGTGAGAGCAAGAGCGGAGGAAAGAGTACGGACTAGTCGGCCGGAGATTCCGGCATACGCAGGAAGAAATGAGGCGTTATATTGGTTGGAGGAGTTGGCTGGGGGAATGGAGCGTTGATGTGGGGTTTGGAGAAAGACTGACGCTTTTCGTTTTTCATCTCATTGTCTTTCTTTCATTCTGTTCTTCCTTTTTGTGCGCGGATGTCATCTCATTGTTCTTCTTTCTTTCTGTGTGTATACAGCCATGATCTGCTAAGGTCGAATGCTACGATGATGAAACAAAAAACAAACAATCTACTGGGGATGCCGGTAGCTGCAACCCCGATGTGACGGTCAAAGTGAGAAATTCGACTTTGCCGTATGTATAAATGTAATGTAAGCTGCGCAAGCTGAAGCAACTCCCACAAAAACAAAGAAAGAAACTAGCCTGTCGGCGGGCGGTATAAATGTGCGCCCCAACATTCACGCATCAGGTTTTCCCCTGTCTTTACCCAACCACCAGCAACCACCGTCCACCGTCCGCCATCCGTCATGTACTCCCTCTTCGCAACGCTCACCCTCCTAGTTGCGGGTGTCCTCGCCGGACCCACGCCAGATGTCGTCGGCGCCAATGTCCACCGCGCCCCTGGATTCGAGGTCCTGGAGCTCCCGTCCTTCGACATATCCACCACCCGGCGTTCAATATAACTTCCCAGCTTGAACTGTTGCAAGCCGGCCTCCCTCTCGTTCCTGTATGATCCCCTGTTCCTTTCCTCCGAACCTCGACTAACCCTTCTCCAGCTGCCCGCGGGGGTCCCATCTCCGCCGCAGCCGCCAGCCGACCTCGTTGGCCCCGTCAGGTCCAATAGGCTGTACCTGACGACGCCCTCTGGCACACGGTACTGCAGCTCGTACTCCACGCCGCTGCAGCAGGGAGTGCGCGAGAATGGCTGGACTCTGCTGAAGCTGAAGGAGAGCTGGTGCTGTAACACGAGTCCTTCGGGGTGCACGTTGCTGGCGCACTCGATAAACGCCATTGCAACCGTGTGCGCCCAGCAGCTCGACAAGATGCTCTGTGTGCCCTGCTGGATCGTCGGCAACGCCCAGATCAATATCGCAGAGTACTGTGCGAAACAATCCGGCGGGAAGTGGAAGTTGGAGGGAAGGGTTAGGTATACGCAGGAGGGATATTGGGTCGATGTTAACGCTTTCCGCTGGGGATAGCTAGGCGGCCAGGCAGTGCGGCCCTGGGGCTGGATGGGAGGCAGGTTGGTGCGGTGGTCTAGGCCCCCGATAACTAGAATTCTGCTACATAGGGAAATGGAAATGGCACTCTTAGTTCTCCTACATATCTCAGAAATGCGAACTTCAAACCCTCATTCTTCCCAACATACTGGTACAGACGTCAATCCTCAAGCATGACCAGAGAACTGTAACTGGCGTGAGAAACAATTTCTTCAGCGGCTCAGTCAAAGAACAAGTACCTCCGTTCAAGTGATCCAATCATGCCGCAAACAGGATCGTACCTACCACCGAAAGGGGACCGAGAACTCGGTTTCACTGTATATCACTCGGATATAAAGCGCTCGAAAGTGAGATTCCTGCGTCTAGAGAGCACAGAGGACCTCGATTGAATACCTAGATTATTTCTACTGATTCCACACCTTGACCCTCACCTCCTCCTTGCTGGCAGGTTCAAGTTTATCCGAATCTCGCTCTGCACTGTTCCCCATGGGTCCATTTAGGTATTGTGTCAAACTGGCATGACTGTCTCCCGCTTTTCCGCCTTCTCGTGGCTACGTCCATGGCTTATCTTTGGCTTCCTTGATTAGATCTCCTGTAGTCAGTGAGCGAGTGGATCAACCATCTGTCTGCTTCTCACGGTAGAGTAGACGGACGGCCGGACAGGCTTGGCAGATCTGAGATAGGTAGCGGGCACTCGGAAATTCTCGTGGTCGGTCGGGATCCTCAAAGACCTTGATTGGTATTGGTACATACATATTTGAAGGACCGAGTAACCAGGCTCGCCTTCGGTATCTGTGGGCTGTATAGATAGAATCAGTGAAGCTGGTGGACGTAGGCAGAACCCTAGAGCGTGGAAGTCCCATATGGCGTCTGTTCCTGAGAACAGAATCTATGGTGCGAACGGTTTTATAGCGGGAAGAGTAGGTCTGTGGAACAGAACGGAAGACATAGTGGGGGAGCGAGAGATGTTTGGTGGTGAATTTTATGCGTACATAAGATCGAACCTGCAGCGATCACGTAAACCAGTGAAGGAGGGTGGGGTGACCAGCTGAAGTGAATACCATGTAAAGTACCTAAGTAATTAATGGTAGTTTGCTACGGTATTCATGATGATTTGACCGAGTCCGCTGAACGTACAGTTGGGCGACAGATTCCCATCACCTAGTGATTCCAGCACTCAGGCACACTCAGTCTCCACGGAAGGCTTTCAGGGTGGATTAACTGAATGGTTACCTGCAGCTTTGTTTGTATGTAGGCATAGAGCAATCGGGGAAGGCGGGAGGAGGGTAGGAGGGTGAGTTCATACCCGATTCTGGCAGGTTCTGTCTGTCCTCCCCGAAACGGGTGGTGGGATACTGATTCAGATACACTCCATTCACCCTCTACCATCCACACTCCATCCTCCTCCCTCCATCCCCCTCATCCCTATCCACCCTCATCTCAATCCAACCACACAAATCTGTAAGAGCTCGAGCTCACCCACTCCCCTCCCACCACCACCGCAACCAAGCACCACAAAACACCCCACGACACCTCGCAATGTTGATAATGACCACCATCCCGGGGTCCTTCAAGGCATTTTTCGACTCGGCCGTTCCAACCGAGCCGATGCACACCTTTCTCGAGGTTCCACCCCCACCATACACCAGCTGGGACCAGTACTTTGTTCTGAACGCGCCGCGGGCGCGACTTCGCGTGGCCCGCTCCGAGCCCGAGCCTGAGCCCGAGTCCGAGCCTCCTCGCTTCCGCATCGTCTGGGAGAACATCACGTTCCCGGTGCAGATGCAGCGGGTAACCGTTGGCATGCTGCTCTTCCTCCTCCTCGGAGACGGCGTCCCCACCGGAACAATCAGGATGGAGGACGGATCGGAGTTCGACGTCATCGAACAGGTCGTGGCTCTGCAGGAGGGCGACGTCGTCTCCGTCCAGGTTAGGGTCCCCGTTCTTAATTGGTAGGTAGGTAGGCGGACCGGATGCATAGAGGATCGATGCTGCTGCTAATGCTGGGTTGGTATCTCATCTCTGGGGAGTTCTGTTTACGATGGGGAGTTTGTGGGCTTGAGAGCTTGTTTGTTTGATTTCGATGGACTGGTGGACTGGCTGGATAATGGGAATTGTAACTTGCGCCGACGTTTTTTTCTTTCTGCATCTTACATGGGGGTTGAGGGCTGGGAGCTGGGGGTGGAGAGCTGTCGGTCTCTGGGTGTTGTAACTTATGGATGAATTTAATGCAATACCGCTCACGAAACCCAAACACGAGTGACACTCCATGCCCAAGCCCAAGCCCAAGCCCATGCAACCCGGTTCACCACCCATGACGCAAGCGGCTCCCCACCGTGCATCCTGCACCCCCGTCCCGTCCGCCGTCCCGTCCCCCACCACCCCACCAAAACGACCATGTCGACAAGTACGATCCACATCCATACCCTCCCGCCGTCTTCGCACCTAGGGCTGGACCTGAGCTCTCTCACGACACCCAGCACGTTCACAGGAATCTCCTCTTTACCCCCAGGGCTGCACCACATCTGGATCTCGCCCGCGCCGTCACTGACGCTGCGGCACGGGCGGTGGGTCCTCTGCGCCGGCGACAGTGACAACGACACGCACTACTTCCGCTACGATGCCGGCAGCGAGGGATTAGTCCGCGAAGACGTGGAGGGGACTGTGGTGCGGTCGGGAGCCTCAGAGTCGGAGTCGGAGGCGGAGGAGGCGGAGGGGGAAGAAGGGCTGATAAGCTACCGACAGCGGCACCCTGGCAGCGGCTCGGAGGGGCACAGCGATTCCGCGTGGCGGGCGTTAGTGGCACACGTTACGCCGGGCGTGCTGACGTGCCTACTGGGCCCGGGCTGGGCGGCTGAGACGACGTCCTCGTCGACCAGCACCTCCGGCGACGACGAGGACGACGCAGCCGACCTCGCCGCCGGAAAGGCGTTCGAGGCGGACAGTGAAGTGCGGATCGCGTTCACGGCGATCAATCTGAAGACGACGTGGCCGGCTGGGGCTGTGGGGCGGGAGCGCACGGAGAAGGCGCGCGACCGGTCGTGGGCGCTGTCGGAGGTGCTGGGGCGCCAGCAGGAGCTGCTGGGCGAGTGGGAGGTGACGTTCGTGGTGTGCTTGTTTTTAGGAAACTTTGCGGCGGGGGAGCAGTGGCAGAAGGTCGTGAGGCTGGTGTTGACGTGTCGCGAGGCGGTTTTTGGGGGGAGCGAGGGCTGGTTTGTTGAGTTCCTGCAGGGGCTCAGGAGGATGCTGGAGGTTTTGAAAGGCGCTGGAGACGGTGGGGGGTTCTTGGGCGACGAGGTCATGGCTGAGGTGCTTAAGTTGCTGAGAGGGTTTGGCAAGGTCCTGAGGGAGGAGGAGGAAGAGGACGACAAGAGAGGGAGGAAGGTCCGTGAGGAGTTCTTGAAGCTGGCGGGCTGGGCGAGCAGGAAGATGGATTGGGTGCTTGATACGCGGGAGGTGCTGAGGAAGGGAATGGTACAAACCGAGGAGGGGGATATGGTCGAGATACAGGATGAGGGGTTGGAGGAAGAGGAGGAGACTGGCGAGTATGCGCCAGCTGTCGTGGAGGATCTCGAGCTGTCCAAAAGTAGGAGCGAGTCTCCCCTTGAGATACAGATGGCGGATGAAGAGGATGATGATCCCAGGTTTTAGCAGCAGCAGCAGCGGTTTCTAGTAGATGGTATTACACGGCGTCCAGGCAGAAGAAAATGGAATAATCTCGCAACATATGCACCCATTACCCGCTAATTTTTCTCCTTCCTCTGCTCCTCCTCAGCCTCGGCCCTATCCCTCCTCTTGAGTGTGACCTCATAATTGTACAGCCTGGCGGTATTGACCTCGAGCGTGGTGATCTGCTGCCTAAGAAAGTCCATGTCCTCCTCGCAATTACTCAGACTCTCCTCGGCGGCAGTCAGCTTCCCCTCGAGCAGCTCCATCGCCTCATCGATCGGATATGCCAGCATGACATTGGCGCCCAGCCAGAGGTACACCTCGTCGGTGCCCGTGGGGATCTGCGCCTTCGCGAACAGCGTGTCATTGAGCTCGAACGTCGTCTCGAACGCCTTCGACCCCTTGCGCGCCTGCAGGAACTGCACCGTCTCCAGCGTCTTGCGGATGTCCGGGATCTTGTCGTTCAGCCCCGCCGCCCGGCGCTGCGTGTTCATCTCCATGAATTGGTATTTACTGGCTGCCGGAATGGGATGTTAGCGAGAGGGAGCGAGCGAGGGAGCGAGGGAGCAGGGGGATAGGTGGGGGAGAGCCGCACGCGATCATCTCCTGAAATTTTTTGAGGTTGGGCTCGATCTCTGCCCGGCTGTTGACGAATGATTCGACGTCCTCGACGAACGGCGCAACGGGGATCCCGCGGGGGTTGGCATCGCTGTCCACAAGCAAGTAGGTATATCGTCAGCTACCTAGTTTCCCCTTTGGAACTGTAGCCGGAGGAGGGGTGAAGGGAGAGATACCCGACTTCCGCCATTGTGTGTGTATGTGCGAAGGTAGCAGTCAAACAATGATGTGGTCGTGGTTGGAGATGAGGTGGTAGGTGGGAGTAGCTGAGCTCGATCGATACTTGGTGTTACGATTGCTGATGATGCTGATGGAGGGGAAAACGTGGGGCAGGCGCAGGCGCGGGCCCGGGCCACGCCAAGTCAATGCCGCCATCCATCCCTGCCTGCTTCCTTTTTGGCTACATAACTTTTGATTTTCGAACCAAGCTTGACCTCAATTGCGACATCAACATCCACCTCACCTCCCTCCTCCACCACCACCGCAACTCCCACGACTCACGACGACGATGAACGCCTCAACCCACCATCTCCGCTCCGGCGCGCTGCTACTGTTCCGGTACACCCCGCCGCGGGCACCGCACGTACATGCCCACTCCCTGCTGAAATCGTACGCCACGACCTCTGTGATCCCGCGGACGCCGCCACCACCGCCCTCGAAGCCGTCGACCGTGGACACCGTCAACTCCCCCGCCAGCAGCATCCCCGCGCCGATTTCCCTCCCCTCACGCACGCCCGACACGAGTACATTTATGCACCTCTTCCGCGTCGGCAAAGCGTACTTGACCTTTTTCAAATCCGGCTTTTCGGCTATCCTTTCGAACTACAAATCGACCCGGTCGCTGCAAGACCTAGCGGACAAGCACGGCCTCCCCACGCTCGTCTCCTCCGCCCGCATCACCCGCACCCAGTACCAGCACCTCGTCCGCGCCCGCCACGATATCCTCCGCGTCCCCGCCTTCGGCCTGATCTTTATCGTGTTCGGCGAGACTAGCCCGTTCATCCTCCCGTTCGTCCCGCACCTCGTCCCGTACCCCTGCCGTATCCCGCAGCAGCTGAACCGGCAGCGGCGACTGGCCGCCGAGGCGCGCACAAAGGCGTTCGCTTCACTAGCCGCGGAGCCGACCGCGGAGATCGCAAAACGGGAGCTGGGACAGCTGAACAGTGAGGAGCTGCGCCATGTAGCCCGCGTCTTGGGCGTGGACTCGCTCCTACTCCCGCTCGAGGGCCTGCGAAGACACCGCGTCGCGAAAAGGGTGGAGCACTTGGCGCTCGACGATGCGCTGTTGCAGCGCGGCGGCGGCGTCGAGGCGCTGGATGCGGGCGAGGAGCTGGTCATGGCCGCGCAGGAGCGCGGGATCGATACGTTCGGCAGACAGGAGCGCGATATTAGGGATGCGCTGGCGGGGTGGGAGAAGGTTACGAAAGCTGTGGGAGGGGTTAGGGCGGGCGTGTGGTTGCTGAAGCCGGAGACGTGGGGGGTTGTGGCGAAATAGATGGTGGGTTGAGGAGGGAGGGGGACGGTGTAAGATATACGGAGGAGGAGGAAGAAGAGGTGGAGGAGAAACGCATACAGACATACATAGACGGACGATGGAGGAGCGATGTAGAACAGAACAGAACAGGGCGGAATAGATCATGTGTCAATGACATCTTCAATTCAGACAGACGTTCAGCTTCGTCCAGCTTCATCCAGCTGCATATCTTCATCCAGCATCTATTTGCCCCACAGTGTACACCTTCTCGCCGCACCCATTAACAGCATTTAAAAGCATTTCCAAAACCCCCCCAGCGGTAGAGTACAATACACATATACCCCCATAACTACCCCATACCCCATACCCCATACCTACCCCACACCCAATACCAATATCGACGAACCCGAAAAATGGTAACCAACCGCAATTTGGAACCAAATATTTTCAAGTAGAAGTTTAGTTTAATTTAGTTTCTGTAACGCATATATAAAATAGCAACAAAAGTAGGTACGGTAACAGCCTGTCGTTTCATATATTCGGGAAACGTACATATCCCGAGTATGTATCCATCCTCCCCCTCCCCCTCCACGAAAAACACATCCATCAAAGGGAAACCAAAACCGCAACCACAGCCAGCAAAAGGAAACTGAAAAAAACTGAAAAGCAACGCCTATCGAAGAAAAAAAAGAAAGCAAGGAAACTTTTTCCCCTCAAGAAAACGAGAAAAAATCAAGAATTACGCCTGTTTCCACTTCGCTAGTGTCTCCATGATGTTACCGATCTGGCCAGCACTAGTTTGTGGTTGCTGTTGCTGCTGGTGTTGCTGTTGCTGTTGCTGCTGCTGTTGCTGTTGCTGCTGAGCTGCGACTTTCTGCTGCGCTTGGCCGAGCAGAGCTGCTAGTCCTGCGCTGCCGCCGTAGGCGCTGAGAGCCGACTGGCCGCCGTACTGCTGCTGCTGCTGCTGCGGTGGTTGCTGTTGCTGTTGCGGCTGTTGCTGTTGAGGTCTGACGGCACCAGCGATGAGACTTGCCAGGTCGGCGCTAATCTGGGGAGCTTGCTGCTGTTGCTGGTGTTGTTGGTAGGTGGCTTGTGGGGCTGGCTGCTGTGGTTGCTGTAGTCCGGCCAAGAGCTTCTGGAGGCTGCTTGGGTCCAGTGAGGTCAATAGGTTGGCAAGACCTGGAACGCCAGCGAGCGCTCCGAGCTGCTGCTGAAGAGGCTGTTGCTGCTGCTGCTGCTGTGGTGGTGGTTGTTGCTGCTGTACCTGGGGAACGCCGTAGCCTCTTCCGTACTGAGCAAGCGGAGCTGCGTTATGCTGCTGGTGCGATTGTTTCGAGCGGACAACAAGTTCTGCCGCAATGGGGGGATCAAGGTTATCGTATTCTAGATATCCACGATGTTAGTATCTGCATAGACGGGAATGGCGCAGGTACCTACGGTCAAACGACGCCTCTCCTTCGCCGCGCCGGTCAAAGACCTGTATCGAAATCTTGCTGGCGAGCTGCATACTCCTGTTCAGGAAAACCACAGCCTGGACTCCCTCGAGAACCTGGCGCTTGACGACAGCGGACAGTTGAAGCCGGGGATTCAGGAATAACATGTCGCACGTTAAGCCGCGTTGTCGGAATGCCTGTTCTACCCACCAGATGAAATTTCTATCCGACTGTCAGCAACTCGAGCCCACAACGATCGGCGGCAGCGGGCACTCACCTATCCAGTTCATCGCTGACGAGAATCTGCACCTCCGGCACTTGATCGGGTGCTCTTCTCGGAAGAGGAACATCGTCGAAATCGGGACTCCTGCTTCGGGTCCTGCTTCTCGGTCGGTACCTAGCCGGGGGCGATCTCGATCTTGATCTCCTTCCGGGTCGGTAGTCGTCGCGCGCACCCCGCATGGGCGGCGGTGGTGATCTCCGGCGGGTGCCGTACTCATCTCTGTCGCGACGATCACGCAGGTCCCTGTCGGTGGGTGGCGGCGCTCGGTAGCGGTCAACCTCTCGGCGTCCGGCGGCTACAGGCGGAGGGGCTCGGCGCGGGGAGGCACCGCCGCGAGGGTAATCGGGAGAGCGTGACCGACGTGGCCGGGCAGAATCTATGGGCACGGGCCGGGTATTTCTCTGTGGTTTCGAGATCTCGAGGTCTATATTCCGGGGCATCGACAGTTAGGATCGCACTTCGATTTATCGTTCACGCAACCATGGGTGTCTGAGATCGGATTGGGCTGTCTTACGCATTTTACGGCCCCTCACTGAGGACCCCTGCTCGTGGCGTAGTGCCGAAGCACACGACGACTGATCGAGGAACTGAACAAACCCATAGGCCTGCTTGATGGATATCTGTGCGAGGCGGCCATGCTTGTGGAAAGTGCGGAACAGGTCACGTTTGGTAACTTTTTCGGTGGGCAGGTTTCCTATAAGGCGGTGGGCACGAGGCTACAAGTAAGTTCTTCTGTTCACTCGCACACACAGGCACACACACACACACACACTTAGGAGTACGGTGGTAGAGCATCAGGCAAGCATCGGATATAAATCAACTGCAAAGGGGTAAGGGTGGTAAAACGAGTGGGTTGGGTGGATGCGCACCAATGAACAAGCGGGAGCCAGCAGGGAAGCGGTCCCATTGACCTTGAGTCACGTAATCACGCTCATCCGCGAGGAACCTCGAAAACTCTTCTTCTTCGTCGACCGTGAATGGCAGCCTGTCCTCCTCGTCCTCTTCCTCCTCGGCAGCGGCGTCCGAGCTCAGCGGCTGCTGCGGCTGGTGGCCCTGTTGGGGTTGCTGCGATTGCGACTGCGACTGCGGCTGCTTATTGTGGTTGAAGTTTGGGGGTGGCGGCAGCGACGATGGATATCCGGCAGGAGGCTGGCCCGGCAACGACGAAGACACGACTGGCACGGGTGGCAGAGGATGGTTTGTCGGAAGCGCGAGTGGGTTCGATGGAGTGTGCGACTTTTGGACGGGGGAATGCGGCAGAGCTGCCTTTATGGTGGGAGGAGCACTGCTTGGGGGCGCAATGACGGGGGGTCCGTTTGGTTGTGGAGACTCGGAGGGCGGTGCCGAATACAGCTGGTGCGGTACGGTGGGAGTAGCAGGGGACAGCTTGGTCAACAGAGCTTGGAGGTCCACACTGCTAGAGAAATCATTTGGGATCGCGGTGGGCAATGGAAATCCTGTGGTAGCAATGTTTGCAAGGTTTGGAGGAGCGGTTCCATTGGTAGGGGCCGGAGACGATGCGACTAGCCCATTACCAGCATGCAAATCACCGTTCTGCGTGAAGGGGAGGGAAGTGGAGGAAGGATTATCCATGGCAGGAACAGGAGCGACTGAAGTCGCGTGCGAAGATGACTCTCCCTGCTGCGGTGGCTGTTGCTGCTGCTGTTGCTGGCGCTGTGACGTCGAGGGCGGTGATGGATCGTGTTGGTTATGTTGCTGGTGCTGCTGCTGCGCGTGCAGCTGTTGCTGTTGCTGTTGCTGGTGCTGAAGCATCAACGACTCTAGGGAGTTTGACACCGGGCTCACGGCAGAATTGTCGTTGGGAGTCGCGAACGGTTGGGGGGGATGAGCATCAGTGAAGTTAAAAGCGAGTTCCATCTGGTTCTTTAGAACCGCGGGTTCAGCGACGTGTACTGGGTGGGGGGAGACTGGGGAGAGTGGCTGTCGGCTTTCGAACCCGTTTGTTGGAGGGGACTGTGGTTGTGAGTGTGGTGGCTGCTGCAATGGTGGTGTTGGAGAGGAGAGGGATTCCTGGTGAAGTTGGTTGTCGGCGGCGGAGGAGAGGGCAGGAAACTGTTGCGGCGGTGGAGGTGTCGTTGCGGGTGGAGGGGTTTGGGTTGGTTGGGGTGGGGGGGGTAACTGGTTTTCAGACATACAGAACTATGCTTTTGCGCATGAACAGCAGCGATTCAGCAGCGGGCAACCCGAGTTTGTATGAAGTATTGAAGTATGTGTCTTCTTTCTCTTTTCTCTTTGAAATCGGTCTGTAACTGTACGAGCGAGGAATTGAGGTGCTGGATGGGATGGTGGGGAGTTGGGTGGAGGGGGGTGTGTAGAGTATTTGGAGGAAATGGGGGGAGAAAGGGTTGCGGCGGATGACAGGATATGACAGAGAAGAGAAACGGCAATTTTCAGCGAGTTTTCTTGTTTGAGTTTTTTTTTGTTCGTGACGATGTAGCTGTGTCGGAGGAGCGAGGCAAGTTTGGTGGTGGCAGTTGTGATGTGGGTTGTTGTTGGGGAGTAGATGTGGGTTTGCGAGGCGGTGGTAGTGGTGGTGGGAAGGTTGTTGATGGACTGGTCAAAGAGGGGAGAGGAGGTTGGTTTGAAAGAAGTAATGGGGGGAAGGGGAGAGGGTTGAAGGGCGGGCGGCGGTATTTGAGTTGACTTGGTGGTGGTTGTTGTGGTGGTGGTGGCGGGCGAGAGTTTTGGAGCAAAACTTAACTTAAGATGGATGATGGGAGAATTGGTGTTAGTGCGGCGGCGGAGAGAAGGAGAAGACGTGTTGGTTGGAAGGGGAGGAGGAGAGAGACTCGAGACGAGAGGAGAGCAGGCAGGAAGGCGGAGAGTTGTGGAACGGGAACGGGGATATGGCTGTGGATGTGGATGTAGAGGTTGATGTGGATGGTGTGTAGGCACGCAGAGAAAGGCAACGAACGGGCAGGGAAGGGAAGAGAAGGAGCGAAGAAGGGACGTTGAAAAAGAAAAGTGATGGGTGGGTGGCAGAAGCGGCTGCACTAGCCACATTGGCCACAGCACAGCAGCCACAGAGCGGTCGAGCCCGCAGCAGCGCATGAGCCACCCACCGCCTTCCGCTCAGCCACTACGTCACTACCCGCACCTCCACATCCAGCCGACGCCGATCTGCATCGATCAATCACGAACGAAACGAACAAACCGAACAAACCGAACCGAAGAACCGCGACCGGTTTCCATTCGAACTGCTGTAACCATGTCGCTCTTCCGTCTCCGCGCACTGCTACCTTCGACCAGCCGACGCCTCCTTACGCGCTCCTACACGGACGACTGGCGCACGCAGACGGCCTCCAAATGGACGTCGGACGAAGAAATCGAGCGGGCGCGGGAGTGGGTCGAGAGCTTCAAAGTGACCGACATCCCCAAGAAGTCGTGTACGGTCTCGTTCTCGTCCTCGTCCGGTCCGGGCGGGCAGAATGTCAACAAGTATAGTACACCGTGCCATGCGCCGATGAAAGAAATCGTAGTGACAAAGAAAGCAAAAAATAAAGATTGGCGACGAAAGCAACGCTGCATCTGGACCTGACCAAGAATGCAACCTTCTTGCCGGACTTCGTGCTCCAGAAGGTGCGCGAAAACTCGAGACATATCACCCGCGAGGACGAGATCGTCATCCAGGCCGATGGCACAAGGAAGCAGTCCGAGAACCTGGAGGAAGCCTACCAGCGCCTGCATAAGATACTGGTCGAGTCCGTGTCGGTCGACGTGCCGGGTGTCACCAGCGCCGAGAAGAAGAAGCGCGTGAAGGAGCTGTATTCTCCCCCCTTCTAGCATCACTGACCGTCACATGGCTGACCCGCTACAGTCAAAAGCAGGATGAGCGGTTGCGGAGGAAGTTGAAGACGGTGCAGAAAGCAAAGAAAGACTCGCGGCGAAGCAGGCCGAGCGACGACTACTAAGCAGGGTACAGGTACATGCTATCGACCACCCAAAACGCCAGTGTGTATATAAGAAGTATCTACAAGAAAAGAAAGCCGCACATTATGCCAATAGTGTGAAATCAAGAACTTTTCGACTCGCTCCCCTCCAATTGCAACAACACTAGATCTCCGGGATATCTCTCACGCCCTCTCTGTGCTATTCGTGCCGCTTCCTCCTTCTTTTCCCTTCGGTCCGTGAACTGGACCCACAGTGCGTAGAGCTCAGGCGTGGTCTCGCCCTCCTTCTCTGCCTGCTTGAAGTACTTGATCAAGCTGGCCGAGATGACCTTCCTGATGCCGGCATCCAGCTCGGGCGAGGCCTCCAGGAGCCCTGTGAAGTACCTAACAAAGGAGAGGTATAGCTCGCTCTTCTGATCGGTCTCGCCAACCGCCGCCGCCATGCCGGAGAGAGCCGTCGACAACCGTCCGGGGAACAACGGGTCGGCCGTGTCGACACCAAACAGCGGCAGTTGTACACCCAGCCACAGCGACCTGGCACTCTTGGGCGCAGTATCGAGCATATGCTTAACGACGTGCTCGAGCAGCCTCGCACAGCAGCTGAGCCGGTCGAACTGCGCAAACAGATCGTAGAACTCGGCCGCGAACGCCAGATCGCCGGGAATCTCCTTCATGGCCTGGTCAAAGATCGCGATCGCCAGCGCGCCGTTAAGCGCGGGGTTGGTCTCGGCATTCTCGAGCGCGATCGTGTCCAGCGACTTGTCCTTCTTGACGCCTTCAAAGTCCTCGCCCGTGATCTCCGGCAGCTTCCACATATTCTCGTCGCCGTCCGCGTCCTTGTCCGCCTGCGCCTCCGCCTCCTTCGGCTGATCGATCCCGAGCACCTTCCGGCGCAGGAACACCTTCGCCACAAACACCATCTCGAGCTTGGCATACTCCCTCCACAGTTCTCTACTTTTAGCATTAAACCTCAGACCCCTCTGCATATGACTTCTCGCAGCCGCGACATCCCCCTCACCCTCGACCGCCTGCCTCGCGGCCAGAATCCACAACATCGGTTTCGCGGGATGAAGCTTCAGCACGTTTGCTAGTGCCTTCGCGAGCACGGTATTCGCCTTCTCCCTCTTCGCATAATCGATATACTGCAGCCACAAGCCCACATCTCCCGGAAACTTCCGTGTTGCCCGATCGAGAATGAAAAATATCCGCCGCGTCCCGTAGTGCATCCGCGCGCGGATCTGCAGCCGCGAGCACCGCAGCCGGAATAAAGAGGACAGGTTCATCTCGTATGATGCGTACCGTGTAAACACTTGCGCGCTGCAGCCGGACGCCGCGATCCGGTGCTCGAAGTCCGAGCGCTTGCGTGTTATCGCGGCGATTTCATCCTGGAACAAACGGTCAGCGATGGTGGAGGGGGGGAGGGGAGGTGGAGGCACAACTCACCTTGTTGAAAACTTTTTTCTTCTCGTACTCGTGCAGCTCTGGGATCGACTGCTCCAGGTAGAAGCGGGCTTTGTCAGCGGCGGCCATGGCGATTGATATGGAGGGAGGTTGCCGTGGTTCGCTGAGTTCGACGGGTTCGACGAGTTCGACGAGAGTTGTGGGGCAGGTTCTCACCACTGCGGTTGAATTTTTGTTGGAGCCGCACTCTGGTTGGGTTACACCACGCTTGCGGACGATACTAGCTTGGAGATGGAGAACACACGGACCAGGCACGTGATTGTCTATATTACACAGAGTAGAGTAGAGTAGAGTAAAGCGCGTCTTCCTTCAGGCTTACATCAGCACCTGCTGCATGCCGGTGTTCGATCCACTCACTCACCGAAACAAAAGCAGCTGACAGTTCAATCAATTAGTTGGTTGGTCGAGTGATTGATCATTGATTGGATTATGTCAGTGGTAATGGTAGCCGTATGGTTATAGAGTATGGTACTATGATATCCTATTCCCTGATAGGATCGTAAATCAGATGTTCTGAGCATTGCGGGTTCGGCATCATCACGGTACCGCCGGCATGTAGCTTGAGCTCCGCAGAGTCCGGGTACCATTGCTCTACTCCAGATACTCTATTTTACACGGACGCAGCTCTTCCGTTGCCGAAGTAACGTAGCAATAGACCTGGAAGACCGACGACGGTGGCAGACGGAAGTCAAATTGAGTCTTGACCACAGGAAACCCCATTCATTCATACCAACCCAATCGTCCAAAGCATGTAGAAATGCGATCAACACCCTCTTAGAAGACAAAAAGCAATTCAACCAGCTAAGAACAAACTTTCACGCCGCAGCCAGCCATCACGATGAAACGCGGCCCACGTTGCTTAAACTTTGCTTTGGTGAACAGGTTTTATCCAATCAACCTTCTTCAGAGTCTGCTAGCCTCCCGAACGAAAGCTCCCTTCCAAAGGATCGATGGATCTCCCGCCCATTTCAAGTGAGGATACGAACCAGCTCCTGGGTGATTGCTGATGGTTCTTGACCGCTACCGATCACGACTTCAGTGTTGCTGCGCATGTGCTCGGATATGCATCTCCTAGGAACGGGAGCCTTGACTTCCCAACACCCGACAGAACACAAAACGCGGCCCGTTACTATATTTACACCCTTGGTATGAGGTAGGTACCGTATTACGACGTGCACACGCCTACATATGATAGTACAGATTGCAACTGACGGATCGAGTCAAAGCTTAAAGCTTGAAGCACGAATCGAGATTGAGGCAGAAGAAATTTCTCTTCATGAAAATACAAAAAAAGGGTTTCCCGTTAACTGGCGGTTCGGTGACCGGTTTGGAAAATCATGTACTGTGATCGGGTCCTAGTGGGTACCGTATCTGGACATTTACACCATCGGACTGGATTGGACTGGACTGGACTGGACTGGACTGGATGGGACTGAACGGGACTGGACCGGTCGGTGGACGGTGTATTGCCTGGAAAAGTCTGCCCGGGGCGGGACAGCCATACACTTCCATTCCTCGCCAGACCAAAGTTCCGGCGGTACAGCCTTAATCCGCAACTAGGTACGCTTGGATGTGGGAAGTTCCCACCAGACGTTTCACTCCTGCATGGACGAGCCTCGAGCAACCCAGCAAACAACGGCACCTACCGCCAGGAAAATTCCGAACATAGGTCATCACTCTGACTCCGGCGTCTCTGACGAAAATTCTTGATACTTACGGGCTCATACACATCGAGCTCACGGCCAGCGGCCGGAGACAGTGGGGAGGAACCGGATATGTACTACAGCCACGGTCTACTAAGTTCGAATGCTAAGATGATTAAACAAAAACAGAAATTACTGACTCGAACTCACCGTTAACGGAACGATTGGTGTTTGTCGATTTCGAACGGTGGGGTGGGGTGCTTCACGATTATGTAGTGGAAGAGTGTTGGAATATTTGGGTAGACGGGAAGAGACAATCCATTCTATACAGCAATATCATCGGCGGCGAGATCTCTATTTATATACAGACTGAGGTGCCGTCGAAGGTTCCTCACCCCACACAGCACCGGATCTCGACCGCCCGCCGCGCAACCATATGCGCGTCAACGTCTTCAGGTGTTCAAAGCTTGACAAAGAGGAACGGAGTATATATGCACTCTACGAGAGCCCAATCAGCTGATTCCCTGCCTCTCATTGACAGATCCCGATACAACATATACCCGCTATGTAGAACAGGTGTGTCGGTCTTCAACCCGAGCGGCAAGGCGAGATGATCTAGAGCCGCCGCCGCCTAATCCACTGCCGTTGGCTCGGCCGGCCTCCAATTAAACGCCGTCTCCGGCGGTTGTCCGATGCTGCGTCCGTCAGTGTCTGCTGTACTCCATATGATATATCCATGCTCCGTGTTGAATGCCACTGCTGCTCATCTCCTCCGATACTACGTTACTTCGCCATACGCGTGCCTCTAGAGTATTCGCCCGCCGGATATAAAATTCGTTCACATCCGCCGGAGGTGAGGAAGGCATATGTACTCATGCACCTGTACATACCAAAGATACGAGTGCCACTCCGCTCAAAGCCCTCGACATCTAGACGGCCTGGTCAATGGTAGGAGACAGAACGCATTCGAGTGGCCACGCTGCGTCGCCGGGGATGCCCAATCACCTACAAAAAAAGAAAAAAGAAAAAAGAGAAACCCTTTATTGGTAGAGAATCGATTGGATAGAATCGATATCAAAAGGGTGGTTATTAGTCCGAAAACTCGAGCCTCTTTGGAGGCTCACTTTTAAATACCCATTGCGAGGACAAAGGGATTTGGACTGTCATTCCTGTTCCAGGGGTTTGGTGGTGGAATTTCTTTGTCAAATGCTCTATTGCGGATACAATACCTCTTCCGGCCATATCCTCAGGGTTCCATGCTGTATGAATTATCAATCAATCAACAGATGTCTGCCCCAGTTATTGCCTATTTGGATGCCACAAAGGTCCGTTATATCCACCGCCGGACATTTAGCGATCATTAGAGAATCACGTGTCTTACTGCCAACTCGGGAACACGGGTCCACAAGCGAGAAAAAACAGGCCAGACGTGGACAAGGATGGCCGAAAGTGGAGTGAAACACCAAAAAGCGGCGCTTGGCTCTAGGGAGTTATAGATTTCTGTTCCGAAACTCCGGCTTGGATCTCGCACTACGGCAACGACCGGTATCCCCGATCCCAAGGGTCTAGGAGTGAGCTCCAATCCCTCAACACGGTTTTTATATAAGGTTTGCAGCGGCCTCTGGCACATGCACGTCGCGCGTGCCTGCTGCTCCGTATGTAGATACGGTGCAAACGAGGCTCCTCTTCTTCTCTCGGCCTTCGCTCCCCGGCCGGCTCAGAACAGCAGAGATCTCCACCCCCCGGTGCTTAGTGCCAAGAGAATGTCCGTATCCATCTTCCTCAACCATCCACCTCGCTCAATTGCAGCCGTGCCTCGGTAGGCGTTGCTTCTGTAATCCACTCGGCTCCGGCCGGTGCTCCAGAGATTGTTGTGCCGCTGCCTATTAGTCAGGCAAGGCAATCTGCCACGAGAACAAACAGCCAGGTGTGAAAGAAAGACAGTCGACAGTTGACAGTCAGAGCCTGGGAGCGGAACCCCCGAATTCCGTGATTGCCGAGAAGAAGGTATCTCCCCAATCCCAACCTTCCCCCCCGCCCAGCAACAACACCAAGCCAATACCACCCGCCGCCAATACCACCCGCCGCGACCACCTTCGCGTTAGGGGTCCAGTCGATATAGTAATCAAATCCTTTCTGCGATGCTGTTGGCTTTCTCTCTCTTCCTCTCTTCTTCTCTCTCTTCTCCCTACCTCTTCTCCCACTCCGTCCCGACCACTCGTTCGGTGTTCGATCAACAAGCCACACACCTCTCTCTCTCTGCTTCCAGTCCTTGGGCTAAAAGCCACTCTCCATTCGACTAATCGATCGCTCTCGTCTTTCCCTCATGCCGAAAGAGAAGGATGGCGGTGTCGTCCTGGCCTCGGTACGTCATTCCCTACAGATGACGGAGCGAGCCCCATCCCGTTCTGTGACACCCTGGCGACTTTGCGATTCGGTCAAAGCACCGAGCGATATCGAGATACCTACCCAGATATGCAACTGAAACTCTGCTTGCTAACACCCCGCCGTCCGAGCGCAACAATAACAGGTGTCAGCAAAATGGATATCATACACGCACACGCTCATCGCATACTGTCGGTCAACCCAACCCACTGCCTGCCTCCTACCTTACCTCTCTATACACCCCCCCACTGCCTGCCTGTCAGCTTGACTGCCATGCAGCCATTTCGATTTCGAGCAAGGTGTGCTGATGCGCCAGCTGGCTGAATAGGTGCTTTCTTCAGCGCGTTAATCGTCGGGATGTATGTATGGATCGCAGACGTGCGACCGCTCTTCTCGCTAGCGGATGACCGGCAGATCGAGAGCGGCGGCGAATAGCACTCTAGCTGACACTCGCAACTCTCCGTACCAGGTCACTACACTTCCATAAGATTGTGAAGAACGAGTACTATGTACGTAATTCGCGATGCTTGCTCGGATCGCGCGAGCTTGCATTTGCAAGCGCTGACGAAACAACAGGGTTATCCGCAAGAATGGTTTCCCTCCGTTTCGGCGACGATTGGCGACCGGTATCCCGAACGATCCATCTTCCAGGTGTTCATCGCGATCACGTCGGGTCCCCGCTTCGCCCTGGTCATCCTCTGGTACCTTGTCACCGCGCGTCCCGGCGCGCGCGGACCCAAGTTCGTGGCCACCGTGGGCTTGCTGAGGACTATACTCTGCGGTGGATGGGTCTACATCACGTCGACGGACGACCATGCCTGGCACGACATCTTCATGATCTCGTATCTGGTGTTTACGCTGCCGTGGACCCTGGGTTGTCTCGCGCTGTCGCCCATGAACCGTGACGCCATCAAGTGGCGCAAGATCTTTGCCACGTTGTTCTTTGGAACGTTGGTGCCATTGATCTACTATTTCATCCAGCACAAAGTCCACAAAGTTGCCGGAGGTGCGCGGGCCCAAACCCCATGTTGTTTTGTGGTTGGCAGGGTAAAAACATACTGACGACGGGATTTCTCGTGGAAATCTAGCCTACACCATTTACGCATTCTTCGAGTGGTCGTTGATTCTCTTTGACGTTGGTTTCGACGCTGCTACGGCGTTTGATTTCGCTGGTCTCGAATTGAGGGTGGTGGACGTGAGGGGTATTAGTAGCAAAGGGTATGTCAGGATCCCGCTGTACGGCAGGAAGGATTGAAGATCGTTGGATTATCGCCTTATTTATCGCGAGCGAAAAACGAATACCCGGATTCTTACATTTCTTCTTTTTGGTGCTATAGAAACGACGTATTTCTAGCGGATACCGTCATTCAAAAGTCCAAGTGAGTCCAATCAAACGACGATGGGGCCGGGGGCTTGTATTGATGGGACTCGTAGGGAACGCGGTCAGATCTTGCCTCAGGAGTTATTGGGCGCCTCATACTCCCGGGATGACGTCTTCGATGCTGCTGCCGACATCTACACTGGAGTGAGTTCTATGCATCTGCCAGCTGTCCACTCACGGCGCGTTCCGTACGCCACCCGGGGCTGAGCTAACGAGTCGGGTGATAGTTTATGTTTTGGTCCATCTTGACGTCGTTGGGCGTTACCGTGTGGTGTACGTTGATCCCCGTGGGTGTTTGTGAAGGTTGAAACTGACGGTTTTTCAGACTTCCCGCTGTGGCACATGGGAATTTCTGGCTATGAGGTTCTCATCATGACTACTGTATCTCCATTCTTGCTAGGCATCCCCGCCGTCCGCCGCATCGCTGCTAACCAGCCTGGCTATGTGTACGGATTGTCACTGCTTGGACTCTCAGCTTTCTTGGTTACGCACCAGGAGACCCGGCTCTTCTCCGTCGGTGCGGGTGTTTTCTTCTCCTGCCTGGCATGGACTGGTAGCTTCTGGGCCGAACGCAATAACTCTAGCCGATTGAACGCGAAGATCTCGGCCTTCTCCCTAGGATTGATTCTGTCGAGCATCGCCAAATTTGCCAACCACACCAACAACCCCGTATGGCCGATCATGAACTCCGTCAACGGTGGATGGAACAAGACGGGATTGGTCCTTGCGATCCTAGCCGTTTTGAGGTCCACTAGGCGGAGCACTGTGGGTTCGGTCGATCTTACCCCGTTGCAGCAGAAGAAGAAAGGGTCCGCAACGCTTTCGGCAATCGGCCTCGCCGGATTGATTTTTGGCTTGCACTCTCTGCTCTCGGATTCTAGCACCATGATCACCTGGGTTTGGGATGGTTACCCAATCAAGGGGCCCATTCCCGCTCCTCACGGTGCATACACGATTGCGGCCATGGGCGCCGGGTTCCTGATAGGTCTTTTCAACCCGCAAGCAGCAGCGACATGGAGCTTCTTTGGTGTTGCGTCTATCGCCACCGCGACATTCTACAGCAAAGCTGGCTGGACTGGATTTTACGGTGCCCTTGTACTTGCTACGTACCTCATGGCTCTCGTCCCCTCTATGATCATCACTGCGACTCGCTATGGCCCAGGAAAGACCTTTGGCCTGGCATTCTTCTTTTACAACCTCATCGTCCTCGCGCACGTGTGGGTGGTAGCGTACGCCTTCGTCCCCGGTGGTCCTCTCCTCCGTGAACGAAGCGACCTCGTCCTCACTGGAATGATGGCCATGATTGGATGCGGTGTCTTCTCGACCATTTCGGCTGCCGCCTCAACCCCCCAACCGTTGAGCAGCAAATACACCAAACACGACACCCCACACCGCCGCCGCTTCCGCACTTACACCATATATGCCCTCACTATTCTCCAAATGATCTCCGTCTCCGTAGCCTACCTCCGCTTCCCAACCTTTAACTATACCCCCTACCACCCGCAGGAGAAACTTGTCACCGCCGGAATCTGGACCGTTCACTTCGCGCTCGACAACGACATGTGGTCTTCGGAACGCCGGATGCGCGACGCGATCAAGGAGCTCGAACTTGACGTTGTCGGTCTGCTGGAATCCGATCTCCAGCGTATCATCATGGGAAACCGTGACATGACACAATTCCTCGCCGAGGACCTGGGGATGTACGCCGACTTTGGCCCGGGACCAAACAAGCACACATGGGGCTGTGCACTGCTCTCCAAGTTTCCCATCGTGAATTCCACGCACCACCTCCTGCCCTCTCCCGTGGGCGAACTCGCTCCCGCAATCTTAGCCACGCTGGATATGTACGGCGAAATGGTCGACGTCCTCGTCTTCCACTCCGGGCAGGAAGAAGACGTCGAAGACCGCCGCCTCCAGAGCATAGGCGTCGAGCAGATCATGGCCGACTCCCCCCGCCCGCTGATCCTCCTCTCGTACCTCGTCACCAACCCCAAGGAGGGCAACTACAACCGCTACGTCTCGGAGAAGTCGCGCATGCGCGACATCGACAGCAGCGACTGGGACCGCTGGTGCGAGTACATCCTCTACCGCGGCCTGCGCCGCGTCGGCTATGCCCGCGTCTCCCGCGGGACGATTACCGATACCGAGATCCAGGTCGGCAAGTTCGTTGTGGGCGAGAAGGAGGGCGGTGAGACTCAGGTGGACGAGAAGGAGGTCTCCCTCGGACTCAGGTTCCCGGAGGTATTTAAGGGTGACGGAGCAAGAGGGCATAGGTATCATGTCTTCGATCGGCCGAGGTATTATGTTTGATCTTGATACTTGATGTTTGCAAGCAGGCATGTGGGGAATTTTAATTTGTAGCATACGTTCATCCCTTATTTTCTTTACCTCTCTTTTCGGCTTGGGCTTGGGGCGTGGGCTTGGGGCGTGGTGATGATGATTCAATGCTTTCATGATGTGTGTGAATACTAGTACTATAGTACCTTAGCTGCTTCCATAGGTACCTATCTAGGGGCGTTTTGCGCTGTGTTGGCGGGTAGTTAATGGATGGACGGATGGATGGAATCAATATTTGAGTACCACACAGCACAATCTTCATATATTCTTTTTCAGGATTGTGATTTGTGTGAATCCTACCACCGCCAGTAGCCAGTCTATAGTACACTACACTAGGTATGTTACATATCATGATGTAAAGTACAACATGCACATTCAAAACTCCCCAACACCGACACCGTCAACTTCTATTTTACACTTCCAGTTCCAGTTCCAGTTCCATAACCCAGCCATCCACCGAAAAGCACACCCCACACCCCCACACCACACCCCACCCTACTGCAGAGAAGCGAATAATATGTACCAATCCAATCCAATCCAATCCAATCCCACCAAGCCAGCAAGCCAGCCAAATACAACATATTTCCAATTTACATACCACTCTCCCACTCGAGCGTTGGCGGGTACTCAGCAGCGTCCTTACCGGTGATGAATCGTATATAGCGCATAGTCTTAACATCCTCTACTTCCGCAGCGCGGGTATAGACGCCCTTAAGGTCATCCCACTTCCAGTCGATTCCGCCCTCCTCGTAGAGGATCCTGATGCGCTCGAGCGCCTCGCCGATGAGCCCCGTCGCCGCAAGCGTGTTGATCATGTGCCGCTCGGCGCTGAAGTCGAGGTTGTCGCGGAGTCGCTTTGGGAGGGATAGGTATAGGGGAGTGCGGGAGTACACCATTCGGTCTCCCCATACTTGCCGCGCGAAGGGGAGGTTGCGGAATTTTAGTGCGCCTTGTAATGCCGTGTTGAAGGTGTGGATGTTCCGGTTGAGCGCCGGGAGGTCGATTAGTAGCGTGGCGTCTACTTCGTCGGCTGAGGCTGAGGCGGATGTTGCGGTGCCGGCTGTTTCGTCACCGTCTGCGTTCTCCTCGGCGTCGGCGTTCGAGCGGTCGAACGGATTCGGCGGGTTCTTAGTGTCGTTCTCGTAGCTCCATTTCAGGTCCATGAGGGAGTCCTGCGCGACGCATACGTCCATGTACGAGTTCATCATCTGGATATCGACCATGTCTGGGCGGGTCTCGCGGAGCCAGTTGACTATCAGCGCGGCCTCGTCGAGGACCTGGCGCTGGGTTTCCAGCACGGCTTTGTCGAGGAACGGGATCTTTTCGATGAAGCCGCCCTTTTCGGGCTGCAGCTCTTTGCCCGGCTGGATGAATGCTGCCGTGTCGTTATCGATTACCTGCCGGTCCAGAAGTTGTTGGCGCGGCCGCTTCACTTTGCACGTCGCATAGCAGCGCAACAGGTTTTGGTACGTGAAGCGGTCCGGGACGAAGTCTTCTTTGCCCGAGGCCATCATGTGGCGCACCAGCAGTCGCGCGCGCGTGAGTTCTCCAGTGCGCCCGCAGGCTTGCACGAGGACGTTGAGCGCGCGCCGGTTGAGCTCCATGCCCTCGCGCTGCATCCGCACGGCGTATCGCCACGCTTCCGAGAAGTAGTCCTTTCGGACGGCGCAGGCGTGCACGACCGAGTGGTACACCTCTGCGGAAGGCGCAATCCCCCGGCGCTCCGTCATGTCCGCGAACAGGTCGAGTGCCTTCTCGGTTTCTCCGTCCAGAGCGCAGGCGTGGATCATCAGTGCATACGCAGATTGGTCCGGTGCTGTCGCTGTGGATTTGAACTTGATCAGGTTGAAGACCTGCCACGCGGTGTCTAGGTCTTTGCGGTTGATGCAGGTCTGGATCAAGGTGGTGTAGACGACAAGGTTGGGCTCGATGCCGGCGGCTTGCATTTCCTGGAAGGCTTTGGCGGCTTTGGCGACGTCGTTTTCTTGCGAGTACGCTTTGAGCAGATGGCCGTAGGAGTAGACGGTTGGCTTCAGTCCCTCTGCATTCCTCATGTCAGTGTTTTGTGCGATGCCCGGCGGTAGAGTAGTCAGACTTACTCTTCTTCATTTGTTTGAACAGATGCTTCACCTTCGCCGGAAGGCGCATTCCCGCAAACGCAACCATCATCAGATCGTACGTGAAGGTATCTGGTTCGATATTGGCCTCCTTCATCATCTCGAATATCCTCGGCGAGAGCTCCACCCGCTGGGCAAGTTCGATGCAAGCCAACATTCCATTGACCGCACCGGCATCCATTCCCTCCAGTCCGCCGGTCTCCTCCAGCTTCGTCAATACCAGCTTCCACTCGGGAACATCCGAGTTGACAAGTTCCAATTCAGCCTCGCCCAACCGCTTCACGATCGGAGCGGGGAGTCGCTCCACGGGCTCGGCTGGTTTCGGTAGGAACAGCGATTCCGTCGGGGCCATGAGGGCAGCGTATGCCCGGTCCTTATCCTCTTCGGTAACATCACCCTTTGGTATTTCCTGCAGCGAACCACCACCAGCCGGTCAGCGCCCCGATGTCCAAACCCAAAAAAAAACCCCAAAAAAGAAAACTCAATCTCCACCTCTTCCGTCGCCCGTTTCCGCAACTGTTCGACATAGCTCCGCTCCATCAGCCGCACGTGCGCCTCGAGCCTCCGGATCTGGTCGAGCATGCCGTCCTCCTGCTGCACTTTCGGTTTCCTCGCGGCCTTGGCGGGGCGGGCGGCGTGGCTGGCCATGGCTCTCGCCTGCTGCTGCTGCTGGCAGGCCGTGCACACGAATAATAATGGCGCCTCATGTTTCGAGTGTGTGGTCAGCTGTCGAAGTGGGCGCCGCGCGATAGCTATGCCATTCCGAAACATGGACAGCGGCGGTAGAGTCCTGGGCACCAGGTTTCGGGTATCTTGTGGGTCGGTGCGAGACGCTGTCGTGAAGGAGGGTTTGTGCGGCGGCTCACTCGGTGGGTTTCATATGTGTGGATAAAACGTTTCTGAACTTTTTTCTTGAGGCTCTTTTATCACGCTAGCTGGGGGAGAGCCTTGCAGGCCAAGGTTGGTGATAAGATGGATCTGATAGCGGGACGGGCAGCTAGTCGAGCACGACGACGACTCGTTATTTGGTTGACCACACGAGCACCTAGAACAACCCGATCAGCCAGAACCCGACCTTTTCTACAGGGCTCCTTCCAATGGGCTATCTACTCGAGCGAAATAAAGGAACTCGTGCTCTTTCTGGACTCCATCTGAAACCAACCGACACATCCCAACGACGACAACAACAGACATCCCGAAAAGACCACGGGTGGATGGCTGTATATCCAAATTACTAGTATCCCGCGGGAACGCCAATTCCAACTCGGAGCGAGTGGTATGTACTCTACGGTACATCACCTATCACTCCTTCAGAAACCCGATTCTTACGAGACCGGCGGCGGGGAGTTCTTTACCCAGCACACCCAGCAACACACGTGTCTGGCGAACCGACACATGGCATGGCGGAAAGATCAACGGGCACGGATCATGCAGCGACGTCGGCGCCTATAGTATGTACTAGGGCGACCGGCCTTTTGTACTCACGCGACGACCGTGCACCTTGCGGACGAGCCGGTATGTATCCAGCGTGCGTGCGTACGTGGTCTCGGGCTTTCCTGGTAGCCCTGACTGATACAGCGCCGCTGCAATCTCGCAGAGAAGCATTCCGGCCGGCCAAAGTGCTGGGTGTACCAGTTAGCCGAGTGATCTGCCATGGAGTGGATCACGTCAATGCCCAATACCTACTACCCATACTCGTGTTGCCGATATTTCTAATTTCTATCGCGACGATCGGGGAGGGGGGCAGCTCATACCGGCTTGTGAAAAGCCAACTGCGCTGGTACCTGAGCTGCTAGTCAGCCAGACCACCTATTTTTTGCCTGCACAGTGCACAGTGCACAGTTGCGCCGAGTGATCGTGGCGGTAGAAGTAGATAAAGTATTGGTAGCAAGGGTACTGCCAGCATACTGCCAGCACACTACCTACAATGTATCTACCCATCCCCACTCATCCAACTCCCCTCTCACCATACCTTAGATGAAGTACATACCGACTGACCCGACCATCCGGGCCAGTCGACACACCCATCCTTACCACAGGCCTATCCTCACTACAGACCCATCCCCCCATCCCGTCGGCGAACCAACCAGTCACATAGAACGCGCTACTCCTTGGATGTCGCCATGCGTACTGTCGGCAGCACCATTACCCTCCACTCCTCGTGCTGCTCTCCGTGTATATTTATATGAAACATTGGACCTTTTGCGCGGTGATGCGGTGATGCGGTGTTTCGGGACATGATATGTCACTCGAAGATTGCAGGACGTGGTCTTTTTCTGGTCTGCTCACAGTCGGATGAGGCAGAGAAAAGTGCTCTGGTTGGTGCTGGGGTAGAACTGGCTGGCTGGCTGGCTGGCAAAAGTTAGGCGGGATCAATACCTACGGGTTGTGTGTGGTCGTGCACGAGGCCGGTCCAGAAGTGCCATGGGAGAAGGGGCGGAGCTATACCGTAGGTGATTACATATTGGCGAGGCTGCCGCGGAGGAATTGGTGGAAGGAGCACCGTGGCACGCGGATGAAGTTGTATGCGTCAGTCCAGTGATATGGATGATGCGATGCACGGTGTGAATGGCGATGCAGAAAGGACATGATAAGTACCATACGAACGATGATATAAAATCCCATGTGTATGATACATACAACGACTTCTTTTCGACACCACAACCCACTCGGCTCGTCTTTAAGTTCTCTATAATCGTGAGACGCCGCTAGGTTTTGGCCGGTTTTGTCTCGCTGTCACCGGTGTCGTGCGAAATCACTCGCCGCGAGTACTACTAGTCCGAGATGGGTGCTGTGGAAACCGCACGGCTGAGCAAGCACGTTGGGCCGAGCGGTGACGGCCGAACAGCGGTTCATGATGGCGGTTGTCACGTCTGCTATCACCTCTCCCACCGCCAAGGCTTGCGGAGTGAGTTACGTCCGCCAGTGGCATGTAAGTACAATACTCGAGTAGTACCTGCTGAGGGGTGTGTAGGAAGAGGCGGCTTGACATCATGGGTGGGCGCCGGAGAGAGGAGACCTTGTCGAGACCCGGGTGGGACCTTGTATTTGGGGGGAGAGACCTTGCAGGGACCTGGTGGGACCAAGTGTATGAAGGGCAGACCCGATGCGGTCGTTGAACGTTGAAATGTTTCTGTTGTTGCTTTTCTGCTCGTCTTGTCGGTCCTTCTGTTGTTCAATACTCAAAGATTCATAAACCTCTTTTTCAATCGAATCACGTTTTACATTTCTCACACCCGTTATGGGCACTCACTACCAACCTAGAGTTGACAACGCGTGCCTCTGAACACCATCAGACAAGACATGGTCCCACCGCGCGCCACCCTTCGGCCGCGCCATCGCCAGGCGGGCGACACATGCTCAGGCGTTGCCTCGCGCATGTACGGGTAATCACTCGCGGCGCGGCATCAACGCATCTGCCGGAAGGAGCCTCTCGGCAGCCTCGGCGGACAACCGCCCTACTACCTAGTAGGGTGGTTCCGAAGCGCAATGGTCCCTGCACTACTACTGTATAACGGCGATGCAGCCTTGTCTTACATAGCATCTCTATTCCGAACGGATGCTGCGGATATACAGACCCAGGTATGTCGGAGGGAGGGCGGAACTCCGCTAGCACGTGTATGTACCGGTAGGCACCGCATCCGATCTGGGGGTCTGCTCCGCCCGATGTCTTCGCCGAAAGCCGACACGTCTCGGGTGTCGCGGCCTACGCTCACTGCGAACGTCCTCGATCCGCCGGTGGGCCGAAGCTAGCGCGTCCGAAAACACAATACATGCTCCAGTGGCAGGATCTACTACCGGTATGTCCTTAGCCGGTGCCGAGCCCCGAGGCCCAAGGACCAAAGGACCACGGGGGAGTGATCTGGTGTGATACGTTGTGATGCGTTATGGAGGGAGGCGTCCGGCGACAGCCTTAGGTGCTCTACTCTACTAGCACCGTACCGCCAACCACGCGCCGCCAGCCCCATCTCGAAGCACCGAAGCGACTCCAGTCGGCATCACCGGGCGGGCACGGAGCTCGCGTTGCTGGCAGAGTTGCAGAGGGCTCACACGACACGACAACGACGCGGGCAAGCAGAACAGGCAGGCGCATCCGAAACCCGGCTCCAACTTCCAAGCCTCAAAGTTCCAAGTGCTAACGAGTAAACTAGGGCCGCTCCCGAGATAGCCGAGCAGGAGCCCTGCAGGATCTGATAAGATGCTGCAGATTGGATCATCGCATCATGTTGGTACGGTACTACGGTAGAGTAGAGTGCTGGTAGGTGAAACACAATCCATGACTCGATCTGCACTGCAAACTCCTTTATTTCCAATCTCCACCTCCATCGCCATCTGCATCTGCGTCTCCCTCTCCCTCTCCATCCGTATTTAACTACTAGCAGGTGAGTAAGGAGTTCCATCTCCCCCGTCCGCCCAAAAGTCTGAATTTGCTTTTCCTCCGACTGCCCACCCTCCGCTTAGATAGAAGTTATAATTTGTGTGGGGTATTTTTTTTTCTTTCTGCAGCAGCATTCATTCATCGGATCGGCACCGGAAGCCGGAGTAAACGGAAGTCCGACTTTTTTCTAAAGCTTTGCTCTGCTTTGCGATCGGCGCGGGGCGGCGTGATTATTGATCCCCAGTGCACCATCCACCGTCCACCATCCACCATCCACCATCCACCAGCCCCGGCTCTGCTCGTTCCGAGACCACCACACCCCACCCCGGCAAAAAAGAGAATTTTGGAAAAAGAAAAAAAGATTTGGGGGGGTTTTTAAATTGCGATGCGATTTGTGTGTGTGACACAAATGCCTCACGCGACTTTGAGTTTCTCGAATCTCGACGAGCGAGGCTGGCTGCTGCTGCTGCTGCTGCTGTTGTTGTTGTTTTTGTTGTTGCTGTTGCTATGTAGGTGTTGTGTGGGTGTTGGCTTGTTTCGTTTGGTGGACGGAGATACCGCAGGTATGAAGAGCGCAGTACCGAAAGTAGATGCCCGGTCCGGGAAAAGCTGAGTCTGCTTATCTCCGGGGAATACTCACTCTCACTCACCCATACATCCTCACAAGCGAAATGATACCTACACGAGATACCTATGCGCGCAGACGGGAGTGAGAAATCATTTACTCTACAGTACTATGGGTAGTTTGCATATTACATATGACCACTTCCGCAGCCCGCTCACACATGATTTACATAGCAGAGGCATTCCGAACCCGGTAGCAGCCCGCTGGAATTCGCTTATGTACTCTACGGTAGGTATATATGCGACCATGTCGATATCGTACGGTAGTTTTTTGAGTTTTCTATGGACGTCGCGACTCGCATGGAAGCACTGAGCTTCGAGAGTCGAGACATCATCCAGACATCATCCAGACACCGAATTCCGGAGCTTGAGCACGGAACGAGGTGGCTGGGACTCGGGAGAAGGCGCCACACGCAGTAGTCGGTACTAGTACCTACGGTAGTGAAAGTGTCCCGACTCCCGAGCCTACTGTTAGGTAAGTAGCGAATCAGCGATACTCCGAAGCGGGCAAGGGCCCTATGTACATAAGTATCTATGTATGGCCGGCGGGCGGGCGGGCGGGACGGAAGCAAGTGATCCTGTCATCCAGAGCGCGGGTAATCTGAATTCTAATTGTGTCTCGGACGACACCGCGCTTCGGGTGTGCTCAACTGCGCTGGCTGGGCCGCTGGGGACGCGCAGAATGAGTACTCCATGTATGTATGTATCGGTAGAGTGTAACGGAGTCACGGAGTGCTGAAACATCTCGACTCTCGAGCGCGTACATACTCTGCATATGTAAGACGGTTTGAAGTTCGAACTTTGGCGGCGATCTGGAGGGTAGAGGGGTATCTATAAACGGTATCCATATACGGTACCTATAGGTGTGAGGTATACATAGGTATGAGGTATGGTAAGTACTCTACATGGCGGTCGTTTAACCTTAACTCCTCCCCCTCCCCCTTTTCGCTGCGTATACTTTATAGGTATGATGATCAGCTGCGGGCAGGCGGACACTGGTAGGTTTCCGTGTCCGAATGATGCCCGTACCCTACCTATGCATGCACCGGCGATATCTACGGTACATACAAATGTCCGCTCCGACTGGGGGCTCAGACCCTCCCCCGATGGATGGACAACTCGGCGAAACGATGTGTACTCTATGTATGAGTAAGATTCGCTTGCCTGGTCGCCTCGCCTCTCCTTACCACTGGCCGTTTCCGTCCGAAGCAGTAATTTCCGAAATCCAGGGTTGTTTATCGATTACCTATTTCCCTAAGTACTGGTACTTACCTGTTGCACTGTAGTGTAGGTACGCACAATACGTACCCCTTGTTTGGCCCGGCGGAGTGCTGAGTGCTGAGTGCTGCGGCCAGGCGAACGGCGGACTCGTATACTAGCATATATAGAGTATATAACCGCGCGGGAAGGCTGATGAGCTCTACTGCTAGTAGTAGGTACATAGTCGGGACTTGTAGGCGATGGGGCGGAGAGCGTGCGGCGATACGGGGCGTGTGTATATTGGTATGTTGACACAAGGCGTCCCACGCTATTCGGTGTTCAGTGTTCAGTGTTCGTATTCGCACGCCGACTCGACTCGGGCCATCATCGAGCCGCGCACGAACGCACGTCAGTCGCACAGCGACTATTAATTGGCATTCAATCAATTGATGATTAAACAGAACAAAATAAGCCACGTTTGTTTCGGGGATCCAGTCATCCAGTGATCCAATCAGCGATTAAACAACAAGCGAACAAGCAACCTCTGAGCACCGATATTTCAGCCTTCAGGCACGTTTGTTTGGGCATCCATCATCCATCGTCTAATCAGCGATCAAACAAAACAAACAAACAAGCGAACTTCGCTGATTTTGCTGATTTTGCTGATTTCAGCCTTTAGGCGTCCGCCGCAGGTCGCAGGTCGCAGTCACCACTCTAATCACCAAATCACTAACTCTGGATTGGCCCGGTTCCGGTTTCGCGCGTACTCGCACTCGTACGTACTCGTACTCGCACTGTACTCGTATGTATGGATCATTATCATTGGACACAAGCCCAATATCCCGAACCAATATCCCGAGGAAATGAGGAAATCAGGAAATGAGCCGAGTCGGCTACATATGTACGGTATGTACCTGGTACGGTATGTATTGCACGGTATGTACCCACTCGGCACCGGGTGCTCTGCGCGGGAGGGACCCGGTATGACCGATAGTAGCTTGTTAGCTGGGACCTGGATAGCTCCACATTTCCGAACGAAGGCGCAGCCCGAGATTCGTGTTCTTATTTGCCGATCGGGATTCATTTCGACCGCGCTGCGCCTGTCTGTCTGTCTGTCCGTGTGCAGTGCGGGGCGAGCGATGACGGAGGACCACCAAGTCCGCCCGATGCCGCCTGACGCGTGCGTAACGGATTCGTCTCCTCACGTCGGTGTCGGTGATCTGTACGGGCTTGGCTGGGCGGGCTGGGCGGACTGGGCGGACTGGGCGGATTGGGCTGTGCGGGTTGAGGAATGTGTGGGGGGTGGGAGGTTTGCATGCCACCGGCCAGTGGCCCAGTGTTACATACCACAGGTGGTGGAACTCTATCATACCGCTATCACACAACGGCTCGAAAAACAAAAACAACAACGTCCATTTGGCCGGCGGCGACGACGACGACGACGCACGAGACGCACGAGAGAAGACATCACTTCGCATCCTCGCATCCTCGCAGCTCGCTCGAGTGGTCATTGCTCACTGGACAATGTTCACTGGACACCGGAACGGCCAATCGGCATCGCCACAGCGGTAAACACCAAAAGTTTGGTAAACGTTTAGCGCCCGCGGCGGCGCGGCGATGAGCTGGGCTGCTGGGCTGCTGGGCTGCTGGGCGTCTATATGTAGCCCATACTACTATATGGAAAACTCGGCCGGTTCCAGCTCCCCACGGAGTCAACGGAGTCGAATGATGGTGGCAGGAGTGTGTGAGCCAAGGCGCCCAGAGGGAGAGGGGGGTCATAAAGTTTGCTCGTTCGAGGCCTCAACAAATAGAATATAGACTCTGGAGTTTGGCAGCCTGGCAGGCAACGGGTTGTAGCAACGGCCCTATCGTCTCGTCTCGTCTCGACTCTCGTCTGTATGCAGGCTCAGCACGCGCACTCGCATATGCCACTCGTGCGTTCACCGAAACCTTTGTTTTTCTCGTGAGGTTCGTATGGTGATCCTGTGTAGATAACATAATCACAGAAGAGGAGGAGCTGCAACTGCAACTGCGAATGCATACGCACACTATCTATACAGACACCTACATACACATCCACACACCTACATAAACACCCACCCACACACACATCCACCCACACACCACCACACACACAGAAAAGCGACACGGGCACACCGTCATAGCTAACCCTGGAGGAGATCAGAGGTGTCGGTGGGTGACGAGCATGCAGCAGAAGGCGACAGTTGAAACGCATGGACCATCGGAATCGGAGATAACCTAACCATCACGGAATCGTGTGTATGTAGAGTTGAGGATAAGAAGCCCCGCTTTCTATCTTCTCCTCCTTCTGCTCCTGCTCATCACGAGGTACCTAGCTGTCGCCGGGGTCCCGTGAACGCGATGTAGATGGTTAGCAATCACAGTGAAGATGGTGGTGGTGGTGGTGGTGGTGGTGGTGGCTCCCGGCGTGAAATAATAACAAAATGATCAGGCAGCGGAAAACGGGCATGTCTTGCCGCGATGAGTTTTCCGTTCCGAATCGGAAGGAACCGTTTTCTTTCTTTCTTCCTTCTTTCTTCTTCTTTTTCGAGCCTTGCCTGGATAAGGAAACGACATGACCTCACTCCGAGGGGGATGGGGGGATGGGTTTTCGCGAAAGCCCGTCGGGACAGGGACTGATTCGACCAGTGGCAGCCGGCCGGATCTGGCAGTCGCAGCAGTTTCATTTCGCTTTCTCTCACTTTTTTTTTCTCGTTCTTTTTTTTCTTTTTTCAAGGGGACTTGGCGCCAGAGCTGTCACGATTTCAGATCTGGCAGAAAAAGAGCGATTACGGTTGGATTTGTCGTTTCGCGCGGCGCGCGGGGGGGGGGGGCGGGGGGGCGGGGGGGGCGGGGGGGCGGGTGGTCGCTCGCTCACTCAGGATTTGATGTGGCTGGGAAAAGTTCATCGAGGGACTCGGGAGCCCGTGTATCGCCTCTAGAGCAGTTAAACCCGTGCTCGTCTGGACCGCCGCGGTGTGTCTCAGATTGTCTGTCGTGCCACCTGAACCGGAAAGGGCTGTGGCTATGAAGAGCTACGAAGGGCTACATACGAAGGGCTACATACGAAGGGCTACATACGAAGGGCATCGCCGAGTGAACGCCATGCCACGGAGAAAACCAACCAAACCAAGTCCATAGTATGTAGAGTACTTACATGCCAAAGTGGAGTCATACGGACTCACGGCGCGGTGATTGGCGAGCGGCGGCTCGGTGGCGACGGAGGGTGGGAGAGTGGAAGGCTGGCTGGCTGGCTGGCTGGCAGAGAAACGAATGCGAGGTCGCGCAGGCCACTCGCTCTCCCGGGTCACTCGCTCTCCCTCTCTCTCCCTTCGCTCGCAGCGCCAGTGGAGATTCTTCTCAGACTCCGACGCGACCGTCAAGGCCGAGGGAGGCCAGTCAAGCGAAGGACGGCGGAATTTCGCAGGGGCCGTGGTGCTGTCGTAGGGTATGGATGTGTGTATTACCGCTACACTAAACATCGCGGTATCTTACTTGCCTGGCTACCTACCACCAAATAGGCAAGGCACCGAGAAAGACGAGAATCAGTGGTTAGTCCTCCACCCAGCCCGGCACGGTACGGGGGCCCCGGCCTGAGTACATAACCAACAAACAACACGCAACTGCCTACCTCCTGCCGGCTTGCACACACCAGAGTCGCTTCACCTACATCTACCGGTACTCATCCGTTTCCGTTCCGCCCGGTCGTTGTTGTCGCTACGCCTCCTCCTCCTCCTCCTCCTCCTCCTCCTCCTCCTCCACCACTATACTTCCTCCCTCCCCCTACTTCAACCTCCTTCTCCGCATCCGCTTCCTGCCTTCAACTCCTCGTCCCGCACACTTCTTCGACACCTCCTCCTCCACCGATAAAGAGGTTGCGTGACTGCCGTTGAAGTCAACGTCGCGTGTCGTCTCCCCTGCCTGCGCAACTTTGGATTTCCCACCAACTCCCCTCCCAACGGAACTGTATCGTCACTACACGCGTATCGCCCGTCCCGACATCTCAATCGCCCTTCCGAACCCTCGCCTTCCCGCTCGACCGCGCTACATCCACCCTCACCATGAAGTCGTCGTCGACAAAACTGTTTCCCATGCTCGATACCAGTCCGAAGGGCCTGGGCTGGCCGTCGGTCTCCGGCTTCAACCGGATACGAAGAAAGTTCGGCTCTCGCATGCGCAGCGGCCAGTCGCCGGCCTCGAACCTCGCGAAACTGCAGACGTCCTTCGATCCGAACGACACGATACGGTCCCTGCGAGCGCACACATGGTCCATCTACGATGGCCAGTACCTGATCCTGATGATCCTGGGCATCTTCTGTTTGTCCGTGATTGAGGAGCCGGGCGCGCTCGTGAAGACTTCGATTGCGACGCTGTTGATGCTCTCGTTGCTGTTGCCCATAACGAGGCAGTTCTTTCTGCCGTTCCTGCCGATTGCTAGTTGGCTCGTCTTGTTCTACTCGTGCAGGTATGTCATCATCCGTTGCTCACCACCGCCGCTACTGCCGCCACCTCCGACGCCATGTGCGTTGAGTGTTTCAACGCACCCTTCGTCACGTGGCAACGGCGGGGCGCGGCAGAGGGGTGGGGCGGGGCGGAATTCGACCGACCCACAGAATTACCGGGCATGATCTCACATGTCTCTCATCTAGTTTCATTCCTGCGGAATGGCGACCACATATCTGGGTTCGGGTGCTTCCGGCACTCGAGAACATCATCTACGGCGCGAACTTGAGCAACATCCTCTCGGCACACAAGCACCCCATCCTTGATGTTCTCGCATGGCTTCCTTACGGAATCTTCCACTTCGCGTTCCCCTTCGTCTGCGCCGGCGTCATGTTCCTCTTCGCCGCTCCGGGTACTCTGCGCGTTTACGCACGGACCTTCGGATACATGAACCTGATCGGTGTCATAATCCAGCTGTGCTTCCCTTGCGCACCGCCATGTGAGTTCAAACCTCAAACTACGCCGATTCTCCGTTGCCTGTGACTGACGGGTGATGTTTTTTCAGGGTACGAGGCCAAGTTCGGAATGGCACCTGCCAATTACTCGATGGGCGGATCTCCGGCCGGACTCGCGCGTATTGATGCCCTGTTTGGATGGAACCTGTACAGCTCGACTTTCACCGCTTCGCCGTTGGTTTTTGGCGCTATGCCTTCCCTGCACTCGGGTTGCGCTACGCTTGAGGCGCTGTTCCTCGCGCACGTCTTCCCCAAGGCCAGATGGGTGTTTTACAGCTACGTCATGTGGATCTGGTGGGCAACTCTGTACCTTCAGCACCATTACGCCGTCGATCTGATCGCCGGAAGTCTCTGTACGTTGAGCCCTCCCCCCTTTCAGTGTTCTCCAGGGTCGGTCGTGCTGACTTTGTCATCCAGTGGCCGGACTCAGCTTCTACGTCGCAAAGACCAAATTCCTCGCCAGGCTGCAGCCCGATAAGGAATTCCGATGGGACTACGATTACCTGGAGATCGGTTCGGGCTCCAGCAGCGAGCGCTTCGACTACGGGTTGTATGACCTCGACTCGTACCACTCGGAAGATGACGAATGGACGGTTGGATCCTCTTCCGGAATCTCCTCCGGCTGCAGGAGTCCCGTTAGCCCGAGCGATGACATCCAATCGGTGTGGTCGTCTGCCAGCGAAACCCTGGCTGCTACTTCCGAGGTCGATTCATCGGAAGTCTACATTCCCGTTGATGATCGCCGATAGACGGGTCCAATCGGAGCGATGTCACGTGCACCGAATTTCGTCACGATCAGCATTTTGATCATTCAACGTCACCATTCTTCTGCGTTTCCGAACAATGATCCTTTCGGGATGCGTATCCTCTTTAGTATCCTTTTTTCTTTTCTCTTGTTTTGTATGCCACCTCTCCTTTGTTTAACTTATGAACTCACGGCTACCATGGGAATGGAGTTACATTTGCTTTGGGATTTGCGGGTCTCATCTTTTTTTGCTTTATTTTTCGCATGCATCTCTCTACTCGCAGCGGTGTTTTGGCTGGGCTATTCTACTCCGCACTTAGCTCATACCCCCCCCCTCTTACATACAATAGTTAATAACCTCCTAGCCTCTCAGGGAGTTGGCCATCTACCTATTTCTTTCCATCTCTACATATCGTTTTTCAATCTTCTTGGCTTCAAGTGTGACATCATCAACTTTCAACCTCGACAGACGCCGATGGTGGGGGGGAAGCGAGTAATGGGGATCTAATCTGATGGGCGCACATCGGTTGTATTTACATCGGGGCTTTGCTTTCTGGTTGTAATATGTTGGGGTGTCTTTCGGTACTGCTCTGTGATGTGGATGTGGATGTCGATGTTAATACCCGGCCCCACGAGGTACATACGTTTGTTTTCTGTGTGAAGATATTTCCTCGCTCGCGAAGGATGATGGAGATTTAACATGTAATGTGTTGTGTGTGGTGTTATGTGGTGTTTGCGTGTGGTGTTTGTGTTTGTGTGTGGTGTTTGGTGGGGGAGGGGGAGGTGTATCACTACTACTGAGCGGGGCTTTGTAATTTCTGTCTTTAGCTGTCTGCGGCTGTCTTTGAGTTTAGAAGAGGTCTTGCGCGCGTTGGGTTGGGTCGGTTGGGATTGGGGAGTGGGCGTTTCTTCTTGTCGTTCGCTACTATAGTGTTGTTACTACTACTACTATTGCTATTGCTGCTGCTGCTACTATTACTACTATTACGGGAGCTATTGCGGGAGTCCGCGGGGAAGGGGGGGGGGGGGGGGGGGGGGGTGGGGGAGGGGATATATGTCTAGCTATCTGGTGGGGGTATCTACTCGAGTATCTGGCGGGGCATCTAGGAGATTGAGATCTGATGATACCACAATTAGTACATACCTCATACCGGTATATAACCATAACCATAAATCATACATAAGTAAGAAGTAACCACTGATCCCACATGCATCCCACATGCATCCCATCCCACCACATCCTCCCCTCAACATGTGTGTGTACCTAGAGTATGCGACGATCTCCCGCACGAGTGTGAGCTTGGCGGGCGAGCGGGGGGTGGGGGTGTGCGGGGCGAAGTCAATATATATCCGTCTCTGAGGAGTGACGACGCTTCCGCTTCTGGAATCTGGAGATGTGAGGCATGAACGATGAGGCTGATGACGACTCGACTCGTTAACAGCTGGAGATTCGCCGACAGTTGTGAGTTGTGAAACCCGAGATTCGAGGAGTGAATACCTATACCAAGGGAAGTGAAGTGAGGCGCAGCACTCGCTGATCGCTGGTCGCAACGTTGCAGCAGCGTTGCAGACTTGCAGGAGCGCGCGCGAGTGAGCGCGGACACGTGCACGTGCTTGGTGGCTACACGTGGTTACGTATGCTTGAGGTGCAGGGAGGATGCGGGATGACGACGGGTGGGGGTGCTGTCAAGTACCATACGGTACGTACCTATGTAGCTGATGACAGGTCTTGTCTTGGGTCTCGGGTCTTGTCTTGGGTGTTGGGTCTTGTCTTGGGTGTTGGGTTTTGGGTGACGGATCTTGAGTCGGCTTGGAGTACTGGTGTATGTACCTCTGTATGGGGAGCTGGGCGTCGCGGGGCTGTGCTGACTCCTAAGTGCTGACTGGCATGTGGGACCTGACTGGCTGACATGTGCGACCTGCAATGTGGGACCTGCAAATATACAACGTTTCGCGGCGGCTACTCTAGCGAAGCGCGGCGTGGCGTGGCATTTTGTGGCGGCAGAGGAGGGTGCAGGTGCGGGTGCGGGTGCGGGCGGGGCGGGCGGGGCGGGCATGGACGATCACTCGAGTAGTCAGGTACTCCACTGTACTCTGTATCAATTCACACAGCGCAGCGCAGCGTAGAAGCCGGCCCTAGGGTTATTCTACACAACTACCATAGCTACCTATGGTGCCGTATGGCCGGTAGAGGTACAGCCTAGAGGTATCCGCGGTGAAGTATTTGGAAATTGGCGGAGACATTCTGCCATTGAACCCTCAAAAAACAAAACGGAATATACAGGACGGGATGGAACAAGGAATGTACATACCTAGTCGGACTGTGGGTAATAACGCGCTGGGATAGTGCGGATCTGGTGCGCCTGTGGTCACTGGGCCCGTGATGGGGATGGATCATGGTCTAGGTGTGTCGAGTGTGTCGGGTGGTCGGGTGGGTCGGGTGGGTCGGTATGTACTTCATCTAAGGTATGGTGAGAGGAAATTTGGATGGGTGGGGATGGGTATATACCTCCTAGAAGGTAGTATGCTGGCAGTATGCTGGCAGTATCTACCCTTGCTGCCAATATGTACTAGGTAGGTATATCTACTTCCCCCGCCGCGATCACTCGGCGCAACTGTGCACTGTTCACTGTGCACTGTGCAGGCATAGGTAGGTAGGTGGTCGGTCTGGCAGACTGGCAGTTCACCAGCCCAGTTGGTTATTCCCTGACCGACACGAATTGAGCCCCCCGGGATCACTGGGATAGAAATATATACCTATCGGCAACGAGTAGGTAGGTACTCTACAGTATTGCGCATTGACGATATCCGATGCATGGCGGATCACTCGGGCGATTTGCTGCACCCAGAACTTTGTCCAGATTGCTTACTCTACTCGGCGAGTTCGATGATTAAACCAAAAATAATACTTCTCGGCGGGAGCTCGGCGTGAAGAGGAATCGCTTGCACTTGCACCTTGAGTGGGCTGTTTTAGACACACTTCAAGTTGCAGACCCGTGGGTGGAACACGTTGGCACTCACAAGGAGTCACTCGACGACTGAGCTCTTCCAAGCGGTGTGTTGACCGAGAATGGTAGAGAGTTGGCAGGCTTCATTGAAGCTGACACGAGCCAGACGATCTTCTGGTAGCTCAAACACGGCAAACTCCCAAGTACCTATTCAATCGAATGGAACGAGACCACTACACGATAGGATCCTCCTTTGCTGTGACAGTATCCAAACCAAGTGGCTATCCTAATAACTAGATGCTTTTAAAGGACGTCCTCACGAGCACTACGTACGGCGGCATTCTATAATCATGTGATACAGGTTTGGATGCAAAGTCAATTGTTTGAGCTACCTACCTACGAGGCTTCACAAGATGCGCGCTGACGTGATCGGATAGCGGTATGCCAAATCCCAATTTTACCTCAGGTGGGCACGAGCACGTAAGTAAGTAGTTTTTGCATGTGTCCCCTGAGATTGGCCCCCCTTTCATTCGGAGCGAAGTCTCATTGGACGCTTAAATAAGCCGAGTGATATAATATGCAGCAGTGATCATGATGTCTCACGACGTGTGGACAAATTTTCATGTATGCTGGAAGTTTTTTTTGACCACTCGTGATGGCACAAAGTTTCGTCGACTGCGATCCTGCCATATTTCCGCACTTGACCGCATGGTTCGCCCAGCGTCTCCACCACTGGTTGATTAAAGTAAGCTTAACCCAAAATTAGCGATAGGTCGTGCCACCTATGTACATACACGATTCAGACTTGAGGGGTGCGAACCACCAGTGCATGAAACGGGTCGACCCCCGGTACATACTGAATGCAACCGCTGCCATTGTACCGAAGGAATGATTTGAAGATTTCTTCCATCAATTACGTTACTACCAGCAAACCAGTAAACCAGAACATAAAACAAAATAAATAAATACATAGGCACATTCGTCACGCTCAAGCTTTCCTCGCGTTTGCATTATTTCCACCGCCATTCCCGCCGTTCCCGCCGTTCCCCCCAGCTTGACCCTGCCCAGCTTGATTCTGCCCAGCTTGATTCTGCCCAGCTTGATTCTGCCCTTGATTCTGCCCAGCTTGATTCTGCCCAGCTTGATTCTGCCCATTTTGACCTTGGGCGGCTTGACCTTGGGCAGCTTGACCCTGGGCAGCTTGACCCTGCCCAACCGAAAACTTCTGACAATCGTCCTGTGCGCCTCTTTGCGCAACGGGCATCAACACTGGCTGATGGTTACTGCTCGAGGTCATTGTGCAGACACGGTAGAAGCCCTGTCACATTAGCATGGTTCGTCGACCTTCACATCTGATGTACTTACAGCAGGCAATCCTTCGTCCACTGTAGCCGCAAGATTCCCATTTCCATCACCAGCATCGTTGATCCCCTTAAAGAACACAAACGTTGCGGCGTCTGGTGGCTGAGCCACCGCGAACGAGTCGTCACTCAGCTTCTGGATGGTGACGTGTGTATGGCCGACAATCTTTCCGCCGCTGAGGGCCTGCGGGGCAGCATAGTACGTAGTCTCCGGATCTTCACATCACACGGGTCAGCTACTACGGTCCCTGTCCAGTGAGTCGGGAAGGTGTGGAATAGGTACTAGTAAAGCTTCCAGCGACCAGTCCGTCCACCTTCACGTTGACTGTGAATGACGTATCGGCGGCGATATCCTCGCCAGGTGTTGGGGACGTGATGAGGCTGCTGACCATATTCCCCTGGTCTGGGATGTCCCCCATGACGATGCCATTGCACGAGCCACCGGTCACCTGCGCTCCGTTCGTGGGCGTCTTGCCCGTGCAGAAGTTTATGAAGTTGGCATCGTCCGTGAGACTGTCGGCTTGGGCCGGATCGTCGCCGCCTTCTTGACCTGTGGCTGCGGAGGCGGCTTGCACGTTGGCGGGGTCGAGGGTGAGGGCTGCGGCATTGTTGTTGTTTTGCGGCCGGGGAGCGGCGATGACGCTGGAGATGAGGAGGAGGAAGGGCAGGAGATGCATGGTGATGATGTGTATATTGGATTGAATAGGAATTAGTTTTCACCGGCCGGCGATGAAGGTTGGCGATGTGAAAGAGGTTGCAATCTATGCAATTGGGGATTAAAGCCGTAGAGGTCGTATTGAAAGAATGGAAGAAGAAGAAAATGAAGAAGAATCGTATATCAATCAAAACAACAGCATCCAGTCTAACAAACCCAAAGAAGAAGAAATATGAGGATAAGAAAGTGGAGCCAAGAGGAGAGATATAGGCCAGGCCAGAAGCCGAACGTCTGGAAAGCTTGCTTTATAATCTGGCGAGCGGCGGGACGGCATTCCGTACAGCGTACAGCTGCGACGTCGAGGAATACGGAAGCGTCGTAACGATGAAGATCCATCGCTAGAAGCTCCGCGGACCATGGTATTGGACAGTGTGTGACTTACGTCAAAAACGGGAGCTAATAATTGCTGGTCGGAAAGTTGTTGGTGTTCCGCAAAAGCTTCGACAGCCGCGGGGCTTGAGAGCTTGCTGTCAACCATCATAACGCTCAGTCATAAGGCTCGGGGCCTGTTCGGGTAGCCGGTTCATGCATGCAGCGTTTCAGGTGTGTTGTCGCGGTTGAAACGATACCGCACATCGCACGCGCTTAGCGAGCTCCGACAGGAAGCGATGAAACCAAGATCTGTTAGAAGTCATGGCAAAGGAAATCCTGATGGTACAGAGAAGGATAAATAGATGTATTGGAAGCGGTGTCTCGGATACCAAACTTCGTGATCTAAGGGTGTCAGGATATCCGCATAACCGAGCATCATCAACCTGGAGCATTTTCCCTGGATGCATCAGGTCGGCCGTTCAGGTTGGGCATGAAACTGGTGGACTACATGTACAAGCTCCTTAGGACAGTGGGCCTGGCTCTTGATTCCCTCGGTCCGCCATAAATTCGCGGTCCCCGACGCCTCTCCAAGCTTACCGAGAAGGGAAAATCTGCAAGCCGTGGGCGAAGATCTTCATCACTTGAGAATTCATCACATGATTGTACAAGGTAGCTCCGAAACCAGACTTTATTCATCTATAGTCCGTCCCGCAGAATCTTTAGAGAACCTATGACTCCTCGAAGACGTAGGTGAGGTGGCACTTTCCACAGTACTGGCGGTTGTGCATGGCAGCCATGAAGACACCGGCACCACACTATATCTTTATTAGCCGGGAACCCACATGGCAAGAAAGTGGTGAACTTACGCCCTCCTGAGGACACTCGCGGCGGAGACGCTCGATCTTTCCGTCACCGTCGACCTTGTAGTACTTGAGCACGGCAAGCTTGTTCCTGTGATGGGTTAACATCAAGGCCCCCATACGGTAGGCGAGTCGGTGCTTACTTCTTGCGCTTGTGCTTGATCTTCTTGGGGGTAGTGTAGACCTTCTTCTTGCGCTTCTTGGCACCACCACGGAGGCGGAGCACCAAATGGAGGGTAGACTCCTTCTGGATGTTGTAGTCCGAAAGGGTACGGCCGTCCTCAAGCTGCTTGCCGGCGAAGATCAAGCGCTGCTGATCCGGGGGGATTCCCTCCTTGTCCTCTATTCTCCGCGTTAATTTAACTATCGCAAAACAATCGATATCGCCCCGGAGGTTCGCGACGAGGACGTACGGATCTTGGACTTGACATTGTCGATGGTGTCGGAGGACTCAACCTCGAGGGTGATGGTCTTGCCCGTGAGGGTCTTAACGAAAATCTGCATCTTCGGCGATCAACAACCAGCAGCTCCGCAAACGATGCTTCTGTCGATTGCGAATAAGTCAGCCACCGGACGTAATTCGATTTTGTTGGAATTGGCACTATACCTTTGATGTTGGTTGGAGTTTGTCGAGTGTGAAACTCTCGTCGATAAGTAAGAACGTGATGCGGTGGGGGTGTTAGTGTGGGTAGAGACGATTCTTCGCAGTCACAGGGCTTAGTGTGTGTGCTGTGGTGGTGGTGTGTCTTGGCAGAGCTTCATGCGTTTGCACGTGAACGTGGCCTCTGACACAGCCACAGTGGCCAAGCCACACTCGCCACATTCGCCATCTTCTCCTTGGTTGTGTCCGCTACTCCGCTTCCGACCGCCCTGGCTCCATCCATCTCTCAATTTTCTCTGGCGGCTCCGTAAGCGCTCGCGGGAAATGACGTTGCTCCTCTTTTAGCTTTGCCCCCTGTCACTCGCACGTTGTCTTGACAACGGCCATCCCAGTTGTTTATCTCGTCCAATTTGGTAATAGTCTCTCTGCCGCCTATGACTTGTTGATGGTTCGTTCCTACCCATCCACCCGCCTGAAAAGCACAATCCCCCCCGCCCATACAATAGCCCATTTCTCACTTCTGCCTGTTATTATCGCTATTCCGCTCTTCGTCTTATACTCCCCGAAAAGACAAACAAACATTTCTCCATCAAATTCCCATATAACTTCGTCTTTTGTTTCTCTCACGACGCGCTTCTCCTATCTTTGTCTTCACAACATACAAACACAATACCTGCCCGTTCCATCCCTCGCCCCCTACTCGCCCCGAAGACACTACATCCCACTGGTCTAGACAGGCTCCATTGATCCCGACTGAACCCGGACCCCTCTCGGACGCTCGAGCTCGCCAGCTGCGATAGCCAAAACATCACAGACCACCCACAATAACAAACCAGCTCTGGCCTAGATAATCGCGTCTTCAAGCTAGCTATCACATCCTTTGAGAAGCGAGGTGTTGGCTACAGGCACGTCGTTTGCGTCGTTGATTAATCGCGAGGTATGCTTTTGCTCACTCGGTCGCCAAAACATGACTGACATGCGTGCATTTCAGTCGCAGGATAACCATCACTCGAGACTCGCATCCGTCATGTTGGAATCGCCGAACTCTCGAATCCAGCGTCCACCGCGACGACTCACCGTCAATGAGAATCCAGTCATCGATGCTAAACCCGACACGATGCGACGAGTTCAACGGCCAATTGCGCCTCGGAAGCAGCAGCATCGCCGGCACTATTCGGTTCCCGATAACGTGCTTATGAACATCGCCTCGGCTGCGCCAGAGGGAGGCGCGCACGACAACTTCAAGCTGTATCAGCCGAGTCTTCTGAGGAATACTGTGGATGATTTGATGAATGGGGGTGGAGACCGGCACAGACAGGCGACAGATGCAAGCATTGGCAACAGTTTCTACATGCTGTCGCCTTCTGAAGCCACTCAAGGGCAGACCAGTACGTGTTGAATGTGCATCGTATTACGCGTGCTAGTTCTAACATCATCACAGAGTCCGCCGCGCAAAACCAATTCCCCGATTTCTTGCCCAGTCATTCAGATGATGCAGCAAAGATTATTGACGATCTTTTCTCCTTCGACACTTACGCTCATGGCCCGATGATGCGACGTGGATCTGCACCCCAGAACAGCCTGTTTGGCTCCGACGCGTTGAAGAACAACAATTTGCAACGCGCCCAAACATTTCCAAGGAACAACTCATCGCTTCCCTCGCCTCCGCACAGCGCGTCGATGCAGTGCCTTAGCACTTTCGACTTGGCGCCCTTGCCGCACAACAGCTTCATCAATCTGGCTACTCTGAGCATCCCGCTCAATAATGACGTTGAATCGTACTTTCCGCCGGGGTCCGCATTGGCATCGCCCACGTTCCCTGCAATGCAGTCTCCCACTGAATCCCGTCACGCGAGCATGTTCGAGAACACCATGTCGACCGTCATCGAGGAGACATTCGAGAGCGGCATGATCAAGGTCCCGCCCCTTCCCGAGCACTCCACTTTCGACATCACAGAGATGCCGCTCAAGCGACGCGAGCGTGGGGAAACCACGCCTCAACCTATCGGCGCCAAGACTACCGGCATAAGCATGGAGGAGATCACAAGCTTTATCTCTGGACCCGAGCCATCTGATGGCAAGTGGGTTTGCAAATTCCCAGAGTGCGACAAGCGGTTCGGACGCAAGGAAAACATCAAATCTCATGTGCAGACACATCTTGGCGACCGGCAGTTCCAATGTGCGGTTTGCAAAAAGTGCTTTGTTCGGCAGCACGATCTCAAGAGACATTCCAAGATACACACTGGCATCAAGCCTTATCCCTGCCTATGCGGCAATTCCTTCGCAAGACACGACGCGTTGACCAGGCATCGCCAGCGTGGAATGTGTATTGGAGCATTCGAGGGCATCGTTAAGAAAGTTGCCAAGCGCGGCAGGCCGAGAAAAAAACCTTTGAACGAAGACGGATCTGAGGATATGAAGATGGAAAAAAACTCGGATGGAAGCTCTGACCAAGAGCAAGATAATTCCTCTTCGTCATCCTCGGGATCAGATGTGTCGGATCCCCGTACACCAACCGCATTGGATTGTGTCAGTCCTCCGCCTGGCACTCCGAACTTCGACCAGGACCAATACGATTCTTCTGCGTCGTCGGCCGGGCGCTCGGTGAAGGAAGAGTCTCCCGAACTTCACCGCCCGTATTCGCCAGACGATTACACGCCTCCAACCTCTCCGCCGGAGCTGTACGAATTCGAACACTTCATCCCGAAGTTGGACGGAAGCAAGCGGAACTCCTGTGCATCAAGCTCCTTACCCGATGAAGATTTCAAGCCTGAAGATTTCAAGCCTCGCGACTTCGATTACTCGGAACTTGGGCTACCAAACCCAGGGCACGATAATGGAAAGTATGGATCAACCAGTGAATATTCATCGGAAGAATTTTCGCAAGCGAGTGTTCATGGGGAGGACTTCATGTTTTCGCAAGAAGGACTAGACATATTTGGCCTCTCGGCGCTGGAGCGGGACCCTGGCATTCTGGAACTGGCTGGTGAGGACATATACATTAAGCCTGAACTGCTAAGTAACCCTTAGATTCACGGTGCAATTTATGAGACTGGTGGATGGTGACAGGCGGCGAAGGGGTGTGGTTTGAGGACGGACAGCACGGTGAGTGTTTTCCAGCGGTGTCGAGCTGAGATGTGAAGAAACAGGGCCGTTTTTCGGACGGATACGCGCATTGTTTCGGGTTTCACACGGATATATGCGTTGTCTCAAGATGGAAGTATACGGTCGAGGTGTTTGGCGGATTGGCTGGGCTTTTCCGGTTCTTTTGTGGCGATACTCCACCGATACCAGGTGGTGGTTTGTTGTGTTTTTCCTTTCTTTTTTCTTTCGTTGTGGACGACGACGCCGACAGGCCTTTACCTACCGACGCCGAGGACCAACAGAAAAAGAGTTTGAGGACACCGGAGTCTTGGGAATGTTTTTTTCTATTTGTCTTTGGCGTGCTGGGGGGTGTGACTGGAGGGCGGACGGACGGACGCATGGACGCATTGGTTGGATGGGTGGATGGGTGGATTGATGGGAGCCTTTTTTGAGCTGGGATTATCGGATTTAATGATGTTACGCGACAACGACAACCACACACCTACTTTTTACCTACCCACCGACTACCTACACTTTCAACTTACAACTACATACCTACCTCTCGAAACGACGTTACGGTTTATGACCTTTGGATTTCAGCGTTGCGTTTTGCGGGTTTTGTTTGTTGGAAGTGGAGGAGGGTGGTGGGTCGATGGTGAGACGGTGGTATGCGGGTTGGATTTTCTTCACTGGGGACGGGCAGAGGCATTGCACGCATGAAGTTGAGTTGAGGGGGTGAAAGAGGAGGAGAGGAGAGCAAGTGTGGTGTATGATTATGGCGGGAAGAGATGCAGACACAACAATATTGGCGAGGAAGACGAGGAGAGGAGAGGAGAGCTGACAACCGGGGACGACGACTTTTAGTGATGTGGTACTTGATTCATGTATATGATACCTTTGGAGTTTTATTTCTTTTGTCGACCGCACTTTTTCCTTTGTTATCTCTTTTGTTTATCTCTTTTGTTTATCATGTTTACTTGTATTGTTTTTCATATGTTTCAGAGAGGAGGAGGAGGAGGGATGCATGGAAACGTGAGATGAGCGAAGATTAATATTTGTTTTACTGTGGATAGTGGATGATGGGGTTGGGGCGATGTTCATTGGTGATCACTCGCGTGTTGGTTTGCATGGTGATTTGGTGCGCTTTCGATGCCCATCAAAGAAAGCGACCATAACAAACCGCCAAAAACGATGCCCTTCGAAAATCCGGGGGATTTACAGTTTACTAGTATATATCGGACGAACCAAGTATGTACCTAACGCCTTGCACGCGGAACTACGCATGCCTTACAGATCCTGCAGTTGCACGTGCCAATGCAGTAGAAAAGACGTTTGGTTGGTGGTGGTGAGTTACCAGAGATGTGCGTGCGTCTGCAGCGGCTGTTGGGAAAGCGTGGTATCTACATGTACCCACTTATGCGTATGCAAGGTACGGGTACCAGGAAGTGGCTACTTGGTACATACCAGGTAGGCAGGTTGCTAGCGAATCGTTGGTTGGGTCGAGAAACACCAAATGTGATTCAGATTCGATTGCGAAACCTGGGGTTTTCTGGGTGTGCTGGTTGTGGATATATACTGGGAACCGCAGCGGATGGATGGGGGGACGGACACTGTTAAATGATGGCCCTGGTAAATGAGAGCCTACTGTTGGCACACACACACTGTATCGAGCAGCTATCTTCCGGTACCGTACCGACAGCCGTCTAATATGTACCCCCGCAGTCTCGCATTCCGTCAAATCACCCGCCTGCGCCCTTTCCACTATCTCATGGTGACCCCCAAAACTCACACAATCAATACATATAATCACCCAACAACCAGTTCCGTGTGTTCCCGGCCCGTTTTCGGGGTGAGTAGGCGCACCACCTCTTCAACCCCCTCGTCAGTGAACGCATCTTTCATCGGCGGCGAAATATCCCCAATCTGCCGACCAGTACGGGCAAGAGTATCAATGTATTCTTGCCGTTCATAATGGAAATATTCGAGAGGCGAACCAACGTAGATGTTCGGGATACAGCCAATTGTGGCCTCGATGTCCGCACCGTGCTCCACTAAATCCCTAATCGTCGCCAACCATCCCTTGCGCAACGCAAAATGAAGTGGTTGAGGCTCGTTGCGACCCCTTTTCCCCTTAACTTTGGTTGACGCTCCGCACCCGAGAAGCACAGGAACCGCCTTGACATATCCTGATTCAATCGCCTCCATCAAGCACGTCAGATCAGACTTAAAATCTTTCGCTTCGATGTCCGCGCCCAACGCAACCAGCTCCCTGATCGCCTCGAGCGTGTTACGCTTCCTCCTGGGGTCCTCCCAGCCAGCACAATGGCTAGCCACCCACAACGGCGTGCACCAGCTGGATAGCGTCCGAGCCTCAATGTCCGCCCCCGCCTCCACTAGCGGCCGGATAAGACTAGTATATCCCCACCGAGCCGCATGATGTAGTGGGGTCTCGTTGAATTCCTTGGAGGTGTTGACGTTGACGCCCTTCTTGATGAGGGTGAGAACAGCCCAGTCGTTGCCACCCGCCACGGCGGCGAGAAGCGGCGTGGGGAGCTCAAACGACCAAGGGTACCAATGTTTTGCGAAGCCGTCATCGCGGATAAGTGGGTCGTCGAGGTCGAGGCCTTGCGCGAGGAGCACGTCAAGAACTGTCTCCGATTCGTTGGTGAGCGCCCATTCGAGGATGTGTTGGGGCTCGAGTTCGGCGGCGGCGCGCTTGTAGAGAACGGTGTTGAGGGTGTTGTAGTGGTGGCGGTTGGTGCGAACGAGGCTGCCGAGGCCGCCGTTGGGAGGGAGGAAGGACGTGATTAGGAGAGTGATTTCCGTCGGGATCGTGGCGAGCGAAGGCATCGTATGTAGACGAACGTGTTGACGACGTGGAGGAGTGAATGGATTTCTGGCAGTCTTAAGAGCGTCGGAACCCCTCACTTTGGAGGCTTCTTCGAATCCTTGCCAATCTCGTCATCTAGGGCTGATGTGATTGGTAATGAAGAGAGTCCCATCACCACTGAAATGCTGTCCCTCGGTCGGATGTGGGCTTCCTCAACCTGCAAGAAATAAATTTGAATAATGGACCAACTGGAATCTCGTACAATGTACTTGCTATCGAGAAGTTTTAGATCGAAACGGCTATGGTCGATTTACATAGAGTAGTTGTGCAGCTGCTCGGTGGCTGCAAGCCAGGGCTTAGGGTTGAGCTAGATCTATGCTAGCATATGTAACAGGCCATTGCTTGTACTTGTACCATCATACACTCCCATTCAACACCTCGAGTCCACCGGAGGATCTATTCGAACGGAAATCACACTGGAAAAGTTATTTGCTCGGATTTGATTCCATTTGACAGTGCTACTTATTAATTACGGAAGACCCGCTCGACGACCGTTCCGATAACTGGCCGATAGTACGCTCCCCGGATAAGGGACCTCTGTTTTGTTGGAGGGGAGGGAGGGCTGATGAATTCGTCACCTGGAAAGCTGTCGCGAGGTTGAACTCTTGAGGGATATCTGGACTCTACCTGCCCATATTGCTACCTCGTTCGTCTTGATGGGATCTATTCCTTCTTCCTGATACTAACAACCCGTAGGCACACTACCGCCGCAACCACGACTTCAAAGCCCTCGAACCTACTGCTACTATTCTCTGCATCACCATGCCGTCATTGTTGGCTTTACCTAACGAGCTGCTTCTCATGATAATGGAGCAATGGTCGATGCCCGATCTTGATAGAAAAATAGTTCGACTGGTGTGCAAGAGGCTAGATGCATTGGTCACCCCGTTATTATTCGCACACCTCTACGTCCAGAGCAGCGAGATGAGCCGGCTTTACCATGTAGCGGAATCACCTCGCCTACGTACGCTTGTCAAGGGATACTCGTTCTTGCTTCAATGGCCGACAGGTATGGAAATAGTGTGCTCCGGGGGAATGATTACGGGCTAACCACGCCGCTATTAGAGGCCGAGGATTGTATCGTCGGTTGCGTCCAGGAATTGAATGGTGAGTACAGCTCTATAGATGACGAGGGAGTGGGAAGTTTCTAATATCTATATACAGCGCATGTGCATTATATCCCTATGCTGAGCAACCTCAAAGGCATCACCATTGACACCCAACCGCATCCTTTTCTCCACGAGATGATGGGGTCGGATCGGCAGGCTCAGGCAATCGCAGGGTTGCTGGATGCGCTCTATATATGCAAGAAAAGAGTGGACAAAAATGAGGGGGGGCCTGAAATTGTGGAATTCAATATCGGGAGAATCAACTCCGTAGCAATGCAATACAGTTCACGGGTATCCGCTGGAGCTGTTGAGGCAATGCAGAAACTGAAGAGAGTCACTTTTACAGGCCCTGATCCATCCATGCTGGAGAGCGATTGGATGACATTCGCTGGTGTATTGATTGCCAAATCTACAGAACTGAAAGAATTGACGGTCGGTGGCAACTATGAATCTGTCAATCAGACTTCCGAATTATGGAAGCTAGTGATCCCACACGAGCATTGCTGCGGACAGATTCTAAAAGGCGAATCCATCAAACCGGAGATCATGCGTTTCTGGCCTAATCTGTCGATCCTCAACCTATGCGGCGTTCAATTCTGGCATCGGTTGTTTTTGGCGTTCCTGAGGCGGCACAAGGAGCAGTTGAGAACAGTTCGGATCTTGCTGAACTGCATTCTCATCACCGAACGTATTGACTCTCTCTCGGGAAAATATCTTTACCTGGACGATGAATGCTCTCTGGAGCACCCGGACGTTTGTTTTGTCGAATTTATGAGATCCTTCAAAAATGTCATGACGCCTCTGTTATTGAATGAGCTGGAGTTCGACGACATGCTCTTTGGAGCTTCACTAGTTTGGGACGATTATGAGAACTTGCTCTGGGTGCCGAAATGCGACATGGTGCATTGGGCGCAATGGATAATGAATAAACGGCGGCACGAGCCAGTTTACGGAGAACAGTGGATTTCGCGTTAGGAACGCACAGAGGTCTAGCGATGGATCGAGGCTTTGGGATCGCCAAACTACGAGTCTTGATGTGTTTGAGTAGGGTTTTCTGGCGGGGGGAAGGGTTTGTCGACTGCAGTTTGATGCATGTACGATGGGATGGGCTGAGAGGCCATCTTGCTTCTTTTATCTTCTGGGGGATAGTCTGGCATATATTGATTGCATGATACGATGGCTGATCGTGGCATTGGGTTCGTTCTTCCGAGATTTGTTTTCTGGTGGATTATTTGAGGCAAGGTCTCGTTGCACGGAGGAGGGCGCGAGCAATGGCAATGGGTCTTTTTTTTGGCTTTTTCGTACCCAACTTCAAGACTGAGAGTCTTCATCTCCTAAACCCATCGCCCAGTCCTCTCTTGCGATACCGACTGCAGTCTGGCGATGATGTCATCGCAGGGCTGATGGGTCCATGAAATACCGTGCTCTAGCGAAACGGGACATTCCGTCAGGACCGCCAAATCCCCGCTGCGTCAACCGCATACCCCACCACGACAAGACAAAAACAAAATGCCACACCTCACACCCCCCACCAACGACACTATCTACCTGTCGAACCTCACGCTGACAACCACCATAGCCCCCGGCGATGTGTGGAGCCGCGCGGGCAAGCCCACACCCGTAATCCTCTCCCTCCGCCTCCTCCTTCCCTCGCAAGACCTCGCGCGGCCCGGCCACAGCGACAACGTCGAGCACACCATCTCCTACGGCACCCTCGCCAAGGAGGTGACGAAAGCGATCGCCGCTCGTGGCAGCTTCGCATCGCTCCGCGAGTTCGCGGAGCATGTGAGCCTTGCGTCGCTGGTCCTTGCGGGGAGGAAGGATGTGGCCGTGGAGACGAGGAGTGTTCTCCCCGAAGGACTGCTGTTGGCCGAGGGCGTGGGCGTTGAGATGCGACTGGTCGGCGACCCGAAGATGATGAGCGAGCTGGCCAACGCCGTGCTGTTCGTCGACCGCCTGAGGGTCGCCTGCGTCGTCGGCGTCAACTCCCACGAGCGCTTGCAGAAACAGTGGGTCGTCATCAACCTCCGCCTGTGGCAGTTCCCCGAGGAGATGTGGACTACATATCCCGCGGCTATGAAGGTGGTTGTCGATGTGAGCCCACCCCGACCCCCGGCCCCGGCACCTGGGACTTGCACTGACCCGTATACAGACGGTGGAGCAATCCGAGTTCTTGACGATCGAAACCCTGGCGACTGAGATCGCGAGGGTGATGTGTGTGCAGTTCGCGGTCGAAAGAATCACGGTGGCGGTCGAGAAGCCGAGTGCCCTGACGTTTGCGAAAGGATCGGGAGTGGAGGTTACCAGGAGTAGGAGGTTTTTTGTACAGGAGTAGAGCGTTCCCATCTCCACGGCGATCACAGGCAAGCCTTTTGGCTAAAAGGATAGATAATACTTGGTCACCATCAAGCTTCTGGATGAACGGGGACGTGAACTCGGCGAATGTGGGGTGTGTGGGGTGTGTGTGGGGTGTGGGAGTTGTGGGAGTTGTGAGCCACGGTAGTTGAAATATAAACTCATCAAGAGGGTGAAGGCGTATCCACCAAACACAAAGACAAAAGACCGTACGAAAACGTGCTGTATGTGCGTTTCAAGTGGCCAGATTCAATCGATTGGCTCGAGGACTCCCATACGGACTCGAACTCTAGTGACCGGCAGTGCGCAGATGATACGAAGCTGCGCATGAAATATGGGCTACCTCTGCTGTTGCTGCTGCTGCTGATCGTCGATGAGTCGCAGGAGGGTTATCTGCACATAATGCAGCGGGCCGAGGTTGTTTCAACTATGGCCAGTCCACCCTTGAGATGCACTGCATCAAGTTTCCGCACCTCAAACCATTATCCCTCTTTACCCCATCCGTAACCGGGAGGACACTGCGGATGAATTGCCAGGTGCGAACTAAAAGTGTAGTTAGATGTAGAATATGCATGGCCGAGTGATGTGTCCGTGCAGGATAGTTATATACGGAACGACGAGCACAAAGCGCTCGCCGGTCCGCCTTCTGAAGACGGATCCTCCAGCCTCCAGCGCAAAACCGGGAAAGGCTGCGATACACGGCGCGTGACTTCCAACTGCAGCTGCAGCTGCAAGTAACTAGAGCCTCACGGACCGGCCAGCGAGGGTCCGTTCCTCGCGAATCGCTCGCCGGTCTCCCCGAAGCGGCTGCAGTGCGCGGGCGGAGAGTTGGAGGAGTGTCCGCAACCTCGATCGGACTGAAAGATGCGATGGGATGGAACATACTCGGTGCGTTCCCTCCTACGGGACTAGAGGCAACGATAACTCGAGGAAATCGAGGTTTGGCCTGGAGGATGTCGTGTGAAGCTACAGAGTTGGCGGCAGTATAAAAAGGGGACTGTTCCTCCCACCAACATACACCAGCAACAGCTACGATCAGATCAACAGACTTCACAGAAATCACAGCGACCTCCAAATCCTTCGAATACATACCTGCCTACCTACCTACCTACCAACCGTTCTATCATACTATCTTACCAGCAAAAATAGCGTACCAAGTCGGCGATACCGTCAAGTACAACTAAAGTGGGCTCTCCACCGCCCCCCAGTGCTATGGGGGAGAATAGTATTGATCGTGAGTCGTGACAGACGGAGTCACCGTGCAGGGCAAAATCCTTCGGGTCCTCGACAACGGCGACTACCAGTGAGTTCCTATCCGGAGAAAACCAGGTACCTAATGTACATGTTTTCTGACTGGAAATGGGAAAAACCAGATCAAGCCTTCCCCGGCGGCGAAAACGTGTTGAAATCCGATAACCAGATCATCCAGAAAGTCTGAGCCACGCAGCTCGGCGTTGCCTGGGATGTGATGGCGGATTTTTTGCTCTTTCGTTCATGCTTTGTATGTACTTGTACGTACGTTACGTACTTGCCCTGTATTTACCGGTTAGGTTAGTTGGTTGTTGTGGTGGAAAGGGAATGGAATATCGGTGCACCGGTATCCTTGACTGTTTTGTGCCGTTCAAAGTGATCATCGTGCCAAACATGCTCTTTGCCGGCCGGGGGTTGTCAAGTTTCAGTTTGTCCTCCCTCCGGCCTGCTATCGGTCACGACATCGGCTCGAGATATCGTGACTTGAATGTTTGCCAAGCGTGGTTACAGCTGGTTGTGAATGGCAGGATCAGAGACAGGAGGAGCGATCATGAATGGAGCGCATGTGTATGGGACGATCTCTGATTCTCCACACACTGTAGCGATCAACGTTGCATACCTCATACCTACCCACTGCGTAACCTCACTATTGACGTCGCTGTCGCTCTCATTCCTAACCCTCCACGCACGACACAGGGCATACACCACGGCCTCTCCAATCGTAGATTCGCAGTGGAATAACTATGTTACCTCGGAGGTCTAACCGCGGCTGGCACGTTTTCTTCAGAGCTCTAAATACTGGTGATGGTGCATGTAAGTTGCAACTCGCAGGGGCGGCTGCACCTGCCGAAAAAAAAGAGCAGGGAGAAGATGGTCTGAGCTGAGAATCTCGTTGCGTCCCAAGCCCGCGGGTAGGAGGGCTCTGGATACCAGCGGCAAGCCTTTCATATGTACCGAGCTGCGCATAGATACGAGCTGCTGCTGCTGCTGCTGCTGATCGTTGATGGGTTGCGGGTGGTTCCATGTATGGAGTACGTAGGTATGGTAGTGGTCGAGGGTGCCGACTTCTGGCCAATCCACTCTCGAGGCGTTTCGGGGTTTTGCATCTCCCAGCTGACAGTACATGCCTATCAATCGATTCGCCTGTCCACATATAGACATTGGAGGGCACTGCGGATGATCGCCGGCGCGTGAAGAAAAAGTGCAGAATGTCGATCAGCCGAGTGACGGGTCCATGCATGATTACGAGCGGCGAGCACAAAGCGCTCACCGGTCCGCTGAAGATGGATTCTCTTGCGTTAGGGCTCGGGAAGATTCCATGACTCGCGGATTTCAATGGTAGCTGCAGGTAAATAAGGCGTCATTGACCGGCCAGCGAGGATCCATCATCTATCCTAAAGCGCTCGCCGGCCTCCTAGAGCGGCTGCAGTGCGGGGTGGAGAATCAGATGAGTAACCGGAGCCTCGGTCATCCAAGGAAAGGGTGGGATACATTCGATGGATTCTCCGCGCGAAACGTCCGCAGTCGATGATAGCTGGAGGGAATCTCGGATTATTGGGAGTTGGTGAATTCAGAGCCAAATACGAGTGAGGCCGTGTGGTTGAATGGGCGTTGTGAGTCGTAGCGTTTCCAAGCACGTGGGGAAAGACATGCACTTATACTAGTAGTCATTCTCACTGGTCGCGATGCAGGTGAATTCACCTTCCTTCATCTACGGCCATGCCTCAGTAACTTCCGCCAGATCACATTAGCTCGAGGTACCGTCATTTGACCCCCAAGTAGAATCGCAACTGTCGAGCAAGACAGAATAGTGCCTACCGAGCTGTAACCAATAATAGACCAAGAACTACAGTTAAAAGGAAAAATAATAGAGGTGGTATAGGAATGTGAATTCGGCGAGTGAGAAAGTGTGCGGAGTGCTATTCTCGAATGGTTCCTCGATAGAGGAACGGTGACTCGGTGAGCATAAAGCGCCTACTGGGTAGCAAGACATCATGATCCGTCAGAGAAGATCCATTCAGTTTGTCCCTATCATTTCCTAGATCGAGCTGTAATTCTCGGGGCAAAAGCCATTCGTGAGGGATCTACGCCAAGCCATGATGGTCAGCACTAGAGCACATACCCGCTGCCCCTGACGTTGCTGTAGCTAAACTCTAACTCCATTTCTCGAGCTCCAGCTCTGCGATGCCGCTCCCGATCCCGTATCTCCCCGCGCTACTTCTACTACTATCTGAGCTTTCCGAGCTCCTCCTCGTCTCGCCGCGCATCCGACTCCTCGAGTCATCCATCTGCCGCACGCACTACGGTCTCCCCAGCGTACCCGAGGCGGAATGCAAGATCCCCGACGTCCAGCGACGGCTGGCGTACATCCGCGGCTGGCAGGTGTTCTTCGAGGCTACACCAGTGATGGCGCTTGCGATCCCGTGGGGCGCGCTCGCAGACAGGGTCGGGAGGAAGAAGGTCCTCGCTGTGAATTTCGTGGGGTGCGCGATTCATATCGCGTGGTTCGCGCTTGTGTGTAACCCTGGAAGCAACATCGCGATCGAGTGGGTGTGGGCGAGCGCATTGGCGTTCGTGCTGGGGGGCGGGCCGAGGACGGCGGGCATCTTGATACTCGCGCTGGTTAATGATGTTTCGCCGGGCGCCGAGAGGTACATATGGCAACCGTTGGACAGTTATCGTCGGTAGCGGGTGCCTGCATAATGCTGATCAGCTTGCGCAGGAGCGAGCGGTTTTACTATACCTACTCGGCATTTTTGGTGACGGAACTGGTGGCGTTGCCGTTGGCTTCCGTGTTGATGCAGAAGAGCATCATGCTGCCGTTCGTGATTGCACTGCTGTCGTTGGGATGTTGCTTCCCAGTGCTGGGCATGATCAAAGGAAGAAGGGCTCAGGGACAACTGAGGACGTCAGGGGATGAGGCGACCGCCGGGTTGTTGGAGACGACTACTGGGGAGGATAATGGTGTGGCCACAACAGCAGGATCTAAGAAACCATGGACATTACGCGTCTTACTGCAGGATTTATGGAAGGTGGTGGCGGATATTGACGCATCGACGGCGCTGGTATTACTTGGGCATTTCATCTGTCCTGTCAGACAGGAGCTGGTGTTCCAAATTCTGATCCCTTATACGTCCAAGCGTTTCGAGCTACCAATCGCCAATGTTCGTCCGTCCCCTCTCCGTACATTCGTACTCGTAACACTGACAACCCACAGGCTGGTCTTCTTCTCTCGGTCGTTGCATTTACTAACCTTGCTATCTTTATATCCGTGCTGCCATATATAACCCGCCGTCTGCGGCGCACTCTTAGCCCAAGTCGCATCGACACACTCACCGCATCCTACTCGTCGTTGCTACTGGCACTCGGCAGTCTCATGATTGGGTTCGCCGGGACATTCCCGCTGCTGGTGGTTTCGACAATTACATTCTCCGCAGGCTTTGGAATCCGATTGGGCCTGCTGAGTCTTCTGACTGCGCTGGTAGATCCGGCAAAAATCGGCCGGGCGTACACACTCGTAACTGTGGTCGAAAGCTTCGGCGAGATGACGAGTGCGCCTATGTTGCAAGGTCTCTGGTCATGGGGACTGCTACAAGGGGGCGTGTGGAGAGGGACACCGTGGTGGGCTGGCGCCGTTGTCTATCTGGCCGGATGGTGGTGGATCGAGAGAGTTAGAGTCAAGGGGGAGAGGAGACGGGTAGGTTCCGTTGTCGAGACTAGACCACTACTTTAAGTTATCTTTATGCGTGCCGATACGACCAGAATGCTCCAGAGTATAACGGTCTGGATATACGTGTCGCCTTCCACGACGTTGGACTGTCGGTATTGCGCAACGCCGTAGACTGAATACATGACCTATCTTCTAGCCCTTCTGGGCGTTATGGCTCCAAACGTTTTTTCCCCCCGAGATGTGAAAGTTTATCTCGGAGTAGTGCATACCACCGGGGATTTACTGCTGGCTGAAGATATCTTCATTTCCGCATGCGTAACACTCGATCTCATCGGCAAAAAATGCTTCATGAGGTGTAAGATACGGATCCCTTCGGAGAGATCGTGATGTGGGCTAAGGGATGTATAACACTCCTGTGGCTTCCGATGTTGTGCGTACCTGTTCGCGAGTTCTGACCCTTTTTCAGGAGGCATGCGCAATCCACAGCTTCACCGTGAAGGTAATCCGTAGATGTACCGTATCAGCAAACCAGACATAAACCGCCCATATCTGCCTGGTGATCCTGCAGGCTTCTCATCCACAGCCAAGTTTAATCACAATGCTGCCTCTCAAACTCATCCTCCTGGCCCTCCCGTTTACGGCACTCGCCGCTCCCATTCCCTCCGCCTCGGCGGATCCCACTGCCATCAAGCCCATCTTTGGCAGCTGGGGTGAATCTTGCAAGCCCTTCAAACCCGGTAAGCTGGGCGACAAATGGAACCCCCCTCCCCCGCCTCCGCCGCCAGTATACCGGGCTCCCCCTCCCCCTCCTCCTCCTGTTTCTACTCCTCCCGCCCCTCCCGTCGTCGCCCAACCTCCCGCCCCTCAGGAGGAGCCCTCGTACGGCCAAGCCGGCCAGAAGCAGGCAAAGGAGAGCGCCGCGCGCTCCGACGTAACCCGCATGGCCGCCAGCAACTCCGTCGCACTGTTTAACGGCATCCCAGTAGACCCCATGACCGGACGGCCCATCGTTCCTCCCGCCGAGGATGAGGATGAGGAGCCTGGGACGCTCACGAAGCGCGGTCTACTGAAGAAGAAGCTCGGGCTGCAGTTCCTCGATGACCCGAATGCCGACGAGAACGTTATCCGCGAGGCGATGAACTCTCAGCTTATCGGAACCGGACTCGCGGCCCCCAAGGGTACTTTTGACGAGCAGTCCGAGACTGTCGACGAGCTCGCCGACGCTGCCGCCGCTGCCGAAAGTGCCGCTCCCGCCGCCGCTACCCCCGAGGTTCCTAAGAAACCTAAGATCCAGCCATGGAATAGCAACAGCTACATGATCTGCAATGGCGTGCCCGTCGCCGTCGATGGCGATGTGACCAACAAGGCTCTGGAAGTGGCCAAGTTCACCGGCCCCGCCACTTCTTCTCTCCAAAAGCGTGGCGATATCCGCAACAAGTTTGGGTTTGGGATGTTCGACATGCCGAGCGTTAGCGGCCGGCGCAAGACGACCCAGGCGCCCCCTGCCGAGGATGAGGAGGAGTATCAAGAGGAGGAGGTGGAGGTGGTGGAGGAGGAGGAGCCTGCCGCTGTCCCCGCCCAGAAGGAGAAAGAAGCGATCCTTCCGCACCCTTCGCAGACGATGGACGAAGCCAGGGGCCTTCCATTCGATGAGCTCCCCCAGGGCAAGAGCTTCGTCATCTACAACGGCAAGCCGGTGGAAGTGAACGGAAGTCCATTCAACGGAGCCAAGATCAAGAAGCCGCGTCCGGCATTCCGCGGCAGCCGGGACAACGACTACTCGCGCCTCGCGAAGCGCGATCCCGGCAGAAAGTACACCGGCCTCAACCCGTTCAAGCCCAACCCTATCACCGGGTGCCACAAGGATTCGCGGCTCTCGGCTACGAGCAACGACAACGGCGAGACGAACCAGGAGAGGCAGGAACACCACATCGAGGAGTTGAGTCCGCACACCACGGAGCAAGAGTCGATCAATGTCAAGGTCGGCGACAGCTATGCGCTGTTCAACGGAAGGCCCATCGAGCTGGCGGGAAAGAAGCCCACGCCCACGCCCGCGCCTGCGCCGGCGGAAAAGCAACACCCAGCGAGTTTGGCGAGTGGCGGAATGGGCTTTTTCAATGGAATGTCGGCTTAAGGTGGTTTCATCCTTCGGGTATTATATGCGTGTAAATTTTTAATAGAGTAATGGCTGTATTTTGAGCGAGACTGCCGAAGATTTTGAGTGATGTGCGGTGCGAATGTCTGGTTGAGGTCCTCGAGGACGGAATATTTCTGATTCATGGTCCATGATGCTCCCCCATCATTATAGTTTCCCACGTGTCCGCGCTGGGGAATAAACTGCTGCACAAAAAGCAGAATAATCGATTACTCGTCGACACGTCAGCCCAACTCTTACCCCGTTCTACGGACACTAAGATGAGTTTCTCTAGAACCTTTCCAAAACTAGATTAAAGATTTAGGTATATGTACTCATCATTAATTGCTCTGTGGGATAGTTCGTCCATATTTCTAGACAACAGTGAAGCGAAAATGATTATCCCAAATAGGGTAGCGGGTGTAGTCATTAGGGGAAGGGTGTTTGGTTTCCGGACCATGTCGAATGGCCGATATCGCTTTGTGAGGTCGAGGGGATATATTACTCGTGAAGCGGTACATACAAAGCGGAAGATGGCAATGCGGAGGTCGAAGATATTCAGTGTACATAGAAGTAGTACCTCACTGAAGCAGGGCAATGCTGTGCCTTCGGTGACGCCGGCAGTAGCTGCCCGAAGCCAGTAAGATTATGAATCTTGATACTCAATCCACATAGTGAAACTCTCATCGTGAACTTCCAGCAGTAGATTTCGAGGGGATACAAGGTAAAGATGGTGCCCTCCACTTTTCCCTCCTTTATAGTCCACAATCTTCCACCATAGATTTGGTATTCACCATGTCGCCCACGCCGGATCTGCGGAATCGTAACGACTCCGAGTCCTCTCATAACAGTTCAGACCCCGTCGCCATCGAGGCCTCTACACCAGTTCCTACACCACCAATCTCTACACCACCAGTCCTTACACTAGCAACCATTGATTCGCCAGTCTCTACCTTACCAGCCTCACCAGATACGGCGAAGTCAGGGCTAGAAGAGTTCGATTATGATGATCCTATTGACGGACAACAAGGTATCCACCGACTCAATGTTGTTCACCACTGTCAGGGTAGGTGGTTGCGGTTTTGGTAAGCACCTCACCACGGAGATGTTGGAAGAAGTATGCGGTGGGCTGAGATTGTGCGCAGGATTACAATCGTCGCTTGCGGGAGCTTCTGTTTCTTCGGCTACGACCAGGGAATGATCGCAGGTGTCAATGCTTCAAACCGTACGTCCCTCTTGCCCTCACCACGGGTTTGGTTTGCGAAGTCAACGCTCAATTCGAAGTGCAGATTACGTGAAGCTGATGGGTTTTGGTTATGTCGATGAGAATGATGAGCCCCGGAGTACCAACGGCCTCCTCGAAGGTGTGTCCCCCCCCCCCCCCCCCCCCACATGGTGACCCGCTATATTCAACGACACTAACGTGCGTGCGCCCTTCATAGGTGGTATAATTGCCATCTACTACTTTGGTAAGTAAGCAGACCGCGTTTCCTGCCCATCTTGTCGCTGTGCTGACCAGTGCAACAGGCACCTTGATTGGATGCTTTCTCGGAGGCATCGTCGGTGACGATTATGGCCGCATAAAGGGTGTCGCCCTTGGAGCCGTCATCGGAATTGTGGGTGCAGCCCTACAATGCACTGCCCAGAACGTCTCTTGGATGTGCATCGCTCGCATCATCAATGGTGTTGGCACTGGAGTTCTGAGCGCGGTTATTCCTGTCTGGGTATGTACGTACGGTACACGGGGGGAGGGGACGCGAGCCGTCGAAGCTTACCTGAGTGTAGACTACCGAAGTTTGTGAGCATTCGTCCCGTGGCCAGATGATCTCTACTGAGTTTACCTCCAACATTTTTGGTGTCGTGATTGCATACTGGCTCGCCGTAAGTCTACCACCTCCCACAAACCATCAACCCCGTACCTAACATCAGCGCAGTACGGGCTCTCCTTCATTGATGGTGGCAACTCCCAATGGCGCTGGCGCTTCCCGATCGCCTTCCAGATCATCCCACTGATCATTCTCCTCATTGTGATCTTCTTCTTCCCCGAATCCCCTCGCTGGCTCATCAAGGACGGTAAATTCGAGCGAGCCCGGTTTATCCTCTCCCGCATCCGCGGCCGCAACTACCATGACGTGGAGACGGAGTATCTTGCCATCAACAAATCAGTCGCCAACGAAAAACGTTGGGGCCACAGACCTGGTGTTACTACGAACTACTGGACGATGATCACCGGAACCGGTGGTGGGTCCATGCATATCACCAGGCGCGTGTACCTCATCATCTGGTTGCAGATCATTCAGGAGTGGGTTGGCGTGGCTTGTGTCACGGTGTATGCGCCCGTGATGTTCAGGAACGCAGGATTCGCCGCTCAAACCGCCACCTTCATCTCTGGAATCAACAATGTAAACCGTCTATATACTCACTTTCTACCTCTCTAATAACAATTAACAACTTCCAGATCACCTATTGCCTTAGCACCCTCATACCCGTGCTCTATCTCGACCAATACGGCCGCCGGAAGTTCCTCCATGTCGGAGCAGTCCTGCAGGCAATCTTCATGGCTGCCGCAGGAGGCTGCTCGAAAATGAGGGACGACGGTGGCGGAGCGAGATGGGGAATTGGCGCCACCGTCAGCATCTTCCTCTTCACATTCTCATTCGGTGCGACCTGGGTAAGTCCCCCTCCTCCTGGAAATACACTGGAATACCATCCAGCTAACGGGGAAATACAGCTCTGCGTCCCCTGGATCTACCAGACCGAGATCTTCCCCACCACAATCCGCGTGAAGGGTGCCTCCTTCGGTGTGATAGGCTGGTCACTCGGCAGCGGCTGGCTGACCCTCCTCTGCCCGATAATGTTCCAGAGAATCGGTCCGTGGACTCTCGTCGTCTTTGCATGCTGCAGTCTGTCCACCATGCCGATTGTGTGGGCTCTCTGTCCGGAGACGAACCAGTGCACGCTCGAGGATATCGAGTACCTGTTCAACCTCAAAAGTCCCTGGGCCTGGGATGCCGAGAAGAATTACGCCGAGAAGATAGCGCTCAAGGAAGCCGAGAATCAATGTTCGAATGTGGAGAATGGCGCTGCGGAGGTGGAGGATAGCGCTGCGGAGGTGGAGGGTACCGCTGCGGAGGTGGAGGATCTCCAAAGTGGGGATGTTCGGTGCAGAAACAGTTACCAACTGAAGAAGGACTAATACTACGCCTCCGATAGCCATATCCACCGATGGGATCGGGAGAATCTATTTGCCTAATAGATGCTCGTAATTTCAACACGAGCAGTTTTTTTTTTTTTTTTTTTTTTTTTTGGGGGGGGGGAAGGGGGTTGGGTTTGGTTTTTGTGATATCGACATTGCAGTTTTACATACACCATTCGCTATATCCTGCAACGAATGAATGATCGGTTCTTTTTGGTTTTTGATATCTCATCATAATAATGCACTCGACTTATCAAGATCATGGAATATCACACAGGTGCGGTTTTGGATCATCACTGATCTGCCACCCCCTTTTTCAAAGGCTGCATGCAGGATGAATCAATACCTAAACTCTTCTCTCATGAATAGAGTAGCAAAAAGTGGGGCGCGATTAATGCCGAAGGTCTCCAGTAGTACTACCGCATGAATTTGAATCCGGTAGTCTCAGGAGAATACAGCTTTAACTTAGTATTTGTTTTCCCTTATAGTCTCAATTCTACAGTATCACACCAATATACGCAGTGTTGTAAAGACACGCTTACTAACACACCGGAAGAACTACCGCAGTTCTTCTGAATGCAACATACTACGCACTGTCCAGAATACTAGAAACCTACCAGAGAACTACCTAATTCGCATCACAACGCCGTGCAGAGAAAACGTTGTTATGCTAATCAAACTATGACGACAAGAGTCTTACGGAAGAAGAAATACCGTGCTGAGCAGAATGCTCCAGGGACTGAACCCGGTATGCCTACAGGCTACCGTAGAAACCCTCTAGTTCCAAGAATAAGTAACGTGAGTAAGGCGTTTTATACGCAAGCAGACATTTACGACATTCAACTTGTAGTGCAGAAAGTTCCGTAGGCCTACAGAATAAATACTGCAGGCGAAACTACTCTATACCGACTGGGCTGAATACAGTCATTGTTTTTCCACCGACAACTAGGTAAATCCATAGTGTTTCTCAACTTAGGTACTGTACCTATTGGGTCTTGAACCGCGGAGCAACCGACCAACGTACGTACCGGTATCAGACGAGCCGCGCGCGAGATCCCGAAAGAAGGTAGGTAAACTGCTGGCCAGCATTATATTTAGAGACGATATCCTATTCAGAGAGTTGTTCACATATGTACCGGTAGGTATCTCACTCGGCCACCTAAATCTGTGAGGTCTTCCAGAATCCATGGTGGGTAGACGCCGGACGGGGGTTCACGGCGACAGTCAGTGAGAGGAAACGGGTTATAACTGCCATGATCCAATACCCAAGGTCAAATTGAACCAAAAAAGACGGGCTCGACGTCGGCCACGGCCGAGGAGCGGACGGCATCCCGGTATGTATTGGTATGTACGACAAACTCAAGTCCGGGCAAGCGCTCATGGGGGGGGGAGCACCTGTAACCTGTACTGGAAAACAAGCCGGCCGACCATCATTGCTGGTGATGGTGGTGGTGGTGGTGGTGGTGGTGGTGGTGGTGGAGTACCTACGTACCGAGGAGCCCAGACTCGGGAAGACACCTCTTCAAGCAGTGAGCACTGCGGTGCCTGGAGGGCGGAGCAGAAGACTCTCGAACGGACAGCGGAGGATAACAGGCATAAAATGCATATGCAGGCGGTGCAGTCGGACGGGGGGGGAGGTTGGTGCCTTGTTCGCGGATTCTTCATGTAGCCTGATAGTTGAGTTTGGACTTTCTGCGCAGCGCTGATGTTGGCAAGTTGGGAAGACAGCACCGGCTCTCTCATGTACATAGAATTTCCTTAGTGCGCTACTCTCATCGTTGCGCTCTTTTCCCTGGTGCAATCCATATGTTTTCGGTGCGCACTAGGCGGAGGGCGAGGCCGCGAGTGAGACGGAGTTGCCACGCCGAGGCAGTCATCCAGACTGTGAGCAGGAACGGAAGAACAAGCTGCCATAGGTAGGCGACCAGTGTCTAGGCTGAATCTGAGTACGATTAAACAAAACAAAGAAAAACAAAGCAAACGAATACATAGACGAATTCACATCACCCACAGGATCATCTGCTAGCTTTTCCACACGGGGCAGCACTCGAAGTCTGAAGACGTGCTCCCGAGTCCCGGGCCTCGGTCCTGCAACGGCGGTGCCATCCGCACTAGGCGTCGAGGACGTCTCTCCGTCAAAAGCCGACGAAACAAAGCATTTTGGCGTGCATAAGGTTCATTCCGTCCGAGTGCTGGTACATGATGGAACGTGATGGAACGTAGGACAAAAGCTTCTACATAGATGTCCGCAACATCCGCCATGCTGGTTACGCCATAACTAATTGGACTCCGATCGCACCCAAGACACCCGCGCCATTGAGTGGGATCTTCACGATTCTAGAAGCTGTTACTTGTTATGTCTTCGCTGCACGTGGTAGGTAGCGGATTGGCCACTCAACCCCCCGGCCGTAGGTCCAGACAGAGCCGAGCCTCCTCCTCCTCTTCTCTTCACGATCGTGGAAGCTGTTACTTGAGTTCTATCTTCGCTGCACGTGGCAGGATGTAGCGGAGTGGCCACTCAACCCCCTCGCAGGTCCAGAGTCCAGACAGAGCCGAGCCTCCTCCTCTTCTTCTCTTCTCTTCTTCTCTTCCGTCCCGTCATAAGACCGTGCTATGTACGGTGCTAGGCTGACTCCGGGCTTCTCCGACATCGCACACGAAGTTGCGAACGCGAGCCTTGCCAGGCTGATGCAGAGTTTGCACGACGCTATCGTGTCAGTCAGATATGTGCCCCCCGATCCTTGCTGAGTCTGGACGTTGCCCTGCCACAATTCTGCCCCGCCTTTTCGAGCCCACTAATTTCCAAGACTTGCCCCTCAGAAGGTCTCTACACACTCGTGGCGGAAACTCCGCTCACCAGTATCCGGAGTTTTCCTTAGCGCGCTAGAATTTCTGAGATGTGAAATTGTGAATCTTTGCTCGAAGCCTCGAACAGGAGATTCCGGACTCTGCGAAACTGCTGATGAGGGGAAGGCTTTGCGCCAAGGATAAGGGTTGCACAATGCATATCCGGATATATCCTACCGTATGTAAAATTGTATAATGCCCCGCGCAGTCCAGTCCCATCAGTACTCGAGTTACCCTCCGGCGTCTACAAAAGCAATTCAGGGCAAGAGCAAGCCACTATTCTTGGGATAGCGCTGGGTAGAGTCGCACGGAGGACTGTCCGCTGACCTAAAAGTTGACTTTGCTCAGCCCCATTGGCCCGCCCCATTGGCCCAGTCTGACGGAGTCCTGGCCGACGTTCGGTAGCCTCGCCTACATATCCTACGGGGGGGTTTGCATACCTGTAGGCATTCGAGCTTTGTGGATTCCGGTGTTCTACATACGGAGGGAAACTGGGGATGCGTTTGGTTGAAATACTCCTCTACTCTATCACTCTATATACCTGGTGTGAGAGGGACTCGCTTACGCTGTGGTGGTGGTGGTGGTGGTGGTGGTGGTGGTGGTGGTGGTGCTCACTGGTGGTGTTCCATCGGATGTCCCTGAATATCACCTCCCCGAGGAATTGCTAGGTCTCCGGGAGAGCGGCCTGGGCCGGATTTTCCGTGGCTATCCTGTAGATGTGCTCACTAGATGGCTTCGGGAGTAGGTATGCGGACACTCTACTCTAGAGTCCTAGTCATATGTAGGGGCAGTCACACCAGGAGAGTCGAGACACTCCCATAGCGCGTCCGAATACTTGAAGCCATCTAGCACCCGGCCAAGTGGTAACCAGAGCACATAGAGTGGTGATCCGCAGGACCGCAGCAACGTGAAGGCGTGGTCGGTTTGACGTCTGGACCCTCTCTGCAGTCGGGATTCGCAAGAACTCTACATAGAGTAGCGAGGGAGTACGGTGTTGGTTGGTTGGTTGGCTAACCGCGAACATCATCTTTGCGCGCTTTTTCCGGGCGCACACCTTTTACGCATACCCAAGTCCGTATGCTACGGTGCATACAGAGGAGCGGGGAAATGCCTCGCCCGGTGTTGCTGCCACCCACCCACCCATCGTGGCCATTCCTATTTCCGCGCAACTACCGTACGGTCCGGTGCGGTACGGTACGGCACTCGAGGAAGCTGCCTGGCGCCTTGAAAGCCTACCTACTCTTGCCTACTCCGAGAAGCCCTGCCCTCTGCGCCCCAACTCGAGGTTTGGTCGGTCGGTGATCAACGTCACCGTCACTTTGATAGTCACTGCCACTGTCACTGGCCGATCGCAATTGGGCCGCCATCCCAGCGACCCAGCCAATGGATCGGTCGGAATGTATACCCGGCACGCAGCGTTTTTGGAGTTCGGAAGCGCGTGACAGGATTCCCAGAACCCACTTATCAGGCACATGGTGGTGGTGGTGGGGTGAGGAGCCCATGTGTCGTGTGCCCGATTGCCCGATGCGGGCTGGGGTGGTGGTGGTTTGGAAGCGAGGAAAAAAACTGGGTGGGCGGCACGGTGGACACCGCTGGCTGGCTGGCTGGCTGGCTGGCTGGCTGGCTGGCTGGCTGGCTGAGTCGTTGATGACTACCGAGTACTACAAAAGACCGGCCGTTCGTCGTCGGAATGGCTCCGTCTGGCTCTTGCTTTCTGCGAAAGAAGCCTTTCTACACTATACGCTAAGATAGCTATCCCGTTCTTCCTTCGAAGAGACACATCTCCAGTCACCGTCGCCGTCATTGCCACCATTACCACCGCCGTCACCGCCACCCCCCCTCGAGCTCGAGACCGGCTATCGTTCCCGGGTATCATCCAACGTTGTACCGCATATATTGAGAAGGCCCAGCAAACAGCACGCCGGGACCCAGCGAAACCATCACCATTACCACCGTAACCGACGATGAAGTTCGCCCACACCTTTAACGAAACGCTGTCGAGCGAGAATTTTCCGCCCGAGTGGCAGGCCGCCGCTATCCAGTACCGCCAGCTCAAGAAGTGCATCAAGCGTCTACAGCGCGAGCTCGACGAGCTGGGACTGAGCGTCGAGACGCTCAAATCCCTTATTTGCGAGTGCAGGGACCAGGGCTGTGGTGATGGCGGCAACGGTGGTCACGGGCCGATGCTGCAGTACATGTTTGATGGTGCGGACCTCCACTTCTCGAACGGCAGCGCGCAGGGACGCAGGGACACGAGCGGGGGTGATGGTGGTGGTGGGGGGGGGGGATCGCGGGGTTCTTGTGTGGACGCTAACCGTGGTTCGCTCGGTACAGGCAATCTGCAGAGTTTCCAGCCCAGGCTGGTATTGACGATTCGTGGCCATGACGATCTACTGTTGGATTTGGGATTGACGGAGGAGACGAAAAAGTCCTTGCAACGGCTGCTGAAACAACGCGGACTACCGCTGCCGAGGAGAGCGTCGACAGTCTCCGAAGACAGCGGTACCAGTAGTCCCGAATCCGAGGGTTCGGATCCGTCCGAGACACTGCCGTCTTCGGTGAAACCCGACGGCGACATCGACACCGATACACCGGTGTCGACCATAGAAATCCCGCTCAGTAGCGATGCCGAGTTCTTTCACATCCTCACGTCCGAGCTATCGGCGCTCGACATAGTCCAAACCCGCGCCGCAAAGATCATCCAGAACGAGATCATCGTTCTTGGAGATTCCGTTACAGCGGTAGCAGCACCGAGATCCCTAGCCCTCAAACAGTCGGATCTGTACCCGTGGCGCGAGATCTTCCGAATGTACCTGGATATGGGCATCTTCATCTCGAACCTCGAGATTGAGAGGCACAAGGAGCGCGACGCGGACGAAGCGCAGGTACGCCTGGAGAAGTTTTCCAACGAGGTGAGCCGGTTGGGACTCAGGAAGCAATTCAAACGTCGGGAGAGCGGGGTACTGTATTCCCGCTTCATCGCCGTGAATATGGAGGTCCTGAGGGTGATGCGGTTCCAAGACATCAACAAGCTAGCCATGCGGAAGATTCTCAAGAGTTCATATTCTCCATCCGACTGTTGTCATAGCTTTTCTTGGACTAATCTGGTCCAACAGAATTCGATAAACGCACCGCTCTCGGCGCCCGCGATTTATTCCCGACGTTCGTAGCCTCGAACCCTTTTCTCGCCTCGCACATGGCCAAAGCCATCTGCTTCACCATGTCCTCCAAGCTCCTCTCGATCCTACCGCAACTCGACGACTACCTCTGTCCGATCTGCCAATCCATCTCGATGAAGCCCGTGCGGCTCTCGTGCTCGCACGTCTTCTGCGTCCGATGTCTCGTGAAGCTCCAGCGCGAGTCGAAACGGTTCTGTCCCATGTGCCGCGGCGACGTGGTGCTAAGTGCCGACGCCACGAATCTGGATCATGGACTGCAGAATTTCCTGAAGCTGTATTTTCCAAAGGAGGCGAAGGAGAAGCAGAAAGAAAATGAGAACGAGGTCGTCCAGGAACAGTGGAGGAATGTGCAATTGCGCACGGCCATCACGGGGCCGATCAGTGCTGATGCCGGATGTGTGGTTATGTGATTTCCTGTTTATCTGTGCTTTTTTGGTTTGCAGTGCTTGTTCGTTGATTTGTATCTGGATGATATCATGTACTTGTTATATATGGGTGGTGGCTATTCGGGGTCTGTCTTTCTTGTGGCGTTATTTGGTGGGTTTGGTCTGGTGTATTGTTAATGACGGGCAATGACTCTAGGAGAGCATTAAAAGTAAATTCGATGGGTCTTCATAACGAGCATGAGGTTGTGAAGAGAAAACTACCGTGATTTTAGATATCCGTATTTCTGAGTGCTTTGTCGTGCCTGGTAGTCACGGGACCTCGCGATCGTTGCCGCCAAGATCGTATGGGGTTGGGTGCCCCACGTTTTTCCCGTGTGTCAGTTTGTTTTTGTTCCACCCTCTCTCTCTCGCTCTCTCTTTGGCCTGCAAGTCACCAATCCATCAACAACCTACCAACGATTCAATTACGTACGTAATTACTGCTCGTTACCGCTTTGACAGATTCCGTATATTCCGCCCACAATGCCTGCTTCATCCAGACCCCGCCGCGTTCCTACCCGCCGCCAGAAAATAATCGAATCGTCGTCCTCCGAGGAAGAGGAAGAGGAGGAGGAGGAGGAGGAGGTGGCTCAGCCGAAGGACGAAGATGACGAAGAGGACGACGACGAGGAGGAAGAGGATGAGGAGGAAGATGAGGACGAGGCAGAATACACGCCAGTGGCAGCGACGCCGCGCCGAGCATCACGAAGAGTAACATCGCAGCCGCCGGCCTCCGCCGCCCCCGCGAGTAGGACGAGCCGCGGCGCCCGCGAACGCATCCCACCGAGTAGAGTCACGGCGCGAGGCCGCGGAGGCCGTGCTACGCGTAGACAGCGGATCTCCGATTCAGCAGAGGAAGCGGCGGAGGAGCCGGCACCTGCTCCTGCACGGGCGGCGGCGCGTAGGCAGCGGGTCCCGGATTCGTCTGAGGAAGAGGCGGAGGAGCCGGCACCACCTACTCCTGCACGCGCTACGCGTAGGAAGCGGGTCTCTGCCGCGCCGACGGAGCCTACAGAGTCTGCGCAACCGTCGTCCGAAGCTGGGAGCGAGAGAGAGGTCACTCCGGCGCCTGGACGCGATGCTTCGGCGACACCGGCTCCTGCTGCGAGAGAGCCGTCGGCTACTCCTACTCCTGGAGATCGGGACGCTACACCTACGCCGGAGACGCCGCGGGCGCAACGGACGTCGCTGCTGCCGCAGAGTACCCCACAGCTACTGAGAAGCTCGCAGCCACCGAGAACCCCACAGCAGCAGCGTGGAGGTACTCCGAGAGCGGGCCAAACCCCCAATACAGCAGCAGCAGCAGCGGCGGTGGTAACTCCCTCAGCTACGCATACCTTGCACTTCCAGGACTCCCCCGTCGCCGCGCAACTGTCCCCTGCACGGTCTCTACGGCTGGGCGCCCCCCCCGGCAGTCGGCCGCAATCCTCACATTCCACGCAAAACCCACAAGCCACGCAGAACATCGAGCCGATCGTCCTCAAGAACCGGGGGAACACGTTACTCTCTCAGCAGCCGGAGGACACGGGGCCGAAGAAGCGTCTCGTCATCACACACCTGATGATGAACAACTTCAAGTCGTATGCCGGCGAGCGGATGGTGGGCCCATTCCACCCGTCCTTCACGTCGGTTGTCGGGCCTAACGGTTCGGGGAAGTCGAATGTCATCGACTCCCTACTATTCGTGTTTGGATTCCGCGCCAGCAAGATGCGACAGGGCAAGTTGTCGGCGCTGATCCACAGTTCCGAGGCATTCCCGAATCTGGAGTTCTGCGAGGTCCAGGTGTTCTTCCAGGAGGTGCTGGATCTGCCAGATGGAAAGTACGAGGTCATCGAGGACTCCCAAATTGTCGTCTCGAGACGCGCGCTCAAGAATAATACAAACAAATATTATATCAACGGCAAGACCAGCGACTACACCACAGTGACGTCCCTGCTGCGCGGTCGCGGCGTCGATCTGGACCACAAGCGGTTCTTGATCCTGCAGGGTGAAGTCGAATCGATCGCACAGATGAAGCCCAAGGCGACTAACGACAGCGATGAGGGTTTGTTGGAGTATCTCGAGGACATCATCGGAACGAGTAAATACAAGCAGCCGATCGAAGAGTCGATAACCGAAGTGGAGGAGTTGAACGATGTCTGTGTGGAGAAGAGCTCTCGCGTCAAGATCGTCGAAACAGAAAGAAATAGCTTGGAGCCGAAGAAGGAAGCTGCTCTGGAATTCATACGTATGGAAAATGAGCTTGCCATAGAGCACGCTCAGCTTTTCCAGCTGTATATGCAGGAGTGCGATAAAAATATCCGGGTCACGTCGGAAATGATTGTACGTATTGCCCCGAGCCAACGGAGAGCGTGTCCGGCTGATTTTTTTTTTGGATAGACGCAATTTCAAGCGGAGTTGGATACCGAGCAAGAGAATCATCGAGGCTCCGAGGATCAGATTAAAAAGCTGGACAGGGAATATAAGGCTGGTGTCAAGGAGATTGAGGTAATGATCTTGCAATGCGATTTTGTTTGTGATATTTGGTACTTATTATCCGCAGGAAATCGAGAAACAAACCCAGGCTATCCTTCACGAGACATCCAAAACCGACAAGGAGAAAGTCAAGTTCCAAGAGAAGGAAAAGTTCCTCGCCCAGAAAGAGAAAAAGCTGCAGAAGTCGATTCAAACCAGCAGACTACAAGCTTCCGAGGCGACGTCTCTGATCGAGCGGTCCCTATCGGATATCGAGCAATTCGGCGTGGAGGCGGCAGAGATCAGAGAGAATCTCAAGGGCGAAGAGGCGGAGCTCGCAAAGATTCGAGACGCGTTGAAGGAGAAGACGCAAGGCTTTTCCGACGAGATTGCCGCGAAACAGAAGTCCTTGGAGCCCTGGAACGAGAAGATCAACAAAAAGCGGTCGGAAATCGCCATTGCTCAAAGCGAACTGGAAATTCTGTACGGCAGGGCAAATGAGAAAAAGGTTGAGCTCGAAGAAGCCCAGGCCCGGATTGGAACGATTGAGGAAGCCAGACAAACCAAAGAGGCCGAGCTCAAGGAGTGTCAAAAGGAAAAGGCCGCTCTGGCAAAGGAGGCCCTGAAGGTGCAAGCCGAAATCGAGAAAATGGCACGCAAGGAACCGCAGTTGAAAGCCAATCTCTCCGCCGTCAGAGTCAAGGCGGATGAAGCGAGATCATCCATGTCTTCCGCTCAGTCGCAAAGTAAAGTTCTGACCGGGCTCATGCGGTTAAGTGAGTCTGGAAGGATCGACGGTTTTCACGGTCGTCTCGGGAATCTGGGAACAATCGACCCCAAGTACGACATCGCGGTGTCCACGGCTTGCCCTAGTTTGGAGCACTTAGTTGTTGACACAGTGGAAATCGGCCAGGCGTGTATTGATTACCTGCGCAAAAACGATCTGGGACGTGCGAACTTCATCTGCTTGGACAAACTACCTCAGCGAGACATGTCCAAGATCCAAACCCCGGAAGGTGTACCTCGATTGTTTGATCTGCTCCAGCCGAGGAACCCCGGATTTGCGCCCGCATTCTACTCGGTCCTTCAGGACACATTGGTTGCCGACGACCTGCAGCAGGCCAACCGTGTCGCATTCGGCGCCAAGCGCCACAGGGTAGTAACTTTGAGCGGCGAGCTCTTCGAGAAAGCGGGTACCATGAGCGGAGGTGGTAAAACCGTTTCGAAGGGACGCATGTCGAACAAACTCTCGTCGCACATGTCGAAGGAGGCGATGCAGAAGCTGGAGCAGGATCGCGATGTCCAAGAAAACGAATACGCGTTGTTCCAGGAGGAGCTGAGAGCTCTCCAATCGAAGCTGCGCGAAATCACGGAGCGGGTCCCGGAACTGGATGTCACCATGTCCAAAATACAACTTGAGATCTCGTCTTCGGCGAAACATATGGCCGATGCCGAACAGAGGATTAAAAATATAACCCAGCAGAAAAGCACGTCGTCGACCGACAAGAGTCTTATCGCCGGGTTGGAGAAGAAGATCAAGGGCTTTGAAAGTGAAATCGAACAGCTCCAGGAGGAAACCGCTGAGGTCGAGGGCGAGATCCAGGTCCTCCAACACAAGATTATGGAGGTCGGTGGTATCCAGTTGCGGAGCCAGAAGGCCAAGGTCGATGGCCTCCGGGAACAGCTCGAAACCCTCAACGAGCAGATCTCACAAGCGGAACTGGCGAAAAGCAAGTCGGAGAAGACCAAGAAGAAGGCCGAGAAGATTGTTACTAAGGGTGATGAGGAACTGGAAGCTATCGTCTTGGAGCTTGAGGAGTTGAAGGAGGATATGAAGGAGCTTGAGAAGTCAGCGCGAGAGTCTAACGAGAAGGCTACTGAGGCGCAGGGTGTAAGTCTCAAACCCAAGCATCTTGCCCAATTGCGGCTAACTTTACTCGTTAGTTCCTCGAAAACAAGAAGGATGAGCTCGCCGCGATGAAGGAGGTCTACGATGAGAAAATGGCGGGTCTCAACAAGACCAGGGCTGCCGAAATCGAAATGAAGAACAAACTCGAAGAGCACCAGAAAGTGCTGAGTGACCACCAGAGGCGATCTTCCCACTGGCAGGAAAAGCTCAGCAAGCTTAGGCTTCATCAGACAAGGGACTTGACCGGTGGAAGTGATGGGACAGGCGACGACGAACCGGAAACACTCCCAGTCCTCACCGAGGACGAGTTGGAAGACCTGGATAAGGACAAGATGAAAATCAAGATCGCTGTGCTCGAGGAGAAGCTCAAAGACGTCAACATTGATCTTGCGGTGCTTAGCGAATACCGCCGTCGCGTGGAAGAATACACAGTTCGCAACGTCGATCTCCAGGCGGCGATCAACAACCGCGATGGCGTCAAGCGTCGCCTCGACGACTTGCGCAAGCGACGGCTCGAAGAGTTCATGGAGGGATTTAATATGATCTCCATCCGACTCAAAGAGATGTACAAGATGATTACGATGGGAGGCAACGCCGAGCTCGAGCTCGTCGACTCGCTGGACCCGTTCTCGGAGGGCATCCTCTTTTCCGTCATGCCGCCCAAGAAGAGCTGGAAGAACATCTCGAATCTCTCGGGTGGTGAGAAGACGCTTTCTTCGCTCGCGCTCGTCTTTGCCCTGCACCACTACAAGCCCACGCCACTGTACGTCATGGACGAGATCGATGCGGCCCTCGACTTCAGGAACGTCAGTATCGTCGCTAGCTACATCAAGGAGAGGACGAAGAACGCGCAGTTCATCGTCATCTCGCTCAGGAATAACATGTTCGAGCTGGCGGCTCGTTTAGTGGGTGTCTACAAGGTCAATCACATGGTAAGTTTCTCTCTCACCCCTCTTCTCGCTATACAGTCGCTGATAAAATCCGTAGACCAAGAGCGTTACCATCGAGAACAAGCCTTATATACAAGGAAGCGCTTAATGATGGATGGATGGATGGATGTCTTCTTTTTTTTGGGTTTTTTTTTGGTTTTATTATTACAAGCGAAATGTCTGTTCGGGGTGATTTTTTCTTTCTTTCTTTCTTTCTGAATGTTAAGTTTGGCCCGGATATAGGTTATGTACGTTCTGCTCGGTCGAGCAGCTCTTCATGATGCTACTATGAAGTGCTATGGTTCATGAAATACCATTTACGTTCTGCTCTGCTCGAGCGGGTTTTGATGCTCTGTCATGGTTCATGATTGCTTTGTGGTGGGAAATAAATGATACCTAGGTAATAGTATTCCATTCCATTCCGTATCCAGATTGTTGGTGGAGGGCGGGCGGAGGGGACTGGTCGTGATCACTGGATCAATTTTTTTTGAAACATGGGGATATGTATGTGAGGTGCGAGGTGATTGGAGTCTTCCCTCCCTCTTGAGTGACATGGAGCATCACTCACTCACTCATTGTTGAATCCCGTTGGCGCACGGGGGGAAAAACGACACCCCCTAGGGTTTTCTAACAATGCTCCTCCTCAAGAGTCCTCGCCATTGCAGAGGACTGGGGGGTGCTCACTGCTCACTGCCCAGACGGAATGAGGGCTTAAGTGTGTATTGCCGGGGGCCAGCTAAGTTAGCTGAGGTCGTCACTTGCAATCACTATTCCAAAATCACCATTCCAAAAATCACCATTCCAAAAATCACCATTCCAAAAATCAATCAGCGTGTACATATCATGCAAGAGTGCAAGTTACATATTCACGGAGGCTCACTGTTGAAAAAAATAGATTTTTCAAACTGTAATGGGACTCCGAGACTCCATTCTGATTCCTTCGTTGAAGACGCGATTGAAGACGAGACGCGGGTGAATGGCCGCTGTACTCTAGTTAAGGGCCGCCGGAATGGAAAGTCCAAATAAAAAATCTACTAGTATGTAGTGCGGAGGAAGCGCTGAGACAGCGAGTGATAGTGGCAGTGGTAGTGACAATGGTACATAGTGGCAGTGGGGGTCGGTTTTGATCACCAACGATCGATCTCTCATGGACACCAGCACCAACACACTTAAGCCTACATCTGGCATGTAGCCATTTCTTGCTCTTGCCATTTCTTTCTCTTGCCACAGCGATGCTGGCGTGAATCCTCTAGGTACTCTACTCTTCTTCGCGGAAAACTGGTGTACTATATTTCGACCGCGGAAAAGGTGTTTTGTTGTAAAGTACTAGGTCAAAAGTTATCGCCAGGGGGCCGTTTTACACCAAAAATGGCCATTTTCACGCGACCAAAACTCATCCTCCGTCTGGCGGAAAAAAATCGTGTCTTTCACAGACGCCGTAAAATCATAAGCCCTCTCATATATAAAAAAATTTGACTGCTTTTAGTCAAAATTGGTGGCTTTCGATCGGGGTTTGTACATGACTTGAACGGTGATTTCGCATTTTGTATGAGGCTCCCATACAAAAAGTTGCATGACAACCAGCGTCAACCATAAATTTTTCTCCTGGGCCGCATTGCTCAACCACAACTACTTATATTTGCGAGGCAGTTTCTTAAAAGATCATCTAGATAGTTAACAAGGACTTCCAATTACCCAATATTTTTCAAAGTGTGTTTGGGATGCAGAATCTGTGGTTGAAAATGGATGACCTTAAGACAATGGGACTTGAGTTAGCCGCATAACTTCACATAAAATATTGATTTCTTTTGGCTGGAAATTTTGTCGAAGCTGGATATGTATCTACTCATTCTCTATGCAAGGTTTTATTACTTTCTATTGTGTGGTTGTGGTGTTCGAGAGGTCTACATGTGTGGTGTGGTGGTCTCGTAGGGGCGAGTGGCGATAACTTTTGACCTGGTACTTTAGGTACTCGTACAGTCACAAAACGTGGGGTGCGATTGATACGGGAAGAATACCGCGGTCATTTGCATACCGAAGAACTACCAGATTTTTGTTCAATACGTAGTAGGCACGCCCACTTTTAGAAACTTCTAAAGAACACGTATTTCCACAATAAAACACTGGCCAGGAGGCGTGCCGTCTTTCTCACATCACGTATCGAAAGGTAATACGTCATTTACAGACAACGAGAGTTCAATGGGGTTTCAATGCACTGCGTAATTATATTGGGCGTTTAGTTGTAGGTTCGTCCTACAAACAAAGAAAGACTGCATATTTGGCCAACTTCGGTAGTACTACTACGTGATCTTCGACCGCATGGCTGCGGTATCACTACTGAAATACTTCTGTGCTTGCAGAAATTGGTGGTCACCAGTACTCTGGGATCCGTACATTGCGATCTTTTGGAGTATCATGGGGTTTGGTAGATGCAGTTGCATAACGGATATTCTTCTGGAAAAAAGACTGACATAGCATTTCACGAAGTATTAGGTCCGTACGATGCGGTCTTTTGGATTATCACGGGGTTTGGTGGATGCAGTAGCACAACGGATTTGCAGACGGCTCCTTTTGCCAACACCCCTCCAGGCCGGCGGCGAGGTCGAGAGGAGTTCACACGTGACACACTTTCTCTCGCCGACAGCTCCTCCTCTCGCCGACAGCTTCTCTATCACGTCTTCGTCTCGCTGATAGCTCCGACTCTCCCAGGCAGTTCGTCCTCTCGCTAACAGCTTCTCCTCCTCTTGCTGACACCTCCTCCGACACTCGGCCACAACAGGGTGTTATCCGCGGCGAGGCCAGCGCAGTAACTACAGCACCGAGCTCAGGATGGTGTTGGGAGGGCACCGATCCGGTAGAACTACCACAGCGCGCCATTTACGTAGTGTAGGCACTGCCAGATACTTCTCAATTCCGTAGGGACTCGGTAGCCCTACTGCGGACTTCAATTGAACGCGCCGAGGCCACAATCGCAAAAATCGCAAATCTGGTCCATCCCACCTGTAACTATGGGCAGTACGGCACCTGACCGGTGGCCGACCAATTATCAATCATCAGCAGTTGCTCGGTGATACTGTTTCGGGAGTCGTGTACATGTGTCGACAATTGATCCTCAGATCGAAGGATGTGAGGAACCCGGTGCAACACTGTTACGGAGACAATGGTTAAACTTGACTAGTTACAGCAGTCTTCCCCCGTGGGGGTCTACAGTGCCAACATGCTGAGGATTTGAAGATGCAGACTCCAGAGGCGGAACGTACTGTAAAGGATTGGCGTCCTGGGGCATGATCTATCACTCGGTGGTCACCTAATTTTGCGTGTTGTAGATGGTGAAGAATATGGAAGTAGTTGATGGATATATTGATGTGCAAGTGGAAGGCTGGCGCCAGGAACCACGGCGCTGGATGTCGGAGCCTAACAAGTTGAAAGCCGTTGTTTATTTTACCTCTCGCGCTTACTGCTCCGCCCGCCCGCATATATGTGCCTCCCGGTATGTACCGCCTACCAGGGATGAACCGCTTACTTATGTACTGGCATGTATGATAGTCACGGACTCACGGCTCCGATCACTACTAGTTAATGTGGATCAGTGGCTACCTCCGCCGACTTTAGCGCATTCGGAGAGGATGGCCTGATTCCGGTGACGCTTTGCTCCGAATCATGAGTGTCCTACATAGGCTCCCAGCACATCCGGTGGGCGGATTTACCGGTGGGCAGATACGGCGACCGGCGACCGGCGATCTGCTGCAAGTGAGTCCTCCCTGCATGTCCGCGCACTGCGCTTCCGTGCTTATGCAGAGCCTGACGGTGCGAATGATAGATGGATGGATGTTTGCACGGCAGGCAAGGCCAGGCCAGGCCGCTTGGTCAGAGCAAGGCACGGCAAACCCCGACTCCCCGATCATTGCGCATGGATCGGAACGGATATAGGTGTCTCGGGGCGGGAGCATTCTCTATGCCTGAAACCATCTGGTGTATGTAACCCGACTGGCCAACAGCCCAGGGCAAGACTCACTGCAAGTCTAGAATCCACAACGCGTGCAATCGAGATTTGAGACAAGGCATACACGGGTTCTGTAGGGCTCGCATACGGTAGGTAATCTATCTAGTCATGTCAAGCCGCCGAGAGAGAGAGAGTGAGAGAGACCGGTCTGTGTCCAATCAGCCGGCGGCTTGAGTATCGGCATCGCAGGACACCCTAATCAGCACAAAAGTCAGTGCCGGTACTTCTGGCCTCTAGGACGCGTAGTGTAGGATCTACTAGTATGTCCTCTACACGACTTAAGCTTGTGAAGTGGAGTGTCAGAACTCTGAGGCTATCCAGGGTCACTTACCTACATATGGGATAAATAGCTATGCCGTATGCGTTCACGGCTGGAACTGCCAGGTACGGATTACACGCTCCCCAAGGCTACTCATGGTGATTCACATGAAGGCAGGTTTCCAGTGAGGGCTACTATGGGATTATGATATCATCCAGCTATGATCAGTCTTCATGCCTCGGCGGTTCTTGAGGTGTGCACCTCTCCCATTGGCCGATAACTAACTCCGTCGTTAATTCAGATGCTCGGAGATGTCACCATTCCACCGGGAATGTAGAGCCTTTATTCCGGCGGCCCCCGTGCGCCTGCAGGCCACATGCATCCCGGAATATTCGGCGGCTGATAAGTAATCGGGACGCCGAGTGGCAGCAGGAGGCACCGAGCACCAGCACGGAACCACGACGTCTAGGCCTTCCATTGTGTCAGCCTGCACTCGATAACACGGCCGACTCGGTCACTATTGGCCGCGTAATGCCGTGAGTCACTTCTGTATGTACTCTACAGTACTTTACTTCCTCGTATATTCAATCTGATGATCTGATTAAATCTGCCCATGCAGTAGTCCCCCGTCGCTTCCCGGATGTTTCGGCACGCATGCCCCCCCCCTCCCCCTGCTGTCTGCTGGCGGAGTTAGTGTTCGATACCAGTGCGGAGATCAAAGGTGCTCCGAGGGAACGGACTTTATTGGCCCAGAGAGCTTGTTTCGACGCGGATAGGCTACAATTAGCCTGCAATCGCTTATTTCGGCAAGTGGAGGGGTCTGGAATGGCCGGGATCCCCAGAGAGAAATACAATTTTTGGGGTCCCTACGTTTAGTCCGGTGTCCACCGGGGGAAGGAAGCCTTTATTATCTCTTGACTGTCCGCCCCCCCAGGGTTCGAGACTCTCTCTTCGTTACCGTTTACCGTGCAACGCAATTCGATCCCCCCAACAAGCCAGCCATGTTGCAGCCAGCACAGAACCAGTCTTCCAGTGCGCAGCTGCCGTCCGGCGCTACCTCTGTGACACAAACCGACGAGACCATCAAACGGATCGAGGCCGGCTCATCGCGCTCGTCGCTGTCGGCGTCGACGGTGATGGTGGACGAGAAGATCGAGGAGACTGCTGGGGCCGATAACCTGGAGGAGCTGGAAAAGAAGGATACGCGTGTGTCGATCCACAGCCCAGCGGCTTTCCCGGACGGTGGACAGCAAGCGTGGCTGTGTACATTTGGCGCATTCTGCTGCTTGTTCTGCTCTTTCGGTATGTCTATATCTCTCTCGGATTCGATGTTCGGGGCCTCGGGCGGGAAGCTGACAGGTGGTAAAGGCTGGATCAACGCAATCGGAATATTTCAAGGCTACTATCAACAGAATCAGCTCAAGGAGTATTCACCATCAACAGTCTCCTGGATCAGCAGTTTGGAAACATTCTGTACGTCCCCCCACTCCTTAGGCTCTGTGAAACGCCGCTGACAGTATCTTCTTCTACAGGTATGTTCGGTGGTGGCGCTGTAGTCGGAAAATTCTACGATGCCTATGGCCCTCGTTACATCCTCCTCCTCGGCACATTTCTTCACATATTCGGCATCATGATGGCCTCAATCTCCACCGAATTCTACCAATTTGCCCTCTCGCAAGGAATCTGTTCGGCCATCGGTGCCAGTATGATCTTCTACGGGGCCATGAGCTCCGTGTCGACCTGGTTCTACAAGAAACGTGCCTTTGCCCTCGGTATCACAGCCTCGGGATCATCCCTGGGCGGAGTGATCTTCCCCATCATGGTTCGGCGCCTCATCGTCTTGGTCGGCTTCGGCTGGTCAATGAGGATCACAGCATTCCTGATGCTGTTCATGATGGTGTTCGCAAACCTTACCGTCCGCTCCCGGCTGCCTCCCAAGGGGATGACGCCGTGGGTGCTGCAGGAATTCGTCAGCCCATTCAAAGAGCCACCATACTTCTTCATGGTCGTGGGTGGCTTCCTCTTCTTCTTTGGGTATGTTTCTGCACTCCCTCCCTCCATCCAATCAAGTCTCGCTAACCTCCCGTTCGAAATAGAATGTTCCTTCCGTTCAACTACCTCCCGGTCTACGCCCAACGCAACGGGATGTCAGTGGACCTGTCCAACTACCTCGTCTCAATCCTCAACGCCGCCTCCATCTTCGGGCGAATAATCCCCGGGTACATCGGCGACAAAGTTGGGCGCTTCAACATGATGGTACTGATCACGTACGCCTCTGGGATCCTGGTATTCGCACTATGGATCCCAGGCACGGGGAACACGCCCACCATAATCTTTGCCGCGCTATACGGCTTCACCACGGGCGCGTTCGTCTCGCTCATACCCGCGCTCACCGCGCAAATCTCGGATATCCGCCAGATCGGCGTCCGCAACGGTGCAATGTTTGCTGTCGTCTCCATCGCCGCCCTCACTGGAAACCCCATCGGCGGCGCCCTGGTTAGTAAGTACAACGGCGGTTACATGGGCCTCCAGATCTTTGCTGGCAGCACCATCATGGCCGGGAGCACGGCGTTTTTGGCCGCTAGGTGGGCGCTTAGTGGCGGGAAGCTTAAGGTGAAGGTCTGAGCTGTATGTAGAGTAGGAAGTATGTATGCACGAAGGGGCGGCAACGAGTTGATGTTATGTAATTTTTGGATTTTATGTTTGGGGCGTTTAGGTCATACGGACGTTATAGTAGCGTGTGTGTGCTATGTAATTCATGATAGTAATGACATGGAGACTGGAGGATTGCGAATTTGCGAATTTGCGGATCTGTCCCACTTCACCTATCACGGACCCGATCCATGTGTGTGTGTGTGTGTGTGCCGCGTGATCGTCTCGGGCCATTCATACGCGCCGCCGAAGTGCAGCGCGCCAGTCGACCATAGTACCGGTACCGGTAACATCGCATGTCCCACTCCCTCGGCACCACGGAACTTTGAAGTTACACAGTGGGACGGGGACGGGCCAGGCGAGCAACGTATGTAGAGTACAGGGCGTATCTAAGGGTAAGTCGCGACCGCCTCCATTTCGCCGTGAGTGCCAAGGCAGTTGATCTCCACACAAAATCTCACTACCTATATCTCACGCATATGTACAATGAAGACAGCATTGAATTTGCGCTGGAATTGCCCTCCCGCTACCGAGGCTTCAGTAGTGGATTCGCCTAAGAAATGGCATCTCGCTACTGTGTGATCATGTGAAATTCAAGCACTAGGTACTCTGCGTAAATTGCAGTTCCGAGAACGAAGCCATAAAACACGGTGGCGGCACCGGCGGGCGGAGACGAGAGGCAACAATCAAATCATCATCATTCCTATCATTCCCATTGTTTTCGTGATCCCCATTCCATCCACCGTAAATCTGCTATCCACCGAAACAATGCCATTGCAAATCATCACCATTCCTATCATTCCCATCGTTTTCGTAATCCCATCCTATCCACCGTAATCCCATCCTATCCACCGTAATCCCATCCTATCCACCGTAATCCCATCCTATCCACCGTAAATCTATTATCCACCGAAACAGTACCATTGCAAATCATCAATGGTGAAAATGAAAAGTCACAGAACAGTGAACACAAACCCTCCACAGATCAAACCTCAACCAACCATTTACAACACAAAGCAGAGGCATCATGAGTAAGTTGTAACAAATCACAAAGGAAAACACAACATTGAAAACAACAGAGCCACCGCCGGCTTACCAAGTGAAACCATTATCGCTGCTATGCGTCTCAGACTTGACAATGGACTGATTACGAAGACTCCTGGCCTCCTTCTAGTCATCCTCGGCCTCCTTCTTGACAGCCACGGCCTCAGCCTCGGCCTCCTTCTGGGCAGCCTTGGCCTCCTTCTGGGCAGCCTCGGCCATGGCCACCTTCGATTCGCGGCGCTCCAATCCGGGGGGCGTACCGAAGATCTCGAAGTCGGGATCCCTCTGGCGTAACGGCACCATTTCCGAGTTCTGGGGGCGTTTCTTTTTGGGAGGCTCTCTCGGACGAATGGGGATATCGACGACATCGATATCGGCGAACCACTCCATACGGGCGAGTTTCCGAAAGTTCTCGTAGATCTTCCTGTCATCCAGTTTGCTCCTGTTTTCACCAGGCTTGACGCGATGCTGAAGGACCACATCGCACATGTTGCTGTAGAATGTGCAGTACAGCGCTGAGACTGGCGAGTTGAAGATGTCATCCAGATAAACATCGGCATCGAGGCAATGGAAGATCTCCTTGATCATCGGGAGTTCGATGCCGTTATAGAAGTGCTGACTAACTTCGGAGGAATCGAGTGTGTCCAAGACTTCTTTATCCTTTGCGTATACGTCAGAGACCTACAATAAAAATGTCAGCTATGGGCATGAACCTATTGTGATGCCTGTCAGAATTGGACTCACATGTTCCGTAAGCCTCTTCAGAATGTCACACTGCCATTGACGGCTCCAGGCGCGAATCTTTCCGTATCCGACATAGTAGAGCATTTGGTTTTTCTTGTTGAAAACATCCTGCCCCAGCGCCTTCGCGAGAATCTGGTTGACGTAATCTTCGTCCGGGAGCGAAAACCACCTAGCCCAGCCGATCCTAGCAAGCGAATTGAGCATACGCCAGTGGCTTGCCTTGGATTCATGCTCGTCATCCGATCCGCCCTGCCCTGGGTAAAGCCGTCGCTGTTTGCGCTTCCTCGTAGTAGGAGACGGCTTGGGCGGGCCCTTGGCAGCTGCAGTATGCGCCTGCAGAACCTGCAGAGCCTGATGGGCCTGCTCGGCAGTGATGCCGGCGGGGAGGCGGACGAACTGGATCGGCGGAGGGGCTGACGCGGCGGTGTGTGGCATGATGATGGATGGTGTGCGGAAGAAAGATGGATGGTGTGCAGAAGAAAAGATGAAGACGGGGAGAGACAATAGTGGTTGGAAGATGTGATGGAGGAACTGTGGTAGCTGTTGTCGTCTGAAAGAGAGACAGCGACGGAATCGCAACGTCTGGCCCGCCCGGATAGGAATAGCTTCTGTTGAAGTTCGTCCCAAAGCTGCCGCCTGCAGTTCTGGTTGTCAAGTCTCGTCTCTTCTTCTCAAGTCTCTACCTTTACCAATGGGCCTCGACTCTACACTCATGCTTCTTCGCTGAACGACTCTACAGTTTGATCCTGCCCCCCTCCTATGAGCACCGAATACTCTAGCATCGATACTTCTTTACTGGTGATGACGTAGTATTGTGGATCATAGGATGGAACAAGTTAATGGGGCTGGAGGAAGAGGAGCTGGATGAGGAGCTGGATGAGGAGGAGCTGTTATCCTTCCCGAATCCCAATAGCTCCTCCCAGTTGTTTGCACCCCATTCCAACCGGTCTGATTGAAATGCGTTCAGGTGCTTAATCTTAATACACATTTGATTGAGCTCGGTATTCTATCGGAATACCAAAGCGACGCTGAAATTACACAAGTCGAGTAACACTCCTGTCCCGATAAATGCCCCTTTTTGCTACTGTATGTACAATACATAGAATGACAACCCAACCGCAGCGCAGCACCGCAATTGAACCAACCTTGTATGGATCTTCCCGGGGTAAATGATAGATCCGACCACTCCGGGCACCGTCCCTTCCACCGCGTACATAGGAAGTAAGCACATAGAATGGCAACTGCAGTCTGCAGCGCCGCGAAAAAACGGCTTTTCCCGCAAGAAATCTGACCACTCACTGTCCCTCCTACCCACCGCGTGATTCACTGTGCGGCCGTTGCAGACTATGGTTGCGAGCGACGGTTATACACTGCTGGATGACGGTGACGGCGACCAATAGTAACGGCGTATCTACTGGTATTCCCAGTTATGTCATTGAAAGTCACTCGTCCTCATCAATCATAACGCATCACTCATCGCTCATCGCTCATCACTCATCACTCATCACCCATAACCCATCACTCATCACTCGACAATCATCACTCGAAACTCATCACGCATCACTCGCGCTGTGTACGATACCGTACCGCTTTTTGAGGGGGAGGGGGTTGAGAATGGCAATTGCTTGAATTACCGTCTACTTAGTACTCACGCGCAATTATCTCTCCCTGGGGCCATTCACCTTCCACTGCCCATAAAGTCCCAACCGTCCGAAATTCCGAGTGATCACGCACAGACCGCAGAGACTGCAGAACAAACAAGCCAGTAAAAATATCGATCGCTTACTACCTAGTACCGTAGACCGGATCATGTAATCTCACCCCCCCCCCCAAAAAAAAAAACCAACCAACCGTCCCACAACCAACAGTTCCAAGTTCCAACCCTTAAATAATGGCATACATCATCCCCACCCCACCCCACCCCATTCCTGACCGTCCAGTTCCCATTCCCCATCCCCCAACCCAACCTCATAATCCTACCCGGCCGCACAAAGACAAAGACAAAGACAAAGGAAACTAGTGATAGCATGTGACTAGGTACATGTTGAATGACTGACCAAAGATGAACCGAGCTCGACCCGCAAGGCGATGTGAATAAACCAAGATACTGAATTTGAAAAGAAAAGAAGAAGAAGAAGAAAAACGCCCCGCTCGCTCCGGCTCCGCGTAAAGTATGCATCAAAACAATCAGGACAGGAAAGGGAAGAATATAATGGGGTATGGTAAAAGTAAAAGTGAAGGTGTAAGATAAAAACGGACTACTAGGTATCAAGAACGGAAAAAGATGGGAAAGGAAGGCGGTAGGTATGGTATGGTATAGTATCAACAATCGAATCGATTGCTACAGACGATGGTCGCGGCATGGTATAAAGCCTATCAAACTCGCACACACAGACGCACATGCACACATGCACACGACACACACTACTTCAACCGTCTGCTTCTGCTCCTGACGACGGACCGGCTGCACCCGTTAGTCCACGCGCACCCGTAACCAACCAACAGAAAAACGTTGGCGGGTGGAAAGAATCATCCACGCTTACTCCTCAAGTCCCCACGCACTGCGCTCACACGTCTCACTCCTTCTGCGGCGGCGTTCGCTCCTAGCTTGTGGCGCAAGTCCGTAGTCATCGCTATCGTCGTCCCAACCCCCCAGTTCTCCGCGCTCAGCGAGCGAGTGGGCGGCTCCGGCAACGGCGCGGGTGGCGAGGCGAGCCGCGATAGAGAACATCAGTGCGACAAGGAACGCGGATGGCTTGAGAACTACAAAGTTCGCAGCCGAGGCGGCGATATTGGCTGTTCGCGCGAGGACCTGGGATGAGGCCGCCCGGCGAAGTGGCCGCGACGCATAGGTGTCCGCTGCTACGGCGAACGAACGCGAACGTGATGGAGTGCGGAGGGGCTCATCCGGTTCGGACTCGAAACCGGAGGTCCGCGCCGGCGTGTACGGGATCTGCAGGGTTCCCGAGGAAACGGCGGCGGCCAGCTCCACGGTCGCTAGTGCGGGACCATCGCTCTGTCGCTGCTCGCAGGTGCTCATGTGCTGCGCGGGTGTGTACCAATGGATCGGAGCGACCGAGTCCTCCGGGGTGGATGGGCGAGTGGGGTGTCGAGACGACACGCCGAGTGCGGAGGTGTGAATCAAGATCGGAGGTGCCGCAAAGGGAGGTGGTGTTCCGATAGGCGTCTTGAGTCTAGCGCCGGACAGCGGACTCTGCGGCGGCGTGAAGTCCTGCCAGTGGGCGGATTCCGTGGAAGAAGAGTACTCGGGAAGCGCCCCGAAGTCAAACTCGCTGGTGACCATCTGCGTGGTCTTGATCGGAAGGGGCGATACTGTAGATCCGTATGTTTTGGTGGCCGACGACGTTCCGAAAGACTCGGGCTGTTCGGACTGGTCTTCCTCGGGCTCTAGGCCATAATCTTCTACGAACGAGGTGCATTTGACATTCTCCTGGTTCTCTTCGCTATCGTCGTCCTTCTCCACCGCATGGGCCGGAAGGACTTCCTTCTCCGCCTCCATGGTAGTCGCGGGAGGCCACCGGCCGAAGAAAACGTCTCCACCTAGCGAGCCTCGACGCGGAATGTTTTCGTCCTGCTTCAACTCCTGCAACGAGGGCTTGAATCCTTCCGCAAAACTAGTGCGGCGGCTCGTGGTTGGCGATTCGTACAGTGCTCGGCGTTGCTGGAAGGTCTCGGGGAAGGTTTCTCTCCAGCTCATCTTTTTCGACAGCTTCGGAAGATCCTGTGATGGTCCTTCCTCGAGTGATATCGCACAATCCAACTTCGGCCTGATCCTTTCGGGGTTGGCGGTTCGCTCCGCGCGCTTCCGGGTGACCTGGAGCCCCCCAGGGCCCTCATTCCGAGGATCCGGTATCGGCGATTTGACCTTTTCCGTGCTCTTGACCCTTCTCAGCGGCGGTCGTTTCCACACCTTGGCGGGCTGAAGAACTTCCGGCGTCGACATGACCGGGATGCAGGTCGCAGACCTTGAGAAAGGACAGGCGGTAACCTCGAAAGCTACAAGCTTCGCCATCGCGTCCCGAAATTCGGCGCATTTGATATCAAGTTGAAAGTCCAGTCTAAGTCCCTCCCTGTCAGGTCTTTTTTCTTCCTCTCGACGTAAGCAAACGGAGCATCGAGCTGCAAACTACCCTAAGATTTCGATCCGCCAGTAGTTTCCTGGTCGTAGCTGGAGACAGAAGACTTTCTTCCCATCCAGATTCCAGCATTGCGTTCTGGATAGCAATGGTTTGAGCGCCGGTCCGGATTGCAGAAACGCGATGTTGTGTGGTACCGTCTTGTAGATTCGTAGCGGGCCTATATCCGGGGGAGGAGGGGGTCAGTCAGATCAGCCCGAAGAAGAAACAGACACAGGGGAAGATAAACCCGAGGCGATAGTTCTCTCCAACGGGCTACTCCAGGGCAATGGTTCTCCGTTGAGCGCAGAGGTTGTGAAGGTGAAGTTGACTATCCTGGACTCCGAGTGTGCGAACAAGACCTGGATGTGCTCAGCACCCCCGATCCCGGTATTCAGACATTCGTTTCCCGGGTCCACCAGTGGTTGCGACGTTAGGGAGAAAGACCTTAGTGGGGTCGCCGTGGTGGAATACGCGCGTTGTCTTCGAGTGATTGTTGTCGCCATCGTGTCGGGGATTAGTTATCGGTGACGTAGGAATCGAGGGGGTCCGATCGAGATGCGGTCCGTGGGCGCACGCGGACGATGCTAATCGGTCCTAAGTTGGAAGTCGTGGAAAGCCGAAACACGTGGAGCACTCTGTGTGTCGGTGAAGATGAGTAGAGTGCGTAAGAGTAAGGGTGAGCTTGAAGGGTCAATTTGTGTGCGTTCTCGGAGCGAGCAAGGGGGAGGAAGAGGAAGGTAAGCTCTCAAAGGAGAGAGAGTGAATGGGTGTCGAAAGGAGCTATAGACAATAGCGAGAAGAAGAGTAGACGAAGAAGAAGCAGTAGAAGGTGAAGGAAAGTGAAGAAACGTGGGGTAACCAAAAGAATGTGGTGCCAGTTACGAATGGTTCGACTGCGTCTACTTTACGCGCTCAGCATTTCGGACGGAGGGGTCGCAGCAGCTCGTGAAGTAAGGTACCGAGTGCCTCGTGTTTCGTTGCTGCAGCGGGGCGGGAAGGTGAAACGCTGAATGGGAAGACAATGGGCCGAGAAGATGGGCTTCTCAGGAAACCAGGGATGGGATGGGGGGGAGTTTGCTCAGAGTGATCTTCCCCCTGGCATTAAGTAAGAATCCTCACGCGTCTTACCGCTAAACCCATGTGAGAGAGAGAGAACATGTCTTCAATTTCAGAAATGCCCTCAAAAGCAAACATCTGGCAAACACCGCCAGCCGTTCCAGCCACCGCAACAACAACTTTGTCTGTCCCACCGGCACCATGCGTCTCTCCCTCCACCGCCATCGATGCCCGGAATTGGAGTCGGTTCGGCGGGCATTCCCGCACATGCAACCAACCCAGCATCTCCGAACCGCTCCCAAGCAGCAGCAGCGACCATCCTTGCACGACAAAGATCGATACAACGTCGTTGAGCGATGGAAGAGGCTGCTGTCGGCGGAAAAGGCTGTTGGCGACGGAAGAGGCTGTTGACGACAGTAACCAGCTCTCGGAGGAATAAGCAGAAGACTGATATGCTGCTGCGGGTGGCTGTTGTGGAGCACCAAGAAGTGCAGTTGCCCAGGGAAAGTCGCCGTCGAAGCAGGAACCGGCAACGGATGTGTACGAGTCCAACTGTCCGAGACCAGACCAGACCAACGGCACAAGCGCCACGAGGGACCACAGAGAACCCGTTGCGATCCCGATCACGCCGTCTGTGCCACGAGGAACTGCAGAACTTGCGATCCCGCTCCAAGCTCCATCTCCTCTCGCTTACTTAGTTACTTAAGCGCTTACTTAGTTACTTAAGCACTTACTTAGTTACTTAAGCACTTACGTAACCGGCCGTCGACGACCGAAGCGCAAGGGTGCACACTGCAGCCGCAGATGCGGGGCCAGATCGAGAAGCAGAAGAAAGGGACCCACGCGCACAACTGGCCAAGATTCTCCATCGAGCTCTAGACTGCACGATTGACGTAGCTACTCGTTGTACTAACTCATCGCTGCTGGTATCTGTCTATCTCCAGTCTTGCTGAACACGAACGTGAATGTCCTCAACCGCACAACGACCGAGTGAACAACACATCCCGCAAGAAAGCCCCCGACTCTCTCATCTCTCCGCACTTCATTCCCCCGCAGCGGACCCTCGTTATTGCCGTTCGTTGATCACGTTGCTTGATGACCCCCCGTCACGACTCGCGTCACGTTCTTTGTAGTTACACCTTGATTTAAACCATAACCCACCTCCTTCATCTCAAAGGCAAAAAAGCTCCCAAGCTTCCTCGATCGTTATCCTCTATCTTGTCTCGGCGTGCGCCTGCTCGCCTGGTCCCTCCCACCACCACGCACCATGGATCCCTCCATCCAGCGAAGTCTGAACGACAAGCTCTACGACCGTCGCAAGCTCGGTGCTCTCGAGTAGGCCTCCAGCCTCCGTCGCGGGAGGCGCGTTAGCTGACATCACCGTCAGCCTCGAAAAGACAGTACGCGAGTGTCTCGCCCACGGCGACCATGGCAAGGTGCACACCATCATCGAGCAGCTGTGCCACGACTATGCATACGCCGTCCATCAGCCCCATGCCCGCAACGGCGGATTGATCGGGTTGGCGGCGGCTTCGATAGCCTTGGGTTCGGTAGGTTCGCGAGGACACCTTGTTTCCCCCGACGAGTGCGCGCGCTGAGTGGTTCGGGTTCGTCTGCAGGAAGTCGCGAGATATCTCGATCAGATCGTGCCGCCGGTTCTGGCGTGTTTCGCCGATCAGGACGCTCGTGTCAGGTACTACGCTTGCGAGAGTATGTACAACATCGCCAAAGTGGCCAAGGGAGAGATATTGCCGTTTTTCAACGAGGTGTTCGATGCACTGTCGAAGGTGAGTGTTCAGCCCGGGGGCGAATGGACGCGAGGATGGAAGAAAGTCTGACGAGCGCTTCGTGTCGAATAGCTGGCAGCGGACCCTGAGCTTTCGGTAAAGAACGGCGCGGAGCTGTTGGATCGGTTGGTGAAGGATATCGTCGCCGAGTCGGCGGCTTCATACATCTCGGTCCTTCAGGCAAGTTCGCCAGAGGAGAGCCTTGTAGAGACGGAACAAGACGACAATTCGCCCACGTACGCGGACGATGAGGCGTTCCCCACAGCATTCTCGCTACCACGGTTTATTCCACTCCTTAAGGAGCGCATTCACGTTATCAATCCGTTCACTCGGATATTCTTGGTATCTTGGATAACGCTGCTCGACTCGATCCCCGACCTCGAGCTCGTCACACACCTTCCCGCATTCCTGGGCGGTCTCTTCAGGTTCCTTAGCGATCCGAATCAGGACGTGCATGTGGCTACCCAGCAGGCGTTGGAGGGCTTCCTGGCGGAGATCAAAAGGATAGCGCGGGTGAAACGTGGGGTCGAGGAGTCGCGAAAGAACCGAGCCCAAGGACATTCGAGGACTTTGAGCGATGACGGCAGTACATGCACGGATGAGGCACTCCGACAAACAGAGAAGTTGAGCCTCGAGGATGACCGCTCCAATACGGCAACTCCGATGGATGAGAAGGAAGATGGCGCGGACGGAAGCTGGATCCCTGGTCAGGATGTGGAAGTGGATCACCACAAGATCCTAGAGATCCTGGTCCCGCTTCTGGACGCACTGGAGGAAGAAATCCAATTGACCGCGTTGCGATGGGTGGACAACTTCTTTGATATCTGTCCGGAGGATCTTCTACCGTTCGTCCCACGGTTGTTGTCACATGTGTTGCCGGCCATCGCCCATCCCACGGAACTGGTCCGACATGCGGCGACGAAAGTCAACACCTCGTTGCTAAACCTGATATTATCACTCGCAGAAGACTCGCCATCGCAAGCAGCGCCAGCAGCCATACCAACGTTAACGAGACTCGCCAACAAAGAAGCTGCCAGTGAACAGCAGCAGCAACGAAGGGATTCGCATCCACGGCAATCGCTGTCCAAGGAGGCTGATCTGGGCCGTAGAACGCCCACGATTTCGACACCTACACCGGGCACGGCAACGCCGCCAATCACGAAGGCTGGGGAGTTGGATTACGCGGCAACGGTGAGCGCGTTGACGCTGCAGTTCCTCAACGAGCACGAACAGACCCGAGTCGTCGCCCTAGAATGGCTGCTAATGCTTCATCGTAAAGCACCCCGGAAGGTAAAGATCCTGCCCCCCTGCTCATGTGGAGGTAACCATGCTCACGCAACATTCAGATGCTGGCTATCAACGATGGCACATTCCCTGCCCTTCTGAAAACGCTGTCGGATCCTTCGGAACAGGTTGTGACGAGAGATTTGCAACTGCTGTCGCAGATCTCTCACAACAGCGAAGACGACTATTTCGCGTCCTTCATGCATAGTTTGCTGTCGCTGTTCTCCACAGATCGGCGACTACTCGAGACCCGGGGAAACCTCATCATCCGACACCTCTGTGTGAACCTCAATCCGGAACGCATATACCGCACGCTGGCGGACATCCTAGAGAAGGACGAGGACGTGGAATTTGCCTCGATAATGGTGCAAAACCTGAACAATAACCTCATCACCGCGCCAGAGCTGGCCGAACTCCGGAAACGCCTGAGGAGTCTCGACACCAAAGACGGACAGACCTTCTTCGTGACGCTGTTCCGTTCGTGGTGCCATAACGCCGTGGCAGCCTTCTCCCTCTGCCTCCTCGCTCAAGCCTACGAGCAAGCCTCAAACCTGCTGCACACCTTCGCCGAGCTCGAAATCACCGTCAACCTGCTGATCCAAGTCGACAAGCTCGTGCACCTGTTGGAGTCTCCCGTCTTCACCTACCTCCGCCTGCAGCTCCTCGAACCCGACAAATATCCCTACCTCTACAAATGTCTCTACGGCCTCCTCATGCTCCTTCCGCAGTCCTCGGCCTTCGGCACCCTAAAGAACCGCCTCAACAGCGTGTCGGCAATCGGCTACCTCAACGGCCCGCCGCGCGCGCCCGCCCCCTCAACAACACCTTACGAGCGCCCCACGCGCCTCAAGGGCCGCGCCGACGACATCAAATGGATGGAGCTCCTAGAGAAATTCAAGGCGGTGCAGCAGCGGCAGCAAGCGCAGTACAGCATCAAGGGCAGCAACAACAGCAACGTTTCCCTCGCGAACAGCGCCAGCACTGCCACTGGCGGCGGCGGCGGCGCAGTCATGTCCCCCGCTAGAGCGCCGACGCCAACGGTCGGCTCCCAGCAGCAGCAGCAGCCGGCCGCGGCGGCAAGGGGCGGGCGCGGCGGCGCCGTCGCCGCCGCTGGCTCCCTCGTTGGCATTAGTCGCTTGGCTGCTGGAAGGAGGGTTCGGAGGTAGAGCCTGCGGGGTCTCCATCCGCCGTTGTTTTCGGCTGCTGTCTGCAAAGCGAAGGAGGAGGGGGAGGGGGAGGGGTAGGGGTAGGCGGGGGAGTAGGGGTTATGTTGATGACGGAGAGATTATTTTTACTTTAACCTTCATAGCGAATAGGCGTATGGTTTGAGGATTGTTGTTGTTGCTGTTGTTGCTGTTGTTGATGCTGTAGGTAGTTGCTTTGCTCGATAAGACTGTTGTGTGTTGTGTGTTTTGTGTTTTGTGGTTTCTGCTTGCTTGCGCACACGAAGACGTGGTTTGTGGGATGGGGTGCTCGCATGTTTCTTGGCGAGTGGAGAAGTTGAGAACTTGCGAACTGGAGATCTTACGAACTGGAGAACTGGAGGCGAGAATTGGTATCTAACGTTGCTATTTACATTATTTACACTACACTACACTATTCTTACGGTATCCGTTCTCTGGAGTCTGCGGTGGAACTTGAAACTTGGAAGACGTGGACCGTGGAAAAACGAATCCGACGTCTGACGTGCGTGCACGGGCAGATCTGAGACGACATGGCTACACAGTGAGGGGGGATGGGAGGGAGAGCTTCCGAAACGACTGGAGGAGGGGTGCGGGGGGTGCGGGGGGGCGGTCAGCACCTAGAGTAGGAAATACCCGGTACTTACATCGTACATCATACATGATAAGTGCAGATGTGCAGATGTGAGGCGTATCACTCGGTTGATTGTATGACGGTGGTGGTATGGCGGTTTGACAGTACGAAGGTTGGGCAGTATGACAGTGTGGCGTTTCGACGGCAAGACAATGACAGTATGACAGTTTGACAGACAGTTTGACGTTTCGTCCTCGAGGCTCAAACACGACTGACGAGATCCCCCCTCACCCATCGCTCCTCGCACCTCACGCCCTCGCTCTTCGCCGCAATACAGCCTTGCTTCCTTCAATCTTCCGAACGCAGTCGAAGCCTCACTTCTCCCTCACTCATTCACCTCTCTCTCACTCCCTCCCTCTCTCCCTCACTCACTCACTCTTCTCCCTCACTCTAATTCACTCGGTCCTTCCCCCGCTCACCTCCCTCTCCCTCCCTCTCCCCCTCCCCGCTCACCTCCCTCTCACTCTCCCTCCCTCACCTCACTCACTCACTCTGCCTGCCTGTCTGTCTCTCACCTCACTCTTTCTCACTCACTCTTTAATCCCGCATCCCGCACCCCTGTCCCCGTCCCCGAAATCCCCGACCCCGACCCGCGAATTCCACCTCTTACACACCCCCCTCCCTCCCTCCCCCCCACGTCCCCCGTTCCTCGACCCCATCCGTCGTACCCCATTACCCCGACCCCATCCCCCATATCACGACCCCATTACCCCGTCGCCCGTCCTTTATCACCCGTCCCCTATCCCCATCCCCCGTCCGATCCATCCGCCCTGTCCATCCATTTGCCCTGTCCGGGCCCCCCGTCCCCCGTCCCACGTCCGCGCCCTGTCCGCCCCCGCGCCCCTCCTCCCCCATCCCCCCTCCCTCCCCAGTCCCGCGTAACCGGCCTAGTGAGTTTCATCCGAAAGCCAAAGCCAAAGCTTTGGCAAAGCCCAGACACAAGTGACAAGTGTCGGCCCCCAACCACACAGCACAGCACAGCACAGCACAAAAACATCACGCCAGTTTGTTCTCCGGCAGAGTGCAGTCAGTTCAAATCTCGCATCCATAGTAGTTTTTCCTTTCTTTTCTTTTCTTTTTCTTTTTCTTTTTCTTTTTCTTTCAAATCACCGAGAGAAAGAGAATAGAGAAAACAACAACCGCATTTCATTTTGCATTTGCATTCCCCCCCCGGGTATCTCCTCCTACCTATTGGACTCCACGGCAAAAAAAAATATCGGAAAAAAAGCCCCGGACGGAAAAAAATAAAATGTAGTGGTATATTTACACGGATGAAGTAGAGGGAGCGAAAGAGAAGAAAAGAAAAGAGAAAAAGGGTTTGGCTTGTAGATAGATCGAAAGCTGTCCGTCCGTCCATCCATCCCCCCAGCGCAAGGAACAAGAAGAGATCTGTACAAGATTCAGGTGGAAACAGGGGCGTAAGAACATGACCTCATACGTAAGTATACGATGAGAGAAAGAAGTGGGAATCGATTAAATGGTCGCTTGCTGTATGTCGATTGATTGATTGTCCTCTCGTTGCAATTCATTCCTCTCTTTCTCTTTCTCTCTCTCACCCTCTCCTCTTTCGCTCTTGGCTAGGTGGTCGGAGGGGCTACCGCGTGCGCGTGCTGCCGGTTGCGAAGCTGGATACTCTGAATCCCGATCGCTGTGGCGAGGGTGGCTGCTGGCCGTTGGTGTAGACGTACTCGCCGCTGTTGAGGCCGTTAGTCATTGCATTGCATTGCGTTGGGCTGGGTTAAGAGAAGATGGGGGGAGCCGTACTCGACGTAGACCGCATCCGAGATGAATGTGGTTCTTCTCTTGCGCTTGGTGTAACGCTGCTCTAGTTTGTACAGTTCGAACTCTGTTTTTTTCTCTGTTAGTGAGGGAGAAGGGGTGGGAATGGCCGTGGACGGTACGCACTCGACTGAAGTTTGTCCAGGAAACCCATCTTCAGTTCCACGTCCGACGTATGGCGCGAATGCGAATGAGATGCGTACGTCCGTGCTTATCGCCGTCGGTTCAGGGTTCGTTCGGCTGGTGCGGGTTGCGTTGCTGGGCTGAGTCGAAGGATGGTCGGACGGAGTGTCTGTTTGTGTTTTTCTGGCGTCGTCGTTGCGTGATCTCCAGTAACACTGACGGAGGGTTTATGGAGGAGGACGAGGGCGAGGATGAGGACGAGAATGAGCTGAAGGGAGAGAAAAGAAGCGGTATCTAAGTGGGGAAGGGTAGCGCGGCCGACAAGCGGAGGCAATTAAATGGATGGGCTGGTTGAATGAGTTAGCACTGGTTGGAGTGATTTTCTAGGCAGGTATGTAGGGGAGGTAACTTTCTTACCTCTTGCTATGTATGCGATGCCGGGTGGGCGCCTGGGGGGGTCTCTCCTTCTATTGTTTTGGGGGGGCGGTAGGGGTTGAGTAGAGCAAAGTGGTAGTGGTTCACACAGCAGCTCCTCGTTGTCCACTCTGCCAGCTGCCGGTGTGTAGTCGGGTGCAGATGCGGATGGATTGCGAGCGTACAGGACAACTATCCTAGGCTGACCGGGGCTGGGTACAGAAGAGGAAGAAGAAGAGGTTGAATGGTATCGAGAAAGAAGAACGGAACATGCGAATGCAGGGTGGGTGAAGATCTGGGATCGATGGTCGATTCGAGATATGGATAGCGAAAGAGACAGTGGTGGTGTTGGTGGAGACGGCCGGCCGACAGCGACGATGTGCAACAAATGATTGGACGTTCAAACTCGGCAAGAGAGAGACTGGCAAGAGACAGAAGAAGAAGAAGCACCTGCTCCTTCGGAAGGGGAAGTGGAGAGCGAGGATGCAGAGAGATTCTGGCACATAAGTAGTTGTTTGCGGGACTTTAATCGAGGCACGGGCTCGTCCAGCTGGTTAGCGGTGGACAGGAACGAAAGCCGATCGACGACGACGAGACAGCCAGACGACCGCCAGAAGACACAAGACAGCTAGACGACGGTAGAGCAAAGCCCGACGACGACGACGACGACGAGACAGCCAAAACACAGCCAGAACGACAGCCGGAGCCCGACGACTCGTCCGCCCACGCTCGCACACGGCCGCTCTCCAACAACGGTTGACAGCCATGTCCCTCCCCTTCCTCATCCCGCTAACTACGCTCCCCCCTCTTCTCCCAGCTCATCGCTGTCGCTCGCCGCGCCCACATCGACACTCGAGCCCCTTTTTGCACTCCATGCGGCAACGTGCAGTGCCAGCCTGCCAGGACGGACCCCTGGCCGGCCACACAGCGCAAGGTTGTGCGTGTCCACGCGAGACAGTGCAATTGCCAAAAACCCGGTCGGCCGGACAACCAATCAGCGCGCAGTGTCAGCTGGATAACTGTTAACACAGTACTGGTCTAACTGCCAAGGACGACACCAGTAGCTGCTGCCACTGCTCAGCCTAAAGGAACCTGTGGAAGTTAACCACCTAGGCTCGACCGAGCCGCACAGAAAAACTGTATATCCGCATGGCTAGCGGAACGCTAGTTACTTACATAAGCACTCGCACCCAACTCACTTGCAGCAAACTCGGCAGGCGTCAACGACCACGCACCTGTTTCATTCCGGCTCCCTACTCTACATACATATCGCCATCTCCACCACCACCACCACGGCCTCGGTTGAGTCTTGACAGTCCTGCGCCCGCTGCTGCTGCTCCCATTCGTTCTCACTTCTCGCTTCCTGCGGTCCATCTTCGATTCCCCCCGGACCACGTGCCGTCATGGCAGCTGGCGTCGACCCGGATGGGAAGATGCACATCGTCGGCTCTAACTAAGCCCTTGCGTGCCCCTCTCGACTAGTGATACCTAACTAACTAATGCAGGACATTTTCTTCACCGATGCGGAGTCGAATGCCATTCGTGGAGATCCGTCATGGCGGGGTGCCCTCAATAGCCTATAATAGTTAGCCAGGCCCTGCGTGATGTGCCGCTCGTGATCCACATATCGGTTGCGTGATACTCCGTGATGTGCTAGCGCAACACGCTTAACCCCAAGTCGCCTTGATAGCCTCTCTACTTGGAGAGAGAGAGAGAGATAGAACGACAATTCATTGTCGCATACGGCTTTACTATGCCTTGATATTTGCTAATGTATTCCAGCCACCATCCAAACACCCCCGAGTGATGACTGGCAGAGGCACAACGAGGGGCCGATACTCTGGGTAGATATATTCGGCCCGACAGACCAGACCATCCTCCATCACTGCGACGGATAATCCAATCCATCGTGACTCTCAACTCCTTAACTTCTTGACTTCTTGACTGCATCGAACTCATACCCAGGATGCAATATCACGTGACGTTGAAACTAGCGATCCCACATACCTACCATAGGGGCATGCAATAAAATTATAAGCCTTATGGCAGCCATATATAAGCCTTGGTAATTGCATATCTAAGCCTTCTATAAGCCAGTCATAAGCACGTTCAATTTATAAGGCTTCCATAAGGGTCGGTCAAAATAAAGCCAATGTTCTCACATAACCCAAAACAGCTCCTCCATCAATTCATACTCTTGCCGACAGCTTCTCCATCAATGATCAATCCGCCCCACCCCCACCGACTCGGACGACGATGCTGACTATTAGGCTGTAGGAAGGCCCCGCCTGCCAGTAAGACAGCGAAGGACGGCGAAGGACGGCGAAGGACGACAATACTGGCTGGCTGTAGGTTGAAGACGACGGGCTCAGCTGTAAGGTGACACAGTAGAGTCCACGGCGAGGAGCAGTAGGGAAACACAGTACTACTACATGTTACTAACTACTAATAATTGCTACTAATTCATAGCATAGCCAGCCAGCGCAGCCATCACGGTATCCGCGGCGAGAAGGGAGCAGTAGCGGAACACAGTACTATACTACATACGAACAGTATCTGTGAACCTATACGTACAGCGTCACGCGTGAGGGTGGGCTGGTGAGCAAGGAGGAGGGTATGGGAAGGGGCCCGGGGGGCGGGGCCCGGGAGGCGTGAGGGGCGGGGTTGAAGGAGAGTAGTTTAGGTACATAAGGGGATGGAAGAGGAGCATCGAAAAGTGATAGTTATGTCTAGGTGAAGAGTATCGATAAGTGATAAGTACCTAAATGAGGTTTGTCGCAGATCAAATCATTATGTATTGCTTAGGGCCCGTTTGGATGGCCTCAGTTTTAGTGAAAACAGTCAGTTTCTCGAGAAACAAGCCAACAAAACTGAGACCCCGTTTGAACGGCATAAAAACGTTTTTTAAAAGAACTGAAACTGTGCGGCTCCAGTGACGAAACTGGTACTGACCTCGAGAGGTCATTTCTTTTCCGCCACCCAGTATCGCATTTTAACTTCAACCATATGGACTCCCCTTCCGACGATGAAAATGTCACCAACCACCGCAATGTATTCTCCCCTCAGTTGATGAGACACATTGCACAGCTGGCCGGCGAAGTAGTAGTTACCCTATACTACGCATTCCAAAAAAATTCCGATGCGTACTTCTACTCTTTCCGGAACACAATATGTCCAAGAGGTCCTTGCCTGCGAAAACCCTCGCCGCGTGCAAGAGATAATGCGAATGCTACTGGGCTGGTGTCTTCACTGAGGCACGGGGAAAAGGAAAAAGCGGGGCTACAATGTGTCTACTATTAAACTTCTGGTGAAGCCTATTATTAAAACTTATGGCTGAGTAATCTGACAACTGCCAAACACCCTGTTTACCTCACAGTTCTCCGGAAACCGAAACTTGACAGTATTCGGAGTCCCGACGGGGAACTGAATTTGGCTCTAAAACTGGAACTGAAAACTGAGGCCATCCAAACGGGCCCTTATTCAACAATATGAGCTGGAATTTGAAAACCCTGACATGTCAGCCTTATTTTACGGCAAGACCTACAGAAGAGAAATACTAATATGAGTAAAATATTCTCAAGCGGGATGTGTCAAAGTCGCTCTCATATAAGGCTGCCATAAGGCCTATAATTTTATTACATGGCTCAATATGGTAGCTACAACACAATGTCCACTCTGTCCAACTCGAGCAGAAATTATTTACTAAACGCACAACGTGACAATCCCGTACAAGGGCTCGCAACGAAGTCGCAAAAGCGGCCATCCGTGCCGCTACGGAACTGAGCAAGCCAGCTCGATGGAGGGGAGTACAGGTACAACCTATGCTGAGCCGACCATGCCGCGTCTGATGATTATGTCCATTGCCCACCCGTGTTTCTGCAAAGAAACGTGGCATGCTGCTTCCGACCGTCCCCGAACCCGTTCGTGAATCCCAAGCGGGCTTGAAGTAGCACGGCTGCCCAAGAACGGATGGACGGGCGGACAGACGGACAGACATGGTGCTGTCTCTGTCGGCTCCGCTGCGGTATGCCTTCCTGCATATCAGGACTCAGGTATGCATACATGATTCCATGTCTCACGCCAGAGGAAACGTCACTTCTGGAACCCCGAGAACTGCGGCGGTCGGTCGGGGTTGGACTTTGTGCTTTGTGGAGTTGCTGTGGGTATACCTATACTATGAGAAGAATATCAGAACAGCAATGCCATCACTCGGCGTATCGAGTTTCGCCCGGACATTGCTGATTGGTCCGTCAGGCGTCCATACATAGGATAGTTATGACGGGCTCTCCGCATGCAGGAGCTGAGCCGCATGAGCTGTCCATGCACGGCAACCCCTAAGCTGGGGGGAAGGTAGCTACTCTACTCTATGCTATGTAGCCTCGCAATCGTCGTTTGGAGCTCTCTAGTTACCACAGTTCAACCAGCACAGCCAAGGTCCAAGGCCCGTCCAAAGGGTACCGGTACACCGCGGAAGGTAGGTACAGCAAACCTACATCGAAGCACTCACCCATCGGGCCGGATCGTCCCCAGGGCCATGGAGGCGATCAACAACGTCTTCCACGACCTGCGAGGGTGGTGGCGGAACCAGAACACCCATTCGCAAGTGTCCCTTCTCAGCCCGAATCCGGTGCCCGCAGAGTCCACTTCCACTTCCGCTTTGCGAGACGGTGGCTGCACGCGCGATTCCCAGCCAGCAGAGGCCGGAGGCAGGAGTAGGAGAGGGTTTCTACGTGTGCGGGACAGATCGGCACGGCTGGAGCGTTCGCCCTCCATGAACCGGCCCGAAACTGATGGACGGGCCACGGCGCCGTCGGGAACTACGTCCGCCTCGGTACTATCCGCTCCACTGACACCAACACCATTGATATTGACATCCACCGCGCCGTCTGGAACTACGTCCTCGGTACTATCCGCTCCACTGACACCAACACTATTGATATCGACATCCGCCTCGCCGGCACCGTCCAAAGATGCGGAGGCTAGAGATGCGAGGGCCAGAGATGCGGAGGCCAAAGACATGTTAGTACCTGGGCCCGCCCGATTCGATGGTCGCCGACTAAAATACTGTACAAAATCCAGACAGCATTGGGGGAGGGCATACAGCATTGCTAGGGAGAAGCTGGACGAAAGCGAGCGGATGACGTTCGGTCCCCAATTCAAATCTTCGCCGCAGGAATGCATCCTTTCAGCGCTCAGGGAGGCGGATGCCGCCCGAAACGATAGAAACGAGCAGAAGTGGACGTACAAGAACAGTGCGGGCGAAATTATCAGTCTCCGTAACCGCTTTGATAGGATCGTTGAGGGGATCGATAAGTATGCTAAAACTGTGGATATTGCGGTCAACCATAGTCCGGAGGTCACCTCTCTGGTCTGGGCCTCGGCGAGGTTTCTCCTTCAAGTATGTCCTGGATTTTAATCGTCTCGTGAAATGTGAATCTCTCGAATCCGCGTGCCGTAAGGAACGATGGGTTCGATTGCACAGCACCCCTAGGCAGCCTTGACTCCGCGGCGGCGCGACTCCGGGTGGTCAAGACTGTAGAATATGCAGTGTGTTCGAGCTGATGACGGTCATACATAGGTCTACCTCAACCACAAAGAGAGTATCGAAGCTCTCGAGTGTGCGCTCAGCACCATAATCACCACAATGGCAAACTGCAAATTCTACTCGCGCATATGCGCAAACGCCCTCCGTTCGTCGCCGACACCCCTACTGGACGAGCTCGAGGCGGCGCTGCCCGAGTTCTATGCGGCCGTCTTGGTCTTTTCCATCAAGGCGAAACACTACTTTGCACCTCCGTCGTATCTCGGTGCGTCTCAAAATGGTTTCTCTGGTCGAATGGCGAGCTTATTCTTGGATAGGGAGGGTTACGCAGCACCTGAAGCCATTCTCTTCCGGGATTCTGCCATATTTGGACGATATCGAGAGGATGAAATCTCAATTGAAGGATCTGGCGGAAATGGCGGAAATGGAAAGGGTTCACGGTATGTAGCTACACCTCAGTTGCCCTCTCTGAAGATGGTACCATGTTGAGACGGGCGGCAAACAACAGATCTTCGAAGTGAGAAAGCGGAAGGCTTGACAGAGGAGTTGGAAGGGCTGAAGTGGATGGCGATTTCAGAAGGTAAGCATATTATGTACCCAGTGCATTATTCGGATTCCGGAAACCTGTATTGATTGATGCTCCTTAGAACAAGCGTTGGAGTGGCTTGCAGCTACGAATCCGGAAACATCACATGACCTACATTTGAGCAAGCGAACGGCAGGCACTTGTGAATGGATCTCCCAGCACAAGGAGTACATAGCTTGGGTTGATGGTACCGGGAAGAAAAACCTCTGGATAGAAGGAATACCAGGTACATCACCCACTCCAAGCTTGATGTTCAATTACCAACCCATGATATTAGGTGCTGGGAAATCGGTCCTCGCTGCTAATATGGTCCCGGAATTACAGAAGTTAAACGCTGTGGTCCTGTACTTTTTTTTCCGGGACGGCGATGCAGTGGCCACTTCGGCCACGGCAATGGTTGCCAGTCTGGTGGCGCAACTCATAAAGGCCAGCAGTACTAGGAAAGAAAAGGAGCGATTGATGCCGATCCTGCAGTTGTGGTGCCGGTCCGATGTATTCTTCAAGCAGACGAAGAGCACCAGAGGCTTCAAGAAACTCTGGGCGATTTTCACCCAAATGCTTCATTGATATCCCGGGAAAGTCATAGTACTACTGGACGCCCTCGACGAATGTGCCGTCGACGGCAGCGGTGCCGATTCTTCTAGTGTTGCCGACGCCCTGAAACTGCCCGAAACTCTTGAGCGACAGGTACAATTCGTACTTACCGGACGCCCCGTGGTTAGCCATCTGTTCAGGAATCTTCAAGATGTCGCATCAATCGGAATGGACGTCACAAGCGATATCGCGCTGTTCATTACGAAAAGGGTGGAGGATAACGAAAGTCTGTTGATTCACAGAGAGAAAATCATCGACACGGTGAACAAAAACTCCGAAGGGATGTTCCGATATGCTGGCAAGTGCTTTCATTTTCCCCCATCTCACGGCACTCTCGATGTACCAACGGTACAAGCAAACCCTACCACACGCACCTCAACCCTGATTTCCCATCCCTCTCCCAATACGCAGCATGTGTGCCTCTACCCCGTCTCGTACCATTTGGGTGCTACATCTACGAAGACCGTTACGTGGTTTTCGTAGCGGGGGTTATGGATGTGGCTTTACTCTGGGCTAGGATTTCGGGGCGAAGATATAATAAAATCCCCCCGAGACAAATCCCTGGAATAGTAGCCAAGTTGGTTCTGGCAAAAGTCTGACGCGAATAGTATAGCCCTTGTTTTGGAAGAACTAGAGATCTACTCGCCGCAAAAAATATCCGAACGTCTTCGGACGATGCCAAAGGGAATCAGCAGCATGTACGAACTCATACTTCGTCGTCTTGGAGCGAACGGAAACGAAGAAGACCTACAGATGCGGAAACGTATCTTGCTTTGGATCGCGATGGCCTTCTCACCAATAAAAGTTGAGGAGATGCAATCTGCTTGTGCTACAATCGATGGGGACAAGACGTTTGATCTCGAAGATGTCATCTTGCCGACAATGCAGCAGATATTCACGGCTTGCGGCTCGCTGGTAGAAGTCTTTCTCGATAATAAGAACTACCTTCGTTTCACCCACAGAACTGTGAAGGAGTTCCTCTTGCAGCCGAAGGAGAAACTATCTTCCGACTCCCGGGACGACCCATACGTTGCATCTTGCTTGGTGGATGAAACAATCGCACACGCGTCGATGGCACTCACCTGTGGTTCGTGACATACATATCCGAATCTAGTGGCAAAAGCTGACCCGTTGTCTCCTATAGTTACCCAGCTCTTTTCCAAGCAGGCTGACGCCGACGATGGGAATTTCTCCTATCTGAGGCGCTGGTGGGATTTTCATGCCGCCAAGGTTCCTCCCGGCAGACATGCGACACCGCTTTCAGAACAGCTTTGGAATCTTGCCAAAGATTTTCTTTGGGGTGATAATATGAAGTACTCAAAACTGGATCCACTGCATTTAGCAGCCGAGAGCAGGCTCGTGGATATACTCGACTGGGCGCACCCTCCTGGGGTAGATTTCAATGTGAGGGGTCAAGAATACTTTACGCTGCTCATGTCGGCTATGTTAGTGTTAGACCATACTCATCATAACTTGCTGAAGTTAGTAGAGGTTGTTTTGAAGAAGGACGTCGATGTGAATGCGAAGAACGTTTACGGGATGACTGCACTGATATGGCTTCTGGATAACGCTTGCGGAGATGAAGAGTCACAAGTTGTGCAAGTGATCCGGTTGCTGTGCGCGAAAGACGACTGTGAGCTTGATCATGTTGACTGCGATGGACGCTCGGCGCTTGGTATTGCGAGATACAGGCAACTGTCAAGCAGCGTTCAGCTCTTGCAGAAGAAGGGAGCACGTGTGGCTATGTACAAATGGAAGGAAGAACCTTGGCCACAATAACAGTGTAAGCTGAGATTTCTCTGGGATTGTGGGGTTAACTACGCCCCACGACTTGGAATCCTAAGGGCTTTGAATTGATGCTAAAGTCATGGTGCCTCCTAGGAGTCCAAGCACGATAGAGACGAGAAGGGCGAGGGCAACGGTTCCAGCTCAGGGCCTGCCTGAACCGATCGATAGTCGAACTGCAAGGCGTGCGTTGGCCGTATGCGTCTGCCGGGGGATTTCCTTCGTTCTTCACATGTTTTCTCAGTTTCTGGTGCCCTTTCCATTTGTGTATCGCTTCATTCTTGAGCGCGGATGAATCTAAACCCAGTTTCATACACCCATACATCCGGTCGGGCTCGTCCAAGCCCCTTCATTGGGCTTCGCTCCGTCGGGATCCGATTGCTTCCACATGATCGCGCTGCTCGGACACACGGTCAATACCGGTACCACGATGTCCGTAGGACTGGTGGCGGCTGGGCGCAAGAGGAAAGGCTGCGGTATGATTGTTCCTGCCATTGTTCGACCGTATACCTACAAAAGTACCTACTCAATCTCCGATGTGGGGATTGGAGCCAGAGCATACGATAGATGGACAGGGACGAGACGGCCGGCCGGAAGAAATGCAAGAGTGCAGCACGAGGGTGGAGGATAGTTCCGTATAAACCCCGGCTAAGTGGGAAGCCATTTCCCTCTACAGGAGGGGGCGATACATCGTGTCAAAGCCACTCAAAAGATGCGATACACATGTCTCTAACTATTGCCCCTCAGTCTTATCTTCTATGAAATCTATGAACCTTCATTCCACTATCTTCGCCGCGCTACCTTATCCGCATCCTCCAGACTCGGCGTAGTCTCCTGCGCAGCTAAAAGTTTGTCAGCATTGACCGAGGATGTGGGGACCGCGGATATACATACCCCAAAGCGTCGAGTAGACACCTCCGCTGTCGATGAGCTTCTCATGTGTTCCTGGCGGCTCGGCAACTGAGCCGTCTTTGAGAACGATGATTTGGTCTAGGAGAGTCAGTGTGGTGTTCCCAAAAGATGAGATGGTGGTGTTACGGACCGCTGTCGAAGATGGTACGCAGCCGATGCGCGACGAATACGCTGGTCCTTTGTTTTTCTTTGAGAATGGAGGTAATGTTACTCATCAGCGCTTTCTCGGTGTGGGTGTCCAATGCGGAAGTCTAGCGGTAGTCAGTATCAGTGTTTCCACGGAAACAAGATGAGGACGGGAACTCTTACAGCTTCGTCAAAGAACAGCAACGGAGGGTCCTTCAGCAATACTCTAGTCATAGCCAGTCGCTGTTTTTCGCCACCTTGAATGATCGTTAGTAGTTATCTTCACATCCCGGAGTACATTCACACTAACCAGAGATCATCATTCCCCGCTCGCCGACCATGGTCTGATATCCGGCAGGGAAAGCAGCGATGGTATCGTGGATCTTGGCTCTTTTGGCTACGGCCAGCACCTCGTCTTCCGTAGCATCAACCCGTCCGTACCGGATGTTGTGCTCAATTGTGTTGTTGAACAGTGGGGTATCCTGGGGAACAACACCAATCGCCTTGCGAAGGGATTCGGTAGTGACGTCCCTGATATCTTGGCCATCAATAAGGATACGGCCGGACTGAACGTCGTAAAAGCGGAATAGCAGTCTCAGAATTGTAGATTTGCTGTTATTCCATTCATCAGCAATGGATATTCTTTACTCTGAGCAGAGGACCATGAAGACTCACCCGCATCCGCTGGGACCAACAATAGCCGTCTTTGTCCCCGCAGGAATCGTGAAGCTAACATCCTTCAAGATCGGTCTATCCGGGTGGTATCCGAAAGTGACATTCTCAAACCGAATTTCTCCACCCTTAAAAGCGAGCGGCTTCGCATTTGGTGAATCCTTGACCGCGACGTTGACCTTCTGCAGGTTGAATAGGGTTTCCATATCCAGTAAAGACTGTCGGAGTTCACGGTAGACAGATCCAAGGAAGTTTAAGGGCACAGAGAGCTGGAAAACCAGTTGGTTGACCATAACAAGGTCACCCACGGTCAGATCACCAGCTACAACACCCTGGCAGGCAAGGTACATCATGGCCGTCAGGGCGGAGGAGAAGATGACGTTTTGGCCGCAGTTTAGGAAGGCTAATGAAGTAGCCACCTTGATGGAGGCGTTCTCGTATCCCTTGAGCGCGGCGTCATACCGCCCGACCTCGAACTTCTCGTTGTTGAAGTACTACCGAAGAGTTAAAAATATACTAGCTTGATAGGAATGGGAGAGTTGTACCTTGACAGCTTCGTAATTGATGAGCGAGTCAACTGCTACTGTTGCTCCTTTGTTGTCCGCCGCATTCATCTGCTTCCTGAATTTCGTCCTCCAAGATGTAGTGACGATTGTGAACGCCGAGTACGCCGCCATCGTCAGCGCGGTAACAGCCGCAAACTTAGCCCCATAATTGTACGTCTATATATGTCAACCCGTGGCCTTCGAACTTCGAAGGACATACCAGAAGTAGGAGAACCTACCAAGATTCCGCAAACCATGGTGACCTCAAGCCCAATCGGCACGATGTGGAACAGCATGCTTGTCAACAAGAAGCTAATACCTTTTGTACCTCTATCGATGGCTCTCGTCAACCCACCCGTCTGTCTCGTGAGGTGGAAATTCAAGTCCAATCGCAGCAGATGATCGAAGACATTGCAGGCGACCTTTCGGATCGCCTTCTGGGCGACAGTCGCAAACACCGCGTTTCGGAGTTCCTGGAATACCGTGGAGCCAACTCGGGCCAACCCATCTTCTCACGGCCTCCCAGATCAGACTCTGACATGTCGGTGTAAGTGGTGGAAGGAAAATGTGGCTTACACGCAAGGATTACGGAACCGGCGGCCGTCCACACCGTGCCGCCTAGGGCGAGGAAATCCACGTTCATGTTGTCTACGATCTCTTTGAAGAAGAAAGGGACTTGGACATTCAGGATCTAACTGCGTCAATTGCACGCCCTTCATAATTCTACTTGAGGATACTACCTTTGCACCGAGAAGCAACGCAATCGACAGACTGACGCGCAGCTTTACACTCGGACTGTCCTAGACACGGTTCAGCACTCGGCGTCCGTATGGACACCCCGACACGAACACACCTTCGGCCACAAGTATCTCGACATCTCTTTTATGATCCCCCAGTCGGCCTTTCGCTGTCCCTTTGCCGACAAACTTGCTTCCGAGAGGAAATCCTTTGGCGCCGCTGCGGGCTCCTTCGCCGTCTGCGTCGCAAGCATGGTGGCCTTCTCATTGTGCGGTTTCTTTTGTTGTAGGTAGTATGGAGAACCGGCGAACAGACGAGCTGGCGGTCGTTGGCGCGCGGGAAAGCGCAGTAGTGGGGAGCCCGACAAAAGCCGTGGCCGCGCAATAGCGCGGAAAACGCACGGCGAGAGCATGGATGTGGTTTGCGAACCTGCTGTGAAGTTGAGTTCGATGATCGCGGTTATGGAACAGGATGGGGAATGGGGAACTGGTACCTCACATATGCTTCCAAAGTAGAGCTTGGCCGTGTCAGGGAGAAGGATTCGGCCGGCCGGCGTTGATGGGGGAGTTGGGAGGTGGCGGCCGGGAAGATGGCCCACATTGTTCACGCCGATTTCCGCGGTACTTAAGGCGGGATGACGCCAATTGGCGTGGGCGTCACGAAGGTGGGGGGTGGGGGATTCTCACGTGGGACAGACCAACTCCCAAAAAAAGAAATGGGTCCATGACTCCATGGTTGTTCCTACGTACGGAACTGAGAAGTTTTCATGTCTTAATTATAAACGTCTATGTAGAGCTGTTGAGCTTATCGATAAATCCTCAAGGCCAATATTCCCGCGATTCTCCTTGCCTAAGGGCTGACGACGTCAGAGTGCGAATTTAAAGTGTGACAGTTGGACATCCTCGGCGCGAATTCCTTGAGCCGCTGCCCACCCACACGATTGCAACCACCTCCGCCTTACTCAGAAAACCCTCCCGCCGATGGCATGATGGCCACCGTCCTCCGCCCCTCGAACATCCTCCGGGTGCGGTCTGCACTGCCCCTATTACAACGACATGTCCACATCTCGGCGACTCCGTCGATAACCTCTATTAACGGCATCGTTGATTTATCCGCGCAAACACAAGCAATCCCGAAGCTCTCCGGCTCCGGGCCCTTCCCCGCTGGTATGTCCTCACCCACCGCCCCACCCCGCCCAGGGCTTCTACTGATGCGCGCAAGCAGAGATATCATTCGAAGTCCTCGGCGCCCCGCACTCACTGCTCTCGGTTGCACTCCCGGCTTCGAGCAACCTCTACGCCCGCCGCGGCACCCTCCTAGGTCTCAACGGCCGACCATCCGATGTGACCTCGACGCTCTCGGTCCTATCCCCATTCACCCGCGCTGCCCGCGGCATCCCCTTTCTTTACCAGAAGGTCACCTCAACCACACCACTCACATGCATCATCTCTGCCAACACCCCGAACACAACATTCTGCGTTTTGGCGCTCGACGGCACCGCGGACTGGAGCCTGACACAGCCGGATGCACTCCTTGCCTGGAGCGGTCACAGCATCGCCGTTAAACCGCAAGAGGTGACGGGTCGCGGCTTGGTGGCCCTCGTCGGCCGTGGCCAGGTCTATCAAGTCGCTCTCAAGAAGGACGAAGAGTTTATCATCCACCACCGCTCGCTACTGGCATACTCTGCGGCGGGGCAGAAGCCCAGTAAGGCGCGACTGGCGGCTACGTCTCTACGGTTCCAGGTGCCGCGGTTGCGACTGGGCCTAGGTATCTCGCAGCGGTTGAAGGAGGTAGAGTGGATCAATGCTATGCGGGCTTCGAAGGTCTGGGAGGTACTGGCGAAGGCTGTGTGGGCAGTGAAAACGGCCGTGTGGGCGGATCGGGAGTTCCTCAAGTTTGTGGGGCCGGCTACGGTGCTGTTGCAGAGTCGGACGGGGGGAAGGATACGGGATTTGATCTCGCGGGAGGAGATGGGGGAGTACGCAGCTGTGCAGTCGATGGAATCGGTGCCGCGGCAGAGGAGGGAGACTGTAAAGGTGCTCAAGATTGGGCTGGAGACCGCAAAGCAGGCAGCGAAAATGGCCGAGAAGGAAACTCCGGATAAGGCCGCCCCCGCGATGTCTCAAACACAGACGCATGCGGGGAGTCTGAAGCGAGCTGTCGTTACAAGAGTTGGGCATGTGGAATTTGAGGACTCAAATTTCAAGGAGTTCCAGAGATAGGTTGAGTGGGGAAGGATGGATTGTACATTACGATGATCATGTGTAATTGCGAGGATCTCTCTCTCTCTCTCTTTCTTGTTGATACAGATGATTAGAAGGGCAAAAAAAGGCAATAGAATTCGGAGAAGCATTCTGACCAGTGCGCTGCATGAGTAAAAGTACAACACGTGCCCAACTTTTCCTGTCCCATCTACGAAATTATCCCAGGATTCATGCCGTCACAGACTCCGAGAGCTTCTCCTCCATGTACTTGTTCAGCCTGCTCACACTTCCATCCCACTCCATCAACCGCTGTCGCATGTTCTCGATCTGGCCCTTATCCAACACCTTGGGCTGAACCCACGCAATCCTTGCCACACCCGCCACCTGGTCGATACTCCCTCTAATCAAGCCCTCGCTCAGCGCCTTCATGAGCAGATACTCCACCTCATCCGCCGACACGCCAGTCTCTTTCATGATGCTCTCGAATGTCAGAGCACGGTCGTGAGGCGGGCGCTGGAACACGGCCTCCGTCAAGGCGGAAAGACACAGTTTCTGTCTAAGGAACTGTTGCTTCCCCTCAAACAGAGGCTGCTTGTCGAGGTGGCCGAGCAAGCCGTTGTACTTGCCAAGGTCTCCGGTATTGAACGCAAAGAGCAGTTCTCGGATCCACGCGTGCTCGGTATCGACGAGGGAGTCGAGGATGGGGTGTAACAGGAGCTCTCCGAAGTTGTAGATCTTTTCCGACAGCAGCGCAGCGATTGAGAGGTTGTAGGCGAGCTCGCACTGTTTCGCTTGCGGTAGCTCGGTGCTCTGTACGCATGCCAGGTACAGCAGGGCATTTCGGTAGTACGCCGAGAACTCCCGCTTGGTGCTGTAGTAATCGCTGCTGACCCGGTAGAACGACGCGTGCACTATCGACTCGACGCTGTCGAACTTGTCCAGAATCTTCTCGGCTTCGTCCAGAGCTATGCGGGCGCCTTTCAGGTCTTCGAGACAGAGCTTGATCCGAGCGACTTCGACGATGGCGTAAACGTAGGCGTCTTGCGAGTCGACGTTGTTTACCTTCTTGGTAATGGTTTCGAGGAAGACGAGGGCCTCTTGGTAGTCTGCAGAAACATTAGAGGTCAGCTATCGCCACTTAGAACCAAGATAGAGATGATGATTATGGGCAGATGCATGTGCAGTAGGTAAGGTACCTTTGCATTCCTGGCTCGCCCACAGTCCCAACTCCACCAGCTTCAACTGGTTGATCTTATCGGCAAACGTCATCACAAAGTTTTTGAAGAGCCCTAGCCGCTGCGGGCCACTCTCGGGATGTCTAAAGAACTCATCGAGGGCGGTGGTGAGCTGATGCCATAGTTTGCGCTCCCAGAAGTCCTCAAAATCTAGCATGAGAGGTTGCAGCTCCGCCGGGGTGTGTTCGTCTCGCTGCTGCGCCAGAAATTCGGGGATGGGCTTGGGGTCGATATCCATGTTGGCGGTTTTGTGGAGGGGATGGGGGGAGGACGGAGACGTGATGGATGGGATGGTGGGTAATTGTGGGGTTGATGGTGATTACTGAAGGTGAAGCTGTGCGGCTCTAGATGCGAAGTGAAGTAACCTTAAAGTGGCGGTGCACAGCCACAGCCACACGCCACGATCTTCCCGATCCACGACGCGTCACTCGGCAAGTGGGAGTGTTTTCCACCGCCCAGCTGCCGGTAGCTCTTGTATTGGTTGGCAGAGCGACGGGCGACAACATCGCATAGCACTAGTGGTATTGGTTTCATCCGGTGCATTCTCCTAACAGCTATGATTGCTTGCATCTCAAGCCTCACGCCGTCCTATGCGCTTGTCCGCTCAATTACGTATGAATCTTTTCATCTCATAGCTTCGCCAATCCAAGTTTCCCAGAGGTGTCGTCCGGCAAGAATCTAGGTAGGATGAAATTCAGCGTTTAAGGTGTTTCTGCAACCCTATGTGAGCAGAGAAGAAGCATCTGGATGAGAAACTTCTGCAACAGAAGGGGAAAAAGAAGGGAAAGGAAAGAAGTCCCGTCGCTCGAAACTGTTAAGCAATAGAATCATATTATTTGCAGCCAGAATAGAGGGAATCCAATGGCTATTTGATCAACACACTCTATCACTCGTGATCGCTTAACCGGGTAAGTGCGTCCTCGAACCTCGAAAGCAGCCGACGTCCGTCATTCCCGCAGCTACAAGCAAGCAACAATCCATTCCCCCTCAACAGCACACTCACAACGATGGTTCAAGGTCTCCCGCCTCATCCTCGCACCCGTGCCAGGACTAATAATTGCCAGATCTCCCCCCATCCGGTGGCTATGAGCCAATCCAATACCGCGTACCGACCCCCGCGTTCCTCCGCTCCCCCGCCTTCGCCAACTAACACGATGCCCAATAGCGCAACATCCCATTCCGCGGTCTCCGTCCCAGTTACTACCTCCTCGGTATGGGCCTGATCTGCGGCTACGGTTTCTACGCCACCATGAACGGCATCAAGGAGCGGCGCGAGATGGCGCGCGAAAAGGTCTGGGCGCGCATCTACCTTACTCCCATGCTCCAGGCGGAGGCGGATCGCGACGACGTCCGTAGACACTTTGCCGCACAGCAGAGGGAGAAAGAACTCATGAAGGATGTTAAAGGGTGGGATTTGGGCGGTGTATACAACAGCGACCGGTTAGTATTGTGAGGTGGGGATGGCGGTGATGTGGATGCTGATGTGAGCGGTAGTTTCGTGAGGCCCACGTACACGGTTGCGCCGCCGGCTGAGGCTGTCATCTCTGAGAAAGACTTCATCAAGATGCTGGATGCGGAGGCGGCAGAGAAGAAATAAGGGTTGCGAGTGTGTTCAAATGGGGAGGGCTCCTGGATATGTTGCGGCTGGTTGGTTGTATCATACGGCAAAGAGAGAGATTTGCGGATTACGTATTCGAAAGTATCCACCAAAATCATCGATCATCAAATCATCATCTTTGTCCAGCATCTAGCTACTACCACATCTCCCTTCCTTCCATGCTTGATATCCTAACGGCAATCAAAATAATAGCAAAGCAAAACGCAAAACAAAGCAGACAAGAAATGAATGGCAAATCACATAACCGAACACTGCCCAATGGTGCCATAATTTCTAGCGAACATCTCATAATATCCCTCCTCCTCACCACCCCAGATCTTTCTCCGCCCAACACCCTTGACCTTGATCTCTTGCTCGCCTTCCATGTGCCACCACCGCAAGACGCTCCTCTCGGCATCATACTCCCATTTACCGCCCGTCACCACCACCTCCGTCTCTTCCTTCGGGAAGTGGAACGGCGGCATAAACATTTCAGTGGGCCAGTCCTCATCGGTCGCCTTATCCGCCGCGAGCTTGAGTGTGAAAGTAACCTTATCAAGGTCGAAGCCGGACTCGATGATGGTGCCGTTGGTGTATACTGGCGATGGGCGAACAAACGCCTCCGCCGCTCTGGTAGCTTGCACATCGTCCTGCAGCGTGCTGCGGTCTGTCGACATAGTATTCTTTGTCATGGCCCGCTTGAGGTTATCCTGGTCAACCTCATCGGTCTTCGAAGAGTGATCCTCAGCCTGCGAGTGAGGATCGCGGTCGTCGAGTGAGAAGATGCTTAGGTCCTCGCCATTCCAGTTGTCGCCCCACTGGTGGTTGTTGTTGGCTGTATATACCCACAGCGTGTACCCTGCACGGGCGCCTTCCAATGCGTAGTGGTTCGCGTCCAAGGCCCGGATCTGAGAGATGAAGTCGCCGGTCTTGTAGGCGGCCCTGCCGTCCATATCGTAGGGTATGCCGATCTCGGTGAAGACACAGGGCGTGTTGCCGATGTTGTCTTGACCTTCTTGGATTATGGCTTTTAGTTGATCACGGAGGCAGTTACGGATCGCGGTCTCGCCGATTCTGATGGCGAACGCCGGAGTGAGATACCGCCCGCGTAGAACTCCAAGAACGTCGATGTTCCACAGCCGGTTCCTAGCGTCGGTCAGTACTGAGTAGCGTTAGGAAGGCGTTGCTTCAACCTACCATTTCTTGGTCATGAGCGTGATTCCGTCATAATAATGAGGTGCATAAACGAAGCGATCGTGGATGTCCTCGGTTCCCTTGATGACAGGAGGGATCTCAAGAACAGGTGGCTGGCAGAAAAGAATAGCATTCTTGTGGATAGACCTCAAAGCCTTTGCATACGTCCTGTAGTAGTCCATGAAGAACGTATTGGTGAACGCCACGGCGTCCAAGTCCCGCCCGTCAGCAGTCTTGGAGAAGTAATCGGTCTTGAGAAGCGTATCCGTCTCCGGATCCCACACTCCATGCTGCGCCCAAATACATTCGCCGAGTTTCCAACCAGGATCGCGCTTCCATCCGTATCGAGAGTCGTCATATTCAGCCGGTAGCCACGCCTTGATACCCTTAGGGTCGACAAGGGCTTTGCCAGTTTTGAACGGACCGGTACCGCCGAAGTCCCAGGTATCGATTTCACAAGCCCGCCCACTTCCGGTCAGAATCGCCTGCCATGCTGTCGGTGACGTTCCCTTCTGAAGCTTCTGTTCCACCGGAATTTTGTCGAGCGCCTGGTACCCGACCAATCCTCTGTTCGGTTCATTGATCGATTCCCAACCGATAATGGGGCAGTCCTCTAAGTCTCCGGCCTCGTGAATTCTCTGGGCTAGGTGGGTGCAAGCGCCGATGAAGTGATCTTGCAGATAATCCTGGATATTCTTCCCGTTGATGATAGCCTTCGGCGCGAAATCCCGTCCCGCAAAGAATAATGTCCAAGCCACCTGATTCGCCATCCTCTGATAGTTGGTGGACCAGATCATCTTTGGGAACTCCGCAGGTTCAGGATAGGTATTGTGGACCAATGCAGCTTCCGTCGCATCGAACGCCTGCGGATTCAATCCCATCGCATAGAGCGTCCACATGGGCGCGCCGGAACCTCCAGAGAAACGAGACCATACGTCTTGGTGAGGGTCCATAAACACCATGAAGTCGTATTCTTTGGCCTTCCGCAGGATCTGGATGGTGCTCTCGACCCAGTCCTCATCGTACCGCCCCGGACCTTTGGCTTCGATCGCCTCCCATGTGAACAGGTACCGGATGGTGTTATAACCGTAGTTCCTCAGCCGCTGGAAGTGAATATCGGCCTCCGCAAGCGGGAAGGGTCGTCCAACAAATGATACGTTGTCGCCGTCGTAGAAGTCGTCGGGTATGTGTGAGAGCTGGTTGGGCCGAGTCGGCATCTTCGTGTCACCGGCGACATTGATTCCCCGAAGCGTCACTAGACGGTTGTGTTCGTCTTTGAAATAGGGACCGTCAATGGTGAGGTAGGTCGGCATGGTGGATGGTCGTGTGAAGAACCTGGGCTGCGTCGGTCTGTCTTGTTAAAACTGTCGAGTGCTGTGTACTCCTTCGAGCAAGCATAAGCAGAACATACCCGGTATGCTGGGGGGTGCAATGCCCAGTAATATGTTCGGAGGTGGGTGAAATAGAAGGGAGACTTTCTTGATAGTCTCAGAGCAGCCACCGTTACAGTGTGGCTATTATCTTCGAGTTCACGCGTGCAGGAGTGTATACGATCAAGCTACGATGGAGCTTGGACTTGGAGGTTGACATGACGTGCCAGGCTCCAACCGCCCATGGCAACAACCAAGCTCAGGGATGTGAAGGAATACGAGATGTGAGTTCACGAATACGGAAGCGGGACCAATCATATCAAAGGAACAAATCTAATCGATCGTTTTGAAACCTACGCCTGCCCAGGGAAGTCGCCGTCATTCAAAGTGAACACCTCGCCTCTCCCACGAAAGTCTTGAGCTACCTCCAGTTAACCGCCCCTAAATAGTCTCGACGCGCACCAACAAGCAACACCTTTCACCCCAAGCTTTACCAAAAGTCCCCACCTTCACTTCGATCGCACGCTCCCACAATCGCACCCATATCACGACAATAGCAATGGCCGACCAGTTTGCTCAAATCGCCGAGATCCCCAAGGAGTTCCTGAGGGATGGCACTCTGTTCATCAACCGGTGCACAAAGCGTACGTCGCCGCGCAGATCCCATTACCGTTTGGACATATTTAGCTAACAGATATGCAGCCGACAAGAGAGAATTCATCAAAATCTCACAGGCCGTCGGAATCGGTTTCGTCGTCATGGGTGTCATCGGCTACATCGTCAAGATCATTCACATCCCCATCAACAACATCCTCGTGTATGTCCTCCTCCGTCTCCCCAAGCGGCTATGTCGCTGGAGCGTCTGTGCGCGCGAGCACTTGCAAGATCGCTTTCGTGTTAGAGGCCAATTTGCTGACGATGTTACAGTGGTGCTGCTTAGATGTGTCGTTTGCGCGGTGGGGTCGTTTTCGGACATGATGCGTACGGAGGATACGGTCTTCAGCTCGATTACATTAGGGGAGGGGCGTTGATTTGTTTTGCCGCAGACAATCGGCATGTAATTGCGGCTTGTCGAGTTCATGCATCACGGTTCTGGTTCTGTTTTTATTTACGTTTTATTGCTTTGGCGCGTGGGAGTGAGGGAGTGAGGGAATTGTACGATATCCAAAAACAATAAGAAGAAGAAAGCACAATTAATATATGTGCCCTTACCTTCCTCGAACTCACACGGACTACTGTGAACACGCACGTAGAGCCTCGAGCGCTTTACTAGTAGATCTTGTACACACTGTGTGTGTAACTACTACTGTAATTGAAGCAACCTTCCGTCACCATCGCCATCACCGTCACGTCTACAAACACGTCTCCGTGGTTCACCACATCCTCGTTTCGTTTGCGACCTTCTTGTACGACAATCCAGCCATCCTATTAGCGCCAAAGAGCCTCACTCGTTTTGTCTACCGTCATACGAACCCAGGACCCCCACCAACCCCACATCCCTTCCCCACAATGTCGAAACAAGCTCTCAAGGCCGCGAAAACGTGTATCGACTCAAAGGACTGGGCAGGAGCAGAAGAGCAATGCCAAAGAGCTCTCTCGTTTGAGCCTCAAAGCTATGTTGCGTGCGTAAAAGCCCGTTTCACTTGGTGCAGGCCATTAGCTTACTCCCAAACTGCAGACAACTATATCTCGGACTGTCCCAGTTTAACCTCGAGAAGTACGATGAGAGCGAACAGGCGTACCGCCAGGCCATCCGGATCGAGGCCGAAGAGCGACAGAGGAAAGACCGCAAGGAGAATCCGGCAAGTTGGCAGGGTCTGCTGAAGCTCTATGAAGCACAGAAGCGGGTCGACGAGTACACGGAGACCGCCGTCGGGCTGGCGGGGGTCTTTCGTGATCAAGATGAACGGGTTAAGTGTCTCGCCGTCATTGAGAAGGCACTCGCATTCGCAAAGGAGAATGCGTCGAAGCATCAATACAAGCGGGCATTACAGATTATACTGCCAGGAAGCCCGGTCTTTGAGTACTTGGAAGGCCTGATTCCGCGGCCGGATAAGACGTATCTGGAGCTGGCGGAGATCATCGAGATTGAAGAGAAGGAGCGAGTGAACAAGGAGATTGCGAACCGACGCTCACGTCTCGGCGCTGTTCTCGGACAAGTTACCACAGAGGTCCGACGGGAGGTGTGGGGTGCGTCGCCGCTGGAAGATCTCTACCAGAATATCCTCAATTGGTCGGACCAAGAAGACGTTCGGCGGCAGATCGACTGCAAGCTCCTTCAGCATGCTTACAATAAACTTCTGGTATTCCCCAGGGAAGGAAAGCTACAACAACGACTGAAGGTGGAGAGCTGGGCCCGCGGCTTGGTTATTCTCAAACACCCCTTCGAGCTGGCATGGAAGATTGTAATTGAATGGAAGGACTGTGAGAGTATAGGTATAAATTCCGAGCCACTTGTATGAGGAGAATCCTCTGATAGAAATAGGTGATCATGATGTCAATTTGTTGCGAGAGTATATCGAACTCTTTCCCGATAGGGGGCTATCTATTTCCCTTCAGGCCTATCTTGATTCCGAGATATCCCCCTTTCCAGCGGTTCCAAACGAAGAAAAGGAGACAGACGAACCAGTCTCAGTGGCCAAAGATAAAGCCGGAAAGGACGTTGCCGATACCGATGCTCCAGATCAGCGCCTCGATGCAATGATCGAAGGACTAGAGAAGAGTCCCACGTCTCTTCTGTGCCACCGGATCTTGGGGGAATACTATCTCCTCCTGGACGAATATGAGAATGCCGTCGACACTGCTCGGGGCGGCCTCAAGCTCGCAACAGGAGAATCGCAGAGGACTGGACTGGCCTGTCAAAAGTAAGTCATATCGGATCTTTTCAGAAAAAGAAGCTGTGTTCTAACTGCTGAGTAGGAATCAAGATGCATTGACAGTTACCCTTGCAACGGCACTGATACATTACCAAGCACCGAAGCACCATATTGAAGCCAGAGGACAGTTCGAGACTGTATTGTCTCATAATCCAGGTCATGGTGGTGCTCTCGTTGGTCTTGGTCTCATTCTAGAGGAACAAGGAGACTATCCAGGAGCTGTGGATTTGCTCAACAAAGCATTGGCCAAAGACCCGGGGAATGTTAGAATTATGGCTGAGGCCGCTTGGTGCAATGTGCTCCAAGGCAGCTACAGCATTGGCCAGCACGGACTCGAGGAGTGTCTCGAAAAGATCACAGGCATCGACCCGAGATCAAGAGACCTAAAGGCACAGATTCTATGGAGAATTGGTAACTGCATATGGAATGCTGACGGCAAGTCTTATCCGGCTCCCATAACAACCTTTTACTGACTGGTCACAGAGGAGGCTAGAAAGGACCGCAAAGCTGGCCCTTACCACTACTTCATCCTTGCTTTGCAGAACAACCAAAATCATGCTCCAGCCTACACAAGTTTGGGCTGTTTTTACGCCGATATCGCGCACGACTCCCCCCGCGCGAACAAGTGTTTCCAGAGGGCGTTCGAGATATCTGCTGGTGAAGTCGAGGCTGCGGAGCGATTGGCACGAAGCTTCTCTGAGAGCAATGAGTGGGAGCTCGTAGAAATTGTGGCTCGGAGAGTGGCTGAGGCCGACAAGAAGAGGTCAGTTCCGGGCAAGGGTATCTCCTGGCCACAGAGCGCTATCGGTGTTGTAGAACTGGTATGTTTGTCATCCTCCATCGAAGTTAGCCCTGTCTTCTCACATTTAGACCAGAACAATCAAAACTACTCGCTGGCAATTCAGTCTTTCCAGTCTGCCCTCAGAGCGTCCCCAACAGACTTCCACTCTTGGGTTGGCCTGGGAGAGGCATACGCTTCATCAGGACGCTACACGGCAGCGTTAAAAGTCTTTGACCGGGCAGAAGCGCTCGACGGAACGAGTTGGTTCGCAAAGTACATGCTGGCGAATGTTAGGCGAGAGCTGGGCGAATTCGAACTTGCTTGTGAAGGTTACCGGGCCGTCCTTGCTCTGCGGGAGCGCGAGTTCGGTGTGTTGGTTGCCTTATCGGAGACTTCGCTGGCCATGGGCTGGAAATACGTCGAGACCGGCTATTACGGAAGGGCTGTCGACAGCGTGGTGGAGTCTCTGGAGATTGCAGAGAAAGTCCTTCAGGAGAGATCGGACGCCTTCAACCTCTGGAAGACCGTGGGAGATGCATGCATGCTCTTCTCTTGGGTTCAGAACCTGGCCCACAAATTTCCCCGCGAACAGGTCGTGCGGCTCCTCGAGAGTGATTTCGAACCTAGTGAGTTCGACATCATGGCTGAGGTCGATGAAGTGGGCCGTGAAATGTTCGAAAAGATGAAGGGCGGTGACACACAGGACATCCTCACTGCTATCTATGCTGGAATATTGGCGTACAAACGGGCAATATTTGCGACTGCAGATGACAGACACGCTCATGCGGTTGCTTGGTATAACCTCGGAACGGCAGAGTACAGGGCCTACGTGGCTTTGCCAAATAGAGAGATGAAGCATCGACTGGCGGCCATACGCTGCTTCAAGAGGACCATCAAGCTGGAGCCAGGAAACCACGAGTTCTGGAACGCCCTTGGACTCGCAACCGCGGAGCTGAATCCCAAGGTTGCCCAGCACTCCCTAGTCAGGGCTCTTTATATCAACGATAAGGTGAGTTCCCATGCCATAAGTTCTTCACTATTGCTTACTTTTGCAGAATTCTCGTGTCTGGACAAATCTCGGCGCATTGTACACTATCCAGGAGGACTATCTACTCGCGAACGAAGCCTTCTCCAGAGCACAGAGTACTGATCCCGAGTACGCTCTTGCTTGGGTCGGACAGGGACTCATCGCAATGATACTCGGCGAGGCACGTGATGCACAAGAACTCTTCCAACACGCCTTCGAGATCTCGGATCAATCTCTGGTACGTTTGAGAGTTGAATGATTACTTGTTACAGGCTAATAGATGTGCTTCGTTAGACGCCAGTGAAAAAGCAATTCATCACTGCAACATTCGACACGCTTGTCAAGGCCAATTCCGAGCCCGCTTTGGCGTCAATTCTCACCCCGATATTTGCCTTGGAGAAGCTTCAGGCCCAGCTATCGCAAATTCCGGCCGTTCTCCAGCTGAGTGCCTTGTTCGACGAACGTGTTGGAGACTTTACCTCTGCCGTCGAGAAGTTGGAGCGTGTGTGCAGTATCTACGAGGAACGGTATGAGGAAACAGAAGCAGATGACGACCTCGTCAAGTTCGCTCGCTCCAAGGCAGATCTGGCTCGGATGTACCTAGGACTACGGCAATACTCGGAAGCCATCGAGAGTGCTTCCATGGCCTTGGATCTTTCCGGCGACATGGAGCAACTCCAGGCATGTCGACTATCCGCCCACCTCACCGCTGGCCTGGCACACTACTACTCGCAGCAGATGGACGAGAGTCTTGAAATGTTCAAAGAAGCGCTCACCGAGTCGGAAGAGAACCCGGACGTAGTGTGTCTCCTCTCGCAGGTTCTCTGGGCCAAAGGCGGTGAACAAGAGCGGGACGTCGCACGAGACCAACTCTTCGCCTGCATCGAAGCCAACCCCGAGCACCTCGGCTCCATCCTCCTGCTAGGCACCATTGGCGTCCTCGACCGATCCGCAGACGTCACCGAAGCCGTCCTCGATGACCTCCGTTCCTTCCGCGCAAAGGAGGGACTTCCCCGCTACGTTCGCGAGCACATCGACAACCTTCTCACCGCGATCGCGCAGCTCTCTTCCGGCGACCTGGGCGCGCTGAATGCGGCCGCCACGGCTGCCAGTGCGGTGTTTATGCGTCCCTCTGCAACCGAGAATTGGTCACGACTCGCGACGGTCGCGGAAGATGCGTTTGCGGCGGAAACGGCGTTGAGGGTCGCCAGGAGCGCGAAGGATTGTGATGCTGAGAGGCTGGCCGGCGCGTATGCGGGTATTGCGACTTTGGGGTGTGATCAACGCGCGGTGTTTTTGGCGCCGTGGATGGTCTGTGGTTGGGATGCGCTTAGGAGGGATGTGGTGGCTTAGATAGGCCATTGTTGTTCGGAGGATCGTACGGGGAGTACCGGTAGTGTTGGGCTGTAAGACGCGAATAGACACCTCGGTTTATCCTCCGCCCTCAATCGTATGTGCTAGCTTTAGATACCGTCGTAAAAACCGGTATACCAAATCATCCAGTACCTGCTCTACCTACTTCTTCCTATATCTTTCCTCACATTATATCACTCGTGCCCAAACCCACTAGCCCACTGCCGCTAAATAAGTTAGCACCGTTACACGGCCTGCACTCATCCCCACATCGAAAATTCGCGTCCCCCATCCACCGCAGCACACACAACTCCGAATGGCGAAATCAACAACGACAAGCACGAAACGTGCCGGCGTCGCTGGCGGCGACGCAAAGCAGCAGCAGAAGCGGAAGCGCCGTCGGCGGAATGCTCGCACCGGGAATGTCTCTTCCTCCAGCGAGTCGAGCGACAGCTCGAGTAGCGAGGATGAGAAGGAGGGGGAGGAGGAGAAGGGGCAGGAGGTGGTCATGAAGGTACGATGCTCCGGAATGGCGCGGGGGTGGGTGGGTGGGTAGGCTGACTGGGGATTAGGATGTTTCCGACCTTGAAGACGATTCAGAGGAGGAGGAGGCGGAGTTGGAGGCTACGAGTGCGGCACAGGCGTTTACAGAGAAGGTATCTCCTTCCTCTTCCTCTTCTTCATCTTCTTCGCGACTATGTATGTACAGGAAGCTAAAGCACAACGCCCACAACTGCAGAGCTCTTCGATCCCGTCGACGCTGCGCGACCTCCACGATCCGCTCGCTGCCGCCCGCTTCGAAGAATATTACATGCAACAGCTGACGGGCGAGTTCGGCGACGACCTCAATGCCGTGCGTCTCTCCAAGGACTTTGGCGCCAACTCGCTGCCCATGCTTGTGCGCGCGCTCAAGCAGGGAATCAACATTTTTGATGCGGCCGAGAAGCGGGTTGTTGTCGGGTCCACCACCTCTTAGTAGTATACCATACCAGTTTACCTTAATGATATAAAAGTTTCTTCTTCTTCTTCCGTTTATTTCGTCGCCAGTGCAGTGCAGTGCAGTGCATGGTATGGTATGGTTATGAGGCCATGACCGGTGTCCCTGTTCTCGCCGGCGGCGACACGGCAGGATCCTTCATCCTCCCGCCCTCAATAAACTCCTTCGCGCGGAACATCTTGACCTGCTCGGGCTCCTTCCACATTGCCAGCGGCCGGCCATCATTCAGTGCGCGCTCCTCGCGGCGCAGCGCCGCCTCTGTCGTCTCCACCTTGGATGTCATTTGCTTTATGCTCTCGCCCGTGCGTGCCACCATCGCCTACCCATCCCACCCAGTCAGTCAGTCAGCCCACTCATCCATCCACCCATCCGCTGTAGAGAGGAAAGAACGATCGATACCTCGAGCAACTCGATCTGCCGGTACACATCCTTCAGCTCCTCTGCGATCGGGATGAGCTTTTCCGCCGTCGGCTCTATGACATCCGAAATCTGCGTTTGCACCTGCCCACCAACCTTACCATCAGCAACCCCACCGGCGCACGCGAATCTAGGTAGGTGGGAGAAATACATCCTGAACCAAATCCTTTTGCGTAGCCATAGACGCCTCGCACTCCTGCCGGAGACGCGTGATATTCGAGCTCTGTAGTTTAGCCATTAGCACACGCGCAGCGCAGGAGGTGGGCGGGCGGGTGAGGATACCAAAGGCGTGAACAGCGAGCTCCGCAGGTACCCCGCTAGCTCGGCTGCCACTTGGGGCGGCAGCCCCGCCGCGCCGCCGGCGGTGTGGTTGTTTCCGCCGCTACCGCTACCGCTGGACATTCTTTTTTTTTGGGCCCCGCCGGGACTGGGACTGGGATTATGTAATATATATTTTTTTCTTAGCGGCGCGTTGCGTGCGGGATGGGTGGGGATTGGTTTGTGGGTGTGTTCGCAGTTGCAGTCGTGGGCGTTGGTTGGTTGGTTGAGAGTGGTTCGAAGGAACGGAAGCGTTGAGGTGGGGGAGGCTCGGAAGAAGGGAGGGGATTGGATGGCGTGCGTGCGTTGTCCTTCCTTGCTTGCACTCCCTATTCTTTCTCTCACTCACACGCGCACTCCTCGTGATGAACAGTGCAGGTGGCGGCGGCGTGCTGGTGGAGCTGGTGGTGGTGGTGGTGAGAAGGGAAGGTGCCGCCGTCGTCGGTGCGGGGAACGAAACGGAGCGAAACGGAAACGAATCCGTCGATCCCTGGTCCGTGCGCTTCTTTTTCGGCTCCGGCTGGCTAGCTGGCTGGCTTCGAGGTCGGCGTCGGCGCAATGGAGGGGTTAGTTAAGCATAACTGCTATACACTCTCCACCACAACCCAAAGTGCAAAGAAGAAGAAGAAACGGTTTCGCCTGCTGTTACTGCTGCGGCGGGAGACGCTGGTGGTATCATCTTCGTCTCGTCTCCCGTAACACCCACCAACCCCGGCTCCTGCATGCTCCGTTGCACGACGAAACGTCTCGTGTCTGTGTAACACCTGGGTAACCGTAACTCCGACTCCAACTCCAACTCCATCTCCAACTCCAACTCCAACTCCGCAAGCAAACGCCACAGTCACAGTCACGGATTCCAACAATTACAGTAAGGGCCAGCGTGTAGATACCGGTAGTAGATAGATAGATCTTCATTCTCGCCATTCGTTCCCCAGTAGACTATAGGTACATACATCATGCTCATCCAGTGGCACTTCTTCTTCGGCGTTGACATCACTCCCAGTAAACCACCTACTGCTCTCTACATCTACCTACATGTCCGTGAACCGGAGCCCGCCCAAACAAATGAAATGCCCGTACCCGTACCCGTACCAGCCTAGGGAAGTAAACACAGTTTACATCCCATAGGAAGTAGTAGAAGAAAAGAAAAAATATTACAATAACCCCTTCCCCCCCTCACTCGCACGCCTTGAAGCCCCTCCTCACTCCCGCTCTCTTGTGAAAAAAATAGGATAGGACAGTACTTTGTAGCACCCTCAAACCAACCCAGCACGTCTCGCGTTTCGCGGGCGGTACTTGAACCCGCCGCCGAAGCGTCCACCGCGGCGCTTACCGCCACGGTTCCTGCCGCCACCACGGCCCCCGCCTCGTCGACCGCCACCAGTACCACCACCCTGGTTCTGCCCATCACCTTGGTTCTGGCCGGCGTCGGCTGCCGGTGGATCGGTGGCCGCGGGAGGGTCGGCGGCGGCGGGTGGGTCGGTGGCCGCTGGTGGGTCGGTGGCCGCCGGTGGGTCGGCGACAACTTGCTCTTGTCCGTTGCTTTGTCCGTTGCCTTGTCCATTGCCTTGTCCGTTGCCTTGTCCGGCGTCTTGTCCGGCGTCTTGTCCGGCGTCTTGTCCGTTGCCTTGACCATTGCCTTGTCCATTGCCTTGTCCATTGCCTTGACCGTTGCCCTGCCCGTTGCCCTGCCCGTTGCCCTGCCCGTTGCCCTGCCCGTTGCCCTGCCCGTTGCCCTGCCCGTTGCCGGCATTTCCTTGACCAACAGTGAATTTGGTACAGTCGTCCTGGGCACCGCGCTGGGCGACGGGCATGAGCACCGGCTGATGGTTCGAGGAACTACTCATAGTGCACACGCGGTAGTTTCCAGCCGGAAGGCCTTCTGCCACGTTGGCGGACAGCAGGCCGTTGCCGTTGCCGGCGTCGTTGATGCCCTTGAAGAAGGCAAATGTTGCTGCGTCCGGTCTGTTTTTCTCAGCTGTGCTCGTGAAAGCGTGGGAAGGAGGGAGGGAGAGGGAGCTCACGGTTGGTTCGGGGTCAGGCTGTTCCCCAGGTCCTGCACGGTGACGTGTGTATGCCCGATAATATTCCCGCCATTAAGTGCCTGCGGCGCCGCGTAGTATGTGTTTTCGGGGTTAGTGAACGATCCCGCGGCCAGATTGGCGACTTGTACGGTGATGTCGAAGGCCGTGTCCGCGGCAATGTCCTCGCCCGGCGCGGGGGAGACGATGATCGACGAGACCATGTTGTTCTGTGATGGGATGTCGCCCATCACTATGCCGTTGCAGGATCCGCCCGTTACTTGCTGCCCGTTGGTGAGCGTTTTGCCCGTGCAGAAGTTTATGAAGTTTGCATCGTCGCTACGGTGGCATCGTTAGTGATCCATCAAGAGAAAGAAGCCAGAGATTACATACGTCACTGAATCGGCCTGCGCTGGATCACCGCCCCCCTCCTGGCCTGTTTGCGTTGAGGCTTCCTGAACGTTTGCGGGATCGAGTGCTAATGCTGCGTTTCCTCCACCGTTGTTCTGACCACCGCCGTTGTTCTGACCACCGCCGTTGTTCTGGCCTCCACCATTGTTTTGGCCACCACCGCCGTTGTTCTGGCCACCGCCATTTCGACCACCACCTCGACCATTTCCTCCCGCCTGCTGGTTCTAGGCCCACAGTTAGCTCCCGATCTTGAAGGGAAGAGATATTCGATCGTGGACCATACCTGTCTCGGAACGATGTTTATACTTCTCGCACCATAATGTGGTGCGTATGCAGTGGAAACGGAGGCCAGCCCAGCGGATAGCAGAAGGAGTAACGGCAATTTGGCGTACATCTCGAAGCTCAAAAATTCGAAAATAGGAATATAAAGAGGGTATAGAATAAACGATCAACGTATGATGTTAGAATAAAAAAATCTCGGCCGGCGAGTGCAGAAGAAGGAAAGGTGGGGGAGGGGAATTAAAACGCAAAAGAACGACCCCGGCACCTGTTCAGCAAACTTGAGATGGTACAGATGAAGCTGTAGTGGTGTAGAGAACGAAAGAGAAAGGAAAAAAGTGGTCCGGTTTCTTGGGAGAAGGTGGTCTTAAAAACAGAGATGGACGGAGAGGCTGAAGCAGCAGCTGTCCCCTCCATGGCGACTGGTGGCGTCTGGCTCTGCCAGCTGGTATCAAAAGTGTTGAATACGGACACTCGTGATGGCCGAGGACTCGAAACCAGGCTCCATGGCTCAGAACGTGTCGAGTCTGTTTCGACCCAGAGCGCTGTAACGATGCGCTACATCCAATCAAGGCTGTGGGGGTTTTCCTGGGAAGGAAGCCATTGCCGCGGGGGGTTCCGAACGATAGGCGGCTGCAGATAAAGCAAAGTTGGATTGTATCTAAGCGACTGAAATGCATGCAAATTTACAGGTGCTTTGGGCCCGGGTACGAGCGAAGGATGGAGGGCGTCGCTTTTGGGTTTTAGGTTCGGTTTCAACGATCCCTGCATATCTACAGCATGCGCCCAGCGCCGCCGCCGCTTACCCTTGCGACCACAGCGCTGTAGTGAAGAATCCTCAGAGTGCGAGAGCGAGGGCATTTCTTCATCTCCTCCAGAGCCCCCGCTACTCACCCGGGCGACTCCGCTGTCTTGTTGGCAGCTGAAGTCAAGGCGTATGTACCTGCATCGGTACCCGGTGTTTTTGCTCGTACTTGGCATCGCATAATGTACCGGGCCCCTCCGTCGCAGACCACCCATGACCAAACAAGCTGGCGGCTTACAACATCGTCATAGGCAGCTGGTGGGAGAATAAGCTTCTGTAAGCACTCTGCGGAAGCCTCAGGTCTGGCTGCCCTCCTGTCAGTCTCCGCCGTCATCTCGACCCGGTCAACCGAGAGGTAGCGACCTGATACCTATCGGCGTACACGCTTGTGAGTGATGAAATAGGTTTATGGACGATGCCTGTAGCGGATTTGTCACGGAGGATCTAGCAGAATGCACGGCTACGGCGCCTCACAAAACCCTTTAAGATCTATGTCCCCGACCAATCACCGTACAATGACTGGCCAGCGACAGGCTCTCCCTATAGCCAGGCTTCCGATGATCGTCGGCGCTCTCCAACTCCCAGGATCAGATCTTCTTCAACCCGTCCTTTCCGTTCCCGCCTTCTTCCCTCTAAAAAAAGCTCCGCAGCCCTTCATGAAATCCCCAAACTGCCCTTCACCTTTGGAAACATCGAAATTGACCAGACCTGTCTTGATCCAGCCTGGCAATTTGTCCTGGATGCGCTGACCGGTGTATCGTTTGTCGATGAGGATGATCGTTGCATAATCCTCTCTATGTCGAATCGCCCTGCCGATACTCTGGTTGACGGCCCGCATGCATGCATTTTCGTAGAACTCTCTCCCAGCGGCTTTGGCCAGGGCTTGCCTTTGAGACAGGGATCCCGAGGTTTCATCGAGGGAATCATATGCAACCTTTTCCACGTGCTGTAGCTTCGCCTTCCACTCCGGCGTCTGCGCGTTGGGGAAGGGGAGTCCGATCATGACTACTCCGCGGCCAAGACTGTGCACCGGTGAATGTTAGGCATGAAACGCATACGGACCAAGTTTCGAAGAAGAAAAATCTGACCTGCATTTTATGCAGAGAATGCCCTCCAGCCCGCGGAGGAACAATCTCCGACTGCATAGCTGCAAGAGGAAGGCTGACTTACTTATCATTAAAGTTGATCCCTTCGCTCATCTTGCCTCCGACAACGCTCAACAGAAGTGCACCCTTGCCAGAATCAATCTCCCGGGCGTATTCCGCCAGAGTTTCCTCGACGCTGCTCTTCTCGCTCGACTCTTGGAATATTTCTTTCTTCTGGCCGAGCCGATCCCATACCGACAAGCCCTCGCCCAGTTTCTTCTGCCACTGCGCAATGACGAAGCTAAGATACGCATAGCTGGGAAAGAAACAGACGACGCCGTGAGGTACCACCGTGCAGATGTTGGCGATTGCCCTGCCTAACTCTGCGATCAGATTGGGATCCATACGTTTATCGAACGTGAACTGGAACTCTCGTTTGGTGGGTCCCATAGCCATTGGCCAGGCAAGGAGATTGTCTTTTGGAATGACGTGTCCGCAGGATAATGTACGGATCTTCTCCCTGGGAAGATAAGGGAAGAGGTGCGTCGTGTAGTCCTGCATAGGCTGCATCGTCCCTCCGGCGAGGATGACAGACCTCGCTTCCTCTACGACACCTCGGAAATGGAACGCCGGGTCAAGGAGCATGTATTTGAAGCAGGCATCTTTGGTCTCTGTCCTTCCGTAGAAAACTTTGCCTTCGTCCGATGGATTGGTCAAAGCCAACAGAAACCCCTGGAGATGTGTGAGCATAGGAACCGAGTCCTTGGGCTTGTTTTGTTCCGCCGGCTTGCCCCGACGCTGAAGCTGCTCTGCTTGTTTCTGCTCTGTGTGGATGAGATATCCTTCCAGTTTCCTCGCCAGTTTGCTCTCAGCGAGATAATTCTGCAGTTTAAAGAAGTTTATCTGATCTGTTCCCTTGGCAGCAAGAAGATCGCCAGGCTGAACCTCGCCCTCTTTGCCTCCGTTGCTCAAATCCTCGAGGTAAGATGCCAATCCACCCAAGAGACGACTGATCTGCATCACATACACCTTGTTGGAGCCTTTGAGTCTGTTCCGGAATTTGGCAAGATATATTTCCAGTTGTTCTCGACATCGTGTAAGCTGTGTGAGTGTCACGGTGATTGAGTGGATCGATGAAATGGCATCGATCAGGTTATGGGCTTCATCGATGACGACGACATGGCCCTTGAGAGAGATACCGAGTGCTTCCCGGGCAGATTTCTGTAGGAGAAGGGGATAAGGTAATGTGACTATCTGGTTACCATTCAGTATTGAACCCATATAAGCAGATGATAGTACCAACCTCGCTTGGTTTGATTGCCGCCCGGACAGCATAATACGGACAAGTCCCCATAGTTTTCCCGAGCTTCGAAAGATCCTCGATATCCCGGATAGTTGCGAGTGCGTGATCCCGAAAGTCTCGAACAACGACCTGATCCTCTTTAGTGGGTAAGAATTGACACCGCTTTTCGGAGCCTTTCGTCCCAGATTTCTGCATATCTAGGCACTTCTCATTCATCGCCGTGACGCTCTTCAGTTTTGCGACCGCAGGGTTAATGCACAAGTTCTTCCGTGATCCTAGTGACAAGTGCTTGATCTGTTCCCGCAGCTCTTCGTCTCCGCTTGAAAAGGACGGTGGCATATCCACTCGCCGTAATTCGTTAACGAATTGTGTGAGCTGGGAATGTGTGCGTGAACAAAAGAAAATCTACAACCCCATCAGCCACTCGGGAAGTCACTGTGAAGAATTAAGATTACTTTCGTCTCGTCGGGTAGTTCCATCTCCGGATCTTCCCTTGGAGGTGCTCCGGAGTCGGGCATACCGAGCCTACGTTCATCAGTACGTCAGTCACTTACATCACCCACACGACCAAGCCGCTCACTTCATCATGAGCTCCCTCACCGCCGGCGAGTAATCATCCGACTCCTTCTGTCTTTTTGAGCCGAATTCATCGTCGCTTTCGTAATCATCCAGCACAAACTGGGCCTCATCATCATTTTCCAATTCTACTTCGACGTTTTTCCTCTACCTGCCCATTAGCCTCCGTCTCAGACCACCTCCAGATTTACGGGAACAAACCGTCTTCTTAAACGCTCTCGTATCGTTATCCCGGAGACTCAACACTTTCTCTTTCGCCTCCTTGTCCCGAATGGCCTTCAGCCGCTCCTCGAGATCTGTCTTGGCCCGCAGGATCTGTTCCTTCTTTTCTTTAACGGCGTACTCGCGGACCCAAGCTGGTTCGTCGGAGTCTTTGCAGCAAGATCGTAAGTAACAGAGTTCAATTGGGTCCTGCGGACTAAAGTACCTCCATCTTCAGTCTGCAACTGCGCCTCGAGATCACGACTCTTATGGTCTCGAAGCCAAGTCAAGGCACCGCAAATCAGGCTTAGAGATTTTCCCTTTCTCGGCGTCAGCCTCGGCACGACCGTTGCTTTGGATCAATACAATGTACCGTTCCTTCGACTCGTCAGCGTTTGCCCGACATGGGTGGTGGTATCGACGGTGGGTAAACACACCAGTCGGAGACTCAAAGATGCCCACACAACCGTTTTCCACTGCCTCGTACAGGGCGTCCATAAACTCCAATTGTATGGAGTACGGCGTGTAGGGGTGATGAAAGTCACGTTGCGTTTTCGTTGCGTCCGCCATGGTAGTTACAGTTGGGCGCGGGTTTCGGTTTCTTGCTGTATCGGAATGGGCGTTGTGAGGTACGCGTTAATGTGCTACCTAGCTTGACGGGCACGTGATCGAGGTGATTGGGCGAGTGACAGCTGTTGACATACCCAACTCGTCACTCCCATTCCATCCACCTCCAACCCACTCGACCACCACGATAGCGAAATAAACTTCCAAGATGCCGCCCAAGAAAGAGAAGAAAGAGCAGTTCAAGGGCGATCAAGGTACTATCTTCGTCATTCATCCTGTCTTCTTGGAAGATTATACTGAAATTGAAAGCCTCGGAGATGATCTTTGAGTACCTCGAACAGCAGAACCGGCCTTACTCCGCTGCGGGTATACCCCTAGTTTTTCTCTTAAGTCTGCATATTCTAACGAAAGCTGTTGGGAGACGTGAGCTCCAACCTTCACAATGCTGTTACCAAAGGTTTGTCACCACTGGCTACAGCCGTGTATGAGGACTAATGACCCACAGCGACTGCCACCAAAATCCTCAAGGAGATGCACGAAAGCGGGCAGATCGAGGGAAGGGTCTCGGGAAAGCAAATTGTGTACCACGCCATCCAGGTACATTTCCTTCCAAAGGATGAGCTTTAAAATCGCAACATCTGACGCCACTCCAGAGCCCTACCGAGAACTCCAGCGAAGAAGACCTCAAGGCGATGGATGAGGAGATCGAAGGTACTCCCCACCTTCCAGTCGCATTTCACCGACCTCACAAAAGAAACTCAGGCATCAAGGCGGAAACCGCCGCCCTCAAGGCCTCCATCAAAGCCGCGCACGCCTCCCTCGCGGCTCTCAAGTCCACGCCCAGCATTGACGCACTGAATGACTCCATCGAGGTCGTCGAGGCCGAGGCTGCGGCGCTGGAGGAGACGCTCAAGGGACTCCGTGCTGTCTCCGAGACTCCGGTTGCGGATCCGGCTACGCGCGCTGCTGCCGAAAAGGAGTATGCCTTCCTAGAGAAGGAGTATGCTAGACGCAGGAAGCAGTTCAGGGAGTTTTGGGGGATGGTGTGTGATGGCTACGAGGGAGATGTGAAGGAGTTGTGGGTAAGTCGAGTTGCGGCCATGAATGCAGGAAGACACTAATGCTGATGCGCGGTTAGGAAAATGCGGGACTGGAGGGGGATATGATCTAGGCGCCCACGGCCAGTTTGATACCATTTACTTTTTAGACACTTTAATCGCTACATCTCCTAGAACACTTGATCGTCTAAGATGAGGCAAACAGAGCAATCTCTGGTGATGCGGGCAAATATTTCAAGCGACAAGTGACTCAGCATGTATGAGACGGCTTCTTGATAAGAATGTGCCCACTGACACTGTACATAGATCGGTTCGGTGCGGAAATTTGTCTGTACATTTGAAGGATGTGATTATATTACTGTACAAGATCCAGGTTATGGCGGTGGTGCTTCCGTCTTTTCCTCCTGCTCCTTCTTATTTTCTACAGAGTCAACCTCCATCTTCTCTGGCTGCTCATGCTGCACCTCCGGCTTCGTTTCCTCCGCTACAATCTCTTCCTCTTGCCCCTCCTCAGCATATTCCTCTTCATCATATTCCTCGTCCTCTTTACCCTCGCCCTCGCCCGCTTTCCTAAGGGCGGGCATCTTTCTTTGCGGAATAACCTTAATAAACGCCTTCTCCCAATCCTTCTCCTTGAGCCACTCACACATAATCTCGACCACCTGATTAGTGGTCAAGACCTGTCTACTGGCCATCTTGATATACTCTCCAATGGGCAACTTTCCATGGGCAATACCCTGTTCCTTCGCCTTATTGAAGCACAGCATCTTGTGTCTATTCCGATCGACGATTCCGCCGATGATATACGTCTTACCCTGCTCCAGCTCGGAGATGGTATTCTCGCTGTCGGCGGTGAGGTACACGAGGTTCTCGCGGTTCTCGTCGGTGATCGGGTATGGGTCGTGAGAGAACGTCATGCCTTTCCACTTCTTGTGCTGGTGCTGCAGCGTCCCCTCGTACCGCTCCAGCAGGCGCGCGTTGAGCGACGAGACATGCATCTTGAACTGCCGCGTGGAATTACGGTTTGCAGAATAGCATCGCGTGAGCTGCGACGACATCGAGACGACTTCCTACACACCACACCATCAGCCCTTTCCCACCCTTTCCCCTTCCCTCCCTCCCTCCCTTGGGCACTCACCCTCTCAGTCATCAACGCATCAAACCCACAATCGATGAGCAGGGTGATATCCTCGAGCACCCTCGGCGGCGCGACCTTGACGCGCTTGGTAACCTCGACGCCTTCGTCGGCGGCGGCCGCCTCGTCCTCGGCCTTGCGCTTCAAGGCGTTCTCCTCGCGCTTGCGCGCCTTCCGCGCTTTTTCCTTCTCCCTGCGCGCGGCCTTCCATGCCGGCCGCGTCTCCTCGAAACGCTTTTGCTTTGCGAGCTTTTTTTGCTGGTTCTTGGACAGCGGGGGCGCCGTGGCAGTGTCCTCGGTGGTGGAAGGTGCGGTGGAAGTGCCCTCGGTCGTGGGCGGTGAGGTGGTGCGCGCGTCGGGGGTCTCGGTCACTGCGACGGGCGCAGTTGCGGGTTCGGCTTGGTCGGCCATTGATGCGAATGGGGCCGTGAGACGGTGGCTGTGAGGTTGCAAGTGTCTCGATGCGAGATATCTGGTGGTGGGTGTGACTCGAACGAGGTTTGCGACGAGGCAGGTCAAAAATCGGTACCGGTAGTGGGGCATGCGGTGCTGCAAGATGACTCTAGTTACTCTAGCTGCGGATATCTATTTAAATTTAGGGTTGACCTTGTTCACGCGCTCACGTTCCACCACCGGAGCATCATTCATTAAGCCTAGATAGAACAGAACCACAAACAACCAAAAAAGAAGACGCCCTAATATTCCATAGCATCCACCGCGCTCCTCTCCCGCTTAAGATTAACCTTCTCCTTCGACTCCTCCTTGACGATGCCTGCCACGAATCGTCGGAAGTACTCGACATACGGCTTTAAGCTAGTCTTTTCATAATCCGGAATCTTCTCCTCGGCGCCCTTTTCGCCGTCTTCCTTATGATTACCATTCCACTCATCGATTTCCTTGAGCAGACTGGTAACAGTTGGGACCGCCAGCGGATCGAAATCTTCTGGACGCTTGGAGTCGATGGGGACACACACCCTGCCCGTGCCCGGGTGCACGACGAATGGAGACTTCAGCAAATGGTTGAGGTGCTTGGAGACTTCGGCATCGAGCCGGGGGTAGAGGTATTCGAACACGATGTCCTGCTTCGACGTGAGGAGCTTCTGTGTGTCCAGGGTTTTACTGGCGCTTTTGGCCTGTGCGTCGATATCGTTCCACTTCGCGGTCGAGGAGCGGCCAGGAAGTGAATTCCATTTTTTCCGGAGCTCAGCAACGAGCGCTGGATTGCGGAAAGCAGTGTCAGCCAACTATCGATCGAGAAAAGGTATTGAGTGGGCGAATGGCATACTCTTGTCGGGAAGAAGGTCGAGCAGCTTCTCCGCCCTATCGTTCTCCCGCCACGGATCCTGATCCCGCAGGATATTCTGACCGAACGAGTCACGGAGCACCTCCATACTCCTGGCCAGATGCGGATGCAGCGGCCTGCGCAGATTCACCTTCTTCCCGGACTTATCACCACCCCTAACCACCTCCAGATACGACGCAATCGACCTCCTCTTCTGATCATCCATCTCCCTCGCCCTCCTATCGCACACCCAGGCGTGCGCACCTCTCCGCCCGGAGTACACCCACATGATGTGCTTGAACCCAAAATCGTCCCTGAGCGCGACATCCATGATCTTTATAGCCACGGTGATGAACTGCCAGCACTTATTGCAGATATTCGCCTTATCGCAGCACGTGCGAACATCATCGTAGTCCGTCAAATCGATATCGAAGACCAATTCCTTCGCTATAGGCTTGAATGCGGCTTTGCGTAACGACTTGCGGTCGCGCGGATTCGCACTGTACACCGGGCCGATCTCGAATCGGCTTGGGTTGAGCTTCAGAACGTCTTTGCGTAACGTCTCGAAGGTCGGGAACGATTGGTAGCGCAGGTACGCGCTGTTCTGCAGGGTGAAGGCGAATTCCCGGTGGCCGAAGTCGTGCGTGGGGATTGGTGAGTGGTTGAGCCATTGGAAGAGGATCCGCCACGGGAAGAGACGCTGGTAGAACGCATACATCACTTGTGGATCTGAGTAATCTGTTGACCTTGAGGGCCTGTAATTGCGCCCGTTAGCCACCACACAATCCCCTCTCTCTCTCTTCAGGACGGGAGCGGGGAGCGTACACTTCCGCCAATGCCTCAGACTCGAATAGATCCGCATCCGGAAGATCACCGTAATCCTCATCGTCGGAGTCCTCGAGTTGTGGTTTGACCTTGACATCCTTCTTTCCCTCAGCGTCCGAGTCGTCGTCGAAGATCCTCTCGATGGCCTTCTTGTTGTCGCCGGCGGCGGCGGGTGGAGACGACGGTGCTGGTTCCGGCTTGACCTTGACATCATCACTGCCATCATCGTCCGATGCGGGGTCAATGACGGGCGGGGCATCGGGGAGATCTAATTCTTCGGAGGACGACATGGCCGTGTAGTAGTTGTGGTTGTGGTTGACTTTCTATATCGAGTGTAATGGTTCGTGTGCGAGTGGAATAACAAGTATAACTAGCACTGCAGGGGAAACGCGACGCGTAGATTGTTTTTTACACGAGTAGTCTTGGCTGACCAGGCATAGCCCACCTCGCGTTCTCCCTGTTCCGTAAACAAAACACCACCGACCAGTGACCACCATTCTCCACACTACACCTACCAAATGCCTTCCGATCCGCCCCCCACAGAACCGTCAAAATCCGAGCGCATAACCAAGCTACGCGTCGAGTTGAAGGACTGGGAACATGCCTTCGCCAAAGCCCACGACGGCCGGAAACCAACCCGCGATGAAACCAAAGCCGACAGGGAGATAGGTATTTTTTCTCCCTCATTCTTCCCTTCCTTCCGGAGCCTGTTCTGACATAACCACGTATAGCTGCCAAATACAAAGAATACGCCCGTCTCCGCTCCGGCTCCTCCTCCTCCTCTACCTCCACCGACAAGAAAAAGTCCTCCCCCGTCTCGCGGCCCGCAACAGCAGCAGCACCAGCACCAGCAGCGCCAACTGCTCCCTCACCCACAGCACTAACCCAAACGCCGACCAAAAACCCCTCCGCGAACCCATGGAGCAACAGCGAGATCTACGAATCGCCGCTCAGTATCCGCCGGCAGCGACTATTCGGGCGACGTGACCAAGTCGGCCCCACCCCGCAAAAAACCGGCAAGGTCCTTGGTATCTTCGACAGTTTCATCGACGTGGAGTCGACGCCACCACGGTCCGCGAAGCGCCTGATCACCGGACTCGGCACGCCGACGAAATCCGGCGGCGAGCGCGTGTCGGTCTCCCCGGCGCTCTCGACGCCGAGGAAGAGGAAGCTGGCGGAGGTCGCGGGAAAAAAGGATGACATCTTCGCGACGCCGAGTGCGCTGCGCGAGTGGAAGCCGCGGGAGGTAGCGGAGGAGGACGGCGCCGATAGTCCGCGTGTGAGGCGCCCGCCGCCGATGCCGAAGCGCGGACTGAGCTCGATGTTAAGGGAGCTGAGGGAGATGGAGGCGCATGCGCTCGACGACGATGAGGAGGCGATGCGCGAGATGGAGATGGAGGCGGCGGGGTTGGAGGTGCCGAAGAGGAAGGAGAAGAAGAAGGACGAGCCCCTGTTCGATGAGGTGGAGTTGCCGCCGTTGCCGCCAGGCGCGTTCGTAGAGGATACGCTGCAGGACTCGGATGATGGCAAGGAGAATGACGGCACGGAGCGCAAGGTCTGGAAGAAGAAGGGGCTCAAGAGGCAGCATCGCAGGGTCATCAGTACGCTCTCCACACCCTCCTCGCTCCTCTTTGACGTACTAACGAAATTACAGTGCGTCCCGTGGTTGTCAAGCCTGGTACCCAAGCCGGCGACAACGAGGCAGAGGAAGCCGAGGAGGCGGAGGCAGCAGCGGCGGAAGGCGGCGACGACCAACCACCCATCCCCTCGGACATCGAAAATGGCGAAGACTCATCCTCGGACGACGACGAAGAAGACTCCAAAAAGAAGTCCAAAAAGAAGCCAGCAGCAGCAGCGGAGAAGGCCAAGAAACCTGCCGCAACTCGCAAGATCGATGCGAACGCTACATCGCACATGAACTTTAGAAAGCTCAACATCAAGAACAAGAACAGCAAGGGTAAAAGAGGCGGTAGGTTCGGCGGTGGCAGGAGGAGGTAGTGACAGTGTACTATAGCCGTAATTGCTCATGAGAGCACATAGAGTACCTAATAACTGTACAGAATAGAATATCGTAATACACGAGTGCATGTGCCCAATGTCGTCCATGTCTGTGAATGACGTAAAACATCGCCATCGCTGAGATGACGTGCAAGGATCCGCAATCTCTCGGATATCTCCGATCCCACCGCCCTCTGCGGTGCAATCCCAGATTCACCAGATATCACTCATATCACGGATTCTTCATTCCCAAGTCCGATGCCAAATTCAAACCCCACATCAAACAGAATTACCATACAGACAAACCAAAAACGTGAACAGAGAAAAACCAAAGCCAAAAGAAGGGATAACCACATACACGGATACGGGTAGGATTTAGCGTTTGAGTGAAAGAGAGAGAGAGGAAGGCCAAAATTCCCCCACATGTAGAAGTATTGAAAGTAAAATGAAAAGAAAAGCAGACAACTCCGCCCCACCCACCCCTGCCGCACCAGGCCAACCCACACTTTTAAGCTTTTAGAATCTGTGAAAAACGAAATGAAAAGAATCCCGCGTTGTGCTCCAGTAGGTATCCCCTTTTGTGTGCGTGGGTATAGTAGAAAGTAAAGTAAAAGTTAGATCCTCCCTGTACAGAGCAGTCATCCTCCTCTCCACCTCCGATTCGAAATGCATAAAATCGCCCGCGTGGTATAAAATGACAAGACCAAACAGTAAATGCTGTAGCATGGAAAAAAAGAAAGCAAGGCACTCTATGCCACCCTCTATGATGCAATCCGACCCGTAACAATTTATCCGAAAGAGATCTTGCCCAGACCCAGCCCGGAGCGATCAGCGGTGATGCCTCCCAGACTGGAGAAGCCTCCCATGTGCTTTGTGGGGCCGTCTTCCTCGACTTCCAGGTTGAACTGGGTCTCGGGCTCCTCATCGATCGGGTGGACCTTGCTGTTGCCGAGGCGGGGAGAAGAGGTGGTGCGCTCGATCGGACGTCCGCTGATCGCAATATTCTTGGGAGAAACGATCGTATCGGATTCCGTGAAGCTGCCGAACTTCAAGCTCTGAGTGAGGGCAGAGATACCTCCGCTCATGCCACGTCCGGGAGAACCAGCGAAGATACCGTCGCTAACAGTACGACGCACGATCGGGTTAGCATCCGAGTGGAGGTAGGTATGCCTCAAGGGCGAGCCGACGTGTCCCAAGCCGGAGATCTGAGAGTGGTCCTCATCGCGTTTGTGGCGGTTGATCAGAGGGCCCCAGCTGCCTGGGGAGCCGATCGGAGATCCAAACGTGTCACCGGGGGTTCCCGGAGCGGTGAAGCTGCGTCCACCCGCGCCCTCCTCGTCGGTCCTCGACATTCTGCGGTTGCGTTCCGCCGGAGTGAGCAAGTCAGTCAAGCTCTCGGGCAAGAAGTCCTCCTCGAAGGTGAAGGCTCCTTCGGAGGAATCGATCGCTCCGTTGTCCTTCGCGGTTCCCATTCCGTGGAATCCGTTGAAGATGGTCTGCGGTCCCCCGTAGCTCGAAGAGTACACCTTATTGCGTCTTGCGGCCGATGAATGCAGAATCCTCTCTCCGAGGGATCCTTCCCGGAGCTGAGCGGACCTTGAAAGCTCTCCACTGTCGTCTTCGCCAAACGCCGATCTCCGTAGAGCGCTGATAGTGGCTTCGCCTCTGACGCTGTTTGGTAGCGAAGGGGGAGGAGACTCGACTCCGAACGTGTTTGGAACCGACGACGCGAACGGACCATGCTTGGCGTAGTAGCTGTAGTCGTACCTGTCGATTGAAGCAGGGAGCGTAGCGTCGAGTGGTCCCAAAGTCCTCTGCGACGATGCAAGCGGGGACATGGCCAATCCGTCCCGCGGGGATCCGAATTGAGTGTCGGGGATGGCTGTCGGCGCAGTCTGCTGGTGGTGCTGCTGCTGCTGGTCGGATTGCGGGATCGCCTGACCTGGGAGGGCCGGGAAATCTTCCGCGCCACCGAGCGAATGGGTCGGTGTGTGGTGGCCGACATTGTTCGCCTGCATGAGCGAGTTGTGGAGAGCCGACCGGTGGCTGGTGTAAGCGGGGTCCATACGGCCAAAGTGGAGGTGGCCGTTGTGGTTGTGTCCGTTATGACCGCCGTTGTTGCCATGCATGGAAGGACGGTTGACCCTGCGGCCATCGGGGAGGATGTGCGCAAGAGCACATTTGGCACCAAACTTGCAGTTGCCCTGTCGCGATCGTGTCAATCAAGCTCTTCCCCGGAGTCGCACATTGTGAAAATCCTGTCACCAACCTTGGAAAAGTACTTGCACGGCGCCGACTCGGTGGTTGGATCGGTGCTGTGGGAGAACGGACAAGCCTTGCCCGCCTGGCAGGCACCTTGACGGAAGAATTTGCACGGAACGTGGTTCAAGTCTGTTTGCGAACCGTTAGACGCCGCCACCTGGGAATCTGCAATGCGACTCACTCTTGCTGCCTGGTGGACTCCGAGAGCCCTCGAAAGGCGGCACACCTGGCCCCACGGGAATGCCTGGGGGCTGCACGTGAGACTGTTTTGCGGGGACCGGGGTCGGCATAGCGTTGCTAGCGGGATTTCCGTTCGTTGTTGCGGGAAGCTGATTTTGACCTTGAGCGGCGGATATGCTCCGTCGCGCAGCACTGTTGGTACGGCTGTGGTGGGGGTGGTGGGGGAGGGCGGGAATTATGGTGGTTCTGGAAGTAGATGTGGTGGGGTTGGAGGTGGTGGTAGTGGTGGTGGTGGTGGTTGTAGCGGTGTTGGGAGAGGTGGAGGGAACGGTGTCGACGGAGTCGGTTGGAGGAGTGGAGGCAGACATCGTCGAGTCCGAAGGCTGGGCGGGAATGGAACTCATGAGGCACAAACTCTAGTCGTGTTGTGATTGTGGTTGGTGGTGGGTCGAGAGGGGAGGAGGAAGGAGGAGGCAAGGTGGTGGAGGTGAGGTGAAAAAGAACGAGGTTGTGACAAGAGCCGCGAAACGGTGGCCACGCTAGCTGAACCTTACAACTCCAAATCTAGCACGTCAAACGACCATCAGCCATGATCCGACGCAACACCCAGCCGCCAACATTTAGGGTACGGCACCTACGACGCGTAGGTATCCAATCATCCGGCGGCACTGGTATCCTCTCAGTGACAGCCGACGCGGTCCGGCTTTGATGGCCGTCTCCAGGCACGCAATGATAGCAACGCCCTCGGTCATTCAAGAAAACTGCCCACGCGTACGGCGGGCAGAAGAATTCAGCATCGGCTGACCGACAGCCCTGGGCTGCTTTGTTATGGCGGGAGATGTGACACAAGGCAGAAGGCGGGGTGCCGAATATCCACTCCATGCAGTCTTATCTGTCCCGCGCCCTCTCGCTCTCCGGGCCGCTGGTAAAGTACTCTCGACTCCCCCAGTCCTCGACGGCCAGTCGGATAATTCCATCGAGATCAGATGGCCATCGAATCGAGCATCGGTAACGTTTCACACATACTCGTAAGATATATTGGTACATGGCCGAGTGATCTCCATGAAGCAACTCGCCATTGCGGGGAAGTCTTTCGCGCACGTGCTTATAGGTAGTCTGGGCATACCCTCGGCGATACATAGTAGACTCGATACGACCACTCTCGGCCAAACGAGATATCTGATATCTAATATTCTCGAGCAAACCCCGTGCCCTGATGGTCATGCACCAACCCACAGCGCATGCATGCCGTGTCTCGACCCCCGTACGCGGGAACTCCGGGGTCGGAGACAACGCCCGCCCTTGACCTCACCATCACCATCGAATTGTGCGCGTCACCGGGGGGAATGACGCCCTACGTTTCCCCACACTTTCGACCGTGGGTGGGGGGCTGGTACTATCCCTGCAGTGCATCATCCGCGTGAGTCCCAGGCTTACGTAGATCCTTCGCATCCGATGCCGCCCGTGATACGTGGAGAGGAATCACGTGTATCGATGGGAGTAACCATCCACCGACAAACTCTACTCGACCGATAGCCGAATATAAAACCGGAGTTGCTCGGATCGATTTGTCGAGTGATATTCTATGCGTAATCAAGTAGACGGCACGGTGATGTACGACGGAGCCGGACTCAAAGAATGATGTGAAAAGATTGTCCTGCTAGCTACCGCTACACAAGTACCTACCCGTGATACATGAGAGGAATCACGTGCAGCGAAGAGGATCAACCGTACCGACATGACCGATGACTGAATGTCAAACCGGAGTTACATACTGTTGCAATATCTGTTTAGCATAGCCATGGTAGAAGGCACGGGCCTTTGCCCCTATTCTCATATCTACTACTCTCACGAGACCTTACACTTCAATAATACACTGGTTCACGATTGCGTCTTACTCTATTGTTTCAACACATGCTCGGATCGATTTTCCGAGTGATAGTATATGCTTGACTGACTGAGTAGACGGCACCGCTTCCGACACCGTCTCATCGGAGATGTTGTGTAGTTGGATACCTTGGGCCTTCTAGATTGGCCCCCACTGACTCCGGGAATCCTAGATGCCCAGATTACCGCAAACGCTATACACAGTGTAGCAGTGCCTACGTCCGGCACAGGCTACAGATTACAGACAACGTCTGTTAAAAAGCATGAACAAGTATTGTAGTAAGTGAGTCTGAAGGCCTCGAGAGAAGTCATAAAAGAGAAGTGGTAGGCGGCCAGTGCTTCCCGCCGTTATGACTGTGTAAGCGACGAAGCAACGAGTGAGATATTACAATAGTTGCTGTCATAATATCACGAACTTCTGTGTGTGTAGTGCATCATACGAGATCACTCGGATTTCCGTTATCCGTTCTCACAGAGGTGGCGAGCGGCGGCGAGCGGCCTCTATCTGAGGCACACCCGCCCCTTCCTCTATATATGCATTTCTTCTGTCGTGTCTGATACACTGTACACTACTTCAGAATACCACTTTTCTTGACAGTTGCTCGGATTGATTATGCGAGTGATAATTGATACGTAACCAAGCAGACGGTACGGTGATGTACACGAAGCCGGACTCAAAAAGTGTGATGTGAAAGGATTTTTCCTGATTGTAGCTGCTGCTACAACGTATACTTACCATGTAGAGCGACGTACTAAAGTCAGAAGCCTTATATAGGCCTTATACGATGAGGAAATTGTTCAGGCCTTCTATAAGCCACTCATAAGCACGTGAAACTCATAAGGTTTCCGTAAGAGTTATGTCAAAATAAGGCATATGTTCTCATAACCCTATAATTCTCGTAGCTCCTACATAATGCCTATGCAGCGAAAACCACCAGCACATAAATCGGCCTTCTCACTGTAATTCTTAGGACCTTCCTCAGGCGTATGTAGTCATTTTTGACATGCACAGCCCTAGCGTACAATGATGACTGTGAAACTGGCAGATTTTGCGAAGCATTATGGGATATATCAGCCTGAGACAGAAAACCCTTAGAGCTTCGCACGCTTGATTTCTTCACGAGCATGATATATGCATTCTATGAGCCCTGTTCTTTCACAAGCATGATATATGCGTTCTATGAGCCCTGTTCTTTCACAAGCATGATATATGCGTTCCATCAGCCTTATTCAGGCCTATGGGTTCTATCGTCTTTACGGATCCATAGCGCATATGCGAAAATCAGACTGCTCGACACGGAAATTCTTATATCGGCCTTATATTCTTCTAGCACTGGCACCCCGAGAGTTGGACGCCGAAGAATCAGACGCAGACGGCTAAGAGAGCACGCGGCACCGCTGGACCCCCACCGCTGGTTCTGCCCCCCTTCCGCTGGCAGCTCTCCCACCGCTCTGCAACAGAGATGTCGTGCCCAGCCCACTGAGTTTACTCCGAACTTTCTTATGCCGTCGAACCCCACAACCCCCCACACTACACTACAAACTTTCCAAGTTCAAACATCAATGCCACCAACCACTTTTACAGACGACCCCTTCTCTCGCTGACAGCCCCCCGTCACTTCCTCATCTTGCTGATAGTCACCTGTTACTTTCTTATCTCGCTGACAACTCCTTCTTCCGCAGACAGCTCCCCCATCACTTTCTCTCGCCCACGGAAGAAGAAATCTCCGCTGGACTCAGCTAGAGGATGGTGGAATGGATGGTACAGCATCTGTAGATCTATGTGTACAGCGTTAGGGTGAGCTGCATAGTGAGTAGCGGCGGAGGGTATGGGAAGGGGGGAGCGGAGACGGAAAGTAGTTTAGGTATATAAGGGTACGGAACCGCATCGATAAGTGATAAGTATTCAGGATTTCAATAAGCCTTACGAGAGTAGTATAAGCCTTACTAACCCTTATTTTTCAACATTCCCTATAGCATCCTTATGAAACCCTTATGAGCTCATAAGCGTCGCGGCTAGTAGGCATTACAGAAGGCTTATGAATCGGGACTAATTCTTACCGCACTCAGGCTTGTGGAAGCCTTATCCGACAATATGACCTGTAATTTGAAAACCCGGATTAAGCTAAGTTTTACGGGAAAAAAATACTAATAGTAAAAATTTCTCATCAGGGGGTCTGTCAAAATCGCCCTCATACAAGGCTGCTATAATGCCGGTGACTTTATTGCATAGCTCTATGTGGGCTGGATACTCTCGGTCTTCGGACATCGGCCCCGCTGACTCAGGGAATCCGGGATCCCGAGATTGCCAGAAACGCTGTTACCTATACACTGCGTGGCAGTGCTTAAACCTTATGGAAGCCTTATGAGTCGGCCGTGCTTATGAGTGGCTTATAGAAGGCCTATATAATTTCCTCATCTTATATAAGGCTTACATAACGCCTCTGACTTTAGTACGTGGCTCTGTACGTCCGTCCCAGACGAGAGCGAGAGAGATAAAATACTTTACTGTCGCATACGGCCTTACATGCTAGACCATGGCGACCACATTGAATCTGACCATTCCAGCCAGTTCCGCCGTAGGATGTCACAGATTACAGATTACAGACACCGCCGACCCGCCAGAAACCGAGTGACCGAGTGATCGAGATGCGAAGGTGCCGGATCCACGTATGAAACCTTGCTCAAAGTCGCTTCTGTCGTTCTCCCCTTCTTTTGATCGTATTGATTGTTATGTAGATAATCTCTCTGACCTCCAGACTGCTTCTGCGCTGCCCCATCCCAGCGACGCCTCGCCTCGCCGGCGTCAGCGACGGCGGGGTCTCGGCGCTTGAAGAGCGCCGATGAGAGCCCGCTGCGGAAGAAAAGGGTGTGAATGTGAGGGATCATGTGGAAGCGAGCCATCCTGCAGCGACTGAGGGGAGAAGTTTGGCCAGCCAGGCATAAAGCACCAGCATAAGCGAGTACAGACACACTCGCGATCAATGCAACAGTGAACTTCATCCCCAACCATCTGCCGAATCCTTCCTCTTGTATCCAACAGCTTCTTCGGTGGGTTGGCTGTCTCCTAGCCCCGGCTTGCCTCGCAACCGCTTGACTATACAGTGGTCGGAATTGGCGGGTACAATTCTCATCGGAGGAGCGCACTCGTATATGAGAGCAACCGAACTTCTATCCCCAACCATCTACCATATCCTTCTTCTTGGATCCAATAGACCCGCAGATCGGGTGGGCTGGCGGCTGGGTGAGGCTTGCCTCGCAACAGTTTGGCTGTACGGTGGTAGGAATTGGCGGGGATAGTTGTCATCTGAGGAGCTCTCTCGTAATTCCGGCCTTGCGAGCAACTGAACTGTTATCCCCAGCCATTTGCCATATCCTTCCTCTTAGATCCACCAGCCTCTTCGGTGGGTTGGCTGGCTCCTAGCCTTGCGAATTATGGACTTCCATCCCCAACCATCTACCATATTCGTCCTCTCGGATGGAAAAGCCTCGTCAGTGGGTTGGCTGACTACCTGCCAACCAGCCAGCTCCGCCCAGCCGTTGATAGCTGGGCGAGGCTTGCCTCGCAACAGCTTGGCTGCGCGGTGGTAGTACGGTGGTCGGAATTGACGGGGATGGTTCTCTTCTGAAGTATGCCACATTTCGTTCCAACCTTGCGAACTGTGAACTTCCGTCCCCAACCATCTACCGTGTCCTTGCTCTCTGATCCAACAGTCTCGTCGACGGGGGTGGCTGGCTGGCTGGCAGCCAGCCAGCTCCGCCTAGCCGTTGATGGCTGGACGAGGCTTGCCTCGCAACTGCTTGGCTGTACGGTAGTTGGAATCAGCGAGGATAATTCTCACCTGAGGAGTGCTCTCGTATGAAGAGAGATATTCCGGCCTTGCGAACTGTGGGCTTCTGTCCATCCATCTACCGTATCCTTTGTATCCAACTGCCTCGTCGACGGGTTGGCTGGCTGCTAGCCCAGGTCAGCCCTGGCTGGCTGTGGTGTGCCTTGCGTATCGTGAGCTTCTATCCCCAAGTTCCAACCATCTGCATAACATATTCTTCCTCTCGGATCCAACAGCCTTCTCGACGGGGCTGGCTACCAGCCGTCCCTGCCCAGCCGTCGTCGGCTGGGCGAGGCTTGCCTCGCAACAGCTTGGCTGCACGGTTGTCTGAAGTGGTGGGGACAGTTCTCATCTTATGTAACGGTTCGTTCCCAGCAGAAAATCTCAATGACTCACTGACTGATTACTTAAGACAGGTGTTAACCGTTCCACGCACTACACCCCGCCAGCCAGCACCCTAGCCCACAACCCTGACGAACTAGCACTCGCTCACGAGATGTCACCCAGCCTTCAACTCAAAAAGTCCAAAAAAAAGATACACAGCCCGACGTGGGACTCGAACCCACAGCCTCAAGATTAGAAGTCTTGCGCGCTACCATTGCGCCAGCCAGGCCATTTGATGTTAGGGAGAGAATTAATGCACACAAAGTCTTTTTACTCATGTAGTCAGCGCTCAAGATTAAAAGTCCGGCGCGGAGCGCCGGACATTTATGGTAGAGGTGGCAAAGGGTGACTGGTCATAGGCAAAGCATAGAAGTTATTCGTATCAGGGCATCACAGTGCATAAACTGTATCTCAAGATAAGTGATGGCAGAGATATTGGGTTAAAGTACTCGGGCAAGGCAGTGGTGTCGGCTGTTCCTGGTACACGATGGAGCTCGAGTAGGCGGTTTGTCAACGAGTCTATAAGTGCGGTGAGATAGCTTGTCAAGGTCTATGAGTGCGGCGCGGAGCGCCGCACTTATACATGACAGACGTGGTAAAGGTTGTAGAGGGGGACTTGTCATAGGAAAAGCATAGAAGCTATTCGCATGAGGGCATCACGGTGGGTTGAGGTAGAAGAGCTCGAGTACAGACAGGTTCTCAAGATGAAGTGAAGGCAGAGATATTGGGTTGAAGTGCTTGGGCAAAGGAGCGGTGCCTCACCTTGCGCTTATAGTTCGCAATGAGTGAGGCAGGACGTATCGGCTGTTCTTAGCACGTGATGGAGCTGGAGTAGACCGCTTATCAACGAGTCGATAAATGATGGAGCTGGTAGAGCGGATGGCGTAGCTCAGGTACATGACCTAAGGCTGGAGTCGTTGCGTGCTACAGTAAGTGCAAGCAGCTGCGCAGCCCCCGCATTTCTGAAGTATAAAAGGCTGTCGTCTCCCCACTAGCAGGTATTAGTATTATATCAGGACACCAACACTTTAACATAGGTACATTTCTACGTTCGACCAAGCGAACAAGCGGCATCCACGGCAAGCTGAGCGACATTCACGACACGGCCACGGCAAGATGAGCGAGACATTCACGACACAGCCACGAAATTGTTAGATTACGGCGTCGGGGGCACATCAGGATCTCTCATGTCACTGTAGGGTGATGGTGAAGTCTCAAGGAACACTGTTTTGAAGGAGTCAAGGACTCGATCAAGCGAAGTGTATCCGGATATGTGTTCTGCTGTCTGGTCTCGCCGGCGGGTCTATTATGACATCAGGGAGCGGAAGAGAGAGCGGGAGAGAGAGCGGAGCTGAGGCGACTCGAGAAGGAGGAGGAGGGTGCCGAAGCTGAGGAGGCGGAGGGAGCTGAAGCCGAGGAGCCAAGCGACGTAGAATAGCGGTGGGGGTGGGACGACCCGAGGGCGCGGGGGTGCGGAGCGGAGCGAACGGTGGAAATATACTTTCGGGAAAGGCCAGGGCGGAGGGCAGGGGAAGCCACATCGGGCCACCTGATGAAAGTTGGGTTGGACAGTGGCGGAGAACGGGGGGCGCACGGGTAGATGATGTTGCCATGATCTAGATAGGTCGCATGCAATCAATGAATGAAAAAAGGGTCTATTACGGGTGAATATAGCAGCAGTACAATATTTGGCGAAATGTGATAGAGCCATCGTGATCTTGCCGTGACGCAGCGAACAATACAGTCAGAAGGCATATGGTTAGTAACGCTGGCAGATACAGCAGTACAATGCGTAACCAGCCCTGGTGCAAATTCTAGACTACATACCACAACAGTACGTATCGATACGAAAGCCTATGAGTTAGGCGTGCTTATGAGTGGCTTATGGAAGGCCTATATAATTTCCTGATCTTATACAAGGCTTAAATAATGCCTCTGGCTTTAGTACATGGTACGTATCGATATGGTACTGGATACGTTGTTGTTGATATGCGTAGCGGTATGGTTGTGCTTAATTGCTATGTATATCCTTCAACGATATGTATAGTGGTATGGTTGTGCATATTGATATGTGTATCCTTCAACGATATCATACATGCGTAGCGGTGTGGTTGATGTATATGATTGTGCGTATTGCTAAGCGTATCCTTCACCGATACGCATAGTGGTATGGATGTGCATGATGTCATGTATATCCTTCAACGATACGCATAGTGATATGGTTGCGCTTATTGCTATGTGTATCGCATCGTATATCCTTCAACGATACGTTGCGCTTCTTTGGCGATACTGTTTCTCCGTGATGTATAGTACACCTGCAAAACATAGTCAAAATTCTTCGTATCAGATTATCTCTGTCATAGCAGTACCATATTCCGGCCCGACACGCAGTAATTCAGGATATTGTAGTGCTAAGTTTTAACACACTTCGCGAAATCCGTACCACCTCCTAGCACACACCCACAATAAAGAGGTTGAACCCCCATAAAATTTAGAGAAGATGCAAATGAGTGTTTCTATTTGGTTACAGCTTTGTGGTGAGCAACTTATTCCAGCAGTTCCCGCTCTCATGGCTAGAATAACCCGCTCCATCCGTCAAGTCCTCGACAAGTAACATCATACAAAGACTCTAAGACTCATAAAATAACTTAAAGCAGTTGCGCTCTTCCTTCAAACAAAGTGGTAGATCACATTGACTACAGGCCCAACAGTTTTCGGTAAATTCTTGCTTGCACCTTCTCCGCGAGGTAGGTAGTCGACACTGTCATGTTCTGTCGCTTCGATCCGGTGGTTGATGGTTGTGGTATTGAAGCTGTTTTTCGGTCAGGTGTGATAAGAATTACTGAAGCCGAAACTCATTGGGGGAGAGCGCTGGGTCTCGTCGATGGCAGAGAAGATAACATACGCGTTGGTGATCATTGTCAAATGCCCAAAACCGCACGGGCCACGATGTTCGTAAGGAAGTTGCGTATCGTGGTAATTCCGTATCTGGTCGGCAATATGGACCCCACCCATACGATGATTGTAGTCACTGAAACAGAACTGCCAGTTTCTTAGGAACATCGTCAAATGCCTCTCTAGCCTTCCCCACAACTTTACTTTTCTTCACTGGTCGTTCATGGTCACGGTAACCCCAGAGCCTCAACATGTTGAAAGGTTCAATCGGATCATCGGCGGAATCGTATTACAGGCGGCGTGGGACGATGTCTTGGGTTCATTTGGTGAAACTCAAAGGTATCTAGCTCTTCTAGAGGCGACGAGGGAGCCAAATGTGGGCTTGTGGACGCGGACGGTTTTTCGGGTTATCGCCGGTATTTTGCCTTTCGGTGGTCTATTTTTCGCCAGATTTGAAGTTCGGTGGGTGGGGATCATCATCTGAGAAGGAGGGAGCATAATTTTGTGTGGTTGATGACGCGGGTTTCTGTCAGACATCTCGAGGTTTCATACTGTAGTAGCCTCAACCTCTCCCATTCCCCACCATCGGCTAATGCTATCAAACTTCAGGTGCGGTAGCCAACATGAAAAGCAGCCCTTTAACTCTCACTTCAGGGGTACAATCGATGTGGAGCGTTACATCTGTTGTAAGCGGTTTCTAGGCTGGTGAGGGGGGACGAGGAGCGGAGCTGTGGGACTCTCTTGTGGACCTTCTATCTGTACCAAGACCTTTACCATCATCAATCAATCGTTCGCCCGCCTAACATCAACGACTCATCCCCCAATCGTCCCATCAGGTACAGGCCGCTCATCGTTTCACTTTTTTGGATGGGGCAAAGTGGTTGCAGTCCCTAGAATAGCCCGCGAACTCAATTTCTACGATCCAGGGAATCATGGTACTGACAGCATCGAGTGTTGGTCACGACTGACAACGACAGCCCTTGAAAGGTAAATAATCCTTCAGATCAGTGTTTCCAATGCAGTATGTCTACTAGTTCTACAGATACTATCACGGACGGTTCACACATGGTCCCAACAATCATTTCATTCGTACCCCCAGTATCGCAGTCTCCCCATCCTCGCCTCCATCGCACTCTCCCCACCATTTTCATTTCAGACCAAGTCCCCGCCGCCCTACATCCTCGCTCCGAAGTGCCAATACTTTCCCCCTAGCTGACCCCTACCGGAGGACCTCAAGTCCTTCATCACCCTCTGGGTCCAGGTGATTGGCCGGCACAGGTGAATATTTTCCTTGATGATCGAGATCGCCTGGGGGCGGGCGTCGTTCAGGATGTCCAACCAATCGCTTCGGAAGGGATGGTAGTAGTAGAGTGGGCGCTCCACGAACTCGGACAAAAGCAACCGGATGTGCTCCGCGTCCTTCTCTGGCCAAGTCCCCAGCGGCGCCGCAAAGACCTTTCCACCGTCAGGGAATCGCTCGTCGAGGAATTCCTTGATGAGCCACGCGGCGTCTCCCCGAACTATGGACCTGGAAGTGTACTGGGCGAGCTTCTTCTTCCCCAATGGCGGCGGTCTTCTCTTCTGGCCGTAGAAAGCAGCAGAATACACAGCAACTCCGGGGGCGGGGGGCAGGGAAGATGCCACTGACGGCCACCTTTTACCGGTCTGGCTCTCCCAGCAGCGCTTGATGTCTGCAGCTCGGCAAAGCTGCGCGAGGGATGACAATGGCCAAGTGATGGCTGCCACTTTAGTAGCCGGCAGGAAGACTTTTCCCGAGGCGTCGAACAGAGCTATGCCTATGTCCTCAAAGCGAACGAATCGATCGCCGCTCGCTGGTGTACTAAGGGGAGCACGTAGTTCCAGCTTGACATTTTTCCCGTTGGGATCCTTCCAGTACAATGTGACGATTTTGGATCGGTTCATCTTGACCTTCTGGTTCTGCAGGTTCTCGACGAACTCGTGCGGCTCGTACTGCTCGAGGTCTTCCGCCTTCACTCTGTGGGGCCAGAAAGCTTGAAGTCGTACAACGTTCAAGGCTTCGTCCGGGTTGGAGGTGTCCAGGTTCCTCAACATCGCTCCCTGCTCCAACTTGTCCATCAAAACCTTCATCTCCTCTCGGTTCAGGTTCTCTCCAGGTAGCAGGGTTAACAGTTCCGGTTTCTCCTCGGTCGCTTTCTCGAAGTACTTAGTTGCCAAGAAGGACGAGAAGTAGGACCTTCCTTCCTCGATGGAGTTGGCCCAGTTCAACCACTTTTCCTTATCGGCGTCTGAATCGCTGAAGCCTATACGCAGGTCTGGATAGCCCAATCTCCACAATTGGAGGGTTTGTTCACGGCGGGGCTCGGACTTGGGAAGACCTTCGGCGAATCCGTATCTGGAAATTCGTCTCTCTGCTCCGTCGGAGAGAGCCTGACGTTTGGTCTCCGAGGCGTCATCTCTGCGGACATTCCCTTTCCAATCGTTTCGGAGTGCTGCTTTGACATGGTCTAGCTCGGCTTGAAGCTGCACCATCGGGTCACTCCGTGTGGCGGCCTCCAATATCTGGCGACAGATTGTCTCCCTGTTAACATGAAGGTGTGTTGCGCCGGTCTCGGAGGCGCCCTGTAGTAGGCCCGCTGAAAGCTCTCCCATAGCGATGGCGAGCATCCAGGTCAAAACGAGCACTCGACGGAGGGATTCTGGCTGGTTGTAGTATTTATCTCTCCCGGGATGGATGTGGGGGATGAGTATGAACGCACTCTCCGGATCTGGATGTGCGTCCTTGTCGACACTAAGGAGCCAAGTGGTATCGCGATACTGCAAGGTGGGGACGCCAACGTACTTCAAGAAGGAATCCTTCTGCCTCATCCCGTACTGATGGAGGAAGTTGGCTTTCATCACCGAGCAAACGGTGTACCCCATCCCGATGGCAATGAGCGGGCGAGCAGCCGCAAAGTATTGTCGCAAGTATCCAATCATGTCGAGCACTTTGCCCTGTCCTATCCAAGGAAACAGATTCACCAATGGGAACATGCCCGAGTGAAAAGGTATGGGCGAAAGGATTCTGAAACCGTTCTCGATCGTGTGCAACTGAGATAGAATATATGTCGTCAGTGCTGCTGTGCGTGACCGCTCGGGCCCGTGAGGCGAAAAGAAGGGGCAACAGCGAGTAAAGTCATCGTGAGTGATGTCCTTGCCCACCAAGGCAAACAGTACGTGCTCAGCAAAGAATATTGGTGTTGCCTGTGCGATGTTCACCGTCAACCAATCGTCCGGCAGAGGGATCCGGTCGGTCTTGGTTGCTTCGGGGTTCTCAGTGGCGAACCTGTACAAAGCTTCCGCCCACCGCTTGATAGCCGCATCGACATAAGGGTCATTGCGCACACTTCCAAAGCGGACAACTCTCTGAAAGAGTGAGGTATGTAAAGTAGTGAACCTCTGTGCGTCCACATCCAAGATCTTGTAGGAATGGTAATACCCTCCGATCTGCCGATTTAGAGTGTATGGCCCCCCAAGAAGAGCAACCAGCACACGCTCCCTCGTATTGCTGAAGGGTTGTTCTCCGGGAAGGATATGGCCACCGATGTTTGCATCCGAAAACTCGTATACTTTCCAGCAGCCCGGTGGTATGAGCACCTCCGGGAACCGGGTAGCTAGAGCATTGCAGAACGCAGACAACATGCCGTACCTACGGTCCTGCAAGTCTTTCAAGGAGCGACTGTATCCGGTAAAGCCCTTGACAGTCATCCCGACATAACGAATGGAGACACTGTCTGTATCCGCCACACTTGCCGTGTTGAGATAGTCGACCCACAGATCTCCTTCCTCGAAGAACAAGAAGTCGTCTTTCCAGTCTTCCACGATTTGACGGAGTTGTCCGGCGGTGATGGTGCAGCTGCGCACGTAGAAAGGCCTCTCTATGTCGACAGCAGGAATACTCGACTTTGAAAGTACCCTCAATGTGAACATGCGGGCCAGCTCTTCGTCTTGGATGCTTATCGGATGAGCAAGGAGCTTGAGCAAAAGCCCCTTCATGTCAGGATCATCAGCAATGCCGTCGGTGATGTGGTGGTGAAGTTTCTCATTGATCGCCGACAGGATTGCTCCTTGTTTGGCCATCCTCTCCCTTATCGTTGACCAGCAGGCACTCTTAATCGAGGCCAGAGAAGACTGCTGTGTGAGTCCCAAGGTCTTGTTCCCCGTTGCGGCACGCTTTCCGGGACGAGGCAGCGGACTTGATGGCACACCCTTCTCGGTGTGGGCACGCTTTGACATGGTGGTCCGTGTTGGTGGTCAGAAATCAACTCGGGTAACCACCGCACCCGGAGGCTCGGAAATGTATAGAAAATCGGATTAAAACCTACTAGGATTAGGGCCCTGTTCGGCTCGCACCGTACTTCTAAACCGACGTCAGTTTGGTAGAAAACTACTCGGCAGAGACAGGGTCTGCGGAAGTGTTGGGCGGATTGCGTTGGTCGTTCTGCTAGTGGAGGTGAGATTGGTCGTGAAGTTCGTGGGTATAGCTGTTGGGCGGATTGCGTTGGTCGTTCTGCTAGCGGAAATCTTGCCCTCAACCCCCAGAACTCATACAATATGATGCAGTCGCTCTAGAAACTGCTTTGACGCAGCGGAAACCCAAAAACCATACGCGATCACTCGGTTTTGGACGCGAATGTCGACATAAGATGAGGCTGGTTTTTGTCCGGCGGTCTAGGCTATCGAAACTACGGTGGAAGAGAGAGGCTGTATATCAGGCCACCTCGCGTAGCAGTACTGAAGGCTATGGAACTCTCAGAGGCAAATAAAGGAAAAATGAAAATGGCGACTTCTCAGGTGTTGTGATATCTCACTCGATATCCACCTTGTCATCGTGGAAAGGCGCGGGCCTTCGCCACTTTTCTATACTCGAGGCTACAGCCTCCCTTCTTTACTATAGACACAATACTAGTGCACACACAGTAATTCATCATTTCAGTGGCTATTCACAACGAGGCTTTGAATTCCGAGCATAATCCGGATTCCGGACACCTGAACACCTAGACCGCTTCCACGCCTTCCCACGACCAGCAGTTATCGCGGTAGCGTCCGCAAAGCGACATCGCAGTATCATAAAGGGCCACCGGTAAAACCCGAGCTTCCAGGGCTTATTTCACAACGTCAGTGGGGTGTGATTTCCGTGTGCTCAGGTTTAACGAGTGATATCTCGTGCGGCAGTACATATCCATCGGTGCGATGTCTTTTGGAGAGTTTGTGGCCGTCAAGGGCTTGATATACCACGTCTTTGCTACCCGAGGTGGGAATTATGTAGATGGCGATTGCGGAACGGCGGTTTGTAGATACGCCTGTCGAAGGTTGAATCGGCGAACGAACGATACGCCGTGTTTTGCGGCGAGGACGGTAGGTTATGCACTGCAGCAACGACGGTGTGCTATCTGTGGCGAGGTAGGCCTGATACCTACTGTAGGACGACAAAGCAGGACGATTAGTACTGGCTGCGGGAAGAGCACAGGCCATCTATAAGGAGACACGATATCCACGGTAAGGCAAGCACGGTGGATTGTGCGAAAATGCCATTGGAATTGAGAGAAGAACATGACTTGACTGCTATATTTGATACGAGAAAGAAGAGAAAGGAGACTGCTCATAAACGGAAACGAGCTCGTGCAGACGACGAGGAAGCCGGGCCTCAAAGAGGATGCGCCGGACTGGGCTGGGGGTTTAAAGGCTTTTTAGCTAAAGAGGCTGACTCTGGCAGCCATGAAGGAAATGAGGGCAGTATGCAAAGGACAGTGGAGTAGCAGTGACACCGGAACAGGCAATAAGACGCATAATATCAACAGATATGGTAACGGCAACACGAGTGATATCCAAGATCTCGAACCCGAAAACAACGATCGTGATGAACCAGACCCAACAGAGAGGTATCAGTGTAGCATTAGTCATTTTTACATGCAAGCGACCTCTTCTCTAACGTACAGATCATAACGAGTGAACCGATCCAATCCAATGCCCATCACCATATCTAAGATCTAGCACATAACATAGCATAAATCCATAAACGAAACGTGCATCCACCCATCTAATCGTCGGGAAACTCGACCTTGACATTACTCACGAACCGTCCCTCGGTAGGATCGAATCTCTTGAAGTATTTCCCGGCCAGCATAATCAGGGCATCGACATTCTTGGGGCGGATTGGCTGGATGTTTTCCTCAGCGATGTAGCGGACCGTGCCGTCGTCGACTCTGTTCGCGGACTGTCAGTCCTGCGCGCTGGAGGGAGAGATGGAACGTACAACACGTGGTAGAACGGCTGGTTCCGTCCCCGAGGAGTGTTCTCCACGTTCACCCTCTCGCTGATCCATTCCTCGCCCTCACCCTCGATCGAGCGGCACTCGTTCGTCCAGCCGAAGATGGCGCCGATGAAATCGTATCGTCGGTGTTTGAACACGGTGCCGACACGGTGCTACACGTCGGAAGTTAATGGGTGACGCACGAGTTGAGTATATAGACGGCTATTACCAAGACACTCCTGTTCTCGGGGTTATCCCTCCGCGAAACCGGCGGCAGTGTATCGGCGCGGAGAGCACCGCAGACATTTTCCAGAAACTGCCGTCCGGAAACGTCGACCCTGGGCAGCAGCTCCTCTTCGAGGAAGCGCACGTCCATTGGAAAGTCCGCCGGGATCTGCCGCGTCATGTGTTCGACGACCTGCATGGACGGCCTGGCAACGCTGAGCACCACCATCGCCGTCAGAGCGGCGTACAGCGCCGAGTGCTCGCATATATTCGGGTATCCCCGGTTCACCTCCAAGAGCTCCATCGGCTGTAGCTGTAGCGTACTGATCAGGTTCTGTGCGGCGCGGATGACCATGGCGGAGACGCTGGCGGGCGCCAACACCTTGAGCTGGTCGGGTGTGAGACCTTCCAACAGGTTGGCTCTGTCAGCACGCGGGTCCTTGTCCGGTCCGCGGAAGACGTCGTAGTACTGGTACCGCCCCGTTGTTGGGTCTTCGACGATTGCGAGCACGTGGCCCGGGTATGCACATGGATGTGCGGTGATGCCGACTCGGCGCGCGATCGCGCAGAAGATCGCGACGAGGGTTAGTGGGATTGCGGTGCGGATCGTGCGGATTGTCAACCCGATGAAGACGTTCTTGAGGGCGCGGTATCGCACCATCTGGGCGCCATTGAAGCCACTGAAGCCTTGGCTCCACATCCACTTGATCAGTGTCACCGCCTTCTCCTCCGTCTCGACGAAACTCGAGAACTTTGGAGTCGCGGCGAGGAAGGCTGCGGCGAGGCCATCGATGTCCGCCACGTATTCGTCGACGTCGGGCTCGGGCGTCGTCGTGATGAAGAGGTCGAGTGCTAGCAGTGCCACCTCGAGCGGTACGTCATCAACCCGACGGACGCGGTCCCAGATCGCCAGTGCGCGCCGACGGTGAATGTACCGGATCGCAGCCGTGGCATGGTACCTCCGCGCCAACGGGTCGTCGACCTCGTCGTCCGACACGTCCGCGTGCACTTTCAAACAGTCTTTCGCATCATACCCAAAGTCGACGATGTGATTGAAGTTGATGATGTGGTTCGCCGGGTTCGCGATTATCTGGTCGAGCAGGTGTGTAGTGGCGAGTCCCACTCGGAACCGGTACAGAAACAGACCGCGCCAGTCGACGTCGGTGATGCGGGGAAGCCGCTTCTTCTCCTCGATCTTGTGGCGCTCCTCCCACCATCGCAGGCGGATGCAACGCTGACGCATCTCGAGCGGCGAGCTACATATCCGATTGAGCTTCCTGCAGACCTGCGAGACGTTGACCAGGCAGCTGTCGGATACGAGCGAAACGATGGCGGTAAGGACTTCCTCGGGAAGCGACAGTATGGCATCACGGATAGTCATGAGGTGGAGAGAAGACCGATGTCTGCATAATATTAATGAGTATTTGAGTGACTGGTATGCAGGCCAGGCGGCGGTGAAGTACGAGTAGTGGTTTTGTTTTGAGCTGAAGCGGGGTCTCTTGGTGGCGGGGATGCGATAGGATGATATGGAGGAGCAGTAGTAGAGTGCTAGAGAGCTAAGTGGCGATGATCATCACCACGCAAGTTGCGACATCTTTAAGGATGATGCGCGTTTTGTGATTATGAAGCGGATTCTTCGGAGAGGATGCCAGGAAAACATTAGCAATTTTCCTCATTGGGGAGAGATTAAAAAGCACGAATCATTGTGGAGTGCCGGTGATCACATGTTCACCGACTCGTGGCGCGGCCGCTGTTCAGCCTCACTCGCTTAGAACCGTCGCCGTCAAGGACTCAAGCTCCCACAACGCGCTGCGGTAGACTACAACACCACTGCAGCACAACACGGCAACACGACAATCGCTCCGTACACCAGCACAAGAATCCGACATGCCTCCAAAACGGACGAGGAAGCTTGAGATTTTCGCCGACAGTGTTGCGCCCACGAGATCCTCGCCGAGAAACAAGCGAAAGCAGCCCGACTCCGATGCCACCGTCGCTGCCGAAACTGGATCCGGACCGACGCCAAAGAGACCCGCCCTCGGTGCGAAGACTGCCAATTCGCGGGACACAAAACGTCGTCGGGAGGCCGATACCAAGGTCGATGCCAAGGTCGGAGCCGTCAAGCACGAAACGGCAGAGTCGTTGCCGTTGCCAGCGTCTCAATTAGCACCGTCATCGCCCCACAATACGGTGTCCCAGAAGGCTACATCCCCCGTTCCAGTCTCGAAGGCTGCCCACAAGCAAGGCTCCGAGATTCGCAAGCATCTGGAAGGCCACTCCTCCGACATTGAGCATCTGAAATCTCTCATCGACGAGGATGAGATTCAGGAAGCTTCCGACTTTGTCTCCCTCAAAAGTTGCATCCCACTTGCATGAAATTCGAGAAAGATAGCTGACTTGCTAGGGCTTTGGACACCCGCGCTGCTCACCACCTTCGCCGACACCCGGATCGCCAAGCTGGACCTCAGCTCCCCCGCCAGCGACGGCAGCTTCTCGATCCCCGCCTTCCCGTCCACGCAGCTCCTCGCTCCGCTATTCAGCCCGAACCGTTTCCTGAAGCTCAGCACCATCATACTCCGCAACACAACCGTGTCGTCCGATGACATCGCACTGCTCCGCGTGCTCCCCTCGCTCGCCGTCCTCGACCTCACCGGCACCGGAATCTCGAACCTAGCTCTCCACTACATAGTCTGCCACCGGCACACACTGACCTCGCTCAACATCTCGAACAACCCGTCGATCAACGACGAGGCGCGGCTAACGATCCGCCCCTTGCACCGTCTCAAGAGCCTCTACCTCCGGGGCACCAACCTATCGCTACCCGCGCTGCGGCGTCTCGCGCTGGACGATCTCGCGCCGGGCTGCAGATTGCTCAGCATCCCTGCGCACGCCATCACCACGATCAACAACCTGCACGAAAAGTACTGTGTCGAGATCCCGGCGGGCTACATCGAGGATCCGGACAAGGTCGATGCGATGAGCCTGCTGGTGCTCAAGCGCAACCTCGAGCTCCACGCGAAGTGTAACAAGGACGTGCAGGTCACTGGTACGAAGGTAGAGCTGGTGCATCGTCTGAAAACCCTCCTGGAGAATCGCAAGGCGGATCAGAAGATCATTGCGATTCTGGGGAGGGGCGAGGCTTGATGGGGTTTTCTTGCGTGCTGGCGACAACTTGACATACATTTTAGTGGCGTTTGTGCTTTCTTGTCGTTTCTTCTCTTCTCTTCTCTGGCATTTACATGAGCTGGCGTTCCTGATCGCCTTTTTTTCGGCAGTTCTTTTTCTTTCATTTTCATTGTTGTGCTTGTAGATTGCACTGGGACATCGCATGGCTGTTTGGCGTTAGTTGGTTGGTTGGATGGGTTGGACGGAAGAATCGTCGATTGATGGTTGATGTCGAGGACGATGACGAGCGTTGGTTGTTTGATTGTTTGCTGGTTACTGTTTCGTCGCAGTTGCGGCACTTGCTTTACGTAGCTCTAGCTCTAGTGATAGCGACACATAGCATGATCTGTCTGGAAGACAGTGCCTTACAATACAATACCCATTAGTTGGAGGACACCACATTCACGTGAAATCACTTGAAGTCGTGTTTTCGTCTGTCGGTGAAACATCCTCCTCGTCCCCGAGACATTGTAGCCACAGCCTAAATGGGCCATATGTGACAGTGAATTGACGGTGAATTGACAGTGAATTGACAGTGAATTGACAGTGAATTGACAGTGAAGTGATGTGTGTGTGTGTGTGTGTGTGTGTGTGTGTGTGTGTGTGTGTGTGTGTGTGTGTCGCCCCGAGACATCGTGGGGCCGAGACGCGTATCGTTCATGGCTATGGAGGGGTTTATGTACGGGTTTATGTATTCAGGTACTCGAGGAGGTGGCCATATGTAAGCCGTGGACTCTGGACTCTGGACTTTGGACTCGGACTCTGGACTTTGGACTCGGACTCTGGAGTGTCTCTCGCTGAGTCTCTGACGCGCACCACGACTCTACATGAGTACACACTAGGCAACTGTGCACTGTGGAGTATTTGTGTACCTTATGTCCCTACATACACAGCCGAATAACAGCTGCGCGCCGGGAAGTGGAGGGGGGGCGTTGTCGTCTGTACTCGACGGGAAGCCGTTACTGGCAACTGGGCAGGAAGCAGTAGGTATGGTGAGGACATGTGTTTACATAGAGGATGCAGCGAGGCTCGGCTGCAGAAGATGCAGCGAGGCCAGGAGGCTGCAGAAGATGCAGCGAGGCCGGGAGGCTGCAGAAGATGCAGCGAGGCCAGGAGCGTTTGCAGCTGCTTCGGAACCTTAGATATTGCGCATGTGTGCAGTGTGTAGTGTGCAGTGTGCAGTCGGCAGTCGGCAGGTCCGACTCGAGATGGGGGATGGGGATGGGTGCGCAGCATGGCAAAAAACTTACCCAGGCAGATACCACACGGCCAGACGGTAGACCAGACGTGACGTGACGTAGAGTAAAGGGCTTCCCTTCAGAATCCCTTCCCTTCCCGCACATCATAGAGTAGTGTACTCTACCTACACCATTGCCACAGTCGCACCCATTCCAGCCAGCACCACCAGTTTCGTCACGACAGCTCCCAAAACGCGACCAACCACCATCACAGGCACACACCGTACCCAAGCGGTCATCGCTGCACGCAACAATCCACGGATGGAAATGGGCAACGTTCGAAGGACGCGGGTAGTTAGTCGGTGCGGGGGGGTGGGTTGGATGGGTGGGTGGGGGGAAGCATAGTAGGGGCTTAGCGATCCCCATGTGGCCCCCTTGCGCGTGCTCTGGCTGGCCCAGGGCCCTGCAGTGATAAGGGGCATAAGTTATCTGCGAACACAAAAGCTGGACATGATGATACCGACATCATCGCTGCGACGCTGCCCCTGACTAGAGTAACGGGGTGAGATGCAGGTACAAGTACCACGCATACTGCTAGGGTGCGTTTTTCTTTTCCTTTCTGTTCGAGAAGACGGATTGTGCATCAGATCGTGGCTGTGCAAATGGATGAGTGGGGGGGCCTATCATCGTATAGTACCGACATATGTACGGTACCTGGGGCCTAGGTCCGTCAATAATGCGGGTGTGCAAGTGATGATGATGATGATGCTGCAAAGTGCGAAGCGCGGCGGGCGGACGGATGGACGGACAGAAGGCTGCCCAGACAGTCACGCGGAGGCTGAATGGCGCCGGCCTCAGCAGGAATCTTCGGAGACGAAACACGGGATGGAAGGGATCGGGAAGGGACCGGTTGGGCTGGGCTGGGCTGGCTGGGCTGGCTGGGCTGGCTGGGCTGGCTGGGCTGGCTGGGCTGGCTGGGCTGGCTGGGCTGGCTGGGCTGGCTGGGCTGGCTGGGCTGGCTGGACTGGGCTGAACGAGCGACGCCAGGTCCAAAGAAGTCGCGGGAAGAGGGGCAGAAGCCGGAAAAAAAAGAAGGAGAACGTGCGGACGTTTGTCAGGATGTTGGAACCAAGGCTTATGCATCATAGGGCCCGATGTTTGTTCAGCGGCCACGAGACGTCGATTATGGATTTTGCTTTTGCTTTTGGCTGTTTCTGGCTGTTGGACTTAGCAGCAGAAGCAAGCGGCATTTTGTCAACTCGAAGTCTCCATTCCGATGAGTGCCCCCCCCTTCCCTTCCTTCCTTCTTTCCTTCCTTCTCTCCCCGCCCTCCGCTGCCGCCATTGCGCTCTTCTCTCTCCCCTTTCCGTTCGTTTGCAGTCTGACAGCAAGAATCCCCCTCCCCTTTCACGGCGAACAGCGTGCTCCTAATTTCAACTTCTCTCACTCCCTCGTTTTCGTTCTTTATTACATATCTCGGCCTGCCTCCCACCTGCCATTCTCTCGGCCACTGCCATCCCACACTCCTTCCTTCTCTTCACAGCGCCTGCAAAAAAGAAAAAAAGAAAAAAACACTCGTTCTTCGTTCCGCGCTCCCTTGCTCTTTTGGCGAATAGATAAGTTCCTGTCGATAACGAAACGAAATCAAACAAACGTCAACGTCAACGAGAATCCAATTTCCTCCAACGGCTGCCCCCACCACCCAACCCGATACGCGCCGCCCATACACATATTAATTCCCGCTACTACACCCGCTGCACCCACCACACCACACAGGAAGAACATGCCCTCAGCCATGGAAGCCCCATCAACACGTCTCCACGTGGACGAGATAATCCTCGACTACCTCCTGTGGTACTGCACGTCATCGCTGCTGTCTGCCCGTAGCCTGCGCACCGGAAACAAGAGCGAGTATGCCGAGACCACGCGCAACGGCGATACGGCCATCAAGTTGGTGAACAGTACGTGCCCCCCCTCACGCGCCTGTGGTGATGAGGCTGATTGGCAATTTCAAGGCTTCTACCAGTCGTTTAAACGTTCGCATCCGAATAGTCCCCTGCCGGAACCCATCGTACTGCGCCTCAGGATATGTCGATTTGCGGTGACCATGTTGCGACGGGTGGATGTTACTACGCTTGACCTCGCGCATGACGTCGATGTCGGTCGGCGACGCAGCGAAGGTTGGTTGCGGCGCGAGGGCCGGGGCAACGCTTCCGTTCTCACCGAAGCTGAGACGGCAGTATTTTCGCCGCCGGCAACCCCGTTCTCGCCGGAGCTACTCAAGAGGAACGTCGCCGCGCTGCGAGAGCACCTCGGCTTGACCTCCGAGCCCTCGCTGTTTGGCACCGCTACGCTGAGAGATGCGCTGTGGGACTTCCTGGTGATGACGGCACACATCAGTGCGCGCGACGGTGAGGTGAGGTGGCCGTGGATGGCCAACACGGTAGATTTCATGCTGCAAGCGGTGCTGGAGCAGTACCGGTGCCACGGAAGCACCGGGGTTGGCGCGCTGAACGAGTGCTTTGCCGTCGGGCTCACGAGCATGGGGGCGGACATGGACGAAGCCACCGATGACGAGATCATGATCAACGAGATGTTTGCGGGCGATAATGGTGCGGTGGGGCATATGTTTGGCGAGCTGCGCACCAAGGGACTATCGGAGGTTTTTTTCTTTGCGCCCCGCTCCGCACGCACTGTGGATCGTGTACTGACGTTGACTGTCAGCTCCTTCCTCCGCCGGAACGAACGCTCGAGGCCCACTTCGAAGGCCTCGCGATGGAATATCCATGGCCAGACTTCGAGGATAGAATCGTCAACTGTCTCATCCCCGCCTCGAAGAGCCAGGCCCGGCCGGTCCTGGCCCAGCTCGAGCAGGGCCGGCTAGAGGGCTTCGATCCCCGCGACGTGCAGACCGTCCTCGCCAGCGCGGGTGTGTCCGGCGCAGTCTGGCGGTAATGCCAGACCCACAATACTGCACGCGTCTCATGACTTATATTATATTATATCCTAATCATCTATTCTTAATGTTTATTGAACCTCACCCACATTTAGCTACATCTTCTATCTGCCTATCCGCCTATCGGTGGTAGCTATGCATCTGTATCTGCATCTTATCTGTATCTGTATCATCTCGTATCTTGTATTTATATTATAGCATGTGGACACTAGGCACTGGGCACTAGGGGACTAGGACTGCATTGGCGCTGTGGGGATATTGCACTGTTTTTTGGATTCGATCTTTGGGGGTTGGTGTTGCAACTTGTTGTTGCTGGGCAGCACGGTAATGTCGAAGAGGAGGAATCCTCCTTGCACTTATCATGACAACTAAACTTTAAAGTATGGCGGTTGGTTCTAATATCTTATCTATCACACTTTTTTTTCCAAAGGCAGGCGGTGACGAGTGATGTTGCGGCAGGCGCGCTTATCGCGGTAGTTGGCGACGAGGTGGTGTGCTTGGGAGTGCTTGTGTTGGCGGGAGTGCTTCCACTCGACAACTTGTTGCACTTCAACTCCCTCTTTCACGAAGAGGGCACGAAGGGCGGACGAAGAGCTACATGTTACCTAGAATTCTCACCGACCAAGTTTGGCACTGTGCCGGGAAGGAGTGGACTCAATGTGTAACAGTACTAGTGATTCAGCCTTCAGCCTTCGGGCGTGGAAGTTGGGGGTGAACCTTCTTCAGCTTGAGACTTGAGGCAACGCTTCCACGCTTCGGCAACTTCAACAACTTCAATAACCTCCACTCCCATAGCAAAATAGCAATCGCCCAGCGGTTTATCTGCGTATTCGTTCCATAAAAAAAACCAAACGCTCGTATTCGTATTCGTACATACCTAGACGGTAACTAGAGTATAGGCTCATACATAGCAGACGGAATATCCGGAGCCCAGACAGTCCCTCCCGCGCCACGGAAGTGGCTTCGCTATACCTACTGTAGAGTAAGTGCTCTAATCTAGGTGCTTAAAGAGTGACAGACCGTTGCGTGAGTGAGTGAGTGCGAACCCGCCCATGTATGTAAGAAATTCGAACTCAAGCTGCGACTTTACCCTGAGGGCGGGGGGGGGGAGGGTGGGGGGAGGGTGGGGGGGGGGGGGTTAAGTTAATAATCCGCCACACCCAGCCACGCGTCTCACGGCTGCCAAACGCCATGCGAGCACACTGGTAATGTGGGGTAAAGTTGACGTCCTGATCCATCCATGGACCATGGACCATGGTACTCTGGCATGGATGATTGAGTGATCGATCTAGAGTAGTTCTGTAGCCTGTAGGCACCTACTCCGCATAGGTACTTGGGTATGTCGTGACGGCCGAATACCGCACCCCATGCATGCATGCTATGCATCAACCTTGATTCCCCAGGCCTAAATACCAACACCAATATCAATATCAACACCAATATCAATATTCCCATCCTACACCACACGGAACATACCATACCATACCATACCATAGCATTTTCCAACGGTCCGAAAATTCCGAACCCTGCTCCCCCCCCAGCCCGTCAACCCACCAGCCCACCACCCAGACGGACTTTCTCAGCCGAGACGGCACCGAAAGCTTGATCTCCCCGCCGGGTATGTACCTGCACCGAGATGATCTGTGTAGGACCCTGGACCCTGGCTCGGAGATAGTAGATGGACAGTAGACAGTGGATGGACAGTGGATGGACGGTATACCCCACCCCACACCACCGCTCGTGCTCGTTCGCGTTCAGCCAAAGTATAGCTGCAGCCTGCGTATGGGCCGTTTTTTGTCTGTTTTGGCCTACGGTAGGTACTAGGTACGTTGCTCGCGAGTCGTGCCGGAGTAAGTGCCTACCTGCCCACCCACTGCCTACAGACATGACGGATAGACACGACGGATATACATGGCGGATAGATTACAATTACAATTCCTCACTAACTAACCAAGAGCACTATCGCCGGACGTATGGGACTTTGTGAACGCCGGATCCGTCCCGTCTTCGCAGTCCTGACGGGATGGGTTGGGATGGGTTGGGTACATTCCTGGTACATAGCGCTGTTTATAACCCTCGCTGTCCCGCCAGTACTCAGTGTATCCCCAGGTACAGACTTAGGTACCTACATCTGCCTCCCACTCCACCGCCGATACCTACCAATGTACCCCTCCCCGAGCAAAACCTTCCTCGCCGCTGTTGCGGTGGCATTGACGCTTTCGAGCGCCGTCGAGGCTGTGCCTGCTTCTGCCAGCAGCAGCGGCAAGCCAGTGTATCCCGGTGCAAAGGGGCTGAAGTACTTTTTCTCATTGTAGGTTTTTCCCCTTCCCGCTGCCTGGAGGATGGAGGATGGAGGATGGAGAATGGAGAATGGAGCTGCGGCCTGGGGGAGAAGATGGGCTAATGAAATGACCACAGTGGTGATTCGTACACCCAGACCGGATTCAACCTTACCGATGGATCGCCCATGCCCAGCTCTGGAAACCCCCTGGGAAATCCGGTGTATCCGGGCTGGACTTCTGCGAAGTAAGTTGGTGCTGGGTGCTGAAGAGTGTTGTTGGTGGGTTATGGGTGGTGGTGATAGTAGCTAACAGCACCCACCCAGCGGCCCCAACTGGATCGACTACCTGACCGTCGAATTCAACAAGACGGAGACATTGACCTACAACATGGCATACGGCGGAGCGACAATCGACGCGGCGCTGGTGGCCCCATATAGGCCCGAAGTATTCTCGCTCAAGGACCAAGTGCAAACGTTCTTCCCGCTCGCCTCCGGCCATGCCGCGAACTGGAAGGCCTCCAACTCCCTGTTTCTGGTCTGGATCGGTATCAACGATATCGGCGGTAGCTACTGGGCTCATCCCGACGATGTCGATGGGTTCCAGTCGGGATTGATGGATGTGTATTTTGGGTTGGTTGATGAGGTACGTTTTTTCCGGCTGGGCGTGGTGTGAGGAAGGTTGTATGCTGACAGAACGCTCCCCACCAGCTATACTCAGCCGGCGCACGGAACTTCCTCTTCCTCGACGTCCCCCCGATCCAGCGGGCGCCTTTGACGGTGGAGTCAAGCGCGGAAGCCGTCGCTCTCGAGACACGAGCCGTAAACTCCTACAACGCCCTCCTCAGCTCACGCGTCAGCGCGCTCAAGAAGGCGCACACCGATGTGTGGAGCAAGATCGTGTCGACCACCAAGGTGTTCAACAACATCATGGATCGACCGGCGAAATACGGCTTTGAAAACGCTACGGGCTGGTGCGAGGAGTACTCTAATGGCACGCCCGAGTGGGATACACAGTACTCTGAGTGTGGACCGGCTGTCGATAAGTATGTTTGGCTCAATAATTTGCATCCCACCCATCTCGTGCATAAGGAGGTTGCGAAGGCGGCGGCGAAGGTGTTGTAGAGTGGTGGGGGGATTTTGGGGGAGGCTGCAGGAGTATTGTATGAGGTAGTCTAGTAGTTACCTAGCATTGACTGAATACCACGAGAACAACATGTTATGTCCGAGAAGCAAAACAAAAAAAGCCGATCATTTTACTCAGTCCCTGAAACTCAGCCCAACCATCCCATCCCCAGTGCTCAGACCGAATGAGAGAGAGAGATCAGTCTATCTAGACTATGGCGGACCGTATCTCAGACCTAATGTGTACTACTACCTAGTATACACCCTCGTCACAAGCTCGCATTCGCCACGCACAAGTCCTCACTCGCCCTGCACCCACCCGCCCACTCGAGCTCACGAAAAATCCAAAAAATCCAAAAAATCCAGAGTACAGCCTACGAAGTACTAGGAGCTACATTTTCCATTTGCTATTAGCCATTGGCTACTGCAGCTGCAACCTCCCAGAGTCCAGCTGCAACTGCAACTGCGATGTCTTGGGCGAGAAGCACAATGCACAAAGCATTATGCGATGACATCATCGGCCCTGGGGACGGAGTGCGCACAACGCTCAGCTCTCATACTCCACCCCACCCACTCTACAGTTCACAGCTATAAAGCCGAGAGCTGAGAGCTGAGAGCGCGGAGAAAGGGCCCGTCCCTATCACCCCCCCCCTCCCCCCCCCCCACGAATCGTCAGATCCGATTCCGCGTACACACGTCAATCGCAACTCAATTCACGCATACCTATTTTACGCTCACACATAGTGCACACACACACACTCTCTCTCTCTCACACACACACACTACATACATCCCGCAACAGCAGCAGCAATAGCAACAGCAGCAATAACAATGGTCACCACCCGCCGCGGCCACAACACCTCGCGCGAGCCGGAGCCGGAGGGTGCATCCCCCGCGAAAGCCGCTGGCAAGAAACATGCAGCTCTCGAGCACTCGGCTGGTGGTGACGGTGAGCCAGAGCCGGAGAGTGCTTCCTCAAAGAAAGCCTCCTCCTCCTCGGCAGCTAGAAAGAAACATAAAGCTCCTGAGCAGGAGGCTGGTGAAGGTGGTGAAGGTGAAGGTAAAGGTGAAGGTGAGCCGGAAAAGAAGAAGGTCAAGGCTACTGCTGCTGCTGCGACTTCTACTACTTCGAAGCAGGTACTGGATGTGAAGACTGGGGGGTCCGGGAAAAAAGCTACTGTTGAGGAGGTTGAGGATTCGGATGGCGGGAAGAGGAAGGTGGATCAGGGGGGGAAGGCGGGTGAAGTGAAGACGGAAGGGAAGAAGCAGGAGGGCGAGGAGAGGGAGGAGAATAAGAAGAAGGAGGAGAATAACGATACTGAGATGGTAGACGCCCCGTCGAAATCCGGCATCACCGTCTCGTCCACGCGCGAGCAAAAAGTCTCAGACTCTCCCATCCTCGAGAAAGGAGTGGTATACTTCTTCCTTCGGGGCAAGGTGAACATCGAGCACCCGTCGTCGATGGACGACGTCAAAAGATCGTACATGATCCTGCGTCCGCTGCCGCAGGGCGCAAAGCTTGTCGACGGCAAGCTCGAGGACGCCGGCGAGAATAGGCTCATCGCTATTCCCAAGAAACGCCTGCCGAAGAGGGGCTATGAGAAGTTTCTGACTTTCGTCGAGGAGCCGAATGCGAGCCTGGAAGACCTGAGGGGGTACCTTAAGGGTAGGACGTATCAGACCAAGACGGTTGGGTAGGTGGAGCTCCGTTCGTTCTTTGCCTGGATCACGACGCTAAAGTTAAGGTACTCTAGGGAGAGGACGGATTATCCGGCGCAGCCAATCGGCGAGGGTGTCTACGCCATCACCAAGTCCGACAACGAGCGCCAATCCCACTTCGTGTACATGCTCACGATCCCAGAGAAGCCGAACGAGCTGCAGGAGGACTTTGGTCTCAAGGAGCAGGGAAGCTTCGTCATCTCCGTCCGGAACCCGCAGACTCCGTCGCCGCCCAATGCTGCGCTCCCGGATCCGGCTGAGTATCCCAAAGAGTGAGCTCAGAGCATGACTATCTTACCACATATCGGACAGTGACTGACCGAGGGTTGGATCTGTAGGGTCATCGAGGAGTTCAAAGGTCTGCGGTGGGGCTCTGTCCAGCCCAAGCATTTCGTCAAGAACGCCGAATTCCTATTCATTGGGGAAAACAAGTTCCCCGAAGACGGGGACCACGAGGGCACGGCGGATGAAGTGGGCCAGTTGGAGGAAGAGGACGAGAAACGAATCTTGCATCTGAAAGGTATGGAGGTTACATACGCGTGCTGGCTATTCAAACCCTGCGATGTTCTATTTATGCTGATGTGGATCCGATCGACAGGCAACGAGAGTGTCTTTGCGGATCTCGAGCTGGACCGCAAGGAGTTCATGGGGATCCAAACAACATGGGGAAAGAACGATGACGAAGTGTAGACTACCTAGCTGAGCGTACCCTCTGAGGAGTCATTCTGTAGCCTCTTCCTCTTGCTCTTGCTCTTACAGTCTTATGTACAATACTCTTCGTAAGCGTATGATTAGTTACTGAGACGCGCATTGTATTCTGGATCGAGTCCCCTAGAGCACTTAGTCATCTGGGTGTCGTGCAGCTGTCGTTCTGGTGCTGCACTTATGTCTGATTCTGCCCCTTCGTGATTGGCGGGCTACCGAGCGGGTTCTCCGGCATCCTTGCAGAAATATTTGCTTCTGTAGCCAAAAGCGGTCAAGGCTTGCCGGTATCAGTTCGCCCGTCGGACAAAGCGAAACGGAGACCTTCTGGACTCTACATACATGTGCTCTACATACTCCAACATCTTCCGCAGACACTCGCCCTCCGTTCGTTCGTTCTGCCCGCATCTTTCCTCCGCTGCGATAGCATATCCCCATACTTAACCCGTCTCTCCCGCCCGTCTACCTGCCTCTGCCTGCGCACGAAAACCCGACGAACTGTCTGCTGTCCATACTACTTTACCTCGCTTCGGAGGTGCTGTCGGAGTAGATATTTCCTGGGCGCTAGCGTTGGTACAGCGACTTCCCTCATACAAACCCAAAAGGCACATACCTCCAGTCCCACAATTGCAACCATGATCCGGTCACTGCTGCGAACCAGAGTCCCGTTCACACCGGCGGCGCGGATACGAACACCGGCGGCCCTCAATGGCAACTACGGCGCTGCCGCCGCACGGCTGCAGTCCTCGGCTGCGACGGTGACTGCAACGACGACGTCATTGCATGACGCCACGACAATCCCCCCGCCCTCGCCCCTCCCACCCCATGCCGGCGCCGCCGGCGCCGCATCTGCCACCGCCGCCGCGCCCCCTCGCATCGCCCGCGTCCGCCCGGACAAGATCGTGGCCGCGGAATTAAACCATCTCAAGTCGCAGATCTCGCTGCTGCTGTCGTCTGGATACCCGGGTCTCGACTCGGCATCGAAATACTACCTGCAATCGTCGGGAAAGCTTTTCCGGCCGATGGTCGTCTTCCTGATGGCCCGGGCAACGTCCGTGGCTCCAAAGGTCAAGGGCTGGGAGGCCGCCTGCGTGTCGCTCGAGGCGAACTTTAATGCCCCCGTTGCCCCCAAATCTACCATTGCCGACCGGAATCCGGATTATTCCATCTTGTCGTCGCGGTCGATGCCGGTGAATATCCTTGGTGCCACGCCGGGAGAGCCGATCGCTGTGCTGGGGACCCAGAGGCGCCTCGCTGAGATCGTCGAGCTGATCCATACCGCCTCGCTGCTCCACGACGACGTGGTGGATCATGCCGAGACTAGACGCGGAATGCCGAGTGCGAACGTGTTCAGCGGCAACAAGCTGAGCGTCCTGGCGGGTGACTACATGCTTGGCCGGGCGTCCGTGTTCCTGGCCAGACTGAGACAGCCGGAGGTTACCGAGCTCATCGCCGAGGTCATCTCGGAGCTGGTCAAGGGCGAACTGTACCAGCTCACCAATACTCAGGCTGACTACGGCTCGGCGGAGTACCTCTCCAAGTCGCTGGACTACTACCTGGAGAAGACGTACCTCAAGACTGCCTCGCTGATCAGCAAGTCCTGCCGTGCGGCGGCGGTGCTGGGCGGCGCAACGGAGGAGGTGTCGCATGCTGCATATACCTACGGAAGACACATGGGCCTGGCCTTCCAGCTGATCGACGACGTGCTGGACTACACCAGCAGCAGCGAGGAGCTCGGGAAGCCCGCGACGGCGGACCTGGAGCTGGGACTCGCCACTGCACCGGTATTCTACGCATGGGAGGAGTTCCCCGAGCTCGGCCCCATGATCGCGCGGAAGTTCGAGCAGCCGGGAGACGCGGCAAAGGTATGTTTCATTCATGTTTCCGTGGTCAGCGAGGTTGCACGCACCGTTGCTAACAGAAAGCGCAGGCACGGGAAATGGTTTACAAGTCCAATGGAATCGAGCGAACACGGGAACTGGCACAGTCGTTCTGTGACACGGCGAAAGAGGCGATCCAGATCTTCCCCGACACCGAAGCGCGAGCGGGTCTGGAGGAGGTCCTGAACATGGTGCTCACACGGAAGAAGTAATCGCCACACACACATACACACTCACTCACACTACAATTTCCTTGGTACACTCGTTCACAACGACATATACGGCCGGTCTTCCTTCTTATTCTTTTCCTTTTTCTGTTTCTTTTCTTTTCTTTGTTGGATGTGTTGGGATACTTAAAAGCACTTTTGTTGGAGGGGCGCGGCGCGGGGAGCGGCGCGGGGAGCGGGGGGTTGTGGGTGAGTGGGTGAGTGGGGCGGATGTGTGTTTATGAGAACATTACATGCCTGATATAACAGCGGATATGATATGGCTTATGTTTGTTTGTTTGTTGCGGGGGGGGGGAAGATGATGGGGGGTTATGGGCAATGTACATTTTCGGTTCGGTGCAGAAGCTTTTTTGATGATACCTTTCAATGGCTTCCTCTCTGTTGTTGGTTGGGCTTTCTCACGGGCGGATGAGAATGAATTGCTGCTTCGCTTTTTGGGAGGTTGGGCCTGGTCTGGGACGGACGGTGGGGGGATAAAAAATGCTGGTTTTCGAATTCGAATTCGCCTCTTGTATTATACGATAGAATTATAGACTTGGGATCGACTGTGTGGGTGTGACGAGAAAAGTATGGGTGGTGGTGGTAATATTGCTGGATGATTGCCGTGTAGAGTACTCGTATTCACGCTCACCTAGATCACGCACTAATGGCGGGGCACCACCGCCCCACATCGCGTCTCCCCGCACCCACCGCCACCCCCACCATTTTGCATCATGGCCACGCCCACGCCCTCGCAGTCCAGCACCACCGCCGCCGAGCCGCCCGCCTGCCTCTCCTTCGTACCACACGACCCCACGCTCCTCCTCGTAGGAACCTACACACTGCACGAGTCGGCGACGACCCTCGCCTCCAAGAAAACGGGCACGCTCTGTTTATACCGCGTCCCGTCGCTGGCGCACGTGGACACACTCACCACCTCTTACGGCGCAGTGCTAGACGTAAAGTTCTCTCCTGCCAGCGGGGAGCTCGCGGCGGTAGCGCTCAGCCGCGGCGTGGTGACGCTGGTGCGCGTGCTCGACGAGCGCATCGTGGTCGTGCGACATGTGCGCGTCGTCGAAGAGGCCGTGCTGCTGCTGAGCGTGGCGTGGGCGCCCGGCGGCGACGCCGTCGCCGTGACTACGACTGATGGGCGGGTGCTGCTGGTTGGTGTGGGCGGCGAGGACGAGGGGCCGAGGTGGGAGGCAACGCCGCATTCGCTCGAGGCGTGGACGGTTGAGTTCTCGCCGTGTGGGCGCCGCGTGTACTCTGGTGGCGATGATGCGGTCTTGGTGGTTACGGATGTGGAGACGGCGGTGGAGCTGGGCAGGACCAGGAGGGGCGCGCATGAGGCGGGGGTTACGGCGGTGATGGCGAGGGGCGCGGATGAGCTGTGGTCTGGGAGTTATGATGAGACGCTGAGGGTGTGGGACTTGAGGGGGAGGATGAGGGCGGTGGAGGAGAAGGGGTTGGGCGGCGGGGTGTGGCGGTTGCATGAGATGGTGGGCGGGAGGGTGTTGGCTAGTTGTATGCATGCCGGCGCGAGGGTGGTGGAGAGGGGTGGGACGGGTGTGCAGATCGTGGCACGTTGGGAGGAGAACGAGAGTATGAACTATGGGGGACATGTTCATCCTGATGCTCCCGGGGTGGTGGCGAGCTGTAGCTTTTATGATAAGAAGGTGGCTATTTGGAACGTTTAAAGAAGTGGTTTGTCCCATCTAGTTGTACAGAGCAAAACTATCCATCCATTCCCGCTGTGAAAACGTCCAATGTCGTGCCCACCGTCTAAACAATCGTCTCCAATTCCTGCGCGTAGCCAATCGTGTTCTCGATGATCTTGTTGCTGGACATGGCCTCCTTCTCGCTCTCTTCCACGGGGAAGTAAATGCGGCCATCGCGGACCTCCCATTCCCTCTGTTCCCTCGTGGTTAGCTAAGATATCGAGCAGTAGCAGCAGCGGGCACCGTACCTCTTCCGCGAACTTGACCACGGCGCCCTCCGACTCCAGGAACAGTAACTGCTTCGCATTCGACACGGGTAACGAAGCGTATGCCTTCTCGGAACAGCTGGCGATCTCGCTGCGGATCGTTCCCACCAACACCTATCCCACCCCTCCATCAGCCACCATCACCGCCGTCAGAGAGAAGAGAAGGAACCCACCTCGGAAAACATTGCATACTCATCGCTCGGGACATGACTGCTCTTGGTGGCCTGCCACACCTTATCGTAGCTCCCCTCCATGAGCCATCTCTCGAGCATGACCGGATACCTCACAAACACATCCTCCTCGAGCCCGGGCATATTCTCGAGGGTAGTGTGAAAGTCTGCGATATTATTCTTGGTGAGCAAGAGCAAGAGGTACAGGCCCATGATCTTGTTCTTGCTCTTGCTAGGCGAGTTCTCCAATGCCGTCATCGCATAGAACGGCTGCAACTGTGCGTAGTACCGCAGGAACGCGGCTTCATCTTGGAGGTGTATACTGACAACAGCGCCAGTTTCGAGGATGTCGCGGGCGAGACACAGAGATTGCGCGGGCGCGGCGGCGCTGGGGATCAGGATGTTGCAGCCGAGGAGGGCGAGCTTAAGTTGCGCGAGGCTTTGGGCGGCCTTCTTGTAGTCTTTCGCTTTGACTATTGTCTGCAGTGTCGCGTGCTGCGTGCGGATGCTCTCGACGGTTGGTGTGGAGCTCATGGCGGGTTGTGCGTACCGATGGAGATGATGGAGGTGGTGGTGGAGGTGATGGTGATGAAGCGGTGGTTTGCAGGTGCGTGGTGGTGTTGAGGGTTGGAGATCTTGAGAGCTTGGGGAACGCCGCTAGCAATTCGAGGTCGTGCAGCCAAGCCACTGCTGCTGTCATGGTACTAAAAGTAACTAATAGGACTATTACATAGAGGCTCATAGATCATCATCCGAGTACTGACTTTCTCACACATGACTTCATCTCAGTGGTTTGTACTTTCACTGTCATGACCAGATACGGTTGAACGATAGAAAGCAGGCCCGAAAACCCCCTTATTTACTCTTCAGCAGCGAAGAAACTCTCAAATTCATTCGAAACCAATATCCGTCCAACAGGAAATGACATTCTTTTTATCTCCTTTGAACTACGAAGACCGCAAGAAATATCCACAATGTACATTTAACCAAAGCGTCCAAAATCCATTAGAACTTCTTGAATGCATCCTCGCTATACCCGGTCCGCCTCATGCTGAACATGTCCAGCAATTCTTTGTCCTTGGGCTCAATGGCGTCTCCATTGCGATGTTGACATATCCTGTTCAGCACTACATAAAAGTCAGCTCTAGTTCTACAGGAGACATAATGAGAATAACCGACCTGCCAATTCACGCACGGCATAGTCCTCCGCCAGCGATTGAAGAGTGGTCAACGCTCCAGGAGCCCAGAGGAAATCTCCTTTCCCAATCTCTTCCATGATGTTTTGGACTACACGTCGGAATTCCGGTTTATCGATGGTTAGGTGGTCGCAACCAGTACCGCCGCAGATATCATCGTCCTCGAGAAGGGGCTGCTCTGAAATAGGGTCAGTCTTGGTAGAAGTAGTTGGATTGGGCTGGTTGCTTACGTGTTGCGGAAGGACCATTGCTGGCGACACTGCTGTAGGAGGCCCCGGTTGAGAATCTCTCTTCGCGGATGGTTTGCATGTCCCCCTCGAAATACGATGAGGAACAATCGCTGTCGCTGTCGCTGTCACGGGAACAGTCGCTACAGCCGTCGCAGTCATCATCATCCACGATACTGCTTCCGCTGGTATCAATGTTGCCCGTTGAAGGCCCGCTGGATGAGAAGCCCGTTGAAGGCCCGCTGGACGAGAACGGAAAGTTATAGATGTGATTTGGGAAGATTGGAGCAGGTAGAAACCATCTTTCGGGCAAAGCAGGAAAGCGGGAGCGATTGCTATCCTCGCTGTCACTGCTGTTATTTCCGCTGTCGCTGCTGCTAATCCCGCTGTCGCTGCTGCCAATATCACCGTCGCCGCTGCCAATCCCACTGTCGCCGCTGCTATCCTCGCTGTCGCTACTGCTATTCCCGCTTTCGTCCAGGGTGCCGCAGGTGGAACCAGGTGGGCTGCTCTTGATAGCGGACGAGCCGAGAGAGTGACTTTCGCGCTGGGGGGAAGAACTACCCCCGCTGGTGATGACGCTTCCATCCTCACACTCAAGGCCGGACGAACAGGCGGCCGCGAGCTTTTCAGATGCTAGATCTGTAGATTCGATAGCGGAAACATCACTGGCGGTCAGATTCGCGGGGTTTGTGAGTGTAGCGGTTGCGACGTTTTCAGGCTGGGCTGGAAGATCCGACTTCGCAGTGGGCCTATTAGGACCGCTGTCCGAGCCCTTCTTCTTGTCCTGGCCGGCTGGTCGGGCTTGCCATCCGATTAGAACGGGTTTCGAATCGGTTTTGCGGGGTTTCCAATACTTCGCAGTCCACTCCTCATACGTTACAGGCGACTTAGGAGGCTTCGCACCGGGGTCCGTCCATTTATCGGGCATAACTCGATAGGGCGTCGACTTCAACTTTTTTGGAGCAGGGGCACTCCCTAGCTGTCTGATGGGACGAATCGGCGTGACCGGCTCCAGTGGTTTTGTTGGTAGGACCGCTCTCTTGGGATTGCCGTTGTCCGAGCTCTCTTCTACTCTCTCGATCCATTCTTCATCCCGGTTCGAGACGGAAACATACTCCCCACCATAATACCCCTCCTCCCCGTCCATCTCCTTTTCATCATCCCCTTCCTGTTCCTTTTCCCCGTCCTCACGCTTCCGCTTCACAGACGACTCGTGGTCCAGTGTAACACTGCTAGCAGCTGAGGAATTTCCGAAACCAAACAGCGGGTCTGAGAAAGGACATGAGAAGCTAGATCTCACCCTGGACTGGAAAGGTGGAGCTGGGCCGTGCGAGGCTGACCGGTAAGGCGGCACCATTGGTAACAGGGACGGCAGACGGTTGTCCAACGGATCCATGGCGCGGTGAAGTTGGCAATAGATATGGGTGCATTGGGCGGCGTCGTGAGTGGACATGATTGCGGTGGTGGTGGAGGGGAGGGATGTTACGGGAAGGGAAAGGAGACACCGAGCTTTTTGATAGAGAGGAAAGCTCAATGAAACTTTTGTAAAAAAGTATGACCTCTTAGCTCATAGAGTTGATATCTAGGTTCGGTTTGCTACATGCTGAGGTGGCTTATGTCGAAGTTTGGAACTCTAACTTCAGGGAGGGCAAACTCTAACGAGACCTTCCTGCTCTGATCGTAGCTGCGAATGTCTATCAGTCGCCTTCTGCTGGAGATCCTCCGTATACACGCGGCTGTTTTTCTTATGCCCCGGCTGTGGAATTATCTGTTATTGAGGTTTTTCACATTTGCGCATTCCCGGCCTGGCACCATCAGCCAGAATTTTTGCTGGTCCATGCTCACAGGATATACTTCGTTGACGATATCGAGTCAGAGGCTAAGCTATTAATATCATGAGATGTAGGTTTAAGTTGGGTATGTAATCATCATTCGTTCAAACAGCTCTCGCGAGCTTGTTAAAACCTAGCGAATGAGTAGAGATGCACTAAATATTCAGTGTGTCCTAACACCATGAATGGGGCACGTAAGTTCAGGCCATACCCTTTCTTGCTGCCCATTCAAAAAGACCAATCGCAGTTCAAGGCATACCTGAGTCTCAATCAGAACCGTCACGTGCCCTCTGTCGAATCATAGTGTATCACCTCTGAGTCTTCTCCGCCAAGCCCCCCACCTTGCCCACCACCACTAACTGTAACTACACGAAACAAAACTCCAACAGCTCCCACGCATCCAACTAGCACTCGACGACACGACAAACAATGGGCCAAACACCGTCCTCCGACGCGGGCGGCCAAGGCCAAGGCCGGACCGCCGCCGTCACAGAACCGACAAAAACCTGCTACTACACGCTCCTATCCATCGAGCGCTCCGCGACACCAGAAGAGTTCGTGCGCCTGCGCCCACCCCCCTGTCGCGCCTCTCCCCCGCCGCTAACTAATCAATCAATCAATCGCAGGATCAAGAAAGCCTACCGCAAAAAAGCGCTCGAGCTCCACCCCGACCGGAACTACCAAGACGTTGAGCGCACCACCGCCCTGTTCGCCGAGGCACAGGCTGCCTACGAGGTTCTCTCTGATCCGCAGGAACGGGCATGGTACGATTCCCACCGGGACGCCATCTTGCGCGGCCACCAGCCTGGAGATCCTGGGGAAGGATCGAAGCCCGTGGATGTAACCACATCTTCAGACATTCTGGACTGGTTCGGCCATTTCAGTATAAACACCTCGTTCGACGAGAGTGACCCGCAAGGATTTTATCAGCTTTTGAGAAAGAGTTTCCGACAGCTTGCGGATGAAGAGGTGAAAGCGGCGGAGTGGGAGGGTGAAGATCCGGTTTATTATCCCAGCTTTGGAGGCGAGCGGGATACGTATGAGTCGGGGACAATTAAGGATTTCTACCTTGCGTGGACGAATTTTGCGACAAGAAAAAGTTTTTCGTGGTGCGATGTTTATCGGTATACCGACGCTCCAGACCGGAGGGTCAAGAGGGCCATGGAGAAGGAGAATATGAAGGCCAGGGAAATGGCGAGAAGGGAATTTAATGATACGGTTGCATCGTTTGTTAAGTTTGTGAGGAAGAGAGATCCGAGGTATACGCCGAACTCGATGACCGAGAAAGAGCGGCAGGCGGCGTTGTTGAAGAAGAGCAGGGAGCAGGCTATGAGGCAAAGAGAGGAGAATAAGAAGAATCGGGGGGAGTATAAGGCCGCGGATTGGACTCAGGTTCGCGATGATAAGGATGAGGGGTCTGAAAGCGAGGAGGAGGAGGAGGAGGAGGGGGATGGGGAGTTGGATGGGGAGCAGGTGGAGGGGGAAACGGTGGCGAGTGATGAGGAGGCCGAAGAGGAAGAAGAGGAGGAGGAGGAGCGATACGAGTGCATCATCTGCAAGAAAGTGTTCCGCAGCCAGGGCCAGATGGATGCTCACGAGAAAAGCAAGAAACACGTCAAAGCGGTGCAGCAGCTAAAGCGGCAAATGATGAAGGAGAATCAGGAGTTCGATCTAGACAGAGACGTCAGGGGGAGGGCTTACAAACCTGAGGCTGAGTATACGCTCATGGAAGACGAGGAAGAGTTATCGGCGGAGGAGAACCATATCTTGGATGATAGCCTGGATACGAAGGAGCCCACACCTGCTCCTAAAGAGCAGGAAGTAATAGATACAGAGACTCCCGCCACACCAGCACCAGAACCAGAGCAAAAACCAGCAGAAGACTCAGACACGGATGAATACGTCTCAGCAGAGAAATTCCAAGCGCGAATACTCGGTGAGGATGAGGGTCTGGACGGGATATCAAGCGGCCTCGCCTCCACGGCAATCTCAGACCATGAAGACTCCAAGCCCGCCACCAAAGTCGGTAAGGCGAAAGCTAAGCGAGCGAAACGTGCACAAAAGGCGGCGGTGGAGGAGGAACAGGCGCAGACCGATGTGGGTTTCCCCTCGATATGGAGCGTGGTGAGTGGCGACTGACATGGCTGTGTACAGTTCAACTGTTCAAGCTGTAGAGAGTCTTTTCCGTCGAAAACGAAGCTTTTCAATCACCTCAAAGAGAACCCTGGTCATGCTAAGCTAGTTCCTGTAAAAGGTGGTAGCAGTGGAGGGGGGAAGAAGAAAAAGGCGAAGCGGTAGACGGAGGATTGTGCACATGAAAGGACTGGAGCATGGCGTTATTTATTTCCCCTGATTAGGGTATTCTTCAGTAGTGTATAGATGGGGGCAAAAGGATATATAAAAGCAGCAGCAGCATAGAATCCAACGCGTCAATACCAACCGTACCTCCTTAACTGCCACTACTGGCCCTCGGCCTCCCACCCACCACCTCCATCACCGTTGCAGGCACGGCTACCGGCGGAATTGCAGCGGCAGGAATAGGCCAATCGCTCCTTGCGGGCACTGGTGTCGGCGCCCTCACCCGCTCCCTCTCCCTCTCGCCCTGTACCCCACTGGCTCCAGCCTGCAAATATCTAACCTCCCGCTCCTGGATCAACTGCTCGAAAAATCTCTCGGCCTCCCACGTACAGCTGTAGCTGATGGGCCGCCAGCCCTGCCGGTTCTGTCTGTCGACCGTAACCCCCCTCTCCACCAGCGTTCGCATAATCTTCTCGTGTCCGTAGGCACTCGCATAATGCAGCGTCGTGTTTCCGAGAGCATCGATCAGCTCGGGGTCGGCGAGGTAATCGAGGAGAGTCTGCCGCAGTCAACCCGCCAATTAGCCCTGCTCCGTCCCTTCCCACAAGATGCCAGTGCTCACATTGACGACGCCATCGACGCCTGCCACGGCCGCCGCCATCAGCGGCGTGAACCCCAAGCGGTTCTTGGTATCGAGGGCTTCTCTCCCGCCCTTCGCGGCAAGGTACGCGACCACATCGTCGTGACCCGCGGCGGCCGCCAGCAGCAGCGGCGTATCGCCGTCGTTGTTGCGCCTGCTGATCGCGGCGACGCCCTCGCGCTCGACCAGGAACTTGGTTATGTTCAGCCGGCCCCAACTGGCGGCGAGGTGGAGCGAGGTGTTGCCCGGGATGTCGGGCGTCGGCAGGGCGTTTGGGTGGTTCTTGAGGATGCGCACGACGATCGGGAGGTTGTCGACGTGGATTGCGCGCCGGAGGCGGAGCGGAACTTCCAGCATTGTGGAATTGTAGAATTGGCGTTGGCGGGTCGTGTGTTGGTGGTAACTAGAGGTAGAGGTAGTGGTGGGGAGCTGGAGCTGCGCCTGTAACTGGGATGGAGCTGTTGACAACTTGTGCAGGGTGCGGGTAGCAGCGTGGTTGGTGCGATGTATAATTGTAAATTGCGGGAGAACGCAGTCGGCCTCTTAAGTTCTTAAGAAATGTTGCGAACGATGGAATTGGATATGTCGTCAAATTGTGAGAAGACAGTTTGACTGAACTACGGGAGATGGCTCAAGGCCATCAACGTGGGGTTCTCAGCGGTCTACAGCACTAGCACCATAAACAACGAAGACATCAAGTTACGGTTGCTCAAAAGCGCCTGGCCTTTACTCTTGTCCGGCCATGTCACCTCTCGAGAATCATCACCGACGAAGGAACAAACTCCGGTTCAACCCATACGCATTATTTACCCCCCATTACCAAACCAACGAAAGATCGCAAACAAAACAAGCCACACAAATCACGTAACAACCCCCACCGCTAGACCTTAACCCACAGACCCAGCACACCCTTCGCATACTCCACGATCTCATCACCACCGAGCTTACTCTCTCCGTACAGCCTATCGACGAAACTAATCGGCACCTCGCCAACCGAGTACCCCGCAGCTCTGGCGCGCACCATCATCTCCATCTGGAAGGTATAGCCTTTACTCTGGGTCTCCGCGATGACACGGTCGAGGACATGCTTCTTGTACAGTCTGAAGGACCCCGTCAGGTCGCTCACGCCGGGCTGGAGCATGACGGTCGCGAACAGGTTCGCGCCACGCGACACGAGCTTCCGCTTCAAGTCCCAGCCGTAGACGCCGCCGTCGCCGGCATACCGCGTGCCCGTCACGATATCGAGGTCCCGCGCTTTCTGGAGGGCGATGAATTGTGCGATGAATTTAGGCTTCGGGGGAACAGAGTTAGCGGGGCGCTGGTAGATAGGGTGAGGGGGGAGGGTGGAGGAAGTACGTGGTGCGAGAAGTCGGCGTCCATGATGATTACGAAGTTTCCGGTCGCGAATTGGAGGCCATGGACGTAGGCGGTTCCGAGTCCGAGCTTGCCCGCGCGCGGCTTGAGCAGGATCTTGTCGGCGCCGTAGACATTCACTAGCTGTTTCGCGACGTCTTGCGTACCGTCCGGTGAGGCGTCGTCGACGATGATGAGCTCCCATGCGAGGTTGCTATACCTAGTGTGTTAATGGAGGTGGAGAGCGACGGGGGAGGGGGGACGGACTGCTCCGTGAAGGTTCGGTTCAACAGCCAGGTGATGATTGGGATGTTCTTGCGTTCATTGTACGTTGGGATGATGACCGAGTACTTGTCGGTTTTTATGGGTGCCATTGCTGCTATTGTTTGTCGTGTGTGTGGAACGGTACGTGAGAAAGTTGGTAGAGTTGGTGGTAAAGAGTGTTGATCGAAAGGAGTGTCGGGTTGGAGCTGAGGTGGTTAGTGAAGCGTGTCGTCAAGGAGGTGAGGTGGTACAGATCAGAGCATCGCTACCTAGCCCCAGGTACCTCACTCGGCACGCCTAGCTCCATTCCACCTGCCCCAGTAAACAAATTTCCAGTCAAAATAACCTCGGACAAAAGGTTCCGGAATAGATAGCGAATAGCCGCATGACCCTCACCGAACTGGCAACCATGCCCTTACACGTCCACCACAACCTATTGCTATGGCCGACTTCATTGCTGGGTACCCACCGTCGCCCTCTGCCCTCACTGTCCCCGAGCTAACATAAATCCCCAGCTACATCTCCGGCGCAGCGGGGATCCTCCTCGGGAGTCCCTTGGACATAATCAAAGCACGGCTACAGACGGGCACTTTCTCCAGCACCTCCACGTACACGTTCAGCACGCCGCTGTCGACGCTGCGCGGGGCCACGCCACCACTGCTGACCTACGGCGCCCTCAACGCCGTCCTTTTCACGGCGTACAACCGGTCGCTGCCATACCTCCCACAAACGCTCCCCGGGATCTTCACTGCCGGCGCCCTCGCCGGGCTCGCAACCTTCACCATCTCCGCGCCCACCGAGGTGATAAAATGCCGAGCGCAGCTGTCGGCGCAGCACAGGTCCTCGGCCGCAGTGGCAATGGAGCTGCTGAGGGCGCACGGGATTCGCGGGCTGTATCTCGGCGGCGTGGTCACGGCGCTGAGGGATAGTATTGGCTACGGCTTCTATTTTTCCACTTATGAAGCGGTTAGGCCGGCGTTTGCGGAGCCGGAGGGGCAGCTGGCGATTCTGGTGGCCGGAGGCGCCGCCGGCGTGGCTACGTGGGCGAGTATTTACCCGCTGGATGTGGTGAAGACGAGGGTGCAGACGCAGGTTTTGGGTACAGCGGCGGCGGCGGCGACGGAGCGGAGCTGGTTGCTGGGCGCCCGCGCGGGAAGAGCGTGGCATGGTGGGTTTGGCGCGAGAGAGTGTGCGCGGAGGGCGTGGAGGGATGGCGGGATGAGGGTGTTCTTTGACGGGATGGGGGTTTGGTGAGTCCCCCATTTGCTCTACCTACTAACGATGAATGAGAAAGGATAGTACTGATGCGGAAAATTAGCATGGCACGAGCTTTTTTGGTAGGTTGAACATCCCATCCATTCTCACTTTCCGCAGGAAACGGTCGATTGACACTTGGTGACGCCACAGGTAAACGCAGTACAGGCTTGTCCCCCCACTCCTCCACTCCCCCACTCCCCCACTCCCCTCACCCCTCCACACTCACTGACTCGAGACCAAAACAACAGTGGGCAATCTACGAGTACATTATGCGCCAGCTGCGCACAACCAGCATCTCCCTGGAAAGCAGCACACAAGTACATCAGCGGCATCATTCATGAATCATGATGGTATCCTGAATGGGCGCGCGCGCGGGGCGGCTACCTATCGGAGTATCAAAAGAGCAGAAAATCAGACCACTTTTTGACTCCTTTGACCAGTGAAGTTTCATCATGTGTGACGAACGGGTGTTGCAGACCTCGGGGTTCCGATTCCCCCCCTCATGAAACGGCCCGAGCTAGATATCCTCTAAAGGAAGGAAGGCTGTAGGTTCTCGGCAGGGGAGCAATGTTACAGCACAACAATCTTCATCCCCCACTCACGATTACCCATGATGATAAAACGCAAGAAAGATGGCAGACATGATTTGGGTATCCCTAAGAAAATAATAAACCCCTAAAGTAATGCAGCAAGGAAAAAAGAAAAAAGAGATATCGCACAGGATTCAAGATATATCAGAAAGAACAAAAAAAAACTCCACAGCACAAACTTCACTATCCGCATAAAAAACTTTATGTAAAGGTTGACACCGTGAAAGAAAAAAGAAAAAAGAAAAATCGCATTGAATCATCGTACACCCCGCGGCTGTTTAGACCCTAAGCAACGTTGCGTACTAGTATACACACCCACAGAGACCCGTCTAGAAATTCTCCTTGCCCCTACAGAGATGAAACCGTTAGCACACTGGCCGCGGAAGCGGAGATAAGATAAGGCGAAACATACCAGACGAAAGAGAATCCCGGCTCCGAGTACTGATTACACTTGACGTGCAATGTTGATCCCAAGGCCTTGGGCCCGCAGAAAAACACACCGCACTCGGCGGGCTTGTGGATCGAGCGGATGCTCTTGAACACGGTGTCCCAATTCGGCCGACCGAAGTTGGTGGGCGCACGCAGTCCAGTGATGGCATCCTTCTCGGCGTTCGCGTCGTTGATCATGATGTTGGTAGCATCATCGGGTTTAATCTTGGCTGTGAGGTAGGTGTGGATTTCGATCAAGTGACCAATATCCTGCGCTTCGATGGCCAAAAGAAGCGAACGGAACCACTCGAACGAACCAAAGTCTCGGCAAATCCAAAAGAAGTATACCTTGTGAAGCCTAGTCTTCTTCTGGGGGTAGTTGCTCCTGTACCAGATACTCTTGAGGATAGATGCGAAAGGAGTAACACCGATACCGGCACCGACCAGGACAGCGACCTCGTATTTGAACACATCCTCGGAGGCACTTCCGAACGGTCCGTCGATGTAGACCCTAGGCAGAACTCTGCGGATGGCCGGGTCGACATCCTCCTTGGTGTTCTTGTCCACTCCAATGATCCTAGACTCTCTCCTGTTCCGCTTTGCGTCCCTACCGCTCTCCTCCTTCTTCTCCAAGTTGCACCCTAGCGTCTTTCCGAGCGCCTTGGTAAAGTCACCAACCATGCGGACATGGACCGAGATGTAGTCCTCCTCTGGGGCACTCGTGAGAGTGAACGGATGGTACTGCCAGATGGAAACCTCGGGGCAGCACAGGAAGATGTACTGTCCGGCCCTGGCCGTGGTGCGCTCCTTCATGATCTGGATCTCGACGACATTGCTGGGATGTTCGATGACTTTGCTGATGTACGTCTGGTGCTTTCCCCGGATCTCGCGCCAAGTCCTCTCGCCCAAGTAGAGCAGGCCACCCACCATCCAGAATTTCCAAAAAACTCCGATACTAGCGCAGAACGGGGCCCTGTCCGGCTTGATCATGCAGAACGAGCCGTGGAAAGACCAGAAGAAGAAGAAGACCAGGAAGAGATGGTGAATATACCAGAACCTCTCGAACTTCTTGCGCTTGGGCCCTTCCAGGGCGGTGATTGCCATTGCCATCAGACACGTCAACATGATGTATCCCGTCCAGCCTGGTCCCGAAACAAAGTTGGCTTGGAGCCAGCCGACAAAGCCGAGCTTTTGCTTGATGGCGAGCTGCGCGAAGTTGTTCCAATGAGCGATGGTGTGAAGCCAAGAGAACAACACTATTGACCATCCCGTCACTAATATGAAGTCAGCTACGTGTGCTCCTGGGACAGTCGGGATGGGGTGGTAGTCACTCTTGTGAAGAGCAATATTCTTGTCTGTCATCAGTTAGCTAGTGTTCACGGTAAAATTTGAATGAAAACTTACCGAAGGGAACAACTCCATTGAGGGCGGTTTGTCGGGCCATCGAAATCAGGTTGCGACATACAGCTACCACCAATCAGCATCTATCGCTATTACACTTGTAGAATGTACTCACGGAAGAGAATGAGTGCAGCATCGACATGGAGAACCAACGCGGCCGACCTCGCTATAGGCAAAGTGACACCAAATGTTGCTCGCGGCCCGACCAGATTATCCTGTCACACGGCATCAGTACCGTATGTGCATTCGATCACAGGAACGGGCAGCCAAACTTTTAACGAATAATGGATGAAGCCAAATCCGAACACCAGCAGATGCAGTAGTATGAACACGCCGATGAAGCTGCAACCACATTCATTAGCACGGGACACAAATAAGCAAGCCGTAACAAGAGCACCCACATCCTCCGATATCCCTCGTTCACCATCCAGCGGTCAATCTTTTGTCCCAGTGACAGCGTCTTCGAACCCGAGTTGACGATATCCGCTGCGCCCATTCTGGTGGCTAGAGCTGGCCATCGAGACCTCTCGGATTGCGAATTGAGCGATCGATTAGACATTTCCATTGTGCTCATCTTGTTGTGATTCTTTGCGGGCGCTCGGCGCTCCGTCGCCAGCTGTTGAACGATGTATTGGTGGGTGGAAAGGTAGGTAGGTAGTTGGTAGGTCGTTGGTAGGTAGGTAGGTGGTGTGTTGTCGGAGTTGGTGTTCAGGACCAGCTGAACTGCTGTTGAACGGTTGTCGAGAGAACTAGTAGCAAGCGGCGGTGTTCTTTTTTATTCTATTCGGAAACGGCGGAAGAGGATCGTACGATGTTGGTAAGTTGTAGTAAGCGCGGCGGAGGAGGAGGAGTAGTGGTAAGAGGAGGAGGGGGGGGGTGTGGGCAGCGACGGGGGGGTTTCTGATTCTTGTTGGTCGTCCGTCGGTGGAGGTCCGCTTCGTGCCAAAGAAAGGAGAGCGGTAGATGTTGCTTTGCTTGTTGCTAGCTGTCGGTATTGCCCACGCGCAAGAAAGACGCTTCGGCGATGCACGCTGGCGGGACGGCCTTCACGGATATTTAGAGTAAGAACGAGGGACAAAGAAGAAGGTGAAAATGCAACGCAGATATGGAAAAAACGCGTATCCGGGGAGGAGGAGGGGAGGCGGGGGGGACAAGCTGCAGCAGCGGTTGGAACGCTGCTGTGAGTGGTGGGACGGTGTATGCTTGTTGTATGCTTGGATGCTTGCTGAGTGAGTTTGTATGTAGTTTGTATATATTCCCAGAAGGGGGGGGAGGAGGGAGGAGAGAAAAAGGTACGGAAGCTGAAGGCTGAAGAGATCGGCTTCGCGTGCTGAGTATGCAGGCAGGCAGGTAACTACGGTAACAAGTAACTACGGTTGCTACTCCTGCGCCACGGTGCTCCCTGGGAACATAGAACATTCTACTTTACACGCGGCCAGGGGTACTTCGTGGTGCATAACCAGAATCCCCATCACAGAAAGTCGGTGTCTGCAGATCGAGAATACTTCAGACAGACGACGTGCCAAGCTGGGCACGAATGGCCTGATTCTTTCATCTTTTTGACGTATCCGAGCCCCCCGCTCTCTCCTTCTCCTTCGTTATTCGCCCCACGCATCGTTGCTGGAACCGCTGGCGATTCTCAGCGTTTATGCCGTCAGTCAGTCAGTCAGTCAGGCCACAGGGGCAAGAATCACTCCGTTTCAGCCGGCCCATCTCGAAACGCTTCTGCCACCAAGCCGAACCAACCAATACAAAGCTGCCGCTAACTAGAGCAGACGCTTGGACGCTAGCCAACCAATTGTCGAATCTCATCTCGTCCCATGCCTTTCGTCTTCCAGAGTCTCGGATGCCGTGGACTGGGAGTGGCTCCAGTGTAACACTCGTTCTCGCCCGTGTGGCATGTGCTGGTAATCAAGCTTTAGATATAGGTTTATCAGCACTCGTACCTGGATATATATCTCCGTGTGGGGTGATGGTGGCGGCGGATAGGCTAACTCCCCAGCATGTATCAACCCCACGGAGGAGTCGGATACATGGTTTCCTCCCATCTCGCCCACCGTAGGCCGGCACGGTGTCGGATTCCAGTGTCTCGCATCAGATCTTGCCGCGAGGAGTAGGGCTACGGCACGCAGAATCCGGATACATCTTCAAGTGTTGAATACCGTAGGGTTCTGGCACCGAGAAGGAAGCAACGGCCGCTCCCGAAAGATCTGTACGTATGTACGAAGAATTAGTCAGCTTCGGTCAGACGCGGCGGCTAAGACGGAACCGCATCAACACGCCTTGCAAGACTCCATACGGACCACGGTACGTATGATTCGGCTGCGGATCCTCGCGTAGGTATAGTATCCGCGTAATCGTCCAAGGGAATCGATACCGTGCCGTATCGAGTGTCCGAGATGCCGGTGCGGAGCACGGTTACCTATCCAGAAGCCATACATGCGGTAGCTTCGAATATGTGTAGCCACGCTGTTCAGCTGGAATGCATGCGGATATGTATACAACTGCAAACGAAGAAGCATGACAGCGGCAACTATACCCGTCCTTCTCACGCCATGTCGGCACGCATCCGGGTTGTGGGGTTCTCGGTCATAGGCACCGTAGTTATCATTGACGAAACTCTTAACGTGACAACCTCAAACGTGCTGCTGCTTCCGGGAGAACGGCTTGCCTGGTCCCCCATAACGACCCGGTTCTTAGGACGAATATTTTGACGAACCACGAGGCGGGTGGATAACATTCCGAAGCTTCGAAGCTTCGAAGGAAAGAAGGAAAGAGCGGTTGCGGATGCATACCGCGCTATCATAGTTAGGGGACGCGGCAATGCGCCGCATGTCAGCCAGGCAGAGTATGCACGAAAGCTAATAGTTACATAGCACTTTGCCACTTTCTTTCTCGCCCAACCATTCGTTGGTACCGGGTCGCGCTTAAATTCCACCATGCAGTACCCAGAGCCCACCAAGCTACCAAGCTGCCTCAGCTGGGTCCGAATAGTTACCGGTATCCGAGTACAGAAAGAAGTACCCCACTTTTCCCCGCGAGATAGTTAGTGTGCACCTGTCACAAAACGCCACACAGTTTTCATCCCACAGCGGAACCAGACTGCTATGCATCAGAGTGTAGAGTATGTACTTTCATTGTCAGAGTGTATGTACTTTCATTGTCAGAGTGTATGTACTTTCAATGTCATAGTGAAGCACTCGTTACTTCCACGAGTGACACCATATGTACAAGCTCAGAGGTAACTCAGAGCGCCTCGGTAGGCACACTGACCGCCTCCTTACTCTTGGTGATTTCCCTCGAGCCCATATCCATCTTGTTTTCCAGAACCCAGTCCCGCACCTTGTCGAAGTTTCTGCACCGGTGTGTGTTCGAGAAGTCGGGGAGGACGTGCTCGCGGCCCTCGACCCAGGAGTAGGTGATCACCGCTTCCACCACCAGTCAGCTGCGCTCGAATTTTCCAGCCGTATAACCAGAACAAGAACAACAACTTACAGACGTCGGCGTCGCACATGATCTTCTGCCTGAGCACATCGATGCAATGGTCGACATGAGTCCTCAACATGTCGGGCGGATCCCTCCACGCGATATCAATGTCCTTATAGTAATCGGCGTAGGTGTACTTCCTAACCAGGTTGACACAGTGCAGCTGGTGGAACGCATCGACGGTGCCCAGATAGTCGCTCGAGCCCGGGAAGGTCGCGGCGGTGGCGGACTTGTTGAGGTGCGGGATGGCAGCGGCCGGGATGCGGATGAGGTACAGCGGCACGATGGCGTTCCACGCCTCATCGATCGCGGGGGTTGGCGCGCCCTTGTACGGAGTCTTCACCCAGGGGCCCGAGCTGAAACGGAGGTTCTTGTATTCAACTTGGTCCCAGAGGGGAGCTGCGGAGGGGCGTTAGTTTGGTTAAGTGATGAGGAGGTGGGGACGTACAGTAGATGTGCGAGCGCTCGTCGGAGTCCCACTTGTGTGGATGCAAGGAGCCGGGAAAGCTGGCGTACAGGCCCACGAAGCCGATGGTGTAGGCCATGATGAGGAGACCGTGGACCATCCATGGAAGCTTGGATATCTTGAGAGGACAGGCGAGCAGCCTGGAGGAACGGGTGGGGGGAGTGGGCTCCGAACCAGTATCCTCTAAACCAGCGTCCTCCGCGCCGGGAAGGCGGGAATAGACGTGGGTGAGAGGAATACTCTCTTCTTCGTCCGCGGCCATTGGAAGGTTGGTGTCGTTTTGTCGATGGTAGTGGTGTAGATGAAAAGCTGATATGGTGGGTTCTAAAACAATTTGCACCTACCATCAATCTTGGAAACATGGCGTCGCTGGCCAGCCTATACCACCCGTTCTGAAATATTCGCATAGGTTAATGCGAGGCAATCGGCGATGAAGTCAAACTTCGTCGTCACTAACGTCGACGAGGCTGTCATCAAACATCAAACATCAAGTTTTGTTTTCCAAGCCCCGTCCGCTCGTTTCGGCGATAGCTGTGAAAACCTCCAGTATCCTCCAAGCCGGCGTCCTCCCCGCCGGGGATGCAGGAGGAAGCGTGGGTGAGAGGGATACTCTCTTCCTCGTCCTTGGCCATTGGAATGTTGATGTGGCTTTGTCTATGGTGGTGGAGAGAGATCTTCAGTTTATTCACATGCAGCCCATCTAGACTACGAGCCGTCGCACTCCTTTCCTGCCCACTCTGTCCGGACGGACGTTGACACTTCGTTACCAGCCAGCACGATGTGGCACCGCTACCTGCAAAACAAAAAAATAATAAAGAAAATCGCACCAAGAACATATCACTGCATATCCTTATTTCCTACTTCATCGCACCGGCTGCAGACACGGTACCCTGCTGGGCACTCTTGCTCTGCCTCCGATGCGATGCTTTCCTCTTCCTCCTCCTCCTGCAGGTCTGGTGGAGGCCAAAACAATTCGCACCTGCTTGTACCTTAGAAACATGTCGTTGCTGAACAGCCGATGCCATCCGTCCTGAAATCTTCGAGCGGGTTCCTGCAAGTCAATCGGCGATGAAGTCAAACCTCGTCGTCACTGACGACGACGAGGTTGCCATCAAACATCAAAAATCAAGTTTTGTTTTGTTTTCCACGCCCTGTTTGCCCGTTTCGGCTATAGCTATAAAGCCCTCCAGTTCCCTCCATCCATTCTCTTCTTACCTACCATCCATCATCAACAACTTTCCCTCATCTTCGACATCTTCCTTCATCTACAATCCCAAATCTCACTCATTAATCCTCACCAACTCAATCATCATGCACGCCTCCAAGATCCTTCTCATCCTCGGCCTCGCTATGATGGCTTCGGCTGCTCCTGCTCCCGTTGTCAACGGTGAGTCTCATTCCATTCGGCCCGATCGACAAAGGTACTAAATACTATATCATACATCAGGCGGTGTCAAGGCCGGTGGTGATCACGTCACTGCTGGTGCCGATATCGATCCTGCCAACGTCAAGTTCTACTGGCGTCGTGATGGTATGTGGTCCGAAGCTTCGTTTATACCGGTATGGACATGGCTAATAAAAGATAATAGGAGGTGACGAGGTCGACCAGTCTGCTACGGCCGCTGATCCTGCCAACGTCAAGTTCTACTGGCGTCGTGATGGTTTGTGATCCCAAGCTTCGTTTGTAACGGTATGGATATGGCTCATACTTGACAACAGGAGGCGACGACAAGGCTGCCGCGGCTGCCGACCCTGCCAACGTCAAGTTTTACTGGCGCCGTGATGGTGTGTGATCCCAAATTTCGTTTATATCGGTGCGGACATGGCTCATACTTGACAATAGGAGGTGACGAGGTCGACCAGTCTGCTACGGCCGCTGACCTTGCCAACGTCAAGTTCTACTGGCGCCGTGGTGACGACACCGAGGAGGCTGGTGGTGCGGACCCTGCCAACGTCAAGTTCTACTGGCGTCGTGATGGTATGTAATCTCAAACTTCGTTCATATCGGTACGGACATGGCTCATACTTGACAATAGGAGGTGACGAGGTCGAAGTGTCTCCTATGTCCGCTGACCCTGCCAACGTCAAATTCTACTGGCGTCGTGATGGTGCGCATTTCCTATTCTTCGCTACATTATGTGCATGGCTAATACAAGGCAGCAGAAGGCGACAACAAGGCTGCCACGGCTGACCCTACCAACGTCAAGTTCTACTGGCGTCGTGATGGTGCGAATTTCCCATTCTTCCTTACATCCAATCCATATGTACATGGCTAATACAAGGCAGCAGGAGGCGACGCCAAGGCTGCCACGGCTGACCCTGCCAATGTCAAGTTCTACTGGCGTCGTGATGGTATGTGATCTCAAGCATCGTTTACATCAGTATGGACATGGCTAATAAAAGACAGCAGGCGACAACAAGGCTGCCACGGCTGACCCCGCCAACGTCAAGTTCTACTGGCGTCGTCGTGACCAGCTTACCGCCGCTTAGTTCGATAAACGCGCTGTTTCGGTAGCGTGGTGTGTACACATGGATCTGTAGATATTACTCAATAAACGTACATACTACCTATATCTAGAAGCGTGGGCGATTCATGAGTCGTTCGGTATTGTGATCCTCTACAACGCCCATCGAGTCTCTCGAGTTGTGTTGTTCCATCCGATGCTCTATTACATATGCACTCCTTGGGGCAATGTCCAGAGACCCAGCCGTGCCATCTTCCTGGACTTCTTATAGTAGAGTAGCAGCTGGGTGAGCTGACTCCAAGGAGTATGTAATCATAGAATCGCCAAGAAGATACTTCCCTATCCCACCGGTAAATCTGCATCTCCACAAAGAACTTCTCGTACGGACATAAACCATGACCACACTGCAGGCCAGTCGTGGAGTCCACTCCGTCGCATTCGCTAAACAAGCACCCGCCATGCCATCGTTTTGACATCTCGCCATTATCCATATTAACATCGAAATTAGAATCTATCTTTCTCCAGGAGGTACCTAGAAGGAACCCAAGCAGCTATGTACTCACTCCAGCAAGGACCTCCTTTTCGTAATGAATCCCGCCGTATTGGTCCTCGAGTCGCAGGAGGAATATTCCGGCTACCATTGCCGTCGATGTTCCATCTCCCTCCCTCCCCTTCCCCGGATGATCACTATACATCACTCGTCAGCCCACGTGGTGTTCAGGCCCCAGGGTCATACGCCAGGCGCTGAGGCGGGCCGGGTCACCAGTGCTCCATTTTTAACTGGCTCCTCCACAAAGCTGAAGTTGAACCCCACCTCCTCACCGCTCAGTGCCTCCACGCACTGCAGACGCACTCCGCCTCGTGTTGGGGCGTTCGTCACGCTCGAGGCGAAGCTTCTCGCGCGGTGCATCGCGTGTGCCAAAAACAAGTCGAAGCGCCGCGATGAGTTGCCGAAATCATATGTAACTACTGCAACATAGTGATCCTCTCCCCGCACTCATCGCAGCTGATTTGCCCGTGCCTGCGTGTCTGCCTGCTGCTCGCTGCCAAGTGCCCACTGCTCACTGTCGCTCTCCTTCTTCAGCTTCACCACACAGCTGCCCCATAGTACTCACCTAGTAATAACTATCCGCCTCCGAATAGCACTCACAGAGCCACAGCCAGAACATTCTGCGGCCTGCCACCGCCTCGGAGTGCTCCCTATCCGTGTCCGCCGCCGCTCAGCCACCTGTGCATTCCACGCTCTCGGGCTTCCTCTTGTTTGCTATCCGAAATTTGGCCACCCAGAACTCTCTAGTGACGCGGCGTCGAACACTACCGTCATACCCAGAGCGGCAAGGGTCTCTCTCTAGAGTTCTAAACCACCCAAACATCCAAAAACAACAACCCCCCAAATTCGGTACATGGGCGCCCCAGCCCAGTAGTTACCCCGCCCCCAGCTTCAACCGCGACACAACAATCCCGAAAGGAAGGCTTCCTCCTCAAAACCCGCCTGTCCCGCTCCCCCGCCCACCGACTGCTCAACCTTCCCTTCTTCTCCAGTGCCGCCGATCTCCTGTGCGAAAAATATAAAAAAATACCTCTTAATAATCAGTGATATCGCCCGCTCGCTTCGTTGCCGGCTTCCGTCCAGCTTCAACAATGGCCTACGCCGGTCCTCACCACGGCCATCCACAGCAATATCCGCAACAGCAGCAGCAGCACCACCACCAGCAGCACCAGCACCACGGCAGCTATGGTTCTCAGGGCAGAGGTATGTTCTAGATGGTTTTGGGCTCATCGCCATCCACCACGGACCCCTCCCGTCGGCCGCGCAAGGATGCACAGCTAAACTGCTTTCGATACGCGGCTTTAGGAAGAAATAATGGAGGCCATACACAAGCCACTTTCTATCCTGGCAGAGATGATTACATGATGCCTGAGCTCAACATTGTCTCTCCCGCTCCGCAACGGTTTGTTCTTCTCCTTTTTGACTCCTTCTTTTCCTCCTTCTTCTCCTTCTCCTCATCCTCTCCCTTCTCCCTGCTTTTCTCCCCAGTCGCTCCTTCCACTCCTTCTCTCCACTGTCCCGCTCACACTCTTTTTTGCCCGTTTGCACTGCCTTTTACTCTCACTCTTGCCTCGTTGCTAATCCCGCCACAACAGCATCATGCCGGAGGTACCTGAGCAGATCACCGACAGCCTCGAGCACCTCGAACTGGAGGTGAACAATAGTCGCGGCTACCACCAGGGCGGTGGATACCAAGATCAATATGCCCCTCCGCGCGGAGCTGGAGGACGACCGGTCAGCGAAGACCGCCGTTCGTCGTACCACTCCTCGATCGCAGACGACTACCTGGCGCGGTTCGACGGGCCCCACGAGCCCTCCCCCTTTCCAAGACTGATCAACCCCGGTCAGCACATCCCGCCGTCCGATGAGGAAAAGGAAGCGCAGATCGAGGGTGCCCGGATGGATGTGCTGTCGTCCAACGACCCGGAGATGCAGCTGGTGTGGGCGCAGGATGCGTTGAACTACGTCGAGATCGCAATGAACTACTACACGCGGATTGCGGATCCCCCCGCGCGGCCGCAGACCCCGGCGTTGGAGCACCAGATCAAGACCGACGCAATCAACGTTGTGAGCTTTTTGGCCGACCAGCACCACCCTCGGGCCGAGTTTATGAGGGGCAGTTGGTTGGAGTTTGGCAAGTTCGGCTTCCCGGTGGACAAGAAGGAGGCGTTCAGGTGCTATGCAAGGGCCGGAGAGAAGGAGTATGCGCGGGCGGAGTACCGGATGGGTATGCAGTTTGAGAACTCAAACGAGCCCCAAAAGGCAATTGCGCGGTACGAGCGTGGTGCTCGCTTGGGTGATTCGGCTTCCAACTATGTCGGTAATCTAGCAACCTTAATTTGTTGGTGGTACTGACGTTGCGGCAGCGGTTGGGAATGATGACGTTGCTTGGGCAGCACGGCCAAAGGCAAGACTACCGAAGAGGTTGCGAATTGATCCGACTCGCAGCAGAGCACGCAGACGAGAACGCCCCGCAGGGTGCCTACGTCTACGGTATGCTCATCGCTCGGGAATTACCCGGAATCGACGTTCCTGAAGGCTATCTGCCGAACGACCTTACTTTGGCGAGGGAGATGATCCAGAAGGCGGCATTCCTCGGATTTTCGGTAAGTTGCATGGGCTTCCCGCAACCTTAACCCCCTTACTGACAACCTGCCTTATAGCGTGCCCAACTCAAAATGGGAACCGCCTATGAGCTGTGCCAGCTGGGCTGTGATTTCAACCCTGCACTGTCCATGCATTACAACGCACTTGCAGCGAGACAGGGAGAGGCGGAAGCCGAGATGGCCATCAGTAAATGGTTCCTGTGTGGTCATGAAGGAGTCTTCGAGAAGAACGAGCACCTCGCCTACGAGTATGCTAAGAGAGCGGCTTCGAGCGGTCTTGGGACTGCTGAATTCGCCATCGGTAACTTCCAATAGCTCCTTTGGAACTCACACCCCTACTGACACGGAAAGGATACTTCTACGAGATTGGAATGTATGTCCAGGTTGACCTTAAGGAGGCTCAACGTTGGTATGCAAAGGTAAGCAGGAGCAGCAGCATCGTGTTTGTGCTCGTCGTCTGGTTTCTGACGGGTTTGTAGGCTGCCGAGCACGGTAACAAGGACGCTACCGGACGTATCGATGGTATCTCGAGATCAAAGACGCTTTCCCGGAAGGACCACGAGAACGTTGCCGTTGCCAAGATTAAGTCTCGCCACGGTTCCATGCGCGGAAAGAACCCATTGACCGAGAGGCGCCAACAGCAACAGCACATAGCGCCTACCATCGAGGAAGTTGACATGCCGGACCCTTTGAATCCTCAACCCGGCCAGTACAACTATCCGCCTCCGAACCAACACCAGTTCCCGCCTAGGCAGGGCTCGATGGCGCCCCTAAACACGAGTTTCATTCGAACAGACGATGCGCCCCAACACGGTATGTCCTATGGAGTCCAATCCGCCATTGTCCCACATGATGCCCACCCCCATGGAATGCCCCCTCGTGGAATGCCCCCGCCTGCTGGAACCTATGGAGCCCCCCAATCTGCCATTCTCCCTCCCCGGTCTGGAACGGCGATCCCTTACCCATTGAGTGATCGTCCAGGAATCTCCAACAGCCTTGGCCCTCGGCCTTCATCTGCCGCTGGATATGGTCCTCAACCTCGTCCACTTTCTGCTGTTCGTCTCGCTGACAGGCCTTTCTCTATAGCTAGCGGACCCGGAATGATCCCTCCCGCCGGAACGTATCCTCCACGCGCAGGAACCGCAATGGGCTCGATGGGCGGTCCCGGACCGAGCGGGCCCTTCAGGAAGCCCTCTGGCCAAGGACCCGCGCCCGGACCTCCGATGCACGGTCCTGGTAGGCTGCCACATCCTGGACGACCGGGACTTCCTCCTAACTCGGGATCAGATGGATACGGCGCTGGACCGGAAGGCAAACACCGTCCTCCTCCGGTCGATGTCGGATTCGAAGCGCCCATTGCCAACGCACCGAGATCGCCACGACCCCCGAGATCGCCTGGCCCCGGAATGCAACAACCTGGACGACTTCCCGTCGGTGGTGCTAACTCTCCTTCCGCTCCTCTTAGTCCGTTGAGCCCCCGGCCTCCTGGAAAGCCGATGGGTTTGCCCACCTCGCCTTCTCCCAGCGGTAGCCCATGGGCGCCTCCGCCACAGCCACAGCAACAGCTGCCTCGCCCCTCAACCGCCAATGGCCCCCCGGCGCCCCTGTCACACACCGAGCCCAGCTCGCCTGAGCCTGCGCCACCTCCACCCGTGAAGGCGCAGACGGCACCCGTCAAGGCGCCTATGAGCGGAAAGGGACCCAAGACGTTCGAGGAGATGGGAGTGCCCCAGCAGACGAAGGAGCAGGATTGCGTACGTCTCATTATCTCTGTTCCTCCATTAATGGCTTTTGCTAACATTGAGTAGGTTATCATGTAAAAGCGAGTGTTTATAAAAGGTTGCAGAAGATTTTTGGCCGGCGAATGGGTTTGTTTTGCTATGGGGGGGATTTGGAACGGTGGTGGAGATTGGAAGAGGAGAATGATCGTAATATAGACAGGAGGAGGTTGTGTTTCCTTGTTCAATTCCATTCCCGAAGACTTATTTTTGGCTTGCGAGTGGGGATTTTCTTTTTGTACTCGCTATGGGATTTTTTTACTATTTCTAATCTTTTTTTTTGGCGATATACCATATATTGCTTTACCATATAAACCCATACACTTTAGCCCGACAAGTTATAGAATACATGTTGGCGTATTTACCGAGAGTAACGCTCGTGAGAGCTTAGAAGAAGGTTGTGTGATCTAAAATGGTGGATGCCTCGGTTTTTACTGCACCGAATGCTCGTCATACTTCTAGAACATCATGGCTACGCATAGTTACCGACGTCTGATCGGCGGAACCCGTTGTCAAGCTTTATGATACGACACCCTGCACCCTACCACCTGCTACCTAGCATTGCACCATCACCACCTCCGTGGCCCATCGACGCAGCTATCTACACCGCATTGTAACGCACACGACGAAGTTATCTAGAGTATCCACACCTACCAAGCTACACGCGACAATTGCCCTTACCTACTATAGAGTACCATGAGCTCCCCGCCGCCCGCCGCGCCCGCCGCGCCCGACGCGCCCGACGGGCACCCTCCCATGCACCCACGCACGCAAAGCTACAGCTCCCTCCCCTCGCTGCCCTCCACGCTGACCTCCGCGCTATCGTGGACGTTCAAGGCTTTGACCTCGCCGTCGACCTCGCCACCCCTCTCCGCACCCCTTCCCGCCCCCGGCGCCGGCCTCGCAGCACACACCCGCCCCTCCCCCTCGCCGCCATCACTATACACGCCCCCGGCGCTCCCGCCGCTCCCCGCGCTGCGCCTGCCGAGGGACCGCCTGCTAAAGCAGGCGCTCGCTGAGGAGATACGGCTCCTCCTGCCGCCGAGACTGCAGCTGCATGAGCACTGGCACTGTGTTTACGCGCTGGATATCCATGGTGTTTCGTTGGGGACTCTTTATTCTCGGTGTTCTGGTGGTGGAGGGGGTAGTGGGGGAGGGAGTGCGGGGGGAGGAAGTGCGGGGGGAGGGAGTGCGGGTGGAGGGGGTGGCGGCGGAGGTGGTGGCGGCGGAGGGAGTGGCAGTGTAGGCTTCGTGCTCGTTGTTCGGGACTCGCTGGGCGGGGTTGGTCCCCCAGAACTCGATGTAGAAGCCCGGTGCTAACGCCCCTACATAGATCTTCGGCGCTTTCGTCAACGAGCCGCTGCGGCCACGCCACGGCTACTACGGCACGGGCGAGTGTTTTTTGTGGAAATCCCGCCTTCTCCCATCCCTCCCTTCTTCCTCACACCCCTCCTCCCCCAACACCGAGACCCACCTGAGTTTCCAAGCCTTCCCCTACTCAGGCGTGAACGACTACATGATCCTGTGCGACTGGAGCTATGTGAGCATTGGCGGGGGCGACGGGAAGTACGGGCTGTGGCTGGATAGTACCCTCGAGAAGGGCGTCAGCGCGTGTTGTCCCACATTCGGGAATGAGCCGCTCAGTGAAGATGTGGGTGGTAAGTTTGAGGTGCTCGATGTCGAGGTTTGGAGGGTGGGGGGTCATTGATGTGAGGTTGTGGTATGGGGTCTTTTTTGATTGGGGTTTGTTCTTTTGGGCTTTGTTCTTTTGGGCTTTGTTCTTTTGGGCTTTGTTCTTTTGGGCTTTGGGATAGGTGGTTTAACTACGGGATGTTTCCCTACTAGTAGATCTGTTGATTTGATTTTTTGGTTTTTGGTGTTTTGCGGTATGTTTATTTTATTTACGAATACTTTTCACGTACTTGATTTCATACTTGAGCATAATAATCGACTCTTCCCTCCGCCAAAAAAGGATTCTGTAGCTGTAGCTGTATCAAGTCGTCATATCATATCGTAGCATTTCTACTCTAAAAACAAACCAAACAAACTCAAAGCTCGTCCTTCACCTCCTCCTTCTTAACTTCCTCCTTCTGAACCTCCTCCTTCTTAACCTCCGCCTCACCCGCCAAATGCCCCGCCCTCACCCCGCCCTTCCTCCTCGCCAACTCAGCGACCTCACTATCATACGCGGTCCACTCGGGCACCTGCCTGCGTGCCCTATCGAGCTTCGGTTCCTTCGTCATCGGATTATTGCACAGATCGATTGTCTTCGCCGTCTTGAGGCTCTCATCACTGCACCACGTCTCGCACCACAGCCAGTCCTGCGGGAGGCTCTTTATCGGGATGGCGGACTGCATATGGTTCGGCAGGTCCTGGTCGAGATTCGCGAGCGACGCCGGGTCCGCCGACAGCTGGTGGTACTGCTGCCGCAGCCGGTCGCCGGCTGCGAGTTGTCGGAAGCGCACAAGGTCCACCACGTATAGCGCCGAGATGTGGTACGGTGCCCCCTGTAAAAAGGTCTTCCAGTACCCTTGCTTCCAGAAGCGGAAGCCTTCGATCTCCGAGCGCGAATCGCACATGGGCGTGAACCCGTAGGGAGCGCCGTCCAGGTCCAAGGTCACGAGCTCGTGCAGGTCGGTGCGAACGATTTGGTCCGCGTCCACGAAGATTACTTTGTGCAGGTCCAAAGGGAAGAGAACGTCTAGGAATAGGATCTTGTACCCCCAGATCTCGCGCTGTTTTTCGGTCTGGGGGCGTAGCCAGTGCGGCCATTTGTACGTTACTAGCTCGTATTGGAAGTTGTATTCTTTGGCCATTATCGGAATGAAATCCTAGTTTTTGTTAACAGAGGAAATGAAGGGAGGGGGTGGGTGTAAACGGACCTTGAACGATGGCGAGAGGAAGTTCTCAATGAACCAGAACTTGACTGTGTGGTTCGTATTCTTCATGACGCTGAGCATCATGATCCCCAGGAAGCGCTCGTAAAGATGTCCACTAGCAACAGAGAAGATATTGATGTCGGCCTGCGGCTTAGTTTCGACCACGTCGGTGGTGGTTGCCGAATGCAGGATTCCACTGAACCACTTCTTCGCGGTATCGACGGGTCCCTTAGCGGTCGGCGGTTCGAGCACATCCTCGTCCTCCATGCCCGGGTTCCTCGACATCTTCGGGAACAGCGTGGCGCCCTGGAAGCTCATGAGTGCGATATCGGAGTCCTCGCCAGCCGCTCCCTTAGAACCGAAGCTGTCGATCTTGAAGATCTCCCTCGACCGGCCCTCCTTGAGCCGCATGTTCCACATTCCCGGGTTGGCTTTGAACTGGAAGTACCCGAGGTTCGCCATGATGATGGTGTCGGCGAAGTGCGGTTCCTTCTCGGTTCCCAGCACGAGCTGCGCGCCGCGTGGTGGCTGCCCCTGGGCGTCACGCGAGTGCCCTTCGATCAGGATGTTCTCCAGCTCGTAGGTCGCTTCGATGTCGCCGCCGCGTAGTCGCTCCTTAAGCGATGCCAGCTTGAGGTTGTCGAGATCGTGGACGGACTCTTTCGGAGTGACGAGCCATGACGGCGGCACATCCATCGACAGCGACAGCAATGGCTCCTGGGGAATATTTTCGAACCGGGCACGTGGACCGGTGAGTTGTCTGGAAGCACGTTAGCATATCATATTGCCCCCACGGATTCGGAATACCACTTGCCCAGCAGCATCGAACTCCGGCTTCGAGTTGAACACATGGCGATAGAACCGTTTCACGGGCAACTCATTGATAGTCTTCGCGGGGTTAAGGAACATCTTGAGGTGCACACCATGCATCTGCGACAGGGCCTTCAGGAGCGGAATCCATTTCTGCGCGGTCTCGCTAGCCGGATCGATCGCGGCGACTATGCGGATCGCCGCGGTCTCGAGATCCCCCAGTGTGATGGCAGTGTGCTCCCCTTTCAGCACCTGGTTCGGAATATCGGTGCGAGCCGCGTCCGGTGCCTGGAACAGCCCCGACGAAACCTCCGAGGTGGAGGTCAACGCCACCAGACTGGTAAGCGCCGCGTACCCCAGATGACCATTCTTCAGCTTGGCGACGACGCCCAGTTCCGCGGCGGCCTTCAGTACCGGCTTGATCCGCTTGGCGTGCTCGTACTCCAAAAGCTGCTTGAAGGCCGGTCCGTCGAACGGTTCCTCGCGCGGAATCGGGCCGATAACTCTTCCGTTGACGATGATGGCCTTCTGCCCGGGGGCGATGCCGAACGTGTCCAGAAGCGGCCTGCACTCGACCCAGAACTTGCCGGCGGCGAGGTGGTCGGGATACGACCAACCCTCCTGCTTCGCAATGCCCAGCAAGGTGTCCGGGACACCGCCTTGAGAGTCCAGACCGGCGAACCCCTTCTTCGGGTTGACTTCGGCCATCAGCTCGCGCAGAGTCTCCGGCGTCAGGAATCCAAGTGCCCGGAGCTGGTAGAGCAGGCTGGAAAGCGACGGCTTCTCGGTGTTCAATTCCGGGTTATTGATGAGCATCAAGCTGACACCGGCCTCGGCCGTCTGCAGTTCCACCGCTCCAGCGAGGAGGTCATAGCCGTCTTGCTCATCGAAATCGCCAATAACCCAGACGCTAGCCTCGGCGGTGCTGTCGGACTTGTCGGTATCGATCCGGGGCAGCTGTCCAAACACCTTCTTGTTATCCTCCATGGCGGCAGCCACGTTGATGACCTTAACATCGGCCTCGGACTCGGGGAAGATGTGGGCGTTGCGGCGCTTAGCGGCCCCGTTCAGCATGACCTCGACGAAGTCGGTGTCCTCGTCCGCCTCGTTCTCGTACACGTACCGGGCGGCAACCATGACATCGCCCTGGAGCTTCTCGCTCATGGCCGAAGACCAGTCGTCATCCTTCGGTACGGGCTGGCCGTTGACGAACAGATGGGGCACCGACCCCGCGTTGATGCCGAGTCGGTTGTTCCATTGCTTCGACTTGTAGATTCTCTTCTTGAGGTCCGCGTCGGCCAGCGCATCCTCGAGGGACAGCACGGTCTTTTCGTCACGCAGCTTCGCACCCGCCTGAATGCCGTCGAAGACAGATTTGCTCGGCTTCGAAAAGTCGTTGTTCTCGAGGACGGTGTCAATGTACTTCAGTGCCGTCTCGAGCCCGTAGCGATCCGCGAGGTAGTACACCACCTTTGCCTGGTCCGCCGACTCGCGGGTCTTCGTCAGCGGGACCAGTCCGAACCGCAGAGCGATCTTGCGCTGGATGTAGATGCGGATGTTCCGCGAGATGAGCGAGAGATCGTCCTTGTCGGTAAAGTCGACCGGCAGGACCAAGTTGTGGAGGTTCTTCCTGAGGGGATGCAGTTGGCCGGGGAAGACGCGGCGCAGCAGCATGCTGGGACTCTTGCTCCACTCAGCGTACCGTGCATCCTTCTCGAGGTCGTTCATCCAGACGATCACGTCGCCGCCCTCGACGTCGTCCCTGTAGTCGAACCGCTGGACCTTATCCTCCTCCTTCGCCTGGGTCAAGATGGAGTGGGTGAGCAGGCGGATCGCCTCGGACGAGTCGAGGCCGAGGTAATTGAAGCCATTGATATTCTTCCGCTCGCGCCTGAGGTGTTCTAGCAGGGCAAAGGCCGTCATCTGCGACTCCTCCATCTGCAGCCCGTTGATCCAGATCAAGTTCTTTCCGGGCCCCGCAAACATCTCCCAGTTTCCGCGGAGCTCTTCGGTGACATTCTCATTGACCTCGCTGGCGGCGATGGTGGCAGCGTGTTTGGGAAAGTCCTGCACGAGCCGCTCCAGCGTTGCGAACGGATCCTTGGAGCCCATCACCACGCTCGCCGCTTTGTAGCCGAGCCCCGCGAGATCCTCCTTCTGCAGCGGCTTGATGTCGTGCATCTCCGAGTCCTCAAGCCCTCCCAGGGACTGCTGCGCGGCGGCGGCGGCTGCGGCGGAACCCTTCTCCTCGACGACCTTCGGGTCCTTGGAGCCACCCTCAACATCGCGATCATCCATGACCATATAATCCGTCTTCTTCAGCACGAGCGACACGCCATATCCACTGAGGACGACGGGCCTCTCGCTGCGCTTCACCGGCGGTCTATACCTAACGCGATACGAGACATGACCGGCCTTAGCATACCTCACGAGCCTCTCATGATGCTGCCTAAACTCCGGGGCCTGAATATCGGCATAGAGTATCGCCGCGGGCCGTCCCTTCACCGTCTCAAGCGCGCGCTCAAACGGCAGCGCCCTGTCATCGTTCGGAAACCGCTGCTGCCCAATCACCATGTCGCCGTACTCCCCCTCCATCTCGCACGTCTGCTTCGAGCTCCACAGCACCCACGCGGCGCACGCAGGATCGAACATCTTCCCCATGCGCGGGACCAGCGAGGTTTCATAGTAGTGGTAGTGCGCCTCGATGCGCGGCGCAGCGGCGCGCAGCGATAGCGCGAGGTTGAACGAGGAGAGGTCCGCCGGGTCCAGAAGGAAGCCCGCCGCTTGCGATGTGCGCAGGAACGAGGTGTACAGCTCGTGGTCGCTCGTCGTGTTTGCGAACGCGCCGGAGGCGATCCGGTCGAGAAGTGGGAAGTACGAGCCGCTGTGCTCCGACGCTATGGTTTCTCTAATGCAGAGTGGTCACTCAGCTTTCTACCGCGCGCGCATCACGTATGAGAGGGCACCTACAGCAGCTCGACTAGGAACGGCGCACCGTTCCAGGAAGCTTTGAGGCCGACGCTGACGGCGGGAGCTCCCGCGGCGGCGGCGAGAGCAGCGGTCGGAAACAGGAACTGTGCGATTCCTAGCAGCAGCAGCGCACTCACCCCTCCTCCTCCTCCACTGCCTAATCGTCGTCGTGGCCGCATTGTGTTGTGTTTGGGCTGGGGATTGAAGTCGTGGGTGTTCGTGGCGATGTCGCATGGATCGAGATTCGAGACGAGAGAGCTTGAAGTCGAGCAGCTGTGACGCGCGAGCTCGACGCCAAGGAGGCCACGATCACCAGAACGGAAATAGACCAGCCGAGTCTGGGGATGCGACGCTACTTTCTACGGTAGATTCCGTGTCGGCAACTACGCGAGGACGTGGACGTGGACGGGTGAGAGGTGTCAAGACTCAATGCCGGATGCAATCGTCAATGTGTTTTCAAGTCTCGATGCCATGATGTGGCCTGCCGATATCGATCATGATAGTTAACTGATCGATTGGGGTGTGGATGTGGACGTGTCACGTTTACTCAGTCCGCTCGCTCACTCCGTCAGCCAGTCCCTTCAATCCCTCAAAGTGTCCCAACCACCAACTTCCAAGCTCCCTCTCACAGCCAGTCCTCCGACAACAGCAAAATCCGCCAGCCTTCATTCTCACTTCCCCCCACCCTGCCTGATTCCTCCTTCGCCGGTGCAAACATCAAATGTGCTCACCGTTCCCCCGCTCAATCCGACCAAACACGCACAGAAATAAAAAGCCTCGCTCACGAACTCACTCACGAACTCTGTCCTCCCCCTCCCCCGCCAGAGAAAAAAGCGACAGTCATCGTCATATATGCAGCTCGCTCCCGTGCATGCGCCCGTGGACCACGCACTTGGGAATCCTATGACGACGCTGTGCCGCTCAAACAAAGCAAAAAGCGAGGGGAAAGCGAGGGGAGGGTTTCTCACGAGCAAAAGTGGATCTGTAGAGTAGATTGTGTAGATAGACAGATTGCATTGAGAAGAATCTGCTCGTGTGCGCAACACAATTTTTCAGAATTGTTTTCCACGCGTGGCCAGTCACCCACGCACAATCCCTGCCGAAGCACGAAGTAACCACGGTGGTGCTGTGTGCTGTGTTGGCGGGGCTGGACGGGTCGACAGGTGGGTAGAGTCGGGAGTCGAAGATCTGGCAGTGTTCCAAATGCTGTCTCGTCTCGTCTGCAAAACACGACACCACCACCACCGCACCCTGCACGGATTGAGCGACTGGCACTCTGCACACTACTAGACACGCGCAATGAGATAGTTTCCGACTTTGCTCGCTCTCGCTCTGGCGGAGATAAAACCCCGACGATATCCCGCCATCTTGACAAACTTCGAAGCTCGACACGAAACGAAAAATCTCGGACGCACGCACGCTTCAGCACTCGCCTTACTACCGAGAAGCTAGCACTCGCACCTTCCAGAAGTCGCCCAACTGTCAATCAACGCGGGAGCTTCCAAGAGCTAAATCGTCAATTCCCGCCCCACCAACACTACAAGCCTCAACCTCAACCACCACCACAATCGTAACTACAACCACAACCACAACCTCACCATCCACCACCCCTCCCCCACCGAAGCCAGCAACACAACCACCACAATGATCCGCTTCACCCCCACCCCCACCCCCACCCCCACCCCCACCCCCACCCCCGCCCCGCCATTCTCGCACTCCGTCTCCTCCGAGTGGCAGCACCTGCGCTTCCCTCGCACCCCCACCCCCACCGCCACCGCCGCCACAAACCCCCCCAGCACACCCTCCCCCGCCCCAGCAAGCCCGTACACGCACCAATTCCACACGATCCCCACCATGTCCACCATCCCCACCATGAACAGCATGTCCACGATGGGCACCTACCGCCACCCCGCGCCCTCCCAATCCTCGCTCTCAAGCTCCTCCGCATCCCCCTGCCCCTCCCTCTCCCCCTCCCTCTCCCCCCCCATCTCCACCCCCTACACCCCCTACACGCCCTACGCGCGCACCACAATCGAGATCGAAGAGCTCTCGGACTGCGACTCCTCCAGCTCCTCCGACTCGGACTGCGACAGCCCCAGCGCCGTCGAGATCCTGCACGGCGAGTTCGAGGATGCGCCGGAGGACTACGGCCGCGCTGTCTCCACGTGCTCTGAGTACGATTCCGATTCCGACTACGAGTGCGGCGACGAGGTTGAGAAACGCCGCTTACTCGCCGAGATGCGACGGCTGTGGATTGCTACTAGTGCGCCGGGGACGCCGTCTACCGGCGGAGGTGTGAGGAGGAAGCGCCGCTACGCCGACAGCCTGGACGGTAGTGACGACGAGGCTACGTGCGATAGCGGCTGTAGTACCGACTCTGGCAGTGGCGGCAGGATCAGGAGGCGCAAGCTGGCGCCGTCGAGTACGCAGACTAGGGATAGGGTCGAGAGGGAGAGAAGGGAGAGGCAGAGGGATAGGGATATGCAGATGGAGAGTGCTAGTGGCAGGAGTACGCCCGAGTGGATGTTGGATGAGATGGAGCTGTGAAGCGGCAAGGAAAAAAGGAATGAGGGCGGAATGGAGTTGGAGTTGGCTTTGCGGATGTTTGTTTACGGATGGCGTTGGGGTTGGAGGGGATCTGCTTCTACTTTTTTCCTTCATCTTTGGTTTTCTACTCTTGTACTTTGCTTCCGACATTAAAAGGTCTGGCGTTCGGAGAGGTGTGCTTTTTTGTTTGGTTTTTTTTCTTCGGTTTACAAATATCACTGGCGTTCCGCGGTTCTGCTTTTTGTTTTCTCTTTTTCTATCTTTTCTATCTGAGCTCTCGGAGTCTCTGGAGTCTGGGTGAGTGGGGTGTTTCTAGCTGGCAGGCTGGAGTTCGGCGTTGCATAGGTAGATCATCATAGAGTAGATGCTTGATAGCTCAAGCTACCGTACCACAGTAACTTTCACATGCAAGACATGCGAGATAACCTTTTCTTTTTTTTTCTTTTCTGAACCCTTCAAAGTTCAAACTTTGATCTTCTCCCCCGCAGAGCTACTATCCACTGAGAGCGCTCTAGAATGAGTAGATCTGCGTCCCCGCGGATCAGCTAATCGTGGACGGACCAATCGTGGAAATAAACGTCCGGCTATCTCGCCATCTCGCTATCTCGATATGATAGAATGGATATATGTGGGTATGTGGGTATCGGCAGCCAGCAGCCAGCGGCCAGTCGGAGGAGATGGATGCCGTAGGTGAAAGGCACGTACTCACTATAGAAAGCGGGGCGGGGTGCAGCCGGATCTATGGCCGCGTTATCCTGATATAGGTACCTATGATAGAGCAAATTAGAGTATCGCTGCCCGCTGCCCTGCCGCCGAAGCCGCAGTAGAACTGGGCTGGACCGGCTGCGGAATCTGGGCAGCAGCAGTAAGGGTCCTCAAAGCCACTGGAGGAGCAGTTTGTTGGACTTTAGCGTCATGCCCGTAATGGGTCAGTCTAACCCAATAAAAGCCCACAAACAGCGGTCAACTCTGAGTGACCAGTTGGGCGCTGGTTGGGAGCTGGTTGGACGCAGTGACGATTCTGGACGTCCTCCCGCACAGACAACTCTACAGCACGCGTTTAGACAATAGTTACCCTCCATACACGAAGACATCGCCAGATCTGCCAGGCAGCAGATACCTCAACCAGAAATTACACCCCCGATATAAACCTCTTCGCACGATATTTACTCAGAAAAGGGTGGGAAAATTCGCAGATTCATCAGGTTATTGTAAAGGGTCTGCATCATTGTTTCGGTCGAAATTTACGTTGACAATTTGTAATTTTCGTACAGTTGTGTTGATTGTTTGAAGCGCGTGTTTTTGTTTCTACGATACGCGGAGCATGATGTCCGAGGTTTGATAGTATCCGAAGTTCAAAAGCTTCTCAAGTTACCGTAGCAACGAGTGTTCGAGCACTTCATTTTTGCTCTATTCCTATCACAGCACTCGAGGTTAGCGGCCAACTGGTTTTCCAACCACCAACTCGCGATTTGGCCAGTTGGTGGTTGGAAACTGGCTGGCCGCTAACCTGTTACGGCAGCCAATTACACCGCATTTCCACCACACCTCCGTCCCCGTTTGGGCACGCTAAAGTCCGACCAACTGCTCCTCCAGTAGGTTTGAGGACCCTTAGTAGTAGTAGCAACAACTGGGCAGCACTGGGCTGAATCGGCTGCGGAATCTGGGGCGCATACTGCTCCATGCTCGCTGCTGCTCGGTCGGTGCTCGGTGCTCGGTGAGTGGTTGATGGTTGGCGATGCCTGCGGGAGATGCCTGTGCGAGATAGTTAGCCCACTGGACTCGAAAATTCGTCCGCTTGTACTGGGGATGAGCCTATGAGGACGGATCGAGGAGATGTAGATGGGAAGAGGGGGAAACCAGTGGCGCACAGACTCTCACTCGATGGTTTGGTTTGGTCTCGGTCTGAGTCTGGCCTGGTTGTGCTCATTGAGACTGAGCTGGTGATATGGGCTTTCGACTTCACTGTCTCCTTTTTCCCAATTCTTCACGATCCTCACAATGCTCGAAAGTCACCAATACCTCAGAACACCCCAAGTGTACAAAACAACAACCACCGTTCCGTTCCTCAATCTCCCCAATCTCCCCATCCATCTATCAGTACAAACAGGTCAACATAAGTATGATACAAGACAAACCAGCGATTCTCGCCCGCAATTGGTACATATGATAAAGCTCATTAAAGAAAACCGCCGTGTAAACATCATCCTGCTCCGTGGAAAGTAAAACAATCCCTCCCTCCGTATAAATAAAAGCATGACAAGAAACAACCGCCGAACTTTTCTGGTAAGCAATAAACTCCCTCGCTGTAAAACTTTTGGAAATGAGGAAAACAAATCAACGTGCAATGCGATGAAAATGACAAGAAAAACTATCGAGTAATAGAAAAACCGTCCGTATAATGCAAATGAAAAAAAGCCACTGAGTAATGCAAATGAGAAAAGACCGCCGAGTAATGTGTGAAGAATCACAAGAAAAATGCCAACTAACAGAACCATAAAAAGAATACCGCCTCTGGGTAAAGGGAATAACAATGCAAATCTCACCATCATCAAATGCAATCAGAAAGAAAAAAAGAAGAAAAAACACAACGTCGTATCAGGATATAAGGACAATAGTCAGTGGAAATCACCGTGAAAGGCTCAAGCAGTTCCCAAACATGGGCCAAGATGTCTCCTCGGAGCCCACAACCAATCAGAACGTGGCCAGGTCCTCAAGGTCAAGGTCGGCTCCTACCTCCTGGAGGTGCTCCTGGACACCAGCGACCGAGGCGAAAGGGTCCCGTCCGTGCGAATCCAAAGCGCTCCAATCCCAGTGCTTCTTGGACTCGGGAATGAACTCGCTCGCGACCTGAACCGGCGGAAACTGGGCCCAGTTCTTGATTCCTCCAACCTTGGCATCGAAGACCTGTTCCTCGGTCATCAAGGAACAATCAAGCTCCTCCTGGGGCTCGCCTTCCCTCCTATCCTCCCTGCCTAACTCTCTCCTCATCGCGGAGGTCATGCTGTGCATCTGAATGCGGTCGTAGACCTTGTCGATATATGCTGGATCAGGTGGAGTGACGGGCTCAGGCATTCCAAAAAGGGACGTAGCACGGTCAGGAGCGACAACGGCGGCTTGACCGACCTTTCCTCTCCTAGCATTCGACCGGCCATTTACACGTAACAGTGCCTTCCGGCGCATGTCCTCCTGACGCTTCGCTTCCTGTCTCTCGCGACGCAATTCATCCTCGAGTCTCAGAGCAAACGGCGATAGCTCAAGGGGGCGGCTAGGCTCTAGGGTTATGGTCGTAATGGCTTCGTTAGCCCGAATCCAAGCTTCGTCCTCCAGGATAGTTGTGCCAGGCACGAATCGGGTCGCCCTCTGTCCGGCGTTGCTGACGGAGTTCTTCCCCATTCGACTCCGGAAACGGTCGGCAATTGACTCGGGCTTCTTTCCGTATTCAGTCTGCCGGTGTCGAGAGCTCTCGCCTATATCCCTAGGGAATCTCTCCGGGACAAGATCATTGAGAGGGGAACTGTTGAAGCGCATAATGACGTTCTCTTTCCCCGTGCCCGTCCAATCGTCGCCTCTCTCCACAACAGCCTTTCCCTTCCCTTTCCTGTTGATGTTCTCCTTATCCTTGCCCTCGTTCTCCTTATTGTTGACCTTGTCCGTATTTGTGTCCCGACGGGAAAATGGTGTACGGAAGGAGACACGATCCTTCTTTGGAGTCGACGGAGGTTCCATCTCGAGCTGGGCCTGCTCTCTGCTGAGCACGGAGACATGGATATTCTGGGAGCTGCTCAAGGCCTGATTCGATTTCAGCGAGAGCCATGGGAAACCAGCTTGCTCCCTCTTCTTCGGAGTCATGGGAGGTACCATCTCGATTTGATGTTCAGTGCCTAGGATGTCGACATTGTCGGAGCTGCTCGAGGCCTTGGTCTTCTTCGGGGAGAGCCACGGAAAACCGGCTTCCTCCTTCTTCGGCGTCATTGGTGGTTCCATCTCGGGCTGTGTCTGAGATCCTCTCGGTCCAGAGACTCCGAGACGCTGAGAGTTCTCGGGCAGGGACTCGCTCTTCTTCGGGGAGAGTCTCATAAAACCAGCCTGACCAGCGTCAATGGCCAACTTCTCCAATTTTTCCTCCATCATGCTCAGCTTTCCGGACCACGACAGGCTACGCTTGGTGAGGAGCGGATGTTTGGGGGTCTTGGAACGCTCGTTGTCTTTGTCGTTATCGACGGTGTCGATATGATCCATGATTTGTCCGTCCGAATCGGTTATCGTAACTTTGGGGGTTTCGGCCTTCTTGGGAGTGCTATACGAGAGGAATCAGACCGAGAGCAGGAGGAGAGGAGAAAAAGATGGAAACGATGAGAAGAGGGGGATGGCGAGGTGGAGATGAAGAGAGATAGAGGGAAGAGGAAGAGGAAGGAGCCAGTGAATTTATGGTCCTTACAGTGGTCTAGTTACACCGACTCTCTCAAAAAATTCGGTCAGAGTGCCTTTACTCCTTGTGGCCGGAGGGGCAGTTGAGGCCACCGCAGCTGTCGACGAGAGCGGGTTGGGCGGTAACGTCGGGCCCAACGGCTCATGCGTGACGGGTGGTAGTGGTGTATTGCTCCCAGTGGAAGCAGCAAGCAAGCTCACCGGCTCCCCCAGCAACTGCTCCTTCTCCTCCTCCTCTAACTGTTCGCGGGTACGTCCCGTCGGCGAGGGCTTGCGCTCGAGAGGACATGATTCAAGTGCCATCAACCTTTCGTACTCGTCCTGGCAGATGAGTCCCGCAATCTTTGTAAAGTCGAGCTCCGTCTTGGGATTCCAGGCGAACTTGCGGATGAGAGGGAGGCCCAGGACGAAGAACTGATGTCGCGTAACCTCAGGATCTCCGTGTGGGACCTTGATCATAGTCCCATCATTGACACATCGGAAAACACCGCTGGGCCTCCTCGAGAGAGGCGACCATCTGAACCTGACGTAAGGAGCGCAGGGGGGCTGCCCGAATCGGAGTACAACCTTGGGATCCTGCGAGGCCAGGCCGACAATACTGATGGCACTAGCCACATCTGCGTCCAGAGGGTGTGGCTCGCCGGGAGCAAGAATAACATACGATAGGATCCACCTTGCCTTGTTGCAACAGTATCGAATGTAGTATCGAACGCGGGGACGAGTTTCCTGGGTTCTCGGAGCGATACTGAACTCAACGTGCCCCATCGTCCTAGTCTTGCCGGTACTATATGTAGTGTATCCGCTGTGCTGCAGCAGGAATCGAGGATCCTCCACGGCCACGGCCATCTTCATGCCTCGTATATCCATCAAGAGAAATTTAACAGTTGTTTCCAACAGAGGAGGTTCTGTCGGATCATATCTTTCCTCGGGAGTGACGGGACCGCTGAACATCGCAGCCATACCTTCGGAGACGTTTCTCAAGGTAAGAACCGTCTGGTTCCCGACGCTAGGTTTGGAAGGAATCCTCAGCAGATGAACGGAGATGATGAAAAAAGGGGAGCGAGTTGATGGGCAGCAAGAGACGGATTGTGATATTCGGAAGGGATGAGCTTACGAGCAGCAGAGTGGCCCAATGTGCCGATGGTAAGGGGTAGGAGCAGAGCAACCGAGACTCGAGAGGACCTCGGGTGGTGGTAAACAGGATGAGCGAACACCTCAGAGGACCTATCGGTGGTAGCAATAGACGTCTCGATGAATGAGCACGGTTGGTGGGTGAGAAGGAGATGGGGTGGAGAAATAGAAGGTTGTCGGATATGGAGAGCTCCTGAGGCCGAGCAAAGGTGATGATGAAATGGAGTGATGAATTGTGAGAGAGGGTGGAGCGAGGGGGATTGAATGACAGGAGAGAGCAGTGCGTTTGTGGGAATGTGGTGTTGGTTTACTAGTAAGAGGAATGAAATGAAGGAGGAGGAGGGAGGAGAGAGGGAGGAGAAAAGAAAGAAGAAGTCAACAGAGACAAGTCTCGACGATAGATTGACAAGGCTTGACGGAACGACGCCGCTGCTGTCGATCGAGTCCAGCTGGGTACAGGTAAGCTTGTCGAGATGGTCGTTGCTCAATGAAGCTGAGAGCGTTACACCTACAGTCTAAGCAGCTGGTAGAGCGTGAGGATTTTTCTGAAGAACGACGCTATATCAGGACCTGATTTGAAAGATAAATACCAGCCGGGGAAGTAGTATTCGTGTCGGTTCCTGGCGGAATACTTCGTGGACATTCAATTTTGTGGCGATGAGAGCTGAGACGAAAGCAACTACCACTTGATGATCATGTGCCCAGCCCAAAAGGACCTGAAGATGTCGTAGGCTGCCATCACTCGACGGCGAGTGATCTCCCATGGAAGGCCTCAGCCCGATCGGGACCGAGTGAGATTCTCTGAACTGCGCATGAAAGCACTCGGGAGAAGATTCTACATCCTCGCTACACTTCCGATGTTGCTGCAATCGGTTACAGTGGGCCGAAATGTTGTCTCGGCGGATTGTGTCTGCATGGTGGACTATACTATTTCCTTTTTCCTAATCTCCACGCTCGCGAAAAATCTACAAGTGTGATTCCAATGTGCCCTTGGTGTGAACGCTTCAGGAACAGCCTGAAAGCGCTTTTAGGTCAGACAGCGAAGATGCTGACACTGTGCGGGGCGTTGGTGCAGCATAAACTCTATCTTTTTTTCTTCTCGCTCGGAGAATTATGTACGGTACCAGCAGCTGTTGATGTGCAGCGCAGTGAGTGAGTGCATGCGGCTGGATCTCATCTCCTCATTTGCACCCCCACCGCCGTCGCCACCACCACCACACGTCCACACGTCCAAATAAGCCCTCGCCCCCCCGTTGGTGACATCGTGCGGAGCGACCAGGCATGAAGTGAACCAGTGGCTTCTTCCGTCCGGACAATCATTCGTTTACCACGCGGCCGCATGTGGAGCGCGCCAACTGCACTGCACTATGTAGAGTACATACATACCAGACACGCTCCATTTATCTCCTCGGTCCTTGCTTTCCAACGATGCCATCGCAGATGTACATACTCCCTCGCCTCATCCCATTCCCTGCGGCTTTTGAGTGCGCACGAATTGAAGCCATAGGTGGGTACTCTACCGGCAAGTCCAGCTATAAGCGCCTTGGGCGGGCGGGCTTCCTACATATGTAGAGTACATGGCGGCACGATGCGGCGGGCGAGTGAGTGAGCGAGTGGGCACCCACATGTCAGGTACTTACTTTTGGTAGGTAGGTGGGTAGCGATTGGACGGGATGCCGAGCGGGGGCGCCGAAGCGAAGGGCTCGGGTTGAGCGTACAATTGCGCAGTAACCGTCTGCAAGTACTCAAGTACCCAGCTATGGGAAGCCGTGGCGAGCCGGTCGAAGCCTGAAGGGTTGGTTTCCTCCACGTGTAACTAACGTTTCCTTCCGACCACCACACCCTACATACCCCGCCCCGCCGGAATGATCCGCGTTTAACGGTTCCGACATGGGCCGTTGAGGTCTCACGATCCGGGTACTCCACATTATTCTAGGTACATGCCGGTATCAGCCCCACATGTGCCCCCGTCCAGCAGCTGACGACCCAAGGGCCAAGCGGCCGTCTTTTCTCCTCTCGCCTCTCGCCTCTCACCTCTCGAGTGTATGGATGGATGGATGGATAGTTAAGCGTAAAGTAAAGCAAGGGAAGCAATAAGGGTGTACTATAAGTACCAAGTACTACATACACACCTTAGCACTGCAGTTGTCAGCCCGCAGCAGCATGTGTAGCGAACTCGCGAGTGCATCATTTGCACTCCTGCAAGGACTGTGGTCTGTGTTTGGGCGCAGAGTCCAATCGGGGGGCATCTCATCTTGTCGACACGACAGAATGGGGAGGGGGGGATTGGGATTGCACTTTTCTGCATGGTGCGACCGTGCGAGGGCTACTTACAGCCTACAATGCTACATACATGAGTACAATGTAAGCGCTTGGTTATATAGAGTACGCCGCAATGGAAAGAAAGATGTCGCTGACTCGCTGATGGTTTTCTTTACTTTTTCTTTCTTACCTGCTTTCGGTGGCGTCCTGCGCATGCATGCACGGTCCATCGGACATCCAGCTTTGATGCCCCTAAAAACACAGCACGACAGACGTCGAACGTGAGATGTGACAAGAGTAGAGTGAAAGTTGGGGCCCACGGCGGCGGCAACATATGTAGTCATGGCATCGTGATGCTCCAAATGATCGCCGGTTCTTGGTTTGGGGTTTGCCTGCCAGTGCAAGAACGTGGCCCATGGGACGAATGCATGCGCAGGCTCCCAAATCGATAAACATCACATCACGAACTCCGAGCTCTGACCACCGGCCACTGGCCGATCACTTCGCAGGCCCCCGCTCATCGCTGGCTGCATGTCGCCCTCCGCCCTCCGCCCGCCGATACGTTTCATGGCTATACCTAGTGCTCTGCTATACATAAGCGTACCTGTTTCGTGGCGAGTACGGTATGATACGATAGCCCCCAAAAGAAATGGTGGAGATTTTGTTTTTGCATATCTTTCAGCCACTGTGCGTCACGATTTGCGCTCTTACGGATTATATTGTGATATCCCCACCAAACCAAACCATCTTGTGAGTGGATTGGGATTTTACCTCCGAGAAGCCCCCCCTCCCCCTGACGACAGACAGATGTCGTTTGGAAGGATCAGAGTCGTTCGTCGGAGCTCGATACTACGAGTAGTGGTTACCCCCCAAATGGGGCAGTCCCAATCGTATGCACAAGCCGTCACCCGCCTCCAACAACCCAACAACCCAACCACCAACCCAACCAAGTTCGAACGCACGGAGTTGGAATTGGATCGTCCAACCGTTTCGGAATCATGTCACGTCACGCCTATAGTTACCAACTTACCATGATAGTGACAACCGGTCGCGAGCACACAGCGCGAATCTTCGAGCCGATCGTACATATGTAGATGATGTGCATGCATACGGTACGGTACGGCGCCGGGTGGGTGAGGTTGGATCTACCACAACTTCTCCTGCTCCTCCACGTTTCACGCCGTCGTCCGTCCCCCTTCCAGGTCAATACATGCATTGCGCTCCAGATAGGTGGCCAGAACGTGCGTAGCACGCCAGATAGACAGATATCCCGTCAGCCTCGCTCCAGACTCCAGGTCAGTCAGTGCTTCCCCGAAACGTGCTCGCGGCGACTTGCTTGCAAGCCTCCAGACTCCAGAGAATCTGGTAGGTATCGACCCAGGCATGGGGTCGGGTCTTCGCTCCGCGGGCGGGGGTGGCTGCGTTCATGGATGGATAAGTGGATGGGGAGTCTGGATGTGTGATGCGGTTCATGGGAGGGGGTAATTACCAGTTGGTATCGATGATGCTATGGTAGCGGTAAATCGCTGCCGTTGTGGTTTTCCCATCGGAGGGGAGGCCGATATGTCGTCTATGGGTACTGCGGCGGGGGCGGGGATCGGCCCCAAATGCGAAGAACTTCTGTGGTACTCGTTAGCCCCCACGGCCCACGGTGAACCGACACTGTTGCTCCATCGATGTCGATATTCACCACGAGTGATATCACGAGTGGCCTCTGGAAAGCGCGACGGACTGGCCCTCGGCAGCTGGACTAGTTGTCAATAGACGCCGTTCCGCGCTCGTCCAGTACGATCAGCATGTTAAGATTTCTCTGGCCGTGCTCGAGCACCGGCCCCGTGTCGACGGCCGGGAATTTCGGGAACCTCCCCTCCGCCCCATCGGCCTTCGGCCTTCGGGAACACTCTCCGCACGACCCGGACCCAAAACCCCCACCCGGCCGCAATGCATGTATAGTGGTTAGTCCGTCGAGCGACCTCAACCCCCAATGCAATGCACCAATGCACCTCGACGATCACTCCCACCTTGACGATCACCGCTACCACCAGCACAACCACCAGCACAACCACCAGCGCCACCACCACCGCCGCCGCCGTCGCAGCGTCAACGCGGCTAAACCAGTCGGCCCTGCTACTCCAGACTCCAGACTCCAGACTCCAGACTCCAACTCCAAACGGCGCACCGGCACTAGCCCACCGACCGGCCGGTAAGCGTCCGGAGCGTGGGGCGAGGGTCGTGGCCGCGTGGGGCGTGGGCGAGGGTCGCGGGGCGTGGGTTGAGCGTGGGTGGGGCGTGGGACGTGGGGCGTGGGGCGTGGGATGTGGGGTTCCCCGCATTAGCCTCAGGCTCAGGGCCCTGGCCCAGGGCCCAGGGACCGACCGATCGCTCCCCACGTTCCTCCCCCCTCCCCCCCCCCCTCCCCCCCGCGTAGGCGTGTCCCGTGAATGTACAAGTACACAGAGTACATAGCGCACTCTCGCATCGGGCGATTACAGTAGGTACCTGGTTTGTACATGCCTCATACATACCGGACCAGCAGCTTTCGAGATTTTTTTTCTTCGCATGTACATGATACCTACATAGCGGGCCGCGAAGAACGGAGGTCCCCAGGAAGTCACCAGAAAGGCAAGATCATGTACTCTAACAAACTTTACCTAACCTTACCGAAGAAAAAAAAATGCACATGTGTGCATATCTCATGGCGGGCGGGCGCCTGACCAGCGACCACGCAAAGTTGGGGGCGTGACTTACCATTTCTACTACTGCCTGCGGGGATCCAGGTACGTGCTTTGGTAGATGTACTAGCAGTTGCTGCGCCCGAGGCCCAGATCCTCCTGAAGGCTGAAGCTTTCTTTTCTCCCCGCCGTCCTCCCCGCAATCGGTCGATTCGAGGTTCGAGGGGCGGCGAAAGGTCCGAGTTAGAGTACGGTACTTGCCCATGGGGGTGTGTGGGTGGGGGGAGCGGCATCAAGGTACTTCCTTACCTAAGGACTTTCTTAGGCCTGTATGTACTGCCTATATTGGGTAGTACGTCACCGGCCACACTCTCATAGATACACGGACAGCCACGGACAGCCACGGACAGCCTTCAGCCTTCGGGGCCCACATCGACATCGACATCGACATCGTGGCGGGGCGGGGCGCGAGATTCCGCCATCCCGTGGATCTGTGATGCGGCAAGCGGTACGTATAGAGTAGTAGCGAGTCGAGTGACCGGCATCTACCGTGTGATGTATCGGAGAGCGGAACGGTGGCTTAACTACCATGATGATCATTGATGAAATCTTCACCGAAAAGAAAAGAAAAGCATTCGAGACTCGAGAGAGACATGTCTACCTGCAACATGATGCAACCATGAGTACTACAGCGCAACGCAACGCAGCGCAGGACAGCGCAGGCAGCGCAGTGCAGTATGTGCACAGTCATGTGCCACGGTACTTATCCAAGTGTGGAGTAGAGTATGTGGTACTGGGTATACCGTGTGTTGACTCCCGTCCCGTCCGCTTCCCGTGCGGTGAGTGAGTGCGTGCGGGCGGGCGGGCGTGCCGTATGTTTGACATGTTTGATGTCTGATATGTACAAACAGAACATCCAGCCAACCAAGGGAGAACGGGCAGCAGAAACAAAAACAAGCGAGAAGATCACAGACCACAGACCACAGACAGCGGGCACGGAGGAGCTGAAAGCCGCACGACTCGACACGGATCCATGGTGATCGAGGGGTTGGTTATCCGTATCATATCTAGAGTATTGTACTCTACATACCGTCCCGTATCGATATGACGATATCTTCATAGATATACGTAGGTGGCGGCGGCTCGTGTTCCGCGATATCGAGGTTTTACAATACTCACCTACCGTACCCATCTAGATGTGATACGGTATGTAGGCGCGAGCGTGCAGATGAAAAGATAAAACACTGCTTCCCGGCAGGCCGCGGGCGGGCGGGCGTGACCCTTTGCCGTGCGTGCGTGGCTGTGCAGTCGAGGGAGAGACAATGTGAGTGAGAGCTCGTGCTGAGACGTCCGTCGGGTCGGGGGGAACCGGATCGGGTGGAAGTGCAAGAACGAGACTCGAGAGCGATATAAAAATAATCCATCGCATTTATCTATCGATTATCTCCCCTTCCCCCTTTTTGATTTTTTTTCTGCTCAAAAAAAATCGATAAAAATAAAAACTAAAAAAAGTGTCTGAGACAGGCAGAAACCTCAGCCTGCCTGCCTGCCTGCCAACCGGTAGACGGCTGTGGTTAATCAAGAAGTAGAGTACTCTACTTACCCTACACTCGTCATACGTGCTTCTCCCTCCCTCAGGGCTCCATGACGGCATTGGCCGCGAGAAACATACTAAGATCGCCCACTGCACTGCACTGCACTGCTGCACTGCAGTGCGACGACGGCTCGCGGAGGATTAGCATTTTGGTTCACGATCCAGCACAGACCGGATCTACGACTCGCGTTTTTGCCTCCTCCACCTGCTGCTCCTCCTCTGCCTTGTCCTCCACCACCTCCTCCACCTACTCCTCGTCCTCCTCTGCACCCATGAATGTGTTTGGGCCGTCCATTGCGATGGAGCTGGAGCACCTAGCATATCGTAGTGAAGAGGCGTTTCTGCTCGATTCGATTCGATTCGATCCAGTCAGTGGGCCATGGGCCAGCCATGGGCCAGCCAGCGGCCAGTGGCGATCCTATCATCGTCGTTTAAACGCTGCCGACCAGACAGCCCAGCCCAATAACTAGCGCGGCACCGACGCCGCCGCCGCCAAAGAAAGGTCCCATTCGTTTCTGCCGTGGATCGCATACTAGTAGATGGCATACAAACCAGCTTACCGTGATATGATACTCGCCCCTCATATATCATACACACGCTACATAGACGCTGTGCATTACTGCGTTACTGCGTGTGCAGTGCGTGCGTATGTGTGTGTGAATGGGTGTGAATGATTCGCGGTCCGAGCTCAATGGCGAGTTCGCCTACTCGAGGTACTCTACATAGGTTGAGTACTTACGGGCCACAGCATTGGTAACTTGGGAACTTGGGATCATCGGTGGGATACTGGATGGGATGGGATTGTATGCTGAAGAAGTTGGTGGTCCGCTCCAACTCCTGGGGCCGGATTGGGAGCGTCGCCGATAGATAGATGATAGATGATACCGTACCCAAGCAGATATCCCAAGTGTCCCAACTTCCAAACATCCAACTTCCCAAGTACTCGTGGGTCGTGGCTATGGTAAATACGGTACCGGTACCCTACCTACCCACGGGTCTTCTTGTGACAACTACCAGGAAGCAGTACTATACCTCGAGTAATTATCGACGGGATAGGAAAGATGGTGGGTGATTGATGGCCGACCACGATGGCACTGACACTTTTCCATTTTCCTAGGATTTTTTTTCCTTTCTTTTCTTCTTTCTTTCAAATCTACAGCCTCAAGTGTGTGGTCTCGACTTTGTTTCCTGACTGACCGAGTTGCGTTGCGTTGAGTGAGTACGTAGAGTAGGGTAGTGAGCGACACTGTCACGGTTCGCCGGAACCGAGGACAGGACAGGACCGCGGACGGAGAATCATTTCCCCCCAAATCCCTCCCCTCCCCTACATAGCCCAAACCGCAAATCCCCCAATCCCAAACCCAAGAGTCGGAACCGTGTCTCCACGGCCCCCGCCCGGTATGCACTCTTCTCCAAGTACTCTAGCCTAGCTAACTAGCTGCGGCGACGCAGTCGATAAGAAGCAAGAAGCAAGACTTCTTCCCGGGAACAGCCTGGGAACAGCCTGGAGAGATGCCATTTCGAGAGTAGACGGTTAGCCCCCACACGGTAAGTCGTAGTTGAAACAATTCAACCCGCGCCGCTGGGTACGCTGGGGGTGCTGCGTAAGTTGGGTACGCGAGTACCCCGAAGGGCAGGAGCGATCCTCGGGCCTCCCCCTTCTGCCTCCTCCCCGTCCTTGAGGAAACGCGAACGGAGGCAGACCACTGCACCACCACTGCACCACCACCAAACAGCACCGTAGCATCACGGAAGATTTCCGGTTGGTTTTGCTCGGTGATTCTAGTTATAGCATTGGACCTAGGTAGGTATCCGGCACATCGGGACTGTGGTTCTGATTCTGATTCTGATTCTGCGATAGTTGGCTAGGGAACTGACTAGTCCGCTATAAGTAACTACCAAGACTTCTGTTGTTGCTGTTGCTTCTGTTGCTGTGTTGCTGTTGCTGTTGTTGCGTTGCTTCTGTTGCTGCTGTTGCTGCTGTTGTTGCTTCCATGTGTTGCCGGCCCATCCCCTCCCCCCCCTGCGCTGGCCTGCCCTGTTCACCGCCGCCCTGCCTTTGCCTGCCTGCCTTCCTTCCTGCCTGCCTGCTCTGTTCATAGAACCCAAGTGCCGGAGCTATCCGCATTCGTATCCCTCTCACTGACTAACGCCGGAACAGTAAACTCGGAAGCCCTCTTGCTTTCTGCTTTGCTTTCAGTTTCTGCTTCGGGATCAGTGGAGGAGGGAGGAGGAGGGAGGAGGAGGGGTTTTTTCTCCCTCACCACAGGGAAGGGAAGGGACCGGGGGTGAAGGAGCCGCGCGCCGGTCCTTCCCGTCCGTCTCCGCCGCGCCGCACCGCGCAGCGCCGCAAGGCTCATGCCGCCGATGGTTCCATAGTGGGTTTAGATTAATAGGGTTATGGACATATGGAGTATATAGAGTAGAGTGGGCAAGGAGGTTAATACGCGGCGGGTTTGTGGCTCCGCGCGAGGGTTGAGTGAGGCTCGAGTGGAGGGGAGAGTGGGAGGTGTTTAGCCGGCGTGACGGCGCGGTGGTGAGGGAGAAGCGTCGGTGGAGTAGATTATGTATGCACTGGAGTACGAGTTGCATACGCATACGCATACGCATACGCATACGCCGGATGAGGGGGAGCTGGAGCTTGTTGAGCTGGTGGAGGTAGAGCTGATGGAGGAGCGGGAGCAGGAGGTTATCCACCTGATACCGCGGCCGCCGGCCGGTCGATGGTTCGCAACCTCGCAACTTCTTAACTTCGCCCGTGCTGATCTTCAAGCTGAAGCTTGACCGGGCGCGCGCGCGAGGCTTCGGATGATTGTCCACACCTATAGTATCAGGTTGTATGTCCATACCTACCTACATAAGGTATCGACATAGAGATGAGTGTTTTCTCGGGACAGCGCCAGATCTACAGACCCACATAGGTGGTAGTCAGGTAGGCAGGTACGCGTTCCGTCGTCGGGCGTTCCGCCGGACGTCCCAAACTCCCAGCGAGCGCCGTGCGAGCGCCGTGCGCGGAGGAGTACGAGTTGCTCTACCTTCTTCTAGCAGGTATGAATGTACATAGGTGGCTATGGCATTTACCCGTGGATGGGAGCATACCCAAATAGTGGTTATCCAGTTCGGATCCTCGGAATATCGGAATATCGGAATATCGGACACGAGCCTCTCATTTTGATTTCGGGTTTGAAAGGCCGGGGTGGGGCTGTCGTTCACGATGTGACAGCCTGACAGGACGGGGTGGGACGTGACAGGACAGGACAGGATTGGAAGTGACAGGACAGGATGGGATGGGATTGGACAGGAGGGGACAGGAGGGGACGAGACGGACGTAAAACGTTCGGTACGATACGATACTAGGTATGTGGGTAGGTATACAGACAGGCTTCATCGGTATAGGCTCCATCGGTACATACAGGCTTCGTGATCGCTCGAGCTCACCGGAGTCGGAACCGGCCCTGACAGATCAGACCAGATCAGACCTGTGGGCTTCCTATTCCACCACCATGACCAACAAACCATGAGCACGGGTGAAATGGTGAAAGGAGAGGGGAGAAACAAGTCTGCGATTCCACAGTTTTGGGTGCAAGGAGAATCTTCACGGAGGAGGGGGAATGCAGGACATTCTCCCTCGGCGCTCTGGAGTTTGTGTCATCACGCAGGTCGTTCCGCAGGTTATTCCGTAGATTATTCCGTAGGTTATAGTATTCCGCAGGTTATTCCGCAAGTTATTCCGCAAGTTATTCCGCAAGCTATTCCGCAAGCTATTCCGCAGGTCCAGTATTCGCGAGTGGATTCCCTAGAAATTCGGTACCTACATACCGGTAGGTAAGCATTTACATATCCAAGAATCTAGAATCCCACATCATTATTCATACATGAATCATGATATAGGTACCCATTTCCCCATTCCATTGCCCCGAAGCCCCATCGCCCACCGCCCCCTCGTCCGCCCCGCCCCCGCGCGCATACCGGTATCTAGTTCGCTCGTATCCCTCTCCTCGCATGCATATCCCACTCCTCGTATCCCATCCCATCCCATCCCATCCCATCCCATCCCATCCCATCCCATCCCATCCCAATGAACCCATCCCTCGAGTCCGAGCAACCGGACTCCTCCACCGACAGAAGGCCAATGATCCACCTCCACCTCCACCTCCACCGACCGAAGGGCCCAAGATCCGCAGAGGGCCCAAGACCACGACCCAAGACCCAAGATCTGTAAGCTCCCTAATTCCCAAGCTCCCACCTTAAGCTCCACAACTCCCCAGGCTCCACAACTTCCCAGGCTCCCGACATTCGCTTCCGAATTGGCGGCTCCATAGGTGACTACGCACGCTCAAGAGAACGTAATTTCGATATGATACATATGATACATACATGTGGATGATAGTCCGTACGTAGTCAGTAGTCCGTACATAGTGGAACTGGTGGAACCGGTTGATCCGGCAGGACTCCGGTTGCAGTCCGGGTGTGTCGGTTGAGTCGGTTGAGTCCGGTTGAAGTTTGGTTGATGCCGTATTGACCCTGAGTCTTGACCAGTGCCTGTGATTGCCCTGTGATTGCCAGTAGGTGCCAGTGGGTACCGGTGCAAGTGCCAGTACAGGGCAGGTGTAGATCATTACATACCGGTACCGCCCCGACGGAGCGGAGACACTGAAGCGGAGAGACTGTGCGGAGAGAAATTGTTGCGAACTGGCGAACTGGGGGACTTACGGATTGGCGGACTGGCGGACTGGACTGGCGAGCTGGCGGACTGGTGAAATGAACTGGCGAGGCTTCGGTTGGTAGACTGTAGTAGGTATCGGTAGTATCGGCTACCTACTCTATGGTTATACTCTATTCTACTCTGGATGTAGATGTTCGAGGCTCGAGAATTCGATAGACCCTCTTCGAGGTGCAAATACTACATATGCATATCATACCTAGTAGGTAGGGAAGTACGCAAGTGCCCGTTGACGTTGACGATGACGTTGACCATACCGCCTTTCTTCGCCGACAGCCTTGCCAGACGGTTTCATGGGTTATGTTCGTGGGTTCGTACGTAGTACTCGTACATAAGCAGCCTCGTCTTACATCTCTAAATACCTACATATCTAGACACGTAAACCAGTTCAGGTCCGGCTCGTCTCCGCTACTAGTAATAGCCTGCTACCTAGACAGTTGATCGCCCACTACCGCCGTACTCAAGAGTCAAGACACCTACTAGGGATATCCATAGACTTCTGTACTGCGGTATGGATGTATGGATTTATGGGGTGAATGTATGGGCCACAAATAGGCATAGGCATAGGCATAGGCATAGGCACAGGCATAGGCACTACCTACTCTACTCCACATCCTCACGTGTGGGTGAGCGGATTATTATTATTGCGCCGGCATGTATGCCAACTCCATGCAAACTCCAGGCTTCAGGGCGAACGGCGTATCCGGCCGGCAGAAGCCTTCATGGAATCACGGTAGATAGATAGATACACGGAGCACCTACATGGAGTACCTGCGGTACCTTCGGTATATGGAGTGCATAGAAGGTATGTACACAGGCAGTTATCATGCCCGTGAATCATCTCCTTGTAGATAGTACATACAGACATACATACAGACATCCGGGAAGAGCCTTCACGGTAGATACATGGAGCTCGTGAATAGAGTACATGCGGTACATGCGGTACATGCGGTACATACAAAGCGACCGCTATCTGTGTTTTTCTTCTCGGTAACCAAGTATGGATGATTTCGACTAAGCTGTGCGTGCAGGAATGTTCCTACAGTAGTGAGAGTAGGTAGTCCTCGAGGCGAGTGAGCATGCAGAGTAGATACATAGAGTACATACATGGAGTACATAGAGTAGAGTACAGAGTGGAGATAATCCATCATAAGCACTAAAGCAAACAGGCTTCACGGGCTTCACAGGCTTCACACACGCTGGTGAGAAAGTAGGCAGAGTATCTAACGCGGTTGGAAGAGCGGAGTGTGAGAGCTGTACGAAGTGTGAGAGGTTTGTTCCATACAATCATGATTCCCGTCTGTGGCAGAAGCGGTGGCTTTTTTCTTTCTTTGCTTCTTTCTATCCTTCTCTCCATCTTTCCTTCTTTCAATCGTTCCCATCCACCGAGTTTGCTACCAACAATACGGAGCCCGTCTGTGAAGTACGGTGGGCTCTTTGTGTTCCGTGCTCAAACCGACCCCCACCCGGCTGGTGGGAGGTAGTACTCTACTCTACGGGAGGGAACACGGACAGACGGGTGAAGCATCCCACATGTTGTTTGCGATTCCGGGAGCGATTGAGGGGGGGGATTCTGCTGTCTCGCAGGCACACACAGGGAGAAAACCCGAGAGACTGGGGTTCTTTGTGAAAAGAAAAGAGAAGAAAAAAGAGAAAGAAAAAAGAAAGAAAAAAACGGCTAGGCAACATAATCATAAGTCCCGAGATTCCAACACCCAAGGGGACGGTGGTGGGAGCGAAGGTGGGAGGGAGGGTGGGTGGGAGCGAATTCTGTGTGCTGTGTGGGTCGGTGAGTGAAATAAAATTCCGAATGTCTCTGGGCGGACGTGGAGACGAAGGCACGGAGAAGCAGCCGACCGGTACCGGTAGTTGCTCGTCGAGGTAAAAGCAGATGCATATATCGACTTCCCCATCGAGAGGCGAGAGGCGAGAGGACGAGTACGCGGAACGTACGGTATCGCAGGTACCGGTACTGTACTCTACCGTGCTGTATCTATAGCATAATAGCAGAGTACTGTTAGGACATACGGCGCAACTACGCCTGACGCCCAAGGTCGCTGACGATGATGCACCGCCCGAATGGGAGAGAGTGCGAACTGCGCAATGCCCTCCACGGCGGCCACTCCTCGTTCGACCACAACCCTTCGCGAGTGGACTCGGCGAAATGCAGTTATTGTTGGTGTTGGTGTTGCTGTTGGGGTTTTCCCTGGCAGACGTCAGTTTGGGTATTTCGATATGTACCAATACGGTCGCGCAATTCGGTGAATTCGGATTTGGATTCGGGTGGGTGACTGTCGCGACGGACTTCTCCTGTGTTGATTTGGCGATCATCTGGGGGGGTGGGGATCCTCGAGTAAGTCAGTACGTACTACGGTACTCTACAACTGCGTGGGACATGTGCCTCGTCGTGCAGTTTTTTTTTTCTCGCTTTGGGGGGATGCAGTTTGCGAGCGAGTGAGCCAGGTGAAGGTTTCCAGGGTTGGGAATGCGAAGAGCATCGCTTCGAAAGCGGACTAGCGGTGGAGGCGGCACAAAAGCAAGCAAGCAGCAGGCAAGGCAGGGGATTGGGCATGGGATGGACGGGGAGGGAGGGGAGCAGAGGAGGGGGGGAGGGAGAGGAGGACGAGCCTAAGGAGAGGGGGGGGGGAGGGTGGGAGGGGGGATGGATGGTGGTGGTGGTGGTGGTGGTGGTGGTGGTGGTGGTGGTGGTGGTGGATGGGAGGGAGTGGGCGCCGGGGTGGGCGGCGCGCTCATGTCCCCACCACTAAGAAACTGGTTGCTCTTCCCGGCAACGCAGCCACCATCCCTCCCACCCTCCATCCACCCACGACCACCCACCCCTGCCCAACGTCTGCTGCTCCACACTACCCGCGCCCGGCCCTCTGGGTCCCCCATCCACTGCCCGCACGCCTCCTGAAAACCACGAATAAACACTTGCCGTCCCCCCATCCACCCATCGCCATCCTCCCCTACATATTGATTGTCAAGTCCGTCGAGTATCTCAACTGCCTCCATTCCTTCAGTCAATCACTGCAACTCTCCTTCGCAACTCTCCCTATCCAGTCCAGGCACAACCACCATCCAACAATCAAACAACAATCAATCAGTCAATCAGTCAATCAAACTACCACACCATCACACCATCAGATCAAACACTCTCATACAACCACAACTCCCGCAACCATGTCACAATACTCTCCAACATCGTCGCCAACCAGCCCCACAACCGGAATGGCTATGAATTGGTGGGTACATCTCGGCACGATCGCGGATTCGCAATGCTGACGTCCGATTCAGGGTCCTCGGCCATGTCCTGACAGATCCCGAACCTTACGCTACCAGGATGAGGCTGCCGCTCCGCATCATCTACACCCTGAACTGCCAGACCGCCTCGGCTTCGCCCGCCGACTTCAAGACCACGCTCATGGAGCACATCCAGAAAATTCCCGAACAGCACTGCACACTGCCTCCGGTTTTCCTGACCACCTTCATCAAGGACTGCTTCCCGCAAACCTTCGCGGATGTCGACTTCGACAAGGCCTTGACCGCTCTCGACTACCTGTGCGACCTCGAACACCGCCGCAAGAAGGAGCTGGAGAAGGCCACCAAGGCGCGCGGCGAGCACGACGCCAAGATCCGCAACTTCAAGAGCAGATCCACCAAGCTCGATCGCACCTACGCGGTTGCGCTCACCGGCATCAGACGCTTCGTAAGTCATCCTGCAGGCATCATCCTGCATGATATCACTTGCTGACTCCTGCACAGACATTGGCCAATGAGCTCGCACTGCCCAGGTTCAACAAGTGCAACTGTGTCGCGTTTCTCAACACCCTCTACCCCATTGAAGAGGAAGACATCAACGCCGTCCTGACCGCGAGCACACTGGCAGTACAGCGCCAAGCTCTCTGGAAGTACATCATCGCCGTCGAGAAGAACGGCCCTGGCATCCTCGACGCCGTCCGCAACCAGTCCGAGTGGGAGAAGATCAGCAACAACGTCTACGACTACTGCGAGCGATCGCTCGCCATGATCCAGACCGCCGAAGATCTTGCGCGCCCTGCCAGCTACGGCAGCTTCCGGTCGGACGCCAGTGTCGAGATGATGGAGCCCATCAGCCCCAAGAACTCGTACGGAAGACGCGACAGCGGCAACGACTCGTCGGAGTCGGAGTTCGAGGGAACCGGAAAGAGGAGTACCCTCGAGAAGATTGTTCGCGGTCTGGCAAAGCTCGGAGTCTCGAGCCACTCTAAGAAGGTGTACCACTCGGACTGGAACGCGAGCTCGAAGAACGTCTACACTACCGGTTGGAACCAAAGTTCGAAGAAGGTCTTCAGCACCGACTGGAATGCGAGCAACGATGAGGTCAGACATTACAACTAGTTTGACTCGTCTGTTCGATTTCTTTTGGTGTTTTTGGGGACAAGGCGCATATCATGACATACGAATTACGGCATAAAATTTCAGGAGTATTTTCCATACACGGCTTGGGGCGACCCGGACAAAAAAGCAATGGTCGGCGGACAGTCAACACACTCATTTACGACTTCCGAATCGACTCTGCACCTGGCATTTGATTTTTATTTTTTCTTTTGTATTTTTCCTTTTCCTATCGTACTTTTCGGGACGGGGACGGGGGGTTGTTTCCTTTCATTATTATGGAGTTTTTGGGGTCTGTTTTTTTTATGTTCTGTATTGTATCGGATTGTCCATCTCATCGACTGTGCTGCCACAATTTTTTCCTAGCTTTCCTTTTTTTTTGTCTTTCTTCTTTTTTTTTTCTTCCTTTACCGGGAGGGGGCTCGCTTTGGATCAACCTTTTAGGCGTTGTGTTGTGCTATTTGGGCGGAGTTTGGATTTTTTTTCCTTCTGTTTTTCCGTTCCGGCTTGTTTAGCTGGGCCTGCTCTAGTGGGCGGTTGTATGGCGGCATTTTTTTAACGCTCTCAAAGTCTTGAGACCTGCACCGCTGCTTCATGCTTGTAACTTTTGGTATATAGTGTTTTTCTTTCTTTTCATTTTCTTCATTTTAGCTCCGATGATGGAGATGGATCTGGCCCGAGGGGGGAGATTCAATGACGACGGCGGGACACATAGCGCCGTTTACGGTGTTGTTAAGGAAATAAATAAAAATAAAATAAAATAAGATAAAATTGCAAACTGAACTGAACTGTGAACTGAACTGAACTGAGACGGAAAGAAAAGAAAGGATGAAGAAAAGAAAAGAAGGGAAAAAACAAAAAACAAATCTCCAATGCAGGATGCGTTGTGAACTTTACTTTGAAATGTTTGTTCGTTGCTAGCAGTGTTGCTGTGTTGCTAGCAGTGTTGCTGTTTTTGGTTCCTGGATCTGCGATGATGGAATTGGGATTGCAACGGGACAGTTGTTAGTCTTTTTCCAGTCGAGTCGGATGCATGTGTTTGCAAAAACTTTGCATGTGAACGAGCGAATGCATCTGTCGACGCTGGAGGGAGACGATCGAAAACCTAAAAGGAGCCTACAACTTCACGGGGCGTGGGGGTGTGTGGGTGTGCGGCTCCGAAAACATCTCGAAAGTTTGAGAAACGGCGATGCAAGGACGTTTTCGGCGCGGCGGACGGGGGAGGTTCTGTTTGTAGCTTTTTTTTGTTCTTTCTCATCAGACCTTATTCCGCATGATGCTGTTGACGGGGACGGATTGACGAACGGTCAGACGGGCGGGAGGACGGGGACGGGACGGGCGGGCGGACGGGCGACCGCAGGAACGACGCAGGAACGAGAGCGGGTTGAGAGTCGAGATTACATACCAGGTATTCTTCATATCAGAGCAGGGCAGAACATGACTTCACAAGTACTTGCTCTGCTTCTCTACTCTACTTGCTCTGCATACTTGCCTCTCTCGTTGCCGGCGTGTTTTCTCGTCCGCCTACGGTATGTATGCAATTCTGATGATCTGCTACATACCCCATACATATTACATACCGATCCCTCGAATGCCGACTACTATTTACATATACAGGTACCGTATGTATGATTTGTAAATTCATACTTTCGTGCCGTTACCAATTGGCTACATAGGTAGGTTCAGAACCTAAACCCGCATCCAAGCACGGAGCCAACATCACGCATCCAATCCCCATCCAACAGCCCGCAGCATCCAACATCACGCCGCAGTACGCCGCAGGGGGGCGAGGGCGTGAGCATGGGCGCACGTGGGGGGCGTTACTCTACTCTACTCCAAAGCGAGGCTGGCTCGAGGCCGGAGATGGAGACGCGAGGCTCGACTACTCTACCTACTAGTATGAAGCCAAGACCTAGCCCGCGAAGCTGACGGCGCTACGAAGCTATGAAGTACGGTAGATACGGTAGATGTGGAGACGAGCCGCGGCCGGCCGAGGACCACGGGAACGAGGATCGGAGGATCGGAGGATCGGGGGGTCGGGGGTTACTTGGACTCTGGAGAGATCCACCGAGACGTAATCATAACGAGGCTGCGGGCCCTGCGGTCATGGTCATGGTGCGGCGGAGGATCTATCCCAGATCTGCTCTACTCTATGGTATGGAGTATGGTATGGGGTACGGTAGATATGGGGTATGATAGATATGCACGCGCGAGGCTCGGGCTGCGGGTTGCGAGTTTCGAGTTTCGAGTGCGTGAGCGAGTGCGTGGGCGGGCCCGCTCGTTGCGGTCATCATGCGGATCCTTCATCATACTCTACATACCCACCTGCGAGGCTTCGCTGCGTGCAGAGTAGTTTGTTAGGGGGTACATAGGAAGGATGGATGGATGGATGGATGGATACTCTATTCTACATACAAGGACAAGGCTTCAGGTTAGGCTTCGATGCAGATGCAACTCTACACACGCATCACCTGCTTGCTTGCTTGCTTGCTTGCTTGAAGGTGCCGCCGGCAGTTGAAGTTTTCCTCTCCTCGGCTTTCTGTCGTCTACGATCATAAGCTGCAACGTCTAAAAAAAAGAAGGAAAAAAGGAAGCGGGAGAAAAGGAAGCGGGAGAAAAGGAAGCGGACGACTGGCTACACTGGCCCGAACGGGAATCCGAAGAGGTTTGCGCGAGAGACGGCGGCGGGGACGCACCTGATCTATCTTTTGACGAGGCCGCCAGCATGATATGATGTTCATCCCGCGCGCGCATCCCACGGAGTCTGTATGATGATGATGCGCGACTAGTACGTGCGGGCGGGCCAGCCTTCATGTCATGACCAATTGCATGGCTAGGTACTGCCGTGGTAGGTAGGCGGGCGCGAAAAAATGGTAAGCCTTGGGGGTCGAGGTCGCCATCTTCGATTCCGCGCACGACGACGATGGAGACTAACTGCAGTGGAGTAGCGTGGCGTCCGAGTTGTTCGTGTCGTCGGAGACGACGACGATCCGACGTTTCGACCGTGTCTGTGTCTGTGTCTGTGTCGGTGCCGGTGTCTGTGTCGGGCAGTGCGCGGGAGGGGGAGGGGTCTCGCCGTCCGTCCGTCCATCCGTCCGTCTATCCGTCCGTGATACCGGTCGAGCCCCACCACTGCTGACTGCTACTCGCAAGCCTCGTTTCGGGTCGTCTCCACTGCACTGCACAGCCATCATATCATATCATATACGGTAGCATCCGAGACCCACCCCCCATCCAGCTATCAATCACCGGATTATCACATTTCTCCAGGCTGCTGGGCTGCTGGGCTGCTGGAAACGACACAGACCTCCGACGAGCCCTCTCCTCCGCCGCCGCGCCTCCGAGCTTCTTCTCTGTAACCGAACGCATGCAGTGCCTGGCTAGATACTGTCCCAGGGGCGTGGGCGTGCTTGCCCAGACGGGATACGATCCTCCACGCAAGCATGCGACGGATGGGCGACCGGCGTTGGGGGCGGCATGTTTTGAAGTCGGTACTAGTATCTAGAGCACATAGTGGGACGACGACGGGGGCAATCGCACCGACAGCGACGCCGAAAATCGTCCGCCCCCATGCTGCCCATGGTAAACCGTGCCGTGGATCTATAGCGAGAGTTAATTAACCCCTCCCCCCATCCCATCCCCCCCAATTCCCTCCCCCCACTACCACCGCAAGCATCCGACCGGTATTATGTACCAACTTATGTGCTATAGATACATAACGACACCCCCCCCCCCACCCATTTCATCTCCGGCCGCTGCTCCCAAGAGAGGTATATACGCATGTGTATGTATCTCCGCTTGTTGTTAGTTTTTTTCTTTCTTTCTCTTTCTTTCTTTGTTCAAGCTCTGGATCTCTTTTAGCTTTTTCCAACTCGTCGGGTTGGTGCACGTGTACTAATTTTCCCTACCCACCGCCCTGGGAGGAGGAGCAGGAGGAGAATGAGGGGGTGTGAAGAAAAAAAACAAGATCCTGAAGCCAAAGTAAAAAGCGAAATTCTGCAAGGAAGAATACCAAAACCGTCTAACGGAAATCACATCGCGGCCCGTGTGGTGGTGGAAGTGGTGCTGGTGCTGGTGGTGCTGGTGGTGCTGGTGGTGCTGGTGGTGCTGGTGCTGGTGGTGGGTGATCCGCCGCGTTGGGTCGGTTTTGGGTCCGGTCCGGTGGCTGGCATGGGTTCGCCGTTAGTTACTCTAATTACGTGGTCGTCCTCCTCCTCCTCCACATGCTCCTCCACATCCTCCACATGCTCCTCCACATATTCTTCACGGATACAAGACGATTTTGTTTATATAGCCTGTTTGCAAAGCAAAGAGTCGTGATGTGTGGCTTGCCACTTGACTTGCAAGTTGTCTCACGAGTGAGCATTTACTCTAGCAGTGGGCCCGACCGTGGCTAGCTACCTATGTAGCCCTGGTGGCTCATGTGGAACTTCCGCCGTCCACCTATAGCATAGCATAGACAGCACCCCACAGGCGGAGAGTCGGACTGTCGGACTGTCGGCAGCTGGCTGCAGAACAAGCGGAGTCAGACGCTGCAGAAGAAGAAGTGGAAGAACATGGCAGAAGGAACGTAAGTCTCACCACCCCCTCTTCGGTGAGACAGGCTAGCTGTTATGCTACACGCTCGTAACTAATGCGGTGCGGTGCGATGGTTGCGGTGATGCAGTGGTTAGTGAGGTACTTGTTAACTAGCGGTTGCTTTGGGTGATGCTGGAGGTGCTACTGCTGGTGGTGCTGGTGGTTATGCACATATCATAGGTAGGATACCTATCGGCCTATGATATCTGCCTATGATAGGTACCTACTCTACCGTACCTATGCAGCGCAGCGTGGTGAGGTCGTGAACGTGGGCGTGGGCATTATAGGGGACGTAACTAAAGCATGCAGTTATGGGGGAAAGGTGCGCCTGTCTCGTCGGCGACTCGAACTCTATGCCCAAGTACTGGGCGGAGCAAAGCTCGCAGGGGCAGCGCCTATTTTCCGTTTGAACTTCGAACCTTGGCGCAGGTGGTGCGCAGGTCGTACGCGGTTGCGGCAGCGCGCGTGCGTGTGTGCTATGCGTGTGTACTATGCCTCGGTGCTATGCGAGGGTGCGTGCTGTGCTATGCGTGGGTGCGTGGGAGGGTGTTATGCGCGGGAGGGTGCGTGGGTGCTTGGGTGCTGTGCTCGGTGGCGTCCGCCCGTGACCCTCCATCTGTCAGCATCGAATCGAGGCGAGGCGACAAAAGGGGGGGAATCGCATCGCATTGAATCGTAGATGCTGGCCGATCGGGGAGTCGGGCATACGATTGTGGCTGGGTGTTGGATGGTCAGAGGATGATCGTTGGCGCTGGAGGGCGAGCGGGTGCGGGGGGCGCGGGGGGCGCTTACCGCATGGATACTCTGGATGGGTAGGTATGCGCAGTTGGGCTTAGATAATCGCTGTGGTCGGTGGTGCGAACCGCTCCGAAGCCTAAAGGAACGTACTACATGCGCTATGTTACCCACGATACTAGCGGTATACTGGCGGCGGTTGCTCGCGCGACACCAAGGGCCGGTAATATCGTTCGTAGTAGGAACCAAGGTAATGCTCCCGGGTGCGTTGTAGTCTGCGTCGTCGTTCGTTCGTTCGTTCGTTCGCTGGCGAGCGAGCGAGCGGGTTGGCGGGCGGCCTGCGGCCTGCGGGACGGGCGGGTGGGACGGGCGGCTCGATGGCACCCGACCACGTATGTAGGTTGGTAGAGTACCTAATCTACCTAATCTAGGCGGGGCGGGGCGGGTATGCACTTTCCTCGCGGCACGGTGCAGTTATGTATGTAGAGTACTCTAGGCACCGTGTAAAGGCCGGAGCGGTTGGGCTATGGACACTACATACACACTACTAACCTACATATCGGCTTGAAAACAACAACCCAAAGCCTATCGAAGGCGAAGTGCATACAGTGCAGTACGGGGACCGACCGACGAACCGCGTGCCGCGTGACGATTGCGGAAATGCTATCTACTCCGGGGTGTTGGGCGGGTGGGTGTTGGAGACGGGAATATACCGCTCGGTGTCAACTCGACCCGCATAGGTACGTGCCTAGGTAACGTGCCTCTTGTTCTTCCAGCAACGGGTTACGGTTGGCGTGGGCCGTCGTGCACGGTGCAGTTGTGCAGTTTTCCGCTGCGGTCCGGGTGGAAGGAGGATGCGGCGGCGGTGGTGGTGGTGGTGGTGGTGGTGGTGGGGGAGGATGGTATCTCGCAACACGACGCAAGATGGAAACACGATGCGGAGCGGCTGCAGGCTGGGGACACATATACACACACACTGCCGTATTTACATACACTGCCGTACTCACGCGTCGAAGCCCACGGGCTGAACCGACCGGTCGGCTTGCATATTCCCATCGAGCGAGGTAGCTGCAGGTTTGAGTCGGTTTCAAGGAGAGATTCAGCACCGTTGGCAGTTGGCATTTGGCGGTTGGCAGTTCCGTCCAGTACACACTGTGCATACATACTACTTGTCTACATACAGACTTGTATGTAGACAAGTAAGCACCTAATGTACCCAGGCTTGGAAGAAGAAAAGCAAAAATCATCGAGTTGGATCCCAAATGTCTGAGATGCAATCGCCATCACAGTTTAGCGGAAGTGTGATGGGCCGATAGTTACCTTAGGTCCTCCTTCACCTCGGTACTCGACCAATACGACAGTCGAGGAATTGCAGAATTGCAGCACGAATTGAGTTGAGTTGGATATCCAACATCTGCACCTGCACGGCACGGGCCCTCTCCGCCGCCGCCGGAGACGACTGATCGTGATTCGTGTCGCCTCTGGCTGTGCACGCGGCACGGACAAGGGGCACTCGTTGCCGCGTTGATGGCTACTAATGCTGTTGGCAGGCGCTGTGTGCTGGCTACTGAAGTTTTGTCTGACGAGAACCCCCCGAATAGCGTTTCGGAGACGGGAGAAGAAAAAAAACCACATGGTCACAGACAATCACTCGTCTTCTGACCGCCCCCGCCCCCTTCCAGACGAGTATCCGGGGTCACTCCCGCTGTTCCTCCGCACAACCGCCTTCATGGCATCACCTGATGAAGGTACAGGGCAGGGTGCCGGGCGGGGGCGGGGTGAGGAGCGGACTATTCTTTCCCATGCATAGCTTTAATTCTTTAGTGCGCTCTATCTATCTTTATCGCTGGGACAGTCCGGGGCGGTGGGCAAGCGCTGGAAGCCACATCAGGCCGCTCGACGAAAGCCGGGTTGATCAGTGGCGGGGAAACGGAGTGTGTATGGCCGAAGGTTGGTACATTGCCATGATCTACACAGAGATGGGTCGTATGCAAATCAATAAGTAAACAAACAAACGAAAAAGACGTATATACGAGTATCGATCACATCTTTTCCTCTCCGTGCAGATGTAGAGTCCATAGGAGCACCTACGGTACTCTACCGACCTGCAGTAACTAAAAGCTTTTTTTCATTCTCCACCTTCTCCACCATCTCCTCCACATTCCCGCTGCGGGCTGCGGGCTGCGGACTATGAGCTACATACGGGCTATATCAGAGGATTTATGCTAATGATGCGATGCACATCGCTTGCTTAGCCGCCCACTCGCTCGCTCGCTCGCTCACCCACTCCATTCATCCGCAACTTATTTACTAAATACCGTATATAGCCCTGTGACCACGGTGGCTGTTGGCCGTTGGCCGGGTCGGCAAAATGTCTCTCCTGCCGAGTACTAGCATGCACTGTATAGAACCGGTAACGATGTCGATGTCAATCCCCGGAATAATGGGAAGCAATCCGGGGTAAACAGTAGGTAGGTGGTAGGTACTCTATGTAGTAGGTAGCCGTTTGATGCACCGTACATTAAAGAATGTATAGTATGAGGGGGATCACCCCCCGGAGTCGGTTCTTGTTTCCGGTTGTTCGGGTCATGTATAGTATGGGGATGGGTAAATATGAATATGATCGTCGAGCCGGAAGGAGGGGAGGGGAGCACGGGGAGGGGAGGGCAAAGTGCTCGATCGTTCCGCCCGTCCGCACTAGGGAATCGTCACCTGATCTGCCCCCCGCCATAGTACCGCTGCGCTTCGCAAATAATGTTTTTCCGAGTCGCCGCGAATGCAGCGGCCCTGGTGACATCATTTTTTTCGGGGGAGGGGAGGATTCGATCATCGCTGCGTTCGATCGCGGTGCATCTGGGCTGTGTGCATGGCCGTTTCCACCCCTATACACACTGTCGCCAAGGTGACATCATGCATCACGACTCGACTCGAGCGGATGCACTAGAGGAGTACAGTGGTACATTACATCTCACTCGCTGATGTGGTTGCAGAGGTGGGTGGGTATGAGCACGAATCGTTACTAGGTAGTCCTTGGAAAGGCGAATGACAGTCGTGCCGGTTGTGCGAGATGGGGGTACTCGAGAGTTGGTATTCAGACTGGCGGGGTTTCCTTTATCCCTTCGCACGCCGTGACACTTCACGCCTGCCCAAACATAGCTGACAGCGATTGGAGGCCTGCAATGGAATCTGCCAGCAACATCTCGTTTACTCACGCATGCACTTACAAAAGGTCTCTGACGTCCCATTCACTGTCACGTTCCATTCACTCTCACGTTCACGCACCCAGCATGAGTGTCAGCAACGCAGCGTTTACTTTGCGCCCACATTTCCCTGGAGACATGACCGATCAGTTAGGAGCCTCGGCGGCAACCGAATGCGAGGAACACGTATCTTAGAGTATGCATACACTCTGCATTCTACTCACTCGACGTATCTACATACATGCACCGGCGAAACCGTGCGATAGGTAGCTAAGGTATCTCCCAACTATTGGAAGGACTCGGGGAGGTGATCACTGGAACGATGGAGATGGAGTGGAGTGAGATGTTCGTGTCTACGAGCTTCAGCTACAAGAGAGAGAGAGAAAGAAACCTAAACTTGGAACTTGGACCTGCTACCGCATCAAATGTTCCAAGCACCAACCACCAGTCCTTCGAACGGCTAGTGGACTACTCACAGGAACACACTCGTTCCCACACCAACACGTCGACGGTGGGCGTTGGCCTCGTTCTGCAGCCATATTCTCCACTATAGTAGTATAGTAGTTGGGTAGCTCTCCCCTCCCATTCCCCTTGAGCATCCTGTTTGGAGTTCTCCACCCTACAACTTCCCACGCCATCACTCCCGCCTACTTCCGACCTTTACACGTATGCACGACCAGCCCTTCCCAGCCCCATTCACCACTCACTGACCGGCAAGCCCGCCTACTTCCAAGCCTCATACGTACGACCAGCCCTTCCCAGCCCCATTCACCACCCCACAACTTTCTATGCCATCAGTTCTAAGGAACGGCGAGACTAGATGTGTAGGGTGTCATTACTTCGTTATCGACATGGAAATACATTATACACCCGCCGAATGGCCCGCCTACTCCCAACCCTCATGAGACGATCAGCCCTCCCAGGTCCCATTCACCACCCTTCCTAGCCCCATTCACACTCACTCACTCACCAGCGATCCCACCAGCCAACAACCCGACTGACGCGATCGGCTTCCCAAAGGCGGACCCCTCCTTCTGAACCTTCGTGGGCCGCTTCCACAGCATCCACCACTTCCTCCCCATCTCTTCTGCCTCTGCCTCCTTGCGTCTCTGAGCCTCTTGCTCCGCCGCAATAATGGCATACGGCCGATCGCTCTTTAGGTATTCGCGCTCCTCCATTTCCCGGGCGGAATTATCTCGCCGCTCGCGGAGCCACACCCAGAATCGCCACAGCACGAAGCACAGGAAAATTCCGCCGGCGATGCTGAGGACTATTATGAGGATCAGACGCGTCTTTTCGTCACTGCGGGAACTGTTAATCTGTGTGAAAGGGCGGAGAAGAGGATATGTAGGTATCGTACGTGACGCCGCCGCCGCCTCCGCCTCCACCACCTCCTCCGCCGCCGCCGCGCGGGGCTGCAGTCGCTATACGCGGGAGAAGGGAGATAACGAGCAATGGTACTGCTATCGAAGTCATCGATTGGATTGGATTGGAATCGCGGCGAGTGAGATGGGATGAGAGATGAGTTGAGAGATGAGTTGAGTGATGGGGTAAGTGATGGGATGAGTGATGAGACAAAAAATTCTTCATGAATGAACGTGCACGAGCGGGGTATTTATCATCATCCATGCTGTAGGCATACGGTATGCCATTAAGCTTACCTCCTACATACTGTCTCAGGCCCACATGAGATCTCCACGTACCATACATATCGCATGCGCCACAGGCACAGGCACTTGCAATTTCAGCATAAGCCTTGGCTCCAGGTCACCCCTGCCAACACACCCGAAAGTCGGAATATTATTAGGAGAGGCTGTACTCTATATACTCGCCTGGGATAACTATGCTAATAACTAGAGATGTTCGCAGGGCGATGCTTAACTTCCGTTGGGTGGCCTAACTAAGCCAATGGGCGGATGTATATCGAGGGTTAGAGGATTGTTCCACGTCGGTACCGAAGCGCGCACTTCACATGAGTGGGAGGTGTTGTGAACTCGTGATCTTCGATTTCTCGAACGGTGTGTACGACATGGGTTGGGTGTTGGGCGTGGGACCGCCCGGCGTCAACGGTGCTTATGTCATCTCACTGCTATTACTCTGAGATCAGAGACTCGGGAGCAGAGACCTCGGATGTCGCTAAAACCAGGCGTTTAGTATTATGATTCGTACCACACGTTGCTCGATGCGCATTGCGCAGCGGTGCCAACTCCGGTAGGGTCTGACTGATCAGCGTCTGTACCCCGCCTCGGGCGCCTCAACCTCGCTAGATCTCCCGTAGGTATCATCACCATATCCTCGGCAATCGGTGAGTGCGCAGAAAAAGGGTCATACGCATTTCGTGCAGCGGCTGTGTACGTGCATGGGCAGTGCGGGGAGGGGATATCGGATATTGTGGCTGTGAATGTTTCACGGAGTAGCACTCGCGTGGAGAACTCTGCCTTGTGTTCCAATATCTGTTTAGCTTAACCATGCTAGAAGGCACGAGCCTTTACCCTCTTCCCATATCTTCTGTTCTCACGAGGCTACAGCCTCACACTTCAATAATACACTGTTCACGACTACATCTCACTCTATTATGAATCGCCGCAGATGACGAAATTATCTAGAACACAGCGAAACTAAGTAGATACCTAGCTTCACTGAATACATGCCTACCGTAGTCTCGGTACAATCAATACGATAGTCTGTGGATAGTAATTCCGCTAGCTCTCAGTAGCCCTTACGTTGTCACTGCAGCCTAGTTAAACGTACTCCGAATCACGAACGACGATTCACCACCTCAACCCGTACCCGTACCGTAAATATCACTCGATCGCGGGACTAGGCCTACCTGCCGTCTCGACTTCGTGAATGTGACGAAGTAACGAGCTGACCCGAGCGGTAGCTGGGGTTGTCATCACTTCGAGATGAAGATATCCTGAGAGAAAAAGCTCGAAACTCTACTGTGGTGGTCCACGATTGAAGCAATAGTTACTCGGCGGCGGATGTACGATATACACGGCTCAGGACGAAGTTACGCTCACGACGAAGACTATGGCGATGGATACTAGTACTAGTAGCTCAGAGGCCTGATCTTGCTATTGCCAGAGTAGGAGGTAGTTTATGAAGCCCTTTTCCGAATCTGAATCTGAATCCGATAATTCACGTGGATCAAACAGTAGACAAACACACTGCGGATAGGTGTTTGGGTAGGGCACGACAACGACCTTTAGGGCTGTGAGTACTTGCCCCCTTCAAAGCTTTAGGGTTGCGATTTCTTGCCCCGCGATTTCTGGCTTCACGCCCCACAATGCAACACAAAACCCCAACGACACAACCACACCACTGCTCTTCTCTTCTCTTCTCCTCATCTTCATATCTTTTCATCTTCTCACCTTCACAACACAATATACCTACCGACACAAACCATTTCACAGCAACAACCAAAAAACTCACCGTCATGCCCGCCACGAGACACAAGCTGGTCGCATGGCCGCTGTGAAAGGTCCACAGCAAGCGCCTAGCCTCACCAAAGATAACGCGGAGAACGAAGTGGCATCCGCTACCGAGGAAGACAGCAACGACGAACGTTGCGTGGTCGGCAGCGGTGATGGAGCCAACGATATTTCGAGAAGGGGCCCTGCACGTACATCTGCGAGTGTGGCGATGAGATCGGTTTCAAAAACATGAATACTGGAGGTCCCTCGGGACCGGCACTTCCGCGTGGGCGCGGAAGATGCGGCGACCAGATGGTCGCCGGACAACTCCTTTGGAGGAGGAGATGATCGCCGCCCACCTCCGTATGCTTCCCTCCAATATTTTCGTCCGCAAACTGTACTGACTTTCATAGCATCTGTACCTATAAAGGGCAGTGGTGTGGCGTTTCCCGGTGGCGTTTTCCGTGGCTCAACCCTAAGTTTCCGACCGTCGGATTTTGCAGGTGACACATTTAAGTCAGCACATCATAGGTGGTATGTCACATGTGTTGTGGTTTCTCTTGACGTTTTATCGCTAACTGTGGATAGCACTGATTTTGACCGGGGTCGGTAAAGGGGAACGTGTGATGATTCCGAAGATTGAAGTGGTCAGCGCTGCTGATGGGGACATGTCCTTCAAGTTGATCCGGTTGCAATATCCGGCTCGCTTGGCCTTTTCAATGACGATTAACAAGTCCCAAGGGCAATCCTTACGACATGTTGGAATCGACATCAGAGAGGAAGTTTTTAGCCATGGGCAACTATATGTTGCTCTGTCTCGGGCAACCAGCAACAGGGTAACCGTACTGACACCGGAAACGGTAGCTGGGCATGATGGATTGTGCAGGAACGTTGTCTTTACGGAAGTGTTTGATGATTAATTGCGGGGTTTTAAATATTTTTTTTCGGCAATGGTGCAAGTTTCTTTTGATGTGTATGATGGTTTTTTTCTTTTTTGTGGAACGATTTTCTTTCCCGGCAAATTGAAGGCAACTGCATCGTGTCTCCCATAAATGCGCCCTGACCGCAACGTAAATACAGTAGCAAAAAGTAGGGTGCGATTGATACGGGGTGAATACCGTAGTATTGAGTACTACGGTATTCACCCCGTATCAATCGCACCCTACTTTTTGCTACTGTATGTACTTATGACTTTACATTAAGTGGCGCTGGTCTAATGACCACACACCGTGTGGTCGTCACACGGGTGTCTACTAGTCAGCAGACGTGGACCCTCTGCTGTAGGGTTGTAGATAGGTCCGAGTGACGACGGATGTACGGAGGTAGATAGACTTCGGGTCCTCGACCCTCTTCCCAATCAACCAACCTTTCCCCACCTACTACTACCAACACTTCTCTACATTTGGTAGCAAAACCTCAATCAAAACAAGCGTACCTCGTTACTTGGTAACGTTCCTTACGCTTGACAAGGCGAGACGAGACGACGAAACCGAAGCGCATCGACGAAACGACGGAAGCGATGGACCTCAGGAAACATCGACAAGGACGAGCCCATGACCAGCAACCTTTGGGGTCCCGCCCCGCAGATGAACCCCACTACCATTCCCGCTGTCGACCCCGCTGTGATGGCGGCTTTTGAAGCAGAACACCAGCGTCGAATGGTGGCCGTGCGCAAGGAGCATGATCGACAGATGGTGGAACTTCACAACCTGCAGCAGCAGCAGGCGCGACAGCACACTTCGACTCCGACCCCGCGATGCCCGCTCGACCCAATGTCCTCGATCCCAATTATATCCAGAAGCAGCAGCTGAAGGTGATCGGTCTCACGGCGTTCGAGGGTGAACTCGATCACAAGTTGGTGGTGACGTTTATCCAGAAAGGTTCGCCTTGCGGGTACCGTGATGCGTCTTCGACCCGCGAGCTCGGCAGCTGATTCTAACTCCCTGATCGAGGGAATTCACAGCCGAAAGCAATGAAGACAACGCTAACGATCAGTTGCGTGGTCGGCGGAGGGAGCAGAGAAAATGATCTCCGCGGTGGGTTAAAGTGGGCTGTGGCCCACATCTAAGGAACTGCAGAGCATGCACCTGGAAACCTCCAGAAGTGCCGGCACGCCAGCTGGGCTGGTGTGCCGCTTTACCGACCAGTGTCGGCGCAACCTATTGCTCCTCATGATGGTACGTATTCTACCAAAAGCTTACTAATTACCCAGCTAACCGAGTGAATTCACAGCAAATGAAGCGGCAATATGCCGTGCGGCGTGGTCCGCGGTGGAAATTGGCCAGCACCATGCCTACCAACGAATTCTTTGGCGCCTTACCAGAACGGCAGTGAGTACCTGCCTGCCTAGCTATCACCCAAGTCCTCGCCGCCTCAGCTGGGCTGGCGTGCCGGTTGCAGTGCAACCGGAGGTCCCTCGGGACCGGCACTTGCGCGCGGGCGTGGAAGTTGAAGCCCGGCGGCGGCTCCTCTGAGGAATGGAAGAACTTGCGCAGTGCGGACTGCCAAGCAGAGTAGGAACCAAGAATCGTAAGTGCGAGACAACGATTCGATCCGACTGTGGTGATGTTGCTATGGATGACAGAGCAGGTGCTGACTTGGTGTGAGAAGGGTCTAGGACGGCCATATACCACCACTATCGCTGGTTCGGATGAGGATGAGGAACCAGAGAACTGCCGAGCTGAGCAGAAACCAGTACTTGTACACCTTCCGGTGCTATCCTGTATTTTTGGAGCTGTAATTTTAAGCGGAAGAGTTCTGTTTGCAGTTGCTCATCGCGTTGGCTCCTGCACGGCAGTGTGATGTAGAGGATTTCCCAATTGTGTCGGTGATGCTTCGTAATAAACATTATATCTCACTCGCCATTATATCTTCCCCCTCCTCGTCTCATCCTGAACCCGAGCACCGGCGGAATCTGTGTAAACCGCATCCACGACACCTCCCCCTCTCCCACATCCTCACCCGTAAACACAGGCTCCTCGAGCCCGTCCAGCACCAACCCAGCCGCCAAAAACGGGCGCAACAACTCTTCCAACGGCCGGTGGAAATAGTCCTACATATCGGCTTAAAAACATTTCACTTCAGAGAGGGGATACACACATAACACACCTGCTGCCCCTCCACCACCTGCGGGGGGATATCCATGTATCTCCCCACGCAGACGCTCCGTACCGTCGATCCGTCCCGGACCTGTAGCGTCCGGTGCGCGCCGGGCGAGTTGAAGGAGGGGTGCATCACTGTGGCCACGAACCTATCGCCTCTGAGTCAGCCTTACCTCCCCCTCAAGTCCATCGCGAAGCAGAACGCACCTTCCCCCTGGCCTCAGCAGCCTCGGCAACACCGCTGCTAACGGCTCGAGCGTTTCGAACCCAGTGAGCGCCATCTACACCCCGTTAACACCACCACCACCTCGCCCGCTCATCCCCTCCGCTCTCCTCCCCCGTCTCCCCTTGCCTGCCCTCACTCATATTCCCCGCGCTACTCACATTCGCCACCACAGCATCGAACCCAGCCGCCTTCTCGACCGTTCCCGCAAGAACCTCCAGCTGCGGAATACTAGTGACATCGAGGGTATGAAACGAAGCGACGACTTCGCCGGCGCGCTCCTCAGCGAGGTCCAAGAGGGCACGCGACGAGTCCGTAGCGAGCACCTTCGCGCCCAACTTGCCCATCGCGAGCGACAGGTGTCCGGTCGAGCACGAGAGCTCCAGCACGCTCTCGGGCGGTCGCAGGTTCAGCAGCCGCAGCGCCGTCGGGGTCGTGAGCGTTGTGTGTGCGCACAGCGAGTGCTCCAGTGGCGTCTTCATCTTGTCTGTCTGGTCTGGTCTGCCCGGGGGAGGCGAGGGGCACAGGCGATGGTGGTTTATATCGTCCTACTCGCGCTGCTGCTGCCGCCGAGGGGTTTTTTTCTTTTCTCTCTCTCGAGCGCCTTCCCTCTCGCGAGCGCTCCACGCCGCTGAGATCGTTGTCTCGTCGGCTACGTAGTTACTAGTAGAGATGCATGCTGCAATGCGGCATGCGCCGGGCGCTTGCAACCAGGACGTGGCTGCAGTGGTTTCAGTGCGGGCGGTTTGCGGGCAAATCGGAGGATTGATTATTTATACCCCCCTGTGAACTTGTGGAAATGGGGTTGTACTGATGCAGTTGGTGTCCCTGACCCCTCGTGCGAATTGTAATCAAGGAGTCTAGATAGGTAGATGGGTAGAGACGGATGATCGCTTGTGAACGATGGTATGATACCTACATACAGCGAAGCGGCATACCAGTCAGCCAATTACTCGTAGTATGTATGTTGGTATGTAGAGTACTCTAGCAAGAATCCACCGAAAGCCAATCGCAAAACAGATTTCGGTATCTACAGTACATACTGTACTGTACCTAAATACTGCCAATTCTGGAATCTGTACTGTGGACTTCTGCACTCTGGGAATCTGCACTCTGGGAATCTGCACTCTCAAGATCTCTGGTTCATTGAACGGATGATATCCGGGGGAGAATTATTATTGCTGGTTCAGGAAAGGCTGCTGACATTGCATATTCGGATATTCTACTAGTTACTCTGGAGCAGGTAAATACCTACTAACTACTAGTTAGTTAAGTATGTACAATATATACGAGTACCGCCGAGTACCTACACACTGCAGCGATTCTCCCCACGCCACATGGACACATATGGCAGTTACATACAACGTAAACGCCGCAAAAAGCAAAACCGTGGTACAGACTACGAAACCCACATGTGGTGAAATACATGCGAGATCACTCGTTTTGCGGGGGAGCGGGCCGGGGTTTGCTGGCAAGGTGGTGGTGGCTAGATGCGGCATTTCGACATCCTCGAGCTCTTCCAAGTTCCTAGGCATCTGCTCTCTCCGTTAAATAGTTCAATACGAGGAATCGTAGTCGTTGCCTCATCGGGCCCAGCAGATCGGTAATGGTGATGGGCGAGTAGAGTAGGTACATACATACATACATACATCATAGAGGCGCCAGCGGCCACATCCCACATCCCACAATCGGTGAGACCTCAGATGTCAACAGGGTGTATTCGTATATTCGTATTCTCACGGGAGCCGGGCGCGTGGGATGGTTAAAACCTAATCCCGCATGCATCCATCGCACACACGATTGCCAAGTATGTAGGTGCTGCGCTCAACAGTCCCTCCTCTCACCTCTCACGGGAAAGGAGGGGATAGGTTAGTATGTATGTATGGACAGTGCTCCCGATACATAGTCCAGTCTGGACGGCCGTCCGGACTCCGGACTGGACGGACTGCAACAGTCCAGTCCAGCCCATAAAATTTCTGGACGGTTTGAATTCAGTCCGTACCAAAAATTTGCCGCCTCGGACTGCAGTCGACTGATGGACTGCCACTCCATGCGATTACATCGACCATGTGGTACCTACAGTACTGGGCGAATAAATCACATGAACCTGCTGGCTGGAAAGATCTCGCCAGAATGGCCCTCGAGTATTTGAGCATTCCGGCCATGAGCGCAGAGCCGGAACGAGTTTTTAATGCGGCTAAAATCACACACTCTCTCATCGCCGCTGCAGCATGGGTGATGACGCACTGGAGGTGACTCTGAAATATCTCAAAAGGTATGTAGCAAGAAGATGGTCTTGTAGCTGCTATATACAAAGGGTGATATCAAGGAGATGGAGACTACCTATGCTCAATGCATTGTGCGAGGAGTCGGATCTACATAGCTGTAGTTACTATAGACGTGTACAAAAAGTCCATTACTGATTTTGAACATTTTTCATTCAAAGTACCAGTCCATCCAGTCGACTGCAGTCCGCCCAGCCCTAACTACTAGTTGCACAGACTGAAACTTATAACGCTAATAAACCCATTCTATTTGACCCGAGATGTTTTAGGACCCATATTGTAACGAGTTCCCAGTTCTTCGGTTCCTCGTCATCAGAACCCTGCCGCCCGCAGCAGTGGTAGTGGTGGAAGATCGCCGTCCTAGACGTTTCTCGCACCAAATCAGCACCTGCGCTGTCATCCATAGCAACATCACCACCGTCGGATCGAATTGTTGTCTCGCACTTACAGTCCTTGGTTCCTACTGTTGATGCACAATCTGAATGTGAGGTGCGCACGCGAGGGTTTGAGTGGGCGATACGATCAGAAGGTGGTAAGAAGAAGAGGAAGATGTAGTTATTCTTGTTCTAGCTGAAGTTCTAGTTGTACTTATAGTCGTCCTAGACGAACTAGAACCTTCCCTGTGAGCCATGCACAAACCATCACTCGATCAAACACGCCGCTCCGACAACAAAGGCCCTACGGGCCACAACACTCCCCCGCGGAGCGCTTTACAAAATACGGAAAACAGAATCCAACGCATGAAACTAAAAACAGAAACAGAGACCCAATGAAACAAACACAACCCGACGTCCCATAATCATCCCTTCATACCCAAGCTCTGAAGAAACGCTTCATGTTTGATGCCACCCAGGGCCTTCGTCAGGCCGTCCGCCAGCTGTTCCTCTGATGAGACGTGGACGAGCACCATGTCGCCCGCCTTGACTGCTTCCTGCAGTGCGTGAAAACGGAGACGAAGATGGCGGGAAGCGTTGGGAAATCCAGTATCGAGAACAGTCAGGCAAGATTGGTTGTCCCCCATCATGGTGACCGGAGGGCGTGGTGCTCCTGCGGAGATCTCGAAAATCACGTCCTGCAACCACTGTGCGTTCTTCCATGCCTCCGCATTGGAGATTTCCAGATGGACCCCGTGAAGCCCCAGAGTGATCTGCATTAGATCCAGCAAGGGCGTGACCTTGTCCCGCCGCAACTCCCACGTCCTCCTCAGAGGAGCCGACGTCCGGCGACCATCTGGTCGCCTCGCTTCCTCTTCCGCGCCCGCGCGGAAGTGCCGGTTGCACAGCAACCGGCACGCCAACGGCCAGCCCAACTGACGCAGCGAGAACTTGGGTGATGTCCAGGCAGGCAGGTACTGAGTGCTGTGCTGGTAAGGTGCTAAAGAATTCGTGGTAGGCATGGTGCTGGCCCATTCCTACCGCAGACCACGCAGTACGGCATATTGCCGCTTTCAGTTGCTGTGATTTCACTTGGTTAGCTGGTTAATTCGTAAGCTATTGGTGGGATACATACTTCCAGAGCAGAAAGGTCGGGTGGAAGCAGCGCGCCAGCCCAGCTGGCGCGCCGGTACATGGAGATTTCCAGGTGCATCTGCGGAGTCATCTACTTCTCTTGTAGAGAGGTGTTGGTAGTAGTAGGCGCGGTGCCGGGTAGGTTTGGACGATTCGACTCCGCATTCTCCACTCTGGTCATGAGGTCATCCAAGTACATCATTCCTCCCCGGTGGGATACCGAAGACCTCCGCGGTGGGATGTGGGCCACAGCCCACACTCCTGCCGCGGAGATCATTTTCGCTGCTCTCTCCGCCGACCACGTAACTGGTCGTTCGCGTTGTCTTCGTTGCTTTCGGCTATGAATTCCACCCGTCAGTTGGTTGCTTCGTTCGTGAGCTCTTGGTTAGTGGAATACGTACCTCCACAAGCAGAAGGTCGGGTGGAAGCGGCGCACCAGACCAGCTGGCGCGCCGGCACTTCTGGAGATTTCCAGGTGCATCTGTGGGTGCATCTGCTTCCCTCCCCGGTGGGGTGCGGAGATCATCTTCGCAGCTTTCTCCGCCACCGACCACGCAACTGATCGTTGACGTTCGTCATTTTCTTCGGTTACGAATTATCCCCGTTAATTGGATGGTTGGTTTGTGGGGTCGGGGTGGAATGCGTACCGCACCGCCGAGGCGGAAACACCGGTACTTCGTGGGTGATGTCCCATCAGTGGAATGGGAGCCACCGAGGGTGGAAATAGAAACGGGTTGTTCTTGTCGTTGTTGTTATTCTTGTTGTTGTGAAGATGTTGTGAAGCTATCGTGGTAGAATTGCGGTTTTATGTTGTAATGGTGGAAAGTGAAAAGATGAAAAGATAGAAGATGAGAAGATGAGAAGATGAGAAGATGAGAAGATGAGAAGATGAGAAGATGAGAAGATGAGAAGATGAGAAGATGAGAAGATGAGAAAAGAAGAGAAGTTGTGTCGTTGTGTCGTTGGGTTTTTGTGTTGCATTGTGGGACGTGAAGCCGGAGATTTTGGGCCAAGAACTCGCAGCCCTGAAAGCTTTGAAGGGGGGCAAGTGATAGCAAACCTAAAGCTGGAAGAGAACCCTTAGAAGGTCGTAGAAGGGCACCAACTAGTTGGTTGTTGTCGTCCCCTACCCAAACACTTCCCAGCTGTGTGCCCGCTGGCTGGCTGGCCATGGCAAGAAGCAAGCAGACCTGTTATATACTAGTACTAGTACCCACCGCCTCCGTCTTCGTCGAGAGTGTATACCCGCCGCGGTCTTCGCTATGTAAACCGTACATACCGTATAGTGGCAGCGCCGAGTAACTACCGGCACGATCACGGACCATCACAGACCACCACAGTAGAGTTTCTGCTTTCTACCCTCGGAGTATATTCTTTCCTCGGCGAACCCCTCTCCAGTCTCCACTGGTTGAGCCGCCGGCTCATTACTTTGATGCATTTATGGGCAGGTACATGTTGAAATAATAGAGTAAGATGTGTATTATTGAAGTGTAAGACTGTAGCCTCGAGAGAATAGACAATGTGAGAATAGAGGTGAGAATAGGGATAAAGGCCCGTGCCTTCTACTACTCTAAATAGATATTGCAACAGTACATCCGATTCTGTGACCGAGTGATATTTACGGTACGGATGCGGGGTACGAGTACGGATTGGGGCGGTAAATCGTCGTTCGTGACTCGGAGTACGTTTGATTTGGAGTGCTTAGGCTGCGGTGACAACGTACTTACTACCGAGAGTTTGCGGAATTAACACCCACAGACTATCGTATTGACTGTATCGAGACTAGGCAAGGCATGTATTCAGTGAAGCTATTTTTGCTATGCTCTAAATAATTTCGTCATCTACAGCGATTCTCCAGCGATTCTCCAGCCATCGGCCAGCCTCTATACTTATCTGAATATAGAGTACTCTTCGTTGCGTGAGCCGAGTAGGTAGTTCTTAAAGTTCCTCAATCGTAAGACCTCAACCCGAAATCTATCATACATCCATCCAACCTCTACCACCCCCTCCCACCGACCGATCCATCCATCCATGCATCCACCCAACTAAACTAAACAATGACTTCCCCCGGATCAATATATGCCGGTTTGAAAACGGCATCGCTCCGCTCCTCCGTCTTACTCGGCAGATCCTTGACGAGCGGCGAGTAGAGGTACCATCCTTTCAGGGCATTGACGGCAGCACGGATCCTGGCCTCATCGAGGGAACCACCATGGCCCTCACCCATCATCTCGGTGCCGGAAAACACGCCAACCACAAAGACGGGATGTCTCGACCTCCTACCCGTCTCAGACATGATCCTGGCAACCGGGGGCTCGAACCCCTCGCGCGCACACAGCCTACTCAACTCCCGCGTCGGCTGCGAGAAGTCAAACAGCTTGTCAACGTCGAGCCTGCGGGAGAGGACATGCTGGCGAAAGAACTGTCTTGCGGCCGCAAATCCCTCATGGAGGTAGACACCGGCAAACACGGAGCGCACATGATTCGCCAGTGCGGTCTCGAGGGTTGTCCCCCTCTGTCTCTGGCGCTCCTCCAGCTCCTCAGGACTCTCCTTCTTCTCGCCCTTCTTCCTATAGCTCTTTGTCGGCGGCTTCGCGCCCGGCGCCAGCCTTCGGAACTGCAGCAGGCCGGCGTCCACGTCCGCCGTCGGCTCGAAGGCGTGCTCGACACCCCACTCGCGGCCGAGCGAGGCGAGCGCGGGATTACCGACGTAGGCGCCGACAGCGGCGTAGAGGACCTCGGTCGGCAGCCGCGGGTACGATACCATCAGGTACTCGCTCGCGAGGTACCCCGTCAACGTGTTGCCCAACGTGTTGAGGTGCGCGTTCGTGAACCGGGCGTCCGAGTCTGCCGTGCTGTCGATCAGCGTGCGGGCTAGCGTCTGCAGTGGGTAGTTGGGGTGCAGGTTGAGACGGGCGTGCAGCGCGGGCAGCTTTGCGGATGCGAGCGGGTTGCGGGAGGGGGGGAGGGTTGGGAGCGACTCTGGGACTGCGGCGGCTGCTGGTGGGGCGGCGAAGGTCGATGCGGGGCGGAGGAGAAGGCTTGGTGGGGGAGCTGCGGCATTGCCGAACGCTGCTGAGGTGGGTCGCAGGAGCGGGTTGAGACTTCGTATGCGCTTCATGACTGCGGCTGCGGCGGCGGTGCGAGGAAATGAGTGGTGGAGGTCGTTGAGGAAGTCTCCGGCAGTTAAGAGACGACGAGACGACGAGACGGCGGGTCGACGTTGGAATAAATTTACGCAGAGCCGCTTCGACTTGGCGGCCCTAACTGGCTAGAGAGCCAGCAAGAGTCATATTCGGTCACTCGATGTCAATACGACCGATCCCGAAAATTTATTTCTTCCTCTTCTTCTCATTCTATCGAGTAAATTACAGTCGGAACACACGGGTACACGTTTCTACAGGTGAAAACAAAGCCCATCCGGTAGACGCAGTTCCCCGCTTGAGTTTCGAAAGACGGCCTTGCAAATCCGGCCCAGTCCAGTAAATGAAAAAAAAAACCCCCGGTAAAGAAAAAAACCCTCCCCCGATTGGCGGCAGTAAAAAAGCAGTGAAATGACACCCTGAAAATCAAAAGCATCGCGCGTACAGACCGTCCTGGCGACGCGTGTATAATAGCCAAGAAGCCTATGCGCCGCACCGCGCCAAAGCAAATAGCAGAAAGAAAAAGAAAAAACTATAAAGGATATACGGAGAATCAAGACGAAAAAAAAGACCCAAAAGTAAATGTAAATCAAACGTAAAGACGCCCGATCCGCCCCCCCAAACTTGACCCAGAGTAAAGAAAAGTAACTGCAAAATGCCGACTTATCCCTTTTTCGAAATGGCAAGATTACAAATACAAATGAAACGTAAAATCTAGCGGTAGAGTGGTAAAAAGCTACTCTAGTAGATGAGTCGAAGTTCCCACTTCTTTCCGGTACTTCCATCGGCGTGGTTGCCGTTGGTGTTGGGCCATTCGCTCGGGAACGACGAGTCCTCGGTAATCTCCTGCAACTGAATCTTCATGTCCTGTCCTTCGTTCATCTGCGAAACGAAGTCGTCGTCGACAAAGACCGACAGACCCCTGGAATTGAGGTGGATGGTCCTAAAGATCGTCGTAGGATCGATACCGCATTTGGTGGCGATGTTGGAAGAGAGGCACGACGCAGCCCGGCTCTCCAGGTAGACAGCACGATGATACACCTCCTTCTCGGATTGATCAGGGAAGATGGGGAGAATGTACACACACATGACCGCCTTGGGAAGTTTCTCGGCTGGTGGCTTGTAGGATGTGTCAATTCCGATGGCCTCGATCCATCCGGAGAGGATACCATCCTCGTGGTTGGTCTTGACCCTCATGGGCACATCCGACTGATTGATGGATGGTAGGGTACCGAATCCGCCCCTCTGCCAGTCCTTGTCAGGGCTGAAGCTGTCTCCCCGCCTACTCGACAGTGACGCCGAGCTGGGAGTCGGAGAAACGAACGATGACGTAGTGGTGTTGGTCGTCGCCACACTGGCCCTCCTGTGAGCTGCCCACGAATCATCCCCGTCGGGCTCTCCTGGCAGGCGGACGGGAAACAAGTCCGGGTCATCGCCTTCCTCCCCGCGGAGATACAACACGCTGACGGGCCTGGTGCTGGAAAACATATCCTGCATGGCTTGCAGCTTGGAGTTAGTATCTTCCTCCTGCGACTTGACCCCAGCGACCGAGCTGGCCGACGACATCGACCATGTCCGCTTGTGCTTTTGCACTTTGCCCGGCTTCCCCATATCCTCCTCCTTCTTCGCCTTTTTCCCAAAGAGCTTCATTCCGGTTCCTTCCGTCTGACTAGCCTGTTGCTTCAGCTTCTCGATCGTCTTCTTGACGTGCATGATGTCGTTCGAGAGTTTACGCTCGGCACCGTGGTCTCGGAAGAGCTTAACCTTGCAGTAGCTGATCTCCGGCTCCGAGTCGGGCGGGGAACCCGGCGATCCATTCGAGATGAGTTCCGTCTTCGCACAGAGTCGCACCGGAATGCCCTTAACGCCCTTGGAGTGACTGAAGTCGGTCGATAGGAAGTTGAAGCGCACGGACACGGAAGTCTCGGCAGCACCCGACATGGTGGGCGACCACGACACGGAAAACCCATCGAACGACGAGCCTTCCAGGGTGACCTTCGCCTTCTTCTTTTTGTCATCATCTCCGTTCGTCTGGTTCTCGACGTACTCGACGGCCTGCAGCTTACCACCTCTCTGGTGCGCTTCGCTCGTCCCCCGGCCTTCCTTCCACAGCTGCCAACAACCTGCGGGTCGACCGCGTTGAGTCTCGTCGTGGAAAGATATACGGATGAAGGTGCGATATCTGAGGGACGTCGCACTCGGCGGTGGGGGTTGGGTGTCGACTATCGATATGGCATAGGCTTGGCCCTTGTTGAGATAGGTCACGGGGATCTCGTCATAGTGCTTGATCATCGCGGTGGGTGCGTTCAGGACCACATGAAAGCGGAATCTGGGCACACGTTAGCGCTCGTCGCACAATCACATGTCTCGGATCGAAATAATCAGAGAGGAGCCCGATCGCAGAACCCAACAAAAAAAAGATGTGAAAACCGACCTTTCTGAAGAAGTTGGCAGTAGCTGCGAAATGTGGTCAAACTGTTTTTCGTCCAGGGGCATGGGTGGAACCAGGGTGGGGGTTCCGTTCATCGATCCGTTCAGCGAATCGTTCAATACCATCGCATCTGACATCATATCGCCGCCGCCGGTGATGTCCATCGGACTCCCGGGCCCCGAGGGTGGGCGCTGTTCGTACTGGGATGGATTCAGATACCCATTGTGCATGGGTTGCGCGAATGGCTGGTAGTTTTGAAACTGGTGGGGCTGTATCGTCGGAGGAACGAAGCCGGTGGAGGAGGGCGGCAATGTTGTACCGTTCGACAGTGACAGAGGTGTTCCAATGCTGATTCCAATACTCGGCGTTTCCAGTCCGTGGGTGGTGACCGCGACACCAGCCATGGGGTTGCCGGTTCCGTACGTGGAGCTCCCATTCACGCCGGGCGTCGGTGTGAACAGTCCTGGTGGCTGGTTCGCAAACGCAGCAAAGGCCGCCGATGTCGGGTCCATAAAGACAGACGGTGTTAGGGAAGGCGTGAATCGGAACGGTTCTGCCGGAGCGCCTCTCGGGGTAGGGTCGAGGTCTTCATGGCCAGGAAATCTACATTACACACAGCAGACGTTAGCAACAGGTCCATGCAACCAATTGCAAATTGTATGTGACATTCTCTCTCACTGGGAAACCTGGAAATCTCCAACCAGCCATTCCCCCCCACACGACTCGGCCACTTGCCTTGGTTGAAAGGTGGAACCTCCAGCCACAGCGGGCTCCGAGGCAGTTTGGGATTGACCGTTCGGCGCCGAGGTAGTGATGACGTCGGGGAAGGATTGCCTGAAGCGTTCGAACAGCTCGTCCGGAGGTTTCTGAGAAGACTGCCTGTGAAGGATCATAAGAGAAGATGTCAGCAAAGAACAGAACGGAGCATCCGCGCAGTTTGGTTCGTGACGACATCAGGCGGATCAGCGTTGTGCGGAACGCAATAGCATCTGATAACGTCCCGGCGGGTATGTATGGATGGCAATGGCGCCGCGGCGGTACAGGGTAGGGTTGACGGACCTATTGCGAAACATGGCGAGTCAAGTTTTTTTTTTTCCGGAGGCAAAGGAACGAAGGTGGAATGGGCGGGCGAGGGGCCTTGGTATATATTGGCGGGTTGGTGGTGTTTCTGGGTACGGGGAGGGAGGTAGTTGGTAGGTGGGTGTAGTGGTCGTTCAACTCTTGTTATTGTTGTTCCCGTTCGATGTGGCGGTGGGGTGAGAGAGGGCGTTCGGAGTCGTAGTGGGGACGGGGACGGGGAAGAGGATCAGATATGTGAGCGTGGGAACTCGAAAGAGACCAAACGATGGACAGAAGCAGAGATAATGGGTGATGGTGAATGGATGCAGGCTTGGGGCCGTTGGGTTTTGGATATGAAAGAGAGAAGGGGGAGGGAGGACCGGGCCTGGGGGAGCGGGAGTCAAAAGGGAAAGGGCAATGAAGGACGGCGCATGGGGGGAGGGAGGGAGAGGGAGGGGAGGCGGATGATGATGGGGTTCAGCGAAGGAGCGGTACCGCTGTTATGGTGTACTACTTCGCACCACCACCACCACCACCACCTACACCACCACTTCCACCACCATATCCTCCTCCTCCACCACCAGCACTACCACCGCCGCTGCCACTGCCACTGCCACCCGCCGGGCCCCAACCCGCTCGGTTCGTCTCCTCCGTCCACTGGTTCAGGCGCTTCTGCGACCCTATGATGCATTTAGTCCTCACGTAGAGTGTACCCTACTGTAGTGACGGGCTGGCTGGCTGCTGCTGGCTGACTGCCTCTCACTCCCGTGTTGTGCGCTCTGCTGCCGCTGATGCTGCTGCTGCACTCCCGTCCCCACGTAACTATCTTGCTCGTACATATCATACACGGAGCAATAGAGTACCGTAGGTAAAGAGCCATGCGGAAGAACAGACGTCGATAGGTAGTCTGGATACTCTGCTTGCCTCTCGTCTTCGCCCTGTCCGTTCGTCCACCCACCCTCCCCCATTTCGAATATCTCCATATGTACCTCATATCATGCCTCGTCCACACACGTCGCCCATACTTTCTACCGTACTCTACTGTACACATTCCTACATACTTTTTGGCCCATCCTAGCCTATCCAGCTCGCTCCTCGAGGAGCTGCACTCCCCCTCCCTCCCCCCACAGACCGGCACTAGGCTGGGCGGAACAGAGTAGAGCACGGTAGAGTGCAGGGGCACGGGTGAGCGGGGGGGAAGGGAGGGAGGGAGGGGAGGGGGGATGGATGGCAATGGATAGATGAGGGGGTGGTTGGCCATGGGGAATAGAGTGTCGGGGTGGATTGTTTGGCTGCTACGATACAGATCTCCACGGCGGCGCGGAGTGTGTAGTTGTTGTTGCTAGTGTGGCAGTGGTGGGTGGTGGTGGTGGTGTTGGTGGTGTCCGGGATAACGGGGGAAGGCGCTATGGCGTAACTGCGTAGTCCCAACGGGTGGCTCCTCCCCTTGTTCACACCCGCTATCGAACATGCCGCCGATGCTAATGTTGCGATTTGCCTCCCCTAGCCCGATACCAGATGGTGCTGCAACATCCGCACAGATGTTTACCCATGCGGCTACTCTATCTGTATACTCCGCATGCCGCATGAGGTGGATGGGTGGGTGGGTGGATGGGTGGGAGGGTGGAGGGTGGGTGAGTGCTCAGTGGGTATGCGACGATAGATTGATGTTGTCTCGTCTCTCCCACCGAGTGGGTAGGCTAGGTAGGCTGTGTCTCTCGATGCCACACTCACGCCCTCCCACACTCTCAGACACACACGGGCGCAGACAATTGCCGACCGAGTAGGTGGTTTGCCTAGTGGAACGCAGCGGAAGCAGAGCACAGTCTGATGTACCTACTTCTTCTTCTCACCTACATGCACTTTGCAGTGGGAGAAGAAGAAGGAGAATAGGAGGAAGCAAAGTGCGGGACGGATGGTTATGGGCGTCGGCAGTGATGGAGCATTCCCGCTGACGAGCAGATTTTATCTCCACCATTCGTTCGTCAGTCCGTCCATTGTCTCTGCCAGCAAACAGTAGAGATGTTTTCGTTGTGAGTGATCTGCGCTGAGCTGCGAGTATACCTAACAGACGGAAAGAACAGCAGACATCACACCCCCTCGCACACAATATTTTAGTAGTAGTACATAGCATGCACTGTACTTAGCCATCCCAGCAATTATCCGAGAGGATGGGGAAAAGCAGATTCTCGATCATAATGATAGTCTGCCTGCCCTCCGTCACCACCATGCTCGTCTAAGTATCCGCCCGTCTTTCCTTCCCTCCCCTCCCCTCCGTCACCGTCACCCTGCCGTCACCTTCCGTCACCCTTCGTCACACTCCGTCTCATCTTTCCCATATACACACATCCTCCCGTGTCCACCACCACTAGTGACCACCGTCCATCCGTTTCGCCTATAACCAAACCATATATAGCATCTATATACGCATTGTGCGGTAAGGATGCCGCCCGCAACGTTACAGTAACACGCACTGTGCGGCCCATCCCCCCCTCCCTCTCTCCCTCCCTCCCCACCATCGATCCCCCATCATTCATCACCCATCATCTATGTTAATGTACTCATACGTAGTTGCGCACGCGAACGTTCCATTCTATTCTGCTAGGTAGGTGTAGGTATCTACGTAGCTGCGTAGGTATGGTGCCTGTAGTCTAGAAAGTCACAGTGGTATTTAGCTCTTCACCCGGAAAGTTTACATGGCAACAGCCGACCCCACCAAAAAGAACAAAAAAATCACCTGACAACCCTCGAACATGCAACTTCACTACTCGTATGCACCCGTTCCTTCCCAACAACGAGAATCAATCGTTGCCGGTGGTTGACTATGTCTATCCTGGGACAGGCTATCTGCTGGTGGATTTTGGATGGCGGCCCGTACATATCTCGGATGGTAGTTGAACAGCTGAGTTTCGGATCCAAAAAGTTCTCCGAAATTTTCTCCAACCGAGTACATGTGACCACTACACTTACTTTAGAGTGAAAATCAGTTGCTATCGCGTGGGGGCTTAGTTGTACACGAGGATGATTTCCATACATACAAAACTCGGTGCTTCATCTTGTAAAAGAACTTCACACCAACATCGGTCCAGGAGTCCAAATCCATAGGAGGGTACATAACCTGTGACTTGTCCACACCATGAGTTTCATATCTGCTGCCAGCTGCTAGCTGGCTTGGAATAGGCACCGCAAAAACATGGGCCTACAAAACCGCAGGCACCATAGGCGCGCCAATGCCGGCGGACAAACACGCCAGAGAGGCAGAGATATCCTGGGTGGACGCGTTGGGGGGCGGAGGAGGACACGGCGCTGACGTCAGTGTGCAACATATGAGTAGCACAAATCTTCAGCAGCGTTCCACAGGGTGGCTAGAGTAGAGTAACAGAGTAGAGTAACAGAGTAGAGTAACAGAGTAGAGTAACAGAGTAGAGTACCGGTAGATACCTGCATCTACTCACGGTACTCCACTGTGGTCGCTCTGCCGTCATTGACGTTTTGCATTCTGTCTTTCTTTCTTTCTCCATCTCGTTCTTCATCTGTTTCTTAATTTCTGTCTTACTTTCTTTCTTTTCCGTATCGCACCGCCACTGCCGCTGGATTGAGCACATACTTCCATACTTCTTACTCAATCACGGAGCACAGCTACCTATTCGTTCACTCATCCACCAACCTTTCACTTCCATAACCCATACCGGCCCGGTCCGACAAGTTGGAGATATGCTCGCGACTGCTATGTCTTGACCGATCGAGAGCGTGACCTGACTTCACAAAACACCTCGATTACGGTATTGCTTACTTACTTGGGCACCTACCGTGCGTACATACAATACATACAGACAGGCAGACATGTATACATGCATAAGCACACGATATTCAAACTTCATGCACCCACCTCTCCCTCCCCCTTCCCCTTGATGACTGCCCTTGCCGGGGCGGCATTCTCCCCTCACCTCCTCTCCTCTCCCCTCCGAGCCATTCTTTGATCTTTGACCTTTTCGCGGGGACGGCACCTAGGTTTCCGGCGACGGTCGAACATACATATCATATCTTCCGTATGTAAATACATATATAAAGCGGTCCCCTCCTCCTCTTCCCTAGTCTCCCCCAGAGTGGTGACCTCCCACTCTCTCGCAATTGGCCCTTCCCCCTCGGCGCCAAGCATCCCCGGGGTGGGGTGATCCCTACCCTCCCCCTCCCACACACACACCCCTGCCACAACAGCCTCCGAAAGTCGAAAAGATGAAACGTGTGACAGAACTTTGCTGCGGAGGCTGGAGGCTGGGAGCGACGGATCGGTTTCTTCGAGGTGGGATCGTAATCGCGCCGGCCGAATTGGTGCTGCGTCAGATCGCTTGTGGAGCTTTCCGATCACGGTTGCCCCCTGCTCTTGCTGTTGTGATGACCCTTGGTAGAAATTAATATGTCTGCGAGACCATGCGCCGCCGCCGCTTTGACGATGGGTGAGGTGAAGGGTGAAGGGTGAAGGGGCTTGGAGACGTATGGAAGAAGTGTGAAGTGAGAAGAGAAGAGAAGAGAAGAGAAGAGGTGTGAGGTATGGAATTGTGAAGAGTTGTAGTCTGTACTCGATAGTACTCTGGAGTGTCGCTACTATTATCATAGACTCAGCTGTGTGTGTGTAGTCGCTCTCCACGGTAGAAGTGCAAAGTCTACAATGGAAACCCCACAAGTGACCACCAGTGACCACCACCAGCACCTACGCCCCGCCCGGCCCCGCCCCGCCGCCTCCGCCGCCGGCACTGGTACGGGTACATACAATCCGTACCGTTATGTACCGACGCCGACGTCCGTCCGCGATGAAAAGCGAGAAAAAAATGGACAAACAATCAAACCAACAAAGAAGAATTAAAAGAATTAAACAATCCCATACGCAGAGCGCCTGTAGAGTAACCTCCTCATCCACCTCCTCCTCATCCACCTCCTCCTCTTCCTCCTCCTCCTCCTCCTCCTCCTCCTCCTCCTCCTCCTCCTCCTCCTCCTCCTCCTGCTCCTGCTCCTCCACCACCTCCCCGTCGCAGAGCCTCCCGCTCACCTCCGGAACCCAAACCCGTCCAGCGACGACCCCCCATCCCCCATCCCCTTCCACCTTCCACCTTCCACCCCGGTACGGTACGTACCGCACCTCTCCCAGCCAGCAGCGACGCTAGGCCACCACGGGCGGTGACATCAACAGACCCCGACTTTCGCTGAAAAGCTGAGTTAGGCGGGAGCAGAGTGGATCCCCAAAAATATCACATTTCTGCTGCGTAGAGTAACCGCGTAACGCAGTTCATTTCACTTCTGTAGACGTCAGGGTGCACCGTGCACCCCACCACCACCACCTCGACGCTCACCACGACGCCGGCGTCGAAGGGCACTGACGTAGTGGCGATGTGAGAGCTAGGCCTGTTGCGGACACATAAATTATTGGATTACATTATTCGTCGCCCGTGCAACCACCGCCGCAGGAGTTCGATAATTGATATTATGGTACCTAATGTATGATATGCATGCATTGTGTGTGCATTGTGTGTGGGGTCTGCCGCCGCACCGAAGAGGAGGAGGTGGAGGAGGAGGAAGAGGAGGTGGAGGAGGAGGAGGACATGGAACTCAACTCAACTCATGGATGGGAAAGCTGCGCATGCTCGGCGTTCGGGACAATCGTTGTGGCATGGGGAAGTGGTTTTCCTTTCCTCGGACGGTTGGGTTCTCTCGATCGTTTTCGTGCACAAGCAGACTGGGAGCTTAGGGAGCTTCGTAGCGAACGAGCGTATATACATAGCAGCGAACGAGCAAGCGAACGATCGAGCATGGCCAACACAATCCTCGATGATTGCGGCGCATCCGCTGTGGCAATCGACCGTAAGGCCGCCCATCGCGCGCACTCCCGGCTGCCGGTAACCCCTACGCGAGAAGAAGAACCTCCACTCTCCGTCTGGTCTGTCTCTCTCTCACCGGATCTCTCGACTCGACAGGTGCTCCCCCGGGGACCATGGATGTCTCGCGATTTCAAAGGGGGGTCGGGGAGAGAGGGAGGGGGGGGGGCGGGTTCGCATGACATTTTCATGCTCATGCTCCATCATATTCATTCATGGTAGATGGTAGGTATCGACCGATGGCGTGGATATGGATATGGGAATCAAATGATTTCTGTTCTGGCGCAAAGCAAAGCCGACGTCCACATCGGAAGACATTGGCATCCGTCTGGGCTCAGACTCTCAGAGTCAGTGGTTCAGTGGTTCAGTGGTGCGAGGCCAGTATGATACGGGAGAATATCACGCTTGTATCCAACACAGCAATAGATCGGAGATCCACCCATTCGAAAGAGACCAGAGCCGGAGAGAGCAGAGCAGCAGAGTCGACTGGAGCAGCGCAGAGCAGAATAGAGTAGGATGGGCGTCCCAGTCCCAGCCCCCAGTGCAGGCGAGCTTTGGTCTCCTGTTCGCAACTTCGCATGGGGCGATGCGCATAGGTAGCTGCTAGAGCAGAGCACTCTAGTATGATATGATATGTATGTAGCAGCAGCAGCAGCCATGACTTGCTCTGCGAGTGTGGTGAGTAGGTACGGTACTTGGGCATGTGCGTATCAGGTCCGAGCAAATACATAATGCTCCCCTCGAGACGGGTCGTGTCGAGCCGAGTCGTCTGCTGTGATATCGAAAAAGTTATTATCCAACCAGTAATTCGCCTCCGACCAGCCCGGAGAGGCATTCCGGCCGCAATGTCCATCCGCAATGTCCATCCGCAATGTCCATCTGCAACGGTGCAACTGTCCAACCAACGGTCCAACGACGACGAGCTCCCCTCCCCCTCGAGGGTACATAATAGGGTAGCGGAACGTGAAATCCGGTATCCGAGCCACCCACGGGCGAAAAGACCAATCGATGCGAAGCAGCATGGGGACATAGCCAGTAGGTAAGTAGGCCGCCGTATGCATCAGTAAAAACTTCAAGTTCTCAGCCTTCCCGCTGCATCGTCAGGATGATATCGTCGCCATACATACCTCGAGTCGTCCACTGAACTCCCACCCTCCCACCAGAATACCACGCCACGCCACGCTCCCGTCCCGTCGTCGACCGTGAAATGCGATGCGATACGGCGTACGAGGTACGACCACAGGATCTCTTGTGCCCCCCTCCTAGCAGGTGGTTCGGGTGGCGACATATTCTTGCTGCGGGACGGGGTGAGGGGTGGGTGGGGGTGGGGGAGGTTGAGGTTGAGGAGGAAGAAACACCGTCGGAATGGGGGCTGGTTATCGTGAAAAAGTTGTGAACGCTGCGTCGTCTTCTTCGATGTCAAGTTTCCGTAGATTTCACTGCTGTCCGAGTTTTTTTTTTTGCATCCAGCTGAAAAATTTCCAGGCCATGCGGCGATTATAAGGCCCTTGAGCTCGAGCATTTCCTACAGCCGCTGGTTTCAAGCATGCATGTCCGTGAAGCTGAAGCCAGTGTGCTTCCGGATTCTACGGAGAAATTCACCGAGCGACCGCCCATGAGAGGGTTCTGGAAGGGCTGCGATTAGAGAGCACGGTTTTTCCTCTTTTCCTCTTTTCCTCTTTACCCTCTCCCTCCCCCCATCCTCCCTCCCCACCACCCATACCATTCCTATCCTCCAGGGAGCAGACCGGATGCTTTTGCCGACGCCGATCACAAAAAGATAATTTTTGCTGATATCGAAAAGACGATTGTACAATGGTCGTCATGATCAACCAAGGAGCAGCGTGCATGACACGCGATCTCCGATGCGTGCTCCGAGTGATCGGCTATGAGAACCGACCGGTCGCCATCACCTCTAACCGTTGCTGTGGGAGTACGTACTTCCCTGGCTAGGTCTCTCGCCGATCAGCGGAGTTTGCCTCGATCGCAAAAACAAAAAAAAAACAAAAAAAAACAACCAACCTGAGTGAGTGATCCGCGGCTGCGCCTATCAGGATTGATCATTGAACTTCATCGTCGGACACGGAACCGGCGGGGCCTCCCCACGATCATCTGCCATTAATTTGGATGGACCCCCAAAGGCCATAGGATTGATATTACCTACACGATATTCTATGGCACCCAAGAATTTTTGTACTGTACCTACGCAGAACTCATTCCATGCAGGGCCACTCCGCTCACACGGATCGGACAAGGTCTGAGTGATCATATCCTACATCTTATAGTTGGTGTACTCTACCTACTCTACATACCTAATACCAAATACCCAGCATGGGCCCCTGATCACGGACGTCGAGATTTGCTCCCTTAAAGCGGCCCACAATCAAAGGGCTCCACCGGGATCGGCGCTGTGTGGTCTGAGGCAGATACATACCCAGAGATGCGTGGCCCGGAATTCAACAGTTACCCATAGGGCCATAGCACTCCAAGGCACAGTACTCTACTCGAGAGTGGTATTCCGGGGTCGTGTCAGAGCGCCGAGGCGAGCTCGGCTCGTTGGAATTTGGAACTTGGAGTCTGGAATCGTCTTCGAATTGGTTCCTGTTTTTATTATCATCTCGATGCTCCACTTGCTTCCGTTGGGCCTTCAGGCTTCGGTTGCAGTATACGGCAGAGCAGGTAGTCTAGGAGTGTTTCCAACCCCGCCCCCGCCCCCGCCCCGCCCCCAAGGTGACGAATCTCGGCATCTGTCCGAGTGAAGAAGTGGTTGGCCGACCGGCACGGCCGCCCCCCCTCGCCCCGATGGGCCCACGGATGTGGTGGTGGTGGTCAGGCGTCCGGAACGATTTATAGTAGGCCCTGTTCGGTTGTCAACTGCGGTTTCAAAATATGCGGTTTTTGACGAGTTGAAGGTTAGATATAGGTAGTAGAGTACCAAAGTTGCAGCTGCAGCTGCAAACTCTCAACTCCCCTGGTGATGACCCGTTCGGAAACACAGATGTTCAACAGTACGCCGGGCCGCGCTTTTTTCTGACTTCGGGGCTATATAAGATGGTATGTAATGGTGGTTGTTTGTAGAGTTTGTTTGTAAAATTGTGGCTCAGTCGACAATATGCAGTTTCTCAAGCTGTTAACTTGGGGCGGTGTGTCGAACGGTCACCCACCTATTGCCCGGAAACTCACGGTTTCAAATTACATCTCAGTTTTGTGTGGTAGATTCAAAATGCAGTTTACAACCAAACAGGGCCTTACATATGCGAATATTCTCGGCTACATAGAGAAACCGAGGTGTTGAGTCTTGACCGTTCGCTCGGAGTCCATGTACCAATTAACAACTCTATTACTGTTTCACGAAGCCCAGCGGCCCAAGACCACCTGTCCCTTTCCGCCCCACCATGTGCTCTGCACTTCTGGAAATTATGATAGTTACCCGCGCATAGCTGCGTGTACTACCGGCGTGCATGAAGCCCCCGCAAAGGCGTTTGAATCGCTGGGCAATGTCGCCCAATGGCTGAGGACACATATCCTCCTGCTTGAAGAAACGCTCACTGCGTGTGTAGTTACATACCGAAAGTAATCTACCTGCCGGGTTTGCTACATAGAGTAGCACTAAAGATATGCTTATGTGGAATATGCTTGACATGTCATGTACCATAGCGGCTCATGAGACGTGTATAAACATTTACCCTTCCTCAGGTACCCCTCCCCCCCTCCCGCCGCGCCCGCGCAGGCAGATTAGGTACCTAGGGTATTGGCACTGCGAGTGACACGCCGTGCCGATAACACCGGTGCTGCCCAGCCGTTGAAGGCGCTAAGCTGCCAGCGAAAGGCGTGGTCTCAACGAATAGCGACCGACGGGGCGTCACAAGGACCGAAGGAAGTACTAAACTCTCTGAAGCTCCTTGGCCCCCCGACCGAGTACCCCCTCCTCCTCCTGCTCCTCTTCCTCCTCCTCCTCCGCCTCCTCCGCAGCTTCGATCCTCAACACGGACGACACACCTTTTGCTCCTCCATCATCCCCCCCCCCCACACACACCACACCATCAAATTTGCTGTCGACATCTCCCGCGAGGTTTCGATCGAACAAGCCTAAATACAACGTGTAGCGCCGCCGACACCCCCCTGAGTTTCCCTCCTCCACTCACAGCACCCGTTTTCAACTGCACCTTCCCTCGTGCAGCATCTGGTAGTACCTAGCCTCCTTCGCACCTCGTCCGAACGAACGAACGAAAGGAAAGAAAGAGAAGAAAGAAGGAAAGAAAGAAAGAAAGAAATATGGACAAACCGGCCGCCACCACCACTACTACGACCGCCACCACTACATCGCCCAAAGTCGCGTCACCCCCCGAAACGCCAACCCCTGGCACCGTCTCCAGCTCGGGAACCGATGCCGAAAACCAGTCGAAGCTTAAGTACGCGACGCGAGAAAGAGAGAGAGATGTGGTCGGGGAGGGGAGGGGGAAGTTGCGGCTGTGGGAACGCGGCTGACGTAATTTGTTCTTGAAGGGTTCTACTAGGTATCTTGCGGCGGTTCATCGGCGTGGCCGATATCGCCTCCGTACGGTTTTCGCTTCCAAGCCAGCTTCTCGAACCGGTTCCGAACCTCGGTACGCATACCTTTGTGCTCGGCGGCGGTGGTGGTGGTGGTGGTTGGCTCGCGACTTACGTATCGCAGAGTACTGGAACTACCTCGACCGGCCGGAAACTTTTGCCAGGTAACTAGACGATGTGGTCTGATTGAGCTACGACGAGCTGTGTTCTAACGTCCGCAGCATTGGCGATTCGGACGATGAAGTCGGAAGATTTTTGGCGGTGTTGAGATTTTGGTTCACCAAAGACTTGGTAGGCGTCCTGGCTAGAATGGTAGCCCCGGTCTGGGCAACTGCTGACGCGGCTACTTGGCTGTAGAAATTCATCAAGGGAAAGCCATGCAAAGTGAGGAGCATCAATCTTGAGTCCGCGGAATGCTACAGCTTCTAACATCTGTCTCGTAGCCTTATAACTCCACGCTCGGCGAATTCTTCAGGGTAAGTTGCGGATGGCAGTGGCGGTTGTGGTTGAGGTTTGATCGTCTGACGGGTTTATCAGTGTAGTTGGGACGTCCAAGAAACCCTCCCTCCACTCAACACGGAATCTCGGCCTACGTCAATCAAATCGGTGTCCAGCAAAGCCCCCGCTACCATAACCCCCTCCACCGCGTCCAGTGCGCCACAGCTGGCCCGGGTTTCGTTCCTCACCGAGCAGACATCGCACCACCCGCCGGTGTCCGCTTTCTACATTGACTGCCCCGAGAAAGGCATCAGTGCAAATGGCTACGATCAGGTAGGTAGGAACCGTTTCACTGTGCACGAACACGGTAGTGATACTTTATGTTGCTCCAGATTAGTGCGAAATTCACGGGAACATCGATCAAGGTGACTCCCGGAATCCACAACCTCGGGATATTCATCACGCTTCGCAACCGTGGAGACGAGTCTTACAGGTTGACACATCCGGCTGCTCACCTCGGTGGGTTGCTGCGAGGTACCCTCGCCGTGTATGTCGAAGACGTCTCGTACATCACCTGCGCCAAGACCAAGATCCGCTGTGTCCTCCAATATCTCGGGGACGGCTGGTTGGGCAAAGCCAAACACCGAGTGGAAGGTGTGGTATATCGGTACGACAAGGACACCGAAAACCTCGAGGGACTCAAGGGCATCCCGGCGAAGGCGATCATCGCCAAAATTGACGGCTCCTGGATGAATCAATTGTACTACACCCTAGCCGGCTCAAAGGTACGTCCGAACCCATAACCTTTCCGTTTCGCACATCCAATTGACACGGTATGTTTTTTTGCAGGAGAGGCACCTTCTCATCGATCTGGATCCTCTATTCCCGGTGGCCAAGATCTGCCCGGCGCCCGAAGAGCAGCTGGCCAACGAGTCCCGCAAGATGTGGGAGAAAGTCACCGAAGCCATCCACGCGAAGGACTACGGACGTGCCACGACGGTCAAGCAGGAGATCGAAGAGCGGCAACGGGAGTTGACGGCGGAGCGCGCGGAGAAGAAGATTGATTGGAAACCGAGGTTCTTCGAGGACATGGCTGAGAGGGTGGGCCAGCCACATCTCAGTGAGGAGGGGAGGAAGGCTCTTGAGGGGTTGAACTCGGGAAGCTATAAGTTGGAGCCTTATGAAATGCCTTAGTTTAAGGAGCTTGCAACCAATGATTATGACAGCTGTCCGCGGCAAATGGTTTGGTTAATATTAGACATTTCATGTTTCCTTTCCTCGATTCGTTTTTTTTTCTCCGCGTTGTTTGATTACTCGCATGTAATTCCTTTTTTTTTGGGAGTTTCTGAGTGAACGCCATCTGTACCACTTCCCAGCCGGCGTTTTGCTTGCTCGCTCTGCTACCTGGCCGTAAGCAAGTAGCCGTTGGCAACATGTGGATGGCAGTACTTCTGCGTAGATGATTGGATTGAAGGGGTTGATTAGAAGGGAGGGGAGGGGAGCCGGGAGGGGCGGTATCATAGAGCTGAGAGTCGACGATGGTTTAGAAACAAGGGCTGTCATTCCGCTTACCGTATGTCATACATATGCCATATGCCGTATGCCGTGTGAACAAACTACGGTACCTGCTGGCACCGCTTCCAATTACCGCACCGCACCAGAGCCCATCGTGGTCATGCCATCGTGGTCATGCGCGGTGTGGCATGTTGGAGATATGTGCATTGTGCACCAGCGGCTACGTCTGAGGACGGAGTCACGGAGCATTGAAGCATACCAAGCCAACCAGACGTGGTGGTGGAACTGATGGAACATACCGATTGGGTACGGAAGCAGTCTCCGCACCCACCGCGTATCTCACCAGCGGCCAGCCATCAGGCAGGATACATATCTAGGCGCGCATCATTCGTCGTCGCTCGGGACCTGCAGCTGACGCCTGACGCCTGGCGGCCGGCAAACGGGTGGGGTTTTGATTTTTTTGCTCCGGGCTTGGGATTTTGCTTTTTACTTTTTTTTGGAGGTATCGACCGGGCGTGGTAAAGCAAGGAGGAAGTAGGCAGGAAGTAAGTACTGAGTTTGTGTACTACTATTGTAGACTATTCGTATAGAGGAGAAGAGAAAAGTATGATACTCCATGTGGCTGGATTGGCCACGTTAACATGCGTTACGTTACGTTAAGCTTAAAAGTTACTGTGAGGGTACACACGGGCTGAAATGTACCTACCAAACCAAGCGCTCGGGAGGAGGTGGTGGGTGGGGAGGACGGCATAGTACGGTAGATGTGGCCACTAACTTTTGCACTTTATGCAATGCTTGTCTTGCCTTGACTTTTCATTGCTGTTCTGGGGGGTTTGGAGGAGCGGTGATGGTGAAGTGACGCTGCTGCCCAGGCTGGGATCGTCATTCATCGGGTTGGATTCGACCCCTCCCCCGCCCCGTTATCGCGAGCTACGTATTTTGCGCCGATCATTTGGCCGTTTGATCGTTGTAACTTGTGGGTGGGTGACGGTGGATGAGTGAGTTTGTGTGATGTGTTGTAATGTGATGGAGGGGGTGATGATGATGATGAAAACGAGAACTTTGTGTTTAAATGATGGAAAGAAGACGTTGTGTTTGGACGATGAGTCGGATCAACAGTCAAACGGAATTCGAGTTTATGCTTTGCACAAAAGAAAAAGAAAATTACTCTAGACACATTTGTTCCACCCTCCACCCTCCACCCTCCCACCCTACTTTCTACTCGCCGGGAAATCCCGCGCGCATGTTCTCATACTTGCTATCCGGATAGCATATCGTATTCTCCTCACGGTCCAGCGCGTTACAGCCGCCCATCTTATTGACCGTGGTAGCGATCAAACTCTTTGGATCGGAGACATGGCGATCACCGGAGAGCTCCCACCACATTGCGCCGCCGAGGTGGTTATTCAGCAAGTACTGAGTCTTGCGGGCCGCCATGCGCGGGGTGTCGTAGGACACCATCTTCCTCGTCGACGGGTTGTACGTGTACGATGCGAGGAGCTGGTCATCGTCGCACTCGGCGGCGCCGGCGTGCGGGAGCACCTTGTAGTCCCAGATGCCGTTTTCCCACGAGCCCTCGCCGCAGCCGGCGTACGATTTGCCGGGGCCGTCCGTGTTCTCGAAGGCCCGCCCGTACAGCGGCATGCCGAGGATGATTTTGTGCGGCGAGACGCCGCCCGCGATGTATGCCTTTACCGCGGCGTCGGCGGAGAAGGGCGTGCAGCACGGGTCCGTGCTCGAGGAATATATGTTGGCCTGGTGGCCAGAGGTGGCGTCCCAGGCGCCGGCGAAATCGTACGCCATGAGGTTCCAAAAGTCAAGGTACCGGTCCATAGCTGCCATTTGCAGCTTCTGGTAGTTAACCGGGCCGGCGGGGACGGCGACGGTGAGAAGCATGCGCTTGCACCCATTGTGCTGCGCGGAGTAGGCGTCGATTTGGCGCCGGGTCTCTTCGAGCAGGAGAACATAGTTCTGCGCCTGCGTGGCGTCCTGTGGGTATTCCCAGTCTATGTCGATGCCATCTGTGGAATCGAAGTTAGCATGTTGGTTCGTATATATGTGGACAGAGGTGTGCGCAAGGACGTACCGAATCCGAGATCCTTCATCAGCGCTACGGCGGTGCTGGCGAAAGTGCACCGTCCCTGCTGCGTGGACGCCGGATTGGCAAAGTGCGCCGAGTAGGTCCATCCTCCGATTGAGAGGAGGGTCTTCATATGGCGGTTGTGCTTCTTGAGCAGCATGAGCTGCTTCATGCAGCCATAGACGTTGACGCTGCACGCGGTTAAAATTAGCGCGCTGCGGGGATGGTGCCTGTCGGGGGGATGGCGGGGAGATGTGCTCACCCAACGTCATTCCACGAGTCGGAGGGATAGTGCTTCTCGAGGTCCGAGTATGTATCACTCAGATAACTGTGATGGGAATGAATGTTAACCTTGAAATCTCTCCATCTCAGCAGGTTCGGGGAACGTACACCTCACCACTCTCTGGTCTGACGTTGGCGAAAGAATCTGTACAGCGGGTCAGAACCAATCCAATTGCGAAACTCGGGACAAAGATGCTTACAGAGAATATGGGTGATATGCTGAGTCGGGATATTTTGAGGCTGGAAATTACGACCATAGATGCCCTGTAGATTGAACACAGTCAGTCCAGCACGGTACAGCAGAAATCCCCGTGGTGTGTGGCCCACAGACCCAGTTGGTAAAGTAACCGACGGTTTTGTATCCACCAGTCATATTTGCGATTGATCGGTAATCCTCAGATGAATGGGGAGATGGCGGTGGGGATATAGGGTTGTGTCGCGACTGAAACTGGTGGAAGTAGGACTGGAAGGTGAAGTATAGTAGGATAACTCCTCGCACAGCTGAACCGACAGTGGATCGCAAATCCATGATGTGAAGAGAACCTCAAGTGTTTATATAGGTAGCCATTCCTACAAGCAACAGGGGATCGTACTTGGCCCCCAACTGAGTTACGATGTATCTAACTTTTTCCGTGAAACTGCGACTGGCTTTTGGTTGAGCACGAGGGATTCGATAAAGTTACCTCTGGTGTGTAATTGGCGAACGGCGTTGGAAAGTCATGTGGGCGCAGTAAGGCTGTCTAGCTCAAGTGCAACAATGGCTCAAGAGGATGTGAGGACCGTTTGATTACTTGGTTCGTCTTGGGGAATCAAGGGGAGAACATGCCATGTCAGAGAAGCCAAAGTGAAGATATGTAGCTTCTCCTTTAACATCACTGGCTGTGCGCGCAGACAGCTTGACGCAAGTGTGGCGCACTAAGCCCTGGGCGTTTGCGAGGCTTACGCGTAAGAAGGCTGTGCAACACACCAGTCTCGAACGAGAATGCCAAGCAACTGCGCTCTTATCAGTCTATCTCTCTATCAATCACATCTTATCGCAGGGCGAAAAACGGTCACAGCTGCAACCCTACCCACACCACACAGAACCGAACACTGGTCCCGTTTTGGAGTGGAAAGTCAGAGAGTATCGCCAAATCTACGAGCAAGTGAAGCACCCCCCGCGACAACCCGACCTCCGCCCCCCGTCCCTCCCTCCGGCAGATCCACCCTTCGTCAAACCCAAAAATCAGCCACCCATCATGTCGCCCAACAACCTGCCCGCGTACGTAAATTTCCCCCGGTCGCGAGAAAGAGATGGTGAAAATGGCGGTGATGGTGGGGGTTGGTGGAGGAATTGAGGGGGAAATGGAAGATGGAACATGGAGCTGATGGGAGAACTATAGCATCTTCAATGCGACCAAGGAGGACATGGAGATGCTCCTGAGCGCTCAGTGCCACATGGGATCCAAGAACTTGCAGGTGGGGATATCTCTCAAAGCGAACGAGCTTCTGGACGGCTCCTAACGAATGCTGTGTGATAGGTGCACATGGACCCTTACCTCTACAAGACCAGGCCCGATGGTATCAACATCATCAACATTGGCAAGACCTGGTAAGTCGGAAACGATTCAGCTCAACAATTTCCCGACTCGGAATATCCTCCATAGCACAGTTGTGCTGATTACCTTGGGGATTTGCAGGGAGAAGATTGTGTTGGCCGCCCGTGTCATTGCTACCATTGACAACCCCGCCGATGTCTGCGCCGTCTCTGCTCGTCCTTACGGACAGCGTGCCGTCCTGAAGTACGCCGCCCACACTGGTGCCACCGCCATTGCCGGTCGTTTCACCCCCGGTAACTTCACCAACTACATCACTCGTTCGTTCCGCGAGCCCCGTTTGATCATCGTCACCGACCCGCGTAACGATGCCCAGGCCATCAAGGAGGCCTCGTACGTCAACATCCCGGTTATTGCTCTTTGCGATACCGACTCGCCCACCGAGTTTGTCGACATCGCGATCCCAACCAACAACAAGGCTCGTCACTCGATCGGTCTGATCTGGTGGATGTTGGCTCGTGAGGTCCTCCGTCTTCGCGGAACCATCGCCTCAAGAGAAGACCGCTGGGATGTCATGGTCGACCTCTACTTCTACCGCGACCCTGAGGCCGAGGACCAGAAGCCCATCGAGGAGGCGGACAAGACCGTCCCTGTTGAGGAGGTTGCTGCTGAGGGTGGCTTCAACGCTACTATCACCAGCGGAGACTGGGAGGTTGCTGGTGGCCCCGCTGCATTCGCCGCGCCTGAGGCTACTGGTGCCACCACCAGCTGGGATGCTGAGCCCGCCGCTGAGTGGGGTGCTGAGCCCACTGCGCCGGAAGCTACCGCCGGTTGGTAAAAAAAACGGATGGGGCAAATGGAGAAACGTGGGGTTCCTTTTTTTTTCGGTGGCGTTCCGCATTTTAATTAAAAACAACTCCGCGAAGATGAGAGTCATCGTTGGCATCTTGTAGACCGTGATGTGAGGTTGTTTTTGTCTGCAGTTGACCTGTATATGAGCTGAATCAATGCTTCGCCAAAATGCGCTCCATCCAATCCCACATAACATAAATATCCTGTTACATGACACAAATGCGACATCTTCTGCAGCATTTATTATTTTAACTTCGAGCCCGAGTCTCTTGCTCATGCACTTGGTGTTCTCCATCCACCGTGTTGCTTCACAAAATCCCACTCGCCTCCTCCAACGTCACGTTACCTGGTCTCGACCCAGTTCAGCTTGTGGTGAGCCAGGATTGTCCGTGTGCACCATCTACCATTAAAGCTTCACCATCACGCAACATCCCCGCTATGAACACTAAAGTCCCTTTCCCTCTACCTTTAGGAACCAAAAGTACAGCATCCAAAAACCCCTGCGTAATCTGCCTCGACGAGATCTCAGAGCCGTCGACAGCCCTGCCCTGTCGCCATCCATACGACTACATCTGTCTAATCAACTGGCTCGAGCTCCGGCAAACATGTCCTCTTTGCAACGCGGCGGTCAGCCATGTCCAGGTCTTCGATAAGGACAAGGGGAAGAGTGTTATGGTGTGCGCTTCCCTCCTCACCACTGACCTACTGTAGCTAATAGGATCTACCCAGCACCGCGTTGACCCGCCACGCCCTCCACCCCCCGCCGCCGCGCCCTCAAGCTCACGACCTTCGCCAACCCGTCGCCGCCACCACCCAGCACCGCACCGTCCCCCTCCCGTAACCACGGACACGGCGATCCTCCAGCGCCGACACGTCTACAGGAACCGACTCTTGAGCCTGCACGTAGGCTCGAACCGGATCTCGCGGTTCCGCTCCTACACACCGCGCATGGTGCGCGACGACGAGGAGCTGCAGTCGCGCGCAAAAACGTTCATCCGCCGCGAGCTGCAGGTGTTCGAGTGGACGGCGGATAATCGCGAGTTCATTCTCGAGTATATCCTTGCGATCCTGAAGACGATCGATCTCAAGAGTGCCACCGGCGCCGCCGAGGATATGCTCGCGGATCTGTTGGGCAGGGAGAATGCTCAGATTTTTTGTCACGAGATTCATGCATTCCTCAGGAGCCCGTATAAGAGCTTGGGGGACTTTGATAGGAGCGTGCAGTATAAGGAACCGCTGCCGACGAGGTTTGGGGAGGATGGTATGCCTGTTGGACACACTGGATTGAGGAAGAGGAGGGTGGATAAGGTGGAAGGCGAGGGAGGGAGGACGCCGCTGGAGCCGGAGAGGAGTAGACGACGGATGGGGTGAATGTGAGCATTGAGCATAGACGGGGTTTAATCATGTTCTCGTTCGCCGCTCCGGGTTCTACGCCGACCGATTGGGTCCCACATGGCAGCCCTTATGCTGTCCGGCCTTGTGATGAAACGGCGGGGAACGAGTGAGGAGAGAGTGCCAATTGCGTTGAGCACGCAGAGGGATGGATGGAAGAGGCGGGCGAGAGGTTGATTGTATACAGGCGAGGCCGTAAATACTTACACGCTGTATCAGATATATGTTGTGCTAGCCGTAAAAACATGCCCTCCGTATCGGCATGCTTTGAGATTCCCCAATCGAAACAAGAACACCAGTAAACAGAGATATCTAAAATACACGCTCCCGCATCGCATCAACCGACCAAAATGATCGGTATCACTAAGGCAAAGATGCATTGGGCACCAGCAGCTAGTGGAGCAAGGCTAACGATGCCCATCGGACTAATTGGGCACCATACCTTCATCCTCTTCCTTCAGACTCTCCCTCCGCAAACATCTCCCGTCTCCCGTCACAATGATATCTACCAACCAATCACTTCCATCAACGGGCACCTCATCTTTCGGCACTACCTGGCAATCGAGCGCCAGCGCAACCAGCACCGGCATCTTCTTCCCGCTTTCCTTCTTCGCCATGTTATACCGCGTCAGAAAGTAATCGTAGTAACCCTTGCCGTGTCCCAGCCTCTTGAAGCTCTCGTCGAACGCTACTCCCGGCATCACGATCAAGTCCAGTGTTGTATCATGTTTGGCGTCGCCCAGCGCGTTTTGCCGCGACGAGATCGAGTCTTCGGGGAGCGTGGGGATTCCCCAAGAGTCGGGTTGGAGGGAGTGGTAGTCCTCGAGCGAGGCCAACGCAAGCATGTCCATCAGACCCGGGGGCGCCGGGCGGGATGTCGCCGCAGTCGAGGCAGCATGACCGGGGGGACGCCGGTGGATGTAGGGTACATAAACGTGCTTGTCTGCATGCGCGCGTAATTATTCAGCCGTCTGTCCGCATGTAATATGTACTGCCGGTTCCCAGTTGCTTCCCACCATTGCTCAACGAGTGCTCGACGATAGTCGAAGTGTCGATTTCCTTCTGCGGCATCGAGAGGTACACGCTGAGGCGCGAGGCTGCCGCGTATTCTGGCAGCGAGAGAAACGTCTTCACGCATACTTGCGACTGCGATTGGACCAGCGACGCGGGGAGCTGCGAGAGGGTCTTTTTCATTGTAGAACGCAGCGCACGCTTCGCGGCCGCCAGCGCGGGCGTCATTATTGTGATCGTCGTCGTCGTCGCCGTCGTTGATGTGGGTGTTTGGGGGCCGGACATTTGTTTGGTTGTGGGCTAGTTGGTCGTCGGCGGGCTTGTTGGCGGGGGGAGGATTGGATTGTAACCATGGGCGGGGGTAATTCTGCTATGGCGTATGCCAACCCGCGATCTTGATTGCAAGCTACTCACACAGTGATCTTGGTGCACTTTATATGAGACTCAGTTTTGCCTCCCTGCCCCTCCTTCTCTACAGAAAACCCAAGTAAAACGGTCTACATTTTTACTTCGTTCATGTTACGTTCAGCTTCCTCAACGGCCACTCACAATCTCCGTCACCGCTGCAACTCGAATCTCATCAGCGCCCAGAAGCGGAGGAACTGTCATCCGCAGCAGAGTCCCCTACGCTTTGAAACAGCGGTAAGGCAGCAACAAAGAAATTACCATCAGCATCACCAGCATCATCGCGACTCGAACAAACATAAAAACCGCCGATACACCACTACCGTCATAGCTGCTACTGCTGCCCTAGCTTTACCGGTATCATACGCCCTCGGCAGGAACTCAGAGGAAAGTGCCGACGACTCCAGGAATAAATCTTCCGCCTTTTCGCTTTGGCCATTCACCACTACCACTGCCCCGGAAACTCCTTCATCCGACGACTCCCACACAGCGCCGAACTCCAACAACGAACCCAACAACATGACCGGCCCTTCCACCGCAAAAATTCCGCCAGGACGGCCAGAGACATTGACGAAAGCCGAAGAAGCGAAATTGAAGGAGCTATGGGCAGCTTCGATGCGAGTATTCGGCGTCATTGAGCACGACTCCGTCTCGGCACCGTCGGATACCGCTGCTCCCGAAGTCCACTCCGCGGCGCCGAGTACCACCGAAGAGTCAACTCACAGCAAGAAGAAGTCGCTGGGGCGCCTGCTCTCCAGGTCTACCAAAAGGGACAGTCATCCGCCGGCGACGGCTACACCTTTGTCTCCTACTACCGCTGCTTCACCCGTTACTCTCGACGACTCGGACGATAAGTATGGCCATAACAAGGACTTCAAGGTCGCGCTTGCGTCGCAAACGCCCGCGGAGCTTAGGGAGGCGTTTTGGGGCATGGTGAAGTGCGATAATCCTGATGGACTGCTGCTGCGGTTCCTCCGAGCGCGCAAGTGGGATGTGGACAAGGCGCTGGTCATGATGGTTGCCACTATGGGGTGGAGATCAAAAGAGATGGATGTATGCTTGTCTCTTTCTTTGTCTTTGCCGTTCACCCTCGCCACCGGAGACTGACGGGATTATAGGTTGCGAAAGTGGTCCGCGACGGCGAGAGTGTCCCGATCGCGGAAAACGACGAAGGCTTCATGAAGCAGCTGCGGATGGGCAAGAGTTTCCTGCACGGTGTGGATAAAGACGGAAGGCCCATCTGCTTCGTCAGGGTGCGTCTGCACAAGCAGGCAGACCAGACGGAAAAGAGTCTCGAGAAATACACTATCTACATCATGGAGACGGCGAGGTTGATGCTCAGGACTCCGGTGGATACGGCGTGTGTGGTGTTTGATATGACGAGCTTCTCTTTGGCGAATATGGTATGCAGAAACCTGCGAGCGACTCGTGGTGAGACTGGCGCACTGACGAAATGGATAGGATTACGCCCCAGTCAAGTTCATGATTAAGTGCTTCGAGGCGCACTATCCCGAGTCGTTGGGAATATGTCTAGTGCATAAAGCACCATGGGTGTTCCAGAGTGTTTGGGTAAGCAAGAATACATCATGTCCCCGCTTTCGGCCGTCACTCACATATTCGGTGCTCAGAGTATCATCAAAGGCTGGCTTGACCCCGTAGTCGCCTCGAAGATTCATTTCACCAAGACTACCGAAGAGCTGGAGCAATTCATCTCGCGCTCACAGATCATCAAAGAACTCGGCGGTGACGAGGACTGGGAGTACAAATACATCGAGCCCGCAGAGGGCGAAGACGTGGCATTGAACAACACAGCAAGTCTAAGCTCTCTGCAGGCCGGGCGAGACGCTGTAGTCAAGGAGTATGAAGAGCTGACCCGGGCATGGATCGCCGCGCCGGAGGGAGCGGAGTCGGATGAGAAGAAGAATAAGCGGACGGAGCTGGCGAAGAAGCTCGAAAGAGGGTACTGGGCAATGGATAAGTACCTACGTGGGCGAACATTGTACGATCGTACCGGTGTCTTGAAGCCGGATGGGAGTGTGGATTTCTACCCCCAGAAGCAGGTAACAGTTGAGACTCAGAGCGACGATATAGACTAGAGCTGGAGGGAAGGCCTTTCAAGGTAGTTTGTTTTTTGGGTTTTGTCTTCTTAAGAGGGATGGGATACATTATAATGTATGTAAGATGAGAATGGCTTGGTTTAATGGCATGGCGACAATGCGAGTCGAGTTAGACGTTGCGATTGACCGCTCATGTTTCGGTAAAGAATGGCAATCGAAATGCGGGGCATCCATTCCCTCGCGGGGAGGCCCGCCCTACGTCATTTAACTATCGCGTTGCACCCCACATTCTCATCACCATCAATCCGCCCCCCACAGACAGCCCGACAGCTCACCCATCAACCACAACTATCACAACCATGTCCGCCACAGCCTGTATCTTCTGCAAAATCGTCAAGGGCGAGATTCCTTGCTTCAAAGTGCGCACCCCCGCGAACCCTCCGCGCTGTCATCCAGCAGCTAACCTCCCACCGCGCAGCTCTTCGAATCCACCAAAGTCCTGGCGTTCCTGGACATCCAGCCGCTCTCCCGTGGGCATGCCGTCCGTTCTCCTTCCCCCACCTACGCATCCAGCCACACATGTTGACCCGTGTAGATGGTAATCCCCAAAACGCACGGCGCAAAGCTGCACGAGATCCCGGACGACGAGCTCGCGGAGCTTCTCCCGGTAGCAGCGAAACTCGCGCGCGCCGTCGGCAGCGCCGACTACAATATCCTGCAGAACAACGGGCGCCTTGCGCACCAGGAGGTCGACCACGTACATGTCCACTTCATTCCCAAGCCGAGTGCGGAGGAGGGATTGATCGTGGGCTGGCCGGCGACGAAGGCGGATATGGACGGGCTCAAGGGGCTGGCAGAGGAGGTCAAGGGAAAGCTATAGATGGATGGATGGATGGGTTCATGTGGAGATGGCGGGGGTTCAGGTTGGAGACGGTAAGAGGCCCTTATAGGAGAATGAACTGAACTAAACTGGCTTCTTCCTACCACCCCCCTTGAAATAAAAGCGACGCGTTCCGGAAAGGAAAGTAAACATGTCTTTGCAGCAATGGTTCGCTTCCTGCCTCGGTTCGGTATTGGTTCTCTGCTGTTGTCGGCACGACGATCCCCCCGCGCTCCCTCCCCCGCTGCAGAGAAAACCCACTGGCAACTCCAATGGAAGATCAGTGGTGCTCCCCCACGTACCGGTGTACCCGAGCCAGCGCAGGTACAGATAGACTGGGCGATGTCCGACGAAGAGCTTAGGGGGTGGGTTCTCCAGGATTAGGACGTGATCGAGCGACAAGTTGGCGGTTATGCGAGTGAGAGGGCGTGATGTTGCATGTGCTGGCCGTTGCCATCGATGACGCTGTGTAGAGTACCTACGGCGGAGTTCTGCTCCCCGGCCACTGCAGGTAACAAGTTGTTCTGTTCCCTCTTCCAATCCGGTGACCAATGACCACCGGGTAGGCTGTGCTTGTATGTTTTGTTTCTATTTCCGCACGCATCGATATCGAATTACAAAACCCCATCAATAAAGAACGTGGCGTTGTGTCCTCCAGAAAGAAAGAAACTGGGAAGAAAAAGCTTGCTGGTCGGTCGCTGACCACTGGCCGGTGCACGTCACCCTCACTTCTAAAATCAAAGCTTGGCGCGTGAATGGAAGTGGGAACCTTGCCGCCCTCGTTAAGACATATTTCATTTCCAGCCTCCACTCACTTGAATCTAACACTCAACCCTCCACGCAACGAGACACGAAGACGACGAAATATCCTGCCATATATACATACGTTCGCGCGCTCGAGAGAAAAGAAGGAGATTTACAAACACAGGCACATTTCAAGAACAAAGGAAATATGGCTACCCAGCGAAAGAACGGCAACTCGCCGGCTGAGTCGGTGGTGCGGAGTATGTACACTACAATCGGAATGTCCGGCGAGAGGAAGAGCACGATGGGAGTGATTTTGCTGACATTGTGAGAATCACAGGCGCAGATGATAAGCGGAAGCTCGACGCCCTGGCCTCCGATGACCGCCACTTCTCGATGATTCGGTATGTCATTGCCCTGGGATGTGTAGTGTAGTGTAGGGTGGATAGAAACTGACTGTGCTATTCAGCGCTCTCCATCTCGCGGATCTGATCACGGAGCTCAATGGTTCGTTTGTCTACAGCCGACCGGAAACTGGAGTGCAGTCGCTGATATGGATGTAAAATAGGCTTCTGTGGTGCCATGAGCATCTTCTCGTCGCTGCGCTACTGTCTCGGCGATTCTACCGACTTGAACCAGTTGTACCTCGCCATGGTGCTTGTGCCGCTCGGCCTGTTCTTTGACTTTATGGACGGCAAGGTTGCGCGGTGGCGGAAGAAGAGCTCGTTGATGGGACAGGAGTTAGATTCGCTCGCGGATCTTGTACGGATTCCCCTTGAAGCCTTACAATGTACGGGCCGGTTATGCTAACATGTGCTTCGTAGATTTCTTTCGGCATGGCACCGGCCTCGTGTGCGTTCGCCATCGGCTTCCGCACCATGCTCGACACGGTGCTGCTCTCGTTCTTCGTACTGTGCGGTCTGTCACGATTGGCACGCTTCAACGTGACGGTGCAGTCGCTGCCCAAGGATGCTACGGGCAAGAGCAAGTACTTTGAGGGAACGCCCATCCCAACCACTCTCTCGATCGTGTTCTTGATGGCGTACTGGGCCAAGCAGGGACTGATCCTCAACAACATCCCATACGGCACCGTTGGAGAGGGCTTGTGGGAGTTCCACCCCGTCGTTCTGATGTTCTGTGTGAGCGGTTGCGCGATGGTTTCGAAGTCAATCCATATTCCCAAGATATGATTACCAATGGGGAAGAAGGGGGAGGGGGGCGGGCGTTGGGCTGGGATGGAGGGGCCTCTTTTTACTTTTCCTTTTTGTTGACTACGGGCGATTGTGATAATGTGCTATCATGATGCATGGGGCAATTGAAAGCGTGGCTCTTGTATGTTTTCGACGTGGTCTCCGGACACAGCGGTTGTTTCGATGTTTTGTTTTGCTGGTCTTGCTAGGGCTGTTTCTGTTCATTCACCACATGCATAGATATACCTACGAATTGCTTTTGTGCGGGGCTGTTTGATCGCTTGCTTGTTTTGTGGATCCTGTTGGTGACGGGGAATGGATGTTTCGTGAGGCGAGCCGCATTCCGACGGACGGATAGACCAAAGCAATCGATAGTGGATTGCCCATGTTATACATGCCTACTCCCCACAGTGACCATAACCATGTAGAGTACCTATATACGATGAGTGCCATCATCACCACCACCATCGCCATCACTACCACCACCAGCAGCCCCTCTCCCGGCCGACACAAGCGAGACTTGGTGCTGCTGCACTTGCCTATCTGCCACACCCGTCAGTTAGGATTCCTGCAGCCCTAGCTCGGGACCGGGGGCCTGAAGGTGGTGATATCTGAGAACGGCATCCCGTTCGTCTGGAGTCGAGGTGCACAGACTCCCCCTGTGGAGAAGAACCCTCGGTGGAGAGTGAAGGACCGTCTCGGATGGGTCGGTGAGGACGTAGCGCAGCGAAAACCTATGCCCTACTTTCCTGTTTCCTGCACCCAAGCGGTGATGACATGCTCACTGGCGATCTTTGTCTCTCCTCCTCCAACAGGAGTCCCCTTCTTGCAGCCAGCTTCCCTCTGTCCCCCAATCCCTCGCTCAGGCAGACGGACGGCCAGCAGCAGCAGCAGACGCAGAAGAGAAAGAACGGAATCCCCCAGACTCCAGTGACAATTCTATAATTACAATCATAACAACCACAATTACATACGACCCATCCACCACCACCACCACTCCCACCATGCGCTGGACGTGTCTATCATTGGTCCGTCACGACAGCGGCGATGATTGCTGCAGCATCTCCGACTGCAGCACCCGCATCGCGTCGCACAGCGTGCGCGCCACGCTCAAGCCACACAATGACAGCGCATCAACCGCAACCACATCCTCCAGGACCAATAATTATTCCAGTCCTTATTCCACCCACCACCACCACTACCACTACCACTACCACTACCAACCACTACTGCTACTGCTGCCGCTGTCTCTTCCCCTCCATCTCGAGCTTGAGCAATTCTTTCGGAATGAGATGGCTATCGAACATGACGACGTTGTCGACGTTAACGACTCGGTCTTTATGGCTTCCCTTCTCGCCAATGAGCTCAAGAGCTATTCGTTCGACTTGGACGCTCTGAGACAATGGATGATTGCTTTGTGAGCTGCCATGCTAGACCCTCCCCCGCCCTTCCCCACACAGGCGCGTAGATATTATATCTCTCCAAAGTAGTAAATGCTTACGGATTGCGGGGTTAAAGTGTAGTATGCGACTTCAACGTTGAGTGAGTAGAAGTTGTCCGTTGTCGTAATTGAAGCCCTGTCGCCTAACAATAATCTTGTAGTGTCGGTGTCGAAGTCGAGTACATGTTTCCGTCAACAAACCTCTCAACAACAGACATCCAGACAATCTGCTTCAGCAGGTCTGTGATCCCTCTTCCTCCGTCCCTCCTTCCATTCCTCGTCGATTGACATCGTATCTGGCTATAGCTTCCCCGAGAAAAACAACCCCGACGCCATAATCGAAGACTCTGCCTTCCACTTCAAATTCCGGCACACCTCTCCCGACGTGACCGTAGGCCCCACGGAAGACCCGGCACATTGGTACGGCTACTGTTTATTCCGACAAAAGCGGGACATCTCGGTGAAGCGGCACTACAGACAAAAGTCATTGATCCTGGTGTCGCAACATGAGTTCCCGCCGCTATTCAGCCACATCGTGCAGACTGTGTCGATGCTGGAGTTCGCCGTGAGCCCAGCTCTCTGTGAGAGCGCTTGTTCGAATATTGCTGCGTGGGGACCACCGGAGATTGGGATCAAAGAGTTACCGTTCCTGGGAGAGATACTGGAGGTTCACATGTGCGTTGGAGGCCCCGGTCTTGCGGGTGATAATGAAGGCTGATGGTGACGGTAGACCGCTTCATAATTCGTTTCCGCTCCAGGGCGTCATGTCGCACTCGTCCAGCGCGGATCTGCGCGTGGAGTTCAAGGAGGTCCACGCTGCTGCACCAACGGGAAGCTGGGCGAGACTGGCGCATATGCTCACGTCTCTGTCGGAGCTTTACATCATCTTCGAACGTGTATGTTGCCTGATCATTTGTTCGGAGAATAGGGCTGATAGTATCTGTGTAGGCACTGCTCTCGGAGCCGCTGGTAATTCTGGCGGATGATCCTAGGACGGCCAGTGAGTTTGTGAGCTCGGTCGTGGATCTCATTCGGCCGGTGCCGTTTGGAGGAGATGTTCGGCCATTCCTGACGATGCAATCTGGTGAGTCTCCAAGCGGTTTAGTGGCGGTCCGTGCTGACGTTGCAGATTTCTGTCCCAATTCACAAGAATCATTACCAATGCGACATTATCTGATTGGCATCACGAATCCCTTCTTCCTCAAACGAATACAATGCCAGGGGAAAGAACCCAACCAGGCACACGTAGTCTACCTAGCCGGTCCGGAAACGAGGTAAGAATGGTCTCCCATTGCTGCGTCCGAGTGCTGACCGGATTCACCAGACGGAAATCAGGTATGATGTTCTACACATCGTTCATTGAACGCGCAGAGCAAGCTTCCCATGTGGTACCCAATGAAAGCAAAGGATACATCGCCAAGGACCTGACCTTCCTGCGCAAGCTGGACGTGCTACTCAAAGACCCAGAAAGCTCACGTGAGTCCAGATCAGCCGCGAGTCTCATCGTATATTTACTGACTATCCCCAGCCCAAGATGTCAGTAGATTCGTGCGCCGCCACTTTGCTCTTCTCTCGGCATTGTTCCTGGCACCATTGAACCGATACCTGGCTACTCTAACCTCCTCGACGCCGGACTCGAGCGTAATCGACATGGGAAGTTTTTCGGAAGAGGACTTTTTGGATAGTCTATCAAAACACGGCTGCTCTGTGGCATTCAAGGGAAAAACCAGCTACCTTCGTCACCGGACCGCGGAAGCCTTCTATCGAAAATTCTGCAGGTCTCCAAGCTTCTTCACGTGGTTGGAGATGAAGGTGAGACTGCAGACTGCCGACTTGCCTGTAATTCCAATGAATGGGGATTTAGAGATCAAAGTGGAGGGATAGCTGCTTTCACACTACTTGTCCGGTTTTTCTTTCACGTGCTAGCACATCCATTCGTTCGTTCCGCCAACCGGGTGCCTGGCAGTTCAAAATATTTTCTTTTCATCGTGTTTTCTTCTCCCTCTTCTTGGTGAGTCTGTATTATATGGGTGGCAGTGGACTTTTGCTTTTCCAGTGTAAGGTGTTTTAATGAAATCCATTCGAGTTCGGTGGGTTGGGATTATTTTCATACCTACCCGTCGGATACAATGTATGTACCAAAGTATACACTGAAGTATCGACGTCATCTCGATAGCCCCGTACCCCGAAAACACCCCGCGATCGCGTGTGGCACGGTCATAACCTGCAGCAGAACATTATCACCACCATCGCCATCCGTCCTCCCACTCCTCAATGATCACCACTCGATGCTCCGACGCACACTCATCCGCCTAACCCCGTTCCGCCCCCGCACCCGCAACTATGCCACCGTCGACACCTCCGACCCCTACCGCTGGCCGACGCACACGCACCCCACACCGTACGACATCCTCGAGATCCCGCCGAAAGGCGTGTACACCAAGACGCGCTACCTCGAGCTGATCAAGCTATACCACCCGGACCACCGGCACCACCACCTGCGCTCCCACACTTCGCACCTTGAGCGCTTCCGGCTGACCGTCACCGCGCATCGCCTACTCTGCGACCCCTCGCGGCGCGCCGCCTACGACCGCTACGGTGCGGGCTGGCACCATGCGCCCCCTGGCGCCTTGGGCTCACAGCCACTGACCCCAGAGTCCGCGAAATGGTGGCAGCAGCGCGAGGGGCACTCGCCGTTCGCGTCCGAGTTCGCGCACGCGTACGGGCGCGGCGGGCCCGATGACACGGCTGCGAACGGGAACTGGGAGGACTGGGAGCGGTGGCGAGCAGCGCGGGATCATCCGCCGCAAAAGCCTTTGCTCACGAACAACGGCGCGTTCGTTACCATCGTCGTGATCCTGGCGTGTGTCGGCTCGCTCGCCGAGCTGAATTATGTGGGCGGGAAGAGCGAGCAGGCCGTCGAGATGGGCGAAAAGAGGAGTGTTATGCTGGGACAGGACCTCGCGAGGAGAAGAAGGGAGGCTGGCGTCGATGGGCGTGAGGAGAGGGTTAGGAGGTTCCTTATCATGAGGGATCCGGTTGATGCGGGCAAGAGGTTCAGAAACGCGCCGGGGGATAAGGGGGGGGGGAAGTTGCTGCTGCCACCGCCGTCCGAGAAACCGTTGGATACTCCGCCGCCGCCGGTGAGGAAGGGACGTGGCGGAGATGGGTAGGAGGAAGGAGGAAGGCTATACATGTATGCATATTCCGGGAGGAATTGCCGTGGGCGTTGGGAGTTGGTATTTATTCTATTCGATTCAATAGCAATGTAGTTGCATGTTTCATTGCTCAGTCATGCGATAGGGATATTGCTATGCACGTCATAAAGCTTCGGGCACTCCATTCGAGAGCAATGACAGGACCGGGAGGGGGAGGTTTGGTCAGTGATTCCACACCTATTCACGATGCATCACTCGACACCCAACCATCGAGGGCGAGATAAATGTTTCTACATCTAATGATTTGTCGTTTGTACTGTGCAGGATAATGGTGAGAGGGTGAATCCCAATCAGGCCGGACATTTTGAAGTCCAGTGATGGAGGGGGAGGGATACGGAGCTTGTATTACACTTAAAACTGTCACGGCCAAATAGGTAGAATGGAGTACCCTACAGAACGACGAGCCCAAAAAAAACCATCCCATTTGGTGATCCCAATTGGAGAATGAGCGCACCTACTACCGCTACGGAATTCGCGCCAAAGTCCGCGAAGCACTGTTCAGCTACGGCATCGAGAAGATGCACAGTGCACTTTTGGTCATCTCGATCGTGATTCGGATGCCCCGAAGAGGAGCCCTGGCCCTAGTTAACGTCTTGTACTCTACATACCTCATAGCTTTCATGGCAGCCACCGTCCCATCTCCGGTAGCTATATCCCTACTGGGACGGGAAGGGAAGGGAATCTATTCCTGCAGGCGCCGTTGGATCATGGATGTGCTATCAATTGTGCTATCAATGCTCGTTTTATTTATTACTGCCATGGCGCTGCAGCGTGGTGGTGGTGGTTCGCGCTAAAAGCAGGAACTAGCAAAGCAAAGCAAACATTGGCTTGGCCGTGCTTAACTACGAGTAATGGGAAACTCTATCTAACGATCGGAGTGTTGGATCTCACATGTAGTCGTAGTCTATCTCGCACTCTATATACCGGCCGGAGGAACTCAAGATTCAAGATCGCGCTTCGGAGCCAGCACACCGGCAGTCCCGGAGACGGCGAGATAGAGGTGGTCCACACCTGTTCGAGTCCGCATGGTGAGCGAGCTGCGCATGTATTATGTGTCTGGATGAGTTTGGTATCCTACATATCATACCCAGTTCGAGGCGAGTTGCCATGTACAATACATAAACGTGTCCGTCCGTCCGTTCGTTCGTCGGTGCAAGTCAAGTCAAGTGCCACTGCATATACCTATGCCCGGCGCCGGCAGCAGCAGCAGATACTCCGCTCCGCTGTGCTGTGCTCCAGAGTCCGAGTGGTTGGTCGGTGAAAGTGGCGTCGTTCAACCGTTGAGGAGGAGGGATCTCGGTCCTGCTTTTTGGCGTTTGATGTCGTTGCCGAGATCCCCTCAAGTTTGATTCACGATACAGTCCGGATCGTCTGCCGCCATGGAGGATATATGTGCCTAGTGGATTGATGGTTTCCCCACACGTTCCCGTATGCGAGCGATTTACATACATACCTGAGACCTCTATATACAGCCACCAGCGGCCAACCAGCCAGCCAGGCCACCATCCCTGTACTGTAGGTATTGAAGGTAGTGGAGCGGGGAGGGAAGATCCAACCCACTCCACTCCACCACTGCTCAGAGTGCCCCTCTGTCCCTCCCTTGCTCCCATCCCGCTTCCTTCATCTTCACGGGCGGTCGTGAGCGTTAACTACTAGCACATTTTTAGCGTTTGCACTCGCCGTGGGGTCGAGGTCTATGTAGGATGATACGCCGCGGGGGGATCATCTCGACGACGACGGTGACGATGGAGACCAGTCGGCTGAACTGCCTTTCGCGCGCATGTGGATTCTTCCGATTCTTGCGATGATGATGATGATGATGATGATGATGATGATGATGATGATGGTGATGATGATGATGATGATGATGATGATGATGATGATGATGATGATGATGATGACAACACCCGAGCTGGCGCGGACGAGAACGATAGGACGGACAGCTCCCGAAGCTTCTCCTTCCATGCCGTAGGTAGGGGACGATAGTTAAGCGGTGCATCTTGCTTGCAAACTCGGGACTGGCCCGGGGTGTTTGCTATGCTGCGATTTTCGAATGGCATGGAAACCGGTGGTTCTGTTCGCTCATCATCGTTCCTCGGCACCTATCATGTCTGGCCAGTGGCCAAAGGACGGAGTGCGCGCGCACTGGGTGGTGAGAAGGTATCGAAGTAAGCAAACGGCCGTCGGCCACAGACGGGCGCAACAGGGGGGACAACGGACGACAGTGGACTGTGGGGCTCTGTTTCTTTTCTTTTTTTCTTTTTTTTTCTCCCCCTGCTGCTCTCGACTCGAAAGCTGCAGCAAGCAACGGGATTGACTGCGACGACTGCGACGACTCCACCGCTTGCTCGCCCACTCAGCGCTTCTAACAAAGCCGGTCAATGCGTACGGTATCGGCCGTTCCTGATCCTCACTGCGTTTCCTTTTACTACATACCCTTCAGCTCTGTCTCGCGGTGTTATCTGGCCACTCGGATTGATTCTCATCCACTTCCCCCTACCTCGCTCACTCACGCTCACTCTCCGTGCGCAGCAGCACCTATTCTGCGCGCTTACTTCTGGGGCAAGAAGAGAAGCGACGGCCGCAGAACGATGGGGAATGTTGCATTGCTATTCAGGCCATGTGTACATGGGAGTTTAATAAGGACATAAGCAGTGTGTACGAGCTCATGCCGAGTGGATACCGGTATCGTCGGTTCAGGGTTGCTCTACGTTGCTTTACGTTGCGTTCGCACATTTTATCTGTTTCTTCTGGCACGTCCGAGGGATCCTCTGCCATCATCCATGTGGCATCCTGTCACATGTGGGATTGAGAGCGATCACGGTCTTTCTTTGCACTACTATACTATTACTAGCACGTCGCGCTGTCTACTGTAGTGTTGTTTCGTGTGAAGCTACTCTACCGTACTCCACGATCCCTCGAATCGGAATTATCGGCCATTCAAACTTCCATCCTGTTCATTCTGCATACATAGTCCATCCGCAGGTCATCAGGAAGGAAGCCGATGTTGTCGAGTTTATCCCGTGCCTACGTGCATACGCACACATGGGCTAGGTACTCGGGTGTGAGGAAAAGTCGTGCATCACCACCACTACCAAATAGTGCTTAATGGGGTGCACCACTTACCCTTGCACCCGAGTACTCTATGTAGCGGAGCTGTATGCATAGCTGTAGCTGTATGTACGCATCTCACACCAGGTTTGTGGGGTAAGGGCAACCCTCCCTCCACGGTATGTATGTGTGTAGAGTATGCCGCAGTCTGAAGCTCCGAAGGTGCTCTGCATATATATATATACTATTATGTACAGTGCTTCAGCCTTATCGACCGGCCGAAGAAGTTCACTTCTCCTCACTCGTTCGCCTTCCGGCCTTCGGCCTCCGTCCCGGGGGGCTTGGACCTCGATGGCTCTGCTCCGGAGTGTCGAGTCCGGCTCACCGAAAGATGTTCACGCCGGACGGGCCGTTCGTTTTATCTACTAGATAGGACGGCTTGGCATACGAGCGAGTGATGATGCGTGAAACGAGCCGCACTGTGGCGGAACCTTAGTGTGGCGAGCGGCTTGGCGGTGGTTGGTTCGAGGCCCTCGGGGATTCTGAGAGTGGACTGAAGAAAGGAGCCGAGATGGGATAAAAGGCGGCTGCTTCACGCCTAAGCCTAAAGGTCCTGTCTGCACTCTGCAGTACTACCTCTAGCAGTGGGTTCGGGGGTTCTTTTCTGTCGGCGAATGAGTAAGTACGGTAGTTACTTGCCTACTTGGGTATGCACTCTACCGTACTCAGCCGTATGGCTGCGCTGGAATCGTCAATCTGCCGCGCCTTGCTGAGTAGAGAAGTTGCTTGAGCAGAGTAGTGCGGTCACTAGTACTGAAGCAGGTGCTTTGTGGTTGGTGGCCTTGTCGTGGCCCGCCAGCCTGAACACCACCGCTGGCCGACTCCGAAAAGTGGGCCTTCTTTTTTTTTTTTTTTTTTGTAGGGGAGCTGGCAGGTGGCAGCTGGTTGGCTGGGAACCGGGCTTTCTTCCCCTTGCTGGGAGGTGGTCGGTGGCCGGTGGTCGGTGGTGGTGGTGGTGGTCGCAACTCGCCTCGCCCACTCGGCTCAGACAGACAGACAAGACACCTAGGAGAAACTCAGCGCCTATCTCCACTACCGTACTGCTCTACTCTACTCTACTTTCAACTGCGCTGTCTGTCTGCCGCTGCTGCTTTGCTGCTTGCTGCTCGTGCAACCTGCGCTGCTGCTGCTTGCTGCTGCTACTATTTCCCAACTCATACCCCCCCGCCCGCTGCCTTCGCTCAGATCCAGCACGAGACGTCTTTGGTGGAAACGCGTATCCTGTGGTCAGTAACCTCCCCCCCTTCCCACTCCACACCCCGTTCCGAGTCCTTTGTGTATTTTATTTTTTATTATCGACGGGAATTCCCCGTCTCCGTCTCCTTCGGCCCGTGTTCGATCGAACGAAACCATCGTTCGCTCCCTCCGTTCGGCTGCAATTCCCTCCACCCCCGAATCCCCCTTTCGCTTCGTCCTGTCCCTTTCCACCACACCCACACCCACACTCCCTCTTCCCCCATAACCCCCTCCACACCCAAAGCTGCCCAGGCGGAACCGTTAGACGGACACTGGATATCAGTCGGCTGCGGCTCGCTCGTCTCCTGCTTCACTAGATTCTCTACATAGATATCCCGTACTTCCCGAGCCTGCACTACCCGGTACATAGGGGACTGCCAGCTGCCACTACGGCTACTGCCTCTGCTTGCCGCTGCCGCGCTGTTCGCCCCCGATCTGCTGCTGCCTTGCCGTGCCGTCACTCCCTCCCTTCCTCCCTACTTCCCTCCCTACCTACCTCCGCCCGACCCTCCCTTCCTGCCTCTCCGCTCCCACCCCCATCCGCTCCGCCCGAGTCTTATCCCTTGCGGCGCCGAGAAAAGAACTGGAGGAAGGAACAAGAATCCGTCTGGCTGTCTGCCAACCCGTCGCATCCATCTGCTCTTGTATGGCCCGTCCCCCCGTACCCTCCCCCCCCCGATCGCCCAGGTTTTCCCTTTCCCTATCGCCGCCGCCTGCCCATCCCTACTCGCACACACACCCACACACACATACATAATCACATCTTAGACGGATCGCGCGCGCCGTAACCGGATCGTGATTCGTTCCCTTGCCCCTCCCGCATCCGTCGCTATCCTGGCTGCCCGCCCCGGCAACTGGCGCTTCTGTGTGTCCCGTCGTGTGCCCTGTGGCGGCCCTCCCATCCCCCCCCCCGAAGGCGGGTGTTGTGGGCTCTCTCCTGCTTCGCGCGTGCTGCCGCGCCGTGGTCTCGCCATCGCTACTGGTGTCTCCCCGTCCCGCCCGCGCGACAGGTTCACTCTCCCATCTACTGCCCTGCCCTTTCCTCGTCCACACCACTCTCGCTTTCTCCGATACCACACAACCCACGCTCCAGCCATTCATACTTACACGCCTACCACACACTCCCGTCTGCACTCTTAATACCCTACCCACATGCCGGTCCAGGCCGTGCGATCAATGGTGACGAGAGAGTGTCCTGTTCTGAGCTAACGTGTTTCGTGGGGAAATTTCCCTTTTTGTGCCGACTCAGCCTCAACAGTCATTTTTAACCTTCGATGTCTGTGCCTAGCGGTTGGCTTCCAGATTCATCGGCCATCGTCCATCAGAATCCATCGATAATATCTGCCTTCAGCCCAGACCACTCTTCGCCGGGAATGCACTCGTTCGATCCTTCGGCGAGCGTGCTGCCGCAGTCCGTCGTCGCGCTGGACCACTCCGCCGCCCATTTCCACCAGCAACAGCAACTCCAGCAACAACAACACCAACAACAGCAGCAGCAACAACAGCAGCAGCAAAGACAATTGCACCAGAATGGCCATTCCGTCCATTCCGGCCACTCATCGCCTGGATTCCCGCCCTCAGCATACAACGTGAATCCCGTCGTGCCCCTGAAACGACCGCGACCACGCGACGACGCCATCAGCACTTCTCCTCGACCCTCTCACCAGGGCCTGCCGCCGTCCCGGTCGCATACTCCCCTATCGCAGAGTCAGCAACTCGCGTACCAGATCTACCAGAATAATCAACCGCAACCTCAACGCCAATTCACCCCCGTTGGCTACAACAATTCGCATCTACACAATGTCGGATCGGCAAATGCTTCTCCCTCCCCTGTCATGTCCAACCAAACCTTCAACCCGCAGGTAAATTCTGCTCCAAAACGCGTCGCGACTCAATCGCCATCCCCTTTCTCGCCCGCGGCTTCACAACAGGGATTCATGTCGCAAGGATCACCACCACCGAGTCACACTCCACGCGTCGATACTCCACAGAACGGCATCGATATGCGCCAGTCCTACTCGCAAGCGTACACACAAGGGTTCCAGTCTCCCGCGCCGACCGCTTCGGCATCGCCGGTACCGGTGCCAGGACCCGCAATGTCGCAGAATCCAATGCACGCGCAAATGATGTATGCGCAGTTGCAGGCCAGACAACAGCAGCAGCAACAACAGCAGCAGCAGCAGCAGCAACAACAGCAGCAGCAACAACAGCAGCAGCAACAACATGCGCAACAGCAACATGCGCAGCAGCAACAGGCTGCACAACAACAGCAGCAACTCCTACAGCGCCAACAACAGCAACATGCGCAGCAACAACACGCGGCGCAACAACACGCGGCGCAACAGCACGCCGCAGCGCAGCAGCAACACGCGCATCAACAGGCGCAGCAGCAGCGATACATGCAGCAACAGGCGCAGGCAATGGCCGCACAGGGGGGACCGATGAATCCGATGCAAATGTCGCCGCAGGGTAATCCGAACGCGATGGGACCGGGTCAGCCGATGCAGCGACCACAGCCGCAGAATTCGGCGACTCCCGTCCAACGGACAACAACGGACCAGCCACAGTTCATGCGCAGCTTACACGAGTTCATGATGAAGCGCGGGACTCCGATACAACGGACCCCGATCATCGGAGACAAGCCGCTCAATATCGCGAACCTCTACGCCACTGTGCTCAAACTTGGCGGATCGCAACGAGTGCAGATGGAGGGAAAGTGGCCGCAGATCGCCATGAGTATGGGTATCTCAATCGACCAGTTTCCGATGAGCGTCAGTGAAGTGGCGGAAGTCTTCAGCGAGTACCTCGCGCCGTACGAGGAAGCTTGGATGCGGAGTCAGAGGATGCGGCATGTACAGGTTCAGAACCAGTCTCCCTTACAAGGACAGCCGAGAGCAGGTTCTAACGGGCTTGGGATGCAGCAGCAGCAGCAGCAACAGGTACAGCAGCAGCAACATGCACAGCAGCAGCAACATGCACAGCAGCAGCAACATGCACAGCAGCAGCAACATGCACAGCAGCAGCAGGTACAGCAGCAGCAGCAACACCAGCAGCAGCACCAACAGCAGCACCAGCAACACCAACAGCAGCACCAGCAACCACCGAGGCAACAGCCGCAGCAACAGCCGCAGCAACAGCCGCAGCAACAACATCACCAGCAGCAGCAACCGGGTCCCCAAAGACCCCAAGGTCCGTCCATGCAGAACCGACCTCCGATGCAGAACGGGTATGGGCCCCAGCAGCCACCTGTGCGACAACCGATGCCGCTTCAACAACCCCCTAGCACACCAAGCCGAGCCTCAATCGAGGCGACACCTCCTCCGGTTCACATGACTCCTGGCTTCCCCATGGGTAAGTCGCAACCCGACTTTTCCATGGGTGCTCCGGCATCGCCGCGAGAAACCCAACCGTTGTTCAAGCCGAAAGTGAGAGTACTGGACACGCACGGAGGACTCGATGTACGGGTCATGCAAGGGCTCGGGTTCGAGGTCTCCCATCACAGACCAATGGCGCCGACATATCACGAATTGGGATTGATCGATATACATGCCTTGACGATGATGTTGAAGTCCGGTATCACTGCGGAAATCAAGGTCGCGCTGGATACTTTGGCTACGGTCTCGGTCGAGGCGCGACAGTCCATCGCGTTGGAAAGCTGCGAAGACCTTCTGGAAGCATTGGTGGATGTTGCCGAGACTCAGGTCGAGTTCTTGGGCGATCATGCACCCGAGGGAGCCGAACACATGTCATTGATGGCTTACGAGGATGTGCTGAGAGCTTGTCGGACCGAGGGAGGCTCGATGCTCGATGTATCGCGGTTCGGCTCGCTAGAAAACGACCTCGAGCGGGCCACCGACAAGCTCATCTGCATCACAACGATCCTGCGAAATCTCTCGTTCTTCGAGTCGAACCACAACGCCCTCGCCGGTCCCAATGTGGTGCGCTTCGTCTCCGGTGTCATCGAACGACTCGGAGCCTGTCCCCTGTTTCTGCGATCCTACATCGGTCTGTTGGACTTCATGAAGGATACCGTCATCTACCTCTCGAACCTTGCACATGCGATCGTGATCCCAACCGAGGAAGAGGCACTGAACCTTTTACATTTGATTTTGGCTTTCGCTCCGCAACCACTCCCGCACATCTCCGGCCGGGAATCTATAATGTTTACGCCCTATTCTCCTTCCATTCATCGTTACCTTCCTCCGGCCGTCGACACTCTGGCCAAGCTACTGGCACGGGATGACCCGAACCGTGTATTCTTCCGCACCATCTTCCTGTCCGAATCCAACACCAATCTACCTTACGATCTTTTAACGCGTTCGTTTGCACTGGCAATCTCTCCGATCCCCGACAACAACCGACCCATGCTACAGCAGGCAGTTGAGGCACGCAGACCGATACTCGAACAGGGCCTTCTCGCTGCCGAGATTCTGGCGCAGATGTGTCCTGTCGGCGACCACTGTCTCGCCAGGCAATGGCTTGCATCGGAGGATGGCTTCGCACTGAGTCTATTGCGGCTTGTCTGCCTGCTCAGCCCGCAAGCCAGTCCTATGGTCCAAGGGCGGCCTCCACGAGGAATGGACCGGGATGACATGATGCCGTTCATGAGGATCACACATCGTGGCATGAATGTACTACGAACACTCCTAAAGAAGGCGCAGGAGACGACGGGCGAAGACTTGGAACTGCCGGTCGGTGTACTGCCGAAGAAGGAAAGTCTATTGGGAGCCTTGTTGACGGTGTCAATTGATGGGGTGATCGTGAAGGAGTTGTGTAGTTACGCAGGACTGGACGATTGATTGGATTGAAAGAGCGAATACGAGTTACTGTTCTTGGATGGGTTAAAGAGCAAGTAGGATTGGCGCATGGCATTTGGTTGAATTGGGTTTTCTTTTCTCTTTCGTGTCTTCCTTTCCATCTGTACAAAAGGTGATCATGAGTTTTTTTGTTATTTTCCGCGTGCGCTTTAAATTCGATTTCATTTTACTTTTCCTCCACTTCTTTTACTTCTTGTTGAGTGTGTGTTTGGCTTCTTCTTCTTCAATTCTTTTTTTTTCTTTTCGGCCTGCCGCTTTTTTTTCCATCTCTGCATGTATCTCTGTACTCCGTTCTTCCGTTTTTTCCGCCTTTTTTCGAGTTTCACGATGTAAGTGTCGGGCTGATTTGATTCCTCCTTTCGTGGGCTTTCCACTTACCTACCTATTCCTAAGTTTGTACTCTCATCTCGAGGATGATTTAGGCCCCTCGTTGACTACTACCACAGGAATGAGGTGTGTTGTTGACAGTCTGAAGCTTGTTTCTCCCCTTGTGTGTGTGTGTGTGTGTGTGTGTGTGTGTGTGCTTGTGCTTTTTTTTTCTGTACAAATAAACGAGTCGGAAATTATTGAAAGACCAAGTTTGAACGGAGCAAAGCAGCGCAGAGCACAGCAAAGCAAAGACTTGTTTCGTGCTCGTGCCTCGATCAATTGCGCGCTCGAGTTGTGCGGCGTGGGGCGTACATACGTGTATGTGTTTGTGGTATTATACAGTATAGAATACATCCATTCGTCCATCCGTCCGGCTATCCATCCCGCTCCTCCTGCTCCCCCCCTTCCCCGTCCCCCTCCCCGTCCTCCTCCCCCCCTCTATCGCTGGCGGAGAAATCAAAACTTCAACCCCTTCAAAAACGCCTCCACCTTCTGCTTGAGATGACCCTTGACGATGACATGCTTTGTGAGGTTATTGATGTATACGCCCTCGGGCTTCAACTCGAGATGCTCGATCAACCGCAGCCGCAGGTCGTTCAGATCCCCCTCCGTCTTGCGGATCCGCGTCGTCTTCAGCGTCCCCCCGGATCGCGCCTCCTCGTACACCGGGAGGTTGTTCGTTTTGCTGCGGTGCACAAAGAAGGGGAGGGGCGTGGGGGGGGTTTCTACAGGCAGGTTAGGGACTGTGGCTGGGGAGGGGGACGGGGGAGGTACCCAGGGCTTCTACTGCTGCTGGTGCTGCGGTGGTGCTGTTGAAGCGGCACAGCTGCACGGGTAGTCGGCGGAGCGTGGGGGTTCGTACGGCGAACATCGTGTGTGGTTGGCGGCGACGGAGCTCGCAATTGAATTGAGTTGCTGGTTCGTGGGAGCGGGGACCGTGGTTCAATGGCTGAGTCGCTGGTTGGTGGTGGTGGTGGTGGTGGTGGTGGGTGACGCGAGAGGTTGAAGTTCGTGATGCACACTCCCTCCCACCCCACCACCCACTCACCCACCCACCCGCTCAATCCACCCAGCCAAACCCGGCGCCCAGAAATCTTGGCAATAGAGAGCTCCGCTACGACCGTATCTGGTATAGCGCGCAACTTCCGTTCCCACACACAAACGCAGCAAAAACCCCACTGGTGGCTGAAAGACAGTCATCAAAACCGAAATCCTAACGACCCCCGCCAAAAGTAAAAAAAGGGCTAACCAGTGCGCTTTTTTCCCACCCCCGCGCAACGACGACGGAACGGAACGATCGTTTTGTCCCCATCACAAACCCCATCAACATGGCCGACTCCACCACCGCCGCCGCGGAGGTGACCGAGGTCGTCAAGAACTACGACCTGACGCCGAAATTGATACCGAATCTCGACCGCCACCTGATCTTCCCGCTGCTGGAATTCCTCGACAACAATGAGTCGTTCACGCACGAGGAGATGGTGCAGGCCAAGTACGACCTGCTCAAGACCACCAACATGACGGACTTTGTCGGCTCGCTGTACCGCGAGATCCACAACGTCGAGGACGTCCCGGAGCAGTTCACCGAGAAGCGGGAGGTCGTCATGAACACCCTCAAGAGCTTGGAGGAGAAGAGCAGGAAGGTCCTCGATCTCTTCGATGATGCAGATGTCGTCAGCAATCTGCGCTCCGATAAGGCTCAGAATATGAAGTATCTGGAGGAGAACCACGGGGTATGGTTATCCAATCGATGATTGGTGGGGTTGCGAGGGTTGGGCTAATGAGGTGAAGGTCAACGTTGATATGGTCAATGTGCTCTACGAGTTCGGTCAGCAGCAGTTCAGCATCGGTAACTATGCTGCCGCTTCTGATTTGCTCTACCAGTTCCGAATCTTGGTGGGTTTTCTGTGGATGTCTATCATTTTTATGTTCTCGAATGCTGATATTGCTCTCAGTCCACCGATGGTGATAAGACTTCCCAGGCCACCTGGGGTAAGCTTGCCTGTGAGATCCTGAGGACGGATTGGGATGCTGCCATGGAGGAGGTGACCAAGGTTAAGGACCTCATCGAGCAGAAGGTATATATCCTCCGATCATCGAATTGCATGGACCAACGAACTGACGAAACGGCACAGCTCTACAACAACCCTCTTGCGCAGCTCCAGCACAGAACCTGGTTGATTCACTGGGCCCTTTTCCCCTTCTTCAACCATGACCCCGCTCGCGACCAACTGATCGAGCTCTTCTTCTCGCCCGCCTTCATCAACACCATCCAGACCTCGTGCCCGTGGATCCTGCGGTACCTCGCTGCGGCTGTCATTACTAATCGCAACCGCAATCGGAACACCGGCCAGTACCAGAAGCAGCTCAAGGACCTGGTCCGTGTTGTCAAGCAAGAGCTGTACGAGTACCAGGACCCGATCACGGAGTTCGTCGCCGCGCTCTGCATCGACTTCGACTTCGAGGAGGCGCAGCGCAAACTGGGCGAGGCCGAGGAGGTGCTCAAGAACGACTTCTTCCTGGTGGCCACTGCCGAGGCGTTCGTCGACTCGGCACGACACCTGATCTCGGAGAGCTACTGCAAGATCCACCAGCGCATCGACATCAAAGACCTGGCGCAGCGACTGAACCTGAGCCAGGACGAGGGAGAGAAGTGGATCGTCAACCTTATCAGGGACACGCGGGTAGACGCCAAGATCGACTACAAGGAGGGCACCGTGGTGATGAACCACCCACCGCAGTCGGTGTACCAGCAGGTGATCGAGCGGACAAAGGGAGGGTTCTTTAGAACACAGGTCATCACCGCGGCGGTTTCGAAGGCGTAATCTTTTTCTCTCTTTCTTCCGTCAAAATGGGATTGCTTCTTTTTACTTTTTTCTCCGGGGGTTTTCTTTACTGCTTTCGTCTTCTTCATCATCATCGTTTTTTTACTTGTGGATTTTTTTATGTGGGTTTTCTCTGGCTACGGTACTACCTCGACGGAATTTGTATGGGGTTTCTCTCTCTTCGAACTTCGTAGGCATTGGAGTGATGTGAACGGAAGGTGTGCTTTGGGTCTACATACATAGATCGGAAAAGTTGGCACAACTACCAGCTTGCTTGCTTGCGGTTTGCAATTGGTTGCAGGATTGAGTGGCTGTGTGATGAGATGAAGAATCAGACACCTCTGTTGAGCTCTCAGGTTATCATAGCCGGTTGACACCGCCATCTCCCACCAAAGTATCTGCTATACATATAAGCAGCCGTTTTCAACGACCCCACCGTCTGCGAGGATCTGTCGTTTCGTAGGTAGTACATTGAGGAATAACTCAAATCATGCAGATTAGAGTACCCACCTGCATACTTCCAGACTTATCACGATTGTCTCGAATCCAATGCAATGTCCACAGGGTGGTTTTCTTAACCAGCTCACAACCAGCGTTGGTGTATTTCGGGCGAGTATCCGAATACTTTCTTCCACAAGTGAAGCAATTGCAGGTCGAAAGTCGAACACGATCCGATCCGACTCTGTGGTGCTACGTTGTCCCGGCAACGCCACCTCTAACTAGCGCGACTCCGTAATTAGTCGAGCTGCGCGCTCACGGATTCCTCTTTGTCCTCTGCTAGGTCTAGGTAGACGACCACTCGAACCCCCCAGCCGGATCAATCCAACATTCCAACGCCCCTGGACCAGAACACATTGCATTGGTGAACACATTTGTGAGAGACGGACTCCACCGCGTCCCCCTTCCTCCTCAGCCCTACAGCTTGCACGCCGCGTGTACAGCACTCTCCTCTCCGCGACGACCACAATAGCAACAGCAGCAGCAACACCCACGCGAACAAACAACAACAATGACGACCTCGCACCCCACAACGGCCACACAAGTGCGGATAGTCGCGCGGATCCGACCCGTGCTGGGGTCCGAGATCTCCAAAGACATCGTGGTGACTCATTCCGGGTCGACGGTGTCGATGCCGAACCCGAAGAACGAGAAGGAGACGTTTGCGTTTCCGTTCCACGCAGTGTACGGGATGGAGTCGGACCAGTCCAGCGTGTTTGCCGAGGTGTCGCCGACGCTGAAGCACCTGTTCCGCGGCAACGACGTGACCATCTTCGCCTACGGTGTTACTGGGAGCGGGAAAACGCACACCATGAAGGGGAATAAGCCCGTGGCTGAGAGAGGCATCATTCCACGCCTGCTTACGGCGATCTATAGAAGGGGGAAGGACCTCGAGAAGAAGAGCGCGGGAGCGACGAACATGGCTGTCATCATGAGCTACTACGAAATCTACAACGATAGGGTCTTTGATCTCTTCGAGGCGCCGGAGAAGCGCACGCTCGCTGGCCTCCCACTCAGAGAGCAGAACGGCAAGACTCATGTGGTCGGGTTGACGGAGAAGGAGATCAGCACGCTGAAGGAGTTCGAGACCCTGTATGATAAGGCGAATACTAATCGCAGCACATCGGCCACCAAATTGAATGCGCACTCGAGCAGGAGTCATGCGATTATCTGTGTGCGTGTCGAGATTGTGGATAGCACCACCGGCGAGAGGAAGATTGGCACGGTCAGTTGTATCGATTTGGCCGGGTCCGAGGACAACAGGCGCACGGCGAACGATAAGGAGAGGATGGTTGGTATGTTTTGAACCAAGGCCTGCGGAGGATCATGGGCTAATACGGAGTGTGCAGAGTCGGCAAGCATCAATAAGTCGCTGTTTGTGTTGTCACAATGCGTCGAGGCAATGTCGAAGAAGATGGTGGGTGGCTGCATCTCTCCACGATCACACTGCAGCTCGGTTGACAATTTGATAGAACCGGATCCCATACCGAGAGTCGAAGATGACCCGCATCCTAAGCTTGGGCCAGAACAACGGAATGACAGTAATGATCTTGAAGTGATTTCCCCGGCGGTGTGTGTGAGGGAAGGCATCCATTGACCAGTCTCCAGTCTCGCGCCGACCAAGAAGTTCCACCAAGACACCCTGAGCGCCCTCAACTTCGCCAACCGCGCAAAGACAATCGAAGTCAAGAACGATCCACCACAAATCCACCATCCGCCGCCGATCCCGAATACAAGACTAGGCCCGGTGTCGGGCGCGCCAGTACGTGCCTTCGGACTGACCAAGAGCAATACCACCCTCAATCGACCATTATCCGGCGATGCACCCGTCAAGGACCTGCACAAGAAGCCGCTCACGAAGGAGATACAGAAGCCATCGAAGCCGGTGCAACGGGTTGCTCTGACTGCAAAGCCGCTGGGGACACAAAGTAATGGCATCAAGAAATCTTCTCGCATCTCAGACCCAATCAAGATCCGCCGCGTCAAGGAGATGAACATCGAAGACATCGTCGAGAAGAAAGTCGAAGAGATCCTGGCGGCACGGGCCCTCAACGAAGCCCGACCAGACAGAACTCAATCCGCGAAAGACAACAGCGAGGAAGTCAACAAGCGTCTCGAACTGCTGGAGAAGAAGCTCGAGAAGAAGGCGGACGCGCGGGCCGAGGGTCTCACATACATCCTCCTCGCAAAGCAGCACGTCCAGCGAGGCGAGGACTTCGCGGCGCTTAGTATGTACCGCCTAGCACTCAACTACTTCCCGGACAACGAGAAGCTGCTGCGCAAGATCTCAGATCTCGAGGAGCGGCGGAAGATGGCGGCGCACCGGTCTTCGCCCGAATTGGGTGATGACGACGAGCCGGAGGCGAAGCCCAAACCGAAGCCGAAGAAGGCGTTCTCCGTTTTTATGGACGACGACGAGCCATTGCGGCCGGCGAAGCGCGCGCGCTCCATGAGCACGGGCAGCTACAACCTTGAGCAGTCGCCGCGCACGCGGCAGCTGCTGCACATCATCAACTCGGAGGACGTGGACCAGATCATGCAGCTGAAGGTGTGTAGCTATCTTGTAACATACATCTGGTGGACAGACTGACACATTGCTTTTTTTTCGCTGTGGGGTAGGGTGTGGGCAAGAAACGCGCAGAAGCTCTGGCCGCACACGTCCGCGAACTCCGGGAGAACAACGATGACTTCCCCGCTATCAAGGACTTGGAGGATCTGGGTATCATCAAGGGCATCGGCTCGAGCATGGTCGATAAGATGAGGTGCGGTATCGAGGTGTGATGTGGTGTAGCGCGTAGGTTGGTGTGTGTGTGTGTTGGTGTGTGTGTGTTGGTGTGTGTGTGTGTGTTGGTGTGTGTTGGTGTGTCGGTGTGTGGTTGGAGATGCATTTGTTTGTTTTTGGGAGTTTTGGAAAGTCATTCTGCTCGTTCTTTATGCTTTTGCTTTTAAGCGTGGTTTTTATTGTGTTTAGTTTATGTGCCCATTGTGTGTTGTGTTGTGTGCTCAGTACATACAATTATATTTGACCTTTGTGCGAGGAGGGCAGCAGCAAGACGAGGCGTCATAGGGGTTGTTTAGTGGTGGTTGATAGAGTTGGGGGTACATAGAGTTTTGGTAATCAATCAATCAACGTGCGTTCGTTATGCAGGTACTGCATAGGTATAAGTTTCGGTTTTCACGGCCATGCTTAATTAGAGGATTGCCATGGTCCTTGGGTGGAGAAACAGTCGGTGTCAGCGGTCGAGACGCAATTCAATTCCCTCTCACGCACGTGTATACATAGTACTAGTAACCACTGTCCACTGTTGGTGTGTTCACTGGCGGTGGAACCGTTCTTACCTTACCTACCTCACCTCACCTCATCTGCAGAATGGATGTCCGTGTGCGAGTCCAGGGTCCAGAGTCCGAGCTCGCACGGTGCTCCTAATCTTCCCCGAAGAGATGGGTACTGTAAATAAACTGTGCTCGGAGTGTTCTTCAATTCGGCGTGCATGGTGTTGACTGTCTCCCGGGGCAGCGTGAGCTTCTCCGTTAGAACCACATCATCTTCAATTCCACGTGGATCATCGCCATCACAATGGCACGGCAGCATGGCGGCGGCGATAGTTGACCATCACGATCGATGGCAATCCCCATCACCATCCCCATCTGGCTGTAATGAAGCATGCAGATATCACTTTTCTTCACCTGCCCCTCCCTCGCTCCCTTCCCCCCGCCCGCCACAGTGCACATCCCAGTGCACACACCAAACGGCCAACCGATCGATTACTCGAAACCGCATCCAATTCCAATTCCAATTTCATTTTCGAACGAAACCACCCACGCAACCGCTAGCACCCCGTCCCCGCCCCTTCCCGTCCCCGGCTCGCTCGCGTCCATCCATCCATCTATTCCGACAAGCTCTGCACCAACGCAACATTATCTCCTTTCAGCAGTATCTGGCCTATTCGCCGCGCATGGGATGATTAGCCCTCTGTCTCTCCCATACCCACCCACCAATCCCGACGCAGGAGGGAAGAAGAAAGGAAACGCACCAAGCTCGCGCCTACTCTCCGCGGCATCCTTAGTCGCCATCTTGACCTCGACCGCATCGTCGACGACAAGGTTCATGAACTCATCGAATCCCTATCCCATTTCACCACCCCCATCAGTCAGCCCTTATCCCCCTCTCATCCTTATCCACACCCCCCCATCCCCCCATTGAAGAGTAGGAAAGGAAGTACCCGGATCTTCCCCTCAATCCGAATCGCCAACTGCTCATACAGCCAGATCTGCACCGTGGCGTGCGTCTGCAGCAGCTTGAAGATGAAATTGATCGGGGGCAAGAGGACCCTGCGGCCTCCGCCGCCTCCGCCGCGGCCGGTCATTCTGTCGCTGGCTGGGGTGGGGGTTGGTAAAGAGTGGAGCGGGGCGCGGTAAGCTGGGGGTGGGCGAGGTGGTGGGTAGACGCGTGCGTGAGGTGGAGGTCGTGGGGTGAGGTCGTGGGTGGTGGTTGAGGTGGTCGTGGAGGTGGTCGTGGTGGTCGTGGAGGTAGGCGTGGTGGGTGGAGGTGGAGGGCGTGTTGGCGTTGGGCGTTGGCCGTGGTATGCTGGCTAGTAGCGTGCGCACTTACTTTGCTTGCGGTGGTGGTGCTGGTGCTGGAGGCGTGAGGTGAGGCTCTGCGCGCGTATGTAGCGCCCGCGGCTATTTGCGCACATAATGTCACTCGCACGAGCGCTGATGAGGAGCAGCTTCTAGCAGTACTGGTACTCCTGTAGCCGAGACCTAATTTGCCAACTACATAGCCGGTGTGGGAAGAGAAGGCGGAAGGGCAGCGGCGGAGGAGAGCAGACAGAGGGTAGAGCAGTCAGCGGGAGGGTAGGAAGCTGTCCACAGTCCATTCCTTCTTCCTTCTTCTTTCCTCCTCCCTCCGCCGCATCTTGTCCCCGGGGACTCAGACAGATCAGTGGATTGGGATGCAATATGTGCCAATAAAAGAGTGGGGAAGACAAAGATCCAAGAAGACAGAGTGACGAGTGGTTGGAAATCTTAGAGGACCTACCGTTTTGAGCGGTGAATACGTTGTATTTCCTATAATTCGCTCCAAGTTTCCTCATTATTGATTCTCATTCTGGCACTCGGGCGGGAGCTGGGTGGAGAGCAATACCTACGGCGAGCAGAGGAAAACAGATATGTATCTGCCATCATCTGCCATCATCTGCCATAATCTAGTAATGTCGAATGTAATAATGATTAGACCAAGAAGGAGAGCCAGCTAGAACCGGTCAGTACCAGCCAAATTCTACCTTCGAGGTAGTCGTATCCAGCTGGTTGAATTTTCCTCTTTCAGTGTCTCAGTGTCTCAGCAGTCAGAACTGTCCGCTCTCGAATTCAGACTTCGAGTTTAGACCTTCAATTCAGACCACACAAGAAGTCGTCTGCTGACAAACACCTGGGTAAGGTAGTCGGCCGAAAATGTGTGAAGTCCATACTGTTCCAAGCGCCAGCCAGCGTTCGATCATCCCGCGTACCCATTTCGATGCAAACCGAAGCCCGTTAAGCATATACCGTTCCATGGGCCCTCGAGAGTCGTGACGAAAAGTCTGACGATACCGAATCCCATCCCGGGTCCGAATCATCACCACTCCCTCGCCCGTGCCAAACTTCACCAGGTATCAAGCCTTCACCAGGTATAAGCCCTATACCCTAAGCCCTAACGTTGCCAAGCCAGATCACTGATGCCAAGCCTCTCTCAAAAATCGTAAATATCACTCGTCCTCAGTAAATACAAGTTTTTTATAAACCGCCAAGTAACCGCCTTCCCCAAATCACATTTTTCGTTAGATCCGGTCTGCTCCCAAAATGACACCCAAACAAAGAAACTCAACTCATACTCTATCTGATCCTCCTTCTCTCCCCCCAGACCACACAATCGCGAGCAAGACACAATACACAACAAAGAAAAAGAAAAAGTCTCTCAAGACATCTCCGTTACAAGGGCAATCCCGACTGATCCCATCCAAGTGTTGAAAAGAACAAATATTATATCAAAGAAGAAAAAAAAAGTAAAAAAAGTCTCCCTGATCCCCTGTGTAAGACAATCCAGAACTCCCCCCTCCCAAACGCAAAGAAAAGAAGGCCTGAGCATCCGCAGGCGGTTTTCATGTACAGAAAATTGAAACCCTTCGTCAGACATAAGAAACGATAAACCTATCGCGGTTTTTGGACTATGCTGTATCCACTGCAATCACTTGTAGAGGATGGAGAAGCCGTCGACGCAGTTCGAGTAAGTGCCCGCCACACCGGCGATGGAGCGGCCACGGGGCGGAACCAACGTGTTACTCCTAAACACCATGTCAGATGCCTCTCCTGCGAAAACCAAAGCAAGACGGTCAAACTTACATCGCTCCGCCCTGAGGGTTCCCAAAAATCGACGAACGCCTCCCAAAGCTGGTAAGAATCTCAATACCGTCGACAACCTTCCCGGTCCTCACACAGAACCCCATCAGCGTCTCGCCCTTCCTTGCCTCCAGCGGATATTCCGAGACCGTGGCCGTGTCGGATCCTTTATGGCCGAATAACTGCGTGACTTGATCATCGTACTGAAACTCAAGACCTTCCAAAGCGTTACTGTTATGGAAGATCCGGATTCCGAGCAGCGTTTTGTCGGCAAGCAGCAGGACTTCCTGAGCCTCAGAATTTCCGTCGGCGGTATGGCAGGAAGGTGCGGATTTATACACCGTTCCATGGCCTTTAGGCAGCTGAATCTTGAGACCGCGTGTGGCGTGGAGGTCCTCGACCGTGGTCTCTCCCTGGCCTGCAGAGAAGATGTTGAGCTTGATCACTGGCGTGGACTTGTCGGATGGCAACTTGCTGCGGATAAAGTCCTCCTGTAAGAGCAGCTCACGCTCCGGTTTGGATGTGTACTCCAGGAAGTCGCAGTATACACCATCGGCGTATATCAAAACCAGCGAGATGCCACTGTTGGCGCATACCACTATACCCGTATCGACGGCGTACACCTGTGGAGCATCTGGTAACGCCGGCGGCATGGGGTCGGGCGGAAGTCGGAAGCAAGGGTGGTATCGAAACCGGAGACAATCAACTCTGGGCCAAGTACACTCCTCCTGCGGCAAACTGAGTCTGAGGCCAGCAGACTTTGCCCGGAGGGAGTACGGTTCCTTGGTGACAAAAGTCCGGTTCACTTTGACGAAGTTGCGAGGTTCGATTGGTGTCTGTGGGCTGAGAAACGCCTCCATCATGTTGCCTAAGGCTGCAGTTGCGGCTTCCCAAAAGAACTCCGATGCTGAGGGGTCGGAACTGTTGCTGATTCGCGTGCAGTCTATGAATGACGGGCAAACTTCCTCGATGCAAGATGGCAAAGTAAACAAGCTGAGGCTTCCGGTGATGCCCAATCCGTCACACAGAGCTGAGTGGCCGGAAATTCCCTTGAACTGCAAATCACCTCTAGCATCGAGCACCACCACCGCAACGTACCGCATTGCAGTGGTGGCACCAAAGTAGGAAGACACCGCCTTCTGAACGACCTTACGTAGACCTTTCCCGTCCTGGGACTTCTCCAAGCTTCGGATTTCTGTAGCCATGGTGTTAGCCTAGTCATCCGTCGCGGGCCGGTGCGGGAACTCACCTTCCACAGTACTCTCCGAACGGATCACATGCACCTTAGCAATGTTCCGCATGGTACCGGCCGTGCGATTCGAGAGAGTATCAGGACCCCATTCCTCCTCCAACCGGAAACACCTCCTTCCCAACCTAGCCCTGTACATTTGCTCTCCCGTAAAAGCTTGAGAGAGGTATGCCGCCATCCTCAACTTCTTCAGAGCCGTCTCGGTGCTATTCCCATCATGCTCCTTCCGTTCACCATGACACTCGTATTTTCCGGTCGAGTCCTTTCCCAGCAAGATAGCCAGCTGTAACGGAGGGCTCGCAGCAAGCGGTAGCATGTGCACCGTCATGCTGGTACTGAATGCGGGGATCTTAGGAGCCGTGTACTCAAACCGGAGTTTGTTCGGGCCCGGGTCCAGTCGAACCAGTGCTTTAAAGTATCCGTCGGTGATGGGCCATTGCGTGACCGGATACCCATCCATGTGGTGGTGTACGACGATATGACCATTGTTGACCCTGCTCTCGGGAAAGCCCACCTGCCCAAACACGAGCAGTAGATTCTGGTGCACCCATTGGTTGTCCTGGACGGAGAGGAGACGAGGGCAAAGCGGCGGAGTCGACGGAGAGAATGTCTGTACCGAGGGTGCTGCCGACTTCAGAGTAAGAAAAAGCAAGTCAGCATCGAACACCACTGCACACGGCCGAGCGATGTATGCATGCATGCACGCCGAGAACCTACAATGACTGATTGACGCCTGCTGGAGGAGCTATAGCACTCCGATTTCGGCCTTGCGAGCTGTGGCCGGTCCGGAGAATGACGCCGTGTAACGACGTGTGATAATGAAGAGGTGCTAGGCACCGTGATAGATGTCGATTGCGAGTCCAAAACAGACGAAGCGGACGACGAGATTGCGTCCTCCGAAGACTCGCCCGAAGACTCCACGATCGTCGGCGAAACCAACGCCTGTTTCGACGGCTTCTTTAGAAACTTCATGTTCTTCACTTTGTCCGAGAAACGAGTATGAAAGCTGGGAGATCTCTGTAGCGGTGGTTCTGACGGCATTGAATATCAATAATATGGTTCTGAGAAAGTAAACACCAAAGAGACGGGGGAGCAAGGAAACGAATGAGAAGGGCAACGATAAGGAGAAGAAAAAGGGAGAGAGGAGGAGGAGTAGTAGGAGCAGGAGCAGGAGTAGGAGTAGGAGTAGGAGTAGGAGTAGGAGTAGGAGTAGGAGTAGGAGCAAGAAGCAAAGGCAGAGATCAAAGAGGACGACGACGACAAGAGGGATAGAAGGTTTGTGTCAACGGTGTGGGTGGACGGAGGGCGTTGGAAGAGGTAATGATCCGCACGACATACACCGGGGTTCGCAGAGCAGAGTCGAGCAGAGTCGAGCAGAGCAGAGCAGAGCAGAGCAGAGCAGCGTCGAGTCGATTAGAGTAGAGCAGAGCAGGTAGAGTAGAGTAGAGGGTACAAGTCCACGCAAGACACCATCAACAACCTCGCAGACCCGGCATCGGTGGAGCAAGCAGCAAGCAAGCAAGCTCCCTCAGAAAACTAGGTGCGCGGGTAGAGTACTTGGTCCCGTACTCTATGTACTCCCGGATTGAATTGGGATCTGTGTGGACTTAATTTCAATCCTTGCCCCAGCGCGGTGGTGGTGGGGGCCTGCCTCCAGTGCCCTCTCCCTCCCTCCCCCCCCAAGGTGGTTGGGCTGTGACGCAATGGCCATCTCTCTCTCGTGATAAGTCGGCGGGATATGGGACGATGTGTGTGGGTTTTGGTTATTGATTGCTCAGTACCGGTACTGTACTCTACAGATCTCTAAGTACGGCGTACTAGTTACATGGTATAGTACACACATCTTCAGGCTCCGGTGCAGCCATTCGGAGCATCGGCGCAGCATCAGCAGCAGCAGCAGGAGCGGGAGCGCGTCAGCATCGAGTGGCAAGGAGGAGCCAGGAAGCACTGCGGCGCATTGAAAGCACGATCGCTGAGTGGTGCGGCAAGCAATTCCATGACGGGGGTCTTCAAGGTGAGGTGAAGTGACCCCCTCCCCCTCCCCCTCCCTCCCCCCATACAGAGTGCGTGAAGCCTGAAGGGCCGCACTTTTCCAAAACACCCACCACCCACAGCGCCGCCACACACGAGGCCCTCGGCCGCCGTCGCTGTTTATCTTTGTCTCACAAAGTCCATGGGTAACCCGTAAACACCCAAGATTGCATGTCTACATACCTGCAAAAACATCAAACCCCAGCAAGCCACACTGACTGCACAGCCCAAACAGCAGCAGCAGCAGCAGCAAAAAAAAGACAACGAAGCAGCAGCGCAATGATCAATCGGAGGCGAGCAATCAGATCCAGATCCTTAGGGCTGTCTTACATAGGTAGACTCTGGCGCAGCTATGTATCGTCGGAAATTCCGAACTCTTCACGGCTCAGTTACAATTCACATACAAGTTACATACAAGTTACATACACCCCCGCGCGAACCGATAACGGATGGGATGGGATGGAATGGTTACCTATTTAAAGCCCACGATCTGCGGTGCCTACTTTGTACCAGCCTAGGTAACGCGTAAGAGGTTCCCCGATTGCGTGTAGATCTTCACGACTTCATCCGACGGTGAAGCTCTGTGGCGCCAGGGTTGCATACGGCTAGGCTAGGCTACATAGGCTTGCGTGTTCAGCACGCCCGGGTACTCTCCATATCGTGCATTGGCTACGAAATTGCCTCCGGCCGACGTTGTGCATCGGAGAACGTTGCTCGCTCGCATGGCTGCCGAAGTGTGATCGCGGCTAGGCATGGTCATCGCTCGGCTACGAACCCGGCAGTATACTCACAGAAAATCACTCTGGCATCGAAGGCACTCGGCCGGAGTTCGATGCTGCGAGCTATCGTAGAAGAGTTTGTTTAGGCGCCAGATTTCCCAAAGGAACGAGGAAATGCATATCAATTCGTTTCCAACTCCTAAAGTAACACTACTCTACCTCCTCCCATCATATACTCGTCTTCGTAGTCTTCTCTTCCTCCTCCTCCTCGTTTTCTCGTTGAGAGTCGTCCCAACTCGCACAACCATCCATGTTCCCAGTGTAGCCCCACCGCCCCTCATCCTCAATCATATTCGTCTGACTTTGAGCAAAGTGTAACAACCACTGGCGGAATCCCCTCTACCACGCCCCATCCAGTTCATTTGTACAGGGACCCGACCTCAGGCGATGGGATGGGGTATGGAGAGTCGAGGCCAGTTTTCGCGAGTGACCGTGGGAGGTTCTGATGTAGGTATAGATAGTAGGTGCGATTGCTATCCGAGTGACACGCGGTAATCTATGCACGCTCGGAGGGTTTAGCAAGCCCCGTACGGGTCCAAACGGACACATTGATCCAGGCATTGTAGTAGAACTATTATATCATCCTCCAAGAGCCCGTTGCTCGTAAGGGTATTGTAGCGGTGATGATCCCAAGTTCCCAACGTGGGTATAATCCCATCCACAGTGTAAGGTGTAGGTATCCATTGGCACCGAGAGAAGGTCCTGCAAGCATTCGCTTTTGTACCTAGGTATTCCATGACTGTTAACTGTTTCCGGGCAAGAACCGCAGTTATATTCCGTGATGGTATGGTATGGTATGCCACACTTTCATCGTCTCTCCCACTGCAACCGGGTAGTAAGTTCCTTGCAACGCCCAGTAAACTCCAGATCGCGTTGACGAAATGAAAGTCGGCAATGTCCCGGCGAGGCACGGGAACAGGCACGGCAACAGTATGTACATAGGCGGGTATCTGCGAATCGTCGGAAATTATCCGCGGCGAGAAGCGGCTCTCCGGGCTGGATCGTGTCGTGGCGTGCCGCCGCATGGCATGGCATAGCATACCTACCGACGGGAAGGTGTGTTGTCTATAACCAATACGGAGAGTTTAAGACGTCGGATGTTCGTTTTGGCGAGCAGGTGCGAAGGTTTCCGCTTCCGCTTCCGACTGAAGACGTAGGTGGGTAGGTGTCGTGTCGAAACAATCGGCGCCCTCACGCGTACAGCGGATAACCCCCTGGCAGCGGTCGTATGTAGGCTTAAGGTGTTTTGCCGTTGGCCATCGTGTCGGTCGAGGTCGAGGGTCGAGGGTGGGATTGCAGTCTTGCAGAGGACGTGCTGCGTGGTGGGGAGGTGTTGGAGTTTATGTTGTGAGGCGGCTCGGCTGCATGACATAGATTATCTCCACATCTTGCACCTCCTCACTTGCATGCCATGTCTTGGCGTAAGATGGATCGCGTTACCAGCCGCAAGTGACGGCTGCTGAGCAACAGTGTGAGACGCATCAAGTGATTCGGACGAGTTGTGGTGCTTCCCCTCCCCCCTCCCCCGGAGATGGTTTCTGGGGACTTGGGTAGAGTAGAGAAGGTATCTCGACTATTTGAGCTGAGGAACTCAACCTCCATATCTCACTCTCTCTGTCCGAAAGGAGGTTGTTGCAATCGTGACAAGTAGAAATTCGCTCTATACGTCGCGTCGGGAAGAATGGGCGAGAAGAAGGAAGCGCGTCCCGTCTACGGCGCCGATTGGCTCGTTCCGTTGATCTGCTGGTCTGTTAGTCTTTTAGCGCATCTGCCCTGTAAGGAGAAAGAATGCGTGCATGCTTGCTTGCCTGGGCTTGCCGGGCTTGCTGGGCTCATCGTGGTCGCTGCGAGCAAACTCTCTCTCTCTCTCACTCTCTCTCTTTCTCTCGTGTGGTGTGTCAGTTCGGATCCTCTTTCTTTTCACTTCGCTGTCCTCGCTACATGCCAACCTATCTGACCTGCCTAGCCCCTCTCTATCACCCGCCGCCGCCTCCTCCTTTTCTCCCCCAGCCCAGCCGTGCACTCATTCAACCCCATTCTATCTATCATCTCCCTATCCTTAGTCTTTATTGACACTCCCCACCCCCATCCAAACGCAAATACCTAACTACTCTACCACCCAAGAGACCAGTCTATCGCTTTCGATGCCATCATCTTGAATTTCGACGACAACGACAACCACACCTGCCACCACAACCACCATCACCACCACCAACCACCGTCGAGAAGAAGAAGAACAGCTCCTCCTCCTCCTCCTCTGCCCAACCCAACCGTCCACTCACGCATCAACGAAGAAAAAAATTAAAAAAATTGTGCTATCGCCACCTACTGCAACCTGTCCCAGCCCCAGCGTATACATATATCCCATTGGTCAGGCCACTGTTACCCCCCCAGACGGTCTCTACCCAGCTTCTCCGGCTTCACTCGTTAGGAAATAAAGAAAGAAAGAGAGAGAAAGAGAAAGAGAAAGAGAAAGAGAAAGAGAAAGAGAAAGAGGGAGCAAGAGAGAGGAAAGAGAGCAAGAAACAGACAGAGAGACAGAGACAGAGGGAGAGATAGGGCCACAGAGATAGGGCCAGAGGACGGAGTGAGAGAGCGTAGAGATGTCGGCGGCTATACAATGGACGGAGAAGCAAACAAAAGAGGTCATGAAGAAGGTCATCCGACGAGCTGAAGTGTCAAGAGTGAGCCTTCCCTGTCATGCCCAAGCCCAAGTGTTTCCACCGTGCGGGGAGAGAAACGAAAAAAGCCATCTGTCCATCCTTTGTTTCATGAGATTTATGCAAACACAAACGAGAGGGAGGGATCATACTAATTGGCCACTCATCTACCAGATCGCCAGGCTCCTGCAACACCGTCTAGCTCTAGCAAGCGTCAAAACGCAGCACGGATGGGAGAACCTTACGTTGGACGCCATCGAACCTAAGGTCGATGAAGACCTGAAACGGAAGCGGCGGCGGACATCGCAGGAGAACACTCCCTCGCCGCAGCAACCGCCCATGTTCAGCGACGGTGACCTCGCCTGGTTACGGAAGAACCGCCGGAGGACCACCAACGTCGAAGACCGCCCGTCCAGCCAGGCATCGGACATCGGACCTCTCCCGACATTCAACAACCCAAAAAAACGGCCCCGTGCGGCCACCACCGACTTCGGCACCCCCGCATCGAACAAGCGCCAGCGTTCGCAGCAGGAAAGTCAGGGCAGGATGATCCAGTCTTCCCCGGGCTATCATGACGTGGGTGACATCTCACATGGCGGGCAAAAGTTCTATCCAACCTTCCACTCGAGTCCTCCCCGCACCCCGCCCCGCCGGCGAAAGTTCCAACCGTCGTTCCACTCCAGTCCACCGAAGACGCCTCCACGACGGATGAAGGAAGGAGCCGACCTCCTACTGTACCTCGCTACGTCACCATCTCCGGCTGCAGCCGCAATGCCCCGGACCAGATATGTCCCGACCACCCCACCGTCACGAGCCTCCGCTCTCCCGTCGTCGATGATGTCCACCCCCGCGTGTCCCCAGACCCCGCAAACGGGCTTCAACTTTGCGGATTTCGTGAACATAACGCCGTCGCCGGCGCAGGCCGCATTCGGACCGGTGGGACGCGGTACGCCAATCGCAAAAGCCCAGAGACGCTTGAACTTTGATCAACTCGTTCCGCCGTCCGGATCTCCGCCCAACAGACCCACCGGCCTGGGAGTGGCCCTGGGCGGTAATCTGGTTTCGTAGTGTGGTGGTGATTCACGGTTGACTATGCGTTTTTTTCCCCTCGTATGGCCGGCCTCTTGCCCTCCAAGGCCGAGCGTGTGTACGGTGTGTACGAAGACCATGACGGGATGGGATGGGGATGGGGATGGGGATGGGGATGGGCAGGGCTGGGGGAGTTTGGGTTTTTATAAATATGGTTTTTCTTTTCTTTTCTTTCTTGTTCTCTCTTGTTATTTCTGGATGGATTTCCCATTGCGATTGCGGTCGTTTCTTGCTTGCTTTGCATTTGGCGTTACTTTACTTTACTTATCATGGTCATTGGTGATATCTTATGATTGTAATGTTCTCTCTCTCTCTCTTGAATATGTCTGTCTCTCTATGTCTGTCTCTCTCTCTTGAATATGCTTACTGCTTGCTTGCGTGCTTGGTTGGTTGGTTGGTTGGTTAGGGTCGCGGTTGTGTGCGTGTGGTCTGCGTTTTGTGCTGCTGCTTTAGTTTGGATCTTGAGGATGTGGGCGGTGGGCGTGGTGGGGGTCGTGTGTGTGGTGTATATCATAGCAGGTGCAATGGACAATGCGATGATGTGGGGTATGCAATGGAGTCTCGAGTGACTGGTCGGATGAGGATAGATGGGAGCTTCAACTACCCGACGAACTCGCCAATGAAAATTCCAAGCCCATCAGCCATCAGCCATAGAGTTATCAGAGGCTCGTAGCTCCTTGGAATAGCATAAGTCTCCAACTGACAGCTAGAATGGCGCCTGGTTTCCGCGGGGGCGATGCGTGAGGGAGGACAGAATGCCTCATGGTGATGCACTCGCTGCTGGTGGATCACTCGGCGGTTCGATTTGGATGGGAGATCACTCGGCAGGGGATTCGTGTTCTCCCCCTCTCTCGCTCGCTCGGTCCGTCCTTTTCAAACAAGAAACGGATTGGTAACAGCCATGATCTAGGTACCGTACTTCAATAAAATAAGGTCGAATGCTGTGATCACCGATGATCGAACATAGAAAGAAAGAAAGAAAGAAGAAAAGAAGAAGAAAAGGGCCGTCGTCTTTTTTCCGGCTCGGGGTACGCTTTGCATACTATAGATGGAAATGGAGATGGAGGTTTACTCTGAGGATTTGAAGAGATGTTGGGCTGTTCTATAGTGGTAGTAGTGAGTACTTACCCAGGTGAAAGGCGTGGGAGAAACTCGAGAGGAATGATGCCGCGACACTGGGCCGGTGAACTACCATCTCCTCTACCACCTATACCCATTCTATGTACCCAGACTGCGGCTAGGACTTGAAGAAATATGCGCCGCCATAACTACTACCCAGCAGGTAAATAGTCCGTAGGTACTCTGCACGGGCTGGATGCGAGTACATACATACATCGTACGAACGAAGAATCATGAAGCAAGCGGAACGCCCGTCCCTTCATTCTTGACGCCTCTCCATCGCCTCATCTCCATCGCTCCTCTCCGCCGGACTCAGCGTGCAGAGACGTACAGAGACGTGTTCAGCTCGGTCAGCCCATCCATCCATCCAATCCGTACTGTACTGTACTGTACTACACTGCACTGTACTGTACCGCACTGTACTGTACTGAACTGTAGTTACGGCCTGCCACTCCATTTGCCCTTCGTCTTCGTCTTCATCTTCGTCTTCGTCTTCGTGACGAGACGGCGGATACCTACTTTACCTACCTACCTACCTACCCCAGGTAGCTATGATTCTACGAAGGCGGTCAGAGATATGGCATCATGGAATGCATCGGACCCAGCACCCAGTCACCCAGTACCTTCGAAAGTCCGTACCTACTACCTACTACCTACGGCGACGTCCGTGACTCCGTGGTCGGATCCTCTATGTACTCTACTCAGCTCAACTCTACCTACACACATACATGGATGATGAAGCATGACTGCATTCGACACTTTCTTCCTGGTTTCTTTCTGCTCAGTGCCCAGTTCACGCCGTGCCCAGTTCACGCCTCGCCCAGTTCACGCCTCGCCCAGTTCACGCCTCGCCCAGTTCACGCCTCGCCCAGTTCACGCCTCGCCCAGTTCACGCCTCGCCCAGTTCACGCCTCGCCCAGTTCACGCCGCGCCGCACCTCGCCGCGCCGCGCCGCATAGAGTGCGTTTGTGGCGGTGCCGTATACCTGCTCTACATACATGCCGTGCATAGAGTACATGTGCATATGCGATGAGGCAAGGGGTCTTCAGCTTTCGATCAAGAGCCGAGTGGGTAGGTATCGCCGCACCTCCAATCCTCCGGACGAACAACGTCAGTCAGTCAGTCCCGCGATCTATCATCTAGCTTACATATCGATAATGGATATCGATATCGATATTCAGCACTAACTATGGAGGATTGATAACACCAGTTGAAGCGCTGGAGTGGATTTTTATGCACTGGTACCCACTCCAACATGTAGAATATGTAGAATATGTACCTACATAATGTAATGGCGATGTGAGGATGAGGATGGAGCAAGGGACGCAAACAGCTGCAGAACGTCTCCATACATAACTCCATCTGGAATACGAATCTAGCCACGGAACTACATACGGTACTCCATCAAGGATTCAAGGGATGTATGTATATGTGTGTATGTATGTGTGTACCTGCATCACTTGGCACGGGCAAAAAGGCAGTGCACTGCACACTCACCTCACCGTTGACCATTGACCAACCTCAGCTGAGTTGCTGACGGATCTCCAATCTCGATTCCCGGTCAGTCATCTTCACAACCGATCACTCATTACCCATCACGCATCATAAAGTCGGGGCCTCCTCTTCGCGGTCCTTCACGGTTCTTCGCGGTCCTTCGCGCGTAGTCGAGTCAGAACACGAAGTCACAACCCTCTCTCTCTCCCTCCCTCTCTCTTTCTCTCTCTGTCGCAAAGCAGCGTCTGCCGTCGAGTACATACCATATGGTACATAAACGCCTAGCTCTGGAAGTTCCCTACATACAAACCATAAAAATGATACATATGATCCTACATACCCAAGCGCACACTCACTGCACCACTCACTGCACACCCACTGCACACTAGTCACTCACTGCAGGAGTCGTCGTAACCCCTGCCCTAGTAGGGTATAGCAGGGTAAACGTGCCGGGGTGCGAGGCCTTGGCGTTTGAGAATTAATTGTTATTTGTTATTTGTTAATTGCTCTGCTTTTTGCGTGTAGGGAGGGAGGAAGATGAGGAAGACGCGGAATGGGAGTATTTAGGAAAGTAGAGACTGTAGGAGTATATACTCGGGCAGTGGGCGGTGGGCAGTAGCAGGTGGTAGGACTCGGGAGTCAGGAGTAGATACATAGGATGCTGACAAAAATAGCAGGGGCCATGAACGGAAGGGGTTAGTTACTCTAAGCTGCTCTCAGCTCGCAGAGTCGCAGCACACATCTCGCAGCTCACAGCCAGCGCCGAGCCGGAAGAGAAAGGGAGAGAGGAGAGGAGAGGAGAGGAGAGGAGCAAGGACGCGGACGCGGACAGTTGAAACGCTGTGGAAGGCGGGTGGGTGTGGAAGGTGGGTGTGTGGGTGGGCGGGCATGCATATGCGGCTGTCCAGGCAGGGACAGCGGCGTCCCGATTCGTTCGTTTGTTTTTTTCTGTAAGTGTGCGAGCTGGACTGGGGGGACCAGGGGGGATGCATGTGATCGGGAAAAAGGTGAAGAGTGATGAGTGAAGAGAAGTGACAAGAGATCTGGGCTGGGCGAGGGTGAGGGTGGAGTTTACATCTACGGACGAGACGAGGCAATTACTACCGGTATCGTAGGTACCTACTACGATAGGTAGTGTGAACGATCTCAACAACAGTCAATAGTCACCTGCAACATCCGTCCGGCCCGACCGTCTTATATCCGCCCGCTTGGCTCAGCACTGGCGCATTTCTCAGCATTTGAGTTGGCATCCGGAGCGAGACCCAGCCGGAGCCGAGTCGATACGGGTTCGGTACGGCAATACCTAGAGTGCCTAGCGAGCTGACAGTCACCGTTGTTTCCTTGGCCTTGGCAGGGACCTGCCGGAGAGGCGAGGAAGGGAAGTGGAGCCTGGCCTGTGTCTGTGGAGTTCGTGTCGAGTGGTTAGTTAGATATGTTACCGGTACGTCGGGCTGAGTGTGTGTGTGGGGGGAAGGTGAGGCGAGAGAAGCAAGGTGAGGCGAGAGAAGGGAAGCAAAGGGCCATTTCCATTGACAGTTGTGAATGCTCATTGCTCGCTCGCCGAAGGATGATGGGTTCGTCTTCCCATTCTTCCCAAGTTCCCTTCGGATTGGACATCTCCATCTCCATCAGCACATGAGTCGACAGTTTTTACATATATATTTATGACAGCGGACAATTCCTCCCCAATGCAGCCCGTCAAAAAAGTGATAGCGGGTGGCGTTGCGGGATTTCTGTCTCTAGTGGAGAACTGGTGAGCAACTATCGTGGGGTATGTGGCTATGTTTAAAGTTGTTTTTACGGTATGAACACCGTTAGGTCGTCACGTGGAGGAGATATATCTTCTTCCCAAGAGTCTACAGGAGCTGGGAATGAAGCCGTGATGATCGTTGCCGTGCCCTCAGGATCCATAGCATGCATCGATTGAATCCTTCGGGATTCGGGAAAGGCCGGGGGATTGACTACATATTGTGGCCCAAGCACTTCACGTCTTAGGAGCTTCCGAGATCGTGGCCGAATCCTGACTACCGATCATCAAGCTCTGTTTTGGAATTGTCACGGCTAGGTATGTATGCACTGGAGCGCGCGAGGGACGAACTGAACTGAACTTAATTGAAAGTTTAGGAATAGGTATGTATATGCATGAAATTCATCGGCAGCAACAGCGATCCAAAGATCGAGACATCGTCGGGCCCGACGATCCTGGAGGACCTTGCGGCGGCGAGGGGGGTATCTTGGTAGGTACAGTAATAGTATGATAACTGATCGGTCACGGAGCTGTTGCTATGAACGGCGAATTCAAGAACCGGGTTGGCGTCGTTCGGGAGGGGGGAGGGGGTGCCAGCACCTTGTGGGAGTCGGAGTCGGAGCTGGAGCAGTTGCGGCGATATCGACAGACGACAATCAAAGCTGGACGAACTCGTTCTCACCGGAAGAAGGACATCATCATACCAGTGGCCGTCCCCTCTCCGACGACACACCGAGGATGAAACACATACAGCGGGAGTTGACATTGACTATTGATAGGCAACTGCAGTTTTGTGTAGCATTTTCGAGTGACATGAGGAATGTTGAAATTTCCTGTCCCAATAATAGCACACCTACGCGTAACGCGAGGAGACATGTGGCCCGGCCCAGCCCACGGGTATGTATTTCAAATTCTCAATGCCGACGATCGAGTGACTCTAGAGTGCTCTATAGCCGTAGGTATTTGGCGAGATATGGGGACGGGGGCGGAGGACCGGAGGATCGATGGTTCTCTTCCGACACGGTACTCGATGTCGATGGCGATGTCGATGTCCGAAAGATTAGGAGGTTTGACTTTACGAAACGGGACCGCGATGACAGTGCACGGACCGAAACCCCTTGGAGAGCCGATGGAAGAGTGTCCACCGACATTTGTGCGGAAGGAAACAAAACGGTGAAACATGATGCACGGTGATGATGTCCTCAATTCTCAGTTCTTCTGGGGGTACCCCTTTATGCACGTGCAAATGATGATGGGGTGGTTTCGTAAACATCTGGTCCACTACTACTAGAGTAGAGTAGTAGGGCTTTGGCTTCAGGCTTTCCGGAAACAACTAGCTCCCTCAAGGTTCACCGCTGTTATCTCGTTCGCACAAACACCTCTCGCATGGGGTGTTTTATGTTTGGCCAGGCGGAGTTGGGCAGGCTTTTAAGCTTAAGGCTGCGACTGGAACTCAACTGCAACTGCAACTGTCGAAGGGCAGCGCGAGAGCAGAGAACAGAGCATAAGCCGCTGAATGACCGACTGGCTGACCTCCTCCGACCGACTGGCGCAGAGCAGAGAGGCTTTAAATGTCGGTGCGGACGGGCGGAGTCGAGGACTATGCATACTTGTTAGCTATTCGGTGGTTAATCTCCTGGAAACAGGAAACACAGGACGAGTCAGGTAGAGTAGCAGCAGTTACCGAGAAACAGATCAGATTCGTCGACGGGTATGGTGCAGTTGCCGTAGTCATAGAGAAGGGCTTTGCCGCAGCGAAAACGAACCTGTTCCGTTCCAAGCACTAGTCGACCAAGTCCTTGAAGGGGGAGGGGGGGGCAAAGCAGGCATCCCGTCGCCTCGCTGCTGCTCGCTCGCTCGCCCATCTCCTCCAACATTCCGCCGCGCATGCCAGCCAAACCCCCAACTCACCTCCTCCACCACGCTCTCTAAACACCATCACATCACATCTCCGCGCGCCCGCTCGCTCGCACCACGCTCACTTGCCAACTCGCTCACCTACGCTCTCTTGACCTCTGACCTCTTGACCTCTTCCGTAACCCAACCCACCTCGCTGCTCGCGCTCTCAACACCGCGATCCTCGCCCACCCAGCGCCTTCTGTCACACTCGTTCCACACTTGCGTCCTCTCGCCTCCGTTCCATCCTTTCGCATCGCGGGCGCATAATTGCCTGCTTCCTGCTATTTGCTCCGTCAAGACTGCTACCCGTCCTGGTAATTACTCGCCTTTTTCCTACTTTTAATTATCGTCGCATTCAAGTTGTTGTTTCTTCTTCCTCTTCTACTGCTGTCTGTCGCCGTTTCGGTTTCGACTTCTACCTCCTTCCTCCTCCTTCCTCTTCCTCTCCTTCTCGCCCGCCCAGAAATCTACCCGCCTCACCAACCTCCACAACCCTCCCCAGTCCTGATACCCACCTCATCCCCGTCCCTTGCCCTGAACCGGCTCCTGTCGAAGCCGATACCTATCTCTCTCTTCGTTCCATTTCTTTCGAAACCTCCACCCCCCACCCTCCCCCAAATCCAACTCCCACCAAACCGAAACTCCTACCCCCTCACAAGTCGATACCTACCGACACACCCTACACGCCAACCCACCCCCCCCCCCCACACCCCCAAAAATCACCCTCCTGTCCCTTCCGGCCCCAAATAGTCTGCCCAGAGCAAAGAAAGAAAGAGAAAAAATAAGGAGGAAGCATTATTGCTCTCGCTTTCACCCATTTCACTCCTCTTTCCCCCGGAGCTCTCCCTTCCTTTGGACTTCCCGAAAAACCCTTTTTGACAAAGAGTTGGTCGTGAAGAAATCCACAAAGGCGCTCGGTATGTTGCCTGAGTCCCTATTTTCTATGCCCTGATCGTCATCATCCTCATCCTAGGGTGGGATGATCCCATCTCTCCTTTGCCCTGCCCCCTGGTTTTGTCCGTTGCAACCACAACCACTACACACTACACACTACACACTTCACTCAACAAATACCTCCTTCACAGCAATCGACTACCATCAACACCGAGTTCCGTCGGTTCTCACTGCGCATCGCATGCTAACCGATCCCGACATTCGCAGACTGCTCACGGATCGCTAATCAACCGACCTGAAGGTCCACCCCCTCCCCCCCGCTCGCTCGCCCGCGTCGTCGCTCGCAGTCCTACTTCGAACACCTGCGAAACCCGATTCGACCCCCACAACTACAATAATAATGAAGGCGTTACAATCGATCGTGCTGGTCGCCCTGGCTGGCTGTGCCCACGTTACGATGGCTTCCGACCCTACCTACTACGCTTGCTACAGTTCTCCCGGAAAGTTGGTGGAGAAAGGGGATCTCGAGTTCAACTCGCGTGGAGATTGCCATGAGCGTTGTGTGACGACCGAGGTGGCCGCTGGAGGAGATGGATATGCTGTCATGGCCATGACAAAGCGCACACTATGCTACTGTGGAAACACATTGCCCAACGACTCACTAAAGGTCGATGACTCCAAGTGCAAGCAGGCGTGTCCTGGATTCGATTCGGAGACTTGTAAGGCTTCTCGGAATGTTGCCCGATGCGGCGTGGATCGCGATGACTGACAGAGTCAAATAGGTGGTAGTCGGCTAGGGGAATACTTTTCGGTCTATACGACCGGTCTCGAGGATGACCCCGATATGGACGAGGCCCCGTCTTCGTCCGTGGCGAGCACGTCCAAGACCAGCTCCTCATCCGGTGTGTACCAACATGTCCTTCGCAAAACCGTACGATGTCCAGTGCAGCGCAATACTGATTTTTATTTATAGACCCAACAACAACCAGTACCACTACTAGTGCTAGTCCGACCACCACGGGTGATTCGGAACAACAGACATCCACACCGGAAAAGTCAACCAACAAGGCCGCAGTTGCAGCTGGCGCTGTAGTCGGAGTCCTCGCAATCATTGCCCTCGGAGTGGGTGTGTTCATATTTCTCAGGCGACGAAGGAGGCAGGAAGTGGAGGAGGAGTACAGGAGGTCTGCTGCGGTCAGAGGCTTCGTTCAGAAACCCGCATTGGACAATCGACTCGATCCCGTCATGGTACAGAGGAGAGACTCCGTTGGAAGTATCGCAGACAACCAGGACTACTCGCGAAAGATCCTCAGGGTATATATCAACTCCTCTCCACCTCGGTCGCCGATCGAACTCGGCTCTTGATACACTCACTAACGATGTAGTCTGTTTAGGTGACGAATCCTGATGGTTAAATCAAATCGACGCTGAGAAGCCAGCAATGGGTCATTTTCGTTCTGCAGATTAGGATGCTTTTTCTTTTCTTTCATATCGGGGGTTCGGTTTCATTTGCGGTTCTGCCTTCTTTTCTTCCATACCAAACCAAACACCTTTGTCATGTTCACGATCCCTCGCGGGTATACCATTGCAACGTCGAATCACGTGTACGAGCTCGAGCGATATTTGCGAACTGTCAAGCGTGGAGGGGGACTGGGAGGGAAGAAGGGGGGGCACGCAACCATGGGATGGATACCGGCATCGAATGGTCTGCCATTTGCTTTTCTCTCTCTTCGTCAATACCCGATTTTCCACTGTTTTGTCTATTTTCTTTGTTTTGATCATTTTTCCTTGCACATCTTTGGCATACGCTTTTTTCGGTGTTTGTCACCATGTGGGTTTTTTTTCTTTTTTTACCATATCTCTTGTGTACTTTGGGAGGGGGGGTTTGGTATTTGGGGGGAGCGGGGGGGAGAGGTTTGTAGCGTACATTACTACTTTAGAGGTTATCTTCCTGGGGCTTCTTCTCGTTGGCCACTTCATATTTCCCTTTTTTCTTCTTTCTTTATCTGTTTCATCGGCTAGTGCAGTGCTCTGGGGGCAGGAAGGAGGGGTTTTGTTTGAGTTGTGATGATGAGAAAAAGGCGGAAAGAAGAGAGGGAGAGAGAGAGAGAGGGAGAGAAAAAGGGAAAGGAGAAAGACCTCTATTGCTTGCTCTATCTTAATCTTTTGCGGGGGGATTGGCCAACTACTTACTTTGGTCGGTCATGTCCACAGTTTCACTCATTCGAATTACTTCTTTATTTTTTCTTTGTTACCTTCTTCTATACCTGTCGTTAAGCAGCTTGTACAGACGCTCACTCAATCTTTACCTCTCTCTGTCTCTCTCGATCTCAATCACTCTCTTTACCTCGCCATGGCCATCCTTGAACCGGTGCCTCTCAACTGTCGAGCCCATTTTTTTGAGTCACTGTTTTTTTTTTTTTTGTTACTGGAGGCGTTTTCTTTCGTTTCTTTCTTGCTGCTAGAGATAATTTCTTCTTTCTTTCTTTCCTCTCTTGCTGTTTAACTGTATCATTTTTGTATTCCATTTTTCCTTCTGTTGTGCTGGGTGGGTGAGGGGGGGGGGGGGGGGGGGGGGGGGGGGGGGGGCTTGCCAAACGCACTTCGTCGTGCTTGCTTGCTTGGGCTGGTCCGTTGTGGCGGTCGGGATGGGGAGGGGAGGCGGCCGGGGAGGAGTGAGTGAGTGAGTGACGGAGGAAGGGACAGTGGGAGCAGGACGGAGAGGCGGCGGGGAGGGACGGAGTGAGTAGGAGTGACGGACGGAGGGAGGGACGGAGCAGGAGGGACGTAGGGAGTAGGAGGGAGGCTGAGAGTGGGAGAAAGGCGTGGAACTGCGACGAGATAGATGAATGAACAAAGCTACAAAAACCCCCCACCTGACACCATCTGACACTGCCTGACACTACCTGACACCGGCGAACAGAATTGAATGGGCGAGTGAGGTCGCGTGAACGTGTGCTCGGGGTGTGCTTTGTGCTTTGTGCTTTGTGCTCGGGCGGGGGCGTGGGTGGGCAGTGAACACCGATAGCGACAGTGGCAATGACAGCGAGGTGGGATCCGGCCCGGTGACTCCGATCGAGGTGGGGACTCGGGAGGGGCGGGAAGGGGGCGGGGAGGGGAGGGAGGGGTTACGTACTTGCGCCTTCCTTTTACTGTGAGGTTTCCGTGGGCTTGACGGGTGAATTGGGGTGTTGAGGGGTGGGTATATATGGGGAACGTGATTACTATATATGTAGACACGACGACGACGCGTGCGGGTATATCAGCGTACTGTATACTGTTTACTGCCAGGTACGTAGGAATACGCTTAAGTCCAAGCTTAAGCCCAAGCCCAAGCCCAAGCCCCAGCTCAAGCTCAAGACTGCTGGCGGAGGATGACAGATGGCTCAGCGGGTAGAAGGCTCAGCGGGTATGAATGTATGTATGCATAGCAGACTCAGCGGGTAGCAGGCGCAGCGGATAGCAGGCTCAGCGGGTATGTATGCATGTATTTATGTATGTACATAGCAGGCTCAGCATGGACTGCTTACTCACCTACCTGAGTACCTACGCACCTATGTATGTAGCCGTGCGAATATTTGTATGGATGGTCGTTGCGCAGTTCGAACACTCGAGCACTCGAACACTCGAATGCGGCGGGCGGACTGGGATAGACGGTGGTGGTGGTCACTGGTGGGTGATCATGCTCTGTCACCGTCGTGGCTTGTGGCTACCGATAGTATAGCCGGGACACGTCGCGGAGCTGGAGTACGTACCTCCGGGAGGCCTGAATGGATGGATGGATACGGCTGCAAACCCAAACACGGGTATAATATCTACGGAATAATCACGACAAGGCGGGATTGGTGCGAACTTCGAAGCCGTGGAAGAAACTGGCGAAGTAGGGCGGTTGAGACGTAGATGAAACGTGCAAAGCCTAGGGACGTTTGACGATGGGCGACACATGGGTCATGTGGAACAGATGGGCTTGCTTCGTGGAGAGGCAGCGGTGGGGCATCACCTGGGAGAACGACGATGGTTCAACTTCACATCTGTGTGGAGACTGGTATGGGACCGAGTATGGAACTTCAAGATTGTAAGCATTCAGATCATGAACACTAGAAACATTTCATCGATACAAAGACAGTCCATAACGAGGTGAAATATAGCAAACAAACGGTACAATTCGCAGATACAAAGACATCAACCACCCCAATCGCATACCAATACGCCCGCTTCTAGAAATCAAGAAAGAAAAAACATAGTGACAAATGAAACCTCCATCATAGGGTATCATCACGACTTATCTGGACCTAACTACTCCCTCTTGGGATACTTTCCAGGCATTGGCAGATCACTGATCGTTCCCTGACCCACAGTGTGGTTCGAGTTATCCCTATAGATACCAGGCCTCTCCTCCTCATCTGCCTCATATCCAGTAGGAGTAGCCATGTCATTAAGCACCAGAGACCTTCCAGCCCTAGAAGTATTGACCGGTGCACCAACGGGGGCATTATGATCTACGACAACTGACGACAACGGCGGGAGACCGTCACCGAACGGATGAGAGTTGGCCACGGCATCTAAAGACTCGGCGCCAGACTCTAGTGCGACTGGGCCGAGCTCGTTGGCCGGGATGGGTTCGCGGGGATCGATGTCGGCGTCCGAGACGGGGACTGGGGCCGGAGCATTGTCGCCGAGAAAAGCGATGTGGCGGGACGGGGACGCCGAGTGAGAAGACTCGTGCTCGCCTGTGATCGGGTCGATTCCAAAGCCGGTTGCGCGGGGGATATTGGGGGACTGGTGAGTGGCCGAGGTGGGGGATTGTTGGGTTGGAGTAGCGACTGCGGTAAAACCGCTCTGGCGATGGGTTTCTTCGACAGGGTACTGAGAGGAGTCAGCGTGCCAGTCAATTTGAGCGTCGGAGTTGAGAGACTGTACCTTTTCACCAGAAGACCAAGATGAAGGACTATCGGGACGCATGTGGGTCATGGGTGGGACGACAACATAAGTCCGTTCGATGTCATTGTGATCACGGGTGGCAGAGTCACGAATGACGGAATCACGAGCGGAAGGGTTCTGCTGGTACGCATAGTCTCTGCTGTTGGTATCGTCGTGCCCGTGATAAGGCATAGCACTAGGCAAGGCACTAGCAGCGGCGATGACAGATGTGCTGGAATCTCTGCTTCTGGTGCTCTGCCTGTCGTCGAGACCACGATTGATCTTGATATCACTCGGGAACCTTCCGGCTTCAGGTCGTCTTGGTGGACGCATCATTTCTTCGTGGACGGGATATTCCAGCTCGCTCTGCTGCCCAGAATACGGGATCTCATCGGCCTCATCGTTGTCAAGACTGTTGTCGTCACTATAAGATTCGGCCTGGGGATTTTCCTCAGCCATGTGCTTGTGGGTATGGTCTTGGCCGTGGGCAATCTCAGCTGTGTGTGGGGCAGCGTGGATGCGCTGCGAAGTGGTCCTCATCACATAGGCATCCCTCTCCGCTCCGGAAACCTCGATGAGTTTCTTGATCGCCTCGTACCATTGCAGCATCACGGCGTGAGACTCGGCACGGAACACCCAGCTGTGTCCACGATGAAGTGCGCCGGATTGGCGAGCTTTGAGCACAAACTTGTGGGAGACGGCAGATGGGTCCGAATGCTTTCCTAGCGAAGACTCAGGGAGGTACAGTGACATGACCGGCGTCGGATCACGATTATGGTCAGGTGACTTAAATTCGTGAAGGTAAGTCGGCGACAGGACGTACCAGGCCGGAGTAAACGACGTGAGGTACTTGGACTTCCTCTCCAACATCCCAGTACGGACCTCAATGACAGCAGGGTGGCTGTGGCCGGGGTACTCGATCTCGTCCACAGATCTCAAGGGAATGGTCGGGTTAACCATATGAGAGTCCCGTTCAACGAAAGCAGACCATTCGTAGTCCTGGGGAAGACGAAGAGTCGTCGCCGTGAGGCGCTCGGACAGGTCGATGAGCTCCTGGCCCTCCCTTCTGACGATCTTGACGTAGGTGTCGTATGCCTTCTGGATCTCGCCAACAATGATCATCTCAAGCTCGCGACCACTCGACTCGAGGTTAAGATAGGCCTACGATGATTAGATATGGGTACGAAGAAGGAGTAATGGGAGAAGATATACCCTGTGGAGATAGTTCTCTTCCGCAATGTGATGTTTCAACTGCCTCTCGACGCCCAACTTGACGATATACCTGTCGATATTATCAGCCTGCTAGATTCATCAACAGAAGTGCGTAATGTCACTCACGGATCCTTGGCTCCCGAAGGATTGGATTGGAATGCCTCCAACGCCTCACTGAGCTTCAGGACCTCCTTCTTGGAGGCCTCCTGCTCCTTTTCGACATTACTCTTGAAGTCACCGGAAAGGGCTTTGATCTCTTTGATCTTGGCGTTTAGATCATTCCTGAGTTCGTTCAAATGACTGATGACCTCGGTCTCGATCTTGGCTGCGTTCTGAGAGTTGATGATGGCCTCCTTGTGAAAATCACCAAGCTCAGTGTTGGTTTCGAAGATGCCTCCCTGGGCAAGGAAGTCGCTGGGCCGGGTCGCGGAGTTGAGAGCGCTCGTAAGTTTGCCGATGCTGCGTGTACGAGCTTCGTGCTGAGTCTGAACTTCGCGGAAGTAGGTTATGACGTCTTTCAGAACCTTTCTCCACGCTGCGAACAGAATCAGCAATCCGCTTCAAAGCCCCCACCGCACACAAAACTCACATTGAAACCGATTCACCAGAATCTCGGTCGGATTACTGTGGGTAGGTACGGGCGAATAAAACAACGAGTTCCTCGAATCGGGCTCGCCAAGTCCTAAGCTCTTGGTGGAGCCCGAACGGGACCGTCCCTTTTTCTTCACGGAGTCCTTCTTCTTGAGGGTTCCCGAGCGTTGGGGAGTAGTCGCTCCCGCGGTGATGGGACCTTCGGGATCCATGGTTGCTGACGGCTGGTATGCGATTTCGCTCCGAAAGTCTTCTATGAACTTTGCTCCCGTTTCTTGCGGTGAGTAAGCTTGCGGCGAGGCCATGGGCGGGAAGGACTGGGTGGATGGATTTGGTATGTCTAGCTGGGATAAGGTGATACCTAGGATTATCTAGAGCTTCCGTTGAATGCTTTTTGATCGAGCGATGGCAGCCAGCTTCAAATCCGGGATGGGGATAGGAATGCTAAGGGATGGGCGCTGGGATTGAAATAGAGTGCTAAAGAACTGAAGTGAAGATCTTTCGCTTCGGCAGGGTACTTTTCTCGTGAGAGGGATATCGCGGTATGTATTGTGCAGGAGAAGTATGGAGAGGAAGTAGAGGTCTGGTGTACGAGCAGAGTCAAGAAGTACAGCAGAAGATATGCTGCTCCCTCGCCTGAACAAGGACTGAATCTTCTGGACAAAGCAGGGCAGTAGTGATGACGACTGTTTTTTTGTTTATGGTGGGCCCTGCTTCTCTCGAGATGCACGTATGCAGAGTAACTGCTTAGGGGAGTGGAGAGCGAGTGGAGTGGAGTTCGGGCAATACGTCATCGCTGGGGGTGGTTGGTGGGCTGTGTAACATCCGGGCGATTGCCGGATGTTTTTATTTAGTTTATCATCATTGATCATTGCATTCGAGCGATTGCCGTATATGAAATGAGAGGGATAGGGAGAGAGAAATCAACTACAACCTTACAACTTAGACTCCAGATACCAGTATGGAATGCGGCATTTAGACGCTGATCTCATATCGAGTGATCCACTGTGATCTCGAAGACGGCCAACCATCACAGATTCATCCCACCGCTGCAGCCAGCACCTAAGCCGCCAACGGAACTGCAAGGTAGGCGCCCATGAAACCAAGCGACATGGATGACCCAGCTCCCACTCCCCCGCGAATCTCACCATCAACATCACCAGACGATCGCACCCACCCCCCCACCATGCCACCACCGCCACAGCAACCCTCCCAGATCCTGCTACATCTCAACCCACCCCGCCAACCGGCCAGCTCCCCCAATATCCGACTCGAGGTCGCATCGGACCCCAAAAACCTCGCCTCGCTGAAACACCTCAACAGCCTGCTCCTCCCCGTCAACTACCGCGAGAACTTCTACAAAGACATCCTCACGAACCCGACGGACGCGGCGCTCTCGCGCGTCGCGTTCTGGGACAGTGGCATAAGCATTGTCGGGGGCATCCGCGCGCGCTGGGATGCTCCCGAGACCCCGCCGGAGGATGCCGCAAAGCGCGGCGGGACGATATACCTCATGACGATATGCGTGCTCTCGCCGTTCAGACGGCTAGGCGTTGCGTTGGCGCTGCTCGAGGATCTGCTTCAAACGGCCGAGGCGTGGGGCGTCGACGAGGTGTTTGCTCATGTCTGGCAGGAGAACGAGGACGCGCTCGAGTGGTACCGTAAGAGGGGGTTTACGGTGGACGAGGGCATAGTCGAGGGGTACTACAGGAAGCTCAGGCCGGATGGTGCGAGAGTTGTCAGGCTGCGCATCTGCACTACTACTACTACTACTGTGGCATGATTGGGAGTCTGGACGTATCTGGAGGTGTGGAAAAGTTTGGCGACAAGAAACTTGCGGTGGCGATATGCATGGACTCCGAAACCATTTCTTAAGCTCTTTGGCCGACAATCACGCTATAGGGAACTTTATCCCAACCTCCATATGTGTCTACGTGCTGAATTTAAAGTAGTGACTGTCCCAGCCAATCCCACAATTGAAGTCTAAAATGCTGGATCTCCATCGTTTAAGCTTTATTCTTATGGTTTCAGTTCGATGGCGAATTTTTATATATTGTAGAAGTCACACCAGTGGAGACCCAACGCCGGATAGTCAACTGCAAGTGCATTTTTACTATACGGATCACTCGATTCCCACGTGTATCCAAAAACCACCATATTCAGTTCTCTGTGCATCTGGAGGAGCCTTCCATTGCCTTGAATGGCTGGTCACGATGCCAATTATAGTCTGTTGGGTAGACATCGATGCAATATCCTCGGGGCGCTCGGGAGTTGACAACTTAGACTCCTCCATCATGGCGATGGTTTGCGCTTCACGAAAACCTTCGAAAGCCGTCCAAAGTTACAGTTGCAGCGGTGGATACTATCAGCCCACTTTCAATCGGAAGCCCGAGCCCAGGCATGAAATTCTATATGTCCTGCCTACAATAGGTATTGGCACGCAGGCCAGCCGTTGTCATAACACCTATGTCGAAGTGAATTTGTATTGCCTTTGCCAGATGCCATTGAAGTTGAGCTAAATACACCAAGAGCAGTATCGATAGACTTCCAAGGTTCTCAATGCAACTACAATTTATGATTCCCGCTTCCAACACGACCGCCAAAAAGAAGTATAATCCACGGCCTGGGAGCCACCGCAATGTTAAAATCTTTGTATCCAAGTTTATCACACTTTTCTGTAGCCTAATGGGGGGGCCAGGCTTTTCTGAATAGATTAAAAAATCGCCCGCCTCCCTGAGTTCCTGGTTCGTTCGTAGACATCCTGCAGAGATATTCGCATCGGTAGCCCAGCATAGCATGGCGCGATTGCACTGGATGCGAATGCTCTTGGTCTTTATGGCCTACCTGCTAATTGCGGGTGCTCAGGAGACGCAGTGAGTGTTTAAGTCTTGTCCTGTTGGTTGGTGATCGATGCTGATGCTGATACTTGATCCAGACAGTCTACCGACCCCGGAGGAGGGGGAGTGTTGGCGACGGTGCCTCCCAACCCCGATCCCGGATTCGTCTTCACTGGCCAGGGGTCTTGGAACGGGACGATGATACCCCATCACCTCGGGATGAACGGCACCTCTTCGGCGTTGGCGTCGGCGTCTTCGGCCCCCGTCAACAGCCGTCTCCAACGCCGCAAAAATTTCTGGGGGAACGTGCGCAAGTTCGGTAACCAAGCCAAGGAAATTGGCGGTGATCTCGTCGAGGCCTGTTTCGGTGGCTGTGGCGGCGCCTTTTGCAACATCGGCGGAGACTCCTCGAAGTCGACCTATGGTGACACGGCGGAGCCACAATATAGGCCATACCAGCCGCAACAGAAAGACGTCGGGGCACTGGGCCGTCTTCTCGCGAAGGATATCAAGAAAGTGAAGGCCAAAAACGAGAAAGACCGCAAAAATGCGTTGAAGTACTCTGGGAGTAAGCAATGGAGCGACAAAAAGCAGGATATGTACAGTCCCAAGCCGATTTCCTATGGTGGCACGGCGGAGCCACAATATAGGCCATACCAGACGCAACAGGGAGACTTCGGGACACTGAGCCGTATTAACGAGAACGATGTCAAGAAAATGGGGGACAGAATCGAGGAAACCCGCAAAAATGAGTTGCAGTACTCTGGGGGTAAGCACTGGGACGTCATTAAGCCGGATATGTACCGTCCTTTTCAAGGGATGAAGCAGGGCGGTTTGAATTATTTGCAAGCGGCGGCACCCGCACCTCATAATCCGAGCTATGGCAATCATATCTCGGGGGCATCGGGTTGGAGGCAAGCCTTCGGCTGGAAAGATAAAGGGAAAGCGGAACCTCTTTCCTTGGGCACTAAAGGTAAACCCCATGATCCATCCATGTTTTTGAGATCCAAATCTGACGCAATCTTAGCCCTGAGCAGTGCTTCCTCCAGTAGCTCCGGTAGCATCCTAGGATACCACAACGCCTTCGAGCAACTTCCCTCAAGCAGCAATAGCGACTACGGGTCAATTAGTGGAATCAGTGAAGCTGACTCTTGGCATACAACCCGGCAGAGCGGGCACGGAAGCGTTGATGGAGGAAAGGCCGGGAAGGATTGGGTCAACAAGAAAGACTCTCGCATCTTTACTGCGGAGAACATGTCTTCGAATCCCACTCATGCGTATGTTCCGGGACCATGGCCGGCCAAGGACCGCCCTTCGATAAGAATGCCCACGGAGAGCAAGGCTGAAGGCAACAAACTGGCGATACCAGACCGCCTAAGAACTCCATATGGGAGCACCAGTATAGCAGGCGGTAATGGGCCAGTGGAGATCGGCCACCAGGCAACTCCCAAAGGGAGCCACGGCGAAACCCATGGCCCAAAACCAATGAAGAGCAATCAATCATGGTTCCGACCATCCACCTACGAACGCGGGGAGTCCAGCAAAACCGGTGCTGCCCGCGGTAACTCCCATGCCTTCGTCTCAGCTGCAGAGCGAGAGGCCGCACTGGGTCCTCTTTCAGTCCCCGCGCCCCCTTCTCCTCCTCCGCGGCCGTACACGCCTCCCTTCGAGCCGTACACGCCTTCCTCTGTTGGCATCGTGGACAACCTGAAGCCCGCACCCCCGCCGAAGCTCACACCCGAACAAACTCTCCGGCAAGTATACGCCGAGAACTGGAGCCTGGAATCTCTGACTCCACCCTTGGTTCCCATCGCTCATGGCAGTCCCCCGCGCAAGCACCTTCCCGGTCTCCGCTCTAAGGACAACGCCGACGACACCATCCGAGCCAGACCTCCTCCGCCCAAGCTGCCGGACACCTTCCTTGCCGAGCGCCCTCCCGCCGTGCTCGCAGCACCTCCCGGCTGGGCCGCTCCGCCCCCCGCGCACGCGATCCCCCCCTCTCCTCCTCCCCCAGAGCCTCCCTTGAACACCAAGGCGTGGTACAACAAATACGTCAACATCGACGGGACCTTCCGGCCGGCGCGCACCTTCCGCCTCAACGAGGAGCCTCCCGCGCCCATTTTTCCGGAGCGGCACACCGTACCGCCCTCGAAATACCGGAACTCGCAGCCCAAGGTCCTCCTCCCCAATGCCGACGACGATGCCTTCGTAAACCACTGGAAGGACGATGATCCACTGCGGAAAGCATTAGCCGGCGCTGGCATCACTCGCCCCTCGAGTGCGGATGAGATCAGCGGCCCCTCCCAACCCCTCGGAGCCGGCAGCCCCTACCGTTTCCCGGGCTTAAAGAACGCAAGGAACCCCAGTCCTCCGCGCCCGCGCGGTGCCAACCCGTTCCGCAGCAGCAAGGACGCTGCCGGACCCTCGTACCCACTCCGCCGTCCCTCAGGCGCCACAGACACCGTGATCCCTCCGAAAAACCACGTTGCCGGTGCCGCTGCCAAGCCCATCTGGTGTCCTCCAGGTGCGGGGAACTGCAGTCCTCCCCGCCCGCGCGGCGCAAACCCGTTCCGCAGCAAGGACGCTGCCGGACCCGCTGCCGGCCCCTCGCGCCAGCCCGATCCTAAGGACAAAGGTAAGGACAATGGCAAGGGCAAAGGCCACTCCCTGACCAAGCGTGACCTCTCTGAATCCGAGTTCTCCTCTGCGCCCGGCATGACGCTCGAGACGCCCGGCATGATTCACCAAACGCCCGGCATGAAGCACCAGATGCCCGATACGACGCCCGAGACGCCCAGTACGAGGCCCGATATCGCGCTGAAGATGCTCCACGTCGCCGGCCTGGTCTTTGCCCTTGCCTGCGCCATCGTGCTGGTCCTGAAGATTGTGCGGTTCCGCCGGCGTGAGGCGAGGTGGCAGAGGTGGCCGGTGGAGGATATTGATTTGGTGTAGGTAGATTTTTCTTGTGGTTCGGCTGAATTTGTTTCTTTTGTGTTCGAGTTCTAGTTTGCTCTAGTATTTGCCTTGTTTCTTCCGGTTTTATTCTCCACTCACGGTGGTGTATGTAATATCCAAAATCAGTAAATGTAATTTAGAATGAATTGATAGTAATCACGATTCTCATTCCCCCTACACCCCCACATCCCACACCCTAGGTACACCTGCACTTTTTTGTTGCGGACCAGACCAGACCAAGGAAAAGAAGATATGTTGAAAAATCGCTCATGATTCGAACCAAATTCGAAAACTAATCACCACAGCACAGAAGGCAAAGGCAACACATGTAGGAAAAATGAACAGCCGTAGGGAAATCGAAAGCGCAATAAGGAAAAGGAAGTAAAAGGAAAAGGAAAAAATAATGAAAAAATGCGTAAAACCTAAACCCGTGTAAATTTTACAACCATACACCGTCCCACCACCACAACCCAATTACCCACCACACACAGACACAGACACACCACCCATCGTTATTCATACAAGACAAAAAACAATTTAAGCGTTGGCCTTGGCCTCAGCAGCCTTCTTCGCCATGGTGTTCAGGGCGGAACCGTTCTTGAACCACTCGATCTGGCCCTCGTTGAAGGTGTGCGAAAGCTTGGCGTCCCAGGCGGCACCGTTCTTGGGGTGGATGCGGAGGGTCATGGGCTTTCCGACGGCGAGCTCAGTGCACAGGAGGTCGACCTTGTCGTCAAAGTTGATCTTGTCATAGTCCTCAGGGTTGGAGAAGGTGAGAGGAAGGAGACCCTGCTTCTTCAGGTTGGTCTCGTGGATACGGGCGAACGAGCGGACGATGATCGCGAGGGCACCAAGGTGGCGGGGCTCGAGGGCAGCGTGCTCACGGGAAGATCCCTCTCCGTAGTTCCAGTCACCGATGACGACCCACTTGACGCCCTTGGACTTGTAGTCACGGGCAGTGTCGGGAACGGCGCCGTATTCACCGGTCAGGGCGTTGCGGACGCAGTTGGCCTTTCCGTTCTCGTCGTTGAGGGCACCGATCAACATGTTGTTGGAGATGTTGTCCAAGTGTCCACGGTACTTCAACCAGGGACCGGCCATGGAGATGTGATCAGTGGTGGTCTTGCCACGGCACTTGATCAGAATCGGGATATCGGTGGCATCCTTTCCGTTCCAGGCCTCGAAAGGAGACAGGACCTGGAGACGGTCAGAGGTCGGGGAGACGCTGACCTGGACAGAGGAGCTGTCCGCGGGGGGAGCCTGGTAGGTGTCACGTCCGGCGTCGTATCCACGCTCGGGCAGACCGGCACCGTTGGGGGCAGCAAGGAGGAAGTCCTTGCCGTCTTTGTCCTTGAGGGTGTCGGTCAAGGGGTTGAAGTCGAGGGTACCGGCAACGGAGAAGGCGGTGACCAAGTCGGGGGAGGCGACGAAAGCGTGGGTGGCCGGGTTGGCATCGTTACGTCCAGTGAAGTTACGGTTGTAGGACGAGATGATGGAGTTGGCCTCACCCTTCTTAACATCCGTGCGGTCCCACTGTCCGATGCAAGGTCCGCAAGCGTTGGCAAGAACGACACCACCGAACTCCTCGAAAGTGGCGAGCTGACCATCACGCTCGATGGTAGCACGGATCTGCTCGGAACCGGGGGTGACGGTGTAGATGGCCTTGGATTTGACACCATGGTTCAGGGCGTCACGGGCAATGGAGGCGGAGCGGGACATGTCCTCGTAGGAGGAGTTGGTGCAAGATCCGATAAGACCGACCTTAAGCTCAGAAGGCCAGCCCTCCTTCTTGACGGTTTCCTTCCACTTGGAAAGGGGAGTAGCCAAGTCGGGAGTGAAGGGACCGTTGATGTGGGGCTCAAGCTCGCTGAGGTTGATCTCGATGAGCTGGTCGTACTCGGCACCCTCGTCGGCGCGGAGATCCTTGGCGTATGTGCGGGCAAAGTCACCGATCTCGGTACGCTTGGTGGCGGCGAGGTACTTGTGCATCGACTCGTTAAAGGGGAAAAGGGAGGTGGTGGCACCGATCTCAGCACCCATGTTGCAGATAGTTCCCATACCAGTGGAAGACAGGCTGTCGACACCGGGCCCGTGGTACTCGACGATGGCACCAGTTCCTCCCTTGACGGTGAGGATACCAGCGACCTTCAAGATAACGTCTGTTCAATTCCTATCAGTGACTGCTCTGCTGCCAATCGGTGTATTTACGAGCAACATACCTTTGGGGGCGGCCCATCCCTTCAGCTCTCCGGTAAGCTTAATACCGATGACATTAGGGGCCTTAAGCTCCCAAGGAAGACCGGCCATGACATCGACGGCGTCCGCACCACCGACACCAATGGCGCACATACCCAGACCACCACCGTTGGGAGTGTGGGAGTCGGTACCGATCAACAGACCTCCGGGGAAAGCGTAATTCTCAAGGATAATCTGGTGGATGATACCAGAACCAGGGCGCCAGAAACCAAGTCCGTACTTGGCACAAGCAGAGGACAAGAAATCGTACACCTCCTTGTTGATGTTCTCGGCTCTCATCAAATCCTTCGCGCCACCGATCTGTGCCTCAATCAAGTGGTCACAGTGGACGGTGGACGGGGTAGCGACGGTAGGCAAACCAGCGCTCATGAACTGGAGAATGGCCATCTGGGCGGTAGCATCCTGGCAAGCCACACGATCCGGTCGCAGCTTGAGGTAAGAAACACCCCTCTGGATATCCTGTCCGTGAGGGTCATCCAAGTGAGAGTAGACGATCTTCTCGGCAAAGGTCAACGGCCGGTTAAGGCGCGATCGCACGATGTCGAGGTTCTCGCTCATCTTCCTACAAGTGAAAAATGTCAGCACAGACCCTTATGCGTTGACATGTGACGCACGCCAATGTGCCAGGCAGCTAGCCGCCGCCGCCTGCCATCGTCATAACCCCTCATGATCTGCACGAGTTGCGATAACGAAAGCGGCGGAGAGCGACCGACTGCGCTGGGAAACAAGGCAAGACGCCGACAATCCGATGCATCCCGCAGGTTCTCGAATACGTACTTGTAGTTAATGTAGTTACCCTATCACGAACATTACGTATTAGCTGTCGAGCTCGTATGGGTAATTCCGCAGGCCCGCCGCTTGACAGCTCCCACGAAGCCGAGCATAACCGAAACGGCGGGGCACCTGAGAGCACGGACGGAGGGTAATGGGGACAACCAACCTTCTCCCAGTTGCTCATCTCAACCTTCTTGCTGAGAGGGTCATCGGTGACAGTAGCAAGGCCACGCTGCAGCTTGGTCTGTAATCGCACCCATCAGAATCCCGAAGCCAAACCATTGGTGATCCAGCATCGCCATCGGGGAGAGCACTCACGAGCCTAGGGGCAGAGCCAGAGGCCTGTCATGGAGCAAACAAAGTCAGCGTTGTTTCGATGCCGAAAAGTCATTCAGACCGCACTAGAGGCGGGGTAGTTGTCGCGAGTCGCCATGCATGCGTGTCCGAATGCCGTTGTGTCGGCGGGGGCGGGAGACAAAGAGGAAACTCACCAGCTTGGAAGCCCGGGGAATATGCCTGGACAACATGATGGACGATGTTGTTCACTCCGATCAAGACAGGACCAATGTGACGATGGTGTGGGGTTATCTTCAATCAAGAAGAGGGTATACGGGGAGAAGAAGAGGAAAGGAAGAGGGAGAGGAAGAAGGGAAAGAAGTGAGTAGTAGTAGTAGGTAAGTAAAGCCCTAGGCTCTTTCCCGGATGGCTGGGTTGGGTTGGGGGGTGGAACTGGTGGGCGAGCGGGTCAAGGGTGCACAGGATGTAGGTAAGAAAACAGGTAAACAACACGCTTTGCCAGTGATGCCTCTCGGATTGGATTAGGGCAGCATGGGATTGGGTTCAAGACGGGCAGCGAGGCCTCCCGCAAAAGCCAGCGGCCAACGGCTGGAGGAAAGGAAGCCCAGCCGGCCAGTCCGCCAGTCCTCCAGGCCGCCGAGATGTTTCTTTACTTGCCGCCCTCACGTTGGCTTTGGCTTCCATTTCCCCCTTCCGCTGACCTCTCGTCATCGATCGGTCGAACGGCCGTCACCCATACCGCTGGTCAATCCCTCAAGCAAAATTCCCCCAAGAAAGCCGCTGCGATAAACTGCCCTCGGACAGAACCCTGCGCCCCCCATGTGCCCCGGCCAATCAGCAGCGCGCAATTTGTGGGAAATCCTCAGCTAGAGGCCTCCAGCAGAAGCCGACGACCGAGTGCACGCCGACAACATCCTCCTCAACGCTCCCTCGGCTTCGCAGAGTCTGGCTGTTCCGATCTGCTCCTTCCCCCAGCCACAACCCCTCCCCCACCTCCATATCCGTCCTAGCGCTCCTGCACCCCCCCCCCACATCGACCAAGAAAAAAGTTCAAAAAACCAATCCGGCAACACGCGCAAAAAAAAAGAAAAAAAAGAAAGAAAAAAAGGAAGAGTTTGTGAAAGAGCCGCATCCCAGCTCCCCCACCAAGCACCTACAGCACTCTCACACACGCCTTCACACCGACGAAAGGCAGCAAGCAACCAAGCAAGCAACCAAGCAAGCAATCATGGGTTCCATCCGGAGATCAAAGACGAAGCGAAGAACCAGGTATAACTCCCCGCTCCCTCCCCCCCCTCCTCCTCCTCCTCCTCCCGCCTCCCATCTCCCATCCTCCCCCGCCTCATGCTTACCGCGCGCGTGATCCCGCAGAGACCTCGACCAGATCCATGGCGACCTCCGCAACCCACGACAGCTGGCGCAGCTCAAGGCGATGATTCCGGATGAAGACAAGCCCGCGCTGGGAATCCACCACTGCATCGAGTGCTCCAAGTATTTTGAGCAGGAGCACAACCTGCGCGAGCACAGGCGGGGCAAGAACCACAAGCGACGGTACGTGCCCGCTCCCCCTTCTCACGACACGATGCTGTGGCTGGTTGGATGGATGGATGCTGACAGTGGATCGCAGCGTCCGCATGCTCAAGGACGAGCCGTACACCCAGAAGGAATCCGACGCGGCGTCGGGTGTCGGCTGCGCATCCTTCTACGAGGCGCGCGAGCTCTCGAAGGAGCAGCGACGTCTGGACGAGGAGGCGCGCAAGATGGAGATTGAAGCATAGACCGCCCATCTACCCTCCATGTCACATACAGATCTACCGTACTCGGCTGGCGTTCAGCGGCGCTCAAAATTTGGGAATTCAATTCAATTCAATGATAATATATTTTTTCTTCTTCGTTTACATACCGTACTTTTATTTTGCGTCCGAATCCGTAAAAGCGCGCACATGGCCCAAACTTAGTGCCGGAATTTCACATGCCACCAATAAAGCCTCACCCCCCCGGGCCCCCCTAGGAAACTAGCGCCCCTCGGGGCTGAGGGACAAGTTTTTTTTCCCTCCTCTGTCTTCGCATGAGCGCTTTCCGTTCCTCCGGAAGGACGGGCGCTATGTGAAATAGCGGCCGGGCGAGGAGGGTGGATGTGGCTAGGGAGTGCAAGCAGTCCATCGCTTAGCACTCGGCGGCGCGGAAGAGCTGACTTGCTGCTTTACTGCTAGCATGTGGATTAGTAGGCTCGCCGGTCGTCCATGGCCCATCATAGGACCATAGGTGGAGCTCTGGCCGGCTTGGAGCTGTCGGACCGATGGCTTGCTAGCTGGAGCTGCTGTGGAAGCGGTCTTTGCTATGCAAACGACGCTGTATAACTTACATACTACCCCACGCTCGATGGAGGTCATGATCGGACCTGGGAATATGCTCGACTGGAAGCTAGTCTTTGCACGAAGAGGTCCGCTGGTCCAGAGCTTGAGGGAGGATTCAAGTGGAAGATTACTACCGTAGTAGCGTCGGGAAGGTAACGGTAGCTCAAGATAGGACAGGTGGAATGTGTGCAAATCACCATAACATGTGTACAATACATATTCAGCCAGCCGCCAAAATCAGCACATACAAACATGACCGACAGGAACACGGTATCATGAGCTTCCAGACCAGAACAGGAACAAGCTTAAGGATCATAACAGGCACAGGGTATCATATATCCCATAATCAAGCGAACGCCATCATGCATCGAGCGAACACATTAAAAGACCAAACGCAGACACACACATTTCCAGACCAGACCAGACCAATCAACCGTCAATATGTAGACCAGCCATCATCATCGCTCATTACGCATTACCATCAGCATCACCGCCTCCGTCACCTACACCTAAGCCTCACCAAAATCATAGTGCCCCGTAGCAGTAGCATGTGCCACGGCCTCCTTCTGCCCCTTCATCTCCTTCCTGCAGACATTGCACTTGATGGTGAAATTGTTGGTGTCGGTGAAGTAGTGTTTTTGCTTAAGCTTATTGCAGAGTTCCTGGGCGGCGGCGAGGATCTCGACATCGTCCTTATCGAAGACCAGCTCATCCTGGTCTGTATCGTGGACGAGCGAGCCGGCGGGGGAGAGCGCGAGTGCGTCGTAGTGGATGCCGCTGTACACGACGATTACCCGTCGGGGCTTGCCTTCGTTGAAGCGGATCATGTTTCCCGTCGCCACGTCGATGGTGCAGATCTATAGCAGCACCCATTAACATCCCCCCTCATCCCCCTCCCCCTCCCCAGTCCCAGCAACCATGATAGAAGAACCCACCTCCATATCAAAAAACTCCGCAAAAATCCCCAGCTCGATGCCGCCGCCCCAGGAGCTCTCCATCTTGATCCACTCACAGTAATCATCCGGCTTCTGCTCCAGCACTGCCTGGGAGTATGTCTCCTTATCCTCCTGTATCGTGCCGGCAACCAGCTGCCTCAACTCCTCAACCGACATCATGCTGCGCGTCATGACATAGCTCAGCGCCCGGAACAGACAGGAATTATCGTCCTCCATGACGCGCAGCATAACGGTGCCCCGGCCGCTGGAGAGCTTCACATCAGGCGGGTCATCCTTATTGAACTTCGGTGCGGCGCGGGGGAGCGACAGCGGTTTCTGCGCTGCGCCACTGGCTCCGGCGGTGAACGAGAACGGCACCTCAGCAGCGTTGCCTCTGCTACCGCTGCCATCGTAAACTCCCGTACTCGCCTCCGCCGTCCCCCGCGTCGTCGCCGCGGTGCTGTTGATGACGCCCGCGCCGCTCCCACGGATGATCCCGCCTGATCCCCCGGCCCCGGCGCTGGACACGATCAGCTGCTCGCCTTGGAGCTTGACGGGGAGGTCGAGTAGCGCGGTCGATGGTGGGTAGTCCGCCAGGTGCAAAGGCTTCGGCGGGTACCCGAATTTTATGTCGAGGTCGCCGCTGATGGAGGTTTCGGTGCGGATCGCGGAGAGCAGGACTGCTACTGTACAGTCGTCGCCGAGCGTGAGGACGTGGGTGCCTGACGGTGCGCGGATCTTGAGACGCATGGTGGGATGGCGTTGTGATGTGCGGATTCGATTCGACCGAGAGCTGGGGATGGAGATGTGGGTGATGGAGTATGAGGTTGGAGGTTGGAGGTTGAGGCTGGAGTAGTCGCGGCGATGTCGTGGTTGATGTGGGGAGGATAGCGATTTGTGGCGGTTCCTTTATCGGGATCTATCAGCTGGGCAACTGTCAACCACCCACTACTAGTAAGGTACATATGATGGCCAAGGTCCCTCTTACGTTCCAAGGCTACCCGCAAACAAACCAACAATGACCAGAACTTACATACAATGAGTGCGAGGAGAGCTGATTCGACGTTTCAAAAATTGAATGGTTCTCAGGACGGAGCTCTGTGCTTACCATGCGGACGAGCTGCAAGCAAGGTGGATCATCCGCATAGCTGTAGGGAAAATGCACGTCATACTTGACCCCATGTCTCCACAGCAATAGCACAGCATGTGTCATCGGCTCGGAAGGAACGTCTACGGGCCTGTCAACGGCTGAATTTTCCAAGAGCGCCGGACAGTGACATCTACTCGAATATCGAGCCTATCGGGCTACAAGTTTGAGGGAACAGGAGGTTGTGCTGAGTGATATCTTGGGTAGTATGAATTGGGTGCCGTTTTCAGCGCAAGACTGAGGACTGTTCAGCAGCCATACAGCGAATGTATCACACGCCACAAGGCAAACGCACGGTACGTGATGAAATTGCATTTGTATACAAACGGTACGATTCCGTCCGTAATCAGCAAACGAAAAAAAACGCCCATATGTTGATTTACTCTCGCGCAACTATTACTCCTCCTCGCGATCATCCCTCCCGCGTTTCCCACCGCGCGTAGACTGCGAGCCACCACGGCCACCCTGTCCACCCCTTCCGCCACTGCGCCCGCCCTTCCCGCGTCCCTTCTTCTCCTTATCTTCGTTCACCTTCTTGATGGCCTCCCTCTGCGCCTCTCCCACGCGCTCGCTAAAGATCAACACATCGCTCTCCTCGACCTCAAACGGCGGGATCTTTTCACCGAGAGCGTTCTCAATTCTCAGAAACAGCTCGATATCGTACTGGGTGACGATGGCAATTGCCTTTCCACTGCGTCCAGCACGCGCCGTACGTCCCACCCGGTGGATGTACGTCTTCGAGTCCTGCGGCAGATCGAAGTTGATGACGGCGTCGACCGAGGGGATATCCAGACCTCTTGCGGCGACGTCGGTGGCGATCAAGATGTTCTTACTGCCGGATTTGAACTTGTTCAGAGCGCCGAGACGGGCGGATTGTGAGAGGTCGCCGTTTAGCGGGACAGCTTTGAAGCCGAGTTCGCGGAGGAGATGGGCTAGCCGGTTGGTCTCCATTACTGTGCGGGCGAAAACGATGATTGTTTGCCCTGCAAACTCGTTGATCAGGTAGACTAGGTGGGTGTCTTTGTGCATCAGCGGGATGAAGAGGAAGCGCTGGATCAGTGTGGAAACGGTTTGGTATTTGCTTGAGACGGAGATGCGGACGGGATTGCTGAGCGAGGCACGCTGGAGCTTCTCGACTTTCGAGGTCATCGTTGCCGAGAAGAGATAGGTGTTTCGCTGCTTTGGGATCACTTTGAGGATGCTGTCGATTGTGGGGCCGAAGTCCATGTCCAGCAGTCTGTCCGCCTCGTCGAGAACCAGAAACTTGAGATTCCGTAGAGAGAAACCCTTAGTATTGGTAAGATGGTCGAGGAGACGACCAGGCGTAGCGATGACAACGTGCGGCTTTTTGCTCAATGCTACCGCCTGCTCCATATTAGACATACCGCCGACGATGACAGCGCAGCGCACGCCGATGGCGCCACCCAAAGCCTCAAACTGCTCCGAGATCTGGAAAGCCAACTCTCGCGTGGGCGCGAGAACACAAGCAAACAGTCCAATTGGGTTATCCCAGAGAGCCTGTAGAACCGGGAGTGCGAACGCCGCCGTCTTGCCGGATCCTGTCTCGGCCAGCGCAATGAGGTCCTTCCCCTCAAGCGCCACGGGTATCGACTCGGCTTGGATAGGTGTGGGGTTCTTGTATCCGAGGGTCAGGCAGGCGTCGCAAAGTGAGTCCATTACGCCCTACGTTCCGCGATCAGTCTCGTCAGCCCATCCGTCTCCCCCAGTAACTCGCGCGCAATGGTGGGTATGTACCAGATCCTTAAACGTCTTAACAACCGCCGGCTCCTCCTCCACAACTTCTGCTTCCACTTCCACTTCCGCCTTCTTCTCCTTCTTCTCTTCTACTGGCGCCAGCGCCGGCGCAGGCGGCGGTAGTGGTGGTGATGGTGATTTTGGTGGGGGAGCAGCATCCTTGACGACTGCAACCTCTGCAACCTCTGCAATTTTCTTGCTCTTCTTCTCCTGTTTTGTAGGTTCCGAGGCCGCCGAGACCGCTGCCGAGGCAGATTTGGAGTCGGTCTTGCGGCGCTTTATACGTTGTTCCACCATGGTTGCTGTGTCGTGCGGTTTGTTCGTTCGAAAAGTTAGCTGGCGAAGTCCAGCGAGCGTCAAGTGTGGAAATAATTTTGGCGGCATGAGTTACACCAGCTACTAGTGCGACTTGGCATGCTTACCGAGCTAGGTCAAGACGAGTGATTTCTGGTGAATCAAGCAGCAACTCAAAACCCAAGTATATGCCTACCATTGTATACCGCAGCCTATGGCCACGTCCTTATCATAGTCTTCCGGACCTCAACAGGCTAGATAGATACTGCAGTATTCGAGCAGCCCAGGGTTTCTAAAAATCCGCATGTAGCACGAGTGACGGTGTGAATGACTATCCACCAGACAAAGCAGCTTCAACTTCGGCCCCAAAGCCTACACCTCGCCGCCGAGATTAAGCGCACCTCGTCACGCAAACCCATGGACAACTCACCTCGTCACGGAGACTCGTCACAGGTGCCAAAGCAAACGATTGGGAACGGCGCAACATCCCGCCATGGAAACTCATAGATGCATATCGAATATACGTAACTTATGTAACTAGCAGACTTGAAGGACCAGACTGAGAAACGGGCATGAGCAATTACACATTCCAGGCTCCCACTTGCTACATACGCCACTCATGGTCCGGTGGAGAAAAGACTTCCCGGAGCCACGGCGCCACTACTACCGATCCATATATTGCCAACGGTGCAATCACGATGCTATGGCAACTCATTTAGCATGAGTGTAAAATCATTATATTCAGCTGCATTCGAACAAGAAGGTATGATTACACTTTCAGCTCCAATAATAAATGCCGCACGCTGGTCTCAGCACCAAAAGCAAAGCACGATCGTTCACGACAAAAAAGAGACTCAAATCATTCAAATAACAATACAAAAAAACGACAAGAAAACCCCAATCCAAGGAACACGATGCATTAAGTGTTTCCCACTCAGGCCAGCGCACTCCATTCTCCGTAAATGAGTCATCCTACAATACACACATAAAACCCGTATAATCGCACTTATTTCGCCTTGGCAAGACCGATAGCGTTGTTACCCAGATCGTAGACCGAGTAGTATTTCCTCAAAAAGGCGTCACCAAGGACGGCCAGAGGACCAGCGGGCGCCGGGAAGTCCATGCCCATGATGGCGCTGATGCAAGAGCCTTGAACCTCAAGGATGTAATCGTAAGAGGTGATGGTGAAGTTGTGACCAGTAAGTGTGAAGGTAAGGTCGGGAAGCGAATCACGCGCGGCGCACTCAATAGTGTACTGTCCGTCCCAGCGCTTCTTGGCTCCCATATGCGTGTTCAAAAGTTCGGCAATGGTGGTGGGAAGGGCGATCAAGGACGTACCGGTGTCAACGATGGCACCGGTGTTGTCAAGGTCTGCAGACTCATCTCCGAAAGTGATGGTGTCGAAGTCGACCTCCCAGTAAGCCTTGCGGCGGAGAGGGAGCTTCACCATCTTTCCGGTGTAGTGCTTCTCGTCAATACCACCGAAGATGGCCTCGCTCTCCTGATCGGTGCTGCCGAGGTAGAATGCAAAGACAGGCTCGTCGAGCTTACCCTGCTCAATCATGTTGTAGAAGGGAGGAGGGATGTGGTTGACCGAGATTGTGTCGTAGCCAAGACCGAGGATACCATCGAAGCGACCGAAGGCAAACGCCAAACCGGGCTCTAAACATAGATGTGAGCACGTTGGGAACATACAAAACCACAAAAGAGCTTACCCGAAGTTGCCTCAGCGAACAGCTGATTCTTGATGCAAATGTCTCCGATCGATACGTCGTCGCGAGAGACGAATCCGCTCAAACTGCCAGAACCATATCGGATCTCGAAAGAGGTTCCGTTGGCGGAGTATGTTGAGGAAGACGACGAGTCGTACTTGCTGTGGAGAAAGCATGCGATCGAGCCACACTGGGTGGAAGGAACCCAGACTAGGGACAATCAGTTTGAAACTTCATGAATCTGAACAGAGTGTACATACGATTCGAGCTACCAGTGTCCAAAACAACCTTGAACGATTGCGGCGGGTTACCAATAGTGATCTCTGAGAAGTCTAGATATCATCAGCAATCGCGTATCGGCGGTTTCGGGGGGACAAGTACATTGCGCGTTGAGGAAGTTCTGAAAACAACGTTAGCAAATACGACCAAAAGTAAAGCCACAAGATGTACATACGGAAACTGGGACAGGGTGGCCCTTCTTTCCATCGATTTCCTGCGTGCTGAACATGGCTTCCTGGTGCTTCTGGGGGCGGATGCCCATGTACTTCTGGCCAAGAGCGCGGACCTGGGTGTCGATATCATAGCCCGACTAGAGGAGATATGCTGTCAGCAGAGCTCCACTACGGCTTTTCGAACGCGATGTGAGCTTACCAGCTGATCAGAAAGGGGAACTTTCTGGAGAGGCATGCGATGGATGCCAGCCATCGCTGAGCCGATCAACGAGCTCGCGGCGAGGATACCGAACGACTTCATGGCTGCAAGTTTGAGTGATGTGGAGTTGGTAGAGTAGTGGGTAGAAGGACTGTGTGTGTGTAGGTCTGTGTATGTATAGTGACAAGAAGCTGAAGTTGAGTGTAGTGAAGTTCACCCGATGCGATAGAGTTGCTTGTTATGAAGTGGAGGGCGAGAAGGATGGAGAGTTAAGGGCGAGGTTGGGGGGGGGGGGCGAGAGCTGGCGGAGGGCGGTTCCGGATGTTGGTCACCCACTGCCAAGGATTCGTCACATCACGTGGTGAATACGTACGTTCCCGCATCTGGCGGGATTGCGCGCATCATTGATTTTCTATCTATGTCGCACATAGCAGAGAAAGGGCGGGCCCTAGAGGGATCGAAGAATCCCTAAATGCGGTGACGGCTTTGCTCTCATCTCATTCCTGATCCTGCCGATTCGCAGATGCCTGTTTACCATGACGGGGATCCGGCGATAAGCTGTAACCACATACAGGCACCTAGACCTTGAGACAACCAGTAGCAGTCGCTCGCTCGAGCCTCGAGCACTCCACTCCGCTTCAGACCTCTTCGATCCGGGCCGGGGGCTCGCCAACCTCCCACAGTCCTTCCGATTTTGACGCGTTGCGCAACAGTGGGACCTGCTCAGATGCTCTTATAGACTCTCATCCGCAACTGAGTACGATAAACAGGAACAGTGATATCTTCAAAGACTCGATGGGCGATCGGGGTGATAAGTCCCGCTTTCGGCTAGCTACCTAATCGTTGTGACCGCGTTAGTGAGTGCGGGGAAACACAAGGCTGAGCGAGGCAAAACAAACCTCGGTTGGCCAGGCCTTCGAAGCACAGATGCTCAAGATTTCAGCCACAAGCGCAGATCATGTCCTGCACTCATCGTCGTCGCATTGTGTCCCTTCCTCTCGTCAATTGACGCCTCTCTTCATCCGCTCTAGACTCCGACAGTTCGCCATCGGCTCCAGATATGTTGGGCTCTTCTCAAAACGAAGCCCACATGGGTCCCTGGATGATCTCGTTTGGTCGTATGAATCACCCGGGACGAAACACTACGATACCGCGGCGTCGCAGATATCTGCTGCTCCACTTTCCCACCGGGCTCTAGACATTAACACATGTTCCCAGGCTCGGTTTCGGCTAGGCAAGCCTTTTGTGCTCTACTTACACGGCGCCATCGTTGAAAAGCTACCGACAAGTGGACGTTGTGACAGTTTGCTGTCCTTGGCGCCGCTTTTCGACTTCGTACCGCGGATGAGTCAGCTGGGGTGGTGATGGCAGATGCGAGTGCACAACTATGAAGATGGGTACTTGAAGGACTTGACACTCAACATCAGTGTTCCTCCATCCCGTCCTCGCGTATTGGAGGCATCCTATTGGGAACACGACAAGGTAGAGAAGGGCTCAGGAGTCAGAACAGCCTAGATTGACCCAAAAATAATGGAGAAAATTGCGAAAATTGCCCCGGTTTTGGGGTGATCTGGCAGCAAAAACGAATGTACCCCACGCCACTAATAGGCTTCCTCAACCTTTGACAAGACCATATACGTAAGTCGTCAGAGCGGCACTGCTAAATAGAGTGGCTACACCCAAAGAAGAGCCCCGTTGCAGTGGAACGACTGAAACGGTGACGTGCAGAACACCGCAGACTCAGGCCTTTTGACAATAACGCACCTTCTTCCAAGCCGGGAAAGTGTCTTTCACAGCAAGTTTTTTTTGTCTTCGTTCCCTGCGCCCGGAATGTCCTCACTCCTAGTGTGCAGAATTTCAGAATCACTTCCGACAAGAAAGCATCGTAAGGGGGGCAAAAAGGCGATGGTCTTTTGCCCTCAGCGCCACATCCACATGAGCCACACGCTAGCATAGACATATCGGTTGGCAGCAACCCTCGTTGTCGACTCTTATACATAAGGACTGTTGCGAGGCTGTAGTTGAGACCGCCAGGTGAAGGTATCATTGGACGTGATTGAGGAGAGATCGATGAAGGGCCAAATGTTGTGTAGAATAGTAGTGTTGGCTATGGAGGCCGAAGGCGTTGCGGGAAGAAGATAATTTGATATCTGCCACGCAGGTACGAGTCTACGCTAGAGTACTTAAAAACGCGTTGCAAGTCGCGACAACTTTCCGCGTCCCTGGTCCCTACAATTCGCGTCAAGCAATTGGGCCTTTCATTTAGCCACCACCATAATCTTCACCACAACCACCACAACCCACCACAACCACCACAACCCACCACACCCACCAAAACCACAACAAACAAGATGGGATCAAGGCCAGAGTTAAAGGCACACTCACCCTTTCCCACTAATGCCCAATTCTTTTCCTGACCATATTTCAGGTTGACGACGAGAACGGCTTCATCACGTTCTTCAACCGTCTCCCAGAAACCGACGCGATCCGTCTCTTCGAGCGTAATGACTTCTACACTGTCCATGGAAGCGATGCTGTATTCGTTGCCACTACCGTCTACAAAACCACCAGCGTAATCCGGAAGCTTGGATCGTCTCGCAATGCTCTCGAGTCGTGTACGTTGTCGACTGCTGCCTTCCGAAACTTTCTCAGGGAGGTCCTCTTCGGACAGGGCAAGAGGGTTGAGATTTGGCAGCAGAAGGGAAGAGGTAGTTGGGAAATCGGAAAACAGGCGTCTCCGGGAAATCTACAAGACGTCGAGGAGGATTTCGCCGGACAAATTGAGAGCGCGCCGGTGATTGTTGCGGTAAAGATTCAGGTCAAGGGAGAGGATCGAACGGTGGGCGTGTGTTTTGCAGATGCGAGTGTGAGAGAGCTTGGGGTCTCGGAGTTCGCAGACAACGAGGTCTATTCCAACCTCGAGGTAGTTTCCGCCACCCATCCTTAATCCCCCCCCCTCGGCATGCATGTAGTTGACACTGCTAGTCCCTCATCATCCAACTTGGTGCGAAAGAAGTCGTATTGCAAGAGGACAAGCTCGGAAAGGACTATGAACTCAAGAAAATCCGCGAACTAGTGGATCGTTGCGGTGTCGCCATGACGTTGAACAAGCCCTCGGATTTCTCCATCAAAGATATCGACCAAGATCTCGAGAGACTACTGGCCACCGAGGGCACCGCCAACATCCTACCATACATCGAGCAGAAGGTCGCAATGAGCGCTGCTTCTGCCCTGATTCGGTATCTTAGTCTGATGAACGACGAGTCCAATTTCGGCAATTACAACCTCTACCAGCACGACCTGTCCCAGTTCATGAAGCTGGATGCATCGGCGGTCAGGGCACTTAATCTGATGCCGGGTCCTCGAGATGGATCCAAGAACATGTCGCTGTACGGGTTGCTCAACAAGTGCAAGACGTCGAGCGGAACGCGGCTACTGGGCCAATGGTTGAAGCAACCCTTGATGAGCCTGGAGGAGATCGAGAAGCGCCACAGCCTCGTCGAGTCGTTCGTAGAAGACACCGACCTCCGACAGACAATGCAGGAGGAGCATCTCAAGAAAATTCCGGATCTCAACAGATTAGCCAAGCGTTTCCAGCGGAAAATTGCCAATCTGGAAGATGTAGTCAGGGCTTACCAGGTAGTCATCACACTTCCTGGCTTCATCGGAACATTGGAGGCTGTCATGGATGAAAAATATAAAGACCCTTTGGACGAGCAGTACACAAACAAGCTCCGTGAAATATCTTCAAATCTTGAAAAGCTCCAGGAGCTCGTCGAGACGACTGTGGATCTCGACGCCATCGACAACCACGAATTCCTCATCAAGCCTGAATTCAACGAAGACCTTCAAAACATTAGGCAGCGATTAGACGACCTTAAGGAAGCGATGAATAAAGAGCATCGCCGCGCCGGCTCAGATCTTGGGCAAGAGATCAATAAGAAGCTATTCCTGGAAACTCACAAGGTTTATGGATGGTGCTTCAGATTGACGAGGACTGAAGCAGGTGCGATCAGGAACCGCAAGGATTACAAGGAGATGACTACGCAGAAAAACGGTGTCTACTTCACCACCACGAACTTGAAGGACCTCAACCGGGAAGTGGACCAGGCTACTCAGACTTATGACCGCACTCAAAGAGGCCTGGTTGATGAGGTTGTGGCAATAGCAGGTGAGCCGGGACATGATTCCGTAACTGTGCCTCATTTAACATGCTGTAGGATCGTACTGTCCCGTATTGGAGGAGCTCGCTGGTGTCCTTTCCCACCTAGATGTCATAGTCAGGTATTGTCATTCCGCTTTTGAGATCTCATAGCTATTGCTAACAGTCATGATCAGCTTTGCGCACGTCGCAGTGCACGCTCCTACAGCATATGTCCGGCCCAAGATGCATCCTCGTGGCCACGGCGACACCATCCTGAAGGAATCTCGTCACCCCTGCATGGAGATGCAAGACGACATCCAATTCATCACGAACGACGTGACACTCAAACGCAATGCCTCCGAATTCCTGATCATCACGGGACCCAACATGGGCGGAAAATCCACGTACATCCGACAGATCGGCGTCATCGCGCTGATGGCACAAGCCGGCTGCTTCGTCCCCTGCGACGAAGCCGAACTTACCATCTTCGATTGCATACTCGCGCGCGTGGGAGCCAGCGACTCGCAACTCAAGGGCGTATCCACCTTCATGGCGGAAATGCTGGAAACCGCCACGATCCTCAAGTCCGCTACCTCGGAATCACTGATCATCGTCGACGAGCTGGGGCGTGGAACGAGCACGTACGATGGATTCGGTCTTGCCTGGGCAATTTCGGAACACATCGTCAAGGAAATCCGCTGCTTCGGAATGTTCGCCACACATTTCCACGAGCTCACCGCGCTCAGCGATGAGTACAACACCGTCAAGAACCTCCACGTCGTAGCCCACATCGGCAACCGTAAAGAAGAAGGGCGCGAAGTCACACTACTCTACAAAGTCCAAGAAGGTGTGTTTCCCCACCCCCTCCCCCACCCCAAATTTTATCCGCAACTAAACCCTCCCAAAAATAGGCGTATGTGACCAATCCTTCGGCATCCACGTCGCCGAACTGGTCAAGTTCCCATCCAAAGTAGTAAAAATGGCGAAACGTAAAGCCGACGAGCTCGAGGACTTTACAGCCAAGCACTCGGAAGGCGGACAGTGCACGAAGGAGCAGATCACCGAGGGCTCGGCACTGCTAAAGAAGATGCTGCTGGAGTGGAAGGCTGCGATCACCGCGGCCGGCGAGTTGTCCCCCATCGAGAAGAAGCTCGAGCTGAAGAAACTCGCTATGGGGAAGTACAGGGAGGCGTTCGAGAAGGATCCGTTCTTTCAGAGCGTTAAGGCGCTTGTGTAGACCAGAGGATGGGACAAGAAGAGGAGGAATTTTATGGGATTTACTGGCGGTGCAACCTACCTACGAACTTTGATGTATTTCTAGTATAGTGGACGCGCACCCTTTTTTCGGCGTAGTTGGTTTGGCTTTGGTACGTAACATACTGGCATACTTTTAATGGTAGATCGCTTTGGGAGAGCAATGATACACGGATTGCGGCGCTCTTGTCAAAGTGCCTGGGTACCTACCCTACAACGGAGGTCGGAGTACGAGGAGTCCGAGGAGATGCACGGGAATAGCGAGTGATCAGAAACCGAACAGGCCATCAGCTTCAAAGCACCAGCACCGGACTAAACGTGATGCAGCTTCGCAACCTCCATTCACCCAGCAACCTCCATTCACCCAGCAACCTCCATTCACCCAGCAACCTCCATTCACCCAGCAACCTCCATTCTCTCAGCAGAGAGCAAAGCAGCCGCTCCGTATCAACAAAGTATTGTGGTATGTACCATTGCAAAGTATGTGAGGATATCCATCCCTAGCACTTGAGTCTTGGGATGTCAATATCGACATGCACATCGACATGCACGGCGCTTGTCACAGCCGCAAGCGCGGAAGCTCAAGTAGAAGTAGACGGACCTCCATGAACCGCTGGATGTAGCAGTGCGGGCTTCGTTTGGTTCGCTCTTGTGAGCGATGTGAGGGTGAGCTGACTGAATTGGCAGTGCTAGAGTGTTGGTCTTGCGTCCGGACACCCTATTCCTAGCAGTGTATCGAACGACACAACAAATGTTTCCGCCCCGGCCGGTAGAGACCGATGTTACTATTGGGACCCGGCTATGTTCTGATCGATTAAAGGTGAAGACGGAATGGGTGGTGAATGTTGAAAATTGGGGGAATAGAATGATTATGGTTGTTTTGTATTGTGCACTTGGAATGTCCACGTTCGTCGTGAGGAGTGCGAAAAGAAGATGAAGTTGATGTATCTTCGGGGGATACCGAGATGACTCCAGCTGCCGAAGCTCATCTCACGCTACACGTAACCGAATCCAGTGGAGCTCATCCAAATTATTTTTCCGGTTCATCGTTATTCGCATACGGCCTTACTAGATCTCGAGCTCATCTAAAGAACCATCAAGCGCCTCGTGCTACCCTGCAGCTGAGTGCCGAGCTGTGAGTGATCAAGTCTCGAGGGGTTACCTGCTGACTTTATGCTTTCCGCACGATTATGGTACTAGGTATAGGTACGGTGCCTGTATCGAAGAAGAGGAAGAAGCCGAGTCTCCAACCCGTACGCACAGTGCCATTCACCTACTAGTACTAGATGTTCCAGCGACTGCTCCCAGAAAACACTGCGATCATGAGCCATAGAAATGAGCTTGGTGGCATCTTTCTATTCTGTCTCGGAAGAGCTGCCAGTGACCGGAGCAGAGTATTGAAGTCATCGTACCCTACCTACATGCAACACTACAGAGTACTCATCTGGAGTCAGTAACCGAGTAAGCGGACCTTTACCTCCATGCAGTGATCGAGCAAGGCAAGGTAACCTTCATTCAGCCGCAACAACAAGACGAGAACCACACACGAGAACCACACACGAGAGCTCGTTCAACCCCTCTCCTCCCCCCATTTTCCTCTCGCCTGCTCCACGAACCAAACGACATCACCATCAGCTTGCTGCTACCCACTATCGCTACTGTCGCACCCGCATCCTCGTTTCCCTCCCGCGCGCAGACACCACAACACGCTCCTTAGAAGTAATGTCACTCTAGTTGGTCAACCAACTCGTCGGGCAACTTTCCTCCAAAAACCAAAAAGTGAAGGCGCAGCATAGAATTTGGGTTCTTTTGGTTCTATAGAAAAGAGAGAAAGCAAGCAAGACAAAAAAAGGCTCACGCATTCTGGCTTGGTCGCATCGGCGCTGTGTTCGCTTGTTGGGAGGGAGCAGAGGCAGAGGAAGCCATGGCCGACGTGATGAACCTGGATGGGGATGTATCCTACACCCTTGAGAACGCGCAGCAGTTTTGGGACGGTGCATTTCCCCCACTCCCCCGTCCTCGCCCACTGGCCCCGCGATGTGGAAAGTGAGAACTGACAGCGAGCGACCGGCTAGAACTTGACGACATCGTCGCCGCACCCTGCGAGAACCAAAATGCCATTGACAATGCGCTGAAGGCGTACCTGGGCTTCACCGCGTGGTTCGCCCTACAGTACCTCGTTACCGATCTCGACTGGGCTAGGTGCGCCTACAAGCTCCTCGGTAGCCCGCTGTTCAGACGGCACAAGGGGTATGTCCGCCGTAGGATGTACGGGCGCCTGCGGAAGGAACAGTCTACACCACGGCTACAGCTGGTCGCGACGGTGCTGCTGTGCGACGGCCGTGAGACGCAGAAGGTCTTTGAGCATATGCAGGAAGAAGGACTGTTCGTCCGCCTGGTGGGACTGGTCAGGGAGAGGAAGGAGCAGGATCCTATCATGTGGAGGGTCTGCTTGGATCTGATGTATGAGATGAGTCGAATACAACGGCTCAGAGCGGAAGACTTCGGTGGGTACTGTCATGTTTGAAACGGAGAAGGCGCGTGAGAGGCAGTGTTGACGTGCGGCCGCGGATCCAGACGCTATCGACGACGAATTCGTCAAATACCTCTTCCAACTGGTCGAAGAAGATCCGGAGGATATCGATAACGACCCGTATCATTACCCTATAATCCGCATGCTGGTACGGTTTCCTCCATCGAGTCCCTTGGTCTGACGCTGACTCGACATCGGTAGCTGGTGCTGAACGAACAATATATGCTTTCAGCGCATGCCACGCCGACTCCTACGAAAGGTTCCGAGAACGGCCCAACGAACAAGGTGGTCAAAATCCTATGCTACTACGGACCCGACTACAGAACCTTTGGCGAGAACATAGTACTTTTAATCAATCGCGAGAGTGAGAAACAACCGAGAAGAGGGCGGGAAAGCTATGTATTGCACAGCGCGCTAACATCCAACCAGGCGAAACCTGTCTGCAGCTGTTGATCCTCAAGCTGCTATACCTTCTCTTTACCACCACCGCAACTTATGAATATTTCTACAGCAACGACCTTCGAGTGCTGGTTGACGTTATAATACGAAACCTCCTTGACCTTCCGGACGAAGCGGAATCAGTAAGCCCACCCCTCCCCCACCTACTTTCACTCCACTGACTCCTGGGTGCTTCACAGCTCCGTCACACCTATCTCCGCGTCCTATACCCCCTCTTAAACCACACCCAGCTTCGGCGCGCACCCTACTATAAGCGTGAGGAAATCCTCATGCTACTCGAAGATCTCAGCGCCGCTCGTAGCGCCCACTTCGCACCAGCCGACAGCACGACGGTACGGCTCGTGAGCCGGTGCATGACGGTATCGTGGTTGCGGCCGCGCGACGATGGATCCAAGCCGGAGAACCCCGCGCATAGAGTGTTGGGCATGAGTCTGGGATACAGGGGTGAGAGTTCTGTGAGCGTTGTTGAAGTGGCGGCGCAGTCTGAGAAGCCAGGCATCATGTTACCAAGCCGAACGAGAGACAATGCGACCAACAACTCGAACGCGAATGGAAATGGTGGGGGGTGGGAGATTGCTGGTGAAGCATAGGAGACGCAACAAGAGGTACCCACCGGCTTCTACTACTGTACCCCCCTACCGCTTAACCGTTTGCTCTATTGGCCATTGCTTCTGTTCTTTGCTTTGCGTATTTGACTGTAATTATTGGCATGGAACGACCGGCCTACATCTTTTTCTCTCGCCGTTTCGGTTTCATTCGGGCTTGATTTCTCTTGTGTTTCTGTTTTTTGCTGCGAGGAGTCTGTCTTCTTCTTCTTTCTTGCTTCCGTTTTGTTTTTGATTATATGATTATATGGAATGTTGGTTTTTTCTTCTTTTCTTTCTCGGTCTTACCCGAGTGCTGCTTTGTGACTGTGCAGTGATAATTCCATTGCCAGCACAAAATGTTCTATAGCATTTCGTGGAGTCTCGCTTTGCTTGCTTGCCTATTTTCTCGCACATTTACGAATAAAAGCTGTCAATGAGGATAAACCTTCAGGAAATCAGGTGCCCTCCACCATTGCTCGAGTGACGTTGTATGGAATGCATGTGACAAAATCTTGGCACTGCACCCTGAAAAGAAAGTTGTCGAGTCGCCAGCCAGGCCAGGCCAGGCTGCAGGGAAAACAGTAGTCGTATATACACGGGCCATAGCCACTCCGACGGACAGATCCAGGACCCCCTTAGAACCATTCGCAACAATCGCACCAAAATCCATCTCCACACACACACCACCGTCACCCGTCACCTCAAGTCCCACGTTCGCAATGTCAGATAAGGGAGCCGAAACCGTCAAGATCTCCGTCTCGGCATGGATGAACCGCCTCACCAGCTACCTCCGGCGATTACCGCTGCTCACACGCGCGGTCCTCGTCGCCGTGCCCACCGTGCACTTCCTGTGCGTGTGCGGGGTGCCGCTCGCGGGCCTGTGGAGACTCGATCCTGCTGTTATGGATCTCACACAGAGTACCCCTCCCCCCCTCAGGAAGGAAGGAAGGAAGCGTGAGGCTGACCTGGAGTAGTGCACAGACTCAACACCTACCCGCTCATCCACGTCGGCTGGATCCACGCGCTGCTGAACGTCATCACGGTCACGCCGCTGCTGGAGCGGTTCGAGCGCGAGGTCGGCACGCTCAAGACCACGCTGCTGATCGCGGGCCCGCTGGTCACGTTCCCTGCCGGTCTGTATCTCGGCATTGAGATGTTTGTGTTCCGGGGGAGCGAGGCGGTTATGGGCGCGAGGTACGTTCTTCCCCTCTCCTATGATGGGTTGGGATGGGATGGGAATGTGAGCTGATGGGAGGATAGTGCGCTGGTGTTTACCTTCCTCGCCATCGAGAGCGTCAAGACCAGCGGCTTCCAGCCGAACTATACCGTCGTCGGCTGGGAGATCCCAACCTGGACCACGCCGATCATCTGGATGGTGCTTGCTAGCTTCCTGTGGCCGGGCTCGAACGTACTCGGCCACTTTTGCGGTCTCATCATCGGCTATGCTTGTTTGTCCCCCCTCTCCCCCCGGTGTATGGTCTGAAGTGAGTGATGACTGATGTGATGGTTGGTTGTTTGTTACAGTTGCCTGCCGCTACCTCCGCCTCCTGGAGCCCAGCGAGTGGATCCTCAAGAAAGTCGAGGAGAAGCTCGGATTCCTGCTGTTCCGTCTGCCGTGGTACGTCAACCTCGAGAGGCGCAGCGAATTGAACTATATGGAGATGTTGCCTGCGGTGGGTGGTGGGCCCAGGACCGGTGAGGCGTCGAGCTCTGGCTCGAACGCTGGGTTCAATGCGCCTGGTAGGCCGCTTGGGTCTGCGTAGGCTTATTGAGGGGGAGGGGAAAAGAGGATGAATGCTTTCGAGTAAATAACTTTTTTTTCATGTCGGTTTAAATGGGAATTAGTGGTGGTGGTAGTGGCTGCTCGATAGACGGTAGGGATGGGAGTGCGGTGAACGCATTGGATACTTCTTATGATGATGTATGACTGGCTTGTGGGTTACCTTGGTTTTGTTTTGCGCGGTGGGAATGGAGATGTATCAAATAATAATAATGTATCTAATGCGGAGGAATGATGTTCCTGGGGGGTATCCTATCTAATGCAATCGCTCAAACACACGGCCTCACCACACACCCCACCCCACTCATCGCCCCCTCCCCCTGCCCCTCGGTGGAGGATTCTGGAACTCTGCTAATAGATCGCCCATGTTCTTCAACCGCTTCTGCCGCATCACCGGTTTCTGCACGGGTTTCTTCTCCGCCGTACTCGGCGCCTTCCGCTTCCTCTCCCCGGCCGGCTCCTCGACCCTTACGAACCTCATCTCCTGATACGACATATTCTTCTTCCCGGGCTTCTTATAACCGCCCATCCGCACCTTCACCACCGGAGTTATCTCGCCGTCACGCTCCCTCTCCTTTTCCCGCTTCCTCCCCTCCTCCCACTCCTCCACACCGACCTGCACCCACCTCCCGCCGGTATTCGCCACGCTCCAATGACACGCCGTAAGGTCCAGCCACCTCAAGCTCGGTATCCACGCCGCATACGCGAGTACATTCTCGGTAACTCCCACAAATCCCCTTAGACTCATCACCTGCAGCCGATCAAACCGCCGATCATGCACGGCGGCGCGGCCCCACGCGCGCACCACTCCGTCGTCCACGCCCACCGCGCCGGTAATGTGCAGTGCCTTCAGGTTTTGCAGCGCGGGGAGCACGCTGACGTCTAGTCCGCCGTCGCCGCCGTCGTCGCTGGGGATCTGCAGCCGCAGCCGCAGCTTCACCAGCCAGCTGTGACTCGGCGAGACGAGCGCGTTGATTAGCGGCTGCAGCCGCTCGCTGGCCGGAAGCGTATACGTGCGCGTCTGCAGCGCGGGCAGCGGACCATACGCCGTCGCGAATAACTGCCAGAGGATTAGGGAGTCCTGGCGGCTGGTTCGCACGATCAGCCCTGCCTCCGCCTTCCTCATCATCGAGGGGGTGTATGGTACGTAGCGATAACATCCTCCCAAACGCACCTCCCGAGCGGCTCCCAGGGCGTAGCCATCAGCGCGTCAAGTCCAAGGTGCTGCAGGTTCTGGTTTATCACGCGGCGCGCCAGGAAGCGCAGCGAGTGTGCGCCCTCACCGTCCGCGCGCTCGTCGGCGAGCGTGCGCCATGCCACGGCGCGCGGCGTTCGCCCCGCTGCTGAGATGGTGCCCCAGAAGTCGGAGCTAACTGCGCGGTGCACGGATTCTTTGTACGTCAGCCCGTCTTCGCCCGTGCGCGCGCCGGTCAGGAAGCGGCTGTAGGTGCTGGTTACGGGGTCGCGGGACATTGCGTGGGCAGGCGGGCGGGCGACGGGTGTGGTATTTTTTGGTTTTTTTTTACGTGCGGTGAGGTGGGGTGCGACGGGTCGCGTGATACTTGTGTACTTTAATATGTAGATGAAAACGACGCGTTAATGTCTTGCATGTGGTCACTGGGCACTGGGTGTGCTGCGCGCGCGTGCATTATGGCTTGGCACTTTGGTTTGAGAGAGAGAGCGGGGGACATGGGTATGCCAGGTATGGATGAGATGGATGGGGGCAAACTTGATGTGTAAAAACTCAATGCGTCCATAGACGATCGTCGACGAAACGTCCTCGGCTTGAAGATCTCCGATTGTTCCCTATAAATCATGCGTACAGTACATCCCTTCAATTCCCTGACATGCTTGATAACCATGGCTGACAGCTCAAATTCGCTTGCCGATGTTGCCGCCAAGATAGCACAACGCTGCGATATGAATGTATGTAGCTGTCGGGTCTCGACCCTGCGCCGGGGAATGCGAAGATCGAGCGAGCGTGGCAAACAACTATTCCGATTGGCTCGGATATCCCTCGAGCGCTCAGCACTGCTTCCATGCTTCCACCGTCTCGAGATCACCATCACTGCCACTGCCACTTCAACCATGCATTTGCGGATTGCCATTGCCACCCACGACACCGTATCTATCGTGTTGATCACGGAGCGAGCCAGGAGAGTTTGAGTATGCAAGATACTTGATTTCACGTACGCCGTAACGAAAAAAAAAACATTCAGAAACACGGTGAGAAATAAAAACCTCTAAGAATAACAATGATAATGAACCAGAGAGAACAATCTCAGGAATGCCGCTGCGCAAACGCCATCCAAACACAAAACGATGAAGAAAAGAAAAAAAAACATGAGCTGAAATAGAGCGTAACACCAACCTACAAAGCTGGTGAACCCAAGCAAACCCCTCCCCACCACCAAAAAAAATGAAGGTGATGGTATGAAGTGATGAAAACGAATAAAAGAGGTGATCTGAAGATGCAACCCAGCCGCATTCCCTACTGATCAAAGAGAAAGAAAAAAAGAAAAAACAACAAAAGGACCAATGGAACTCATTCGTGCCATTAATCCGAAGAAAGAAAAAACCGCCAACACCCGCCAAACAGAAAAAAAAGAAAAACACCTCCCTTTCACAACACTCATGACTCGTCGCTCTCAGTGCTGCTCTGCAAATTGATGTTCGTCATGCGAACAGACTTGCGAGCCTGGTGGTTGCTCGTGGAGCTGATGACGCTCCCGCGCGATCTCTTCAGATTCGGCCTGTCGACATCCGCATCGTCCCCGAGGAACTGGACATCGATGTCTGCGCTGTCGCTGGACTGTTCGCTGTCCATAGACAGGGGGTCGTCGTAAGTCGGGTCATTGTAATTCTGGCCATCGGCAATGTGATCCGAAAAGACGCTGGATTCCCTCCTGCTCCCCCCATCACCTGCGGTGGCGGCGGAACTGGGCGATCGCTGGAACCCGGTGGCGGCTTCGTTTTCTTCACCGGACGATGTTCGATACGCATCGAGTGATTGGTGGAAGAAATAACCTTCGGAGCCAGAAGACCGCGGCGCATCGTCCGAGTCGGTTTCTCCGTTCGATGACGAATCTTCGCTGGGAGACGCAAACATGTAGGATGCTGGGGGAAGCGACGACGGAGGCAGCCTCAGAGTGTTGGCGGACAGCAATTCGTGTCTGACTGGCCGTCTGTGTCGGCTGGAAGGCGCTCCACTGGTCTCCGACGAGGAAGACGAAGAACCGGCAGAAGAATCGGTCGCATTTCCTTTGTCGTGGAAGGCATCGATAGAGGCCTTGGGGATGCGATGCAGGATTCGCTTGTGCAGCTTGGACTTCAGAGCCCTCGACCTCGACACGGGCAAACGACCGTGGTTATCGGGGAGGAGATAATGTCTCGTCTGGCAATTAATCGCGAAATTGTCGGCTGGGAGAACCCCGCCAACTCCCGAAGCTTCGAACTCGATCGGCACGGCAGGGTTCATCGTCGGGGATGTGGCGGTGAATTGCGGCGAAAATTCGATGTCACTCAAATCATCGGGATCGGCGTCCATCTTCGACGTGTACAATTGGGGCTCGGCGAATGCCGTTCCCAGCCGGAACAATGGGCTATCGTCCCTGGTGCTGGGCGACGGCGGACAGCGCGTTGCCGAACCGAGGGGTCGGCTCGTGGCTCGCTCGTACGTCATGTCCATCTCACCCTCCTCCTCGCGCAGCGGCTGGGAAGTCAGGTCGGTGCAAAATCCTCCTCCTTTGTAGAAGATGATCGGCCCCGAATCCCGCTTGCTGCTGGAATTGCGCGATTCGCCAGAGTTGCTTCGTCTCGGCGCTTCGGGATCGGTGTCGCTGCTCGTCGCGAGACTGGAGGATTCTTCGTCGAAGGATTGGGATCGCGCAAACATCGGCTTGTAGTGGAATCGGTGGTCGGTGCCGTTCTTTTCAACCGGCTGTAGCTCGGGTTCGTTGATACCGGGACCGGATCCAGACCCAGACGACTCAAACCCCCGTCGACAACCATCATCACTGCTGCCCTCACCTCTACCTGACGACATGCTAAATTCGGGCGGAGACATCTCGCCGTTCCCTCTCCACCGAACCATCTTACCGTCGGGAGACAGTTCCAGATTGTCGCTGGCAGCGGCGATAGCCTTCTTAATGAAAGGCGGCGTGACATTGATGGTGTGGAGCTGAGCCATGTTGATCATCAAGTTCAAATATACCCAGCCCCCACCCGTGCCCACACCTTTGGTGCCAGACCCGGTCAGGTGGGTAAGATACTCAATGTTGTCGACCGCGACTTGCTCCCTCTGGGGGTCCAGGTCGATGGGCCTGGTCGGTCTCTGCTCGGGCTCATCGGCGGTTAGAAGGGACTCCTTGGAATCCGAATCGATGAACGGATTGCGCGGCGGTGACATTAGTGATGCACCACGGGCGCCCTCCTCTTCAAGGAATCCACCGCCCATCAGTGTTGCTTCGTTGTCCTCGGCTTTGGCCAGGTCCGAAACGTTCTGCTGCAGTCCCACCCGTCCATCATCTGCTCCAGCAACACCGCCAGTAAATAATTGTTCCAGCCTGCGCACTACAAGTTTCATCTTGGTAGTTTCCGAGTTGGAATGTGCACTGGAGTGCGAACTTGGCCAAGGCTTCCCGCTATCATCACGGCGCGAATCCCGGCCCTGTCCGCTCGACGGCACAGAAGAGTCGTTTCCGGACCGAGAGACTGATGCATATCCAGAGTCGATAGCGCTGGACCTGTTACCTGAAGGGAACCCGTTCCTGGAACTGGGTTCCTGGGCGGCTCTCTCGTTTTCGATGTTCGCGGTAAATGACTGCAGGATTCTTTCAAGCTCTGCTTTCTTTTCCCTAGATGCGAGTAGCGTGGTCAGTAACGTTATATAATGTATGCACAGCACTATAAGTGGAAAGCTTACTCCGGCAAGTCATGTACTCGTAGCTCAAAGAGCCTCTCTGCATGTGTAGCATGTTGTCCATGGAGGCCTTCTAGGCGTCGCAACCGGCGTTTAAGCCTTTGATCTAGTTGTCACGCCCACGATCAGCAACATTGAACGGTTGGATATGCAGAGGGAGGGAGGTCGGAAGAGTTCGAAGTTTCGGACGTATAGCGCTCCGAGAACCAAGGGGGGCAATACTCTTGATGGTCAAGTCATCAATCACACTGCGAAAGCTGTCGCTATTGCTTTCTTCGGTGCTCTCGAGAACTTGTACTGGACCTCCACGGTAACTATTCGGGATGCTGCTCCGCTCCGGGAATCCTCCACTGTGAACCCTCGGTGGCCAAGCACTCCGGGCTCCTTGTTGGTGTTTCTTGCGGTGCTGACTCGGCAAATAGTAGGGAGAATCATCTAGATCTTGTAAGATTTTGTGTGCTGGACAAAAAATCATACCAGACGATTGCTGAAAAGAAGACATCACGTACTGTCATAGTTGGGATAACTCTGGTTGCCTCGGACGTCACGGTTGAAGGCGTTGAACCAGTCCTCAGCGGTACTCTTTCGCGTCAGTTTGGACTGACCGCTGCCACCAGAACCATTTGCTGCTAGCATGCCCTCAGCTCCAGAGGAATCTCCACTTCCAGCGGACGAATCCAGCTGCATCTGTTGCGCGCCACCTCTGCCAGATGGTTGTTCGAGGTACTGGCCGGGGCCGTCGTTGGAGGAGGAGCTAGATTCAAGGCCCATCCCGCTGTCTGGGTGGCTAGGGGCCTGATCGACGTTCGGGTTTTGGGAATCTTGGTTTCTGTGGGTGAGGTGCGGCGGCTCCCTTATGTCCTTGGGAGCAGCATGTTGCGGCTGGGAGTGTTTGGATTGAAATAGGGGAGCCGACTGCTCCGGCGGCTTGCGTCGATGATTGCCGGTCTGGAAGCGGGGAATATGCTGGCCGGAGACCTGGGGAGGGGGCTGCGGGGCAGACATTATGGGTAGAGTGCGATTGACTGTGATGGTGGTGGTGTTATGGAGAGGAGCCGACCCGTTAGACTGTGCAAGGCGGCTGGTCATGACCAACTCGAGTTGACGGAGTTGGAGCGTGGCTGGTGTTCAGCCCGCGGAGTGGAGGACTTCAGCTTATTCGTGTCGGCAAGCAGGGCGAGCGCGGCTGGTGCTGAATGGCAAGACTTTTTCCGACTTCAGCGAGAGGCTTTGCGGTCGGGGAGGGGGGTGGTGGTAATGGTGGTGGAGGTGGTGGTGGGTGTTACGACGGGTACCAGGTAAAGAGGGGGACGGTCGAGGATCGTGTGGGTAGCGTGCAGTGTATGCTTATCGAAGTTGAGCGGGAGGAGGCGTGAAGAATAGTGATAGCAAGGACTGTCTCCAAGTTTCGACGAATGCCAGGCACCATATAGGTAAAGCTCAGACGTGCGGGCTGCAGGTCGACAGACGGGTGGGGATGTCGAGATCGGTCAGAAGCAGGGAGGTCTGGACCTGGGGAGTCCGAGGTCCTGACCGGTGAGGTGGCGACACTACCGGAAACTGGCCGCCCATTACTTGTTTCAGCGCTTGAGTACTGTTTGCCCCAAGAAGGGAAAGCCGCTGTTAATTGGGACGCAGCAGAGTGCATGGACTCTTAGTGCGGATGGGAGTAGTCGGGGGAAGGGGTGGGAAGTTCAAAGATGGGGTGTGGTATGTACTCTTTTTTTTTTTTTTGCGGCTGGCCATGGTGGGAGGGAAGGAGTGGGCCGGGTGGCTCAGCAGGCAGCCCGGGGCATCCCAAGGGCACTGGAGGGCAGGCTCGGGCGTGGAGATAGGCTGGGGGTGGACTTCTGGCGGTGGCTTCATGTTCCTGCTCCCGCTTTCCGATGGCTGAGATCGCGTCGATATTGGGGGACGCCAAGCTGGGATGGGGATCGGGGAGGGTGTCGTCAAGCGCCAGGCAGGCTCTGGGTGTCGCCTGTCGGTTGGCAGGAGTGGCCCCTAACCAAGCCTTGCTGCGTGACTAATAAGCAGAGTCGATCAAGTCGCCGTGTTGCCTGGCCTGTGTGGGGCCCGAAGAGGAGAGAAGTACGTACTAAAAACCGGCTGATGGTGGCGCTGCAGCCACAGTCCAGAGACAGCCAGAACGGCCAACCCTAACCACTAAACCACCGTATGAAAGAGAGAGAGGCGATGAATTGAAGGGAGATTCACATGACGATAATTGCGTTTTTGAAAAAAGAAAAAAAGAAAATAGAGAGAAAAAACAGCTTCTACATACCTCAAGGGGTGGAACAGGCGGTCGGGCGGACAGGGCGACCGTCAGCCACGGGCCTTTTCGACAAGGACTACTAGTAAAACCGCATCGAAAGCATCGCCAAACAGAGATCGCAACCGGCCATTGCTACCGGCCGTCACTGCCACGGCTGACTCGGGAAACCACCAGCTAGTGCTATCCACCGGAAAACACATCGGGGAATAGAACGGCGAAAGAGAAAGGGGAAAAAATGCCTCCAAGATAGCTGTCGCACATATCGGCCGGCTTGCTCGAGATCTCGAATACGGCTGCGCTGCATCGCCATAGAAAGCGTTGTCGAGAACATCTTTGCCTCAACCATAGTAGTTGAGTGCGCGTAGAGTAGAGTACGCACCGACCAACAAGTAGAGTGGGTATCTCTCCCCGGCACGCAAACAACATTCGAATTCCTGTTCTTTCCATCGTCCGAAGCCAAACATTAATGATATGGTAATGCATTGGGATAGTCGAGACTCAAGGCCAGCACGCTCGGATGGACCGGGCTGAACCCTTAACATCCGAGCCAGTCAGGTCACAGCCATTTGGATGGAGCAGCCGGGCCAAACGGTGGCTTGGGACGAAGACCCCGAAGACACATGATTTGTCGTCGTACGAAAGCCACATCGAGGGAACGGAGGGCTGGATCGTTGAAAGAGGACAGGCTCGATGATTGGGTCCAGGGTCTCGGCCGCCGACGCTGCCGACGCCGCTGCCGCAACCAACAGAGCACCAATGTTCCCGCCTCTTTCTAGAACCGCTTCTCCACAGGCTGCGAGAAAAGACAGTCATCATCGTCATAATTCCGTCCGATTCGGGAACATCAAGCGGTCTGTATGTAGAGTAAAGTACCGTACACTACGCTGTCCAGCAGCAGCAGCAGCAGCAGCAGCGCGAAGTACCTGGAAAGTGAATGCTTGGCAGCCGCCCGACCACCCGTCACTGAACGGCATACGGTATACGGCATACGTCGTCACACTAGATGGCCGAGCCCGTCGATATCCTTGAGGCAATCGAGAGGGCGATTAAGCAGGGCAACCAGCGAAAACCGGTTGTTTCCGTCAACAGACTCGGCTGGTAAACGAAAGCAAGGATGACTAGTAGAGCAGTCAACCACCACCGGCACCTCCACCACCACCATTACCACCCACGTAGGTACCTAGAGTACTCTATGCTCTGCACCGCACCAGTGCGGCCAGCATCAGGGAGAGTTCCGCCACCAACCTCATTCTTTTTCCGCCCGCCGTCAGCGATGGAGCGTGACGAGGAAGGGTTCTGACACTTCCGAGAGGGGGGAGGGAGGGGAATGACACGCAAGCCCCGATCACGCCGACGTACAGAGATGGGGAGGGCCGGGTCCTGACCCTCCATCGACGATTCTCGCAGACGTGGTCCGACTAGAACTAACCAACTTCCCGGAGTGGGCCTTGGGGCTGCGGTGAGCAAGCAGCGGAGCGCGGAAAAGTATCCTGGACGGCCTATGCCAGTCCGTCGCAAGCAACACAAGGTCCCGTGTCAGCGTCCCGGCTGTGATCAAGTATCTCTGCGGCCATCGACACCCCACGTCTGTGCCATCCTTGTCCGCGACGCAAATTTAGACGTCCCTGAGGATCGGACGCGATCCAGATTCCTCGATGCACACACAATCCTCCGATCGCGAACGACCGTGAGGGTTTTCGCGCATGATAGGATGGTGACACCAGGACTTGGAGCGATATCGAGCCTGTGCGAGCGTGAGTTAAGGTATGGACGGGGGGAGACGACGCAGTAGGGTGCTCGGGGGGGCAGAGTGCTCGGCGCAGAGTACCACCGCCCGCCGTCGCCGCGTGAGGAGTTGGCTGTGTGCGTGGGTACGTGGGTGCCTGGGAGCCTGGGGGTGTGTGAGCGTGCGGACTCTGGAGAGGGCTTTGGTTTGGTTTGGTTCGGCTTGGGTTGGGGTTGCTTTGGTTTGGTTTGGTTCGGTTTGGCGACGAGACGACGACGACGGCGATGACACCCACGAGGCGTGCGACAATGGGTCGGGAGGGGTTAGGGGAAAAGTGGAGTCATCAACCACCAGGCAAGCACACCGCCACCTGGAGTTCCGCTTAGAGTAGAGTGTGTTTGCCGGTTTGGTACACCTCATGTACCAGGAGAGTAATTATGTCTGCCACGAGTAGATATCAAACTTGCATAGCAGCCGTAGATTATTGCTCACACTCGCACTCGCGCACCGTTCCAACCACCGCGGGCGATATGGAATATCTCGGTACATATTCCACCACCGCTTATTCAGCTGAAACCCGAATCCATCCAAAGTGCCCCCCAACCGGTGGATAGTGTAGACTATGTAGATACGTCGATATGGATATATCTTCGCATCGGTACTTGTCGCGGCCAGCGACGTCTGCAAACAGGAAACCGCCTCTCCCCCTTTCCCCCCTCTTCCCCTCCCTCCATAGCACACTGCCGTCTGTTCGTCTTCCATTGGACCCGACCCCGCCAAAACACATCACCAAACTTCGCACGCTCTTGACTGCTTGAGGCTTCCCGCGATAGGTGGGGCAAAGTAGGTACTGGTCCATACGTCTGCGCCCACATGCACACGTCCTCTCCCTCACATCCCCGAGGATCCGAAGACAGCCGTGTGGGTGGTCCGCAAATGATGGATGTGTCGGCAGCGTCCTATACCACCCTTCCAACGAGGCAAACCGCGAGCATCTAGCCTCACATCCGGCGCCAGCGAAGCCATCGAACTCCAGCCCTAAATGACCATACTAGACGAGTGATTTAGAGGAGGGAGGGGTATCCTACGCACATCATACCTACTCCCGTAGCCGGCCTATCTGCCTGCCCCGATCCCTCGGGGCAGCTGAATATGCGATGCAACCTCCTCAGCCCCCCACGCTCCAATCCCCCCACTCCCATTCCCCAACCTGAACCCTTCCCACCCTCCCGGCTCCCTTGCCTCGTCTCCTTTCCGGGGATCCGGATCCGGGCTGCATTCGATATCCGCGCTCGCGCCCGTCCGTCAACCCACGTGCGTCGATGCGCCTGATGATGAATCATCTATGTATCGATTTATCGATAACACCCGGGTATCTTGCCTATGCTGCCTGCTACATACATAACGCAGGGCTCAGACATGCCGTCCGTGCTGATTGTTCAAGGGGGTAGGGGAGGACTATGTATCATTTCATCACCCCCCCCCCCATCCATCCATGGTTCCTGAGGATTGAACTGCGGCTACGTTACGGCTTCGGCTGCGGGCATTGGTGGCAGCCGCGTCTGCCAGATCTATCGGGCGGCTAGCTGCCGATTGACAGGCGGAGAGCGGTGAGGCTCGAAGCGGGTTGCCGTGAGAGGTGTGCGGAGCCGAACATTGCTTTAGAGTAGAGTACCGTCGAGGCCACATTTCAACCTCCATTCGTACGTACGCACGCGCTCAGCGCTGTCTTCACGTCCCGATGCTAAGCACTCAATCGCGAATTACGGTATATACCAGAGCTACCACAGTTACTCTAGTATCATTAACCGCAAACAGCTGCATCAACCACCATCCACTTCCCGCCTCAGCCTCAAGTGGCTGACTAGAACAAATCACCATTCCATCGGATTCGATTCACCACCCATCGTCAATCGCACTGTAATACCACTCGCCAAGCTAACTAATACACATCACATCCGTACGCCCACTACTCTTACTCTATCCCACACATCCATACACACGATAACAACAACGACGACGTCTTCCCACCTCCACCTCCACTCTCGCCCGCGTCCGCGTCCTTCCTAGAGTGAAGGAAAAAAGTCAACACTGCTTCTGCGCCCAATTCCGATACATCTCCAGACGCCTCGGGTACCCAGTCATTGCAGGTCACACCCCCACCCAACCCCAACGCGGTAAGTAAGAAGGTACATAGCATCAACGTGGTGGACACACAGCCAGCGCAGGCGCCTGCCTCAGTAGTAGTTACGCCCACCCAGGCAGCCGGTGCTGCTCCCCTAGCTAGCTAGAGCCCATACCGCAGTGCTTCCACAGACCAGCCCAAACCCCAAACCCACCCATAACGTCAACTCACAGCTCACACACCAAAACCCATTCACCCCACCCACTAGCACACCACACCACATCAGATCACATCACATCACGAGCACTATAAGATCCTGTTCGCTCACATCACCGTACGTCTTGCCCAGTGCCCAGTGTCCAGCGGCGCCCGCCCGCACACAAGCAAGCAAGCAAGTAAACCAACCAGCACAATCCGCTTCTCGTCCCCGTCCACCACCACCTCGTCCTCGCCATACCTCACACACACACAGCTAATATTATCTCCCGGCCAAAACCTCCCGTCTCCGCGTCCCTCACCCCCTCACCATGCACATCTCTGGTTTCCTCGCACATCTCACATCCTTCTTATCCGTCCGCAGAAGTGAGCTCGCGCGGGGGAAAAAACATCTGTATGTATGATTTGTATGTAACTATGACCAATTCCCGGCCACAACCACCACCCACTACCACCTCAACCACTACCACGGCCACCACGGCCACCAGTCACACGCGGCGCAATAATCGAAAAAGCAATGCAACGAAAGGAATGGCAGTTCCATCCCCCCCTTCCCCTTCGCTCGCTCGGGGGAGGAAAATTCCCCCCTCCTCCTCCTCCCAGGAAATCCCATAATTCCCCGCACGGACGTGTATGCGTGCGTGGGCGTGAGTGTGTATGTGTGGATGTGTGTGTGTGGGAGCGAAGGGAAAACATTTCAGATCTCAAGTGTACCAGTACAGTACCATGGGTGCTACATATGATACCTGCCTACATACTGGTGATATCTCATGTTTTGCAGATCCTCGCTCGAATGAAAAGCTTCCATCTCGATTCACCCTTTTACCTTACCATCTGATATCTGATACTTGATGCACACAGAATACAACACAACGCAACGCACACCATAGTTACCCATAGTTACCATGCCATGCCATACCCATAGAGCGTACGCGGCACAGGATCGCGGGGAGGAGGCGAGGAGCAGCAGGAGCAGGATCAGGAGCAACAATGCAAAAGAATATCAATTGAACAAAAACAATAACAAAACAAATCCCATAATAAATAAAGCAACGCAGAATAATGGTACGCCCGGTCTATATCCCCCGTCTATGTGGAGTAACGCAAAAAACGACTATAACAATGAAAAGTACCCCCCGCCGCCCCCAATCCTATGAGAAGTAACGTGAATGGAAAAAAAGAATCGGACAAGATGGCCCCGAACCAAACTAAAGACGATGAATGAATGAATAGCGCAAGAAGGCGGCACTAGGGCCACCCAGGAGAACAGATATCGCCCCAAGAAAGGAAAGAAAAGAAAAGAAAGACAGGAACAATAATAGATTTCCGGAGGAAAAAAAAAGGACAGGCAACCGTTGGGGAGTATGAACTGAAACGCAATCCGGCAGCTAGCCGTATGGTACCCAAGCATATAGCTCTCCCAAACATGCAAGGCAGTTTGCATGGAACACACACACACAGACACCCACACACGGGATAAGCTCTCCAATCGTCGCATGAATAGAAAGCACGCAGTCGTGATAAAGGTAAAGGGAAAAAACTCTAATTAGGATGTTGAAACAAAAGGGAAAGCGCACACACATACAGGCTATCTCCGCTCCTCCGCTGTCCCCGATCCCACAGCATCGGAGGGAAATGTAAAAATAAGAACGATCCACTCGTCCAACCGATGTGCGTGGGTGTCGATTAACGCTCGGGGATCCACTATCGAGTTGCTGTTATCATATTCCCATGGATCGTGGCACCTGCTCTCCTGCTCAAACAATTGACGCGGCGGAGGAGGGAGGCAGATATCGCGCTTTCCAGCGAAGGGTTTTACGGTTGCATCGCTGGCGGCAGTAGCGGGGACAGTCGCTGCTGCTGCTGGTGCTGCTGCTGGGGCCGGGAGAGGTGTGGGCGTCCGAGTAATATTGACGGGGGTTGGCGACTGCATGTTGTGCTGGGTATCATTGGGTCTTGCAAGGGGGGGGTGGTGGTTGTATTAGTCTGTGACGCGGACATGAGCGGTGACGTTCTCTGATGTTGCTGCTGCGGGCGCTGTTTCTGCTTATCTTGGTCCCCCGCACCACCGGCAGAAGTGGAACTGACACTACCTGCTCGACAGCGACCATCCGAGGAGGCAGCTGGCCCAATCGAGAGTGGTGCCATCTCCGCTGCAATCTCCCGAGGGGCCGACCCATAGCCGTATATCTTCGAAAGTCCCGCCAGCAAACGGACAAAAGCGGAGTGTATATTAACAAAGAAGTGGTCGTTGCCAATCAAATCTGCTAAACTCCTAGCGCTGGATCCGTCGCCAGGCGCACGTCTCCGCAGGAAGCTCTCTGGCCCACGGGATCCCACGGACGGCAGTGACGTACCAGCTGAAGACGTGGACGTGCCGTGGGCGTCTCTGGCCGCCTTCTCCACTGCAGCAAGCTGTATCTCGTGGACTAGGCTCTGGAAGACCGATGAAATGACGTTCCAAGACTGCATGAGTGACTTTTGATTCATCGACATGCACAGCAAAGCGTACGTCCGTCGACCACCCCGTGATTTGCTATCTGACAGTTTGAAGACGACAGCGATGGTGTAACCCGTTTGCTGGTCGCCAAACAGTATGGGGCCGGTCTGGGCAGGGACCAGTTCGCAGGAGAGGGACCGGATGCATGCCTGGCGGACTTGCGAATATCGTGAAGCCTGCGCCGGCGATCGACTCGAGAGGTATGTAACCGTGTGCGTGTGCGTGGTGAGGGACTGAGTCGCCGAGCTGAACTGTGCCTGGACCTGAGGTGAAGACTGCGGTTGACTTCTGCCAGACCTTTCACCATCCCCTTTTGCCGCGACCGGACCGCCGCCGCTAATGACCACCGTCTCGGTTGTTCTCAATGGTCTTCCCGGGGGAGATATTCCCCTTCCAGTTGAACTTTCTCTATTTCCCTCGTCCTCGAACTTCTTTGGGAGGGTCATAGTACAGTTCCTACACAACTCTGGGGTGCTGCCACCAGCAAAGGCGGTGGACGCGGGGACCATCACAGGACTTCTGGGAGAGGCTGGCGGTGTCTCTGACGGCGAGGGAAGTCGCGAAAATGCCGCAGCATTGCTGCCCAAGTGACTTATATGCGCCGTGGCAGCGGCGGCGGCAGCGGCCGTTGTCGTCGCAGCAGGCCTCGGGGTTGGGCTGTTGACGGGAGTATTCGCGGTGGTATTGGGCCTGGCATTGCCATGGGAGGATTGTGGCGGCGTAGGACCGCCCGTCAACTGCGGTGTGCTGGGCGATCGAGTGATATTGCTTCGTGGCGGGTTACACTCGCCGCACGCAGGCGGGATGATCTGGGTACAGAGTATAGACGTCGGACCGTGAAGTTCACACCAGTGGGCAAGGCCAATCTGCATATGCAAGCGAAACGGAGCAGTTGGTTAGCGCTGCTGCTCTCTCTCTCCACACACGTACGATGCCGTGGGTATGTAGTAGATACATATCTACGGTGAAGAAGGCAGTTTGGTGCTCACGATAAAATCCATGTTGCAATCCCGACAATCACCAGGTACGGTTGCTTGGTAGGCACGTAGTGCTGCTATGCAGCCTTGCTTACAGAGCAGAGCAAGCGGGCAAACCAGCCCAAATCGGATTCCGCAATGTCGCTCCCTTCCTGGGATGGGGTCGGGGGTACTGGAACTTGCGTACGAGAGTATATCGTTTAAACCGGTTTATCGTTTTGACTTTTTTTTTTCCTTTCGGATGATGCGTATGGTTCCGGGTGCGTCTGAATGAAAGGGGGCGGCGAGTGTGACGGGCGGAAGCGACGAGCGATCGCGGGAGAGGCGGGGGGGCAAGAAGGATCGAGCAAGAATTAGGTGTCAGAAACTGTTTGTTTGATCGAGTTCGAGTTTATGCGACGACGCCGACGCCGCGAGTTGGAGGTGGTGGGTTCTAGGTGCAAACTGACCGCGCAGACTTGCTCGAGGGAGGGAGAGGGGGGAGGCGTGGACCGATGGCGGAGGGACCGTCCTGTTCCGCAAAATGCAATTGCGATAGGTAGGTGGGTAGGGGAAAGTATTTTGCCAACGTACAATCAATCACTCAATTTGCCATGCAATAATCAAGTCAATGCATATCAACCGCGGCTTAGAATACTTTCCGTGCCAGCAAACACATCATGAGTGGGGAGGAGGAGGTGGAGAGGTGGTGGGAGGTGGAGAGGTGAGACGGGCAGGAGAGGTGGTGTAGAGTCGGCTTGGTGATGGTGGGTATCGGTAGCGGTGGTGGTGCTGCTGGTGGTGGTGGTGCTGGTGTTTGTGCGTGCTGGTGTCGGCGGCGGCGGTGGTTTCGAGAGAAGGGCAGTCCGTCGTGCTGTGTTCCATTACCGCCAGCATGATGGACAGCATCATCATCGCTGTGCGACCACTGCTATAGTGAAAGCTGCCGATGATATCCATCGCGATTCCCGAATCCTTCCTTTCTTCCCCTCGTTCTTCCTTCCTTCTCGCCCCATTCTTTCGCCGCCACTATAGTACTGGGTATAGGTACTATAGGTAATCCGGGGCCTGAAGCTGTAGAGAACCTCAATTCCGAAAGCACATGTCGACACGACACTCCTCCCTTTGCTTCCCCTTCCCCGCCCGAGATCCCAATCAATACGAACGCGCAATGAAATCAGTCAATCAATCTACTCTACGGTACTCTATATGAAGTCAGGTTTCTGTTGTCGTGGTGTCTCATCTTCGGCCTAAGTGCCGACCGGGGCAGCACAGTTGGAAACATGACGCACCAATCATGTTTCGATGCCAAATCTAGACCCTGAAGAAGGCGAGTCCAGGCGACCACGCGACACTGAACCCCGGCGCCAATGATAAGCGTCGGGCGGGTTAGGGTTCTAATTGGGGCGGCATTCACGTGAGGGAGGGGCCGCGTGAGATATCACTCGGAAGGGAAGGCAGAAGTTCATAGTAGCGCGATCTTTTCTACTGCGACATCTGTTCGAGTATCGCTCCGCATCGCGCAACTGGTGAATCGTGTTAGAGCCGGGTGACGGGAAAGCCACGACTGAGGGTGGGTGCATACGAAGCATACTTTGCATGGGAAATGATTCGTTTACATCTCATTACTCGGGAAGTAAACCGTATCGGCTGTGTACATACATTAGATGTATGTACCTGTTCTAACACCCGCAATCGCAAGAGCGTATGTTTGGTGATTTCCATACTTAACGGCCTTCCCCTTCCAGATACCAATCTTTGCGCAATCCTACATATAACTGCCGGAAAGTTTAAATACGGTTCATCGCAAAGTGGGCCTTCCTGTAGAGCTTCCACTGGGATTAGCGGAACAGCTCATGACAGCAGTCGATCCGATTGAGGTGCTCCGGGTATCTGGCCATTGATATCCTAATAATAAGGCGGCTCCTCTTCGCTGACTGGCCTTACACGAACCACACAGAATCGTCCTTCCGAAGACGACCACTATCCAAAGTCTATTGATGGGCAGGCATCCGTCCACGAAGAGCTCAGATGCCATCTTACATTCCAGATCGAGATCAGGACCGAGCCAAAAGGAACCCGTAGAAGCCGGACATTAGAATATTCCAATTCGGCCTCGCCGGTAAGTTTCCCTTGGCCGCGTCAGCGACGTGTTCACCGGACACGCCGACGAATCGTCATGGCCATTGAGGATGGAGCTCATGCATCGAAATATGGTGTCGTGTAAGCCGTGATTTGCATGCCGAAGAACCAATGACACGTCTAGACAACAGTTCGACGCTCTTCCTAGCATTGATGAGGGGGGCACCTGTGATCCGCGCGGAAGCGGCAATGGCGTCTAGGGATCCGTGCAAAACGCTGCCAAGAGGCCGAGAAAACGATGGAAGATCTCTGCATGCCCGAAGTGCGTCCACATTGAACTCTACCAGCTCAAGCTCCTTTATACCCACCGCGATCGGAGAATTGCCGTTTAGTTTCAAGTGAAGTCCGTACTCTACTTGTTCCCAGGTCCTAAGCACCCCTCCTACATACCATAACTGTGCGTACCCTTTCCGTCCATTGCTTCAATTCACTCATGCTCGCCGTGGCTTCGAGAATCCCCCCCACACCCCCACACCCCCCACCCAGTCAAAAACTTCAATGCCGCCTTGACCTCGAGACTCCTTGTTATAGAGGCGCTGCTATTGCTATCGTCGTTGTCTTCCCCTTCGATACAATCGAGAAACGCGGATGCGAAAAAAAATAAATGTGTTAAGAGAAGAAAAAAAAAGACAGGTCATTTGGAGTTGTACAGATAGAAAATTCCTAGTCATAACAGCGGTAGCAAGCAAGCATAGCTTCCTAGCGAATGTCGTCGTTGCTCTGCGGGGTTGCCCCGCGATTATTCCTCTGTACTTCACGAAGCTCTATCGCTGCAACCTACCGCCACAAATTGGCCAGCACCACCACCACCGGAACCACCGTCTTCAGTCATTTTTCACCATCCCACACGCGTCTAATCTCGTCTCTCCTGAATCCGCCGCCGAAATCGTCGTCGCCGCCGTCCCCCGAAATGGTGACCGTTAACACTACCGACAGGCTCGCGGCGCTCCGCAGCTTGATGAACAGAGAGAAGGTCGATGTCTATGGTCCGTTAATCCCCGGCCCCGTCTCAAGTACATAATAGGGCTGCGCCTGCAGGTCACTGACACATACTTTCCGCATACAGTTGTGCCTAGCGAAGACTCCCATAACAGCGAGTATATATGCGCCGCGGATGCTCGAAGAGGTCCGTCCCCGACTCGCCCTCCTACTCCACAACCCCCCACTCACTGTGCTCCACAACCCCCCCGATGGAATTAATACTGACATCTGCGCGACTTTGAAAGCCTACCTAACGGGATTCACTGGTTCGGCGGGATGCGCGGTTGTCACCAAGGAGAAGGCGGTTCTCTCGACCGACGGCCGTTACTTCAACCAAGCTGAGCACCAGCTAGACAGCAATTGGGAGCTGCTAAAGCAGGGGATGCCCGATGTTCCCACGTGGCAGGAATGGTACGGGGGTCTCCGTTTCCGAGGGAGCACAATGGAATATCTGATGGTGCATGGGCGATAGGGCTGTTCAACAGGCGGACGGTGGAAAGTCAGTAGGCGTCGATGCTACGCTCATCACGGCTCGTACTGCTCCCTGGAATCTCCCTCCTCGCGCCGCGGCGGTTGCGTTGGGTCATATTTCTGGATACACTAACATGCAGCCATAGAGCAAGCAAAAAGCCTCGAGAGTCGCATCAAGAAGAAGGGCGGCGCAGGATTGGTTGGTCTGAGCAAGAACCTTGTGGACGAGACATGGGGAGCAGAGAAACCGGCGCGTCCCAACAATCCCGTGATCGTGCTTCCAGTACAGTACGCCGGCCAGCCTTTCCAAGAGAAGATCGATGCTGTACGGAAGGAACTCGAGAAGAAGAAGAGCCCGGGATTCGTTGTAAGCATGCTCGACGAGATCGCCTGGCTATACAACCTGAGAGGAAGCGAGTATATACACCTCTTTTCCAGATTATGGGACACAACAGCTGATACGACGCACAAAGTATCCCTTACAACCCGGTGTTCTTTGCCTACGCGTTCGTCACCCCGACAACTGCCACCCTGTACATTGACTCCAAGAAGCTTCCGCCCGCCGCACTCGAGCACCTCGGTGATGCCGTCACGGTCCGGCCATATGAGGCGGTGTTCACCGAGCTAACGGCCTTCGTTCAAAAGCACAAAGAGGAGACTGCCAGCGCCGAGCCCAAGGAAAGCCCCAAGAAGTGGTTGCTCTCCAACAAGGCATCATGGGCGTTATCTAAAGCCCTAGGCGGTGATGATTGCGTAGAAGTCGTCCGATCCCCCATCGAAGAAGCCAAAGCAGTCAAGAACGAGACGGAGCGCAGCGGAATGCGAAAATGCCACATCCGTGACGGTGCAGCGCTGATCAAGTACTTCTCCTGGCTCGAAGAGGAGCTCGGCAAGGGCACCGTCCTCGACGAAGTCCAGGCCGCCGACAAGTTGGAGGAAATCCGGAAAACGGGTGAGAACTTCATGGGTCTGTCATTCGACACCATCTCCTCCACCGGCGCCAATGCGGCGGTAATCCACTACAAGCCTGAACCGGGTGCGTGCTCGGTCGTCGACCCGAAATCTGTGTACCTCTGTGACTCGGGAGCGCAGTACCTCGACGGCACCACGGACACTACGCGGACCCTCCATTTCGGCGAACCCACGGAGATGGAGAAGAAAGCTTACACCTTGGTCTTCAAGGGCATGGTTGCTTTGGATCGTGTGATCTTCCCCAAAGGAACTAGTGGTTTCGCGTTGGATGTCCTGGCCCGACAGTTCCTATGGGCTGAAGGCCTGGACTACCGCCACGGCACTGGCCATGGTGTTGGATCATTCTTGGTATGCATTCCCGCGATTGATCGCTCGAGTCCAATGCTGACCCAACGGATACTAGAATGTTCACGAAGGCCCCATCGGAATCGGCACTAGACTCCAATACTCTGAAGTTCCACTCGCCCCCGGCATGGTCATCTCCGACGAGCCCGGCTACTACGAGGACGGAAACTTCGGTATCCGAATTGAGAGTTCGTCGTCCTCTCCACACCCTACTGTCGTTCATTAACATCGTATGCTATTCAGACGTGATAATGGTCAAAGATGCCAAGACGAACCACCAATTCGGTGATAAGCCGTAAGCTTTGCACTCCACTCGTTTTTCGGTGTTCAAATTGACTAATATTCGAATGAACAGCTACTACGGGTTCGAACACGTCACGATGGTCCCCATGTGCAAGAAGCTTACGGACGAGAGTCTGCTTACCCCCGCCGAGAAGAAGTGGCTCAACGAGTACCATGCAGAGGTGTTTGAGAAGACGAAGGGCTTTCTTGAGGAGGGTTCTATTGCTATGGAGTGGCTTAAGAGGGAAACTACTCCCATCTGATGTTTAGCTGGTTGGATAGGCCGAGTGAGTGGTAGATAAGCCGCTGATTACTTACTCACCGTTTTTGTGTTTTTTGGACGTTCTCTAGATGGAAATCGTGAGTAAATCGTGCTGAGCTGAGGCATACATACTACATCACATCTACTCGTAAACCTGGGGGCGCTGCACCATGAGTTCCGACTCGTACATATGACCATACTCGGTCATTGTGGATTTCGAACTGGTGGTAATGCTGGAGAAGAAATCAATGTGCCATGGCCATGGGCTTTTATTTTGTAGTATGCTACATATAATTAGTAGCACTGCTACGAAACTGTCTGCATACTACTTGCCATCGATCAAAGCCCGCTATCTATCCACCGCCTTTGAGTCTCTTGCTCTCCTGTCCTCTCCGTCGTGTCCGGTAGCCGTCCCCGTTTCAAGTTTGAATTCTCCTCTCTCTTGAGAATCACTCCTCCGCCGTTTTGCTGGCACCGTTCTTCGGCACAACACCACCCCCCTCAGCTTCTGGGCAAGCTCTAAGCTTTGAGTTATGATGGTGGGGGTCTCTTGAATAGTGGCCTAGAGTTTTAACTTCGTATGGTGAGCTAGAACTCCATTCCTTTGCGGGGCTGGCCATGGTGTTCGGACTCCAGTTGTAGGGATGCTACGGGGTGGATGCTGTTGGCGTCATGGACATGAAATGGAAGCTTTGTAGCTCCGGTTCAAGTCTATAACCCGATCGTTGTCATTTCAGCCGCATGGTTGGTGAATTGATGTTGCAAGACTCTGGTGCGTGACTGCATCGGCGTGGGTGACTTCGGATGGTTGCGCATAATTTATACTGTGTTGCGGAGGAGGCACTCGTCGCGGCTATGCGGTTGGAGCTTTCGCCGAGCTCCAGCTAAGCTACTCTACAGCTCCTGGCCTTTGTCATCCTCGGCCGCATGGAAGGAACATGGCTTCCACCAAACTCAACGGGCGTACGTAATTTCTCATTTGGAGGACTTGGTGTCTTACGGATAGGAGTCGCAAAAGCAAATTTAAAGACGAGGCTCCAGAGGGTGGGGCTGCAACTACCACCTGCAACACCTGCACAACACCGAGTCGGCGCGATTGATCCACCGTGACCGCCAAGGAGAGATCTGTAGAGTAAACCACCTTGCTCACCGGCCATCCCCGCAATCATCTTCCAGGTTGCGTACGCATCTCCTTCATCAACCCCCCACCGCCGCGAAATCGACATTGATAGCCCCGCTACATACACGACCTTCGCCCTCCGGCAGCAGCAGCAGCAGCAGTAGCAGCAGCAGCTCTTCATCACGCCTCCGCTTCCCCCAAAGCTGGAATACGCATCGACGAGGATGGCCGCGAGAGACCGCTTCGGCGCGTGGCCTCCTAATGACCCGGGAGAGTCTACTCTCAAGAGATTCATACGTATGCAGCAGCTGTAGCACACACACGCCGCAACCTCCCTCCCCCTCCCGCATCATCTCGAGGAGCATGAACAGCCCGGATCGCTAACTGGGTGTACTTCGGAAATGCAGGTAATGCGTGCGATCCGAGTAATTTCGAACCGAACCTCGCCCTGAACCTCGAGATCAGCGACCTGATCAACCAGAAGAAAGGAACAGCGTAAGGGTCACCTCAGCACTACAGACTTGTTGTCGCTGCCCGAAGAGAGAGAGCTTGGGATTGATTGCGTGGCGTTTTGTAACCCGTCTAGACCTCGCGAGGCTGCTATTACCATCGTCAACTACATCAACCATCGAAACCCGAACGTTTCGCTCCTTGCCCTGAATGTAGGTCTCCGACCCCCTTGTGATGGATGGATGGGTGGGGTTGGAGGGAGGGGGGGGGGAACAGCCGAGCGGGATTCTAATCTCTAGGCCCGTATAGCTGTTGGATATATGTGTTAAGAACTGTGGCTACGCATTCCACCTGCAAATATCTACCAAAGACTTTTTGAACGAGCTGGTCCGACGCTTTCCCGAGAGGCCCCCGCCGAGGCCGAACCGAGTGCAGCTCAAGATCCTGGAAGCTATCGAGGAATGGCGACAGACGATCTGCATGACCAGTCGGTACAAGGATGATCTCGGCTTCATCAGGGACATGCACAGGCTGCTCTCATACAAGGGCTACACGTTCCCGGAAGTGAGGCGAGAGGATGCTGCTGTGTTGAATCCGAGTGATGTACGGATCCCCCGACGAATGGAGAGCGCTATCGGGGGTGGCTCGCTGATTGGTGCAGACTTTGAAATCGGCGGAGGAGATGGAGGAGGAAGAACGGGAAGCGCATGCTGCGAAGCTCCAAGAGCTGATTCGACGCGGGACACCGGCCGACCTGCAAGAAGCAAACCACCTGATGAAGATCATGGCTGGCTACGATCAGGCCTCGAGAACGGATTACCGAGCGAAAGCGGCCGAAGAAATCGGAAAGCTACGGAAGAAGGCGGCGCTTTTGGAGGAGATGTTGGCGAAAGTCCAGCCAGGCGAGACTATCGGGCAACAAGATACCTTTCAGGTCGTTATCCGCTATGGTGCTCTATCGTGTGTTTCTAAGCCTGACTGGGAACAGGAACTCGCGAACGCTCTGATCACCGCACAGCCGAAGATCCAAAAGATGGTCGAAGAGGAGAGCGACGACGTCGAAGCTGTCGTGAAACTGTTGGAATTGAACGACATCATCAACACCATAGTCGAGAAGTACACCCTGATCAAGAAGGGTGACATCAACGCAGCAAGAGCATTGCCAACCGTGGCACCACACCCAACATCCTCCGGCACGGCTAAACCTGCGCCGGCACCGGTGGTCGAAGATTCTTTGATCGACTTGGGTGGAGATATGGAAACGAACGGTTCATCATCATCCGCTCCTAGATCTACGGGTGGCAGCTCTCTGCAAGATGATCTGCTGGGATTGTCAATAGACGATCCCAACGGATCGATCGGGAATGGTGGCGGAATAGCGCTCGGGTTCGGTGCCAACACCAGTATGAATTCACTCCGGAAATAAACGAGCAGTGAGCTAAAGAGAAACCAGATATCCCGGGACCGCCATTATTGTCGTCGACCATCCAGACCAGCACCGCTGGCCAGCAGCATGGACTGTCACCCTCTCCTTCACCCCAACCCCAAGCTCTAGCACCAGATTACTCCGCCATCTTCGGGTCTCTCGCGAGTCCTCGGTTGCCCCAGCAAAGCAGCGCGCCAACGCCAACGCCGGCAGCCACTCAACCGAGCAACGATGACGACGATTGGGCGTTCACGTCGGCGTTACCCTCGGGTTCCGGGCTGAAGCCCAACGAGATACTAGTTATGGATTCGAACCTGCGAGTCGTCACCGAAGTCCACCGCCCCATACCCGACGGGCCCATATTACTAAAAGCTACATTCTCCAACAACGCCAGCCAACCCCTCCAAGACATGACCTTCCAGATGGCCGTCACGAAGGTGCGTGCAACCTCTTCCCCCGTCGCCGAATCACAGCTAACCCGAAAAAAACCAGGCATACTCCCTCAAGATGGAACCACAAAGCGGCCGCTTCCTCCAGCCGCACCAGAAGGGCGGCATCACGCAGATCATACGGGTGGCCGGCGCGCCTCTGGGCGGCGGGAACGCGGTCAAGATGCGCTGGAAGGCGTCGTATCGCGTGGGTACGGGTCCGCTGAATGAGGAGCAGGGCGTAATCGAGGGGTTGCCCGTTGCTTGAGCTTTAGCATAGGCTTGACCATAGGCATCTGAATATTTTTGCACAATCAAGGCGGGAGGGGGGGGGCGTTTAATGCGGGTTTGCACTAAACAAAGCTGCTGCTGCTGTCTCGGTGAACGTCACGTGTTCTAGTCGTAGTCGTAGTTGTAGTTGTCTAATATAGATATTCGAGAGTTGGATGATGGTGTTGGAATAATAGAGTAAGATATGGTAAGATGTGATGATGAATAGTGTAGTATTGAAGTGTAAGGCTGTAGCCTCGTGAGAACAGAAGATATATGGAATAGGGGTAAAGGCCCGTGCCTTCTACCATGACTAATCTAGACAGATATTACAACAGATGGGATCCGAGGGATCCGAGTGATGTGCAGTGCAGGTTGCAGGTCGCAGGTTGAGACCTGCAGGTTACATATATTCAGAACTTCATGCCAGGGAGGGGGGGGGGGGCAGCGTCACGTGACAAGTAGTGATAAACATGTCTCGCCCCAGTCTCAAATACGATGATCTCTGCCACCACCGTACCAATGTATGTACCACTGCGCCGATGCAATGGTAGCTGGGTCGAGAGTCACTAGTTCACAGCCCGCAGAGTATGGTATGGATGGATGGTATGGAATGTGTGATATGTACGTACGCGATTCGTTGGACAGCATACCCGGGCCATGTCACATGTAGGTATGTCGCTTCCCGAACCGAGTGGAAGTAGGTATGGAAGTATATGCCATCGTGGGTTCGTGGAACACCACCTACAACATGGCTATGGATGCGGGATTCTGGGTGGAGATATGGAAGTGCAATTCTGGATGCGGAGGTTTGGATGCGGAATTCTGGCTGGAGAATCCTGGATGGGTGGTGGTGGTGGTGGTGGTGGTGGTGGGAGGGTGGGGCCTTGGAATACAGTACGATGAGGGATTCTAGATTACCGTACGATGAGGAATTCTAGATTACCGTACGATGAGGAATTCTAGATTCTGGTGGGTGGATTCTGGACTCGGGAGGGTGGAGGTGGATGTGGATGTGAGGAGGAGGTGGAGGTGAGACCGTGTGAGTATGCGAGAGGATGTGAAGGGAGGAGGGGGGGGGGGTTGACGAGGGGGCTTGGAAGACGACACCGAACGAGTGCTTACAGACTGACTTGGTCTACTCTACGGTACTTGGTCTGCGGTAGTCTAGGTACTTGCTTCCTTTCCTATTATCTCTGCGAGCGCGATATTGACGGTAGTTAGAGCAGTTAGAGTAGTTAGTGCGCTCTGCGGAATAGAGTACGCACCCAGGTATGCTAGGTACATAGGCTACATACAGATAGATATTAGATACCCGCAGTGTCCGATTCGATCGCGGGAGGGGCGAGGGAGGTGGGAGGGGACGGGGGGGTTGGTGATGTGAGGTGAGGTGACTTTATTATATCTCGCCGCGAAGTAGCTGCTCTAGCTACAACCTACGCCTCCACGCATGACATAGGTAGTTTCATAGTTCCTCATAGTCAAAACTTAGAGTAGTAACTAGCCGAGTAACTAATCGCAGACTCGGTCGAAATCCGAACATCCCATTTATTCCTGTAGCGCGCAAGGCACCCCCACAAAATCCACAAAATCCAAAGTTCCAAAGGGCAGAAACTATGCTGTATACTCTACCAGTTGATGCGGAGGTTGCGCGTTTACCCACCGCACCGCACCCTCCGTCCCTCCACGCCATGCTTCCTACCGCACTGCCATGCCTCGTGCCTCGTGCCGTTGCGAGGATGACGCGGGTGGAATGGAGTCGAGGCGCAAGAATGAGGGGGGGCTTGTTTGCCCCCCCCCCCCCCCCCCCCCTCAACCGTGGAATGTGGGAGGAGGTGGACTGGAGGTGGAGGTGGACTGGATCTGGATGCGACCTCGTCCGCGCGTGAAAGAGGAAAGTCGCTCTCTTTTGGTCGTTGCTGTATGTAAGGCGGCGGCACGGCGGGGTTGGGGTTGGGGTTGGAGGGGGGGAGGGGGGGACGTCAGCTGCGGCCTGCGGCGGGCCCGTCTAGGTGTGTAGGGTATGCTGCTCTACTCGCACCTACTCGACCTAGATAGCCGGAGAGGAGGAGAGTCGAGTGCCCTATGTAGGGCGGTAGAGGGTAGAGCACGACGTCTACCGACTCTACAAATCATACAACCCTACTCTACCGGTAGCCACTCTGCTCTACCGGTAGCCACTCCACTCGGAGCACTCGCTCTGCTCTACTGCTCTACTCAGGCTCCAGGTCGAGCTCCAGATCCAGATCCAGCCCAGCCAGCCAGCCAGCCAGCCAGCCAGCCAGCCAGCCCTTCGTGCTCGAACTTCCTATCGTGGGCATTCCCAGTCATTTCTCCGTATGTATGCATACATCGGGAAGCCGTTCCCCCAAGAGCCCCCCTCCCCCCAAGATTGCCCAAGATTGCCCAAGAGACGCGAGGCAACCGGAGCCCTCTCGGAGCCCAAGAAATGTCCGTCTTTCTTGGAGCCTGCCCACCGGACATATCCACAGGCAGCACCACTGCACAGCTTCCAGCTTGGCCTATGTAATCTTCCAAGCGAGACGAGCCAGAGCGGCACTAACCACAGTAAAGCACCCAACTAGGGGCTGCGGCTACTCTAGATAACTATTCCAGATTCCAGGGCCCACCTTCACCTTTTTTTTCTTTCCTCCATCCATCGCACGGGCCACGGGGGACCGGGGGTGAGGGGGGGAGGGGGAGGCGGGGAGCTGGACCAAATGGAAAGAGGGTTTACTCACACATGCTCGTACTTTACCTGTGTATGTTGTATGCTGTACATAACGCAATACGGAAATACAGAATACAGAATAGTTACAGGGCTCGTCCGATATGACATGAAATCCGAATCCATACACCACCACCACCACCAAGTACGGTAGCAGATACTCTATATATCTCGACAGCAGGCAGGTGTCGAAGAGAGATATGATAGCCCCCATGTTCAGGGAACTGCACTCTATGTATGTATGCTCCTGCTTAGCTCCCGCTTGTGAACCCTTGCTTGGAGCTCACGCGCCTGCATCTGGCTCTGGTTCTGGCTCTGGCTCTGGCTGGGGAGCTGACGCCAGATGCTGGCTTACTTACTTGCTTACACTGCTCGATCGGTTTTTATGAGGATGGAGGAGGAGAGGTTGGTGGTGGAGAAGGTGGTGGTGGTGGTGGTGGTGGAGGATGAGATAGTGGTGGAGGAGGCGGTGGTGGTACGCATGGTAGTGGTGTTGTTGTAGGTGGTGATACATAACCTCGCAGTGTTATTGATGATGGTGGTGGTGGACCGTGGCGGTGGTGAGAAATGTAATCCAATGATTGCCCATGCTGCTGCCTATTCGGAGTGACTTTGCTGCATCCTCGCCTGTGTTGTGTTGCGTTTCAGTTCGCTTGACTCGGCGGCATGAGGGGGGCGAGGCGGCGGGGAGAGCGGCGTGATGCGTGATGCGCACACACGGTGGAGGAGGGGCGTGAAGCGTGAAAGAGGGTTGCATTTGCTCTACTTGCCCTTGCCTTGCAGCTGGGCCAAGACATACAGTTAGAGGAATCACTGCCGTCACGTCGTCCCCGGGAAGGTGAGCGGAGCAGGGTGGCAGGCGGCCGCCAACCACCCCCCCCCCCCCCCCCCCCTTCCCTCCTCCCCCCCCAACTCAAGCTCTGGGTATAAAGTTTAGCTGCTCCCGCCGTACTCTACTTGCTCGCTGTGCTGTTGGCAGGATATCATTATCCCCCCCTCTCCCCCCATCCTTCACCCACCCCGTTATTCGACCTGTCCGTTCTGTTGTGTGTGTGGGGCATCGAAATCACCGCGTCGAAAGAGAAGAATAAGTAAAAAAAACAGCGTCCAGTCGGTCGCTTCGTCAGAAACAGTCGAGAATATGGCCGGAGGGACGACTGCGAGTGGCGGTGTGCCTAGTCAGGCGGGCGTGCTAGAAGGCCTGAATCCTACACATTACAATGCCGCCGATCCAATCGTTCTGTTCATCATCCAGGTACCGACGGACGTTTACTGCTCCACTGGGAGGGAGGGAGATCTCGTAGATACATAGCTGACGCTCCGGCGCCGGAATGACAGGCTTCTATCATCATCATCGCATGTCGATTGCTCCATTGGCCACTATCGAAATTGCGCCAGCCCAGCGTGATAGCTGAGGTGATCGGAGGAATCATCCTCGGTACGCAGGCCTCCTCGATATTCGCACTGTGGTCTGTCTGGCTAACGCGTCTGTTCCTGAAGGTCCGACGGTCCTGGGTAGAATCCCTGGTTACATGACTACCATCTTCCCGGTGGCGTCGATGCCCGTGCTCAGAATGGCGGCGAACCTCGGACTGGTGCTGTTTCTGTTCCTGGTCGGCTTGGAGGTGGACATGCGCATTCTGTTCCGGAACTGGAGGGTGGCGGCGAGTGTGGGCGCGTTGGGAATGATCTTGCCGTTCGGCCTGGGTGCGTATCTCACCACTCCCGGTCCTCCCGCTTCCGTCTTGCTGACTGCGTTCGTGCGTTGCAGGTGGTGCTATTGCCTATGGTCTGTACCATGAGTTCCGTAGCGACGAGGGAGTCGTTAATATCGGCTTCGGTGTCTACCTACTGTTCATCGGTGTGGCGATGGCCATCACGGTACGGGGAACCCACCCAATCCCGACACAAAAGGCGCGATTGCTGACAGACACTCCCTACAGGCTTTCCCGGTCCTCGCACGTATCCTGACGGAACTGAAGCTTCTTCAGACCGACGTTGGTACCATTGTTCTTTCTGCCGGAGTCGCCAACGACGTGGTCGGATGGATCCTGCTCGCCCTGACGGTTGCCCTGGTCAACGCCGGAACCGGCCTCACAGCGCTCTACGTCCTCTTGACCTGTGTTGCCTATGTGCTCTTCCTGATCTACCTGGTGCGCCCGGCGTTCCTGTGGGTCCTGCGCAGGGATGGATCGCTCGAGAACGGTCCATCGCAGGCTATGGTCGGCCTGACGTTGTTGATGGTCCTGGCCTCGGCCTTCTTCACCAATATCATCGGTGTGCACGCCATTTTCGGTGGTTTCTTGATCGGATTGATCTGCCCCCACGAGGGTGGTTTCGCCGTCAAGTTGACGGAGAAGATTGAGGACCTGGTTACGGTACTGTTCCTGCCGCTCTACTTTGCGCTTTCCGGGTTGCAGACCAATATCGGATTGCTCAACAGTGGTATTGTGTGGGGATACGTCTTTGGCGTCCTTGCTATCGCTTTCATCGGAAAGATCGTGGGTGGTACGATCGCTGCGAGATGGTGCGGACTGGTGTGGAGGGAGAGCTTCACCATTGGTGTCCTGATGAGTTGTAAGGGATTGGTCGAGCTTATTGTGCTGGTAAGCATCTCCGTTACACCCTCTCATCGTCCATTGTAGCTGATGTTTCCATTCTCCCAGAATATCGGCCTTCAAGCGGGAATTCTCAGTGTCCGAGTCTTCACTATCTTCGTCGTCATGGCACTTATCACCACCTTCGCCACGACACCGCTGGTGACTATGCTGTACCCGCCCGAATACCAGAAGAAGATCGAAGCGTGGAAGCGTGGCGAGATCGACTGGGATGGAAACAACCTACGACCCGAGGGCGGCGATGGGTCAATGCACAAGGAGAAATTCCAGGCCACCAGCATCTCCAAGATCACCGTACTCCTGCGTCTCGAGAATCTGCCCGGAATCTTTGCCTTTGTCGACCTTCTCGGCGGAAAGCCCGTACCGAAGCCGAAAGTACACAGGTCCAAGGCGGTTCAGAGTGGAACCATCGACGAGGAAGGAGAGTATTCCGGAGAGGCAACTGCATCCTCTACGCCGGATGCACCTTTCAAGAGGCCGCTTGTGGTCCACGGCGAGAGGCTTGTCGGGTTGACGCAACGTACCTCGGCGGTTATGCAAGTTTCCGAGTTGGACGAGCTGCAACAGAAGGACCCGGTAGTCAATGTCTTCAGAACCTTTGGCGCCTTCCATAATGTTGCCGTCTCCGCCTCCGTGTCCATTGCCCCCGAAGATTCGTTCGCGGAGGTCATCACCAGCCGAGCATCAGTGCACTCTTCGGATCTCTTGCTGATCCCGTGGACGGAAACCGGTACGGTTACCGAGTCGGACGACCCTACGCAGTACTCGCCGGAGAACCGATTCATGTCATACCAGCACAACCAGTTCATTACTAGTGTTCTCGAGCGTTCCGATTGCAGCACAGCGATCATGGTCAACCGTGGGTTCGGCTCGAACCTCGATCGCTGTATCACTCGCACGGCCAGTTTCCGCAGCATGCGCTCCCGCAAAGCTCTCGATGCGGCAAACGTCTACAACCCGATCTCGGATCCGTCGCACCACATCTTCTTCCCCTACTTTGGTGGCATCGACGACCGCGTGGCCCTTAGATTCGTCCTCCAACTCGCGACTAACATCAACGTAACCGCTACGATTGTACAAGTAATTTACTCCCCCGGCGCGGCGCCCGAGCCCGAAATCGAGCTCCCCGCCGCCGCCGCAGCCCGCCCCGACCTCCCCCGGAACCTCTCCCAGAGCCAGATCCCGAGCGTCACGCCATCCGAGGCGGCCTCGCGCTCAACGAGCAGCCTCACCGCGATCGCCGACATCGACAGCTCCTTCTTCCAGTCGATGCAAGACTCTCTCCCCCGCACCCTACAATCGCGCGTCGCCTTCGAGACGGTACAAACCCCGCAGCCACTGCACTACATCGTCGCCAAGGCGAAGTCCGAGGTCGGCATGTCCACCAAGAACGCCGGAGACCTGGTCATCGTCGGCCGCGGCCTCAAGGACGCAAAGCCCTACATCCGCACCGAGCTCGTCGACGTCCTCTCGTCCATGGGCGCCCCCTCCGGCGCCGGTATCGAGACGAGGAAGTGTCTCGGCGACGTCGCGGAAACGTGTATCGTGGCGAATCTTAAGGCGTCGGTGTTGGTCTTCCGCGCGGGTGGTCGCAGCCTCGAGAGGGGCTCGGATCAGATGATAGGGCAGGATGTTGAGGATGTGGATTCTAAGGCGGAGTAGTAGTAGTCGTCGGCTGTTTCTTTTCGGGGGGGGGGGTTTGTTTTTTTGCAATTGGGTCAGGGGCGCGTGTTTGATTGATTGATTCGTCGTAGAGTTTACGCTGCATTGTGTCATTGTGTTTCGGGCATGGAGGGTGGCGATCTATGATGGATGGATGATTTTTTCCTTGTTGAGGGTCGGGCAACGTGCTTTTGGGATGGCATGTGCGATGTGGGATATGGGATGTGATATTAGTACATGTATTTATTTACGGTTAATGTGCATATGATGGCTATGATGGGGATGTCAATACATACCAAATACATTGGCAATACCAAGCTTGGGTGTAAGTGAACCAATCTTTGGTGCAATGTGATAAACGGTTTATGAATGGATATGTGTGGAGTGGAAATATGGGCGGCCGGCTATACATGCTGGGTACTCATCTATGTACGGGCAGGCCCATCTTCGGAATCAATCACTCGTGAAAGTTTCTACTGTGCCCAATAACTACGATTCACAATGAGATTGCGAGCGAGCGAGAACCTCTCTTCACTCAGTTCCCCCCAACTCCAAGCCCATCCTTCATCCTTCATCCTTCATCCTTCATCCTCCATCCTTCATCCTCCTCGCCGTCCAGGGGTGCTGGGCGGCTCCTCGGTGTGCGGAACGGCCAGGACGGGACGGGATGAGACGAAGAATCGCCGTGCTCACTGCTCACTTCTCACTGCTCACTGCTCACTCGGTAATCACTCGGTTCTGCGCGAATACCTAGTCTCTTGGAGTTGAATGGCGCCTTGCGGTTGGCTGGTTTTCTGTGGGCTTCTCAGAAGGCTTTCGGGCTTAGAATTAATCGCCGTGCTCACTGCTCACTCGGCAATCACTCGGTCTCGTCCCGCGTGGATGGTCTCGTGGAGTTAAATGGCGCCTTGCAGATAGCTGGGTTTCTGTGGGCTTTTGGGTTTCGGCTTTCGGGCTTGGAAGGAATTGCTTGGAAGTACTTGCTACTTGAATGGGCCATGGAATTTACGATTACACTACACACGTAGGTACAATCGGTACGATCGGACAAGCTTTACGTAGAGTAAAGCGGCGGATCAAGTCAGTCAGTCCTCCTCGCCGTCCGGGGCCGCCAGGCGAGGCGACAACTCGGTGCGCAGGACTGTCAGGACGGGACAGGATGGGACGGGATGGGAGAGGAATCCCTGTGCTCAGTGCTCACAACTCCCTCGGCAATCACTCGGTTCTGCGTGAATGGTGTGCTGAAGTTGAATGGCGCCTTGCAGATGGCTGGTTTCCTATGGGCTTCTGGCTTCTTGGTTTCGGGCTTGGAAGTACTTGCTTGGAAGTAATTACTTGGAAGTGTGGAGCATGGAATTACGATTACACACGTAGGTACAATAGGTACAACAGACAAGCTTTCCGCAAAGCAAAGGATCAAGTCCGTCATGCAATCACGATATATCACTTAGTTCGAATTCCGAATCCCGAATTCTTTCTGACTGGCAAGCCTCTCATCTCTCATCATCTCATCAGAGGGAGGGGTGTTTCCACACCCAACGAGTTATCGAGTTCTATCATGTCCTATCTAAAATTCCGAGGTGACATTCGAGAACTCGCCCTTCTCCAGCTTGGTCTTCCAGAACACGGGATGCGTGTCGGTGAAGCCGTGCTTGGTCCAGCCCTCCTCCTTGACGTGGTACAGGTTTATCGAGCCACCGGAGTACGCATCCTACGATCGCAGATCCGTCAGCAAGAGACACATCTACAGATGTGGGGTGGTGGGCTTACTCTGTGAGTAGCAGCCAGAATACTCCTCGATCCCAACGCGAGGGCGTCCTCATCGCTCAGATCGTAGTGATACTCTCTATCGAGGACACCGTAAGCGAACGTCTGCCCGGAGCCGACACAGAACAGGTCACCCTGGAGGCGGGTTCCATCGGAGTCGACGTAGTACAGCGCGGGGCCCTCCTGTGCGGTCACGCCGGCAATCATCGTGCCCATCGACAGTCCCATCCCCTTGTAGCCGTACACGATGTTGGCCAGGATCTTGGACGCCGCTGCCACGGTGATTCGCCGCTTGTGTCGCAGCTCGTGGAGCCGGCATTCCATCCCAAGGTAGTTCAGCCAGAATTGGCAGTCCGCGGCACCGCCGGCCATCGTGCCCAGCATCTTGTCGCTGTGGATCTCGTGAGCGGGTGCGGGTGTGGAGGGAGGGGAAGGCACGGGAAGCGGAAGGGTAGGAGACGAACTTGATCTCGATCACCTTCTTCACCGTCTGCGAGGCGATCCAGTTCCCGGCTGTGGCGCGCGAATCGGTAGCAACGATGATGCCGCCCTTAAAGCGGAACGCCAGGGTGGTGGTGCCGTGCGCGAGCTTGATCGGGCACGCGGGGTTCTTGTAGTCGTCGGTTACGGCACGGAGGAACGCCGAGGGCTGTGGGGGTCAGCTGTGTGGATACACGTACAGCTCCTGGATAGATGGATGGGTGGATGGGGATTGTTATTACCTGGGCGATGGGCGGCAGCGAGAACTGCTGGGCGTGCGTGGGCTTCGTGTTAAGCTGTTGCTGGGCCTCGGTCGAATCCTCGTCGAAGAAATCATCGTGCTGACAGGCGTACTGAGCTACCAGGGCGTCCATTCTTGTGTGTGCGGGTCGTGTGTGATGGAGCGGATGGTGGTGGTGATGTTGAGGTGCTGGTCGTGCGGCGTGGAGGGGTGTCTGGAGATAGTTGGAGAGAGCACCGAGCAGCGCCGCATCATGCTTGCTCGGTCGTGCACGGAATGGGACTAGTTCGCGGTGATATATAAGGTCACAAGATGTCACTCGCTTATGTGATCCACTTCCGTCTGTAGAATTGGTTTTCCGTTACTCACCGGGCCAAGAAGACCCGGAGCACCTCTTTGAGAACTGCGACCAATGGTGGCTCAACGGACGGCTATGTGGACGAGGATGAAGGAGAAGACTGGAAGGGAGAAGAGAAAGTAAAAGACGGTGTCAATGGCGGACATGTTCGGCGACGAGCCCTATACCGATGGCGCAGTGCTAGAATACCGGTACAATACCCAAGGACGCCGGATGTGGGGGAGAAAAATCCCGACGATAGAAGATGCGGCCGAGGAGGGGAGCGGGTGTCTCCGAAGCCGAACAGGCGTGCTCGGCGGGGCTCCGTGTACATACTATGCGTGACGATGAAGCTAGGGGGATCACGGTCATGTTTTCTCTCTCTCTTAATCCGTCAGTAGGCAGCAGCGGCGCAGCAACGGGGCCAACGGCGACAAGTAGCCCCCCGGCGGGAGCTGGGCAGCAGGAAATACCGGGCTCGTGGCCACCATCACCGCCTCCATAGAGTACTATGTATAAACGGTCCGTCTCCGACAATGAATTGATTTCCCTCTCCCTCTCTTTCGTTACTCACGTCTTGCACTCCAGCCCGACAAGATTTCCATCCTCCTACCTACACTCCCACTGCCCAGTCTCCCAGGGGGCCTATTCCCGCCAGCCCCCAATCCCGCACCGACGACGGACCGCTTCCGGACGGGACACCGGGACACCGGGGCAGCACCGGGCACCGATCGGAACTCCAACCGAGTCCCGACCCGGACCCGTGCTGTTTTGGCAGCGGGCTGCGGGCTGCGGGAGTTTTCGAGGTCGACATGACGTGCTGGCCGCCCCCCTAACGGCCCCCTAACGCCACCCATACGGCCCTTTCAAACGGCCCGAGCTGTAACTACAACTGCGACGGCCTGGGACTGTCTGCGACGGCCTGCGACTGATCTCGAACACCGGCGCTGAACCGGCTTAGTTATAGGTATACATAACTACGATAGTCGCGAGACCTTCAGCGCACATACCCACCGTATCCACCGTACTCTATAATTACCTACATATCATATGCAGTAGAAAGAAAGACCTCCAAGCCCAAGGCCTCGATACGGATACGGCTCTTTTCATTGCGACGAGCTTCTGGGCGGAAATGACGCGAGATACTACCTCCAGTTGACTAACTAGCGGCTATGCGGGCCCTCCTTCGAGCTCCAGACCTCCAGACCTCCAGACCTCCAGACCTCCGGTTGACAGGTTGTGACGCGCCAGAGTGGAAAATGCGGTAATCCTGCTGGGTTGGACTGGGTTGAACTTTGAAGACTTGAGAGCAGGTGCCAGGTGCCAGGTGGTTGGCGAGATTGGCCGGCAACTAGGCTGGGTAGGAATGCAGGTATAAGAATAATAAGATTTGACATATCGTATACATAGAAGGTGCGTACATAACGTATGGACGCGGGTTTTCGGAGTTCTCTTCTTGCGGGTTAGGTATCTGCCCAGGTATCTTCCTTGGTAGGGCATTTACCGGCAATACTGGTAAATACCCAATATGAGCGATGTTATAACTTCCATCAGGATGGGCGGTAATCGGTACTGTATGTACATACCGGTATTCCAGTGTTCCATTGGCGGAACAACGCAACTCACTCTCTCGATTTGAATCCCGCCTCCGAACCTGCCGCCGAGAAGGAAACAATGCGTTCTGCCGCGGGAAGCAAACATCGACCGCTCGAAGGCTCGTGCACTCCATTCAGGTGGGATGGCGACATGGTATGTAGGTAGAGCACTCTACCTACCGAGCCTATGTACCATACCATTGGGTACGGCAGATGTATTGGGAGAGAGTGGGTGTGTGTGTCCGTGTGTGCGCTCGGCGGATGGGTATTGGTCACGGCTTCGCCATGGAATGCTGCCGTACATAGAGTAGGTACATATCATAAAAGATGTTGGATGTTGGCGGTTTGAACTTCGGAGGCACGGACGGACGGATGGACGGATGGTATCCAGATTTCATGGAAACAAATGACAATGACAGACAAACAGACGGACGGACGGACGGTGGCCACTGGCCACGAATAGTGTCGGCGTTGGTCCTCGACTCCTCGCGCAGCTCAGCAGCAGTTGCCAGTGGTACTACGACCAGTAGAGTGCTTTACACATACCTCGGCGCCGAGATGGCATTGCCCACCCGTGCTTACCGGTGTTCCCCAGCTGAGTTTGAATCGGAGCACGTATGAAGGTACCTATCCGCTTCGTAATACGGGATCATATATATTCACAGGTCCTAGATACCGTACCTAGGTCCTACCTAAGTCCTACCGAAGCCTGAGACTCTGAGCGTGATGAACGGTTGACCGCCGAATTTTGAGCAGACTCGTATGTATGATACGTACAAACTCCTCATGAATCCATCTAGACCTAGTTACCAGACAAGCATCTAATTGAGGATACGAGTCTGCGAATCGCCGTCACCCCTCGACCTGCGGTCGATCGCAGGTCGTCGTCGATCAGAGTTCATGCGGGTTCCACGATACCATCACAGATCCTCTGGGATCTGTAGATGTCCGGTACCGTATCTGGTACGACGTCGATGGGCATTGGGCATTGGGCATTGGGCATTGGGCATTGGTGGATCTATGTATGGATGTACAATAGGTACACATGTATGGATGTACCTCGCATGGACTCCTGGACTCCTGGACTGCCGCCCACGTATGTACCGTATGTACCGTATGTACCGTATGTAGGCATGTATGTAGGTATGATGTACCTGAAGATTTCGCGTAGTTGCATGCAGGAGAAGAAGACCTCGTGACTGTGTGTACTTGCCTTGTATCTACCAACCACAGTCACCGACGGGAATCGAACTGCACGCGATGGTCGATTCGTTCAGCAGAAGGTGCGGAGGTGCGGAGAAAGGCATGTACACCAACGGACAGGCAGAGACTTCTCCGATCCACCCCCCGTGAGTGCGTGCAAGCAGCCGACTGTGTGAGGCTATGTATGAGGTCTTTTTTCGATTATTCTTAGGCAGTGAAAATTGTTTATCGGTTCCCCCACGCCCACGCCGGATCGAACAACTCCGCGCAGAAGTTGGAATGGGGGGTCGCTGGTCGTTTGTGCAATGGAATTGTAGACAAGTAACTCAGTATGAAGTAGGCAATGTGCCTTCTCTCCGTGGGGAAGTGTTCCTTCCCGAGTGCAGGCCGTACACAAACACACACACGAGACCACACCACCCACTCACTAGAGTGCTCACTACCTGGCAGGTCTTATGCCAACCTAACGCACTCTAGAGTCTACTCCACTCCACTCGACTCCACTCGGAGCAAGTAGCGGTGGCGATCACCGCCGCAAACCGGGGTTTCAGGGCTGCAGTGACATTCATGCACACATGAGCCCAATGCTGCAGGTCGAAACACGAGGACGAAGCGGAGGAGGAGGAAGAGGAGGAGGGAGTGTGAGCTTGCAGATTTCAAACATCCGGAATCCTCAGAAACCAGACGGAGTCTCGATCGGTAGGAAGACTCGGTGCTGAGTCTGCTGTTCCTCCCACGTAAACTACAGGACCATCAGGTTCTGTTGGCTCCTCCTCCGCTGCCTCGCGGAACCAACTGGTTGGTACGATAATTATCCGAATCGTGGTGGCAAATCGAGTGCGCTGTCGAGGTCGTTTACATAGGCCGGCGGAGAAGGCGGTTCGCCTAGGTATGTCCGAGATGTGCGCAACGCCTATTATAGGTACTCTGGGCGAGCTACATAGGGGTGATATGATGGCTGTTTGGAGTCGCAAAGTCGCGGCAGCGGAGGCTTTCGGGGGGTTCGGGATTCCGGAGGTTCTGGAGGTCGTCGGGCTCATGTGCTGTGGAGTTCCTATATAGAGTGGACGGAGTAGGTACTATGCCTTCAGGTACACTGCCAGTAGATACTCTACTCTTCATATGTATACACCGTACTCTACCTATCTGCCTGACGCAGTCCAGAGTAGGTACTCGGAATATAGCAGTTGGGTACTCGGTTGATGACGCCACCTGTCGGGAACGAACGGAGAAGCGCAACGGCTCTTGAGGTCGGTTTTGAAGGGGGTTCAGTCATGACGCCAAGCCCGGGTACCTCCCGTCGACTCCACGCCTCCGCCCGTTTCGAACCGTGCCCAACGCCGTTAGCGTGTCGGTCGGAGACCAACCCACGGAAGTTGGGCCTTCTTGGGAATAGATCTTCAGAGTCGGTGGAGTGGAGTGGAGTGGTGGAGTGGAGTAGTGTAGAATACGGTATGAAGAGTAGCTAGGTACGGTATGTATGTAAATATGTAGGCACTGAGCATTCTGCAGACTGCTCGTTAGTAGCCTTGTAGGTACCTACATAAGTCCACATGTATGTACTTGCAAATGCTGCAGCGTCGCTTTGGGGCGCGATTCCGGGGTTTCCTCATGCACGGGGGAGGCGAGCCGCGACTCGAGCATGCCATCCTGGCTACAAACCATCAGTATCGATCTGTGAATTGGACGCGCGAGAATCATCGTGAAGAACCGCTCAGAGTTCGTGGTCGCAGACTGTACTAGCAATGCCTTATGTATCATACTCCGGATACGGTCGTGGTTACGGGGAACTTTGTAGACAATAGACTTTCCTTCGCACGGAGTCTCCTGTATCCCACACGCATCGGCTCTGCATGCTCGACGGCCCTGTGCCGTCAGCTACGATCTCTCCTTCTCCTTCTCCTTCTCCTCACTCCTCCTCCCCTCCTTTCCCTCCTTCTCTTTCCTTCACACCCTCTCCGCCTGTCACCTCACTCGGCCAGGCTGCACGCACACACCCCCCGCCTCCGCCCCCGCCGCTGTCTGTTGTTTCTGCTTTTTCGAACCCAGACGATCCCTCCGGCGGAGCATACGGAAAAAGATTGCCCATCCATAATCCATCCATCCACGCGGTCTCCACTTTCCCCATAAGACGAACTGGGTCCGCCCTTTTTACTATCTGTTTGCTGGAAACTTGGAGTGTTCTGGATCCCCAAAAATCCGCCCATTCCATACTACTACCACTACTATTACATACACCGAAGCTATACATAGCTGTTAGCAGACCGAAAGGAGCACCGTCCAATTTTCGGATTGCGCTGGTCTGCCCCCATCGGAATCTCGCTGTCTGAGCCAATACGGAAGGCATCTAAACGACCCAGTCCAATTCGCCGGGAAACTCACTCGGGTGGATCCTCCCCCCCTCCCCGATCCCTGAGACAATAAGTCCAACCCACCAACCCGTTCCCATTCCCTTTTCCCTTTTCCATGTGCTTTCCCCCGTTCTTACCTGCCTGAGCTCCTGCATTCCCCACCACAATCACACAAGCGAGGAAAAAAAACAACAATCGAAAAGCAATGGATTCTACACATCGACGTCCGCCAAACACCTCGACGGCTGTGAGGATCTATGCTCGAGTGGCTCTATTTGCACGACAGAGCAAGAACATCTTCGGCGCGAGGATAAAAAAGGAGCAGTGCTCGACAGCCAGAAGCAGGTTAGAAGCTTTCTATCGTGTTCCCTCTCTCGTGAAAGATGAAGATGAATGAAGACGGAGGAGGAAGACGGATAGAGTACATAGGGAAACCTGGCTTACACACAACAATACAGAAACAGGATCACTCTGGCTCAAAGATTCTTTGCGCTTCCCGTCGAAGTCCAGCTCCAAATCATCAATCTCACAACGCTGCAGGATATTCTGAACCTGCGAAAGTCGAACAGCCAGTTCCGATACCTCACTATTGCACACGAGGGCTACCTAGTAAATTCCTACTTGCGCTCATGTGTGCCCTCCTTCGTCGTGCGGCTCTTCCCGCCCGCAAAGAAAACGCCCACGCTGCAGTATGTGACGGAACTCGCGGTCAAGCAGAAGATCGCCAGTGATCTAGCCCAGAACCTGGCCGAGCAAGTGCTCAAGGAGATGATGGGGCGCCGTCACCGGCGCCATATGGACCATGAACTTCACGAGCGCATGAAGCGGCGCCTCCAACGGGGCATGGCGCCGCTGGTTCTCGCGCTCTTCCAGTTCTTTGAAAACTACGTCGTGGCTCGACTGCAGCGCGTGGGAACGAACCCTTCGCACGACTACCAGCTCTCGATCCTGGGCCTGCTGTCGCGGGAAAACATGCACATCCAATCCGACATCATCGCGCAGTATCCCGAGAACATGTTGCTGCCCATACACCAGATGTACCACCTGCTGCTGCATCTATTCTTCCGCCGCTTCACGCCGCCGTCGCTACCGTTCGTCGGCACGCTTGGCCGCCGGAAATCGCAGCGGCCCTCCAATGACGCTTTCGCGAAGGTGCTGGTGTACGGCGGGATAAAGGAGGTGCACAACCTGTACCGGATGAAGGGCTATGGCCGACGTCGCAGGGCCCTGGATAAATACGTCGAGACGTTTGACGAGGAGCAGGGGAAATGGAAGGCGCGTATCCGGCAATTTGGAGCCAACGTAGCATCCATGTCCTCTTCCTCGCCGCCGCCGCCGCCGCCGCAACCCGCGACCATCCAGGCTACAATAGTAACCGCGCCAAGAGCACAACCATCGTCGAGCACGGCCTCGAATTCGACTCCCGATGACGAAATCAAAAGATCCGTCACGGAGCTGGCCCAGGTACATGTCGACGAGCTGTCGAATCTGTGGACTCCCGCCGCCGAGGAGCGCCTGCTGTCGAAGAAAATTGTCCAGGACCTTGACGAGGTGGTGTGCTGCGGCCGATTCGTCAGTCTTCTTCTGACCACGCCCGATGATGACGAAGAAGAAGAAGAAGAAGAAGAAGAAGAAGAAGAGGAGGAGGAAGAGGAAGAGGAGTACGACTACGAGGAGGAGTCGGATGACGAAGACTATCAAGAAACTGTCCCTACCATGGTCACGGCGGCGACACACGCGGAGACGGACTATGAGCCCTCGTCGTGGGAAATCGAGTTACCTGTTGAAAATGAACATGTCGGAATCGACCATTGAAAGGAAAGGAACGGGCTGGTCCCTGGTCTGATATAACTAAACTAACTACTGCTTGCTTGCTATCTCTGTCATATATATGGGTTCTGCCTGGGAATGTTTTTCTTTGTCTCGCCTTGTGGGGGCTAGGTGGTTAAGTATCATACCTAGGACCTAGGTACATAGGTGGGCGGGTGGGGCGGGTGCGGCGTTGATCTGATCTAATCCGAACGGACCGGAGTGGGATGGGATGGGATGGGATGGGATGGGTCATGCTTTTTTGTGTTTTGTTTGGGGGCGTATTTGGAGTTACTCTGATTTTATCTCAATTTCTTTCAATCTTTCAATCTTTTCATTTTTCCTTCATTTTTCCTTTGGGTGTACCTAGGTGGACAGGACAGGACAGGACAGGTCGGACATATCGTCTATTTATTACTATTACTATTATTATTACTTTTATTGGTGTGAAGTTTGAGCCAACCGCTGAGGCCTGTCTCAATCGCAGTGTTTGGTTGTAGACAAATGGTAAAATGTTGGTAGTATGTAGCATAAAGACAATCACACGATATCGTTCGGTAAATTGTCGGTGTCGTGTTGGTTTATCACGTGTACACTTGCGGACATATTCCATACTAACATAGCTCAGCACTGACGCTTGGCGTTTGTAGAGCTCTCTTTGTTATCACGATCTTCCTTTTCCTTTCACTGTACCATACCATTCACACAATACACAAAGCCCCCTCCTTCTAACCAAAACCTTCAACTTGATAGAAATCATTTCGCATTCGCATTCGTCAAACATTATACTCAGAACAAGAACAAGAACAAGAACAAGCCAAGAAAAGACCCCAAAAATCCACATATCCTCCTCCCACATACATAACTACAGCGCAACAATCCAGATGCTTCGAGATCTATAGTAGTTTCTTTTCTATATCCGTCTCCGTCCTCCGTCCTCCCCAACGTCCCCCCAAAAACCATTACGCGTCCGACCCGACGGCAGCATTTCTCTTGGCCGTGATCTGGCCAACCTTGATCAGCGCTCTGGGCGCATCCTTCTGTGGCATAAACAGCTCGACCAGCTAGAAACATCTGTCAGTTGCCTGTCAATTATGGGGATTAGTTGTGCGGACTAACCTGAATATACGGACAACTCGAGAACTCTTCATTGCGGAACAGAGCCTCGACCTCCGTCTTCGTCCTGACCTGGTGATTCTTGCTCTTTTCCGGGTCAGCGCCAAAGACCTCCAGGAGCTGCGTATGTTTCCAGGGGGTGATATCGTTGTATCCCGCGTCCATGCCGTGAATCAGCCGCTCGATCGTGTAGCCGTTGTTATTGATCACGAAGATGATGGGTTTCAGGCCGTGGCGGATCAGTGTCGCGATCTCTTGCACCGTGAGCTGCAGACTGCCGTCGCCCACGAACAGGATCACCCGGCGCGAGGGCGCGGTCTCGTTCACCGCGAGCGCGGCGCCCTGGAGCGCGCCGACCGAGTACCCAATGCTCCCGTATAACACCTGCGAGATGTGTGTGACGTGCGCGGGGAACCGCGCCTCGAGGATGCCGAAGTTGGACGTGCCCGTCTCGGTGATGACGACGTCGTTCTCCTGCAGCCACTGTCCGACGCGTGGCCAGAAGTAGGCGTGTGTGATCTCCTGGCTGATGCTCTGGCGTTCGCGCTGGGGGATGATGTTGTCCATGACGGGGGTCTCGGTGGTGCGAATGCGCGAGTAGTCGAGGGAGTCGATCAGCTTGCGGAGGACGTGGTTCATCTGGATGCCGGGGAACGTGCTGTAGCGGATCTGCATGTGGTCACTGTGGAACTCGACCGTGTTGCGCTTCTCAACGCGGTACGTGAAGCCGCCCGAGTTGAAATCGGATTTGAGACCGCCGACGTACAGGATCAGCTCTGCCGCTTCCACCCGCCGTTTGACGTCCTCGCGCGATACGTCGCCGCAGTACACGCCGCCGAACGCCGGGTGCGTCTCGTTCACTGAGCCCTTGCCCATGGGCGAGACGAAGGTGGGTAGCTTCGTGTTCTCGACGAGCTCGTGCAGCTCGCTGAGGACCCGGTGGCGGATGGCGCAGGCGTCGGAGATGATCACAGTGTTCTTGGAGGCGTACATCAGCTCGGCGATCTCGCGGACCACCTCGGCCTCGGTCTCGGCGTCGTTAGGTGGGAGTGACAGGTCCAACGGCGTCTTGAGGCGCTCGTCGGAGATCTGGTGGAAGGCGATGTCCGTGGGCAGGCCGATATAGACGGGCCGCGCGCGCAGCCAGCAGGTGCGCAGCACCCGATCGATCTCTTCGGCGGCGCGGTGCGGGTCGAGGAGCGTCGTGGTCGCCTCGGAGATGAACGCCGACATCCGAGCGTAGACAGTGAAGTCGCCGTTGCCGAGAGTGTGGTGCAGGAGGAGGCCGCTCTTCTGGGAGGTGCTGTTGGGCATGCCGACGATGTGGCAGACGGGGACGTGCTCGCTGTAGGAGCCGGCTACTCCATTGACTGCGGAAAGCTCACCTGGTGGAGTGTTAGCATCGCCGTATGGTGGGGGGATTCGTGGAAGGATTGACATACCAACTCCGAACGTCGTGATCAATGCCGACATTCCCTTGATTCGGGCGTATCCGTCGGCGGCATAAGCTATCCTCAATCGTTAGCCACCGCCCCGCCCGCAGCTCAAATCCCAGTCTTAGAGACACACACCAGCATTGAGCTCATTGCAATTGCCGACCCAGTACAGATCCGCATCGGGCAGAAGGTCCAATGCCGCCAAATTGAAGTCGCCCTTCACTCGTCAGCCAAACCGTCATCCCCACAACCCCATCCACCGGAACTTGAACACATACAGGAACACCGTGAACACCTCTCACACCGAGCTCATGGAGTCGCTTGTAGAGATATAGAGCGACGGGGATCTTCGACATGGTAGTGAACTGATTGCTATCGATAAAACAATGGTAGTGGTGATGGGATTGAGATTGGGAATGTAATTTTTTGAGCTCCGCCGGGGTGGGGCGGGGTGCGGTTTTTATATCAATCCGTATGTACTGTACGCACGCATATACATACGGGAAACCCACTCGACAAACGACGTCAGTGCAGCATCACGTAGGAATTTCCCCTCCAGCTCAGTGCAGCTCAGTGCAGCTGGTGACCCCTCCATCCAGTCTGTTTTCCGAACGAATGCAGGAAAAAATAAAGAGCACACCACATTCAGTCGATTTTTTTTTTGACTTTTTTTTAGTTTCTGGGGGCCAGCCCGACAGATCAGCCTGAGCTGATGTTTTTTTTCGGAAATTAAAAAGTGGGACGATGTTTGCGGTCGTATCTGGTGGGAGGCGTTGATGCTCTCACCCACACCCAATCCGGCGGTTTACGCATGCGGATGTACGTGGGGCTGTGCCGATGCGATGGATGGGGGGGGGGCGTCGAGGTGGAGGTGGAGGTGGGAGGATGCGGAGTTTTGTCGGCCCGGCGGTCATCGCGGCTGTACTTAAAGCGGCGGCGGCGGCGAGGGCGGCGGCGGCGGTGGTGGTGGACGATCATTGGCTTCCCCGCACTCCAGGAAGCTTGCTAACTACAGCAGAGCTCGTGAAGTTACAAAGAGTCCGCGGCTCAGCTCCTGAACTTCAGAGCTTCAGAGGTTCGAAAGCACGCAGCACTACCTGCCAGTTAACCGACTGGATGTAGGTGTGTATGCTGACAGGTTGGGTGTGCTGCTGTTGCTGATACCCAGATGCTTATCGTTCCTCCCACGTTTTTTTTCGTTCGGGCCGGGGCGGAACATCTAGGATGTACATACTCTCCATTCTCTCATTCGCCCCCAGAGTCCCTGAGTCCCAGACTAGTCATCATCATCATCCATACCCATCTGCATCGCCGTTTGCTTCGGCCGGTGGCTGGCCAGTGGCATGTCTGCCTCCGGAAAGCACATGTAGAATTCACCCCACCTCTCAGGTCGGTGGCGGATGCTGGGTAGTAGTAGTTACCGGTACTCTACGCAGACTGATCCGATTCCGTGCCGACCAGGCTGCAACTTGCAAACAGGCGGTGGCGGTGACTGCAGATTGTAGAGTAGAGTACCTTGGTGAAGTGCTGGCGCCCAATTTACCGGCGCAGCTCACTCGCATGCCTAGGTGCCTGAGTCCTGGCGTAGGCGGTGAACAGAGAACCTAGAATTGCGATGGATTGAATGATTGATGTTCCATTGTGATTGTTTTGTAGAGGTGGGCACTCGGGCTTTCATGTGATGCCGCCTCAACAACATACCTAACACAGATGGCTAACTACCGCGCGGCTAACGATCCGATGTGCCAGACGTCGCGCAAAACTACCTGCGCATTGAAATTTGGAAGCCAGGCTTTGCCCGTGACTCCGTGGCGGTGGAACAGCTGTACGGTACTATATATATCGTACCCTCTCGTGACTCGTGAGGTTCCGTCTCCCATTACCGGTACGACAGTCGCTCTGCAAGACTGCAACACACATCTTCGCTACCGTATGTCAGCCCTGAGTGATATTACCCTAGGAGTCGTCTGAGGTCTCCTCACGTGTGCGGCTTATCCGGAAGATACAGTATGTATGGTGGTAGTTATGGCTGATGTGGCTGGGGGCCTGAGGCTTTAGCGTCCGCACTACCCAGGGGAGCACTGGTTGGTCTTCCGACTCCGAGACTGCAACGATTCCACATAGTGGCGCAACATTCCCTTCCCACGGCGATGTACCGATTGTCGCTATCCCTCCAGGCTCCCTGAACGGCAATCGCAAGCAGATCCTCTATGGAAGAACAGCGGCTTCTGGCATCGAACCTCGCAAGATACCTACTCAGTACCTACTCTGTAGCTTGGGCCCAGGATAGTTGATTCTCAACTGATTTATGAGTGCTGAGCATGGAGGACCTCGCCGCCATGGCGACGAAAAGCTAATGTTGGGCTGAACCTGAAGCGGGCGTTACATAGGATGTTGCCCTTGTATGCTAGGGGCACTGAGAAGAGGTAGATCGAGTCTACGGAAGGGGTTGTCCTTTTCCCCCCTTCCCGATGGTTCGTTTCTCTACACTTGCATGTCTACGCCATTGTTGACATCTGGATGAAACCTATGGGAGATATGGTGACGTGTGTAGAGGGCACGGTGGGGAGAGAAGCTAACTACCGTAGTCCCGAGCTTGGAGACGGCTTGGAGACGAAAGGGAATTTAGCGGAGCTTTCTGGTGATGATTCCGGTATGAGGGTCGACTGTAGCGGCGGCGGTCGATTGCTAGAATCCCTACTTACCCGTAACCATACCCACCGGCGACTGCCAAGTCTTTACTTCTATGTACATATTCCAGATGGAGCTCCAGCTTCAGCACTTTCACCATCTGTCGACCGACTGCCTGCCGGTGGTCTGTGCAGTGTGTGGTGCCTTCTTGCCGGTACCTTCTTACCGGTACATACTTCCTGGAGATTTATCATCCACCCACGTTTTCCCGGGCCGGGACGGAACCTTCAGCTGCCCATCAATCCATACCTGTAACGATGCCCGCTGGCGACTGTCAAGTCTTCACCCACTTCTATTCCAGATGGCCCCCAGCTTCAGCTCTTTCACAATTTGTCGACCGAGTCCAGACTGCCTGCCGGTGGTCTGTGCAGTGTGTGTGGTGCCTTCTTTCCGGTACCTAATTCATCATTCTCCCACGTTTCTCGGACCGGGACGGAACCTTCAGCTGCCCATCCGCCGCCGCCGCCCCCCGTAACAACAATCCTTACCATAGCGTCAACGTTTGCTTCTAACAGTTCCAGTTCCAGTTCCAGTTCTAGTTCTAGTTCCAGTGCCAGTGCCAGTGCCAGTGCCAGTGCCAGTGCCAGTGCCAGTGCCAGTGCCAGTGCCAGTGCAACAAAGTGGTCTGTCTGTCAGTGTACAGTGTACAATACCTAGAATCCACTCTCCACCCCCACCTCGTGTGGCGGATAGCTGGTAGAGTAGTTGGTGGCGGGTGCATATAGTTAACGCTGACTGACACGGAAGCCAAACGGTCGGAGAACAGTCAGTCTGCAGCCTGCAGTCTGTAGATAACTGGCTGCAGATAGAGTGCTTTGGATACATGCGCCAATTTAATAGCGCAGATCACTCGCATGCGCATCGCGTCGGAATTGAGGTCGGGGTTTGGGTCGGGGTCGGGGTCGGGAAGAGAGCTGGAGTTTTTGTGATAGAGTAGGTAGAGTGTTCTTTGCGGTTTCTGCTTCGGGAGAGTGTAATACATTGTATCATATGTAGAAGAGAAAAGAGAGGATGGGAATTCAAATGCGATGGATGGAATCTGGATGTCGCATTTTCCCATTCTGATTCCGACCGTTAGTTACTCCTGTACCGTATATAGTGGTGACGCGGAGGCCTTCGCAAGTTCGCATGGCAGATGGCTACCGCGCGGCTAACTATTGGATCGTGTTTCTCTCGAATGCATCTCATATTCTGTCAGCCGGGAGCTCAAGTGGTGCAAAAAGGGAGGGGACGATCCGACATTGCCAAACACCGTGAATGGGTATCCCCACACTCGGACGAGGACGGTGGCAGTCAGTGGTTTGACTGCCCCCCGTCCGACGAGCTGTCTACCGTAACTACCGGGCAGGGAAGCAACCTAGGTCCCAGGTAGGTAGAGAAATCGCGACCTGCCATGGGGGGGCAGTCGAAGTCGCAGATATCACGAAACACCACGAGGATTCCCTCGAAGCGGTTGAGCGTTTTCCCTGCAGGGACAAGTCCGCCCGTCTGGCCGGCCGGGAACATCCATCCATCGAGATGCGAATCAATGTTCCGCAAGCGACTCAGCTCGACGCCTGGTAGATAGGAAGTCGGATCCGCCGTCGTTCGTTCGTTGGTTTGTGGGAGGCTTTTTGCTCACTTGCTGGCCGGTGAGCTCCCCTCCAGGCCCGGGCACCCAGGTATCGTGGACCTGTTTCTTCTTTTTCTTTCTTTTCGGTCAGAGGTATCCTGATTTTTGTGGTAGGTTTCCTCCGTGTGCGGTGTGATCGTGATATTTTCGCTACCGATTGCCGCTTGGGTGTTCAGGCACGGAGAGGCAAGGCAAGGCAGGGCAGGACAGGGCAGTTAATTTGTCCGAGTCCGAACGAAGCGCTTCCTTCGATCCATCCTTCCGTGCGTGCGGCGGATTCGCGTCGGCCGCTTTCGTCGATTTGATTTCGTGTGGATTTTATCGCCAGTTTTCTGGCGGCACATCTCTCCATCCCCCCCTCACCCCACACGATCATTCGGATTTCCACCTCCTCAGTAGCTAGAGCTGTGGTGCTTAAAGGGCGGCCATTATCGTGCGCACGAATGGAAATGTCCAATAGAAATGGACACTCTGCTCGTGGGTTGTGCTTGGTGCGTACGCTTCTCGTACTCCTGTAGTACGTGCATGCAGGTGTGAGGCATCCCCTTCCCTCTCACGCCCTACCGCGTGCTCATCCAAGGCCTCCTCTTCCTCTTCGTCCTCCTCCTCCTCCTCCTTCGTCGTACGCATCCTACCATAGGCAGTGACACGTGGGGTTCAGTATCACGAACGAACGAAGATATGCGCCTTCAGCCCTCTGTCCCTCCTCTCCGCAAAGGTGGGGGAGGGGGGAGGGGAGAAGTCGACCTACGTATGTACGTCTTACGCTACAGGACGCTGACGCATGAGGTCGCGGGCGCCACCATTTTTTACCATATCATACCTCAACTTCAACTTCCCCTCCTCCTCCTGCTCCTGCTAACCCTTCTGCTCCTGCTCCTCCTAACTCCTCCTGCGCTCCCCCACACAAGTGTTGTTTCATCACTCGCGATCGCCTAGCCAGGCGTGGGGATCTGCCGCGGCTGTTTACAGTTGTTGGTGAATGCCATTGCAGAACGTACATTGTATGTAGCACAGTGGTTACGTTGGAGGCGCTGCGCGCGTCGGTTTCCGTGTAGTGTTTCCTACATATGCGGAGGAAGAGGTGGAATAGTTGTTGTTGCTGTTGTTGTTTGGAAGTTGAGTGTGATCAAGACCACCGTGACATGACGTTGCCCGAGTGAGGTCTTCGGTGGCTCGCTTACCTTGTGGGAAAGACGTGAAGCTGATCTTGCATACCGACGTCGGGTGCGGACACGAGAGTGCGGATGTTGTCGGTATTGGGGAGTTGCTGATCGATTAATTGAATGGTTGAATGAAGCGAGCAGGGATCGAGGTGATTGGCAGGTGCGAGATGGGGATTGTGAGTGGCTGATGTGGTTGATGTGGTTGATGTGGTTGATGTGGTTGATGTGGTTGATGTGTGTGGTTATTGTGGTTGATGTGGTTATTGTGGTTATTGTGGAGAGTTGAGTGGTGAATTGGCAAGTGAGAGTGGTGAGAACGAAGCGAAATGGTTGGCTGTGCCTATTCGGGCTCGGGAATCGTTTCTTCTGCTTCTTCCTCTTCTGTCTTGCTGCGACGACGACGAAGACGACCGAGAAGACGAAGCCGACGACGACTCCCCACGTCTCACACACTCCCCCTCCCTCTCCCCTCCCCCCCACCCTGCCATTCATCCTCACCACCTCCCATCCATCCTCACCACCACCACTACCACCACACTCCTGCACTTCTCCACACCCTCACCCACACACTCTCTTTCTCTCACACACCTCAACCTCTCACCTCTGCGGTTAACCCTCACCCACACCCAGAACCCAGACCCTCTCTCATCCCGCCGATCTTCTCCCTCATCTCTCCCTCCGCCCTCGCCGGCCCTCGCCTGCCTGATCCCCCCCAAACCTCACCTAACCTCCTGCAATTCGCAGCCGCTCTCCTCCGCCTCCTGCCCTCTACATGTTGCATCCGATACCATAGCAGAATCCCTTAGACGTCGTCCTCACCACATTTCGTACCCGACGTAACGAAACGAATACCCAGCTATACTGCTCATCACATCACATACCATACTTACATCTCACTTACTCACCCTAAAGTACATACCCATACCATACCTTCTTACATACATCATAACATCCACAAAGTTCTCCCGGTACCTTACACATACCGGTACTTCACCCCACATTCGAAGCGAAAGCCGCGAAATCCACTTCCAACACCTACATACATACACCTCCCGGGCCCAGAAAAGCGAGCTCTCCACTCGCCCTACTGCCCCATCATTCCCGTCCGCGCTCCATTAGACGATTCTCCTCCACCCCCCAGTCTCCGCGCACACGCCAGCTACCTACATAGCCGATACCTCCCCCCCTACACACACTTACATCGCCGTCGCCGCCACCCAAACCCTCTCCCGTTTCTCCCCCGCGCCTGCCAACGAAACCACCCCCCTCCCCTCCCCCCCGCCCACTTACTTATGCACTCGTAACCGGCAACCCCCCTTCGTTCCCCCGTCTCGCCTGCCCGCTATCCTTACTGCCGTCAACTGTTTTATGACGGGCGTCGAGTCGGTGCCCTATACTTCTCACGCTTCCTAGTCACTCGTTACATACATACATACACCGTCCCTCGCTCCTCCGTTCAAAGTTTTATAGCAGTAGGCAGGCAGGCTGGCGGGATATTCGTTCGGTGCACCCACAATAATCGACGTCGAACTCACCTGATTTACCGCGTCTCCTCGTGAAATAACATGACGGCGCGTCAACGTTCCACCAGTTCGCTCTCTCACGCCAGTGGTGCTTCCTCGCCCGGTGGTTACTCGACTAGCACGCTCCACGATCCCGATCCGCTGATCCTGAGCGCGGCCGAGATACCTTCGTTTCACGGCGACTCGTTCCCACAGCATTCTTATGGCACCGACTCACCGTATCCCGCCATGACGGCGACCTATATTCCCTCGGGGATTCCTCCCACTGGCATGTCGAGGCCCCGCGCACATACGAGTGCCGGCGCCGATCAGGGGGGAAACGCGTTCAACCCTCCGCAGATGAGGAACGTGGTGCAGAGGAACTCCATGCTGCCGGTACACACTGGTGCGGGGATGCGGCATGTGTCGACCTCTCAATTGGAGACCAGCGGGCGATTCGGCGGAGGGGGAGGGGGAGGGAATGGTCCAGGAAGTCTAGGAAACGGTCAGTTCGTCCTGCCTCCGCCGCCGTCACAGCCGCCGCCTCCATCATCGCTGCCTGCGATGGCTCGTAACCAGCAAGAGTTCCAGCCCATGTATGCACCGAGACCCGACTATAAGAACTCCTCGGGCTATAACTATCCTTATTCACCTCAGCCGCCTTCGTCATCGCATGGAGTGCCGTATTCCCCGCATCAGAAGCCTCCGCCCCTACAAGTGCCAACCTACAATGCCAACCAGTACAACCCCTCGAACTATAATACCCCTCGGCATCCACCTGATATGTACCGACACCCATCCGCGCAGCTGTCAGAATCATCTTTCCTTCGACTCGATCCTCAAGATGACTACAGGAACCCCCCGCTTTCAGCCGGTCCTATCGGCCGCTCGAGCCATCCGCCCCAATCACCGTTGGTGTCGTCGTTCTCGGTGGCTGCTGACATTGCTGCTCTGTGGTCTATTGACCGTGTAACCGGATACCTGGACCGTCACCGATTCCCAGCCGAGTGGCGCCAGGCGTTCCGAAATCTTAACATCCATGGCGTCGAGTTTTTGGAGTTGGCACATAACCAAGGAATTTTCCAACATGTGCTCCCCGAGGTTCTACGGATAAATCCCGCTTTAGATGAGTCGCAGGAACGTGTGGCTGCGAAGAATATCAAAAAGATGATTCAGGATATTCACCGGCTGGCTCAAGGTGATGAGTACGGTGATATGGCCGCTCCAAGGCAGCAGCAACAGACCATGCGCCGGCCCATCCCCACGCCGAGGAGTTGTACGATGCCCGTGTATTCGGAGGCTGGCGGTTTCAATGGTGCTGGGGGTGATGCAGCACAACGGCCAAACGGATCCGACCCGGCGTTGAGAAGTCGGAGTGACTTTACTAAGTCGATGCTGGGTTCCGTCGATCCGATTCGTCACTCGCCCTCCAATTCCGAGAGTGGTGGAGGTGGAGGTGGAGGTGGGGGTGCCGGACATCGACCATCTGTTCCAGCTTCTCCTCATGGATCGCCACGTCTTTCGCATCAGCTCCCCTCTACTCGACATGGACACTCGAACTCTATGGAATCGAATTCGTCTAACCTGAACCATAGACAAGGCGACGGGAAGAACGACAAAGCCCGCCAGATACTCGGGCTGATCCCTAGGGGCAGTGGTGGCAGCGACAAGGCGGAATCGCCGCATGGGTCGAGCAGGCAAGATCTATTTGAATCGCCGCAGCAGCAACATCAGCAACAGCGACATGGCGGAGGGAAGATACTCGACAAAGTCAAGCGCCGGTGGTTCTCGAGGGATGGGGATATTCACGACGAGGAGTCGCCCACTAGTCCCGGACGAGGGCGCGGACTGGTTAGCTTGCCCTTCGCTGCGTCAGAGAATAATGGCAGCAGTTCTTCGGTCGATAGAGTGTCGGTTTCCTCGGTCGATGGGACCAGGAGACATCGTGCTTCGTATGGCCAACTCCCGACAAGGAACACTCCTGCGTATGTGCTTGTTACGAGGGATGGCAGAGTTTGGATCTTGGTTGATATCACGCTCGCCGAGACTGCGGATGCGGTGCGGAAGGAAATCTGTAGCAACTTGGAGATTGGCGATTGGGAGACTGCTTTGATATACCCCACTGAGCTTGGGCAGAGGGCACATGGTATGGGTTTTTTCGTTCTTTTTTCTTCTTTCGAGATTTTGCTGACGCTTTGGGTAGATGATGTATTTGCGGATAGTATGTTAATGCTCTCCTGTCGGAACAGGGCCGATAGCGTTGCAACGTTGAAGTTATTTGTGCGACCTTCGCCTGGGTCCGCTGTTGAGTCGTCACCATCGTTGGAGAGAGATCTTTCGACATCTCCATCGAAGCACAGTATCTTCCTCTCCGAACCTCGCCCGCTCTTTTCCGAGCGCCGGCCCCACTCAATATCGCTCTCCTCTCCGACTGAGTCTACCTCGAGCACACTCAAGCAGAGTAGCGTGACCAGGAATTTGGTCGAAACCGAAAGTGATCGGGTATCCCCTTCCGCTGAGTATGTAACCAAGGGTGATGAGGGTGGTGATCTTGATGTCTTACGACAGAGATTGGCCGTGCTTCGCAGGCACCAAGAGTCCGGCAACTCAGCTGGCAACCCAAAAATCAATGTCATCCAGCCAAACAGTCCCCTTCCTCCGCCTGCACCACCGCAGGGTTCGGTTCAGCCGTCTCCTAACGACCAGAGTCCACCGCCATATCCTGCTACAGCAGATGCAACAACCGCGAATCTTGAGGACCAACCGCCCGCAACTCCACAGGCCGACTCGGGACCTTCCCCTGCCGGCCCTGAGAATGAGTTGTTCTTTGAGGATCGCAGGGCTTCCTCTCCTTTTGCTTATCCAAATAGCCGTGGTGGATCGGCTGGTGCGCTTACTCTGGAAGCTGCGGCCCGTCAAAAGATGGAGGGACTATCTCAGCAGCAGCAACAACTCCAACAACAGCAGCAGTTGCAACAACTACAACAGCAACAGGCGCTACAACAACAGCAGCAGCAGCAGCAGCAACAACAACAACAACAACGGCCAGCTGAGCAAGGCTTCAAGAGAAACACGAGACCCCCGGATCTTGACAAGGGATTCCAAAAGCCTGGGCAACGACGTATCGTTGATTTCGACAACCCGCGAGCATCGCCTTACGAGGACCGCAAGATGGAGGATCTCATCCCACAAAGAAACCCTCCTCCAGTACCCGTACCCGCAGTTACTCGGTCGTCTTCCGGCTCCTGGACCAGGCTTCAGGCGGCACAGGCACAGGCACAGATGCAGGCTATGAGAAGGGCTGGTGGTGGGGATGGTATGGATAAACCAATGGTACAGGTGCGCCGACATGACGGACATCCCGGATCGCCAGCACGGAATAGTGGTGGTCCGGATCCTTCGGCTGGTATCGGTTCCTCGTTGATATCGGCTGGTGCACTTTCCGCCAGTATCACTGGAACCCGGATTCCCGGTGTGCGAAAGGAGGTGCCACTGCGACAATCGTCTCACGAGAATCAGACTCTACACCAGAGGGCGCTTTCGAATGGAAACTTCAATGGCCCTGCATCGCAGAAACTCAAGGTGATCATTCCTACTGGTGGCCGCCCGGTATCCCAGAGTATGAGTCCGATGAATATGACTCCTCCCGTCATTCCCAACCCTGCGCTCGGACATGAGACGCCATTCAGGGAAAATGACGTGCAATTCACCAAAGCGCTTCCAGTCGCTGTGGCGGACTCTCAAGCGGATGATGATGATAGTGACAGCGATGATGGACTATTTGCAAGGCCCGTCATTCGAGCTAGTGGCGGTGAGCCGGCGAAGCCTGCTCCTGCGCCCCAGCCGCAAGAGGCATCTGAAAAGCCGAATCTGTCCATTACCACCAGCACCACGAAGTCGGTGAAGTTTAAGTCACCTACGACGACATCAACCACCGGCAGTGGAAGTAACACCACTGCGCAGACACCACTGACCCCAGAGTACGAAGAGGGCGACGACCGACGGGGATTCAACTCGCCGACGGTATATAACAACTCTGTCCCGAGCTCTGCCACAGGACTTCCCCATTCGCCCGCCGACTACTCCCGTCTAGGCCGTCGCGACTCGTTCCGGAACGATGTGTGGGCATCTCGTCCCGCCCCCGAAGCGCTGATCAAGCGTCTCGACGACTTCTTCCCGGATCTGGACCTGGACCAGCCGATTATCGACGAGAGCAACATCTCTCCACCACCGTCACCGGCAATGCCCGGAAAACCACAGTCGTACCAACTCAGTGACCCACCGGTGCCCAGGTTTGACCAGGATATTGACGATTCGTCAACAATGGGCTCGATGATGGCCGTGCCCATGAACAGGGGCAAAGCGGTTGCCCAAAGGAATGTCGGGCGATCTGGCGGACTGGGCAGAAGGACCACTATCCGTGACGTTGCAAAGCGTGCTCACGAGCCGAGGCGTCCTTCGCAACCTCAGATTGAAGGCCTTAAGAATAATGATATACTACGGAGGAAGAGTACCAAGTTATTTGGTGCCAAACTTATCGAGATTAAGGGAAAGCGCGGAATGCAAAATCGCCAAACGAAGATTCCCGAGCTATCGCAGCCGCAGCAGTTCGGTGGCACCCCCACCAGACAGGCCACGTTTAAGTGGTACAAGGGTGAGCTCATCGGCAAGGGGACGTACGGCAAAGTGTACCTGGGCATGATCGTCACCACCGGAGAGTTCATAGCCGTTAAGCAAGTCGAGGTGTCCAAGAGCTCTGGCGATGCCGAGCATCAGAAAGAGTTGATCGCCGCATTGAACCAGGAGATCATCACCATGGAGCATCTCGACCACGTGAACATCGTGCAATACCTCGGCTGCGAACGCGAAGATTTTGGTACACACATGAGCATCTTCCTCGAGTACATCCCCGGAGGCAGTATCGGCAGTTGTCTCCGCAAGCACGGGCGATTCGACGAGCCCATGGTCCGCAGTCTCACGCGACAAACCCTCAGCGGACTGGAGTACCTCCATCGCGAGGGAATCCTTCACCGCGATCTCAAAGCCGACAACATCCTCCTCGACGTCGACGGCACCTGCAAGATCTCGGACTTTGGCATCTCGAAGAAAACAGACAACATCTACGGCGACGATCCGGGGAACTCAATGCAAGGCTCGGTCTTCTGGATGGCGCCCGAAGTCATCCGGCCAGAGGCTCAGGGCTACAGCGCAAAGATCGATATCTGGTCGCTCGGATGCGTGGTGCTCGAGATGTTTGCGGGCCGCAGACCGTGGAGTAAGGAGGAGGTCATCGGTGCCATCTATAAACTCGGCTCCGAACGTCAGGCCCCACCCGTACCCGACGACGTCTCTTCGGTCATCTCGCCGAGCGCTATCGGTTTTTTAGCGGATTGTCATACCATGTGAGTTCTTTCCCTCCCTCCTCTGTATCCTGTACAAGGCTAATGAAAGAAAAGCGAGCCATCCGAACGCCCAACGGCCAAGACGCTGCTCGAAAAACACGAGTTCTGTGAAGTCGACCCGAACTACGATTTCTCAAAGACGGAGCTCTATAAGAAGATTCAGCCGAAACAGACGTAATCCTATTTACTACTACTCACTCACTCATTCACCCCTCTCATTGCATGGCATACATTGCATGGCATAATTCTCCTTTTTTTAGCGTGTTTTTTTGAGCGTTTTTTATTCCCCATTCATCATTGCGTTGCTTGGAGGTTTTCTTTGTATCGTGCTTTGATCTGGTTTTGGTTTTTTGGCGCATGGGCGGGAATGGGAGGGTAGGAGGGGTAAGAGGGATGGGAGAGGTGGGAGGGATGGGTTGTATGTGTATTGATGTGACGGTCGGTTGGGTTTTGGGGGTGGAGACGGTGATGTACAGGAGTAGGTGGGTAGGTTTGGTTAGGTGGGCAGGCTGGGACTGTGTTGTGATTGGCTTTTTGGAGCTTTTTGGAGCTTTTTGGGCATGACTGTGGAAGGCGGCGGTGTGGAATGCGGTACTTAGGTAGGCGGTGTGTGGTGTGTGGTGTGGGGTAAGTGGGTGGGTAATATATCTATGGCGTTTTTATCACTTGGGACTCAATGAATGAAACCATCTCCGTCATATAGATGCTGTAGCTCTACCATCAAAAACGACAGATATGTATGCATGAAAACCGCGAATATCCCAGGCCAAGTGAACTCCCATAAAACAAATCCCTACATAGGTAGCCTACTTCTTCAACTCGTCAACAGCCACGGGTTGGTCCTCTCCGATCGCCGGCACCTCCGTCTCCATCTCCACCTCCACCTCTGTCTCCGCCGCTGCCGCTGCCTCCTCCGCAGCCGCAGCCTCCACAACAGCCTCCTTCTCCTTCTCCTCCTTCTCCCTCTTCTCACCATCCCACTCATCAACCATCAGCTTGGCCACATTCATGCCCATAAGACTGCTGGTCTCCATAGTGCTAATAAACGCCTCAACCGCGCCGGTATACCACAGCCCGTTGGCAAGCTTCGTCTCATCGAACGTGACGCGGGGGTACACATAAGGGTACGACTTCCATATGTGTCTATGCAACCAGGTAACCTGCTCCTCCATCCCCTCCATCCCCTCCTCCTCGGCGGTGGCGCCAATAATGGCGCGCACCCTATCGTCGCCGAAGCGCGCGGGGGAAAAGACCTTGTACACGTGCTCCGTCTGTCCGCTGGGGCGGACGACGGTGCGGAGTGTAGAAATGCTGAAGAACCCGGTGTTGCCGACGGCGTGGACGCCCTCGCCGCGGAGGAGGTCGGGGTCCGCGCGCTCGGTGGCGTTGAGCGTGGTGATCACTGCTTGCGGGACTGCGGTGCCGGGGGGGAGGTGGAAGTAGCCTGGGTCGAGGCGGCGGGGGGAGGCGAACAGCGTTACGTGCAGGGTTACGAACGGGATTGTGTCTGGGGTTTTGGCCAGTGGTGGGAGCACGGAGAGCACGGAGTACTGCCATGGCCCCGCGACGATCACCTCGTCGTATACCTCCGACGTGGCGATGGGCGAGCCGTCTTTCTGCGACGTAACGATCCACTCGCCGGCATCATCGTTGCGCTCGAGCTTGGTTACGGCTGTTTGTAATCGTAGGTCTACTGCGCTGTGCTGCACCATCCCCTCGAAGATCCGCCAGTTCCCGCCCTGCACGCTGACGGCGCCGTCGGTCGCCATGCAGACCATCGTCTCGAGGCCATGGATGAGGCCGAGGTTCTGGCCGTAATTGACGCGGGTGGACGCCTGGATGAGGTCCTGTGCGAAGGCGGTCGAGATGCCGTTCTGCTGCAGGAACTGCTCGCCGGTGGTGCCGACGGCGGGGAGGAGCCCTGCCGCCTCCACCGCGGAGGATAAGGAGCGGAACGGGAACAGCGGTGCCTGGTACATGGCCAGGAACTTCCCCACCACCGCGTCCGTCAGCTTCTTGGTCCGGTACGGGCTCGTCGGCCCGTACTTGTAGAACAGCTTTGCGAGCGTCCACCACGAGCCCTCGGGGAACGTGAAGACGAAGTCGGTGCCGTCGTAGACGCCGAGCACGTCTGCAGCTGCCTCCTTCGTCGGTGGTGCATTGGACACCGAGGACACCGAGAGCCCGAATTCGGCCGCGGCGTTGACCAGGTTGTGGTTGATCGAGACGAATATCGAGGCGCCGAGCTCGATCGGCAGCGAAGGGTCGTCGTAGGCGTTGACGGTCGTTGAGCGGCCCCCGACGTACGCGTGCTTGTCAAAGACGGTGATTTCCACGGGCAGCCCGGACACGGTCGAGTTGGCGAGGTATTTGCGCAGGTAGTAGGCCGACGAGGAGCCCGCGGCTCCGGCACCTGAGGGTTACGCGTTCAGTGAGCCATTCCGTCTAGGTACCAACTACGACACGGATGGTGCGGGGATAGGATGGAAGTGGGAAGTGGGAAGTTGGAAGTGGGTAGGTACCGATGATGGCAACACGCTTTCCCTCGCGCTTGGGCTTCTTCTCGACGACGGCTTGGTCGGGCACGGCGGTGGGAGCTTCATTCCCGTCCGACAAGGTCAACGCGAGCACTTTCTGGCGGAGTGTCGACAGGAATCCGGCCTCGGCGGAGTGAACAAAGAGACATAGCGCGACGAGGAGCACGATGATGGTGATTGGGCGACGGCGGCGGTGGGACGCCATTGCTTGGACGATGACGTCTAGCTATCTGGGACTATGGTCGGATGGATGAGCTTCGGCTTTGTAGATATGAGGGTATGTGTGTAAAAAGGGTCTGTTGGGTTTGGCAGTTGGGATTGAGGTGACAGGTGTCGGAAAGTAAACAACGGGCTCCGCACTCACGTACGAGTAGTTGTGGCAAGTGGGCTCGAGCTTATGGTAGGTACTCGTGGGTACCGGTACGGTAGGTAGCAGATGAGCCTTGCGTTAACCACAGGATGACTGATGGGGGGAAACTGTCCACACGGCGGGATACCCGGTGGAGGAGGTGGTGGTGGATGGCCACTCGATTTTACATACAAAGGACTCGCAGTTACGGTAAATTAAAGTAAGGCCACGCAACCAACACCCAACACCCAACACCCAACACCCAACACTCTGTAAGGGTTTTAGTTACATAACTACACATCTCGGTCCTTGAAGAAAAGCCAAGTATGATGAATCCGCCAGCAACTAGAGTAGAGCTCGTACTAGTGACTACTGCTGCGCAGGGTTCACCACCACGGTGAGATGGAACGGTGGATGACTGGACGGGGGCTAGCCGCATAGCGAGTAGGCCGACTCATCTTGCGAGGGTGGTGTGTGTGGAAGCGAGAGGAAGGTGGCATGTGCAAAGTGGAGACGAATCGCATCATGAGTTTCCTCTACTCAAGAGATTGACCTAGACCCTGAGCCCTAATGGCGGAGGTTGCAGAGGTCGCAGAGGTTGCACATGGAGGGGGATCCGATGCTGGTATGTACCGTACAGTACATACGAGTAACAACGGGAAGTGAGAGTCAGCTATGGCCACGGGGAGGAGGGCGGTAGAAATTGGGCGATTGCGGCTCGGATTCTTATGGATGGCCAGGCGTAGATGCTATGTATACAGATCTGTCGTTTTGCAGATGTGGGATTTCGGTGCTTCTGGACACAGCATTCCTAGATAGATTTATCGTCACGGAAGTGATTCTGTGCTGCCGGTCTTTATCGTGATCACCATCAACACTATCGACCGTGAAGCCATTGGCCGCACAATCCTCAACCACCGATCATGATGCCCGCCGGTGCCACGAATCCGCAGAGATCCACATCACAAGCGTGCACCAGCTTTAACAGCTCATCAGGAGCATCCTCGTTGACAAGATTGCGCCAGCACGCCTCGAAGACCCCGAGCACAGCAGAGAATTACATCTATCCGACGCAGAGTGCCTGCAGCATTCCAATTTTCGATGCCGCACCGCCTCCGAATGCCACAATGCTACCATACCATACCTACATACCTGGGACCGGACGCAATCGCTCCTCAAACATCCCGTTGCGCAAAAGTGCGGTTCTTTCCCCTCAGCCCGCCAGGCATCGTGGGCCGAAACATGGCCGGGAGCTGTCCACGGCAGCGGGAACACGGGCGATCCGTGGAGTGCTGCGGAAGAAAAGTTCTTCTAGAAGAGAAATGTGGATCAGAACGAAGGCCATGTTATACTGGGACTTCCTTACCATGCACGATATGAGATAGATGAAGTCCCAAGGACGGCGGGGATTATTGGGACGCACGGGAGCTAAGCCGCATACAGTCAAGAGGCGATCGTGGCGGAAGTCGGAGTGAACTAGGGGAAGAAAAAAAAAGCGGAAGACGTGAAAGTGAAGCGTGGTGACGCGGAGAAGAGGGCAGATATCGAATCACCGTCGTCCGCCATTGCGTCCACCGACACGGATTGAGCTGAGTCCGATCTCAAGTGTCCGCTTCGTGGTGACGTCGGAGTAAAGCAGGGGGAAAAGGGCGAAAGACGGGAAAGTGAAGCGTGGGGATGCGGAGAGGGGCAGATATCGAACCATCGTCGTCCGCCATTGAGTCTGCCGACACGGATCGAGCCGGGCCCGGTCCCAAGTATCCGCTTCGTAGCGAAGGGGCCTCGTCCGTGGGTTCGTGACGCTCGTCGGGCTTTTCTGTTGGAGTATGTAGGTAGAGTACATAAATACCTTCACACGGCAAAAAGAACCTGCATAACCAGAGCTCCATGATGCACGATAACTAAGTCCTTGCTTATGCCTACTAAAGCAACAGCTCCAAGCTCCAAGCTCCGAGATCCCAGCTCCGAGCACCCGCATGAAGAAGTGATGGACACGAAGCATTCTTCAGCTTCGAGGGATTCGCCATCATCGCCAGCGTCACCCTCGTCCACCGAGAGTACGTGCAGAATCTGCAGATGCGTACCTGCTTCTCAGAAACTGTTGCCAGTACCTGCGTATACCTACCCACTTGGGTGCGTGGTGAGTATCCAACTACATACCCCGCGGCCGTTAGCAGTAACCACCGTCCTGAGCCCGTGTCCGATCGAACATATCTCGGCCCCTTCGTGTTTGGCCGTCCGGCCTCCATGAATCTTTTCCGTCCGGTCGAATTTAATCGAATACATCTCGGCCACTTTGTCCGTGGCCGCCCTGCCTCCATGAAGCTCTTCCGCTCAGCGGAGCCCGAGCAAACACATCTCGGCCACCTCATCTTTGGCCGTCCTGCCTCTATAAAATTCTTCTGTCCAGCCAACCCTTGTGGAACCGAAACCGAAAGAAAAAAAACTCCCCCCCTCCCCCTCTCCCTGGCCCCTACCTCACTCTTACTCCACATACCGCTTGCATATATGCTTGTTCCTTCCTAGCAGCTAAGCAGCTGTTTTACCATGCCAACAGCCAGTCAAGTCGTCGAAACATTCTCGACCGGTCCGTCGCCCTACCTAAATTGATTCCCGCACACCCTCCCGGCCAGGTCGTCCTCCTTCCCACCTACTTACCCCGTCACCCCCGTCTCCACCCGTCCAACGAACCCGCCTGCGTCCGCTACTACTACTCTCGCCTCACGCTCGCTAGCTCCCTCCGTTCAACCAGTCGTCCACTCCTTCACTCCTCCCTTCCTTACAGGAGGATCAAATGTCTCGGCCTTGTCGCTGTTTCTTCTTATTGTAGAGAGTAGCTCCCCTACGACTCGCACACTCCTTCAACCACAAAAAACCCACAACAACCACCGCCACTACCACTACCATCATACCACTCCTTTGCAACGTCTACCCACCGCTGCTCTCGGGACCCATCCGCGAGACTCGACTCGACAACGACGAAACACTGCCAGCTGACTCGAACAACCGAACAACCGTAGAGCTATAGATAGCTACCTATCTCGCCGTCTACCGCTCTTGCTTCAAGACAACCTTACCTCAGGATGCGTTCGATCCTTTCGTTCATCGGTTGCTGCATCCTCTGGGTCGTTGCCGTCCCCTACTTGGTCGTCTATGTCACCTTCCAGCTCGTGGCTTCCCTCCTCGAGCTCCCGAGGTTCATCTACCGCTGGCTCCTGCACTCTCCCGTGCTTGAGACCGAATATCATCTTCCTCAAGCCTATGCTCTCATTACTGGCGCCTCCGATGGTGTGGGAAAGGCATTGGCCGAAGAGCTTGCCAACCGCGGTGTAAGCTACTCCAGCAACCCCCCCCCCCCCCCCTCTGTTCTGTCACTCCACCCTCACCCCACCTATCTCCTACCTACCCCCCCACCTTTAGACCTCTCAGCTAAACTAATATTCCTCTCGCAGTGGAATTTGATCCTGCACGGACGTAACCCCACCAAGCTTGACGCCCTGGCCGATATACTACGCGCTGCTCACCCCACCATCGACACCCGTGTGACGGTGCAGGACACAACGCACTCGACCTCGTTCCCTGACCTCTTCGCGCACAACCTCGTTAACTTGCTTGGGCCCATCACCTTGCTGGTCAACAATGTCGGCACCCTACACAGCGCCGTCCCCTTCTGTGCTCTAACCTCGGACGAGATCAATGCCGCACTGCTCACCAACATTGCGTTTCCCACTTTGCTCACACATTACCTCCTGTCGTCCCCCGTCCGCCGCCGTGGTAGTGACACGAGCGCGTATGCCATGAGCCCCAGGGCGGCAGAAGAAAACTCACCCCTTCTCGGTGGTGGTGGTGCCAAGGGCGGTGTTCAGTGGGAGCTCCGCTGCATCATGAACATCTCATGCATCGCCGGTCTCCACGCGACGGCCCACTCCTCGGTCCACTCGGCCACCAAGTCGTACCTCACTAGTCTCTCCCGCGGCATCGTAATGGACGCGCCCGCCGGTATCGAAATTCTCAACCTGCTGATCGGCCACACCCGTACCGCCTCGTGGCGCGGCAAGAACTCAATGCTGGTCCAAGACGTCGACGCGTGTGTCCGTGGTTGTCTCGCTGCGGTGGGCTTGGGAAAAACGCGTGGACATGGACGCGGAAGCCGTGCCTGGGGCTGCCAGGACATACTGGGACTGGGATCGATGGGCGGCCGCGGCGAAGGCGTGTACGTCTATTGGCTTCACGAGCTCTGGGTCGGTCTGGAGCGTGTCCTCCCCGGGCGGGTCTCGGATGGCCTGGCGGCGTACTACGATGGCATCTTTGGGCGCGAAGTTGCACTCTTCTAAGGAGAGGAGAGAGAGGGGAAAAAAAAGCAGTAAATGAATTTGAATTCTTGGGATAAATGGGGTTTCGGGCTGGGGTTGGGGTTTTTAAAAGTGATTTTTTTTGTTTTCTTTCTTTCTCTTTCTCTTTGCTTTTTTCTTTTTTCTGTTCTTTACTTCAAGGGGGCGTTCAACTCGTTTTCTTTTCTTTTCGTTTCGTGACAAATGGGCTACGCTAGTTACTAGTAGTATGGTACTTGGGGTTTTCATATGCTTGATTCTTGCAATTGCAATTCGGGAGGGGTTTTGTCTTTTTGTTTTATCTTTTTTGTCTTTGGTCTTGTCCTGTTGTTTTTTGTGTGTTTACTTTGCGTTCAACACAGTTGTATATCACATCCAAAAGTCTTTTTTCCCCGTTTCCTTTTCCTTTTCCTTTCCTTTTCCGTTTCCTTGGTCCTTTTCCTTTTCCTTTTCCTTTTCCTTTTCCTTTTCCTTTTCCGTTTCCGTTTCCTTTTCGTCTACTACAAGTATTGTACTGTTGTATATCACCTGGGTTCGGTCGGTTCGGTCAAGTTTTGGTTGTGGTTGGTTTACAGTAACAGAATGGAGAATGGAGAATGGAGAATGGAGAATGGCATTGGGCGGTTTGTCTGTACGATTCTGGACAGATACCACAGTACACCTCATGGCTGGCTTCTTGAGGATTTCGAGCTCTGGAGGGAATACCTGGTTGGTCGCTGTACTGTTACGCTCAATTGGGCTGCGTCCGGACTCGACGAAAGGCAATGCTTGGAGAAGAAAGAATCTAGGACGAGGCATATCCTGCTGTTTAAACCATCAACAACACATCGTTGTTGTAAGTAGCGGAAGTTCAATCACTCATAGCAGTCACGACAAGTGAATCAATAACAGAATGAAGGGCAATCGTTGATTCGATTCATATCCTCATCAGCGTTGAGACTATGAGCATATATCTTACATATAGTATACGTCCCTCCGCAAAACCCATCCCACCATCCGTCGCGGAAAAAAACAAGCCATCCCAAAAACACCATCGAATCATGTCCCATGACCCGAGTAAAACACTGTGAGTTGAAGCACTTTTCGCACCACATGACCCAGAAAAAGGAAAAAGGAAAGGCTAGGCATACAAAAAAATCAAGAGATTAAGTAGAAATGAAGATTTAGATGGGCAGGGGGAAAGTGGAAGCCCAGGCACAGATCTCCTTCTTGAGCTCCTGAAGTTCGGGAACACCGGCAAAGACCTTGGTCTTGAAGTCCTTGAGCTTGTTATTCTCCTTAGGCAGCTCGCTCTGGATCTTCTTGGCCAGGGCGATGCACTGATCAATGTAGCCAGCGACGCGGACGAAGTCCTGCTCCGAGAAACCACGGGTGGTGGCAGCGGGGGTACCGATACGGATTCCGCAAGGGGTGAGCGCAGACTTGTCGCCGGGGATGGCGTTCTTGTTGCAAGAGATGTTGACAGCCTCGAGGACGGCCTCGACACGGGCGCCATCGAGGGCCTTCTCGCGCAGGTTGAGGAGAACCATGTGCGAATCGGTTCCGTCAGAGACGAGGTTGTAACCCAAACGCTTGAACTCGACTTCCAGGGCCTTCGCGTTCTTCACCACTTGCTGCTGGTAGGTCTTGAACTCCGGGGTCATGGTCTGCTTCAGGGCAACAGACAGAGCAGTGATGGTGTGGTTGTGGGGACCTCCCTGGTGACCGGGGAAGACACTAGTGGGCGAGTCAATAAACTTGATTCCAAAAATCGGTGATGAGAATTGGAGAGAAAGATTCATAGGTCAGAAGGAAGGCAACGGAAAATATCCACACGGTTTTGCGCCATCGGTAGACAATGATTTACATCCGAAAGTTTTTCATCATATGAATCTTGGGGCAGGAACGAGGCATGGAAAGAAGAGATGACCGGAGTTGCAAACCTGAAGTTGATGGGGTTCTCAAGATCGTACAAGGTCTTGTTGCCCTTGGCATCGACCTTGCGGACACCACGACGGAAGAAGATCATGGCACCACGGGGACCACGGAGCGACTTGTGGGTGGTAGTGGTGACGATATCGGCATACTCGAAGGGGCTCTTGATGACAGCAGCGGCAACGAGACCGGAGATGTGGGCCATGTCAACCATCAGGTAGGCACCGACGGAGTCGGCGATTTCGCGCATGCGCTTGTAGTCGATCTCACGGCAATAGGCGGAAGTTCCGGCAACGAGAACCTTGGGACGGTAGAGGACGGCGTTCTTGGCCAGCATGTCGTAATCGATGATGCCGGTCTCCTCGTTGACACGGTAGGGCATGGTCTCAAAGTAGGTGGACACAGCAGAAATCCTGGGAACAGTCAGAATGAGTTTCAAAAAGCAGAAAGGAGATGCGGATAACTGACTTCTTCTGAGGAGTCTGATATCCGTGGGACAAATGACCACCGTGGGGCAGGTCGAGGCCCATCAGACGCTCGTGAGGGCGCATGATAGCCTGGTAAACCTGCAAGTTCGCAGGGGAACCGGACAGGCACTGGACGTTGACACCCCACTTGTCACTGGTGACGCCGAAAGCGGCGAGAGCACGCTCCTGGCAAAGGATCTCGACGGAGTCGATGTGCTCATTGCCACCGTAGTAACGGGCTCCAGGGTATCCCTCGGAGTACTTGTTGGACATAACTGATCCAAGGGCATCGTAGACGGAGCGCGAAGTGATGTTCTCGGAAGCGATCAGAGGAATGTTCTCACGCTGACGCTGGATTTCGCGTTGCTGGAAGCGAGGGTTACGTCAGTGTCAAGACTTGAGAATGCAGGGTCAATGGGGATTATGAACATACCACGAGCTCGTAGACCTCAGGGTCAGTCTCCTGGAGAGACTTCTCGAGCATCTAATGCCATGAAAATGTCATGAGTCAATTGGCCTTCAATAGACGCAGAAGAAATCAATGGTTGTGAAGAGGCGGACTAACATCCTTGTGGGACTGGGGGAGTGCGTAAGTCATTTTGTGAAATGTGAATGTTGCAGAAGATTGAGTTCAAGCAACGAGAGGGTGGGATTGTTTGATAGAGGAGAGAGAAGAGGAGGAGAAAGGAGCTGTGATGTGGGGCGGCGGGGCAGAGTTTTGTACTCCTTTGCTTTTGGTGGGGGGATTAACGCTAAAATCACAATTTTTTCGCCAATCGATTTCTCGGCCATGTTACACTACAACATTGCGGGATTTGATCCTACGAAATCCGCGAGGATGACTCTGTGTAGGTAATATGGACTTCTCGACCGGGCGATCTCTTCTAGTTTCTTCTTGCTTTTCGTGTCTAACCATGGAACACGGCTCTCCGCCACGGCGTGGTCCATCATTAGTCGTCACTCATGTTCGGGCGTTTATTTGTAACGGATTTTGTCTGACTGTCTGCAGTGAACCCCCACATAACTGTCATCACGAAATGGACCCCCACTTGGGGTTCCTCGGAGAATTGCCATGACGCCCATTTACTATAAGACATGATTCTTGAAGTAACACTGTGCTGTTCTGTGATATCTCCGTGGTTCCTAATGTATCAAACACCGAGAAAAAAACGCTCGAAAAGCAAGAAAGCAATTAGATAATTGACAAAAACACCACCCTTCCCATCCTTTTCCCTTCATCGCTCGTATACACTGCCATTTACCAATACCAGTTCTTTTCAAACCGATATGAACACCAAGATGTCTTAGCCTTCGCTTCCAAAATCCCGAGTCCATTCCTCGCTCTTCGAAATATCTTCCCTACTGACAGTTGGCCTCGAGTTCTTGACCGCCTTGATGAAATCCTTCAGCGTCAACGATGGCTCGAGAAGTCTCTCTCCGTCCACCTGCTCCCATGTCATCTCCATGGCCCCCGGGTCTCCCGGGGAGCACGGAGTGAGCTTCGTTGATCCGTCCGGCATCAGAACTTGCTTGTAGTGCGTCGCGCTTTGGATCTTTCGGACGGGCTGCATCAGTGCGTCTTGGGCGACGATGCTGATGTCGCTACCCGTGAAGCCTTCTGACATCTCGGCGAGCGTTCGGAAGTCCTGTGGTACAAGTTCGCACGGTGTCTTACCCACGGCGAGCTCGAACATTCGGACGCGACTTCGCATGTCGGGGATGGCAATGTGGATTCTTCTCTGAAATCTGGTCTCCCGTTAGCCGGAGCCCCCAGTAGGCTTGCAGACAGGAACGTACCGTCGTCGGATGGCAGAGTCCAACTGCCATGGAATATTGGTTGCACCCAAGACCAACACGCCGGAACTGTCGTGCCCAACACCGTCCATCTGCACCAACATCTCGGTCTTGATACGTCTGCTCGCCTCGCTCTCTCCGTCTCCTCGAGTTCCACACAAAGCATCCACCTCATCGATGAAGATGATAGCAGGCTTGTTCTCCCTCGCCATAGCAAAGAGCTGCTTCACAAGCCTCTCACTCTCACCCATCCACTTCGAGACCAAGTCACTACTGCTGACCGAGAAGAAAGTGGAGTTCGCCTCGGTGGCCACCGCCTTCGCAAGGTAGGATTTACCGGTACCCGGAGGACCGTAAAGCAAGATACCGCGCCACGGTTTCCGGTTTCCGGTTGCAAAAAGCTGCGGAAATTTGATGGGTAGAATAACGGCTTCCTTCAACGCCTCCTTCGCAGCATCTAGACCCGCAACATCTTCCCAGCGGACATTCGGTGTCTCAGTTAGAATGGCACCCGAAAGGGCACCACGCAGTTTCTTAGACTCGGCGTCTAGTCCGTCATCACCGTCGTCGCCCTTCGCCTTCGCCCCCGCACCACCCGTACTGGAGCCATTCGCACCCATCTTGCTCGGCTTCTTCTTGTTCTGATCGTTGTTGAGATGTTCCTTGAGCGTTTCCGCGCGCTCCATGTACTGGTTGAGCTTTGCGCGGATGGTACTTTTGGACTGGGCACTCTTCTCCCATTTCAATGCCAGCATGAACAGCTCGAGCGACGCGTGGTACTGCTGGTAGGCCGCATCGTAGTTGCCGGCATTGTCCTCTTCAATCGCCTTCTTGACGATTTTGATCGCTCTCTGAGGGGAACGTCAGCTTTCCGTGTGACTGTGGCAAATACGAAGATCGCGGAGGGTTCGTACGCCGAGGAAATCAGGATCCGACATCGCGTCGTGTTGTTGGGGACGAGGTATGGAGATTCGTGGAAGCACTGGGTGCTAGGAAGGTGTAAGGCGGGGTGCCGAGCACGACCAAATGGGAAACCTGGCAGTTGAAGCGTCATGTCAGCGAGTCTCCGTAGGGATAGCATATATACTCTAGATAGTCCACACATGGTACGTACCCCAAATGTGCAGAAGGTACGTGGGTACGGTTGCAGTGTCTGTGTCGCGAGATCTGTGTAAGGTTGTAGTTCGGCCGGTGGGAAGGTTGATCAAAGGCAAGGTGCTTGTGGTGGGGAGGTTGTTCACCTGATACGTTAGACTGAAATGGTAGGTGCAGCAGCCAAAGCAATCGATACGCATCATGTCGCTTGGCATCTTTGAGTAAGATCCAACCAACCCCACGTCTGCCCCACCATACACCCACGACCACCGAAATTCGAAAAATGGCCGACAGCCAGCTCTTGCAGAGCCTTTCCGATGAATTTCAAGCGCTCCAGAAAGGTCGGTCTCTTGCTCCGATGCTTCATCAGTGCTGACTCTACTGTAGACCTGAGTACCGTGGTTGAGGCGCGTCAGAAACTCGAGTCGCAATTGCAGGAAAACCAGTCCGTGCAGAAAGTACCGAACGGAGCGCCCGTACGTGTGCGAGATCCAGATTGCTGATGCACTGGTCGTTATAGGAGTTCAGCGGGCTGGAAGACGATGCCAACATCTACAAGCTGGTTGGCCCGGTGCTTCTGAAGCAGGACAAAGCGGAGGCCGTCATGAACGTTGACAAGCGTTTGGAATATATCCAGTCGGAGATGTGCGTATATGTGGAGTCGCCGAGGATCAAGTGGCCACATGGCTGATATCACCGTGGATAGAAAACGGATCGAAGGCCAGATTAAGGATATCGGCGACAAGCAGGACAAGAAGAAGATGGAGATCATGCAGGTGCAGCAACAGCTTCAGCAAGCGGCAGAAGCGGCGCAGGGATGATGTGCGATTCATGGCGATACCAAAATATCTTGTAGAAGACGTTCTATGCTCGTGGCACCGCACACGGGATATGCTCGTAATAGAACAGTCCACCTCAATCACTACAAGGCACCCTACAGATGCAGCCATGATATAACACCCATTACCCAGTTTTATTCGACTCCTGCGCAGCTACTCCTCCCTGCTCCTGCTCTTCTTCTTCTTCTTCTTCTTCTCCCCATCCCCAGAAGACTTTTGTCGCTTCTTTTTCCGTTCCGGCGATCCCTCCTCCACGTGGGTCTCTCCTGCCCCGTCCACATCCATTGCATCCTCTGCAGCCATATCCACATCATCCACAGACCCGAAAGGTCGGAATCGCATCCGTAGACCCTCAGGCTGCAGGCGAACGGGTTGCCTTTCCGGAACGTCGTCTTTCGATATTTTGGGCGGCCGAGGTAAGCTCTCCACAATACGGAATGCCTTTGTTATAGGTTGTCCAACTAGACGCAAATCAGCACCCCGACTCAAGCAACCGTCCCAATTGCCTCAAACCTGCTCTGTAAACGCCCTTGTGATCCGGAGCCATGATGGACACTCCCGCTCCCGCCTCCAAAACATCCTCATCGGCCTTCAAATAGTAAGCCCTCCCGCCCTTTGTCTCCAACACAGCATTTCCCTTAGCGACATCGGCAGCGCTGAAGGAAGGAAGCTTCGACAGTGGCGCATTGGCGGGCGCGGTAAAGAACCATAGCTGCTTGCCCTTCAAGTTCGCAGCCGAGAAGGGATCCGAGTCGCGCGCGGCATCGTCTGACGACAGCGGGGTGAAGTCCTCTGGAGGTTGGTATCTGTATGTCTTGTCTCTATACGCGCAATCAGCAGTTGCTCCCCAACCCCAACCCAAGAGGTGAATCTCCCATACTGCGGCTCTTCCTCCTCCTCTTCCTCACTCTCGGACTCGAGATCGCTGTCGGCGATTTGTTCGGCGGACTTCTTGGGCGGCAGTAGTTCCGTCGGTTTCGATTTTGTGGACTTTTTGGGCTTGGTGGTAGATGCCATCTTTTTGGTGGAGTTTGCTTTCTCGACCATGGCTTTTTTGTGTCAGTGGTGGGGGATTAGCTTTGGGTGTAAATCGATCTAAAGGCGAAAAAAAGTTTGTGCTATGTAGGCGGCACGAGTTACACAGAAGAGCCGCAGCGTTTATCGCGACTGGGACGCGTCGGGACGCGACAGGCAACAGCGAGCAGACAAACAAGAAATAGACGATCGGGAGGACTGAGAGAGATGTATAGAGCGACTCATAGACAAAATGGAGGGATTGGAGTGCGCGTGCAGTTAAATTCACAGTGTTTTGAGTAACTGTCGAGTGACAAAAAAATTGTGACTTCTCGGAAAATTGGCGGCTCTGCAGGCATAGCCTCGAATTCAGACTTTGCCCTCTTCCAGAGTCCTCGATCCACAAGCTGCCACCATGCCGACGAAAGAAACGAAAGAAGCCACGGCAAAGCGTAAGAAGGCCTCATTCCCTCTCGAGACAACTACGGCCAATTGACGACTGAAGATCTTAGCTGCGCCCAAACTCAGCGCACTCGCCCAGCGACGACTTCGCACACAGCAGACCGCAGCGCAATCGCCGACACCGTCCACGGCTCCTGCTACTCGTTCTCCTGCGGTCGAAGCCAGTACGGAAAGGCCGGCGAAGAAGGAGCGGCATGAAGACCTTACGGCGGAAAACGAAGAGTTGGCGCGGCAGCGGGCAGAGATTGAGAAGAGATTGCTCCGGCGAGTGAAGGAAGTCCAGGGTGATCTGGTGGACACTCCTATGGCGGAGGTTTCTACAGTGAATGGCACTGTTAAAGAAACCCCGGTTGATAGCCCTCCGAACAAGGTGGAGGAATCTGCGTTGGCCAGAATCAAGAGGGAACAAGAAGAGAAGAGGATGGCCGGCGCATTTACCGACGAAGATATCGAGATGATGAGTGTTGGAGAAGCAACGGATGAAGACGAAGCTGTTGCCTCTGTGCCTGAGAGGCTGGTATCCCTATTGCCCCGTGCAGCAGAAACGGCTGGCTAATTTGAAGGCATTTCTAGTCTGGTTCCAAGGACGACACAAATCTCGAGTTTCGTGCCAACGGATATAAATTATACTGACAACGGCTCGTCAACGATTTTTCGGCTGCAGCCGGGCGAGGTATGCCATTTTCACTCTTGGTCGTGCGCTGGGCGTGGCTCTAATACATTCCTAGAATCTCGTTCTCGTTGGAATATATAAGCTCCACGTAATTAAAGGCACAGTCAAGGTCTCTGGCGCGAAGTTTTCGGAGGATTCTGGTGTGCACACAGTCTATGCGCCGATGACCCATTCACTACCAGTGATCGAAGCTGCCTCGAGACGGAGAAAGTCCAACGGCGGCGATGGTTTCATTGAGATATGCGTCTCGGATCACCACTCGGGTATCTTGGATGTTGGAAGGGTATGCCCAACTTTCAACGGCATCTGGAAAGGACCATCCAAAGAACACAACAGACATTCCTTCACGTCGATATATAGCAGCACCACTGTAATTCCCACAGTAACGACTCCACCGTCCTGGAAAGCTCCGATATCACAACTAGTCGACAAGACCGAAAGGTCGTGCTCACGCTACATTTCGACGGAAATGACAGGGCCACCGATAATTTTGGTCGCTGGCCCGAAGGGCGTCGGAAAATCCACCTTCTTGCGGATGTTGGTTAATAAGATACTCACCACCACCGACGTAGAATCCGTCGCCTACCTTGATGCGGACCCTGGCCAACCAGAGTTCGCTCCCGCTGGCATCGTATCCCTCAATTTCCTCACCAAACCAATTCTGGGGCCTCCGTTCACCCACACCGCCATATCCCACATCCGGCGTCACAACATCGGCCACAATTCTCCCCGCGAAGACCCACCTCACTACGTCGCGTCAGTCGCAGACCTAGTCGCCGCGCACACTGTAAACTACCCCAACGTACCCCTCCTCATCAACACCTGCGGCTGGACGAAGGGCATCGGCCTCGAAGTCCTCCAAGACATCCTGGCCTGCAGCAATCTCAGCGACCTCGTCTTCCTCGGCCCCGGCGCCAGCTCCATCCGCGAAATCATGCCTTCGCACCTGGGCTCCCCTCCAATCGTCTTCCACGAAGTCCCCGCCGCCCAAACAACCAACACCCGCTTCTCGCCACGAGACCTGCGGATGCTGCACACGATGTCGTACTTCCACCACCAGCCGACCACTGGGAACTGGGATTTCACCACGCCATTGACCGGCCTCGCGCCGTGGGTGGTACCCTACACAGGCGCCGAGCGCGGTATAGAAGGCATCGCCCTCCTTGGCGACGCAATCGCTTCCGATGAGATCGCCACTGCGGTCGAGGGGACAATTGTCGCCATCGTCCTCGTCGACTCCTGCCAGCAGATCCCCGCCCTCACAGAAACCGCATCGGTCCCGATCCTCCCCGGCCGCATGCCTCTGCTCGAGTGTAAAGGCCTTGCCGTCATTCGCGCCATCGATGCGAAGAAGGGGGAAGTACACCTCCTTACGCCTGTGGCGGCCGAGGAGATGCAGCAATGGGAGGTCGAGGGGATAAAGATCGTGCTGGTCAGGGGAAGTCTCGAGTTGCCAGTGTGGGAGATGCTCATGCCCGGTGGTGCTATTGGAGACGGCGCGCCGTGGTTGACGACTGGTGATGGGAAGAGGAAGAGGGCGGGTGAGGCCGTGTGGCGCGTTAGGAGGAATGTTATGCGCAGGGGGCATCTGGTGTAGAGAGTGGTGGATTGTACCTATATCCTAGATCTCATAGAATATATATTCAGGTGCAACAAAAGAAATATTCAATCACACGATATCACTCGGATACGATTTCGTAGCTCGGTGATCATTGCGGATTACTCGTGCAGCACCGATATGGTAGGTAGTAGTTGATGGTAGAGCAGAGTAGAAGATGGCACGATACTTTCGACACTTCCGACACTTTCGACAGAGCGCCAGAGCACAAGCTGAGGCAACACGCCGCCGAGCGCTGACGGAAGGCACCGTCGCACCGGACAAGGCAAGGCAGGGCGTAAACCCAACCGTACTCCCAACCGTATTTACTTACGGATGTACTTAAGGGTGCAGCACGCCTTGAGATACCGGCGAGATAATGATCGATACCTAGCAGCCCCGTATGCATACGGCACGGGTGAACAACAGCGTGCATGGCATCACAGTCACGAGCGAGCACTCGCGCACCCAGTAGAGTAGGGAATCTCACATCTTATCGATTCGTATGTAATTGAGCGGGTATCCGCAGCCAACTACCTGGTGACATGCTTCCCGAATCCGGATCGCAAGCCCATACTTAGGAACATGGCTCTGGGCCCCATTCGACGCCGCCGACGCTTAGTATTCCGCATGTCCGCATGTCGGTATCTACGCGCGCCGTAGACCGTAGGACCTACCGGTAGAGTAGGATAGAGTACCGTACCGCCTACATAAACAGACATACCGCGTGATTGTTTGTGTGTTCGGAGCTGTCCGTCCGCGAACGCTGGGAGCCCTCTCTTCCTTCCTCTCTTTCGTTCAGTCATTGCCCGCACTGCAGGTCAGCACGACAGTTGCCTACATCCTACCTATGCGGATGCACTGTAATCACGATTCGCCATCGAGATTCGCTATCGACGGGAAGGAAGGGTTGTTTCAGTAACTAAGTGAACTCCACAGTGCACGCCTGTGGGCCATGGATCTTGGGATTGAGCCACCAGCGTCCAGGTAGGAGGTAAGTATGCCCTTCGCCTACACACATATACCGAGTTTTTTCTTTTTTCCCTTATGAGTGTATGTATGTATGGTACTATACGTCAACGCGCATGAAAAGGCGCCGGGGCGCGCTCGACAGTATGCACGTAGACAGTAGACAGTGGACGGTAGACAGTCGAACGGCCTACCATCCGCCATCCCGATCCGCCGCCATCAGTTAAAGTTGTAGTATCTCACGCTGTGGGCGTGTAGATGACCCGAAACCCCCACTCTCCACTAAGCAGCCCGGGACCGGGGGGATGGGGAGACGGGGGGATAGCGGGAAAAGTCGATGTCGAAGTCGAAGTCGAACTGCCCATACCGGTCGTCCGTGCATCAAGTATTTGGGTACATATCCCCGAGTGGCTTCTCTCTGTTTGCCGATGCACGAGCGGCTTCGAGAAGGCACACATGTAGGTACTTGATTGGGGATTCCAGATTGGGGGGACGGTTCCATCTTTCTCCGGCGGCGGTCGTAGTAAGAACTTTGATTGCCGGTATTGAATGCTCCGCTCCGCTGGGCGGGGCGGGAGTGGTTATTTGCGGTGGTGTACAGGTGCACACGAGATGCAGTGGCACGCCCAAGCAAGTACATAACCAGGTACTTGCCTACGGTGTGCAGGTATGGAGTGATCCCCACTTGCTCACGACTATTCACGACTATCCGATACCCTGTCCGGCTGCATATCTACTTTCCGTGCACCTATCGTACCCAGAGTGCATACGGTACTCACATCCATACGGTAGCTGCGCATGCGCCCAAGCAAGTAGGTAGTGTACAATAAGTATGAAGTACTCAGTACCGTAAGTATGTCGGCATGTACTGAGGCCATAGTCATTCCGATCGGTCACTCGGCGACAGCAGAAACAGTCCAAACTCCAGGTTAAGTCCGACATTTCGTCTACGAAGCCCGTCGGCGCCGAGGCCGGATGCAGCGAATGGGGCGATGGGACGGTCCGCTGTGTGCAGGTGAGCGAGTGGGTGAGCGCTTCGAAGCCTGAAGGATGCAGACTCTAGAGTACATTGGTAAATATGTACTTACACCGACATACATACATGACGGTGCGGTAACTTGACTCCGTCGCTGACAGCAGCGGAGCGGGCTGTAGAGTGGAGTAGGATCGCGCGCAGTTACTGCTTAGTTACTATTACATCGGGTGGGTCTTCAAATCATCATGGCAGCGTTCATCAGCATTGCCATCGCCGTCGCCGCTCACATGGAATGCTAAGCAGCTATCGTACTACGGCAGTAGGTACTCCAGAGTGATCAATGATCATTGCATGCTTTTCCAGCCAATGATTAATAATAAAACAATCAGCCGTTTGTGGCAAGGAGTGTTTGCTGCACGGCAGCCAATGATCGTCAAAGAAAGGGCAAAGGATCCCAGGGCCAGGCGCTCCTTGTGCTCGCCGTCCGCCGTCCGCAGTCACGCACGACCAACCAGCGCTCTTACCACCACCGCATTGCCGAGGAGTGCAGCAGCTGCAGCTGCTGATGATGAAAGCAAGCAGGTACATACCTCCAACCTACACATCACACCTACACAGCCACACAGGAGATCTAATAAAATCCGTGCCACATGGCAGATACGTAGGCCCAGTGTAACGTGGAGAAGCGCAGTCCCGGACTCGCAGAGCGGCGGTCGCCAACGGGAGGGCGTCATTGGGCGGAGGGAGGGGGTCTCGGTCACCATCAGAGGGAGGGGGAGGACGGGGACGCGAGATTGTGCGACGACAGATCTCTCGACGAACTCGGAACAGCCGGCTCGACATACCAGAGACTCTCTCTGCCATCGACGGGCATCCGCGGCCACTGCCAACTATTTGGACACACATACGGGTTGCATGTGGTTGTCTTTGCTCTAAGGCATGCTGCTAGGTGGTAGAAGAGTAGCTACCGTAGAGCATTGAGTCTCCTTCAAGGCACGCCGCTACTAATAGTAAGAAGTCGTTACTTGAGGAGTTACTTACTTTTAGTTGCCGGTAGTTGCTCTAGTAGAGCATTGGGTCTCTTCCGAGTAACCAGGTAGCGTTCCTACTCTTCCGGTACGCACGGTACGCTGGGGCACGGCGGAGGCTCCAGAGCCGCTGCCAGAGAGGAGAGCATCGTACCTGCTCGGGCACCAGCAGCTTTATCCGTCTGCAGGGTACGGGGGACGACCCAACCCGCTCGAATACTCCACTCTTCCCTACCTGCCTGCCCGCCCGCCTACATACCTGTACACACCTACATACCGTCGTACCCCGCATCGAGAAACGAGCAGCAGCAGCCAACACGACATCGCTGGCCCGTCCGACCGCCCGGCCGTCCATCTCCTGCGCTGAAGTCCGCTCCCGCTTCCTGCTGCTGCTGGAACACTCTGGAATGCGAGAACACAACGTTCCAGAACGACAGACTAGCTTAGTCCTCTCACCCCCCTCCCCCGGGCCCTGCAACAGTCAACTCGGCGTCGCAATTATCCCGTGAACAGTAAGAGCGCACGGCCAGGGATGTCTCGGACTCCGGGCCCTGGAGGTGGGCAGCTTCCCTCGAACCGTCCTCCCATTCGTGCTTAATGCAAACCTGCTACCAGAAATAGACCGCTTGCGGTGCGATAGGCTGGATGGATCCGATGGAAGCTAGAGTAGACTATCGACGACCCTCGATTGGAACTCGGCAACGCTGAGATGCACGACGCGGGCAGCCAGAGTCCACAGCCACGTCCAAACATTCGCCCAACTCCGCAACCGTGGGATTACCTATGCCTACATACTTCACACCTACATACACGCATGCCATGCCATGCCTCCACCCATCCATGTCGGCCCTTGCCATGCCATGGCCCATCACATCCATCCATCCATCCCTTCAAGGGCCTGGGCACTGGGCAGTGGGCACCTACCGTGTGAGGCGCAAGGGCGGAAGGCAAGCTGTATCGTATCTCTGTACGTACGAGTAAAGTGCGATGCGGAGGTCTGGTAGCCTGGTAGGTGGCTACCAGCAACAGTCGAGAGAGCATGCCATCCGTTTTCATTTTTATTTCTTGCCCGCTACGCCGACTGAGCTCGCACCACCAAAAGCAGCATAGCATGGTCACGACGTCACAGTCGACCCAAGCAGTCATGCATGACCTTGTGGCGCGATGGCCCACGGACGGGCAGCTGCCAGCCAGACAGCCAGACAGCCAGCCAGCCAGACGGCCAGCCAGCCCAAGGCCGGAATAAAACTCATTGAAATATCTGCAATCCCCTCCATTCTTTCTCACCCCCATCCTCTATCCGCCTTCGTTATACCGTCACGACATCAGTACATTTACTGAGTTCCATTCGTTTTCACAAAACGCTCGTTAAACACTCGCCCACCCGATCTCACCTGTTGAAATAAATAAAAAGACTTCAACAGAATAATCATCCATCTTCGCCGTAAGGCCTCAATCGATCTGTTGATGATGCTTGAGAATCCTTCTTAATACCAATCGCGGACAGAAAATAAGAGAAACAACAAAACACACCCACCCTTTCCCCCCGGATTCACCGAAACAAACAAAACTTCTCCAAATATTAGTCGACCACCTCGACGGAGAAGACCATTCCCGCCAGTCACCGCCCCTCCACTCCTCCAGCCAGACGCTTTGGCATCCCATAAATCTTGAGTCCTCCCGAGCGTAAAGCAAAAGAAGCCATCGAGAAAACCCAACAAAGCCTCGCACACCTCCGTGAAGCTGTTTTCCCCGAACCCACCGACTGGCCCGTTCACAGCGATGTTGCACCCCAAAATCACCAAAGACGGCAGCACCAGCGGCGGCAGCAGCAGCGGTCAGAACTCCAAAGAGACTCCCCGTAAGAGGGTCGCCAGGGCTTGTGATCGGTGTCGACTGAAGAAGGGAAAGGCATGTCTCCCGTCATTTCCCAGGGGAGGGGGAGAGAACCACTCGGCGTTCGATCCGACAATGGCCTGGTTCCCGTTACTGACTGTCTCACAGTGCGATGGAAAGGAGCAATGCGCCAAATGCGTCTCCGCTGACGTTATGTGCATCTACACCGATCGAAAACCTCCTCAGCACAAGCTGATCTCTCCTGCGTATGTTTTTTTCCTTCCTCCCGAGGTTTCATCATTCCTGGCCTCGGCTCCTTGCATCCAGCTAACGGGAAGTGCAATCCAGAGTCGCCGAAGCCCTCCAGAGCGAGAATCTCACTCTCAAGAAGGCCACCATCATCATCTTCAAGCAACTGATTGAGGCTCGCGGTGGACAACTTCCGGTGATCGAGGGAGTCGACTGGGCATCCGAGAAGGTGGCGAACGGGAAATCTGGACGGGCGCTGAACTACATCATCAGTCGGGAGGCGAGGGTGGACAATAGGATCTCGACCGAGGAGATTGCGAACTACGACAGCGATACGCAGATGTTGGATCCGAATTCGAGGACCTGTCCAAACAGCCCTGCTTCACGACAATCCTCGCCCCAGAGCACCGTCGGCGATATGTCTCCCGCGTTCTGGGGTGGGGGGGCTTCCGGAGCTGAGCTTCAGCTTCAGCAGCAGCACAGCCTCGCCTCGCACAAGAAGCGGAAAGCCACAAAGTACGGCTATCCTGGCGTCGCAGAGGTCGACGTCACTGCTATGCCAGCTCCTGCTTCAGCTTCTCCCTACCTCAATCCCGGGCTCCTTTCCGTCGAGTCGCTGGCGCCAGCGTTCACCACCCCGCCCACTCCACCGACGGGGTTGGATGCCCTGGATTACCTACCCCGGGAGCAGCAGCAACTTCAATGGTCGAATCAGCGGCCGCAACAGCAGCAGCAGCAACAGGCGAGATTCTACGAAGAGCGATATCTCTTACAACGCTACGCCGAAGAACAAGCACATATCCAGCAGCAACAGCAGCAACAGCAGCTCCGTAGTGGAGCGGCTGGCCCAGTTCCCGGACCAACGTGCGACAATTCCATGCCCTGGACGACTCCCGAATATTTCCAGTATCTCCAGGACAACAAAGATTACGGAAAGTGAGTTCTTCCGATCTTCCGAGCGCGCGCACACGCACATGCACAAAAAACACACATCGCAACAGTTGCTGACACATCTTTAGAGTTTATGAGACCATGGCCGGCGACGTTCAGATGTACGACCGCGAAATGTAAATATTCTACATGAACATCTTCTTTTCACGACTCTCCCTTACCTACCTTCTCTCGTACACTCACTCGCATACTGTCCTTCCGGGGTCCGACTACATTTCCTTTTCCCTTTCATTCGGTCATTTTCACACTACAACGGACGGGTTGGGATTACTGGTTTTTTACACATACATAGCGGGGTGTTCTGTTTTTTTCCTAAGGGGTTATGTTTTTTTTTCCTTTCCGGGCATCTTTCCTTTATTCAACTGTGCGGTGTTTTTTGAGGGGGGGGGGGGGGGGGGGGGGGGGGGGACTAGGGGGGGGGTGGCCGACTGGGGGGTGGGAACAGGAGCGGGTTTTCACCAGATTTTAGTGTGGTGAGTGAGTGTATTTTGGGACTTTGTGCAGGTGGAGGACAGAGAGAGAGAGACGTTGGACTTGCAAGGGAGCCCCGCATGGGTGTGATGCGACCCATTCCGTCGGGTTCAGCAGTAAAGTGCTGCTATTTCCGGAGAGGATGGGTGGATGGGTGGATGGATGGAGGGGAGGGGAGGGAGGGGACTCAGGGAGGGGAGGGAGGGGACTCAGGGAGGGGATGGAAACGAGCCAGTTACGATACGAGATCATACGGAGCCTGGGGAGCGAGGGAGGGAGCGAGGGAGGGAAGGCAGTGGTGGGAGGTCAGGCTCGACATACATACGGTATGGGGGCTCGGTTTTTTTTTTTTGCGGCTTTGCTTTTGTCTTTGTTGTTTCTATTTTTAGCGGGCTGCGGCGTGCGTTTTTTTTGGCTTTTTGGCTTTTTTGGCTTTTTGGCCTTTTTGGCTTTTTTTGGCTTTTTGGCTTTTTGGCTTTTTTGGCTTTTTGGCTTTTTTGGCTTTTTAGCTTTTTTGGCTTGGGGTCATGATGGGATCATTGGGATGCGATGGGGTGGGGATGGGGATGGGGATGCATAGCATGGTTAGCATGGTGATCGGACTTAATTACTTTGGATTCGAGCTCTACATACGAATGGTTGTTTGCGTTGATGATGCTGTGGTGATGCTGTGATGATGATGATGACGATGTGGTGGTGGTGGTGGATGTGGTGACGGTGGTGGTGGAGGTGAGTGCATTGGTGATCCTCGCTTGGAAGTTGGGCTTGGGCTTGTCTTGAGACATGTTTGCAGCCATTGTGGCGGGCGGGCGTGGAATTGGGGTGGCGGACTGCGTTGGGTGGGGATGGGTGGGTGGGGAATGGTGGACACTCTATCGATACTCCAATTCATGCCGGCCTGTCGTCAAGATAGGTGCCGGTATCACCGCCATCGGCGCTATCGGCGTCTTGGACTGTGGATACTGGACTGTGGATGATAATGGACAATGGATATCCGTGACATCCGTGACGCATTGACCATCGACGCTGCCGCCGCGGGTCGATGTGCGTTGCCGCGAATGTCTACTTACGATACTTACTCGGGTATGGAAGAGGTGTACATGGAGTGTGTGTACTCATCGGATCGTGAATTGTGAATCGCGAATCACGGGCTCGAACGTTCACCGCTCATTGAGAGTACATACCTCATACCTCATACCAGCATCGGAGAATAGTAGTAGTAGCAAGTAAATCAACATATCCACGCCGTCCAGAGGACATGCACCAACCGGCACGAGCCGGTTCAATCCAGTTCAGTTCAGCTCGGTTCGGTTCACGCCGAACCAGCCGTTGACTTGACTTGAATGGCCGGCATGTTCCGAGCCCAAGCACCCGGGTATGATGGGAGGGGGGATATTCCCGGAAGTCTCCTACCGGTATGCTTCATGGAGGGGATTCGACCGAGGATTCGACCGAGAATCATAGGCGCAAGAAGCAAGATGTCGTGTGTCTGTACTTACCACACAGCACTACAGTTCGAAGCTGGGTATAACCAAGTAACCAAGTAACCAAGTAACCAAGTCTGTACTTAATCCCGTAGCTCAAACGCCGAACGCTGCCCGTCAGGCTTCAAGCTTCAAGCGTCATGTTTCAAGTTTCAAGCTTCAAGCTTCTAGAAGCCCCCCAGAGCCCCCCTCGGGCCCGAAGCCCCGAGTGAGAACCAGGGCCAGGGCCCGGAGAACGAGCCGGATGGAGTCCTCCCCCCTCCCCCCGCCCCACCAAAGAAAAAAAGAAAAAAACAAGGAATAAGGTGTTTGCGGTCCCGAGCCGGCGGGTCCAGAGGATACCGTGCCCATGTACTTACTTTATACCAAGCGGGCAAGTGGGCACGTTCGAAGTGCGGCCTCCGCAACGGTCGTCCTTCCTAGATATCCGTAGGTTCCGGGGACGATCCGACGGGGATAAACCAATGAGGTTCAGATATAGACGCGCTTGGTTAAGGCTGGGACAAGACCAGCTGAGACTGGTTGAGACCAGCTGAAAGACGAGAGAGAGATGCTACTTACGGTACTGACTTACCTCATTGTTCCGGTGCTTTGACTTCAGTGACCAGGTACGGTATGTTGAGTATGTATACTTCCTATAGATACAAGTGCTGACTGTCTGGAGCAACCGGGTATTTGGTAGGTTACCTGGATGGATACCTAGAGTACTGTAGATGTCGCCGCCGACGTCGGGAATCGAGTCTCCACCGCATGCCCAACGTCAAGTTTCAGCATCTTCGGCCACAGCCGAAGAAACCATCCAGCCCCGGACCCCCGCCAGCTTCCGCCGTAGACGCTATTACACATACCCGCGTTAACTAACATTGCGGGAGAGTCCAGCCTGCAGCCTCCAGCCTCTACATAGAACCCGGGGGTGGCCGGGACCAGTCCGATGTCGTTCTCCTTTGAGCGCCCACGATTCACAGCCAGCCCGAAACTCCGAAACTCCGGGATGTCTATATACTCTACTAGCAATTATACTGTATGTATGTTTGCCGTATGCCCTACAGCCTACAGGGTATGCAGGGAGGGAGTGCTATGGTACTTGGTTACAGCTTACCTGCTCGACGTTAGTTGGTAATAGTAGGAAAGACAGGTAATAATAATAATACCAAAATAAGAACAATAACAATAACAATAATAACAATAATAATCATATCGATATCAATATCAACGAACGGAACACACCCGTCTCCCGGATAGCACGCGCTCCATCGCGTCTGTATAGTATGTACGATATGTACTCAAGTAGGTAGACATGACGATAGACATTCCAACTTCAATCTGTATCTTCAAACGTTTGACATTGACGTTGACATTGACGTTGACATTGACGTTGACGTTGACATGTGCTCGCCCGCATCGCATCGCATCCAGCCGCCAGTGATTGATGTGATAGATTGATTGATACCGTAACGGAAAGGAAACGAGAGGAGGCCCAGGAGGGAGGGTTTGAGGCTTCACGACAACGACGAGTAGGGCTCCCCCCGCATAGTGGACACTGGGCAGGGTCCAGCAATTGATGGCTAATGTCCCCGGTCGGTCCGGATGTTCAGGAGCTGGATACGACTAGTAGCTAGCCGAGAAGAAATAAGGAACATCAGCTGGAGCCGATGGATGCTGGCCCGGTATGTATGTCAGTAACTACATGTGTACATACTTGCATTCGTTACCGTTGCAGCAATTGTAACTGCAACTGCAATTGCGGATGGCGGGGCGACCACCACCACTGACCAGTGACAGATGCGTGATTCTCGATGGACCAGGAGCCCTGCGTGGAATAATAATAGCAACAAACTCTCGTCCGTGCCCATTGTCCAGACTTCAGACTCCACTGTCCTTCCCACCGATTCCCCGACGTGAGGAGAAAGAAGAAAAAGGAGGAGGAGGAAGAGGAGGAGGAGGAGGAGGAGGAGGAGGAGGAGAGAGGCAAGATGGCCCATGGGGGATACGAAACAATCGTCCGTGCAACCTGCAAACGTCCTTCGCGTGCTATGTAAGACTACAAGACATCGTGATCATAGTACTGGATGGTAGTATAGGGTCGTTCGTTCTCGTTCTAAATTCTCTACCCGTGCCTATTTTTGGCTGGGACACTGGACATCGGAGTGGACACTGAGACCTTGCCGCAGATCATGGGCTCTCACGCGCACCGCACGTGACGGTCCGACTCCCGACTGCTGGATTGACTTCAGAGCATCAAGGTAGTTGGCACCCGGTCTCGGATAACTACGTCAAAACCACACCACCACCGCTGTCACCACCACCAGGAGGAGGAGGAGGAGGAGGAGGAGGAGGAGGAGCAGGAGGAGCGGTGGTCGGCCAAAACCGATGGATGGGCTGGATGGGCTGGACGGGGTGGATAAATCGAATCATGTTCATCCATCGGACAGCAGCCATACATGCATACATGCATAGGTAGGTCATCCAAACATGACATACATACAGCTTCTAACTATGATATTTAGCCTCTAGATCGAGCTAAAAAGACGCGACTTTGTAGGTACTATTCCTGTCCGCCGCGGGCCCGCGTCCGCTTGGGATGTCCAATCGACGGGTAGATACTGTAGCTTCTTCCTCCCCTCCCTCCTCCCTTACGGCAACTGTTATCCGGGACCGACAGCGATGACGATACAACTAGAAACTCTATGTCCCCCCGCCCTCTTTCTTTCTGCCCGCCTACGCTCCAGAGCTAACATACCCAGATACATCGCTTCACAACGATGATCGAAAGCGTTTTCCAACCTCCCCACCCCACCAACCATCCCGATTCCCGAATACGAAGTCGTTCCAACCCACCCACCCACGCTCACATAACTACTCTAGTTATTCCCGAGGTGGACACCGCGGGATCTTCGTTCAACCCTCCCGTCCCCTCCCCCTCCCCCTCCTCCTCCAACAGTCCAACCACAAGGTACATATGGAACTACGCCCTTTCCGATAGGCAACGCCAAGGATGTCAGGATCAGGATCAGGATCAGGATCAAAGTTAACGCAAGATTGGCTTCCGCACCCGGGCGGTGGACCGACCCTGCGTAAATAAATATTTAAAACACTGACTCTCGGCCAAGCCCGGTTGGATAACAAATATCTCGAAGCCTGAAGCTTGAAGTCCGAAGGAAGGAAGGTAAGTCATCAAAACGTTAATTCCTGCCCCCGTCCCCCCAGTCCTCCCCCTGTCGCGCAAGTCAAGTGAAGGAAGGAAGGATCTTGCTTGCTTGTTCGACGAATCGATCGTGGGTGGCTTCTATGCTAGGTAGTTTCTCATGTCATACATACAGGAATGCAAGGTCCCCCCCTCCTCCTGGAGGCTGGACATCGCGGGTGAGGCGGGGAAAAATCGAGGCGACATCAGAAGAGGGTTGAACTTGAACTTGACCTGACCGCCGAACGACCGCTTGGGGCGCCAGAGCCGTTGCGTCTTGACGTTGCGTAGAGTAACTAGTGCGGCTCTCCCACCTCACCTCCAGAGTCCGGAGCGACGGAGCCCAGGGTCGCGACTCACTGGAGGAGATGTACTAACTAGACTACTAGTATACTAGTAGAGGTATATATAGAACTGCCGTGATGGATCGTGGAACCGTCTCGTCGGCCCCCATGCCTATGCCATGCACTCTACATATGCATGTCGGTTGAGGCGGACAGAGTCACGAGTGAGTGGATGAGGTGGGTGGCAGCAAGTAGCAAAACCCCACCTCAGCTGCCCTGCGAGGGGATTGTTGTACTCTGCATATTGGGAGACCCTCGAAAGGCACGGGCAACTGATGAGACTGATTCAATTGGCTAAAAAGCAACAAGAAAGAAGAGCAGCCTGTGGTCTCCAGACTGAAAAACCTCAAAGTACCTCTACGGTGTTGGTGTTGATAATAATGTCTGCGGTGGTGATAATGTCTTATGTCTTATCTATATGTTGAACGACAGACCGACCGACTAGACCAACATAAAAGCAGCGACAGAGAACATTTTAACTTTGAGGCGACCGTATTGGGTCTACCCCCGAATCTCACAATATGTACCCAACATACTACATACATCGCACTCGTGCACGCACGTCGTTTGTCTGTCTGTCTGTCTGTCTGTCTGCCTGCCTGCGAGGAGGAAACTTGACTGGACGCTGCCGAGTATCGACCCAACTGCCGCGCCGGAAGGGAAGGGAAGGGATGGATGGATGGGATGGGATGGGAGGGATGGAAGGGAGAAAAGGCCCCCACTCCTCACGAAGGCTTCTATGTACTCTATACGACCTGCTCCAACTAACTAGTGCGCACTGCGTCCGTTTCCAGTCTTGATGGCCTACATATGGGGCGCAAATACTCTAAAGACTTCCGCTTTCTCCAGATACGGCTGGATGGATGCGCTACCTAGTTAGAGGGGCATGGGAGTCTGGAGATGGATAACAGTGCTGTAACGAGGTTCTCGCGCAGGAAAGGACTGGCCAGTGGGAAGTGGGAAGTGGGAAGTGGGAAGTCGTCACTGCACGGTTTTATCCGTGGTCACCACTTTGAGATTCGCACTTCGCAGAGTGCCTGGGGATGAGAGGGGATCAGGATGGGATCAGGACCCTGGTGGTCATGCAGCGAATACGGAGGGGCGAGGGGCAAAATGTAATGGCCGTGCTCGTCGACTCTCGTATTGATCAACCCGACTCCGCAGCTCGATACTCACGGCTTGAAGGGGGGGTCCATAACAGGTGCTCTGATCCGCTGGCACAGGTCACCTAGCATACATACACACCTATCTTTAACTCCCAGGACCAAGAGTGGCAGGTAGACCGGCCCCGGGAACCAAACACGGGCAGTGGGGAACAAAAAACAAAAAACTCTGGCCATTATCAGAAGGTGCACGATGCACGATGCACATGGGGAAGTCTGATTATGCATCCTATATTTGGAGGCAAAGTTAATATCAACATCACGCGGTCCTGAAGACTGAAGTCTCTGTTAGGTATCGGCGAGGCCGCTGAGCAGCGCGCACGCAACGGGCTGGTGTTCTGGCTATGGGTAGTATAGATTTCATTCGTTCACCAACTATCAGTTTTCCATGTTCAACCCTTCCCCAGCAGAACCATTTGACTGTCGATTACCCCCCATCCCCCGTCCCGAAAGCACCGAGTTTAATGTTCTAGGCCGACTTACCGGTGGGCGGTGGCTGGTCACGGAACTCCACTCTTTCGCCCGCCCACCGTTCTCAGCAGCCGCCTCCGGCATTTTTCCGCAAAGAATCGTACGACGTCTGCCCCGTGCCCCCGGTGGATGCTTCCAGAGTCGGACTGCCGTCTCCGTCTCCGTCCCTATTCGACGGGTCGGAACGGGGTGCCGGGTGGCAAAAGCACCACTGGGCTATAGCATCGGCAAGCCCGACCGGCGACAATGCTCCCGTCGGACCGAATCCCGACCTTGGACTTCTCGTCGCTGGCTGTGGGCCTGTGGCATCATGGGTTTTCACTCACGAGTCATCGGGCCCCATCTCCAGAGATCTCCAGCGATCACACCACGTTTGGATATTCCGGGGGTCGGGACACTCTCTCGTCCGATTGACTAGGTCCTATCCCATCGCCAGCATACGGCACTCGGCCCTTTACTGTTGCTGCTGTGGTATATACGGTTGTGGCGAGTAACCGTGTTCGTGCTCGTGGACGTATTGGATAGTTACCCGTAGGTAGATATCGTACGGTCGTTGTTCTTGCTGCGGGGGTGACGACTCTTGCGTAAGGTAAGGCAAGGCAATCTGCAGTTCGAACAAGCCTACGTACAGATAAGCACTCGACCATACCATCGCGCTGGGAGTGTACGCAAAGTGCCATTGCGACGTCGTCGACGACGACGACGACGGTAGGCTCACATCTCTTCCCCACAACTTACGATACACATCAGGTACATACACACACACTCAGCTACATACCACCTCAGCCCTCGATGTCATGTTATCCCCTCCAATCAAGAGCTACTTTCCACGGCCACAGCCCGAACTCTCCGACCATTCTGGCCGACAGCAAAGTACATACTCTTGCCAGCTTTGTCCAGAACCGCAACTATGCCACTACTAAGCATACGGCACCTATACACACTCAGGCTAGTCGCCATTAGCCTTTATGTGTCTCCTCACAGTGGCCATGCCCAGAAACCCGCTCGCATAGCCCGCAGATGGCGCTTCATGGGATATCACGCTACTTATGCTTCCGATTTACGAAGTCTGGTTTGCCATCGGGATACATATGGGGGGTTAGGAGGACTCGGCTTCTGGCCGCATCACGACAGAGACTGCCATCGTGGACCCGTAAGTACTTTGACCGCTGCGGAATCCTGAAGACCGATGCTGAGGTGACTTTTGATTTTGCATGGAAGGCTGGTACGGTGATGTAGCATACCTACTCCAACCCGTGGGATCGATCGGTAAGAGTGCGCGGGGCTCACATCTTGTACATATATAGATGCTTCAAGCCATAATTTTGATCATAGCAATCGAGGCTCACAGTATCGTGTCGTAAGCATCGTGGGTGGATGTTTTTCCCGAGTGACCTGATATGCTCCGTCGCTTCGCCGGATCGTCAGAGGCACAAGATGAGATATCTATGGCAGCAGTAGTTGCCCCCCTGGGAAGCATGGGAAAAGAATGTATATGCTTACCGATAGCTTGAACCATTGATGCGAAACGATAAACCCGTGCACTCGTGCCGTATCAAACCACACCCAGCACACCCAGCGTAAAAACATAAAACCCCAACCAAGAAGACCTCGTATGAGGTATGTACATACTAGAATCCAGTCTTTCAACACATATAGCTCACTTACCCAGATATCATGGACGGAACCCGTAGTCAAGCGGACAACGGCCAGTGCAACAACATTATATCCATATTCCAAACAGCTTAAACGGTCCATGCTCACTATCATATTGAGGAATGTGTTCTAGCGTAACCCCACCTGCTGTGAGAACGTCTTTGGGAAGCCAGAGGCTGTTGCCGAATTGCCCACTCTATGAATCTATGATACGAAATCCGAAGACTCCAAGGAAGCTCTCCACAACGGTCTTTGGATAGTGATTCCCCCACAAATGGTGCAGCAAGCCCCAGCGCCGGCCAGTGCGCCGCGCGCAGTGACAACGAAGGTAACAGACAGTGTGGAGCGGAGGTGGAGCCTTGGAGGTGGAGATGGAAAAGGCACTTGCTTGGCTGGAAGTATGATTTTCCCTCACGGCATCAGACGAGTCGAGAGCAACTGGTTGCCGACTCCTGCTTCGCTCCGGAGCCTTCCCGACGGGCCCGCACCGACCCGTATTAGAGTACCGAGGCGAGCGGCGCAGTCCATAACTACGCCGGAACTCTCCCTCTGGGACGCCAATGACGGCAGTCGATCCGGTACGTATGTCACCTGACCTGCTTCGACAACATCAGCATGTATGTTGCGCTCTGGATGTCCAAATGTCCAAAACCGTACATCATGCGCTGCAGCCGGATGCCCTCCAGTCGCCGTACGAAAATCATCCGATTGAAAACGTTCTTTCAAACACAGAGTACATCGTACTTGCTCTGCCATCGTAGGAGGATCGTCGGATTGAGGGGGCTCAGGTGCCGGTAACCAAGTACCCAGGTGCTGCGAAGTTGCATGAAGGTGAGCAGATCGGGTTAGGGGTGTTTTTCCAGGTTCGTCGGGTCTGGGGAGATGATGCACGAGAGCGTATCTAGAGTACCATTACCATAGCGGGGTTGACAGAGCAAGAACGAGGCTTTGACCTTGATTCACTGAAAGCGGGCCTCCCAATCGCTTTGCCTGCCGCTCGCTGAAGATCTTGATCGAGAGACAGCGATTCGGCAGCATTCCTGTACCCCGTGAGTGGAGCTGATGGCGTAAAGTACGGTAGTACCGTATCCCCGCCTTCTTAGCTCAACCCCCGCTTCAAACTGGAGCTCTCCCCCACAAAGCTGCTGATGCTGCACAACTCGCCATCTCCACAACCTGCACCTACAACCGACATTTCTCATTCCTTACATCACTGAAAAAAACAAAATATATACAAAGGAACAACTACCAACAACCCCCATCCCTCCATCTTACACATCTGCACTCATCGCTCTCCTGCGCCCCAGTTGCACGGCCGCCACTCTATCGTCGTGAGACGGGTCCGTGAAGCGGGGTAAATATCAGTATCCCAAACAAATCGACTTCGTACCCTTCAGTTCAACCAAACAAGTTCACCCGGAATGTCGTCGGACGCCCCACGTCAACCGTCTCCAGCCGCCTACGGGTCGTCGCCGAGCTTGACCTCGCGCCAGAGCACTGGAAGCCTGCGCGGAGCTCCACCACCGTCCTCTCCGCGTTCACCCTCGCGCCACCTCTCGACCGTGCAGCACTCGATGGCCGACCTTCTCTCGACCCCGCCGTTACCGAAGCAAGAGGGAGAAGGAGGTCTCCTGAGAGACTGGAGATCTGTCTCTGCCGGAGAGTTGATCGATCAGCAGGTGCTCCAGTTCGTAGAGCTCGACACCCCCGTTGAGACTGCATGTCAGGTAAGACCTCCGGCTTGGGGGGCGGGGGTTCGCCCAGGGGCGATCGCGCGTTTGTGAATGGTGTTCCGCATCGATCGCGCAGCGCTTACCAACCGTCTAGATGCTCATCGATCATGGATTGTCATCGCTACCCATTCGCACCTCTCCGGACGATGAGAGCGTGTGCGGAACCTTCGATTACACCGATCTGAACGCATTCCTGCTGTTGATCATGGGGCTCTATCAGCCGGAAGAAGATGAGGATCTCTCCTCGTTCGAAGAGCTGGCCAGGAAAGCTCGCGCCGGAGGATCGATTCCCGTAAAGCTCGTAAAGGACCTGGGAAAGAAGGATCCTTTCATCACGGTACCAGAATCGGCACCATTGACGAAGGTCGTCGAGGTGCTCGGAAGTGGCGTGCACCGCATTGCCGTTGTTCGGGAAGGCACAAACCAAGTTATTGGGATCATAAGCCAGCTCCGCTTGATTCGATTCTTTTGGGATTATGGCAGATGCTTCTCCAGCATAGAAGCTTTGTATCCGTGCAGTTTGCGTGAACTTGGCATTGGGTCCTCCATCGTCATATCGATAAAGTAACACACTCCCAACGAGTCCCCTGACCCTGCTGCTGCAACGAATGCAAACCACTATATGAAGACTGTGTACGACGTATAGATGTATGATTGTATGATCGCTAACTATCACAGCGGTGACAAGATGGTGCTGGATGCCCTCGAGTTGATGAATTCGGAAGGAGTCTCATCGCTGGCTGTTGTCGACAACCAATTCAATGTCATGGGAAACATCTCGACGGCCGACGTCAAGGTACACCCCCAATGTTCCGGATGGCCAGGTTTATATACTGACTGAACGCCGTGCTCCAGTACCTCACGAGATCAAGCTCGATCCCTTTGCTGAGAGCATCGTGCTTCCACTTCCTCACGGTGATTTTGACGGATAGAGGATTGAGCGATGGAAAGGATTCATACCCCGTTTTCCACGTCAACCCGCTGTCCTCTTTGGCCCACACCGTCGCAAAGATTGTGGCTACACAGGCACACAGGTAAGGAATCGAAAGAATCCCCACCATCGACCTGTCTTCTTACCGAATCGAATGTAGAATGTGGATCGTCGAGACCCCGAGCCCGGCATCGAGTGCGCCGCCAACTCCCACCATCACACCGGCCGTCGCTATACCACCCCCCGCAGCCATGTTACCCACACACCCCTACTCGCCTCCGTCATTCGCGGCTCCTGGGGCGTCTGGTCTTCCGGGCATGAGATTGAGCGGCAGACTCACTGGGGTTGTTTCTCTCACTGACATTCTTCATCTCATCGCAAAGAGTGCAGGCCTCGCGCCTGACGACCCCAATCAAGCAAGGCGCCAGAGACGCCGCAGTTCATCCAGTTCCATGAGGGCTAGCTTTGATCAGGGTAGGGGCTCGATTGATTTGCGCGAGCTCCGTGAACACCGTGGATCCTTCGAGATCCGCAGATGATTGAATGGTCTGGATGATTGTTGGATGATTGGAATAACGAGCAATTCATACTGGGTGTAATCGATGGACTTGTTTTTCCGTTTTTGTAATACTACTACTACTTCGCTGCGGGTCGGTTCATTGTTTGTGCTCATTTTGTTTTGCTTTCTTTTCTTCTCTGAGGAACACGATATGGTTCCCTTCCGCCTCTCTCTCCCTCTTTCTCTCAATAAGATATGAATACGATCTGGAATTGCACGTGGTGGAGCATAAAAACCAGTCCCGATGTGAGTGGACTGAATTCCGAGCATCGGAATGCGCAGCACTCGGTAAAGATTTGCCGAGAAAACCTGGTGCGACGTCAAAAATTCGTGACCTACCAAAGCATGGCACGGACAAGCAACTTCCCCACCACACAGCATACACGATGATCATCAGAAGAGCGTTTCTCGGAGGGAGTACGCGCCTCTCTCCACTCCGCCCCGTAATGTAGAGGTGGACTCGTACTGACGATGACGGCTTGCAACCTACAGGCCGATTGACATCGGTGTCATCCTCCCCCGCCGCCGCCGTTCGCCGCCATCTCTCGACCCACCCCGAATCTGATCTCTCGCAGGGCCACCACCTCCCTGAGCACCCGCAGGAACCCCCTACCAATGACCACAAGAAGCGCCCGATCGACTGGGAAGCCCCCATGAGCCTCAAGGACGACTTCGACCTGCTGCAGCGATTCCGTACGTGCACCCTATGGCCCCCTCACCCCCGCCCCGCCGCGGCCCGCCACTGACACAGCAGCAGGCTCGACCAGCGGTATGCTGGGCTCGACGATCTCGCCGCACTACAAGCCTCACCGAATGGTAACCTCTCCACCACGTCCCAAAGACATCACGCTGGAGCTACTCCTCGCATCCGGCGCGCACCTAGGGCACTCGACGTCGCTATGGAACCCCGCGAACCAACGCTACATATTCGGCATCCGCCAGGGGATCCACATCATCTCCTTGGAGCAGACGGCGGCGCACCTGCGGCGCGCAGCCAAGGTCGTCGAGGGCGTCGCGCGCAACGGCGGGCTCGTCCTGTTCGTGGGCAACCGGCAGGGCCAGGACCGCGCCGTCGTCGAGGCGGCACGCATGACCGGCGGCTGCCATCTCTTTGGAAAGTGGGTCCCTGGCACGATTACCAATGGAACCAGGATTGTCGGACATGGTGCGCTTGTCGAAAAGGATTTTGCGGATAGGGCCAGTCCGGATGGGCCGCTCACGGGCCAGGACCCCCTCAGACCAGATCTGGTCGTCTGCTTGAATCCCCTCGAGAACTATATCCTCCTGCATGAGTGCGGCCTCTACGGTATCCCCACCATTGGCGTTATCGACACAGATGCGAATCCGACTTGGGTCACGTATCCGATCCCGGCGAACGACGACAGGTGCGTGCTCTCCTTTCCGATTGATTGGGGACGTGAAGTGAAGTGAAGTGAAGTGAAGCGGCTAATGGATGATGCCGGTGCAGCTTGCGGTGTATACAATTGATCGCAGGAGTCCTCGGAAGAGCCGGCGAGAACGGCAAGAACCAGAGAATCCGAAAGACGCAGCACGACGAGGCGATGGAATCTCGGATGGCCGAGAACATGGATATGGAAATGGATGGCAGTTAGTTTGTCGCGGCGGTAGAAGGGAAAAAATGGTTAGACCAAATAGAGAGGGTGATCAGGAAATATGTATTTAAATGTACATAGCATCAACGAGTCATCACACTCTATGTACAATGTATCTCATCTATGATGGTTTCTTTCTATCGCCTATAATCACAAGGTATCACTCCATCTTCTATGTGCATGTGTCGAACCCGTTGCTGCCCCAACTCCTCCATCGTTCTGCACCCGCTAGTTGATCAGCCTCATCGTGGTTTCGACGCTATTCTCCAGTCAGCCGTGTCCAGAAAGTAACGTTTGCCAATGGGATGGGTTCATACACAAAGAAAGTACCCGCGGAAACGGGCATAGCCCTCATAAGGGTAGGAGCCAGCCCCTTCCAAAAGCCCATGACACCCTCCTTCGCCCAGACCTTCTTGGCACAGTCTACGGCGCCCTTATACACCTGCTCCCCCTTTTTGAGCCCATCCGTCTGAAGTTTACTCTTGACGACGTCCAGCGGGTAGCTAGCGAGCCACAACGCCTCGCCCGCAAGACCTCCATACAGCGCGATCTTCCACGCGGGGATATCCTCGCGCCGCGTGTGCCGCATCGTCCGCTTCATCAGGTACTCGAACGTTAGGAACCACACGCCGTACGCTTGCGCCTCCCGCAGCAATGTCACCCCCGTGCCCCGGTATAGCCCGCTGCTAACCCCCCCGCCGTGTGAGATCAGCTTGCGGATGCAGTCCAATGGCCCGCTGTACAGCGCCGCTGCCCCGTGTGGCTGCGTTTGCAGCCGGATGCGCACATGCTCGATCGGGCTCGAGAGCACCGCTGCCGTTCCACACCTTCATCAGCCCCCTCCCAATCCCATCCCCCCTCCGTCCAAGGGGAAACTTACTATTCGCAACCCCCGCGGTCGCACCCGCGAGATAATACTGCGCATACGTGAGCTCGCTCCTTCCCGGATTATACTTCTTATTCCAAGTCTCGAGCCTCCTCCGGGCCTCATGGAACGCGCCGAACTGCACGGACACGCACGCGCCGATACCGATCAGTGGCGTTAGCGTGCCCTTGTAGAATGCCAAGGCCCCCTCGTGCGCGTAGATTTGTCGGCCAGCGTCCAGCGCGCTGCTGTATAAAGAGGTCGTTTGGAGGCGGACTTTTATTATGTCTATAGAGGGAGGGTTAGGGGTGAGGTGGGCGAGGGGGAAGGGGTGGGGGGGAGGGGGGATGTACCGAATGGCTGGCCTGGGGAACGTCAGTTGCTGGGCCGCTGCAATGGGAGGGTGAAGAACTCACCGATCAGAACCTGCGCGACTCCTCCTGCCGCACCGGCAAAGAGGTCTTTCAGCGTGCGAGACAGGCCGTCGCTATCGTTGTCGTTGTCGGCGCCCATGGTGATGTGCTGTGATGTGAGGAGGTCACGCGGGTGGGCGGCGCAGGATTGGTGCTTCTTCTGGCTTGGCTGGCTGGAACGAGGTTTCCGTGGTGGAGGAGGTAGAGAGGTTGTGCTTGTGCGAGTCGAATTGGAATTGACGGGGTGGGATTGGCGGCTGCGGGGTGGGAATCGGTGATCTGCTGAACGGAAGGTCTGGAAGAGTCAGCGCCTGGTGGGAGGGACGGGCCGGGGTGTGCTGAGAAGGTATGTACCGGTTTGTACGGTGGTTATGTCTTCACCGTCTACCTACCTTTCAACCTTTGTGTCGATTAGCCCCGCTTGCGGCGATGTTTGCAGTGCTCGGAGTGTTCGACGTTCGTTTCGTCCGTTGCAGTCTATTGGTATTACGAGGTGAAGACGCCGTTTTTCCATATAAATTTCCCCAGTTCCTCTACATGGTACTATATTTCCATCTCACTCGCGATGGCGCAATCCCCTCTACGAACCCTACATACCCAGATTTTCCACAGCCAGCACGGGCAGCGGCAGCGGCTATTTCCATGTTCCATGTTCCACCTCGGGTCCTCGACGTCCAAGTTCAACGGCTTGAGCAGCTTAGGCTTGGCCGGTTGGTGGGGCGGGGGGAAGGTGGGGCAGAGCTCGCTTCCCGAATACTCCGAACGGTCGAACCACAACGACCCCTCCTCCGTTAAGTTAGCATAGATAGCCGGGGTTTCACGGCCGGCTGGCCGACCGTGGTCAGGTCACGGGAACACGCGTTTTCTTGCGGCTGTCTGTCTTCTTTGCTTCGCCTCCACCTTTGCCTTCCTTCCAAGTTCGCCGGTCCGGTCTGTCGGTCCGTTGGTTCCGCTGGTGTTTTGGGTCGAATGCGATCAGCAGCTTCAGACATGTAGCTGCCTGCCTACATACACCGTCACTGGAAGAAAGAAAGAGGAGAAAGAGAAAAAGCGTGCAGAAACAGGATTGCGCAGGTAGGTACGGGATGATGGGCGCGAACGAGTAGGCATCAGACGAGTGTGAACGGAGACCGGCGAGTAGTCAAAACAATTGGAAGTGGGAGTCGGAGTGAAAGTGGTGACACGACCGATCCATGAGCGAGAGGGGCACCATTTGGCATTTCCTGATATCGACGGAGGTGCCGGAGCAGGAGCAAGAAGGGGTGGGATTCGGTGAGGGGTGAGGGCGGGGGGAGGAGGGGCAGTCGGATACATGCATTCTTTTCCAACTTCCAAGTGGCCACTGGCCAGGCCAGGCCAGGCCGCGTTTACACGGGATATGCGCTGCGGAAAATTGAAATCCGTTTCGCGATCTGCGCAGCAAGAGCTGGAGAAAACAACCCCCAAAGATATGATGTGGCAAGTGTCATTCGTCAGCTGTCATAACGGTTACGGAATCGAAGCTTCGACATGATGTGTGGAGTGTAAAGTGTGAGGTGTGAGTTGCGATGTGTGAGGTGTGAGATGTGAGGTGTGAGGTGTGAGTGTGAGGTGTGAGTACGAGCGGGTGCAATGCCAAGACCCAACCCCAAAGCGTCCGGAGACATACTGCGTCACCCCTCGTTTGGTGCGGTAGGTCTTGACAAGCTCCGACCGATCAGAAGCTCGGGGCAGAAAAACCCACCCCCTCCCCCCATGCTCCAGCCACGTGCCCGGCGGGGCATGGCGACTCAGAATCCAGAGCTTCGTAGTCGGCAGCCTGTACCAAGTAAGCATAGGTAGCCACGACCGATTCCCCGAGGTTGAAGACGGTATCTCAGCACGCTCTGTCGTCCTCGCGGGGGCGGGTGCTGCGTGCGTCCTGATTGCGGTCTCTGGCTTTGTATCCGCTTGAAGAATTGCTCGGCAAATTGTCAGCTTCCCGTAGTTATTATCGTAGGTAGGATGTACGGTACATACGGTACTCCATCTCGACGATGCCGCCCTGATGCCGCCCTTCGGCTTCTGACCGCCGAGTACCTATCACACCTCCATGCCGACCTACCCAATACCCACCGTACATGCACTATCGGGACTTCGCCAACCCAGTCCTGCCGACGCACATCAAACATGTGGAGGTAAACAATTGGAAGATTCAAGACGGAGAGCCTACAGATGTGCATTGTGCACTACATACAAACGGCGAACGCAGCAAGCAGCAGCAAGCAGCTCCACACAATGGCCCCTCTTCCAGATCCGGCCGTGCGAGTGGGTATGATATGACTCTTCTTCGTGTGGCTGGGCAGTGGGAAGGCGTAGGTACATATGGGTGTATGGATGGATGTACGGTATGCATGGAGCGTCCACTGAGTGCACTGAGTGGGCCGCCAGAGTGGAAAACATGTTTTCTTTCTTTTTTTGTTTTCTTTCTTTTTTTGTTTTCTTTCTTTTTTTGTTTTCTTTCTTTTTTTGTTTTCTTTCTTTTTTTGTTTTCTTTTCTTTTGTTTTGTTTTTTGGTTCTCGTCCGGTGGGTACAGTTGGTTTGTAGGAGTGACGGTGGCTACATACGGTGCCGTAGCCAGAGACATCCGCAGCTGTCTCGGTTACGACATACGAGTGCCCATCGGATCGTGCCATCCAGCCAGGCATCCATGAGTTGGAAGGTGCAGTATTTAGGTGCGCCAGGCCTGTCACGGGAACACGCTGAGGAAACCTTCCCGTACATACACCACGACTTGCAGGGTTTGTTTTGAGGGCGGGGTTTCCTCAAGCGGATGGCAGACGACACGGACACGGAACACCCACCTAGCTGGATACGGATAAAACGAAGATGATGCTTTGCCTGCGAACAACGGGAGTCGAGCCGGTACGGTACCATAGGTAGACTGGTGGTGACGACTCAATCCGTTCCGTGCGTGGAAACCCATTGAATGTGCACTTACTTCACCACGACGTGATGGAAAGGAAACCGTGCGGTGAATCTCCTCTCCCCCACTCCCCGCGCGTCGATGGGCTAGATGGTGTGGTAGATCGCTAGGTGTCAACGAAAAGCCATGGGATGAAAGAGTTTCTCATCAACCTGCTCGCGTATTATTGGCTTTCAATCTCTTTAGAGTATCTCCTAGTACCTACTGGTTATAGAGTATCGTACATGCTTCCTTCCTTCGCCCAAGCTTTCGCCGGTCACCGTCAAACTTGCACATTGCCCGTACAGGAAGCAGCACAGGAAGCAGCACAGGAAGCAGCACAGGAAGCAGCACAGGAAGCAGCCACCGTTGAGCACGACGCGACCAGCCTGGAGAACCGGATTTCGCGGTCATGGCGGAGTTGGCGGAGATGGCAGACTCCCGTCGGCCATGTTCTTCTTCTTCTTCTTCTTCTTCTTCTTCTTCTTCTTCTTCTTCTTCTTCTTCTTCTTCTTCTTCTTCTTCTTCTTCTTCTTCCGTTCCCTCCTCCGCTGCTGCTGCTGCTACTCATGCTCCTGCTCCTGCTCCTCCTCCGCTGCTGCTGCTGCTACTCATGCTCCTGCTCCTGCTCCTCCTCCCTCTTGCATTCTTTTCTTATTCCGGGCGCGGTGTGGTCCCTCGAGCATGTGCACTGCATGCTCCAGCGTCTAGCGTATCAATCCGCCCACATACCTACCGTACATAACTGCTCCAGATGACGTCCAGTTCGATTGGTGTCTCCTCCTCCTGCTTCCCACACCGACGCGTGGTTGGAACAAAGAAAGCAGAGAGCATCATCGCGCGAGAGATAGGCAGAGCACAGAGCAACAAAGAGCATCGCTGGATCCTCTTTCGATCGCTTGCTGCTGGTGGCTGACTGCGAACAAACCGCTCGCACGTTGATCCCTCCGTATACTACGGTAGGTGGTACACGGGTACTGGAGTAACTACGAGTACATATACTGTCGAGAGTCACTGCGTCGGCACAACGCGTCTTCCCCCCCTTCTCCCCCGCTTTGGCGTTGCGGGGTGGCGTGTGGCTCCTGTGGGGCGAACGGTAAATACCATCCTCACACCCTGCCCCAAGATCCTTGGTGGTGATGGCCCACGGTGCGACGAAGGGCGGCAAGGTTGGCCTCGTCCGGTCGCCAGTGACTAACCTAGGCTTGCAGATCCAGGCTTGTATGAACCTGCTCGCCGTGTAGGGTTGAGTACATGCTCCATACCGACTTCCTTGGTTACCGGTTGCTATATAAGGGATGGCCTTATCCCAAGCGCATTTGCATCCCGTCAAAACTTTGCTCTTCTCGAGCCGATACCGAATGCGCATACAGAACATACCCGTACTTGATTAGCTCTCATCTCCACCCATCACTTCGCACGCTTAGGTAAGTCTGCCTACTTCCGCACTTGTCCCTAGACTCTCTTCACGCGTGAGTTGCGACTCGTTAGCCGACGTGGTTGACGTCGTTGTCCTGTTGCGAGCAGGGGTGCCCGTATCAAGCGAGAAAACCTTCGACAAGAACTTATCTGAGTGCTTACCTAACTGAACGCAGTGCGTACTTACCTAAGCTCTTACCTAACTTGCCTGGTCGAGTACACGGTTGCTCTACTCACAAAGCTTCTGGAAGAAACGTAGCCCCAATACACACTTCTTTGTGTCTACCCTCGCTCGCTGCATCGCGCGGGCTTGCCGTTACTATCGTTGCAAGCCGCATCGACACCCGCTAGTTACACCACCACCATCCTAACCCTAAAACGACCCCACGACACCGAGTGCCGTGCCATCGGATTCCACCGTTGCTCTTTTGAAAGCAGTATCCGATATTGAGCGTGGATCTTTTGAGCTCTACCCTTATAAGACCCTCACTTCCACCCCACCAACACTTCCTTCCTCCTTCTACACCCTCATCCTCTTCCTCATCCTCTTCCTTCTACATCCTCATTCTCTTCCTCATCCTCTTCCTTCCCCCCCCTCCCCCCTCCTCTTCCCTCCACCAACCCTATCATCCCCCCACATCCTACACATACCCACCTCCCCTTCTGGTTCCTTTTAACGACCTTCACAAACACTCGGTACACATCGACAACGTTCACAAATCTTCAAGATGATGTCGACAGGTAAATCGCTTTTTCATATCTCTGCTTCTTGCGCCCTGTCCTTTATCTCCCTCCCTCCCTCCCTCCCCTCCTTTGCACCCTATCTTTGGAGTCCAATCTTTTGTTCTCTTTGCAGAGATTGGATGCAAGCATCACAAAGTTTATTCTGTTCTCCGAAGAGTGTTGCTCATCTTTGTTGTTTCGTTGCGAGTTGTCGTCTTGGACCCCCCTCGCCCCGCCCCCACTGACATGTATATCCTTCAGGTGTCGTAAAATACCTACTCAATTCGGAGATCGAGGCGCATGACGATCCGATGATCAAAGATTATGTGGTTCCGAAGCGTCCGAGCTTTGGAACCAGGGGTCAGCCTTCCAAGATCCCGGTCAATGCCTACCCAGTGACCCAGTTCCCGACTGCCAAGATCCATCAGTACGATGTGAGTTGACCTTTCCATTCGGTTTCGCTCGTTGATGTACCGTACTAACATGCTGTTGCTGTAGTTGACTCTTGGTGCCGACGGCTCCAAGAGGGGCTTGATCAACAAGCTCTGGAACCACCCCAAGCTCCAAGAGAAGTTCGGCAAGGCCAAGAGCACCCTCATCTTTGATGGAAGCAAGTTGGCCTGGTCGGTCGTTGAGTTGCCAATCCAAGACCAGTTGACCATGATCATCGATCTCGATGAAGGTAAAGTTGCTCAATATTCCCCGTCTTGTTTAGGACTGCGCTGACACCATCGAAAAGATGACGAGCGTGCCAAGAAGTCCCCGAACCCTCGCGACAACAAGCACCGAATCGTTATCCGCAAGTCTGGTGTGGTACCCATGCAAGTCCTCGATGCCTATCTCCAGGGCAGGACCGATTATGATCCAACCGTCCTCGTGGGCATCAACTTCTTGGACCATCTCATCCGTGAGACTCCGGCCAAGAAGTATGTTGCCATCAAGCGTTCTTTCTTCTCTCGCGCGGGCAGCCGTGAGTTGGAAGGAGGTGTGGAGGCCTGGAAAGGCATATTCCAGAGCATCCGTGCTGCTCAGGGAGGTCGATTGATCATGAACGTCGACGTTGCTACCTCCTGCTTCTGGAAGGAGGGCTCTCTCATAGAGATTGCCTTGAACGTCACCAGAGTCCGTAAGTCATCACACCTCCCCATCTAAGTCCTATCTTAGTACCATATACTAACATAATTGCAGATACCATCGATATGTTGGTAAACGGACTTGCGCAGCAAGGCTTCAGGGGTCCCCTTGCGAAAACTCTCAAGCGCCTGAGGAAGGTCCAGTTCTTCTGCCAGCATCGGTCGAGGGATCAGAACGAAAAGACCCGCAAGACGTACACCGTCGAGGGCTACGAAGAGAAGTCGGCGAGGGATTACAAGTTTGAGTTGCAGCGTCGCGACGCGGACGGCAACACACAGACTCAGGAGATCTCCGTCCAGCAGTACTACTTGAAGAATTACAACATCAAACTCAAGTACCCCGGCCTCCCTCTGGTCCGCACCAGGAAGAAGAACGAGTTCTACCCCATGGAGCTCTGTTATGTCGCACCTGCGCAGCGCTATCCATACAAACTGAACGAGAAGCAGACTGCCGACATGATCAAGTTTACTGTTCAGCGTCCCCCGGACCGTATCAATTCGATCAAGAGCAACGTGATTGCGCTCGATTGGCCCAAGGATCCTGTTCTAAACGACTACGGTTTGAAGATTGATACGAACATGATCAAGGCGCAGGCTCGCATTCTGCCTGCCCCTCAGATCCAGTACGGAGCTGGTTCTCAGGATGCCAAGTTCATCCCGAAGGACGGTCGTTGGGACCTACGTGGAAAGAGGTTCGCTGACTGGGGCCCTATCGCTGCGACCAACGGTGGAGGCTTGAAGGCTTGGGGAGTCATGGTCTTTGGCAGTCCTCGCTACGTTCCCGAGAGCGGCGTCAAGGCCTTCTTCCGTGAGTTGATCAAGGCGATCAACAACCACGGCGGTCACGTCGTCAACAAGGATCCCACGGTCATGTACGCCGATGCCTCCAAGGCGGTAGGAAATAACCTCTTCGAAATATACAAGAAGGCTGGGAACAAGTATAACATGAAGCCCCAGATCCTCTTCTTCGTGTTGACTTCCAAGTCGCCACAGCCATACGGCGACATCAAGGCTTACTGCGACATTCAGCTCGGCGTCCCTTCGCAGTGCTTGCAGTCGAGGCACGTTGAGCAGGCAAAGGGACAGTATTGCTCCAACGTCTGCATGAAGATCAACGCCAAGATGGGTGGATACTCGTGCGATCTCGTTGCGACTTGCCATCCCCTCGCCAAGGGCCCGGCCACCATGCTGCTCGGAGCGGATGTTTCCCACTCGTCGCCAGCAAACCCGGTCGGTTCCTACGCTTCCATGGTTGGATCGACAAACCTGCAGGGTACCCGATTCGCCGCGATCGCCAATACCAACGGCAACCAGTCGGAGATGATCTCGGCGAAGAACATCTTCAGGTTCATCACGACCCTTCTGCGAGCTTTTCATACCAATACGCACAAGAAGCCGGAACGTATCCTGTACTTCCGTGACGGAGTCTCTGACGGACAGTACGACCAGGTCGTTTGTATGGAGGTCGAGGCCATCAAGCGGGCTTGCAAGAAGATGGACATAAACTACAATCCCAAGTTCACGGTCATCATCTGTTCGAAGCGCCATCACTTCCGCTTCTTCCCGACCGACAAGCATGCCGCTGACAGGAACAACAACCCTGTCCCGGGTACCATCATCGAGCGTGATATCACTCACGTCGATCAGTATGACTTCTACCTGAACTCTCATACTGCCATTCAAGGAACCGCTCGCCCCGTCCACTACCAGGTGATCTACGACGAGAACCAGGTTCCCGTCGACTCGCTCCAGTCGCTCATCTACAACACGTGCTACACGTACATCCGTGCCACTTGTTCCGTCTCGTTGATTCCGGTCACCTACTACGCTCACGTTGCTTCGGCTCGTGCCCGCGTTCACGAGAACGAGACCGAGGATCATCTTTCCTCTCAGCCGACTCCCGAAGATCCTCGTGAGGCCGCTAGATTGGAAGCTATCAAGATGGGATTGCCTGCGTCACTCCGGGCTATCCACAAAGACATGACGAACAAGATGTGGTACATCTAAACGCCGGAACGAAGGAAAAAGAGACTGTAATGGGCAGATGAAGGGAATGAAGAAGGGGGGAGGGGAATATCTCGGTGTTTTTTTTCTTTCTAGTTTTCATTCCTGTCTATCCTGATTCTTTTTTTTTTCTTTCTCTATCCGTCTTTTGTGTTGGTCTTTACTTCGGTGTTGGTCTTTTCCTCTGGTGTTTTTTTTCTTTGGTTGGTCGAAATGTGAGGGATGGGATGGTTGATTGATGCGGTTCCTTCTGCGTGGTTCCGTTTTTTTTCTTTTCTTTCGCACGGTAAGTGTTCAAACTGCTGCGACGTACAGGTAGAAAACAGGTGCTCTAGAGAGAAAAAAATCAAATTCTTTGCCCCTATTGTATATTGCCCAACTTGTGGTGCCCGATATTCCAGCAGCCAGAAGAGATGGAATAGGCACCTATATGTATTTAGTCACCGTAGAGCTGGTGACGGTGCGGGATAAGTGAAAGTTCACAGGACGCTTTTTTTTCTTTTATTTGATCAGTACAGGATTGCTTGCGACCTGTGTAGATCATGGCAATATGATGGACGCTCCACTGCTCCAGCCTCCGGTTGGAATACCTATCTGTGGGCTTTCGCGAGTGATGCCAGCGTACGTTTTTGATACTTACGCAGTCAATTGGTATATTGGAAAATAGCGCTGTCGTGCTTGGAGCAAAGCGGTCAGGCAGTAGTTAACCGGGGGTGTTTATATAAAAGTCACTCGTTTTCTCGAGAGAGGGAGAGAGATGGGTACTTGGGTACTATCATACTATGTATTCCGATTCCACCATGTCTCCGACTCTCCGGAGTAGTTAAGCACGGGTGGTTTCGGCGTGGGATGTATAGTATTGACAGTCACCATCACCATCACGGACCCAGACCCGGTGAGGATTCCGTAGTCCTTGAAGAAGAAGAAGAGGAAGAAGTGACAGGATGATGATGAAGAAGAAGAAGAAGATGACGACAACGAAGAGTATCCCAATACGCACACAAACAGGCACCTACGCATCGCACAGAAAACGGAAGCAAGCAAGCCAGTCCCAGACAGATACCAGTCCAGTTTCCGTCTCGAACCTTGGAATACACAAAAAAAAAAACCAGAGAAACCAAGAGAAACCAGAGAAACTCCCCACATGAATTTAAATTTAGCGAAACAAACGAGCGGATTCCCCAGCCTCACGGTCTCATGAGCCCACCCGCCGGCCTCTTCCACAGCCCCACACTGACCTTCTGCTCATCTTTCTTATCCTTCTGGGTTTCGGGGGAGATACTGAGGGCGCCGTCCATAGTGCCTCCTTCCTTCAGCTTCCTGACCGCCCTGACCGCATCGATAGCGGCAATCAAGTTCCGTCTAGCGTTGAAGTTCTTTCTGACGGTGGGCAGGAGGTCCTCCTTGAGGCCGCGGTGGGACTCGGCCAGGAAGGGGTGTTCTAGTGCCTCGTGCGCCGTCATTCGCTCCAGCGGGTCCACGGTGAGACACTTGCGGATAAAGTCCTTCGCCGTCTCCGACACCGACGACCAGTAGTCTGGGTCGAACTTGTAATCCGCGTTCAGGATCGCTTGCATCTCTTCCATGTTGTTGTCGCGGTCGAAGGGCGTCATCCCGCACAGGAGGAAGTAGGTTATCACGCCGATGGCCCAGATGTCGCTAAGGCGCTAAACGTCAGTGTTGCGCGCGGTGAGGCAAGGCAAGGCAAGGCAAGGCAAGGCAAGGCATTGGGGAGGGGGAGGTACACTGGCTTCCCGTGCCCCGTCTTCTTGAAGATTTCCGGCGCCATATACCCCGGTGTGCCGCAGGTGGTGGTCAGCACGTGGAACTGCTCCTCGTCTATGATCCTCGAAAGCCCAAAGTCGGCGATCAGCAGTTCCGAGTTTTCATCGGACGAGCGGAAAAGGAGATTCTCCGGCTTCAGATCTGTATATCCCGGATCAGCCATTCGATCTCTACTGCACGCTGCGGGTAGAGAGGATGGTACATACCGCGGTGCACTATCCCGTTATCGTGGAGATACGCAACGGCGCTCAACGTCGCGCGGATCAGCTCGCTCGTGTCCGATTCGTAGTAGCTGCCTTTGCGACATATCCGGTCGAAGAGCTCGCCGCCGAGCGCCAGATCAGTTACCAGGTACACTATCGTCCCAATATCAGCAGTTGCTCCCCCAATCTCAGCGGCCTGGGGGAAATACAGTTGTTCATCGTCTCGAAGTAGTCCACCAGCGTAAGGATATTCTGGTGGCCCATGGACACTCTCTTCAACACAGCAATCTCATTCCGGACCTATATTCCCCCATCAACCCTATGCCGCCTCTCTCTCTCCTTCCCCGGAGGCCCACTCACCATGTGCTCCCGCCCAGCCATGAGCCGCTTATTAATCACCTTTGCCGCATAATACCGACCGGTGTCGATGTGTATGCACTCGCGAACAGTGCTGTAGGAGCCGCTGCCGAGAGTCTTTCCCGTTTTGTAGCGGCAGGGCTGAACCTGCGGCTTCGGCGCGGGTTGAGGCGGCTCCATCGTTGTCGCTGAGCTGGAGGAGCTAGTCGTGAGTGCGCTCATAGGAACGCTCTGCGGGGGGTTCGTAGGTATCGGCGGAGAGAGATGGACGGGAATCGCGTAGTCGTCGTCGGATTTGTTGTCGCCCGTCGCGCGCAGTCAGTCGGTCGGTGCCGGTCGGTCGGTGCTGGTCGAAAAATAAAAGCGGAGATCCGGCGATGGGCGATGGGGGGTATATATTCTCCTGGTATGTCTTCTCGTGCTTGCTGAGGTGAGGTGAGCGCCGCAGGCTGCAGCTCTCGAACGTAGCGCGGGCCAGCCTAACATGCAGGGATCCCTCCCCCTCCCCTCCCCACTCCCCCCTCATCCCCGTTCCGGATGGGGATAAGGTGATTACGATACCCTCGTTTCTGGTTTACCGGAGCTGACTGTTGCAGTTAATGGATGTTAGGAAGTTATGGAGAGAATCGCCTGCGCAAACTCAAGCTTCCTCTGAATGGCTCCATGTACTAGAGATAGCCCCTGCCGATCTCCCCTCGTTGGCGTCTCTAAGGACTCGAAAGAATGGGATGAGCGGATGGCATCGCTGACACCTGTGATGCTCATTACAGGTGTCAAAAAGGAGTTTCTCTATGTATCCTTTCGTATTCGCGGAAGTCCTCGGAGTATGTTAGGCGACTATTACTAGAGTAGGTATACCGGTAGTCAGGCGTTATGAACCGGTGGAAGCCTTACACATGTATTGAAGATACCTAGTATAGTACACATCACTCGCCAACAGATGGTGCGCCAGTCAATCAGCCTTATGCAAGTACCGGTAGGCCACTTGAGTTTTCGTTCCCCATCCCGCCCTGCGAGGTGCGGAGCCGCTAGAACCCTGGATCTTCGCCGCCCCGCGCAGCCTGTCCAGGAGCCGAACGATGGCAGCCGTAGATCTCCCTCCCTACCTGACTTCTCCCAGCCTTGTCCTCCGTCTCAGTATCCGCCTCCGTCGGCTGTAGGATCCATCACCTCGTCATCCCGCACTGGTAGGGCTGGCAGAACATCCAAGCGTATGTGAGATGTGCGAATGCATCACGAGCTGTCACGCCGGCCTTGGAACAACCCATCCCGTCCGCGCTGCCACCCACCCACACAGTCCGTTCCCGACTGCCCATCATCGCGCAATCCACAGCTGATCACCCGGCCTCCAGCGGGCAAGCCACCTTACACACAAGATATCACTCGCTGTCCCACCTCTCGCCCGGTGCCGCACTTCCTTTCCTTAGGTATCCCGTCACAGCCGGTGGAGCTTAATAGTCCAAGCTTTGCTTTACCCCACACGGCATGTTCAAACCTTGATATCGATCCCGCCTATCCTAATCCCCGCGTCTCGCAAGCTTAACCGCCGAACGGGGGCTGATATGTCTAGACTCTAACGACATATCATATCCTCCATCGAGATCGCGACCCCCGATCGATCACGGACAGTAGGTATGTATGTAGGCGACGCCGCTAGCCCCAAGCCCAAGCCCGACCTCGACCCCGACTCCGACCTCGACGTCAACCTTGTGCTTGTGCATAATCTCGGGACTTTGCACGCAGCGCATCGCGAGATCGTATCTCGTTAAGTTGTAACCAGTCACATGCCCCCTTTGTATTGTAGGTACATGTAACAGATTATGTAGGTTAGGTAGGTAGGTAGTGCGTAACTACACATGTCCAGAAAATAAAACCAAGGAACAAGAAGCAAAGCATGTCAATCAAGGGTATATGTAGCACGTAAATCCCATCCTTCCATCCATCCATCCATCCATCCATCCATCCATCCATCCATCCATCCATCCATCCATCTCAGAACTCCCCCTCCCCTCCCCACATTATATCACCTCCCTAAAACCCCCCAAGGGCATTCCTTTCCCGAGCCCATCCCTCCCATCGCTTCATGAACGCGGCCATATTCGCCGCCACTAGCAGGTCCAGCATCTCCTGTCCGGGACCGTGGACGATCAGCATTCCCATCTTCGCCTTTTGCTTGTCCCTATGGATGTGGTGGTGGTTATGGGAGGCGGAGGAGCTGGAGACGGTCCGTTTGTGCTGGTTGAACGTGCCGAGTTTAAACTCTATCACGGAGAGCAGCGTGGACTTTTCCGGTTCTGGCGGCGGGTGGTAGGCAGATGCTGCGGGGGGTGCGGCGGGGTAGTATTTACACTGTCATCGCCGTCAGTCAGTCAGTTGTGTGGTTCTATCCATCCGTGAATGTAATCATACCTTCAGATACTTCCCGGCCCCTTCATCTTTAAACTCGCAGCGGCCAGCACTAACCCCGCACCCCGTCAACCCACAGCCCGTCGAAAACATAGTCCCGCTTCTTCTTCTTCTTCTTCCGCCCGGGCACGCCCCCAGCCGCCGTGTCAATCCGCTCATCGCTCTTCTTCCGTCGGCTCTTGAGCCGGTGCCAGAAGCCCTCTCCCTCAATCTTCATCGTCCTGACGAGCGGCGGGAGCTCCTGTGGCGGTGGTGGCGGTGGTGGCGGTAGCTGCTGTGCTGCTCCCGGAACCGGTTTCCTTCCAATCCTCGACCCACCGCTCGCCGGCGGCGCCGGCCTATTCCCCAGCGGCCCTCCCGCACTCGCACTACCACCCCCCACCCCAGCACCCACACCTCCCCTCCCGCCTGCAGCAGCAGCAGCAGCGAGCCTCCGATACCCGCCACCCAGCATCTCCAGGACGACCTCCTCTGTGCTGCCGCTGCCGGCGGCCTCGGGATCACATATATCAGCCACGTTCCACTGCTCGCCCGTGGCGGGCACACGGCGGATCAGCGTGGCGCGCACACCCGTGCTCGCGGCGCTGGTGTCGTGGTGCATGTGCACGTAGTACATGCACGCGGCAATGTCCGCCGCCGTCGCCGAGTGTGCGCCCCGCGGGGGCGCGAGCGGCGTTAGGATCATGTCTATGTGGGGCCTGTCAACGATGGTGGGGGGGAGGAGCTACGTAACTTCGTGGCGGGGTGGGATTGGTGGGGGGGATGAGAGAAAGGGAAAGGCACCTTTGGAATCCGGCACGCGCACGATCCACAGCAGCAGGCCGCGGCGCGAGTAGGATGACTCGAGGTCTGGGCGGTGCGGCGACGGCGAATCGGCAAGTGTGTTGAGCAGCCCGAGGCCGTGCGCTTCTATTGGTGCTGGCATTGCGAGCGACGAGGAGCCGGGCGGCGAGGGCGACGGTGAGGGGGAGGGCATGGTTGCTGATTTCTTGCTTGCTTGCTTGATAACGCCCTTCGTAAGAAGGGGTTCACTCAGCTTGCTCTTGCTCCGAGGGTTTATATCCACCGGTAGGAATTACTAACCCGCGTCGTGAGGTGGCGGCGGCGGCGGTGGTGGCTGTGCTCGTGTTGTCGTCGGCGTCGTCGTCGTCCGACCAAAGTCTTGGCTTCCCAGCTTCCCAACAGCTACTGATGCTGCTGCCTGCATATATAGATACATCGCCTTGCACGCGGATAAGCCACGATGCGAGCTATCTACATACATATCATACCGGTATGTATGCGGCAGAACAGCCATGACAAGCAGGGATTCCCCATTCGCCGGAACCAACGTTTCGCATTCCCGGTCTGTCGGTCGGTAGGTCGGGTCGGTCAGCGGCCGGCCGGTTGATAGCTCCCGTTCTCCCTCCCCTTCCCCCTCGCTCTGACCAACTACTAGAGTGCTCTAGTTGATTAGCGGACGATCGGGTTGCGCTGGCAAGGCACATCATCACATCATCACCTCATACGCAACTCACAAGGCCAGCAGGCAGCGACGCGAGCTTCATGGAGTATCACCAGGTTGACAAACAAAACACCAGACTACTCTATGAATGTACGGCGGAACGGTTCTTTTTGTTCTCGACACGACACGATATCATCAAGAGCCCGGCAACTTTTAGAAAGTGGAAGCGGGCCCATTCATTCATTCCTCGAACGACTAGAATAAGATTCGGAAAAAAAAAACGGAACCTGATGAATGAACTTAGGAACAAACAGAAAACTTCGAACGCCATATTCCCACACACTGCAAAAAAAAAGCAAGGTTCAAAAGGCAATTTTTTAAAAAAAAACTGCAAACAATTCGCAAGCAACGCAAAGCAAAGCAAACCCGGCTACGGTCGGAGAACAAAAGCCGAAAATGTGCCTTCAGCTCCATGGATCTTTTTTTTGCTCCATAGAAAAAACCAACTGAAAGAAAACATCAGACCCTCTTCCGACCATAACAAACACCCCCCTTGAAGAAATATGAAAAATGGACACAAAAAAAAAGAAGTCAGACTATCAGATCTAGCCCATACTATACAAAAGGTATGAGGTATGCGCTAGAACAAGAGAAAAAAACATCAAAAGTGGAATATAAGATGCAGTCGAAGAAAAGAGCAAAGGAAAAGAAGGCGGGAACAGCATGATGATATGAAGCAACAGAACAATCCCAAACACTCATGAAATGTCGGGTATTACGCATTGTTGATGAAATGAGACCCCCCGTTGAAATGCAACAGCAAATTGAATTCCCCGCAAATCAGATGCACCCAAATACAAATCACACGCTTTTGCCGGCCTAATTAGCCGATGCCTCCACCACTTCCGCCCTGCCCGGATCCAGCACTCGAGCGCCCGAGGTTAGCGCTCTGGATACCCTGCATCATGGACGTTCCGTTGTACATGTTGGTGAATATCCCGCCAGATAGGTGCGGAATGGACCCGTGGCTGTGTTTTCGGATTTGCTGCGGCTGCTCCGACATCATTTGTGGCGGTAGCGACCCCAAGCTTCCCCGTCGAATGTGGATTGGTACCATCATATTGGCGGTAGGAGACACGGGTGCACTTCCAATTGGACTCTTGGTTATCTGGTGTTGGCTGTGGTGATTTGACGAGTGTTGATGTTGCTGCTGTTGGTGATGCTGCTGCTGCTGTTGTTGCTGCTGCTGTTGCACCGAAGTGCCGCCCAAGGTGGAGGTGGCCGATTCGCGGATTGGCTGGAGCGTTTTGTTCGACTGCGGACTCGTATTGTGATGATTTGCGATTGGTGATCCATTGGAAGGCAACATCGAATGAGTCATTGGCGTGGCCGACATGGGACTCGTCTTGCCTTTGTCCGAATCGGAAGGTGCGGTGCGGGAGGATCCCCGACCAATCTTTTGCTATAACAGTCAGTATTCCATTGTAAATCCCAGTGAAAAGCACCAGCGGTGTGACCCACAAGTTTAGCGTATCTCAAACCGCAGCTGTTGCATAGATCTCGTTTTCCGCTAGGTCCTCGTCTCCACTCTGGTGTAACTCGGGTATGACAATTGGCGCAGTCCCTCTCGAGCTGATCGACGCCCTTTCTCCGTTTTCGCTTCTTCTTTGAAGCCAACAGTGAGTTGAGCTCTTCTATCAGACGCTTGTTAGTCCTCTGCATTTGCCGTAGCTCGAACTGCCAGCTAGTGGAACGCGTAGTCTTGAGCTCCTCAAACATGTTGTCCTCGCCTTGAGAATCGGCGCTGTTTTCCCGAGTCCCAGGTTTCGACCTTTCGTTCGGTGTCGAGGGATGCGTGGAAGCCGCGCCGCCACTCCATCCGCTTGGGGTTGAGCTGTGGGAGCTGGGCGTTTCGACGTTTGACTTGTGCTGAGGACTGGCGGCCGTGGCGGAAGCTCTGCTGTGCTTCAACAGCCGGGTTTGGGCGATCAGGAACGTTGGTCGTTGATATTCGCCTCCGTCACCGGGGAACAAAGTCGTGAGAGCCTGCAGGAACTGACCCCGCTTGTTCTGAATCTCATGACGCACGGTCGTTCTATTGCCCATACGTGCCACTTCCAGCGCCTTCCCTAGCTCATTCTTTGAGTCGGGTCGCATCAATGCCTGTACGCTGGTACCGATCAAATCCTCTGCTTCCCGATCGAGAAGCAGCTTAGAATTAGACGATACGTGCAAAAACATCCCGCTAGTCGACAACTTTGTCCACAGCTCGTTCTCTCCGATACCGCCGGCGGCATGGATGTCTTTCCAACGGAGTACGTAGACGGGCCGTTCTCTTCCAACAAGAATGATGCATTTACGGCCCTTTCCTTGCTCAGTGTGAAGACAACCGTGACTCTCAAACCATGTATAGCCGCTGAATTTTCGGCGAATTCGGAAGACGACGTTTACGCTGGTTCCGCTCGAAGTATCCTTCAGGTCTCTGGTGACGGGCACGATGTCGCTGGGGTGACACACGCCGGACAGACTGGTGCCGACGAGCTCGTGGGGCTCGTACTCGAGGACTTTGCGGATACTTGGCGAGCAATAGAGGAACAAACCCTTGAGCGAGAGGACGTGTACGACATCGTCAGTGTTCTCCAGCAGCACCTTGTCGAGGATTCGCTTGGAGTGGAGTTCGAGGTCGTTTCCGAACGAAGCCAGTACCTGCGAGACATCATCCCGACCCATGGTGATCTTGGGTCTCTGATCCATAACGATGGCGGGGATGTATGTGGGCATTTGAGTGTACTGGTAGTTGACGGAGAAAGATCCGTCTTCACCTAACGCGTCAGCCGCGTAAATCATTACAGATCTTTTTTTGATGAATGGTATGATGTACCTCTGTTCCTGTTCAACATAGCACTGGGTTGATCGACGAGATCAACCTGAAATCCAACAATGTAAACGACATCATCGGTGTCGTCGTACGTGATGGGGATCATTGTCAACAGGTTGGTGAACGATTGTCCACCCTTGCGGTAGTTGATGAGCGAAGTCTGCGCTTCAGCTCTGGCTGCAATCTGGTTCTTCAGGTAGTAGACCGCGTTCTCATCCACGTATTTCCGCCTGTCGCCAGCCTTGATGTTGCCATCCGGTGCCTGCAAGAACCGACAATTCCGGCCCAGCACCTCGTGCTTCGTATAACCCGTCAAGCGCTCGAATGTGGCACTGCAGTATACGATCGGGGTGTCGAACTTGCGGGCATCCGTGACAACGAATGCGCAGGACATGTCGACCGCACCGATGTTGATCTCGGGATTGGGACGATTGGCAACACGATTCTAGCGAGTCCCTCAGTCAGCATTGCCGAATTCGTCGGGAGAAAGAGAGAGAGAGAGAGAGAGCGGTCATATTCACCAGGATGTCCATCATATCGAACCCACTCGACGAATAGATATTCTCGGGAAATATCGAGGGTGCCGGCATTTGTGAATTGCTATGCTTTGGATGCATTGTTAAGAGTTCAGATGATTGGCTATTGTCTGGATAGCCGTAAGTGACATTGTCGTCGTAGTTACCATAGTTGATTCCCCGTTGGCAGTACATACCGGGGGACCTCGTGGAGTGGTCGAGTGGTTGCTCAATCATGGAACGCTGAGTGGGACCCTGGCCCATGGTGATATCCGACGCGACGGTGGTAGACGATAGGGAGCGCTGCGGTCGATGTACTATACTTACCGCAGGACTTGTCGGTACCGAAGGCATCAGGCTGTCGACGGGACTCGGTAGAGACGCCCGTGGTGTGATACTGCCGGTCCTGTTGGAGAACATCGACATGCTGGCTTGCATGTCCTGAGCGGACATTGTCGTCCCGTACGCGAGCATGGACATCACCGGCGGGACTGGCGCGCTCATATCCATAACGTCCTCGAGCGTCGTTGGCACCGACATTCGCGACGACGTGAACGTCGGCGACACCATCGACGAGAATGAATCCTCTTCGCCCATCGACAGGTAATCTAGACCGAAGCCATTGGCCAAGGATCTGCGACGCTCGGCCACCATGGCGTCCATGTCGGCACCGTGGTTCGTGTCGTCCGACTGACCAAACCCTCCACCGCCTCTGTTGACCTGCATTCCTCCATTCCCTGCAGCCACATCCTCAGCTGCCGAGTGAGCAGCGGCCAGATCTGTTGGCACGAAGCCGCCCGATCCCAGGTACCCGTTGAGGTCGTCACCGTCGATGTCCATGGCCGATTCGATGGTATAGAGATCCAGCGCCGGAATGGGAGATCGACGGGGGCAGGAAGGCTGGGAGGGGGGTGGGGGGGAAGGACCGCAGGGCGCAGCTAGCTGTAGGCCTGGGTAATCTCCTTTTGGGTTGGGGTTGGATCAGTTTGGGTTGTTCTGGAAGAGGGGAGGGGTGTTGTATGACGCGGGTGAGATAAGAGGGAAGGTATGGTATCAATAGTAGTGGCCGTACGACACCAGGCCTACCCTACCACCATCACCACCACCACCACCATCGACCACCACCATCGACCACCACCCTTGCTTGCGAGCCAAGTGGCTGAAGGGCTGTGGGATTTTGGGATTGTGTGGGTGGGGGGACGTGGGAGAATTGGGCCGTGATGAGAGCGAAAATTGGGTCTTCTTTCTTTCAATCTTTCTGTGTGTCTGTCTGGGGCTGTATGTCTGTGTGTCTGTCTGTCTGTCCGATCTGTCCGTCTGTCTGCCGCAGGGACTGTCCGACGGGAGCCAGGTCTGTGTGCCTGGCTTGACAATACCGAGTGGATTTGACTTGACTTGACTTGACGTGACATCTGGGCTGGGAGGAGAAAAAAATAGTACGGAAGCACCGCATCGCGGAAATTCACAGAGGAAGAAATAAAATCAAGATCGCCAGAAAGAGCCGATTGCAAACACACACACCTTTAATTATCTTGGAGTTGGTCTATTCTCTCTCTCTCCTTTTCTCTCTCTCTCTCTCTCTCTCTTTTCTTCTCTCCCCCTCTCTCTCTGTCTGTTTGTTTGTTTCGGACCTGTCCTGTATATTGAAAAGAAGTATTCGGGTCAACTCTGTTGGCCTTATTTTTTCCTTTCTTCGAAACCAAGTATCGATGACCACACCCTGGAGTGCAAGGGCGCTTTCCGAACGGTTCGTGTTGCTCAAAAGCTCAAGCCTTCCTATGCCTCAACCATGCGATAGGGCCAAGTTGTGGAGCCGTGGTAGCGGCAGACGGAAGGTCGTTACGGGCCGCAAAGCAAAGAGTACGGTTGCAGCACTTTTCGCGCGCTTCCTTCCTCGGAGTGGTGGTGGTGGTGGATTTCGTGAACACTCTAGTTGGTGTGGCGTTTTCCGCGAGTACCAGGCCGCGGCGCGAAATAGCAAGGGCAAGCAACGGCAAGCAGCCAACCAGCCAGCAAAAGACGGGAGGTGAGCGGTTCGGGAGGAGCAAGTACTTTCTCTGTGGGTAGCAATGGGGATCCGTGATCTCTTTCGAATCTCGATCGGTTTTTGAATAGCAGACAGGCAGGCAGGCGGGCAGGGCAGTCAGGCTGGTCGATTAACGGCGTCGGGGTCCACGAAAGATGGTCTTGAAGCGAGGCGAGGCGAGACGAGACGAAACAAGAGAGTTCTGGCTGGAGAGCACGCCCAGCAGGGAGTGATCGTTAGAGTCGGGTATCGGAGGGGTGTGAGTGAAGGGTGGAAGGTGGGAGGCGGGGGGGGGAGGGATGGTTGTGAAAGATCGCGATCGAAGAGGTTGAAGTTTGGAGCGATGGTTGGGGCAGAGCTCGATGGCCGAAGGATATTCTGATATGGAACCCCGGTCGCGGAATCAAGTATTAGAGCGAGTGGCAACGGATCACGGCTGGTGACAGAGCTTTTTCAGTCAGAACCCTGCGAGTGCATTATTGGGCGGCGGAGACGGGCGAGGGAGCACAGCAGACGAGAGCGAGAGAGCGACAGCGGACAATTTTTTTTTCACACGGAGAGTGCTTAGAGCCAAAGTTCGGGGAGGAGGGCAGTGGCGGGAAGGGGAGGGGGGGTTGTATGGTGGGTGGTGGGTTTGGTCTGTGTGGATTCGGTCAGGGTGGGAAAGGTGGGTATGGGTGAGAAGAGAGCGAAGGCAGAGTGTGTGGAGAGTGTGGAGAGGAGTGTGTGTGTGTGGGAGAGTGGTCTATGGGTGGTGGTGGATGTGGTGGTGGTGGTCACTGGTGGTAGTTGGTGGAGGGTGATTTGATTGATGAGGCTATGACGGACGCTCTGATCCAGGTATTATTATGTGGGTGCGAGAAAGTGAGTGGGTGAGTGTACGGGTGCCAGGTAGTACAGACGGGCGAATGGTAAAAGTGTTTGGAGAGAGAGAGTGCTGTTGTTCTACACAATTCCGTTGTGCGCGGCGGCACGGCATACACGGCAAACATATCTCACATTGAACACTGGGCACTCTGACTGCCGACGAGGCCGAATAACATGATGGCAATAGCAGCGGCAATGGGTGGACGCGGGGGGATGGAAGGGGGGAGGGGGGGGGTGTCTGGGTGGGATGATGATGAGTGATTGAGTGAGTGGGGTGAGGGGAAGTTGCGTTGCTGGAGGAGAAGCATATGCGAATAAGCAAAAGAGACATTTGAGAACACATTGCTGTACGGCGTCACGGTGCTGAGACTGCCGTACCAGTGCGGTGTACTAGGTGGTAGCAACGAGTTACGCAGTTGAAGCAAGTCAACTCTCCTGCCGACATGTCCGCCGCTCTATCACATTCAACATATCTATCTCGACTGGCGAGGCGAGCGAACGATGGTGTGGTGGTGGTGGTGGGGGGAAGGGGGGTGAGCCGTAATGGGCTAGCTAGGGCTACTGCAGAACGATAGTCACGTGATCGCCGCTCCCCCTAATCCGTCAATCAGCGCTATCTTATCTCCAAATACCGCGCAAAATCTGAGACACAGCCCCCGGAGTGGGCGTCGTCGCCTAATCGGTACACAAGTCGTGCAGGCTTCGCTGGGCTCAACCACCATCCTCTAGCTGCATCGAGCTGTGAGGCTGATCATCAAATGTCGTCCTCACCCGCAACGTAACTGATTCCCATTCTCCCTTCTCTCCATCTGTGTCCGTGTCCGCGTCCGTTTCCATGCCCACCCCCCGTATCTTCACCATACAAACCGCAATTGCCAACTGCCAACTGCCAACTGCCAACGGCCATCACCACCTCGCCGTCACTATCGTCGCGACTCGCCACCACCCACTCTACCGCTATCTCTCGGCTCGGCAGAACCGAACGATCGCTCCTCGCACAATACGCTCGCTGCGTTCGGCCGTGACGGACGAACGCCGGTATCAAACAGACCCGCCACAGGCAGGCCTGGAGCGAGGTCGAATGCTTGACTCGTCGCGTTTCGGTGTCCGCGCCCGCTGAATCGAATGAAGAACAAGCAAGCAAAACCATGCCAGCCGACCTCGTCGTCACCACGCCCGCCCTCGCCATAGTGGTAGGTAAGTCATAGTCACTCCTGCGGTCCGGACGGACAAAACAAAAGGCCCTCTGCTCCTCCTCCTGCCTCTTCCTAGTACCCGATCGCGAAGAACAACAACAACAACACCCCCCCACCTAGTGCCCTCCCCCCCTCCCCCCGCCCAAACGATCCCCACCACGAACCGAGCATCAGTCGTTCGCAAACCCTCCGTTCCCTCCAGGCATCGTCATCACACGAAGGAAAAACCGTCGCGTCACCAGCTAGTGGTTCAGATGCGGTGGTAACCACTCTGGCTAGGCCCTGGCCGTGAGCTGACAGAACTGCTAGGTAGCTGGTAGAGCAACACCCTGTCCGGCCCAGCGCCCACTCCACACACACACACACACACACTGCCTGACACATTTCGACGTTCGGTTCGGGGGGTCGTCCCCTCTTCCACCTCCTCCTGCTCTCTCTCGAGTCTCTCTCCCTCTCCCAGATTTCCTTTCGGGCCCATGCCATATCCTCTACATGCCGGGTGTGTGAGCCTCGCCTCGCAGCCCTGAACTCCACCGCCACTGTCGCAACAAAACTCCGAGATCCAATGCCCATACGCGTATCTGTACATATCTGTATCTGTATCCCAAACCCACATGCAGATCCCCAGCAGATGAAAAGTCCCGATCTTCCCAAAACCCCATCCATCCATCCACTCATCCATCCAGCAGCCAGCCATCCAGCAGCCAGCCATCCAGCAGCCATATCCACTATATCGCACTGTATATCCTCGCCCAGACTGGACAAGTACATAGACAGACATGCACGTACATATCTGCTTTACAGTAGGTATCGCAACTTACTCTACTTACTCTATGTACGAGTGGGTAGCCCCGACATATATACCGCAACCTCCAACCGTACCGCAACCTCCACTGAGGACCTCTCCACCTTGACGCATTACCCTGACGCTCCACATCACCTACTATCCGGGTATGTGGGGAGTGGAACTGGCGACATGGGGAGGTGCTGCACATGTCTGTAGAGTACCGTAGGTATGCAAGTCGAGCAAGTGGAGTAAGTCGACCATGTACCTATCGCAGAGCAGAGCGGAAACCAGCTCGCTCGCTTCCTAGCCCGCGCGCTCACTCACTCCCACACACACACGCCACAGGGCCCATGGCACAAGGCAGGGCCCACAGGCGTTTCCTTCCTTCCGTCGTCACTATTTTTTCCATCCATCAGCGATCCCCCCTCCCCCAAGCTTATGGTAAAGGGAGGGTGGAAGAGGGGTATGTACCCAGGGTATGTCATGACGCGCACCCCCATCCCGGGTGATTGGCCGGCGGCGCGTTAAGGTTGCGAAGGTTGGGCCCCCGTTCGGACCGGGGCCGGGGCCATATGTACACACATACCCATACATACATAGCCCTGCCTGTGGATGGGTGGGTGGGTGGATGGATGTGCTGGTGCTGTTGGGCAAACGGTCTTTTTCGTTCTCGGAAGTGCGGACGTACCGTATGTATGTAGGGTATGTAAGAGTAGGCAGGCAGAGCGATCATCTTTCTCGATGTTGCGCAGGAAGGTAGGCAGGCGGCGAGCTGGGGAGCGAGCGAGTCACAGGGATGGATGATGGATCGCGGCGGCTCCAACAGAATATTCTAGCGTACGGTGCGTACGGTGCGGTACGGTGCGGTACGGTGCGTGCGGGCGTGAGTGCGACAACGGCAATTATTCTGGTTCTATGAACTATGGTATGAACTACGGTATGATGTCTGCTGCTGTGGATATGTACAAGTACAAGTATCTAGTATCTAGTATCTGTTGTACAGGTCTAGAATACAACAATTCGTACACGTGCCTCTCTCTCCACTCACGCAAAAAAAAACGAAAGAAATTGCTAGTAAAAGATCACGCATGATATGGAAGTGGGTAGGTAGATATGTAGGCATAGCTGGCTGGCTGGCTGGGCCGGGCCTAACAGGCTCCTCCGAGCTTCTCAATCGCGGCTATGAGGGTATCCACCGTCTCCCGTGTTGTCCGGTGACTTACTACGGCGCGGAAGAACTCGCCATGTGTGGCATCCGGAGAATAGTCTAGTGGATGTATCACAGCGTTTCAGCGGGGAAGGCGGGGAAGACGGACGGAGGGAGGGAGGGAGGGGCAATTGATGGTAAACTTACCGACCATGTACCCCTTCGCGATCAACTGCGCAGCGATTCTTCGCGTGATTTCGGTATTGCTACACCCACCGTATTAGTTTGCTGCGGGGGAAGGTGGGGTGGTGGGGGACATCAACGCACAACTTTGCGTCGCTGCTCAGGATGTTTGCAGAGCCGGTGTAGTAGAAGCAACTGTGATCACCCGAATGGTCAGTCTCAACCTGATGGTGGTAACGGCGGCGAATTGAAGTGGCTTACATCTGGAGACATGGCGGCGGGTTCTCAGATACCAGATGGAAGCCCTTGCGTTTCGCCAGGGTGGTGGCGAAATATGCCGCCATGTCGAATGCATGATCGATTCGGCCTGGAGAGTTTAGTTTCTGCCTTTCTGTCGAGGGAAAATAGGGATGGGAGGGGGGAGGGAGGGAGGGAATCACGTTGATATCCATCCTTTCCGTAATAGATCCAACCCATGGCCATCTTGAGGGAGTCTGCCCGGCGGCCACAGCCCATGGTCATCTGCGCCATATCGTAAACATCATCCGCCTCATCTTCATCGTCCTGCTCGTGGAAGAGGCTAGTCCCACCCAGTCAATATATATATCCACAATCAGCCAGGAGATGTTGGGCAACATACTACCCCGCCTTCAAGCTGGTCGCTCGATAAAAGGCCCTCCTATCCGGCGTAAGTAAAAAACTGCAAGTCACCGGCACGCCGAGCATCTTGTGCGGATTGACAGTCAAGCTGTCGGCGCGGTGGGCACCCTTCAACCGCCACTTCTGATTCTCGGAGAAGGCGACAGCGCCGCCCCAGGACCCGTCGACATGAAACCAAAGACGGTGACGCTGGCAGATATCTGCGATCTCGTCGAAGGGATCGTAGGAACCCAACACCGTGGTTCCGGCACCGGCATTGACGTAGAATGGTGTGAAGCCCTTCTCCTTTGCCTCTATGATCCTAACCTCGAGCTCTAATCCCCCATCAGGTCAGTACCGCCCTGAATCACTGGATATGATGCGATGCATACCTGTCGCAATCATCCTTCCTTGCTTGTCCACAGCAACCTCCCAAACCGCCTTGGAGCCCAGTCCGAGCAAGATAGCCGCCTTCTCGACTGAGTAATGGCCGTGGATACTCGTGAACGCGACGAACCTCTTGTTTCCGTTACCGTGAATCTTAGTCTCTGGGAATAGTGTATTCTTCGCTATGATCATCGATGTGGAGTTCGACGCCGACCCTCCGGGAAGTGTTATTCCGCCGGCGTGCGGTCCCTCAAACCCGGCGAGGTTTGCGAAACGTTTCGCGGTCTCCCGCTCGATGATCGTCAGGGCTGGTGAAACTATGGGGATGTGTTAGACGGATGCCCCACCGGTGACGAAGGAGTAGGCGAAGGCAGTGGTCTAACCTTGATACACATGTACCTATCTCAGTCAGTAACCCAAAGAAACACCGCAGACGGAGGGGGACCAGGTCCATATTCGAATTAGAGCATACATTGGTATTAAGCACGCTCAGCAGCAAATCACTCGCAACACCGACCGGATCCGTCGAGGCGTACAACTTGTCCATGAACCCATCCCTCCACGTATTGACCGAGTACCTCAGGACCTTCTTGATAGCCTCGTCGAGACCCTCCGCGCCTCTACCCTCACCCGCCGGGAGTCCCAGATCCAAGACCGCCTCGAGCTTCTTCGGCGGCAAGGCTTCGACCACGAGTTTTCCGTTGGCATCGTCCGCGGACGAGATGAAAGGTAGTAGTTGGGCCGTTGCGAGGTTCAGGAGCTATTATTCGTCGGGTTAGCGGAGCAGCTCATCTCGTACATCCATCGATGCATCGCGGGCATCTCGTTAGCGCTGCAGATTCAATACCTTTTCGACTTCCTGCGCTCGAGACGATAGCTCGCCAACAACCCCATTTCCAGCTCCATTTGCATCCCCCATCTTGACCAGTTGGAAATATGCGACTGTGGATCTGCCAATATGTGCAGATGTTGCAATATCTACAATTGATGAGTTCCTTGGTGGTTGGTGGTCGGTGGTCGGTGGTTGCGGTTGTCGGCGAAGGTCGACGCAGCTTATGACTCGTCTTTGGTGGGGCTACCGGTAAGTTCACAGGAAATTTTTGTGACCGAACGCCGGCGGGTTCAGCTATCCGATCGCTGCCCCGGCCCCGTGGATTATGGTCCAGGGTTAGCCTATCGCATTATGTCACCTTCTAGGTTCTAGGTACCTCTGCCTCAATAACGTGGGGGGTCATGCTCGTGGCTTAGGCAGCTTTGCCGAAGGGATTACTGCTTCTTCTTCATCGTCCATCACTCTCAGACTCAAACTGCCATCTTCAGCATGTCAATTACATACAACACCGAAACCTAGGAATGATATATACACGGAAAAATAGCCAACCCATAAGCAAAACTTTTACAATCATATATCACTCTACCCTTCTCTTTTTCATCCCATCCTCCTCCGTGTCCACAGCTGCAGCCGCAGACCTCTTATTCCCACTATTAGAATTAGTCCCTGTGGCGAACCCTCTCTTCTTCTGCATCGCATGCCGTTCCCTCGCCAATTCAATGGCGGTCTTCTTCCTCTCCACTGGTTTCCCCTCTGGCGTCGCAGCTTCCTCCTTCGCCAGCTGGAACCACTGCTGTTTCCTCGTCTTGAACTTATCCATACTCCAATTACGCCAGACAGCACGGCCAGAGTAGCTCTCCCGCATTTGCGGTTCGGCATGCATCAGCTCCTCGGCGACGGATTGCCGGTAGTTCATGGGTGAGTCCCAGCATGCGTCAACGATGTGAGAAGCTACAGTGTCGAGTGACAGCTCAACGTAGCGGCCCTTGAGCGCGTTGAGCAGTCGCCGGCGGTTGGGAACTGTTGCCGTGGGGGAGTTCAGGAGCTTCTGGACAACGTGCGAGGCCTGAGAGTGTTTACACAGCGCCACCAGAGTGTCTTGCGGTTGGGCAAGGATGCTTTCGGCGATTGGGGAGGCGACCTCAATAGGCAGGGAGAGGATAGTCTGCGCGAAGAGAGAGCCGTGGAGTTGGAAGGGGTCGCGCTTGGGCTTTCCAGCTGGAGCCTCAGTTTTGGGAGGTGGCGTGAGGTCGGCTGGGGTCAGATGAAGCATCTTAAATATTAGTTCTGCAGATGTGCAGTCGTATGCTTTGGTAATGGCGTCAATGACAGGTGTGGCTGGGATCTCCTGTTTTATACAGGCGTCGATGAGGGTTTTGAGGACGGCTACGCGGGAGCGTTCTGGTTTCGTCAGTAGCTGTCATGTCGGGAGGAGAATGGGGGAACGTGCCGACGAGGCTGGGTACCTGTGGCAGTATCTCTTTTACGGCCTCTTCAAGTCCTTCCTTTGATAGCTTCTCCAAAACCCTCTGTACTACGAACGCAGCAGTCTCGTTCCTCGCCAAGCTTCCCAAACGCGGCTTGATGAATCGCCCATATAACATGTTAAAGTCCTTCTTTGGCGCATGCCGTATGATGCTCTCAGCCAGATGTGAGCCGACAGAGTCATACAGAAGGTTTTGAAAGAAGCTACGCTCTTGTTCCTCCCCTTCCTTCTCGCCCTCGGCGGTCTCTTCCTTCGCTACGGACGCCTCGTCGTTCTGCATCACACCAGTCAATTTTGACAGCAATGTGCCCTCGGACTTCTCCTTCTTCCGTCGCTCCTTCTTGGACAGCCCCATCTCCAACTGCAACATAATCTGCAGCACCGGCGATCCAATCTGGTGCACCGCTAATGCTCGTAGCTCCTCGGTCGAAAACACTGTGCACACTGTGCTCAACAGTTTTCCAACCGCCTCGTGGAATGACTGAGGCACAACCGATATCTGGTCCCGGCTTTCCTTCGAGACGCCTTCTGAGTTCAACGGGATATTCTCCTTCTTTCGGCTTTGGATCAGGGTCGCCGCTGAGGAAACCGGACGGCCGGAGAGGAGGAGTAGCAATGTGCGGATGGTGTGGGAGGCAAAGGTATCCGTAACGAGACTCTTCAGCTCTGGCAGAATCTCATTGAACATGTAGAGGAAGAGCGACTCCATACTCGCGAAAACGGTATCTTCGTCGACCACTTGCTTAGCGGTAGACTCGGAGTCCATTTCTTGCGAAACAAAGGGCACGGCCTGGAGAAAGAGCGTTTCGCAAACGTGACTGGCAAAGCGGTGTTTCACCAGTGCCAAAAAGCTGCAGATCATTAGCCCAATCCCTGGGGACAACGAAGTTAATCGGGAGAGCATACTGTCCACTGAAGCATTGAAACAACGCTTTGAGTTGCGCCGGTGTAGAAAGCAATATCAACCGCTCCAAAAGCCTCGAACAACCTTGGGAATGCGCAATCTTCAATTCCTTTCCGTGCGCTTCTTTGTATAGATTGGCAATGAACAGCGATTTTCCTAGTACCACCGCGCGATCAGCACACGCACTCATGCACAGCATTGCTTTCCCACACGTACCCTCAGCATCCTCGAACTCGTCCAACGCCAACATCTCATCCGCGCGTCGAAAGTACTCCGACTCTTCCTCCGTTAGGAGTCCGTAGAACGTAGTTGCATCGTCGACAGGTGGTACGACGCCCTCGAGGTCGTTGATATAGAGGTTTTCGAGCTCGGGAGCCGGCGATGGCGATTTCTCATCCTTTCTCTTCTTTTCGGCGCGGCGACCACGTTTACGACGTTCTTGAGGCATTGTGAGTGTAGTGTTCGGTGGTGATCGAGAGCTTTGCTTTGCGCGTCGAGAGTGAGTGACCGGAGGGGAAAAAAAAGTATCTAAGAGTAAGAGCCTCATGCAGCTAAGTTTTAGTGCGCGGGATGTTCCGTGGAATTTCTATCTCACATGTGATATCACTCGGCAATGTGTACCAGTGGTCCGGAATTCCACAGCGAGCCTTCTCTATAAATTCTAGGAAGAGCGTGTTTATTGCCATAGCCGAAACATGCTGCATAAAATTATTGATGAAACAAAAAATAGACCTCCGTCTCCCGAAATTGATATACCAGGTAAGTCGTAAGAGGTGTCGGTATTCGAAGTCGCAACGTCTTCATTGAAGCGAGCAGTCGAAGTTGACACTCGGCCTTAATTGTGCCTTTCTCGGTCCGGTCCGAGCTCTTAGAAAATTCTGGCACTATGCGAAGAGACGTAGATCACCTACCGAGTGCCTTCGACGTCGATGCCCTCCGGCTTGTTCTTACGTCCCCGAGTTACGGCTCAACACCAGCGGTTCTATCTTCCATATGCAGCCCAGTAGTCCTTTTATGAATATCCTGTCCCCTAATCATCTTGACATCGCCCATACACACTAACCCTCCAGCCCCCATCTAAAAACAACTTGAGTTTCAAACCTTCTCGCCAAAAAGCACCAGCTCTCGAACACCGAGAGCCTTCAGTTCTGACCCTGATTTGAACAGGGGACCTGTCGATCTGCAATCGACCGCTCTAACCCCTGAGCTACCAGAACATGTTGATGGAGATTCACTGCGCATACACGTGATATCACTCGTTACCCGGCATGGTGCGAGCGGTGTTCTTGAATGCGAGGAACGGATAGTGTGCCGTTGGAGTGGTTACTTTGCAAGAGGGGATAGGGCAGATAGACTGAGAATTCTTCGCGACGATAATATTGTAACGGGATCAAAGAGGATAAAGATGTTAGAGGCCGAAGGTATGTACATACGGGCTGGGATGGGGTTTAGACCGAGCTGGTCTGCATCTACTTGAAGGCGGATTTATGGACCCGGGCTGCCGAAGTTTTAGGCACTTTACGTGCCAATTTGCGGGGAAGTTTCCTCAGCTGTTTCCGGCTATGTGGATCATCGTCTTATCAACCAGAATGTTGGGTCCAAATTAAGCCATAAATAACTAGTGCGTAGGTGGATTGGCATTTTGGAGATGTCAAGAGTTATGAGATGGAATGGATCGTCTAGAATCCATTTGCTTCTGCTGAATATTTGCCCAATGTTGTGAGCTTGGAGTTGAGCGGGGTGATCGGCATACCCCCGCGTGGTACAAGCGAGCATAACTCCGGATCCCCAAGATCTGCATCTCACTCAGGTTGAGCTGAGTACCACTTCGCGTGGATTGATTGGTACCCCCTGGGCGTCGTTAAGCCGCCGCAGCATCCGTCACGTCCATCGCCGTCTACTATTCAATTCGATCCGAGTCCGCTCTATGGGCTCTCACCATCACTCCAAACAAACATCAATCACCCCTCAAGCAACAACACCAACAACCGCTAGTTAGCGCCGCACGTACCATGAGCTCCTCCCCAGCTCCAGCTCCAGCTCCACACGACGAAGGGTTTGACTTCGACTCCGACAAATCTACTACTCACCTGCCGCGCAACGAAACGCAAAAGCAAAACCCGCTTGCGACAATGCAGACTAATACTGCAACTACTTCTACCCCGCCGTCCAAGCGGAAACGCTCCGCTGATATCGGCGCCGAGATCCCCGGGGCGCCACTGAGCTCGCACTTGGGGGAAACATATAGCTGCGACTATAACTATAACAGAGAGAGGGAAAGGGAGATACTTATTGGTCGTTTTGGAAACATGAAGCTGGATGTTCCAGAGGGTAATAGGACTGGGATGGGAGAGGGGATGGGGGAGTCGGTGGTAGTGTTCGATGGCGGTGACGAGGCGCGTGATATGGAAATGGACGACGCAGGGGAAGAGTCAGAGCCTACGATCAAGCGAAGACGCGAACGCGGCGAGAAAAATCCAACGGTCAACGTTGTACCTCCCGAGGACGGAGATGGAGATTTGACGGTGCAGATGCCATCCCCGCCGAGAGAAGCATCAGACGTTCGTGGACAAAGGATGGAACGCAGCAACAGCAAGCGTCTCAGGTCACCACCTCCGCCTATCGAGCCGCCATCTCCGGAGGCTGAAGAGGAGACTCTCAGCGACGTGGACCAGCATGGGATCGTATATATTCCGACTCCAGCGCAGCGGTTCGCCAGGAGCCAGAAGCGGTTACAACAGGTTAGTTTTGTTTTCCCATGGCTTGGGTTGGAGTCGCCTACTGACGTCTCTGTAGATCAAGGAATACAAGTCCCGCGAATACAAAGAGGCCAGGGAAAAGAGGACTGTCGAGAGAAGGCGGAGGAAGAGTCAGTCTCGTGCTGACGCCGCCGCCCTCGCCGCCGCTACTGCCGCCGAAGCCGCCGAGAAGAAGAAGAAAGCGGTGCATTTCCATCTATGATTACGTCAATATGGTGTTTCCTAGGCAATGTTACGGTTTCTTATGTGGGTAGGTGGCTGGTTTGTTTTGCGCGGGTGTATACATGCCGAGGGAGTTTGGTGTTTTGGTCGCATTTACTTGGATACGGGCCGCATGACTTCAATGAATATATTCCAGTTATGAACGAATCCAAGGACACATTGCGTACTCTACAGATAATATACAGTGAAGAAGAGCTGTGTCCGCTTTTCACCAGAATTTCCACGAACTTTTGGCTGCAGCTGCCTGTGCTTCTTTCTCAGCAGCTGCCTTCATAGCCCGCTCTTTCCTCTCGGCCATCTTCTTCTCCACCTCTGCCCGCTTCCGCTCCATGATCGCCGACGCCTGCGCTATGAACTGCTTCTCTTGTCTCCGCCGGTACTGGCAGTACTCGTATGTGACGATGCTGGTTCCCAAGCAAGCTCCCACCGCCCAATTACAAGCCTTTGGTATTCCGCCTGCAATATCGATCAGCTTAGCACTTTGCCAGTAGTAACCTCCGGGGTAATTTCATATCCATACCTCCCGCGATAAACCTCAGCCCTCCCACCGCAAATCCACCACTCATTCCCCACAGATACGCATCCCGGAAGCAAGGCTGCGTATGCACCTTCTTGAAATCGTCGAGCGAGATCGACTTGACGGCATCAGCTACCGCGGGAACCGCTTCGCGGGTGTACTCGTTGGCCGGGTGGTTTGGTGGGGGTTCGAGGTAGCGTTTCGGTTCCGTAGGAAGTGGGGTAGGGGCGGTCTGGGTCTGATCGGACATGGTGAAAGCTGCTGCGTTTCTCAAGCTGAAGGAGTTGTTTTTGTTCTCTATGAGGGGGGCGAAGGCGAGATTGACTTCGGATAATCGCTAGGGTGTCGTCATACAATTGCTTTGCTCTGTTCTTTGGTGTCTGTGTTGATGTTGATGTAAGTGACTAGGCTGAGTAATCGCATTCCTCACACTAATTTACGCGGACGCGAAATCTCGAGCGCGTTGTCGGTGCAGGGTGTCGTGTCTCTCTTTCACTCTGGCAGTTTTGGGGTCCCGGTCAACACACAACTCACAACATAGGTCGAGACACAATCCGATATCATCCACCCGTCCCCCATTTCACGACCTACGAACCACATCTACGATCGAGCGTGTCTTCTACCATTAACTCGATACTACATACGTTCACGCTCAGGCTCAGGCTTAGGCTCAATTGATCTGCATCCTTGCACTCTACGAATTCTACGCCTTACACCACCGCGAAGAATACTCCTGTACACGAAATCAACATGGCCTCCGTCCGCAGTCGAACACGGTTCGTCAAATCCTCTAAACGGGGTGGCGGTGGCGGTCGCGGAGGAGGAAACAGTGCCGGATTCGAGCGGCGATACAAGACCAAGACTGTGACCTCTGGAACGCTCCTAACAACGGAGGCAACGTCTGCAGAAGAGAAATTCGAGCGAGTGCGGCAGGGGAACGCAATCGATGACCAGATGGGATTTTTACGGTACGACAGCGGGCCAAAGAAGGTGGGCTGGCTGGTCAACATGCAGCCTACGACTCTCGAGGTCGAGGGGACCTCCGGGAAGGCGGGAGTAGATTTCTACTTTCTGGATGGGGAGGGGGATAGTTTTAAGGCTACGGTTATTTACGATCCGTATTTCTTGATTGCAACGAAACCGGGGACCGAGGGTGAGGTCGAAGAGTGGTTGAGGAGGAAGTTCGAGGGGTTGATTAAGAAGACGTCGAGGACAACGAAGGAGGATCTCAGCATGGTGGCTACAGCCCTGTCTGGCAGAGAATGTGAAAGATGCATGGGAACTAATAATATGCCTTTAGCCGAATCATCTCTTAGGTTACCGACGGACGTTCGTGCAATTGGATTTCGCCAATGTTACAGATTTGCTGGCGGTGCGGAAGGAGATCATGCCAATCGTTGCGAAGAATAAGAAGAATGTGGATGTAATGGATGCGTATGCGGAAGTTGTTAGGTGAGTCTCCGTTTTCCTCCCCTGAAAGCCGCCAGTACGTAGGATATCCTGACAGAGTGAAGCGTAACGATGGCGGGTTTTGATTTCTTAGGCGACGATCATGATGCACGAAACAAACCTACGGTGCCCGCCGATCCAAACGAATATATCGTCGACATACGAGAGTACGACGTCCCTTACCATGTCCGGGTGGCTATCGACAAAGATATTCGGGTTGGTAAATGGTATACAGTGGAGGCAAAGCACGGCGTTACATCGATTACCTGCATAGAGGACCGACTGGAGCGGCCAGATCCCGTGGTTCTAGCGTTCGATATCGAAACTACTAAGCTACCCTTGAAGTTTCCTGACGCATTGATCGATCAGGTCATGATGATTTCGTACATGATCGAGGGACAAGGTTTCCTGATCACCAACCGCGAAATAGTGTCGGAAGACATTTCAGATTTCGAGTATACCCCGAAGCCAGAATACGAGGGACAGTTCATGATTTTCAATGAGCCCGACGAGAAGGCGGTCATCGAGCGGTTCTTCGAGCATATCAAGGAGGCCAAACCGACAGTTATTGTGACGTACAACGGTGACTTCTTCGATTGGCCATTCATAGAAGCCAGAGCGTCTTTCCTAGGAATAGACATGTATCAGGAGATCGGGTTCCGGAAAGACACCGAAGATCTATACAAAAGCAACTATTGTGTACATATGGATGCGTTCTCTTGGGTGAGGCGTGATTCTTACCTACCACAAGGAAGTCAGGGTTTGAAGGCTGTCTGCGTCGCAAAACTGGGTTACGATCCAGACGAATTGGATCCTGAGTTGATGACCAGGTCGGTGATGCCCATAGCCTCGAAATTGAAGTGTTTCAGTTATCTAAAACCGTAACTAGGTATGCCGCTGAAAAGCCACAGACTCTCGCCGAGTATTCGGTATCCGATGCCGTCGCGACATATTACCTGTACATGAAATATGTGCATCCGTTCATCTTCTCGCTCTGCACCATTATTCCGCTGAATCCGGATGATGTCCTGCGGAAAGGAACTGGAACACTATGTGAGATGTTGCTGATGGTAAGCATAATATTTGGGTTCTTATGATGAAGTTTTGCTGATGTTAGATACAGGTACAAGCGTATCAGAAGGGAATAGTGCTACCCAACAAACACAAGGGACAGCCGGAATCCTTCTATGAAGGCCACCTCCTAGAATCGGAAACGTACGTCGGTGGTCACGTCGAATCGATCGAAGCTGGAGTATTTCGGAGTGACATCCCGGTGAACTTTGTCATCGACACTACAGCAATAGATAAACTGGTAAAAGAGTTAGACGCTGCTTTGAAGTTCAGCATTGTGGTAGAAGGCGGCAAGAAACTCGAGCAAGTAACCAATTACGATGAGGTAAAGCTTCTGCCCCTTACTATGAGAGAGATATTGACCTAAATAGGTCAAAGAGCAAATTGAAGCAAAGCTTCTCGAACTGAAGGTGTTGCCTCAACGGAATGAACGCCCTTCAATCTACCATTTAGATGTTGCATCCATGTACCCCAATATCATGACAACCAACCGTTTGCAACCGGACTCGATGATAGAAGAGGCCGACTGCGCTGCTTGCGATTTCAATAGGCCAGGAAAGACCTGCGATCGTCGGTTGCCATGGGCCTGGCGAGGCGAGTACCTACCGGCAAAGCGCGATGAGTACAACATGATCAAGCGTGCGCTGGAGAACGAAACATTTCCGCCACGGTACCCCAACCAGCCGCGACGCACGTGGGATGAATTGCCACAGGAAGACCAAGCTGTACAAGTCAAGAAACGTCTACAAGATTTCAGCAAGAAGATTTACCACAAGATCCACGAATCGAAGACAATCGAGAAGGAGGCCATCATTTGTCAAAGAGAGAATCCATTCTACGTCGACACCGTGAAGGATTTCCGTGACCGCCGCTACCATTTCAAGGGACAACAGAAAGTTTGGAACCGGAAGACGGCAGAGCTCAAGGGGGCTGGCGCTGCGCCCATAGAAGTGGAGCAGGCAAAGAAGATGGTTATTCTATTCGACTCCCTTCAACTAGCCCACAAAGTCATTCTAAACAGTTTCTACGGGTATGTCATGAGAAAGGGATCACGATGGTACTCCATGGAGATGGCCGGAGTGACTTGCCTTACCGGTGCGCATATTATCCAACTGGCCAAAGACCTGGTGGAGCGAGTTGGGCGGCCTCTGGAGTTGGATACCGACGGAATTTGGTGCATTCTTCCTGCGACGTTTCCGGAGAACTTTGCGTTCAAACTTGACGGAGGCGGGAAACTGCCGATATCCTACCCTTGCGTCATGTTGAATCACCTTGTGCACGAGAAGTTCACCAATGATCAGTACCAGGAACTAGTGGATCCGGCCAATTATCGTTATGAAACTCATAGCGAGAACACTATCTTCTTTGAGGTCGATGGACCTTACAGAGCCATGATTCTACCCACTTCGAAGGAGGAGGATAAGAATTTGAAGAAGCGATATGCTGTCTTCAACCACGACGGCAGTCTTGCAGAACTGAAGGGCTTCGAAGTCAAGCGTCGTGGAGAGTTGAAGCTCATCAAGATCTTCCAGACGCAAATCTTCAAGTTCTTCTTGGAAGGCACAACACTCCAAGAGTGTTATGATGCCGTGGCAAAGGTCTCGAATCAATGGCTTGATGTTCTGTATTCGCATGGATCTACCCTAGCGGATGCCGAGCTCATGGATCTCATTTCTGAGAACCGAAGCATGTCCAAATCCCTGGAGGAATACGGCAGTCAAAAATCGACGTCAATCACCACAGCCCGCCGTCTTGCAGAGTTCCTCGGTGAGCAGATGGTGAAGGACAAAGGCCTGGCCTGTAAATTCGTCATCTCGTCGCGACCGCGCAATGCCCCGGTGGCTGAAAGAGCTATTCCAGTTGCGATCTTCTCCGCAGAGGAAAACATCAAGCGGCACTTTCTGCGGAAATGGCTCAAGGACGATCCAGGCGACATGGACCCCAGAGATATAATCGATTGGGGATACTACCTCGAGCGATTAGGTTCCGTCATCCAGAAACTCATCACCATTCCTGCCGCGCTCCAGAAATGTCGGAATCCCGTACCGCGAGTAGCTCATCCTGAGTGGCTTCAGCGGAGGATCAATATCAAGGACGACAGGTTCAAGCAGAAGAAGATGACCGATATGTTTGTCCGGCACGAAGGTCCAGCTCCTGCTCCCGAGTTGGATATGGAGGACTTTGGCAAGATTTCCGTCACTAAGCCAGTAGTCGGGACGGCGAAGAAGCTAGGAAAACGGAAATCACGGCCTGGCGCTCAAGAGCAGCCCGGCGACGATCCTTTCGCTAGCCTCCCGGACGAGATGCCGTCGATGACGGAGGATTACCCCGGATGGCTGAAATACCAGAAACAGAAGTGGAGTATCCAGAAGCATGCTAGGGAACGACGCCGCCAGCTGTTTGGTGACCAACCTGGCGCTACTACAGCTGGTCTTAGTGGTTACTTCAGGCAGAAGGCGCAGAATTTCTTCTCAAAGAATTGGCAGGTTTTGCAGCTGAAGGCAAGCGAAGTGCCCGGTGAAGTCAAGGCTCATGTCTTGATCGAAAACAAGATTCAGGTCATAAAGATCAAGGTCCCGAGACAGCTCTACATGAACTTGAAAGAAAATGACCTGCCGGATGTCGAGATAGAGGGATGCATGGCCGAGAAAGTGAACCATACGCTGCCGAACGGACATCCTTCTGTGCATCTTTTCCAGCTTACCATGCCGGAGGAGGTTTATGTCTCGGAGGCCCGCAAGCTGTCGCACTTGTTTACGCATCCCAGTGTTGAAGGAGTGTACGAGACTCAAGTTCCATCGGTCATTAGGGCAGTGTTGAACCTCGGAAGCATCTGCACATTCGATGACTCGCAGAAGGGAGTCCTCGGAAAAGGTCTTGAGCAAGGTTTCGATCTTTCAGCTTTAAGGCGTGTAGAGAGCAAGATACCCTATTTGTCTCAAAATCCCCTAGAATACACCTTCGTGTATCACCTTATTGCTGGAGATAGACAGATATTTGGCTTCTTCTCGACATCAAAGTCTGAAGCCTACGTTGTGGTTCACAACACCAAAGATGCCAGCCTTCCCAACATGGACAAGATATATGCCGAGCAACTTCTTGCACGCCGGACGAAGGAGCCGGATGGCGCCTGGCAAAAATCTTTCGAATATCAAGACAAGATTCACTTCAAGATCATCTCCACCAACACCAAGAAGAAGTTGCAGAAGGAGATCTCAACCATCATCAAAAACCTTACATCCGATGAGTCGGGGCCGACCATGCTAATTGTCCAATCGCCCAAACGGCGGCTTCTCATGGAGACCATTCCTACGTTGAACGAGTTTCCTATTCTGCCGCTGAAATCGGAGCCTTCAGACAGCAGTCTACCGCCCTTGGGATGGCAAACATTTGTGGCGAAACGAATTGTAACGAATTACCTAGCACTCGGGTCTTGGATTTCGCATTTGATGGATCTTGCACGATACGGAGATATTCCTCTCTGTAATCTGGAACGTGATGATCCCAAGTTCCTCATCGACATTGCATACGCTCGGCGGTTACAAAGCAACAATGTCGTCCTCTGGTGGTCGCCATCACCGAAGCCGGATCATGGAGGACACGAGAAGGATGATGTCTTCGGAGCGATGGAGACTGTTGAGATGCCTATCATTAATAATCCTGGATCATATTCGTCTGTATGCATCGAGATTGATGTCCGCAACCTGGCTATCAATACAATACTCACCTCATCCCTCATCAACGAGCTCGAAGGCAGCGACTCGGTGACCCTCAATCCTGCTGCGCCGACAGAGGATGGTCAAGGTGATGGTGCAAATGTCATATTCGCCGACAATGCGTTCGCGACAGCTGGCGTGATGGTTCTCCGAGATATGGTCAAAGCTTGGTGGGCGGAGGCATGTAAGGGCAATAATATGGCCGACATCATGGTTCAACATATCGTCCGATGGGTTGAAAGCCCTGATTCATTCCTTTACGACCGCGCCCTCCACTACTATGTTCAGACGATGTCGAAGAAGGCCTTCCTCCAGTTACTGACAGACTTCCGACGAGTCGGCTCAAACGTCATCTTTGCGAATGCAAACCGCATGTTGGTCCAGACTACCAAATTCGACGTTGGAAATGCCTACGCCTACAGCCAGTATATCCTAAAAGCCATCAAAGCAAAGCCGTTGTTTCACTTCCTGGATCTGGAGATTAAGGAGTACTGGGATTACATTGTTTGGTACGATGAAGTCAACTATGGCGGCAAGGGGTGCCAGGAAGTCATCGAGGCCGAGAAACAGTCGTTGAACACTGTCATGCACTGGCAACTCGCGAAGTTCCTACCCACAACCCTTCAGAGCGTCTTCCACGAGTGGGTAGTCGAGTTCATCGAGATCATGCACAGTCAAAAGCATATACTGCCGGATTCCGGCGTCGAGCTTTCTACTCCCAGACCCACCCAGCTGCACCTCAAGAAATCTGAAGACGACGACACGGAGAAGATTGTCCTGGGCAAAGAATTCCAGAAGCCTTTGCGCAAGCAGATTGCGCAGCTTGTTCGCCGCCAGCACGAATCGATGATACATCCCGAGATGGAAGTTGACTTCGAGTTCCCGAAACTTCCCGGAGCCATCAAGACGCTGAAGAATCCTGCGCTCCAGTTGATCCGATCCCTCACCGCGGTATTTGGATTAGCAAAGGAGATCAACATCGAAGCACGAGTCCTGCGAAAGGAACTTCTCGGCCTACTCGATATCAAAGAATTCAGCCGCGACGGAGTCTTCGAAAACCCCAGCGAGAGTCTCAAGTTCTCGCAAGTAATCTGCAGCGAATGCACAATGCCGCGCGACCTCGACCTGTGCAAACACGAAGACTTCATGCCCGAGCTCGATGCCGACGCAGGTCAACGAAAGGACAAGGCATGGAAATGTTCTTACTGCGGGAGCGAATACGATCGACTGGCCTTCGAGGAGAAGATGATCGGTCACCTCCAGCAGATCATTACTGGCTACAATACGCAGGACCTGAAGTGCAGCAAATGTGGCCAACTGAAGGAGAATGAGTTTGAGGAGCACTGTAAGTGCTCGGGGCCATGGGAAACCACCGTCGATAAAGAGGCGTTGATGAAGCGACTGGCTGTGTACAAGAGTGTGGCGGAGTACTATGATTTTGATATGTTACTAGAGGTATCTACGAGCACCATGGGAATGGTTTGATCGCTGTGTTGAACAGGGTTGTTTGGGACGTGGTTTTGGGCATTTCGTTTTGGCGTTTTCTTCTTTCGTTCTTTCGTTTTGTAACTTCTGGTTTCCTTTGGGCGTATAATTTAGACTGTCTTGGATGAGGTTATATAGAGAAACTCGGCCGTTTTGATCGAGTCTACTGTCTAGCCTACGTCTTCGTCGAGTGATATAACGTGTGCGTGTTGTACAAGCGTGCGCACGGACCACCGCCATGCGTAAACTGCTTGCTGGATAAGCAGCAGAGCCGCAAAAAAGATTCACCAAGAGCCCACTCCACCATCCAAGACTAGGACCTCACATCCTTCTCCATATCCGGTCGATTTAACGAAAAGTTTGACTCTTAAGTATATTCAGCCTGCCGTGCCTACCTTCCTCAGATTGCTGATAGCTCGGGTTCCTCTTCGCTGCAGTTTCTTGTCTTGAAGTAACTACCCACGTCGAACGGTCGAACCCCACCATCCACCCCCCCCCCAACACACATACATACCACGCACCTCACATCATGGCTTTCGCGGGACAGACTCCCACCATCATTGTCCTCAAGGAGGGTACGTAAGGGATACCTCCCGAGATGGAAAGGATTGGGCTCGATGGGATGGCAAAGCTGATTAGAAGGTTGATTGATCGATTGCAGGGACGGATGCATCCCAGGGACGGGGACAGATGCTGTCCAATATCAACGCATGCCTAGCAGTACAGGACACCGTCAAATCTACTCTTGGGCCGTACGGAGGAGACCTTCTCATCGTCGATGCGAACGGGAGACAGACGATTACGAACGATGGTGCTACAGTGATGAAGGTTGCTCACCCCCGGGGCTTCGACGACTAGGAAGGCCGCATCGCTGATTGAGATTGATTCATCTATCTAGTTGCTCGATATTGTTCATCCCGCGGCACGAATACTTACCGACATCGCACGGTCCCAAGACGCCGAAGTCGGTGATGGCACAACATCAGTAGTAGTGCTCGCCGCCGAGTTCCTAAAGGAGAGCAAGGGCTTCGTGGAGGAAGGCGTTTCATCCCGCATCATCGTTAAGGGTTTCCGTACCGCCGCCCTGCTTGCAGAGAACAAGATCAAGGAGATTGCTGTCAAGATCGACCAGACGAACAAGCGGGATACGCTGTTGAAGCTTGCGTCCACCGCCATGAGCTCCAAGCTCATCAAGCGGAACTCCGTGTTCTTCGCCGAGATGGTCGTGAATGCTGTTGCTGCCCTGGATCAGTCCGAGCTGAATGAGAAGTTGATCGGAATGAAGAAGGTTCCTGGTGGTGGTCTTCAGGACAGCTTGTTTGTCAATGGTGTCGCGTTCAAGAAGACGTTCTCGTACGCTGGTTTCGAGCAGCAGCCAAAGTCATTCACCGACCCGAAAATTGTGTGTTTGAACGTCGAGCTGGAGCTTAAGAGTGAGAAGGACAACGCAGAAGTCAGAGTGGAACAGGTCTCGGTATGGATATCCGAGAAATTGTGTGGGAAAGTTGCACCCGCTTACCGTGGAGATTATAGGACTACCAAGCTATTGTCGACGCGGAGTGGCAGATTATCTTCCAGAAGCTTCAGGCTCTGGCAGATACCGGTGCACAGGTTGTTCTGTCTAAGCTGCCAATCGGAGATCTTGCCACACAGTACGGCGGCCCCTTGACTCTTCCGCCGGCCATTGATGAGAGCTAACAGCTATACAGGTTCTTCGCCGACCGAAACATCTTCTGCGCCGGTCGTGTAACAAATGAGGACATGGAGCGCGTCCTGCAGGCCGTCGGCGCCAGTTTACAGTCCACCTGCACCGACATCGGCCCCAGCCACCTCGGAACGTGCGAAAAGTTCGACGAGCGTCAAATCGGCGGAGAGCGCTTCAACTTCTTCGAAGGCTGCAAGGCTGCCAAAACCTGCACGCTCGTCCTCCGCGGAGGAGCCGAGCAGTTCATCGCCGAAGTCGAACGTTCCCTGCACGACGCCATCATGATCGTCAAGAAGGCGACCAAGAACGACCTAATCGTTGCCGGCGGCGGCGCGCTCGAAATGGAAATCTCCAAGTACCTGCGCGACTACTCGCGCACGATCGCGGGCAAGCAGCAGCTCGTCATCGCCGCGTTCGCAAAGGCCCTCGAGATCATCCCCAGACAGCTGTGCGACAACGCCGGCTTCGATGCTACCGACCTCCTGAACAAGCTCCGCATGCGCCACGCGAAGGGCGATATCTGGGCCGGTATCGATATCGTCAACGAGGGCATCCGCGATAACCTCGAGGCCTTCGTCTGGGAACCCGTCTCCGTAAAGATCAATGCCATCCAGGCCGCCACGGAGGCTGCATGTCTGATCTTGTCTGTCGATGAGACTATCAAGAACCAGGAGTCTCAGCAGCCGAATGCTGGTCCTCAGGTCAGTTTTCTCCACCCCTCCACTTAACTTAACTTTATGGACACTGACTCGGTTTGTACACAGATGCCACGCGGCGCCGCACAGCGGGCACTCAGAGGACGGGGCCGGGGTATGCCCAGACGGTAAAAGGCTGGCTGGCTGGTAGGAAGGACGGGACGGGATGGGGAATAGGTAGCGAGGGGATATCACAACACCAGATTAGATAGTACTTAAAAATTGAGGTGCTATGGTATTCTATTCTGTATGAACTGTGATTAAAGAAAGATGGAACTCGGTGTTGCTCGATGTAATCTATTCGCTTCCATTTCCACTTGCACTGCAGTGTTATCAATCACCCCACCGCATCGAAACTCGGATCAATGAAATGAAGTAAAGTGAACAGAGGTATTAATTCCCAACTTTTGCGTTTACAACTAGTAAAAGAATATTTTACAGTGCTTTGCAAATAACCCCCCCTACTCCACTCCACTTGCTACCACTGCTACCACTGCTACCACTGCTACCACTTGCTACCATACCAACCAATCAACTAAAGCACCAATCCCACCCGATCGGATCATCACCAAGACAACAACAAAAAGGTTATATGCAACGAAGGAACAGAACAGAAACAGAAACAGAATAGAACAAAAAAGTTACTACTCAAAACAAACCCATCCATCCATCTATCCGAGGTATTGAACGTTTCCCCACACCGGAAAGGACAGGACCAGGACAGGACACAATTGAACGAACAGGATGCAAAAAAAACAACCAAAGGTAAAAAAAAATATATCAAACGGCAAGAGAGGGAAAAAAAGGAGATCATCCCTTTTCCCACTCCCGCCCTAACCCCCAACATGACAATCGTCTTTTTGCAGAAGAAAAGGAAAAAGAAAGAACCACATCCAAGCCCCCCCCCCCCCGAAAGAAAAAAAGTATAAAAAAAACAATGCTTCAATCAACCCATCTATTCCATGCACCGAAAACCCTCCATCCAAAGGCCATAACCATATCGCTAACATTATTCACTCCACTCGTCAAACAACACTCATCTCATTCTACCCCCGACTTATGTACGGAACCAGACCCTTCGCTCTTAGGAGCTACTAGGGTAGGTTGTGAATGCAGACAGACTCCTTTACATCAACAGCGCCATCAGAGCACGGCGTGTGGTGGTTCCGACATCGGTCTCATTGCTTCCGTCTCCAACCGCATCGGGATTGTCCTCGTACCACTTGGTATCGGTGGTGTTCCACTTGCCATCGTATGGCTGCATGAGTCTCATGGGGAGGTCCATGCCATCAGCGACGTCAATCAGGATTTTCTCTGTAAGATGCGTTAGTATTCGATAAAAGTAGTGAGATGAGTAATAGGGTAAACTTACTAACGGCGATCGGACCAACGATCAGAGCCAGGAACACGACGAGCAAGGCGAAGTACAGAACCGAGAAACGAATGACACGTCTGCGACGCAGCTTGGTCTGCTTGGCGGTGTAGATCGGCGGGCGGATCTGGCGGGAAGGTCGGAGCCAGAAGAGCATGACCGAGTGCGCGGTGTCGATGTAGGGGATCAAGATGATAGGCGCCATGAAGAACAGGAGAACGTGTCCAAGGATGAAGTCGGCGGCGAAGAAACCCATCTCGGTCATCTTACACAGCAACTCACGACCAGGCTGGGACATTGCGTGCAGACCCAATCCGTACCATTTACCGGTCCAGAAGGCGATGTTGCTAGTATCAGCCTTGAACTCTCTAGTGAGTGCAAAGTTGATGATGAGCTTATAGAACCATCTCTGGATAGCGACGACAGCGATCATGCCCAAAAGTGCCTTGGAGAAACTGAATCCCTCGAGGAAGAACATAACCTCGAAGAAGGCGAAGAGCATGATGACGGCCATGGCGTGGGCGATGGCAGCGAGGATGGGTCCGAACTTCTTGCAGCACATGCCGAGCAGCGGGCCCATACAACAAGCCATTCCGAAGAACACGGCACAGATACCGAGGTTGACGGCCATGGGAGCAAATGCGACCACACCGATACGGATGATCGATCCAGTTGGCAGCAGATCGTCCTTGGTCATTTTGTCGTTGCCGTCATTCTCCTTTCTCAATCCGGTCTGCGCGTTGATGAACAGGTATGGAACCAGGGTGATCAGAACCAACACGAAAGGACCGACAACCTCGTTGAAGATGGTGTTGCTGAGCTTGGCACGAGGGATATCGCCGGCGAGCTTCTCCGAGGGGTCTCCGAGGGCCTTGCGCTTGTAACCAGTGATACGGGTTCTCGACAGACGACAGAAAGCGATCCAGGACTGGCCGTGCGAGCGCGAGTTTCCACGGGACAACCAACGGAGGTAGTCACGGTAGTCGATGAAGAAATCGTCCCAGGAGAACTGATGCGGATTGTAAACGAACGGCGAAATGCACAGGGCAAGCAGCGAAACCCAGAAATAAATCAAGGCCGGTTGCCAGATCGTACAGGTGGCGAATAGCAACATCAAGAGGGATCGAGCTCCAAGGTAGATCGATGGACCGGCGAAACGCGAGTACAAGATACCATAAGGAATGCGGGCAGTTGCGAAACCACGACCAGTTCCGATGTATCGAGCACCACCGTACGCCATGTCCTGAAGCAGCGAGTTGGCGTAAACCTGGCAGACGAACACCTCGAACAAGAACGAAAGCGAGCCGAAGTGCTTGGCCAGACGAGTAGCCGCGCGCCAGAAACCACGCTCCGTCAATTCCTGAACAACCAAGGGCACGAAGGAGATAAAGAAGACGATGAAGATGGAAAGAATACAACGGGTGATCCAGTCGAGAATAGGTTCAACATTGCGGCAACCGACGGGCAGCAGCTGGTCTCGGATCGGGACATCGGGGTTGTAGTCGCAGACGACGACCTGGTTCTTCAAGGCACCAACGTTGATCAACACGAACATGAAGCTTTGCACCGACAAGATGATGAAGATGTTGTTGATGTGGAAACCGGCGTGAGCGTAGTAGAAAGACAAGAACCGATCGAGAGGAAGCTGTGTGCCGAGATAGTAGTATTCGCGAGACAAGAACTGCTCTCCCATACCGGTACCAATCTTGGTGGTGAAGTTCAGAACGGATCCGAAACCCATATCACGTCCCTTACCACACTGGTAGTACTCGCAGTGCTTGATGCGCCCTCCACGGATCAGCGCGTTCATTCCGGCGTAAATATCTTCGTTGAGATGAAGTCCCTTCTGGGCCTTGGAAACACCACCACGGGTGGTCATGAAAATGCCGTTCAGGAAATCGGGATGTCCGTAATGCAGTTTACCACCGATCTGAGCCAAAGTACGAGCGAAAAGAGTACCGAACGTCTGTTCCTTTCCGGCAGCAACGTCACCAAGGATACCAATGTTCTCCGAGAAAATGTATTCACGAGCTCCAAGAATGGCAACGGGCGAAAAGTTGGTAGGAGGCAGTCCAGGGGTGTACGGCGAAACGTTGTCGACAGTCATTTCCTCAAACTCAGCCAGAACACTGCGGATCTTGAGGCACTCTTCCAGGTAGTTGTCTTGGTTGGCGTCGATAAGCTGGATGTACTCTCCACGGTAGAAGATGACGGCGTGGTTCTGGTTATCGGATTTTCCGTCGCCAAGAATGGGGTTTCCGGAAAGCATGACCCTGAATTTGGGACGACGAGCGCCGTTCTCCATAAGTTCCGAGTGTCCGTCGATCAAAGCCGAGAAGAGACGGGGCTCGCCTCCTTCTTCCGTCGGGGGTTCCTCGTCAAGGTAGGCGATCTGAAGGTCGGGGTATGCACGCAGCAGGAACTCGGCGTTCTCCATCTCTTCCTTCTTGAACTTGGAGTACCGTTGCATAGAGACACAGATCTTGTACTTGCGGCGCGCCATTCTCTCGAGTTCGCGCTCCAACTTGTCGGTGTTTCCACCGAACATCTGGACAACCTCGGGGTTCTCGACGCGATAAAGCAGCTTGATGGCACGGCTGTAGTTCATAAATCCAGAAATGGTACGATACAAAGTCTGCGAGCGAAGGGACGCCCAGATACGTGTGCGGAGTGTGTACTCAGGTTGCGAAGACTTGAATCCGATACAGTAGAAGGGCAGATCATCGGCTTTGGACTTGGCGGAATCCTTTTCGTTCTTTTGGGCATCGTCACTGGTGAAAGTCGAGGTCTCATCGGCGAGAATCTTGGTGTCCTTGACGAAGCAGTCCCACTCGTGAGGGTGCAGCTGCTTCAAGTATTCCAGGAGAGTAACACGGGAGTAAGGGTCGTCCTCACGGATAATCTCCCTGAGCGACAGCAAGATCTTCTCACCGTAATGAGGAATGAAGACAGTGAAAGTCGGCATGTTGTCAACCGGGACGGGCTCGGGGATAGGCGTCGAGAGGGACTGGGCGAAGAACGAGATACGTCTCTCGGCCTCACTTCCATTAGGGAAAAACTCAGTCTTGAAGGAGTGATCTTCCTGGGCCACGAAGAAGGTGGGCGCGCGCAGGGTACGCTTTCCTTCTTGCTCGGATGGGACCTGTTGATTTCACGCGTTAGATCATCAACCATATGAATTTGGAAGGGAAAAACTATTTACCTGATGGTACAGGAGCTTCTGCACGTGGTCGATGGCAAGGAGATGCTCGCGGTACATGGAGATGACGATGGCGTTCCAAATCTGAGAGATGAGAACCTTGGGCTTGTACTTGATCTCCATGTCTGTGGTGGCGAGGACCTTGGAGTAGATACGCTTGGGCAGCCGCGAGAAGATGTTCCTCCAGGGAGTCCAGATGGAAATACCGAGGTAGAACGATCGGGCAACCGAGAAAATCGCGTTCCAGATGATGTACCACAGATAGGTATCCAAAAAGAAGAGAATCAGATCGGTGAAGTACATCAACCCGAGAATAATCGTTGGTTGGTGCTTGCACAGCATCTGAGCGGCATCGCCAGTTCCGAGGAGCGACTCTCCGATACAGTTGTCAATCTTCATGGTCGAGAGAACACGGATGGGATCCCTGAAAGACAAAGTCAAGAAGACGTAAGACTCAAGGAGCTTAGCACCGAAAACAAGGACCCAGATTCCGTAGGACATCCACTTGTCATTGCCCTTCAAGTGAGGGAAACTGGCAGTGAACGTCTGACTGGCAACGTAGCGGCGCGAGTTCTTCGTGAGATAACTTCCAAACAACCCACCGAGAGGCATGATCGAGAAGAAGAAATAGGTGAAGACGGCGACGAAGAACTGGACAATTCCGAGAATCAAGGAGATCTTTCCACACTTGTCCTTGCGCGTGCAGTCGTCAACGAAGAAGACATACACACTGGGAGCCAAGTTGATGATGAAGACCAGGATACAGAACAAGAGACGTTTGGTGAGATGCTGCGCACCACCCCAGTCACGCGGAACGTATCTCCACTCGCAAAGAGTCGCGAAGATCATGATGAAAGATGCAACCGCACCACCGAGACCGACCGCAGACCATCGAGCTGCACCGGGAGGCTGGTTGTTGAAACGTTGCAGGTAGTTGTGCGTGTAGAGGGTAGGAGAGTGGAAAGCCGTGTAAAACCAGTAAGCCGTGACGTGAATGACCCAAATACGATTGAAGTTGGTGACCAAATGGAACCACGAACGTGTTTCCTTGTAGGTCTTGAAGAACACCTTCTTCCATTCGACCTCCTTGAGCTTTGTGTACCGCTGAGGGCCGGGAATGTCGCAGAGCAGCGTCTTGTCGGTGAGGATGATCCTCTGGATACCTTGTGGGTACCAGAAGAGCTGGTTGATATCGTCGTAACCGATGATGTCCTTGTGATCCTTCTCCCTCCGGACGTACTTGCCGTCTACAATCTCGTATCCCTGGTCTCTGCAGTACTGGTAGATCGGAGTGACCACGTCGCGGAGGTAAGTTCCCTCCTCGACAGGCTCGACCTTCTGCTGGCACTCGGGCGAATGGAAGTAGTCCTCGGCACACTTGAAGATGAAGCAGAGACATTCCGCCATGAAACGGACCTGGTTGGCCTCACCCCAGCAGAGGAGGAAAAGCGCAATCTGTCGAACACGCTCATGCTGCGACATCCGGTTCATCTTCGTCTTCCAGCGGTATTCTGCGGCCTCCAAGCTGTTGTCGCCCTCGAGCGCAGCCAGCTTCTCGGCCTCATCAGCCGCGCCCTCCGCCTTCTTCGCTGCACGGGCTTTCTTGGTCCTACGGTTGGCCTTAAGCTTCATGTTGGCGAATCCTACGGCCTCGTCCAGATCAAGCTGAGCGGCAAAGTACCACTTGCGGTAGTTGGCGTTGTCTCCTCCAATGTAGTCGGCGTGAAGGGTGAGCAGAGCTTGGTTCGGGGTCATACGGGAAGCCCTCGAGTCCAGAAGCGTCATGAAATGGTCGTACATGTTGCGCATGCTGTCACGCTGGAAACCGAACTTGTTGACAAGGTCCAAAAAGATGTCCTCGATCTCCTCCTTCGAAACCGGAACCTGATTCTCAGACGTCCATGCGGGATACGGCTCCTTCGATCGCTGCCCGATGGGAAGGGCGCCCGAGAAATCGGCACCATACACGGGAGTGGAAGCGCCGGATGAACGATTGCCGCCGTAAGATACCTGGGAAGACGGAGGCCGATATCCTCGCTGCCCATTGCCGGCGCCGCCCTCCTCGTAGCCAGTGAACCGCTCATCGCCACGGCCGTAGTAATCCATCTCGGCAGCACGAGCCATGTCCGATCTCATGGTGAAGTCGCTGAAAGTCTCGGAATCTTCTTCCGAGTCTTGGCCTCTTCGCTTTCCCTTGGGATCGCGACTGGTCGCAGGGTGCTGGCCGGCAGCAGGAGCTTGATCTAAGAGCAACAGTCAGCTCGACTACTCTCCAGAATGCAGGAAACGGTAGGAAACGGCAGAAATCCACCATAGTATTGGTCACCATAGTAATCGTCTTCGTAGCCTCCTCTGCCGTCATTATAGTAGGCGTCACCGGCCTGTCCGTGTTGGGCGGCATTGTAGTAATCGCTAGAAGACGGGTTTGGTCAGTTGATGGTCTTGCAGTAGATCCGCTGGAACCTGAAAGCACATACTTCTCGTCGTAATAACCGTCCTCTCCCTGCTGACGTGGCGGTTGTCCGTGCTGATCGTAGGCCTGATCGTACTGACCACCCTGCGGCGGCTGCTGGCCTTGAGCATAGTCGTCCTGGTAGTACGAGTCATGCTGTTGTGGCTGACCGTACTGGTCGTCGTACGGCTGCTGAGGCCGTGACATGACGGGCGTGTTCTTTTTGAATTAGGTACTTTTTTGTCGCAAGAACTCGGTCAGTCACGTATACTAGGTCAAACTTTGAGTGGGGAACGTCTGAAGAAGACAAAGTTCGAAGCCGAGGCGGCAGGGAAACTTGTGACAGAATTTAAGGGGTGGGGGGGTAGGGAATAGAGTTAAGCAGCAGTAAAACTCACCCAGAAGGTTTCAGAAGTGCTGTCTACTATGTATTACAAAGGTGTTGTATGGTGGGTAAAAGCACCCAGTGGTCGAACTGCTGCTAGCGGTGTTGTGTAGAGCTCGAAGCCAGTTTTGATTTCGGAGCGTGTTGTTATTTGGTTTTGTTGTTGTTTTTTTTGTTTACTGAGCGTTTGGGGCTCAGCGAGGGTCGACGTGAAAAGGGGGTACACGAGTACACACACCCAACTTTGCAAAACACAACCAACAGAAGAACGAGAGACTGAGTTGGATGGAGGGAGGGAGGGGAGGATTGGCGGAGGGAGAGATTGGAGATGAAGGAGAGAGGGAGGAAGAGGAAGAGAGGAGGTCGGGGGGGAAGTCGTCGGGGGAGCAGTTGTAGTAGTAGTAGTCGTAGTAGTAGCGATCGACCAGGGGGGGGCGAGTGCTAGGATTGGCGGGCTGGGATTCTGAGGGGGGGGGGTGTGTGTGTGGAAAGAAGGACTGGGTGAGGCAGATAGAAGGAAGGGGGTTGAGAAGCACCAAGCACCAAGCAGGCACGATAGCACGGAATTCACAAGCAGCAGCAGCAAGCAACAAGCACCAAGCAAGCAGCAAGCACAGCACAGCACACACGGCAGCGGCAGCGAGCGAGCGACTGAGTATGGCAGTAGTTCCGAGAGTGAGACAGACAGCGAGCAGAAAAAGGAAAGGAGAAGATGTAGAATCGTAGGAAGCAGCAAGCGCAAGCAGGCAAGCAGGCAGAGAAGCAGCAAGCAAGCAGCAAGCACAGCACGCAGCAGCTGGCAGGGCAAGCAAGCAGAAGATGTTCCGTGCGCAACAAGGATTGAAGGGGATCGTGGATGGCAGAGTGGACGCAGCTCGGGGCGCTAGAGAGTTTGGGGGACAGCAGTTGGAGAGAAGTGCGACGGGCTGCGTTGCGATGTTGGAAACCACCACCACTTGCCGGCCATACACAGGCGAAATATTAATGCGTGCGGGCGTGCGCTCCAGCCTGGGATTGTCTTTGGGGGGGATGGATTGATGATGGGGATGCACGAACGCACGCACGGGATTGAGTTTCACGGTGTGGCAGTGTTTGGAAGTGGCAGTATAGAGTAGGACTCTATCGGATAGGAGCTAAGCGGACAAGGGCAGCAAGGGGGGACAAGGGCGGCAAGGGCAACAAGGGCAACAAGAAGGCGACGGGCCCGCCTGATTGTTGCCACCACGACGACCCCCCGGCCGAATGATTTCGATTTCGATATCTAACCGTCACGTTTCGACCCCCATATCTCAGGACTCCGGCCCACTTCCCTCACGACTGTCCCGGCCCCCATAGCGACCAGGAGGGACCCAAAAAATCCCCGACGAATTCCACCGCTCCACTGCTCGACACCCTGGAATCCCGCCACCTTCCACGTCCGCGGATCGGAACCCAGCCGGATCGCAGGAGATAAAATACCTATACTCCATCATACGAACATGACACAGCACAGCACGATACGACACGAGACGTACGACGCGACAACTTTCAGACCTCCCAAAGGCCACGACAAGGAAAGAAAAAACTACAACGCCGGAAAATACAGAATGCCCTCCGAGCGGCGATAAGGGGTGGTGGTGGTGAGGCAGCATGGAAAGCCATTCTGCATACCGTAATCTACTCTACATGGAGTCTAGCATCATATCTACTCGTCCTCTCCAGCCGCAGGGGTCGACAATGCGGTATAGCGTCAGGAACGGAAAGGAAATGGAGGAGGCGTCATCTGGCACGGAATGGAAAGGAGAGAAATCGACAGGGATCGTCGTATCTGCTCTCTACTTTACCCTACTCTACTCTGGGTAGAAAACTTTGAGTAGGGAGGAGGGAGGAGGGAGGAGTGAGATGGATATCATATGGGATGCATATCATATCAAGGCTCTGCAAGAAACCGGAAAGACAGAAAGCTGTTGCGTCGCAGAACTGCAAGCGACCCCCGTCCCCCCTCCCCCCGGCGAGAGGAAATCACAAAACGGCCGACCGCCCGGCCGGCCTCTCGGTTTGTTAAGCATCCGCCCCCTACTTATACATCCATATGATATTCACCCCTCCATCACTCCTCCCCTCGCCCCGAATCCATGGCGATGCGATGTTGATTCCTCAGCAAAGGAGAGAGGTAAGATGCAAGCAACATAGGCAGGCACGAATGTACAGGGAAAAAAAGTTACCGGATCCCTTGGGCCTTTGCTCGTCTGTCTGCAAGCTTGCTAGTACAGGTACCGGTACGGCTTTCCGTCCCGGATCACACGCTGAAACACTGGACCGATCAGGGCGTGCTAAAAACGCGGTAACTCCCGATAGGTTCGTTTCGTGATTTCGTCGATGCTGTGGCAAGACGGAGTGGAGGCGTTGCATCTACATATCACTTTGTATATCCGGGTCTTTCGTCTATGTACTTACGAAGGCCCATCTACATACTCTAATCCTCCATGCGACGATTCTATTGCTCGACGGCATCGGCAGAAGCCTGAAAGAATGAAGCATGGGAAACACCATGCGCATGGCCGCGTGATGGGATTCAGAGGAAAGACAGGTAGCGAAGAAGGCAGCAATGACGTGGTGATGAATAGACGATAGATAGTGGATGCTCTACTCTGGGTATCATAGGTAGTAGCCTATAGGTACATACACACTCTCCATATAGAATCCGCAGGGTGAGTGGCAGCCTTCCCTCCTTCCAGTCTCCAGAATCCAGAGGGAGAGAATCTGAGAGACAGAGCGACAGATAGATCTTCTTGGCGTCCCCACCATACACGTCATTTCCATTTCGTCGACGCTCTATACCTATCCTATCATAGAGAGAGAGAGATCTTCAGTTTATTTCGCATGCAGCCTATCTACCTAGACTATGGCGAACCGTCGCACTCCTATATCCTATCATAGTAGTGGCAGCCCGGACTCCGGCCTTCCAAACCCCATCCCCACGAGCCAAGAGTCAAGAGTCAAGAGTCAAGACTTAAGGAAGGAAGGAAGGAAGGAAGAAAGGAAGAAAGGAAGAAAGGATATGATATTGTAGTTCCCCACACGCAATGTTAAGAATGGCACTCTACCGATGCATGAATGCATGAAGACGACGGTAATTGCATCGGCGTGCATGAGATCGATGTGCACTCTCTATACACATCGCGAGAGTTCGCCGTTGCGGCGGCCTTGCATTGACATTGACATCACGGAGCAGAAGTTCGACAGGGATTAGTTAGAGTACGGACTTCACCACCGAAGGGCCACCACCTGGATTCATTGAAGACACCATCTCTTTTGTAGGTATTCTGACTTGCCCCCGCGAAGATGACCTCCGTGCTCGCTCGTTATCTGGATGGATTGGATGGGTCGGATGGACACGTGAGTACCCAGGCAGAAGATTCCCGGTCGCTTTCTGCTTGCTCTGCTCTTGTGTTCACTGTTGTTGGATTCTATGTGGCCGATCGCGATTCTCGATGCCGTTTCTTCTATATACCTAAGGTATGTCCTGCAGCTCAGCGGGCTTTGTTATTTATGCCTATAGGCATATACACTGTCCAGAATCTCGTGACAGCAGTTTGCCCAAATCAATCGAATCATGTGCCATGATCAAGTTCTGCTAGAACTGCCGTAGGTAACTAATGTTTACTGCACTCCATGGAGCCTAGAGCCGTATTGCAGATTTGAAAACTCGTACATACTCCAGCGTGCCACTACTTACTGGTCACGCATCAGACACAACCGCCTTGGGCATTTGGGTGTACATAGTCCGCCAATATGGCCCATTCATATGTACCTGCAGCATGTTTGACGATTCGGCCCGCAGTGGGTTCGCAGCCAGTACATAGATGCATAGATGTATATGCCTCAGCCCGTAATCCAGCACACACCACCGTCTCTGTCCTCGCCATATTGCTCTTCCCGCGATAAAACCCGTGTATTAACGTCCCGAGGCTTGGCTAGCCGGCCGGGGAACTAACCTAACTAACCCAACCGCCGTCTTCGGCGAGTCTTCGGCGAGTTTGGCCGGAACTTACATACCTAGCCGCTGGGCGCTGGGCGCTTTACCGTCGGATGGACGGATGGCCGGCCGGATGTGTTTGGACCTCTGGCTGTCCACTGTCCACCCCCATTGCCGCCGCAAGCGATGTGCAAGCGATGTGCACTTCGAGCACCGAGGGTCGAAGGTCGGATGTTGCTCTGCTTTGCGAACAGCGGCGAAGCAGGTTTAGGAGCCGGATTGCTTGTCATTAGAGTACCAGGCACTCCTGCGCCTGATAATCAACATTCGGGACCATATGCATGCCCGTGAATGAGCAACGATGGCATGCGAAGTCGAGCTCCAGCCTCCAGGCGCGCATCGCATCATACATGCCGTGACCACAGTCAGAGTCAGAGTCCCAAGGGCTGTTCTGTCCCGCCAAAGCATAACCACGGGAGATCGGCCCCGCCATCCCCAGAAACCGAAGCGGCCAAGCCGCTAGTTACCTCATAGAACTCGAGCTCTTCGTCAGCTCATGAGCTCATGGTCCGCAACTTCGCAGCTGGAGTGCTAGGTACTGCCTCTCATCCGTCGGGAAGGCTGGCTGAATGGCGGCGAATACCAATTGAGTGGTTTTCTGTAGTCCTCCAAGAGCTCCCCGTCCTCATCAAGAGCGAAGCGGTGGGCTTTGACGGCCTTATATATAACTACGGCCTTCCTGTTGCTGTAGGTTCGAGAGAAGCATTGTAACGGGAATTTGAGTAGATACTAACGCATCCTCAAGAAGTGCAGAATGGTCGACTCCCGAGCGTGTTGGCTGGGCACACGTCGACGTGCTGTGCTGTGCCGCTGTCTCAAGCTCTCAGCGATTGCGGAAGTGCAGGTTTGGTGAACGTAGTAAAGTGCATAAGATCCCCATTGAATCGTCGATGTCGCCATGTGGCGCGCCCAAGGAAAACGAAACACAAAACACGGAGGTGGCGCGTGCTGCTGTTCCAAGACTCGCAGAACAGAACGAATCGCGGCTCCAAGTTGTGGTCTCTGGCCCCGCTTCCTGTTCCTTTGTCGTTGCCGCCCCCAAGGAAAATCAACCGCCAGTCAATAGTATTCTGGCCAAGCACATCGTGTCAAAGGCTTGTCTCTGGGCTTAGGGTACATAAGGCTGCGATCCGGCGCTGGTGTATAGCGAGCGCAAGGCTTAGGCGCATTGGTAGGTTAGTGTGTATATGCCCAACTGCTGCTGCGCGCGCCCGATTGAGTGTCAGTCGAGTTGATCATGAGGTACAAAACGCTCGTACCAACTGCACAGCCTCAAGTCAGCTCGCTGCAGCTTCCCGATCCCGCCGGGTTCCGCATGCATAGGGGGGAAGTTTCGCAGCGGAAGCTCAAGGAACGGATGCAGCCGGCCACCCATGGATAGAGTAAAACCATCAAGAGAGAACTCCTCCACGCTCTAGAGCATTCGTCTGTCTTGCGGACTTCAATTGCAATAGTAGCTAGGCGAATAACTCATGTGGGCGTTCGAATGATCGGTCCACGGCACCGGTAGCGGAAATATTGGGTGCTGAGATGGGGATTGGCGCAGATGTCACCAACTCGAAGTAAGCCGGGCAGTGTTCCCTTCGCTCAGCGGAGGGTCGGTGGTGCTAAGTACACAACTGTGCTCACCCACACACACGTATGCTGTGTGATGGTTCCGTGTAAACTCCAACATCTTCGTCTCCATTATCGGCATCTGCAACTCCGAAGAAGCTTAAGATGATCTCAAAAAAGATGCTTAGATGGAGTATAGTATGCGATCCGAATAAAGACTAGGATGATGCTCACCATCTATTCCGCAACGACGATGCCGCAGTACCCGTGTTACGGCGAGCATCGTTGAAACGCTGGTCCCAGAAGGTATCGCCCACCATCATCTCCACCATCCTGTCCCGTAACGGATGTGCGGGAGAATTACCGCTTGCATCCAGAACTGTGTGCTCGGGCTCACGATTCGCTGCCAGCAAGATGTAAGCACCAGGGAAGGTACCTTGCGAAAACCTCTTCGACTTCACCGTTCGAGCAGACGAGCCAAGTGGAGTACCGGTGCAAAGTACCTACCTCATACTTTACTCTTCACACATGGAAGAAGGATCCAAGTCTGTATCCTCGGAATTCGGATTTGAATGCAAGAGCGTTAAACACACAAAACGGAGCGCATCTCGGGAAAGGCAGTAAGGCGCCCGTGCGCGCACCCAGAACCTGGCGGCAGCAGCTGTCGTTCCTGCGTCTGCGGTGGTTCGAGACGTGTCTGTGTGATTGGTGTGAGGAGCAGACCGTCGGAGGTGTCACAGAAGCGCCGGACGGGGACCGAAATAATATCCAGCACTGCAGAGTGGAGTGCCTGGTTACGCGGCCTCCTCCCCTCCCACTCACAACCCTCCCAGTTCAAACCAATCGAGCATGGCACAGCTGAATTGCAAGCAAGCAACGCAGGGCAACAAGCAAAAATGCTGACTGAACCTCCCCCAAAACACCGGAATATCCAAAAAAGAATTCCATGATTATTCCAGAAGTAGTAATGCCAGTTCGTCATAGTGCTAGAGTGGGTCGCAGTGATTGTCGGTTGTCGTCGTCGTCCCTCTTCGCTCCCTCCTCCTCTAGACACCCCATCCCTCTCTCTCTACTTCTACATCAACAACTCCGTTTCCTTCTTCCTCCTCTTCCTTTCGCGTCAGCTCTTCCTTTCCATTTTCTCTTCAGCCTCGAATTCCTACATATTGCCGCTCGTTCTTGAGTCGCCCCACGCTCGTTAGCTTGGCCTTGTCTAAACCCCCTTTTGCATCTCACTCGCTCAAGCTCACGGACCCACCCTACACCGACTTCGGCCGTCCGATTTCCTTTTCGCAATACCAAGAGTCTTGGAACACCGAAGATAAACCAATCGAGAGACACCCGGCAGCACGCCCAGATATCCAAGAGACGCAAAGATGAAGTTTGCCCTCGCTACCGTGGCTGTGGCCGCTACATTGGTCTCCCTCGTGGCCGCCGATCTTGATCCTATCGTAACCAAGGGAAACAGTACGTCAAACTGCCTACCTAGTCAACCGCCGTCTTGCGGCAAAAAATAACAATCGCTGATGGTGGTGCTGCTGAACAGAATTCTTCTACAAAACCAATGGAACCCAATTCTACATGAAGGGTGTTGCTTATCAGCAAGAGAGCACCGATTCCACCAAGTTCTATAAAGACCCCCTCGCCGATGATGCCGCTTGCAAGCGTGATGTCCCTTTGTTGAAGGAGCTGGGAACCAACACCATCCGTGTGTATGCTGTCGACCCGACTGCGGACCACACTGCGTGCATGAAATTGCTGCAGGATGCGGGCATCTACGTCGTCAGCGATCTTTCGGAGCCCCAGACGTCCATCAACCGTGACTCTCCTCAGTGGGACGACACTGTCTACGCTCGCTACACCGCCGTGATTGACTCCCTCCAGAGCTACAGCAACGTTCTCGGTTTCTTCGCCGGAAATGAGGTCTCCAACCAGGCCAACAACACTGCTGCTTCCGCTTATGTCAAGGCTGCCGTTCGCGACATGAAGTCGTACATCAAGCAGCAGAATTACCGTGCCATTCCCGTTGGATACGCGACCAACGACGATGCCGACATCCGTCTCGACTTGGCCAGGTACTTCAACTGCAACTCTGCGGACGAGGGTGTGGATTTCTGGGGATACAACATCTACTCTTGGTGTGGTGCCAGTACCTTTAAGGAGTCGGGTTACGATGTCCGTACTGCCGAGTATGCCAACTACAGTGTTCCCGTCTTCTTCGCCGAGTATGGATGCAACCTGGTTCAGCCTCGCAAGTTCACTGAGGTCCAAGCATTGTACGGTAGTGACATGACGGATGTCTGGTCTGGAGGAATCGTTTACATGTACAACCAGGAGGCCAACGATTATGGTATGTTCGCTATTTCCAGAGTTCTACCTATCTTTTTTAACACTTTGAATAGGACTTGTCGAGATCACGGACGACAAGGTCTCCAAGCTCACAGACTTCACCAACCTCAAGACGCAGCTCTCCAAGATCAGCCCCGAGACGCTGCAGATGGATGATTTCACCCCTACCAACACCAAGCTTCAGGAGTGCCCCGCAGAGGGCACCGCCTGGAGAGCCTCCTCTAAGCTTCCTCCCACCCCGAACCAGGATCTGTGTTCTTGCATGGTGAAGGGCCTTGGCTGTGTTGCCAAATCCGATATTGCTACCTCGAAGTTCGAGGACCTGTTCTCTTACATCTGTGGAGGAGGTACCGACTGCACTGGCATCAACGGAAACGGAACCACCGGCGAGTACGGTGCTTACTCCATGTGTAACTCCAAGGAGCGTCTCTCCTGGGCTATGAACGCGGTATGAAAAATAATCCAATAACCTCCATTTAATTACCCTGTATCGGTAGACTGACAATCATTCTGTAGTACTACCTCGCCCAGGACAAGGCCTCGACTTCGTGCGATTTCGATGGAGAGGGTGAGACGCAGACGGCTGCGACTGCGACCGGAACCTGTGCTACCCTCATCAAGGAAGCCGGGGGTGTTGAGGGAACTGGAACGGTCACATCGTTGCCATCTTCCTCTGGAAGCAGCGGCAGCAGCAGCTCCGGCTCGACTGCGATGATGATTCCTAGTGTTCAGTTCGGAGCGCTCAAGATTGGCTTTGCCATGGTAATGGCTGTATTTGGCGGTGCTGCTATGATCTTGGTATAGAGTAGTTAATAAGCTGAGATGATGCCGGTGTTCGTTTGATGGCTTTTTTTCTTTTCGATTTTTTTTGGGGGCGCGCGCCGCTTTGTAAATGATTGCTGGAAGCACAGCTGCATGGGAGAACAAGTGTACAACAGACTCTGGGTTGCTCGTGTATTGTCTCGTTTTTTTCTTTCTCTTTCTCTTTGTTACTCCTCGTACATGCTGTTTGCTTTTGAATTGTCTATAGGTAATATCATTCTTAAGTAACCTCTTACTTTGAGCACGAGGGCGACAATGTTGCTGCGATATGTTTGCTCGGACGAAAGGAGGAGGAGCAGGAGGGGAATGAATGGAACTCCCGGCATCCCTTCTAGAAGCCTGTCAGCCCAGACGCCCAGACGAGGCAAACAGGAATGCCACACAACACACCCATACACACACGAGTTTCCAGCCTTCCACACACCACGCACATCCTTGCTACCACAAATCTCCACGCCTTGGTCGCCAGCATGGAACGTACTCTACCGGTCGGTCGACTTTTCCAGCATCCAGCATCCACCCACCGTCCATGCCATGCCGCGTTCGTTCGCCACCTCATCTCAAACCCTCGTGCGTCAGCTACCTACTCTATTTTTACTCTATAAAAAGAACTTTTTTTTCATGCCCTAAGCGGTTTGGTAAGTTAGCGGGAAGGGAAGGGTGGGAACTTGGAAGGGTGGGAACTTGGAAGGGTGGGATGGACGGTTATCTTTTCCCGCCCAATCGAGTTGATTGCCGAGCGGCGAGCGAGCGCTGCGTTGGCTGTGGCGGAGGGGGGCTGGATGCCCTGGGACGGGTGCCGAAGCGGCATGACGATGCTGGGTGGATGCTGGATGGATGGATGGAAGATAACGGCGGCACCGTATGTGGAGTTTGACTCTGCCCTCTAGCTTTGTTCGGGGTGAGGTGAGGTGAAGTGAAGATTGAGGTGATGGTGGTGGTGGCGCTGCCCAGGAAGGTGGTCGGGAATCGGAATGGCTGGATGGATGCGGCAAGCAAGCGTGCGCGACGGAGATGTGGATATCTTTCACCACGATTGAAGCACTGCGATTCCCTGTGCATCGCGATGTCTACAGCAGAGTATCGAGTCGGCCATACACACGATCCTCTATGCCGAACGAATGCGCGCGATCCCCCGGGTCCGCAGAAGAACGATGATCATCCGGCCGGACTGGCGGACTGGCGGCCTCGATGTGATATGTACTCAGTACAGTAGGCGCTCCCGCCGTAGCGAATACCACATAAGGCGTGCGCGCGCTTGAGCTTGAGCTTGAGCTTCACCCACGCCGCTGCTTCAAACGTATTCTTCACAGTCCACGCCAGGAAATAAACTCTGTCCCGTATGTACGCCAGATGTGTACCTATGGGCGACGCGGGTCTGAGCCCACCACAACGCTGCTGTGGACAGTGGACACCGTCACACCGCCAACCACCCTCGGTGCCGATCCCGATCCGAGACGTTGACTTCGAGGTGCGGCTGGTAGTCTAGGTAGTGTGTTGGGGGGTTTCGGTCGCTTGAGACAGATCGTGCCGCTGCAGATACATAATCGTGATTTGGCGGAGCTTGCGATTCGGCAAGAGCACGGTGAATGGATAGATGGCGTGGCCGGAGATTGTGCTTCTACATACGGTATACCTATAGCGTGGTGGTAGTTATCGGACGCGATCATCATCCCACGATGCAAATATCGATACCTATCGATATTGACTGCCAAGGCCGAGACAGCGTGGGTTCCGCGTGGGGGTTACTTGCGAGGCTAGGTGAGTTACAGTGGGGTTCGGTTTAACATTCAGACAATTTTGACTCGTGCTCGAGCATCATTCCCTACATACATATATCACGATAACGAATCAACGATGGTGGCCTACCTAGGTATTTAGACCCACGAATAAAGTTGCGGCTACGGTATTCATGAGTGCCCGACCGGACCGGCCAAAGTGGGGCGTCACGTAACTACGTCCCTTCTCATGATGCTGTTCGTCCACCGTTGATTCCGGGTATTTGATATGCCTACCAACCGCACGAAGGGCCTGGAAAACACGAAGCGCGGCAGCCGCGACCACCCACCTATCGGCTCGGGAACAGCTATATCCGTGAGAAGACTCCCGGTCATGCCACAAGTGCTTTTAAACCTCGGGGGTGCCGAAGGTATCTTTGTGGCAGCGTTTGCAAAGTTTGACCCTTGGGGTATGTTTAAGGGTTGGGTGTCTGTGATTACTGGATGTTTGGCGGGTTACTTTCAAAAGCTGCCGAGGTCTCGATGGGTATATAATTCTTCTATCGTGAATCATGATCTATTTTTCTAGCTTTCACGGAAGCTAACGAGCGTCAGACAGCCTTGACCTCGTAGGTATGCATAGCATGACCTCTCCAAACCCAATGATTCCCATTCTCCGGGAGTGAGAAGGGCTGGCGGATTAGGTACCCATGCTGACGTTGAAACCCGTCTTCCAAATATCCTGCTTAAGTACCGTATCCGCGTAGGTATCATATCAGTGGGATCAGCGTGGATGCCACCGCCACCGCACCCACCCCACCGCACCCCAGCCCAGCCCCATGCCCCACGCTCAGGATAATCCTCCGATACCCACTTACCGTACCGTATATTATGCGCATGCAACGAGGTGGCGCCCTATAGCCACACATCGTATATAGGAAACGTGCAATAACAACGGCGTCAGGTATGTAGGTACCAAAGTAGAGTACCCAGCAGGTTTCTGCCCATCGATCAGGGCCCACGCGGCACTTCGGTGGACGTCATGTCGGTGCCACTGCCGTGAGGATGCGGGAGCTGGGAGGGTGTACCTACCGTACTCTAGTTATTCTTATTTTTGGTTTCGTCGTATGCACTCTACTTACAGTACTCGCATTCGGCTCATCCGGACGCTGGCGGATAGGCATACGGGAGTAATTTCGGTTGTGACGCAGCGATACCGGGGGGCCGGTTGATGGGCTGTGATCGGGACTTGCATGGCTCGTGGATACCGCCAGCGCTGGCTCTGGCGGGTGGGTGACCTGAAGAAACGGGCACGGCGGGATGAGTCGGGAACTAAGATGCCGAGGATTCTGCTGCTTTTCTTGGCTTAAGTGATCGTACAGGAGGCTTCGTCGTTGATTTAAACCGGTACTGCTTCGCGAACTTTGATAATTAGGCCAACTACCATCCCAATGGCTCGAGAAAAGGGCTCAAATTCACCCTGATGAGCAGTGCGTGACAGTTATATGCACTGAACTCAGTGTCAAGGCCTCAAGACGAACGAATTGGGACTTAGTACATAACTGAAAAGAAATCCTCGAAAAGAACAATAACCAATGGAAAGGTTGTGCCGTGTGGTCTCAACTACTTAACTACCACCAACAGAGGCACAAAACGGTACAGTGGGGTAGTCCTAAGTACCAAATCTCTATAGCAGTTTGACATTCATGACACATTCCAATGCCCGATATATGTACACTTTTTAATCCACGGTTCCTGTCAAAATGGCCGTGTCAACTTGGGAATACTCGAAGTGCTCAACACGAGCCACTTCTCAACTGCACCCTCTTAAGAGACTGCAGCGACTGCTACGACGAAAAAATGTGGAAAGGCGTTCTTGCCCCAGCATTTGATCTTCACAAGATATCATTCCCGCCGAAAAATTTACTTGGCGCCGGTGTCTCGGCAGGTTCCGTTGTTACCACGGCAACTGGTATTTACAAGCACTCCTCCGCACAGCTCATTCTTCACAACACCACCACTACCAGCAGTACCGACATCCACCAATCCCACACGACTGTAGAGTACTCTACATCCACTAGACAGCACATCACACAATCCGCACGACATCGCAATGGCCCGCACCCCCACCCGCCCTGTCGCGCGCGCCCCCGAGTCCGACGAAGACGCAACCGATTACAGCTCCAATGACGACGAGTTCCCCACCTTGAAAGAGCTGCTGTTGAACGTCGAAACCCCCGCCAAGCGAAACGGCCCAATTGTCAACGTCCGCAGCGCACCGGTGGCCCCAGCACCCGCCAGAATTGCTCGTCCGTCGACAACGACGACGACGAAGGTTGTTACTAGTGTTAGACGTCCAGCAGACGTAGCGCCCCGCACAGTGCTCGCGAGTAACTTGAAGTCGAAGGAGAAATGCATTGTTCCCAAGCCGTCGGCGACGAAGGGGACAGCCACCAAGACTGCGGGCACGAGGCGCCCAAGTGTACCTGTATCAAGTCGGATTGACACCGCCACCGCCACCATCGATTCCGACTCTGGCTCCGAGGAGGAACAAAAGCCGTCACCGCCTAGGAGGAGAAGGTTGGTAAAGAAAGCGGACTTGGAGAAGGAGCTGCCTAAGAAGGCGGCACCGAAGAAGGAAAAGAAGATGGAATTCTCCATGCCCGACGTGAAGACGGAGGGAGTTGAGTTTTTGGTTGGGGAGGGCTTCCTTTCTTCCGATTCGGACTCGGACTCCAAGCCATTCGTAACAGCCACATCGACGAGGCATGACGATGTAAAGTCCTCCTATGAAGAAGAGGTGATTCAACGGACACCAGTGGCGAAGGTGGCGAAACCACAACGATCGAGCAAGGCTCTAGGCTTAGAGGATATGTTTTCTAAGGCGTCAATTTCGAAACCCACACCGAGGAGAAGATTGGTGCAGAAGAAGTACCTCGAGCCATCGTCCTCTTCTGCAAGTGATAGTGAAACACTCCCGGAGCTACCCAGGTCGAAGCTACAGTCCAAGACCGCAGCTATCAAAAAGATGGCGAACATCCCGTTCGTATTGGAAGATGTGTTTCCTTCGGCCTCGGGGGACGAAGAATCGGATGAGCCCGTGGGTGGTATGAATTAGTATGTGATATCCACTTTGGATTATGCCACACCGTTGCTAACAGTTGAGCAATAGCCCCAATTCGCCGGAACCCAAGACTCCCAAGCCTGGTAATCGGTCGAGGGCGCCAGAGAAGAAGCAGCCCGTATCTACCTTTGGTCGGAAGTATAGTGGAGGGCCTTCCGGGGACACTCTAAACAAATATAGAACCCCACGGAAAAGATCGAATCCAGAGGTCATCGAGATAAGCTCGGATTCGGAATCGGAGGCCGAAGGCCCTAACGAGGACAGCGATATTTACGAGTCCGAAGATGACTGGATTGTGGAAGATGGAGGTAGGTATGGAGGATACAAGAGGCCCAAGACTCCGAAAGATACGACGACGGTCGTGGAGTACCTTCAAGATGACGATGGAGGATACAACCGGTATAAGGTTAGGAAAACTGAGACGGCGGTTCAGGAGTACTTCCAAGACCAAGACGAAGCCGACGAACAAATTTTCGCTGAAATTGCCGACGCTGAAAGCGCCGACACCAACTCCAATGATGATAGTGACATTACCGACGGCAACGGAGACAGCGCTAGCAGCCAAGGCTACGGAAGCTACGACAGTGGCGAAGTACCCAAAACGCCGAGGACCGTGACGAAGCCCAAGGCAGCAAAGACTGTAGGGAAGTCTAATTTCGCAGCAAAGAGAGAATTCGAGGCCAAGAAGGAAGCATTGGCCGAGTCGTTCGTTCGGAAGCTCGATCGGATGATCTGTGATGGTGCCGTCGGGAAGTTTCACGAAAGTCGGGGCGGCATCAGGGTGGAGTGGAATCCCAAGCTTCGGACCACCGCCGGGCGGGCAAGGCTGAGCAAGGGAATCATCGAACTATCAACCAAAGTGATCACCGATGAGGGTAAGTGCTCCGTCTACTACCAGCAAAGTGTCAGCTGTACTAACTAGGCACAGCGAGGTTGTACAATACCACTGCTCACGAATTTTGCCATCTTGCGGTTTGGGCCGTAGACAACAGCAAGACCGACCACCACGGTCCTCTGTTCAAAAGATGGGGTGCACTGGTTGGCAGAAAGTTCAGTGACCTCGGCATTACGGTTACCCGATGCCATTCCTACGAGATCGAGTATAAGTATCACCTTAGCTGCCAGACGGAGCACTGTTCGTACGTCTGGAAGCAGCAGTCCAAACCCAAGGATGTCGGACGCATGAGGTGCCCGCGGTGTCGACTGGGCGTCTTACTCCAAACAAAGCCTGTCCTCCGCGATCCGAAGCCGCTGACAGAGTACCAAACCTTCACCAAGCAACACATGGCTAGAATCAAGCGCGAGAACCCTGGATCCCCCCTGAAAGAGGTGATGCGGATGGTCGGGCGCGAGTGGGAAGCCTACAAGGCCGGAAAAACACCACTCAGAGCCAGCGAGGGGGGCTCTGTTGCTGCCTCTGGGGAGTGGTCGGATTCGGATACACAAACCAGGAGACATCCGCTGGAAAGCATGATGGACTACTTGCAGGTAGAGACACTTTCCAACTGGTTTCTCGGATATGGGCTTACATCGACTGTCAGATTTGATTTCTCGCAATGGCTGAAATGGTTTTTGTACGTGTTTTTCAGGGCGCTCTTGGGCGTTCTCTTTTGGTTTGGATATACCATTTTCTTTTCTTTCTACATTGCGAAGGGTTCCCATCTGTGGTTACGGAGTGTTGTGTGTATTGCGCTTGGACGCCCTTGCTTTACTCGGTTGGATAGTGTCTGAATGAATGAATGTATGTGTCACCGGGTACGGGCGTTTCATGCGAACGGAAAGCCGCCTCGTGTAGTGAGTTTGGTACATACATAAGATGGATTATGCGTGATACCCCGCTTCAACAGACTTCTTTTGACGCTTCAGCTGTGACTTAGTTAGCCTAGACCCTGAATGGGTGGTGCCAGAGCTAAAGCTGGTGGGTTGACCCACCGACGTTCACCCTAATGAGGTGGTACCGTAGCAGGTACTCTACCGGCCATGTTGGCGCTTGCAAGATGTAAGCCTGTAACCCACAAGACGTTAGGTACACGATGCTGCGATGGGGGAAAAGGAGACAGGGAGATATAACGTGGCCTACCTACATGTGTACCTATCGCATGAGGTTTGGAGTAAGTAATCAGTAAGCATATCCCATGAGGACTCACTGGTCTGCCATTTCATGGTGAACCCTCATTGCAGCTTCTAAACTATTTGCACGCACACACCAGCTATGTATGCACGTGACCCGTAGACTCCGAGTGATACAATACCGTATCATACCCGTCAATCACGAACCTCCACCATCAACATGTTCTGGTAGCTCAGGGGTTAGAGCGGTCGATTGCAGATCGACAGGTCCCCTGTTCAAATCAGGGTCAGAACTGAGGCTCTCGGTGCTCGAGTGCTGGTGCTTTTTGGCGAGAAGGGTGGGGTTGGTTTTTGCCATTTGGGGTGGAAGGTGAAGGTTGGAAGGTTAAAAAGCGTAAGTGGGGCTTAGATGCTACCTAGATGCTGGATCGAGCACGGCGGTGATATATGTGTATGCGGGTTTTGGCGACCGGGTGAAGAGCAAGGCGGGAGCTTGGAAGAATTCGAGGGATACTATTTCGAGTGTGTGCTTGGAACATGCATCTGAGTCTAGAAATAGGTAGAGTTTGGACTTTTTCACTCCTAAGCGTGCTCGTAATGCCAGCCGAAGCGGTGCAGCCCATGTTCTCGTAAATATCGGCAAGATGGCGTTGCGAGTGATTCACGTCCTGTACATCTTCAAGCTTTCGCAGAGATGGGAACCTGCGCAATTATGCGTACGCAAGCCCTCGAGCTGGCCTCATCACCGTACCTATTGCTCGTGTAGTACTTTACAGAGACCTTCGTTTTTGATATTGAAGTCTCGTCAACAATCGCAACTTGCCGGCGGCTCACTCGCGCCTGGCGCTTCTAATTTCATCCATAGGTGCGGGCCGCATTCTGGCAATCAGGTATGTACAAAATGAGTACGTTGATACTAATCCCACACTGCCGGTACTCATGCAGGAACAACCCTCCCCCCGATACCGGTAATCGTCCTCCCGTCATAGACCGTGAGTGGCCAGATCTCCCACTTCCTTGGAACATCGCTTGGGGTGAGTGGAGTGGCTCGTGCATCCTCTTGGAAGAGACGAAACTCCGAGGGTAAACGATATCGAAGATCCTCTCTCTCTCGAGTTGAAGGTCAATGTTCTGAAGTAGGAGTAGCTACTGCCAAATTTTCTCCCGAAGTGCTTGATGGCTCCTACTTCCGAATTCACCAAGATCGAGGGATCCAAGCACCAAGGTTCTGGCAAGGTGAAGGCCAAAGGCCACTGTCATCACTGATGGTGATTCTGTGACGAACTTGGAGGATTGGGGATGACACTGCTAGAGTAGTGTAAACTGCTGTTGGCGCAACGTACCGTGGCTAGAGTACAATACATAGAGCCCCGCCTCGCTGGGCTACTCTAGCGATTCACCTCTACTCTTGAGAGAGTTTTGAACAGAATCGGATTGTTGCCGAGGATGGACAGGCGGTGCGCTCTCCCTGCCTGATGCTCGCAACTGAAATTCGCCCCAAGATCTCTCAAGCGTGGCTCCACCCCTCTTTCTGCTGGTTTCCCAGCCCAGCAGACCGCCGGTGAAAAAGTGACAAGTCAGCTGGCACGCGAGTGACTCCATATGAACATCGCTCCATGCATGCACGTAACGACGCGAACGGAAGATGTTTTACAGCTTGGCAGCGTGTAGTGCCCACCAAGGTTCCTGTCGGAGCTAGTTAGATACTGGAAACTGCGATGACCATAATCCTGCCATCCAGCCATCTCACCCGCGGAAGTACCTTCTAAGTTCTCGTTCATGCTGTTCCATTGACCGTGAACACGAGCAGAGTAGTAGTTACATATCATCTTCACCGCCGAAAGCACGGGTGACAGCTGCTGTGGAACCGACCGTTGGAACTGTATGTGCGATGTGCTAAATCGCCGAGCACAGCAATACGGTGTTATACAGAGGTTTATGCACGCACCCAGCCAGCCATGCATCTTGATTAACACTTCGGGAGTTCTCCCGTCATCGACCAGCAGTCGACCAGCGGCCAGCCAGCCATCAAGGTGTGCCAAGCGTGTTCCCACCACCACCTACCTAACGGCAATTTCTTTGCAGCCAGCGTGGGGGGTTGAGGAGGAGACGGGAAGTTCTCCTTGCATCTTGATTCTTGTATGTACTCTACATAGGCGGGAGTAGGAATGAATGAACTAGTTGTTGTTTGGCCCGCATACATAAATACATACAGCCAGCCCACAAACCTCGCGGTCTCCCTCCTCTCCCCACTCCCACTCCCACCCTCACCATCACACTCTCGTTCACGGCCCACCCCCACCCACCAGCAAATTCGAAGCACCCCCCCCCCCCCACACACACACACAAAAAGCGAAAATGAAGTTATCCACCACCCTCCTTTCGATCGCCGCTCTCGCCATGGCCGTCAGCGCCCAGCAGCGTTAGTCCCACCCGCATCCTCCTCCTCGTCTATAACTAACGGTCAACAGCATCCCCCACCGAGTCCGCCAACTGCGTCTCCCACGGCGACCACTGGGACTGGTACGCCCTCTCCCCCCTCCCGCACAGCGTCCATCACTAACATCAGCAGCCCCACCGCCTCCGGCTCCGCCGCCATGTCCTCGGCCACCGGCCACGCCGACGACCACGACGACCACGACGACCACGCGAGCGGCAGCCACAGCGCCGGCCCCAGCCCCACCGAGTCCGTCGGCTGCGTGTCCCACGGTAACCACTGGGACTGCGACGGTCCTCGCGAGTCGGCCTCGGGTGCGGTCGGCTCAGCCGCTAGCTCGGCTGCCGCCGTTGCTACCGGTGCTGCCGGAATGAACGTCGTCAACTTCGGTGTCCTGGCTGTTGTTGGCGCGGCTGGTGTACTGGTTTTGTAGAGGGTTACGATGAGTTGACGGGAATGAGATTGCAAGACAATACGCTTAATGGATGGATGATGCTCTTGTTTGTTTGTTTTTTGCTCGTGCAGATGGGGTGATTAATGATACTTCATGAGAGAGAGAGCGAATCAGAGACCATGTGATGCTCACGTCAGTTTCGCACCTCATAGCAGCAGCTCAAGTACTCCAAGTAGAAGGAGGTTGGCCTGAAGAAAGAGAAAAACTCGACAGAAAACGCCCGCGGATATTTTCCCGCGAACGCCCAGTGTTGTTCGACGTCTAATCACCCAGCGGATAAGCATGGGAGGTATAGCCGTAGCAAAGCAATGCATCCTTCGACGCTAGGAAGCCGAAGCTGGTGGTGATCTTGGAAGACTGTCTATCTCGACCGATTGTAAAAGCCGTGTACCTGCTCCATCGGCGGCTGGGTGGCTGGCCGGGTGAGGGAGAGAGCCGTATGGTCAACGACCCGCCCAGAGCCTTGGTATGTAAGCCAATAATGGCTCCCAAGGAGGAGCATATCAACCACGAAGCAGGTTTGGATGTACTCTACATGTCGCAGAGGCAACCTGGCGGCAGTTTCGGTTCGCCGCCGGAGGTTCGGTACGGTACAATCACTGCTCGGGTACATCCTCCCTCCCACGTCTTTAGTACGTCCGTCGGGTATCGCGGCGGGGACCTGTAGAGTACATAGCGGCAGTGGCTCTGTTTGTGGCATTGTTGTGGTGGACATGCTATGGAGTAGAGTAAGTGTCGTGGGATGATCGAGTGGTGGTTTGTGACCAGGTAGGTAGAATGTACCTAGTCCGGGGTGCTAGCGATCAAGGCCTAGTAGGATGCGGTATGTAGAAGGAAGGAAGGATCGATCCCCACTCGAGCGCGGGGTCTTTTGAGGCGGGGGCTGCGTGTCGGAACGAGGGATAGAAGCGAGTGACGACTATGGATGCGGAGGTCGCGAAGGGCGAGTGCCCTGCGTGCGTAGCGAACAAAGTTGAAAGCTTTATCTATGCCAAGCTGTCACTAGGAGCTTTGGGTCTTATCCGGCATACATGTGATGAATACAACACGCTACTATGGCCGAGTGGTCCAAGGCGGTGGACTTAAGTTTTCTATTGACTTGAAACCCATTGGGGAAACCCGCGCAGGTTCGAACCCTGCTGGTAGCATAATCTTTTTTTCTTCAGTTTTTGAATCTGTGCTTGTGGATGTTGAGGTTCCCACAACTGTGATGGTGTTGCTGGTGGCGAGATCAAAGTATATGGTTTTGATGAATGACGATTACGTGAGCGCTGGCGACACAGGTCAAGGCTTGCATAAAGTACCTATATCTGCTCTACTATGCATTTGCGCACCAGTTCGGCCCGGGTCTTCATATTCTACCTCCACCTGCCTGAATACCCCCGCCCCGCACCGCCGCGCCCCGCCAAGCAACATACTCGAAACACGCATATACAACCACTATATTTTCAGGAACGGGTTTCGCCACCGCGTGCGACGCGAGCAATTAATCTTTTCGGTATTAAGTGGTGGATGGGATGGTATGTTGGTCAGGGCGAGGCGTGAAGTGCTCGTGAACGGTAGGTATCTGGTGTATGCAGGGACTTGTCTTGCCGCCCAAGGTCCCCGGCGCTGCGCCGCACGATAGCTATGCTATGGCATTTTGCCGAAGCCGAAGCTCATCATAAGCCCTCCCGGGGCCCAAGAACTGTCCTTTCATTTGCCTTCCATGCCTCCCCATGCCTCCATGCCTCCATGCCTTCATGCCTCCATGCTTCCATGCCTTGCCATACCTCGCCTGTCGACGCAAACCCCCACAGCAGAATAACCGGGGACGAATCCAACGCTCGTGCTCGTCGGCGGAACAGGCTGATGAGAATGTTCCGGTTTTTGGGGCGAGTGCCAGACGTCGAAATAGATAACGATCGAGGGACATACGGTACTTTTATGCTTAAGTAGCGGTGGTGGTCGTGACCTCGATTCTTCTCGACTGCGCGTCGAAAAGCCATATCCAGCGCGGACCTGAAGGTTGAGGCAAAACACAAATCCAACGACCCGACCGACATGAAACGTCGTCCCATCGCCTGGAATCCGATCGGAGCTTTCGTAGCGGCTATGTACCTAGCACTAGCTCCACGGACTGCCCGTGCGCGCCTACCGATTGGACGGGATTTTAGAGGGGAGGGGCACGGCAGAAACCTTGGCCACGCAACCGCAGGCGATACGACACGACACGACACGACACGACACGATACGATACGACCCTCTGTTTATATACATATGCGGCCATGCGTGCGCGAAAGGCAGGAAACGCCCACGTAATGGAGGAGGAGTTCGGCGAATTATAGTAGAGTTTATGCCGCTACGGTCCCTTGGTGTTTGGTTGGGGCACGTAAGTTAGTAGCGCCATCCATGAGCGATGGGCGAGGCGCCGCTGCGGCTTGCACGCCTAGATATGCAGGTACAGATGCTGGCAGGGACGGGAGTTCTGCTTTTTTTCCCCATGGCAAGGCATGAGCTTCCTGTGTGCATGTGTGACTTCAACATGGAGATACCTACATGTCGCACCCAGACCGTTGTGAGATATCCCCGGCGCTGTGTGTGGCATTGCGGCAGGTGCGGAGGCCGTAGGATGTTGCCGACACTCTCACACCTTCTCGATGGGTGCTGCTGGAGATATTGCGGGCCCTGCGGGGAAGGATATCTCCCTACATACTAGCAGAGCATGTACTCGTACGCACTCCCTCTCGGGATGGAGAAGGCAAACTCTGTAACATGGCAGTCTTCGACCCCTTGACCCCTGCGTTAGCGGTGCCCTTGAAGCAGGGACAACCATCCATTCGATCGTAGGTTCTGAGAAGCCTCGTTGGGTCACAACTCAGCCCAGAATTATGCCCCACACAGCGAGTGTGAGTAGGTGTATACCTTATATTACCCTGTGCTCCCCTCCTCCTCTGCCTTCGTCTCTGCCTCCCTTCTTCCTTCTCTCCCTACCCATTCCGACACCGTCTCTGCGAGTTCGTTGCTCTTTCCTTCTCTCTCACTACCTTCATTCATTCTCTTGTGCGGGCTAGTTTACCACACAACCCTACTCTCGTTCTTTCAAGCCCATCACGCTCTTTCTGTTTTTGAAAAACAACTTCCTTCCTTTGCTTCGAGAGCAGACGTCCAGAGCAGCGATACACATAAAACAACTTACGAACCCACGAAGAACATCCAACCCTCTTGTACCTAGATCCAGAAATAACGTAGAAACACCATACCAGCCATATTCATCTAGCTACATCTCATATATTACGATCTAGCTCCAACCTCTCAGCTTAAAATCTACAATGTTCGGGATGTCCTTGATCAATCTTGCGGTTGCGGCTTTGGCTGCTTCTTCGCTGGCAGCTGCTTCGCCTCACAGTATGTTCCACTCCCCGTCGGTGTTGCTCTGTGGACGTTTACTCACCGTTCGTAACCAGGACGACGACATGGTGCTCTCCACAAGCGGGTTTCTGAAGCTCCCAAGGTTGCAACTTGCTACTCGACTGCCGCAACTGTGTGGGTTGATCAGAAGGGCAACACTGTTGACCCGAGTGCTCCCCATACCTTGACCGTTACGGTCTACGGCACTCGGCCACCCGTCACCAAGACCGCGGTGGTGTCGAAGACGGCTACCCCCGTGATCGATTCCCCTAGTGAAGAGACTTCGGTCTCGTCGAGTTCGACGGTAGTTTACCAGCCTCCGGCTGAGGCTACCACCTCGGCGGTCAAGACTACTCCAACATCGGTGTACGTATCCGTGCCGACCACTGCTTCCACTTCAAGCATACCTGTACCGGTGCCGACGACATCATCAGAGGCACCGGAGCCTACCACTGTCTATTCATCTTCTTTGGCTGCCCCTGTGTCGTCCTCCTCCTCCTCGACCAAGCCGGCTGCTACCGGTACGCCGTACGTGTCGGGAACCTACCCGCCCGGAGGTGGCAGCAAGCCCGGAATTGTCTACTCGCCATACCATGCCGATAATGCGTGCAAGACCACCGAAGAAGTCGCCGCCGACATCGCCTTGATCAAGGAGTACAGCCCCATCCGTCTCTACGGTGTAGATTGCAGCCAGATTCAGAACGTGATCGCCGCCGCGAAGACTCATAACATCAAGGTCATGCCCGGTATCTGGAACATGGACAAGCCCCTCGAAGAGCTGGAGACCCTTATCGAGTACGTCGACGGAAACTGGGATACCGTCCACACCGTCGCCATCGGCAATGAGGTTGTCAACTTTGGAAGGAAGACTGCGAGCGAATTCGCCGGCATCATCAACTCCAGCCGTGAGCGTCTCCGTAGCTCCGACGTCGGATACACTGGTCCCGTCGTTGGTGTCGATACCTTCGTCGCCATAATGGGCAACCCTGCTATCTGCGAGGCGTCCGACTACGTCGCGGCCAACTGCCACTCGTTCTTTGATGGAAACGTCGTCGCTGAGGGAACTGGGGAGTTCTTGAACAACATGAAGACGGAGATGGCCAAGGTCTGCGGCGATAAGCAGATTGTCATCACTGGTACGTTCATCATCCCATCACGCAAACTGTGACATGATATACTAATGCACCTTACAGAGACTGGTTGGCCCACTCAGGGTACCGCCAACAACAAGGCTATTCCCAGCGTGGAGAACCAGGCTCTCGCCGTCAAGTCGATTCTTGACACCCAGGGCTTGGACGTGATTCTGTTCACCGCCTTCGACGATGGCTGGAAGGAGGACACCGCCTTGACGTTTTCCACCGAGAAGGTATGCTTCTCGCACATCCCACCCCCATCGAACCAGTCACTGACATTCTCTGTAGCACTGGGGTATCACGGACCTTTCTCTCAACTTTTAAAAAGTTACTTCCTCGGCGTTTTAATACTTCGGGGTTGTAGCTTTTTTCCTCTGTAGATGAAACGTTTGGTTGCGTGTTCAAGTTCGTTCTGTAGCTGTTTTACTGTCTATAAATACTTGCAACGATTGTCGGGTTGCGGGTGGGGAATCTGAATAAGTCGATAGATGATAATTGCTAGTTTTATTATCTTTTTCTCTTTGGCTTCAACTGGCATAAATGAAATACATATTGTCAATAAACTGGAAGTGAGTTGCTGAAGCATAGCAAAGCAGATGACAACAACCCTTGTAAAAAAAGGGGGGTTTTTTAAACGTGAGCGGTGGGTTGGGAAATGGTTGCGCGATCATTAGATTTCACAAGCGGCCCCGCGGTATTGCGCAACTATTCCGCAACTATTGCATCTAGAATAACGTGAGCCACGTAAAACGATGCGGAAATAAAATGATGATAGACAGTACACCCATTTTAAATTGTAAACTCGGCAAAAAGCCAGACAGTGTGTGAATTTGTCATACGTTGATCTAACGCTTAAGTAAACAGGAATTGGTGGAAATATAAAAACACAAGGACGAGATATATCGTTGGTGCTCACTTAAACGTTTTCTTGGCATTTTTCTACTGTTTTCCAGTGTGGGGAAGCGAGGGGTGTGAAGGATCGATGGGCGAGCTGCAATGGGAGGGAGTAATGGGAGTTTAGTGGGGGTGGGGATGAAAGATGACTTAAGTCATCCAACAGGAATGATTGAGTCAATCCGCGAGATGACTCTAGGAACGACTTAGTCAATCCGGTAAATGACTCTAGGAATGACTCAGTCAGTTCGTGAAATGACTCTAGTCATCGAACAGGAATGACTGAAACAATCCGCGAGATGGCTCAGGAGCCGTGGGAGGAGGTGTTGGCAAGAGGAGGACGTAAAGGAGGACTCCTGTCGGTGGGAGAAGACGAATGTGGTTAGTAGAGGGCACTGCCAACATTGGCGGCATGGCGGGGTTGTATGCTCTCTTAGCCATCTGTCTCTTCTTCTTTTTCTTCTTCTTCTTCTCCCACAACTCCTCCTCCCCCCACATCTCCTCCTCTCCCCGCAACTCCTCCCCATCCGCAACTGCTATTCCCACCCCCGCCTATTCCCCCTCAACTGCCATCACCCCCCTCGCCGCAACTGCTATCACCCCCCTTGCTGTAACTGCTATCACCCCCCACCGCAGCTCCCCCTCCCACCGCAACTACTATCACCCCCCCCCCCTCGCCACAACTGCTATTCCTCTCTCACCGCAACTGCTATTCCCCCTCCCACTGCAACTGCTATCACTCCCCTCGCCGCAACTCTACTCTCACCGCAGCTCCTCCTTTCCCTGATAGCTTCTCTCGCTAATAGCTCACCTTGCAGTAATGCTTGTCTAGCCGCTGTAGATACTGGCCGCCGTGGATACTTTGATACTGGATACTGGATACTGGATACTGGATACTGGCTGCTGGCCTCGTAGGTAGTACTAGTAGAACATAAAACCATATGTGCTTAGTGCTTCAAGACCAATGTGAAAAATGCTGCATAAGCGAGAAAACCCGAGCCCAGTTTCATCTCTGATATTCACATGTTGCACTCCTGCTCCTCAAGTTTCAACAGTTCGAAAATGCCAAGAAAATGCCAAGAAAACGATGCTGCAATGTTTTAATGCACTTAAACGCTTTATTTTAACCACATAGGGAATTGCTGGCCATTCCGCTGTCTATAAACAGGATCACTTGTACTACGGCTTCCAATTTTCATGGGAAAAGCCTGTGAACTGTATATCTACACCCTCCGTTAAAACTTGCAACACGTCTGTGAATCCAACACGGAATGTACAATGTTTTGAGTGGCTTCTATAGGTCAATAATTTGACATGTGTATAATTCTCAACTATCACGATGTGGTATTTACTTTTCCTACGGGTTTGAAAAAAAATCATGGCACAACAGTCGCTCTACTATTTAAAAAAACCCCCCCTTTTTTTTTACAAGGGAAGTTATGATCATACTAATACACATGCCATCATTCGCTCTAGTAGTTCATCCGCACGGTTACGCAACCCTGTGGCAGTGTCCAGCTTAGTGATCAATCGGTCAAAATCCCCCCACTAGCAGCACACCCCGCCCTCAAATTTTCACCAACCCCACCCCACCCCACCCTCTGCCACCCTTTCACCACCAGAGAACACCATCACCATGTGGATCCGCGTCGTGGAGGTGAACTCATTCTCTTTCTCTCCCGCCCCTCCAGGGCGCCCCTCTCCTTCCTCGTCCCCACTAACTCCGGCTCGAACAACACTCAGGCATGGCTTGTAGCACGAGTACGTCCTTGTTCCTGTCCTTTCCCCCGCCCGGCGCACGAAGCATAATCGTTCGCCGCTGACGACGCCGCGATAGCTCTTGGCAAGCCCGACGTTCCACCGCGCGGTGCGCCGCGTCCACGGAAGGCTCACGGGCGTGCGCCACCTCCAGGACGAGGAGGAGCCGTCGAATCTGCACACGGGGCATGAAGGTTGCTTCCCTTCATCCTTTAAATAATAGGAGGGCAGCGTGGAATGCGAAAGGGAGGGGATGCGGGAGGGGAAAGAATAGCGCTTACAGGTGTTACTGACGGTAGGTGGCTCCGACGTTGACAATGTGCATGCAGGCGCGGACCAGAAGTTGCCCGTCCAGAAGAAGGTCTCGGCGTTCCTGAAGATATATGTCGATGAGCTTAGGAACGAGTTTCGCAGGAAACCGTGATGCTCCTGCTGCTTCCCGCTCACGACCATGTACAGTACTTGCAGAAATATATCTCCCTTTTTTCCCGCTTTTTTTTTGTTTTTTTTGTTTGAGCTTTCCGTGCATTCTTCTTTTTCTTTCTAGCTTCGTCTCTGCCCTGTGCATTATGACAGCTTTCCCCGGACATAAATTAAGCTGCTTGATCACTTCCGTATCATGCTGGCTCTCATTCCGTCCGAAGATTATACCTCCCAGTACCAGACCGGTTTGAGAACCCTTCCTTGGCGGAAACTTCCGCAGTGGAGCGTTTCTTTCATGTCCAGCGTGCACATTTATTTTATTTATTTTTATTCTTTTGGAGGATTGTTGGAGATTATGGAGATCAATACACACGCGTCGAATATTCTCAAAGACGGTCCAAGTGAGGCATGTAGATAGAATCATTCTTTGAAGAAAAAGCAAACAGTAGAGATACGAGTACACAAAAACAAACTCTAGTGATATGAGTTACAGTACACCCACCCACCCACCTCCCCCAACCAACCCGACATCCCACATACCGAACAAAACAATGAGGTGGTATGTAAAGAAAAGAAAACAGAAAACAAAGGAAAGAAAAGATGATCGTATTGAAGTAGTAGAAGAAAAAAGAACAGAAACCATTAACTCCAGCTGTTTGATCGACCCACCGACCCATCAGCCAACCAATCAATCATTCAACAGACACAGATGCAACCTCCGTCTCCGTCTCCTTCTCCTTCTCGGTCTTCTTCTCCGTCTCAGGTTCAGCATTGAGCGACTCGCGGATCTGCTCAGTCAACAGACCAAGTGACGTAACGAGCAGCCTCTTGACCTGCTTCTGGTCCTCCTTGCGATCTTCCTCCGCCTTGCGCTTACCCTCCTGCATCTGCGCCTCACGCTCTCTAGCGCGGGCCTCGTGTTTCTCCTCGCGCTCGCGGCGGTGGGCCAGGTACTGGGCGGAGTGACCGAGGCCGCCGAAGGGGCGTTCGGCGGGGCGGTTGTCGACCGGGGGGACGCTGAACCAGAGGATCTGTCCGTTTTCGTTACGGAGGAAGCGTTCGGCCGTGGCCTCGGGGATCTGTTTGGCAATGAGTTCGGGCAGGGTGAAGGTGACGGCGGGAGCGGCGGCGGGAGCGGGCAGGCCGTGCGGCGGCTGCATATCCTTGTGCTCGCTGTGGTGGCGGTTGAGGTTGATCTGCAGCTGCGCGGCTTGCGCGGCTTGCGTCGCGGCGTAGCTGGGCGTGCCGGCGCCCATGCCGGAGGTGGAGGGCATGCGCTGCATCGGCTGCGGTGGGTTGTGGTAGACGGGTGGCGGTGCGAAGTGCTGTGGCGCCGGAGTGCGGAGCTGGTGGTCGTGATGCATGGTGGGCATCGGGGTCTGCGGGCCGTGGCCGGGCGTGGGTGCGGCGACAGAGGCGGCTTGTTTGTACATCTGCGTCATGGACATTGTCTCGTGGTAGGGGTCGGTGGCAGCAGTGCTGGCGGTGCTCTGACGGCGGGTAGGGCGTGGCGCAGGTGCTTCAATGACAGGTGGGGGCGGAGGTGGGGGCGGAGTCGGCTCTGGAGGAGGAGAGTCCTGGACAGCCATTATTAGCGATGTTTGTTTGTGAAGGTGGTTGTTGTGGTGTGGAAGTTATTGGAACCGTTGTGGTGTTGTTGCGGTTGAGATGCAGTCGAGCGAAAGGGGATTCAACATACCGTTTCTCGACGAGCGCGTTTGAACACCGCTCCGACGACGGGTGGAGCGTTTTCAACCCCCAACTTGGCCTCGGGCAATGGATCGCCTTCTTTCGCACCTGGCGGCAACGTATGTGCAATGGGACTGTTCATCTTCTTGAGGGTTCGCTGCTTCTCAAACATGTCCAGCTCATAGTCACCGCCACGCACCTCGTCCGGGATGCAGCTCTTCCAGGTCTTGATCTTGTTGAAGTGCTTTGTCCTCTCGTTGTATCTGCTCTCGCAAACATAGATGGGACACTTGCTCTCGTCTATTCCCCTGGGTCGTCCGCGGGAATAGCGCGTGAAGAACATCACGAAACACTTGCCTATCACCTCGTCGATCTTGTGGTCGCGGTACTGACCCGTCTTGACTACTTCCTCGGGGTAGAACCTCTTTTCCACCCAGTGCACGGTCTGCTCGGGGCGGAAGTACCAGCACGCATTGATCCAGACCTGTCCATCACGCTCTTTCCACGTGCGGAACACTTGCGCAACAGTGGGTTTGTTAGGATCGTTAGGATTGACGATATGCACCCAGTCACCTGTAACCCATCAGCCATCTGTTCTTCTTTTTCTGGACACCATTGTGGAGAATCCTACCAACGCGGTATGTCTCTCCGTTGTGCTCAATCTTGTCAAGCGGAATCTTCTTTGCAAGAGTTCCGTCCTCGCCGCCAGCAAGTTCCTCATCCAACTTGGCCATCTCCGACTGTTCGGCGCGATGCAGCTCGTCCTGCAGCATCACCGCGTCCTGGTGGAGTTGACTCTCGTCCTCGTTAAAGGTCCTTGCATTGTCGAACATCAAGTCCATGTCTCCGATGAAGTGATCCATAGTCTTGTACACTCTGCGCTTGATGTTTTTCTGTCGTCCGGCAGTCAGTCAATCCGCCCACTCCGCACCGAAGGTAACCACAAACCTTGATGATATCCATCGCAATCGGATTCTTGATCTCAGTGAAGTATTCGGGAAACTCCTTCTTCTCAGGCAGCTTATCGAACGCCAGCATGCGCTGATTGCCAGTCTCCTCGTCCTTCAACTTCCTTAGAGCCTTGAGGATATTCTTTATCCTAGTCTCCATCGGCGTGTCGACTCTCGGAGGCCGCCCCCTCTTCCGCCTCGGATCATCCTTGACTTTCCGTCCTCCCGTCTCCTCCTCGCCATCCTCCTCTCTGGCTTCCCCGGAGGCGCCCACAGTCCCCGTTCTGCGCCGTGTCGCCCGCGGCTGCACAGACCCGCCCCTCGTGGTCCTCCGCGCACGACCAGACGAGTTCCTACGCTTCTTCCCATCCTCCTCCTCCTCATCGTTGTCATCACTCTCGTCATCCTCCTCCTCATCATCCTCCTCATCATCCTCCTCCTCCTCCTCCGCCTCCAGCAGCGGACTTGCCAGCGCAGTCGCCTCCGGACTCGGCGGCGGCAGCTCACCCAGGAACGGCAATTCGGCCTCCTCCTTCTTGACCTTCCCGGTCCTTACACACTTCTGGAGCGCCTGCTTGAGCACATTCTCCAGCGTGTCGGCGTACTGGTAGATCTCCGAGTCGTGGCGGTTGTACACCTTGGCGTTGAAGAAGATCTGCGCGCAGTCCTTGACGAAGTCGCCGAACGACGTGTAGGACCGCCGGCGAACCGAGGCTTGCACCGGGTTCAAAGCCTGCGGCGATTTGATCAGCTTGTAGTAGTCCGCGTACGCCCGCTTCGGGAGAAGGTCGTGGAAGGGCGAGGAGAGGTCGCCGCCGCTGCGAATGGTTGCATGTCAGTACCCATCCCCCTCAGATGCACCGCGGGATACGTACTCCGAGTCCTTCGTGTTGAACAACGTATCCAGCACCTCCTGCATGGCATCGTAGAGCTCATTGCCGAGTCTATTGGCCGGATTCCTGACCGTGACCATCTCGTCTGCTTCTTCGTCTTCTCTTCGTCTTCGCTGCTGCTTCAAAACCGTAGTATTACCGTAGTATTACCGTCGTCGCCGTGTCGCCGTGTCGCCGTTGTCGTTCGTGGAGTGCAGATGCTGGTACCAAAACGCGCGCGCCGAACCGAACAAAAGCGAAACGAAAGTGATCAAAATGCGCGGGTCGTGCGGGATGCTCGGGTTGGCTGTGAGGTTGCGAGGTTGCGAGGTTGAGACTATGAAACAGCGGTCCAGATCCAATGAATGAACGCGCGCGACGAGCGAGCCAAGAAACTAGAGTAACCCAGAGCGCGCACGGACCAACGTGAGTAACGTGAGTAACAAGCGTATGTGAGTACCGGCGGCGGCGGGCGCTAGTACTCACTGCGTGTCACTCGTTCGTTGGATCACTCGTGCGGAGTGACTTGGTATGATGTATAAATCCTGACAGCAAAGCCGCTCGCAAGAAGTACCGGTACAGCTGAAGCTGGTCAGAAACTAGGCCCCATCCACCCGATGGCTCCCGACGCCTAGCTTCGAGGTTCTACTAGCTGGAGACCGGACCGGCCAGAACCTCACCGTCCAGCACCTTCATTGGACAAAGAGCTGGACAAAGAGCCGGCCAGCTGCGCGCTGCGGATGCGCGCTGCGAGTGGTGCAGCTCTGTACAAGACCCAGACTTAGACCCCGCGGGAGCACCTTCTGGAGCATCTTTAAGTCCTATCCTGTCGGGAATGGAAAAGTCAGCGAAGATACTCGCATACTCTGGGAACAGGTCCGGAAGGAGACGGGAAGGGGCAAAGACCGCTTCAAGATCCGAGACCTCCCTCTTGGGAATCTTCGCAGACAAACGCCGCAGTCGGGCTTTTCTGGGCTTTCTCGGCTTTCTGGGCTTTCTCGGCTTTCTCGGCTTTCTGGGCTTTCTCGGCTTTCTGGGCTTTCTGACCTTTCTAACCTTTCTGACCTTTCTAACCTTTCTAACCTTTCTAACCTTTCTAACCTTTCTAACCTTTCTGACCTTTCTAACCTTTCTGACCTTTCTGGTCTTTCTGGTCTTTCTTTCTTGCCGTCACTGGTGTTTGATGTTGGCAGACGGATGCGGTATAGGTACCGGACTCCGTCGCTGAAGAAGATGCAGTTAGTTAGCGAGCTGTCCGAGTGGGAAGAAGGTCAGGCATAGACTCACCGGCGGTCACTACTATAAACCGGATGGAAGGCGTTGATACTTGAGCGCGACGGCGAGGACGTTGGTGAGTGCGATGAGACGGCGTGAGGCGCGAAAAGTTTTTCCTGGTGTCGTTTCCTTGGTGCGCTCATATATCATCGGGACAGGACACGGCGGGGCCGCGGGGGGTAAGGAAAGTCACTTCGGGCTGCAAGATGAGAGTTGGGTCGGATAGTGACGTGGAAACCGGGGGATGGGGGCCATGGGGGTGTACGGGCAAGTACACAGCTCGCCTTTGGTGGATTGATGGATTTAGAGAGGGAGATCTTCCTGTTTTATTTCGCATGCAGTCTATCTAGATTATGGCGAACCGTCGCAATCCTTTCCTGCCCACTCTAGCCGGCCTGGGGGTTGAGCTCCGTTACCAGCCAGCACGGTGTGGCGCCGCTGCCTGCCAAACAAATACCAAATGAAATCGCACCAAGAAAATATCACCGCACATCCTCATCTCCTGCTTCCTCGCATCGGCCGCAGACGCAGTATCCTGCTGGACACTCTTGCTCTGCCCCCCCGATGCGATGCTTGCTTCCCTTGCTTCCTCCTCCTCCTCCTCCTCCTCCTCCTCCTCCTCCTCCTCCTCCAGGTCTGGTAGAGCTTTCTCCCCACATCCGTCGTTCCCAGAAACTTCAGGATTGCCTCGCTGCACCGCTCGTCGGCGAACAACTCCGCTATATATATCGACCACCTCTCTTTCCTTCTCTCCGTCTCCTTCCAGACCTTTGCCTACAAGGCTTTCTGTTGACTTCTCCACCGTGAATACCGTATCCGAGCTCGCCTTTGAAGTGGTGAGAGGCCCAAAATCGAGTGAGGACCAAAAACGTGGTCACATTGAAAAGAACTCTCTACCCTTGGTGACGACGATGATCATACCTCCATACAAGATGAGGACTACTCTAGAGACCGACGAACCGACGAACAACCAGAACAGAATATTGATAGAAACAATAGATAGAACGACAGTCCACATTCCAGACTCCAGACTCCAACGTTGACCCTCCGCCTCCGCATTGGATCTGATCTTGGTTACACACCCATAACACTACCGGTGCTATGTCGCTCCATGCCGCTTCTCGCCGCTCCCTCAGTGGCCACCAGACTCGGTCGGGTATATATTGATCTGGACAGGCGAACCAATTCTTTCAGTGCAGCATAAGAGTGTTTAATGCCTAAATCTGGAGCAAACCACGTTTATGCATTCAACCATTTGCCCCAGGCATCTCCCCATCTCCTGGACTCGGGGCATGACAGCGTTGTAAGTACAAGGTATCACCTCCAACTACACCTCCAACCGTAGTTACATACATATGTTGTATTGGATAGCCATGTCCGTGCAAGTATTGCAAGTATGATACGAGTATAGTAGTTATGCATAGATAATACAAATCACCAAAAACGACCAGCAAGGTATAGAATCCTACAAAGATGATGCTACCAAAACCACGATGCGAATGACAATACAAAAATGGCAGTTGAAAAAATAAGTCTGCCGTCTGTCCATCCCATGCATTCCCCCTTCCCCCTCCCCCCTCCTCCATAACCTCGATAGCGACTGTATTCCGTTCGTCCGTTCGTTCCGTTTCATGTCGGTCGTGGCGGCGCATCTACATGACGTAGAGCAGGTTCGTATCTGTGGTGACCCAACGCACGTTAAAAAAGTTACTCCAAGCTGCAGCCGTAGCTTTTGTGAATGAAACCCAGAAAAGAAGTAAAAAAAAAACAGAACAGCAAAGGAAAGAAAAAAGCAAAAGAAACAACAGCTATTTATACAAATATCAAAGCACCAGGCGAGAAGAGGAAGGAACGGAAGAATGAAGGGAATATTGCAGTGAATGAAGCAAAGAAGACAAGCGGGCAGGGGGGGGGGGGGGGGGAAATCAAAACTGGAACTCCATCTCAGACTCGTCAAGGGGTTGTCCGTCATTACCTAATGGATGGCTGCAGCTCAACTGCGGCTTCTGCGAGTACTTTCCAGCCAGCTCGTCTCGGATGCTGTTGAGAAGCTGTGCGTACGATTGCTGAGGGTTCTTGGTGAGCGCTCGGATGAATGCGTAACTCATGGCTCCCGTGGCCTCGCCGTTCTCGGTAGCATCGGCACTAAACTTTCGTCAGGAAATGCTGCCGCAAGCCGCGTGGCGAGGAATGCTAAACTCACGAAGTTTGAGAATCCTTGGAACCAGACCACTGGATAACATCGGCCGGCGATGTTTTTGTGCGCATTGCCCTTTCCTCCGCGTTTCTGCCGGTGGTGAGGCGCTTGGCCAGCCCGAAAGCCGACGAAGCAACACCGCCAATGTCTCCCCTGGAGTACGATTGCAGCGCACTGAAAAGTCCCTGACCGGCCTCCTTGGCCAAGTTCGGCTCCTTCTGCTTGCCGGAGGTGGAGTAAAGGTAAGGAAGGTCCAACGCTGACCCGGAATGGCAGGAATCGAAGATGGCGGTCAAGCGCACCCCCGGTTTCAATGGGGCAACCCTAATCGGCGTCAGCGAACGTGTGCTAAGCATGGCGGAGCTTAGAATCTCACATGATGCGGTGCATCTCATCATCCACGATGTGCCCAGCATGACGGAAGTCCACCGGATAGATCGTCTCGTCGTAACCATCACCCTCATCACCATCCAGATCCTTGGTCTGGCCACCGTGCCCGGAATAATGGAAGAACAGCGAATCGTTCGGCTGAGCATCCTTCACGAGCCAATGCATGGCAGTCAAGATGTTCTGCTTGGTGGGCTGACTCTTGGGGTGTTGCTGGTCGTCCATCAAAGTCACCATGTCGCTCGGGTTGTAGCCGAATCTCTCCTGCAAGAACCGCGACATGTTCTTGACATCGTTGATGCAGCCGCGCAGCTGTCCCCGCTGACCGATGTAATTGATGCCGATAAGCAGCGCCTTGCGCTTCCCCGAGCAGTTACTGTACGCAAACGAATAGTTGAGACCCGGAACGCCGAAGCTGTGTTGGCTGGTAGACGGAGGGTGGGGAGCGCCGGGAACGTGGTTCTGGTAGGTATTCTGGTAGGTAGGCACTACGGCGCAGTCGAGTCAGAACCTATGACATGATTGAGCCAAGCTGGAGAGAGGGGGATATACTCGGTTGCTGACTCGGGCTCGGGTATGGTTGTTGGTGCGGTGGGGGACCCCATTGGCCAGGCTACGCTCGAAATGTCAGAACCAGTCTTCGCGGGGGGCAGGTTGCAGCGACAACGTACTTGTTGCGGTGGAGGGTAGTATGGCTGCTGGGGATTTGCGGGTGGGGGGTAGTAGCCCTGCTGAGGGTGTTGCTGTTGTTGCGGGGAGGGTGAGTAGTACCCTTGAGCCGGCGGCATCCTTTGGGGTCGGATAGCTAGCTGTCAGCGGGCCGCACGAGCAAGATTCATGCACGGATCGAGCAATTTGGAGGAGGCTACATACGGGTAGCCCTGCTGCGGGTACGGCTGCTGGCCGTGTGGCGGCGGCTGGCCACCACCAGGGTATCCTCCTCCGTACTGCCCGTGCTGCTGTCCATACTGTCCGGGGTATCCTCCCGACATTGTTTATGGAATTATGTGGGTGATTATAGGTGGATCGGTGGGGGCTTGAGCTTCCGGGGTGGAATGAGGGAAGGCCGAAGAGATGGATTGATCGGTGAAGCCGGCAGGCGATTGGGTGGGAGTGGGAGTGGGGGGGGGGGGGAGGGGGGGAGATTGTATTCGTAGGAACTCTGCTGCAAGTCCTGTGTTCAAGGGCGGGATCTCTGAATGCTCTGGGCTCTATTGAAGTGGGTGGCTTGAGGGGCGAACTCTCACGGCTTTATAACAGGCCTGCGAACAACAAGTAAGGTAAACAAGGGGGGACGGGTCGGGAGTGTAGCGAAGAGTTGGCTCTCTGTCTGTCTGTCTGTGCAGGCGCGCAAAGGTGCACAAGGGAGGAAGTGTTGAATGTAGGTGGTGAACGTAGGGTGGAGGATGATGTTGGTGGGGGGAGAAGCAGTGCAGAACAAGCGATGGAGAATTTTGCGCTGGGAAGATGCAGCAGGAAGCACAAGACACGACAAGACACGACAAGACACGACAAGACAGGGACAGGACGAGCAATGCCCGAGTGAGACAACCCTTGCGAAGGTATGGTAATCTGGTAGTGGGGGAAGTAGTGGTGGGTGGTGGTGGTGGGTGGTGGTGGTGGGTGGAGGTAGTTGGTAGTGGAAGACTGGTAGTGGCAGTTGGTAATGGTAGTGGTTAGTGGTAATGGGAACTAGTGGTAGAGGTGGAGGTGGAGGTGGAGGTGCTGGTGGAGGTGGAGGTGGAGGTGCTGGTGGAGGTGGAGGTGGTGGGTGCTTCCGGGCGATGAAGGTGGAGACAGCGGAGAAGGAGGGGAGGTCGGATGCGTTATGCAGTCGAGCCCTACGGAGGACCGTTTTAGCCACATTCAGATCGCCTTCCGCTGACGGGGCGTGTGCTTTTTCGATTTCTGGGATTGGCCGGCGGGCTGAAGTCGCAATCTGCCGATCTCCCTCGCGTTCCAGAAGGAGCAGACGGCGACGGCAGCACGAAGCACGAAGAACAATGGAGAAGCACGGCCGCACCGAGTAGCGAGCACGCGGCATTCAGCACGCTCACCGCTCGTGCTGTGCTCATCGCCGTCAGGCCGGTGGCTCCGCTCGTGAGTCGTACACACGAAGCCGCCGCCGCCCAGCTAGATACCCATATTGCTCTCTCCGCCCATCCACCCATCGCATCGAAGAACGCGCCGCAGACCGGACGAACTGGGCTGAGGGCCAGCGCAGTAGAGTAGGGTAGACTGCTCGATGCGGTCCAATCCACACGCCGCGCTTTACTGCGTCGGGCTTTTGACGGGCGGCGAATTACAGGGACAGTCAGCACGCCGATTTATATTGCAAGTGCGCGGCATCTGCTCGCAGTCCGTAGCGCATGGGGGGCGCGGCTGCATATCTTCAGCTGTGTGGGAACCTTCCAACCCTCCACTGTGGCTAATGATCGGCCAGCAAGACAGACAGACAGACACACCCAAGCCTTCTTTTTGCCCGCCCGCCTGCCTCTGCTTGTCTGTCTGCTTGTCTGTCTGCTGGCTTGTCTGCTGGCTTGCGTGACTGCACTGCACCAGCACGGGCTCGAAGGGGAGCGCCCTATGCCATGCAGATGGATCCCCCGAGCTTGCTTGCTTGCGAGCCGATTGGTACCCATCGAGACTTCTCTCCTCGCGTACACACACTTCCTTATTGACGCTCGACGTAGGACTGATCCGGGGCTAATTGCAGTAGTAGTTGATGGCTGAACTGAAGCCATTCCGCGCTCGCTGTGACCAGATTGCCACCCCCCTCCTCGCCCTCGGACGTTGTTGTACGAGTACGAGGAAGAGCCGAAGAAGAAGAAGAACAAGACGTCTGGGTAAACTCGCGATTGAAACCTTCACACACCCCTCGGCCCCTCGACTACTCCCAAATAGGAAGAGAAGAGAAGGAAGAAGTGTGCCGGCCGGCGTCCGTTTGGCCGCCCGACACCTAGTTAGAGGCAAACTTACTGTTGTCGTTCGTCATGCCTCATGTCATGTCTTGTCTTGTCTTGTCTTGTCTGCTCGATTAAACTCAGAGACAAGTGCACGGGCGAACCAACGACCGATACATCCGCGCTCCTGCCCGGCCGCGAGCTGCTCCTGCTTGGGCTGCTTGCTGCTTGCTTGCCGGGCTAGTAGACAGGCAGGCATGATGCGAATAACCTACATCGGTCTCATTTGCACGGCCAGCCTATCGTGCGTCTCCATGCACGGCCGCTCTGGGGGGGAGGAGGGTCGGTCGCCACAGGCAGGTCCCCCTCTCAGCCGTTCGGGAGTTGTGCAGTGCTCGTGTCCAGAGTTCCTCCATCCTCCCTCCGGCTGCGACTACCGACGCAGTCGCAGTCAGGACCAGCCAGCATGGGGAGTTCAGTTCTGAATCTCCAGGTAGAGATGGGGGGGGGGGGGGGGGTGGTTTGGGGGCTGGGCTGGGATGGGCGAACCCGACGATCGGAATCGTTACATACTCGTACCTGAATCCTGAATCCTGATTGCGAAACTCCACCACTCCTGTGGAGTGGCCGCGAGATGTGCGTTCCGGTTCCAGTCCAGCGAGCCCCCCTCCCCTCCCCCTTCCTCCCCTTCCTCCCCTTCCTCCCCCTTCCTTCCCCCGACCTGCCTCCCCCATGTCCTATCAGGTATCTGCCTCAGTGCTCAGGTACTAGCATCGCATCGGCGGTGACAGCAGCAGTCTGCGTGTGCATCGATGGATCATGGCCTGCCCGATGCCGTCGATGTCGATGGGTGGGTGGGTGGGCGGATTCCCAAGTTCCCAAGTTCCCAACGGAATTGCTTGGACCTGGTCTACTGGATGGGTGGATGGATGGATGGATGGGCAGCTTTTTCACGGAGTCTCGGAAGAGTGCTCAGTGGACTCAGGCACAGCAGGGGCAGGAACAGGAGGAGAGGGAGGAAGTGTGGATTCTCCGAGATTCCCCGTCAGCACGTCCTCGAGTGCTCGACTTCATCTCATCTCCTGCACGATATCCAACCCCCTCTTCATGCTGCTGATGCAGTCAAGCGAAGATCCTGAGGCCGTCATCATCGTGGAAGGGATACACACCCATACACACACACACACACCTATACAGTCAGTTGCATATACAGGTACATATGCACTCACGCAGGCTCGAGAGGGAGGGAATACGATGAGTGGGTTATGGGTGGGTTACGTTGTCCGTCGTCATCAGAAGAAGAAGAAATTCTCATCTCGTCCAGCCCCCCGTTCCCCTCCCCCCTCCCCCCTTCCCCCCGCCCTTCCCCTCTGGTATTCCTCCGTGTTCCTCCTGGCCCAACGGTTTTGCTAGGCAGGGGAGGGGGAGCCGCCAGGATATCGACAAACGACACCAGTTAGTGACCAAGGACCAAGGAAGAAGGGGTGGAGAGGTGGAGGGGTGGAGGAGAAGAAGAAGCAACGAGTGCTAGACAATGGCTAGTGTACTGTGTGGCCGGCCTGCCAGCGATTCCGTTTGCAAGTTTGCAAGTTCGCAAGCTGGCTGGCTGGCCGGAGTCCGGACATCGTGACGATTTGACCAACCAACCAACCATCCACAAGAACCGTATACCAAGTATCTTCTATGTACATGTCATGATGTCTCGAGCCTTGGATTGGTTCCGAACGCCGATTGCTGCGTTTCATTTCGTCCGCACCATGTTCGGTCTCTTCTTGTTTAGTTAAAGTCGAAGTCTGAGAGTCTCGGTAGTTGCTCCATGGGATGTGATGTGACGAAGCATAAAAAGAAAAGAACCTTCATCGCTTCGGTCGTGTTCCTGCTGCATGCTAGGTGCTCCGTGAGGGATCGTGAGGGGTAGCAAATCGTCATAGGTATTAGGTACTATAATATGGTGCAGTATAACGGTGCTGAATCGTATTCACGTCAGGAATACTTGGTCGAGTGCACCAGCAAGTATGCACCTACTCAGTAGGTAGTACTAGATGCAGTTCCGTTCATAGAACACCTCTACATCACAGCCTCGTTGGCATATTACCTATTTCCAACTTCATTCACTATCTGGTACACCGGACACGTTTGAAATCGTCTACTAGGTAGTAGTCCAGCACTGACAGGCTGTCAGTGACAGCGCTACATACATACATGCTACCTATACATAGAAGTGTGGACGAGGATTCCACGACGACAAGTCTCTTGCTACCTATGTTTAGATATCTTCTTCTTCTGTTTCATCCAGCTACCTAGGTAGGTAGGTGGGTAATCGAGAGACGATCACTTCGACCTCAAACGAACGAACAAGAACCTCCTGCCAGCAGGTTGCCAGCAGGCTGCCAGCGGAAGCCACCAAATCTAGCACCAGCACACCCGCAAGAATTGCCAGGTGGCCCGGTGAACCCGTTTCAGCGATGTAAGATACCTATGGATGCAGAACCGCCGCGGGCCGGACGGTCGGTCGGTCGGACGGTCGATTAAGGCCCCGAATCCGACGGAGCCAGGTCCTAAGGATGTAACACTCGAATCACAGGGACCGCAGCCCCTGTGTACATAATAGTAGTGTTTTACCTAGGTATTTCCATCTTCGGCGGAAGCCATGTAAGTAGTTCTGACAAACGACGTTGTCTCACCGGTAGTAGGTAGTATCTCCGATTCCCGAAGAAACTCCCCAACCTTGGAGCGAGTGGTGGCGGCAGCACCGGCGCTGCGTACTTAACTAGTACCTTGAACATTCCAAAGACTTTGAAGGTTGGTTGCGGATACACCTTGGCGGACGGTGGACATGGGCTACGCGGGCACAGTGACATCAAGCTCTCTTCAAACCGTACATACAGCTGGCAGCGATGAAGAGCTTACTGCCAATAGGAATGCTATGGCTACTGCCAAAGACAAGACTAAGCTGGGGTTCCGTAAAGGGCTCATATTATCAAATAAATGCCTTCCTCAAAGTTCGAAGTTCGAAGTCTCCCGATACAACTACTAGTCTACTACCTTTTGGTGAGAGCGGAAGAGCGGAAGCCTATGGCCTGGCTGTAACTTGTAGCTTGTAACCCGCAGTGAGTAAAACCTCCCCGGAGTCTGAACATGTTATGGCTGGCTGGATATTTCACTGTTTTCTCAGTGGAATATCCGAATATGAGGGTGCCATAGGTAATGGATCCTACTTGAATCAGGCTTGAACCAGAATCTGCCGGAATTATTGGTGGTTCTACTGGCTGGCAAGCGAACTTTCGGACATGGCTGAACAGCCTTGGAAATTTCCGTATTCTCTCTGGTTGGGTATGTAGAATTGTATGCATCGTCAAAACTAGGCAAATCACCCTGGTCACTCGGTATTCGGTATGTGTTACCAAGGGATGTGACCCCGGCCTCCCATGCCTTACATCGCTCGAACAAGCGATGGCGTGCTTCTCAAGCCCGGATTCTGAGCATCATTCAGCAGCCACAGGCGTTTGTACTCTGGGTAGACTACACACTTCTCTGGACGATAATTATCGACGGACCAACAAACGTGCAACTATACCGGTACTATCAACCATCGTTTGGCTGAAGGTACCTATCGATTGAAACCCCCCACCCCCCGCAGAGCGTCAAACGGGGCTAATTACTATATCTACTGCACCTCCTACTGAGTAATACATTACTCTACTAGCAACTAAGGAGTACTCTACTTCAGCTGCCATGGCTCTTCCGCAAGTTGCAACCAACACCTTGATATGCAGCGCAACCAATCACACTGCAAACCGTGAATATTTCCTCCAGGCGCGGTCGTCGGTCGTCGGCGGTGCATACACTCCCATCCGCTCCGCTGGGTCCAAATAAAACAGCCTGCCGCACCTACCTAGGCAGAGTAGGTACTCCACTTCTCACCACCCCGGCAGTGGGCACGCGAGCGGACTACTAGTACCCGGGGGCCGGTAGGTACATGCGTCCAGCTGTTGCGGGTGCTTATACATTCATTCGTCTAGGTTCTTTGTGGGTATTGTTGATGGCGGTGGTTGAATCGTTAACTATAGTAGAGTACATAGAGGGTGCACGGTGCTGGTGGTGGTTGCAATCGATGGTTTTTCAGCTCTGCCCTACACACTGAACTGCGCATATATCTACGCTCCGCACCGCACTCCACAGTAACTACTCCACTCTAGAGTAACTGACAAGCGACCGGCCTACGGTACTCTATGTATTAGTTAGTCCGCCTGCTAACTCATCGATGTCAACTACAGAACTATGTACAGCTGCAGAAGACTCAAGAGCGTTCGACCGCAACTACCACTGCATCACCACCATGGCCCATTGAACCTGAAGATATGCAGGTACCTACTCCACCGTGCCGATCGGCGACCGGCGACCCAGCTCTCAGCGTATGCAGGCACCGCATCATGCCTTCCCCAATCTCTCCTCTCTCAATCTCTTCCGAGATCCGAGGCGACGAAGCTGCGATGCACCCGTCTGCGGGCAGCACTTACGTCGCGATCGTCAATGGCTAGCTGTCTGGCTGGCTGGCTGCTGGAACAGTTCCTCGGATCAGCTCGAGCTCGAGCAGTGTTCTGTACGCCGTAGAGTACGCCGTACGCCGTACTCTACGGTATCTTCCGGCAATCCCTCCCTCCTGGATTAAACGAAGCCTTGAAAGAACGAGAAGAAAAAAGAGCTGACGATTTCTACCTAGGTAAGTGCTCAGCATATACTATCGATTCGGATGTCGCCACCTGTACGGGACGGCATGATGTAACGTTACTCTACTCTAGATACAGGCCTATGACGATGATAACTATATGCAGTACGATATACCTACGATATACGATACACAATACTATATCTTGGTGCAGTGTGCAGTGTGCAGGCAGCCGTTGCGGCTCGGGGCGCACGACGAATACTTACTTCTTACATCCTACATTATACATGCCTAGGACCTAGGCATGAAACCAGCGGAGAGACATGCCTCGGCACTGACCGCAGGCCATTGACTGCTGGCCGCTGAAGACCTCGTGGGAGCGCGTCAACGGAGTTTCACGGAGGCCGCTGATAATTATCGTTGCGGGGGTTTTTTTAGAAGCGGCTGTGCGTGTGCGGTCGCGCGGTCGGCGGTCGGAACGGGAATGTCTTCGCCGCCGCGCGCCCCCACGGGCCATCGGCGAGACAGCGGGTATGTCTCATCGCCTCTACATCTTGGCTACGCCTTTGGAGGAGGGGGGCTTTTGTTTTGTTTAATCATCGATTGCTTGCGACCTAGGTATGTGTCTAACTGGATCATGGCGGTATATACATATACACAAGACGGTTCCACGCCATTGTTCAGCTCGATTTTCATCGAGCGGCCTTGGGGAGGAGGAGGGGGAGGAGGAGGAAGGGGAGGAGTTTGAATTCATGACGCCACGCCGTACCACTTGACTTCTTCGACGGAGACGGAGACTCGTACGACCGATGTTGGGATTGCATATCTAGAGTACCTAGAGTACCGTACAACCTGCGACGACTGAGGCATAAGTGGTTGCTTAAATGGATAAGACATAACCAAGTATTTATCTAAGCAGGTGCCTTAGGCACATACGACGACAGACGATACCACCGCGCTTAAGGATAAAAAAGTATCATATGAGGTATGTAGATACCGTGCGATTGTTATGGATCATATGATGGGCTTGATCAAGGGGCGCAATGATTCGACGTGCGTTGCGCGTCGCAACACCCTTCTCGTTTTTTTCCTTTCACGGTCTGTGTACGTACAAGATGGTGGGGGTGAGGCCTTGATACTCTGCATACCCTACTTTGGGATGGGATAGGAGAAGGCCTGGTTTCTTTGGCTCTAGCTCGTAGACTGGCTGCATATGTTCAACGTGAGAGGGACAGCCTGAACCTCTTCTTCTGGGCGGATTGACGGCCTGCGATCCGGATTTCGGAGGGGATTCTTCACGACAACGACGATGTGGTGATGGTGATGGTGTTGAAGAGGCTCTCGAGATGTGTTCGACAGATGGATCGATGTGGATAGATACCGGTAATTATCTGAGTAAGTCCTTACCTAAGTAATCGATAGCTGATGTTCTATCGTTTGCCGACTGGTGGTGCCTGCGCCCCTTCCCTCGCCCGGGCCCACGTTTATCTGGCCAACCGCAGACGCGCAACAAGCAAGCAAGCAAGCAAGCAGGCAAGCAAGCACTCTCCTGCCTGTCAACCGGAAACTCCAGGTTCGTGGCCAAACTCCCCTGACCTGAGCCCTGGCTGCAGGCATCCCTGCATTCCAACGATTTCTCCAAATTCAGGGGTCCAACCGGTAACTGCTTCGCTGCTCTTGCTGCTGCTGCGTCTCAGCTCAGGAATAGTTAATTCTTCTTGGCTCGCACGGAGGCGACGCCGCATACCTGCCCGCCGCCGTGCGTCGTCCTCCTGCCTGCGGACCTGCTTTGCCTCCTGCCTCGTGGGAGAAAAAAAATACAGACTGGCGTTTACTTTATAGTCCAACCCCTTCTTCAGCCTGTGTCCTTCCCTTCGATCGGATTCCCCTTCTCCTTCCCGCTGCTGCTCCCAGTGTTTCCTCCCCCAGACAGACACTCACTCACTTGCCGATTTTTCCGCATCTTTAAATCTTCGTCTCCCTAGGTTCATAGCTGTCGCGATCGAGATCCGTCCAGCCCGTTCAGTTCAGCCCGTTCAGCCCGTCCCCCATCATCTCATCTCCCCACATCCATTACATACTCGCCAGCGGACCCCAGATAATGCCAACTCGTTAGTTAGCCGTTGTTCCCCCCCTTATTTCTAAAATAAGGCCCCGCTGCCCGTGCTGCCAGCTGCCCATCGCTCGTTTCCGATTCCGAACTTCACGAACTTCCCCCACTTCAAGATCCATCTCGCAAGGAAAAAGAAAAGAGAACAGAATAAAACAAACGACCCAGCCCGACGACTACGCAAGTAGATATCAACCGCTACAAACTACCGCACAAGCTGCCTACACAACTCGATTCCTCGACTGGAAGCTCAACATGGGGAAGCTAGCGGACAGAACGTTCACCAGACGGCAGGTCGAAGGCCTCATCGCGGACGGGAAGGGCATCATCGTATATGATTCGAACGTGCTCTCGGTCAATGCGTGGATGAAATTCCACCCCGGAGGAGACAAGGCGATCCGGCACATGATCGGACGAGATGCAACGGACGAGATCAACGTGTATGTGTCTCGGATGCCATTGTGGTCGGGTTTTAAGGTTTTCTTGGCTGATTTGATTCGTTCGTGTCAGACTCCACTCGGAAGAAGCGAGACGGCGGATGAAATCATTCATCATCGGCAAGATCGAGGGTCAATGGCGGAACTTTCTGCCGCCCATCCAGGGTGGAGAGTTCAGAGCGTACAACGGCGAAGAGGACGACGAGAAACCGACCCCGACTATCGAGATTCCCGAGTTATGCGAAACCCAGTCCAGCTCCGGATCGTCGTCCCCGACATCGTCGGCCGACGAAAACATCGTATTGGATCCTAGCCTCCGGCGTAGACGTGCCGGCTCGTTGTCGTCGTCCGTAACATCGATCTCAGAAACGCCGGGCCCAGTCGGTGGCCCGGGCACATTCGACGCCGATTATCTCACCCGCAAGGCCATCGAGGAAGACATCGCAAAATATCCTTCGCTGGATTACAACACGCAGAAAGAGATTGCGATCAAGTACCGCGCGCTCGAAGCCCAAATCCGCGCCGAAGGTCTCTTCAATTGCAATTACTGGGCGTATGCACGCGAGGTCACCCGGTATACCGCTTTGTTCGTCGGAGCGATGATCTGCCTGAAATACGGCTGGTACAAAACTTCGGCGTTCCTCGTGGGATGTTTCTGGCATCAACTCGTCTTCGCCGCGCACGATGCCGGCCATATGGGCATCACCCACAACTTCCAGGTCGACACCTGCATGGGAATCGTCATTGCCAACTTCCTCGGAGGTCTCTCTTTGGGCTGGTGGAAGAGGAGTCACAATGTATGCAAGCCGATTCCGATTCCGACGCGTTGACTGTTGGGCTAACAGCTGGGATTAGGTCCACCATATCGTCACCAATGACCCCGAGCATGACCCGGATATCGAGCATCTCCCGTTCTTCGCCATCTCCCACAGATTCTTCGGCAGCGTATTCTCGACCTACTACGAGCGTGTTCTGCCATACGACGCTTTCGCCAAGCTCTGCGTGCGGTATCAACATTACCTCTACTACCCGATCCTTCTTTTCGGCAGATTCAACCTGTACCGTCTGTCCTTGGAGTACCTGATCATGGGACTGGGACCTCGCCGGGGTGTTGCGGCCTGGCACCGGTACTTCGAGCTGAGTGGCCTCGTAGTCTTCTGGTACTGGTTCGGATACGGTGTGCTCTACCACGGTCTCGAGACCAACTGGCAGAGATTCGTGTATGTGATGATCAGCCACATGGTCACCATGCCATTGCATGTGCAGATCACCCTGTCGCACTTTGCCATGTCCACTTCGGACCTGGGCGTCAATGAGAGCTTCGCCCAGAAGATGCTGAGGACCACTATGGATGTCGATTGCTCCGAGTGGTTGGATTTCTTCCATGGCGGTCTGCAATTCCAGGTTAGTTTTGCACTCCGCCCCAAAAATGCGATTGTCATGCTAAACTGCTTCTTTCTTTATAGGCGATCCACCACCTTTACCCTCGCATTCCTCGCCATAATCTCCGCCGGACCCAGAAGCTGGTGATCGAGTTCTGTAAAGACGTTGGAATCCCCTACGCCATCTGGGATTTCTACCGTGGCAACCGGGAGATCATTGGGCGTCTCGCCGAAGTCGCGAGGCAGGCGCAGCTCCTTGCGGACTGCCAGGCGCACATGGCCAAAGCCGGAGAGTACGGTCATTTCTGAGCGGCCCTTCCTTCCACCTCTTCCTCTTCCTCTATCCTTTGGGGCTTTAGTTCTTTTTTTGGCTCTCCTTCCAAAAGAATTAGACATGCTACATAGATGCGATATATACCTCTGTCTCTCTGTAAAAGGCGTTATGAAGTTATGTTGGGCGATCCTTCTTTTTTTTTGGTGGTTTAGAGGCCCTTTATACGACAGTTTCTTGAACCTATGGCCGTTTTTTTTTGCCTATTTTTTTCTCTGCTTCCATGTTATATAGCGCTTTTCGCGGGTACATACACTTGCTTTTTAATTTTAATGCAATTCTTTCTGTGCTGTCGTCACGGCAATCCATGATCGGTCAGAACCTTGATATGTATGTGCAATACCTAGACTGGCTGCGACGTTGCCGTAACTACTCAACGCGCCGAGCCAGAACATGTGACCTGCAGGCCACCAGCTACGAACGTAAACAAAAACAACGCCAAAACCCTTGCTAGAGTACGTACAAAGTAACAACAACACCTTGCCTGCTCGCCCGCCACCCCCACCCACCCCGACCCCGACCCCGTCACGTCGCGACATTCCCATGCGACGACGCCGAGGGAACAGGAACCGACGCATATCCCAATTAGCTCCGCCGATACTACCGCGAGCAATAACGACAACGACAACGGCCGAAAACGAAAACACAGCAGCAAAGACTACAACAACACCACCACCACCACCACCACCACCACCACCACCACTACTACTAGCCAGCACACGATGGTGTACCCGGGCGCGCTCCCATCACCCGGCGGGAACAACACGACGATGGCGTACTCGTCGCGCGACGACCCGAGCAGCGCTGACCTCGGTAGCATGATCGACTCCTTCCAGTCTCCCGGTGTCGACCACGGTATCCTGTCGCGGGGGGGCAAGCGGGGGAGCGGTAGCGGCGGGAGCGGAAAGATCACGCTCGCGACGCCGCAGCGGCAGCCGTTCGGCGCGCTGACCAACCGGCGCAACGAGTTCACGCCGCTGCTGAAGAGCGTGCACCGGTCTGGCGTGAAGCGCTCGGGCGTGTTCGGCGATGGCGTGCCAGTGCCCGACTTCCTACGGCCGGGGGCGAGGCTGCCCAGTTCCCCCGCGCTCCCCGAGGATACTGCCGACTTCTCCGAGCAGACGGGCATCGAGACGGTTAATCCGAGTGCGCATGAGAGTTCGGTCGGCAGCACGCCGTTGGCGCCGAGGGGGGGTGGGGGAGGGGCGGGTGCTCCGCTGGGTGGCGATGGGCTCATGACCCTCAGGGAACAGGAGAAGGTTATCGATGATATCAAGAAGGAGAACTTTAGTCTGAAGCTCAAGGTGTTTTTTCTCAACGAGCGGCTGGATAAGCTGGGGCCGGAGCACAACGATGCGGCGTTAAAGGAGGTGGGTAGTCAGCGGGTTTTTCCCTCCCTGGCGGTGCGATTGCTTTTTTTCTGTGGGGAGTGTGTTGGGTTGACTGGGTGTGTTGGGTTGTGACAGAACGTCGAGATCAAAGTCGAGCGAGCGACCCTCAAGGCGGAGCTGAAGCGGTACAAAAAGTCGCTGTTGGATTCGGAGAAGGCGATTGCGGAGCTACGGCAGGAACTGGGACGCTCCGGGAGAGATCGGGATAGCAATTATACCAACGACCGGCGGAGCGAGGAGGAGGCCAGGCTGCGCGAGGAACTACAACGGAAGCTCGAAGCTGTCCAGACAGAACTCGATAAAGCTCTGGACGAGATCGAACAGCTGCGCGAGAATGACGAGGTGCTGCGGAAACACATCGCTGGCATGGAAACCGAAGAGGGCGAGGATGTGGCGAAACTGCAGAAAGAGCTCGAGACGCTGGAGGACGAGAAGGGCGATCTGGAAGCTGAGCTGAGGGAGAAGGAAAGAGAGGCGGATAAACACGAGGAGCAGCTTGCCGAAATTGAGGACAAGCTTAAGGAGAGGGATGACCGCATCGTGGATTTGGAAGAACACGCGGGTGAGCTCCAGGAACAAATCAACGAGCTCAAGGAGGGACGAGATCAAGAGCTCAGCGGTAAGGAGCAGCTGCTCGAACAGAAGGACGAAGCTCTACGGGCGGCTGAAAGAAGGATCAAGGAGCTCGAGCGGGTACGTTTCCCTCGCCACATGGCTACAGGTGGACACGTCGACTAATGCTGGGATAGACCGTCAGTGACCTACAACGACAGGCCGAAGACGAGAAAGATCAGATGACACGAGCAATGCAGAAGGTCGAAAGTCAAAGAGACCAGCTCAAAACGGAGAACGAAAAGCTGGAAGATGAGGTCGAAAGACTGGGCGACGACGTCCGGAACAAGAGCTTCTCGTACAAAGGTCGACTAGCGGAGGAGAACAAAGAACTCAAGACACTCAGGTCGGAACTCAAGGACGTGCGGGCCGAGCTAGAGAACCTTCAACAACAGTACGATGACTTGGACTCCCAATACCAAGACAAGATCAATGAGAACCAACGACTGCAGAAGAAGATGGAGGATATGAACGGCGACTTTGACGCGGAGGCGGATTCGATGGAGAAGCAAATTCACCAGCTCAAACTCGACAAGGAGGCTCTCGCAAAGTCCCGCGCCGAACTTGAGTCGAAAGCACAGCAGGCGCAACATGAGATCAATCGTCTCCGGCAAGAGCACGAGGCCAGTGCCATGGCGCGCAACGAATTGGAAGTCAAGGCGCGGACACTGCAAGGCGAAGTTGATTGGCTCAAGCAAGACAAGGATAGTCTCTCGAAGGCTCGCGGAGGCCTGGAGGCTGGTGTCCAAGGAATGCGAGAGGAAATCTTCAAGCTCAAGCAGGATAAGGAGACCCTCACGAGAACTCGCAACGAGATCGAGATCAATATGAAGGCCCTACAGGGGGAAGTCGACTGGATGAAGCGCGATCAGGAGAACTTTGCCCAGACCCGTGGTAGTCTCGAAGCCGGTGTACAGGGCATGCAAGAGGAAATCAACCGGCTGAAGCTGGAGAAGGGTAACGTCATGAGAGCCCGCGATGACCTCGAGGCTACAGCCAAGGCTCTGCAAGGAGAACTCGACTGGCTCAAACGCGATCACGAAAACTTCACCCAAGCCCGCGGAGGTCTCGAGGCTGGCGTGCAGGGCATGCAAGAGGAGATTACTCGGTTGAAGCATGAGAAAGATAGCATCGTCAGAGTCAAGAACGATCTGGAAGTCAAAAACAGGAGCTTGCAAGACCAGATCGACTGGCTCAAGCGTGAACAGGACACTCTGTCTCAAGCTCGCGGCGGTCTCGAGGCAAACACTCAAGGTATGCAGGTCGAACTCAACCGCCTGAAAAGGGAGAAGGAAATTCTGGAGCGCGAGAAGGAAGCCAACACCGACGCGCGCAACAAGCTGGAGGCACAACTCAAGCAAGAGAAGGAGAACATAGGACGAGTCCGGACCGATCTTGAAGTCCAGGTCAAGACCTTGCAAGATGAGGTCGACTGGCACAGGCGCGAACAGGATAATCTTGTGAAAGCTCGTGGCGGTCTTGAGGCAAACACTCAGGGTCTGCAGGCTGAGATCAACCGGCTGCAGAGGGAGAAGGACAATCTGCAGCGCGAGAAGGAGGCCAATGCCAATGCCCGCAATAACCTGGATGTGGAGCTCAAGAAGGTTCGAGGTGAACTTTTCCACGCTACCTCCGAGAAGGATCTCTTACGTGCTCGCCACGATTCCCTTGCTACCGAAAGCGCCGAGCTCCAACAACAGCTTCAACAAGTCAAAAAGAAGCTCCAAGAAAGCAACGTTGCTCTCCAGCAGGAGAGGGATGCCGCTCTGACTGCCGAGAAGACATACAGACAGCAGGCGGATGTAGAGAGGAATGCCTTCGATGATGAATTGAACGAGCTCGATGGCAAGTTGCAGGAGCAGGCACAACAGTACGAGCGCGAGTTCGACAACTGGGCCTCCGAGAAACGTCAGCTGGAGGTCAAATTGCAGAGAGCTGAGGAATCTTCCGAGGGCCTCAAGAGGACTCTGCAGTCGCTACAGCAGACGGAACATACCCTCCAAGGGAAGGAAGCCAAGCTTGCCGATGCGCTCCAGAACGAGACCGAACGGCATAAAGCGTCAGAGCAAAGCTTGGAGAGACAGATCGAGGAGCTCCAAGGCGAAATCGGGGAACGCAAGCACGCCCTCGAGGCCAAGGCCGCTGAGCTCAGTGCTGCCATGGAGGAAGTCCGACAATCGAAAAAGTCCGAGAGGACGCTCCAGGACCAGATCCAGGCGCTAAGTGACGAAGTCGATCTCTTGACAGCGCAAAACGACGAGCTTCAAGAGAGCGCGAGTGAGCAAATCGAGGCCGCACAGGCTGAGGTTGACGCCGTGCGGAAGAAGCTCAATGCTGCGCGTCTCGAAGTCACCCGTCTCGAAAACCAACGTGCCGTCGCTCAAGCCGACATCCAGACATTCCAGGGAGACCTCGAGGCTGATTCGAAAACCCAGAAGCAACTGCAACAAGACTTCCAGGAAGCCACCCGCCGTTTGGAAACTGCCAACAAGGAGAAGCTGCAGCTCCAGGATCAACTCATGACCGTTCAATCTCAGCTTGCAGACTTGCAGACATCTGCGGTGGACGTTGAGATTGAGCGTGATGAGCTCAAGAGCAGGCTTGCCCAGAGTTCGAAGTATGGTGAAATGGCCAAGGGTTTCGACAACGAGAAGATGGAGCTACGAAAAGCCAAGAGCAAGCTCGAGATCGAGGTTCAGCATGCAAGCGAGGAGCGAGAGATTCTCGAGAGGAAGATCGATGAGCTGGAAGCCGAGCTCGAGGAGACTCTCGAGGCTGCACGCGAACAGGAAGAGAAGGCGCACACTTTGGGCCATGATCTAAAGAAGCTCTCGGACAGTCGCGAGCGGGAGCAGCAGAAAGCCCAGCAGAAGGTTGCCCGTCTCGAAGCTAGGATCGATGAGCTGGTCAAGCAGGGTTCTCACGATAGCGATGCTGAGGCGGAGATCGAATCTCTGCGTGGCCACCTCTCGGATTCTCAAAGGCGGGAGGCGGATCTTGCACGACAAGAAGCCACCGCCAAAAAGGATCTTCGCGAGTTCCGAAGCAGAATCAACAAGCTCGAGCAGGAGCTCCACGACGCACGCAGTGCCGCTAACCAGCCCCCATCGATCGTCAGCTCGCCCATCTCCGGTCGTGGTGCGGTAGAGGAAGAGCTCCGCCGACAACTCGCGTCCGCTCAAGAGAAGATCCGCGATCACCGTAGCCAGGTCAAGTCTATTGACCGGAAGCTGGCGGAGCAGAAACACTCCAACGAGGAATTGGTTCACGAGGTCAACATGCTCGAGCAAGAGCTGGGCGAAATCCGGCAGACCAACGACTCTCTGGTGCAAAAGAACCTCGATGCGACCAATACCCTCGGCGAGCTTCGCAAGAAGATCCACGGGCTGGAGCGGGACCTTGCCGAAGCCCGGTTCAACAACCAGCTCAAGGATTCCGAGAACACAGCGCAGCTGCAGATCAACGAGGAACGCCGGGATCTCCACGACCGCCTCCGGACGGCCACAGCCGAGCTGGAACAGCTTAACAGCCAGGTCAAGACCAGGGACGACGATATCCGCGGCCGCCGCCAGCGCGAGCGCGAGCTGGAAGCCCAGCTACGCGCTCTCGAGCAGGCGAAGCAAGAGGTCGACTCGCACGCGTCCGCGGAGCTGGAGCGGCTCACGCGCAAGTACCACCACGTAGTCGAGCAGACCAAGGAGCTCCAGCAAGCATGGGACGAGGAGCGCAGAGCGATCCGACAGCGCGTGCGGTTCCAGGAAAGCAACAGCGGGCTGCCGAAGTCGTTCCCGACCAAGGCCGTCGAGGAGGCGGAGCAGAGGATCCACGAGGCCGAGAAGCGCCATCAGGCCGAGATTAAGGGTCTGGCTAAACAGATCCAGTACCTCAAGGCCAAGGGCGCACGCGAAGCGTCGTTCAGGAGCGATCTCGCGTTCAGCAAGAGCTTCTTCCTCATGCAGCTGCAGCTGTACAGCACTTGGTATGTTTCCCGTCCCCATGGGCAATGCGCGGTAGTGGTACTGACACATCCCGCAGCAACGAGGCGAATATGCAGCTCGTCGAGCAGATGGGCATCTTCCCTGACCGCTATGTTCGCGAGAAACGGCCCGCCCTGCGCTCCGTCATCCACGCCGTCATCGCGACCGTTCGCATGCAGAAGTTCAAGGAGACCTGGGCCGTCAGCAAAGATATCAGGAACCAGGTGGCCCGGTCCGTGGAGCTGAAGCGGTTGGAGGCGGGGAGACGATAGGTTTTAGATGTTTTTTTGGTTGTTTTGGTTCTTTTTGGTTTGGGTTTTGTTTCTTGGGGTGTTCTTCATCTTCATCTTCTTCTGCGTTACGAGTAATGATTTGGTTTTATTACGGGTCTCTAAGTTTCGATACCTCGCCCCCACTTTGGTCTTTGTTTTTCTAGGGGTGTATTGTTCGGTCTCATTACGGGTTTGCAACTTGTTTATTTTATTGCGGGGGGCTTTGCTTGCTTGCTTGTTGGATTACTTTTGGAGGGCATTCATTCGTGGGGTTTTACATATGCATACTTGCATTCATTGTGTTGTTGGGTGTTGTTGTATCGATAGGTGTTCTATCGATCGAGATGTGATGTCTTTTCACTTAACTGGAGTATATCTTCCGTTCTGTTCAAGCTCCAACACTGTGCAAATGGCAAAATAGTAAATTCTATCTCTATTCCGGACATCTCTATCGTCGCATCACATCACAAATACATAATGAAACTCCGCAGCCCACGATTCCGCCGTCCAAGATGAACCCGCCTCCAGCCCAGATCAGATCAAGGCAGCCTCAGCCCCGTCTCCTCAGGTCTGAACCACTCCCTCGTCAAATCCCTCGCCACCTCCTGAGCGCCCTCGATGGCCGCAGCTTCAGTGTCGGCTTTGCACTCGATGTACACTGTCCTCCACATTAGCCAACCCACAATTTCCTGGGGAATGAGACAGGAGACGTACTCTTAATCTTCGGCTCGGTCCCACTTCCACGGACCGTAAACCTAACGCCGCCCTCGAGTTCGGCCGTGATCATTTCCGAGCTCTTACTGATGGGCAGTGTTGGCTTGCCATCCTCGGTAGCGGTGTCGACGCCCGTGGTGAGATCTCTCCAGCGGGTTATCTTCCTAGCCCCGACCGCCTTCGGCGCGGCAGCACGTATATCCGCAAACACCTTCCGAGTTAGCGCCGCGTCGCGCGAGACGAAGTAGCTATTCGCGGTCTTGAAGTAGCCGTACTTCCCGTAGAGCTCTTGGAGTTTTTGGTAGGGTGTCTGTCCTGCGGACGACCAGTCTCGCAGCGCAGAGATGAACACCACCGCGGCGGCGATGCCGTCTTTGTCCTGGACGAGCGGGGAGAACATGTAGCCGATGGCCTCCTCGAAGGCGTAAGCGGCGTGGTAGCCCTGCTGCTCCAGGGCCTGCGCGCGGTTGCCCAGCCACTTGAACCCCGTGAGGGTCTCTTCGAACGCGAACCCCTCGATTCGCGCCATCGACGCCAGCATCTGCGAGGAGACAGTCGAGCACAGCATACACAGCTTTGGGCGCTGCGAGGCTGGCGTGTTGGAGAACACGTACGCCGCGAAGAGGATGCCCAGCTCATTGCCCGTGAAGGTGCGCCACTCGCCGGAGGGCAGGCGCTCCGCCGCCGCAAACCGGTCTGCGTCCGGGTCGGTGGCGAGCACGATCGAGATGTTGTTTTCGGTCGCGGTCACGATCGCGAGGTCGAGTGCTCCTACCTCCTCCGGGTTCGGGAACCGCACCGTGGGGAAGTCGGCGTCTGGGGCCTGCTGCGCTTTCACAGTGACTAGGTCCTCCTCCGCCACGCCGAGGTCCCGCGCGGCGCGCTGCATCGCGGGCAGCCCAACGCCATGCATGGGCGTGTACACCACCCTCACCCGTGGCACGGGAACAGTGTGCGTGGCCAGGTCTACCAGCTTGTGGAAGTACGCGTCCTGGATGCGTTCGATTGGCTTTTCGACCAGCTCACTGGTATCCACCAAGCTTTCATCCCAGCACACGGGGGTCAGATTCCTCTCGATAGCCTTCGCGATGGCCTTATCGTGCGGCGAGACGATCTGGCACGCATTGGACCAGTAGACCTTGTAGCCGTTGTCCTGGACAGGATTGTGGCTAGCCGTGATCATGACGCCGGCGGAGGCGCCGAGCATCTTGATCCCGAACGGCACCAGCGGTGTGTGCACGAGGGATGTGTAGAAGTACACCTTGATCCCGCGCTGGATCATCGCCGCCCCTGTGAGCCGCGCGAACCGCTCGCTGTTGTGCCGGTGGTCGTAGCCAATCACAATAGACGCTCCCCCAGAGGCCACAGAGGTCGAGATGTATTCTGCTAGCCCCTGCGACGCTTGGATCACGGTGAGATCGTTCATCCGCGAGAAGCCGGCTTGCATTGCGGCGCGGAGACCTGCGCAGAAGACATATCACATCAATATCATATCGGCATCGGGAGCTGGGAGGTAGTAGGTTATACCGGCGGTGCCGAATGAGATCCCTGGAGGATGTTAGCCGTGGATCACCAAATGGCTGGGGGGAATGGCACTCACGACTCCCGAGCCGTTTCTCGAGCTCCTCGGTGTCGTTATCGGCCAACAACTTCTGAATCTCTGCTTTTGTTTTTTCATTCTGCAGACGTTCAGTTAACTATCTTCTCGCGGAGGTGGCGTGAGTAGGTAGGTGGGTGGGGTTACCTTATCGAGCTCGAGCCACTGCTCTGCGAGGGAGCGAAGGGTGTCCATCAATGATCTGTGTATGTAGCTAAAGAAGTCAAAGGCGGGATATGTACGCAGGTACGCAGCAGTGGCAGGAGAAAGGAACAACGCACGGAGTGTTCATATAGATACCTACGCCGGCAGCTGTAGAGTAGGACACCGTGGGTCGTACTCCATGCAGGGGTTTGTTTGCTCATCGGATAAATAGCTACCCCTCCTCTTAGTCGGCGATCGGGCCCGATCATGTCCGATCACTCGTGGATAACTACGTAGCGTCCCAAACTGTCCGGCGTGGTTCCGGCCGGGCGGCTATGGGCTGTAGGGCCATTTGCCACTCGCATCGAAAAAGCGCATTGAACGAGTGATGTGCCGTGACACAATAGGATTGCTCCTCCGGTAGAATAGCTCCACACATGTTAGAGGTTAAACGGGAGAACTAGGAGGCGGCGGTTGGAACCGGTTGGGCTTGGAAGGGAAATGGGAGATAAGGCTCGGTGGCAATGGGGAAAGGTGGGATGAGGGAGAATGCATAGAATTGACAGTTCAGGGTACACAGGTTCTCGTCCGGAGCTCGTATCAACGCAATACCCAGCAGCAAAACACGCAACATCAATGCCCTCTTCAAACCAGCAAACTACCTATTCGTACAGAAGTAACCATCAATGAGCACCACGAATCCATAATCAACCCCAACCCTGTACTCTATTTACAGCTCCGGCTTTTCTCTGACGATACATACGGGATGATTATCCAACCGGTCCGATGACGGGATCGCACTACCTTTCTATGTAGGTACATACCATACATGCCATCTCATGTTCTCCAACTTCAGCCAACTAGGTACCTATCTTAATCTCCTGACATACCTGTCAAGCTGCCTATGTCCTCAAAGATCCGCAAACAGCGGTATTCATCCGGCCACAAATGTACCTATGAACCTACGCTGTATGTTTTCGACCTCACGGGCTTCGCACGAAGGACGAACGGGGGACCTGGCTGCCACCGCCTAGGTACCGCGGCCGCGGCAGTGGCTACAGCTACTGGGATCTGTCCTGAACAAACCGGCGGCGCCCTGTGATGCACGGACGATCTTTCAACCGGGATAGTAATCATATTGATACAGTTAACACACACACACACACGCGAAACATAGCAAAATATAACAATCCTACATCTCTCCTCCCCCCCTCCCTCTCCCCTCCCACCCACCGCCATCAATTGCGCCGGATGAAAGTCCGTTACCGTTACCGATGTACCCCGAACCAGCTCGGCTGATGCTGATGCTGGCTCACGATGGACGGACGGACAGGGCAGCAACTCGGCTTCTACCTAACTTACATGACAGAAAACACCAGACACTCCAATAGAGAAGAAAGACAGCCATGGTACACTAGAGCCATAGAACACATACATCTGTGGCACACCCATCCCTTCGCCGACCCGACGCGACCAGGCTGGAAAAACATAACGCAAAAGAGCAATAGCAAGATTGAACTCCCGTGTATCCCCGTAACGTGAAAGAAGCACAAGAGAGTAAAAAAGTAAAAAAAAGAAGTATGAACAAAACCCCCCACTCGCCGTAGAATAACATCAAACAAAAAATACAAGCCAGAAAAGACACCCCCCCCCCCCCCACCAAACCGAGTATCATGCAAGCGCAGACTGCGAAGGAGAGAAGATCCGCCGAAGTGTGGCGTACGGAAAACGCCAAAAGGGAAGAGAAAGGATCCCGCAGCTAGCGACTGACCGACAGAAAAGTCCAGGAACTTTGACTCCACGATACCGCGTGCTATGCGCTATGGTGTGTCTCTTCTTCCCGCAACTCCTCGTGGACCGTGGGTGGTGATGACGACTTCGCCCTCCGCATAAAGCGCTCCTTGAGCGCAGTGTAGATAAACTGGAACTGCACCTCACTCTGCACCATGTACATCCGCTGCTCTCGCAACTCGTTCACGGTCTCGAAGATGAGGTCCTCGCGTTCGGTGATGGGGATGGCTCCGGCATCGATGTCGCGGATGAAATGGTCGAGCGTGATAAATGTGCCCGAGCGTCCGACGCCAGCACTGCCTATTCGTTCCGTTAACCCACCCCCGCGGAAAACCGAGATTGGGTGCACTCACAATGAACGATCAGGGGGTTATCTGGCCCGGTATTCTTCTCGTTCGCCAATTTGATCAACTCCAACAGCGCACTCTTATCCTCGCCCTCGGGGACGTTATAGTCCGGCCAGCCCTTGAAGAGCAGATGCCAGACGATCTTACTCTTATCTCCCACCTTCATGAGCAGCTTCCTTACGGTGCACAAGCTCCGAAAATCCTTCTTCTTCTCCAACAGAGTGATGGTCGCCTCGAATCCGTCGTCGAACTCGCCCTCATCCTTGATCACCCACGGCTCGGGATCCGAATCGGGAAAGTACTGGAAACATTTATCCCGTCCGAGCTCGAAGGTCTTTGTGAGCATCACGATCACCGCCACATCGGTGGTTTCCTGCCAGATCATCCGCCAAAAGTGACTTAAGTTTGCTTCCTTAGGTCCCTACGATTGCCGAGCGAGCCGAGTGTCAGCAAATCCTAAAAGTAGACGACTACGGGGGGCCACATCATCGGGCACCCGGCCATGTGCATGCAGCAGCTTTGCGCCTAGTGTGTGTGTGGAGGGTGCATGGAGTAGCCTCCAGCCTGTCCATCTGCCGCCGGCCGGCCGTTGAACGGATCGGTACGGCGGTGCAGAATCGCAAAAGCAAAAGCGCAGCACGAAGCGGGGTACATCTTCTCTTGCTCCTCCTCCCCCCGTCTCTCTGGAAAGGCGCGCGCATACCTGTGTTGCGATGTACCGTTTCTCCGACCCATCCTTGCGACTCTTAAGCACGATCGGGGAAGCATTGATGTAGTCGCAGTGTCCTTCAGGAACGTCGAGACGAACTCGATTGCTCTCCCAAGGCGAGACGTTCGAGTACCGGTTGCGCATGCGCACCTCGTGCGAATCATCGATCTTCCATCGCGTGTCCTCGGGGTTGTGCAGGCTCTGGTGTAAACGTTCGTTCTGGAGGTTCTCGACTTCGTGGAACTTGCGTCGTATCTCTGCTCCGTGTCAGCTTGCTTATCCGGTTGCATGGCCGGTTCGCCCCACCACCACCGCCGCCGCCATCCATCATGCGCCACTTTCAAGAGATGAGGGGAAAGGTAGGATCGTGTAATACCGGTGGTGGTCTGAGTCAAAAACTGGGGAATGTTCTTTTCCTGGCGGCGGGACCTCGAGCGCGAGCTACGTCCAGCACCGCCTGGAGCGACTATCGTGGAGAGACCGGGACGCCAGGCATGAGACATCGAAATGCTGTACTGACGAAGGGATCGAGAGACGGGACAGCGGAGATATCGGATGGTTACGCTGCTATTGGTAGTGGTGGTGGGGTTATTAAGCTGGAGGTGATTGTATGGCTGTATGCAGTTTTTGGACCGGAGCGGGAAAGCTAGGCGGGGGTGGAGGGGATGGGCGGGAAGGGGGGCTTTAAGGATGGACGGAGGAGAAAGAACTAAAGCAATCGATCCTAGGGCGCGCCGAGGGCGAAGAGGGCGCAAAGGACGCAGAAGGCGGGGTGTGTGTGGGGTGGAGGATGAGGAGGAGGGGAGGTCGTGTGTGTTCCAGATGCGCTCTAGGATCTTTTGGCGGCAGTTGTGCAGAGTGCTGGTAGTATGATAGTAGTAATAGATGCGATATCTAATAACGGATTCTTTGGGCGGAGAAACAGACGAAACAGGGCTGTCAAAGACAGGGAGGGCAGATTTGAAGTGTTATTTCCCCGTGATGGATGATGCGTAGCGCGTGCGCCGTACGGATCGTCGAGTGGGATCGGGGGTGAGGCTGCTTGCTTGCGCTGGCTTGATGAGATGAGATGGGGCTAGGTGGGCTTGAAACAGAACAGAACACGTTCCGGGCCCGATTCCGGCGAGTGAGTCTAACGAGTGAACAGCTCATCAGTACGGTGGATGGTGGCAACAACAGAAGTATGGGAGTGTGTGCGTGCGTGTCTGTAGGGTGATTTAGACTATATCTTACCTTTGTTTGACAAATTATTACTGCCTAGAAGTACCCAGTGCAACTCTCGTTCAGGCGGTGAGAGCTCAAGAGCAGATCACACTGCAAACAAAACACCTTGAACTAGTTAACTACCGGCCGGGCCCGTGATATGTAAGGCGGCGGTGAGTGATGGGGGCAAGGACGGTAGTTAGGGCGTGGGGGATATATCGCAATGGAAGGAGAAGGTGGAAGAAGAAGAAGAGAAGAGGAAGAAGAAGGAAGGGGAGATGGAGGAGGAGGAACAGGAACAGGAGGGTGAGGAAGAAGAAGGAGCTGACGAGGACGAAGATGATGAACAAGAATAAGAAGGGTCCGGCAGGAACCTAATATGTACGTCCGTGAAGGCCTCGATGGTAATAGAATTCGACGAGCTTAAAAGGGGGGTCTGACCTTATGGCTTATATATTTAGAACGAATTTACAGACAACGAATGACCGGTGCAGTTCTGGGCTTTCTCCAGTGTCCAAAGGACAGCTGTGCCGAAGGCTCCAGGCAGAAGGAGGAGAAGAAGAAGAAGGAGAAGGAGAAGGAGGAGGAGAAGAAGGAGAAGAAGGAGAAGAAGAAGGTTGAACGAGGTCGGTTAGTTGGTCGGCCGGCAGACAGGCAGACAGACAGTCAACGTTGTTCGCCCGTATGTACTCAAACATGGCATCCAATCCGCGCCGTTTCCACGGTAGGCTGAATTCCAGCCTGGCCGTGGTTGCGTGGAGTACATAGCACTAGTAGAATAGTCAGATTGAGCTGAGGCAAATGCTGGTTCGTCCACTCTAGAGTCTACAGTAGCGAACCAGATCCAAGATATCGATGTGTCCACTGGCCAGTCCGCCTGCGAGATGTTCGATGTTCGAATGCCATGCAAGGTTCCGCGATGGATGCCCTGCGCGTACTATACCTAGTACGATATACTCCCAACCTTGTCGACTCGCGGTGTAACGAGTGGTTTGAATTTTGAAACTCTGCAGTTTTGAAACTCTGCAGGCCGCTGACATGACGACCGGGCTTGCGGCCTGAGGGAACTCACGAAGAAGAAGAAAAACATTGTAGTAAGTAGAGTACGCACAGCTGACACGCATACAGAGTCTCGGAGCACACGCGCACGAGCACGAGCACGATCACGAGTAATTGAGCCCTTGGGCCTTAACTAAGGAGCATGGCCGGACTTGTCATCAACTCGTCACGCCTGCGAGTCACGAAGCACCGTTCCGCGCAAGTTCTCCCTAGATACTCTGGGTATACCAATATGATATCGGTACCGGCATTCCGGAGCTCCTGCGTGGACAAGCAAGGCTTCGATCAGGCTGAGCCCACACGTCGGGAGGGACCAGAGATGGATGTCCACATGTACAATATACAAGGCCCAGCCTGCTATGTATGCGTGTATGTCTGTACCTGCAGACTACTCCACCTACCTACATTACATACGTGGCTCGGAAGCAGGCTGCCGTAGTTATGCACATATCATACATATCATACATATCATAGGTACTCTAGATTTCTGCCTGCCTGCCTGCCTGCTGGGCACAGGGCTGACGAGCCGTCTCGTGAGTCGTGTCCCCGTGCGGTGTGGGGCATTCCCGGCACGAGCACTCGAAGTTGTCCAGGGCGGCCGCCGGCAGCACATGGTTCCGGACCCCCGGACGGCGAGATGTTGATGTACTCTACTAGGTACCGTGGTAGAGCATAACACGAAACAGGCAAGGTTACGGTACTAACTACCGCACATATGCTCGTTAAGCTCGATCATTTCCCGGTGGAGTCCACATAAATAGGCAGGGCTAAAGGCACAGAAGAACCCTTCTCCGCCTACGAGATGCATGCCATACTACGTGTCTTCGGACATGGTTCCAATACTCACGGAAGAAGTACATGGCATAGCATAGTTAACTCATCAAAGCACATTAGAGGTATGTAAATACAACAACAAACTCCTGTAGACCTAGGGAAGGGCTAAGTAGGCTTGGTGGTGTATGTTAGGCTTGCTGCTGAAGTGTCCAGCCCATCCCATCCCATCTCACGGAAGGTTCACTGGCCTAGCCCGTGATGTGTACGTCTTTCCCCCACAGCAAGTATCACACAACATCACTCATCAACCTCCATGGCAGACACTGCAGACACTGCACTGATTGCAACACCCACCACCACCACCACTTCCATCCCCGTACCCGTTCCCCTATTCACACAGCGCCAAGCACACCCCAAGCACGCCCCAGACATCCCAAAAAAGGTAGGTATAATAGTCATGGAAGGAAGCAATAAGAAAGAAAAAAATGTTCCAAACAACTCCGGATGTTGTCACAAAGAAAAGAGAAGAAAACTATCGTACAAGTCACACCCCCCCCCCGTCCCGTTGTGGAAATTACTATCCGCCGCCGCCGCCCTCGTCGCCATCGGCATTGTCGAGGCCCATCAGCTCACGCTCCAGCTCGTCTGCGAGAGAGTTGCTGTCGTCGCCATCTTCCGCCTCCGCCTCCGTCACTTCCTCCGCCGCCGCATCCGCCGTAGCCCCCTCGTTGGGAATCGACACATCGCGGAGCCCACTCCCGGCTGCTGCGCGTTCGCGGGCAATCTTCTGGCGCTTCGCGAGGCGACTGCCGGTATCGTTGGTGGTTGTGGTATTCTCCATGTCCGTATCGCCGTCGCCGTCATCACCGGCGATGGGAGGTGTGGCAGTTCCAGCGCCGGTGCGTTTCCGCTTTCCGACTTCGAGCTCGGTGGTGGTGGTAGGCGTTTCCGTTTCCGAGTTGAGGCTGAGACTGTTGATACTTTCGGAATCGCTGTCGGCGAAGTCGTCGTCGTCGCCAAAGTACTCGGCGAACTCCTCGTCCACATCTTTCCACGGTACGTTACTCGTGTCGACGCCGCCGTCGGGTTGACTGCTGGTACCCTGGAATTCAGAGTCGTAATCCGAGTCGTCATCCGAGTCGTCGTCTTCGGAGGAGAGGAGCGTGGAGTCGTCGAGGCCGTTGACGGGGGTGCCAAGTGGTGGGCGGTCCTCGGGGTGCAGTTCGATGAGGTAAGGCTCTTCGGTCTCATGGCGCCAGTGAGAGATGGAGTCGTATAGCCAGCGGGGACTGACGATCTTGATGTGGGGGTAGCGGGCCGCTTGTCGTACTTTAGCGGTGCGACTCTGCACATTGGATGTTAGCTATTGGTTGGTTCCTTGTAATGGGGGGGAGATGTACTCTCGCCGCTATGACATGCGTGGTTTTAGACGAAACCGTCTCCACGACGACTGCACCAAAGCTCTTCGCCCAGATGGCTATGTCGGAGCTGCAGGAGAGTTAGCATCTATAATCCACAACGGTTATTGGTGGTGCTCGTGCTTACTAGTGAACATCGGCTCCCAGCGGAATCACGCCGGAGAACACCAACACCACACCGCTCAACGTCTGCTTCTTCATCACCGGCATGATCGCTGCCACATCCGGAACAGCGCTAATATCCAGGTCATCGTCGTCAGTGCCGCCCCGTTTCCTGGGGTGCCTCTTGACGTCTTTCAATTGCGACACGCGGTCCTTGCGGGCACCCTTGTTCTTCTCGTACTCCTGATAGAACCGGTCATGTACAGCTGAGAGGTGTATCTTTAACGCATTCAATTCCCAATCGTCGTCTCGAAGGACACTGTGCTTGTGCGCGCCACCGTCGCTGGCGACGTCTTTGTGGGTAGTGTTGCCGTTCTCCGACGCTGCTGCCATCTCCGCTGCTGCCGCTTCCTCGTCGAGTTTATCCTGCAGCTCCTGCTTCTTAGCCAGGGGCCGGTTCTCTTTTTGTGCCTCAATGGCCTTGTCGAGCTCGGATGTTTGATCGGTCAGCAGCTGCCGGTCGTCGCCGCTTCCCATGGTGATGAGTTGCTCCAGCGCAGTCATAGATGCACCGGCAGTCTTCGCAGGACTGTTGGCAGTCTCGTCTCCAAGTTCCGCCTCCTTCTCCTCCTTCTGCCCAATCGCTATGCTCTCAGGTTCTATAGCAGCGTCCTCCGTAGGCACGATGGCGGTGGCGGTGGCGGCCGCAGCAATAGTAGCAGTAGTAGGAAACTCCTGCTTCTTAGGCAAAAACATGGAATTAATGTCGCCGATGCCGACGAAGAAGTCGTACGGTCGAACCTTGACCAGATTGTCATTCCACTTCCAGACATCACCGCGGTCATCAATGATGACGACCATCTTCGTGTCTACGGGGAAGAGCCGGTGCAAACTCTTCTGCGTCATACTCCCGCTCTCGTCTCTGCTCAGCACGCGCTCGCCGAACAACGTGCCACCCGGGTCCACAATCTTCTTTACCGACAGCGCATATGCACGTGTTCCCATGGTGTAGATGTGGAGCTCAAACAGCTTTGAGATGTGCTCGAGGAACTCCTTCAATCCGGGCCGCATCTTGACGTAGTACCATGTTCCTCGGCCGCCGCTGATGTCTTCGTCGAGCTTGAACGCCGCCACATCTTTGACCGAGTCGTGATTGACGCAGAAGGGATCGTCTTTCCATTCCCCAACTGTCGGGTCTACCGTGGCATGAATGATCGTCTGGTCCAGATCCACCACAAGCGACAGCTTCCGCTCCTTGATTAACCGCCGTTTCGCTTGATCTTCTAGTTTCCGAGCTTCCTGTGCAAAGAAAATAACACCCCCACGTTAGACAATTGTGCCACGACCGGAAAGAGGAGAGGGGATGGTGGTGGTATCTACATCTTCGCTCACAGTCAATCCCGCGCTGTCGTGGGCCAGCTGTATTGTAGCGCGATCACTGTTCGAGAAGTACGAATTGTAGTCCGTCCTGCACACCTATCGTCAGTACTCTTAGTCTCGCTACCAACGGATGTGCGCGGGTCAGACTCACAAGGTCATATCTTCACCACACTCCGTGCAAAGTCCGGCGAACTGAATCTCATGTGTACACGGCTCATCGATCTCGACAATCGGCGTACTATCACCACCACCGTGTCAGTACTCGCCCACCCTCTCCATCCTTCCCCGGTTTCGTAACAAACCTGCTGTTCTCAACCACAGAGCCAACGCCGACCATCCACCGCGCGAGTTTTCCGCCCACGGGCGCGTCAAACTGCGACGACAGTGTCTTCTCCACCTGCACCTCGACGCCGTACTCCGGGTACTCCGTGACCATCGTCTTGTAGGTGTATACAAGCAGCGGCTCGAGCCGCGCCACATTGCTGTTCGGCTGCTTCAGGAACTCGGTGACCGTGATCGGAAACCGGACGGAGGAGGGGAGCTTGATGATCATGATGCTGTGTTGTGCTGTGTTGTAGTGTTGTAGTGTACGTTGGTTAGGTTGCCGGCTGCCTTCCTGCTCCTGCTCCTGCTTCCCCGAGAAGACGACTGCCCGACGACGACGACGCCTCTCTACTCTACTCTATGGCGGGAGCTTCTAGTTTAGTTGGTCGTGCGGTGTTTCCGTTGCGGTCGCTGGCTGGCTGGATTCGTCGTTCTCGCTCGGTTGTAGTTGTCCGTAGTGTGTAGTATGCAGTGACAGTGTTTGTTTTTCTGATGACGTCGGATAACTAGACAGCGCTCCCTTCCCTATCCTTTCCTTCTCTGTTGCCTGCGACGACCACGACGCTACCCTTTGAATGTGGGGCCCCGTCTCGTTCTTTGTTAAGCGCAAGGTAAAGTATGTAGGCAGCCGACGAAGGGGTGACGCGACGGCGTAGGCGGTGGGGCGGTAGGTGGTGGTGCTATTGAATTTCGTGAGGGAGGGAGCGAGCGATCGAGAGTGGGCCGATGACACGGAGTGGGTGGGAAGGCGGTATTCCAGATCCGTTGAGGCTGGTGTTGCGAAGAAGAGGAAGAAGGAATTGAATGAACGATCGAGCAAATCGAAGTCGAAATCCTTGTACCACGGGGCGGAATGGAGTTTAAGTACCAGGTAAGTAAAGTATGATGTACGCAACTTAAGTTACTTGGGAGAGTGTGGACCGCAGACCCAGACCGTACATATGCTCGAACTCGAATGCTAAGGCGAACGCGCTAGCGTTCTTATTGAGGTTTATGTATCTTTTTTTGCTGGTTACCAACTTACCATGTCAAAGCAGTCGATCTACATACCAGCTGCTATATGTCATATAGATACTCTAGGTTTCTACGCCGCCATCAGCCCACCAGTAACTATCAGAGTCATTTCCTGAGGATAGACTCGAGACAGCTGGAGGCCATTCACATTATCATCGGCTTCCCGCCTCACTGCCCATCATTCGCGCCAAGAAGTCGATAAGATCTGGCTTCAGAAGTTACCAGGTGCGCTAAAAACCACGTCTTGGCACTGGGGAGTTTCCCAATATTAACCCCAGAGTGCTATCATTCTATGGGAGCTCTCCCTGGAGATATTACCTGTTTATTGGATGGTTTATGCACAGGTAGCTCTGCCCGCGATGCTCGCAGTGCATTAGCTCATTCTATATCTTGACATCTGGCAAATCCTGAAAGTCGTCTAGTAGTGCCTTAGCATTCGGCCAAAATGGGAATCACAGCCAGCTGGTTCTATGCAAACCAACCATCGATCTCGCGGTAACAAGTATGAAGTATTTAGAGACCACCACGAATCTACGACACCATAGATTTCGCGGATTTATAAAGTGATATGGTGCCTGCAGTCTATAAAGTCACAGTGGTTTTTAGCTTTGCACCCGGATAACTTACATGGCAACAGCCGACCCCCCCAAAGAACAAAAAGATCATCTGACAACTCTCAAACATGCAACTTCACCACCCGGCGATGACTGGTATACACCAGTTCCTTTCCACTACGAGAATCAATCACTGCCGGTGGTTGGCTATGCATATCCTGGGACAGGCTATCTGGTGGTGGAGTCTGGATGGCGGCCCGTATTTCGGATAGTAGTTGAACAGCCGAGTTCCGGGTCCGAAAATCTCTCCGAGCTTTTCTTCAACCGAGTACATGTGACCACTACACTTACTTTAGAGTGAAAATCAGTTGCTATCACGTGGGGGTTTAGTATACATGATGATGATTTCCATACAAAACCCGATGTTTCATCTTGCAAAAGATATTCACACCAGCATCGGACCGGGAATCTACTGATGGGGGAGGTACATAACCTGTACCTTTTCCACTTTCCGTCACTCATAGCTGCTGCCGGCTGCTAGCTGCCTTGAAAAAATAACCGCAAAAAGAGGGCCCTTCAAAATTGCAGGCACCATACCAGCGCACAACCAAATTTCAAAGCTACGGGGTTTGATACTTCTGCGAGTGATCTTTAGTGAAATCTCGCTACTTACCTCGTACTTGAGTAAGAAGTAGGCTTCGTGGCATATTCACGTTCTGTTTATGTAAAAGCCAGTGCAACGGCCTGTCTCAGTCTCAACACAGCCGCCAAAGAGAACAAGACCTCGAAAACCGAACAAAACACCGATTTCTGGGACCAGAATTGGGCTCCATTAGTTATATAGAGTAATGGCAGTTAATGTCTAAAGAATTCGATAGAAGAGAAGAAAGAAAAGGGGGCAAGAAACGCCATTCAAAAAGCGCAGAAAGCAAGCGTGCGGTCAGTTCCGTTTGTCAAAAAGCCCCCAAAGCCCCCTCCCCCCAAAGCCATTACAATTCCATCACAACTTATCCGCAAAAGAAAATAAAAAAATGATCATGTGTATCGTTGAAAAACTCACATCCATATAGCATAGCATAGCATACAGCCTCTCACCAATCACGGTATGTAGCCGGCCTCTAAAAACTCCCAACACAAACACAAACACAACACAAATCTTCTTGCCGAAAGAAAGAAAGACACGAAATATCAAAGGAAAAAAAAATCAATTCACTCGCTGTGGGGATTCAACATTACGATCATAAGGAAAACAGGAAAGAAAATCCAAGGCGGCAGTGGTAGTGTAAGTTGCGGCCCTGGTCGTCGTAACCATAGACTATTCTTCGGAAGAACACTACTTCCCAGTCACCTTCTTCAGATGTTCTGCGTCACTCTCGTCACCCACGAAAGTCCACGACTCCTCGGATTCCTCCGTCACTTCGCCAACGTGCGGCGTCTTGATCAAAGTGCGTGCGTATTCGAGGTCGCGATAGATAGCTTGCACCGCGGTTTCGACACCGTTCTCCTATATTCATTGTTAGCATCCGCCACGCTCGACATGTCCGGACGGATTGAATGAACGCTTACGCTTCTGATCTGCTCGCCCAACACCTCCGCTTTCACAATCATCTTCTCATTATGCGTAGCCTCCAAAAGTGCTTTCGTAAAGACACTGGTGTTCATCTTCTTGATGCACACGCCCACGCCGAGGTCTTCCACGCGATTGCCAAAGAAGAACTGGTCACCAAAGAATGGCTTGATGATTGTCGGAATGCCAGCTCTGAGACTTGCGCCTGTCGTTCCCGCACCGCCGTGGTGGCACGCAGCATCGATCTGCCTGAATAGCCAATCGTGTGGGCACGAGTTGATCTGGTGGATCTCGGCAGGCAATGGGACTTCCGGATTAGTGGAGCCCGCCTTGCTGAGCCTGTCGGACCAGCCCTTGGACAGAATGCATCGAACATCCGCCTTGAGCACTGAATCCACTACTGTTTTCGTGAGCGCCTCCGGATCGCCAACAGTAACTGAGCCGAATCCGACATATACAAGCTTCTTGCCATCATTCCGCGCCTTCTCGATGAATGCCAGCAATTCGCTTGGCGGCTTCCAATCCGTTGGCTGATCCAAGAACCAGTATCCTGTCACACGGATCCAGTCGCTGTAGTCTAGCGGGGGGATAACGACCGATGGGCTGAAGTTGTACAGGAAGGGAACTTTGTTGATCTGGAGCTTGTCTAGACTCGTGCGCGGGAGATTAAGCAGCCGCTTTCTCCATCTGTTGATCTGGCCGGCTGTTGACTTCCAAAACACGTTATCGATGATAACATAAGTGAAGTAATTATAGGCGCCGCCCATCTTGTGTTCCGGCACCGCGAAGGCGTGGGGATAGGCACGGGTCCTTGTCCAAGGCATGGTGAACGCGCGGAAGTATGGAATCCCGAGAGCCTCGGCGATATGGATTCCTCCCATGGCGCTAGGACTCTCAATCAGGAGATCCGATCCTTGACATGCATGCCATGAGGATTCCAGGAGACCGTCTAACCAACCTCGCATCTATCGTTATTTATCAGCTGGGAGCCTTCGTAGTTTTAACGAGGGATCAACGGCATACCCGAGATGTTGTTACTTTGAGAAACTCGACCGTGAACATGCCGTACTCCACACAGAGCTGCATGAGCTCGGCAGGATCTCCTTCAACGGGCGCAAACTGGATACCAAAGCTTTCAATCCAAGGTCCAAACTCGGAATGAGTGGCAATTCGTGTAGTGTGCCCGTCTTTCATCAATCCCAGACAAAGGGCAATAAAGGGCTGCACATCTCCACGGCTACCAATGGTCAAGCAGGTGATGGTCATTGGCTCTGTCGGCTTGAAGTTAAGGATAGATCCATAAGGATCATCAAAAACGATCGGCGGCGCCTCCACGATACAGCTGTCGTCGGTAGCTGTCGGTAGGCGAAGATCATGACCTCCGCCCTCTTCATGTCGGGCATCCTGGAGCATTTGATGTTCCTTCTTTGCGGCCTCGGCACCTTGCTTCTCTTCCCTGCTTAGGAAACCGCTCTCGGCGAGGTGCCGGATATCGTCAATGTTTTGCATCAGAGTAATATGAGCATCGTCTCTGGTATCCGCCTGACCAAACTCGAAGAAGAGTTCCTCGTGGCCTCTAATAGTGATGACGAGACCGGAATATCCAAATCTGAACCCCTTCTCCTTATCAACATTCTCGATGTCCTTGAGAGGCAAAACCATCTTGGTTTTCATGCCAGGCACCATGCTGCGGAAACAAAAGTTGCGGTTGCTGAGATAGATCTTGCCATACAATGGCAAGACTCGGTGAAGATATCCGAAGTAGACCGCTGTTAATCTCTCCGAATCCGGCAACGCAAACCTGGTCCGGAATCGCTCGCCGTGCTCCAAAGCATCCGTCTCATCGCCGTCATCATCACTACCGTCCACCTTCTCGTTCGGCATCATTCCCATAGGCTCCTTGTAGTGCCGTTTGCCGCCGGTCCACATGTCCGACACTTTTTCGAGATATCCCATCGGCTGGGCGGCAATGAGGGTGGTCATTTTCTTGGACCGCCGCTTCATCCAATCGGCCCATCCAGCAGCACGTTGCAGTGGATATACGCCGGTCTTCGCAATGTCTTGAAGCTTGGATGAGCTCGAGGCGCCACCAAGCTGAGAGTCAGAGTCATTGGGTGACATTTTGTGGCGGCTGTCTGCCGTGTGTCTTCTCGAAGGAGGATGGACCCGTATTGTCGCATCAGGCGATGTATCCCTCCTATGTGACTTCCCCTTCTTTGACTTGCCCTTGGAACTCATGGTCGGAGATTTGAAGAGATCGCTACGGCTGAGAATATTGCTGGCCGAGGGGCTGTCGTCCTCGTCGAATGACAGCCGTACATCCGAAGATTCGCCCCCGAAGGAGAAATCAGTTGGCTGCGACTCGCTCGAGAGGACCCTTCTGTGGGAAGACTGTCTCTTCGAGTCTATGCTATGCCGCTGGGGGGCATTTCCAAGCTTTAAACTCTCCCGAGTGAGATCTGTGCTGTGTCTCACCCCGTCGAAACTAGTCCGAGAATATTCGCCACTGTGCCTTGGGCTGGCTCTAGCACTCCCAGCTGGAGATATGGGGGCTAATGTTGCCCGAACAGCCTCTCTACGGACCGAAGTTGTATCGGAAGATGCGATGGACAGCATGGAGCGATCCACTAAACTGTCGGGTAGCTTCGACGCAACGGAACCTTCAACAACTTGTTGCAACACTTTCAGAGCGTCGTTGCCGAAACTAAAGAATGAAAAGAAATACTAGAGGGAGCGATCAGCCACAGCAAGAACAGCATATCACATGCCGAGAGTGCCTTACTTCATCCATTGCATACGTGTCGTCATTGTCGACAACACTCAGCTTGATTGTATCTGCAAATTCCAACACCGGACTCTCCTCGACTCCCATAACATTGGCCACCGGAATCGATATCTTGACGCTGTCGCCTTCATTGTGCGAGCGGAAGATGACCTTCTGGAGGCATTTGACCCATTCCTTTGCGCTGGGTGCGGAATCCGCCTTGAGGTAGTATTTGCGTTGATCGGTAGTGACTGTGAAGACTGTGGGATCCCGATTGTCTGCAAGAGTTGCCTGTATGCCATACCGAAGGTCGATGTGTCCGTTCGGAAAGTACAGCTCCGACGGGTCGGCAAAGTAGGATAATACATCACCCTTCAGGATGAACCAATAGCGCGTAGATTTGACCGTCGACTTGCCACGTTTCGAGAGATAGCCGGATTTCGTGGCAACGTTCTGGAATAATTCTTAGCATTTGCCAGAGGACACTATTTCAAGGAGAGAGCAAACGGTTTTCTTGGGCAAGTACGCATAGAAGCATATGTGTTGTGTCGTGATGTACATGTAGCCCTGTAGCAGTACGCTCTTCAGTAACCAACATGGGTATTCTAGATTGGACGTCAGAACAGTCTCATAACCAACCGGCCGACGCGTCTGCGTAGCCTTACCTGAAACAACCTGTTCCAATTGCGGGAGATCAAAGATCTCCTTCAACTTCTTCGCCAGCTCCGACGATTTTTCGCCCTTAAATAGGATCTCGCTACCGCTACCGAACATCTCAGCCTCGGAGAGTTGTGCCGCAGCACCAAAATCGGCAGTGTTCATCTGCGCCTGAGCTTCCAACATCTGGCTCATGAACGGTGCAGGTCCCAGTTTCGACGAGGATTCTGAAACATCGTCCTGGCCCGCCTCGACATCCGAAGCGGCTCCCCCGGATTCCTCGATGGAATGTAGTCTGCTGAACGACGGCACCCACGGTTTCCGCTCCGTAGCTTTCGCTTTCCCTTTGTCCACAACAACACCTCCGGGCGGCACATCGTCGTCGTCGGAATCCTCGTCCGAGTCCTCGTCGAACCTCGAGCTCATCCGCATGTTCGACGTGACGCCGGTAAGCAGCTGGAAAAAGCTCTGGTTCATGTTGACGGGAACGTTTTTGCCGGGCGCGCACACATCCGCTTGGTCTTCGCTCTCGGAGAAGTTTGGGCGGCTGGGGAGCAGCATGCTCTGGGTGACTGCCCCACCGGAGCTCTGTCGTTTGCGGGAAAACTTGCGGCCTATGCGGTGGATGGGTGTTCGTTCGTCGTCGGAAGGCATGGTGAGTTGATTAGGGTTCGGGGTGATGTCGAAGCTATCAGGGAAGATGTGGGATATAGAGCGGGAGGGAAGGGGGAGGAGGGATATAAGGCCGTGGGGATCTCGGCGCCTCGGGTTGCGCGTAGTCGGTGAGTGGTAGTGGACGGATGGATGGGGTGTGTTGATCGCGGGGCGTGGATGGATGTAAGGTACGGGGATGGTTACTTGATACCAGTGGCGTGTGTCCGGGGATGGGAGGGGCGGGGGGCTATCGAAGCTTGAGTTGGGGGCGGGGTCAGAGTTGAAAGCAGCAGCTTGTTGCAACGTGAAGCTTCGGTCCCAGCAATGGAATTCCCGATGAGAGGTGAATATTTCAATTTCGCACAAACGCTTTTCGTTGTATGTACAAGCAGGGAGCGCGATAGATAAGCCACTCGCTCACGTTGGATGGTGGGAAGAGCGATGGGGTACGTAGTGTGTATGGAGCTCGGTGGGGCTTTCCGTATGACTGGGCTATCACAGGGCCGCGGGTTGGCAGGCAGCTGGTCGAGGCAGGCGTTCGCTAGGCGCATACGGTGCTTACCTCCATAGGTACCGCTCCCCCGTACTCAGCAAGCTATTTGTACAGCCAGGTACCTGCTCTGCTCACTCGCCTTAATGGTGTCATATGACACTTGGCGAAGTTCTCTCGCTACCTATCCTCTACCCGGCCTTCGTTCTGAGTAGAGTGCGGTAATCGTGGAGGAATCGTTCTTCACATGGATTTCCGAAATCCTTCCTGCTGCCTGCTGCCTGCTATCTATCTACATACTTGTGCCTGCCCGCTGCATGAACTTGCTTGCTTGCTTGAGGATTTGCAGGTAGCACGCCTGTGACAGGGGTCACCTATCCGCGTCGACGATCTGTGACGAAGTACCGACGTTTCCTGTCCCTAGTTGAGGCGCTAATCGTGCTACATAGCCCACTTAGTCATCCACTTCAATGGATTCTCTCGGCGGCCGGGTGCTCTTGTTTCCGTCTCTTCACAACTGTTTCGCTATCGTTCACGATCGGTGTTTGTGTGTGCAGTCGGGCTGCGAATTTGAGGACATCTATGAACGGCGCTACGACAAGATGGACAAAGAGCTGCGTTTCCACACGGCGAGCGATAAGACGGGCAGACAGAGAGAGCTGCATTTCCACATGGCGAGCGTGAAGAAATACGAGTGATATATCATACAACATGCACATGCCAGAGCTCGAGCTGCGAAACATATGATAGCACCAAGGATGCAGAACGACGGCAGGAATCGGTAAGCATATTGATTCAGCCGTTCTACTCATATGTCCACAGCTAACCGATTCTTCGGAAACCTAGAATCGGAGATATCTTGTCGCTGTTGGGCGAATCCGAGGTCGGAGGGACTATTCTGTCATTATCGGGCCGACGCCTCGAAGCTCTCTCGAGTATCGACCCGAATACGAAGCGCTATATTCATGGGGGAGGAAACTTCAGGAAAATGTTGAGAGGTCGTATCGTGAACTCGGATTCTTCACGCTTGTATGCTGTGCGCAACAGGCAACCAACTAAGTAAGTCCTTACGAATCAGAGCCTCCGACCCGTCAGACTCCGGAATAATTTGTGCGCCGGATGCATCATCATGCATATCACTTTTGCTTCTTCCGCATCGACCGACCAGCCGTTGCAAACATCAATGCCGTATCAAGGGACAGTTCTCATGGCACTGTTCGAAGTGAAGCGAGGAACTTTTGCTTCTTTCCTATCGTCCGACATCAGGCAACAATTACAGCCTTTGCCCTTTGCTTTTTCTCCATTCCAGTCCTGAGTCATACATACACGTTCTCTTCATGGCCCAAAGGGTGTCACGGACTAACAGTTCGCCGTGAACACAGGCGCCGGTCTGTCTTGGTACAAACGGCTGGCTGGCTGCGCGGGCTGTGACTTGAAAGCCATCGTTCCACCAGGCTAACTATGGTCCTGCCCGACGTCAGATGTGCAAGAAGTTCTCAGCTAGAGCTCTTGGGAGCTGTATATTCATTCACCTTGGAAAAAAAGGTCGCAACTAGGTCGAAATGCCATCCCTTCAAAAGGAACGCTCTTTCCTCTGAGTAAAGTACTTGCATACATCTCCATCTCAGACCCTCACCGGCAGTCAATCAATTTTCAGGAACACACACAAATAAACTCACGCCATCCCCACCCGCAGCAACAATGAAAGTCGCGGTTTTCGGCACGAAGAAGGTTCGCATCCATACCCCTCCACCCCTCCACCCCCCCGCCCCACCACCCCGCATGATGTAGTTAGTTAGCGGTGCATCCAATCCACATCGAAGCAAACTGACAACCTACATACATACAGTACGACAGCGACAGCTTCGACGGCATCGATCCCAAATCCCACGGGATCGAGTTTAAGTACCTCGACGTCAAGCTCGACGTCAACACCTCGCTTCTCTCCGCCGGCTACGATGCCGTGTGCATCTTCGTCAACGATGTGTGCGACAAGGAGGTTCTGTCGCAGCTGAAAGAGCACGGAGTCGTACGTTTCCCTGCCTCGCGCTGTCTTTTGGGGGAGGGAATCGGGCTGACTGGCCTACCTATGTAGAAATTCATCGCGCTGCGTTGCGCAGGCTACAACAACGTTGACCTTTCTGCCGCGCAGGAGCTAGGCCTAAAAGTGGTGCACGTCCCCGCGTATTCTCCCGAATCCGTCGCCGAATTCGCCGTCGGAATGATCATGACGGTTGTGCGCAAGTACCACAAGGCGTACCTGCGGGTGCGCGAGGGGAACTTCCTACTCGACGGGCTGCTGGGGTTCAATCTCAAAGACAAGACTGTCGGCATCGTTGGCACGGGCAGGATTGGGCTGCTCACCGGTCGCATCCTCGCGAAGGGCTTTGGCTGCAACGTTATCGCTTACGATACTTACCCGAATCCTGAGGCGGGGGACTACGGCATCTCGTATGTCGACACCCTGGAGGATCTCCTGGTACGCGCGGATATCATCAGTCTGCATTGTCCGCTCACGGAGGGGACGAGGTATATGCTCAACGATAAGACGCTGTCGAAGACGAAGAAGGGCGCTATCTTGATCAATACTTCGAGGGGTGCGCTGATCGATACACATGCGCTCATTCGGTAAGTCTCCTCTTCCTCCGTATCTTTTAACCGTACTAACGCGGAATATAGCGCGTTGAAGACTGGTCACCTCGGTGCTGTTGGCCTGGATGTGTACGAGAAGGAGGCATCCTACTTCTTTGCGGACTCGAGCTCAAAGATTATCCACGACGATAACTTTGCCCGGCTACTGTCCTTCTACAATGTTTTCGTCAGGCATGTTACCTTACCCTCTCCTCTCACTCGCTCTTTCACCCGTATTCTGACATCCCCAAAGTGGCCATCAAGCTTTCCTCACCCACGAAGCGCTGAAGGGAATCGCCGAGACTACCATCAAGAACTTGCAGGAGCTCGAGCAGGAGGAGAAGTGTGCAAACGAGGTGAAGCAGAAATAGAACTGGTCTACCTGACAGCATAGAAGGAAACTGGAGTATACTAGTAGAGGTTTTCGGTTGGAGTTAATTGTTGATTTGTTGAGATTCCTTTTGTGCTTTCTTTACTCTATTTTTTGCCTGCTTGCTTGCTCATATACCTGGATATACTATACCTAGTAGCAATTTCATACCCCGTTGTCCATAGACTGTTTTCACGAGTGAGCGGGATGAAACGTGCGAAGAGCTTAATGTGCTCCTCATCATCCCGCACTCGGGTATAGTGTAAAATACAAGCAACCGCACTCGTGGTATACCACCTTACCTCGAGCTCCCTATCATACCATCATACATCCTCTCCCTCCTCGCCTCCAGCTCCTCCAACTCAGCCTGTACTCTCTCGACCTCGAGCCTAGCTAGATCCTTCTCCGGCGGCAATCCCTGGAATCCCTTGGCCTGGGCCTCGAGATTAAGCACATGTTCCTTGAGCGCGAGCACCTCCTGCTCCTGCTCGACCAGCACAGGGACCAACAGCTCCTCCCTCGGCGCCTCCGCCGCCTCCTCCTCCAGCCGGATCCTGTAGTCCTCCGTCTTATTCCGCAGGTGTCGTGCAGTGCGTGTCCACTCCGTCACTCGCGTGCTGAGGTCCGATGGGAGTCTGTATTCGTCGCCTGTCTCGAGGTGCCGCAGCGTCTCCCGGAGAGTCTGCAGGTCCGCTTGTAGTCGCGAGTGTAGTGCGTCAATGCGCGCGGTTTGCGTGGTCACGGAGAATTCCTGCGTGGAGAGCGTGAGGAGGTGGGAGGATAGCCTGGGGGGAGGTTAGTGGCGCGGTAAACATGGGGTGCGTTGAAGCTCGGGCGGAGGGGGAGGGGGAGGGGGAAGGCTACTTCTTCGGGTCGGTGCTGTTGCCCGCGAGCGCAACGCTCAGCAGCGCTACGGAGTTTAGACACCGTCGCCCCTCCGGCGTGAGGTGCTCCTCGACGCCCACGAGTATGTGCTCGCCCTTCCCCAATCCCGCCGCTTCCACAGCCGCATCGCGCTTCTTCAGCTCGGCGAGCGCCTTCTCCTTCACCCTGCGCTCGAGGGTTTTCTCCTCGTCGGCGGACTCGTTGGCCGCGGCGAGCGCGAGCAGAGCTTTCAGCGTGTCCGGGTTGCGCTCGAATTTGGGCACCGCGGCGGGCGCGAAACGCGTCGTCAGGAATTGGTCCACGTACGCCCAGTCTTTGAGGAGCAGGCTGGCTTGCTTGGCGACCGTGGGGGAGAAGACTTTCGCGGGCGACCAGATCGAGTCGAAGTCTGTCATCGTGCGTGCGAAGGTGTGCTCGTCGAGGATTAAGGTTGCGGATGAAGCTCAGTGTGTGTGTGGGGGAAACGTGATCACGAACGAACCTTGTCGTCTAGCTATCCGGGTCCCGGGCTTTAGCCGTGGAAGGTGCACTCTATGTACGGCCCGCTAACCGCCCCCGCCACAGCGCCACATATAATAGTATCGGCGCGCCTTGCAACGTGCCACGCCACGCTAACATCAGCCCGATAGACGGTGTCGTCCGTAAGGGGAATAGTCTGTTGGAGCTGTATGGAAAGGCCACTCTGGTCCATCTCGAGAACTCAGCCATAAAACAATTACACTCCCCCGTGTCGGCTCAGCGCGAACGGTCACTCTCATTCCCTTCACTCTGACAAGTCACTCTTTTTTCCAAACAAACTTCTCCTTCCATATACCCCGCACAAGGAAACGGACGGCGTGGAAATAAACTTCCTGCTCTATCTACTCTAGCATTCAACCTTCTCGACAGATATCCACTCTGCGCATACCTCGCCACCTCATACGATTGGCTTGACGCAGGCTACGCACCCCGCCATCTTACGCCTTCCCCCACCACCACTCGCTTCAGCATGATCCTCCTCAGCGCGAAGTTCGTTCTCTCGGCGGGTCTTCTCTGCAGCGTGCTATCCCCCGTCTTGGGTGGCGAGCCCGACTACGACCTTCCGGTGAGCTCTTTGATCGCCAGCGCGGACGCACTGCTGCAATCGGGCGACAAGCAGAGCGCGCTGGACCACTTCGCCGCCGCGATCAAGAAGGACCCCACCAACTACCTGACGCTGTTCAAGCGTGGCGCGACGTACCTCTCGCTCGGCCGCTCCACCGCCGCGTCCGCAGACTTCGATGCCGTGCTGGAGATCAAGCCGGACTTTGAGGCCGCGCTCCTCCAGCGCGCGAGGCTGAAGTCGAAGGCCGGCGATTGGACGGCTGCCGCGGAGGATTATCAGAAGGCCGGCACGGCTAAGTATGCTACTGAGATCCTGGAGATCGAGGAGGCGAAGACGGCGGCTGCGGAAGCGTACGCAGCGGAGGGGAAGAAGGACTGGGATACTTGTGTGGAGAAGGCCGGTACCGCTATCATGATCGCGCAGGCTACGCCAGGCCTCAGGAGCTTGCGCGCCAGGTGTCGGATGCACAAGGGGGATGTGTTGGAAGCTGTGGGAGATCTAACGTGGGTTGACCTCTACCCTTGTTGCCGGTAGGATGCGGGTGCTGACGGTGGTGGTGGTGTAGACACTTCGCGCAGCTCAGTCCGTCTGATATCTCACCCCATTTGCAGATCGCAAACCTGCTGTATTTCACCATGCACGACTTTGACCGGTCGACTGCCCAGCTCCGCAAATGTTTACACTCCGATCCCGACTCGAAGCCGTGCAGCAAGCTGCTGCGCCGGATAAAGAACCATGGAAAGGCGGTGAACATGGCAAAGGACGTACGGGAGAAGCGGCAGTGGAATACTGCCAACAAGGTCTTGCTGGGTGTGGCCGATGAAACCGGAGTCATAGACGATATCAAGGAAGACGTTGCAGATCTCAAGAAGGAAGGCATCATCAACGAAAAATGCCCTCAGACATTGCTCGGAGATCTCCAGGAGATGGTTTGCGAAGACTTCACTGAGGTATGTTGTTGTCTTGCTGGCTTCGTTTTTTTTTGCCTACTAGTACTGACCAAACTGTAGATGGGTAAACCCGAAAAGGCGCAGCCATACTGCGAAGAAACTCTTCGAATTAACCCGCAATCCATCGTAGCAACGGTGTCCAAAGCTACACGGTTAATAAAGGAAGACAAGTTTGACGAGGCAATCCGACTTCTCGAGAAAGCGAAAGAAGAGATAGAGGGAGCTAGCAACGACCGTCGGATCCAGAAGAAGCTACAAGACGCACACACCCTCCTGCGGCGGTCCAAGACCAAGGACTACTACAAAGTCCTGGGCGTATCACGCGACGCCTCCGAGCGCGAGATCAAGAAGGCGTACCGCAAGCTCACCAAGCAATACCACCCGGACAAGTACCGCGGCACCATGACGCCCGAAGAGATCCAGACGAAGATGAGCGCCATCAACGAGGCCCACGAGGTCCTCAATAACCCTGAGCTCCGCGCCCGCTTCGATAATGGCGATGATCCTAATAGCCAGGAGGGACATAACCCGTTCGCGCAGGGTGGCAGCCCGTTCGGAGGTGGATTCGGCGGTCAGCAGCAGTTCATGTTTAGACAGCAGCATGGAGGTGGCGGAAGTCCCTTTGGTCGTGGTGGTGGCGGGTTCGAATTCAACTTTTAAAGGATATAGAGTTTACTTTTTTTCTTCTTTTTTCTTTCTTCCCGCGGTTGAGGGGTTTCTTTTTTTGCTGGATTTGCTTTGCGTTTTCGTCAATGGGTCGGTGTTCTGAGTTACATCATCTTTTTTTCTTTTCTTTCTGCTTGCGTGACTTGACTTGACCTTTTCTTCTACCGAGTACCTGCTTGTTTTATATTTTATGATAGGAGGAACTTCTCTAGACAAATCTTTACGTTTCGTCCTGTGATGGATGGTGATTATGCTAGTGCTCCCCGTACCAGTATGCATAATTCCACTCGTAATTCTTCACCACCTGTCTGGCTGTTCACACCCGTAAAACAGCGCTGTAGTACGTACGGTAGGTATTGCTCCCCCTCCAGATCCAGACTATAACGGACGGACGGGCAAACGCTAGAAATAAAAACCAAAGATAAGCATCGCTGTATAGATAACATCGCTACATCGCTACATCTCGCACAACCACTATTCATCGCCAGCCAAACAACCACACACGAACACACGAACACACGAACACACGAACACACGAACACACGAACACACGAACACACGAACACACGAACACACGAACACACGAACACACGAACACACGAACACACGAACACACGAACACACGAACACACGAACACACGAACACACGAACACACGAACACACGAACACACGAACACACGAACACACGAACACACGAACACACGAACACACGAACACACGATCAATTGAGTGTGTGTTGCACACACATACACACACACATACACACACGCACACGCAACTCGTCAGTGACCACAGCCCACTCAGGAAGCAGTGAGCAACCTAGCATACCTCGACATGATAGTGGGCTCCTGTCCTCTAGGGGTGTAGACATTCCTAGACTTGACGCCCTCGAGCATGTCCCTAGTCTTGTCCTCGCGGCACTTGACGACCGCCTCGACCCAGCTCAGCGGGAGGTCCCAGTACGCAGTCTTAAAGTCCTCGTACCGCTCCGGGAGCGCGTCCTTTTCCGTCGAGATCATTGCCAGGAACTGTTCCAGCACCGTCCACACGCTGCGGACCTCGCCCGAATCGATGAACTCCGTAAAGAAACGGTAGGCTAGCGCCACGTCGGCACGGATCTGAGAGACCGCCTCGCCGATCCGGAATTTGGCGCCTTTGTTGTACACGCCGGAGAGGTAGGTGATACAGGTCTGCTCCGAGAGCTGGTGCATGAACGCGGCAAAGAGATCTTCGTCCAAGCCGCCTTCGATGTCGGCGACGTAGCTGCGGATGGTCGTGATCATTGTTTCCATTTCGTTACCGCTGTACCAGGAGGCTGTGAAGAGAGTGTTCCGGATTGGTTTGAGGTCGTTGAAGATGATTTCGATTAGTTGGCCCATGCAGAAGGTGGCTAAGTCGACGAATCCGTTGGTTGCATCGTCGAGGGAGGCGCGCACGCGGTCTTCGTATTTCTTGGAGAGGAGGGGCGCTTTGCTGTCCGATATTTCTTGCGTGTAGGCGGCGCAGCGGAGCTGATCGTTGGCTACTGCGATCATGTACTCCAGGATACCATCTGGGAGGTCCTCCAGCTCCTCCTTGGTAACAGCACGCATGTGCTTGCTGATCTCGTCCTTGATGACCTGCTCCCACTTTGATTGGCGGTTCTTGAGGAGCCGTACGCACTCGTCGATGACGCTCGACACGACGTTGCCCTTGTTACTGTCGAGAGCTACGTTGAGCTGCTGGTTGATCATGGTGAACATGGTTGGTACACTAGGCATGTGCCACTTTCCGTCCTGTTCGGTCGGTTGATTCTCCCGCTGCACGAATTCCCGTGTGTCGTCATCCATGATGTTGTTCATCCATTCCTCCATCTTGCTGGCGATGAGCTGCGAGTACTCCCGGAGCAGATCTGCCTCCTTGTTGTCTATCACGTGAGGCACCATTTCCGCCGCCTTGATACCAAGCTTCTTCATGCCCTGAGAGTACTCGCCGTTCCAAAGGATAATGCTGAGTAAACTCTGACCGTCCAGATCGGGCCGGTCGATATGATCCTTCAGGAAGTCGTGCATTAGGTTATGGTAGGTGTCCAGTATGGTGTGGAAGATCCTCCATTTCGGCGGGAATAGCTTCGGAAAGTCATGCTTGACCAGTGACAGGTCATCAAAGTACCACTCCATCCACTGCCCGAGCATATCTGGATCGTCCTCGAAATTGTTTCTCGCATTTTCGAACTTCGCTTCGGCCGAGGCCCTGATGCAGTCCAGGAACTTCTGCTTGTATCCTCGCGCAGTCTTTGGCACTCGTGCTATCGACTTGAACTTCTGTGTCAGATGCTGGTGCGATTCTTGCGCCTCCTTCAGCGCCAGCACTTTCTCGTCTGCTCGCTCCTCCGCCTCTATGATCTTCGCCAGGCGCACTACCAAGCCCTGGTTTTCGGCCCGGACCAGGTCTACCATGCTCATCGCGATGAGACCGATCCGTTCGTTAAAAAGTTCGATGGTATTATCCAACGGCGCGAAGTAGCTCTCCAATGTTTTCCGTACGTCGTTGTCGCCGACCTTGTCACTCTGTTCCATTACATCGTCCCGAAAATCTTGCAGCTGGGTCAATGCGAAGTGGATGGGAAGGAGATTCGGCATCGGGTTCGTCAGCTCTGTAGGAAGCCGCGGTTAGTTAGCAGGAAGACGTAAGGGTGAATAAGCATTTGGTACCATCGCCATCGTCCTGTTCGAGCATACGATCCACATTGCTCAGCTGATCGTGCAGACTGGCAAGATTCGACTTGATATCTTCGACTGCTAGAAAGTTCCGATGGATTTTCGATATCTTCTCCCATCAGCCTACTCCTCCTAGGTCGGACCACTATGCTCGCCCTAGTACCTTATTGATCAGGGGGAACTCCGAGATCATATTCTCTGCCTCCGCACAGAGCTTGTCTATCTACGTTCTATTAGCATCAGCCTCAGTGAAATCCTGAGAAAGCTTGTAGTACCCGGATCATCTCCTCTTTGATGCCATTAAGCGTCTTCTGGCCATTACTGATGGCATTGATACCCGCCTACCTCTCCCTCGTCAGACAAAACATCTTACGTCTCCCTCTCCAGCTAGCAGTAGGTACCTCTGTAACCTCGAGCTGGCTTTTCAATCCCGACTTTAACTGCGTATCCACATGTGCCTTCTTGCGACTGAAATCTGAGCGAAGCGCAGCTATCTTGTCGAGGTCCTGGGGTTATGTCAGCTGCTGAGGCACGAGCTGAGAGGTAGTGACTCGAATACCTCCGGGTGCCGTAACAGCTCGGATAGCCGCACGGTGATGGCTTCGGTCTCGTCCATGGTAGGTCTTTCGGAGGTGCAGGCGAGCTCGTGTAGCCAATCGTGGGTGTCCGCTTGTGTGGTAATGAGTATTAGATGCTCTGGAGATCAACTATCGCCGATGCAAGTGGTATATGTAGACGGGCTCGTTTTGTCGCGGGTCTGCCGTATGAAGAGAGCTTCGAGGGTGCTGCGGAGCTGACAACCGCGTAGGAGGTGAGATGCGGTTCAAGTTACACACGGCCCTTCCCACAGCCCTTCCCACCACGGGTGTCTCGCCTCGTCACTAACTGCAGCGCGCTACAAAACGAAACGAACACCCCACCACCACCACCACCGCCTCCACCACCACCACATACGCGCCATGGCCGACTCAAGCAGCAAAAAGCGTCAGCACGACTCGCGCGATGACAATTCCGGCAAAAAGAACAAGGCGCGCACAACACTCCAAAAGACACTCTGCGCGACTCTGACTTTGAGGCTGGCGGTAGACAAATCACCAGTGGAAGAAGAACAATTTCCAAACGTTGACGGGAATCGAGCTGGGATGGCAGGGGATCTTTGCGACGTGTGATAAAGGACGAGAGAGTAGGGCTGTGGCGGAGATGTACTCTATACTCGAGGAGGTACGCGCATGCTCTCTCTATGCTATGCCGTGGACCTGGGACTGATTTGGCAGTGCGCTTCAAAACTCTACCCCGACATGAAGAAAGACGGCGAAGGCGCAGCGGACTCGGACGATGAGGAGGAAGACATAGAGTCAGCGATCAAGAAGGAATTGGCGGACAACAAAGACAAGAAGAAGAAAGACACGCGGTCAATTGCCTCTGTGAAGATTGACACCATGTGTGGTGCGTGCGCACCTCTCCTTGCCTTCCCACCTCCCCAAAACACTGACCGGGTGTAGTGACATTCTTTCGCCTGAAACCCCCACTTGAGGCGACCGGCATGGTCCGCGCACTCTGCGAGTCTGCGAGTAACCCCGTCGGCGGCTCGATTCGCAGCAAGTTCGTGCACCGCCTTACGCCCGTAACGCGGACGGGGAAGGCTACGCTCGAGGGGCTGAGGGAGGTTGCTGCGGAGGTGTTGAAGCCGCATTTTCACAGTGGACAGGAAGGGATTAAAGTTGGTCTGTCTGGCATGTTCGCCCGTTCAATTGCTGACACGTTTGATTAGTTCGCCATCCGTCCAACAACCAGAAACCACAGTATCCTCAAGCGCGACGAAATAATCCGCACGATTGCGTCGTGTGTAGGACCATCGCATACGGTCGACCTCAAAAATCCAGATCTTCTCATCCTCGTGGAGCTCTACAAGAATGTTTGCGGAATGAGTGTTGTCACTGATTTCGAGAAGCTGAAGCGATTCAACTTTGGGCAGCTACAAATTGATGCTAGTAGTGGCGGTGGTGAGGATGAGAAGAGGGAGGGTGAGAGTAAGAAGGTGGTGCCTACTGTTGAGGAGGTTGAGCCCAAGAACGAAGAGGTTGAGCCCAAGACTAAGGAGGTTGAGGACAAGAAGCCGGAAGAATAATCGCACATCTAGAGTTCTTGAATGGCAAGTAGTGTCTAGAGGTCTTGACCGCGAACAAGCGATGGAGGTTTAGGTAACTAAGTCTTGATGTTATCACTGGTTACATGATGTGATCTATATAGCTTACAGCCGAAAGACGGATGTATACTTATCCATACAACTTATCACTCGGCTAGATTTACTTCAGTGCACACCATGAATGTTCCACAATATCAAGATGTTGAAATTCAATCAACTTCCCCGGGTGGGTGTGAAACCACCGTAAAGCATACATACCCCCACTCTCCACGGCCAAAAGTAAGGGTACGGATTGACGACAAGTCGTCAGTCAAGCTTTATACCAGCCAACAAGTGCACAACACAGGATGTCACCGAGCACGCAGGCGTGCTACAAACATCGACAGGTTCCGACCATCAGCAAGATCACCATGTTAAGCAACGTTCTCGTACATCGCAATTCGTAACACATGTATGGTCCCATAGACAACCTGAGCCGTACACATTCGGCAATCTTGTAGAAAGAAAGAAAGCCTTTATCTTCTCCTGCCGCCCTTGGCGTCCGCCTTGGCCTCGGCTTCCTTCTTCTTCTCCTCTTGTTCTGTGAATCCGTCAGCAAGTGATCCTCGCCGCACAGGAAGCATGGTAACATACCCGCCTTCCTCTGCTTGGCCTTCTCCTCTCTGTCCTCCCTGATCTTCGCCAGACGAGCCATGTCCGCCTTCGCCTGATCGGTCTTTCCAGCCTCCTGAAGCTTCCAGTACCTCTCCTTGGCAGCAGCCGCCTCCAGCGCCTCACGCTCACGCCTGCTCAGTCCACCAGCCGCCGCGTTGGCTGGGTCATTGGGATTCGACACGGCGATGGTCTTCTTGGGCGCAGCCTTGGCAGGTTTCCGCTCCTCCTCCTCCTCTTCCTCGTCATCGTCGTCGGAAGCGGCGGGGCCAGCGAGACGCGCCTTGGCAGCTTCCTTGCGAGCCTTTGCAGCGGCTTTACGTTCGTCGCGGGTCATGGCTTCTCCTCCTCCTCCTGCGGCGGGACGGGACTCATCCTCTGACTCCTCCTCGTCCGATTCAGACTCCTCTTCTTCCGACTCGGGTTTCTCAATGGGTTCCTAAGGTTGTCAGCGGAATGCGGACTGGGGAAACGTGCGGTGCGTCATACATCGAGGGGTCGGAGGTCACGCGAAAAGTGCTTTCCTCCACCACGGGCGACCTTGCGCTTTGCACGGGGGGCACCGGGAGCCATTTTTGTGATTTGGTAAGAGTAGTAATTGCTTGTTTGAGTGTCGTAGTTCGTTGTGAGTAGACTGGTGTCTAAGGAAGTGCTCTTGGTCGCGGTGGGAGGGGATGGAGGCAAAGAGACAAGGCAGTTAAGTTTAGCGCGGGGTCGAAGGCTCCATGGAAGCACCAGTCGACATCATATTCCACTAGTGAATTCCAGGTATGGTCGGTTGTTGAGCCCTATCTTAGACTGATAATCTGTGAAATTTTAGCCGTCCGCCAAGCCTCTGGGCCTACAAAACTACGATTTCCTCGCCGAGTTTCCTCCTCTTCTTTTTTTCTCCACATAAAACTTAAACTGAAACCCTTCATATTCACTCTGTTTTCTAGACCAATGGAATCTCGGAGGGGAAAATGGAGGGGAGAGAAAGTGGCCGTGGAAGAGCCTAATCACTCTATCTTGCGGCCGTTGGATACCTCATGCTCTTCGAATCTTCAAATTCCAGAGTTCAAAGAGCAACATCCGGCGACACATCTTTTTTTCCTTCCGTGACATCTTCTGCTGGACGCTGTTCGAGCCGAAGAGGTCACTTTGTTCATTTTACTTTACTTCACTTCCTGCTCTAAAAATTCCCTCCAATCCCTTCGCATTCCCTACTTCTTCGCCAACGCCTTCTCGACAGCCTCCCGTACCATCTTCTCCAGTATTCCCCCCTTCGCACCGAGGCCCTTCTCCAGATGGGCCTTTACCTGCTTCTCAATGTACTTCCCAGCCATATCGACCTCGACATTGACACTCTCGCCCACCGCTTTACCGGGAATCACAATCTTCTCCTGCGTGTACGCGACGAGCATGATCTCAAACCACTGCTCCTCATCGTTCACCGCGACGATAGTCAAACTCGCGCCGTCGAGCGTGATATAGCCCTTCTCAACGATGTAGGTGAGCACCGCCGGGTCCTTGGGGTGGAGCCGGATCGTGAGCGCATTGCCGTCCGGCGTCTTGGAGAGGATCGCAGCGGTGGTGTCGACATGACCCTGTTGTCCCATCGATCAGCCCCCATCTCCCCCCCCTCCCCCTCCCCCTCTAAAAAAAACATAACCGGCCACGCACCTGAACAAAATGTCCACCGAAGCGAACATGGCCGGCAACGGCGCGCTCAAGGTTGACGCCCATGCCGACCTTGAGCTCGCCCAGGTTCGTGCGGCGAAGGGTCTCGGGCGCCACGCCGACCTTGAACGTGTCGGCTGTGAACTCGGTCACGGTGAGACAGGTGCCGTTGATGGAGATGCTGTCGCCTAGGTGCACGTCGTCGAGAATGCAGGCCGCATTGGAGATGGTGAGGGAGGTGCCGCCGCCGCCGGTGGAGGTTGCGTCGAGCGGGACGAGGGACGAGACAGCTATTACAGATCAATAGGTGGCGATGTTGGGGATAGGATTGAAGGCGCACTCCCGATGGTTTCCACGATTCCGGTAAACATTTTGAGTTGGAGTGTGTTGTGAAATTCAGATGGCAACAGTGATGGGTGTGTTGCTCAGGCCTCGGTGTCGGCAGTGGTGATAGTGGGTCATCCTTGTAGCTCGCCCGGGCAGATATGTCATGCTCCGTAAGTTCAACGCCATCGGACTTTACATCGCGGGCCGGAGGAAACGAGCATTCCATGGCCCATTTTGACGATATATTGTTTAGTTTCGGCCCTCAGAACATAAATTTTATCACTCAGTTACAAAACGTGAGAGCCGTAAGGCACGAGTCAGGTGTGCCATTGCTATCTACGCATAACACATATACAATTCGAAGCCGGTGTGGCGTACATCATCAAATCACACTTGTTCCGTTGAAAGAACGTCAAGCTAAGAATAGCCCTGCAATTCACACAGGTAACACACAATGGGGATAGAGGTTGGGGGAAAGGGTAAGAGGATAAGGGGAATATGAAGGGGCAGGGACAACACGGATGATGAATCTCCTTTGAAAACACGGACGAAGGACCTCCTCCAATACAGCTCTCATTCAGATCATGATTATTTTTGACTGGAAACACCGAAGTAAACGTTGTGAGAGACAAATGAAGGCGCGAGACCGAACAACCAAACCAAAAGGCGTTTACGACTTGTGGATGAGCTCCTCGTTCTCCTGCTGAGCCTTGATGAAAGCCTCCTTGAAAAGGTTGGCATCTGGTGTAGTTTGTTAGTTCATTGGACCGCTGGACGGGAAGTATCAGGTCCTTACTCTCGGCGTTCGCAAATCGGATGGCTAGCGTCTGCGCCTCGGGGGCACCCTCGCTGACGTCGGCAGAGGTGTTCCACACCCAACTCCTGTCGCTGCCAACGTTGGGAGAGAGCTTCATGTTGGGAACAACTATGTCATGCATTAGCAATCATCCGGGGAGTAGGCGTATCCGGATAACCCTTACCGTAGTGGTTCGCGCAGACCTTGAGGGTCTTGTCCCGTCTCATGACCAGCCTGGTCTTGCCGTTCTCCTTGTGCTTCAACAGCTTGACGTCACCGGTGCCGCGCTCCTTCCACTCCTTCGAATCGGAATCGAACTTGAATAGCTTCGCGCGCCTGAGGGAAAGACCAGAGCTTTGTCAGTATCGCATCCACAGCTTTTTCTTCACGGCACGGGCACGGAACGTACATCTTGAAGGTCTGTTCCTCAGACTCCTCGTGGGTCTTGACTTCAGCCTTCTCGAGGTGAACCAGGGGCTCGAAGTGGACATCGGGGGATTCGGGCGCCTCATCCTCCTAGTATAGCATCAGCATCCGGTACACACACAAACGCTATCAAATTGGAACCGGACGACAACACATACCTCACCCTCCTTCTTCTCCTTCTTCTCTGGCTGCTCCTCGTCATCGTCCCTGGAAGTGTCCTTCTTCTTGGGAGCGCCTCCTCCGAACATGGAGAAGATGTTGTTCTGGGGGAGCTTTCCAGCCTCCTCCTTCTTCTCCTCCTGGGTCTGCTCGGGGGTGTCTTTTACGTCGGTGGAGTCGGCCATGGTTGATAGTGTTAGAGTAGAGGTTGTGATGTTCGACGGGGGAAGGGAGGTGTGAGAGCGCGTGGAGGTTGATTATGTGGCGGCGGAGATGGTAGTTGGGGAGGCGGGTGTTGTGTGGTTGGCGGTGGGTTATTAGATGGAGGGGGAAAGAGGAGGGGTGGGCTTTTAGGGTGTCAGTGCTGTTTAGTGGGGTTTGCTGGTTTGTGTTGTTTCTGTGCCTGCTTGGCGGCTACGAGGCACAACCTATGACTCCTAGTCGCGTGATTGCACTGGATAAGGAATTTGAGAGTAAAATGTCTGTCGTTGTATTCTACAGTATTCATCGTCTGAAGAACAGCTGAAACACAAAGGCTAGATTTCCGTCACGATTGAATAAAGATACAGTTCCTAGTTTCCTCAGGTCTTTCATGCGGGGTAATCTACGCTTCCCTACAGAGTTCCCGCCAAGACAGCCTCAAGCTGTGACTTGTGGCCATCTTATCAGCACATCCAGCTGTATGAGACTTTATGATAGACGCCACATCAATGTGGCGCGTCGCTTTCAGGCAAAGCTGGAAAATCAAACGGCTTGATCCGCCTTTCACTAGCGTTCAACAATTTCTCGCGGTCCACCTCAACAACCACCACTACCACCACCTTCACCTCCGATCTCCCTCAATCCTACCATTCTTCTCCGCGACCACCCTCCATCAATCAAACTCACACCCATCCTTCGGTAGATCGTCATCACCATGCTCTTCAACACCTCGAGGACCCTTCTTTCTCGGGCCGCGCTCCGTACCATCAGGACCACCCCCGTTGCTGCCGCCGCCGTCCGTGTTCCAGCGTTCAAGTTGCCATCACAGCTGCAGGCTCGCCACGCTAGCTCTGGTACTAGGGAGTACACGGTGCGAGATGCTCTGAACGAGGCTCTCGGTATGTCTCTATTTTGATTTTGTATTTTAGATGGTGAGTGTGAGCGTGGGGAAGCTGATGGTAGTGGTGATTGATAGCGGAGGAGCTGGAGAGAAATCCTAAGGTCTTCATCTTGGGAGAGGAAGTTGCTCAGTACAACGGTGCGTATAAGGTCACCAAGGGCCTGCTGGACAGATTTGGTGACAAGAGGGTCATTGATACTCCGTATATCATCCATATTTCCCCGCCGTGCTTCTCCGAACCATATCCTGACTTTGCATGTGCAGCATCACCGAGCACGGTTTCACCGGTTTGGCCGTCGGAGCTGCTCTTGCTGGCTTGCATCCTGTGTGCGAGTTCATGACCTGGAACTTTGCTGTATGTTTGTTCCATACATGGCAAAGCCGCGTTATCGGGAGATCATCGCTAATATCGAACTATCCGAATTAGATGCAAGCCATTGACCAGATCATCAACTCGGGAGCCAAGACTCACTACATGTCTGGCGGCATCCAGCCTTGTAACATCACCTTCCGTGGACCCAACGGTTTTGCCGCCGGTGTCGCCGCCCAGCACTCGCAGGATTACTCCGCATGGTACGGTTCTATTCCCGGTCTGAAGGTTGTCTCTCCCTGGAGTGCCGAAGACGCCAAGGGACTCCTCAAGGCTGCCATCCGCGATCCCAACCCTGTTGTCGTCCTCGAGAACGAGCTGCTATACGGACAGGTCTTCCCCATGTCTGAGGAGGCCCAGAGCAGCGACTTCGTCCTGCCCATCGGAAAGGCTAAGATTGAGCGTGTCGGAAAGGACGTCACCATCGTCTCGCTCTCCCGCACCGTCGGACAGTCTCTCATCGCCGCCGAGAACCTCAAGAAGAAGTACGGTGTCGAGTGCGAGGTCATCAACCTGCGCTCCGTCAAGCCTCTCGACGTTGAGGCTATCGTCCAGTCCGTCCAGAAGACCCACCACTTGGTTGCTGTCGAGTCCGGATTCCCGAGTTTCGGTGTTGCATCTGAGATCCTCGCTCTGAGTATGGAGTACATGTTCGACACTCTCGATGCCCCCGCTCAGGTATACTCTTACCCTCAGTCCCCCTTTGTCTCTCTTTCAGTCAACTAACATTCCCCAGCGTGTCACCGGAGCCGAGGTTCCTACTCCTTACGCCGCAGGTCTTGAGGCCCTTTCATTCCCCGACGAGCACGTAATCGAGAAGAAGATCGTCCAACTTCTCCGTTTGTAAGTGGGGTAGGAAAAAAGGAAATCATGTAATTCTCGAACAGGAGGTTTTCCGCACAAAAGAAAACGTAATGTCTTTTTCAGTGCTATGCTGTTCCGAATGATTTCTTTTCTGCCTGTAGTATGTGGTTGTGGTGTGGTGTGGTGTGGTATGTGCGGTGTTGATCTGGTTGAGGATATCTACTGTTGCTGTAACTGGTGTTTTTGTTTGTTTTGTTTGGGCTTCCCATGGGTGATTTTCATTTTCGTTCCTGGTTTCTGTCTTTATTTTTGGCGGTCGATCGATCGGTTGTGCTGGGATGTGTTTTTGTAGAGTAACCCACAATTATAGAGGCGGGAGGAGGAAGAAGAAGGACGGTCCTGTTCTGTTCTGTTCTGTTGTGAAAGGTGTTGTTTTTGTTGTGGAAGAGGAAAAAAGAAAACACATGCCGGCAAGAAACAAAGCGGAGAAAAGTTCAAATTTATTCATGTCACTGGCAGGCCGACTGGATTTCTCGGCCCTCGGTCGGAAGGTAACTACGCTCCAAAACCAACATGGGTTCCGCTCGTCCAGGGGACCGGTCGGTATATCATGTGATCTCTTCTTCCAATATATGAATGATATTGTATGAATGAAGTGAGGTGAATTCTACATATCCATCCGTCTGATACAAAACACAAACAAAACCCCGCCGATAGTATGTAATTTTATACCCAACCAGGAGCAAAAAAAGAAACGAGCAAGGAGAGAGAAGAAGAAGGTTTTACAAATATCTCTTCTCCTCGATAACCTCATAGCACTGAACCAGATCTCCCTCCTGGAACTCACCCCAGCCCTCAAAGCCGAGACCACAATCGCTTCCCTTCCGCATCTCGGGCACATCCTTCTTGACGTTCTTCAGACTGTCGAGGGTACCATCGTACACCACCTCCTTCTTGCGTATGACACGGACCTTCGAGTTTCGCGCTACGACTCCAAGCTTGACTCGGCATCCGGCAACTGGTTTGTAGACACTACCTTTGATGTTGATTTGGAAGATCTGGGCGACCTCGGCTTCGCCGGTTACGTTGGTGCTGATCTTGGGTGGGAGGAGCTCCGAGAGCTTGTGGCGCACTTCGTCGACTAGATGATAGATTACGTTGTGAGAGATGATTGTTACTTTGCGGGCGCGCGCGTATTGTGTGATCTGCGGGTCAGCGGGAAGGTTGAAGGCGAGGACGTAGGCTGGGCGATGTTAGCTGAATTTGTGTCAGGGGAAGGGCGGGGCGGTTCAGTATACCTCCAGCGGCAGCAGCATGGTCGATATCGAACTCGCTGACGGCACCGAATGATGATCGAATCACTCTCGTTTTAACCTCGTTGTTGCCGAGTGCGGAGACTGAGTCCACCACCGCCTCAACGGAACCGGCGACATCAGCCTTGACGATCAACCCAATTTCCTGCGTCTTCGCCACTGCTCCTTCACGGATCTTCTTCGCCGCTTCGAGAATAGCCTTTTCCGGGTCTTCTCCCCGAGATATTGCGTCTCGCCGGATCTCTTCTTCAGCTTCTTCCTTCTCGCGAGCTAGGCGTCGCGACTCGTTGATCGCCTCCATGTCCGTGGCTTGTTTGATTCGGTCGGCCTTTTGTATGCGGTAGTCAACTGCCTGCTTCGCGCGGTCCTCAGTCTCGGCGGACAGGGCCAACTCGCCGGCCTCAGGGTGGTCTCGCCAACCATCGATTTCCACGGGCGTACCAGGCGTGGCAAGTAGGACCTCATCGCCGAATTCGTTGGTCATGCTCCGAACCTTGGTCCACGTCTTTCCAGCCACCAGAATATCTCCCGGCTTCAAGGATCCCCTTGTGATCAGAACAGTGGCTACACGCCCCTTCTTCTTTGTGGTAGCCTCGAGTACCCAGCCCTCAGTCTGCCCATCCGTCTCTGCTCTGTGATCCAGAATTTCACCAAGCAGCAGAGTCGCCTCCTCGAGGTCCTCCATTCCCTGTCCCGTCTTTCCAGATACGCAGACGGTCTGTGTGTCGCCTCCATAGTCCTCAACCTCAACACCGTACCGGGCAAGATCTTGCTTGACCCTTTCCACATCCGAACCTTCCTTGTCGACTTTGTTTATGGCGACGATCATGGGTACGTTTGCGGCTTTGGCGTGTCTGATGGCCTCGATCGTTTGCGGCTTTACCGAGTCGTCCGCTGCCACCACGAGAATGACGATATCGGTGACGTTGGCACCTCGCTCACGCATGGAAAGGAATGCAGCGTGGCCGGGTGTGTCTAAGAATGTAATAACCTTACCAGAAGGCATGGTGACGGAGAAGGCTCCGATGTGTTGCGTGATTCCTCCGTGCTCCGAGTCCACAATAGCGGACTTGCGGAGCCAGTCGAGGAGAGTGGTTTTGCCGTGGTCGACGTGGCCCATGATTGTAACTACCGGCGGGCGAGTAGGCAATGATGTTTTGTCCTCGGGCGGAGGCCTATGGATATTAGTACGTATTAGGGCACCGACATGTGAGAGCATACCTAGGCTTGAGGTCAAGATCGTTGCCTCTGTCAATTACAGGATCGTATCCGTATTCTCCACAGATCAATCCAGCTTCTTCGGCACCCAAAACGTGGCCATAGCTCGTCTCAGTGAACCCCATATCCTGCAGCTGCTGCGTAAACCTCTCAACACGGATATTGAGCATGGCCGCCAGGGTCTCGATGCTAATAAACTGCGGCAAGAAGATGGGGATTAACTCCTTCCGTGCCTCCTTCCGCTTCGCTTTCTTCGCCTTCTTCGCTTCTTTGCCTGACAATTCGGCCTCATCGAGGATGGCAGACTCAGTGTCATCGAAACGGCGGTTGCGGCCTCGGTCTTTCGCCTTGGCAGCTTGCTTCTTGGTGTAGGACGCATCCTGGGGTTTCTCGCGGGCCTGACCAGTGGTGTATCGTGACGGTGTGGGGGCTTCCACTTCCTCGGCAGGCTCATGCCAGAGATTTCCCCCATCCGATTTTCCAGAGCGGGTCTCGCCACCAAACCGTTCGTTCCTCTGCTGGCGATCCTCGGAATATGCAGGCCTAGAGTTCCGCTCCCCACCGTGACGAGCACCCATGCCTTGTCTATCATCGCCATGTCGGTTGATTGCCTGCTCACCACCGAAACGGTCTCCTCTCTGTTGCCAGTTCCCACGCGGAGACTGCTGGGTTTGGTCTCCCCTCGTGAATCGCTGCCCGTATGTGTCGCCACCGGCATTTCGTGTGACGTTACCACCGCCTGTCCGCTCGCCACCGTACCGGCTGTCCCTTTGTGGCCGTGGCATCTGGTCATTTCTCCCCGCGTACCGCGGTGCAAACCCCTCGGTATCCCCAGTGATCCGTGACATAATCCCGCCAGACGATCGCTGAGAATCATTACCCAGCCCTGGCAGCGATCCCGCCCTATTGATGTTGCTATTCTTCAACAAGAATGATACAGGGTCTCTACCGGGTGGTCCCGTCACCGCCGAGGCAGATGCTGGCTGCGCCTTCCAATTGCTCCCGCCACCACCACCATTCCCGTGCGTTCCCACGCGAGAGATATTCAGTCTCGATCCCGGCGATGCATTGTTCTGTGTAGCGCCTCCATTCCGTGGCCTCCAAGCACTGGGGTTACTGCTGGGGTTACTGCGCGGCTCGGGAATGCCCCACTTTGCCGCCGCGCTCTCGGCAGTCTTCTTGTGGCGGACGGAGTCGAAACCTGCGGGACTATAGGAGGGTTCCGAGCTGCGCGTTGCTGGCGGTACTTCGTATTCGTTCGCTTTGTTGGAGCTGTGTAGGTGTCGTTGTGGTTGAGAGAGAGCGAGCGTGGAGGGGCACGGACGGATAGCGCAGAACGCACAGGTGAAGGGCCGGTTCTGCGACTATTAGCAACTCCTCGGAAGCTCTTGAGTGATTGGCACACCGTGATGTTCTTCGAAGATCGTAACATGGTAGACGAATTGATGAGGTCGACTGTCCGTTGTTTGGTGTCTGGTGTCCGGCAAACAGAGCTTTAAGTCAATCTCCAGAGATTCAGATCGTCCCGACGCCCCTCCAAATTTTTAGGGTCTTAGTTTGATAATAAGGGAGCACTAAGCTTCAAATGGAATAGTGAGCCTCTAACCCAGTCGGGTGCAACCGCATTTGCCCCGAGTGACAACTCTTACAGATAACGATATTGCACGCGTTCATGGACGTCTTTCTTTGGCTGGAGACGTGTGATTGGTCGCCGGAGGGATCAATTGGGTGGGTTACGTGTCTCGGCCCAGTCTGCCTATTCGCCAGGTGGACTTACCCCGCTATCTGCAGACTGCAGACTGCAGCGTTTGGGAACTGCTCTGCTGTTGGGTGCCATTTCAGACCTTTAGGGTAGTTACATAAGTACCGTAGTGTATGGACTTCCGCGAGCTTGAGCTCGGCTGTCACCAGAGCAATTCTCCGGACACGCGATTGATGTCTCGGAGTACAACTATCTAGGGCGCCAGCACGGACGGGCCGGTTATCGACGCGTGCAATTGACGTGCGTACATACCGTTAAAGTGCGGCTCTTGCAGCAGCTTCTCATTTTCCATATGTAGGGGTCTTTTGCTGGGACAGGTCGGCCGTAGAGTAGTTGGCCCCAAGCTCGCTGCTCGATACGGCAAGTAACGAGTGATTTGAGGTGCAACAATGGCCACCATCGCGGACACCTTGAAGTAGATATGTGCTCTGATTACGTCGCCGAAAGCTAAGTTTCGAACGCGATTGGCTCCATACTCGAGACCGGAGTCAAAACGGGGTTTGAAGGTGGATAACCAGAATCGTGCCACCATGACTGCTGCTGATAATGCAGTCTGCCTAAGATACAGAACTCATGCCCGGCAGATTAGTCACTGTGGCATCGCAGTCGCCGACACGAGTGCTCTAGAGCTGAGAGTCCGAGCCCATGGCGGATTGGCACAGCTTACGCCGATGGTTGTCGATGTCTGGGGCCAGAAATATTCTTCTCCGGCGTTCGAACTTCTCTGTAGTCGAGCGTCTCCTGTCTCATGTCTCCTGTCTCCTGTCTCTTGTCTCCTGTTTCCTGTCTAACAAAAACACTTTTCAGCCGCACCTTCAGACTTTGTCCGCTAAGCTTTTGCAACAGATCGCCGCTTCTAAAAATTGCCCCTACTCCCGAGCCTCCGACAGCTCCGATCCCATCCCCCCCAAAACCAAACCCCCAAATCAACCCTCTCCGTTCCTTCATCTACGCCCACACCGCGCATCATCGAGAAACCCACCGCCCACCACCACCAAAAAAAAAAGTTACATCCCGCCCCCCCGCGCCTGTCCTCCCCGGCAAAAATCAATTAAAGAAGAAAGAGAAGAGAGAAAGGAAGAGAAGAGAAAAGGGATATGGCCTCTCACCCTCAAAACGGGGACAACTTGAAGGACGATCAGCAGAACAACAGCACGCCGATCACTCCCGTGGCCGCACCCGTTCTGTTCCCACCTTCATCTTCACATTCGATACTGGAGAACGTCCACGCGGCGCCCATTCCCGCCCCCAACCCGTCGGCCGCACACTCGCTGCAGCCCCGCTGCGTATACCTCAAAGACCATGTGACGCAGGCGACAATATACCCCGTCGCGTCGGCGGCGCAGCTGGCCACCGGAATTCTCCAAGTGCTACAGGATGAGTTCAATAGCGAGATCCGAAAGGGTGATACCTACCCCATGGAAGAGGAGATGGGCTTTGATAAGTTCGTAAGCTATTGGTTCGGCACGTTTGCTGCGGTGATGCTTCAGGGCAAACCGGAGGAGCATGGAGACCTGACCGACGAGAGGGATTGGTCGCAGTTCGTCTTGGGAACGTTCTATATAAAACCAAATTACCCTGGTACGTTCACGGTATATTGAACTGACGGCGGACAGCCGCGTGCTAGGGAGGCATTGACGTAGTGAAGTGAGGTTAATTGAACGCTGTGGATTGTAGGTCGGAGTTCGCACATCTGTAATGGAGGATTCCTGACATCTGCTGCCTCCCGAGGCAAAGGATGCGGCAGGCTGTTGGGAGAATCATATTTGGAGTATGCTCCAAAACTTGTCTGTGCCCCCAGGACAAGGTCCATAACTCGGTGGTGCTGACTTCTCTTTTCAATAAAAAGGGGTTTACATACTCTGTCTTCAACCTCGTCTACGAAAGCAACGCCATATCGTGTAAGATATGGGACTCCCTAGGCTTCAAAAGAATTGGAGTCGTCCGGGGCGCTGGCCGTCTCCAGTCGTGCCCGCTCATCCTCGTTGACGCCATCATCTACGGTCGAGACTTGAAAGACGACGACGACTATGTGTCGGAGGAGCGTTTCGACAAGATCCGCTTCTACCTTGAGAAGGGAAAATACCCACCTTCCGCCGACCGATCCGAGAAATCTCGCCTCCGATCAGCTGCTACGCATTACCGCATCACGGATGGAAAGCTCATGCTGAAGGATAAAGAAGTCGTGTCGGATAGTCAACTGCAGTACGAGATTGCCAGGAACGTGCATGCACAGTCTCACGGAGGGATCAATAAGACTACTGCAAATATCGCCGAGAAATATCACTGGGTCCGCATTAAGGAGACCGTTTCTCAGGTCATCCGCAATTGCCCAGAATGCAAGGAGCACCCTAAGCCACCAGTTGTCAGAACAGAGAACCGGACGCCGCCGAAGCGTGCTTCGCCGTCGAAACAGGTCCCGGTTCCGGTCCAGCAACAGCAACAGCCACCGCAGCTGCAGCATCAGCAGCAGCAACAGCAACAGCAACAGCAGCAACAGCAACATCAACAACCGCATCAACAGCAGCATCAACAGCAGCATCAACAGCAGCAGCAGCAGCATCAACAGCAGCATCAACAGCAGCATCAACAGCACCAACATCATCAGCAGCAGCAACAGCACCACCAGCAACAGCAACATCACCAGCAACAGCAACAGCATCAACAACATCAGCATCAACACCAACACCAACAAGTCCAAGCCCAAGTACAACAGCAAGTGCAACAACTCCTGCTCGAGCGACAGGCGCTGCAAATGCAACAACAACAAGCGCAACAAATGGCGCTCCAAGTACCCACATCCGTCTCGGTATCTATGGTCCCACAATCCACGCCCCTGATGCCACTTGACGTCACCCGCGCCGGCGCACTAGTAGGGATGGATATTCCTGTGGATCCTCAGATGATGGAAGGCGTTGAGCACGCTGCCGCACATGCACAGTTCGTTCAACACATGCAAGTTTATACCGCGCCGGTGGCCTCCATGCATCCCGCCGCCCACCACATGGCCGTCGCGGCGGCGGCGGCAGCAGATCATGCCAGCCGATTGCAGCAGCAGCAACATGCCGTTGAGGCTGCACGGGCGGCGTTGAGTGCGGGTGGAGAGGTGCTCACAGATGAGGATCGGATGAGTAAGGATCGGCATTTACTCGAGACTTTGACGGCGGAGTTGAAAAGGGAAGGGGGAAACTATGTCGACGATGAGGTCTAGATGGTTTCAGATAGTGTATGCAGTGTCTGTGTTGGTAGTGACAATGTCTCTATGCGTTTTGGTGGTTTTGCGTTGTGATTTCGTCGATTCTCAGGCATCCATGGGTGTTTTTTTGGGTGTCTTACTGTTAATTTCTCTATTTAGCGAACTGCTCGTTGGATACTTGTGTTTTCATGCGTGCTTTATACAGCGAGGTTGATTTTGTGGTCTGGTGGATTGATATGGTAAGAAACGTGACATACAGACAGTAGAATTCATCAAAGAGCGCAACAGCCAGCGTGACGAAACAAAACAAAGCAAAGCAAAAGAACGCCCAACAAAAGAACACCATGCATGTACGTAACCTTCATTCAACGCCTGAGACTATCCAACCTCGCCTGCAAATCATCATCCTCGGCGCCACCTCCAGGCACGCCCACAGCCTGCGGCACCTTCCCCTCCGCGACCCGTCCGGACTGAATTCCATTCGGCGTCTCGCCCAGCTGCATATTGAGGTCGACGCCGATCTCGTCTAGCACCTGGTTGACGATCTCGTCTGTCTCCTCCTCCTCGTCGAGGCCGGTGATATCGTCGATGGCGTCATCCATCATCTCCTGGCGCTGGTCCATGATGTCGTTCTCGCGCTCGAACTCCATCGCGATCCGCTGCAGCGCAGGCAGGTTCATGCTGCGGTTCATCGAGCTCAAAAGCCCCGTCGCCCCCTTCATCGACTGCATCATCTGCTCGTTGCTCCGCACCGTCTGGATCCGAAGGCTGATCGCTTGCAGCTGCGTCTTCATGCTCGCGAATTTCTGTATGTACCTATTTTTGCCGCCCCACGTTAGCCCTCCCTCCCTCCCTCCCGTCACCGCCGAAGACATGTCCTCGGGGGAGGGGACAACTCACCGTCGCGTCCGCACTAGATCCTTCGCCTGGATCTTGCACGCCCCCATCTGCCCGTTCTTGGCGGACTTCTTGATGTCGGCGATGAGCTTCTTCTCCTGCTGCTCGAGTTTGATGCGTTCGCGGTCGAGCTCGCGCTGGGCTTTCTCAAGGGACCGTTGGTGCTATGGCTGGCTGTTAGCTGTAGTAGTAGGACCCCGGGGGAAGAGGGATTTGACGGGGGGGAGGGCATACTTTGCGCAGACGCTCGGCGGGAGTTTGCCGGCGGCCAAAGGCCCATTCTATTATTCCGCTCATGCTGGTGAATGGGCGGGCGTGTGAGGTGGAGGTTCCTAGGAGGGTGAGTTGAGGTGAAGTGGTGGGTTGATAGCTTCAGGCTTCAGTCCCCCAGTCTGCCGGTTGGACTCGCTTCGTCATTGCCAAGTTGATCGTTACCCTAATCACGTGCAGGCGCATTTCGTGGGGCACCCGCGCGGCTATACTCTATATGACTCTTCACTCATCTTCACATTCTCCCCTACAAGCACTGTAAGTGTATCATTTATACGCCCTCGCATGCCCTGCCTCAGAGTAGTGACTGAGGCATCATCTCCAAGCTGGGTGGGAATAACAAAAGGAAGGAGAATACAGAAAGAAAAAAATACGAATTAGAAGCAAAACAAAATCGACAAAGACACCGTTCTACCCCCTCGTTCTCCCCCGCCCTACAGCTACAAACACCCACATCTCTCTCACCCCCCCGAAGTCATGGTCATAAAACATATTTCATTCCCTCGTAAATACCCCCCCCCCCCCCACCCTCCCCTAAAGCAACAAAAGAACACCATCCCCTACAAGCCGCCAGACCTACACGAAGTGACGCTGCACGGTGGGGACCATCTCGGCGGGCAGGCGAGCTGCTAGCTCGCGGACGTCTGCTCCGGTCATCGCGATCAACGCTTTGGTCGCGTTGATCACTCTCTCGGCAACGTTGCCCTGGATGGTCTCCGCATCCACCGCCTGCACAACGTAGTCGAAGACCTGGGGGGCGGCGTTCAGGACAGCAGGGTTTTTCCTGCATTACTTTCAGCATTACTGTCTCGCACGTTAACTCGATGGGATGTGAACATACTGCTCAATGAGCTCGGCCAAGAATGCGTAGGCGAACGGGGCTGCCTCGTCGTCATTGACGACGGGCAGCGTCCCGATCCAGTGGTTGACAACCGCCTGGACGTCCTGCACCTTGCTGCTGTTGTAGTGCAGGATCTTTGCGATCGAAGCACAGGCGTTCTCGGTGGCGAAAACGTGGTCATCCCGGCGTGCCTTGGGCCCCTGGGTGGCTTCGAACAATTGCCGGATGGTGTGCGCGACAAACTCCGAGAAAGCGGGGCCACCGTTCTTAGCAGCAACACCCACACCATACGCGGCCGCTTGTCGGTTCGCCGGAATCTTGTCGGACAGGCCTTGCACGAGAGGTCCCGTAAAGTGAGCCTGGTATTTCCACGCCTCCGGCCCGCAGAACTCCAGCACATCGTCAATGATGCAGAGTGCCCATTGACGCTGTGTGGCATCCGAGCTGTTGATAAACCGATCGTAGAACGGAATTAAGCGCTCCCATTGAGGGAGGAAAGATGTTCCCTGGTTCTTGAAGATTGTGTGGAAGGCTTTGTTCATATCCGCCAAAAGGGTCTGGTCATCCTCGATGGCATAAAGCATCTCGTCGGTGTCCTCACGCTCCTCCTCTGGCTTCAAGAGCTCCACTACTCGCTGCTCGTGACGCTGCTGGTATTCCTGAAGCGAGCTCTCGACCACAGAAATGAACGCAGCCATCGTCTCCTGAGACAAGCAGTTCTGACCAACGACTTCAACGGACTCGTAGAAACATTGGTACATCTCCGCAAGGGTATCAACTGCCGGTTCTTGGGCGAGGTCTTCCAGGATCTTTCCGACTGTTGGCTGCCAAATCTCGGCCAGCTGTGGAGACTGAGGTCCATGTGCTTTCTTCATGCTGTTCAAAAGTTGAGGAACCAGCTTCGCCGAGGCAACGCGTACTGCATCATTAAAGAAGAAGCGAAGGCCTGGAATAGCGATCTCCTTAAGAACGGTGTGAACATAAGGTTCGAAGGCGGCTTCCAGTTGTTGGGCATAGATGACGAGAAGCTCGATCGCCATATACTTGTCGTCCAAAGCAGAAGTCTTGATGCCAATGTACTTTCCTCGAACGGGAAGCAACTCCCAACCTTCTTCTTGTTCTATAGTAGCCAGTTGCTCTTCGTCTGCAATTACCAATTAGCATCAAACTAAAATGTTTGGAGAACGTGTCCAAGTTACCATCAAGAAGTTGCACATCAGCCTTCGCACTAGCGAGCTCGAGCAGTGGGGGCATAACAGCAGGCAGATATGGCAAGAAGTCGTTGCCCATGACTCGGCACATTCTACCCCAGCAGTGAAGCAGGTAGGATCCTTGAGGGTCATCCGGGTCCGACACCGATTGCTGAATTCGTCCGAGCACTTGCACCAACTGAACCGCATCCGCTCCTAACCTCTCCCGGCCGACGGCTAAAGCAATCAAAGTGGCACACTCCATAGCCTTAGCACACAGCAATCGGTTCTCCTTCACTTGGGCATTCTGCGGCTGGTTCAGAACGCCAAACAACAGTGGCATGAGATGATCATAATAGCGGCCGAACGCCTGTTCCGCCGAGTCCGCAATGGTAGCAATAGTCGACAAGGCTTGTTCCTGGACATATCGCTTGGTATCATTCGTCAACAGAGCCAGCAGCCTCTTAAGCAGCTCGTCTAAGTAGGGCTCCAGAACCTCCTTCTCGGCTTCCTCGCAAAAGTTGACCAGTGCCGCGGCGGCATGCGATTGTACCCTGAGAAATTGTCAACACCCGCTGCGGCAATTTACCACAAACGTATCAGGAATAACATACCTTGGCTCTGGGGATTCCAGCACCGGAATAATACTCGACATAACAACCTGGTGGTACTTCTCCTGCATAATTCCAGCAAAATCCGTACTCATTTGGCCCAACGCATTGCATCCTGCCCATCGAACTCGGGGATGAGGGTCTCTCAATGCCGGAACGACCAGATCCAAGATTTTGTCAAGCTCGCCCTCCATCATCTCACGGCAGCCCTCTGAAATAGCAGAAATGGCCATCAAAGCCGCATGTCGATCACGCCATGCCGAGGAAGTCATCATCCGAGGAAGCCACTGGAATGTCGGTGCAAGAACAGCGGAACCACCAAGTCTATTGGCCAGACGGTCCATACATTGTTCTCCAGCAACATGATTGAGGTCGCTCTCGTCAACGTCAAGCTGAATTGCATACATTAGCCAGAATTCTTTCCCTCCGAAAGCAGGACAAGCCGAAGGAAAGACTCACATCGTCTGTTTCATTCCATTCAGACGCATCATCGTCGTCGGCTCCAATGTCGGTCATCAAGCTAAGACATTGAGTAACCATTTCCGAGGTATAGTTAGGATCCTTCCTGCACATATTCGGTGCGGTATCGGCAAAGGTCGCAAGGAACTCCAATGCGTTCTGCCTCGTCATGTCGGTGAGATCCTTGTCTTGGACGACAGCAATGCCGAACTTGACGACCTCGCTGAAGACTGATTTGAACATGACAGGCGCAACCTCTGCAAGTTCCATCAAAGCTACCAAGGCCTGGGCGAGGCAGTCCGAGTCTTGTTGCTCCTTCAGAGGAACCAGTATCACCAGGATATTCTGCAACAATCCGTGGTATGCCTTCTGCGCAGGCTTCTTAATCGATCGGAAGAATGCCGAGAAAGCCTCCATTGCTGCAATGCGGACCTTCTGCTCGGGATCCGCGAAGCCGTCATTGAAGACACCTTTGACGGTATCGCCATGCTGCTTCTCGATGATACCCGGCGTGGTGGTAAATATCCTGAAAGCGCCCTCTCGGAAGCTCGCGTGTGGCGACTTGCTTGCCGAAAACAGTGCTTGCAACAATTCGGGCCATGGCTCTTCTAAACACAGGAACAAAATCCATCAGCTCGCTCATTTCATACGAGAGAACCCAACCACTTTCCAACGCAAAGCAACACGTCGGAAGTTGTTGGTGGGGGTTGGAACTGACCAGCATCCGAAAGTTGCCTGGCAACTTCCGCAATAGAATCACCAATCTTCTTCCGTACATGGTCGTCGGTTTCTGAGGCGAAGCCGCGCAGGAGGATATCGCGAATGTAGGTCCTTACTGCGGGCAAGCAACCAATGTAGAGTTCCTGCGGCTCATCCTTCTTAGTCTGAGTCTTGAGCGCCAATCGTCGGAAAAGAACGGCCGAAAACGAGCGAGCCTGCGTATGAACGTCGCATGTCAGAAAATGTCATCTTCCACGATTCCGCCGCCCAAGCCGCAAAAAATCTTAACACACTCGCGTAACAAGACACCCGCCTATATCGGGCCTTTTGTTTCGGCGGAGCAAGATTCGCGGCTAGTAGCAAAACACATCCCCGGGGTCGATCATTTCAAACTCACATTCGCGTCACCACCCCCCAGGACCTGTTCCGCCAGGCCCGAAAGCAGCATTTCCGGTTTTGTAGCGACCCAGTCGTTAGTCAGAGACTCCTCCGCGCGGTGACGAATGGCATTGTCGGCCGAGCTGAGGCCCTGTAGCAACTGCTGCAGGCTCTCGACGATATCTGGAGGGAGCTGCGATGCCATGATTTTGCTTTTCTTTTTGTCGAACTGTTTTTCCTTTTCGTTTGAGGAAGTGCTCTTAGCCGTCGACAAGAGGCGACGAACTAACTGCGGGGTGTAGTCGTTAGTTGGGCGTGGGTATGTAGGTCGTCAGAAGAATTAACGCGGGTGGTGGTAATGGGTCGTGATTGTTGTGGAATTCGGTTTGGTGTGGTGGGTCGTTGTGCTGCTGGTTATGTGCTGCAGTCGCAAAGAAGTGATACGGGCGATGAAATGAGAGGCCAAGCGAACCGGCGGGTGTGAGGGCGGCGATCACTGTTCACAGGGCTCGAGGGCGACGTGTTGAATTCTTTTTTCGGGGTGGGTAGGGTGGGTGGGGGATAACGGATGGTGGGGTTGGTTGGATGGCCCTAAATTTTGAGGTAGAAGTCAGTACGAGAGGATTACTTACAGTTACTAGTAGCCCGAAGGGCAGAACCCTGCAACGGCAGTAGAGTACATACCAAACAGCAAGATAGCAAGTTGCGTACGCTCGCGAGTCGAGAGATTTCTTTTTCCGGAGGATGTTGTCGATCAGAGCAGTGAGTGGAGAAGAAGAGGGGAGAAGAGAAGGAGGAAGGAAAGGAAGGTGTGCTAGTGGGTTGGAAATCTGAGGTCTACAGACCCAACTTGAGAGGAGGCCTCTTGAATCCCAAACAATTTTCGTTTGTTTACGGGCTTGGCAAGTGGGCAGGCTGAATGAGAAGTGGCAGCGACATCCGTTCATGATATCTCGCTCGACGATTGCTAGTCAATACGCAGCTCTCTCAGCCGCTCAGAATCCCTCATCCACAATTTGGACACCCAAACCTTCATAGTAAAAGACTTCGTAACTTCGATAGGTTTCTTTTTACAAGGAACAGAGAAAGAAGAACCCTACGAGAGGAAATAAATAAAGGGAATAGAGGATGATAGCATGGAAACGAAACAGAGGACGAACAGACGGAAATGAAGGGCTAAAGGCGATAGTTAGTGAGCACAGTGCAAATGAAGAAAAAAAAGTCAAGCAACGGGACAATCGGACCAAATTACAAAAATGAGACATGAAAAGGTTGGAATCGAATTCAAGAAAGTAGCCCTCGGTCTGTGTAGGGTAATTGAATGGGCAAGAGAGAGAGAGATACAGTTAAGCTATGCCGCTGAGCTCCAACGACAAATAACAAGATCAATACAACCGAAAAAAAGCTTCCGTCTACCTCTAAAGCACATAAAAAATGGGTATTGCGGTCCAAAGAACAAATTCTCAGGCTTGCTGGTCCCATCTCTCCTTCACCAACTCCTCTTCCCCTTTGTACTTGAAGTTTATGTCTCTATCTTCTGGACAGAGCAAAGACGGCAACAATAGCCACAGCGAGCGTGACGATGGCCCCCGGCAAGATCAGCTCGTTGGGCACTCCCGGAATCAACTCGGGCTGAGCCGGTGAGATGGGTTCAGGCGGCGCCGTGTACCTCTTCTTCGGCCTACGCACTTGTCCTTCGGAATCGTCCGAGTCCTCGTCGTGATCCTCGATCTCGATTCTTGGCTTCCTCCTCGTCACAATTGGGGGCTGTGGGTCTACGGTGGCGACCACAGCCGGTTTCGAAGGGTCGTGAACGTACAGGTCAACCTTGTCCCTCCCGGTACGCCTGGCAAGGTTGACGGCATCAAGCAGGTCAGGGTCCGAAGTGATGGAAATGATATCTCCTTCGTCGTCGACATAGCTCAACGCAAAGCCTTGGCTGATCAAACTGCCGTCCGCTCCGAACTCAGGCTCTCCGCCAACCTCAGCAACCTCGACTCCAAGCTTCTCGCTAACAGCACCGAGGAGTTCCATCAATCCTCCGTTTGGGGCCGCCTGCACACGATGGATACGACCACTGGGAGCCTTGAACTTGAACGCATACGGCTGATCCATCGGGTCGGCAACTGGATCATGGATCATGGAACCTTCGGAATGGTCTCCGATGTGCGAAGCTGAATCGCCAGGCTGGATGGCAGCATCGTGACGTTCTAGGTGGCTCAGGCCGGATGTGTGTCGCATAGCAGCAATTGGCGATTCTGTTCCTTGCCCTCGGACCGAAGGTGTGGGACCCCGCGCACTGGTGTGATCGGAAATCTGGGATTCTGTATCATTGTCAAGCGAAAGCCAGAACTTATTCCAAGCGGGTCCCTCGCTGTCAGCAGTTTGCATCGAGTTGATCTATGATGCAAAGTCAGCTCACCGAATTCATTGATCCACCTACTCCCGTGGATTTTACCTGTTCGAGAGTGGCATAGGTCAATTTTAAGACGTCCACCATTCCAACAATCTCCCCTTCATTATTCATAACCGGAAGGTTAAGATAGTGTCCATCTAGCGACAATAACCATGTCAGCAGTTATATTTTTATTGGCAAAAAAAGTAAGGAGAGTCGCGAACCATGCATCTTTCGCAGGGCAGCCTGAATGGACATCTCCATTGGTGCGAAATCCGGATGAGGTGTCATGACACGCACGACGCTGCAGTTGGCAGGGTCCAATCCCGGCGCTATGACACGCAGGACTACATCCTTACTCGTGAAGATACCAGTAATATTCCCGGCATCCTGGACCAACACCGCAGTCGTGCGGTTCTCCTTCATCATGGCCGCCGCATCCTTGACGGTAGTCCGGACGGAAACAACTGTAGGAGGATTGCCGTCCAGGACCGATTCCAGGTTCGGGCCGGACATCTTTTGCCGCAGAGCCTCGACATAGGAGATGATTTGCTGGGGCTGCGAGGACCCGAGCTCCGACTGGACACCTTCCAGCGCATCATAGAGCTTCCTGGAAGACGCATATGCACGCTCCAGCTTCTCCATCGCCTCGTAGAAGCACTTGGTGATATCCAGAATACCGGAGATGTCTTGGTTCTCGTCCATCACCGGCAGATGACGGAAACCCTTGCGAACCATCAAATCCAGAGCGTCGGTAGCGGAGGTATCGGTCCGGGCGCAGAGCGGGTTTTTGGTCATGATCTGAGCAATCGTGATATCTCTAGCATCGATGCCGGCGCCTACAACACGAAACGCCAGATCTTTGGCGGTGAAGATTCCAGAGATGCGGTCATCGTCATCGGTAACGAGCACACAATCCTCACGCTTCGCCGCCATGAGCTGGGCAGCCTCCGCTACCGTCGTGAGAGGCTTGATCTGGAGTGCCTGGGATGGACGCAGGGCCATGACCGATCCGGGGGCTATTTTGCGCGTCTGTCTAGCACGAGAAGTCGTGCTCTTCTTCTTGCTGAGATCTGATTCGATTTTGCGACGGATAGCCTGTACGAGAGAGAGAACGGGTGTCAGCCTCCGATATCCTTTCTCCTCCCTAAAGCGGGCCGGCCAAGCAGCCACAACCCCACAGCCAGACGGGGGCCGGTATGCAGATGGCCTATGAGCGGACCCTGCCGTACCCCCCGTTTCGTAGAGATCGAGGGACTTATACACACCTCATCTCTCTTTGACTGTCTCTTCCGGCTATCGCTGACGCTGGGCTGGGAGTCTGAAGCCGGCGGAGTATGACTGTTAGGAACAGGGATTCCCGACGGAGCAGGAGTGGTGCTTCGACCACTATTGGTACCAGCTCTGCTGGGAGTACCTCTGAAAGATCCTACATGAGACATCTTGCTTTCGGCCCGCGTTCAGAGGTTTTGGGAAAGGTGATGTTGACGAGACGGCGTTTGGATGCCACAACTAGGGAGGGTGTGGAGGTGGAGGTGTGTGGTGGTGGTGGTGGTGGTGGTGGTGGTGGTGGTGGTGGGGGGCTTGTTGTAGTAGTAGTGGGCGATGGTTCGGAAGGGATGAGCGTTCGGCAACAACACCCTCTACATAGATGGGCCCACGAAACGAAACAGCAACAGACCCTTGGCATGTCACGCACCCGGAATAGCCCGTGACCACAAACAGGAGTAACAGCTGAGAATAATATGTACGAAGCTGGAGAAAACACGTCCCATAAAACGCCCAGTAACGATGCTTCTAATACGCCACCTATCCTACACGTGGGGGAGATATGCATTTAAAGGGGGCAAGGAGAAGGCACAGCCGTGAAGGGCAAAGACATTCCAACAACCAACAACAATCACCAGCAAAAACAACATATTCAACCCCCTAGAACAACCACATCCCGATTACATGCTTCGCAACATTGAACCCAAGCAAGCTGGTCGCCCATAGGATGACGAGTACAACAACAGGGAAAAGGAGGACCTCGGTATGGTGGAGGAAAGGAAGAGCTGAAGCGCGAGAACATCGGCCAGTCAGCAATCGTACGTCCATCGCGTCAATCCGTCCGGTGAAACGGAGGGAGCGGGGTTCCCGTACCATTGTACCCGAGAAAGGTGATTACGCTGTAGAACGAGAATGCGATCAAGTAAAGCGAATTGCCGAGAAAGATCGATATCCTGCGTCAAGCTAATATCAGCCGATTCGTACCGAAATAGTGCGTCAACAACCCATACATACCAATAATCGTTCTTCAGGAGCGGCATCATCAGGAACTGAACGACATAGCTGGTTTACACCGCCCGCCGGCAGTATCAGCCTTGCACTCTCCGTCTCCACTCCTTCAATGCGGGAAACTCACAGAAACACCCACACCGGGAAGAACGCCCTAACACTGATCTCGAAGCAGTACATAAACTCAAGGTCGCCATCGCCGGTAACAATTCCGGCCCTCGGTAGCCTTCCGGAAGGCGGAACCTTCAAGAACTTGCCACACAGATAGTATCCGGCCGTCGCGAAAACGAGCGACGTGAGTAGGAAATGGAGGAACACGAGCGAGAAGACCAATCGTACGATCGAGCTGAACGTGGGCGTGTAGGCGAGGCCCCAGGCTACGGCCGTAACCGTGAGGAAAAACGTGAGGAGAACGATGAAGGATGGGTCATCGCGCGACCACGAGTTTTTGGTTTCTAGAGCCCGCGGGGTCAGATCAACCAAGTCCGTGACAGCATGCGCTCGAACACAACCTACGTTTCTGCCGTTGTCCAGCCAAAGTCAGCAAGCAGTATTCATACAGCTGCTAGACTTACTCACGTGATAATATATCGCTTTGAACACCTTCTTGGGCGCGATGATCAGAGAGGTCATCTCCCATATGGCAACCTGTTCACCACGTCAATCTCAAGGGCCGCCTTTCCGCTGCCGACAGGACCCCTCCGGGTCCCCCCTCCCAACTAAACGAACCTCGAAATCCATCTGTGGGTACTTGAAGATCCTTCGAAAGAACACCGGTAACCGCATCGCGGAGCGCTCTCTAGCACCAGCCGTTGTGTATCGGGGCGCGGTACTATGCGGAGAAAACGTGGAGCGGTTGGGCGGTGGTGAGTAACGCGACGCCATTTCGAAGTGTCGACGCGGGTACGAATCTAGGCAGCAAGCGGTAGTCTTTGAATGGTATCTCGAGGGTTCGATGCGCTTGTTACTTGGGCACGTTGCGATTCGTTCGTGGGGGTGGCTCTCAATGACGTTCAAGGTTGACGGCCTTCGACGGCAATACAAGCCTCCGACGAGTGGTCACGTGGGACATGGAATGTCACTCGATGAGGCCAGGTTGCACTCGCCTAATAGTATGTAAGACTTGAGTAAGTGCCATGGTTACGGCCTTTCACCGGCAGGTGAGTACAATTTCCGAGAATTGAACGGCAGGCTGATGTTAGATGTGTTATGCGACTTACTTCTATGTAGTGATGCGAATGAGTTGCTGTGTTATGCAATAGGTGATGCGAACGAGAACTGCATCTCCCACGCGTCGGCCACGATGTCTTCTGTTGTATGTAGGATCGTCCCTGGGTACGGCCACTAAAGTGCCGCCGCCGCTCCCGCTCCGCGTGCCTGGCTAAGACGGACCTCATGCTGGAAACGGGAGCCCTTTGACCTCCGCGAGCGCCCCTGCAGATCAGCCCCGACTTCCGCGATACCATAAATTCACCTCCGTTCCCCGGGGGGTGCAGTTATGTACATATCTCCAGCCAATGAGCATGACCAGAAGGCCAACATAGATCTCTCCAACCGCAGGCTCAGCTGCACAATGCGATCATGCACAGCTACCTACAGTTGAAAGCGCGATTAAAAAGCATCGAGAGCTAGAACAGACAAACAAAAGCCGCACTCGTGAGAAAGATACCGCACGAAAGTACCTATACTTAGGCATCAGCGTCAAACGCCGAGTCGGAGATGACGATTCATGAGTGGACACCTGATGATACCCAAGTATGTTGGGTGCGCGCGTATGATACGGTAGTGAACATCCATCCCATTGTGCTCGGAACCAGCGCCCTGGTTCACTCTCCTGGGAATTATATTGTACTGTAGGTACGCTATGTACCTTTTCCTCTTCTTTTTCTATGTATCCACAGACGGAAAGCCCAATATCTTCACAAGAATCCAGTGACAGCCCTCAAGTCTCGCAGTCAAAAGAATGCACTCTCGGTACTGTAGCAGTCCCGCCACCGGCAGTAGCAGCAGCAGCAGCAGCCAGCGGACGTGGCACCGGAGAACCTTTGACGACATGGTTCACCCCCGCATTTCCAGGGGGAGACCTACCTACCGACGTTATGATGCTATCTACATGGAGCCATAGTTGCCCATGGTGCAAGTCCTTCCAGCTCGGTTTCACACAGACATCCAATTAACGGGAAAATGTTGACAGATGTCGATGTTCGTCCGGTTCCCGTACGTACATGCGGCACATACATATGATCTCGGTACCGGCGTGGCGTGGCAAAAGTTACCGTGTCTCTGGGAAGGTTGGTGATGGGGAGTATCTAACGTTTTGCCATGTGTGTATCTACTCAACCGCAAAGTCTTCCGTATCTGCTTCAATCAGAGGATCGGGATGATGATGATGGTGGTGAGTTAAGGGGAGAAGGGATGGATGCTTCCAGTAGGTATTTATTTAAGATTCCTCAGGAGCAGATCTTCTCTGTGATTGGGATATTATGGACTACAGACGAGTTGGGAAGTAAGGACGAAAGGCCGAAACAATGGTGAATCTTGAAGTTTCCGTCTCGAGTAAAGTGAGGATTGTTCGTTCGGCCAGACCGCAGTTGGCCGCTTAGTTCCTCGGCGCGTTGGGCAGCCCGCCCGGTCAAGACTTCAGGCCCAAGGCTGGCCTGAGGCTGATCATGGTTCCTCCGGATCTCGCAATTAGGCGGTAGACATTCTGCCTGTTTTCCCGTAAATTGATCACGATGCATAGATACACAAGTACATGTACCTACACAGGTGGAAGTGAATACGTGAGTACTTCTCACTTACCGCATCTCGAGGCAATTTTTCTGCATGGCCGCCATTGTTTTTGAATCGTCGCAGCCCCTCAATATAGGCATGATATCTTACTCGCTTCACCTTCGTGCCTTCCTTCTACGCATGCCTCGGGATCAACTAATCCACACCCACGTTCCCCAATAGCCATCTACGGACTTATGTAAACCCGCATCGCACGCACCTTCTCTGGTCAAGCTACTCCAAGTTTCACACACGTGCAGATTGTTCTGTCCAACTCTTCGCATACATGTGGTCTCCTCCGGCTGGGTAACCTCACACTACCTACGCCTGCCTATCATTCATCCATTCCCACCACCCCCTCGCTCTCTCCGCATACATTCTTTTGTTTTTCCCACGCACTCGTTCGTTTGTTGGACCTGGGTACCTATCGCAGCTGTATAGACGGTACTGCTCACATCATACCAAAGCTCTGGCTCCGGATCCCCGGAGATTCTTCTCCACCGACAACCTGCGTGTGCGTATATTGGAGACCTCGAATACCTACACACGGTACCTACGGTACATAGGGACTGACTTCAGTACGCAGGCATCCAACCGTGCCGGACCGGAGACTACACTGATGCCGCACGTCTAGCTTCATCGGCTCAGCTTCGTCTCAGCAGCCCTGCGTGCACATTAGACGAAAAGATTCCACACTCATCCGACCCGACCTGACCTGCCTGCTGCTGCCTGCTGCCTGCATCTCCAGGCGGAAAAGAAAGAAAGAAAAAAACGTGGGGATCTTTTGCTCGGGCGGACAGACTCAGCTCAGCCCAGCCCGTAGGTACATGTACCTGCAGACAACTCGCCTGCCGTGCCCCCTCCACCCAGTTCTCCAGCCAATCGGTAACCACCGCCTCTCCCTGTCCTGTCGAATTACGATTTGCAGCAACTTCCCCGCTAGACGCTAGAAAGGCATCCTCGAAAGAGAGGCGCATATCCACTACCCACACACACTCCCAGTCCAGTTGGGGTCCGCGAGCGTTGAACTAAGCACCGGTAGTGTGTTTATTAGAAGTTGGCTCCCCTCGACCATGGTGGCCCCTCTAGAGCCGGACTCCTCGACATCTCGATTCCACACCGCCGACAAAACGAGGCGCAGGCCTATCCAGAGGTCAATTTCTGGTCCGTCGCCGCTTTCGACAGCTTCTTCTGTCACGGATCTAACATCATCGATGTCGGGCTACGGAAGCACGAATTCCAACAGGTCCCATCTACCAAAGTCAGGGGAAGTTCCGGACAGCGACCACCACAGCCACCACAATCACCACCACAATCACGACAGCAGCAGACGTGATTCCCACGATCTCTCATTGAGCAACGGCGGCCGAGTACGAGACTCACTCCTAGACAACCTCCTTCTCTCCTTCGACAAGATTGGCGACGGCACTTTTGGAAACTTCGACGCCTCACCCTTCTTCTCCAACATCGACGAGGTCGACGACGACGAATCTGTATATTCGCGGCGCGGACGTTCCAATAGTGCCGGCTACGACTCGCAGTTTTCGTCTTCTGCCCCTAGGCAGTTGGAATCTGCACACGACTACGGCGAGGGCAGTTTCGGAGTTACTTACGAGAGAGACACGCGCTCGCGGGGACGCGGAGGGCTAAGCTCATCACATGGGTATGCGAACGGTTACGAAACTTTTGAATCTGCACCTGCGCCCAGCATAAGAACTAGGAACCGCACACCTTCTCCTCCGAGATCGCCGAGACTTGTGCGACGACCGTCCAACAAGAGCATCAAAAGCTACAGGAGCAGAAGCAGAGATCAACCATTCAACACGCCCCCTGAACCCGCGACACTCCCGCCGCTCCCAGCCTTTGCCAACCCCCCATCTCAAGCGACAGCAGTAGCAGCAGCAGCGGCAATGGGTTCTTCTACCAAGTCGGGCGGGCGGCCCGGATTCTTCAGACGTGTGTTTGGTGGCGGCGGAAGCTCTAACTCAACACACACACAGAGCACAAGTAACAGCAGCTCCAAGACCAGCATAGTGTCAAATCCCCCCTACCCTCCCAGTGCGCCGAATCCACCGCCACCGAATCCTCCGATAGCTCCCCCACCCGAACAATCACAGCCAGTGCTTCATAAGAAAGCTTCCTTCTTTAGGAGGCGGAAAAAGTCGCTGTCCGACATCACTGCACCCCCGCCGGTTCCAGCTCTCCCTCAAGCTGTCCCCGCGCCCATCCATGTTCCGCCCGCAGCCATAAAAGACGACGCAATCGTGCCCAGCCCATCCGGCATGTCTTTGCGCACCGCCATGAACCCCTATATCCGAGCGCCTCCCCGGCCTGGAACACTGGAATCCACAATGGAAGACCGCGAGACAGCCTACCTTGCACGTAATGCGACGATCCGCACGGTTGCTTCCTCCGATCCTGTTTCACCTCGGCGCCCATCATTCTTTAGTGAGAGCTCTAGGGATCGGGATATTGCACCACACCTGAGCGTAGACAGCAGCGGGAAGAGGTACCACAAGGAGATGTGGGGTGGCGGAAAGGATATGTCGGTGACCACCGATCACCGCGCGCCGTCGAGATCGCCCACAGGCGGCATAGAGCGACCACAAACATCCCCAAACACCCCATTCAACAGCCGCACCTTTTTCTTGGACAAGGACGAGGATGACAAGGACATGAACTGGCCACCGACGCCCCCGAGCCGCGGCATATTGACCAATGCCAGGTCCAGCACTACCGGGTTCCTGGGATCAGGGAAAGAGCGACAGGATTCGGACAGTTCTCTCGGACGCGCGCGAGAGTCTTCTGTTACATCCCTCAGCGCCGTACGGAAGTCCTCAACAGCTTCACTGAGCCAGACACGGAAGACATCAGCCGCCTCCAGGGAAAACGCGATCGTCGACATGAAAGAGCTCGAAAGACTGTACAACGAGGAGGATGCCAAGAAGAAGCATTCGTCGTCGCGTACCAGCAGGGGCGGCGATCAGTTGGAATTGGATACCATCAACCTGGAGCCACCGAGACCGAAGGAAGGATCTTGGATATCAGGACCAAGCCCCAGCACGCCCACCGTGACTCTACAGAAAGACGGTCCCGGTGAAGAGGCGGAACCACTGCGCCACGAGGAAGAAACGGACAGTGCACTGGATGATGGCTTGCCCGAGCCGTCGGCTGAGGACAACGAAATGGCGAAAAAGATTTTTGGTGGTGACGAGGATTTCATTGCAAAGGAACGGGCGGCAGCTTGGTTGGGCGACAAGTGAGTGACTCTCGGCAGAGTCGACGTTGTCGGATCAAATCACTAACCGGGTTCAACAGTGAGGCGGGCAAGGCGATTATATTGAAAGCGTATATGCGACTCTTCGATTGGTCGGGAGTGAACATTTTGCACGCCATGAGGATACTGTGTGGAAGACTCATTCTCAAGGGAGAAACCCAGCAGGTCGACAGAATCATCGTGGCGTTCGCGCATCGATGGTGTGTTTGCAACCCAAACCATGGGTTCAAGAGCGAAGGTAAGACAGCCCTTGGGAATGCATCTGAAATATCTTGATCTAACACATGAGTTACAGACATTGTGCACACGATTCTTTACTCGTTGCTATTGTTGAACACTGACCTTCATCTCGCCGAGTTGACTAATTCGCAGAGGATGACGCGCGGTCAGTTCATCAAGAATACCATGGCTACGATTCGACGTGGTATCCAAGAAGCTGCGGCTACAGCCAGCGTCGAAGAGGAGTTTAGACAGTCGCAAAGTGCTTCGGTAGCACGTTCCCAGACATCTTTCCAGAGAGGTACCGATGGGGACTCTCAGCTGTTTGCATCCGCATCGGCCACATTCCCCCTAGCTGCGCCAGAACTCCGGGGACACAAGGCAAAAGGGTCGTTGGATTTCGGGCGGGAGTCGAAGGGCTCGCGCTTGAGCCGGATTGGAAACATCGGAAACCTCAGCCCTAGGATCTTGCCGGAGGACCATGCGGAAAAATCAGACTTCGACCTGGACGGCGCTGTTGCGTTGGTCAATGCTCCGATAGGCGGTGGACTCCGGCTGTGGGAAACCCAGCTGGAGATCGTCTTGAAGGACTTTTACCATTCCGTCAAGAATAACGCTTTGCCTCTACATGGAGCGCAGGAGAGGATGGAGTCGTCTCAGTCGGGTGGATTGGCTGTGTTCGGTGGGAACAATGGCATGCTTCGTCGATCACCGAGTACTATCAGCAAAGCGCCGTCCGAACAATCGAAAAGAGGTGGAGACAGCAGCAAATTGGGCGCCAAGTGGTCGTCAAAGAACCGGTCCCGCCAGAGAGTGTACAATGCATCGCACGCAGGATCGAGCAGGACTAGTCTCGAGGACCGATCGATGTGGAGCCCTTCGGCATCTAGCACTTGGAGTAAGTACACGCTTGACAAAACCCAGACTTCCATGTCTGTGGATTCCCTTGGATCCTCGTTTGCGCACTCTGGAGACTATCAACAATCAATAGGATTCGCCGGTGCGCTCAACAACGCTATCATCAGGGAGGAAGGGGCTTCAATGACTTCTGCCGGGGAGGATGACGATGTGGATATACTCGACGGGGATGACGCACTTGAGTTGGAAGGAGCACCATGGGCCAAGGAGGGATTGCTCAAGCATAAGCATCACCTTGAGTCGGTTGATAAGCGGGCCAAGAACCGTGGATGGACCGACTGCTTTGCCGTTATTCAACGCGGCTACATGCGCCTCTTCCAGTTCCCTAGCAAGAGCGGGAAGGGCTCGCATGCCTCTGGTGGTGTCGTCGGTGGTGGTAATTGGACGGAGAATGCAGAGCCGATTGGATCATTCCTTCTGCGCCAGACTCTTGCTTCTGCTCTTCCGCCGCCGGGATACTCGAAGGATAGGCCGAATGTGTGGGCGCTTTCGCTGCCATCCGGTGCAGTCCATTTCTTCGAAGTTGGGACGGCCGAGATTGTCACCGAGTTTGTCACAACTGCCAATTACTGGTCTGCCCGTCTGTCGAAGGAACCCCTGACAGGTGGTGTCAGTAATGTCGAGTACGGCTGGGGCGAGTGCCTGGCTGGTATCGAAACGATTAGTTCATCGCCGCCATCCTCGAATAATCAGGAAAGTGGGGCTCATGGACGTGCAAGTCTTCAGATGAGCATTCGTTCCAGTATGGACCATGGTGCAGTGCGTCCGAGACTCCCCGGAGACAAGATCAACATCAAGGACTGGTCGCCCCCGACTCAAAGTATGCTGGCGTCCAGTCTCGCCGAAAGGGACCAGCTTAAGGCGCTCAAGCACTATGTGGAGAACATTGAGGCTGAATTAGCTAAACACAACGAACTCCAGCATGCCATGAAGCTAGCTGTAAGTCCCACCATCCACTCACCCTTTCACGAATTCCCATACTGACCAGTTGATAGTTCTCCCCACGCCATCCCAACAGCGCCAGGACCATGGCCAATTGGGAGAAGAAGAGCTCGTACCTCTTCCGCGAAATCATCAAATTCACAACCTACATCGAAACCCTCCAATCAGCGATTGAGCGTCGCGAAAAAGTCAGCCAAGACCGGCTCTCGTGGGTAGCCGCAAAGAAGGATGCCGCCGTCGAACGAGACGGCGTATTCGTCATCGAACGCGGCTTCGCCACCACCCCAGAGCCTACGCCGATAGAACTGGATTTGACCGGCTTTTCGACGTCTTTTGAATAGTCCACGACCTCCCCACACCCACCCACCCACACATGAATTTAATGGCCTTTGATGTTTCTACCATCCATCCTGTCTATCTGTCTATCAGCGCTGCATATTCCTTTTCTTTCTTTCTTTTCTTTCTTTGCACTCTCTTTTTGCTTCTTTCTTCTATCACCAAGCTTTTCGATTCTTTACCCACCTTTGTAGTTCCGTTCCCTCTCCTCAGCCCATAAAAACGGAGGGTTGCTTTGCTTTGCTGCGCTTTACTTTTGCTTTACTTTTGCTTTACTTTTGCCTTTGCTTTTACTTTTGCGTGTTATCCGGTTGGGCGTTGTGATTTCTACTTTTTAATTTCTACTTTCATTTTCGTTCAGGGAAGAAGTTGGGTTACTTTACTTAATAGGAAGGGAGAGGGAGAGGGAGAGGGAGAGGGATGGAGAGATGGAGGGGGATGGAGGGGGGGATTTCATTAGGTCTTGATACCCTTTTTTTTTGTGTGTGTGTGTGTTATACTGGTATGATAGGAAGAGCTGAGATCTCAGTGTGGGTCTGTGACGCAGGGAGGAAGGAGGGAAGGAAGGAAAGCGGGAGAGGGAGGGATGTAATTGTTGTTTAGGATACGATACATATACTAAAGAGACGAAGTTGTATGTACCGGTATCGTTCGATCATACCACTGTGAATGGACTCTGGAGAGCCTGCTGGTATGTCCCATGTTCCATGGGGACAGTGCTAGTGGTGGGCTGGGCTTGTCGTTGCCGGATCACGATCGTGTTGGGTGGTGGTTCCTCTTTGCAAAAGATTCATCATTCGGTCCCGTCGGCTACCATACAATGCATTCTGCCCTGTTACAATGGCCGTATGATACTCCATACCAATTGAACGAGCTCAATTTCTAAGTATCGTCACCATACCTTCCCTTCCGCCCACCCATAGTATCCCATCCACACATCAACTCATCCACCCACCTCCCATCTCCATTCCTCCCCCTCCCTCCAAAACACATTCGACAAAAATGCAAAACACCCACCACCACCCTTCACAAACTGCAGATGCCAAAAAAAACCACTACGGGCACACACACCACACACGATCATACATTCTCATGGTATAAGTAAGTAAGTAAGGTAGTCAACCGAACAGCAGCACATCACATCGCAGCACATCGCATCACAGAAACCAAAAAAAGGACCACAAACATTTCAACCTGAACGCCCAAAGTAACAAAAAGCAAAAAGCAAAAAGCAAAAAAGCAAAAGCAAACCTGGAAGGATGAGTATGTAGGGACGGCGGGATACATACATATACATAGTAATGTAAAGGAAAAAAGGGGGATATTGCGAGGACGACGGAAAGGGCCCGAGATATCATCATCAGCCAGCGAGGAAATAAACGGCGGTAAACCTCTCCCCGAAAAGAAACACAGTAAAACCTAGCCCGGAAAGAAAAAAGTAGAAAGTAAATAAAAACCTCCTCTACCATGTACACGCTCGCCCGCTCACCCAGCAGCCACTAAGCTCTCGGGACTCATCATACCACCGTTTCCGTCGTCTGCCTCGGAGATCTTGCTGGCGCTGCGTTCCATAAACTCCTTTTTGACTGGTGGCGGCGCGGCATTTGGCTTCTTTTTCTTTTTGCTGCCACCGCCCTGGCCGTTGAGGGGTCGCTTCCGGGGCATGGAAATCTTTCCTGTCGGTGGGAGACGCGGCTTAGGCGGCCGCTGCTTGAGCGGAAGGTCCTCGTCTTCGATAAGGGGTTGCTCATTGTTGGCGTGGAGCTTGGCCAGGAAGAAGTTTCGCACCAGGTCGATTTGAGGCTTGAGGAGCTCGTGAGTGACTGGTTCGAATGAAGGCGGAGGTTTGTGGCCTTCGTCGGCAGTAGCGCCAGGGCTATGGGTTCAAATGTAAGCAAGCGGAACATGTGGGATGAGAATGGGGGACATACATCTGGATGGGCTGATATGCTTTGTTCATTCTGCCTTGGAGCAGGTGCAAGGGTACGGACAAGGTTGATAAGGAAAACTCCTTATCAAGACCAAGTTCTTTAAATCCAAAGAAATCATCGCCAATGTCCGATGCAAAGTCGCCGCCGATGAATTGCTCACTGCCGTCAACAAAGTTCGCATCATCGCCGGTCGAGTCGGCAAGTGCAGGACGCTGGAAACGGTTAGCACTAGAAATACCCAATAGATGCGCGGTAGACCCACCAGAAGATCTGCAAGGTGGCACTTCATACGCTCATGGATGCTATTCAGCTTCGTACCGAGCCGATCAACGTCGTCTCGGATGTAGTTGTCTAAGCACTCGACATCCGCGCCGTTATGGCAGAGGGTATGTAGTATGGTTTCCTGCAACCAGCCGTTAATTTGATGTGACGCAGGAACCAAGGATGTTACGACCACCTACCTCGGTGTCAAATCTGCGCTCGTGCTGGGGCGCCTCTTGATAAACCATTAGGGTCTTGCCGAGTTTCTGGAAGTAATCCACTGCAATGTCGGTTATGGCATCTATAGCTGTGGGCTGGAATTCCTCGAAGCCGGCATGGTAAAAGACTTTCCCGATCGAACGCTGTAGCGCAGCCCGCGCGACATTCGCACACATCACCGGCCCGTCATCAGATATGACAAAATCATCCACATCCTTCTCCACAAACTCTTTGGGATTGTATTTCGTGAATTGGTTGGCGTACATCTTTAAGCGGGCTATAGTCAGTTACTGTGGCTCCAGGACGGACTGTGTGTTCGTACCTGAGTCTGAACCTGCATCTGCTTGACAACGCCAATCTTTGCACATAGTTTCCTTGTCTCTTGGATCTGTTTGATGTTTCCATCAATTTTGCTGGCGAGTATCGATTTCGACGGGACAAACATCCCCCTAGGTGCAATCCTCACTCGCTCGTCGGGCATTTCGACCTCTTCCTCGTCCCCATCGTTCGCCCAAACTGTTCTCCATGGAATTTCAGGCACGCAAGCCTGTGGGTAGTAATAGTCTGGCAAAAGTATCCCATCCTCTTCTTCCGCATCCCCAAAGAGAGTCCCCACCAGGTCATCCTCCTCAATGTCCTTTAGATGACTTTCCGCGTTCTTGATATGTCTTGCCATACCGATTCTCGAACGTATCAAAGCGGGCTCTTCGGGGTTGATTTTGTTACCGCGAACTAGTTTATGGCGCTCGCTCTAGACAAAACATCAGCCCAATATCCGGCTAGCCAGACAATCAATCGTCCTTACCGCAATCTTTGCCCTCCCCTTCTTGGTAATCTTCTTCCACGCTTGATACTCGGGGTCCTTGCTGTCATCCGCCAGCTTGTCATGGTCCAAATCCAGCTGAGAGATTCCCGAGATCCCGTTCGGCATCGGTGTTCCACCGGTTGGTGTAAGGAATCCGTTTTGACTCATATGGGTGTCGTTTGGCGGGGGATTTGAATCGGCGCGGATGAGATTGACTATTGGGGGTTTGATGTCGGGAGTGCCTTCCCGCGGTAGCGATGCACCTTTTCTCGACTTCTTTGTGCCTGGTCCTTTCCGTCCGCGGCTGGACATTATGGGTTCTAGATAAGGTGTCAACAAAGCCACTCCAGTAATAACGTCACTGGTGAACTACCATCGTCACTTTCTCCCTCGGCATCAACCTCAGCAGCACCCGCTTCTTCCGCCTCTACCTCCGCTCGATCCCGGATAACGATGTCGGGGATTAGTGGTTCTAGGGTAGCTGTGATCTTCTGCATGGCTTTCGCGTGTTTGCGGAGGAAATGGTTCGGGTCGGCATTGTACTTGAGGCAATTCGCCCAGATGAGATTAATATCTTCGACGAACTCCTTCTTGCTTTTGTATTGGTGTTGCTTCAGCTTCTTCATAACTGTGCCAAGGTCCATAGGCTGTTTAATGACTGCAAACGACTGTTAGTCAATGCTTACGGCCATGGTATGCCCTGTGGATATCTCACTCGTGTAGTAATCCGGAGCTTCTCTCTTGTTTACTCTGTTCAGGAATGCCGTGGAATGCTCTGTCATTGCACGCAATTCCAGAACAACCTTTTCCGCAGCTTCATAGAGTTCCTCCTGGCCAACCTTCTCCTCGCTCGCCCATTTAGACCGGTTCTTGCGCACCTCCGACATAAGGTTGCGCAGCTCCATGTCCGAGATCTTAACCCGCTCTCGGGTCGCATCGATACGAGCAATGAGATGCTTCAAGGTCAAGCTTGATGCGCCCAAATTAGCGCTCGAGAGCTTCCCCGGCTGCGTATCTTGAGCCGCATTGGCCTCAGCATTGACCTGACGATCCGATTCGTCCAACTTCTGCTGTTCCAGCATCGCATCGCGGTCGGTTTCCAACGTAAAGAAAGTAGTATGGAACGCGCGCTTCGCCGCCTCCTCGGCGGCCTTGCGGTCGGCCTCCAATTTCTCCCGGGTCGCGACGATATCCTTGGCATCGATGCCTGGTCTCGTCGGGGATCCGGTCGACGTCACCTGCGAGGAAGACAACCGCTTCGGCAGCGGCGGCGGTGTGGCTGGCTTTTTCGCGGGGGCCTCATCCTCGTCCTCGTCGAAGTCATAGTCGTCATCCTCCACGCGCACGGGGGCGGCCGGCTTAGGGGGTTCTGCGGCGGCGGCGGGCGCATCGTCGGTCATATCATGTTCGGCGAATTCCAGCGATGCAATATCGAGCTCGGACGCGGCGCAGCACGGGTGATCGGAGCGAAACAGGGCGTTTATGGATCTCTCGAATAGTTGATATCGGTCGTGGAAGGCGGCCATGATAGGATCGGATTGTTCCTCTCTGTCGGCCACGTCGCCAACGATCTCGGCTGAGAGTGTTCGCGTGCGATCGGCACGGGGGAAGGAGTCATCGCGGGTGGGCTGTAAGCGCTGCCGTTGTGCTGGAGGTAGAGAGGACATGATTTTATACACAAGGGGGGCACAGATTGGGGGATATCTGACGCGAAGGGAGACGTCAGAAGCGTATTCAAGTAGCACGGGTCATAGCCCTCGCGTGCGACAGGCGACCCGCGAAAAGTGGGGACTGGAGAATGGGATGAAAAGCGGGATTTGATATTTTTGCTTGGTTGTGGAAGAAGTATCGTTCCCTCGCGGAGAAGGGGAGGGTTGGAAGTTGTTGTTGAAGAGCCGCCTTAGTCAGGCAAGTCCCATCAGATCAGTCAGGTGGATGGTGGGTTTGGGATTGGCCGAGCTGGAGGTGGCTCTAGTTATGGGTATGGGTTCGTGTAACCCTACGCGGTGCGGCAGGGCGGCTGGTGAATGTGGCTGACGAGCAGCGGTGGTTGGCGGAGGTGAACGTGCTAAGACCATGAAGATGTCATCGGAAGTGGGGCAGGAGAGTGAAGAGAGCAGAGTCGAAACAAAATGGGAGGCAGGAGAGAAGTGTCAGAGGGCAATGGAAGAGGGAGAATAGAGGGTTTACTAGTATATCCAGACACAACGGCACCACTGCATCTTAATCTCATACGACCACATAAGCATCATCCCCGCCATCATCGTCTCCACCATCGATATAGCTATCACTACCACCACCACCATCCATAAACTTCAACTCGGCCGAACTTCAACAAGCACACGGAAAGGCAAACCACGGACCAGTCGATCCTCGGGTCCAACGGACAGACGAATCCCAACCATAACCACGCCGGCAAACTGATGCAATCATAGCATACGAAACGACGCTGCCATGAGGTGAGATTCTGCACCATCACCGCGGAGAACCGTTGTGTTAGTGGGGCTGGTTCACCGAACATGTAGCTAACTCGTCCACACCCACTCTAGAATACGAAAGCCCTTTGCCCTCGCATTTCTGACCTTGTGCCTGATCGCGGCCTACCTCGGTTTCTCCTCACTGCACCTCCCCGTCAACGACAAGTTCCTACACTTCGTCACATTCCTGACCTTGACGGTCAGTTACATCATCTACTCTCCTCGACTTCTTCCGGCACTCGTCTAACCTCTCGGCAGGTATGCTTCTACTGGATTCTCGATGCGAGCCGCCGTCGGGTAGTGAATCTCACGATGGGAGTCTGTACGCTGGTCGGCGGAGTCGGTAGCGAGTTCGTGCAGAGCGTGGCCACAGTATGCTTCCCCAAACAACTACACATGTTTCTTCCATGTTTCACCTTACCAACACCGTCCGTCACAGAGCCGTGAATTCGATCCTCTAGACATCGTCTCGAATCTCCTCGGCTCCGGACTGGGGTTGCTGTTGTGCACCTGGTACCACCGGCGAATGCTCGAGCGCAAGCGCCTCACCAAGCTCTACCAGCCAGTGTCGGCAGAAGACGACGTGGAGTTCGAGAACAACGGTGAAGAGCTACAAGATCTCGAAGCAAGCGCACCAGCACGTGCATTCACTGCCACACCACCAATCCCCGACGAAACAAGGGAAGGAGGGAGCAAGGTACATGCACTCGTATGACGGGAAAGTGCACACCCGGGCCGGTACGCGTGGAATGGAAGGGAAACGAACAGGTCAACCTTGCATAGGTATCGAGGCAGTTCTTTGCTTTGCTTTGCTTTGCTTTTCGTAGGAGGTCCACGGGACGATTACTTGTTTGCATCGATTGAGCTCTGTGTGCCCCATCTTTACTTTACCCCACCATTTCTATCCAAGCATGTGGCAGACGTTGAAGGGGGGCAACTTGGATCCTCGGCATCTGGATTCTGAGGGAATGTCTGTGCGCGAGATGTGTCAAGCGCCGACAAAGAATGTAACCGTGCACAATGACGATGAATAAGCTTGCGCTGCACTGGGATTGGGATGAACCTTTCGGCCATTCAGTAGAATGGAGAAGCTCTGCGTCTCCAACCTGACATACTCGCGTCGCGCTCGCGTCAGTTGACGTCTAGCAGAGCGGTGAAGACGAACCTCCACAAACGTCCACCATCAACCCGGAAGCGCAACCATTGCCTCAAAGACCCCGTGATAGTTATCCACCTACTGCATAAAGTTCTAACCAACACTAATTCCGTCCAAGCTCCCTCAAAACTCTAGCATTTTAGCTTCCCCGCTGCCAGATCTTTGGACTTCCTTTACTATACCCAGAGGCCCTCGAGGTCAAAAGATACAGAATGAAAACCTCCCATTACAGGACTTCATTTACTGCATAACCTATTGTTACCTTACCCTCTAGTAGAATATAGAGATGAGAACGGCTGACCTCCGCTACTGGTGGGGAAGGAACAGGAACTTAGATGTGTGTGGAGTGAATGAATCCCGAAAGCCACCATATACGAGTAGAAATTTATCCCACCCGTTAAAAACCGCTGTTCATCCCTCCTGCTTACAGCTCCAAACGAGAAGATGTGAGTACATACCATTGGCAACGAGTGATACCATGTGGAGTTCCAAGGGTTCCAAATCAGCTGATCAGGCATTAGCGTTCCACTGACGTTGCCACCAACTTCATGGATCCGAAAACCTTCGCGTCTTCCCAGCTCTTTCCACGCGCCACTTCCTTCATCCACCGCCACGATGAGGTTCAAGATTGGGTATGTCCCCTCCAAACTTCGCGATGTCAGTTTTTAACTTGGTGCTAGTGATCTGGAAGTTCTCTTCCCATATCCAAAGATCTATCCAGGTATGTTCCGGAACTCCCCAGTGGTGTCTGATAGCTTGATAGCTAACTCCGGACTCAATCGATAGAACAATATGCGTATGTTTACACCCACGACGACCGGGGCGCTAGAGGTAGCTAACGGGCCTGCGGGAACAAAGCTACATGACAGATCTCAAGCGTACCACCCCAGCGACCGCGACGACTAGTTTAATAGAAGAACTAACAAGCTCCAGGAACGCTCGACGCGGGCGGCCATGGCATCCTCGAGATGCCTTCGGGCACCGGCAAGACCGTCTCGCTTCTCTCATTGATTGTGGCATACCAGCAAGCGTCCGCGGAGCCGCGAAAGCTCATCTACTGCTCGCGCACGATGTCGGAGATCGAGAAGGCATTGGCAGAGTTGAAGGCGTTGATGGCGTACCGCGCCAAAGAGCTGGGATATGTCGAGGAGTTCCGTGGGCTGGGTTTAACCAGTAGGAAAAATTTGTGTCTGCACCCCGGGGTGAAGAGGGAGAAGAGGGGCGAGGCGGTCGATGCGAGATGTAGAAGCCTTACGGCGGGGTTTGTAAAGGAGAAGAAGGCGCAGGGCGAGGATGTGGAGGTTTGCGTTTATCATGATGTGAGCTGCCTCCCAGTAATAACGGTGAACGGGCGACTGATGTGGGGGCAGAATCTGGACCTGCTGGAGCCGAGTAACCTCATCCCGCCGGGTGTATATACGTTCGATGGACTGTTGAAGTACTGCGAGAAGCACACACAATGCCCGTACTTCAGTGCACGGAGAATGGTATGTCCAGTTGAATATCCAACAAGAGTTCGACCGATGCTCACATCAGAAATGTACTAGATGCCGTTCTGCGATGTGATCATCTACTCGTACCATTACCTACTCGATCCTAAGATTGCCGAGCGTGTATCGAAGGAATTCTCCAAGGACTGTATCGTGGTATTCGACGAAGCCCACAATATCGACAACGTGTGCATTGAGTCGCTGAGCATAGACCTGACTGATGACTCACTACGGAAAGCCTCTCGGGGAGCAACCAATCTGGAACGTAAGATCGCGGAGATGAAAACGAGTGATGCGGCGAAGCTACAGAATGAATATCAGAAGCTTGTTGAAGGCCTGCGGCAGGAAGATGAGAGGAGAGAATCTGAAGATTCGTTCATGGCCAATCCTGGTGGGTTTATCGTATTACGATACGGAGCGTATGAGCTGACGAGGTAATAGTGTTACCTGATGATCTGTTGAAAGAAGCAGTGCCTGGTAATATCCGGAGAGCTGAGCATTTTGTGGCATTCTTGAAACGGTTTGTCGAATATTTGAAGGTATGTAAATGCTTGGGATGTCGGTTGGATACAAACATGCTGAGTGTCTGCAGACACGAATGAAAGTCCTGCACGTCATCTCGGAAACTCCAGCATCATTCCTTAAGCATCTAAAAGACTTGACATTCATCGAGAAGAAGCCTCTGAGGTTGGTTTCCACTCCTTCTACACCGTGGGAAAGTATTGACGGGCTGTCCGTAGGTTCTGTGCGGAACGGCTCACATCTCTCGTACGCACTCTGGAGCTGGCCAATATAGAGGACTACCAACCATTACAACAGGTCGCAACATTTGCAACCTTAGTGGCAACATATGAGAAGGGGTTCCTATTAATACTGGAACCATTCGAATCTGAAGCTGCCAAAGTGCCTAATCCCGTCCTACACTTTACCTGTCTGGATGCCTCTATTGCCATTAAGCCTGTGTTCGACCGCTTCTCGTCGGTCGTCATAACCTCGGGGACAATTTCCCCGCTGGATATGTACCCACGGATGTTGCAATTCGAGACGGTCGTCATGGAGTCCTACACCATGACTCTAGCGCGACGTTCCTTCCTTCCCCTCATCGTAACCCGCGGTAGCGACCAAGTAGCTGTCAGCAGCCGATTCGAGATCCGCAACGATCCCGGTGTCGTACGGAACTACGGCAGTCTCCTTGTCGAATTCTCCAAGATTACCCCCGACGGGATGGTCGTCTTCTTCCCCTCCTACCTTTACATGGAGAGCATAATCAGCATGTGGCAAGGCATGGGGATCCTCGACGAAGTTTGGAAATACAAGCTCCTCCTAGTGGAAACTCCCGACAGCCAGGAAACCAGTTTGGCTCTGGAAACCTACCGCACCGCCTGCTGCAATGGCCGCGGCGCAGTAATGCTCTGCGTCGCGCGCGGCAAGGTGAGCGAGGGAATCGATTTCGACCATCACTACGGACGCACTGTGCTCTGCATAGGAGTTCCATACCAGTACACCGAGTCTCGAATCCTCAAAGCGCGCCTCGAATTCCTCCGCGAGAACTTTCGGATCCGGGAGAGCGATTTCCTCTCGTTCGACGCGATGCGCCACGCCGCACAGTGCCTTGGCCGTGTCCTCCGCGGGAAAGATGACTACGGAATCATGGTGCTCGCGGATAAGCGCTATGGCCGGAAGCGAACACAGCTTCCGAAATGGATCGCGCAGGCCCTTCACGAGAGCGATGTCAACCTGTCCACGGATATGGCGGTTGCAGCGGCCAAGAAGTTTCTCAGAACTATGGCCCAGCCCATGGAGGAGCGCGACGGCATATCGACGTGGACGCTGGCGGAGCTCGAGGAACACCAGCGGAGCAACGCGGTGGGTGGCAGGGTTGAGGAGGTGACTGGGAAAGATGCCGAGCAGATGGGCAATGGCGACGGCGATGATGTCGGGAGTCATTACGATTTCTCGGATGAGGAGGAGCTCGCGAAGATGGATATTGATGTGCCCCCAGTGGCGGTTTGAAGGATGGAGTGGATGTTAGCTTGCATAGCATTGGATAGGTTGTAGATTGAATTCACACACACGTGTGGCGTTGGTTGCACTGTAAACATCGCACGGTGGCTGTGGCTTCGTGGAGGGAGAGAGAACATCAATTCATTTCGCATATGTACAGCCTTTCCAGATTATGACTAATCAAACCAACCTGACCTGTCCTGCCCGCCCTGCAGAGGGTCAGGATGGAAAACCCGCTACCGTACAGTCAGTTGCGGTGCTGTGGCTTCGTGAAGAGCTATTTTCTTGCGCACAGATTTTTGATGACTGTAAGTGACCGAGTGATATATTATGAGGATTTTCTCCGCTTGGAACGACATCCCGAAGGCAGTAAGGTTGACAACCTACCTTGGAACCGCCCTGACAGTGTGTATCGCTGCAACTTGTCGCCATTGACACTTGACGTCTCACCCACTTCCATCCTGGAAACCGAGCGAGTGATAATGCAGCATCCGCTACAAATACTACCTACCTAAGTTAGACTGATAGACTAGAGCATAGTTGTAGAGTAGTGGTAGCGGATGGCTACGTCGTGGCTGGATTCTAGGGGCATGGCATAGGAAGTATGCTCTTCCCCTCCCCCATCTCACGATGTGGAATCGGCCTGGCAAGAAACCTAGGCATCGATCGATGGCGAGTGACAAGTAGGTTCGCTGTGACCTCGAAAGCACCCAGCTCCAATGCGGAGCGGCTTTCTCATTTGATTTGACCGACTTGGGCGGAGGAATAGCTAGCTAACTAGAATACAAAGTTCCTGGTATCGAGTAGGCGTCGAGACAAGTACATGAATGTATGTACTGAACTTTGATATCTCTAAATGGAATCGGTATCCGAGTAAACTCCTGGGAAATGACAGCACCCTTTGCCGTCCAAGTCAGACCGTCTTCAACGCGGAAGATGCGGCCTTCGAAAAAAGACTTATACCTACCCAAGTAGCTGTCTTTCCAGAAACCTCCCAAGCTCGTCCGGAACCGGGACGATGCAATGCATCACCACATGTGTCTGAGTTTGTTATAGCGAGAATAGGTACTTTGGGGGTTATTTCCAACCCCCCCTTATGTGACTACGCTGAGCTCTTTCTTCGGGATTGGACGGGCTGCACCCCCAAGGTGGCTCTGCGGCAGCCTGCGGGTCGGCGGTGAGAACTTCAGCAAGCTCTTCGCCGTTTATAGGTACATAACTCTGGCGTTGACCATATGCCCACATAATCTAGGGAACTTGTATAGCGTTTCTGCTCCTCCTTTTTTGTTCACCTGAACGGAATGGGTCAGCCTCCAGCTTGAAGAAATATTCTATTGAATGTATGTACTCACACTGTCGTGATTGTTCACTGGGCTGGGGTTGTTAACTAGTGGTGTTGATAGGAGGCGGAGAGTGTCCGGGGGCTGTCCAACATCAAAATTTCTTGATGTGTATATGTAACGAGTAATGACTGGATTCCGAAAAGGTCTCATGGACTGAGGTCGGGAAGCTTTGTATCGTGGGAGGGAGGAGTCATTGCTGTTGTCGTCGCCATGGGGATGGAGCTTCATTGGAGAGGAATACTGCTACTGTCCACTAGTTAACAAGGGACGAAGCTTAATCGAGAGAGCTACGGAGCTCTACCGAGTTGGAAAGGAACAAAAATTCAACAGAGAAGCCTGGACTCGCTGTCGTCCAATAGGGTTTTCCGATCAGCACCTCTCTCTCCGACGAAAATTTCTTGCAGCTTTTCTCGTTTTCTTGCCGCTCGCCACGTTCTATTGGAAGCTTCACGGAAAGTCGCTTACGTGAGCCAGTTCCGGGTTCCAGCTCTAGGTATAATAGGGATGTAACCATATGACCAGGGAGCTTCCGATTCAGCTCTCGTACCCAACCCCGCACTGTATCCCATGGCCACCGCGACCGTCGCCCACTGTTACTATTGCTTCGACGTTCTCACGGCGAAGCTCGAAGGCCGGCCTCCGCACTCTCTTGCCAAAATCGAAGCTCTGTTGGCTGCACAGAAGCTGTCGCAAGCGAGCGGACACTCCGGCCTCACCAACGGTCATGCCGACCTCACCAACGGTAATTCCGTCCACGCCAACGGTCATAGCCAGACAAACGGAACCGCCGCTCACCCGCAGCCAACGAAGCAAGCCGAAACACCGCTGTTCGTCACATGGAAGAAGAGTTCGTCGTCGTCGGCGGACCACAGGCTGCGCGGGTGCATCGGCACTTTCGACGCAAAGCCGCTCAACAGTGGGCTGAAAGACTATGCGCTGACCGCGTAAGTTCCACTCCCCCTCCACTCCGCGACATTTCCTAACATCTCCCCCGCTTCCTCTAGTGCCCTCCACGATACCCGCTTCGAACCGATCTCGCGCAGTGAACTCTCGCGCCTCGAGTGCGGCGTAACGCTGCTGACCGACTTCGAGCCGGCGAAGGACGCGATGGACTGGACGCTGGGCAAACACGGCCTGCAGATCGACTTCGTGTACCATCACAGGAGGATGGGCGCTACGTATCTGCCCGACGTGCCGGTGGAGCAGGGCTGGACGCAGGAGGAGACGCTGGTCAGTCTCATGCGCAAGGCGGGCTGGACAGGCAGGAAGGATGAGTGGAGGAAGATCCCGCTCAAGGTTACGAGGTATAGGGGGAGTAATGCGACGGCTAAGTGGGCGGGGTACAGGAAACTCGTGGGCGATGGCGCCGAGGATGATGATGATGAGAGGGACGATGACGATGACGACATGGATGAAGACGAGGAGGACGAGGAGGAGGATGAGTAGGGGGCGCGAGCGCTGTTTATAATGTTACGATCTAGAACGCGCACTTGTTTTCGGTGGGACTGCTCAGTATAGAGAATAGATCCTGAGAATTTATGACAAACACATAACTGCACGCCACCGTGATACTTGTCCGTAGCACCTCAGCTTTGCTTCTTCGTTGGGAGTAAGCAGCCCGAATACTCCGTCGCCGAGTGATACACTGTGGTATTCCCATGACAAAGCTCCGGCTAACCAAGTACTCTACCTGTATTGCTCGGGGCACCAAGAAACATTTTGGTTTTGAGAAATCGATACTATGAGCCAGACGACTCCCCAGGGGTTGCAGGAAAAAATTCCAAAAGCGGCTCATATTTCTTGACTTCCTTTTGTCTGCGTCGTCCTGCTCTGATCTGAGAGTACCTATCGTACGGTACGCACGAATGAATCATCATCCATGAGGTAGGCACGATTTTAACTACGGTTATCAAGATGTTCCCCAGCATCCTTGCTGGCCGGCTGCTAACTAACCAACTAGTTTGCAAGTACTAGTCAACCCCGCTCCTCGCCAACTGCGGAAGCGCCTGTCATGCCCAACCCGGGCTCTGGGGATACGAGCCAAGCCTGCCCAGGTTCTTCATCAACCTCAGGCTCTGTCTCGCTTCGGTTTCGAATCTGATGCAAGAGTTCCATGACAAAAAAAACAAGGGCGCGTTTATAATCCAGGTGCCCTACCTACCTGCTAGTAACTAGGTAGCCGCCCCGGTCCGACAGCGACAGGTAGGTATGCACTGAAACCGTACAGATGTGTCAAGAGTCGGACTTCCAAACTGGACACGGGCTGGTTGGCCTGGGTTGGGTTGGGCTGGGTCGCGGCGGGGGGGAAGAGCTCTGACGTTTCGATGTTGCTGGTCCATTCCGATACGATACGATACGATACGATACGGCGCGGGGCGGTGCTGCTCCTCCCCTGGAGAAGAAAGAGGTGTTGGTCGGTGACGATGGTGAGGCAGCAGCCACAAGCCACCACCGCTCCGTCCGTCTGCTGTGCATCGCATTCGCTGTGTCGTGTTGGTTGGTTGGAACTTGGTGCTGCAGCTGTAACAGCCACCGACACGGATCTCGCAGATCCCTTCCATTCGAAACTTCTGCTACGTCTTCCGTGCGGAATGGAAAGGAAATCATCACTGCTGCCCTGCCACACAGCCGTATATATACCGCCCCTCTCTCGTGCTTCCCAACTTGCCCTCCCATCCAAAATACCATCCAGCAATCGGTCACTTCCTCGATCCTCATTCTTCCCTTCCGTCCGTCCGTCTATAGACTACTTGTAGTTTCTTTACATTCTTCGCATAATACGCACCCTGTCGACCGGCTCGACTTTTTATACACTCCATCTTTTGCCTGCAACCATCACATCACGTACTTTTTGGGCTCCTTCCTCCTCCGCTGAAAAAACAACTCATCCATCCATCCATCCATCCGCCGAATCGTCTCCATCGTCCAACCACGCAAAAACAAAACAGAACAAAACAAATACAACACAACACAGCAAATATGCAGTTCACGCTTAGCACGCTCCTCGTTGCCGCCGTCGCGTTCATTGGCTTGACCATGGCCGCACCCATCGGAAAGCTCGCCGCCCGTCAGGGTGAGTCCCTTCCTTCCCGTCCCATGGACAGCCACGTCCTCTCCTTCCAGTGCTAACCGCTCGATCTGCAGTCATCACCTTCGGCGACGACGGAGTCCCGTCCATGTCTGGCGCCGGCGGTGCGGTGATCCCTTACAGCAACAACTAGTTGGTGTCCGCGGACCGCGAACTGTTTCCTACGTCTGTCTGTCTGTCTGTTTGTTTTGCATCGAGCGGGCTCGGGTGCACGGCCCAATCCAATCCGACCAAGGATGTGGACCACCACCGTGCCTCCTCCCCCCGCTCTGGCTGGGTGTTTTTTCTTCTTCCTATTTTTTCTTCTCTCTCTCCACGACGATTCGAATCATTGGTGAATGAAATGGGTGCATGTGTTTGTGTTCGGAGCGACGGGATGAGACCCTCCAAGTACGTGCTGCAGAGTACTCGCTATGAGAGGAAGGCCACTGAAATGGAGTTGGTTGGGTGGGGGGGGGGGGTATTTTGTTCTTTCTTGCTTTCTTTCCTTTGGGGGGTTTCTTTCTTCGCTTCGCTCGGCTGGCTAGACGCTACTATACGTTTCTTTGATTTGTTGCTTCATTCCATGGCTGGATCTTTGGGTTTTTTTCTTCTTTTCTTCTGCCCGGCTGTGCCTGTGGCTCTTCTTACCCCGTGCGATCGCTTTGGTCCCCGGGGCTTTCTTCTTTTTCCCCTTTTTCTTATTTCATCTAACGGATCACTTGGTCCCGCGGGCTTCTTCTTCTTCTTCTTCCTCTTCTTCTTGGGGGGGGGGGAGGGGGGGTGTTTTTATAGTGTTGGTTGATTGGACGAGGACGGTGGCGGGGGGCATTGGGCATTGGGACGTAACTGGAGGTGGCGGATAATCGGTGGGGCCGTCCTTACTTTGTCAAGGGGGATGGCCGGGACGAGGGACGAGGGAGTGTAGGATATGTACGAGCTGGCTACTTAAGTGGCTATATGTAGTGGAATACTTACGACGTTACGAGTTCACGGAATCGTCTGTCTGTCCGCGTGCGTGCGTGCGTGCGGTGATATTGGGTGTTCGAAGAGAACAGCTTGGGATCTCGCCGTCTATGCCGATGGCAGAGCATTCGTGACGTCCCCACCGAACCCGCCCGCCCCCATCTACAATCCGCCACGCCATTGGCCGCAGCGAGATGCATCAGGCCTCAGCTCGAGACGGTACCGCCCCCAGACCTGAAACCGTATAAAAGCCAAGAATTATGCACCCGCCCATCAACCTACCTACTTGCATCGCGAGCTTGGGTGGAGTAGAGAGCCTGAGACAGCACCACGTGCTGCGCTGAGGCTGGATGTTGGATGCATACATACTACATAGCGGAGTTATCCAGGGTATCAATATCAATGTCAATATCAATAACAGGAGCCGGGAAGACGGGAGTGTGCTCCCAAGCAACGTCTCGAGCCGGGGGATCAGAGATGCATGTTTGTGTCTTATGCCACTCTACTTTATGTATCGAGTTATATGCATAAGTAGATATTCCAGGTAGAGAGACGTCTGCGCATACCTAGTCGGCACTATCCCAGCCATACACAGTCGGCACTGTCACAGCCCCGCATCCCCATCACTCGCTTGTGAGATATCAATATCAAATACCTACCACTGATAACTGTTACTGTTTCCTCGCGGGTAGGGGTATCCATGGCATGTGCCGCTACCAATATCAATACCAATAACTACCAATCTCGCACGTTTGAGTGGGGGGGGGGGACCTGGAACGGAGGAACAGACTGCCGGGAATGATTTGTAAGATTAGGTACTTTCCCCACACTTTGTGGGTGGATGCTTGATGCTTGGTTGGTTGGTGGGGGGGTATGCTTGCTGGCGTAAAATGTAGGTATCTACCAACTCGTGCGGAACAATCAGGTAGAGACGATGGCAGCCGGCTACCTACTATAGTAGAGTGGTTAGGTTCATAGTCACTGGTACCGGTGTCGGTGTCGGTGTCGGACCCGCTGGCTGGCCCCACGCCCCACGCAAGTTTCGCAAGTAGTGCAAGTTTCGCAAGTTTCCGAGTGATCGAATAGGTACCTGCATACCAGCCTATGCGGCAGCATCAAGTGGCTGGGTACATACACCATTCAGCGGCCTCGCCCTTCAGGCTTCAGAATTCCTTTCCCTTTCTCTCCCTCCCTTCCGGCCGGCGGGAAATCACTCGCCACCTCTCGTCACCTCTCGTCGCCTCTCGGATTCCCCGCCCGAATAGGCAACTCTAATCCGCACCCTCTGCCTCACTCGGTTTCAACTTTCAGCCATGGTGTGACCGGGCCGGATAACGTTTCAGTAAGCACCGTTGCATTTTTCTTCATTCATTTTATTTCTTTCTTCGGTGAACACCTGGTAGGTCAGGTACATAAAAGTAGGCACCAAGTGACTGACTGACCAGGTAACTAGCGCTCAGCTCACTCGCGACCGTTTCAACTTCCAAGCTTCTCTTCTCTTCTCTTCTCTTCTTTTATACTACCAGTTATAGAGTAGATTATATGCATGCATGCATTACAGGTGGGCACTCACTGGGTGTGTTTAAGCGATTAAGCGTTTAATGTTGTTTGGTTTGGTCGTTGGTTGTTTGGTGGTGAAACACTGGAAGTCTGGAACCCGGCAGGCCTTGCGTGCGTGCGTGCAGTAGAGTGATTCCGTGTAGTCAGGACCGGGAGGTTATCGACTGTGATACCGATAAGGATGTTGGGGAAGTCTGTGAGTCTATGTATTGCATACATGCATCATCAGCAGCTGGGGGGGGGGGGGGGGGGGGGGGGATGAGGACGTATGGAGTAGACGAGTCGACTTAGCGAAGCGCTGGGTTGGGAGGGGGTTTATTCCACACATAACAACCGTGCTCACCACCGGTCACTCACCGCCATCCGGTCGACGGTCAACGGTCGTGTCCTGAAACCCATTCCCGGGGTGGGTTGCATACATGCATGTATGCAGTCGTGTTAACGATTGGCTTCAATGGCTGGAGACGTCCCAATTTCCGTGCGCTTGGTCTAGACTGTTGGTCCGGCCTGTTGGGGGGGTGAGGGGTCATCGACAAGCTGGCATACCCAAGTATCCCCGTATCCGCCGCATCTGCGGTATCCTCGTATCACACCGGGGCAATTTCCAGCTCCAAGTTCCCAACATGTATGCCAAACGTCAGCGCGAAAGCACTGACGGGGGAGGAGAAGATATCCACCCGACTCCGACTCCGACTCTCCGACTCCGACTCCGACTCTCCGACTCCGAACATCATGCTTTGTCACTCAGGCATCGCTCATCTATCGCTCAGCCCTACAGGCTACATACAGGCTACAGGCTACAGCTGTAACCTGTTGCCCATATCTATAGTAGTACTATAGTTAGCCGGGTGCTGAAACCGCCCGCCAGGCCTGGGGTGTGTTGCATGTACATACCTCATACATGCATACCTCATACTTGGTAGGCACATGCATAGGCAGTTGTACATACTCGCCTTGGATACCGACCGACCACCAGCTGTGTGGAATATACCGGTACTCTAGTAGAGACGCTGTTGGTGTTGGTGTTGCTCCGCGCCGGGGATCCTTCCTCACTCCCTCAGTCGTGCGGGGGAGAAGTGGGGGAGGAAAGGGTTTTATCGATAGGGCACCGTCGTCCTGTAGCGTGCTTGTTGGAGCCGTCGTAGAGTCGTCGAGGAGTCTGGTAGGCCCCATCCAGGTCTGACAGATAGACTCCGGAGGGAGAGAGGGAGGGAGGGAGGGTTTGCCCGTTGACGAGCCTGACAGGCCTGTGGGGAATGCACACTCTATTGCACACTCTATTGCATTAGGTATATGGTTAAGCGCACCGAACCTTCCCCACCTTCCCCACCTTCCCCACCTTCCCCACCGCCCCCTCAGCTCTCCTCAGGATCGTGGCCGTGATAGTGGGCCGTCACGCCCGTGACTTCCCGTCCGTCACTTCCCGTCCGAAGCCGAGTAACTATAGTACTAGGCAGTGTGGATAACGGCGAGCCAGCTTCAAAACATCTTCAAAACATCTTCAAAGCATCTTCCTGCCGTGCCCTACCGTGCTCTACCGTCCGTCTGCGGGCTACCTAGATGGAGCATCTGTATACCCAGGTAGGTACGCTGCCATGTGCCGTAGTTGTGCGGTATCTGTCGATCCAGAGGCTTCCAGAACTCCAGAACTCCCTGTCTGTACTACCCGTCCGTACTCCCCATCCGTAGGTACACGAGATAGTCATACCAATATCTCTCCGAGTCTCTCCCTCTCTGAGCCCCTCCGTGCTCCTCCCGAGTCTCCCTCCCGAGTCTCCTCCCGAGCCCCCTCCGAGCCCCCAACCCAAAAACCCAAAGCCCAAAAAACCCCATAAAACCCAAAAACCCGCTCACTACGCCTAACCGTAACCCAACTGTAACCCACGCCACCACGCAAAGTCACCACGCAAAGCTACCACACAAACTCACTCCGCAATAGCAAGTTGTCAACTGGCAACGGAAAGCCTAACCTTAACCCCCGCCCCCCTCCCAAGACCCGAGGGCCAAGATTTCCGCCTCACCGCCCAGACAGGGCAATATTCTTTCTTTCAGAATTTCAAAAACGGAAGACACCAAAACGCTCCACGGAAAACTTGCGAAACTTGCAATGCTTTACCAGGCAGTAGGTATGCCACTCATAAAGACCTTTGAAGTTTGTGTATCTATTGTACAATGCATACTGTGCTAATCCTCATATGCGGCAGTTTATCATAAGAACTGACAATTCGAAAGCTGTTTCCCTTCCCTTGCAACACCTCCTCACCGCTTAGGCAAGAAACCGAGTAACAGCAAAAAAAAAAAAGGTAAAAAAGGTAAAAAAGGAAAAATTGAGACGAACCGGACGTATAAGGTTGATACCTTATATACGTCCGAAGCCAAAGAGCAGCAGCTAGTAAAACCATCAAGAAACAAATATACCGAAAAGAAAAAAGAAAAAAAAACCCCCCCGTAAAATTAAACCGAATCATAACCATGAGTGAAAAGAAAAGAAAAAGAGAAAAGAAAAACAAGTGTCCTGAACGACAAACTCCATAGGATAACAAATGTATTCCGAAAACAAACTAACGCCGATGTATTCTTTTCGCACCAGGAAGGATACCAGCCCTTTATGCACCGAACGCCTTTTATCCAGAGAAGCCAACAATCAAGATATCCGTAATTTTGGAAGATCTTGAATGTCTAGTGCGGTTATTGCTGTGTCCGTGAATATCGTATTCAGAAGCGTTGCGGGGCTAGGCAGACGGCGCGAGACCACGATGATGAGACAAGGAAGAAAAGAAAAGAACAGACGATCCGGTTTCGTGGTTCACGTGACGCTCGACTCGAGCATCCAGTCCTGGTTCACAAACTCGCCCCACGCGTCCTGATCGGCGGCGTACTGTTCGATCGGTGCCGAGTCGAATTTTCCGAACGCATCCGATCCCGCTAGCGTCGTCCCATCGCTGAACAACGAGTTCAGGAGATCGTCCTCCTGGTTTTGATTGTCGTTCAAGAAGCTAGGGTTGCTCGCGGTGCCCACGTTGAGATATGGAGAGTCGACTCTGCTAGGCTGCCACTTCAGCTCCCCGGTGGTGGTCGCGAGGCCATCCTCGGTCTTGGACTCGAAGGGATCGCTCTGCTGATTGGGACTCAGACTCGTGGTGAAGCCTTTGCTGGTGGTGTACGTGGTGCCGTTATCGAACCGGTCAAAGTTTCCGGGAATGTTGAGACTGTTCGCACTTGTTCCGGCAAAGAACCTGGCGGATTCGGCGGGAAGTTCGTTCGAGAACAGATAGTTCGAGTAGGGTTCCTCCTCATTCGACATGGGAGATGACAAGGGTGGTGGCTGGGGCGGAGACTGGTACGCCGGCATGCTCGAGTACAAAGGCGTGGGCCGACAAGAGGACGGCGTTGGCATCTGTTGGATGTGAGGCATGTTTGCAGCGAACTGGTCTTCTTGCGAGACGTGAGTCTCCGGCGAGAGCGAGGGCGAGTTTGATGTCCGTTTGATCTCGGCGGGCTGGGCTGCCCTTATCATCATCGGCTGTTGCTGCGGAATGTGCGTAGACATGGCCCTGCCATGGCTGTGGCTGCTACCACCGGCGGGAGGAGCATAAGGCTGCTGGCGATAGGCGGACTGTTGCTGTAGAGGCTGTCTGAAGAAGGGATACTGCTGTTGCTGGAGAGCGTATCCACCGGGGAAGGTCTGATGCGGGGAATAACCGGTAGCCACTCCCATATTCACGCCCATGCCCATACTCGCCTGACTCATAGCCATCCTGTTGTTCAGTTCTCGGTCCACGGCATTCCTCATGTAAACCTGGTGTTGGTAGTAAGCGGCGAAACGGCGATCGATGGGTCCACCGCCCATAAGCGCGCTCAGGTTGCGGTAGGCTGTGGTCACGTCGTCGTCCTCCTCCTCGTACATCTCCTCGTTGACGACATCGGCCTCGGTGACTCGGAGAGCTCGGCCGGTCCTTTTCTTGTGGATCTCCGAGGCTCGGCGGGCAGATTCGATTCTCGCCTCGAGACTTCTATCACTTCTTCGGGACGCAGCAATGTAGGCTCTGTGAAGTGGCAATCAGCTATCCCACCCGATCCCATGCAGACGGAGACAAGTGCTACATACCGTTCCTGATTCTCTTCGTGTGTGCGTTCAGACTTGACCGGCTTGGAAGCCGGCTTGGAATGTGCCGTTCTCTGGGGTGGCATGACCGACGATGACCGAGAATACGCTGGGGTTTACGGGGGAGCGGTGTGTGGGTGGGTGTGTGTGATTGCACGTTCTAATTGCGTCCGGTGGTTCAGTCGGAGAATATTGGGAGAGGCGGTTGATGGAGGGATCTATTATGGGATGATGGTCGTGGTGATCGGGTATGCGTGAGCAGGAGGAGGAGGAGATGTAGTGTGCAGAGGTCCAGATCGTCGATTCGGAGGGGCAGAAGGGAATCCTTAAGTGCGGTGGCCGGGTCCGAGACAGCAGAGAGGGAGCAAAGCGAGTATGTAAGAGTAACAGCGGGGAGGGAGGGGTGTGTGAGAGTGAGTGGGTTGGGGGAGGGGGGCGGAGGGTTCGACACCGGATAAACCGAGACACAACGTGCGTGAGGAGAGCGCCGGGGTTGTGAGGAGGGGGGTGGGAGGCTGTTAATTGCTTGAGTTTGTTGGGGAAAGTATGAATGTTTTTTTTCCTTTCCTTTCTTTTCTTTATCTCCCAGGAAGGAGAAGAAGGTGCGGTAGGGTAGGAAGGGTAAGTATAGTAGCCTGACTGACAGTCTGGGGAGGGGGGTGGGGAAGGAAAGGGCTGGCAGAGGTTGATACGGAGCAGCGAGGGCGCCGGGAGGGCGGTAGAGTTTCCAACATAAATGCTATCGGCTCTTACGTCCAAGGGTCCAGAGCAGCCGCGCTGGTTAATCATGGTTGCACGGCAGTGAGCGAAGGCGAAGGGTGAACAACACGTCTGGGCGCCGCACGCAAGCAGGCAAGCAAGCAGGCAAGCAAGCAGGCAAGCAAGCATGGTCTGGAGGGAATGATGGAGAAGGTCGCTGGGCAGGGGGGGGGGGCTCTTCTTTTTTTCCGGCTCTTGGTGGGCAAGTCTGGCGCGCTGGCTCTGCTCTGACGTTGCTCGACAGGCGGTGGAGCGGGAGGAACTGGGGGGAGGTGAGGAAAGGGAGAAGTGCAGAAAGGGAGATGGGTTGGGGGGCGGACTGCGCCGCGATGCCACGAGCAATGTCTAAGTTACGGAGATCGGACAGCCAGATTCGGCTGCAGGTGTGGGTGGACCTTGGCGAGTTTCATGGGGTTTGAAGATTGGCGGGAGATGCGGAAAACGGTGTGGTGGTGGTGGTGTGCATAGGTGGCTGCTTGCCGATGGTAGGGCCGCATGCTTTCATTTCATCCACCGACGGACGCAGCAGGGGCGGCGTGGAAGCCCGGCAGCATCGCGATAGGTGCTATCGATAATAGTTACAGCTGCTTTATGGAGACATCTGCGGTTCTGTGCAATGCTCACTGCATCTACGGCTCTGTGCAATTGCTCGCTACATCTATGGAACTGTAAATGCTCTGTGCCAGCGCTTGCCGCCTCTACAATTCCATAGATCCTCTGTCCAAACACTTGCTATCCTCTCCACCTCCGAGAAGCCCACGGAACTCCGAGCGCGCCCAAGCAACCAAGGGTGTAATGCCGAATCCTGATGAATTCCAAATACCTAGCATCATACCTGCCATACTACCATACCTCCTACCTATCATACCTCCCCACCCAACCCACTCCGTAACCCAACCCAACCAGTGACACAGCCCGAACAGATATTTAGAGTGCTCTACTAACGACGTTTGCCACGGCCGCGCGACGATGACCCTGATTTGCGGGGGGCAGGGACCCGTGGGAAGCGGTGAGGGAGGCAGAGAAAGAGAAAAATAAAACACCGCACCGCATCGTCACCTCACGACCACGGCGTCTTCCTGATCCTCCCTGATCCTCCCTGATCCTCGCAGTCCCAAGCCGGTGTCTCGAATCTCGCATGTCCCTGTCGACGGGCGACGGGCGAGTCGCCCTTACAGACCGCCCTTACAGACCGACCAGACCGACCGACCGACAGGAGACCGCCGGTTCCCCAGCAATATGCAGTTAGCTCCTCTCTAGTAGTCGACCGACTACCGTATCGTATGTACCAGTCAGTACCAGCGATGCAAGCGGCCAGGGAAGGAAGCGGAAGTGTGCCCCCCCCCCCTCCCCACCACCATCACCAGAGAGAACTGAGAGAGAGATACGCGAGCCGCGCTAGCCCCGTCAGGCATAGACCAGATCGTTGCACGCCTGTGGATGGGCGCTCAGATCTTCCACCCCCCTGGCTCCCCCCGGTTCAGAGCTAGGCGGCGGAGGATGGTTCCGGCCAATCAACAAGCCGGACGCGGTAGAGTACGGAGCTTGTCGTCATGGCTTGGAAGGGCAGCTGCGGATGTTGAGGGTGTGGGGGCAGATGGCGTGGAGATTTGTGTGCAGCTTTGTGTGTGTCCCGTGTGCGTGTGTCCCGTGTGTGTGTGTGTGTGTGTGTGTGTGTGTGTGTGTGTGTGTGTGTGTCTCTCCTCCTCTGACTATCGATCTCGTGTTGCACAGTCGAGTAACCATCTACCGGTAGTGGCGGCGGGCCCTCGAGGGAGGCAGGGAGGGAGGGAGCGAAAACGTCCGCACCATGAGTCCGTGACAGGCTTGCCTGTCTAGATACCTTCGAGGGAAACGTCCGAAACCGAAACCCGTGACGGCGTGACGGGCGCCGGAAACTTTTTGGCAGTACTCTAACTACCCTAACTACTTCCCGGAAAACTCAGTTGATGAACGGGAGATGCTTCTGATGCAGCTGGTGCCGTGGCTCGCTGTGTCGAGTTGTGTAGGAACTCCGTCTCTATCTCTATTCTGCATAACGGTACTCTATTCACCGTTTGTTCTACTTTAACTTCACTCCTGTGATAGCCATGAACAGTACTAACCAGTAGTAACTAGTACCAGGTAAGTAGCAACTAGCCTATCGCGCCCTTCATCCCCGAACCGCTTTCGGAAAACCTGACAACCCTTCAACCCAGCCAGCTTCACGAGCGAGCGAGCAGCGAACGACCCTGTCCGCCAGTCCGAGCCGCTGGAACCCGCTCCCTTGCGAGCAGCTGTGTGTGTCGGATACCTCGATCCCGTCCGCAGCATGCGTCTTATCTCGTGCGGAAGCGATCTGTGGAGCGGCCTGGCCAGGACCGGGGGGAGGGGGGGGGGGGGGGGGAGGGATGGCAAGATCTTCCAAGATCTCCATCCAGATCCATCTCCATCTCCATCTCGCCGAAGCAGCAGCATAAGCATAGATGTTCAAACCCCAACCCTAACCCCGAAGCCTAGAGTTAATGATCACCGCTCCTGCTGCTCGGCGACTTTGCTTTCCGACACGAGTGGGCATGGAGGTAAGTCCGTACGAGTAGGTAAAATCCGCAATCCCCGGCACCATCTGGGGGAGGGGAGGGCGGACCCCGCGCGTGCCCGCTTCCATCCTTCCTTCCTTCCATCCATCCAGTCATCCATCAATCCGTCGTAATGACCTCACCAGCCTCACGTGCTATGTAAACCTATCGAGGATTGAGGGTTCAGAATTCAAGAAGCAGCAACCACGGAACGGAAGACTGAAGTTGGAACGGGACTACGGAAGCGCGGTTAGCTAACTATTTTAACTATTTCGGGGTATTGCGTGTGTGGCTTGCAGCTTTCCACTTGCGCCCCGTGTCCACTGCCCTGACCTGACCAAATCAGTCCAGTCCAGTTCCGACAGCTAGATAGATGCTCAATTAGCAATCCTGACCAACCAACCAGCCCGCACCACTACCAGCCCGCACCGCACCACTGCCAACCGCACCCTCGGGCCTCCGGGAGTTTGAGCCGGCCCCAGCCAAACATCCCGAGCCGCTCGCTCATGGGAGAACTCCGGCACAGGGTCAAATCGGCTACTGTCGGCTCCAAAGGTCCGGGCCTAGAGGTGAGTCGAGCCCTGCACGGGATGCAACCGCCTGCCCTGCCTAGGTTTCGGCAAGATGGAGGTTCAGGGACCAGGCAGCAAGATCCGGGGATCAACATTTGTAGGATGATCGAGGAGTGGGATAATGGGATACGGAATACGGAAAATGGGATCTGGGATACGGAATACCTATGGAATATAGAATACGGAATACTGTACGGAATGGCCCTCTCGGAGCGACGCCGAGCTTGCTCTTGCTCGAGGCTTTCGAGGACACCAAGCCCCCTCCCCGCCTCCCGAGTCCCGACGCCCCCGACGCACCAGTCAGGAGTCTACCACCTACCGAGCCTACCTATACTCTGGAGCGTCCACCCGTGCCAGCGTACTCTACATACTCACAGACGGCACGTACGTAGCGTACGGGGACCCCAACTATTGGCGGGTATTTCCATTCGCTCTCATTCGCTCTCCTCTTGTTCGCTCTCATTCGCTCTCGCTCGCTCCAGGTCGGTCTGCTCGTCCGCCTCGAAAGGGGGTCCCAACCGGTCGGGACTACACACATCTCTACTTGTGGAAGGTTGCGTTGACGTCGGCCGAGCGTTCGTGGAGGAGATCTCAGCGTGGAGACATGGAAGGGAAGACATGGAAGGCATGGAAAGCATGGGAGACATGGGAGACATGGAAGGGAAGACATGGGAGATATGCCCGGTAATTGTACAATGCACGGACCGCACCTTCATCTTCATCGGAGAGAAACGCCTCTGTCTCTGTTTCCACGGAAAGTAATCTACCCTCACGCGAGCCCTGCGTTTGTGGTGGGGGCGGTAACTTTGTATCTGGGTAGGCAGTTGCTTGGTTGCTTGGTTATCGGACCACGACCCTTTTCCCCGGTGTTTGGATATACGGTAGGTACATACATGGAAGTTTTCGAGTTGTCGGATCCAAATCCAAATCCTGAGACGCCACGCCGCTGCGAAACATCCCCCCGGGGACCCAAGCAGCTCTACGGGTTTCCAAGTTTCCGAGTCCATGCCTCCGGTCTCGGTGGAGTTTCATCTCGGGGGGAAGAGCAGTTCTCGCCAGTGCGTGTCAACTCAAACCTCAACAACGGGCTCGCGAGTCCCCACGGCTGTTCCGGAGTGTCGGAAACGGGTATAACCCCCACCACCGCGCACGAACCGAGTGCGGTGGACGCAAAAGAAAAGAAAAGAAAGTTCTCGGCGGTTTCTTTTAACGAGGGAGGAGGATAATTACCGTGTTTCTCGTTTATGCATGCCACCTCGTGTTTTGCTCGGAATTTGAATTTCGCAGAGGTGCCTATTATTGGCAGCTCGAGCCTCGACTACTAAATGGCAAAGAAGAAGAAGAAAGGAAGAAGAAGAGGAGGAGGAGGCCAACACGAAAGAAATCTTCCGGCCCGTGGTTAGAACTTAGAGTTTGTGGGCGTGGGCGTCCAACAATGTCTGGGATTTTCTTGGCATAGATGATGAGATGCACGCTTTGAAGTCGGTTCGACAGCTTGGCAACATCGTGTACCTACTCTCATACATAACGAGTTGGTGGTGGTTGTGGTGGTGGAGATAGAGTAATTCGACCTCTCGTATCAAGCCGTCCCTACCTACATATCTTGATTCTTACCAAGCCCACCGCGGCTGGACGGTGCAACCGTACAAGACCACAGTCCCTAGAGAAACCAACTGCTCTGCTCTACAGTAGGTAGAGTACGGTAGAGAAGCCACAACCGCACAGGACACGAGAAAAAGCAATGGGTACGTATCTGCTGGCTGGTTTCGTCCAATGAGCCCGCCTCCGGATCCAATGCCCGCCGGTTGGATACGCCCAGCAGGGTCGGCCTCAGCGTTGCGAGATCTAGCTTAACCGCTAGTTATAGGTAGCGTTGCGCCTCATGTCCGCCCTATATAGAGTACCACGGTACTCCGCTCTGCGGGCAGGGACGTCGACTGCTGGATGAGCGGTGAAGGTGGGTACGAGAACTTGGTTGTAGCTTGTCACTCTGTCCTGCGGCGGGCAGGTATCTAGGGATCCTCTACATACGACTAATACGATTCGAGTGTGTATCTACACTGTGACACGTGCGTTTAGTACAACTCAATCCACGGTCCACAATCCACGGTTCGCAGAAGCACGTGACACCCGAGTGATTTAAAATGATCCCGACGTGTCCATTCAGCTTCCGGCGCCCCTACGGCGGTAACTACGGCGGTAACTACGGCGCAACTTCCGGCTTAACTACAGCGGTAACTACGGCAATAACTTCGGGGGTAACCAACTAATCCCGCAAAAGCCGGCCGGTCGTCACCGTAAGAGCACATACTCTACACACGGCCGTCCCGGGGACCACCGGGGACCATCGGAACCCTCGAAGCCTACGGTAACTTACTTGCCCGCAGGCTGCATACTTCCCGAGCTGATGCTCTAGCTTCGCGCCAGCTGCAGGCGCCGACGCGCAGCCTGGCCTGCTTGCTGGCGCCGGATATATACTTACCTAGAGTATGTATCGGTATCGGTAGGTATCGGAGCTCCGCACGGCGCTCCGACCCCGCCGGAAAAGGCACAGAGGCATAAAGGCACGAAATAACCTTTTTGAGCTTTCTCCCCTTGCATCAGAACCTTTCCGCGCTCCGTCCCTCTATCCCGAAACCGGTAGGGGCTGTACCGTATGTAGCATTTGGGAGGCGCCGGGGAGAGGGGGAGGGGGAGGCGGGCAGGGCACCGAAATATTCGCTGAGAGACTATTTCGGAGCGGAGCGGTAACTATCGTAGCTCGCGATGGTCCAACTTTGTTGTCATGTTTTAGTAATCGAATCCGCCCTTCCAACAGAAACAGAGACAGAGACAGAAATGATCACAAGTCACGCCCTCCGGGAATAACAAGGCTCTGCTGGAATTTGGAATGTCCGCTAGAGTACCAGGTATGCATAAGAGGCAGATTATGTGTGAAGCAAGTGGAGAGCCATGTATCCTCTCCCTCTCCCTCCTCCTCCTCCCTCCCCCTCTCTCGAAAAAGTAAAGAAAAGCAAAGAAAAAAAGAAATTTCCGGCACTGATAGAACTTCCAATTGCGGCACTATCCCCTCCCTCCTCCCCTCCATCCCTCCCCCGGACCCCGGCATTAAAAACTGTCTTCCACAAGAACCTAATATATTCGCCGCAAACTCTAAATCCTCCCCACCCCGCCCCGACTGCCCCGCTCCGACTGCCCCGTGCACTTGACACTTGACGGTTGTAGATAAGGTACTTACCCGTTCCGAAAGTTGAAACGTTACCCGTTGGGGTGGATTGTCTGGATTGCTGGACTGCCGGGGTGGGGTGGGAGGCGGGGGGGTGGGAGGCGGAGAGAGAGAGAGAGATGTATTATTGCATACAGCTCGTCTATACCTAGTACTATACTACCCATAGCGATAGAAGCGACAAAAGCGAGCTGCCAGTTCAGCAGGGAACGGGGATGGGGGAGGGTGCCTGTTCGGGGTGAGGTTTTATACCGCGAGTGACAACGAGTGATCACCCCCACTCCATCCTCCCAAGCCGGTTCGAAAGTTGAAAGTTGAAACTTAAAAGTTAAAACAGTCTCTTCGGCCGGTAAGTGTGCTATTACGGCAAGTATGCTGCTACGGCAACTGTCGCGCGGACTGGTCACACCTACGGGATCGGGATCGGGAGAGAGCCGTGTTGCGCTCCGAAACTCGTGTTTGCGCGGGATGCAGTTGCTCTTGCCTCGGCGTTGGATGCGAGGAATCAGGATGCGTGGATGCTTTGGGGACGGAGGTGTTTTGGGGGGCGGGCGAGCGAGCGGGCGGCTACTGACGACATGGCGGTGGGGACTCATGCGGAGTCCGCGGGGTGCAATATGAGCGGCTAGATGGTGGGCACTGGGAAAGCCCAGTTCCTGCGAGTCTTGCACGGATCCGAGACTCGTGAGGCGTGGTTGCTTGTCTTCCGCCGCTTGCCTAGAGTACCCGCCGGTTCTGGGAGCAGTGGGGTAAGTCCTCCAAGTACCCAGGTGGGTTGACGTCTTGAACAGGAGCTTAGAGTACGGACTCGTGCGCACTGGGCTGGCTTGGAGTTCTTCGGCGTTTTCTGCCAGCCATCCATCCGCGCCTTCGAAATCTGCGTATCCCACTATCGAAAAGGTCTTACTCGTGCCATCCAAGTTCTAACCACTGCTCACTCGTGAATCATGATTCCAAGTACATACATAGCGCCCCGAAGATCTCAGAGATCCCCAGCTCCCGCGACCCCACCTCCCCCGATCCTAGCCCCCCGATCCTAGCTCCCCCGATTGGTGGTGGAGCACAGAAATCCTCCGAGACCCCCGAAGCCCGACCCCCGACGGCCGGGAGGCGGAGCGGACGATATGAGACATGCATGCCATACATGTGCGAGATGTGCCATGAATCCCGCGCCCCCACTCTCCTTGCTCCACCGTCCACGCTCTGGTCCACGCTCTGACGTGCCCGCTGGTCATGGGCCCAGGAAGGAACTCAGGAAAGAAATCAAATCCAGAAACCCCCCCCCTCCTTCCCCCTCCCACTACAAACCTGACCGAGCGGTGATCGTATCACGAAACCGGCCTCGTATCCCAACTGGGAAGTGTGCCGCCGCTACTACCTATCATATGTAGACTCCATAGTAGTTATGTAGAGCAGTTATGTAACTACTCTACTGAAATCTCGGATCCGGATTGGATTGGATTGGATTGGATGCACGGCGGATCTGAAATCGGTTTCGGATCGTTCCCTTGAAGCGTGCTCCGCCACGATACGGTATGTCAGACAGTCAGGGTGCCCGATACGGGCTTGCATAGGCACATACAAGGAAGGTATCGCTCGCTTGGACGCTTCGCGCTAGAGATCACACGAAGTCCTAAAAGCCTGAAGCCATGAAGTCATGCTCCCCCCGGTCCGGTCACCTCGTGCACCAGCCGTCACTCTCCGCACACAAGTGACGTGCAGAGTAATCACGTGTAGTAGACTCCCGCCTTCACACAAATAACACATCTTCGCGGCTGCGAATCTCTTCCGTTGCCATTACCTACAGCATCATTCCGAGCTCAAAGCCTCAAACAGACACGAAACCTACGAAGCCCACCGCCCAATCATAACATACATGACCATCCCCGACTACAATAAACCAGACCATGAGCAACCCTCTCAGAGTAAGTACCTATCGATGGAAGCGGAAACACTACATTACATAGAGTAAACAAAGGAATTACTTGGTTGTACACAACTAAGTAGACAGCGCACTAACAGAATAAACCAGACAGACACGAGGGGTAATTTTTTAAAAAAGACGCCTTTTGGACTGTACGCTGTTAAATGATGATATCAAATGGAGCACAAGAAATCACTACAAAACCCCCACCTCTCCCCCCCCTTTCCCCCGCAGGTATCTAGCCCTCCATCGTGCGCTTCACCGCCTCGGTGATGTCGAGTTCGGTTTCTCGGACGAACACTAGAAACAAAGTTAGCGGGTGTATTGTGGTATCTCGTCAACATGACAACTTACCCAAGAAGTACGGTGTCGGCGGCGAAGATCCAGGCTCGACCGAGTGCTTGAACACCTCCGCCTCGTCCAGGACTTCCGTCACGTACTGGTCGTTGTACTTTCTGAAGAGCCGCTTCTGGAAGTCATAGATGTATATCCAGTAATGGCCGAAGCTTACCGATCCCCGATGGATGAAGACCGAATGGATGCGGTATCCGTGCTTGCGGAGATCGGTGAATTGCTGGTTGATCCGCGACTCGAGCTCTTTGATGTTCTGGTCGATGGATTCTACCTCGCGACGGACAGCCGCGGTGCGACGCTCAAGCATCTCAACGACGTTGGGCTGGATGTCCATCTCCTCTATCAGGTCGGTGTCTAGATTCGCTTGCATTCCTTCCACCCACTCACGCGCGGCGTCGAGCACTGATAAGCTGTTCTCGTTGGCCAACTATTATGAGTCAGCAATCAATCACGAGCTATCACTATCCTAGTGTAAACATACCGTTGTTTGTAGAAGCTCCGCCTTGCGCTCGACCAACTCCTTTAGTGTTTGCTTCCAGTTCCAGGTCTCCTCCCTCCTAGCCATCAGACCAGCGTCGTCGTTGTCCAAGTACCGGTCCATGAAGAGAGTCTCAGGGAAGCTGAGATGAGCATTCGATTTGTAAGCAGCCCCTTTCTCACGGTCAAACTGGACTCGCTGAACCTGAATCTGGAGCACAGGAGGTAAGTGACTGATTGAGAGATGGCGCGTCGCTTCTCGGCCCTCGAGGTCTACTCGCTCGATGTCAAAGCTGTTGTCTAGTGCAGTGTACAGATCGCAATCGCCTTCCGAGACATTCACGAGCAAGTGTGAGAACATCTCCTCCTTGGTCCTGGTCTCCATGGAGTTGGGGAAAGCCAGCGTTTGCTTCGTCTTGCCGTAGAAGTATTCCTTTACGAGGTCGATCTGTTCACCGTTCTCGTCGATGCGGTCTGGCTTGATTGCAGCCTCGATCTGGAACATGACATTCCCGATGCATTCCGTCACATCCTGCTGGCGACCGAACATATTAATGTCCGAAACGGTATCTCTCCTCGCCCTGGGCCGCATAGGGATCGGTGGAGGCATGCGCTCTGGCTCGGGGGGCGGAGTCGGAAGGGTTTGAACGCCGGCGGTCAGTTCCATGCCCTCGTCCGATGGAGGCTCAGATAAATCGATAAGCTCCATCGGTGCATCTTCGTTTTGAGGAGGCATATTCTCCTTTTCCTCCTTCTGCACCTGATTCACTACCATCTGGTCTTCAGATGACACAACATCTTGAGAATCGTTAACCAGCGTGACTTCACTCCGCGCGTCGTCATCCTGGACTGGAGCCCCGGGCTGAGCCTGGTCGACGTCCATATCATCCACGTTTGTGCTAGCCGTTGTATCATCCGCGTTTGTGACAGCAATTGTAACTGCTGACTCTTCGCTCTCAGCTTCGTCCTTCGAGCTTACTAATGCTAGGTAGGCAAGATCACGTTCCGGAGAAATAGCAGAAGAAGTGGACTTGATCAGCTCTGCAAATAATGTTCGGAGGTGTCCGACGACTAAAACTAATCAGCATCGTTCATATGCAGTCACAGTGAAACACTCACATTTCTTTGCTCGTTCAATTTCCTGCTTCGTGACTTTTCGCCCACCCACTCGCTTGCGGGAGACGACTTCGTCGGTGACCTCCCCCTCTTGATATTGATCCAGCTGTAATATCATCTCCCTTAGTGGCTTGATAGTGAAATAAAACTGCAGTAGACTGTTGAGATAACAGGTATTGCCAATGTTCTCAAGTCCGACTGGCGAGGAAGTAGAGCCTCTCGTATGATCGTTGGCGTTTCCGGTGTCCAGGAAATCCTTAATCTTATGGCTGTCTCGGTTCTCGCCAATCACTCGTAGCGCGCCGCGGAGGTCCTGGATCTTACTTGGTTCATCATCCCACTACACTATGAGTCAGTACGGACATACGAAGCCTAAAGAACTTATGATGCATACTCGCAAGTTGAAGAGGCTGATAAGCAAATCATCATCGACAACGGATGGATCCTCGATCCCAAGTCTAGTGTATGCTTCGTTGATGTTCGGAGGCATATCGTAGATGGCTCCGCCCTTCTCAATGTATGAGAGCAGGAATGTACTCCTCCGAGCTTCGGCAATCGCCTTCAGGGCTTCTTTTGCGATCGGCTCATCGACGGGGTGGTCGGAAACCTGGGGCACCTGTTAAAAAGTGATGGGGACCAACACCTTAAGCACATACCCTGAGATCGTATGTTACGATGAGGAACTGATCATCTATATTTTCCGGAACATCTAGCCAAGCATAGGCCCCCTTAAGGTCCGTAAAAGCTAAGAGCAATTACCAGTCATCATCATGAAGGATTCGTATGTACGTGCCAGTGATGCACCAACCTTTCTGCGCAGCAAACTCGAGTCGAGAGCTCCGTCTCTGCCGTGCCATAATCCTCATAGCGTTCCTGATCTGTGATTCTTGTCGTGGTGCGTCGGCAAGACGAGCACGAAATATTCCGATAATTAAATCTTCATTTTGTTCCTTTGGGTCGATTCCAAGAGATGAACATGCTTCAGTGTGTTCCGTTCTAGTGAATTCTCCCTGTGACTGAAGCTTTGCGGCGTCAAGTAAGAGATCGTCACTGGATCTGCCACGTGCGATGACTGAGAAGCATTCAAAGTAGAAGGCTGCTTCGCTAGGATTGCAGTCTCGCTGCCGACGGTACGCCCAGGCGACTATTTTATCGGCAACATCTGACACTATGCCAAGAACAGCGTAAAAGCTGCGAGGAGGGTTCAGCGACAAGCAAGCACATAGGATAAGGGCGACTCACGGGTGCTCAGGTTTGGTGAGATCGATACTGTGGGATGCTCCGTATGAATCATCTGAACACATGACATGTGAGTGACTCGTGAGCGGGTGGGACGGTTGGGATCACCTACAATTACCACGCAAGAGCTGCCTGATCATGGTGTCTGCACGTTCGATGCCTGCGCGGTAGGTTTCTTGTTTCAAATCAACACATTGTTTACCTTCATACATACTGCGTGCAACGTGGGTTCATTACCTCTCCGTTCCCTGTGTTGGTCCATCAAGATGAGGACTTCTTCTACCGTATCTTCCAGATTCCGGCGTACCGGTCCGTCCTTGTTGTCTATTTCCTCCAAAGTGGGAGGAGCCCAGGAAAGTGCATCGCCCTACTATCGGTCAGCCGACATCACTCGTATTGGACGGGCACCGTACATCCTGAAAATCCTTAAATCCCAGTGTCTTCAAAATCGGCGCACATTCATCAGAAAGATGGAGCTGGTAGCGCGCATTCTCCCGCGGAATCTTCCGCTTATCACCGCCAATGACATTGCTTAGGTATTTCTGAAATGTCTCCAGAACCTTTACCGGCGAAGCGTCCTGGTTGCTCTTCACTCCCTGAGCTTCCTCATATTTCTGTATTCGTCGCTTCAGCACCGACTTATCTGTCAAAAGGTTGATAGATTGCAGGTCGAGGATAGGAGGCTTGGTTATGACGGTGACGGTTGTCGGGCAGGTCGTTGCCGAGCAGCTGAAGACCCGGATATCTTCAAACCGTGTCTTCCCGAAGGATTCCCGCGCAGCAGGCCACGATCTCGAGGGTTCATAGCGCAAGTGATGCAGCGGATTGTCTTTGGTAGGGCAGGGACCGGACTCGGACAAAGTGGGCTGCGAGGAATCCACTATGACGTCTATGTGCGCTCGACAGATCTCACAGATTGACGATACTGTCCAAGGTGCACTCGTATCGCTCGCTCGCGGAGGTGGAAGGGCACTCCGGCTTCGTCGGAGTGAGAGGCTGTGTCTGTGCCGCTGCAATAACAACTTGGCGGCGGTAGACTCGTCGACATATGGCGGCGCATCGCAAAGAACATTTCGCTCTGGATTGGTGGGATCGTACTCCAGCAGGTCGGCGATGAAGCGTGGTGGTGTTTTCCCTGCCATTCAGGCGACTCGGTCAGCTGCGAAACCAAGCGGTAAACTGGGTACCCTCGGCCTGAAGGCCCCCGACGACAATACAGGCACATACCTGGCCTCCCAGAGTCACTATTGTATGCCTCCATATGTGCTGAGGGCTGAGGTGCGGTCAAACTGGCGCAAAGGTAAAGAATAGTAGATGACCTCTACTTGTAGCTTCGAAGTTTCAACAGTTGGGGATCAAAGGAGCACAGCTCGTAGGGTGGTATTTCGAGGAAGGATGTTTGAGGTGAGTTTGTGGGAGGTGAGAATGGGACGCGACGAGAGACCCTGGGTTGTTGGGGTTGTAGTTATAGATGAAGGTTGAGAGTTGTAAATGTAATTGTGGGGGTAGCAGGTAACTTTGAACGGTTGGTTTGCTAGGTGGGGGAACCTTACCATGCATTCGTGGGAGCCGCTTCGCTTCCGTCCTGCACTCCCGCATCCGCTTCATCAGCAAAGCAATCGGCTCTCTTTGTCTGGCTCCAGTACTACTACTACCACGACCACACAGACACCCCGACCGGTAAGTGACAGAGAACGCAAGCCCCCTCTGGAACGACAATCCTTCGGACCGTCGTCTCTGCGCATCCATCGAGTCGCCTGCTGACAGCATTCACATGTAGCACAGAGCAGATAGACTCGTGCGAACGTCATCCCCACCTCCACTCACTCCACTCATCCACCCCCCACCTCGAACGAAAATAATGGCCGGAGAGAAGGGCTTCGAACGGCGGGATGCCATCGGACAGGGTGTCAAGGGCTCCCTGATCATGGGCGGTATAGGCAGCATCCTGAGCGGTGTCCAGAACTCGCTCGCCAAGCAGAACATTGGAGCCATGGGTGTTATCACTCGCACGGGTGGTACCGTCGCGATTTTCGGTATGCCTAATGCTATGCCGCTGAAGGAAACAGAGAGTTGATGCTGAGGGTGTTGTAGCTGCTATGGGTGGCTCCTTCATGTTCGTGCGCAACGCCTCAGCCAATTTGAGGGAGAAGGATGATCACTGGAACCCTACCATTGGAGGCTTCGTCGCCGGCGCCATCCTCGGAACCCGATGTATGCCTACCCATCCCTTTGTTACAGCCTCTAGTGGAGGGCTCACGGGATCTTCTATCTAGTCCGCACGATGCCTTCCGTCATTGGATACGGTGCCGCTCTGGCTGTGACATTGGGCGTGTTTGATTACAGCGGTGGCTCCCTTAAAGCGATGTTCCGGGACCCCGGAATCGACGAGGTTGAGCGGAAGGAAGCCCTGAGGAAGAGCCGCCGACGACCCATCGAGGAGGCTATTGAGCACATTGGTGAAGGACGTGGTATGTTTCCAGCAGGTTCCGCTTCTCCGATGTTGTGCCGCTGACCAATGATACAGGAATTTACGGCCCGGGCTACGAGGATAGACGACGTGAGCGCCTCACCGAGAAGTATGGCATCGACTTCACAAACGTCGAGCGCAGATAGACTGGTTTCTCATCACGGGCTTGGATACCGGGGCTTGGATACCGGGGCCGCACGGGGGGAGAGGACTCTGTACATTTCGAACGGCGCGTTTCTAAAAATGTTTTCTCATGACCAATTACAGTGTTCACACGAGTTCTCACTTTCTTTGCTTGCCTCGTGGTTCCCATTCGCGTTCTTAACTTCTTCCTTCTCTCCGTAACCTTGCAGCTCAACTTCCTCGTTGCCCCTCCCGAACCCCGCGTGTCTGCACCACGTTTTTACCCAACCGGCCCCATGAGTACTGTTAACGACAGCAAAGAAGCTGTACACAGCATATTCCACGAGCAATACAAAGGCATAACCCCACGCTTCCCGCAGCATCCCCATCGCCACTAACGAAGCCCAATAGCTCTCGAAATTCTCCTCGAAATTCTCCCCACAGTTTCAGCCACCGACCGCCCACAGATAATCGACGAGTGTCTAGCAGGAATCGGCCGTCTGACCGACGTCCTCAAGGATGCGTCCACCTACCTTCCCGCCTACGACCAACGCGCCTACTCCCTGGTAAGTAAAGTAACCACCGTCGCATCCCCACGCCGTATTAATCTCCGCCCGGTAGAAAGTCAAAACGCTATCCGACAAGCTCTTGGGCATCCGACTCTCGCTCGCGCCAAAACAAAAATTCTCGTTCAAGTCGCGCAGCAAAAACACCAGCGGCACCATCGGCGGCGCAGTAGACCTCGGGCAGACCGGGGCGCCGACGCAGTTCACGAGCGCGGCGCAGAAGGCCGCCACCGAGCAGGAAAATGTCGTTGTCACTGAGCGATCCGACGAGTTCATACGGCCGCCGGGAGCCACGACTACCGCGTCCGCGTCGCTGCTGTTGAGCAGCCTGAGGGGATGTGGCATCACTATCCCCGAGACGCTGAGGTTCTCGAGTGCCGCCGTCAAGAACGTCGATGCGTCCCTGCTCCTGCTAGGAGAGGCCGTTAACGGCCCGATACATCTTACGGGCGTGAGGGATAGTGTCCTGGTTTTTGCGTGCAGACAGTTCAGGATGCATGATGCTAGGAATGTGGACGTCTATCTGCGCTGCACTTCGAGGCCGATTATCGAGGACTGTGAGGATATCCGGTTTCATCCGTACGGGGATCAGCAGGACCCGAAAAATCTGTGGGATCAGGTAGATGATTTTAAGTGGTTGAGGGCCGAGAAGAGTCCGCATTGGAGTGCTTCCCGTGTCGAGGGAGCAGAGGAAGTGGAGAAGAGGTGGAAGGAGATTGAAGGGATGGCGACGGAAGGGGTGGATGTTAAGCAGGTGCTGGGTCCTTTGTTGAAGAGTTGATTCGATGCGGCCACAGTGTATTACTACAGAACGGAATGATACCAGAAGAAGGTTTTGAAGATGCTCATGAAACTCTACGAAGCAATCAATGAGTTGAGAAAAGCTGTGCCCCAAAATGACAGAAAACGCCCAAGTAACTAATGTACACCCCACGAGCACCAGCCCATCGATCGTAAAACAACACTCATCTCTCATCGCAACACACCGCCCGCCGCATCTATGAGTTCTTTTCCAGGAACTCCTTTGCCTCGTTGACCTTTCCGGCCAGATACGGACTGCCGCCACGATCCGGGTGATTGAGCAGCATGAGCTCGCGATGTCGTTTTCGAATGTTGGGCTTCGTCAAGTTCCGTTCGCTATCCCGCCACCCCACTGTCAGCCCGAGGCTCCTCCCTAACCCCCCCGCCATCTGCCCGGAGTTGCATACCTCATCTGCAGGATCAACGCAGCTTCACGCTTGTTCATCCGGTTCTCGAATCCGCCCTTGTAGAACTGCTTCCCGAGCGTACCGACAGCACCTCCGGCTCCGGCCTTGTAGCGCTTGAACGCCTGTAGTCCGACCCTTCCCGCGATAGCTAACCCACGCCACACATTAGCCACCTGCCCTCACCTTTCCAGCCGCTCGGGAAAGCATACCAGCACCGGCCACACCGCACCCAATCAAAATGACAGTCGACATAGTGAATCCGGAGCTCTGGAGTTCGTTCGTTTGTTGTTGTTGGTGGTGTTCGTGAGGGTGAGCGGAGGAGTGATCGGCCATCTTTCGAATTGCTCACAGTTACCAGAAAAATGTTGCAGCCGGATTCTGCCAGGGATTTCCCGCCGCCGCCGCCAAGCCCCCGCGCTAACGGCAAATGGCAAGGCACCTGGATTATACTCTAAACGATAAACTTTTTGTCAAGCAGAGAACTTCAGAAGGAAGCAGCCCATTTCATCTCCTCTAAGCGCATCTCCGACCAACAACAACAAATCTCACCACCGTCCACCGACCCACAAGCACCGACACGATGCGTATCTTCTCGTGCCACTTCTGGTATGTCGCCATTGCGAGGCGGAGGAGAACCTGCGAAGAAAACCGTTACTGACCCCCACATAGCAGCGCTCCCGTCTACCCAAGCAAGGGAATAACTTTTGTCCGCAACGATGCCAAAGAGTTCCGTTTCTGCCGGTCGAAATGCCACAAGAACTTCAAGATGAAGCGTAAAATTGCCCCTCCGTGCGCACACTCGCGCTGTGCCTTCCTTCTCTGCTAACACCATCACTCATCCCGCAGGTAACCCCCGTAAACTGAAGTGGACGAAGGCCTTCCGCAAGGCGGCGGGCAAGGAGATGGTCGTCGACACCACATTGACGTTCGCCCAACGCCGCCACGTGCCCACGCGGTACAGCCGTGACCTGGTCGCGAAAACGCTCACGGCTATGCAGCGGGTCGAGGAGATCCGGCGCCGCCGCGAGCGGGTGTTCTACCGCCAGCGCATGTCCGGCAACAAGGAGAAGGAGCGCGCGGCGAACCGGAAGATCGTCGAGGAGAACCAGCACCTGCTACATCCGAGCCAGCGCACCGTCGTCGAGAAGCTCGAGAAGGACGTCGAGGGTATGGATCTCGAGATGCAGAGCGACGTCGAGGTCGAGAGCGAAGAGGAGGAGGAGGTGCAGCTCGTCAAGGTCCCCGTCAAGGTCGCAAAGAACAAGAAGCAAAAGGTCTCCGCCCGCATGGATGTTGACTGAGAATGATTACCGTCCGGCTAGGGAAAATGAAAATGAAGGAATGGCCCTCGTTTTCTGCTAGCATGTCCGTCCGTCTGTCTGTCTGTCCGCTGCTACCTACGGGTTCCTTCAAAAGTTGTTTGTCGTTTGCACTCGTTTGGAGAAAGGCGTTTTTTGTTTGGCTTCGTTTGCTGCTTTGGATGTAACTACCCTTCACTCGATTACCAACTGTTGAAAGCGTAATGGACATTGGACCCGGTAAAGAGCAGGCAAAGACTTTTCACTATCTCTCATGCCGTTGATATTCTATGATCTCCTTGCATGAAGCCGGCGGTGCTCCGTTGCTACTATTACATCTGCGCCAGTAACTCCCCGAATTCCCACGCACTGAACGAAGGTTATACTACTCTAGGGAGATACTCGTCGTATCCACACCTGGCTGCATTGACTGTAACGTTGCCGCAGCCGAAGTGTATCAAGTCTGATCAGGGATTGAGTTCCTGTAGGTATCAATAGGATTGCCACGCCTCTGAACCGCCCTCTGAGCCGTGGACTTGCGACTTACGGCTTTGGAGACTTGCGACTTGCACCCACTTCCCTTCCTCACTTTCCTTCCTTCCTTCCTTCACCCTCGCACGAGCAACACGGTACTCAGGAGCGACAGATGCCGGAGGGTGGAACGACGAGAAAACCGGGGAAACGGACGGACATACGGGAAGGTATTCACATGATCGGACGAAACCAAGCACCACTCACCATCGGACCAGTGCGGTATGAGATGGGATAGAATGGGATACTTACAGCTCGGCGGATAGATGGTTTCTATATATGCATACCTCTCCTCATCCTCGAGAGTCGAGACGGCGAGGACGACAGCAGTCGGTTTCATGTACTTCGGCTTCGGCTTTGGCGCACGCTCGAATACGCAGGGTGACTTCTGGAGGCTGAAGGCTGGAGGGTTAGAGGGCTTGCTTGGCCTGGTCTGGGCTTTGAACACTGAAGATCGAGAGCGGTTGTGTATTGCTGGCACTGATCTGCGATACCTACAGGTTCGCCATGTTTGTGATAAAGCCTCTTTTGCGCCTGTCACCGCGTTCCTATGCCGCCTGTAACACGTATTTACCAGACAGCAACGACCGGCAGGCAGGCAATATGGGCGATGAGGCGATGACAGCAAGGCGCCCCGCAGTCTGGAGGCCATCGATGCACATAGTATCACTCGGCGCGCGGTAGTGCCAGCGCAGTTCCTCAGGCTGGCCGCTGGCGGCGGCGCTGTTTCCAGCGGGCTTGAATCCAGCCGGAGCCTGATGGTCGTGGATGGTAGATGCACGGCGAGCGGCGTTGAGACAAGGCCGAAGCCGATGAAGGGAGGGGGGGGAGGGCCGACACGGACACGCTGTTCCGGGGTAGGTGGGTAGTTGCCTGTTTCCGCACCTATCTAGCAAGGCAGCCTCAACTACTCGCTGGCTGTGCAGAAGCACCTGGAGGAATGCTGCATATATATGTAGCTGGACGAGGCTCGATCACGAAGAGAGGGCACATCCATGCGCACCTACAGGTATGTAAGTAAGCAGGTACCTGCCTAAGGCCGGATAGGTAGACCCAGGCAACCCCGCCCACACGACCGGCACCACATGACACCAACCGCCAGCCACCAGCGCGCCTATCATCGTCACCGTCGACCGTATGCATGTGCGTATAGAGAACGTGAGGATTCGATGGCACCAGATTCTGCGAGTGTGGGGTACGGTAAGTAGACGAGTGCGGGGAAAGCATTATCGATCGAACTCAAGCTGCGACCTGCGACCTGCGTGTGTGTGGGGGGGGGTTTAGATTTTTGTTCTAGAAAAGCCCGTGCAGCCAGCGGTTGGCAATGTTTAGGGGAGGGGGGGGGGAGGTGGGAGGTGGTCGCACAAGGATCGGCAGAAGAGACTTGGCGGGAAGGGGGGACGACGACGCACGGACCACTAAACGGCCGGACAGGGTTGCTGGCTGATGTGATGGGCCGGAGCCTCGTTGACGACAGACAAACCTTGCCGATGTGCAGGAGGGAAGTTGGTGACGGGCATGAGGATCACACCCCCTCAGCCTTGAGAAATGAGAAACGAGAAACCACGCCGACCCCCAGACTGGGCATGAGAAACGAGAAACCACGCCGACCCCCAGACTGGGCATGAGACGTATGGACCCCAATCCGTGGGGACGCTTTCGGCGACTTGCTGGAGTCGAGCAGTGCGCGCGTCCAATGGATTCGCACGGTCTTGGCTCTCAGGCACTACTCTACTCTACCATGCTCTCCTCTGCTCTGGCATGTTCCCCCCACTCCATGCTGGATGCCGCGTTTCAGCCTTGTTTCGCTCTACCACTGCCCGCGGCAGCCTCGTTTAGGCCTGACTCACCCAGTAGGTACTCTAGGTACCGTGAACCATCGCAGAGCTCATCTTCGTTTGTTCGTCCCCTTCCTCCTCGCCCAGAGGCCGAACGCACATCGACCACGGTGACGGAGAAGAGAAAATCCATCCACCGGCCATTCAGCGTGTTCCAGAAGCGATGCGTGTGATGATGATGTCTTGCAGCCACCGACAGAGGAAAAGCCCAGGCCTTTGGACATATCCAGCGCCACATCTGCTGGCCAGCCTGCGTCTCGGCGTCGTCTCTGCTTTCCACCTCCTCCCCACAGCCCTCCATGAGCTATTCCTCCATGTCACGAAGCTGTTCTCCAGCTTCAATGGGTCTTCACACTCTCATTGGGGACCTTCCGCTTGATCTTCGAGCCTCCCTCTTCGCATCCCCCACCCCCCTCTCCCCCACCACCGGATCACTCTGCAATATCACAATCCCCGTTCCTCCGATCCCGCCTACCTGACCGCACCCCATACTACCTTCCACCACCACCCTTAACCCATCAATCGTCCGCCGCCGCCTAGGTAAGAAGCAAAGCATGAGCAGAGAGCAAAGCAAGCTGCGTGCTGGCTCCCCCCAGTTCCGGCCTCCCTCTCCCAAGACTCGCCTGCCACCGTCCACCGCCCACCGCCCACCGTCCAGTGCCCGTCCTTTTCAATTTCCCACCCCCCGTTCCAAAGCTGCTGAGGCCGAAAGTTCTCAACTGTGTTGCTTGTCTTTAAAAATTAAAAGAAAACCCACCACCGTATCCCTTGACCGAAAAGTCCCCTTCCATCTCGCCCTCTCTCCCTCTCTTCCTCCTTCCTCCCTCACCCCCCAGAAAACTACACTCTTCATCATCACGATCCCCCCATATTCAACCCCCCGTCCCCCCACTGCCTCCACACTCTGCCCTTCAACCTATCCCCAACTACCGCCACCGTCTCTACGGTTCTCGGGGTCCTTTTGACTCTTCGTCTTTGCTCCCTCCCAAGATCCTCGTCTCCCTCCTGATTGTTTGCTGTCACGCTCCACGCTCCACACTCCACGCTCGACGCCAGAGTTGAAGTTGCGCTCGTTCGTCACGCAGCTTGATCTCCGGTGCAGACTGGCAGAGTAGCGAGAACAGCACTCTCCCGTCCGACGAGAGGCTATCACGCTTTCTTTCTTCTTCCTTCCTTCCCTTTCTTTCTTTTTCTTTTCCTCACGCCGACGCCGTGATGTCTTCGGCTTCGTTTGGTAGCCCGTCCGCGAAGCACCGTCACCACCCAAACGCCAGCTCCCCAAACACCCCTGCCGTCCATGGCGGTATTGGAAGTCCCAACCACGCACTCCTGACGCGCAACGATGGGGGTGGTGGTAGCAATACCAGCCACGCCTCACCGTTCCAGCGTCACCACAATCTTTCTCATGGTGTTTAGTTTACCCTTCCCTCCACCCCCATCCCACCCCAACCCAACTCAACCCACCCCAACTCAACCCCGTCCCTTCCCGCTACACAAACTACGCTCGCGCGACTGCGCTACATGATGCTAACGAAAGATATCGCAACACAGAAGCTTCATCCCCACAACAACAACTACTACAGCAACAACAGCAACAACGCGCATTACCGTCTCGCCATGCGGAAGTGATCGAACTCACTGATTCGGACTCCGAAGGTGGCGCTCCGGAAAATAGAAATTTGGGAAATCACACTCCCAGATCGGGGCATCTGCAACCTCCGTTTGATCCGATCCCTCGCTCCTCGGCCGGCAACAATAGCACTCCCACCTCCGCCGCCGTTGCAGGCTCGACGAAATTCGGACATCGCGCTTCGGCCTCGCCGTCAATTGCTTCCTTAATCAATGCTGACCCGCCGGCCAAGAAGCCTAGGACGTCTGGTGCCCAGCCCACATCTAATTTCGTCGAGGATCCGAACGGCAACAATAGTAGTACTAGCAGTACCAACAACAACAAGAGGCTCAAGAAGGAAGGGACCGAAAATTCGCCCATGTTGAAGGCGGCCACTACGACTAATACTACTACGAATAATAATACTTCCACGGCCAACAGTTCGAAGGCTCCTTCTCCGAAGCCGGCTCGTCAGGCGGGATCGGGGGGTGGACTGCTTGGAAACGCTCTGCCGGGCATGGGTGGAGGAAACCAGGATGACGAGTTTCGTGTACCGAACATCTACCTAAATTTCCCACTCGAGGGAGAAACGAATAGGTACATCGACTTTGCCAAATTGGCGGAGGAGAAGTACGGATGGGCGGCATTGAACCCGAGGCTTGCCAAGGCGAAAATGATGATGGACAGTGGAGATGAAATGGCGGTGGATGGGTCCGAGTCTGAGTCGAACGTGGAGATGGGAGGAACCGGAGAAGCTGCCAGTGAGAGCTCCAAGCAGCGCAAAAAGAGGAGATATCAGGACATCTACGACAAGGAGGATCCCTTCATTGACGACTCGGAGATGATGTGGGAGGAGCAGGCTGCTTCTTCCAAGGATGGCTTTTTCGTGTACAGCGGCCCGTTGGTTCCCGAGGGAGAGAAGCCTCTGATCGAGAGGTATGTTGCTGGCGCACCGCATGCCTTTTTCTTTTCTTTTTTATGCTACTCATACTAACTTGGGCTTCAGGGCCGATGGTACCGTCAAGAGAGGTAGAGGTCGCGGCCGTGGTGGCCGCGGCGGCGGTACTGCGACGACTCGAGCTCCCGCGACTACCGCGCGTAAGCCGAGGATCACCAAGAAGGAGAAGGAAAAGCTGGAGAAGGAAAAGGAGGAACGAGAGAGGTATGCCCTTGCTGTTGCACAGTCCAAAGATGTTCATCCCCATTAGGAGAGCATCCCTTTCGGCCATTGCTTGCTGCGGCTTCCGAAGCACAGTCGGTGGACCCGTGCTTCGTGGGATCTCTTGATCGGGCCACATGTACTTGTAGAGTTGCTTTTCCCTTGCGTCCCTTTTCCTTTTCCTTTTCTTTTTTTCCGAATGGCGTTCCGAGATTTCTTGACTGTGTTGGGAGGGGTTCTTTCTATAAGTGTCAACGGCTGCTGCTGCTCCTTCAATTCTGTTCATTTCGTTTTCCTACGGTGCTTTCTAGGGGATCTTGTGTGTGTGTGTGTGTGTGTGTGTTGGCTCTTTCTGGTATTTAGATGACGACACACCAGTCAGTCGGACAGACAGTGTGGGATATACTTCTTATTTATATTCTCTTTTTGTTGCGTGGGATTCTCTGGTGTTCTTGCTCCTTCGTCGCCGAGTGCTCATGAATTCCAAGCGTTCACTCGAATCGCGTCCTTCAAGGTTTCCGGCCGGCTTATTGACCCGTGCCTGAGTCTTGGTGTTGTGGCGCAGCGCCCAAAGGGTAAATGGCTGTCTTCCCCCCAAACCCGCTGAGCTAAGCGCGACATCACCTTCGCCCTGACTTTGCCCCTCAACTTCTCCTGTTTCCAACCAGATACCGTCGACACGACACACCCACCTTTTTGTTTTCTTCCTTTCTCTTTTTTCCGTAATCCTTCTGCGCCCCGGTCTTATTTCGCCTTTCCTCTCGTCAACAGAAAATCCAAAACAAAAACAATAAACCTTCGATCGCTCGGTATGAGCCACCGCTACGAGAGGGTGAGTGACATTGGTCGTCGTCGTCGGAGAGCTGCGTCGGAGCTTCCAGCCTGCCGAACCGAAGACGCTGACGCACGCATTTCATTTTCCACCCACAGATCGACCATGCCGACGACGAGGATCTCGACGTGCACGGCGTGATAGCTCCTCCCACAAACACGAGCGCACCCATCACCTCCTCACCGCCAGCAGCATCGATCATGAGCTCTCCGCCCGCCTACTCGCGCCCCGTCTCGCCCGCCATCGCGCAGCACAATCCGGATCTGGCCGACTCGTTCGACGCCCCCAGCGACGACGAGGACGATGACGCCGACCACGACATGAGAAACCATAACCGCTCCGCCAGTAATGCGAATTTTCAGGAGTCGCAGCCGCTCGTGCCGTCGTCCGCGGCGACCGCGGCGACGAACACAATGAGGCCGGTGTATAATGTTGCGGCGCCGTCCGGGAGGAGGGTCGGTGGGGGCCAGACCGATGGTGTTTTTGCGAATTTGAGCGCGAAGCCGACCGTCGGTGAGAAGTTGGAGGAACATCCGCCGGTATGAGGGGTTTTCTATGAGATGAGATGGGGTGCGCGAGCGGCCGGGGCTGACGATGTTGATGCTGCTGGTGATAGACGTACGAGCAGGCTGCGGCTGACGCTACACCTCCTTACTGGGAGACGACGATCCTCACCCCTGGAATGGCCAGCGACGAGGTGTTCATCGATGGGCTACCGGTCGGCTCGGTTTTCGCGTTCGTCTGGAATTGTTTGAGTAAGGGCCCGAACCGAGGAGTTTCTACGGGGAGAGTATGGGGAAATGGATAGCTAATCGAGAGTAACAAACAAACAGTCTCCATGTCGTTCCAGCTCGTCGGTTTCCTCCTCACCTACCTCCTGCACACGACGCACGCAGCCAAGAACGGATCCCGCGCTGGGCTCGGAATCACACTAGTTCAGTTTGGCTTCATGATGCGCGGACGTTCGGACGATGGCGATGCGACCACTGGCTCTCCGCCGCCCGAAACCTCGCCGGGGGACCCGAACGCCTACAATTTCCAGGGAGCGACGGACTCGGCGACGGATCCGGCGGGGGCAGATACAAGCTTGGGGCGGAATGAGTGGCTGAGTTATGTGCTGATGGTCGTCGGTTGGTTCATTCTGATCCGTGCGGTCGGTGACTTCTTGAGAGCTCGCCGTATGGAGCAGTTGGTGCTGGCGAGTCCCGATCGTGGCCTTGGTGTCGCGGTCGTCGCGGAGAATGAGCAGCCCGAGAGGGCGGTATAAGCATCGTTGTTAGTATCATCGTCGTCGTCATCGTCATCATCATCGTCTACCTGCATGTAGACATATTTTTCCTTTCGCTTCCGATTCTTTTCTCTTACGGGCTTTCTTTTCTTTCTTTTCTTTCTTTCCTTTTTCCTTTTTTTTCTCCTTTCGCTTTGTATTTGGATTACTGGCATGGTGTTTCTTCCCTTTCATGTGTACTCTCTTCTTCTTCTTTGCGTTCCTTTTTGTCTACATGCTTTGCCTGACCTTTTGCCATAGAAACAACAATACTCGCTGGTAGGCCCTGGCGGGCGGGCGCAGGAGCAAGAGCAGTGAGTGTTGCATATCAAGGTACCTAATCTTTTGGGCTGGCTATTTACCGTATTCACGAACATGCCGAGTGAGACCGAACGTGTGCACTGAACTCCACCATCAATCACATGCACCCCCGCCCTCAATCCTAGTGGACTGGGGACGCACTCGTGCATATGCATGACGTCTGTCTGTCATGTATGTACGATAGGTATATACATTTGACAGCTTCCCCACATTCCACATTCCACATCTCGACAGCTCTCGCCACCAGCAACCCCCCAGCTCCCATTTTCACAACCACAATAACCACAGCAAAAATGTCCTGGCGTTCCACCGGACACACAAACAGCGAACTAATCAACAACCTGTCTCGCAACGGGCTGCTGACGTCGCGCGCGCTGGCAGCGGCCATGCTCGCCACCGACCGCGCACACTTCTGTCCGCACGCGCCCTACGCCGACGCCCCGCAGCGCATCGGATACGACGCTACTATCTCCGCGCCGCATATGCATGTTTATGCGCTGGAGGCGCTGTTGCCTTACATAACTGGCGAGAGAAGGGGGAAGGTGGGGGAAAAGGAGGGCAGGGGAGTGAGGGTCCTCGACGTCGGCTGCGGCAGCGGGTATCTTCTTGCTGTGATCGGACATCTTCTCGTACTTTCCCCATCCCTCTCTCACTCCTCCACTGACCCCCCCCCCTCCCCCAGCCCCCGGGCGGCAAAGTAATCGGCATCGAGCACATCCCGCAACTAACCTCTTTGGCAACCTCAAACCTGCGGCGCTCCCCCGCAACCGCCGCAATGCTGTCGGACGGGCGGATCCAGGCCGTGACCGCCGACGGCCGCCAGGGCTATGCGCCCGAGGCCCCGTACGATGCTATTCATGTCGGCGCTGCGGCGGATGGGTGGGGCGTTGTGGACACGCTGGTCAATCAGCTGGGGAGGGGCGGGAGGTTGTTTATTCCTGTTTGTGATGGGGATGGGGGCGAGGGCGAGGGGGGAGGCACTGCGGGGCAGTGGGTTTGGGAGGTGGATAAGGATGAAGAGGGAAAGGTCACAAAAAAGAAGAGTCATGGTGTTATGTATGTTCCGTTGACGGATCGGAAGGAGTTTTCTTAGTGGGGGAAGGGGGATGAAAGTTGTTGGCATGGCTGCAGACAGAGAAATGGACAGATAATTCGTGGACGGTGGAGGAAACTTGTTGGAAAATAGTGGCCGAAATGATGGCTGTATATCGCTGCGGAAAACACCGCTATGCCACTACGATTCGAAGCACTAGAGTTGAGTGATATCCATGACGCAGCCCTCCTCCTCTATGCAGTGTACAGTTCTCCCGAGTTCCACCACAATCCTATCCGCACATATCTCCGTATCGATAGCTAGAAGGATAGCCAAAAGGCGTGTATATAGAATTCCTGACAGCAAGGCCTGTACCGGTACATACTAGGTAGGTAGGTAGAGTGTTTCGAGATTCTCACACCCGGTACCTAGGCACATACTTATATCTAGGTAGGCACCTACGAGTATCTACGAGTATCTACCTGGTATGTAGCTGACTGAGTTGAGCACCTTCCACCTCGGGAGTCCATGACCATAAGTTTCGGGCCCGCCGGGGGATTACCGGACGGTGGACAGGCCGGGAGTTACATAGGAAGCATATGGTCGTTTGGATGCCCACGCGCACGTTGCGGGCGTGGGATACCCCTAAAAGTAAAAGTAAAAGTAAAGGTAAAACAGAGGACTAATGGGGCTGTTCTTTAGCTTGTAGCTTGTGGCTTGTTTACCCCACGTCTACACACCCACTGACGCATCCCGAAATTGTACACAGATGACATGATAGAGCCGTAAAGTGACCAGAAATCCCACCGCTCCATTCAAGTTTCAACATTGTCGCCGACGTAAATACTTGGTGAATACTCTAGCCTGAAGATGTACAGCTGAAGAATCGAAGAAAAAGAAGTAAAAGAACAGAAGAAATGAAGAAATGAAAACAAAAGCTAAGAAACAGAAGCCAAGAAACAGAAGCTAAGAGGGTATGGTATCAAACATCTACACAGAAAAACCACTCGCAACACGCAACCGGACCAGGTGGGTACTCGAAACACTGGAACTCTTCAATACAGGCGGTACTCCAGTCAAAAAAAACCAAACAAAAAAAAAGACCAGAATAACCGAAGTAGATCCCCCGTAAAAACGCTGAAAGAAATCCCCTCAGAAAAGAAGAAAAAAACCAGAACAGCAAAACCTTACAAGAAACTCAAAAATTAACAGACGTATTCATACAACATACATTCACATATCCCCGTCTCATCTCGTCTCATCTCATCTCGTCATCACTCAGATCAGATCAGATCGAGAATTCCTCATCATCTTCACCGTCGGCATCGAGAAGATCCAACTCGTCATCATCGCCGCCACCGTACTCCTTGCGCCCGAAAAAGGTGTCCTCCGACGGCTCGCCGGCCCACATGCTCTCGTCTGCGTCGTTGCGCAGGGAAAGGATGCTGTCGTCGCCAGAGGCAGAGGGGGCAGTATGGGGGATGGCTTCGTAGGTAGGTAGTTGGTCCGAATTTTCAGAGGGCTGGACGTGGTTGGTGGGGGCGTCGTTGGTAAGCATGGTGTTGTCGTCGCCAGAGGCGGTAGTATGACCGTTGGCTTCGTCAACAAATAAGGTACTGCCATCTCCAGAGACAGAATTATGATCATTAGCTTCCTCGGCAGGCATGGTGCTGTCGTCGCGAGAGACAGAATTATGACCGTTGACTTCGTCGGCCGGCTGCTGTTCCTCGTTTTCGGCGGAAAGAATGGTGCTGTCATCGCCAGGAGCAGCATTATGACCGTTGACTTCGTCGGCAACAATCTGATCCTCGTTTTCGGCGTGCTGGACGTCTCCGGCGGTGGCGTCGTCGGCAGGCAGCTGCTCCTCATTTTCGGCGGGCTGGATATCTTCGGCGACGGCGTCGTCAGCAGGCACTTGGTCCTCATTTTCGGCGGGCTGGGTGTGTTCGGCGACGGCGTCGTCAGGGTCTAGGTCCATAGGATCCGTGTCCGAACTGATGGATGGAAGTACACACTTATCCATATCATTCTGTGCATCGGCCTGGAGGGCCTGCTCGGCAGCGGCAGCGGCGTCGACATCGACAGGTTCGACGGCTCCGATGGCCAACTCTAACTCTAGAACACCATCGGTTTTGTCGCAGTCCGTCGCATTGTTTATCGCACCATGCACCTCATCCATAAAACTCTCTAGGTAGGCTTCTCTAACAGCGATTCCTAGAGCTAGTGACACTCCTCGAGCCACTGAGTTTCCTATGACATGGAGCTTGTTGGAGGGAGCACCGGCGAGCACGTCGTCTTCCGGATAGCCCTGAGCGATCCTAGCTTCCTGGATCGTTAGAAGACGGTTCTCGTCCGAATGCATCCAGCGACCGGTTCTCGAGCACTGAGGAGTCGGCGTCGTAGTGATCGTGCGGCAAAGGCCACTTCTAAAGACTCTGCTATATGTCCTGCTGACGGCCGTCCCCTTCTCACCGACCTGGTTGAATGTTTGGAGCACTGGGTGGAGACGACCACTGTCGATCGCTACCCGCCACGAATTGTTTGCCATAAACCGAGGCACATGGGACATCAGCAATCTTATTGTTGTGTCGTTGGCGCCGGCACAGGTGTGGTCCGGGTAGCGAATCGATAGGCCAACGTGTCCGTTTCCGATATTGGGCAGGTGTGCCCAGGCGACCTCCGTAGTCAAATACGGAAACGGCGTCAGCTCGCCGATCTCGCGGCGTCCGAACCGTGCCCCGTTCGGCGCCGAGTACAAAGCCTGGGACTTCGCGTTGGGGCTGTGCTGGTGACTCCGGGGTGGCCGGTCAAGGGCCTTGTATCCGGTCTTGGAGATGGCGAGGATCAGCCGAGTCCTGCTCTGGGGGTTCCCGTGGGACCAGGCGTCGCAAAAGAAGGATTGGATCTGGTAGCCCATGCCGACGATCGCACAGAGCATCTCCGTATACGTGTTCTCTTGCTTTCCATTCCGGATTCGTGAAGTCGCGATGCCGTGCACGTTTTCCAGAATGGCGTACGTGGGTCGGTACACATCGATAGCAGTGGCTAGGGAACACACCAGACTCTGCTTGCGTTGAGCGCCGAAGCTGGTCCGGCAGTTGTTCGCCAGTGAGAACCCTTGGCAGGGGGATCCAGCGCTGATGAAGTCCACCTCGTCTTTCCCGGGGATACCTGTCTTTTCGGAGTATCGTCCACAGATGGCATCCTCAAGGTAGTTGTTGATGCTACCAAGATAAAGTTTCGTGTCGTCCAGATTGTTCAGGTTGGCTCTGTACGAGTGAAGGGGGTTCTTGTCGAAATCAACAGCCCACTTCATCTGCACAACACCTCCTTCCTCTAGACCTCGTCCGAAATTGCCTCCTCCACAGAACAGGTCCATACCTCTGAGGACGGGCTTATCTTTAGGGAGCTCATCCGTGAGACTCCACCCTTCTCGAAACTCGTCCTGACCAAGCTCGGGCACAGGGATGGTATTGCCTTCTGAGTCCAGGGCCCCAGAAATGTAAAAGAGCTCACCAATCCCATCGCGATCGTAAGGTGTCTCGGGTCTGGCGTCGTCCCGGAGAACAGCGATGTAACATCTACGCTTGATGTTACCGATGATGCCGCAATGCAAGTAGGCAGTTTCCTGGGTCCACAACAGCTGGTTGGGTTTCGCCCCCGGAACCACCCCCGGCGCGCGGACCAATTTCCTGAGTGTGATACCCATTGTCGAGTCGTCAAGAGCGAAAACCACTCCGGGCTCGAGCAACTTGACGTCCTTGCCTTCGGGAGTGTAAAGCACTGTTGATCCTACAGGAAACTGCTTCTTGAGCTTGTGATAGAGGTTGGGAAGTATCGTGTCGTCATCGTCAGGGTCCGTGCATTGGCAGTTGCCGAGTTCGAGATCCTTCTTCGAAAGCGAAATGAAGGCGCAATCGGTCGCCTGCGCCTTCTGCCGAATGAAGTACTCGGCTGACTCCATTTCCTCCGTGGTTTTCGGATTGAACACCACAGAGATCTTGCGGACGATGTTCTTCGCGTACAGCGGATCTGAATCCTCATCGCAATTGCAATGGTCCGAGAAGAAGAGCTAGATTCAGTCTCAGCGAGATGTAAACAAACGGATGGAGTGGACATGAGCAGAGTCGGTTAGAGCGCAGCCGCCGGTGAGCTGAGCGGTCTAGGGTACATTCTTTGTGGACTCGAGAACGAGCTCAACCCAAGGTCTTGGCCGAGTCGCGCCGACTCGGCTCACACATTCGAGTTGAAGACCCGACGAACCGAGCAGGCTCGAGCTGACGCCGAGCCGAAGACGCGCAGCAAGCCGAGACCGCTTCATGTCTGGATCAATGAAAACAAAGTGTAAAAGGAAACATACCTCGTTCTTGTACGGATAGTGGCCCCCATCCAGAATCGTGTCCTTAGGCCGGTAGAGCCAGACAATTTTAATTTGCCGGCCTTCCAGCTTCGTAACATACCCAAACCACTCCTCTTCTTCCTTTTCGTCGTCGTCCACCACCACACCCTTCACCCCCTTCCTCCTCTTCGTTTTCTCCTTCTTGGACCATGTCCCCTTCTCTTCGACGGCGACCTGCACGCAGTCTCCCACGCGTGGGACGTAGACCTCGTTGGTCTTCGCCTTCTGCTTCTTATGCACAAGGACGCCGGCGAGCTTCTTAGGCACGTCCGGGACTGGTACAACTTTCTTCAGATGGGGTCCGTACATGTCCTTGAAAATCTCATAGACATACGGTGTTACGACGGTGAGGTTCTCGTGCCGACCTGGGTAAGCCGGCGCGATGGCATTCAGCGTCCTGGTCTCCTTCCAAAGCGTGAGATCAGCGAAGCGGCGGTAGGCGTGGACAGCGTAGACTTGGTTCCAAAGCCAGTCTTTGTGGGTCGTGATGTCATTCCGGAAGTCGCGACGACTCCCCACCGCATTCCACCAGCCGAAGAAGAACGTCTCCACCTCGACCTTGTCACCCCGCTTATCGAACTGCCTCTCCATCCAGTCGCCGAAATTACGGAAGTCGCGCAGTAAGACGTCGCCCTTCCTCATCTGCGACTCCACGAATGCGAAGAAATGAAGGCCGAACTGCGCCAACCATTGAAATGGCTCGTAGTATGGCTTGTACTCCTTGGAGGGCGTTCCTAACCTGTACCAGACATCCCGAAGCCTCGTGTCACCACTTCTGCTATTCGAACACATTGAGGACTGAACGTGTATGTCACGTGGCTTGAAAGGGTCGCGGTAGCTAACGGACAACACGTCAACCTTCATTCGTTCAAAGTAGTGTCGCACACCATCTTCGCCAACAAGGAAACCATCGGCATAGAGATACTCGATGTTCGGCACGATGTTCATTGCCGATAGTCTGATCATCTCCCACGGGTATTTGAAAGGATACGGATCCCTCGCCCCCTCCTTCGGCTTGATATGGCTGCGACCGGTGTAGAAGCTAAAATCTTCCAGGCGGTACTCATAGTAGGTTTTATCGTCGTTGTCGACGCCGTTCTTGCTCTCTTGCGCCTATTCAAGGTTAGCACACAGCACCCACAAGCCATCTCGCAGCGCAAAGACTTACAAGAAGCATCGACACGATTAGTTGCTCCGGCTTCTTCGGCGCCGGCCTCTGCCCATACACCGACATCGGATTTACACTGCCAGGCGGCAGGATATGGCTAAAGCTTCTGCCTTTCGCCCGAGGCTCAGTCTCCGCCTCCGCCTCTGCCTCTACATCCTTGACGTCGTCTCTCTTCCGCTTTTTCGACGTCACCGCGGGAATGACCATGGCTTCGTCTTCGGCGCCGTCTACAACCATTGACTCTTCGGGGACTTCGGCGACTTCGGAACTGTTCCTAGCTGTTCCGGGCGCCTTGGTTGCGTACGCACTGTCGATGGGAGAGGCCGTGTCCGCCGGAGGAGCGTCGTCGGCCGCTGAAGACTTGCATTGCTCGTCCGGCGCTTCTTCGGGCGAATTGGTCTGGTCGGGCACCGGCGGAGAAGAGGAAATGGCGATTACCTCGTCGGACACGGGGGGTGAAGAGGGAATGACGATTACCTCGTCGTCCATGCTGCCGGACCGCACGAGCGAGCGGGTAGGGAACTATACGCAGCTGGAGGTGGGGGAATGGGGGATCGTAACTATAGCAGTGGTGGTAATTACGGTGGTGGTGGTGGTGGTGGTGGTGGTGGTGGTGGTGGTGGTGGTGATGGAGGAGTAAAGGAAAGGAAACGAAAGAATACACCGAGAAGACGATGGGAAGCAAGGAAAGAAGGAGGGAAGAAGTGAAAGAGCGGTGGAGGAGTTAAGAAAAGAAAAGCTCAAAAGTCCATATCGCCGCGGCGACTGAAACTTGTGCGATTTCGTGGGTTGTTCAACGGATTCGGCCGGCGACGCGCCAATACGGTACGCGTGCCTAACAACAACCTAGCACGCACATAACAAAAGCAACGCTCCGCACGGCGCACCAGCCTACATACGCCTACCTAATGCAAGATCCCTTGGACCAAGCTTTAGCCAGGTTGCTCGCTGGATGTATTATTATTCCCCACGCGCCATGCGAGGGACCAGATCTGATGCGGCGAATGGTGGCTTTGTGGCTGCATACGATGGATGGATGATGACCCCTCCCCTCACCGCCGTGATATCATATCCCCAGCCATAGAGCTCTACCTATATTGAGCTTCTGAAGCCCCGAGATTCGCGATTCGCGATTCGGGATTATATCGCATACAAAAACCCCACCTACATACGTACTCACAGAACAGAATCCAAGGCAACGAAAGGCCTACAATATCCGCCTGCAAGGACGAGAGAAACAACCCATCCAGCCATAAATTCCATGCGAAGGACCAAAGGAACGAAACCCAATCCCATTCCAGTGCGAATCATGGCTTAATCGGTAATGACGACTTTAATTGGTCAGGACGACCTTAATCGAACAGAACCGACCCTTAATCGACCAAAAAGTGAGAGTCGGGTGAGATATGCGTGTGGACACTGTATGCCTACTCACATATCCGGAAGCGAAGGCCCAAGGGAAGAAAGAAAGAAAAAACGCGACTCTCGAGTCTCGAGTCTTAAGTCTCGATCTCTAACGGAGCTCCAATGCAAGGGAAGAAAAGGGATAAATCCGACCCGAGAAATCGAGAGTCGAGGCCCTACCTCAGCATTGCTTGAGATTGTTTCACTCCCTCCCTCCCCACCAGCAGCTCGGTGGAATTGTATCGTGCGAAGTTCGGACCATGGAAAATGTACATACCTACAGGTTACTCGTACATACGTACATACTCGATCCTGTCCTGTCCCCCATCTGGACCTCCGACCGAGCGGCGCGCACTGTTTGAATTTTGAACTATGTGGTGGATCAGACTCTTCCGGTCCGCGAGCGAAATGCTTCGGAATTCGGAATGCTGCGAGAACTTCGAAGGGCTGCTCATTCCCGTACGCATAGGTAGGTCGCTGGCTCGAGCACTAGCAAACGTCTTGTCGACGGCAGCAGCAGCGGCAGCAGCAAGTCAATTTCACTGTTCGGCTTCCAGAGAGTGTGCCTGCTTGTCGGTAGGCAGAGTACATACCAAGCGTACGATAGGTACGACAGCAAATCCCACCCAGCTGCCACTTGACATCGTCCTCCGGCCCCAGCGGCGAAGGATGGATCTGGTATATAGGACACTTGCCAATGGGGTTTCGAAATTCGAATCGAGCAAGCTGTCAACGAAGTATCAACCAACCGAAAGTCGTGTGTATGATACCGTAGCAGCGGGAAGGTACCTACCTAGTACGTCGCTGGTGGGCTTGAAGGGTTCAAATCGACACAGTACGGCACTGGGCAGAGTAGGTACAGCAGAAGCAAGAAGCTACCCAACACCTAGGTGAATATTACGGAAACACCAAGCATACACAGGCCCCTCAAGCCTCAAGGTAGGAGCAGTTCAGTGGAAGTGACGTTGACGTTGAGTTTCGGTAGGCAGAGTATCGGTAGGCACAGCTACAAGTAGAGTGCCGGTACACGTACGGCTACAGCAATTATACAGCCACAAGTACAGAAGCAAAGCACGGACATCTGCCTGCCCAGCGGTACGGCGGTACCTATCTGTCTGTAGCCAGGCCAGTTCAAACTTCAAACTTCAAACTTCACATCGGTAGCCTCAGGTACCTAGCCATCTCACCAAACGTTATAAACCCATGCGTTCCTCTTCTGAGCCGATTACCGATTACCGAAAGTCGATCGAGGTCTAAGCTCGTCTCCAAGACTCCAAGTGAATAGTTCATGTCCTCCTGTCCGCGAGCGATTGCGCCGGTCAGGACTTCTAGCTCGGCGATGGCATGGCTTTCGCCTACAGACCGACATGTTTACGCCAGGCACAGGCCTTTCTGCTAAGTCCTGTGGTTGAGCAGCCAGCCAGCGGCAGCCAGCTAGCGGCACTGCGGCAGTCATCGGCAGCCAGCAGTCAGCCAGCCAACCAACGGCAGCCTGCAAATACTGTACTTACCGTTCATACCGTTCACACCGGTGCCGTACTCTGCCAACCCGCAGTACTCTAGCGTAAGCGGTGAATAAAGGAAAGGAAAGCCCAGCAGGAAGACTGATTTCATTGTTGAGAATTGTGGAATTGTGGACTTCTACGGTAGATGGTAGGTAAGTACTGTGCCAAAAAGCTGGTAGAAATTGACACTGGATTTACACTATGTCTACACGGAATATGTTTTTTTCATGCATTTAGACTAAACCTCATATTAATCCGGTGCATATACAAACTATAATTTGTTCAGGTTCGGCATCTATTTTCGATACCACTTGCAAGAAACTCTTTATTTTTATCATTGTGGGATCTATACGGGATCCATGATGGATTTCAACAAATTTATATCTAGATGATCACCGGATCAACACCGAAGAAACACCGAGATCATAAAACTCAAAGAATTCAATAAGCACAAATTTTATTACAACACGAGGTCTTTAGTATTATTCTTTTGATTTAATCCGGTGTGAGCCTGGTGTTGCTACCCTACTTCAACCAATCCGTGTTGAATGAATCACAGCAGCCATATTGGGTTGATCCCATATCTTCCATCACGCCGCATGATCACAAACGAGTGTCAGAAAATAATACTGGATGCTTCCGACATCAACCCGTAATCTACTCGTTTTTGATGGGTATATACGTAAATCTGAATTCCAAAAAAGAGTATTGATACAGGTCCCAGTTGCAAGGTCTATACTACCTAGCATGCGAAGTGACTTTATATATGAATTCATCTTCTAATGAATTTCTACTTATTACAAGAGGCTCAACCCACAAGAGAAGGAAGTGACGGATGAGCTGTTTGTGAGAGAAGGAGCTGTCAGCGAGAGGAGGAGGAGATATCTGCGAGAGAAAGAACTGTCAACGAGATGACGAATTGATGGCGGATTCCTGTTAGCAGAAGTATGCGGATGTGGTTGGTTGGGAGCATCGACGTTGGTGGGTCCAGAGACTTATCTGCTCGCTTGGTAGAAAAAGAAGTAGGAGGAGACGTTATCCGCGGCGGGTCTAGCGGCCGAGTACTAGTAGGAAGGAACAGATATTGGTAGTCCAGCTGGGTTAGGATCAGCACATACTATTAGGGAGACAGTTTTCACAGTGCAGCCAGTGCTGTGAGATGGTCGGCGAGAAGCAGTATCTAGGGGAGAGACAGTATCAGCTGCGGGGCCTGCAGATTGAAGAGCAGGACTAGAAGCAAGAATAGAAGCATGAATAGAAGCAGGAATAGAAGCAGGGAAAGGTGCAGTTGGTGGAGAGAGAGAGTATCTGCGGCGGCTTGTGGAGCGATTGAAGAGCTGTCAGCGAAAGGAGGAAGTGATGTCGCCCCCATATGGGACCAGGGACCAGGAGGGAGAGGAGTAGTAGGGGGAGACAGTATCTGCGATGGTGCCGGCATGGTTAGGAGTAGTAGAGAGGGGGGCGGAGGCGGGGATTCACAGTGCAGTATCAGCGGCGGGTTGTGGCTGAGCTGTAGGTGAGAGAAGGAAGTGATGATGAGCTGTCAGCGAGAGGAGGAAGTATTGGAGGAACTAAGTGATAGAGGATTTCTATTGGCGGGAGGAAGCGGATGTGGTTTTGCGAGCGGTTCGTGGGCCAACACTACTCCAGGCCGGAGGCGGGATCTTTGGAAGAAAGCGCACACAGAGAAAAAGAGAAGATGGTAGGGTTGATCGTCTACCTGGATGATGGTGGTGATGATGACGAGATGAAAGAAGAAGAAGAAGAAGAAGAAGAAGAGAGGATGAGGGGAGCAGAAGCCGACGGCTATAACAGCGAACGGCACAACTCGACCCCCCACCGCTGGTGCTGGCTATCAACGGTGGACTCCCCAACGCTGGACCCTCCACCACACCGGTATGAATCCCAACAGGCGAACGGGGCGGTGAAGATAGCGTAGAATCCCGGCAATGGTGGTGTAGCAGTATCCGTGGCGGCGATGGTTTCGTCTCGAAGGACCTCTCTCGCTACTGTGGAGGCAAATGGCCTCGTTCCGGAGGCAGTACTGGCGTCGCCCCGGAGACGTCTCTCACTGCTATGCTCTGCAACCGTTCGGCAGATGCCCCTCTCGCCGGCGTGGAGGCAGCACTGGAGATTTGAGTACCGTAGCTGTTTACAATCAATGCGGTGTCTCTACCGCTTTTATTCGAGTTATCATTCAAGTTCATGCACAGGGTCGCCTAAATACGGAATCAGAACAAATCCGTGTTCCTTGGGTGTCTGTTATACTCCACCTTCAAACATCAGCACAGGTATGGAACCGCATACTTACATACCATCACCATACATACATACCATCGCACACTCGTGACTTCACTGCTCCTCGCCCGTATCCGTACCCGTATGTACCACGCTGCACGTCCAACGGTCCAAGTACTTGGGTATGTACTCCATTCTACCGTCAGCAATCTGACGCCCGGGCAATACTCTACTTGTACAATACATACCGTACGGCACCAAATCAAACCAATCGATGTAGCCACTGCACTTGCACAGTCGCACAGTTGCACATTTGCACTTGTAGGTAGGTAGACCCTCCCAGTTCCAACAGTTAGCCGGTTGAAAATTGAAATGGGAACACTGGAACACTGGTTTAAACAGTCCAGTTCTGGTTGATTTTGTTCGCGGTTCAGCTGGGAATAGAACAGAGGCTGTCAGTTCTAACTCCCCAGTTGGTTTAGGTATCTATCTAAGTCTGGCTGTTGTTCCCGGGGAAAACTGGCAGAACTGCCAGTTCAGTTCAGCCAGCCCAGCCAAAGTGGGCGAGATACCGTAGGTAGGTTTCCTATGCTCACGGAAAAAGCGATACAGAATGGGTACATACAGTACTAGCTATGAATTACTACTCTGATGCTATGTACTTACCCATGATGGGAGTACGGCGATTGAACCTCTTGATACCTACTCTGCAGAGATTGAACATTCTCGGTATGTACTTAGGGAATATCGGTGATCAGTAAGAATCATCTTGCACTCGGAGAACGGCCGTTCAACCTTAGGTAGCCGACATGGCTGGAATAGGTAGACAGTATGTCAATCGCCATTCGGCTGAGGTTAGGAAAGTTGACGTCGTTGCTGGCCGGCGCGGTTCCAGCCACCATTCGATCGCGGTATATTCGCAGCAGGACTGTTTCAAATTCAAAAATTCCTCTCGAGAATCGACGGGCAATGAACAATAGGTAGTCCTGGAGCTTGTCAACCGGCGGCGTCCTATGTACTGGCTGCTGGGGAAATAGTAGTGACTGGGTGGCGGGTTGTAGCCTTGTAGGCGGTTATCCGGTCGGTTGGTGGTGGCGATGGGTTTGGCCCAAACGTTTAAGCCTCACTGAACTGAACTGATGGGCCAAGCAGTTTTCCCAGTCCAAAACCTGATATGTAGTTGGTTCAGTTTGCCAGTTGGTTCAGTTCACGACCCCCCAGCAGTTGGGGGGTACGGAAAACCCGGTTTGTTCCCAGTTCGAACTGTTGGAGGGTCTGAGTCCATCCATGATCCCACTGCCAGAAATCGGACGTCCGTACATAGGTACTTGTACTGTACATACATACGGCGCCAATCGACGAAGGCACTCCATCTGCACTTGCACTTGCACTCGCAGGCACGCACGCATACCCGCTCTAGGTAGACCGTGGAGACCAGAGACACACAAGTAAAAGCATTTAGCATTAATGATCATATGTAGCGATAACATCCTCTTCCTGATTCCTGAAAAGCTCTTATCCATAAGGGAGACGGACTCAAATTACCTATGCCCACCGCCCGCTCTCACCATTCATGCAACCGCCGTTCATCAAGCACCAACGCAAAGCAAAAGCATCCATTAACAGTCGACTGCCCTAACTGCCCTCCTCAGTCCTCAGTCCTCAGTCCTCAGTCCTCAGTCCTCAGTCCTCAGTCCTCAGTCCTCAGTCCTCAGTCCTCAGTCCTCAGTCCTCAGTCCTCAGTCCTCAGTCCTCAATCCTAGCGTGAATAGTGAATAGTGAATACCAATACCAATACCAATACCAATATCAATACTAACCGGCGACGAATCCGCCATGTCCTGCCGACCCTCCTTACCTCCCCCTGCCCCCCCCCCCCCTCCCCTCCTCCAAATACCTTGCTCAGAAAGCTTGAAACAAACAAAGAAGCCCAGTATGGCAAGCCACTCCCGCCCGTGCATACTACAGCGGCCAGCCCGGTGGACCGTGAACAAAGCAGCCAGCGGACTCTGGAGTGACTGTACAGCACAGCCCATGCCCTGCCCCGCTTCTACATACCTTCAGGCTCCTCGCTCCTTATTGCTCGGGCACCAGCGTGCCAGCTCAGCACTGCTCACCTTGTTCCCCGCCTCCGTCTCCGCCATGGCCTCACAAGCCCGCCCGTCATCACTCACCCTCCCCTCCCCGCCACCTCCGCCACATAAACTCTACCACCCCCACCACCGAATGAGCTGCCATGGCCCTTCACACAATCACCCCGCCACTACGCTGCCACACCACCACGCGCAACCACTCCATCACTTCGATGCCACCAATACCCTAATCACTCGTGTCAGGCTACCACTCCACCACTACCATACCCATCCCGCAGTATCACTCCACTCCCTCACAGCCTCGCTTCAATCACTCACCGTCACCTCACTCACCATCACCGTCACCTCACCGCACCCCACTCCGCACTTGGAATCCCCATCACTCAACCCCCATCACTCAACCATCACTCAAACCACCCATTCAACCATTCAACCATTCAACCATTACCGTTCGCTCCCTTCTTCTCTGCACCTTCAAACCATCAATCCTTTAATCCGGGTCTGCATGCAAAGCTTGCCTTGCGGTACCTACCAGTACCAGTAAGTACCAGTACCAGTAAATACCAATACCAGTAAGTACCAATACAGATCAAGTATCAAGTACATACAAGAAAACGGGCGGGGTGGGTAGAGTGAATGAAATCAGTAAAAAAGCCTAAGCAAAGGGAATTTCCATCAACAGTCGCAAACGCACGTCACAATAACAGCCAGCCGTTCCAGTTCCGTCACGATTCTCATCAACGCAAGAACCCTTTTTTCCCGGTCTCCGATCCTCCTCGCCTCCCCTCTAGACCGGCCGCCCCCATCCATCACCAAGCAGAAAGCAGAACAAACAGCGAACTCAAAAGAGAGGTTGACAAACTCGAAAGGAAAGACGACAAATGTAAAATGAAAAGAAAAAATGAAATCATCGCCCCCATAGTAGCAACACAACACAGCATCGAAAGATGGAAAGATCTGTAAACACCAGCAAGAGATCCGAACGATAGAGAAACAAAGAAACCCCGTAAAAGAGACAGCTCCGTATCCAATGCGTCAAAAAAAACTAGCCCATCTGGTGGTCGGGAACGGACTGCTCGGCGCCCTCCATCGGATCTCCGCCGTAGCTGGTGTACCGGACGAAGCTAAGGCCGAGAGGACGCCCGCCGTAAAGGTATCCGGTGAATTTCGCTACACGTAAACGGGTTAGCACACGGAACTATACTGGTCCACCCACGGATGGATTGAACCCACTAATAGCGATCTCCGCATTTTCGGCCGTATCGAACTGTACGACACCGGTTCCTCTGGATCGGCCACTCGGTTCGTACTGAATCTCGGCACGCTCAACCTTTCCGATGGTGTTGAACAGCTCGACCAGGTCCTCGTTGCTGGTAGACCAGGGAAGCTAAAATTATTCGTCAGCGAAAAGCAACCGTGACGAGTGATTGACCAAACTCACGTTGCGGACGTAGATAGTGTTGGATCTATCTCCTCCACTGCTGGCATGATCCGTAAAGTCGTTCGGGGGTACCGATTGTGTGGGAGCACTGTAGTCGGTAGGGCCTGCGAAACCACCAGGACGAGCACCACCGAAGCCTCCACCTCCGCCGCCATAGCCACCGAAGCCACCGCGACCTCCGCCGAAGCCTCCAGCACGAGGAACTCCGAAACCTCCGCCGAAACCTCCGCCGCCACGACCTCCGCCGGGAAATCCACCACGTCCTCCGCCCATGTTTCCACCAAAACCTCCTCCGCCACCTCCGCCAGCACCGGCAAAGCGGTCCTCCCTCACCTCCAACTGACGACCCTGCCATTCGTGCCCGTTGAACTGGGCGATAGCATTACGTGCGTCCTCGGGGGTTTCGAAGGCAACGACACCGCTACCCTTGGGACGACCGTCGGGACCGATGTGAACATCGGCACGGACGACAGCACCTATTGAGAATGTTAGATAGGATATCATGCGTGCGATGGTCGTCCATTGGGAACTTACCGGCTTGGCGGAAGAGATCCTTAAGATCCTGCCACCCGACAGTGTAGGGAAGCTGTAATGCGTCAGCGAGTTACCCAGACAGCCTGAAACCGGTGAGACATACGTTGGAGACGTAAATCTGACGGCCTCCAACGCCTCCGCCCATGCCCCCGCCCATGCCTCCGCCCATGCCTCCGCCAGGGGGGCCTCCGTAACCAGCACCGAAGCCGGGTCCTCCGCCGGGAGCACCGTAAGGCGCACGGGCGTTGGGCTGACCGTTGAAACGTGGCTCGGCCTCGCGGTCCTAGAACTCTGATCAATAGCTGCTCCGCAAGATCAATGCCGGCGCAGATCCTCCTACCTCACGGACGTAGACGAGCCGGCCCATCAGGCTTTGATTGCTAAGGGTGTTAACGGCAGTCTGAGCTTGATCCCTTGTGGCATATTCCACAATCCTGTTGACCGTTAGCAAGGTGTCAAACCAAAAAGAGTCTCCTCGGGAAGAGGAATACATGCCCGCATCCCTACAAATCCCACGGACGTCCATGTCCAGCCCCGTCAATCACCATCCCACAATAATCCCACAAAAAAAAGAAAAACCCAGCATCGTTCGTAGACCCCACCTTCGACATTCCATTCGGCAGTAACAAGACGTCGGCGAAGAGGACTTCTCCGGCTGTACAGATGAGTATTCGTTAGTATTGATTCGATCGGCAATAACATGTGAAGAAAAGAACAAGAAAGAAAAAAGCGAGAATATATGCAACCACGCGACAGTTCCCATCGGGGAGAATGAACGCAGCGCGAAAGACATTACGCATGGTGTTATCCCATCCCGACCCGATTGCGAGCTCCGAGATTCGAAAGACGGAAGCTCACCGTCGAGACGAGGCGGAAGGGAACCAGGATCAGGAAACGTCGCCGGAACGCGAGGAGAGAAAAAGCACAGCGAAGAGAGAAAAGAAACGAATTGACCCACCCTGTCTCATAAAGTCCTTGAGGTGATGCCACTTGACATCGTAAGAGAGATTTCCGACGTAGACCCGACGGTCCTGCTGAGAGCTATCACGAAGACTCTGCATCATAGCGTCCTTTGCTGCAGTGCGATCTTCCGTTGAGCGACGAGGTTCACCAACAACACCACCACCCGAAACAGAACCACCAAGATAGCCGGAAGTTGAACCTGCGTATGATGCTCCTCCTAAGCCTTGACCACCTAATCCTCCGCTCGGTGCTGGTGAGCGACTCGGTCGCCTTCTGTTGCTGCTGCTGTGGTATTCGTCCCGACTTCTTGATCTGCTTCGAGGTGAGTAGGATCTCCGACGGGAGTGGCGAGGGCTGCGAGGTGACCTTGCGCGATCACGATGATGGTGAGAGTTATCTGGAGAGCGACGACGCGGAGAACGGGATCTATCGCGCTGAGAGTGTGTCAAAGAGGGGTGGTCCATCAGCGGGTGTGATCGGCGCCTAAAAAAGCGAAGAGGAAGGACTTGGGGGGTGGAGGGTGGGGAGAGGGTTAGGATTGGGGGTGGGTGGGGAAGGGTAGTTGGTGTGTGTGGTGGAAGGGTGCGTGTGTTGGGGGGTAGGAAACAGTGTGATGTGGTGTGGGTATTGGGGGGGGGGGGGGGGGGGTTGGGTTGGCAGAGTGACAGGGCGACAGGCAGCAGCAGTAGCAGAAGCAGCGGCGAGGGCGGGATTGATAGAAAGATGTGGGGAGGGGAGGGGGGGTGGAGGGGGGTGGGTATTACGGGACTTAGCAAGTGTAGGAAGTAGTGGCCGAGGATTAGTGGAGTGTGATGGGAGCAAGCGACGACGGCAAGACACTCGACGACAGAGTACGGGCGGGGGGAGAGGAGGGAGAGGGAAGGAAACAAGAAGAGGAGGGATGTCGACGGGAGAAGACGACGAAACAACTCGGAGTGGCATATCTAGGGCAGAGATACACACACACGAGTGTGGGGGAACAATTATTCAACGGCCTCGATCAGTCGAGGCAAACGAGGCAAGAGCGGACGAGGGTCGAACCAGCGCGAACGAGGCAGACAGAAGCAGACAGAGCAGCAGCAACAACAGCCGCAGTAGCAACCATCACAGCACGAGCAAGCAGGAGATGCGAACGAACGAACAAGCGGCAACAACAACGGCAACGACAACACGGCAACGACAGGGTGCCGTGAGGAACATACGGATCGAGCAGATCGAGTGACAACATCAATCAGAGGCATGAAGTATCAACTTTCAATCGCCCATCCATACGTTCCCCACCAATCCCACAAGTCTTGAGTGAAGTAAAAGACGATAATAGAGATGGTGATGGTGATAATGATGGTGATGCGTGAGGGATATCGCGTGCAGCAGTACTTAGAAGCACACCTTTTTCCTGCTGCCCGGCATTCCCGCATACGCACGAGGGGAAATGTCGAGTCCGCAGGTGGGACGACTCGACGGCGCTCGATGGCTGGGGTCATCTCCAGCTGGTTGCGACAGCACCGACCACTCTACTACCTTCCGCTTTCGCATGGGCAAAGGTGGGGGTGGAGGGGAGGGCGCGAGGGGACGGAAACGAAACAACAGCATCGCCAACAACAAAAACAACAACACACCACACACCACACACCACGCGGGCGGACGAGCAGGGAATACCGGTGGCGGAAGTTCGATAGCACTGGAGGGGGGAAGATAGGCAGGCGGATACATGGGTAGATTAACTGCAGCCAGGGAGAGAAAAGGTGATTGCGGTGCGGTGCGGATGGGGGAGGAAGCGGAGCAGAACAGATAGAGTGCTGTACTCCACTCTGCGTCTGCGGCAGACACCTCTCCAGAGGGATGGGGAAAAAGAATGTGGGGAGCTCGAGTCTCACCGTCACATCGCCATCCGTCCGACACGATCAATCCAGTCAATCCAGTCAATCCAGTCAATCCAATCCATCTCTCCTGCCATCTCCGACGGACGAATTGATTGATTGATTGATTGATTGCTTGATCGATGCAGAAACGATGGAGATGACGTGGCGGATGAGATGGGCAATGTGCAGAGTGTGGCCGACAGGAAAAAGATGGGATAATTGAATCAAACAACGCAAACTCGAATGCTCGGGAAAGGGTTGGTAATCGGTATTGATGGAAGTAGTAACAAAGATAGCGAGTCGTGGCCCGTGATGGGTATCTCTTGTCTTGCTCGCTTTCCTCCGAGCTCTCCGCCATCTCGGTTCTCCGCTGTCCTGGCTGCTTGCTCTCTCTGTCTGCTTGCTTGCTTCTGCTCCCCCGTCTTTCCGTCTCTCGCCAGCTGGTGTTGCCCCGCCATGCTTCCCAGCTCCGACCGGAGCCCAAACAATGTTGCCGCCGTGGGAATAGTGCCAGTGCCAGTGCCAGTGATCGGAGTTTGAGGGAATATCTCAGCGCGCAGGTCACAGCCCAGCGCCGCCACCACCACAAAATGTGTATGCTCAGTGTGACCGGAAAGCCCGCAATCGAATGCGCAGTGCACCCCTCCACCGCAAAAGAAGAAAAAAGAAAAAGTAGAGAAGAGAAGAGAACAGAAGGGAAGATGAATGGACTCGAGACAACCATCTCCTCGGAACGGTAGTACTCACATTATCGAACGAACGAGCGCCGTCTACGAAGCCTCCTCCACCTCCACCTCCACGACGGTGGGAATCACTGACGTTGTCTGCGTATGACGATCAACAGAGCGCCGCTGGTTAGCTTTGACTGAGAGTACGGGGGAGTGAGGACCGGGTTTGTCTGCTGAGAAGGGCAAAGGGTAGATGTATATGTATATATATAAAAAAAGCGAGGTGGTGGTTCAGATGTAAGAAGTATTGGTTGGGAGCAGCAGACCCATAGAAGCTCACTCCTGTTGTCTTTGAAGCTAGGAGGAGAGAGAGAGAGAGAGAGAATCACTCGGAGGAGAGAGTCAGGGAGCGGGCGGGTAGATATGCAAGGTGCGGAGCCCCCCTTATGTATCCGTGCTGTAAGTGTTATGGTGGTGCTGGTGCTGGTGCTGGTGGTGGTGGTGGTGAGTTGCGCGTGCGGACTTGTGTGTGTGGTTTTTTTTTGTGACGAGTGATGGAGGGAAGGAGCGAGCGAATGGGATGCAGAGGAAATGTTGAACGTTTGCCGCGATACGATAGGAGGCTGGCAAGCAGGCAAGGGTGGATGATTTCTTCTTGGGGGAAGGGGGGAGGCTGGATGGAGTAAACAGCACGCCTTTCTCGGCAGGCAGACAGAGCGAAGGAGAGGCGGGTCGGTCAGTCCCTTCTTTCGGGATTTTCTTTATTTATTTTTGGTGGAGGGGGTGGGGTGAGCACTGAGGGTGGTGGGGGGGGACCGGGACGGGGTGGGTGATGATATATCGATATGGATGTCGTGTCCTCTGCGGTTGATGCTTGCAAAGTCCAGCGTTAGCGGTTGGAGGAGAGGGGACGGAGGGAGGGATCGAAAGAGAGAGGGAAAGGAAGGAAAGGAAGGAAAGGAAAAAGAGACCGGCTGCATCCAAACGAGGAAGTTGGCCGTGGGAGAATGAAGATCAGGACACGGAGCAGGCCAGCGTTTGAGCGGCAAGGCTGAGACGTCTGCTGGAGCAGAACGGAAAGAAACAAGGACAAGGGCAAAGGGCCCGCCTCTTGCTCGCCATTCTGCGAATGGCATAGCGCCCACCTCTTTAGTCACCGGAATTCGCTTTTGACCGCCCGCAGCGCGCGAGCCGAACCTTCCCAGCCATGCTACATATGAGTTGGAGCATGTTCTTGAGTTCTCGAGTTCTCGGGGCCCACAGCCTCGCTCCCTGAAACGCAAATCAGAGGGACAGAGCAAACCGCGAGCGGAAGCGACACACAGACGGATCAACCCGATAGATAACCAACTGCTATTGTTGCCTTTCACATGCCGATGCCGAGTGACACCGTGTGCGACATCGGCGACCCCCACGTTGAAATGCGAATGCACAACATGTAGGCAAGTACTATGCTTACATACTGGTCCCGAACGACCCGCTGCGGTGCGGCACGGCTCACTCGCTGCATGCAATTACGTTGTGCATGTCCTGTTAAAAGCTCGCAATCGCAATTGAGTTGGCTTGGCTGGAAACGGTAAGTACCACCTATACATGAGGACATCGAGGACGTTTCCTGTGATTTGGGCTTCGGGTGCACCAGCTCGACTCTAATATGTACCCAATTATTTACCCACCTATGCTCATCATACGTACGCCGAATCCTAATGTCAAAAACGCTACATATACTCCACTACGGTACAGGCCATCGATATCGGGAATGTTCTGTTACTGTTGTGCTTCGAGAGCCCTCTGGATCCGATTTTACTATGTACACACACACTCGTGGTGAATGCCCGTGCCAAAACCGGAACCCGAAGATGGAAAATCACGGGACGGCCATAAGGAATATCGACATCGATATCAAGCAGCCCCACTTCCCACCCCTCTACTCATGCTGCCGTTAAGACTCAAAAGCATCGTCTTCGAAAACCAGCCAGCAAGCTGGCCACCTTCACCCACCCCCGTGCTGCCTCTCGAAAAGGCGGGCAGGACGTCGCGAGACAACGAGACAACCCTCTGCCGCCTCTCGAAGCGGTTGCTCTCACGTTTGGAAACCGTGGCCGTCTCGTCGGTTCGAGACATGCCAAGTTGCCAACGCTTCGCCTCGACTCGCCTCGACTCGCCTCGCGGGTTCCGTTCTTAGCCTTCTCCGAGGTCGGCATGGAGATAGTGCTGGCAGTATGTGAATCCATCGCGGTAGGTATATGTAGCCAGTTGTTGCATGCCATGACAACGAAGGCCGTGAAAAACAAACCTTTCAATTCAATTAACCAATGGATCACGAGTACTGAACACGGCCTTAGTTACCCTCTCATATTCCACGCCGGTAGGCATGGCGGTTAATTAACCAATGTTGCAATACCTATTGAGTCATTCGTTGCGTAGTAGTTGCATAGGTAGGCGGTTACTTGGCTATGACGACGGCAGCGGGCACTGGCCAGCTTATAGCCTTCTTGTACATATGCCCGCTCGAGGCCTCGGATTCTTGCAATTCATTCGTACTTTCTAACAACTAACACTTCCCCATGGTCAAATACCTACGTTCGGCATGCGTATTCATGGTATCTCACTCGCCACAACTTCAGCTTCGTTACCTGTTGATATTTTCAGAAGTCTTGAACGAAGCGTGCAGTCGGCAGCGGTGCTTATGGTTATCCATTTTGCAGTCTGTTCAATCGATGCACTAATTTCAAAATGGACAACCATAAGTACCACTGTCGACTGCACGTGTCGTCTCAAGAAAGACAGAGTAGGTATCAACAACAGGTTATGCACCTATGAGCGGCGAGCGCGGGCTCATAACCTGTTGAAAGTTGAAACTGGGAGAGAGAAGTACTTGAGTTGACTTGAGTGATGCAATGATATCTACGGGAAAGACGAGAAAGATGAGAAAGATGAGAAAGACAAAAGACGAGAAAGGAGACTGCTCATATAGTAAAGGGAATCGGGCTGGGGCTGGGGGCCTGAAGAGGCTTATTATGTACTGTACCTATATTCTGGTGAGAAGCCAGGGACAATGCTACATAAGTAAGAAGCCATGAAGGTTGCGTAGGTATGCGATAATGCAAAGGGACAGAGGGCGGAGAAAAGTATGTACAAGTGACACCGGAATTGGTAGGCAATAGGACGCATATTATCAAGTTATCAACAGTACCCGATGATAGATGCGGTAGAAATACTCAGTGGATATAAGCCTGCAGAGGATCATAGGTAAGGTACATAATCAAGAAAATCAGTGGACAAAAGGTTTGAACCACTGCCGGAAAGATACCCCGAACACTGTGTATGGGGTTTCTTGCAGTGCGTTGCCTCCTATGTAGAGCAGATCCGATCTATGGCAGATTTTGGCTACATAGAGACCCGTGCTCTCAACAGAGGAAGCTGCCGGCCATGAATCATGATATCTCCACTCCCGATCATCAGGGAACCCACCAACCTTCATATTTCGTATCTTATACCTAATTTATAACCCCCGATCATATGGTTTATACACGACCGGCCCCCAACCAGACAGACACCTTGAGGCGCTGTGGCTTCCACGCAACATGCCCACGCCCCAGTTCAGCCCCGGATTTCGACCGCAATAGTGAGTAATCCGGGATAGTCATGATATACATACCGGACCCCATTACCGTACGTACATACACGGAGTCTGTCCGTAGCGGTTTTGGCAGGTCATGTCATCTTCACTTTCACTTTCACAGCACTCCCAAATTCCCAATCGTTAAGGAAACAAAATCAATTTTCACTTTCCGTACATATCCCACATTCCATAATTCATGATCCATATCCCAAATTCCAAGTTCAGTGCAATAACAGCAAACAAACCAAAAAAAGAAACCCGTCAATCTGAGCCTAAGCCTAGTTATTCCTACTTATCCATCCCCATCGCATGCTTCGCCTTATCGGCCATGGACTCCTTCTCGCGGCGGGACTTATCGAATCCCTTCTGGGTGGTGCTCTTTGAGCTATCGGACTGGAGTTCTCCAGCGGCCCCTAGTTAGTTAAGTATCGTGCGTCAGCACCCACCCACTGCATTCACCCAACGGTAACAGGTATGAGAGACGCACTGTCGGCAGTGTCGGTAACGCTCTCTTTGGCCTTGTCCATGGTGCTCTTCGAAGAGTCGGGCGTCACCTTCTCCTGCGCACGGTCGCTGAAGTCTTTGCGCATGTTGTCGGACATTTTGAGGGGCTGGTGGTTTTTGTGGGGGGGGGGGGGGGGGGGGGCTTCGAGTGGGTTTGTGTGGATGTTTGTGGGGGATGTGAGAGTGGATGTGAAAGTGTCTGGACGAAAAGCCAAAGAAGCAGCAGCGGGATGAGCGTTTCTTATACTCACACGATTCCGTTCGATTGGGCGGAATCGACAATCCCCCTCTCCCCCTCCACACATATGGCTTCTACGCACGCGTCCGCCCTACTCTACTCCAGTCCTGCCCCCAGATCTCGACCGCAACACTGAAAGTCCGGGGTATGTAGCGTACAAAATACCGGACTTCGACATAGGGCTGTCCGTTGGTGGTGGTGGTGGTGGTGGCCTTGACGATCCATGACATCTCGATGACGTATATGATCGTCGTCGGCCGCAACCGTCTCGACTCTCGAGCTCGCTTTCGATGCTGATGATCATGATCATGCGGGACGGATTGATCCTCTCCGTGCGCGTTTTTCTCCCGCATGGAGTGCTGGGGCAGTGGAGCAGTGGCCTTGGAAGTTGTTTGGAGTTGGCGATAGGTAGGGTTGGGGGTGCACGTTGCTGGATGGAGATCACGGATAGTGGAAACTCATGGGATGTCACTCGGTAGTGTGTGGTGGGGGAGGCATCGGAAGTTGAAACCATAGTTGTTTTCCCCGATAGGACTAGGAGTTTGCAGTGTAATTCCCCATGATCTAGAGAAGGTCGCACATAATAGGAATCATCATGATCGTAATGTTTTTCCCCACGGCGTGGAGCTGCGGGAGCATCGAGATCAATGGTTCCTACGGTACCACCGGTACCGACGCTGGCTAGACTCCAAGAGTGGAAATTCCGAGCGGCGGCTTGAACTCGATGTGCATGTCCGACAAGTCCAGATGGCCTAGGCGATCGTGGAGAGCCGCGGATGGATATCCGCAAATACCTACATGCGCGTTGAATCGACGAGGCGGTGGACGCTGGATCCACACCAATACCTGCCGTAGGTATCTCGCAAACGTTTGAACTTTGATAAACGCAAACATCAATAACCCGGACGATCAATGCATATGGAGTAACTATCGAGGAACGGTTATGCTAAAGAGGGACGTAGGTTTAGCTAGCCATAACCGACAGCCAGCCAGCCAGCTGAGCTCCATGAGGCGTGGCCGGCGGGGTATCGAAGGAGCAAAGCACATGCGAGTGTGGCGCTGGCCAAAGCTCTTGTGGCTCTTTTGCCACGACTTCCATAATCCATTGCCTTTGGCGAGGTTTGATAAGCTCTGGATTGAACGAAAAGGCCGGTTTTTTGTCCGCCGAAAACCGTGTAGCCGTTCAAAGCCCAAACCTGCGAAAGCTGGAGTAGGAGTACATATGGAGAATTAAACTCCAGGTGCAAATTAAGCTTCAATGAGGTCAGAATTTCCCATCGTGGACGAAGACAAAATTGCCTCCGCGGGTGCTTACTCGAGTCGGTATCACTTTCCGTCTCAGGACTCCGAAGTTGCCACATCCCCGCGGTCCCGGTATTCCTGCCGTCCGCCGTTTGAACTGAATTTCCCGGAGTATGATGCCTAAAAACAGGATCTGAAACTCCGGCATGTCCAAATGCAAACTTTACATGGTCAATATGCCCGGAAACATTGCAGATAGAGGATAGAACAACAGGATGTTCATAGAAACATTGATTGTGAGCTGGAGAAGGGACTCCACTTTGGCGCCACCAGCGGATGATCATATGGGCCATCACTGTGCCATCACTGCGCCACCACTGCGCTACGCCGCACCACGCCGCACCGGAACACGGGATGTCTCAACATTTCTCTCCACCGGACCGATCTGCTTTTCAAGAGTCTTCACGGCCCCTAGAGAAAAACGATTCCCAAGGCCCACCAGTTACCGCGCGACTACGTGGTCCAGAGCGCCAAGTGATCATTCATGAAGCCAGCTTACTCAACTTCGCCTAGCCCCGCCTATCATGGGCAACAGCAACGGTGCTAGGTAGTACATATTCGAGCTCTGTCACACTCTCATCCTGGGTGACGACTTCAGATGAACGACGAACCACTACTTTCCACACCGAGATAACACGACGGACAGACACCCTTTCATGAGTACCAGCTTTGATCTATCGCCGGTAATAGGCCTGCTGCAGGTTCTCCCGCCGAACTCGAGCAGAACACCCTCCACCGCGGGCACCAGTTGTGACCAGGAGTCGCTATTCCCTGTCCCGAGTGGCGAGAGCAACAAGAAGAGCAAGGACACGGACAGCTCCCGACAGCTGGGCGATTTCGCCGCGATATGGCACTTCCTGGGATCGAGCGTGCCTGCCGCCACCGCCGGGAGTCGCGTTGGCGCACCAATCTCCGAGCCCTCTACCACGCCGACTATATTCACGACCCGCCACCGCACTCCCAATAACGACACCGACAGCTATACATTCGCGCCGCTCACGCCCTCGAAACCGGAATACCCCATTCTCCGCTCGTCGGGCTCGCCCAGCAAGCCGCGACGCGTGGTAACGTTCGCGTCCGCAGTCGGGTTCTCGGATGAAGACATCAACACTGCATCAGCCGCATTTACGTCTGCCACGGGCTTGAAAACTGCGCTGGACGACAAGACCTGCACCGGCGTGAAAGCTTTCGTCAAGCATGCGTCACGACCGATGATAATGCCTGCTCTCACATCGGAGCAGAGGAAGAAGAGCATCATACAGAAGCTCCTGGCCATGTTCCCCGAGGATCGTGGAGGGCTGCTGAAACCCACTGGGACGGGGGTGGTGGTGAAAGGGGGGGTACATGTGTTTATCGATAACAGTAACGTTAGTCCTCCTACTCATCCCCTGCTATTGGACACAACTGAAACAGAGACTAGGTTCTAATCGGTTTCTACGACCACATGAAGAAGCTGCGAGGCTTCAGCAAGAACGAGTCCGTTCGGCGACCACCATTCAGCTTTCACGGGTTATCTTTGATCCTGGAACGCGGCCGTCCCACGGCCAAAAAAGTCCTCGTCGGGAGCTCGCCGATAACACCGGTGATCCTCGAGGCGCGCGAGCTATCCTACGAAACGAGTATTCTCGAGCGCGTCGAGAAAGAGCGGAACACAGGATCCGCCTCGTCGGGCTCCGAGTCGGCGACGAGCAAGCGTCGCAAGGTGGAGCAGGCGGTAGACGAGATCTGCCACCTGAAGATATTGGAAAGCGTGCTGGATTATAAGCCAGGCACGATTGTGTTGGCCTCCGGAGACGGGGCCGCCGGAGAGTACAGTCCAGGATTCTTCAGGGTCATCGAGAGATGCCTTATAAGGGGATGGACGGTCGAACTCGTCAGCTGGAAGAAGAACCTGAGCGGGTTCTATAGGGATAAGGCGTTTTTGAAGAAGTGGAAGGGCAAGTTCAGGTTTGTGCCGCTTGATGGGTTTGCGGAGGAGTTGTTGGCTTGATGTATGGACGGTTGTGTTTCCGTTTGTGACGATCTTTCGGATCTCTATGGGCGATATATTTTTCTCGAATGCCCCCTTTCCTTTGCGGTTTCGTTTGTTGCTTGCTGGCGGTGTCATTTACTCTGCTATATATTTTTGCTGTTTTGCCTACACCTTGATTGAGGTGCACTCCGTTCTGTTTCTGTTGCTATTTTGGTTTCATTATCTCTCTTCTATCTGTCGAGTTGCATATCGGAGCGGAGTCTATGGATTGCGTGGTGGGTTTTTGTCTGGCGGTTGACGGTTGATTGGATAGCCGTGGCCGTGTGTAGGCACGCATCTCGAGAGTCGAGATCACAAACGAATGAATGAAGGCGTTGCGAGATCGTTTTGGCGCTGCATCTACCTACACAATCTGTGCAAGAGTTAAATCCATTTCTCCTGTCTTCATATTCCACGCCATCATATGTACAGCCCCAATACCAGCTCAAAACCCGAGAACATTCTTCGACCTCGCCACATTGATTGCCGCCCTCGCCGTGAATCCCAAATACCCCACCACCCCCTCCGCCACGCCAGTGGCCACGTCCACATCTCGTAGCCGTCTGTCCACAAACTCCCACGTATCCCTAAACTCGGGCGACCGATCCGTAGTCATGAACAGCTCTGCCACATCACATGTCAACTCAGCCCAGCCCACAGAACCACAGAGCACTATCGGGGGAAACCTACCAGCGGAAGCGTAAACCGCAGCGACCACCGCCCTGCGCGAGTACCACCTAGTATCGACATGGGTATCACCCGACAGGAAAACGATATCGTCGCTGAGCCTTGCGAGCTCGCGGACGCTCTCGGGGATATTCTCGCCGAGCGACATGATCGCGAGGGCCTCCTGCCAGCGCGGCAGGACCTCGATGTTACCGCGCAGCCGCGCTACGATCAAGTCGCGGATGCCCGGTGGAGATCCGGGGGTGGGAGTGTCGGAGCGAGCGAGGGCCGCCCGCTGAGATACCAGGTGCCATTGTACCAGTGAGAACGCCCCCCGTGGGAACAGTGCGAGGCTTGTGTCGGGGTACCCGTGTCGCCGCAGAGAGTGCAGGAGGCTGGTGCTCGTGAAGCCGTAAGTGGGAACGTGCGTCAGCGCTGTGGTGAGGAGCGTTGACTCCAGCGGTGTGTATGCATCTGTGGCTGCCGTCGGGTGCGAGTGGGAGACGAAGCTGCGGGCTTGCGGAAGGCGCGGTGCGTGGAGACGGAGACGGGGCGGCATGGTGGGTTGTGAGGATTGGTGGGGTTGGTGGGGTGACGTGACTGGAGCTAGGTGGGTTGCTCTAGATACTCTATGCGTGGTAGTTACTAGCAGTTCGCGTCTATCTATCTACACAAGCGACTCGAGCATGGAATGGTGGATCACGAGTTATCACGGATCCTGAGCTTTCGAGCATCGAGTACAAATTCCGTTCAAACTTTTGTCTATTCTATGGTATATCCCCTCTTCCAAGTCCTATCTATCCCCTAGATGTACTTCTTCCCTGGATCCACGCGGTCAAAGAACTCAATAGCCTTCTCGTAAAACGTAAAGACCAACCCGCCGGACACCATTAACCTCGCCAGCCTCGGCGTAGCCCCACTCCAAAACACCCTCACGCCCTCCTCCTTATACAGCCTGACCGCGCAATGCAGCGTGTTCTTATACATCTGCTTAGCCTCAATGCTCTGCATGCGGGTTTTCACACTATCCAACGGCTGCGTGCAGTAGACAGTGATCAATCCCGCGATAGCACCGATTCCGAAGGTAGTCATGCCGCCGAGCTTCTCCCCTGGGGCAGTGTACCCCGCCGCGAACTGCCGCAGAGTCGTGTAGGAGCCGAAACGGACGGCGGAGTTGGCGGCCTGGCGCGCGGTGGTGGGCACAAACCCCTGGAGGAACCCGGCGACCCCCTTTTCGCGGAAAATCAGTGCGGAGCCGTGCAGGAAGCCACGCATCCGCGGTTGCGCACGCTTGCGGTCGTCGATGCTGAAGCTCTTCGTCAGCCTAGCCTACCTACCTACCACGGGTGTTCACCCAAACCCCCGCCTGGGAGAGAGCGAGAGAGAAAGAGAGAGAACTCACATCTGAGTCTTGATACTCTCGAACGGGGTGACGGCGAGTGCGCTCTCCGTGACACCAGCCCCGAACCCAGCCAGCACCGTACGCGGACCGCTCAGATGCCCGTCCTCATCGACCAGCATCTCCTTGTACGCATCGAACGCCAGGAAGCGGACTCCGGCCTTGACACTGTTGCCCACGACCGAGGTGGTGCAGCCGGCGTACCACTCTTTCCCGAATTTGGGCCATGGGAGCTTCTCCCCCGCGCCGAGACGCCGGTTGAGCTGTGAGCGAGTTTTGGCGAATTCGAACGGGTACGTTATGCTGATCTCGATTGCGCCGGCGGTGGCGCCGGCGAGGAGGGAGCGGAGGACGCTGGGCTACTGGGCGGGTTAGAGTGCGTGGCTGGGTTGGAGTGGGGTGGGGTGGGGTGGACCTTTTCGCTTTTGGAGGCGGCCATGCTAGGCAGTGATCGTGTGCGTGGTGGGGCGTCGTGAGAGATGACAGGCACCAAAAGTATGGATCAATCTAACTCAGTTATCGGCAAGGCAAGAAAGTCGATGATGGCTGAGGCTTATCCGACTGCATGAAGCCAGTGCTCGGCTACTTGGCATGGCGGGGACGCTTCCTCCTCAGCCCCGGAATTCAGGAACAAAATTCAGATGGAAGACGGGTATTTCGCATTGACAGAGATCTCTAGTTACAGCCCCATACAAGAAGCAACATCCAGCAGAAAAAGCTCCAAAAAACAGAAACAGAAGCAGAAAAGGTAAGTTAAGTACGAGACAACATCGACGGCCAATCTCCACTGCAACTATTTCTTCCCTTCTCATCCAATTCCTGAGCTTTCCATCCCAGAAGCCGAGGGCAGGCTAAGAAGATCATCTCCGTCCCACCTATCCATCCTCTTTTTTTTATAGATTTTGTGTGCAAACTGTTCCCTTCAGGTCCAATCGATTCCATAGCCACAAGATGCCCCACTGAAAAGCCGGTCTGTGATCGCATCGTTCGAATAATGAGTATGTGTATGGTGTATGGTGTAAATCGTGTATTGATGTGGGAGAGAAAGCAAGAATGCTGTCCGTCCGTTTGGTCCGTAAAGGGGTCGTCGTATAAGACAAAGGACAGAAAAACGTCGATGATGCCGATTCCGAGGTTGATGCCCAGGAATAAACCCACTGAAGTCAGTTCTGTCAAGGTAAAGGAGTCTCACTCTCCTCTTAATCTGTGCGCAAGCAAGATGGCGCCCAACACTTCTCGTCCATCCAACGGACATCCTCAGCGCCCTCCCAACATCCACAGCGCCATCCCAACATCCACAGCAAGCACTAACTCCTCCACTTGCTATCAACCATCCACCGTACCCTTCCACTTCCCCCCACAAATGCTAAATCCGATCCATCCACAATGCGTAAGTGAAGCCTGAGCCCGAAGTTCCGGAGCCGACAAAGAAGAAATGAAAACCAGAAGTGACGGAAATTCCATGCGCCTACCAACCGAATCCCATCATCGCAGTCGTGCCAATCCCAACCCGGATTCCCCAGAAAAAAAGAACCCAACTAATACAAAACCCAAAGTGAAAAGAAAGTAAAAAAAACCACACCGACCATCGTCCCCAAACATTACCAGACGTAAAAGCTCAGACACAAAGAAAATCACATAATGTACAGCGCAATCAGCACAGGTAATCCATCAGACCATCCACATACTGTCGAACGGGAAAATGTTGAATCACTTGCGGCCAAGAACATCCGGTATCCACCCTCCTCTTCCCCTCAACCCCCCGCCCACCTCCACTCCCCACCATTTCTTGCTGATGGTATCTGGACTACTGACCCCGTGGAGGGGCAGTTCCAGAATCCGCCGACGAGAAGCCGTTTGACCTCTGTTGCTGATTGTTGAACCGAGGTGGTCTGCGCCCTTGCTGCTGCTGCTGCTGCTGCTGCTGCTGCTGCTGCTGCTGGGATTGCTGCTGCTCCCGAGGCTGCTGCTGCTGCTCCCGGGGCGCGACGTTCTGTGAATGATACTGGCCTTGGTTGCTACCCTGCTGCTGATATTGTCGAGGCCTCTGCTGGTTGGATCGTCCGGCGGGAGGCTGCTGGCCACCGTTCCTTGACTGCTGAAGCTGTTGCTGACCACCGGGCTGCTGCTGGTTGGATCGCGTATTCTGCTGTTGAGGGGCAGGGGGAGGGCGAGGAATTGTTTCTGGTGAGTCGTAAACATAGAGACTCTTGTCGATGATCGGGGGAATGGGTTGAATTTCGGTTCCCAGTTCCTGCTCAATCTTGTAGAGGTTGAACCTGCAGAAAAGTCAGCTTCTTACGTCACCGAGAGTACGGATGCGCTTCAAGTACCTGTCATCCCAGTTGATCAGGTTGATGGCCAGACCCAGATGCCCGAATCGGCCCGAACGACCAATACGATGGAGGTAGGTCTCGGCATTCTTTGGGAAATCGAAGTTGATGACTACGTTGACCGCTTGAATGTCGATACCACGGGTGAGAAGGTCGGAGCAGACCAAGTTGCGACAAACGCCGTTTCGGAAGTCGTGGAAGACACGGTTACGGTGGTTCTGCAACATCTTTGCGTGCGAGTAGAAGCAGGAGTATCCAAGCTCAGTAATCTTTTTGGCCAATAACTCGACGCGGTTTGTCGAATTGCAGAATATGATAGATTGGTTGATTTGTAGCTGTTTGAGAAGTTAATTAGGCTATAGCTCTCTGGAAAGATCCAAAAGGGTCACAACTTGCCTTTGAGAAAAGGGTATTGAGACAATGGACCTTCTGCTTTTCTTCCACAAAAGCATAGTATTGGGTTACACCACGAAGGGTAAGTTCGTCCATGAGGTTGATCTCGTAAGGTGAGCTCAGGTGTTTATCCTGCGATTGCCAGTCAGCTCAGCCCAAGTAGGAAGTGACCGCAGCACAGTCAATTACCATGAAGCTCTTTACAACAAGCGGGAATGTAGCGCTGAAGAGCATGATTTGGCGATCCTTGGGGAAGTATGCGAGGAGTTGTTCGATGATGGGAGTGAACTCGGGACTCAGCAGCTTGTCTGCCTCGTCCATGATGAAAGTGGGGCATTCTGTGAAATCGGCGACGCCTTTACCGGCAAGATCGAGGATTCTTCCTGGTGTGCCGACGAGAATATGTACAGCCTCGTTTAGACGAATGATGTCGTCCTTCAATCCTGTTCCTCCAGTCGTGACCATGACATTGATGCCCAGGTGCTTGCCCAGTGTCTTGCAAACCTGCGACGTCTGCAGGGCCAATTCTCTGGTGGGCACAAGGATCAGAGCTTGGGTCTTTGGGCTCTTGGGGTTGACTCGTTCTAGTGCGGGGATAACGAATGCAGCAGTCTTGCCAGTGCCGTTCTTTGCTCGAGCAAGGATGTCTCGGCCAGTTAGAGCAACGGGTATAGTTTCCTCTTGTATAGGCGAGGGCTTTTCGAAACCAGCCTCGAAAATCCCCATTAACAGTTCACGCTTGATGTATAGATCCTCGAATTCCAGGCCCTTCGTGTTGGTGACATCCTTTCAATCCGTTAGTATAAACTGTCACTTGTTGTGCATTGTGAGGTGGCATGGATACCTCTGTCTGTGGCCTCAAGTCTTTTGTAGGAGCCTTCAATTGCGCCTTCCAGTCGTCACCCCTGCGCGTCCAATGGTACTCAGCATAAGTTCCAGCATCGACAGCGGTCAACAACAAACCCTAATGAGGTATTCTCAAGCTGTTCCGCGAGATTGGTCGCCATTGGGAGGTATCGTGTGTTGCAAGTGTTCAGGCCGGGGAAGCGGGGAAGGCGGAGGGTGGGGATGATCCGAGTAGGAGTCGTCAAAACGGAGACTTGATGATACGTGAAAGAGCCGGCAATCTCGTGAGGAATTCGGCGGACGAGGTTCGATTGGATATATGGTGGTGGTAGTGGTAGTGGCGGTGATACGTTGTCGAGAGTGGTAGGGTTGATGCGGAGTTGATGCAATGGAGATGTGTAAGTTCCCTTTCAAAGGCGGTACCTGCTGCTAGCGCCGACGTAGGAGGACAGAGAAGCGGGTGACTACAACGATGAGGTGTGAGAACAAAAGATCGACCGGTCTCGACTGGCGGGGGTGGGGGTGAGGAGTAGTCGAGTGGTAGCGGGCGGGAGAGAGATGAGTATGCTCTTCGGGCGTGTGCGTGAAGGGGCTGAGAGGGCAGGAACAGGAACAGAGAGCGAAGAGGTCGACGAACGGGAAGTAAGAGGAAAAGTGTTGTCTTTGAGCGAGGAAGGAGTTGTCGATTCGTCAAACCACAGAAGTGGGGGTGGAAGTCGAAGGCTATATTGGAGTTGCTTGTACCGGATTGAGGAACTCGTAGGGAGTTTCTTGTTGTTGCTGTTGCTGTTGTTGTTATTTGTTGCTGTTGGTGATGTTGAGAGGTTGATGGAGGGGGGAGTTTGAGGGTTGTAGTGGGTAGGGTAGTTGGCGGTGGAGGGATGGGATGATGAGGTTTGGATTGGTGGGTGAGAGGTGAGAGTGAGGGTGAGTGAGAACGAGAGAGCCGAGCGCAAGACAGGAAAGGCCCAGCTGCCTCTTTCTATGGCTCTCTCAATGAAGGGAAGGGGCCAAGTGCCCGTCGTACAGCGCCTCACCGCAAAACTTGGCAGCGGGCACACCTTCGAGTAACCACAGATGCTGCTCTCAACTCCAACGGCTCGCTGCTGATGTTGCTCTGTTTACGTCCAAAATCGGTATCACGACCGACTGTCTGCTTCTTTCATGGGCACCACCGGCTATGTTTGTGTATTAGCTACGTTGTGGCGTTGTGGCGCAACGGTGATTATGCTCTAGGAAGCAGCGTCTACATATTCCCACTGAAATCCGAGAAGCTAGAGTGCCAAAGGGGCCAAGACCAAAGAAATAGTAGTCAACCCTGAGGAAAAAGAAAAGACATCGTGTCGAAAGGGTAAGAAAAAGGGACACATCGAACTATGAACTACTATCTATGCCACAAAACCACTAGACGCCAGAAAAAACAGACAAAACACCATCTGACCGAATTCACATTGCATCAGCAAACAAGACATGCTCTATTCTATCATGGCCATCCAGTGTACTCTAGGCGATCCTCGTCTGGAGGCGTCCATCACGCTCTGGGTCACTCAGGCTGTGAGGTAGTAGTTAGTTATGGTGTCCCAAGACGGAAGGAATAACGAGGTGAGGCCAGCATACCGGAAGATCTTGCAGCGAGTGCTCGTCACCTGGTTCATATTCTGCGGAGTGATCAGAATGAACTGCTTGCCGGCCGAACGTTCGGCGGCTTTAAGCTGTGCGGATGTCAATCTCGGGGAAAGCAATATCTCGTGGTGGTAGACTGCTTACCATCATCTCCACACTGATACTTCGGTTGATATGGTCCATGTACACGTCGCTACCAAAACATTAGTCCGACAGAACGCACCAACAGCACATGGAGAGAACTCACAATTCGTCCAGACAGCGCAGTGGGGAGCCCATTGCCTCCCAGAGAGCCAACAGAAGACAGATGGTCGAGAAAGACCGTTCACCGCCAGACAGAGTCTTGGGTCCCCGCTTTCCCGACTTTTCGCCACTAGGTCCGGCCTCGATGATAAGCTGCGGCGGGCGCTCGTTGTGCTCCAACCTAAGACGACCCTTGAAAGCTCGCTCCGACATTAGATGGGAAAACTGAGCCCGGGCGCGGATACTGATGAAACTCTGGAAGAGTTCCCATCGGCGCCTCCGCTCCATCATGACATTTGTTGCCATCTACAGTCAAATCAGCCATGATTTCTCCCAAAAGCAGAAGCAACATACCACAAGAAGTCTATCGTTATCGGCCCACTCATTCTTCGACGCCTCGTAGTCTTTCTGGAACTTGAGGAGTGCCTTGACTGCTTCCTCTTTGCTGCATCCAATCCTACGAGGCCATTAACACTGTTTCCGTGCTTCTCTGGACTGCCAACTCACCTCTTTTCGGAAGTAAGGATGTCATTTCTGACTTTCGTAAGCTTTTTGTCCAAAGTTGCCATCGTCTCCGTGTCGGGGACGGGGACCTCGTCGCAGACCCCTTGTGCCTGGTCGGTGTGGGTCTGTTACAGTTAGTGGGCCGGAACTCTTCGAGGAGTAATGGAAAGGGGCGGGAGAGGAACCTGAAGCATCTCATTTAACTCCTCTTTCTTAGCTTGGAGTTCCTGCTCGACAGCTTCAAACTGATCTAGTTTGGCCAGCAAATCGTTCTTCCTGGATAGGGCTTTCGTCCGCCGTCCGTTGATGCGAGTGTATTCGTCCTTCAGGATGTTTAGAAAACCATTAGATAGTGTGAAGGGATACGAACCTGAATTGACTTGACCTGTTGCGTAGCACGATCCAAATCTTGCTGAAGGCTTCGGAGTTCCCCTTCGATGACGGCCTGGGCTGCATTCATCCGAGCAATGTTCGTTTCCAGATCGCGATAGGTGTTCTCGCCATGCTCCCTATCCTCCTCGGCCAACTATATTTCTTTTCTCAGCATATATGTATGTTTAGCCAGGGAATTCTCGATCCCACCTTGAGGTCCTGTTGGAGAACATTGAGTTCACCATCCACGGCTATCTCTTCGATCTTATTGTTCAAACGCTCAATCTTCTCCTCTTTACGTTGGATCTCAATCACAAGCTCTTTACGGCGACTCTCTGCTGACTGTACGGCTCTACGACGTTCGACCTCAACGGTTCCTGCTGAATGTGCAGCGGACTGCAACACCCGCAATTCCTCCTCCAGGTATCTGATACTAGTTCGAACAGTCTCGCGTTGATCCATTCCCTGTGACTTGATTCGAGCCATGCCCGACCACGGGGAGATAGGTGTTACACTCATCACACCGTAACTACCGCCAACTTTGTGGCCCCAGCCAGGCCTTGAGCGATTGAGCGCGTAGCAGCTGGAGATACGGTCTTCGGGACTTCTGGCAGCCATAACGTTATTAGCTTCGCGCAAGTTCTCGATCAGGACGACCTGTTCGATGCCGCTGAAGATGATCAACTGGGTGCGAACCGCTTCGTTCCTGATATCCAGGACCCTAAGCATAGTGTCGTAATTGGCCGCTGGTTCCTCGATGGTTATCTTCTCGCGTGGTACAACGAAGTACGGGACGTTCGAAAGCCCGGCACGTTTGATGACCCTATCCAGCAATTTGCCATCCTCATGACTAGCCACGACAAACCCATTCACCTTATTCCCGAAGAATTTCTCGACAATGCTCGACCATTGTGGCTTCTTGAGACTCATGTACATCCCGAGCGGACCAATGGGTTTTTCCCGAAAGCCTCGCTCATTATCGATAGCATCCAGCAGATGTTTCATCTTAGGGTGAAAGCCCCCCAGCGGATCCGAGCCGGCTCGATCAAGCCGCTCGAACAATTGGCGCTTGGAGTCAATTTCTTTCTGTTTGGCACTGACCCGAGTCTCGGCTTCGTTTTTCGCCTGGACTGCCGCGTGGTGGTCAAGGCCTCTATCCTCTCGTCCTGCTTCGATTTGGGACCGTTGCGATTTCAGGTCATCAACCTCAACTTGGAAAGCTTTGATTGAATCCATCAAACGGGTACTGCTTCCTCCGTTTTGCTCTTCTAGTCGGTCTTCCTCGGAACGGATTTTTGATTTGCACTCAGCAATTTTCCTGTCCGTTTTGACCATCTCTCCCTTCGTCTCACGTTGTTGGCGCTGTAGATGAGTATTAATATCTTTGATAATTGATTATTGAAAGATAGAGGAATACCTGGTACTCTAACAGCTCGCTTCTGTTGTTGCTCAGCTGCTCCTTCTTCTGCGCCTTCTCGTCTTCGATCGGTTCTAGCAGGGTTGTCGCCTCCTCGATTTGGGCTTTGATGTTTTCCAGTTCAAGATTGGCTGCATCGAAGTCGGCTGAAGCCTTATCTCGTTCCTTCTCCGCCGCAGCGATCTTCCGGGCGTGTATCTCCATCACGTCTTCGTGAGCCTTGAGGGCTGCCTTACGATCTCGGACTTGAAGCCAAGCACTCCGGTTGACGAGGTCGTCGTATCTCTGGTTCAGCGAGGCTTGCGAATCGAACTGTTTGACCGTCTCCTTCGCTTGATCTCGTTTCTTTTTGAGGGCTGCCACGGCCTCCTTCTTGAGCTCAAGCATCGCCTCGGCGTTCTTAATGGCGACTGCAATGAGAGAGTAGTCTTGGTCCAACTGCTCGAGCTGAACACCCTGGTTGAAGAATTTGTACTTCTGGGCATTTGTTGACTCGTTCAAGAACGCTCGGGCGTTGTCCTGGGTAAGGATGGTCATTGGGTTGTCCACCTGCAAACCGTAAAAATCGGTGATCGCGTCGACTTCCTCCCTCTTCCGCGACACAACTTTTCCAGCCTTCGACTTAAGAAGGTAACTGCTCCCACCATCGCGGCTGAATACTCGCTGGATGACTATGACATCACCATACGCATCCACTCTGTGGCCATCGCCGCCGTTCGACAGTTTCACGGTAACCCTCGCGGTGCTATCGACCATCGATTAGTATGCGCAAACAAATCAGAGGAATCAAACCTACCCCCGTCCTTCCTTGATGAAGCTCTTGAGTGATGTGCCACGGTTTGTCGCAAGAACTTTTCCTCCGAGGCAGAGGGTAAGTGCCGTGAGCACAGCACTCTTTCCGCTGCCGTTGTGACCAATGATGAAGTTCATGCAGGGGCCGAGTGGAATGTCCAAGTAATCATGACACTACTTCCATGTGAGCACCCATTCGACCTCTCACCAGCTCCATCTTCGGCGTCGACTCACCATAAAATTTTCGCAAATGACCTGCTTGATGACGCCTCCTTCCGCTACGGTCTAAGACACTGTTAGCATACGAATCGAACGCACCTCCCTACGCAGGGCCTCAGTACATTGGCTCCATTATTCTTCTTCCGTAGCTCAGCAGCCTGTGTCAACACCTCTTCCAAGTCCTCGTCATCGTCGGCCTGTGACGAAGGGCGTGATTCCTCCTCGCTCTGGTTCGCTTCTTCGCTAGAAGGAGTTCGGGGAATATCGAGACGTGGTCGTTTCGATGCCTACAACAGCACAAATGAGACTTAGTATCTTGCTACACAGTCATGCAAAGGGAATCGTACCGAAGCGGTGGACCGCTCTTCCTCATCATCTTCTCGATCGGAGTTGAAGGAAGCATCTTCGTCTTCCTCATCGTTGTCGGAGGTGAACTCCTGTCGTCGTTTTTTTGGCGCCATTGTTGGCGGTGTGTGCTCGGCGGTGTTTGTGTTCTGTAGGTATTGAAGCTCGGGGAGGTGGAGGGGTTACAACCTGCAGAAGCGCGCCCACTTTCGACGCGACGCGATCAATCAAGCAGCCCGTGTGGACTGGCGCACAAGCCCGACTCTACAAACTTTACGTGAGTGACATCTTGGCAACCTCTCTCGCCCGCAGTTACGCTCGAGCCCCACCTGTTTTCAAAGTATTGGATCACAGTTGAGTGATTGACGATTCACCTACCAGGACGACCGATACCACAATTCTCTTATATCGTGCTAGGGGAACGCGTAAATGCATGAAAGCCAAACGTGCATACAAGTGGCGGTAAAATGGTAGCTAAATCCCAGCCGACCGGTTCGAATTTGACTCCAACCTTATGGGCATCTTTCCACATAAATATACAGCGGAACCTAGAAGCGAACGGACAGCAGTCCTGATCAGCAAGCGTTCTCTTCTATGTATACATACTCGGTGTTTGTAGGGCAGTCGCCCGAAATCCAGGGATTGGTTGCTGTGGGCCCACAAGGGTCGTTGATTTCTACCCTATGCGGAATCACCTCAGCCTCAGCCACACATTAGAAATAATTAAAAAATAAAATAAAAAATATTGGCGTCGTGGAAAAAGGGTGGGCGAATGCTCACGGCACGCGCAACTCTACTCTACTGTACACTCACCACACAACAAACCCGTACCACCCAACAAACTCTCACCAGATACTCGAACTTTTGTCCTCGTTACTACCTACAACAAACACGATACCATCTATTGTCGCCACTACTTCATCATGACTTCTACCCAGTGTTCTACATAGACCAGACCGGTCGGCCGACCGGACGGGTCGGTCGGGATATAGCTCGACCCGACCAGGCCAAGTTGTTTTTTGGTCGGGATATATCCCGACCGACCAGACCTTGCCAGGTTTGGTCGGGACTGGTCTATGTAGAACACTGCTTCTACCTACTCCCCAGAACACTGATCTGGTGCGACAAATTGTTTAATCTCCACGCGCCTGTTCTTCTGACAAAGGAAGAATACGACGCGTACCGGCCACTTGTAAGTACAGTGTACGCCAAACTCAACGCTTGTAAACACGGAGGAACGGCGAAATTACAGTAATGGCAGCCTGGACTCTGTCAGGTCCGAATCAAAGTTACGCGTATCATACGGTGGACAAACCGATCACTGTGACGGGAATCGTTCTTCAGCTACGCGAACTAGGGGAACGTCTTAACCAACAGCTTTATGCTGTCCATGATATGATAGAAGAAGACCGTTTTGTAGACGCAGAACACCAGGAGATTGTAGAAAATTTGATGGACTCTGTAAACCAGTGGTGGAGCTAGGAGAGAACATCAATTATTATTTTTTGCTGCGCGACCACAACGATCTTTCCTGCCAGCGCGGAGACGGTTTTTTGTCAGAGAGAGAACATTAGTTTGTTTTGTTGCGTGACCACAACAATCTTTCCTGCCGGCGCCGCGATGGTCGGAGAGAAAGAACATTATTTTTGTCAGCGCGACGACTCACTCACACCCGCATGCGCCATTTGCTTTCCTCTCTTTCACAACGCCAATACTTTTTTCATGTGTGGCTGTGGCTGGAGTAATGTGGAGTAATTGCCGAATACAGCACCCTTGTGGGCCCACAGGAACCTATCTCGAAATCTACCGGTCGCCAACTTGCACATTAACGCGCTTGCATGCGGTTTGTATGTAGGTACTTTACTTAGTCACTCGTTGCCGCACCGCGTTGACGTGGGATCTGCATGCATGTGATGTGACCCCACGCGACGACGTCGACAACAGCAACTCCACGACCTCCCCACCTCACGGGTCGATACAGATATGGATTCGCTCCTCGCGCAGCCCCTTGCGCAGATCTCTCAATCTGCATCCAACATCACATCCCTCCACTTCGCGCCCCCTAAGATCTTCACCAATGGTCTGTGCCGTCCAGTCCTCACTCTTTGATCCGGGTTCGAAATGACGGGAGCTGATAAGAATACATAGCGATCCTCCACTCCACCAACATCGTCTCCCTCCTCCGCGACAGCGATGTACAAGAGCGCGCGCTATTCACGATGCCAACGGCGACACGCGCTGGCACCGCAGAGCGCAAGCAGCGGCAAAACACGGCTGTGCAAAACGTTCTCGGCGGCGATATGATTGCGCAGTTGCGTCGCGGAGGCGCGGGTGGTCACGGTAGCGCTATGGGTCATCCAGCGCAGGGGGACGTGGATGTGGAATTGCTGTTGATGGGTGCCGAGAAGCTCGTTAGTGTTTTGTAAGTACCCCTTGAAGGTGTGGGGAGTCGAGGGGAGGTATCTAGATGATCGGAAGGGTGTCGGCTGACGATGGGGGTCGGGTAGTCATATTCCTGGCGCAAGCAGACGGATCGCGACGGCGAGACAGCGATTTGAGCAGTTGTCCGAGTCTATTGTGATCTATGAGGCGCTTGTAGAGGCGCAGAGGAAGCAGCTGGATATTCTCAATGCTGGTGTGGAGGATGCCGAGGAGGAGGAGCCGGCGCCGCAGCAAGAGCAAGATTTCATAACGGATGAGATGTTGGAGCAGGAGGAAGAAGCGATTAGGCAGCTGGAACAGAGGAGGGAGCAGATGGAGCTGAAGATCAAGAACTTGGACCGACAGATGAGCTCCGTATATAGAAACGTGTGATTGAACATCTTATTCTGGCTGCCTTCCTGAGTCTCGTGCTGTGTAGAGTGCATGGGAATAAGACAATATCTTGCTTCTCCACCCAAAAGCTTGGGCCGCGCTTATCGCGCATAATCACTCTGCACCACTATCAAGCTTCACTACTGGAAACTCTCCACGCCGTAACAGTCACTCTGAATGGCATCTTCACTCACACCCTGATTCAAATCTCAACTCACCAGAACCCACCAGCCTGAATGAGGCGCAAGAAAACCCACGCCTTCACTACAGCCGCCTGCCGCTCCTCGGCTCGCCATTTCAGACTCAGCACCGACCATAACTATTTCTCACCAACACCGCCTTCCGCCTCCATCCTCCCCAACCAATAGAGCCTATTTCCCGCACCCGGCGACAAACCGATATCGCAGTCACGAACAGAACAGCAATGCGCAAAAAGCCCACACCCTCACCCCCCAGCTCCGACAAGCCCGGCAGCACCACGCCACGCGTCGCCGCGAAGGAAATAACCTCCGTCGTCTTCGGCGGACAGTTAATCGCGCCCTGGTACCCGTCCAGCTACCCTTCTAAGCTCCTCGGCGATGCCAGCTTCAAGAATGGTCGGCTGTACGTATGCGAGCACTGCTTTAAGTACACGCCGGATGTAGCGCGCGCGTTGGGACATCAGGTATGGCACTTTGGAGTGAGAAGTGACAATGGACAGTGGGTTAATGAACGAGGGGAGGACAGAAGTTTTGTACGTTGGCAAGAGGAGAGATGTTGGGCACGCTGATGTATTCCCACGGCGGGTGCGATATCTACGAAGTGGATGGAGCAGAAGAGCCCGTGAGCCCTCCCTACCCCCGTATCCCTTCCCCGTCCCCCACGACCCCCACTGATCTCTCCCAGCTCTTTTGCCAGAGCCTCAGTCTCTTCGCCAAATTCTTCCTCGACACAAAAGGCGTCTGCTACGAAACACGGTCGTTCTTATTCTACACGCTTATCGGCACCTGCGGAACCACGGGACGCAAACGCGTACTCGGCTTCTTCTCAAAGGAGAAAATCTCGTGGGACGACTACAACCTCGCGTGTATACTTGTCTTCCCACCCTTTCAGAAGAAAGGTTTGGGCAAGCTCCTGATTGCGTTTTCGTATGAGCTGTCGAGAGGCGCGGGAAAAATGGGGTCGCCGGAGAAACGTAGGTAACTTGGAATTCCGAGAGGGAGAGAGGAATGCTGATGATGTCGTGGGAGGATAGCGCTATCGGATTTGGGCCATAAAGGATATATTGCCTACTGGTCCACCTGCATTGCGAAGGTAATCCGCGACTCGGAGAAGGATAGTATCAGTATAAACGATCTGTCGAAGGCGACGTATATACAGCCGGACGATATCAAGGCGGCACTCGACAGCATGGGGGTGTTAGTCGCTGATGAGAACGGAGGTGCCCCGAGGATCCAAATGGATCGTTGGAGACACGAGGTCGACGAGGCGTATACTATTAATCCCGAGGGGATGATGGTGAGGCAGTGTTAAGAGTCGATGGATGGATGGATGGCATTGGTCGGCGTTGATTGTGCTTTTCCTTTACTTTTATGCATCTTGGGTTGTACTATGGGTTTTATAAATGCTTGTTCATTACATTGGTCTTTGCTGTGGGGTTTGATCTCACGATCCCGTTCTGTCAAACTCCCTCGTCCTGATAAATTGTGATCCTAAGTGAAGGATGATCACAGTATCCTTATAAAAAGGGAGTATTCATACACACACCACATCCTCTCAACAGAACGCCTGTACCCCCGTGATAGCCCGTCCTAGAATCAAGCCTATCCCTACTTTTAGCAGCCTTCCCATCCCAACCAGTCACGGGATAACTTACTATGGATATCGCTCTGTCCCTCATATGTCTGCGTAACAAACAAATTCGCGACGTGCCTTCCAATGTGATACTCATCGCTCACCGCGTTTCCTCCGAAAATCTCCTGTAGCGCTCTCGCTCCCACCAGCGCACGATCACAGTTCTGCCTCTTGATCATTGAGATCATCTCCGGCGTAGCAAGGCCTTTATCCTTCAGCCGTCCGACTTGAAGCGCAGCGGCAAGGCCATAGGCGACATCTGTACTCGCATCTGCGAGCTTCTTCTGGACGAGTTGATACCTCGCCAGCGGGTTCCCACGGAACTGTTTGCGTTCCAAACTGTAGGCGCGGGCACGGGCGAGACAGTCTTCAAGTGCGCCTATGGTGCCCCAAGCTATGCCGTAACGGGCGGAATTCAGACAGGTGAAAGGGCCGCGGAGGCCGGAGATGTGCGGAAACAGGTTGGACGCTAGTACAGGAGTGTCTGTAAGGTGGATCATTCCCGTGATGCTGGCGCGCAGGCCAGATTTGTTTTTGATTGCGGGGGTGGAGAGGGAGTCCCCTGCGGTCGAGCGGTCAACGAGGAAGCCGCGAATCTCGCCGTCTAGTTTGGCCCAGACCAGGAGGACGTCCGCTATGGTGGGTTAGAAAGTGGTACGAAAGGAGGGGTGGGCAAAGGCGAATGCAGACCGATGGGACTGTTGGTGATCCAGGTTTTGGAGCCATTAAGGAGGTAGACACCCTCCTTTGTGGAATGCGGTCGGGCAACGGTTTCCATCCTGCTAATCTCAGTCCCCGCGCCTGAATATTCAAGTGGGCGTCGGGACTTACGCTCCAGGATCAGAACCATGGTTTGCTACACCTTCAGTCAGCAGCACTCACTCACGTCCGACCCAGAGGAATCTTACGCTCGGTCAACCCAAAAGCACCCACGATCTTCCCCTTCGCCATGCCGGGAAGATATCGTTCCTTCTGCTCAGTAGTTCCGAACTCGTCTGTGTTTCTATCAATATATGTCCAATTGACATGAGCTGGGAAGGAGGGAATACCAATTCCACCCATAACGAGTGAGCTCTGAACGGACATTCCACTTCTGTAACCGCTGTCCACCCTGTCCGGCTATGATATCAATATCTCATCCATATAGTCATAAAGCAAGATTTACCTCTCAACCTCCCGTGTGATCAACTGCGCGCACAATATCAGCCTCGCTCAATATCACTCCGCATGCTTAGAGTACTCACACCATTAGCAACATGTCCCACTCCCGCGCACCCGTATCCGTCAATACTTGCGCCCAGAAACCCGAGCTCTCCCATCTCCTCAAGTATCTCGCGTTCATAATGTTCCTCTCTGTACGCCTCTGTCCCCGCTAATTAGCCACTGCCTTAGCTACCCGCGCAGAAGATGACCTAAATACCGAGAACTCGCGGCAGAAGGCGCTCCTGACAGTAGTCACGCGCGGTCTGTGCAATGGCAATTTCCTCCTCGTCGAGCTGCTCGCGGAGAAGGAGTGGGTCTTCCCAGTCGTAGGTGGTTGTGTGGGCTAACCTCCGGGCGGCGGGCCGCAGGGCGGCGGTGGCGGAGGCGGCGAAGGCGGTGCGTTTGAGAAGTGTGAACATCGTGTATAGATAGCACAGTTTCGTGTATAGAGGGTGCAATTTAGTGTATATAGATGGAGCACGCGGGCCAGATATATACAAATGTAAGCAATGGCGGGGTGCGTCGGCGGCGGAAGCGGGCGCGCAGATCGACTGCCGAGGCTGACGGAAACGAACTCGGCAGGGTTCTTGGAGCTAAAGAATCACCTGGAAATGCCGATACATCCTGTATCACTCACGATGGGCCACCTTCTAGATGTGGTTGTGCGTTGAATTTGGTTCATAAAGTGTGGTATTATGTATCGTATTTTCTCAATTCATGCAGGTAATACACTTGAGCTATCTTCTTCGTCATTCCCAAGTCTAGCTTAATTAAGCAGCACAGTAACTTCATCCACAGTCCTAGGCCAGAATCGACGCATATCTTCTGCCTCCCCCTCGTTACCGCCCATCGTGTCGATCACTGCCTCCTCGACCCGTGCAAAATTGTGTGTAAACTCCTCAGCGGCTTTCGCCGTGATTTCGTCTAGAAACTGCGGGGAGCTGAGGCGGTTAAGGGTTGCTCGGGCGTCCATCAGCGCCGAGGGAAGGAAGTCGTCCAACTTTTCCGAGGCTTGTTGAAGGGAAGTGGGTGTGAACGGAGGGTGGCCGGTGGGCTTTGTGAGACATGTCAGCGAGAGCCGGCAATAACTCGGGTCAATCAATCTACCTTGGCTTCCCATTCCGAGAGAGTCTGAAGGAGAGGATGCAGGCCTGATTGCTGAAGGAAGAAGTCAAGCTCATAGTCCACTAAGATGTTGACATGGTGTGCAATCTGCTCCTGCAGCTTTTCGACTCGTCGAGCTGTGAACTCGAAGGGTTCCAGAGCAGACTTTGCTACGTGTAGGCAGTTGAGACTGAAGACATCTCCATCAGGCTTCTGCAGCTCTCGCGAGAGCTCGACGCATCCTTCAAGGTATGGATCCAGCGCGCTATCTAGGATCTTGGCGAATCCATCCTCTCTTGATTCTAGCGGAGCAAGAGAAGTGTCGTACGACTTCATCAGAAGTGTCAACTCTTTCAGCGCATCCTGGAGGAACATAGGAGGCGCGAGATTGGTAGGTGCCTGCGGCAAGTCCGATTTGACCGACCGGACATGGTCCTGGAGTGTGCTGTAAAATTGTCGCAGCGCTGAGTCGTGCAGGCTGAATATCGTTAGCTACGCTTCTAATAGTCGAATAACAGAGGATTTACTTCTGTGTGGTGGCGAGAAGATTGGAATCCTCTCCAAATAGACGTTGGAAAGTGAGCCGGTAAAAATTGATCAGGTTCGTCAGCTTGTAAGTCAAGGTGCTTGACTCCTGGCTGGCAATTGCTTGCTCAATCCGGGCCTTCACGAAATAGGTTAGTCAGATAGCTCCAGAGCTGAGACAAGATCTCACTCACTTTCAACGGCTTGCACACCGTCTCGAGATTCTTATCGACGAGTAACACCAGCCCGCGCCGAGCATCCCACCCAAATGCCTCATCCTCTGCCATAAGATCACTTTTCAAGCTCTCCTCAAACCCCCCTAATATACTCATTTTCTGAACGCCATCCTCGCCCTCTTGAGCGACGAACAGAACTTCAAGTGTTTCTTGCTCTCCTACCGCTGTGGAATGTAGCCACGCTAACATGTCGCCAATGTACCGGAGAGGGTCGTGGGCATAGACCTCTATAGGTTTCGTGGCATGATCGATATGGTAGTCTACCGCGGTGCCGTGGGTACTTCCGGTCATCGCAGTGTAGAATGAGTCGAGCAATATCTTCTGTCGTGCCTCGGCAAAGAAGTCTAGACAGTTTCTTGAAGTGCGTCAGCACTTGGGAATTCTTGGACAGACACTGGATGATGGGAACCCACTGAAATAATGTAGGGCGCTCAGCTAAGACTCGAAGAGCCCGCCGTATACCACTGTTTACTTGGGGATTCTCCAGGGAGAGAGTCTTGAGCTCTCGCTGCACCCAACGGAAGAGCTTCTGGAAAGCGGCATGTAGATGCTTGACCATTTCGTCCATAATCTCGGTGCCCACCTTTTCATTCCCACTTGCCAGTAGTACTTGACAATCGGTGTGTATTCTCTTGACATTCTGGAGTACTCTGAAAAACCGGTCGTCTACGGGTTCGGCGGAGCTCGTGAGCAACACGATGTCATCTTCAGATACGGTGAAGTGCTTGGTAAACGCGGCGAGCAGCACTTGCTTGTCTTCAACGGCTTTCTTCTGTGCGAGGAGCTGAGAGGACTCTTCGAGGATCGGTGCAGTTTCGGCAGACGCCAGGGCAGTACGAGCGCGCATCGAGGAGACCACATCGTTCATGGAGTCCAAAGCGGAGCCGATTTGTGTCAATTGCTACTGGGGAGGCACCATCTCAATACCGTTCGACACTATAAAAACAAGAAACAAAACACAAGACATGCAGGAGAAAAGATACCTCTGCGACCAGAGCAAAGTCCCGCACTATCTGCGCATTGCCGCGGATAACGTCGCCTTGGACGTTGACTCGGAGCTGCCTGCGGGTTTCGGCTGTGTTCTCGACGAATCGTGTATCCAGCACGGCGAGTGCATTACGAATATCGGCGTCAATGTAGGATGCAGATAAGACGCTGGCGAGGCGTTGCTGAGACGCAGATGACGAGGAGGAGGAGTCCATTGCTGATAGGTGGACAGGAGCTTCGCGAGTGCTCTCTGAAGCGGGAAGCAAAGACGGGTAATTTACAATAGAGAGGAACCCGCGTTTAAACCTTCGTATCTTATCTGACCGATGGGGCTAAGTCGCAAGAGGGATAGTGCACATGAGCTCCTCCATCTGCTGAGCCATAGCTTCACCACACCCACAAATTTACCACTCACGAGAACAACTTCAAAGCACACGACAACGGACAACGCGGGACATCCTCCAGCTGATCTATCCTGAGCTCCAAACTTCTACAGAGCCAGAGAACAGTATTGAAAAAGCCTGCCCTCTCTCTGAAAAGACGCCCGACCGTTCCTACAGCTCCCCAGTGCCCCACTATTTCGTTTGACCGGACGAAGGAGCGTGAGCTACAGCCACAGCCAGCCTTCTTAGGTTGCCGCGACACATCTAGAACAGCAATACTGTCACGATACAATCTCCACTGTACTCACGATGACAAGCCAACTTTTGTCACGAATATTCAACCAGAACACATCTGCTTCAATATACGAGACCTTGCGCGAGCAAGATGCCGCCATCGACTCAGACTCCGATGCCGATGATCTTGAAGAACGAGCCGGCCTACGGCCAATAGCCACACGGCAAGACAGTGGCGACGCAGACGACGTATCGGACATGGACGACAGCACGTTCCAGCTCCAGGATCAGCCACCGGGGAAGGATCGTCAGCGGGTTTTTCCGTCATTATCGGGCGGACGAGGCAACAGATATGCTCCTAGCCGTTATATCGACGACGACGATAATACCGAAGTTCCACAGTCGTTACTATTTGAGACCGGGGGTTCCCCGAGCCACCAACGACGGAAAGACCTCGGCAGCGACAAGTCGGTTCCGGGGCCTGGCGTCGGTAGCTCCGGCGATCCTGGGCCGCCCACAATGAGGAATCGGCGACTTGAGGAACAGTGGAATGCTGCTACTGCTGCGGCGAGTAATGAGCCGAGGGGCGCGGCAAAGAAGCCGATGCCGCAGCGATGGTCAGTGGGCGCGAAGGAACGAGCTATGTGGAAGTGGGCGAATGTTGAGAATCTGGACAATTTCTTGCAAGATGTTGGTTTTCCAGTAGTTCATGGTGGAAGCTTTGCTTACTGACGCTGCTAGGTGTATCTTTATTATGTTGGCAAAGGAATATACAACATATTCCTTACTCGGCTCTTGAATCTCTGGTAAGTGGCCACCAACTGTCCAAAAAGCTTTTCTGACCTTATCTCAGTACCCTCGTATTCGTCGTTGGCTTCTCTACGTTTCTTGGTTTCTGCATCGACTACAGTAAAATAGATGCCCACCACAGCCTTGCGATGATCATAAAGGGCCAGTGCATGAGCGAGATGTCAACTACGGCAACGTTTTTCCAGTGGATGATTGTATTCTTCTGCGTCTACAAGCTGGTCAGCTACCTCATGGACGCTCGCCGTTTGATCGACATGTACAATTTCTATACACATCTTCTAGCTATTCCGGATAGCGACATGCAGACGGTCGCATGGCAAGACGTCGTTGGCCGCCTGATGGTTCTTCGAGATGCCAACCCGAACACATCCGAGTCGATCAAGAACCGGAATTGGACCAACGTGGCTAAGCAACGTATGGATGCTCACGACATCTGTAACCGGCTCATGAGGAGAGAGAACTACCTTATTGCCCTCTTTAATAAGGAGGTTCTCGATTTGACCGTCCCACTGCCATTTTTCAGGAACCAAGGGCCCATGTTGACTAGGACGCTTGAGTGGAATCTCAGTCAGTGCATTCTGGACTTTGCTTTCAATGATCAGGGTCATTTTCGGCAACTATTTCTCAATGGTACGCACAGGAAGGCACTCAGTGAAGGGTAAGACTTGCTCAGAAATCTGGCCGGATACCCGAGCTTACGAGAGGCAGTCTCCGGAGGCGGTTTATGTTCGCAGCAGTAATGAATGCCATATTTGCGCCCTTCATCGCATCCTACTTCCTCGTGCTGTTCTTGTTCCGCAATCTTCATGTAGGCTTCTCCTGAACCTAAGTACTTTCAGAGTGCTAAGTATGTAGGATTTCATCAAAACACCGGCTCGCATTGGCCACCGTCAATACACCCCCTTCGCGGAGTGGAAATTCCGGGAGTTCAATGAGCTCTGGCACTTGTTTCAAATGCGAATCAATATGAGCTATCCGGCCGCAGAGGCATACGTCGACCAGTTTCCAAAGGAAAAGACCGCTCAGTTGGCGAGGTACAGTCTCCGCCCTCAGTACATAGGACGTTTTTCCTAAATTAACCGTGTTGTAGGTTTGTCTCATTCGTTGCGGGCTCTCTCTTGGGTGTCCTCGTCGTCGGGACTTTGATCGACAACGAATTGAACTTCAAGATCGTCGGAGACCTCAATGCGGTCACTGTCATAGGAATTCTCACGACAATTGTTGCGGTCAGCAGAGGGATGTTGCAGGATGAGTACGCGGTGTATGATCCAGAGTGGTCACTCACCAATGTCATCCAACACACCCATTACATGCCTGACCACTGGAAAGACAAGCTGCACTCTGATGATGTCAGTATTTCAGTTCCCTGTGGCGTTATTTTCGCTGACAACGATTAGGTTAAACGGGAGTTCATGCAGCTATATGCGATGAAGTTGACGATCTTCATGGAAGAAGTTCTGAGCGTTTTCCTCACACCCTTCATCCTATACTTCTCGTTGCCCAAGAGCAGTGACCGCATCATCGATTTCTTCAGGGAGTTTACCGTACACATCGACGGGGTAGGGTACGTTTGCAGCTTTGGGATGTTTGATTTTGAGAAGCCTGGAGTAAGAATCGCCCCCAATCACCGCTCGCTATGATAAGTACTAAATCCCGTTACAGCAGCACAAGGCTGGAGATCTCCGAGAAGAATACTTCGCCACCAAAGACAACAAGATGCTCGCTTCATACCTGGGGTTCATGGACCAATACCACCCTACGACCAAGAATGGCAAACGTTTACAACCAACGCATCCATTTATGGTATCGCCGGTCCTAACAGGCGATAACGCTGCCGCGGCAGGCCGATGGCCCACGAATCGCCATGGGCCTCAGGACCAGCGAGCACCCAACCTTGCACAGTCAATGTTCCGGGAGAATCCAACCCGTATGCAGTCCTCGATGATGATGCGGTCGTCACTGCTGGATCACCACCATCAGCCACCCAACACCTACAATCGAAATCCGAGGGCTGGCTTCCACCCGTCCACGGCAGTGTCACTGAAGGAAGAGGATGACTATGAAGATAATTCACGGAACACCAGTTCAAGAGGCTTCAGGGATGGCCTTGGCGAATCGTTTGTGTCTTCTGGAGTTAAGGGCATTCAAGCCGAAAACACCTATGACAAGCCCGTGAGCGGTGGTGCAGGAGTATTGGGCATGCTCAACCAGTTTGTAGCTGCTGGAGGCGATGGGGCCGGTAGACCAGGAGGAGGAATGGTGTAGTGGTAGATAGCTAAGCAGATCATAGACAGTTGGAGTGAACTTTGCGAGTTGGATTATGTGCTTTTGGCTTGAGACGGGGGTTACCTGTTCTCTTTGGATCTGGAACTTGGAGTGTACATGCCAGGCGGACGGCGTTCTTGGATGGCGAACGCCCATCGATTTGATTTTTTGTTCCTTATTTTTTTACCTCCCGATGTTTCATTGATGTACTCGGCTGTACGAATTACTTAGAGAGATGATCAATTTATTGTCACATACAGGCTTTTTTTGGACTGTGGTGACCCGCTTTGCCGACCTCTCCTGTCAGCCCCGTGGGGACAGAGATGAAGCCCTGTAACTGTATGGTTCGTTGTTGCGTCGCTGCCTTCCAAAACCAGAGAGAGAAGGAAAACATGACTGCGCTCCTCACCTCATGATTCCCCTACGTACACAACCCGCATACACAGAACCCCGCCGGGCATGCCTGTTCGGCTTCGGAGGCGTGGCTTCCCTCCTCGGCCACTTCTTCCATCATTAGAATTTTTCCCCCCACTTCTGTCGTCCTCAGGTATTCTAGCACGGCTCTGAGTAGCGCTCATCGGCGAACATCCCCGCCATGCTCCATGCCTTTTCTCCTGTCTCGCATTTTCTTAACCCTTGTCCACAGGCAATATACTGAGTGATATCCCATGCATATGTCGATCACGTGTAGATCACGTGCGAATAACATAGCGCGATAGTTTATCTCGAATTCCGTTAAATTTTCTACACTGGTAGCCATCCCACTCGCCATACGAACAAACAACCATACAATGTCACCGATCGCAAAACGCCGGAGAACCGACATGGAAGAAACCTCTGGAGACGAAAAAGCCCTGCGACAGGCACAGAAGAAACATGCGGCGGCGCAGCACAAGACGCAGTTGACGGCACAGGCGGTTGGCGAGATGTACAGCTACAAGAGCAATGTGTTCCGGATGGAGACCGAGGAGATGTTGAGTGAGGTTGCGTTCAATTACGGGAGCAAGCGCATGGCTTCCGTAGAGAAGACGCTGCATCAACTGAAGGACCTGGTTGATGCGATTCCCGAGAGGAGCGGACTGAAGGTTCGTTCTTTCGCTACGATTGGATCTTGGGTTTATGAGGGCGCTGACGGATGAGAGTAGATTGCGGAGGTTGAGGCAGAAATGAAGAAGCGCAACATCAATATTCCGTTCCCAGAATCCAAGCCGGCGAAGGATGCGCAGTACCAGTTTTCGTTCGCGAAGCCGTCATATGTCAATGTTACCGGCAGTTATGCGCTCAAAACGGTGATCAAGCAGAAGGAGGGTCTTTCAATAGATCTAGTTCTTTCAATGCCATCTGTACAGCGCCCTTGGTTGAAATTATGAAGCTTGGTGCTGATGGTCATGACGCAGGAAATGTTTCAAGAAAAAGACTACATGAACTATCGATACTTCCACAAGCGCGCATATTATTTAGCCGTCGTCGCAAGTGCCCTCGCCGACTCGAAAGAACTGAGGGGGTTAAAGATGGAGTATAGTTTCATGAACGGTGACCAGCTGAAGCCGATTCTCGTCGTCTCACCTGGCAGCGAAGCAGGGTCCGACGCAAAGTCCCTCAAATGGTCTATCAACATTATTCCTTCCGCACCGTCAAATATCTTCCCCGCCGGAAAGCTGTATCCACTCAAGAATTGTGTGCGGCCGCAGCAGGCTGCCGATGCCCCCGCTAAGGCGACGAGTGCGCCCGTCTTCGACCCTACTCCTGTCTACAATGCTTCGCTTGCTGCCGATATGACCTATTTCCCGTACCTGGCACTGCTGCATTCTAGCTCATCTACATGCGCGGCGTTCACTGATGCGTGCGTACTGGGACGGGTATGGTTAAGACAACGAGGTTTTGGGGGTGCCGTGAGCAAAGGCGGGTTTGGACATTTTGAGTGGGCGGTCATAATGGCCTTCCTTCTGAAAGGCGGCGGGACTAAGGGTCATGCGCTGTTGGCTGCTGGTTACAGTAACTACCAAATGTTCAAGGCAATGCTGCAGTTTTTGGCCGGGAGGAATCTGTCGATTGATCCCCTGGTCTTTGGAACGACTGAGAGTGTGAAGAAGGCGGGCTCGAAGGCTCCGGTACTCTTTGATGGGGAGCGTGGGGTTAATGTGCTGTATAAGATGACGCCGTGGAGTTATGAAATGGTTAGTTCACAGACAAGCACTCGGGTTTTTCTTTGCTAATTCTGATGCTTTGGACAGCTGCGACACGAAGCAGAGCGTACTCTGGAATGCCTCAATAATACCACATTGTCTGATCAGTTCGAGGTTGTCTTTTTGCAGAAGGCGGATGAACCTTGCTACAAGTTCGACGTCGTTGCACGTCTTCCCTTTCCGTCAGAAGCAGAGCTTGCTGGTCACGTATCTGTGACGGCGATAAGCCTCGGCAGGGAAGTGGACTATGCCCAGCGGATCTATAACGTTTTAAAGGAAGGTCTTACCGATCGTGCCTCGCTGATCCACCTCTCGCTCCCTAGCGAAAGATCCTTCGCAATCAAGGGCACCCCACAAGCGGATATTTCGTCCGGCAAGATCACTATTGGACTTCTCCTAAACCCCCAGAATGTCTCGCGAACAATCGACCGCGGTCCATCCCCTGAGGAGAAGAAGAAAGCTGCAGCTTTCCGCATGTTCTGGGGCCCCAAGGCAGAACTTCGACGGTTCCCGGACGGCAGCATCATCGAGAGTGTCACCTGGCCCAAGTCGAAAGTACCAGTGTACCAGCAAATCATCTCTCACATCTTCACTCGGCATTTCGATGTGGAGTTGGTAGAGCATCTGGAGTTCGTTGGCAATGCGTTTAATCACATACTTGACGGCGGTGAGCAGGTCACATTGTTCCAGCCCGTCTATGACGCCTTCGATACGTTGGATAGAGACCTGAAGAGCTTGACCGGAATTCCGCTTGCCATGCGGCACGTTTCTGCAGCCGCACCTGCTCTTCGTGCTGCTACCGTCGACATCCCCATGACGCCGGACCACCCGCTCATGGAACCCGCCGACGTCGTGGTGCAATTCGAATCCTCTAGTAGATGGCCCGACGACCTTGTCGCCATCCAAAAGACCAAGGCCTCTTTTTTGATCCAAATGGGACGCCTGCTCGAGGAAAAGAAGCCTGACCAACTCATAACCCGCGTCGGCCTGGAGAATGAAACCGCCGAAATAATGAATTACGCCTTCCTGGACGTGATCTACCTCTCCGGACCATCCTTCCGTATTCGCATCTACCACGACCGTGAAGCGACTCTCCTTGAGAACCGGAGCAAAGACCCAAGTCTCTCTCCACGCTCTAAAGACGCTGCCATCGCCGCCCTGGCCGCGCATCGCCGAACATTCGTCCTCGCCCCCCGCCACACCGACGGAATCCGGCAGCTAACCCACCGCTTCCCTCTCCTCTCCCCCACTATCCGCCTCCTCAAGAGGTGGTTCTCCTCGCAACTCCTGACGCCTCACGTCACCGAAGAATTCATCGAACTCCTCGCTGCCCGCAGCTTCCTTTACCCATTTCCCAATTCCGTGCCCGCAAGTGTGCTTACCGGCTTCCTTCGCACTATCGGCTTCCTCGCCCGGTGGGACTGGCGCACCGACCCACTAATCCTCGATATCTCCTCCACGGACGGCCTGAAGTCCGAGGACTTCACCAAGATCCGCGAGAACTTTACAAACACCCGCACGCACACCGACCCGGCGATGAACCACGTCGCGATGTGGGTAGCCAGCAACCACGATCGCGAGCACTCGCTATGGACCACCGGCAACCGGCCGGCCAAGGTCGTCGCCGCGCGCATCACCGCCCTGGCCCGCGCGGCCCGAAGCCACCTTGACGGTAAGATCCTCTTCTCGCCGGAAACAGCCGAGTTCGACTTCGTACTCGATCTCAACCCGCGCTTCGTCCGCGGTAGCGGCGTGAAGAAGTCCTCCTCCTCCACCACAAAATTCAAGAATCTGGAGCAGTCGGGCGAGGTCACCGCCGAGGACCTGGGCCGTCTCGGCTTTGATCCCGTGGGCGCTTTTGTCGAGGAGATATCCACGCTGTACAGCGGTACGGTGATATTCTTCTCCTCGCCGTCGTGGCCGGTGGTCGGGGGCGTGTGGGCGCCGAGTACGGCCAGGAAGTGGAAGGCGGAGCTGGGGTACTCGTCGATTCCTGTTGCAGCGAAGAAAGCGCAGGAGGAGCAGGAGGACGGCGATGTCCAGGTGAAATTGAACAAGGACGCGATTCTGAATGAAATCGCTAGGATCGGCGGGGAGTTGGTTTCGAGGGTCGTGGTTAATAGGGCTTGATTGCTGTAAATATGTAGTTGGATGTTCAAATATAGAACGGTGGTAAATGGATGAGCCGGTTGCTCGTGATTCAGAAGTATTCATTGTTTTGCACATACTTCTACAAACCATTTCCGCGTACTTATTGTGACGATGGTCGTCCTGGAAAACACCCATAGCACTCGTCAATAGGAATAGGAATACACGTGCAGCACGATACCTATCAGGTCGATTCAGGCCTGAACTTCCTTAACCACAATAATGAACCCCAAAAGAAGTACCAATAAACATAAGTAGTAACGCGAAGGTAAAGAAAGCAACAGAGTAACAGTAATTGTAATGAAAATAAAGCAAATCAAAACCACTTTAACGCCGTCGTCCATTCATGCCTCCTCCCCTTTCCCCCACCTTCCCTACACCTTCCCTACACTCTACTATTACAAATCACCCCCTTCTTCTTCTTCTTCTTCTTCTTTTTCTTCCTTTTCTATCCCGACTTCCTAGCGCTAGATGGAGGATATGAGCAGTACCGATCCTCGATCGAAGTGACTTCATACGTTCCCTCCAGACTGGCAAACATGCTGTACGTGTAGTCGTCGGCCATGCGGGTGTGGCTCTCGAGGACGCGCGGCTTCTGGCCCTTCTTGTAGATTGCGCTACGGGTGTAGGTGAAGGTGAAAGGCGGGGTGCCGTAGAAGCGGAATGTGATTTCAGCTTGGTCACCTGTCGTTGTTGTGTTAGTTGATGAGGATAGGAAATAAAAAGGGAGGGGGGAGGAGAGGAGAGGGTATGTAGTTAGACGTACCTTGAGGAATTCCCTTAATGACAGCTTCTCCCTCGCTGATCCTGACGGAGGGCACTTCGTGGATGGTGCGTTGGAGGTCGACGGCTACCTGGCAGTCGCTGGCACTATCCTGCAACCCGGTGATGGTGAAGTTTCCTGGGCGCTCGGCAACACGGACGAACGAGGAGGGCTGATTGGCAGCCAGCATCGTCTCGCCGTTCCATTTGTACTGGACTGCGAATGGCGGGAGACCGGCAAGTGTGTATGCGATACGCTCTCCCACACAGTAGTCTTTGCGTTGGTCGGAGGGAGAGATGGTGGGCATGTCCGCGACAGCGACCGTCACGTGCGGGCCGTCGTCCATTCTACGGGAACAGCCGCGCGCATCCTTGACTTTGTGGATGGTCACTGTGTGGTCGCCGAGGGTGAGGACGTGCGAGGGTATCTTGAAGTCGTAGAAGTTGGAGTCGATCAGCGGAAGGTGTACTATATCCTTCTTACCCGTGTTGTGATGCTTGATGTGAACGGTAAGTGCGAACGGAGCAAGTCCCGTAAGCTGAATAGGAATGATGCTATCCTCTCCGGCAACAGCCGAGTCCAGGCAGTACTTGTACACTTTGTTGGGGTTCAAGAACGTGGTAGATGGACGGGGGTAGACTGTCTGTTGTAAAACAATCGGTGCCGGTATGTTGCGATCCCGTGGGTCATCGTAGAGTCCATCAGCAAGGCGGTTGAACTTGTACTCGTGCAGACCAGACTTGTGAGTCTCCAGTCGGACAGTGGCAGTCGACAATCCAGCGACCAGCCTATCATCAGTCTTCTCGAGTTGACGTTTAGTACCCTCAGGACGGTAGCTCCGTTGGTAGTCCACAGTAAACGGCGGCTGACCAATGAATGCAAGCTCGACTGCATCCTCATCGCCCTCGCATACCTCCTTCCGGACAAAGATACCATCCTTCTGGGTGATTGAACTGGACGGTGGCAGTCGGACTTTGGGTCTCTCGATGATAGATACCGTGAACTTGTCGTTTGGCGGGGTGACAGCACCAGGGCATTCACTATCGCGAACGTCCTCAATCTGGTAAGTACCAACTTTGGTAACCTGGTACTGAGTGTTGGCACTGTCGAATCGGAGTTCTTCTGCCGGAGTATCGGTTTCGAGGTTTTTGATTTTGATGAACCAAGGCTAAATGATTATTAGGATACGATAGTTCTCGCGAGTGGTTTCATTGGACGACTTACAGCTTCACCACTCAAGCGGAGCGGGATCTTGACGGTCTTGCCTTCGAGAGCACGGATCGACATCTTGCCCTCGTGGGGGGAGAACTGAGCCTTGGGCCTCTGGAAGCGTACGCTAACCTTGGCCTCCGACTCCAAAAACACTTTGCATCCGTTCTGATCTTCTACCGAAGTCAAAGCCAAAGAATGCTCACCACCAGTCGTAAGAGGAGGCGTCTTGATCTTGTAAATCGGCGAAGTGATGTCCTTCTCGGAATACCGGACCCTTCTTCCATTGTGGATGAGATCGTACTGGAGGTTCCAAGGTGCATCGCCGACCATCTTAACCTCGAATTCCACCGGCTCGTCGATACAAGCTGTCCTCTTTGCGGTCGGGTTGATAAAGTGTGCACCAGCAGTTGGCTTGACGGCCTGCTCCACACGGTATAAAGCAGGATTGAGCTTAATGCCCCCGTAGTTCTTGTCATCCAGACTAAAGAATTCGTAGGTGTAGTTGCCGGGGTCCTCCGGCGTGAAACGTTCCTGGTGTCTCGTCCTATCAATCCGAAGGGTCCTAACCTCTGCGGTGCCCTTGTCCTTGATGAGACGGTACTGAAGACTGAACGGCGGTGAACCGACAAGAGTAAGGTCGATATTGAGTCCGACTGAGGATTTGGTGCACTTGTCCAAAATCTCATCGTGTTCCATCGTCATTGAAGGCTCCGGTGGAGTCACCACGAGACAAGAAGCTGGTTCGTACACGTCGCCAGTACAGTAAGCGCTCGAGGCCTGGCGCAAACTGTAAAGTCCAGGCTCCTTGACCATGACCAAGTCCGATGGACTCTTCCAAGTGTATTCTAGGATTTGAGCATCTGGCGCATGCTCAGACGCGGAACCAAGCTTGCTCTGCGGTGTAAAGGCGACCTTGAAGTTATAGGGCGCATCGGAACCCCTGGTATCGAGTTTGACGGGAAGGGCACCCTTAGAGCCCCTCGGAACTTGCAGCGGATTCTTGAGGTCGCAATTACCGAACCGCACCGACGGTCGTTCGTGAACAACCAGCTTGTGCCCAAGGCCGGCCATATCAGTCGACTTCGGAAGCCACGAATCTCCCTCCTCTTGATGGGCCTTGTAGTCTATCAGATTACCACATCCGTCAGTGACCTGGTCGATTTCATACAGCCAATCGCCAGTCGAGGTCATCGAATCGTTGAGAGCAACATCGAGGGTCTCGCGTTTGCCCCAGGATGTAAGGTCTTCGTAACCTCGTTCGCGAAGATGCCCTTCAAGGCGAGGGTTGTTCAAAAGTGGTGACTCGTAGTTTTCCGGATGAATTCTGCCAACGCTAAGGGTAGTCGCTTTGCCCTTAACGACACGGCTATAGGTGACGGAAAGGGGAGCTAGTCCCTCCAGTTGAATGGACAGATCCGACATATCGTGCTTGCACACATCTTTCTTTGCTCCGGGCGTGGTCTTGATCTTGGCCTGGGGACACTTCACGACGAGCGCATAGGCATCCTGAATACGTACGTCGAGTTCAGAGACGTCCCTGACCTTCGTGAGGCGGTAAAGACCGGGGGTTTTAATGGTGTAGGGAAGATAACGTAGATCCGGTTCATCCTCGCGCGGTGCTTGTTTTATGAGTCTCTTGATTTCCTTCGGCTGGAGATCCATGATATCCACGTGGCCGGTGTCAAGGTCGGCCCTTGTGAGCTGGATTTTGATCGGAGTGGTTCCATTGATCTTGATGGGAACGGTGATGACCGGCGATGAAGGGCCCAAACAGAAGCAGTTCCCGTCCGGATTCAGCTTGGCGGCGCCCTCAGGTAGGATATGCACCGTGTACTTTCCCATGATGTGAGTGTCGTTATAGATGATGTCGTTCCATTTCACACGTCTCTCCGATATGGAGAGTTCGCGATCGTAGACGAGTTTCCACAGGCTCGAAAACACGGCAATGATTGGCGCGCCGGAGACATGAGGAAGTAAGAGATCGACCAAGGCGAGCCACATGATGATGGAGAGGGTAGCAGAAGGATCAAATCGCAGCCACGGTATTCTCAAGTAAGGCAGGTTCCAAAAGAAAAGCGCATCGGCGAACCACCATTTCAGGCAGAACCAGAGCGTCGTGATATCCCCTTCGTCGGCCCAAAGTCGCGAAATGTCGTACAACTTCCATGCCTGGAGCAAACCGAATATTCCGACCACGTATAGTCTTTGCGTGGGCGTGTCGATGATGTTTGTTGGGATCAGGGTATCATTCTCTCCGACGACTGGCTGGACCACCGCAGAGGGTATCGTCGTTGACGGCGGTGTTGTCGTCGTTGTCGTCGTCGATGTCGGTGTCGTCGTCGCGGCGGTATTCGCCTGTGTTCCTAACGCCCCTGTTCGTCGCTGCGGTTGATTGCCGAACGGTCTTTGAGGAGGAGGGGGAGGAGGGCGAGAACGAAGAGCGGTAGGATGTGGAGATTCGGGAAATGACGATGGAAACCGTGGGGTTTCCTGGGGATTGTTGTTGCTCATCTTCCTAGGCCATTCACACGCAGCGCAGAGGAAGGGTGGAGTAGGGACGAACGAGTTTGCTGAGGATCAGGAGACAGAGTGAGCTTGTCTTCGTGGATGGAGGATGTGTTGTCGTGTCGTGTCGTGAAGGCGGCGGTAGTAGTTCAACAGATCTCACGCCGTCATGCAGCTAGCAAAAGGGAGACGCGAGTGTGCAATTTTTGTGGTGGGCACGTGGATTTTGCCGGGATAGATAACAACGACAGCATGGCCTGTCTATTTGGAGGAAGTCGAGTCGAGTAGGAGAGTGCGAACCATTCCACTCTGAAATATTCTTCCCGAACACCACTGGAGAAAAGTGAGAAGTATTTACAGCAGTCCCGCTCCATTCCCCATCATATGCCTGGTTGGTTGGTGGACTCGGCTGTCCTGAGCAAGGCTAACCCAACCTTTCCGAGGCTGAGCGTGACAGCATGGTGAACCGTGAACATGGTGTTTTCCAACTCTCGGGTTCTTAACATTCACTGCGGAGATAAGATACGTTCGGGACAGAAACCAAGTTGTATTCAGCCTCTTCTCTAGTATCAATGTTGTTCGATGATACAGATGGCAGGATACCTACAAGAATGTGGCCCATTAAGACCAACTCGAGAAGACAGGTGCTGAGAGGATATACTCACGTCAAGGAGGCCGAAAGGTGGGTCCGCTTCCATGCACGGCCTCCCTCATCACTGAAAGCCGAGACTCTCATCCAACAAGCAATCTGCGACAACGCCGCAGGATTACCATGAAGCCCTATCACTCGCATGTGGCGGTCTTTCCTATGCAGTGGCATTTCTAGGTATTGCGTGTGCGGAGGGTGTGGACAATGAGCGCGATCATGTTTTCCTTTGTAAAATTGGCTGGTGAGCAGTGGCACAGCAACGGGCCGTGGTGGTAGAACTTTCTCTCCATCCGGCGGAGCTGGCAGGAAAGGTTGAGTTTGTAGTCGCCATCGTCTACCGGCACTCTAGTAAGGCCGTATGCAACAATAAATTGATGTTTATTCCCTCTCTCTGCCACTGGCAGACGAGTGAGTATGGCCAAATAAAAAAGCTGCTGGCGGACGAGGCCACCTATCGACAACTTCTACATACGAGATCGGCCTATGCCGTGGTTTTGGTCGTTTCTTGCCTATTGCGATTGATCTTCAAGTGATGGGAACCTGAAGTGTTGGATTCTAGGAAGGACTCAAAGGAATCCCGGTTGAATGAAGCTGGAATACAAAGAGCCTCTTTATACGTGCTTACCAATAGAAGCCAGTGTCAACTGTTGTCCAGCAGTTGCCAGGCAATCAATCTACGTCAAGACAATTTCCTCTGCTGTATCTCGGAACTGGGTAGCTCTTGATCCGATAAAGAAGAAGCCTCAGAGAATCTCAAAGAATGTCCGCATCTAGAATGAGAGCGGGTGAGGGCAGAGTAAATATAAAGCATGCGAAGGTAGAAGCATTTCGCCCTCCGCACGGTAGAAGAATAGAGCTTTGGAAATCTTCGGAGAGCACAAATGGGGCTCTATCCGTTGGTATGAAGTTGTAACTACAGTAGCAAAAAGTGGGGTGCGATTACTACCTGAAAAATACCAGGGTTATCGCAATACTAAAGAACTAACAGGTTTTTACTTAACCCGTATTTTTACTTTTTTTTTAAAAAAAACAGACATCACGTATTTTCACATAGAAAAAAGGACTACCATCTTTCCCACACCATGTATCAAAATATAATACGTCTACTACAGATCACGAGAGTTATTCAGTGTTGCAGTCACATTTGCATATAATACGTAAATATAAAATCTACATAGTTCTAGAATCATATGGTAAACAAAACTGCCTATTGGGTTAACTTCAATGGTACTGCGTGATCGTCACCGGATGTCTGCGATATCTCTACTAAAAGACTTCCGTGCTTGCAGAAATCTGTGCTCACCAGTACCATAGAGTCCGTACAATGCGATCTTTTGGAGTACCATGGGGCTTCGTCCGTCTAGTCCGTCCTGGGCTAGGGATACCTCAGACAGGGTGGGGGAATGACTCGTCACCGAGCAGGAAGGACTAGTCACTAAATTGGGAATGACTAGCCACCGAGTGGGAATGACTCTGGTCATCGGGTGGGAGTGACTAGTCGATGAGTGGGAATGACTCTAGTCACCGGCGCCAGTATTGCATATATGGCCCCCAGGCGGCAGCAGTACTGCCTCCACTGCAGCGCGAGGGGGGTCGGCGGGTGAAATCGAATGTGGTTAGTAGTGGGCCTCAACGTTGGCGGGCATGGCGGGCATGGCGGGGCCGACCGAGTGCGGAGGAGGGGTACTTAAGCTGGGTCCCGCGGCGTTTCTTCTTCTTCTTCTTCTTTCTTGTTCATCTCCTACAGAATAGACGGTCAACCCCCCCTCCTCCACCCCCCCCTCCTTTGCTCGCCGGCAGTCTTTGAACTCACTTCCTTCTTCTGCTTCTTCTTATTCCTTTTTTCATCATCACAACTCCCCCCCGGAACTCCCCCCCACAACTCCTCCTCCCCCCACAACTCCTCCCCTCGCCGCAACTACTACTGCTACTCCCACCGCAACTGTGGGGAGGGTATCGGTGGTTGGCAGATGCTTCGATTGGAAGCACGAGCCGCCTACAGTAATCAGTAGTAGCAGTAGTAGTAGTAGTAGTAGTAATAGTAGTAGTAATGGTGGTAGTAGTACCTGAAAACTGCCAGAATGTCGTACATTTTTGCTTGCGCACAACACGTCTTACCCACAATACGTATTTTTTGAAGCCAAAGGGTTTCTATGGATTTCTCTTGTGGTTGTAGTTTTACTACAGTCCAGGGACCATTTGGTTGACATGACAACGGTGCTCTCTGCACTACGTTGTTGTGCATACAAGGTAGTTTCCTGGTATGTCTCTGGTATTCCCGACACCACGTAAGATTTTGCGTCTGGAAGAATTGCAGTGGCTCTTCCCACTTTTTGGTATGCATATCTTTACAACCCTACGTAAAGATTTTCGATACCGTAGAGCTTGGACTATGGGAAGAAAGGAATAAAAAAATATATCTGTATTTTCGGAAAACTGCTAGGTTTTTACCTATACGGCGGTTCTACTCATGACCTGCGGAAGGAGTCGCACCCCACTTTTTGCTACTGTATTTCCCGATAGACAGTTTGTTTCCTCGTACGTTCGACTTATAGATCATGGCGTGCACGCCTCCGTATACATAGAATCTCGCTACAAGGTATATGGAAATCTCGGTACGGACGTAGTCACGTACAAATCCGACTGACGTGAGGCTCTGCTACTAAGGGCACTAACCGAGCCCTATTGGCGGATTTGGGGTCTTGGCATGAGCTATTGCGAAAGCCACAGTCGCGGACTATGAAGTCTTGGCATGCAGTAGGTAGTGCGCTCTACTGCACGACCCGCGTCGCCCCACGTCTCCCGTTCCAACTCAATCCACAACTCTAAAGAAGCTTCAGTTCACAATCCCAGTTTCACTTTCCCCCACAACTTTCGGCCACATTTCTTTAATCTACTACTTCCTTCACCACCGACGACTTCCTTCACCACCGACGACTCACTTCATCGCCGACGACTCACTTTGTCACCGCCAACCCTTTTCGTCCAGCCGACTCAACCTTTCGACCCAATACTATCAGATGACAATGGCTCCAACCAAACGCAAGGCTTCCCATATGTCTAGTGCTAAACCAAACAAAAAGACCAGTGCTGCGCTTCCCGCAGTGTCACAATCCACCGCTTCGTCAACTGAAGAGAAGGTTGATGGAGAGGTTACGGAGGAGTGGCCTGGTTGGGCTCCTGTCGAGAGCGAGCCGGTAAGTATATCGCTCTCCGCAAGTGATATACTATTTTCGAATATATCTAACGTCGATATGCAGGCTATTTTCACCGAGTTGATCAAAGAGTTCGGTGTTAAGGGAGTCGTCGTACAAGATGTTTACAGTACTGATGAGGATACTATGCGCGGTTTCGTCAATGCCCATGGAATCATCTTCTTGTTTCGTCACAGGGACAACGAGGAGGTTGAAGGGGATATCGAGACGACTTGTCCGGAGGGTGTTTGGTTCGCCAATCAAGTAAGTGCATCCCCGCCGAAAAGAGTCGCGCAGACATTGGGCCCCTCTGCCTCTCCTATAAAAGCCCTCAAATCCCCCACCACAACCACTTCTCTTCCTTTACACTTCACACTTCAAATACTTACGGCCAATAGATCGTCGAAAACGCCTGCGCATCGCTTGCGATGCTCAATATCCTCGCCAACTCAACCGCCGAACTCGGCGCAACGCTCTCAGCGTTCAAGGAGTTCGCGGCTCCTCTGACACCTCCCATGAAGGGACTCGCTGTTGCCAACAATCCCCATTTGCGCAACATCCACAACTCCTTCGCCAGGTAAGAACCCCCCACGCTGATCTCCAAAGTTCTTCAGCCACTAACAACATCAACAGGCAGTCTGAATGCCGGGACCTCGACATCTTGCTCACAGAGCAGGTCAAGACGCGGCCGTTCATGACTGCTGCCAAGCCCAAATCCAAAGGGAAGGGCTCAAAGAAGAAGCAGGCGAAGGAGGAGGAGGAGGAGGAGGAGGACTACGACGACGACGGCCCTGCGTTTCACTACGTCGCCTACGTCCACATCAACGGCGCCCTCTACGAGCTCGATGGGCTCCAGAAGCGGCCTGTGCGCGTGTGCAACTGCCCCCAGAGCGAGTGGACCGTTCAAGTTGGCTCCACCGTCCGCGAGAGGATGCGTCGTTACCCCAAGGAGCGCACGTTCAATCTTCTCTCGGTCGGACCGGAGACCGGGGTGGATGTCGACGAGGACTTCGTGGAAATCGCGAGGAGGCGCAAGGTCGATTGGGAGGCGTTTGTCCACAGGGCGCTTACCATCCTGGGTACAAAGAAGATCGCCCAGCAAAAGCTTTGATCTGAGATATCTGAAGATGTCGAAGTCGGGCGACAGTATGGTGTGTTTCTCTTCGTCCCCTCGGTTTGCTCGGCTTCTGGGGAGTCGGAGTTTTTTCTTTACTTTTCGACTTCGGGTTGGGGTTTCGGGTTTTTGGGTCGGTTTCCATTGGCGGTGGTGTTTGGAGATGGCCCTTTTCCTGGTTTTTTTCTTTCCTGGTTTTTTCTTTCTTTTTCGCTCTGGCTTCCTACTCGGTAAGGTCTACGACCAGCAGGATGGGATAAAGTCAGGGCGGTTTAATAATTTGATTTGTTGGTTTCTTGTTCTCTTCATCTTTCTGGAGGTTTTTCTTCTTTTTTCTGGCGTTTTGTAGTTGTATCTGTACCATGGCGTATACGGGGGGCGCTGGGGGCGTTGGGGAGTAACGGGGTTCATTTCATTTCACATTTCAATTCACATTCACGGGCTACCAGTATCTTGAGGAAATTGGGGAGCTCTTCTGAGTCATTACGATGGCGCTGGGGGGAGGGGGGGGTACCGGAGTTTCATTTCACATCTCAATTCACGTTCACGGAGAGGGGGTATCACTATGATGCCGACTTTCGCAGTGACCATCGAGAATCGACGGGTGATGAGCTGGGTAGACATCTATAATTCCACGGAAGCACATGGTCTTCATGCCGGTATCATATCCAATCCAGACCCCGAGTGATGATTCCAAAGTCTATTTGCACAAGATATCTATCTGCCCCCCTCATCTCCGCTTCTACTCTCTCTACTCCCTACACCACCGCCACCAACGCCTCCAACGCCCCCCCAAAGATCCCCACCAGGGCCTCCGTATCCTCGAGTCCCACGGAGACCCTTACGAGATTCGCCTCGACACCATACTGTGCAGCCCATTCGAGTTCACCATAGTGAGCCAGGATCGTGTACGGCGAAGTGAGCGTAAAATTAGTGCCCAGACTCGGACCCTTCGCCGTATCGATAACGTCAAAGAAGCGCACGGCATCCTCCATCGAAAAGAATGTCACGCTCAGCAGGCCGCCGTAGCCGCCGTCGGGGCAGCGGCAGGCGTCGTAGAATGACCGCGTGGGAGAGAATTTCGGGTAGTAGACGCGTTTGACTAAGTGGATGGGTTAGTGGGGTTGGTGGGGGGCAGTGCAGGGGATGAGGAGGGGCGGGATGGACACACTCTTGGGGTGGTTGACCAGCAAAGTGCTCACGGCTTCGGCGTTGATGTTGATTCGCTCGATGCGGGACACAAAGTCCCGGCTGTTGCGCTCGAGGAAGAGCGCGTCTTCGCCCCAGAAGTTGTCTTCGTACGTGGCGTCGAGGGATTTCTTCAGTCGTGCGTAGTAGGGACCTTTGGGGTTAAGGACCAGGCTGGGGGATCTGTCAGTGCGTGCATGCCACAGGAGGAGGGAGAGGGCGGAGAGCGTACCTTCCGCCCATAACATTGCTATCCCCACTGAACACCTTAGTCAAGCTACTGGCAACGATATCCGCAAACGGCAGGACATGTACATTGAGCGGGTTGCCGACGGTCTCGTCGATCACCACGGCGAAATCGTAGGTGTCGGCGAGCTTTCGGATTCGCTGGAGGTCCGGGGACATGAGGAGGGGGTTTCCCGGGAACTCGCAGAATAGCGCCAGCACCCGCTCACCGGATTGGAGTTTGCTTTCGAGATCGTCGAGGTCTTCCGAGGAGCCGTGGCCGTAGAAGTGACAACCCGGACCGAACTTTTGGAGGATCTTGAGGGTGTCTATGTACGGGAAACTAGTGCACAGTCAGTTGTAGAGGCCCGCGGAAGGGAGGAAGAAGATGATATACCCGTAGCAAACGCTCTTCCTCGGCTCGATTGTCTCCATCAACAGCTGGTGAGAGTTGAAGATGGCACTCATACCCGTAGGGAAGAGGTACACATCCTCCTCCGTGAACCCATCGACATCTCTACCACCCTCCCTCGATAGTGCAATCGCATCGCTCAGCGCAACATTGCTCCTCAAGGTTCCGGCAATCCTTCTCCTAACCGCCAACTTTGCATTCGCCACAAACTCCACCCCCAAGTTCCTGCCAAACCTCTCCTCGACGAACCGGGACGTATCTTCCGTTGGCGAGATCCTCCCACCAGCACCTTTATCCGCCGCAACCTTTGAGTATCTCTTCGGCCCCTTCGCTGGACGTTGCGAGAGCTCATCTGGAAGTCCCTTCTCAACCAACACACCCTCCTCCAGTTCCTGCTGACAGAACTCCGCGCGGCGCGATGACACGCCGTCGCCCGAGTGCTGCCAGAACTGCTTCGCGACCTTGAAATCCGGCGCGGGGAAGAACACTGCCGAGAGGCCGGAGATGATCGTCGTGCGGGTAGCGCCGGTGACTCGGGGCGTGAACTCGACGATGCGGACCGACGGCGGCGTTAGCGTCGCGGTGTGCTGCTTCAAGAAGCGGTTGCAGCGGTGGGCAATATGGGCGGAGGGAAAGAGCATACAGTCCTCTCCGGGACGTCCGTGGCTCGCGAGGATCGACGATGAGAGCTTCTGGATGCTCTTGTGGATGAAGAACCTACAACTCTTCCCATCAGCAACCGCCTCCACCCACCCACTCGAAGTATCAATCGCACCTGGGGTATCCAGTCTGCATCTTATCGAATACCCACGCCTCTCCTTCTTCATACGCGACATTCGCCTTCCATGTGGGCAACGACACGCTGACCGCCTACGCACGCACGTACAGTCAAAAACCGATCCAGTCATTCATACGAAGGGAGAAAAAACGAACATGCGGCGTATCCTCCGGTATCGAGGAACCAACTTCGCCAGTCATCATGATAGCTTCGGCCTGTTGATGGTGAGAAGGACTTGGTTTGGATCCGGATCTCCATCGTTCATAGCTAGCGGCGTGCGAACATGTGGGGTGGGAAGAATCTTGGTGGGGTAAGCCGTAGGGTCCATGCAACCGATGTTTACTAAGCTCGGTCTGCGACGAGTGCTGGAGTGTGATGCCAAGCCATATGTGGTCAATCGATGCGGAACGAGGAACGGTAACTACGGCTGCATACTTGACACACGACACTCGCAGTGCTGGCAAGCTGGGCTAGCAGCATGGATTTGCTCCCTGTTGACGTGTTGCCGGACAAGCGCCAGCGGCACAGCCAGAGCCCCCTCCTATCTGATCATTTTCCACCTCTTGACGGGGAGTTGCAGGGCAGAAGTCGTACGGTACTTTGAAGCCAACTGTCAACCCGTACGTAAGTACGAGCGCACGGCCTCACAGACGAGAGATACTGCACACGTATCCCGAACCGCGCAGGAGCTGATTGTAGCTGGAACGTCGTAGATATGAACTGACGTATGCATAACTGTGAATCTCGGCATCCTCCAAGTTGCCCCATACATACATACAATTTGAAAGTAAGTCACGAGACAAGAAACCGAGTGATGCACAGTGGCAGAAGCCCAGACATGCCGTGATAATCGAAGGGTCCGACGCTGTCTGAAGGCATCTTCCTCGGAGAATCACTGTGCTGCTGAGGAGGGAAGCGAGGGGTATACGAAATAAATTGAAGTTCTCTCTCTCTCTCTCTGAGGGCGAGTCCGCGAGGAAGAACTCTTCTCGCCTCGTGACTTTCTTGTAGGAGAGAGGTGGAATTTCTCGAATTTCTTTCTCTTCCGGTTAGCCTTCGGAAGTTGGTGCTGGCGCTGGCGTGCTGGTGTACCTGGAGAGTGCGTACAACCGACGTCTGGGGAAGAAGTTCTGGCCGGCAGTTTCTTCTTTGGGAGGGGTGTTTTTTTAGCCGGGCCGAACGGACGGTCGGTCGTGATATCACTCAGCAACCCGGACGTTCTTTGCCGCCGAGGAAGATGGATGACCTGCGGTGTTTCTCCGAGATTTCTGCATTGTCAGCTGGCTGTCACGCATCGAGGCCCTTCGAGTGGCGGGTTCTCCCAGCTCCTTGCTTGCCTTCCGTGCTACTAGGTAGCAGGCACGAGTACCTGCACGCACCCTGCACTTGGTACTCGACAGCATCTTGGTGTATCGACGCGGGTCTTCATGACCAGATGGAGATAGAGAGTGCCGCAACTTCCCGGGTGTCCTTTCCTTGTCTATCGCGCCGTCGAGGGCTGATTCGATTCACGTGCCCATCCACTAGCATGGCGAGAAATGGCGCGGATAAAGCTGACACAAAGAGAGAACGATGGAACTGGAATGAGACAGCAGGACGGAAGGAGATGCAAGCAGGCAAGAAGGCGGGCGGGCAGACAGGCAAACAAGACCGGATAGAGCGTGTCGCCGTTGCCGCTCCAATAATTCGAAACAAAAAACAAATCGAAAAACAAAGAATTAAATATTATTTTCCATTTTATCTGGCTTCTCTCGATTTCCACCTGTTGCTAGCTGCGTCCCCCGAAATGGGTTGGTTTGTTAGGTTTCTGGGGGCGTGAGCGAGTGAGTGTTTTGGGTGCTCAGCGGCTGGTTGGCTTGCAAAACCCCTCCTTCTATCTCCTCTCTTCGCCCCTCCGATTCAAAGGTTGCAACCACCACCACCACCAGCACCCACCCCCCCCTTCCTTACTTAACCCATCCCAACCACCACCCGTTACCTTCCCCACCATCTTCCATCACCACCTCTTCCTCCAACTCCCACTACTTCCACCCCCCGGTTCCCCTTGATTCCTACACCAACCACCACTACCACCACCACCCAAAAGGTCTGTTCTCACATATACTCTGTTCACTTCCTTCATCCCTCTCTCTCCTTCGCCACCTTAATCGCGACAAAATCACCTCTTTCGCTCCTTCGCTTGTTCTCTTGTTACCCAATCAAACACTTCATTCAACTTCCTGATCCTCTCGCTGACCCCACTTCTCGCCAACAGCCTACAAACAAACACCACAAGCAGAAATGGCCCTCAAGAGAATCACCAAGGAGCTGACTGATCTCGGACGGTATGTCGACCCTCTCTCTCATGTGTCTTGAGCTTTGGTCTTCGTCCGCCATCCCATTATATCATGGAGGTGGTAGTGAGGTCATGTGCTTAGGCACCTGGGCATCGTGATTGCTTTTTCATATAGCAGACTGACGCAAACTATCGTGCCTACAGCGACCCACCCTCGTCCTGCAGTGCTGGTCCTATCGGAGACGATTTGGTATGTTTTCCACACTTCTTTTCCGCTCGGGTTGTCTCCGGTTGTGAGTTCTTTCGAGCTCTTTGTAGAAAGAGGCTCGGGGTTTCACAGCTGTGCGATGACAGCTCAGCTTTGTTGTGATTTATTCAAAGTGCTAATAATATCTATAGTTTCACTGGCAGGCGACCATCATGGGTCCCGTACGTCTTGACTACATCCAAACCTTCGACGATGAAAGTACATACTGATTTGTCTTTGTTCACAGTCTGACTCCCCATACTCGTCGGGCGTGTTCTTCCTGAGCATCGCTTTCCCCACCGACTACCCGTTCAAGCCCCCGAAGGTCAACTTCACCACCCGCATCTACCACCCCAACATCAATGCCAACGGCAGTATCTGTCTTGACATCCTGAGGGATCAGTGGTCTCCAGCCTTAACCATCTCGAAAGGTTAGTACCCAGCTATTATCGACCATTTCTAGGTTTAGTCTCTAACGTCACCAGTTTTGCTTTCGATTTGCTCGATGTTGACCGACCCGAACCCCGACGACCCTCTGGTCCCGGAGATCGCGCATGTCTACAAGACCGACCGCGCTCGTTACGAGGCGACCGCGAGGGAGTGGACCAGGAAGTACGCCATCTAAGGTGTGGGGCGAACATGTTTGATTCTCTTTCATTCGTTCTGACGGCTTGGGTGTTTTCATTCTTCGGTTTCACTGTACGCAAACACGTGTTGATACGATAAATTGTTCCGTTCGTGGAAGGTCTTTTCTCTCTGGTGTGTGCTTGTGCGTGTGAGAGGTTGGATGAGAGCAGTGGGGTTTACGAAAATCATGATCATGACGGGCGGGAGTTCAAGGTGCCGAGAGGGTTGCTTCTAGGTAGTCTATTCATTGCGGTACGGCAGCTTACACCAGTATCCATCTCTGCTTTCACTTCGTAGTCGTGTAGTTACCTGGAAAAGCGTTGCGATAAGCAAACATGTCTTGTTTAGCGGCGATTGCAAAGCTCGTCTTCTAACAACCAGGTCCCTACTATTCCACGTTGAGCCCTTGTATCAGCACCTCACATACCACGACGAAGCGCACTACAGTCGAGAGCCCATTCATGTGCTCATAGATCAATCATGAGTTGTGTATTGTACAACTATCCGCCCATAAGCAAATCACATATACGCCATATCCTGATCTCAATCATGAGTTGTAGGTACACAACTCTTCGCCCATAACCAAATCACATATACGCCACATCCAGTTCTCAATTCAGATATCTACCTCCTCATCGCCGTCCGCGTCCGCATCATCATCCTCCCCCTCCCCTTCCTCCCCATCCTCCTCCTCCTCCTCCTCCTCGTCAGGGTCGACATAGTTGAGGAAATCATGTTCCAGCGCCTCCGCGGCACTAATCCTCTTCGCGGGGTCAAGTTCAAAGCACCTCGCGAGGAACTGACACGCCAGCTTTTCCCCCTCTGGTAGTAAATCCTGGTCTGCGCTGCTGCTGCCGCCGCCCGCGGAGCGGTTCGTCGCCCATAGCACGATCTTTTCTAACGTGAACCCCTTCTCGCCGATCGTCGGGATGGTCGTCTCGAATATGCACCCGTGTAAAGCGGCGCATGAGCGCATCTTCGACTTGCCGAAGATCGTCGCGATCTCGATTATGGCGTCCACGTCGTCGCTGCTGTTGAAGAAGGGGAAACGCTTGCTGAGGATTGTGAGCAGGATTACGCCCGCGGACCAGATGTCGATTTCTACAGGGGTTAAGTCAGTCTGTGCCCGGGAGGAGTGGGGGGGATGGGGGGGAAGAAGGGGGGAGGGGGGGCGGACGCACTGGTTGTTTGGCAGGTGCACTTGAACAGCACCTCTGGAGCGCGGAAGCCGCGGGTGCCCGCACGGTTTGCGCGGCGGGAGGGTCTTGAGTCGTTTTTTGGGTATCCCTGGGACATGGCGGTCATCGACGAGGGTAGTCGGAGGTCTTTGCGCTCTCCGCTGGATTGCTGGCAGGCGCAGAACGAAGTGTCGGTGCCCTCGCGCTCGGCGAGGCCAAAGTCGCAGAGCACGCCCCGGCCCTTGTAGAAGTCGTACAGAAAGTTGGTCGGCTTGATGTCCCGGTGGATGATGTTGTGGGCGTGCACGTGCTCCAGCGCGGTGAAGAGCGATTTGAAGTACAAGATCATGCCGTTTATTGTTAGGTTGCGGAAGTATTCCTGCATGGTGCTGGGTCAGTGGCTGTAGCTTGACTTGACTTGTGTGGAATGAAGATATATCGACGCACCCGGAAATCAACATGTCGGAAGTATGGCAGGATCGCAACAACTTGGTCTTGGTACCGGAATGCGGTAACCAGCGGAACGACGGATTTGCAGCCTGTCAGATCGTGCAGAAGTTCCAGCTCGTTCTGTATTCGTGCTGGTGAACTGGTGACATAAATCTTTTTGATAGCTACGTATTTTGGCGGACGACTGCCGTTCAGTCGTGGCGGGGGTATGTCCTCGAGGTCCCAGCTGTTGTCGTATCTATCGTACAGTAGGTCTTCCGCTTTATACACCGAACTGAAAGTTCCTGGAGGAATAATCAGTTCTGAGAGGTGGCCGTGGGTGGAGGGGTGATTACCTTCACCGATCTTATTTATCAACCTAAATCGTTTCTCAATGCCGCGGAACGTGGTCTGGAACTTCTCAATCTCCTCTATGACCAGAGGATCTGTGGCATATTCCTCATCCTCTTCCTCTTCTTCTTCCTCCTCCTCTTCCTCTTCTGGACATTCCGAGTACACAGACCCCTCATCCTCATCCTCCGTACCCTCCCCATCCGTCCGGTCGTCATCCTCCCTGGCTTTATCCTCATAACTAGGACTTCGAGAAGCTGCACGCCGCCTATCCTTGATCCCGTTCTCAGCATTGACATTGGCATTTCCACGCCTTTCATCTGGCTCCTCCTCACTCTCCTCCTGTAGATCTTCTGTTTCCGCCGGATCCCTCACATCCTCAACCTCTTCGTCCTCAACCTCCTCATCCTCACCCTCCGCGTCCTCATCCTCGTCCTCATACTCCTCCTCCGCCTCATCTTCCTCCTCGCCCACCTCCTCCTCCTCCGCATACGAGTGGTCCTCATCCATTTCGTCGTACTCTGGCTGGCGGCTGTCCTTGTGATTGTGACTATATCCCCGTTCTCCGCCATCCGCCTCTACCTCTTCCTCCTCTTCCTCCTCCTCCTCCTCCTCTTCCTCCTCCTCCTCCTCTTCTTCAGTGTGCGAACTCAATGGTGCGGCACCAGTGGCGACGGTAGTTGGCGCAGTAGTAGTGGTAATGCTGTAGGCCCCCGAAGCGCGCTGCCGCTTATTGTGCTCAATCAGATTTGCCAGGCCCGGATCTCGCAGCGCGATCTGGCGCTCGACGTTCTCGTCATAGAAGCTGTAGGACGACGTCGCATGCGATATCGGCGAAGGCGGTTTCTTGACCGGCGTGTGGTATGCGCTTGGAGATTCGCGGGTGGAGTCCATGCTGGCCTGAATAGACTAGACAGCGTCCGCGACAAGGGAGAGCAACAATGTCTCGCGGGGTCGTGGGAATGCGCGAGTCGTTTCGTAAGGTGTGGTCTGTGAAGTTGAGAAGTTGTTTTGGTCTCGCCGGTGGTGGTGCTGCTGCTGGTGCTGGTGGTGGTGTGTAGCGAAAAAACGCGACAGGGATCACAAAGAAAGACGTGACAGCGTGAAGCGTGAAGCGAACGGCCTGGAAGTGAGAGAGAGCATCACCTATCTACAACCCCACTGCCGCCCGCCACCGCAACCTCTTCTGGACGCCGCATAAACAAACAAAAAACTTCAGCACCGCCATCACATTCGCTTCACAACATCTGCACCTGTCGCTATGGACGAAGATATGGAGGAAGACCGGGTGTCCTTCGATTTGAACGCCTCGCTGCGCTTCTACCACGACAACCCGGCGTCGGTGCCATGTACAGAAGCGGACAACGGCCTGATCGAAGCAGAAGAGAATCCCGATTCGCTCACCAATGCGATGATAAACCAGATCTTGGATCCCATCATCGATCGGGTCGCCGAGAATCCCGACGCGATCTCTAGACTCTCGGTGCTGGATACTGTACAGTGTTTGCTCAAGTAGGCGTCTTCTACGTGTGTGGGTGTGGCGGCTTTGATCTGGGGCGCGCGCGGCTGATGTGTTTGTGTTTGTGCGCGCAGGTACTTCGCGGTCATCCCGGTCCAGGCCGCCGGAAAAGTCCTGGACATCATCGTCTCCGGACTCTCGGCGGAAGCGGACGTTGTCAATATGGATCTCGATTCCGACGAGCAGGACACGTTGAAGGAACATAGAGAGTTGCTGGAGATTTATGGGTTCCTCCTCCAATGGGTGATCGCAGGACTGGAGGCGAGAAATGAGAAACCGGACTCTTCGGCAACGGCTGGTACGACGGTGGGCGGACAAAGGGGCAAAGGAAAAGCCAAAGGGAAGGGGAAAGCCGTAGCAAGCGCGGCATGGGATTCGACCACACAGCTCACCACCGCTCTAGAGGTGATGTGCAAAGTTCTCAATCTCAAGGTCCGGTTGCTACGAGTGTTTGTCACGACCTCCGAGAGGGACACCTTTGTCTCGCTCTTCACGAGGCCAGTCTACTTGATTTTAGAGAACGAGCAGAGAGTGAAAAACAACAAAATCAAGATGTACATCATCAGGGTTCTCTGTATCGCGGTGAAGCACCATGGCCACGCTTTCGGTATGTCCGCGAGATCCTAGGTGTGGCGTCTATATCTGACGAAACCTCTGTCTAGGTGCACAAACGTCCATCGTGCAGAAATTGACGTACTTTGAGCATCTGTCTGAGCCGATGGCCGAGTTCCTCCAAATATTGTTCGAGCAATACGACTATCCGCAGCTGGTGGATGAAGTCCTGAGGGAACTGAGCAACAGGGAGTTCAATAGCAATGACTCCAAAGGCCCCAAGTCCATCTCGACCTTCATCGTAACGTTGTCAGAAAGGCTGCCTCGCTTGGTGTTGAAGCAGATGACATTGGTTGTCAAGCTGCTGGAGATAGAAGTATGTCTTGTTGGATCCCACGGTTATGGCTGGTTGAAATTTACACAATGTCGCAGTCACACAACTTGCGGAACGCCGTCATCGAAGTTTGCGGAAACCTTATTGTAGAGCTGACGAAGGACGATGAGCGAAGCGAAAACCATAAGGCTCAGATGAATGCGTTTTTCGACTTGCTGGAAGAAAGATTCTTGGATGTCAACCCATATTGCAGGTCAAAAACGATCCAGGTTTATCACGGCAAACTTCTCGAGTATGTCATGTCCAGCTTCTTCCCTGCCTACTTCGGACATTAACTGAGACTACGCGTATAGCCTTGAAACCAAGTTCCCCAAGCGTCGTCAAAAGGCGGCAGACCTTGCGTGTCGCAGTCTGAAGGACAAGAGCAGCAATGTCCGCAGGAATGCGATTAAGCTTTTGACTAAGCTCCTCTCCAGCCACCCGTTTAGTGCACTGCACGGTGGTCTCCTGAGATACTCGGAATGGGAGGCGCGGCTCAACGTGTTGGATGACGAACTCAACCAGCTCATCGCACCTGTTGAAGAGATGGCCGCCAGTAAAGCTGAACCCGGAGACGGAACGGTGGATCCCGAGCTGTTGGACGACGCGACAGAGATCGGGAGTAACGATGGCCATGATGCCGGAGAAAGCCCAAAGAAAGCCCCGCCGCAGCCCCAACAGGACCACTCGGAGGAAATCACGAGGCTGCAGCTTACGAGGCGATACTACTTGGAGGCGTTGAGGTTCATCGAAACAATCCACGAGGCCTCGGACATCGTCATGCAGCTCTTGTCCTCTAAAAACAAGAGTGAAGTCATCGAGGCCATGGACTTCTTCAAATCCCTCGACGTCTACAAAGTTGAGACCGCAAAGATTGGAATCCGGCGAATGCTCCGTCTGATCTGGACGAAAGCTAGCAGCGATGAAGGGAAGGGGGTGCAAACGCACCTCATCGAGACCTACAAGGACCTCTTCTTCGTTGCTCCGCCGGAAATGTCGGAAAATGACTCTGCCAACTACATTGCCCGAAACATGCTCAGCCTGACGATCGGTACCACAACTTCGGAGTTGACTTCGCTCGAACAACTCATGAGCAAGATGATGTCTGAAGGTCTCATCTCCGATCTCGTCATCAGCAAATTGTGGCAGATATACAATGTGCAGAAGGTCAAGATTCCGAGAGCGCAGAGGCGCGGCGCGATAATTGTGCTTGGGATGTTGGCCCTCGCCGAACCGGAGATCGTGGTCAGGCAGCTGGAGACCATCATTCGTGTGGGACTTGGTCCGCTGGGGAGGAAGGACCTCGGGCTTGCAAAATACACTTGTCTAGCTTTGAGACACATCAGTCCCGTTGGTAGGAAAGCAAAGGACGCACCGTCTTCCATGGGCAAACTACCGAACGATCACCCGATAATGGAACGATTGGCAGCATTGGTACAATTGCCATCGGAAAGCAAAGACTGGTACGGCATGGCAGAACAGGCGATAGGCGCCATATATGCACTTGCGAAGAAGCCGGATCTACTCTGCGGAGACATCATCAAGAGGAAGACGGTTGCTGTCTTCAGCAACCTGCCGGCGCTCCCGCAACAGGACGGTTCTGAAGATCAGGTCATGCAGGAAGCTGGTGCGCCTGAGGAAGCGGAGACGGCTCAACAATCGAACGAACCGGCGGCCCCGTCCTACTTCCCGTTGTCGCAGCTTCTCTTCATCGTTGGACATGTTGCTAGTGAGTGTCTTCATAATCGTCCATCGCAAGATCAGTGAAGCTGATGGTTATTAGTCAAACAAATCGTCCACCTCGAACTCCTAGAGCTCGAGTTCAAACGCAAGAAGACGGAGCTGGAGAAGAGTGCGCTTTCCCCCTGCCTATTCGGTGTTACTGGTCCAGCTGACACCCTGCAGAGAAGGAAGTTGAAACTCCCAACGGTAAAACCGATGAGGAGCAGGACGAACTCGATCTCATTGGCGGTACTACGGAGGACGATTTCACCGAGGGAATAGCACACGTTCGGTTCGTTGCCATACGGTTGCATAGAGTATTATGGACGATGGCTAACGATGATTAGTGAACGCGAGCTGCTGTATGGAGAAGATTCATTGCTAGCCAGGTTCGGATCTTTGGTCACGGAGATTTGTACAAGGAATACACTGTACACTGTAAGTTCTCCACCGATACCTGGAATAGATGGAACATCGTGTGTTGATGATCAGTAGGATCGGAATCTCCAGGCTCAGGCTACGCTTTGCATGGGCAAGTTGATGTGTGTGTCAGCGGAATACTGCGAGGAACACCTGCAGCTGTTGATTACCATCATGGAACGGTCCACCGACTCCATTGTGCGAAACAACGCCGTGATCGCAGTGGGCGACATGGCCGTATGCTTCAACCACCTCATCGATGAAAACACCAACTTCCTCTACCGGCGTCTAAACGACAACGAAGCGTCGGTAAAGCGCACCTGTCTGATGACACTGACATTCTTGATCCTGGCGGGTCAAGTCAAGGTCAAAGGGCAGCTGGGACAGATGGCCAAGTGCCTTGAGGATTCGGACAAGAGGATCGCGGATCTGGCGAGAATGTTTTTCACCGAGCTTGCTACCAAGGATAATGCAGTCTATAACCACTTTGTGGATATGTTCTCGCTACTCTCCGCAGAGGAGGACCTCGACGAGGAGTCGATGAAGCGTATCGTTAAATTCCTTGCGAGCTTTATTGAGAAGGTAATCATCGCCTCGATCCTATTATTCCCTTCTCATCTAAACTATTTCTGACATACAAAAACAATTACAGGACAAACACGCAAAGCAGCTCTCCGACAAACTTGCCGCTCGTCTCCCACGCTGCGAGACTCAGCGGCAATGGGACGAGATTGCGTATGCACTCTCCCTTCTCCCACATAAGAATGAAGAAATACAGAAGACAGTTACGGGGGGCTTCAGAGTGGTTCAGGCTGCTGCTTAGGGGATCTACTCTATTCTATTATGCAAGATACTTGGGTATGGAAGGGTCATGATTGGTTTCTTTTCTTTCTTTAGCGGTTTTGGTTGGCTATGTTCTATGTTTCTCTTACGATGATGATCCATCGTGACTATGGCTGTGATCCTGATCGTGGTCGTGATTGTGCTCATGCTCGTTTCCTTCACAACCACAGCTCGGGTTCGGGCTCGGCTTCAGGTACAGAATCAACCTGAACGCTGAGTTGCCGTTGAAGTAATATCGATGTAGCCGCTTACTCCTCAGGAAGCCTAGGCGCTCATAGAGCTTTATGGCCGCGGTATTTGTCGTTTCCGTCTCGAGTGCGACCTTGTGAATCCCCGGCTTGTCAGCCAGCTCCTTCCGTTCAGGGCCGGGGCACAATACCTCATCGGCATCCTGCGCCTTCATCGCATCGATAGCCATCTGCACCAACTTCGTCGCTGTAACCCTCAGCTGTCAGCAACCGCCTCCCCCGTCCACGCGTACCGCCACATACCGATCCCATTCCCCCGGTACTCCTTCTTCGTCGCCAACATGGCAATGTACCCACGCAGGGGGCCACCACGATGTCGCTCGAGCTTGCCAACAACCACCCCGACCAACAGATCCCCATCGAACGCCATGTAGCATAGGTCGCCCCATTGGTAGAGGAAATACCGGTACACATAGATGCTGTAGGGTTCTGAGAGGTCCGTGGAGATCATCGACCGGATCGCTTCGAGCTGCGCGACCTCGCGGCTAGGGTCGTAGGCGCTGTAGTTGATCGGGCCCTGGGTGGCGGCCATGGTGGGTAGAGTGGTGGGTGGGAGTCGGGCTGCGTTTCGGGGTTCAGCATGGTGGCACTGGCATAGCAAGCACACGGGAGGGAGCGTCTCACAAGCTTGTTCTCTGCGTGCGGGCGAGGATGGATAGGTAAGCTTCGTTCGGAACACGAGCTTCTTGTTGGACGTGGGGTTGCTGTGCTGGATGGTTGGTGGGAGTGGAGCACATGCCTTATCGGAACTTCCCATGCGGCTCAAAGAAGCTCCACTAACTAATGATGTAACCAATTTCTGACCACGGAACCCGGGGGATCAGGGATGGTATGGGAAGCTCCATCACAAGCTTGGGACGGAACGCGAACCTCAGTTCGATCCGTTCCGCGCGCGCCATTCACCCCCCTCTGAGAAGAAAGAAACACCCTCGCTAGTTCTCCGGACATTGTGATGTCGCCCTCCACCGCAAAAGCAGAAATGGCTCCTCGCCATCGCAAATCGTCACAGTCGAAGCCTGGCACTGGCACCGGCACCACCACGGTCACGCTCGAAGTCGAAGAATCCTCCTCGTCCGAAGACGCCACCGCCCACCGAACCACACACAAACGTCAAAAAAAGCGGTCGTCGTGGCTGATCTTCACCATAGGTGGCCTGGCCGGGTTGCTGCTCGCTGGGGCGGCGGCAAAGAATCAGGACATAGGACTACAGTTGCTGAGGGACATGAGTCTCGACTCCATTATTGATGTTATTCCAGTCGGCATCTTGAAAGAGGCGAGCGATATCTCTCAGAGGGAGAAGGCTGCAGTTAATTATGAAGCCTTTAGCACTGGGCTTTCGCTAAAGGCGCAAGGACTGGAGGTTAAGTATCCAGTTGTTATGGTATGTGGGCTAGGTTGAACGGTCGACGATATATGCTGATGATGGGGGAGAACAGATTCCGGGGGTTATTTCTACAGGGTTCGTTTCGCGATCTTCCTCCTCCGTTGAAAACACATACGACAGTGCTAAGATTACCGCTACTATGCAGTCTCGAAAGTTGGGGCACTGAAGAGCAAAGCCGGCCGTACTTCAGAAAGCGGTTATGGGGTTCGTGGGTAATGCTTCGGGCGTTGATCACAGGTTTGGCCCCACAAACCTCTGCTGTGAAGCGGCACGCCGTTACTAATTTACTAAGATCGTACCAGCTGGAAGGTAGCTACTCTGGTCGAACGAGTGGTTCGTGCGGATGGGACGCTGACGGGATGTACCCATAGCAACATATCATGTTGGATAAAGTAACGGGACTCGATCCGCCGGGGATTAAACTGAGGGCTGCCATGGTGAGTTTGACTTTAAGGATTCGATGGAAGGGACGCAAGCTGATAGCTGTGTAGGGGTTCGATGCCACGGACTTCTTCGTTACTGGATACTGGATCTGGAGTAAAATCCTCGAGAACCTGGCGTCGATTGGATATGATCCTACCTCGGCATACACCGGTGAGTGGACTTCTCAGCTTGGTGAGACGAAGGAATCCCACTGATGTGTTGGAATACTCAAGCCTCCTACGATTGGCGGCTGTCGTACTCTAATCTGGAGGTTCGGGATAGATACTTCTCAAAGCTTAAAGTGCATATAGAAACGGCCAGACGATTGTCAGATAAGAAGGTTGCTATCGTTGCGCACAGCATGGGCTCACAAGGTAGGCAGATCTCGTCGCTCTGCGGAACGAACGAGTATGTGACTCTAATCCGCGGGATGCAGTGGTACATTACTTCTTCAAGTGGGTAGAGGCAGAAGGCTTTGGGAATGGAGGTCCGAATTGGGTGGAGGACAACGTGGGTAAGATTCACGAACCTCGTATCAATATTACGAAGCTATTCTAACGATGGGACCATAGACTCTTTCATCAATGTAGGTTATCGGGGAAGCTATGGTGAATTTTCCGGTGCTGACAGTGTCTCAGCTCAGCGGTAGCATGCTCGGTGCAATCAAAGGCGTTCCCGCGGTCCTCTCTGGCGAAATGCGAGACACCGTTCAACTAAACCCCGTAGCCGTCTACGGCCTCGAAAAATTCTTCGGCAAAGAAGACCGAGCGGAGATCATGCGGGCCATGCCGGGAATCTCCAGCATGTTACCGAAGGGCGGCGAGGCGATTTGGGGAAACCTCACTTGGGCGCCTGACGACGAGCCAGGAATGGGGGATACATTCGGATCAACGCTCAAGTACGCGCTGAAGAATGGAACTACCGTGGCGAACAACATGACGGTTTCCGATAGTCTAAAGTACTTGCTAGATACCAGCGATGACTGGTACAGAAACCAGATCTCGCAGAATTATAGTCACGGCGTGGCTTTGACCAGGAAGGAGATTGAGGTAGCTATTTCCCACATCTGCACGGCGGCGGTGTATATCTCGCTCCAACTAACAAACTCGTAGGAAAACGAACACAACCCAGCCAAATGGATCAACCCACTCGAGTCGCGCCTCCCGCTCGCGCCCAACCTAAAAATTTACTGTTTCTACGGCGTCGGCAAGCCCACCGAGCGGAGCTACTACATCCGTCCGGTCGACGACGCGACCTCGAAGCTGCGCGTCGTCATCGACAGCGCCATCACGGGCTTCGGCAGCGACCACGGCGTGATCCTGGGCGAGGGCGACGGCACAGTGCCGATCCTGAGCTCGGGGTACATGTGCACCAAGGGCTGGAAGATCTCGCGGTACAATCCCGCCGGCGTACAGATAAAGACCGTTGAGCTCGCCCACGAGCCTGGCAGGTTCGATATCAGAGGCGGTCCGACCACCGCCGATCATGTCGATATCCTCGGAAGGCCCGATTTGAACGAGCTTATACTACGAGTCGTCGCCGGGAAGGGCGAGGACATAGAGGAGGTCGTGCATAGCGATATTAGAGCGATCAGTGAGAGGGTGCCGATATATGAGGATTAGTACTATAGATGGCGTGGTGAGGGGGGGGGGGGGGGGGGTATGATATGTATGGCGCAGAAGATTGTTTCGAGCGGGATTCTTTTTCGTTTTCCTTTCCTTTCCTTTGATTATTAATACAGCTTGCCAGCTTTGTAACGTTGTATGTACCCACCTACTTGTGTAATTTCGTTCGTTCGTTAGACACTTGTCAGGATACTTGGACTATGGACTGTATAGGTATCTATGGATCTATTGTGGACTTTGACGATCTCCGTTGCGTGAAGGGCGTGTCAGTGGGTGGGGGGTGAGTGATGTTGTGTGATATCAACACTTCCGGAGCACCTAACTACCCAACAGCAGAGGGAACCGCTGTTGCCTCCTCCCATGCTTTCACATATAAGTGTGTGGTTATAGCAAATGACTCATGTAGGATTGTCCATTGTCCATGAATATAACGGATTAGCTCTACCAGTAAACGGATAAATTTCCACCACTAGAATCGTTCATGAGATATCATACACGAAGCACTGAGGATATGATTCATAATCTTCCATCGCTCCGAGCTTGACATTTCAAAAGCAATCGCAGACCATATCTAAATACCTTAAGTATCCACATAAAACTAAACCAGTAGGCAATAGACAATAGGGTATCTATGGTATCATCCCATCATCCCGTCATGTCCAGCCATGTCCAGTCATATAATGTCCAGTCATATCCCATCATATCCAGTCATCCAGTCATATCCGATCATATCCCGTATCTCATCTCATCATATCATACCCCCATCACCCTCCCCCCTCCGTCCCCCCTTCCTTCCTCCCTCCCCCTCCCCCTTCCCCAGCCCACCACAGTCCACCCGTTCACCCCGTCAACTAGTCTTAACAAAATGCGTCTTAACATGCCTCCTGAGATTATCCTGCCGTGACAGTTTAGTGCTACAATACGGACACTGAAAGCTCGGCGTCTTTTTCTGTCCCGCCTGCTCCGCCTTCCCCATCCCTCCCGTCCCTCCCGCCGCCGTCGACACTGGTACGGGAACTGTCTCTGGCGGCCGCGGTTGGATCGGGAGTTGGTTCTGGTTGTGGTTGTGGTTAAGGTTGGTGTACGAGGCTGATAGTGGGCTGGTTTGTGGTGGCGAGACGGCGCTGGAGGGAAGTGACCAGGAGAATGGGGCTGTGCTTACGTTAGTTGATACGGACGGGGGGGGGGGATGTGGGGGAGGATGGGGACGTACGAGTCAGGACTTGCTGCTGCGGCTGTATCGGTTGTGAAAAGTTATTTTCCGGTTTTATACGCTGGAAAATCTGCTGCTGCAGCTGCTGCTGGTGGTGGTGGAGCTGGCTGTACATATCCTGCTGCTGATACATATCTCCCTGCGGGAACAGATCCTGCTGCCGGAACATTTCCTGCTGCTGCTGGAACATATCCCCCTGCTGGAACATGTCTCCCTGCGCGTACATATCTCCTCCTCCCCCCTGCTGGTACAGATCCTCCTGCTGCGGCGGCGGGAACTGGTCCATCTGCTGTTGGAACAGCCCCTGCTGCTGCTGGTGCTGCTGGTGCTGGTGCTCCTGCTGCTGGCTGAACCCATCGCGCAGCGACGTGAGCCGCGGTTTCCGCGTCAGGCCGCGGCCAGATTTCCCGCCGCGCAGGGAATGGTGGGCGTGATCGGCGTCTGATGGCGCGCTTTTGCCGCCCGAGTCCGGCACGCGGGAGCCTTTCGCCTGGGCGTGAGCGTGAGCCGGCGTCAGCGCCTGCGCGCCCTTGAGGGTCTTCGAGATGTGGTCGGTTCTGTCGGCGGGCAGGATGGGGTTCGACAGCTTCCCGTCGGCGTGCATCCACTTGTGGTCGAGCCCCCAGTCGCCCTGCCATTGCGACATCTTCTGGCCGTGCTTGAATTCCCAGGCTACGTGCGTCATGCGGTGGTGCCAGTCCTCGAAGGTGGCGGCGCAGAAGCCGCAGCGCGATTTTTGCGGCCCTTTGGATTTCTGCGCCCACGCTTCGAAGGAGAGGCGCCACTTCGTGATGCCGTGCATGCGCTTCAGATGCTGCTTGAGGTGGTCTTTTCGCGCGAAGATGCGTTCCGAGGGCCCGCGGCCGTGGCAGTACGATGCGTTGCAGCGGTTGGGGATGTTGGATTTCTCAGCGTGCACTTCGTCGCAGTACACGCATTCCTGTGTGCCGGTTTTGTACTGTCCTTCGGGCGCACACACCCATTTCTCGAGGACCAGGTGGATGACTTCTTCGTGGCGGCGCCAATCGCCAAAGTTGGCGAAGTCGGCCATGCAGAATGTGCACTGGTACAAGCGCAGCCCCTGGTTCGATGATCTGGCGCCCTTCCGTTTGCGCAGCCGGAGCACCTTCTTTCGTCGGCTCTCGAGGGAGTGCTGCGACATGGCCGAGTTGACACTGGAGTTCGAGTTCGAGTTCGAGGTGAGAACCGAGTGCGAGCTGTTGGAGGACGGGATGTCGCTGCTGCCTTCATCCGAGGGATTCGAATTGCTGTTGGAAGCGAATGGCGGTCTAGGCAGCAAGAAATCACCAGCCCTCGCACGCCGCGTTGCTTCCTTCTTGATGGCGTTCACATCAGCACCTTCATCTTCCGAGCCGCTGGTGGTGTATCGTTCGATCGGTGATGCGGGCTTCTTTTCGTCCGTCCATACGGTGTGATCCTGGCACTGTGAGGGTTTAGCTATCCGCAAACGGTAGGATTGACACTTGGGCTACCCACCGTCGAAGCATGTTGGTACCAGTTGAAGTCGGGCTTCGACAAGTCCAACGCGATCCAGTTCTTGCAGCTTGCGCAGAATCCTTCGTAGCCGGCGCCAACAATGCCAACAATTGGCTTCACCTCAAGCGGAGCCCAATACCGGAATCCGGTCTGGAAGTCCACCCCGTGGATCTCCTCTCTATGCGGACGGTACGCGAGCGAATCCACCAAGCAGGCCGGCTGACATAGCTCGCACAGTATTCCACCGCTCTCCTTCGGGATCTCGTCCCCGGTGACCGGTAGATTCCGCTTGGATGCGTAGTTTGTGGTGAACCACTCCATGATGGTCTCGGGGGTGTGCTGGAGACGGTCCCGTGGCAGCCAGCTATTGCGACCACGCGGTACGTCCGGCAGATCTGGGACAGGACGATCGAAAAGATCAACGCCTCGACTCGGCGGCAGCGGTTCGAGGTCGTACCCATGTTCGGCCGAGTAGTGCTGCGTGAGTTCATTGAGGAAATCGGTATTGTACTGATCAACGTCCAGAAACGACGGATCTAGCGGATTGTAGAAGGTCTCTGCGCCCGTCGTCGCCGGCAAGCCCATTGTGTGATCGATGTCTATGGTAGTATTCGGTACCTCGAGACGTACATGTCAACCCCAATGCGGCTTAAGACACATCAAGCAAGGGAGCGCGGAATACCATTTGACCCATTGACCAGGGGTCCTGAGTTTCGTAGCCCACCACCCGGGGCTGCGTTGTGGACGGGTCGGTGGTGGCGAGAAATGTGCCGTTGCCGCCGCCGCCGCCTCCGCCGCCACTTCCGTAGAACGACTCGTGGAACTGTGACTGCGCATCAGTGTACGGAACCTTACGTCCCCGTGTCAGCGCAGTGTGTCTCGATCAAAAGAGACGTCCGTTACAAAAACGAAACAAGTATAGAAACCGACATTGACACCGGAATTCGGTATGTAGTAGCCGCCCTCCGGAGGAGAGTACGGTGCTTGGAGGAGATCCGCCGGCTGCGCGTAAGCGCCTGTCACGGGGGGCTGGTATCCATCCCACTGAGATTGTTCGAGCGCCTGTTGCTGTTGCAGCTGCTGCAGTTGTAGCTGCTCCTGCTGCTGCTGCTGTAGCAATTCCAGTGGTTGCTGGTGCTGCAGGTTCTGGTTCTGTTGCTGTAGTTGCTGTCGCCGCTGCATCCGCGAGCGCAAGCTTTGTTGCTGATCGCCCTGGTACAATTCCCCTGCCGTTCCCACGTGCGCATAGATATCTTGGGGGTTCTGGTGGTGTGTATTCGAGTTCAGCTGGGCATACTCCATCGTTCGGCGGGCACTGCGGGCACTGCGGGCGGACAGGCGAAGACCGGGGCCAGGCGTTATGGATTGGGTCGGTTCAAGCGAGCGATGGTGACGACGGCGGGCGACGATGTGGGGTTCGCGAGTGCTTCCTGGGGGCCGGGGGCGGGAAGACTCAGTTACTTATAAAGCTCCGACAAAGAATAAGGTGGCGGCAAGCAGTCGGACTCGGTAGTAGACCGAAGAAGTAGTGGGGGAGGAACAGTGGGGAGGGGCTGTGGGATAAGGAAGTGGGATGTGGTGGTGGCAGTGGAGGAGTTGGAGGAGAAGTTGGTGGTGGTGGTGGAGATGCAGCAAACGCAGGCAAGCAATCATATCTCACCTGCAGCATGAACCCAGCTCCGGAATGGGTGGTATCGGTATGTATATGCAACGGAGTGGCCAGGGCACTCTATGGAGATGTTGGCCCACGAGGGGAGGACGGCAACGGTACTCGGGGCAGAGGGATGAAGATTTACAGAGTAACTACAGCCAATACCACAACGAGGACCGGCCATCAAAATGAAGTGCAAGCTTTTCTGAGGACACAGAGTATTGCGTGTTGGCCATGATCGACAGGCCGGTCAGCCCTGAATACAGCGCGCGTATATGCATAGTAAAAATACCTACCGACTCGATTTATGATTTGGCTTCACTACTAAAAGTTCACTTCGCTTCAGCAAGCTCTCTTCTTGGTGCTGGTTTTGGCGCCTCTCCCTTTCCAGAGTGCACAAGCCCAAAACAATAAGGTGATGTGTCTTGTCTCGTGTGTGGGTGTGTGTGTGAGGAATGGTGTGTGGAATGGTGTGTGGGTGTCTGCGGAGAGAAGCGAGACGAAGGGTTGGTGGGTGGTGATGATGATGATGATGGTGGTGGTGGTGATGGTGTGCGGGTGCCAGGGAAGTGGGCTGCGAAGGAGGGGCTCCCTGCCCTGGCGAACCAGACCGCCCACTGAAGTACCGGTAGGGCCAGCACCATTTGCCGCGATCAATCGAGATATCGATCCTCCATGTATGTAGATAGGAGATTTTTCGAGGGACAAGACTTGAAGAGACCAAGAGGAACGGCTAAAGAGGGGCCTTGAGGCTTGAGTGTCTACACGGACACACGCCACAGTCTGGACTCGGTTCCAGCCACAGATCTCAGCCGCAGACTGGACACTGTTTCAGCCACAGTGCTGGCCCCGACCATGGCCCGCTCCCCGCCCTTGGAGCTTCCGTGCTCACTGCTCACAGCCCCCCTCCAATGCATCTCGAATTCCAGAAGGCAGCAGCAGCAGCCCATCAGACGTCTTATATCCCGCCGAGTGCAGTTACATACCCCGAATGCCTGCTGTATGCGCCCACGCCCCGTGAGAACTTTCCCGTGCACGGCCAATCCCAATCCTGAAGACACTCGTATGTACGTACGGTACCTCCAAGTATCTACCCTACTAGTAGCAGTAGGGCACCTCAGCTATCCTTCAGGCCCACTGGGACTCCAAGCCTCAAACGCTCCGTCATGGTACTGGCGATCGCTAGCTCCAACCTCTTCGAATCACGCTGCAATATGCGATTACTCTGTCCTGGTAGGCGGAAATGGACATAAAACGGAAAAGGCCGACGGCCTCCGCCTAGAGCAAGGAATCTTATTCGACAGCCGTCCGACATGAAGCACCTCAGCCTCATCACCGCCACCCAACTGATCGTCGGAATCGATGTATGCCTACTGTCACCACTGCCCGTGCACCCCCAGTGAACTAGCTGTTACCTAAGCTACATCCATCTTCCCTCCTGGACCCTCTCCGAACGAACGTCGATCGCGTCAAGAGCTCTTCAGAGCTGTATCGGAATCGCTTCATCGCCTGCTGAACCACTGGACCGACCGCATCCAGCTACATCATCCCGCACAGCTCGTCCGCCCGCCAACACACGGCAGAACACGCCCCTCGCGATCCGAGCGTGAAGCTACCCGACGGAGATAGGCAGACAGACGGACAGACAGAGCGGACATGGCCTCTGGTGGGAGGACGACATCTGGTGCTGGCCGCGGAGCAGGAGCTGATAGCCCTATTCGTCGGGAAGCAGGACGCGAGGATGCGGTAATTACCAAGACCCCCGATCATTACATTTTTTGCAGGGGGAAGGCGTATGAACTCAGGCTCATGGAATCATTGTGTTGCGCGTCCATCTAGCTATCGAACCTCCAGAGATTGAGTTCGCGTCCGCAATATACCGAGCAGACCGGTTTCCGGTTCCCGCCCACGCCGCCCCGCGCCCGTCGACGGCGCCAGACGTCAGCGTCGATCAGCAGCTTCGAGGCCTACGTTCCGGCCAGAATGGAGAATACCCCGCGCTCGTCGGTCGATATGACGAATCGGCTTCGCGACCTGCGGTTGGATACGCTGGCGATGCTGGAGGGGGGTAGTGGTGCCATCCCACAGGTCCGATTTCACGAGTGCAATGTGCTCTTCGTGGTCAATGGCGGCACGCCGCAGCATCGCGGATTCAAGAACTTTGCGCATCAGTTATTACTGCGGCGAAAGCTGGCGCATCCTACCGCGCCGGCGACCACGAAGATGATATTCTGGAACGAGGCGTTTAACCAGTACGTGCTCCAAGAAGTCAGCGCCGTCGACGGCCAGATCAAGTCCGAGGTCGCAGACGTGGGATCGGTGTGGGATCTTACCAGGTTGGAGCCAGTGCAGCGACAGGCGGATCTCATCATCGTCTTTACAAATCGAAGCGGCGCCGCGTTATCGCAACGGTTTCTCCTGGGCATCGAACGAGCGGGGCTACAACTCACCCCGCACATCGTGGTGATGGCGAATGAGAATCCGCATAAACCGACTCCGAGGGAGGCGTTCGCCTCTGCGCTGCAATACACGAACCTTCCGAATGTCGCCGTGCTGTATCAGGTGACGCCGGCGTTCGACTCGTTGGGGTGGTGTCACATCCTCCATATCGACGGGAACCTCCAGTATCTTCGACGGCGCGGGAAATTCGATGGCCGCAACCTGAACCGGATGATAGAATGGATGGACCTGCCCGACCTCGAGCTAGGCGTCTCGTTGGAACGTCTGGTTCTGAACGGGATTCCGGGCTCGGTGATGAGTGCTGTTGATTCCCCGCTCGAGCAATCTCCGCCAATACAGGAAGACCCCGAAGAAGTAGTAGCCGCTCCCAGTGAACGTGTGGCGACGAGGATCCGGCGCATCTCCGAGCTCTTCGCGGCGCCCACGCCTGGGAGCGAACCGGTAATCTCGAGACTCCAGCAAGAGTTGCGGACAGAGCACCGGAGGAACAGCAGGATGGGCATGTCCATGGGTTCGATGTCGATGAGGGGATCGGCAAACGGCTCGATAGGCTCCTGGATAACTGGGCTGCCTTCCAACCGACCACTCAGCATCCTCGAGGAACCCTCCCTCCAACCAGCACTATCCAACTTTGGTGGCTCCTTCCGCGGCGAATGCCAACTCTGCTGCGAAGAAGACTCGCAGCTCGTCTTCCTCCTCAAGCAATCGGGAAAATCGATACCCCAGCAATTCCACGTGCAATGGCCGCTCGCCGTCGGTTCCGACCCCGAAAACGACATCATCTCGGCCTTTATGTGCTGCGACAACTGCAGCTTCTACGTGGTCGAGCAAGGCCGCACGCCCCTCCGCGAGCCCGCAACCGGCGCCTTCTCGCTAATCCCCTACACCACCAACGCCGACCGCTGGAAAGAAGACCTATACAAAGGCTTCCACCACTACGGGCGTCTCTCACGGGATCTCCTGCCCCTAATCTTCCTCTCCCTCGTCGACGAGACCCTCCGCGCCAAGTCCTGGGCGCGCCTCGACGGCAGCGAAGAGAACGAGCAGCGGCGCGACGCGCTGCTCTGGACTAAACGGGAGATCGTCGCGAACGTGCACATGTCGGGTGACGGACACGACGGGTACATCGGCGAGTGGATCTACGCGTGCGTTACCGCGCCGGCGCGCGGCTTCAACAGCATCGTGTACCGCTACCCGCTCCGCGGCTTCCTGTTCATGCTGCGCTTCGCCGACGAGATCCATCCGCACGCCGACGCGGAGCCACTCGGTAAGGTCCTCTGGGCCCGCATCCTCATCGAGGTCACACGGCACTTCCGCTCGCTCCTGGAGGTGTCGCCGGAGGCGTTCGAGACCGTCACTGGCATGGCCGTGGCTATCAACGAGGCGCTCCTTGGCGACGCCCTGAAGGAGGGCGACTGGCTACAGCATGCGGCGGCAGAGGGTGCGTTCCCCGAACAGGACTTGAATACGCTGAAGGCAGCGAAGGACGAGATGCGCTGGGTCACGGATAATTGTAGGTATGCCATGGTCATGTGGCTCAGCTATATGCCTAGCATCCAGGGCTTTGGTGAGAGCACGGACGCTGTCGTTACTGCGCTCATGGAGATCGCTGGCGCGGAGTTTGTCATCGGCGCGCCTGAGGAGGTCGGGAGGGAGTGGTGCGAGGAGTTGGTGCGGGAGACGTGAGCGGGGGAAGAAGGAGGGGGAGGGGAAGGGGGAAGAAGGAGGGGGAGGGGAAGGGGGAGGAGCGGGGATAAAGCTTCTTTGCATATTTCGTATGGGGTACGGTGTTTTTTTTTATACTTTTGGCTGGTGGGTGTGGAACTTTGGTACTGCAAGAGGTTTTATACATATCCATAATAGTTTCTTACGTTTGTGCTTGTCCGCTTCCGTGCCCGTGTTCTTGTGGTGGTGGCCGTGTCGTTGTTCGTGTTCTTATGGTGGTGGTTTGGGGGGATGTCTAGAGAGGTCAGAAGGTAGAGTTGGAGGGAGGGGGAATCGACGGCTGCTGGAGATTCGAGACCGATAACAATGAAGTAGTCCGTGACAATCGTGAATGATTATTTGTGGTTTTGTGATGATTGCGATTCTCGTTGAAAAGCCACCGTCGTCACTCGTCCAAGGTGCATTTGTCATATATGCGTCTCGAGAATCCTGTTTATTCTCATACCTGCTTCTGCTTCTGTCGGGTATGTCTAGATGGTCATCCCCTGTGTTTTGCGAATGAATCAAGCAACTGAAACATCACTCATATTTTCAACAATTATGCAACAAGAAAAGCGAGTGATAGAACGGAACGGTCGTGTAAAACTTTTGGAAGGAAGGAAGGAAGAAATCAAGTGGTAAGTGAGAGTGGGAGCGGAATAGCTGGTGGCTACAAACCAATGACGTAGGATGTAGATATTCCTGTGGGGCGGTTGATGGAGTGGTACCAGGTGAGATCACAATGTGTCACTCGATATTTCGCAGGTTTCGATTTCGGTCGATGGGGGACTGTAGAGTATAGTAGGCGAAGCCCGTCTTCATCGGTGGGAGCAAGAACGCCAGAGGCCGCAGAAGGCACGCAAACCCCATAAACAAGAGTCGGAAAACCTTCAATCAGAGGCGAGCCTCCGAGGGTAGGTGGGAATAGAGGGGAGAGAGGAGAGGTTGGAACTTGGAAGGAGCGGGCATGCAGGCCCATATCAGTCTTTACCGTGTATCTATCTACATTGCTGGGACAGGCCACGGCCTACGACGGGGGTAGGGGAAGGACAAAGCCACATCGGGCCGCTCGATGGAAGTTGGGCTGGACAGTGAAGTGGAAACGGGGGAAGGGTGATTGCAATGATCTGGATAGGCCGTATGCAATTACTGATTAAACAAAAAATAGAGGGTTGTGTTCTCGAGCGTGATATTTAGGCGTAATCCCGTAAGTTTCCAAATTTCAAGATGTCGAAGCGTAAGGTGTCGTTTCCACGGTCCCCGCTCGCGGTGGGAAACGGATCAACACAGAGTTACCGAACGGAGCAGGTATCTACATCTAGGTATCTACGGCACATCTACGGTAGATATAGTGCACCCGCCGATCACCGCACGTTGCACGATCCGCTCGCTCGGAACCACTGTTTCGGCTTTCGACTCTCGACTCTCGAATGCACCGCGGGTAAAACAATGAAACAACGTCGGGGTCGACAGAGCCCCTAGCGTGCGCGTGCTCGGAGATCGACTCGGGGATCGACTCGGGGGGTGGGAGGGAGGGGGGATTCGGAGTTTACGCTTTGCGTGGGAGGGGGGATCACAGTGTGTCACCCGTGTTCGTCCAAGAATTGCTCACGATTCACCTCACTACCCCGGAATCCCAGATTGACTGACTGCCGGACGGGAAACGAAAGACGCGTGTACCAGTACATACCACTTATACACACCTGCCCACTCATAGAGTACACACGATTCCAATCCCTACGTATCCGCTTATTCGAACTCCAATCAATGGGATCAATGGGATTCAATCAACAGGATTCCATCAATGGGATTCATACTCTCCATAGGGCTGCATCCGCAGATTCAGATTTTGCCGATTCGCAGGTCACGTCCGCCCGTCTGTACTCAGTAAGTTCATATCTACCCGCTTAATTATCCCCGAACCGGTGGCCCGAAGCGCCCTCCTCAGCTCCTCGCCCCTCTCGCCAGACCTGTGGCGTGGCGTGGAGTTCAGCTGAAATCCGAGTCGGAATTGGTATGAGACATCGCCACGCAGAGTCGCAGACTACAACACGGGGGATGCATATGCAGGTACCGTAGGTGCTTACATACAAAAGTAGGGGAAAGGGGAGGAAAGGGAAGCGTTGGAGGGAAGCGAGCGAGGGGGAAGGGGGGAGAGGGAAGCGAAGAGCCTGCTGCCTGCTCTGCCTGGGTCGGAGACGTGAGAGGTGAGAGGTGGACTGGACTTGACGGCGAGGCGAGGCGAGAAGGGGTTGTCTCTCTCTCTCTGTGTGTGTGCTGCGTGCGCGGAAGGGCTGAACTGAACTGAACAGGTAATGAAACCTGCGATTGGAGGACGCAGGATTGCTTCCTTCACGATGCCCTGGCAGCCCTGCCCTGCCGTAAATAACTGGAGTAACACCGAACACAGAACACAGAAGAGAAGAGTGCTCCTGCGCACGAGCACGAGCACGAGCACGAGTGAGCGTTCCTTCATCTTCAGCTCTCCATTCATATCCGTCGCCCCCAGGCGCCAATGGTAATGTTAACCGCAGCTCGGATCCACGATATCCATGCATTCATACATCCATTCATTCGCAGTAGTTACCAAGTATCTGTGTAAGCATCGCCATCACGTTTTGACTCCGGGATGCTGATGCTGATGCTGATGCTGATTCTGATGCAGATTCTGATTGATTCGCTATGGCCCCCCACACATGGTTTGCGCAGTCGGTAAGAATTAAACTCCAACCACGCACCCTCCACCCTTCGCCTGGGATTGGGATGTAGAGCTTGGCTACAAACTCTAGACCATCGGGGGGGACGGGGACGGGGACGGGGACGGGGAGCACACGACTTTGTAACTAATTCTATGATCTAGGGGCGACTCGAAGCTCCTTTGAAACCACGTAGAAGCACCTCTGGTAGTTCTTCTCTGCGCGAAGACTCACGCAACACGTGCGAAGAAAAAAATGCCGTCTTCTCTGTATCCACATACCTACCACCCAGGCCCATATCTAGCAGAAGAAGATGAAGAACCCCCGGCCCGAAATGAAGCCAACCAAAAGCCTCGTCAGCTGCGAGTCGCGAGTCGCCCCCTTTCTTTCCATTTTCTGCGCAGTCGGTGGGTGTCCACTGTCCAGGCCCGACCGCGGTTTGGTTTGGTTTGGTTTGGTTTGGTTTGGTTTGGTTTTAGCGAAGCTTCTGGCTTGCGTGCACTCCTACTCCAGAGTAGCGGGAGCGAGGGAGGGAGGGAGGCAGGAGGCAGGAGGCAGGAACGCGAGCTCGAGCTCGAGCCCGCTAGCCACAGAGAGTAGAGCATGGCTGAAAGGTTTCTGCCCGTGAGTGAGTGAGTGAGTGGGTGAGTGGGTGAGTGGGTGAGTGAGTGAGTGAGTGAGTGAGTGAGTGAGTGAGTGAGTGAGTGAGTGAGTGAGTGAGTGAGTGAGTGAGTGAGTGCTCGAGCGAGAGCAAGAGCTCGAGGTTTCTGCTTCATGTATATTTACTTGAGACTCGAGAGTCTCGCCGGGTGTGTGGTAGTTACCGGTACGAGCTCACCGAATGTCGGAGATGCGGAGTCGGTGGGGAGTCGGTGGGGATACCGGTAGCTGGATTATGTAGGGACATAGGGACATACAACGGTAACGGCTTTCCAGGTACTGTAGGTACTCTATGTAGAGTACAGACACGACGCGCCTGCCATTCCACCGCCGGTGAAGGCATCTCTGCAGTGTACCACTATACAAACATACTAGTAATCACGACGGATACGATCCCGGGAGTTTGGTGACAGGCACCACAGTCCATTTATTCGGCTGGTGTCTCCGTTTCACACCGGCACACACGCACACACGCATACACCCTGCGTAGAAGAGAGGGGGAGAGAGACCGTGATGACTCGACTCTCTTCTGCAGGCCCCATGCAATGCGGTGGCAGGGGGGAGGACGAGAAAGTCGTGGAAAAGGGGATCCCGGTAACCAATGAGCGCGCCGAGCACGAGACACCGGCGGTTCGATGCGCCTAGCGACGAGAATCGCATTTCCTGGGCAGGTGGGTATCTGTTGGAGTTGGATGCGCAGCGTAGAGCAACGTCGGTGTAGTAAACATAGCGACAGACTGTAGATACCTTCCTATCGATGCTCCCCAAATAGCCATCAATCCAGTCATCCATCGGCCCATCCACCCATCAAGGCGCCGTCTGATCTTCTTCCTCAGCCTTTGTTCGTCTTTCTGTATATTCGTTATGGGCATCGATGGTCACAACGACTCTGCGCTCAGCCATCCAGATCGGTGGACACAAACCGACCGTTACTCTTTGCAGGCCAAGTCCATATTCTCGGTACATATGGTACGGACCTAGGAATGCAACTATTCTCGCCCAGTGCTATGATCCTTGCGATTCCTTGCCGCATTAATGCTTGCTGGCCAGCACTTTCGCTCGTCTCTGCAAATTTCCCCTGGCTAGACGGAAAGTGGCGGTGAAGGTGGTGGTAGTACTACCAGAAGTGGAGGTGGAGGTGACGGTGGAGGTGGACGAGTGCCCCTCCGCTGAATCCTTGCCGCGTCACTTTGTTGTTCCTGGCAGATTGCACGCAAGCAACTCAGCCCAGCCCCAGCCCGGTACCACCTCCTCCACACACCACTCTCACTCAGGCACACACCCCATCCGTATAAGACTCGGTACCCATCTCACTCCCCTCCCTTCTTTCACTTCTTCATCGCATCCTCGTCGTTCTCTACACCAAAACCTTCGCCGTCATTCATTCTTTTGCTGGTTAAATACCGCACCACATTCTTTACAGTCGCTTCAAAAAAAACAAACAAACAAACAAAACACTTTCGAAAACCCCTCCACCTTCAAATAATCCTCACAATGAAGGCCTCCATCTTCGCCGGCGCTGTCGCCTACTTCGCTGCCCTCGCTGCTGCCTACACCACTCCGGTTGGCGAGCCCCAGGGAAACCCCTTCCACACTCCCGCCCGTGGTGAGAGCGTTCCCGTTGGAAAGTCGTACACCGTTACTTGGACTGTATGTATCTCAATCGCTCGCGCACTTGGTCGCAAACGAAACTGACAATTCAGCCCACCTCCGATGGAACCGTGTCGCTGGTCCTCCTCCGTGGCCCGTCGACCAACGTGGTCCCCATGTACGCCATCGCCGAGGCCATCCCCAACACCGGATCTTACACCTGGACCCCGGCTGCCACGCTCGAGGACGACGTCTCCCACTACGGAATCCAGCTGATCCAGGACGCGACCGGTTACTACCAGTACACCGACCAGTTCGGTGTCTCCAACAAGGCGGTCGCTTCGTCGTCCACCCCCGAGGCCGCCCCGGCTTCCACCGCCGCCCCTGAGGAGACGGAGGTCATCACCCCGGAGTACACCACGTCGGCGCCCGCTGCCGCCGAGCCCACGTACGAGGCTGAGCCCACTGAGGCCGAGGTTGAGGAGGAGAGCATCTCGTACTCTACCCACTATGCCACCCTGACTTCTTGCGACTGCACTGAGACCCCCACTAGCTACGCTGTAGTCCCCACTGGAACCGGATCCCAGGAGGCCGTTAACTCCACCGGATACAACGTCCCGTCGTCCACCACCCCTCCCACCGCCGAGTACACCGGAGCCGGATCGCAGCTTAAGGTCGGCGGTGCCCTCGTCGCTGTCGTTGCTGCCATGGGTATGTGTCTTCTCATCTGAACCCCCATCAATCTCTCCCTGCATCGTCTAACAAATACAACAGCCTTCACCCTCTTCTAAATCACCGGATTTACATAATGCAATAATGTGGGGATCTGTTTGGAGGAGCATTGGTGTAATTAGTCAATTGTGAGGAGATGAGGAATGAGAGGATTCGAATTCTGTCAACAAATGTCACGTGGAGAGCATTACAGCTCCACCATTTGTTTGGCTTCCAAATTCTGTTGTTTTTTCTCTTCCGTTTTCTTTTCTCTTCTATTGTGGTTCGCGTGAAGGGAGAGGAGAGATTTGTGCGAGAGCATGCATGTGTGATTTTTAGTTTGCTGTTCTGTTCTGTTCATTCATTTCTGCTGTACATATCATTATACCCCCGGATTATCTTTTTTTCTTTTGATTTTTTCCTCGATTCAAAAACGTGCATGGGATTATAATTACAGGTTGGTTTTTGTTCTGACACGTTTGTATTGTATTGTCTGTCCTGTCTGTCTGCATTATTATTGTTTGTACTCGTATTTTGGTCCGCTCTTTTTTTCTTTACCTCGTTTTCTCTGGAGTTGCGATAGATAGAAATCGGATTTGTTCTTTCATTCTTTCATTCTTTCATTCTTTCATTCTCCATTGTGTTCCCCTGAATGAGGCTGTGGGAGTGAGTGGGTGAGAAAGTTCCCGGCCAGTTCCCGTAATTTGCACTCTTACTTTTAACTGTGTGGTCTGTGGTCTGGTTGGTGGTCGAGCACGAAAGAAATTAAAGGGGGAGTGGACACTCAGATAGGAAGTTGGGACAACTCCCTATCCGAGTGTGCCAAGCGCCCGGCGCGTGCGGGTTGTGCCTGGGAGAAGAGGGGGGACTTGGAAGGGAGGGTGGGCTGATGCCTACTTGGGTAGTGGGGTTGCTTAATGGGTTAGTGGGGTTAGTCGGTTAGGTAGTGGCTTGGGTGGTTTGGGCGGGTGGTTTGCGAGCGAGCGGGATGGGGTGGCTCGGCGGGATGGCTTGTCCCGCGTTCAAGACTTTAGGTGAGGGAATTGAAAGGGGATGGGGAGGCTGAGAGGGGGAAAGGGGAGGGGGAGAGAGGGGGGGTTAAGCCGTGGGCATGGGCGGTCACTCGTGGTTGTAGTCGACATTCACTACTCTGGAGTCTACGAGATGTTGCCTCAATTTGGGGGTGGGGTGGGATGAGCATTGGGGTGCTGCAGGGTGCCCACTGCCCGCCGCCCGGTGCCCCCGGTGAATGGGCATTGGGATACCGGTACATATGATACGGTACCTGGCATAACTATTCTAGGATGAGGCTCCAAAAAGCTTGAATGGCGTGCGCACTGCGGTTGGAAGAGGTGGCCGCGAAGGAGTGGTGGAGTGGTGGAACGCGTCTGGAATAGCCGAGCCGAGCTGCTGCCCGCTGGACTCTGGAGGTCGGCGGTCGGTGGTCGGTAATTGGCGGTTGGCGGTCGGTGGATCCATCTGGTGGATCGATAATCGGTGGTCGGTGGTTGGCGGATCTGGTGGGTCTGGTGGATCGATGGAGGGATGCGAGTTGATTGCTGCGCACGTTGTAACCCTGTCTTGTTCTGTTTGGTCCTGTCCGGTCTTGTCGCTCTTGACTTGATCGACTGCTTATGTGAGGTCTCCTACATCCTATCATACCTCCTACATGATACAACGATAGTCGTAGGCATTCACATCACATGCGATCAATGGCATCACCTCATGGACTCGGTGGACGTACGGAATGTGCTCGGTACGGTGTTCTGTGGTCGTAGTTCGTCTCCGTTCTGTCTACTAACTATCGGTTGCCGGGCCCGGGTACTTCTCCGTCCAGTCTCGTCTCCGACCGCACCACCCGTTTCAACGCTCAGCGATCGCTACGGAGACGAGAGACGAGAGATGGGAGACTGGCGGTCGATGGCGACTACGGTACCGGTGCCGGTATCCGCCGTCAGAAAGTACTCGCATACTCAAACAACCGCCGACGCCGACGCCGACGTCCACCGGTCCAAGCTCTCTGCCGCTGGACATCGCCTCCTCCACCGGCTAAAACCCAGGTATGTAACCAAGTGCTCAGGAAGTTACTCCGCAAACGATGATTTCCTAATCTCCATTCCCCATTCTACCGCTCCCCAGTGCCGTTTGGGGAGAAATCGGCGGGGTATGTACATGCATACCTAGCGTGTGACTCTTCTTCTTCTTCTCCTTCTCCTTCTCTCGCTATGCAGGGCAGATAGAGTGTGTGCATCAACGGCGGTGGGCGGCCTGAATGTTTTCCTGTTCTGGTAGGTGCGTACGATAAGTGGATTGGCGTTTACTCATACACTAGGTACTCCACTGTCACTTATGGCAGTTGGTTAATCTACTCCTACACCTCATGGATCCGGAGGTAGGCGAGTATCTAAGGGTGGTAGATGCGCAAAGATTTGCTGGCCCTACACGGCCGGTGGTGGTGGTGCAGTGGTGATGGTGGTGGTGGTGGTGGTGGTGGCGGTGGCGGTCGTTACGATTGATACCTGGTACCGATTAGTCTGGTACCTGCTTGTGGCGTGGGCATTGTGGCGTTTCGTCGCCCGTTCGCGCAGATGTTTTCAGATTCCGGAGGCGTCAGTCGACAGTGATCGGGTGCTGGGGTAAGGTACTCTACGGGTAAGCGGGCTGAGTAAGGTGGAGAGGTACCTGCATAGCGTGCCGATTCCCGAGGGTTGCTGGGGGCCAGGGCACGTGTTTGTACCGTATGACAGTCTGCTCTGCCGGCCGGTTGGATGTGACGGTTATCAGGTGTGGTGGGTGTGCGCAGTGCATTGGCCGGAACATAGTGCCTGGGAACCGGAATGAAATTTTTAGGTATTCTTCGACGACGTGCGTTTGGGGTGGTACATACGGCTTCTAGATTTCTAGCTGCTGGATCACGGATGTCACTGGTGGGGGAGATTTATTCAGCCATGATCAAGCGCCGGGGACGTCTGTAGCAGTTCTTGGGAACGACCGAGACCAATGTTGTGCTTGTGCCGGGAAAGGGTGGATTCGCAAGTGCTGAGATAGTACATGTTAGGTACTTCGACGCCTGTAGCCGTGCGGGATGGGATGTTTGCTGTGCCGTCTACTTTATTACACCGGCATCGTTCTGCGGGCCTACGGCTCGGAATGTGAAACTGCTCTGCCGCCTATGGCACGGAGGAAACGCATGGCACGACAGCGAAGGGAAGCAGACCGGTTAGTCGTAACGCTCGCCGGTTTCAATGGGTCTCGAGCCCGGGGCGATATCCGACTCGCATCATGATTCACGAATCCGGCATATTATATACCACCAACAAGGTCGCAAACGGCAGAGCCGAACCCTTACGAGACACGTCGAGATACCCCTCCAGCACGCCTAGCCGGGTTGCCGCCTTCCTACTCGTCAGGGTTATGCCAGCACAGGCCGGACACGGCGCCTTGCCCCCCTCGGCCCCTTCGGTGGTGCTGGTGATGTATCCGGCGTGGCAACCATAGCACGGGAGTACTGCCCCTCGTGAAGCTCTGGCTGCGGTTGCGGAGCAGAGTGACACCACCGGCTTCTTGCCGGCACCGAGGGCGAAATCGATGCGTGATAGTACGTGCCCGCACGGAGTGTAGGTCGTGCTTTGCCACTGGCACATTGTGATGGGATGTGATGTGATGTGATGTGCTCGCTGTGAGATCGGGAAGGTCGTGGAAGATGTGATGTGTAAGCTGGAGATGTGGCCGTCGGCGATGTTTATGCGGAGGGCCCGAGCGTGAACGTTGAAGTACCTAGGATTAGCGAGGCTGTTGATGAACAACTGAGGAGACGAGCCCTTACGGAAGGGGTGGGTTTATATGACGCGGCGGCGGCGTGCGGCTTCGGCAATCCATGTTGACATACCTACCGTCGGTACTCCATCAGTACTTCTATGTGTTGCTACCTAAAGACCACCGATCGAAGCGTTAACTTGTCGAGATGGCTCCCTCCCGCTGCAGAGTGAGATATATGGTGTCACCATGGCTCACTCGCTTCGAGATCGCTTTCACACCCGAACAACATATTGAATTGGAGTCCTTTCGCCATAGTCTCGGTAGGCTGCATGCGAAATAAACTGAAGATCTCTATCTCTTCTGCCACCGAGCCTTCGTTTGGCGAAATTCTGCAATTGCTGAAAAGAAAATCGTTTTCTTGATGTCTTGGCATTGGACTGCAGTCCGTCCTGCCCTCGATTTTTTCTGGACTAGTTCGTCCGAACACCGCTCCCGGACGGACTGCCAAGATACAGTCCAGTCCAGTCCGTCCCGGGACGGGACGGACTGGAATGTCGAACACTGCCAGTCAAAATTGCTAGTTGTCTTTGTACTTACCCTACCCATAAAACCTGCAAACACTGCAACTCTCGACCCAACTTTTAAACTTCATCTGAACCGCTACTGGCCGCCACCAACTACACCCGCCTCCCCCGCCGCTTCCACCTCCTCCTCCCCCTCCGCCTCTGCCTCCTCCTCCCCCTCCGCCTCCGCCTCCGCCTCCGCCTCCGCCTCCTCCTCCGCCTCCGCCTCCGCCTCCTCCTCCCCCTCCGCCCCCGCCTCCTCCTCCCCCTCCGCCTCCCGCCTCCCCTCCCGCCTCTCCTCTGCCGCCGCCGCATCCTCCTCCGCCGGCGATTACCTCATCATCACCCAACAATCATGGCGAGACGAGCTAGAAAACACAGGGCCGATAGCGGAGTTCGCGCCGCTGCAACGAACGAGTCCACACTACCAGTACCCCGGTCCAGATCCCCAACTCCAACTACCAACGACGACTCACCCGACTCTAACCCCGAAACCGACGTACAACAGCAGGAGGAAGATGTTTCCACTGGAGCGAATGCGGATGACATATCAATTCCCGAAGTCTCCAAATCAAAGAGGAAACAGCGGTCGAGTCACATTTGGCTTCCAGAGAACGGCTCGGAATGTGCAGTCGATGGGGTAACAAGATGGAAATGTCATCGATGTATGGTTGCATCTGAACTCTAGCAAAGGCGATATCACTGCTAACTACTATGCTTAGGTCCCTATCCTTCGACGGCTGTTACCTTTTCTCTGAGCACTACGAAAAACGCTATCAATCATCTCAAACTTGTACACCATGTCGGCCCCGACGGACCAATCGTAGATAGCCCCAGTGGTAACCAGCAAACGATTGAAGCCGCATTCGGAAGGGCACCTCCAAAAATCGTCTTCAATACCGATGTCTTTCAGGATATGCTTCTACAGTGGATGGTCGACACCAACATTAGCCTTCGGATGTACGAAGATCCGTCATTTCGAACGCTTTTTGCTTACCTTGCCGCTTGCCAACCTGATTACTCTGGTATTGATCGTGCCCTACCTCGGAATGGCAATGCGATCAAGGAGGAAATTCTGATATGGTATCAAGCCATGAAGTTGGAAGTCAAGAAGAAACTCCGAGCCACGAGTAGCAAGATTCACTTTTCCTTTGACGTGTGGAGTGGACCGAATCAACAGGCCTATCAAGCGATTGTTGGCCATTGCTTGGATACGGATGGAAAAGTTCACGCTGTATTGCTCTCGTTGTATCGGTTCCGAGGCACTCATAGCGGAACCAATTTGGCCGACCACCTTTGGAATACAATTCGAGATTACGAGATCGAACCGTTCGTCGGAATGTTTAACGTCGACAATTCGCTGATCAATGATACAGCCCTTGTGGAAGTTGCACGGCGGCTACGTGCGGCCGGGCACCCCTCCTTTGATCCTGTTGCTTCACGATTGCGGTGCTTCGGTCATGTTTTGAACCTTACAGTCAAGACAATTCTCTGGGGAACGGATGTCGAAACGTTCGAGACCGATATCAACGCGGTTCAACCGGAGTTGGCAAAGCTGCCTAAGTGGCGCCAAAAGGGTGCTTTGGGAAAGCTCCATAACATTTTGGCCTACATTCTGAACACGCCAGAACGTCGTGATGACTTTGAATGCGTTGTTAACCGGTTCTATCCTGATGAAACTGTCTACACAGTATTTATCGGCAATGTCACGAGTTGGTCGAGTGACTACGAGAGCATTCAGAGAGCCCTTCGTCTACGTGACGCAGTTGATGCTTTTGTGGATGATGCCATCCTGAAAGATTCCACCGGTGATAGCGATGGCCCGGACAGACTGTTTCCAGAGGACTGGGACTTTTTACGCTGCATCAAGCAAATCCTTGAACCGTTCAAGGAGTGGACGCTCAGACTACAAGTGCGCGACGGCAATGGATGTGTGGCTGATATTCTACCGACGATGGATGAGCTTCTCTCTCACCTTGAGGATCTCAAAATTCAGTTCCACAGCGACGAACATCTACTCACAAGGATCAATAATGGCTGGTCCATCATGGATAAGTATGTACCTACTCTACCCGGTTGTTTTTGTCTATAGTTTTAACATTGTATCTGCTGCTACTAGATACTACTCGAAGACTGATCTCTGCCCCGGATATGCAGTGGCTATGGCACTTCATCCCAACATGAGGTTTGCCTATTTCCGCGAAGAGTGGCAGACAAGGCCCGAGTGGATCGAGCAGGCCGAGCGCACCGTGAAAGAGATCTGGAAGACTACCTACTGTGGATACAGTGCAGCACAAGCAATTCGACTGCATGGGGCGGATAGTCAAGATCTGAACCATCACTTTCACGATTCGAAACTAGGGATCCGTTGGGACCGCAAGCGCCTTGCGCTTGGTCTTTACGACACTGCCAACAATGACATCATGGACGAATTTCAACAGGATCCCCCAACCCGCAATGATGTTAACGATGTCGTCAAATACTGGAGGATGCATTCGGGTATTCCCCAGTACTGCGACCTCGCCCGCATGGCTCTGGATTACCTGACGATACCTGCCATGAGTGCGGAGCCGAAGCAGGTGTTCAGTGGTGCTAAACTTGCACTGTCTGAGAGCTGGTGCGGGGTGGGAGACGATGCTATTGAGGCGTTTGAATGCCTTAAGAGCTGGCACAGAGCGGGATGGGCGGAAGGAAGCCGCCAGGATGTCAAAGAAGTGGAGGAAATGTTGCATGCGCTTCGCGAGAGGGATTCAGAGTAGTTAGATCCACACACGACGGAATGACAGGCAGCGCCTTCTTGAGAATGTTTTGCGTCTTGTAATTGCTTAGGTACAGATTTTAGCTAGCCGTCTTCTACTCCGACCCGAGTGCTTTTGGGCGTGGCCGGCGTGCCGGGAGTGTTGTTGGGGGGTCCGGCGGGGGGCCCGGCGGGGATGGGAGGGAGACATCGTAGTTGTTGGTCAATGTTTGTGCTGGGAATGGGGGTTGGATGGGGAAAAAAAGATGAAGAATCTTCGGGCGCTCGAGAAGTTACTTATATAACCTCTTCGATCCTGGATGCAAACGGGCTTTGCCAAAGCTCATGCCTTTAATGGGCTGGAGCTGGGTATGTCTCTTCCGAGTTCTCCCTCGTGATGGTGGATAAGTGTCTGGTGTCTGCAACCATCGATAGAATGATACCAGAGCACGCATTTTTCCTGCCTGATACTCTTGGTCTGTTTGTGGACTCGGGTTGCAAACATCCCCCACTCTCCACTCTCCAAATGGGCACCTATACGATAGAGCTTGACTTGGTCCCGAGCCCACGTCCGGCATCCATCCGAAAGTCGAAACGGAAGCGTCCTTCGACATGTAGCCCACCAGTGACCACAGGCGTTTGGTATCACGATCCATTCAATTTGGATGTTGCCGGTTCCGATTCGTGACGTTTCCCGCGGCCGTCTATAAACTCCCCCATTCACCGTCCTCTGTCGCCGTCCCCAACACCCACGCCGCGCCGATCAACCTCCAGTAGTTTACACAACCATGGCCCCCGTCTTCGACCCCTGCCCCATCATTCGCGCCCCCCCTCCTCCCACGAAGCCGCCCACGAAGCCGCCCACGAAGCCGCCCACGAAGCCGCCCACGAAGCCGCGGCCCTCGCCTGCACAGCCCACACCTGTTACGAAGCCGGGCGGTAGCGGTGGAAGTAATAGTGCCAGTGATAGTGATAGTACCGGTGAAAGTGCTACTGGTAAAAGTGCTACCGGTGGCTTCTACTGCTGCATGTGCGGTACCGCGTATAATAATGCCTGCTGGGCTTGTGGACATAGGGGATGTGCGGCTTGTGTTAAAGCTTGAGGCTTGAGGGTTGACTGGGAGGAATGGATGGGTGGATGGGTGGGTGGATGGGATGGAGGGAGGGATGGGTGGATGGTTGGATGGTCATCATGTACCGAGGGTCTAATATCTAATATCTATGTGTGAATACCCACCCACCTGATGGCTTGTTTTGTGGCTGAGGAATAGTTGGCAATTGGATCCCGAAGATCGGCTTGTTTTAGCATATCGTATCGGACTGCATGTGTCTTGTTTATACTCCTGGCAAGCGATTTGTAGCGGTCCTCGTGTCCATATGTACGGTAGTCCTGCTTGGGTTGTAACTTGTTTCTCGTCCAGGGCAGGTGAGACGTCGGGACGTTGGGGGTGGCGCCTATGGTTCCCACCCCCCACATCTGCCTGGACGTAGTGGCGTAGGAAACTACAAAGGTAGGTGGTATCCCGCGCCTTCAGGCTCCACCTCCGCCTCCCTCGTGATTGGTATGTAGCGAAATCAGCGGCGCGAGGTCGGGTGGTACGTTCCGTGATGTTAATGAGGATGGTGATGATGATTGTCGTTGCGCATGTTGAGGGCCCGCCCATCGTGTTCGACGTCGCGGACATCATGAGCACCACGATCCTTATATCCACAGCGATTTGTCCCGCTCGCCCGTCCGCTCCCCACTCTTTATACCAAGCACCTCCCTCCCTCCCTCCCTACCCCCATGGCACTATGCACCCCATAACCCCGCACAGCCCTTACACCCACCCCGCGCCCCCGCCCACACCCACTTCGCCCCTTCCGTTCCTTAACGGCGGCCACTACTGCTGCGTCTGCGGCACATCGTTCACGATTGGCTGCTGGGCGTGTGGGCACCAGCCGTGTTCGTCGTGTAGATCTGTATAGCCCTCCCCCCCGTCCCCCCGCCGCCGACGCCGCCCGGAGGTCGATGGAGGACGAAGAAGTAGTTGCTTAGGAGATGTAAACAGCCGGAGTAAGTGCGCGAGCGGCTCCGGGGACCTTCAGGACGGGGGCCTGGAGAAAAGCGGTGAGGGTGTTCCGCGGTTGGGTTTGTTTTGGTTGATGATTCGTATGCGGCTAACCTCTTACTTAGTAGATAGCTAGTAGCTAGTAGAGCATGGCATGATAGTAGTCTAGAGAGAGATCTTGTCAGAAGTGGACATTGGAAAGCGGTGATTTGAAGAAAAAAACGGAAGGGGTGAGTGATGGTTCGTGACCGGCTGCCATCTTCCTCCGAGTTATCATCCGAGGTAGGTATCCTCACCCTAGAGCGTATGTACCGGTAGTCGCCTGTAAGACTGTGGCTATACCCGACTGCAGGCTGCCGGATGTCATCCTCCACGACGGGATACTCGTTACAGCGGGATGGAGCTGACAGGCGCCTGTTCCCCACCGGGTCGGCTTCGACAGCCCGGAGCTCCAGCGCCAGTACAGTGTTCCCACTCCCTTCCTTCCAACCGTGTTCGTAATCCGAAATCCGAAAACACGCCCGAAAAATCCGCAGCGCCAGACACGGCCGTCGAGTGATCTGTGATGATGAGCAATCTGCAGATGCCCCCTCCCGCTTTCCCCCCCGCTTCCACCGCTTCCCCCTCACCACCCGTTCATAGCCAAGACACAGGACAGCCTCCTATACACCTACAGTCCACAGCCTACGGAACACTCGTGTATTTTTTAAGTCTTGGTGAGTTGGCGCAACGTCCGGACTCCGGGGTTCGATTCGTCACTCCGGTAATCAGCCAATCACAGAGCTGTTGTTGGTGTGGTTGGTGTGGTCGTTGTTGTGCATACTCACAGGTCACCACAACTCCGACCGATTGCCTATGTAACCAGCCAAGTCAAGTCCAGGCAAGGCAAGTCAAGCCTACCTATACCTAGTACATACGGCAAGTTGTAATCTGCGGAGGCTGCGGACTCTGGAATCTGCGGTGCAACCGTCTAGAAGGTTCCATGCCTGCCTTGTTCTTGTTGGTTCCGTGTTGGGCGATGAGTGTATGCGGGATGAGTATGCGGGTGGGGGTTCATATGGGACGGTGTGGATGGAGGGTGGGTGGAGGGTGGATGTGTGGATGGAGGGTGGGTGGAGGTGGATGTGTGGATGGAGGGTGGAGGGTGGGTGGAGGGTGGATGGGTGGATGGAGGGTGGGTGGGATGCATAGTACGGTAGCTATCAGCGGGAATTAGAGTAGAGGCAGAGTCTATCCTAGGTGTTTGTTTGTTTGTTGGGCACCATCATCTATGCATATGGTGGGGAGTGGGCGAGGAGTGGACTGTGGGCGAGGAGAGGGCGTCACATGCCCTACATGCTCTAGGCACTGGTACATGCCTCTCCAGAGTCGTTGAGTTACTACCGTACACAGTCTTCACCCGAAAACGGTAATGTAGGTATCTATCTTTGCCCAGTGTTTCTTTCTGTACTGGTGCCCGTCTACCTATCGTACCCATCCGACCAGGCCGAGAGACAAGCCCTACGACACCAGTGCTCTACTGCCTGTCCCCGCTGGCTCGGCGACCGTCGCCGGTCTCCCAGAAATACCTCCATGTGAGCCCTGAGGCAACAGAAATAGAGTATCTAGACCCTACCCACAGTTGCCAGTCTCCCACTACGCAGAAGTTAGAACAACAGTAGTTCTGGAGTCGTCGTCGACGTCGGCGAGAATATACGGTAGCTAGATACCCATGATTGCATGTAGAGTACATACAGTACGGTGACAGTACCTACGCACCTGGGTTGCTCACCCCACGGCTCAGTGCTAGTTAAGTGCTCAGTGCTAGTTAAGTGCTCAGTGCTAGTTAAGTGCTCAGTGCTCATTCCGGTGCTCGGCGCGAGGTTAGGCGCTCAGTCACGACTCACCACTGACGAGTGCTCACGGGCACGAGCTTAATTTTAGTGACGTGGGCTAAAGATAGTCGTTGTCCGGCCCCGGTCCGGGAAGTCTGGGTCCATCGTCCGACAGTCCAACAGACCCACGAACCAGCGAATCGCGGGACCTCGCATCGCACATTGCACCGCATCGCATCAAATCGTACCTCTGCCTGTCCCCGCGTCGACGGTCATTGCGTGGAAAGCGTCATATGCTGAATATCCCTCGCTTGCGAACCAATCCAACAGCTGCCTCAATGCTCGCCGAATCCTTAGGCAACCTCAGGCCTCCCCCTCCCCCTCCCCCCGCGCGGGATCGTCGCGTTACGGCACTTCTAGAACCTTCCCGCAGACTACCTGTGTGGACGTGACGTGGGGGAGGGGGAGGGGGAGGGGGAGGGTGCATCCGCGTGGTTCCTATGTGCCTGCCACTGCCTGTCGTGTCGAGTCGTGATTACTTCTTCCCCGCCGGACATCACGATTTGGCCGTTGGGGGCTGAATGAAGTTGGCAATAGGTGCCGTACTTTCGCGTTCGTGACGTATGTAGAGTAGGCAGGACTCAACGGTACGGTAACGGTAGTCTTCTCACCGCCTTTCGCCAACCACCAAGCCAGCTGCCAGCCTACTTAGGCAGCCGCGCAGGATCATCCTCTACGAGTACGGTAACCAAACATCGCGCTAGTTAAAGGAAACGTCAGTATCGTACCATATCTTTCATCATGAGCCTTCTTCGTTCGCTCGTGAGCCGTGAGGGGAAACGTATTCTGGACGTCTAGACGTTAGGATCAACGGTTGTTGACGACATTGACGATATTGACGGCGTTGACGACATTGACGATATTGACGGCGTTGACGACATTGACGATATTGACGGCGTTGATGACATCGGAGACGGTCTGGCGACGGTCTGGCTGCCGCCAACCGACCGACTGACTGACTGACCGGGCGGGGCGGTGGTACTTGAGTTGCATACTCTGGAAACACCGACGTAGGTACTCCACTCTACTTATCTCTATGTAGGGAGCTGGGAGCTGTCTGCCCGGCCTCTTCCGCTCGCATCGCACGCATCGCTCTCACTGAACTCGAGGGAATGGATGACTGTAACTGCACGGGACAAAGTATGCTGTATAGCCACGACGGTGATGCTCATGCGAGGCGAGCTTACGAACAAAATAATCTGCGACTGCGACTGCGAGCTGCGGCAGTTCGTAGAGTGCTGAGTACAGTACTCAACTTTAGAGGGAGGGAGCGTGACTCAATCGTCTCCGGCGCGTAACGACGTTTTCGAAACTCGTCGGCATGGCTTGGACTTTGATTCTTTCGACGGGTTCGAAAGGAAGCTGCGAGAACTACGTAGACACCTCGTGGACACCTCGTGGACACCTCGTGGACACCTCGCGTACCTGGGGTACGTCTTGCACCTCTCTTTCTCTCTCTCTTTCTCTCTCTCTTTCTCTCTCTCTCTTTCTCTCTCTCTTTCTCTTTCTCTCTCGCTCTCTTTCGACGAGCGAGTCGCGCACGGCGCCCGGCAGTTTGTTCGCTAACATGACGCCCGTCGCCAAGGCTGTTCAGAATCCAGATGTTCTCTGCTTGTCAGGGCTTAGGCTATCTGCTAGTAACTAGGCGACGATAGGGTTCCAATCCGACGCCTTATGCCAGTGCTGCCAGTGCTGACTGGAAAAAAAAGGTGAATTCGCTGACGTTGAGGGATACATAGCACGTTGGCGAGGAGGCGGAGGAGGAGGCGGAGGAGGAGGAGGAGGAGGCGGAGGCGGAGCGGAGGCGGAGGAGTGGGGGAGAGCGTGGGTTAGGGTTGCGGAGACGGTAGCGGCCGTAGTTATGGATGATGACTGGCCTGTCCTGGGTGTGATAGAGTACTCTGATTACTGTTTCGTCTGGTACTGGGCCTCACCTCACCGGAGATCCAGAGTGCCCATCGTCTCCCCAGTGCTCTTGCGCGCTTCTGCGCAGTTGGCAGTTATCATATCGGCGCGGATTCGACGCCGGTGTGAATCGTCGGCTGCCTGAAACCCCCGTGCGGATGTGGTTAACCAAGAAGCACTTTGTACTCTACCACACATAGCAGTCCGTTGAAGTGATTCGTGAAGTTGCGCAGACGCAGACGCAGAGTACCTTGCGCACATGCACTGCGACGCGGTGCGGGATGCGACGTGACATGCGCAAGTTGCAACACGTGGAGTAAACATGCATCTAAAAACTTCCAGTCACTGTCAGTCATTGTCACTGCCACCGTGGACGTCGACGTCAATGTCGCGGCTGGTTGTTTCGTCCGCTAGGCACGAGACCCTCGTGTTCCCCGTGCTCCTCGTCTTCGCCGGAAACCGGGGGTGGCCCGGGTGGCCCCCTGGGGCGCGGTCGTTGACTCGTTGTTTCATCGCGAGGCGAGACGAGACGAGGCTCGGGGGTTCGCGATTCGATTGATAGCCAGTCGGCCAGCGCGCGGCGCGGTGGGTGTTTCCTCCGCGAAATGGGAGCATTGTACAGGGTCCTCCAACTGCTTCTGCTTCTGCTTCTCGAGAGTCGGCGGTGCGAATCAATCAATCAATCGATCCCTCGCGCGCGCTCTCGGGTTTGACAGCTTCGCTTCGCTTCGGTGCGGTTCGAATCCGCTGTAGAGTAAACTTTCCCCCCTCCCCCGCTCCTCCTGTGACTTAAAAAAATAAAAAAATAAAAAAATAAAGCCACATCCACCGTCGTGAGTCGTGACGTCTGTCGGGCTGCCTCAGCACCGTTTCCGCCGTCTCCGCGAAATCTGCCGATAGTGGGGGATTTCCTCGTGTACTACTCTAGATTCTGAGTATCGACTCATGAGAACACACAAACTAGCTGAGCCGCCACGCGTACGTTAGCTTTTGGCGCGAAAATGACACGCTTCCACACGTACGATTCCGTATCCGAGTACCCCCAACCACCTCATTTCCGTGTCGGCCCGGGAAGACGCGTTGAGGGGCAGTGAATTGAGCGAGTTCGTTTCGTTTGCGCGTGAGCGGAGGGCGTGTCCGAACTATGTGTCCACCCAGAGGAATTGCTGGTGGCCTGGGAAGACGCGACTTTGCTCATCGCGAAAATCGCGCGAGTGGCCAGCCCCCTTCTTATTATCTTCTGCCACGGCCGGAATCCCCCCACTTTCCGCGAGGAGTCACGATATTAGCAAACTACTGTACGCGAGTTCCCGTGATTTCGCGTCGGATGGCTCGTTCTTTTTTCTTTTTTTCTTCTCTCCGCGAGTTCCCGTGATTTCGCGTCGGATGGCTCATTCTTTTTTCTTTTTTTCTTCTCTCCGCGCGTTGGGGCTGTGCTGCTCTCTTGAAGCACGCTGCTGATTGGTCCGCCAGTCCGAACTGGCTAGACCCGAGCAGGAACAGGGATGCCAGCCGGTCCAGTCAGCTCTGCCTAATTTGCTGGCTCCTTCATTGGGTCTCACCGAAACTCTGCTAATGATGCTCAGGTAATTCCGCCTACTCAGGTATGACTCCCTGGCAGCCTCGATGTTCCTCCCTCCCCTCCCTCATCGCCCCGACGCTCACACAATACTCATACACGCACTCACTCACCCACGACCATGACCACCACCACCGCCGCAGACAACCCGTCACCCACCACCACCCGCCTACCCGTCCCGTGGGGGTTTTCCGCTCCGTCTGCTCTAAGCCTCTAAGCCTGATTCCGCACCGCCGAACGAGCGAGGCCATGGCTCCCTCCGACTCCCTTCCCCTCCCCTCCCCTTCCCTCCCCTCCCCTCCCCTTCCCTCCCCTCCCCTCCCCTCCCTCCTCTCCCCTCCCTCCCTCCTCTCCCCTCCCTCCCTCCCCTCCCCTCCCCCCACCCTGCCTGCCGTAACAGCTAGGGCCAGGGACCCGCTGTGACGCAAAAGCTACTAGCCACTAGCTGGAGCCCTGCCGAGCGACGCGATGAGCGGAAGGGAGCGAAGGGTCGCAAGACTCGCAAGACCCGCAAGACTCGCATTGCACACACTCTCTAGCACGGCTCAGCGGCCGGCCGTTACTCAAGACCGCAGCACCACCCTCCTCCTCCCTCTCCTCCCTCCCTCTCCCCGGCGGAGGGAGAGGGCGCACGGGTGTCCGTCTCCTCGTCCAGCGGAAACCGGTATGATATAAGAGTCACCCGAAACCACCGTTTCGAGATCCATTCTTCACTCCACCTTCCTCAGCAGATCAGATCGCAATCCAGCTACACCTACACCTACCTACTCCAGCTCCTACTCCTACATAAGATCCCGCGTTCGCTCATACCTGATCGCAAGACATCAACTACCACCACTCCTCATACCAACACGAGTTCTCAATACCAAAGCAACAGCAACATCCGCTTCCACTAAGGATCACCCTTGCATCGCATCGTATCATCATCACCGAAGCTCCCACTGGCACTATCACTGCTGCCACTGCTACCTCTGCTACCTCTGCTGCCACTGCTGTTACTCTACCACCACTGCCACTACAACCACCACCGCAACCCCATCGCAATGCCTGCCCCGTCGACCCCCCCCTCGCGGCCGCAGCCCCCGCGCATTCCGACCCCGGATCTGCCTCCGGCGCCATACGGCATGTTCGGCCACAAGTGAGCCGATCCGACGACAGTATGCGACGCGCTGCGCATGTATAAACACCACTCCTCCCTAAACTCCTCTTTACTCCGACCGACGGGCGAACATCCAGCTCCAACAACCATGCGAGCTGATTACCGGCGACGAACTCCCCGACTCCCGACTTCCGATTTCCGACTTCCGAGGCCCGCCATCTTTGGCGCATCGACGACTGACGACGGCGACGGCGATGACACCGACGGACTACGATCACAACCGCAACCGCACATCTCGGCCAAGCACCGGCCGGCTGGATGTCGAGTGGGGCTTGCTTTTCTTTTATCATACTCTTGTTCATGTCTGTTTGTTTCTACGGGTGTTGGTTGGTAGCAGGATCTGGGTCTGTTTTTTGTACCTACTTATATTGTTAGGCTTTTCTGATGTTGCTTTTCTCCGGTCCGGGGAAAGTATCCAGACGGGGCATGGACGCGGGGATGGATGTGGTCGGTGCTCTGAGCAATGTTCCTTCCTTCTTCCTTTGGAGTCTCCTTGTGCGGGTTGCTATGGGTGGTGGATGGTTTCTTTTGTCGGTTCGATTACTTTTTCCTTCACTCTTAAAATCTACAATATATTCTATGCCTACTTGGTACTTGACATGCACACACACACATAGGTACACGCACAAGCAGTGACCAGTGCAGTGACCAGTCGCGATCGTGATGGTTTGCATTGCAGTCTTGCAGAGCCCAGATCCGCACCTACTCTATTTCTCGAGAATCGAGATGGATATTTCTTTTCCTGTGCCGTAGAACGCTACCTATTGGCAACCCCGAGCATTCAATGAGATGGCATCGAATACTAGTAGAACTCAATCGTCTTATGGTGGTAGTGTCTTCCATTCTTTTTTGTCTTTCTGTCTTTCTTTTCGTACTTTGTATCCATCGTCATCTCCACATCCATCGTAGACTCGTAGACTCGTAGTCGTAGTCGTAGTTTGGAGTGAGTACCTGAGTAGAGTACCTGAATACCATGGAGGTGAGTAGCTGGGGAGGTGAGTCACATAACCACCCTCGATCCCTGTACGCAGATCCGCATTCCCCACCATGGTGGCATGGGCATGGGCAATGGGCAAAATGGTCAGCATCGCTACTCTACAGGTTTGTAGTCTATGTATTTACCGTAGTATGTACCATGTTCACGACCTGTCTCGAATGTGAGTTTTCCCTACCGGTAGTCTATGTATTGTGTCTCTGCTTAAATTAACTTATGGTTTGCCACTCGCGACTCAAGTGACGCCACGGTTCGTCGGTTCGTAGCGAATATCTATATCTATCTATTCATTTCCAGAGTTTCCCCATAGACGAGATGTGTATTAGGTTGTGGGCCTTCTTAACTTAACTTATGGTTTGCCACCGCAAGACGCAAGTGACGCTACGGTTCATAGCGAAGAAGCGAAGTTGAAGCGAACATCTACAGTATCCATCCCATCCATCCCATCCATCCCATCCATCCCATCCATCCCATCCATCCCATCCATCCCATCCGTCCTATCTATCTCATCCATCCTAACAGAAAAAAAACCTGAGGCCGACAACACGGTGTGGTGCGCACACCCACCGCATCCCGCTACCTGTGACGTTGTGACCCGCATATTTACCCTGACCTGCCGCCTCGATCCATCACGAGATGCAGCAAGAGATGCAGCACACCGATAGATACCAGCGCAGCACAGCACAGCAACGGCATCCGGCGCGCCGCCGGCGCGCTTTTGGGGGTGGAAAAGGTGCCAAGAAGGACTGACGGACAGACAGAAAGATAGATGTACATATGAAACAAGAGAATGCGCAGTCTCGCGGTCTCGGAGTCTCTGCGCACAGAGCACAGACAGAGCACAGACAGAGGGGGCGGGGGCGGGGGTCGGGGACATTTTGCGCACAACGCACATCGTATAGAGTACCTACATGGGGCTCGGGATTGCCATACTTGCGTACTTGCATACTTGCTTACTTGGCTGCTCGACGCGCGGTTGCTTCTCCGTCCCCCACGACTCACCCGTCCCCTGCGGGCTCCGACTGCCCCGACTCCGACTGCCACAATTTCCGGCTCACACGGCGGAGATGGCGGAGGTGGCGGAGATGGCTACAACCCCAGGCTATCTTGCGCACGCGCACAAATGCATACAGATACAGATATATGTAGAGTAGGTACAGAAACAGTTACGCCAAGTTCCAGCCGTCCGCCAGCGGCCAGCGTCACCGTCCACGGTCCGTGTACTAAGTATGGATACCTTATATATGTGCTAGCCTACACGGCAGATTTTCCCATCTTTAGATGGGCCGGCCCAGCGGACAGCAGACCAGCCAGGTCATGAATAGTTCTGATCTGCTTGTTGGCCGGACCATCCTCAGAAAAATTCCTATGCTTTGTAGATTGGTATGTAAAGTACATACGGCTTCGGATGGATCGGTGGAGTACCTAGAAAACCCCTAGGTCCGAACAGACACCTGTCCTGCCTGCAGTTATCCCGTACGTATTGGAGTCTGGAGTTTGTTCGGGTCTGAATCTGCAAATACTTAGAGCAAATTATAACTTCACATTATGATGGAAGTAGATATGGATTGTGCCAATCCACTCGCTGCTTGTTCCCCCCAGCCTCGCCATTGCCCCGGAAATATACCGCGACATATACGCTCACTCGGATATCAAAATCTGTCGTCAAACTCCATCAATTGAAATCAGCTGGCATCTACGACTGCACCAGAAGAGCTCTCACGATGTATCCGTATACTTGCGGGCTCGGCTGAAGAAATAATCAGGATCGTCTACATACAAGAAGGGCATTGCGTGTGCCCGTGATATATCCTGTGGAGGTGCGAATTAACTGTACTTACTACTGGTCTTGTAGCCATTCTCGATTCTCTACATCATGATCTCCGCTGGTAGTTCGGGTAGGTAGATAGTGATATAATACACAGTCACAGCTACAGCCACATACCGGACCGAAGCCGTTCCATCGCGACAACGAGTGATAGGTACTACGTGAGATGTTTCGATTCCGAATCTTACGAAACGGCATGATTAATATCGCTAGAAGATGTGAATTCACTCACCGCAGGACCAACACACAAACAAACAAGCCATGCGTACGCTCGCGACTCCCCAATGCCCATCAGTTAATACCACCGAACGCCAACGCCAACGCCAACGCCAACACCAATACCAACGCAACGCCGAGCACACGATATAGAAAAGTACGCAACCAGCCAGCCAACCAACCCGCAATCCGCAATTGACAAACAGCGTCACGGAACAGTGTCACAAACGCTTAGCCAAGTACCTACGGCAACCCCGGCGCATCACTGCGCGTGGACATAGTCCTGCTCAGGCCACCGGTATTAACCTCCAGCCGCTCCTTCGCCGACGCGGTAGTATTCCTACTCGCCGTGCTCCCGCCTCTCTTCAGCCCATTGACCACGACTCTTCCGAGCATCTGCTCCCTCTGGCTCCTCGTCGTCTCCCTGGACAGTCCCGCCCCGCCGCCAGTCCTCGTCGTCTCCCTGGACAGTCCCGCCCCGCCGCCGGTCCTCGTCGTCTCCCTGGACAGCCCCACGCCCACGACCGTGGCATCCGTGCTCCCAGACCCACTCCTGGACCTAACCGACGGCACCACAAGCCTCATGCCAGCACTATCCCTCCCGCGCCCATGGCGCCCCGCAATCGCCGCGGGCAGGGTGACGACCTGCGGCGGCGTCGTCGTCGGCGGCGGGTGGCGGCGCCACGTCGGCCCGCGCTTATCCGCGCGTGCGTGTGCGTGTGCGTGTGTGTGTGCACCGCCCTCGGCGTCGTCGGAGACGTCGCCAATGACGGGCGTGCGGAAGCTCCAGAGCAGCCACCAGCAGGTGAAGATTATTACGCTGAACGGGAGGAAGGCGATTACGCGGTGCCGGTGCTGGGGGACTGGCGAGGGTGAAACGAGGAGGATCGCGAGGAGAGTCGAGATGCACCCAGAAGTGATTAGGACCACGAGAACGAGGCTGGGGAGGTTGTACCGTGACCGGTGCAGGCGGATGCTGCTGTGGAGGAGTGTGCTGATGAGGCTGGGAGGCGGCTGCGGCTGCGAGGACATGATGCGGTGGGGGCGGTGGAGGGAGTGATTGTAGTGACTAGTGAAGCTGGAGTGTTGTGTTCGATGGAGAGGGAGGACGGAAGGGAATGTGAAGGTTTGGACAGGGATCGATGATGAAGGGAGTGTTGTTTCCAGCAGAGAGCGAGGACGAAGGGAGCGTGAAGGTATGGACAGTGAACGATGTGAAGTCGAAAGGTTAGAGACAAACAAACGGATGGAATCGACGAAACGAGCGTGGCTGCTGCGTAGGAGTGTGGCTCAAGCTAACTGGGCCGACGGAGCTAGAGCAACAGAAGGAACGGGTACCTGCAGCGGGCCCCGACGGGAAGCAGGCACAATTGTGTGTAACCAAAGGTCTCTATTGATGGCCGGTATTGGTCTTCGTCCAGACATATACACCGTGCTCAACTCGATACATCTCGAATTTTCTCGTCGGAGTTACTTGTTCTTTCATCTCGCCATCGGTGCACGTGCCCACCGAAAGAGAATATACACATGGTATGTACATGGAGGAGTATTCCATCCAATGTCCACCCGTTAACCTGCACTCCCAACAGCACTTACAAGAGCACTTCCAGCAGCCAGCAGCACTTCCAACAGCACTCCCCAATCCACCGACCAAGATTTCTAAAAACCTCCACCATGGCCAACCCCGTCCCCACCGCTCCGGTCCCAGCGGGATTCTTCCAGCACCTCATGGCTCTCATCGACGTTTGCCGGAGCTCTCTCAACGTAGGCAGTCGCCCACGCCGTCCTCCACGACCACCCAACTCCCGGCGGCGCCGAGCTGGAGCGGCGAATCGCAAGTATTCACCTATTGGGTCACGGGTACACCCAGTTCTCATCGTTTTCGCCGAGCTCGCGGCAGATGTAGGGTACCTGGTGCTCTCTATACTGCAGGAGATGCGCGGGGATGTACGTCAGCTGGTGAAGGCTGTGGTTGCGGTTACGAACTGGTCTCGGGAGGCGGCGAGGCGGCTGCGGGTGGTGATAAAACGGTTGGTCGACTATTCGACTTAAGTTTGCGGGAGGACGTGAAGCTCCAAGCGGTTGGCTGCTCGTGAGTCGTGCTGCGCTGAAGCGGGGAGATCCATAGTGGAGGTTGGGCCCGCTGTAGGCACTAGGCGGGCTGTCTTTCCGGGATTCCAGTTATCATGGAGAGCACATGGAGATGTATACCGTACGGTCCGTACTCATCAAGGTGAGCCGATGAATGCAAGTCCTCTGCTGAGTTCCCCTGTTTTGTTCCTCGTCATGCAAAGTGACGTATCTCCCCCATCACAGATCACTCGGTGTTGATAGGCCAGCGACCCAGTTATCCAGTGACGAACTCTGCACCGCGGAATCGGAAACCCATGACCCAAGAAATGGGTTGCGAAATGGTTCGAGAAGACGCCCCGTTCGGCCAGAATTTCCCCGAGCAGTCGCGGGTAATATAGTATCCCGCCGTGCGATCCTTCTATCCGGTTCGGCTGGAGGCAGCCTGTAGGTATGATATTGTTACTATCGATAAACATCCCAGCGCCATCTAGGTACCCCACAACCTGCAGCCTACATACAGCCTACATACAGCCTACTGCCTACACGGACCACGGTGCCTGAGTGAGGGGAGCCGATCGATGCGGGGGGCCACGTGCGATGCGATCCAGCGGACGGAAGGAACTGTGAACATGCCATGGAAGAAAACAAAAACGGTCATCACCGTGACAGCCTACAGCTTGCAGGAAACAAAAAACAAGCCTCGGTAAATTTCCCCACAAACCGAGATGTAGAGTGCATTTTCCGTATATAACATGATCACCGCCGCGCCCAATTGTGCATCATAGTCCCCAAGCTCCAACCGTTTCAGCATCACTCCAGCAACAATGCAACTCCTCCACCACCTCCTCTTCCCAATCCTCCTACTCACCGGCGCCTCGGCAGCCTCCGCACGCCGCGCCTGCTCAAAGGCGATCTTCGTCCTCAGCGGCGATTCCACAACGGCGCCAGGTGGCGGGTGGGGCGACAGCTTCAACGCGACGACTCTGCTACCGCCGAGCTTCGGCGAGAACCACGCTGTGGGCGGACGGTCGACACAGAGCGTGCTCGCGAACGGCGAGTGGGCCGCAGTCCTGGACGCCGTCGAGGACTATAAGGCCCAGGGAAATGTCTATGTCACCATACAGTTCGGACATAACGATCAGAAAATCGCGAACTTTACCGCGCAGTTCGAGGTTAATCTCAGGCGCATGGTCAACGATGTTAAGGCGGCCGGAGGGGTGCCGGTAGGATCTGTCCTTTCTTCTGGCCTTGCTGCCCGAGAGTGATCGGAATTGACGTGGGAGTGATAGGTTCTGGTGACGCCTCTCGCGCGGCGCACGTGGTCCGGCGGCGTCCTCACCGATCTCCTCGGCGACTGGGCCGCGATCGCGCTATCGGTAGCGGCAGAGACGGGGACGCACAAGATCGAGCTTTTGAAGGAGAGCATGCGGTACCTTGCTGCGATCGGCGAGGCGAACGCGCGCACGTTCGATCTGGCCGCCGGCGATAAAACGCACCTGAACGCTGTGGGAGCTGTGGTGTTTTCCCGCTTGGTTAGCGATCTCCTCGGTGCGGAGTTGGGAGAGCCCGTCAGGTGTGTCACGAACAGGAATGAGACGCTTAGTGCTGCGATTAGGGATGGGGTTATGGCTACGTAGGGGGGGATGTGTGTACTTATGGAATAAAACGACGGAAATTGTCAATTCTGCCTGGTCTCGAGTCCGGCTCGAAGTAAACTCACTATAGCATCCAGAAAGTACATAGTTTGCTAATCATGAATTCGTGGCCCATCGTCGTGACTGTGAGAACCTCCGGTGCTGTCTGGTGGTATCAGGTAGGTAGCTCGTGGATGAAGAGATGGAACACGTCTACCTATTACGCCGATCCCATCATCAGCCAGTTCTATCCACTGTAGAACAACCATCTTCTACTCCACTACCACATGTCGTAAGTGTCTGGAAGTAACCCGCTCCGGTGGGCACTGGGCAGGTACCTACCAGGTACCTACTGCACCTCGAAAAAATGGAACCATTCGTACCGACGCTTTCAGACTTCTAGCTGTAGTCATAGCCATAGCCATAGTGATTTTATTGTAAGTTCGTAACCTTTCCTATCGTCATACCGTACGTTGACATGAGACGACAACCTGACAGGGAGTGCCGGATGCTTCTGCGATCACTCGGCTCGTTGAAGGATTCACGGAGATGATGGATCCAGTCACGCTACCAACATAGCTTCTGGCCTCGAAGTGATTCATCCCGTCCTTATGAATACCTAAAGGAAGTAATAGGTGTATCTACTACCAGTATATGAGCGCATGGCTATTCGGACAGGATTGCTATTCGGACAAGATGGCTGGGTAATCGGACAGGCTGGGTAATCGGACAGGTTGGGTAATCGGACAGGCTGGGTAATCGGACAGGCTGGGTAATCGGACAGGCTGGGTAATCGGAAAAGATTGGTATTCGGACTGGATAGCTGAGTAATCGGACAGGATGGCTATTCGGACAGGATGCGTGGTACCAGTAGGGTGGCTGTCCGAATACCTCGTAGGTCGTGTCTTCCCGCCTCCGTACATCGCGGGCGTACATGGAAGGATCCAGTAGCGTTCGGAAATCGGAATACAAAACACCTCGTTGCGGCCAACCATGCACGATTAAGGCGTCCGGTACCGCGTAGATCCATCCCCTCCCTCCCTGCGACCCTCAAAGCGATGCTTCGGTAGTATGGAGTACGTCCTGTTTCCTCAGGATATCTGCTCGGTGCTGGAAGCCAGCCATGCTCGGTGCAGCCCGTGCTTCGACCAGGTGGTCCTGGGTCGGTTTCCTTGAACATTGCTGATGGCTGAGGAGTCTGAGAGGTATGCCGCTGTTGTTGAGTTGTGCTGCTGCCGGTCGCAGTCCGGATTCAGCTCGAGGATGCCTTGGTTGATGATCCTGAAACTGCCTGTGGCCGCCCTAACTTCCTGGTTGAGGATATTCCGAAGGTCGTCGCCTTTTCCGATGGTGTCCGTGGCTGCTGTGCCATCTCCTCGCGACCAGAGCTCCGATCTGCGCATCGCCACTGACTAGACGCAGGCTGACATGACCTTGCGGTGGTTTGTCGGTGAAAGTCACATCTGCCCTGCTACTGTCGTCGGAGTTGGTTCATGGCGTTCCTATCCTTCTTCTGACCGATTAAGGTTTCATTGGAGACGATGGGAGATTTGGGGATTGTCGGAGAGGATGGTGGTCAATAGTGACTAGGCAGGATGGGATACGAATGGAATTATTGTTGTGGGGTCATCGCATATGGGTAAGTAAACTGCGAGTGACTCCTGTGATTGCGTGGAAGCAGTAAAACATACTGCGAAGCTACACATCACCAATTCACCGGCTACTGGTAACACTGACTGACTTGACCGATTAATTTTGAAGCTGTAGTCGAAAGACGGGGCTGATTGATGGTTTTTGACAGCCCTCTGTAAGAGTATCAAGCGGTGCAGCAGCTGCGTATATGTCTGGTTATTCCGCACACAGAGTCATGGGACCGCCCCGGGAAAGGCAGAACCTTTCCCTGGATATTGCTGCGTGACGGTGGAGGACGTATTGCGACGCTTTGGAGCCGCCGGATTTGCACCATACGAGGAATTGTTTGCTAGGCCCAGTGTGACTACAAGCAACTGCTGCCCCAGTTCCAGGGCACGCAGATGTTGCCTATCGGATCGATAACATCTACGTTACCAAGTTAGGTATATCGTTTGTTATCGCGATGATCAACAGTGAGGTCGAAATACTTATTTAATCATCGCACTTCCTCCTCCTCCTTTCCCCCTCCATACCATCAACCATCCTCCTCCTTTCCCCCACAATACCATCAACAATCCTTCTAATTTCCCCCACCATCATCAATCAAACGGAACATCCACCACCCGCATTCCCAATCCACATCTGAGATCTCAGGAATCAAGATGGGTAACGAGACACTGGTAAGTATAGTGCAACCTCCAATGGATTGTTCCAGACCAGTACAGAGAGTAGAGACGGCGGATGCTAGCTAATAACTACCTGGAGTGGTGTCGTATTGCTTTACTGACGCCTTGGAAGCATCTTTCCATGTCCACCGCCATCCGATGATCTGCCCTCACTCAAGAAGTCAGGCGTCATAGTCGGCCAAGGTCTCAAGGAATCTGGGATTGATCGCGACCAATTTTCTGGCATGTTCACCACGTTCTCGATAGTGGATTACGAGTCGGACCCGCCAGCAAAGCGTTGGATCACCTTCGAGACACCCGGACGTCGTCTCAAGGAGGATGCCCCATCCGCCACACGTACATGCGATGAGGAAGAATCACAAGAAGAAATCGTCTTCGGATATCTCTGGTGCGCCTTCAAGAATGCCCCTGGCGACAGAACTCCCGACCGTCTCAGAATAGTATTTAGCGCCCTCGATCCGCGCGACGAGCGTTTCGTGCTCCGCATTCAAAATGAGTGGCACATGATCTTTCAATCGCCGCGTGGTTTCTCTGCAGCGCCTGAACAGGGCACGATAACCTTCGTGGTGGTCGAAGGTGCGTCAGAGGCTCTGGGGAGACCGCGGGACATCGCCTACCAATCAATGCGGCAAACGATCCTCAAACAATGCCGCGTTGGTCGGTCGAAGAACAAGGAGATCCTGATCCGTCTTAAGTTCGAGCAGCCGAACTTCGTAGGATACGTGCACGACTACCTGCGTGAGATGTTTGCGGAAGGGACGCCACTGCGACACTTTCTCCCGGAGGCTATCGAGCATTTCCTCGGCGAGAGTGACGACGATACGTCTTTGCAAAGAAGCAACGATTAACTGAAGAAGGATGCCTATCGTTGCATCCCAACCGCCGCATCTGCGGAGGTTGCGGAGGAGGCTTTCCCACTCCTTGCGACTTTCTAGTGCATTTCGAGAAGGAGCCCTGCACGTACCTTTGCGAGCGTGATGACGAGGTCGGATTCAAAAACATGAATCACCACCAAGGTAGCGGCGACAGGATGAAGTGTGTCTACTGCGGTCATTACCTTGGCGACTATGTCTCCTACTCCCAGCATCTCATGAAGAATGCGGAATGTACGGCGGAACACGTAGCGGCCAGGATGCAAAGACAGAGGTTGGAGGAACTTCAGGAGCAAGAGTACGTGCGGGAGGCTGGGGATGAAGGAGGGGAGTTGGAGGAGCCTGCGGTTCTGGAGAACTGACCGAAGAAGCATCGCAGAGGGAAAAAGGGTCTTCCAGCTAGAGACACCGATCTTCCAGCCAGAGACCGAAGAAACCAGAGACCACACCGCTCATTCCCCGCCGAAGATTGAACTCAATCATTAAACTTGCGAAAAAAAAGGAGACGCGCCTGCAACTCCTCCAAGATTCTGTAAGTTTCCATCTTCTCGTCGTGCTTTGTCATATGTCTGATTTTTTTTTTTGAGGTTACCACTGTTTCTTCCTTCTGTTGATCCACACTGTCACAGCTCACTACACCCTGACGGTTTTCATTGATTCCGTTTTTTACTCTGTTTCGGTTTTCAAGCCCTTCTTTCTTTTCTGTGTTTCACCTTTTTACCCTCGACGGTTCGCGCGTTTTCAGCGCACTTTCCTGGATTGTTGTTCTGTTGTACCGCAATTTCTTGTACCTACGAGTTACGCAATGATCAATGGGTGTTTTCTTTCCCTCGTTTTTTAGATCGTATTTACCTGTAGGAGAAGTTACGGACCTTATCCATGTTAAAATTCGCGTACTAACGTGTACATTCTTTTGTTATCCCTCAGTCCGCACACCGAGCACGGATTGAGGTCAACCATGTGACCGCAAATTTTGCCTCTATGTAGTGTCTACAACATCCTCGGCTCGCAGATATTCCTGTGCCTGGCCGTTGCGGAAATAGCGTGGCACCGGCCTTCACCACCCCCGATCCCGAAATTTCCGGTTCCGGCTAATATAGGAATGTGGGATGCGGGGAAATGCAGATCTCGCGTGGGAAAGCTTGACCATCGCTTACGGCCAGGACTTCGGGGTAAGTACCTTCTCACCGAAGCAACACCGTTGTTTCTATTTTTTTTATTCCTTAGTACTTATACAGCCCTGTCTAAATCGCCATCACCCCGTCCTTAATCTTCTTACTAAGCTCCTTGTCCGCCTTCGTAACACATCTCACCGGCTCTCCCATCTCCGCGACTAGGAGGTCGCTGACCATGCGCCCAAACACAACGCTCCCCGCATCATTTAGATGTGTGCGATCATCGGCTACCAGATCGAACTTCCGCGCGTTCGCTTCGCCGATGGCGGTAAGGTACCGCATGCTCTCCTTCAGCAAATCGATTTTATGCGTCTTCGTCTGCTTGGCTACCGAGAGGGTGATCGTCGCCCAATCCGCAAGTTTGTCCGTAAGCACACCGTCGGTGTAAGTGCGGCGGGCGAGGGGGGTGACGAGAATCTATCCATCCATCAGCTTTAATCCACTCACGCCCAGCAGGGAGATAATCGTACCGGTACACCGCCCGCCGTCTTCACATCCCCGACCATCCTCTTAAGGTTCACCTCGAACTGCCCCGTGAAATTCACTAACTTCTGATCGTTGTGCCCAAACTGGATGGTGACATAAACGCTCCCTTGGCTTTTGTATTTCGTCACAGCGTCCAAGACACCTGCCCATTCACCGTTCGCGAGGACGCTCTGGGTTGACCGTCCGTTCACTGCGTGGTTCTCGGCGAAGCTGGGCGCGAGCAGAGTCGTGTTCTTGAAGCCGTTGCCCCAGCCGCCGCCGCCCGCGGACTGGGGGGCCGTGGTGGAATCGCCACTGAGGACGAAGATCGCTTTCTGGCAAGCACGACGGGGCGCTGCGGCGGCGGCGGTGAGCGCAAGGACCGGGAGGAGAAGGAGACGGAGGAACTGCATTGTTGCCAGACTTCTGGGACGGGGTTGGACCAAGATGCACGAAGGGGGCGCGGTGAACACGTTATATACGGCAAGCGCAATCTAGATCTCGGTTTGGGGAGAAATTGACCGAGGCCTGTTTTCTGTTCCAAGATATATTGCTGTAGGCTGTAGGCACCATGCGTTTGCGGGGATGGATGGGCCGGGATGTCTAATTGATAGTGTCTTGGGCCGAACCGGATTTCGGGATCGGACACCGGGGTACTGTGTTGCGCACGACGCTCGGGAAAATGCTGGCCGAGTAGGCATCCTCAATACCGCGGTTTCCTGTTTTCTTTTGTCAAAAAGGTGCAACTGCCCCACTTTTGCACCCGGATATTTTATGTACTCCCTTCCGCCCGACCGAGAGATCTTTCGTGATCACGGTGCCCAGCAAGCGTATGTACCCACCTCCAATCCCTCGGCTCCTTCCCTCGACGTCACCACCAAAACTCTACTAACGTCGTTGATCTCAGTCAGCTCTGTCAACACCATGGGGGGGGTTTCTTAAAGCCGTGTGTTTGATACCTTTGAGCGGAGGAAAGCAACTGAAAACTAGTTAGGCCATAGCGACGAATTCGCAGCCGAGGGGAAGCGAAAGACAGGTGAGCGCTCCAGGGCGCCTAATCAACTAAAAACGAGTGTGTCGTAGTGGGAACAGTCAAAGCTAAATCACAGCTGTATTAGAATCATGGTTGTCAGCTGGAGTTGCAATCTCACACCCGGGGGAGACGAAAGACAGTTCAGAGCTCCTAATCGACCGAAAACGAGTGTGTCGTAGTGGGGAAGAGTCGAAGTTCCCAATCGCTTGAAAACGAGTGTGTCGTAATGGAAACATTCAAAGCTGCACCACATCTGTACTGGCATCACGGTTGCCGGCTGAAGTGCAATCACGGCCAGCGAGAAATCGGAAAACGAGGGCCGTGCTAGATTCCGCCGGGCGATGACGCGGTGTCCGTTCCGTCAGTCTGAACTCGACGCATCGGCGATCGCTGCCTGCTGTATCACTCTCCTCCGTTTTCCGGCGACTGCAACAGTGCAACCGTGGATGTCCTAACCAGGAGTCAGCTCAATTGGATCTTTAACTATATCCACGTCTCCGTAGGTAAAATGCAAGCTCACTAGGTGTGACATCCGCGATGATTATGTTGCTGAGGTAGCGGGGAACCCACTCAAGGCGCGTGGGAACTTGAGGTGAGATCGTGAGCTTGGCAGCGACTGTAGCAGACCGAGGGACCGCGACCGGCTGTCATCGCGAGGGTGAAAGGGAATCCGGTTTGCGAGGGCTCTTTTGCTAATGCCTCGCCTGGAAGTAGGTCGAGAGAAGGAGAACACACAAGGAGGGAGAGGATGTAGAGGTTGATCGTCTATTCTGTAGATGATAAGAGAGAAAGAAGAAGATAGAAGCGGATGACTAAGATAGCAGACGGCTCGCTGGCCCCGCCAACGTTGGTGCTCCCAACTAACCACATTCGCTTCCTTCCGCCGACGGCTCCTCCATCACTCGTCAACACCACATAGAGGGATCACACTACGTAGAGCATATGTGAAAATCAGACCGCAAGACGCGGAAATTCTTATATCAGCCTTATGCTCATCCAGCACTGGCCTCCGAGTAGTAATTGTTGTGCCCAGCTCACTGAGTGTATTTCCAACTTCCCCATGACATCGACCCACCATGCCCTCCTCCTCTCGCCGACAACTTTATGCTTAGGATTTCTACATCAGGAGAAACAAAAAGTCCTATGGGCGCTGTAACTGCACGGTCGAGCAAGGCTCCAGGTAGCGAAGTTGGGCGGGTGATCGGGTACTGGGTTTGCCAGAGGCAAGACAGGTTCGGAGGACAAGGCAAGGCAGGGCTCAGTGCAGACGGCAACTGAGAACAGAGGCAGGGACAAGGACTAAGGTGCAGACGGCAGCCGAGGCAAGGACAGAGGTAACAGTGATTGAATTAACAAGTTGTTGCGTGAAGAACTAAATACAGAGGGGCAACGGCCCGTTTATATAGAAAATCTGTCACGGCTCGCGACGGAATGACGAAGGGAGGGTCGGCACAAGGATCGGGAGAGTTGGGGGGCAGTGCAGAGGCAGTGCACCGGCAGTGCAAGGATGAGTCGCAGAGGATTTGGGGCTGTGTGCAGGGAGCAGGGATAGCGCAGTAATGAGTCGCAGGAGATTGGGGCTGTGTGTAGGAAGCAGGGGTAGTGCGGCTGCGCAGGGTATGAGTCACGGAAGTGGGATACTGGCAAGGTGGATTTCTCAGGGTCTGGCACACGCTCACGGTCATTGTCAGGTTGCGGGAAGAAGGGGAGGATTTCCTATATAAACGGGCCGTTGCCCTTCTGTATTTAGTTCTTCACGCAATAACTGTGAGACTGGGACGGGTTTGTGTCGTCGGAGTCTATAGTAAAATCGAGGATAGAATAAAAGTCAGGGATTTCGATAATTCACAACGGAATAATCTTAAGGGTGTTTGTTCGATGGTTTGTTCGGTGCGATGATTGTAGTTTTGTTCGGTTGCCCGCTCGGTTCGACTTATAGTCGTCCCGATCCTCAGCACGTGATTCCTCTAGAGTGCGGCCTAACGTAGCTCCGTTGCTTCCTTTGCATCGGAGTTCCGCGGCCTAGCCTTGAGTCGTCGTCAGCTCTCTTCGGATAGTCTTCTCGACTAGGCAGGTGGTAAATACCACGCGCCCAAGATAGATCGGAGTTTCCGAGCAATTATCTCCCTCATGCGCCGGCAGAGTTCTTCGCTCGAAGTTGTCTGCCCCCATCGGTCGATGTTCGATTCTCTCGTCATAACAGTTTTTTCCTGGATCGGAGTTCCTACTGCGGGGCCCTATGATCGGAGATCTCAAAGTCCTCTGGACTGTTATCCCGATCTCCCGCATCTCCGATCACTGTCTAGACTCTGGAATCCGTTTGCTCCCTCCTTCCTATCTTGTCCTCGATCGCTTCTAACTATCCTTTCGGCTCGCAACTCTATTCTAATCACCCGAACTATCTAATCACGTCTCTTGCGACCGTCGTGACCTCCGATACCTATCGGGGTGTCACACCATCTCCCCTCCCACAAGGCTTCGGCCCGAAGCACCCAAGTCCTCGCCTTTATCCTAACTTGATAACTGTGGATGAAGTCCTCCAACCCCTTCATCCTACTACCTGCCCGAGTTCGAGAAAAACCTCATGGGAAAAAACTCTTACTCATCTGTGAGCCGGTAGTCCCTCGGCGCATCGGGATTTTTGCGATGAAACTCGCGTAGCTTTTCCCGACCGCCTACTGAGAAGTTGTCGAATGGCTCGTTCGTCCAGTCCCGTCGTTCGGGGTAGTTGAGCCATTTGACGAGGTAGAGCACTCGTCGACCTTTCTTCGAGCTGCCCATAACCTCATCGACGTCGTATTCTTCGTTGCCTTCCACATCATCGGCCTCTCGTAAGATTTGAGAGGGATCCGGTGGTGCTCGGGTGCCGGCTCGGAACGGTTCAACGAGCGAGACGTGAAAGACATTATGAATCTTCCACTTCCTTGGCAGAGTGAGCTTGACAGCGAGCGGCGATACGATCTTCTCGATTTGGAAGGGACCATGGTTCTTGTGGTCCAACTTCCGCGAGGGTCGGCGGGTTTGAATGTTCCGCCCATTGAGCATTACCAAGTCTCCTACTTGATAAGCCGGTGCCTCCTGACGATGTTGATCTGCATACTAGCGCATTCGTTCGCGCGTTCGTTCGAGGGTCTTGATGTTTTCCTCGTGGACTGTATGCATCCAGTGAGCGTAGACCTTGCTGGCGGGGTTGAGAGAATTTGCCGCAGCAGGGTTTGTCGCCGACGGGTGGTATCCGAAATTCGCATAGAAGGGCGACATTCCGGTTGCCGATGTAACCGAGTTGTTGTAGGCAAACTCAGCCATCGGTAGGAGATTCACCCAATCGTTCTGTTCGTAGTTGACGAAGGAGCGGAGGTATGCTTCAATCGTCTGGTTGAGGCGTTCAGTTTGTCCATCCGTCTGTGGGTGGAATGCTGTTGACATCCGGGGCTTAATGCCTAGCAGCCGGATGAATTCTTTCCATGTACCCGAGGTAAACCGTGAGTCTCGGTCCGACACTATGTCTGCTGGTAATCCGTGAAAGCGCCATATCTCGCGGGCAAAAATCTTCGCGAGATCCTCGGCTATCTTTCCATCCTTAGGTAGGGGGATGAAATGCGCCATCTTGGTGAAGTGGTCGACGACCACCCATAGCTGGTCGCAACCGTTGGATTCCGGTAGGTCGGTAATGAAGTCCATGGCTATTGATTGCCATGGGGTGTATGGTAACTCGAGGGGATTGAGTAGTCCATACGGCTGGTGCCTTGTTGCTTTGTCCTTCTGACACTGCGCGCAACTCCGGACGAAGTCTATAATCTGCTCGTCCATCTTTGGCCACCAGAAATTGCGTCGGATAAGTTCGATAGTCTTGTCCTGGCCCATATGCCCCGCGACTTTCGTATCGTGTTCCGACTCGAGGATGTGTCTGACGAGTTCCTTATCGTCTGGTACCCATAGCCTTTCTTTCCTATACAGGCACCCCTCTTCCATCCTCAAAATCCTGGCCTTTCGGCCCATCCTGCCGGAGTCCCTACTCTCGGCGGCCAGTTCCCAGGCCTTTCGGCCCTCCGACTCAGTGTCCTTCTGAGCCGCGTCCTCGTTCGTGTCCTTGATGCTGCTCAGAGCCTCCTGATACCCAGCATCTTCCTTTCCTGCCTTCCTGACCCAACCCAGAAATTCTTCATTCCACTTTGGCACGGGGATTGAATGTAGCCGAGTTGACGAAACCAGAAACACGGTGCTCTCGCCTCCGGTGCTGATTGATGAAACTCTCGAATCGTCGCCTGCAAAGTGTGATTTATGCAGGATCGTCGTAATCGGCTGATCTTCACCCCCCCCTTTTTCAGGGCGGTACTCCGGGCGCCTGGATAATGCGTCAGGCTTGCCATTCTGGCTGCCGGGCCGGTAGTAGATTTTGAAGTCGATGCCAGCGAGTTCTTGTGCCCATCTCGCCTGCCGTCGATTGAGTACTTTCGTGGTTGTGAAGTACTCAAGGTTCTGGTGGTCGCTGTACACCTGGATCTGGTGTTTTGCTCCCTCAAGGTATTGCCGCCAGCGTTTGAAAGAGTCTACTATCGCGAGTAGTTCCTTATCGTGAATCTCAAAGTTGATTTCGGCTGGGGTAAACTTTCTTGAGTGGAACGCAACTGGGTGTAACTTCCCATCCTCTGTCCTTTGAGACAGGACCGCGCCCAACGCGAAGTCCGAAGCGTCGGATTCCACCATGACAGGTAATTCTGGGTTGAAGTGCCCGAGAATCGGTGCCGTGGTGAACCTAGACTTCAGCTCCTCGAAGGCCAGTTCCATCTCCGCTGTCCATCTCCAATCCTTCCCTTTTTCTTTTGTGCTCTCGGTTAAGGGTCTCGTGATCTTTGAGAAATC